ATGGATTCAACTGTAGTCTCCGCTATAAAGGGCGAGAAACTGAAAGACCCACCGCAATGGAGGAATTGGTTCACACGAATCAAGATATTCGCACAGGAAAAGGAGGTATGGGACCTCATCAACCCACAGACGGAAGAAGAGTATCTTGAACGACCGATACGCAAGCCAAAGAGACCGCAATACCCCGAGGATGGCAGCGAATCGTTGAAACGAGAATGGAGAGATCATATGGACATCTATAAGCTAGACCTGGCCGACTGGAAGGAGCAGAGCAAGAACCTGAACGCTGTTAACGAATGGATCATCACTAACCTGGACCCAATACACCACACCTTAATGCTTAACTATCAAACCCCATACGAACGACTTGTGTATCTCCATACTCGATTCGGCCGATCAACTGCTGCTGAGGAAGATATTCGTGCGCAATGGAAGCGAGTATCAGATTCACCGCCGAAGAAAGGGGCTGATATCAATCAGTGGATCGCTGAATGGGACTCCCTAAGAGAGCAAGGTGTTAGCCTAGATCTGCCAGAGATGAAAAGCGCCAACAAGGACTTCCTACGTGCTGTCAAAGATATCCTCCCAGTATGGTGGCAGCTGAAGTTTGAAGCTATCGTACTGCACCAAGAGGAGTGGGATACACGCGATTTGATCGAGAATTTCAGAGGATCCTACCGTGAGCTACACCCGCAGAGGGCAAGCAACGTCAGTACGATCTCGAGAGCATCCTTTTCGACACTACAAGGCTTCGAGGAAGCTAGATCAGATCAGCCACAGGCACAAGAACAGCCACGAGAAAAATCCCTACCATCGATTCCTAAGCGCTGGTGCCCTTGTGGTAACCGGAGTCATAAGCCCTGGGACTGTTGGACGATTAATAGAGATGCTTTCTCTGATAAAACAGTGTCCAAATGGAAAGCTAAGCGAGTACAAGATCGGCTTGCGAAAGATGAAGCGTGGAAGGCATGGATAGAAAAATCTGTCAAAGAGCACAATGAGAAGAACGGAGTGAAGCCAGCCACTGAAACAGCTAATATCACTCAGCTGTATGGCTCCTTTTTCACTACAAGCTTTCCAATGGATCAGGTCTATCAGAGTGTTCAGACGACTGGAAGCGACAATATTCAAGAACGTTGGTTTCTCGATACAGCCTCATCAGTGCATGTATGCAATCAGAAAGACCTGTTCACTACATTCAAGCCAACGAAGACAGGCCTAAAGACCGGCGATTCAATCACTGCAGTGGAAGGTATTGGAAGTGTGATAATGACAGGAGCAGGACCTGATGGCACTGCCCGACCAATCCAGCTCAGCAATGTGTTATATTCGCCTCGTTTCCACGCCAATTTAATGTCGTACGCAGCACTGAAGGAGAAGGGTGTTCGATGGGATGAGGATACCGAATGTATCAAGAACTCTAGTGGAGAACCAGTTATTAGCGTACGCCTTATGAAACCACTAAAGATATGGGCGTTCGACAAGCCGAGAGAGCCTCATTCCTCACCGAGTATCCCGAGTATCACCACTACTGCTCATGCGTATGCCGTTCGCAGGTCAGAGAAACCTCTCGTATCGGAGGCCTCAGCGGACCGGTGGCATCGAAGACTTGCCCACGTATCATCTCGTGTGACGAAGAAGACTGCTGAGATGGTAGACGGTGTCAAAATCAATGAAGACTTACCAGAAACATCACCAGAAGAAGAGAAAGGAGAGCTCTGTCAGGTCTGCAATCTCTCAAGCGCACCAAAGCAAATCTCACGACGACCAATTGGCCAGACCTTTGGTAGATACGGCCGAATTCACTTCGACTTGATCAAGTTTCCACCTGGCTATAATGAACATCAGTGGATGACACACTTCTATGTCGAGGGAATCAGATTTCACTGGATATACACCCACAAATGGAAATCAGAGTGTAGAGATGGAGTCAGGAAGTTTATTGCTATAGTCAAGAACTGGTGGAACCTGCCAATTAAGGCGTTTCACTATGATAATGAGGCATCTGCAGGGATAGAGATCGAAGGCTTCCTAAGCGATATTGGTATTGTAGTCTCGCACAGTATTCCCTATCACCCTGAGCAGAACGGCCCTGCAGAACGATCAGGAGGAGTTATCTTAACCATGGGGAGGCATCTTCAGATCGAGAGCAAGCTACCAAAACAACTGTGGCCTGAGATGGTCAGTACAGCCGTATGGATTCTCAACCGTATTCCAACCTATCTGAAGGATGAGAACAGGTGGATCGTACCATGGGAGGAAGCGCGGAAAGACTTCGGCGGCGAGAGGATGAAGAAAGCTAACCTAGCCAACCTACGTGTATATGGCTCCTTGTCGTACTGCCGCATCCGCAATATCCCACGTCTTCAGAAGACCTCTCCTCGTGCAGAAATCGGTTTTCTCGTCGGCTATGTCGCTTCGAATGTGTGGAGAATCTGGTTCCCTGCGAGGGGGAAGATAGAGGTTGTGAGAGATGCATGTTTTGACGAGTCGAGAAGATGGAAGCGTGACATGCAATACTGGGAAGAAAGAACACTTCCTGAGCCTGAACCGACGATCTTAACTGAGGAAGAAAACCTAGAGGTCCTTCGAGACAATATTGGTATCCATATCACAGAAATCAATCGAAACACCCAGGAAGATATGCAGGAAGGCCAGCAAGAAGGCCAACAGGAAGGCCAGTGTAATGGTTACTAAGTTGTCAGGCTAGAGACCTGTGACTAGGCAAAGATATCGGATGGTAGAGATCAAATAGAACAGTTGATATACAGAACTGATTCTTGCAGGACAAGAATCGTAGCTATTGTTCGTGCGTTTTAATATTGCTAGAGCTTGCTAGGGCTTAGGGCAGTCATGCATTAGCGGGTGTATCGTGGTAGATTCGCCCGCGGAGCGGCCATGAATCGTACCCGAATCGTGCCCGAAGGGATTCAGGAATCCCGTGACAGCCAGCAGGAAGTTCAACAGGATACTATCCTAGTGGAAGAAGAAGAAGAAGACATCACGAACCCACAACCACACATACCTCAGGGGGTGACTGTACCGATAACCCCAGAACCGGACGAGAGAAGCCACGATCCTTTAAACGACACACTACCTGGTTCATTTCCTACTGAAGCGCCACTAGAAGTACCGCTGAGTCCACCAGAAGAGCCGATTACCTCTGAACTTAGCACTACGACTGCTCAGGGGGTGGACCAGCAGACAACTACTCAGACTAAAGAACAGGATGTCTGCGAGGATGATGACCAGCCGACAGAGCCAGATCTTCCAGATCGTCCGGAAGAAGAACAACCTGAGTCGCTCTCGGACAGTGAACAACAGCTACATGCTGAGCTCCACACACAAAGAAACGATGGCGTCGATACGACCAATATCATCGAAGGACATAGACAGCGAAGACCGAGGGTAGATCCTGATTATTATGCGTACACAACCTTACCTACTATCGAAGACGATCCACCAGAGCTTTTACGTACGTTCGCAGCAGCACTATACACAGAGAAGCCGCTCCAACGTCATCGAGATGATCTGCCCCCTCCGCCAGATGGATGGAAGAATATGATAAAACACCCGATAGCCGAAGGCTTCCTAGCCGCCTGCGCCAAAGAAATAAGATCCCTACAAGAGAAATCGACGTTTACAGTGACCAATCGGCCGAAAGACGTCTCGAAACAGGTCCTACCCCTCCGATGGGTATTCGCATACAAGTTCGACCAAGATGGCTATCTTCAGAAGCTGAAAGCACGTATCTGTGTACGAGGTGACCAGGAAATGATAACCCATGAGGATAAAAGGGCTGTGACACTTGCAGCGAGGGCAGCAAGAGTAATATTCGCCCTTGTTGCAGCATTCAACCTGGATTTACGACAGCGGGATGCAGTTACTGCATTCCTAAATAGCACCTTGCCTACCGAGACCTATACAAAGATGCCAGAAGGTTTTGAACAGATGGGAATGTGCTGGAAACTTAATCGTGCGCTATATGGGCTACGAATATCGCCAAAGTTGTGGCAACAGGAAGCATCGAGAGTTCTTGTGAAACTTGGGCTTACACCGGTTCCCGAAGACCCATGTGTCTTTACCACACGCGGTATTATCGTCTTCTTTTATGTAGATGACTTTATTATTGCCAGCCACCCGTCTGTGCGAGAGAAAGCCCGCCAGCTTGAGAAGAATCTAGAGGCACATTGGGAGCTTACAGATCATGGAGAAGCAGAGTGGTTCTTGAATATTCGGATCGTACGCGATCGGAAGCTGCAGAAGCTCTGGCTATGCCAGGACGCCCATATCAGCAGTATGGCTGCAAGATATCACCTGACTGATCGCCCGCCTGTCTTTACACCTCTCCCCGTGGAAGAAATGATGCCATTCGATGGTACGGCAACAGCAGCTGATATTAAGCTATATCAAGGGAAAGTAGGTTCAATCCAATACCCTACATCGATAACCAGACCAGATGCAGCGAAAGCAGCCGCAAAATTATCACAGTTCCTGCGGAACCCAGGCCCTCAGCACCACCGAGCAGTTGACAGATTGATCTGTTATCTTTATTCCACACGATATCTAGCACTGCAGTACGGCGAAAAGGGAGGCATGGAATCAGTTGAAATCGCAAGTGACGCATCCTTCGCAGATAATCAAGATCGACGGAGCTCTGCAGGTTATATCTGCCAAGTTTATGGTGGCCCAGTCGATTGGAAGGCCACGAAGCAGCCTACTGTCACCACATCCACCACTGAAGCTGAGCTTTTGGGTTTGTCAGACGCTGCACGCTCGCTACAGTGGTGGAAGCGATTCCTCGGGCGTATCTCATTCGAACCAAGCCAGACGATCACCCTGCGATGTGATAATCAACAGACCGTCACATTACTGAACTCCGAGCACGCCAAAATCGATACGAAACTTCGTCATGTCGATATACACGGACACTGGCTGAGACAAGAGATCAGAGAAGGAAGAATCAATATCAAATGGGTTCCAACTGCCAAGATGGCGGCAGATGGCCTTACGAAGATCCTGCCACGCAAGAAACATGAGGAGTTTGTTAGAACACTCCGTATGGAGGATATAAAACACCTAATCGAAGTGTAAATAAAGGAAAAGAAACCTGCTGCAAGGAATCAGCGATCATCTCAAGTGATTCAACATTGGCGAAGCTATTCAACACACGCTAATCGCTGAGGGGGTGTGTCGGAACAGCAGCAATGGATCTCGGAAGGAGGAAATACTATAGATCCGAAGTATTAGTCATTATTTTGCCCACCTAAATTGCTACGGGCTTGCCATACAGAAATTAGACACGTTGACATTCTATTGGTGCATCTATGTACTCCACTCAGTAATTCCGACAAAACAAACATGCCAAACATGCCAAACATGACGGTGTTCTCTCGACGACGTGCATCACCACGCCGCAGCCAAACTCCCCTCTGAGATCCTGCATCATCCACTGCTCGCAGCCCTCAAGCTTCATCCCTCACAGCTCTGCCCCATGAGCCACTTCCCACTTCCAATCGGCTTCCTCGCATAACCAAGGCCTTGAATCACCAAGATCGCCGCCGTGTCGCATCACTGCGCCTCGAGGGCTTCCTTGCATCACCAAGGTGAGTTCTCGGCACCGAGCCCGCCGCCCACAACACAGTACATCCCCTTTTACAAAAACTGTCCGCTAACCCAGTTCTTTTGACATCAAGGAGACGCAACCGACCGGAGTCACGCCTCTACAAGCACCCCCTTTGTCTTCATCAGTACACTGCCCTATATCGTTCTTAATCACCTGTATCCGCAACGTCTGCCGGCTCACGCCCGGTCGCCTCTGGATCCACAGCGTGGAACTGGCCCAGTACGCCTGTAGCGAAGATGAAGTCGGCCACGATATCGGATGCCTCCTCCTTCGCGAGAAGCACATCTAGTGTCAGTTGGTTGAAGCCTTTTTCGCACAGTTTGAGGCTCATCGCACGTCTCTCGTCTATCCAGAGTTCACACTCCAGCAGGACATGTCTCACTGATTGATTTCCGAGGCCGCACTCACATCGCGGTGTGTCACGGGCGTTGATCTTTGCCAGGTAAGCCGCCACGGCCGCCTTCCCTGTACGGAGCTGCATCATTACTGACGTCGTGGCTTTTCGTTTCTTTTGCCAGTATTCCAGAGTCTTTTTGTTCGGCAAATCGATCAGACGCCGTGTCGCTTTCGCCGTTTTCGTCCTCCTCCACTCCTTCTCCCACGCTTCCTTCGATTCCTTCCGGATGCGGGCCTTCACGGCTGCACCCAGGATGATCGCGCGGTCTTGCGTGGTATCGCGGTCGGCGGCACGCCCGGTGGACGTTGCGGCTTCTTTGGCTAGCTTGTCGATTTCCTCGTTGCCGAAGATCCCTACATGAGCAGGAATCCAGCGGAACTCGATATCGACGCCTGCATTGGTAAGGATATACAGTGTCTTGAGGGTGGAGTGGAGGAAACATTGGCCAGATGGCATCCGTGGACGGCGGAGTGCCGAGAGTGCTGCCTGGGAGTCCGAGAAGACCACAACTCGTGGCATATGAACCACTTGTGTAAGGTTATCGCGAGCTCTCTTCCAGATTAACTCCATCGCCATCTCTAGGCCACGATGCTCTGCCCCGTACACCGTCGCTGTCTCCAATGTGCCCATCTGGCTCTGGAGAAAGCTGCTACCCTCGCGGGTAGTGTCTATCTGCGCAGCCGCCCCCACCTTGCCTTCGTAGCCGGAACCGTCCGTATATATGATCAATGGTGCTGGATTTTCAAACGCAATAGCCTGTAGATGGGTATCCTCCGCAGCGTCTCTGTCCTCGATAGACACCTTCGGTGGCGCTCGCCATGGTTCCCGGACGAATGCTCGCCGGCTCTCCCACGCTCCTGCTACAGATCTGGGGGGAGCCGTTAGGCATCCGCCCTTCCGCCAGGCTTGTTCCTCCAAAGGTGGTCACCCGTAGAAGCGCTGTTGAGGGGTTCTCTCTGTGATCATAAGCTTTGGGATGGCGAAGGTTGGGCCTGTACGGATTCGTACAGCCGTCTCCTTCTTGATTCGATCCATCTGAATCCACATCGGCGGCAAAAACAGCTCGGCTTCTAACGCTGCAAGCGCAGTGGTGCTGTCACGGGATTCCTGAATCCCCTCGTGTACGACTCGGGGACGATTCATGGCCGCTCCGCAGGCGAATCTACCTCGATACACCCGCTTATGCATGACGGCCCTAAGCCCTAGCAATATAAAAACGCACGAACGATAGCTACAATTCTTGTTCTACAAGAATCAGTCTGTGTATCAACTGTTCTATTTGATCTCTACCATCCGATATCCTTGCCTAGTCACAGGTCTCTAGCCTGACAACTTAGTAACCATTACAGTAGACTAGATCAAATTTGAAACGCGACTTTTGTGACACTGTTTCTGAGGAGTATACCCGCGTGCTGTCGACATATAACGCAGTGTCTTAAACCTGGTTTCTGTTAGCGATGCTAATCTTCTATCCAGGACCGAAACAAAGGGGACTAAATGAGGACTTGTAGTATAACTACATGGAGGAAGACTCGGGACGGGTATGTTTGCACTGTTTGCACAGTTGTGCGGTTTGACCCACTCTCGGATGCAGACCAATCAGATGATTGGTCCGAGAGTGGGCTCCCTATATGTACATAACAGAGCTTCCCTCTCTCCTTCCCTTCTCCAACGTTGTTATTCGTTGTTTTTCGCACCTTTTCTCCATCCGGTAGAAACGGAGGCACACTATCACAATACTATTGCTTTCCTTTTATTTTTCTTAGTGCTGGTTGCCTTAATTTCATATGAATGTTATAGAAGCAAATTAGAATATGCGATCAAAGAGACTTTAACAAGGTATAAATACAGTCTAGACTATTTGCCACCCTTCAGCAACCAAATCATCTAGGTGTGCGGTTAAACAATTGGTTCCGTCAAATAAATGGAAGAAGCCGCCGACTCCGCCTGTATCGCAATTCACAATAGGTGCACCGCAGATACCCTCCGATATAGCGCTATTGATAACACCGAATAGCGAACTGACAGTGTAGGCCCGCCAATTTCTAAAACCAATCGGTGGATGGCCAGGGGGGCGCTTCGGCTTCATATCCATGGTCCCATATGCCATCACGGTGACTAGGCCTGAGCTCATTCCATCAATCTCGCTCCATGTGCCCTGTTCGATCTGATCACCTTCGCATAGAGAACGAGGAGGTTCGGCTTGAAAGTATGAACTGTTTCTATAACTTTCGGATGCCGCTGGTGTGAGGCTGACGAGTGAGATGTCGAGTTCAGGTATTGTGTCGAAAACCTCTCCGACTTTATCTGCAGTCGCACGCGGATGATAGACCTGCTTTGAGAGTAGGAAACCATGATGTGCCACCGTGAGGGCATGCTCGCCTTGAGAATTGATCATTCTCACACCCGAGGTTGTTGCAACATTCGCAAACTCATTTACGGATCCTGATTCGCCAAGCCCACACTCTAATCGACAGCCTGGTGTAAGAAACGAATCTTTGAGATAATTCGAGTCGTCTTGGGGCAGAGGTCGACTGGTATCCATATGCTGTTGAGGATCTATCGCTCGCACTCGGCTCTTATCTTTCATCGCCATGTAAAATGGCTCTGCTTCATGGTGGTATAGGGTCGTCCGACCTGCGACAACCCCCGGCAGTGACCTTGGCTCGTATTTGCGGCCATCCCCGTGTGTCAGTTCCACGATTGTCCAGTTGGGGAGATAGAGGATCGCTCGTACATCTGCGAGTGGTGCCAGTGCGACTAACATGGCAATCCTTTGTTCCTTTGTTGGGAATTGCATTTTTGGCCAGCGCAAAGCAGCAGGATATGGGTCCAGGACCCGAGGATTCGGATAAGGGGCGCGAGGAAGGGTTTCAAAGTGTGATTCGCCAGTCCCAACGAAGTACACCGGCATGCAACCGACGGTAAGGGTTACGGGCTGCGGTGGGCTGCTAGTCTCAATCCACATGAACCAGCCGGACTCCCCGCGTTTTCCATCCCCAAATTTGTTTCGAATCCAAGCAGATTCCTCCTGCGTTGGGAGTCGAAATTTGCGGTTCTGTTTGTCCCAGAGTGTAAACGGGGCTGTGTCATTCATGTGGCGCGCTCCCCAACCGCCAGGATTCTGCCAGCGTTTCGGCTCCGGGTGGGAATGTGTTGACGGCGCTGGAGGCCTTACGACTCGTCGCGGACGAAGAGGATTCGGCAATGCTCTGGTGTAGATATCAACGTACGGCGAACTCGTTTGCAGCCGCTGTACCTGTGGCGATAAGCGGACTGAAGTTGCCATGGTATTGAAGTTCAGCGAACAGGGCACACAGATAAAGACGGCAGAAGAAGGGAATTCAGACGGGCTCGAGTAAAGGTCAGTACTGAGTAGATCGAAGAGCAAGGGGAATTTCAGAATCGAATGGCTGAGGAAAGTATGAGAAGTATTGGAAGGTGGCGCCGTGGGTTTTCTTGGAACGGTGGGGCCGCCGGCCCCATCGAAGATAAACCTTTAGATTTGACCCGACATTGTCGCGGACCAGTTCCATCTAGATGTCAATATGACATGAGCATTGATAATGTTACAGGGAACTTAAGTCAACGCCACGATCTCTTGCCAATGGCTCCTACTCGAGTCGCTCGCCTTAGGACCCTTGGTACTGGGTAAAACGTCCCCACGCTCATTGGCCTATGTATCAACATGCAGTTAGTACCTCTTGGGCTTATAAGATGACACCTTGAAAGAAGGGAAACTCACCCAGGTCTCAAAATCAACTCCACTGTTGATGTTCTTCCCTTCAATTTTCGCTTTGTTACGTAAATCTGCAAAGGTTGCTGGAAAGTCGATTGTCTGGTATTTGGATATCTTGTCTTCACCTGGAACTCTGGTCTCTGCGTCGTCCACGGTCGTAACAGTAGTACGGGTTATCTTGTAGTAGTAGTAGTAGTAGAATTCATTGACCTGCTGTAGCCTACTTCTAGCCTACTTCGTAAGGAGTGTTGCATCTTGTTTAAATATCGGCCTGAGCCTTGTTAAACGCGTCGAATTGCGCCCGGAGGCGTTGCAGCTCCGCCAGGAGCTCGTCGTCCGTCATTCGTCTAGTCAGGGAGATCACGAGGTCGAGGAATGGGCCGAGTTCGTCCAGGGTCGGCGGAGGGGGCGCGTCGAATTCAGCCGTGGTTGCCCACTGCTCAGCTGTCTTCAATCCAGTGACTGCTGCGGCACGGAGGTTACCGGACAGAGCAGACGCAGGCGGCAAGAGCCATGTCGTGGATGGTAAATCTTTGTTGTGGGCGGCGGAGGCTGCCCCTTTTTTCAATTTCGACTTTTTGCCCATTTCGGCAGCGCACACACCGAAGAACGGTGTTCACGCGTTAAAAACAGGGTCAATCGAATCAGCGTGAAACGGCGATTAAAGCGCTGTATATCAAACGGTATACAGGGTGCTGTGGCTATAGTTGACGTTTTGCATGAGAGCTGTTAGTTTCTGTACCTAATTCATTAAATTTTTTATCAAATATCGTCATTCTTTATCTGCCTAACCCTTTGACGACAACCTTAACAATTCTAATCCTTCCTACCCCGGGTTACCCAGTAAAGATGGTGAACACACGCCGAACCGTATCCGCGGCTTCCCCTGAACATGCTATTCCCGACCCGACGAGTCCAACTCAGGGGATAGTATCCAACGATATCGAAAACGAAGAACGAGAAGTGAATGCCCGTATCCAAAGGCTAGAAAAACTCAAGGCAGATCGTGAACGTCTTGACGCTCTCCACGCCGAGCTGTCAGTGCCTATTTTAACAGCGTATCCTTTGCCGACCGTGGAGAATTCATTCAGCAACCTCGACCGCCCGAATAAGGATCATGATATCAAAATCGAAGATCTCTCTAACTTTAATAATCGACTCTCCATTCAAAAACGCCACCAATGGCTGGTCAACCTGGAACTTGCTTTTCAAGCCGGTCCGAACCGTTACAGCAATGATGCAAAACGAATATTGGGTGCACTCCGATTTATGGACGCACCATGTAGGGTCAAATGGTCGGAATCCCTTAGCGAAAGGGCCCCAGACGATCGCCGAACTGCTGCACTGCTGCAGCTACATGCGAAGTCTTCGAAGAATGGACCCTCTCCTTGATTCAAAACACGACAAGTCTTCGTGCAGACATTCGTGATGAAATTGAAAGAGCTCACCAGTTATCCTACCAAGACCTCTATGCGAGAGAGCAGCATCTCACCCGTGAGACAGAGGATCATCGTGCCCTTAATTTCTTTTCCAAACTTCAGGATGACCTAAAGAAGAAAATCAACCGACACGTACGCCCTCTGCCTGCTACACTGATGAGAGGGTCGATACCGCAGTTCATTATTGGAATTTAATCAAGCCAACACAACAAAAGAAACGCCAACACTCAGATATTGCAACCCCCCAGTATCCGAATCACCAAAAACAATCAAGATCGAACGGGTACCGCCGCAATTTCCGGAATAATGGAGGGCAATCACGACAGGATCAACCTCGGAACCCTACCGGATCGAACGGGAAACCAATGCAATGCCGAATATGTCAAAGTATTCATCACTTCGCTCGACGATGTTTTCAAGGCCAGCGTGTCATCCAAGAAACGCGTACTGCAGGAAAAGGGGTGGAGTCGTGAGAGAACCCCCCTCTCCGACTTTACCACCTTCTGTGAGGACGGCAACGAGAGTCTGTACATCTCTTAAAATCAATGAAGTGGAGACTATTGCAGATTTAGACAGCGAAGCCGAAGTTGATTGTATTAGCTTTGATTTTGTGCGAACATACTGCCTACCAAGGGCAGAGCTCACAGCCCCCCGCTATAAAAGGAGCCGGCATACGATACCCCACTATGGAGTCTTCCACGTCCCGATTAAGATGGAAGACTCACGTGGCACCACACAAAGCTTGACACGCCCTTGTGTTGTTATTGACAGACATATAACGCCAAACACCCTATTCCTTTCTGTTACCACACTTACTGATCTCCATATCCATCTCGTTCTTTGGAGGTATCAATAGTGGTACGAATCCAAAAAATTCGAACTTAACACCCCTCGTCAATTCACCAAGGCATGTCGAAATGAAGCTCATGTCTTTGCCATTGTCCGACTTCCCGAACAAATCCCTTTGCCTGGTGATGCCGAAGAGCCACCGGAAGGCGGCGAGTTCCCCCCTGAAATGCAGGAGTATCGTGAGTTAGCGGTACGGTGAGTGCGGGTAAGCTTCGTAGTATAATAAACGGACGCGTATTTGTGGTACGGAGAAGTTGATGGGGAGAGCGGTGGTGTTTGTACTGTTTGCATCAACGGGCCGGCCCGTTTGTTTTGTTTGCATGTATTTAGTCTTCTCTCTCTGTAGAGCGGTCGTGGGGTGCAATGGGCAGCCTCGGCAATCTGCGCGTTAGTATACGGTTGAGGGTCTTGGATCATGTCACGGATGAGTTCGAGTCGCCATGCATCAAGTCTGGGTGCCATATCTCTACCACTGAAGCTGTTCAGCCCACTCATTCTGATTGGACTTCGTAGTGCCACGGCATCGCCAGTCACGGACCATGCTGTCACGTGCGACACACCCTAGCTGGCTGCTGGCTTTGTCCAATAGTAGCTGCTCTGTTGCCGCACTACGCTCCTCCCCTCAGCCCGGGCTGAGTTTCTGCAGCTGGTGACGGGGATCTGTCTGCCATACGATGGGGCTCTTTTCTCGTGGCGACTCCGCACAGGAGTCATCAACCTCTTTTCTTATTCAACCTTCCTAATATTCATCGCCTCACAACCGTGCTTTTCGCAAAACCAGGCTAGTCTTCTACATGGCCCGTCCTCCACGAGATGCCTTCCAAATCGGCTGGATCTGTGCCCTTCCGATCGAGGCTGCTGCTGCCGCCGAAATGCTAGATGAGAAATTCGGGATTCTCGATGAACAAGATGCAGCGGACTCGAATACCTACACGCTGGGCCGGATCGGCAAACACCACGTCGTGATCGCCTGCCTCCCTGGAGGCCAGTACGGAAATACCTCAGCTACTACGGTCGCAAACAACATGCTTCGCACCTTCTCCAAGTCACTTCGAATCGGATTGATGGTCGGTATCGGGGGCGGAGTTCCCTCTGCTACTCATGATATCCGCCTCGGCGATATCGTGGTTAGTTACCCCCAAGGCACTTGTGGTGGAGTGATTCAATATGACATAGGGAAGGTCATTACAGGCGGTGAATTTGAACGGATTGGCTCGTTGAACAGTCCCCCGAGGGCACTATTGACCGCAGTTGGTACGATGAGAGCTGCCGCGCTGACCGATGATCCCCGATACCTGGAATATTTCCAAAACGCAATCGGGAGAACCGCTCGAACCCGGAAAAATTTCAGTCGTCCTACCGCACAATCTGATCGACTATTTCAGACGGAATATGATCATCCTGCCAATGCGAGTAGCTGTGATGGATGTCCATTGGAGTGGGAAGAAACGAGAGATCAACGCGAGGATAGTGACCCATTACCACACTATGGTATTATTGCTTCTGGCAATACTGTCATCAAGCACGGGCAGACAAGAGAGCAACTTCGGTTAGAGACGGGGGCATTATGTATCGAAATGGAGGCAGCTGGTCTGATGTTAGACTTTCCCTGTGCTGTCATTCGTGGGGTTTGTGATTATGCCGACTCGCACAAGAATAAGCAATGGCAGGGATATGCTGCCTTGGCAGCAGCAGCATATACAAAAGAGCTGTTGGGGTATGTTCCTGTTGGCCATGTGTCACAAGAGAGTTTGGTAGTGGATATATGCGGTAAGTGATATCATTCTTAGCTTAGTTAGCCCTGAATAAAGAGTGACTTGCTTATGAAGTTCTATAAAGACGTATTGAAGACCGGAATCAAAAGCACAAATCAACGTCTAGAACAAGCATATAGCCAACAAGAACAACATCACCGTGAGAAGGTTACCTTTGCTTTAACTGATCAACAAAACCGCTGTCACCAAACATTCAAGACGTCAACCTACGAGGAGCAAAAGAACAACAATCCTAGAAGAGTGGAGGGAACTTGCCTATGGGCTACACAAAGCCCAGAGTATATTCGTTTTTCGGAAAGCAGCCACAATGATCTTCTCTTAGTGTCTGCCGACCCAGGCTGCGGGAAGTCTGTGCTTGCCCGTTCGATAATTGAAGACCACTTCGCAACGTCAGGGCCTGAAGTGACAGTGTGTTACTTCTTTTTCAAGGACAACGATGAACAAAATCATCTTGCGTTAGCACTTTGCTCGGTCCTCCATCAGCTTTTTGCCCAGCGGCCTCATCTCTTGCGTCATGCCATACCATCATGGGAAATGAATGGGGAGAGACTTCGACAAGAGGTTGACGAGCTATGGAGGATTTTCACAACTGCAGTATTATCTGATGAATCATGCAAGACAATCTGCGTATTTGATGCTCTGGATGAGTGTCGTGAAGTTGATCAGAAACGACTAGTTGAGAAACTCCAGTCATTTCACCGCCTGTCATATCCACCGACGCCGGAGAACTGGTTGAAATTTCTAGTCACTAGTCGCCCGTATGATAATATCCAGAATTATTTCCGAACGGTTACAGACTCTTTCCCACATATCCATCTAAAAGGAGAGGAAGAAAATGATCAGATTCATCAAGAAATTGATCTTGTCGTCAAGATGCGAGTAAAAAACCTCGCTCAACGAGCGGGGCTATCACGGGACACAGAGCAGCGACTCAAGCAGCAGCTTCTGCAAATGGAACACCGTACGTATCTCTGGCTACATTTAGCCATTGACGATATTCGATCCACATTCGAAGACAGCCTTCGCCCGGCTGAGGAGTCAATCGAGGTGATACCTCACTCAGTAGATGCAGCATACGAGAAGATCCTTAGTCGCGTACCCTCCCGTCAAGTAGATACTGTGAGAAAGATCCTACAAATTATCGTTGCAGCACGGCGCCCGTTAACAACGGCGGAAATGGCTATGGCGCTCGGTATAGCCATCTCTCCAGAATCCCGGACTGCAACAAAAGCTAGACTTGAGTCATCCCAGATCGACAAAAAGCTGCGTCGATTATGCGGGCTTTTTGTTTTTATCAATAATTCCAAGATCTATTTAATTCATCAAACAGCAAGGGAATTTCTGCTTAAGAAGAGTTATGCTGATAGCGTTCAGTACTTATACTCATGGACTCTCACGGACACTGAGAACCAAATGGCGTGTATCTGTTTACGGTATCTCCTGATGGAAGATCTGGAGCACAATGATGAGAATTCAAGCTCTGATATTCGAAGCCTTCTAGATTATTCAGCATTATATTGGCTGGACCACACACGGAGGATGAGTCTAACCCAAGACCAAGAAGTGATCTGTCAAGTTCAGAAAATGTACGATATAAGTGGGAAACGATTTGCATTATGGTTCCCCATCTTTTGGAAGTCTATCGAAGACTGGACACCTCCGCCATCAATGACTGCTCTACATCTGGCATCATTTAACGGGCATGAGCGGGAGGTTGAATTTCTACTATTAATAAGAAGAAAAGATATCAATTCCGTCGATAGCACCGGAACCTACCCCATTATCTTAGTCTTACACAATGGTTATAAGAATGTTATACAGTTGCTGCTCGAGAAAGGAGCCGAGGTGAACGCCCAAGGTAGAGAGTATGGAAATGCCCTCCAAGCTGTCTCTTTTGAAGGACATGAGAAGATTGTGCAGTTGCTACTCGAGAAAGGAGCCGAGGTGAACACCTAAGGTGGAGAGTATGGAAATGCCCTCCAAGCTGTCTCTTTTGAAGGACACGAGAAGATTATACAGTTGCTACTCGAGAAAGGAGCTGAGGTGAACACCCAAGGTGAAGACTTTGGAAATGCTCTCCAAGCTACCTCTTTTGGAGGACACAAGAAGATTATACAGTTGCTACTTGAGAAAGGAGCTAAGGTGAACACCCAAGATGGACACTTTGGAAATGCCCTCTAAGCTGCCTCTTATAGAGGACACAAGAAGATTGTGTAGTTGCTACTCGAGAAAGAGGCTGAGGTGAACGCCCAAGGTGGACACTTTAGAAATGTTCTCTAAGCTACCTCTTTTAGAGGATATAAGAAGATTGTACAGCTACTACTTAAGAAAGGAGCTGAGGTGAATGCCCAAGGTGGAGGGTATAGAAATGCCCTCCAAGCTGCCTCTTATAGAGGACACAAGAAGATTATACAGTTGCTACTCGAGAAAGGAGCCGAGGTGAACACCCAAGGTAGTCACTTTGGAAATGCCCTCCAAGCTACCTCTTTTGGAGGACACAAGAAGATTATGTAGCTGCTACTTAAGAAAGGAGCCAAGGTGAACACCCAAGATGGAGACTTTGGAAATACCCTCCAAGCTACCTCTTTTGGAGGATATGAGAAGATTATATAGTTGCTACTTGAGAAAGGAGCCGAGGTGAACGCCCAAGGTGGAGAGTATAGAAATACTCTCTAAGCTGCCTCTTTTGAAGGATAAGAGAAGATTATGTAGTTACTACTTGAGAAAGGAGCTGAGGTGAACGCCTAAGGTGGAGGGTATAGAAATGCCCTCTAAGCTACCTCTTATAGAGGATACGAGAAGATTGTACAGTTGCTACTTGAGAAAGGAGCTGAGGTAAACGCCCAAGGTAGACACTTTGGAAATGCCCTCCAAGCTGCCTCTTTTGGAGGACATGAGAAGATTATACAGCTACTACTCGAGAAAGGAGCTGAGGTAAACACCCAAGATAGACACTTTGGAAATGCCCTCTAAGCTGCCTCTTATAGAGGATACGAGAAGATTGTGTAGTTACTACTTAAGAAAGGAGCCGAGGTAAACACCCAAGGTAGAGAGTATAGAAATGTCCTCCAAGCTGTCTCTTTTGAAGGACAAGAGAAGATTGTGTAATTACTACTTGAGAAAGGAGCCGAGGTAAATGTCCAAGGTGGAGGGTATGGAAATACCCTCCAAGCTGCCTCTTTTAGAGGATATGAGAAGATTGTGTAGTTGCTACTTGAGAAAGAGGCTAAGGTGAACGCCTAAGGTGGACACTTTGGAAATGTTCTCCAAGCTACCTCTTATAGAGGACACGAGAAGATTGTGTAGTTACTACTTAAGAAAGGAGCTGAGGTGAATACCTAAGGTGGTCACTTTGGAAATGCCCTCCAAGCTGTCTCTTATAGAGGACATGAGAAGATTGTGCAGCTGCTACTTGAGAAAGGAGCAAAGGTTAAAACCTAAGGTACAAAGTATAGAAATTCCCGCTAGGCTCCTTATAATAGTGAATATAAGGAGACTGGAACTTGTCTAGCACGTAGAGTGCTGATCAACGGATACCCCCTCTTCCATATAAGCTACCGCTCAGCGACTTATGAGGCTTTCACGATATATAGGTGATATAGTTCTTCTTATTACCTCAAACATCACTTTGATACGATGATTCCTGTTGTCCATATCTTACAACTATGTACATCACCTTTCACAAATTACATACCTAAAATCTGCTTTATTTGATCCATGAACCATCATCCGTATCGTAGCAGGATAAATGGGGTAATTCACCTCACTTTAAGCTATTTGCGCCTATTAGCTAACCAGATCTTTCCTACTATTCTATCTTTTTGGGGGGTTCTTACACAGTTGTGATAAGAATACTGTGATAGCGTGCCTACGTCTCTACCGGAATGGAGAAAGGGTGCAAAACAACTAATAACAACGTTGAAGAAAAGGGAAGAAGGAAGAGGAGAGTTATGCTACGTACAGGTAGGAAGCCCACTCTCAGACCAATCATCTGATTGGTCTGTATCCGAGAGTGGGTCAAACCAAGCAAACGTCCAAACATGCAAACATGCCCGCCGGTCGACCTCCTCCATGTAGCTATACTACAGTATCTATTTGTGGACTAGGCACCTCCCTTTTGCCTATCAAGTCATTGCTGCTCCTATATATAGACTTGTTTACAAATTAATTCGGGAACGTCATCCTAGGATTTTAATATACCACTGTTCAATATAGTTTACTAGGGCCCCCAGATTCTGTACTGTTAGTTAAATGTACTTTTTACTCTGTTCCATATATGATATAGTTGTTCCGGCTATCCTACAGTGCCCTTCCGGCAAATCAGACCTTATGCCTGACAGTTTCGCGAATGAAATAATCAATCAATCAATCAATTCCATTGTCTTCTTGTGTATAAATATTGTTGCCGTTAGGTGTCTTTCGGAAAGACTTGGACGGTGCAGAGCGGCCTCCCTTGAGGTCCATTGTTGGTCCCTAGTCGTCAAAGTAGTCTCCCTTGTGTTATCGCTATCCCTCGGCTTTGTCCACGGCGCAGTAGGTGGAAGTTCGGGACTGGGGGAAGGTGATAACCAGCTAGAGCGAGGGTCAAAGGGCAATAGTTGTTGCGCTATGTTAACACTCGTCAGCTGCAAGGGCCCATGAGTAGATGAGGCTTTGGGAAGAGGAGGCGGGGAGGAGGGTAGTATCAGCGTCGACGAGGCAAGAAGGCGAAGGAATCGCGATGGAGAGATCTGTTACGACGCGGGCAAGGGAGCCAGTCATGAGTATTGCGAGGACAAGGGGCTGGAGATGTTCGACGATGGCGTACTGTCCGGACCTTTGACGAGGATTGCGAACGGCGTGTATGGCGGACTGATTTGGGACATCTGGAGTGCTCCGGTGCGCGTAGCGGACTTCGGTTACTGGAAAGGCAAGGAAAAGTTCATACCTCACTCACAATGCAGCTTTGGTCGGGAAAGATCGGGGATTCTCAAGAAAAAAAGCATGCCATTTCGCTTGAGATTTCATGCGATCCATCAATTTGTCGCATCACTTCCACGATGCAGAACCTCAGACAGTCAGTGCTTAGCCGACGAATTTGGGCGAATGATTTCCTCGTCGGGGATAAAAAGAAGGAGATGTCATTCGAGAAGTTTCCCGAATGAGACTTTCCCGCGGCATGAAGATGTTAAGACTATCCACGAATCAATACATGCACCCTTCCGTGACTTCACAATTCAATTCAACAGCCTTGAAGTCATTCATGGAGTCATTCAGATAATCACTAGAACTCGAAAAGAGCAGCCTTGAAGCTATCTAGACAATCTCCAAGACTCTCAACAGAGTTCCTTAGTCGCAAGGCTCGAAGATTAGAGCACCCATATTCCTACAATCAGGATCTTCAGTCTCCGATCAGTGCCTCTTAGTCTTTTAAAAAAGAAGAAAAAAGAAGAAGAAGAAGAAGAAGAAGAAGAAGAAGAAGAAGAAGAAGAAGAAGAAGAAGAAGAAGAAGAAGAAGAAGCCCAAACAGCTTTTGTACAAACTAAGCTAGCTGTCTCTCCACATCCGATGGCGGGGTGAGCATACGGTCCTGGTGCATATTGCTGCACTCCTCAACGAAAATACCTCTCCCACTGGTTTCGTCCGCCACGATCTTCTGCAAAGCAGCGACATGTTCATCAGGCAAGTGATTCTGAAACCCAACCCCGGGACTAGCCCATTCATAATCAACCCATTGGGGCCCAATAAGATCCCTAATCTCCTTGGCCAACTGCAAAACATGAGCTTGACGCTTCTGAGACCAAGCCCGATCGGTAAGAAGACCCTCGGAAGGCGTCAGAATATTTGACGCATGAACTGCAGACGAAGGAACAGCGCCAGTAGCTCCATTGGGTGTACATATTTCAGCTGATTGGATCCCGGGTTCAAAACCATCACCATCGTCCTCACTCCAATTCTCCAGCCCATCCACGATACTGCGCCAGACGCGTAGACTCTCATCCAGTTCCTCAATATTACTGACTCCTATCACGCTCGCGCCGAGTTTCTTCCCAGTGCCAACATTAGCGACCGACAAGAATCCCGGGTCGGAATTCTCTGTCCTTGCGAAGGGAGCTCCTAATACACCTGCCCTTGTACCATCCCGTAACCAAGACTCCAGCGCAAAGCGGATGGCAATAACCTCCAGTTTCTCACCGTGTCGTGTAGTATAATCCGCTGCCTCATGGATCACACGACGCAACGCATCGGGTGCAGGATGGAAATCGCCCATTGATCCGATGGGTACTCCGTCCTGGCGAAGTAGTCCCATTCCAAGCGGCGATGCATTCGGGACAACGTCTACTCCTGCCCTTACAAGCCGTGGCAAGGCTAACGATTGGAGCCTGGTATTTTGGAGGGTGAAGTTCGCATATGACATAACGATATCGAGCGGTTCACCAGTTTCTCGAAGAACCAATTCCGCAAGATCCGCTAGCACCTCAACGGGATATCCGGAGATACCGACATAGCGGAGTAAGCCCTCCTCATCACGAAGGCGACGCAATTCCCGAACGGCGATGAGGACTTCAGTTGGTGAAACGAATTCTACATCGTGGCAGTAGACGACGTCAAGGTATGAAGTATGAAGGCGTTGTAAACTGCGGCGGACACTGTATCTGATCCATGAGGGGGAATAATCGAAGGATGAAGAGGCGATCCGTCCGACCTTGGTGAGGAGGTGGTATGTGTTGCGGGGGAAGTGGGATTGGACGAAGTCGGTTGCAAGGGCGCGGCCGAGGAGTTCTTCAGCGGGGCCGTAGTAAGGGGATGTGTCGAAGGCGCAGATTCCGCGGTAAAGTGCGCGTTGGACTAATTCTGTTGTTGGGAGGGCGTAGGGGTCTTCATTGTATTGCGAATTGAAAGTTGCTGTGCCCATTATCAGTGGGGGCAGGTCTGCCGACAGCGGGGTTAAGGGGCGCATCGTTGGGATTGAAACCTTTTCAGAGGTCTGAGGGAGGGAAGAAGAGAAGATGATCAAGTGGGAAATTGAAAAGTCAAGTAGAGAAGTATTTCCTAAATGCCATTCTCATCTCACTTCCTTTTTCACGCCAATAAAGTGGGACCAGTCTTCGTTCTCTTATCCGTGAGAAATTTCCGGGGTTCCGCCGCATCGGGATGGCGCAATGCCGGGGATTGTTATAACTTACGTAGATTGTTGGTTCTGGTTGTCTTGCTACCGGAGACCTGTCACTTTCTTGAAGAAGAAGATCGAGGGAATTCCTTTAGATGTGAGGATTGTGCAAGGCGGAAAGGATATTTGTGATGCCATTGAATATCTACTGCCACGACTATTCGCTCTAACGCCATTATGCAAAAAAAGAAAGTTGAAGAATCAAATCAACAAATAGGTAGCGTTACATCCCACGATTGAACTCCACCATACCCTTATACCCGCCCTTGCTATGGAACTCATCCTCTAGTTTGCTAGCACTGATAGCCTGGCGCTGAGGGAAAGCAGCCAAAGCCAGAGGGAGTGCAAAGAGGGATGTAGTTAAAACGAGGCCAAGGTTGATGGGCATGACCATACGAGGACGAGAGCGCAGCCACTGCGTCTTCTCCAAGCGGACCAAAATCAGTGGCGGGAGGACCATAATAGGTGTGGCGTTCAAGATACGACTAATAGCCGTTTCGCCAACGGCAATGGTAGCAGCCTTCTTGCTCTTTCCTAGACTTTGGACTGGTTGGCTATCCTCAGACTGTTCACGCTCGGCACGTTCAGACTCTGACAAAATGGGGTATACATCGATTCCTTGGCGGATCTCCTCACCACGCATGAGGAAGACATTGAGGGCGCTTGCACTTGCGACGGCGGCAAAGGGGACCAAACGGGAGAGAATAAGGCGAGTATTGGGGGATATGCTCTTGAGGCGAGGGACAAGAGCATTCAACCCCAGGGCAACAGAGCAGGAGGCCGAGACAGCCATGCAGTAGGATTTGGCGATTTGGGAAACGGACAATGGGGTGGATTTGTTGGCGTTGGCATTATTGATCGCAACATTGAGCGACTGGTTGCCAATTTGCCAAAGTAGGGTACCGGGCGTCTAATTAAAAGGTGGGTCACCGATCAGTCTCTGCATTCAAAAGATACAAGGAAAGAATCATGTTGTTTTGTCACTCACACCAAGGCCCGGGGTCAGCATACCAGCCGTCACAACCAGGTTGGACAGCACATAGCAGGACATGCGAAACGGAAGCAGAACCGGTTCACCCGTATCTATGAATTAATTGTATTGTAAGCGGAGGGCTTCAGGTCTCTCGTACACTCCGTATGAGAGTTCAGGCCCATACATACCGGGGTGCAGTGTCGCGTCTACGACCTTCTTTGCTTGCCATAGATCTGGCGTCATCACTCCGGGGAGTTTATTCTGTTTATACTGGGCAAGAAGGCTCTTTGCCTGTTCCAGTCCTGCGGTGCCTGCCAGAAGTGTTCTAGTAGATTCGCAGTTAGTTAGTCATGGCCTGGGTTCTTGCATTCAGCAACTATCCACTGTCGAGACTTACCGAGGATCAGACACATCCGCCGCATGGCGAACCCGTCCCCAGTATGTGGTCAAATCATACTGGGAGACGGGAATATCTCGATTTCCTGGAATTGAAGCAGACATATTGCGAAGACAGCGAGTGGAAGGCCCGTGGGCACACAACTTCAAAGAGGGACAAAGAAAGGTCTCCGGTTCTGTCGTTCAATTTCCAGTGCGGGGAGAAAGGAAGAAAATAGCCAAACTCTTTTTCGGCGACGGAACCGATTAACATTTTGAAAGACGGTGAACATTGAGGCGGAACAAAGTGGTCCAATCATCAGGGACGGATAAGGAGACCGCCGGAGCGGCTGCCGGTCGACTGATTAGATGATAAGAGCCGATAAGGGCTGATAAGGACCTATCGCTCTGACCTTTGGAGAGATAAGGAGACACGGAGACACTGCACACGTGCATGAGTACAGACATGATGCTTCTACCTCTTACGGGATTCCCGAGATTCTTCCACAGTGCGCAAATGCAGACCTCAACCCCGGTTGAAGCGGCTTTCAAATTCTAGAACTTTTCTATTCTAACCGTGCCCGATATTGCACACAAATCCTCGTATCTGCAAGCTTACTGCAGACGTTGAATAACCTTAACCAGATCACCCAGAACACCCATAGCAGTAACATCACTACCGGCACCGGCACCCTGAATAATAAGGGGATTGGCTCCATAGCGCTTAGTGTAGAAGCTAATGATATTATCACTGCCCTTCAGGCCAGCGATGGCGCTGTCCTTATCGAAATACTGCAGACCAACCTTGACTGCCTGAGTCGCAATATCAATACTACCAACATACCGAACGACCTTGCCTTGTTTCTCTGCTGTGTTTTTGACATCGGCCATCTGTCCGTCGAACTCTGGCAAACGGCTCATGAACTGCGAAATGCCATCGGCCGAGGAAGGTAGCGAGGCAAGTTCAGTGGGGATAAGCGATTCAATGGGGAAGGAATCGGGACGCGACACCTCCAGACCAGCCAGACGGGCCAGGATCGTCAGCTTACGGGCGACGTCCATACCGTTCAAGTCATCGCGAGGATCGGGTTCAGTGTAGCCTAGTTCCTTAGCTTGAGCAACAACAGCACTCCACTGAGCATCGGATGAGCTAGAAGCAGGGGCGAAAGTGTTGAATAGGAAGGAGAGAGTGCCGGAGAAGACACCCTCAATACGAGTGACTTCATCACCGGTTGCGACCAGGTCCTTTAGAGTGGATAGAACAGGCAAGCCGGCACCGACGGTACTTTCATGGTACACCAGAGCGTTACCTTGGGCAGCAGACGAGAAAATGTCTTTCCATAAAGAGAGATCATCAGAAAACCCCTTCTTGTTGGGGGTCACGACTGAGATACCCTTCTTCAGGAACAGAGGATAGGCACGGGCCAGGTTGAGATCAGAAGTGTTATCCACCAAGATAGCGCGACCGGGGACACCCGCGAGGTATGTCGCAATTTCCTCCACAGGGAGGACGCCCTTCTTTGTGAGCGAGGGACCAGTAGATGCTGTAGCCCAATCACCCGCTGGGATAGCGGGGGAGTACGCTGGTGTCGGGGCGAGGAGGGTCTGCGAAGAGCGTGCGAGGAGAACGAGTTGAGGAGCGTTGGGGAGACGAGCAATCTGGTTGAGGAATGCGGTGCCAACTCCACCGACACCTGATGAAACTTGTCAGTGATCTTCAAGGATAATTTGAATTTCAACGTTCAGAAAAAGGAACCAGCGGGGGGCATGGAGGGGCAGCGTACCAACAACACCGAGATAAATAGGGCTGGCCATTTTCCAATTGAATGTCGTTTCCAATGATAGTGTGTTCAGAAAATAAACTGATTGCTGTAAGGGTGCAACTCCAGTTATTGAACGAGAGAGGGAAATTTAAGTTGTAGGTTGAGTTGCGTCGATGATCTGCTTTTGACTCAAGTTCTCCGGTTGCGGGGCCGGAGTTATGTTCGGGCGCAATGAACCCACCTTGGGAGTTGGAAACCACCTATGACGATAATCTCCAACATCTCAATCCACCATCACAATGGTTTATGCCTTCACACTCCCAACAACCTCTCCCCTTTCCTTCCAACAATTTATAACATCATCAACACACCCATCCCTGCCACAATCAGCCTCAACAGCCCGTCATGCTCTCTGCCTCGCCTTGAAAGCCCACAAGCGGCTACCCCGTGGCGCGCGACAAGATGCCCACCTACCAACCGTGCTCTCCGCACTAGAAGAATATATTCCATATATATTCGCCATATTAAACGGTCTCCGAGGAAGAGCAGTGAGCAACTCTGGGCAGACCCAGGCACGCGAAGAAATCCAAATCACGCAGCGAGCGGAGATTGAATCGTCGTGGAAACCCACGCTTTCACCAAGCAGCGTATTGAATATAGCCTCGTCCATCTCCAAGGGAAATCCAAGTGAAAGGGGCATCCGGCTCCGCGGAAAACGAGTGGCAGGAAATGGCCTCGAATTCGAATTAGCGTTCACACTTACAACACTAGGCTACGTCCTTAGTCGACTTGCGCGAAGAAGCGTAAATGATTCACTTTACGCAACACAGACTCAAAGTACAGAACAACGGGTTACAGCGATACAAAATGCAACGAGGTGCCTACTTCAAGCTAGCTCGGTTCACGCGCTTCTATCCTCGTCTTTTACGAGTACAGCAGAATGGAGTGTCTCAGATATTGACTCGACGACACAATCCGCACTATCATCGCTAGCACTAGCCGAAGCGACCTTATTAGCAGTTCTGAAAGACGACGCATACGTGGCAGCTTGTATTCAAGAAAGAAATCCAAACGACAAAGAATGGATGGTGAAAGCGCCTGAGATCCCGAAGGTGCGTGCCTTACTTTTTGCCCGTCTATGTGTTCGTGCAGCAGAGTATGCAGAGCAATCTGGTGCGGGGCTTGGGAGCGCGAGATCCGGAAAGGAACGTCTTGATGATGAGATTACGCGGTATGCGGGCGTGTTGGGTCGGGTGTCTCGTGCGCGGGCATGTCGGTTTTTTGGGCTGGACGCGGAGCTTGCGGGGAAGACTGGGGAGGGGATAGCCTGGCTGAATGCTGCGCGGACAGCGCTTGGTTTGAGGGGCACGGGGTCTGCATCTCAGGTTGAGAATGACAGGGGATCTTCGAAGGGTGGGTTCTCCCGGTTGAAGAGGGAATGGGCTGAAAGGCGAGAGGAGAAGAAGATCGGGAAGGATGCTGGTGGGGGACGAGGGGATAAAGGGTCCTTGGAGTCGGGCGATGACGCTGGCCGTGACGAAGAGGGTAGAGTTATTGCGACTCTAGAGACGAAGTGGGTGCGAATGAATAATACGATGAATACTCAGGCCATTCCTCCCTCTGGCCCATTACTGTCTAATCTCCCGTCCGGTCGGGATATACACGCACCGCCAGCTCCGTATCAACCTCCTTCATTGGATGAAGACCATTTGATGCGAATGCGGGCTCCTCCCAAGGATGATAGGGATGAATTCTTCGCAAACGATCCTGATGATAGTGACGAAGAAGATATACCATCTGACATTCGCGGGACGCCAGGCGATTTCCCTGATCGAAGCCAGACTGCATCGACTGCATATTATTGAAGTGATACAAGTCCACATACGCACACAATGATTTTAATTCAAGCGACTCTATAAAATAATAGACCCAAGTCAGCTACATTATCATATAATAAATTTCCAAAGTCAGATACAAAAAGAGAAAAGAGGCTCGTCAGGGTAAGCTTTGCGCAAGGTCTACATCGCTGTGGTGTTGCCTCAGATGCTTTACGGAACAAGCGAATGTATGGTAGTAGCCGCAGAATTAAGAGAAAGCCAACAAATTAGTATCGCTGTTCAATTCCATTCAGAAGCGAGCCGCAGGTTTGGTCTCTGGCGCTTTTCGCACAACAGGAATCGCTACGCTAGAAGCAGAACTTCACCTCCCGCCATTAACGATTCAAATAGATCAATAACGGGGGAAAAGGTGTACCGAATCCATCTATAGATGGTGTCTATTGCCATAAGTAGCCACACGGCGATTCCAGATCAAAACTGCGAGTTCTGCACGTAGTATGTGGAAGATTGGCTTATTCAATCATATTTTGAACTTTTGCACCTCAGGATATGCCATTTTGAATCACTTCCATACTCAATATCAATGTATCTCCATCTCTACTGGCACTGATAAATCCGGCGTCCACCCACTTGGTCGTTCACTACCACGCACCAGAATACCGTATGCCGCCCGCTCCACCTTCTCCACGCTATTTTGCATCACCTCCACCTTTTTCGCCAGATCTCGGAACATATTTGATCGCCGGGGAACACTAAGCGCCTCTAATGCTGCGCGAAGAAACCGCAAATCAATCACAATCCCCGCTTGGGAAGAAGAAAGATGGGGTAGTTTCTGTGTCGCGTCCATAGCTTCTGCCCCTTGAGCGAGTTCCTGAGTCTGTGTCGCATTCCCGGAGCTCAATGCCATAACAGCAAAACGCATCATTTCGCCCGTGAGGTCGAAAAGCCCCATTACGTAGTCCTCCTCTGTAACTAGAATTTCGACGGGGAGTCGAGCTTGTGTTTCAGGCAAAGAGATCAACGTTTGTGTGCGGAGATAGTGTTCGAATGATATTGCTTCAATGAATTCTTGAATGCCACCGCTGATCTGCCGTTGATAGCGCCATGAATTGATGCCGGTGACATCTGGGACGATGGAGGTGAAGAGAGTGTGGATTTGGTCGAGGCGGCTTTGGTTCTCTTGGGCGATTTTCGGGGGAAGGGGTTTGTTGGTGACGCGAACGCGCTGGAGGGTAAAGATGCTGCGATTATCTGGTTAAAAGTTGTCCTGTGCTGAAATGACATGCGGATTGGCGGCTTTCGCTTACATTTTCTTGCTTAATGCTGTGATATCGCGGCTGGCCTTGATGACTCGCTCACGGCGATCGTGGTGTTCGTCTAGTTCATTGCGGAAGTTTTCGAAGATTGAGATAATCGGTCCTGCCGATTCAGATGCCATACTTGGAACTGTCTCTTGTACTAATGGCTGGCCTTGCCAAGATCGTTTGGTTCCCATAGCAAGGTAAAGTTACGGTGAGTGGAGAGGTGGAGAGGTGGAAGAGTGAAGCTTTTTGGAGGGGGAGATGATAAGAGGTTGATAAGAGGTCGATACAGCCTTATCGGGCTTATCGCTCTGAAGAAGTGAATCCCTCCATGAATCAATACTACAATGCTCAGGTTGTACCCAACAATTTCTGAATCCATCGTTCATTTGTTCTATTTCACCTCGGCCGGACCATTTAAGCAGCCTTGTGTACACTGTCATACAGGACCATCATGATTAAGTTCGATTCTTACGTATTCCCTTTGGGATTTCTTAGAAGACAGAGCCATGGTTCGCGCGCCGCGTCCATGTTGGTAGTCGGCGCTCAATATACTCAAAGGTAACCAGGTACTACTAAACTATTACCGGTATGAGTGTCCGACATATGACACTTACACATATATGAGCATTCCTACGGCTATCACTATTAGGATGAAACGTATCTACATTGCAACACCACCACCACCACCTACAATATGAAAAACAGAAAACTTGCAACAGATTCGCTTGAACAGCAATCCTCATATTTACCACTGTGGCACAGTCTGCGAGACTGGTCATTGTGTAAGATTTGGACAACTGGTCTTGGTATCATCGTTATAGTCGTAGTCATTATTGTCGGAACGATCATGGGCGTGAGGGCTAATCGATACCCCAATTATCAGCCTTTGCCTTATGAGCTAGTGGAGGTATACGAAGGAGCCGGGTTTTTCGATCAGTTTGATTATTTTACCGACCCAGACCCAACAGAAGGATCCGTGCTGTATGCTGTCATTTCATCTTCTGTCCTCCTTCACATCTTTTAGCTTCTTGAATCCCTTGACTGATTCAAACTAGATATGTCGATAAGCATACTGCACAAGCTCTGAATCTCACATATGCGACTGAAACCTCGGCTATTCTACGGGTTGACTCGGTTACACCAAAGCCTGTCGGGAATCGTAGCTCTGTACGCATCGAGTCCAAATCGAAATACGATACCGGGCTCTTTCTATTCGATATCATCCACACTCCCTATGGCTGCGGTAGCTGGCCAGCCCTCTGGCTCACAGATGGATATAATTGGCCTACCAATGGCGAAATCGATCTTCTTGAGGCTTCAAATCAGGGCTCACAGGGGAATGAGGTCAGCATCCATACCACGCAAGGGTGTAAGATGAATGTGAAGCGAAAACAGATAGGGCAGGCTATATCCAATGACTGTCACAGCCCCAATACTGGCTGTGGCGTGAGAGGGGATCCATTGACTTATGGTGAGCGTCTGAATGGGAATGGAGGTGGAGTATACGCATTGGAAATTCGCGAGGCAGGCATTCGTGCTTGGTTTCTCCGACGCAATTTGATGCACAATCTCAATATGGACCCTCCTGATCCGTCTACCTGGGGTACTGCATTAGCTGATTTCCCTAACACGGAATGTGATATCCCATCGTATTTCAAGAACCAGAGCATCATCGTGAATATCGATCTCTGTGGGACCATGGCCAATGAGTCTTGGTTGAGGAATGAATGTCCGGGTCTCTGTCCTGATTTTGTGGCCAAAAGCCCGTTTGAGTTTGAAGATGTGTACTGGGAATTTGCAAGTTTCAAGGTATATCAAGTGATTTAAGCGATTTGAGAGGGGATGTCTCCGAGAATGGGAATCGCTTCTTTTTGGTTTTATGTTGTTCGCAATTGCAACTGAAGATGTAACGTTATGTAGTTGCCGCTCGGGATGACGGAAGATTTCCAGCGGAATCGTTCCGGCGCCCTGTCGTTGACAACTTGTCGTCGGGAGAATCTTTTTAAGTCTCTGAATGTTATCCACGGTCGCTCTTCTTGCTTCTTCAATTAATTCTACAAATTAAAACAATTTTCTTAATATTTCCTGACATACATACACACGCCTCCACAGATCGCTCGCACTTGTTCAGACCGTCTACAAACCCACAAAGAATGGATCATGAGGAGTTCCGAGCTGCGGCCCACTCGGCAATTGATGACAGTAGGTTTTTCTTTGCTTTTGATTTCGATGGAGCATGTGCAACGGCAATGACTCGCGAATTCAGATCACTGATGAGTGCTATGATTCACTGTAGTACTCGCATATTTTGACAGCGTGCCCGACCGAAGAGTCCTCCCCGCAGTGGATCCAGGGTATCTACGGCCTCTGATCCCCGAGAACCCTCCAGTGGAATCGGAATCTTGGGATCAGATTCAACAGGATGTCGACACGAAGATAAAGCCCGGGTTGACGCATTGGCAGTCACCAAACTTCATGGCATACTACCCGGCCAGTGTTACATATCCCAGTATTCTTGGAGAGATGTATTCCGCCGCGTTTACTGCACCCGCATTCAACTGGCTGTGCTCTCCAGCATGTACAGAGCTGGAAACCATTGTCATGGACTGGGTCGCAAAGGCACTGGGGCTACCGGCTTGTTTCCTGAGTACCTCAGAGAACCTCGGAGGAGGGGTAATCCAGAATAGCGCCAGCGACGCCATTGCGACGATTATGGTTGCTGCACGAGAGAGACGAGTACATGAGTTAGTCTTGGCGGAAGGTCTGAAGGAAGGTACCATCGAGTACGACGAGCGTAAGATGGATCTCCAGCCACGGTTGGTGGCTATCGCGAGTGATCAGACCCATAGCAGTGCAGCTAAGGGTGCGTTGATTGCTGGCACAAGGTTCCGCAGTGTATCAACTCGGCTAGAGGATGATATGGCAATGACCGCGTCTCGTTTGCGCGAGGTGTTGGAAAAGTGCGAGGAAGATAGATTAACTCCATACCATTTGACTTTAACCTTTGGCACAACCAACACTTGCAGTGTCGACCACTTTGCGGAGATCAAGGCTGTGCTACAAGAAAAACCTGAATGGCAGCGCATTTGGGTACATGTAGATGCTGCATATGCAGGTGCATCTCTTGTTGCGGACGAGTGGCAATATATTGCCAAAGACTTTGCCGAGGGTGTCGACAGCTTCAACACAAACATGCACAAGTGGTTGCTGGTTAATTTTGATGCAAGGTAGGCTTCAGAACCATTTCCCCTGTCTTCTCGACCCTCAGGCTAATCCTATGAAGCGTTTTATTTGTCCGAAACCGGTTCGATCTCACCAATGCTCTCGACATCACCCCGACATACCTTCGGAACCCGTACTCTGATATGGGCACCGTAATCGACTACCGCAATTGGTCTATCTCACTTGGTCGTCGCTTCCGAGCTCTGAAGATCTGGTTTGTCATGCGAAGTTACGGTTTGAATGGCATGAAAGCACACATTCGCAAGACGATTAGCCTCGGAAGCACCTTCGCTGATCTTGTCCGCGGTCGCTCCGATTTATTTGAGACTGTCACCAAGCCTGCTTTCTGCCTGACCGTCTTCCGCATCAAGAATCCTGAGATGTCAAATGGTACCAGTGGAGCTGTCTGTAGCAAAGATGAAGTGGCGGATGGGATCACAAAGAAGGTTTATGAACTGATAAACACCCGGGGTGAGATATTCATCACCTCGACGGTAATTGATGGCATCTATGTGATTCGCGTGGTGAGCGCAAACCCGATGGCAGAGGAAAAGTATGTTCGCAACGCCTTTGATATAATTGTTCGCACTACCGAGGAAGTTTTGCAGGAGAAACCATAGAGGATTGAACAAAGAACTGGAGAAACAGTGTACGGAGAGCAATTATTGGATAACCAATTACTCAATATGATATTCAAATCAATTCTAACGAGCATGATGCGTCTTTCGCAAGGAACCATAGTGCCGCTGTAACTGATAACATGGGATATGGAGTTGACCTGTTGACCTCTGGTATGTACCCTTGACGCCCGAAGCCGAGGTCTTGATGGTGCTTTGTTTGAAACATCAATCGATGAGATGCTGGATTCAGCCACTTTTGATCTTTTTCTGCCATATCATGTAATAAGGTTCCATTTCGGGACAATCTTTAGCTTGTAAATTGTCGCACCCGGGGAACCGAATGAGAAAGTCTCCGTCGTGATACTGGCCATCAGTACTTGCGCCATGCGAGTCTTTACTGTAAGCGCTGAGTATCCGCTGGGGCACCAGCGCCGTTCGAGCGAGTACTGTCGGATGCCATTGCAAGATGTGATCCTGTAGGGGAGAGAGAAGAGGGTCAACGGAAACTCCCAGGCGCGCTTCTTATGAGCGTTTGCAAATTTGAGGTCGAGGATAATCTTACCAAGCCATGAGCTTCGGCTTTCGCGAAATTATAGTTCCGAAACAGCGGGTCAAACCATAAATCCAGAAAAAAACGCGCAAAGTCCCCGTTCCTGAGAATGAAGCTGCTGGGGTTGAGATCTTCGCTGTCTTGCGTGATGACCAGGTCAACGTCCTTCTCTTTTAGATGAGAGAATGTCTTGATAATACTATCGGGCGGCACAACGGGTAGATCTTTCAGCATCAATGATTCGATTCGGTTGTTGTCCAATAGGAGGGATTTGAGGGATCTAGACGGGTTCATGATGAGGGCATGCGGGCTGAGATGGAAGAAATGCGCGGCGTGAGGATAGCTCGCCATTGCATGGCGGACAGCTGGAACCGTCGCCCAGCTTTTGGGCGAGTCGCCAACCGCCTCGTCATAATCGGATAGACTGACGAAGAAGTTGGTGTAGCCTAGGTCAACGAGAAAGCAATCCTCAGTCAGTCCATGTTCAGATAGTCCAGTAGACAGCACAATCAATTAGGTGGCGGTGCACATACCGTGGCGATTTGCATAGTCTTCGCGGTTGGTAACGATCTTCTTGATGTAGCTCTCACTGAAATGTTCGCGATCCAGCAAGGTCACAATTACCACCCCTGAGGTACCTACCGGTGCTCCGATCGAGGGCGCGTCTGCAGAAAAGAAGTATGAGAGCAGATAGAGAATTGAGAGCACCACGCATGCGCATACAGCGATTGTTTTGAGCTGTGTTCTACGGTACGGTGGTAGTTGAGAGGAGGGAAGGCGATGCGGGCTCTTCCGCGGCGGTAAGGCGAACTGCATTGCGTGAGATCCACCACCACCAGGGCAGTTAAGATAGATTCAATGTTCAGCTCTTCGAGGGAGGATTCGTGCCGCCAAAAAAAAAAAAGAAGATACAGAGCTAAATCATATTCCCCGTAGCTAGGAGGGATGTCGAGCGGTGGTCACGGAGAGTTGGGGAGTTGGGAAGTTGGGAAGGAGGAACTGTCACGCTTCCGGTTTCGTGGAATGAGCCGAATCCGGTACATACTATGTATCATGTCACCACCAATCTAGGGTCGTACACTTAGTGTAATAATATATAAGGGATAATAAATGAAGACGATGACATTAATAGGCATTCTGAATTCCCTCTATTATTATAGGATAGAACAAAGTCTCAAATAAAGCCTTAGCTTCTTTGATCATTATCAGAAAAGATCGTGGCCGTCGTAAAAAAAATCCACAAATCAAAGGAAGGTGCTTGGCAACAGCGTGCATATGTGGTGATGCATGTTCATGGGGTCGGAGATCACAAGTACATATTCGGACGACCTTCTGTACACGCTTTGATTATTATTTCCTTCAAATGTTCGTTGATATTCAAATGCTCATGTGCAACGTGGGTATTTGGGACTCGGAATGTCATAATATATACAAAAATGGCGTTGACATCAGGCTTCAGTTCTCCTCTCCGTGTGCTTCCAAGGTTTGTTCACTCGAAGAACATATTTTCATAAGTTAGATGGCCTTGAAAGCGTTATTAACAGTGCATGTAGCCGCTCTCCGAAGCAACACTGCCCATGATAAAAGTGCCTAGCCAAATACCCGCAAGGACAGAAAGAAAGTATCCAACATTCATAGTCATGATGGCCAACATGCTGAGAATACTATATTAGATTCAAAGCGCACACAATGACCAAATGACCAAGACAAAGAAGAAAAAAAAGACTCACAGTAAATAAGCAATCCCAGCAATCAGAACCTCAAACGTCGCACGACTAGCGGCGGGGTTGACACGCCATCTCGACCATCTCCTTCCAAGTTCTTCCATACTCGTTTGAGCGCCAGAGAGATGCTTGGTCTCTGTTTCTCCAATGAGTCCCGTACCATGACGAACGCCATCGGTCCACAGACGCCCCTCTAAGATCGGTCGAATGGCAATGCAGACGCGCAAGATGAGCGCCAGCACGATGATAAAGATACAGGTGCCGGCATATGTACCCTTCGAGGTCGGGGTCCAGTCATCCGCAAAGATGGGCGTCTTGTAAGATGTGAAGAAGGTCATGGCCATATCAGACATCGGCATCAGGGAGGAGCCTGAGCTCATGTCCATGTCCATGGACGAACCAGTGGAGGTCGCCATTGACATTGCTGTTGTTGTGGCTGACCCCATCGACATGGAGGTTGTCATATCAGACATGTGCATCCTGGTTGCTGTTTTGGCCGGACTGGCGGATGTCGGAGTCAGAATGTCCTCAGGCGCTGACGCTCGACCTGACGCTTCGACAATTGATGCGAGCTCCGAGGGCGTGTGGCACAGAACAGGAGACGCTTTTGAAGACCTTCCTGGGGGTTATGTAGTGGCCCCCCACTTGTTTTAATCACGGTTGGGTCGGCGTCTTTCATTCGGAAGAGGGAAAACCTGCGCACAGTGGGTCAGAGGCTCGGGACCCCCACCATCTTGAATCAGGATGGGCCAGATTCCCCGATTCGGACAGAAGTGAAATCTGGAGTCTATCTCCGGCTTCCCATTGGTTCTCGTGGCTCTCCCTCCCCACACGGGAAGCCTCCACACGGATGCAGCTTGACCCACTACCACCACCCAAATTGCGCGCAAATGTGCTCACAATTGTGGGGCTCAAAAAGAATCAAGAAAGGGAAAGAACAAGCTGATATGGACCAATCCAGAGATCCGCAAATCACCTCATATCGACTCGCAGTATTCGTAACAAAAATAGCAAGCGGATTAAGCGAGATGAATGCGATGCAGAAAACAAGCCATTGTGAGCAGATTCGACATCAAATTGAGCAGAATACGTGGGATACCAATCACCACGGTTGGATTTCCATGACCTCCAAACAGCGCTGGAAGTAGAACCACATTATTGATGATTACATGAAGCCGCACAGACAATTAATCTGCTCAACGCTCGTGTCCTGCTCCACTGAGATCTGATATCCGTCATAGCACGAGGCCCTTTCGCCCTCTGGCCCTCTATCGGGCAAGAATTAGCGTCCACGGAACCTGTCAAAGTGGAGTCCCCAGCCTGAAGAGGTATCAACGCTCGCTTTGACTCCGAGGTATTAATAATGGTCTTTCTCTCCGTCTGTCATCTTTCCGGATCGACATAGATTCAAGTGATCCTTGTCCGCTTCAACCGTTCCCTTATCTGGGTGATCTAGAACGCCGAACGTCACGTCTATACCCGGAATTCACGTCCTCGACGCACTACGGTTCTACGGCATGGACGGCATGATGAGCATGGTCCCATTTCTGGACCAACCGGTCTTGTTACACTCCTCGCGGGACCCGGGAGAGTGTACGATGACTCCGGAACAGTGTGCATACAAGTCGACATATTGGGTCAATTGGTACCAGGCGGATCATCGTTATGCTTTACCGACGGTGGCCTTTTTCATGGTGGCTATTGGGCTCTTTATCATTGCCCATCTGACTTCGATGATCACACCGCGCAGGACAAAGAGATCCTCGGTGTGGTTGCGCCCGTTGGCTTTTTTGCGTTTCCTCTCCTATAAGACGTGGAGGATAGCCGGATGGAATACCCAGTCGCTGGGCGTGTGTCTTCTTGGTGGTGCGGGTTTGGTTTATTTCTTGGGTATGCACTCCCACCACTCCCATGATGTTTCTTCCCTCCCTGGGGAATCCCCATATAGAAATCTAATCTTCAGTGAATATAGCTATGACTCTTGGCCCACATCCGTACTATTGGCCTAATACAAAGGAGCTCAGTTATGGTGGTTCCCCACCGATCGCCACTCGCTCCGGCTTCATGGCGTTGGCCTGTATGCCCTTTCTTATTATCCTGGGTGCCAAAACAAACCCCATCACAGCATTGACCGGGATCTCTCACGAAAAGCTTTTCGTTTGGCACAACTGGGTCGCCTGGGCTATGTTTGTCCTGGCCCTAATTCACACTTTCCCCTTTATCGTCTACCACATGTGGTTGGGCGATATCAAGACTCAATGGATGAGTGGTGGTGTCTGGGTAACTGGTGTTGTTGCAATCATCGCTCAAGCCTGGTTAACCTTGATGTCCATTCCATGGATCAGGTATGTATACCATCTCACTGCTCGCTTCAACCCGAATTCAACTAACAATACTGGTTTCCACCCCTAAAGAAACCGCTACTACGAATTGTTCAAAGCAACCCACTTCTTCATGGCAATGGTCTTCGTGATCTTCTTCTTCCTGCACTGTGACTTCCGCATGTCATCATGGGACTACTTCATCGCCACAGCAGTCCTCTACACGCTCTCCTGGCTCTACGCCCAATGCCGCGTATATTTCGAGCACGGCTTCCGCCACAAAGCCCGTATTTCAGCCGAATCAGACGAAACAATCAAAGTATCCATCGATACAGCCATGGAATGGAGTCCAGGCCAACATATCTTCATCCGCTTTCTAACAGGAATACACGCTTTAACAGCTCACCCGTTCACTATCTGCTCTGTTCCTCAGGAGAATGGTCAAAATACACTCGTCTTTTATATTAAGCAGCACGGTGGGGTGACTGGTCGTCTTATGAGCATTGCAAAGAAGAATCCTGATACGTCTATTTCTGTGCTTATGGATGGGCCTTATGGGGGCATAGCGGCCGGAAGGATGGAAGAATTTGATAGGAGTGTTGTTGTTGGGGGTGGTGCCGGTGCAGGACTGACATTGTCTATGATTGAGGACTTTGTGAGATTTTCTTCGGCTAAGTCTTCGTCTTCGTCTGAAGATAGACAAGAGAAAGAGATGAACGTTATTGTTGCGACGCGTGATCCGGGGATGAGGATGTGGTATTTGCAGGCCCTTGAGGATCTTGCGGAAAGACAAAAGGTTCAGAAGCCTGTCCTGGGTCTATCGATACATATTCATGAGACACATTCATCTATCTCTGGCTCTGTATCGGCGCCGGAGAAGAACGAGCTTGAGGTTTCTTTGGATGGGGATGAGGCGAAGAAAAACAGTGTGGTTTCGGATGAATGTCGGCTCTCTGGAACTACTGCTGAGATCTTTGGTATTCAGGTTTTTACGGGCAGGCCTGATTTGCTAAGTACCATTCTTCAGATTGCTGGGCAGGAAGGAACATCTGTTGGCGTTATTGTTTGTGGACCTGCGTCTATGACTCATGATGTTAGTACTGCTGCTTCGGATATTCAGGCCCAGATTCTAGCTAGGAAACCTGGTAGTGCACGAGAGTTGTGGTTACATAGAGAGAATTTCTCGTGAGTATTTCTACCTATATTGGAACCTTGGTACTGCGGATCTGCTAACTTTGTCACAGATTTTAAAATCATTTTCTGCATCATGATTTAGCTTTGTTTTTTAATTTGTACATAATTCGGGATTTGGATCTTCGACGACGACACATGGAGATAAAGCAATATTATACAGTATTTAGCCTTTACACCTGGCCGTGGATTGCCGCCATCTGTAGTTTCCTTGTCACTATCTCGTTCGTCTCATTACTAGATTATACTTTACACATTTCTAAATTACTTAACTGCAATATACTTTGAAATACGTAAACACAAGGGGAATGAATGGCTACATTGTTGAACAGCTACTTGCATTTCCTGAACGTGAGGCTGTAAAGGAGATTCTTAGCTACAAACGAAAGACAGAACAGTTTATAGCCGGAAGCCCACCATACAGATGTAATTTTCCTGCAGCCTGTGCTGTAAAAAAGGGGCATGTTGAGCGTACGGACTAAGTTAAAGCAGCTCTAAAAGTACCAAGTCCCTAAGAAAGTAGCTAGCAGCCCGAACAAGATCGCAGAGAATATTACTACCGGTTTTAACGAAGTGTTTGGAACCAGAGTGTTCTTTTCCCGTGATAGTAAATATGAGGCATCTTTCCATAGCTTCATCTCAGATTGACTGTTGTTTTTCCCGAGAGGCTTATAAGAATGTTGATTGAGGAAGTAAATCAATTGCTGTGACACTGGTCCACTGAGTTGAGACTCATTATCAGGTAGGCCAGGAACCTCAAAGACTTCGTGCTTGTGATCTGGATTTACTCTGTGATGAAAAGGGTGCTTGAGTACACAGGAAGAACAGATATCCATATTTGCGCAGATTCTGCATACAGAACGAGGCCCAGTGATAGGCCTATTGCAGAAATTGCAGGTAGCCTTGCACATATGAGTGGCAAGGGAGCTATTATAAAAAAGGCGAACTTGAAAGAGATGGCGTGCATTATTCGTGTCATCAAGAAATAAGAAATACCGAGCTAATTGTTGCAAAGTTAACCATGCATAGTTCGGGCTGAGCTCAGGAAGATAATCAGAGAGGTGAAAGAGGTATTGTTGTACAGTTGATTCTTGAATTTCGTGAGGTGTCAATTGGAGCTGAGGACAACGTTCACCTATTTCCCGCATCAAAGTTCCTTGCCCAATAGCCCAGTCCATAGCATGTCTGCCATAGCCGTCCGGAAGAGAAGGGTCGGCACCAAGATGAAGAAGTTTTATAGCAAAGTGGATGTGGCCAAAGCAGATAGCCAAGTGGAGAGGGGTTTGCAGGAGCTTGTTGCGCTTGTTGATAGCTGAAGCAAGTTGCGGAAATCGAAAGAGAAGGTGAGCCATATCTTTTGAAGCTGCAATGTGAAGAGGGGTCTGATCGAGCGCATCTGCAAGGCCAACATCTGCGCCAGCATGAAAAAGAATGTCAATAACATCAGCATGGCCCGAGTAAATAGCTGCCAAGAGAGGCGATCCATATCGACCACCCTGGGAGTTGACATCGGCCTCGACGTCGAGCAGGATCTTGACTGTCTCAGCACTGCCTCTCCATGCAGCAGCCTGTAGGGCATTGCCGTATTCACCACCTTGGGAGTTGACATCGGCCCCGGCTTCGAGCAGGATCTTGACTGTCTCAGCACTGCCTCTCCATGCAGCAGCCTGTAGGGCATTGCCGTATTCACCACCCTGAGCGTTGACATCGGCCCCGGCGTCGAGCAGGATCTTGACTGTCTCAGCACTTCCACTCCATGCAGCAGCCTGTAGGGCATTGCCGTATTCACCACCTTGGGTGTTGACATCGGCCCCGGCGTCGAGCAGGATCTTGACTTTCTCAGCACTTCCACTGAATGCAGCAGCCTGTAGGGCATTCCCGTAATGACCACCTTGGGTGTTGACATCGGCCCCGGCGTCGAGCAGGATCTTGACTTTCTCAGCACTGCCTCTCCATGCAGCAGCCTGCAGGGCATTGCCGTAATGACCACCCTGAGCGTTGACATCGGCCCCGGCGTCGAGCAGGATCTTGACTGTCTCAGTACTTTCACTGAATGCAGCAGCCTGTAGGGCATTCCCGTAATGACCACCCTGAGCGTTGACATCGGCCCCGGCGTCAAGCAGGATCTTGACTGTCTCAGCACTTCCACTCCATGCAGCAGCCTGTAGGGCATTGCCGTATTCACCACCTTGGGCGTTGACATCGGCTCCGGCGTCGAGCAGGATCTTGACTGTCTCAGCACTTTCTCTCCATGCAGCAGCCTGCAGGGCATTGCCGAATTTACCACCTTGGGCGTTGACATTGGCTCCGGCGTCGAGCAGGATCTTGACTTTCTCAGTACTTCCACTCCATGCAGTAGCCTGTAGGGCATTACCGTAATGACCACCCTGAGCGTTGACATTCGCTCCAGCCGCGAGTAGAATCTTGACTGTCTCAGTACTTCCACTGAATGCAGCAGCCTGTAGGGCATTGCCATATTCACCACCTTGGGTATTGACATCGGCCCCGGCGTCGAGCAGGATCTCGACTGTCTCAGCACTGCCTCTCCATGCAGCAGCCTGCAGGGCATTGCCGTATTTACCACCTTGGGTATTGACATCGGCCCCGGCGTCGAGCAGGATCTTGACTTCCTCAGCACTGCCTCTCCATGCCGCAGCCTGTAGGGCATTACCGTAATGACCACCCTGAGCGTTGACATCGGCCCCGGCGTCGAGCAGGATCTCGACTGTCTCAGCACTGCCTCTCCATGCAGTAGCCTGTAGGGCATTCCCGTAATGACCACCTTGGGCGTTGACATCGGCCCCGGCGTCGAGCAGGATCTTGACTGTCTCAGCACTTTCTCTCCATGCAGCAGCCTGCAGGGCATTGCCGAATTTACCACCTTGGGCGTTGACATTGGCTCCGGCGTCGAGCAGGATCTTGACTTTCTCAGTACTTCCACTCCATGCAGTAGCCTGTAGGGCATTACCGTAATGACCACCCTGAGCGTTGACATTCGCTCCAGCCGCGAGTAGAATCTTGACTGTCTCAGTACTTCCACTGAATGCAGCAGCCTGTAGGGCATTGCCATATTCACCACCTTGGGTATTGACATCGGCCCCGGCGTCGAGCAGGATCTCGACTGTCTCAGCACTGCCTCTCCATGCAGCAGCCTGCAGGGCATTGCCGTATTTACCACCTTGGGTATTGACATCGGCCCCGGCGTCGAGCAGGATCTTGACTTCCTCAGCACTGCCTCTCCATGCCGCAGCCTGTAGGGCATTACCGTAATGACCACCCTGAGCGTTGACATCGGCCCCGGCGTCGAGCAGGATCTCGACTGTCTCAGCACTGCCTCTCCATGCAGTAGCCTGTAGGGCATTCCCGTAATGACCACCTTGGGCGTTGACATCGGCCCCGGCGTCGAGCAGGATCTTGACTGTCTCAGCACTTTCTCTCCATGCAGCAGCCTGTAGGGCATTGCCATATTCACCACCTTGGGTGTTGACATCGGCCCCGGCGTCGAGCAGGATCTCGACTGTCTCAGTACTTCCACTCCATGCAGCAGCCTCTAGGGCATTGCCGTATTCACCACCTTGGGCGTTGGCATCGGCTCCGGCGTCGAGCAGGATCTTGACTGTCTCAGCACTGCCTCTCCATGCAGCAGCCTGCAGGGCATTGCCATATTCACCACCTTGGGTATTGACATCGGCCCCGGCGTCAAGCAGGATCTCGACTGTCTCAGCAATGCCTCTCCATGCAGCAGCCTGCAGGGCATTGCCGTATTTACCACCTTGGGCGTTGACATTGGCTCCGGCGTCGAGCAGGATCTTGACTGTCTCAGCACTTCCACTGAATGCAGCAGCCTGTAGGGCATTGCCGTATTCACCACCTTGGGCGTTGGCATCGGCCCCGGCGTCGAGCAGGATCTTGACTGTCTCAGCACTTCCTCTCCATGCAGCAGCCTGCAGGGCATTGCCATATTCACCACCTTGGGTATTGACATCGGCCCCGGCGTCAAGCAGGATCTCGACTGTCTCAGCAATGCCTCTCCATGCAGCAGCCTGCAGGGCATTGCCGTATTTACCACCTTGGGCGTTGACATTGGCTCCGGCGTCGAGCAGGATCTTGACTGTCTCAGCACTTCCACTGAATGCAGCAGCCTGTAGGGCATTGCCGTATTCACCACCTTGGGTGTTGACATCGGCCCCGGCGTCGAGCAGGATCTTGACTTTCTCAGCACTGCCTCTCCATGCAGCAGCCTGCAGGGCATTGCCGTAATGACCACCTTGGGCGTTGACATTGGCTCCGGCGTCGAGCAGGATCTTGACTGTCTCAGCACTTCCACTGAATGCAGCAGCCTGTAGGGCATTGCCGTATTCACCACCTTGGGTGTTGACATCGGCCCCGGCGTCGAGCAGGATCTTGACTGTCTCAGCACTTCCTCTCCATGCAGCAGCCTGCAGGGCATTGCCATATTCACCACCTTGGGTATTGACATCGGCCCCGGCGTCAAGCAGGATCTCGACTGTCTCAGCAATGCCTCTCCATGCAGCAGCCTGCAGGGCATTGCCGTATTTACCACCTTGGGCGTTGACATTGGCTCCGGCGTCGAGCAGGATCTTGACTGTCTCAGCACTTCCACTGAATGCAGCAGCCTGTAGGGCATTGCCGTATTCACCACCTTGGGTGTTGACATCGGCCCCGGCGTCGAGCAGGATCTTGACTTTCTCAGCACTGCCTCTCCATGCAGCAGCCTGCAGGGCATTGCCATATTCACCACCTTGGGTATTGACATCGGCCCCGGCGTCAAGCAGGATCTCGACTGTCTCAGCAATGCCTCTCCATGCAGCAGCCTGCAGGGCATTGCCGTATTTACCACCTTGGGCGTTGACATTGGCTCCGGCGTCGAGCAGGATCTTGACTGTCTCAGCACTTCCACTCCATGCAGCAGCCTCTAGGGCATTGCCGTATTCACCACCTTGGGCGTTGGCATCGGCTCCGGCGTCGAGCAGGATCTTGACTGTCTCAGCACTGCCTCTCCATGCAGCAGCCTGCAGGGCATTGCCATATTCACCACCTTGGGTATTGACATCGGCCCCGGCGTCAAGCAGGATCTCGACTGTCTCAGCAATGCCTCTCCATGCAGCAGCCTGCAGGGCATTGCCGTATTTACCACCTTGGGCGTTGACATTGGCTCCGGCGTCGAGCAGGATCTTGACTGTCTCAGCACTTCCACTGAATGCAGCAGCCTGTAGGGCATTGCCGTATTCACCACCTTGGGCGTTGGCATCGGCTCCGGCGTCGAGCAGGATCTTGACTGTCTCAGCACTTCCACTCCATGCAGCAGCCTGTAGGGCATTGCCGTATTCACCACCTTGGGTGTTGACATCGGCCCCGGCGTCGAGCAGGATCTTGACTTTCTCAGCACTGCCTCTCCATGCAGCAGCCTGCAGGGCATTGCCGTAATGACCACCCTGAGCGTTGACATCGGCTCCGGCGTCGAGCAGGATCTTGACTGTCTCAGCACTTCCACTGAATGCAGCAGCCTGTAGGGCATTGCCGTATTCACCACCTTGGGCGTTGGCATCGGCCCCGGCGTCGAGCAGGATCTTGACTGTCTCAGCACTTCCACTCCATGCAGCAGCCTGTAGGGCTTTACCGTAATGACCACCCTGAGCGTTGACATTCGCTCCAGCCGCGAGTAGAATCTCTACAATCGCACCGTGACCTTCCAACGAAGCCTTTTGTAGCGCGCCCCCACCTCCTGTCTCAACTTCCATGCCCTCGTGTAGAAGCCATCCCACAAACCCCAAATGTCCAAATCTGACTGCCTCCGTTAAAGGAGTCGCTCCATCTTTGTTTTTCGCTTCTCGGTTTGCTCCTCTTCCCTGCAGTATTTTGCCGGCCGTCGTATACCTTGCTCGTGCAGCAAAGTGTAACGCTATATTTCCAACTTCATTTTTCCTCTGTATATCCTCCCCATCCGACAACGTAGATATTATTAAGTCAACCAGATTAGCAGCAGCAGCCATATATAAAATTATTGTGCCTATAGGTGGACATGCTGTGTGATAAGTACCAAGACGTTAGTAGATTTCAACCCAATAACTGATCATTCGTTATAGAACGTCCTTTTCATTCTGCAGCAAGGCATCTCGAGAGCCGGCGGCTTTTTCTACATGAATAAAGAGATTGATGGTCGCATAGTTCACAAATAGATAATCACAGATAAGCTTCTCCTTTGAGCCTCGAAAGTTACTCATTTGTTTGTTTGAACAGATTGTGGCAAGATATACCAGACACGATCGGTAGAGAGTTACCTAAGACTAAGAGAGAATATTGTCCATATCCACGGATCCCATGCTAGCGCTGAAGCCATAGTATAAAATAGCCAGTCCTTTTACCCGCAAGAAATCATTGACCGACTAGTGAACCACCTATACGGTCTCCTCGTCATTCCCACTTAAGACTACTTCTGCCATTCCACCAGAAAGAGCCTTAACTCTTCGCTTCATGCGTTCATTGCTTTCGACAAAGCCATGGAGCTTTCCCTATTCGATTCGAGACGACGTTATTTAGGCACTCTTCGCTACTAATACATATCGAATTTCTGTTAGAGTCAGGGGTCGCTCGGCCAGGCACATCCATTTAAAAAATAGGAATGACTAGTCTCGATTGCTAGCCGCAATCACATTGCTCAGAATATATACATAGACGTTTTCTAGATCGGCTAGGACATCGCCTAGCCAATCACAGATTTCACTAATTGACTCCCCTTCGATAACTTTTTGCTTGACAAAGGGCATTATAAGATAGGCCCATTGGAATACACCCTTGGCATGTTGGGTTAATTCATCTACCAGCATCTCTCTCATCTCTTGATTAGGAACATTTTCCAACTCTATCTCAAGAAGCATATCTTTAATATATATAGAAATATCATCTTAATTGTGATCTTCGACATATATCGCTCTTACCCAGGCACTTTCTAAGATAGGATAGTATCGACATAAGATACAGACTTAAAGTATTAGCTTCTCTTTATCAGCACAATCAATAAGACGGTGGAAATATACAACAAGCTTTTAGACAGACTCAGCCCCAGCCTCATCTAGAGCATCCACAAAGATAAACATATACTAATCGTTGGCTAATGCCAGGATAGCAGTTGTCAATAACTCTTCTAGTATCGTTTACAGCCATTCCCACTTGCTTTCTCCCCCAAATTGCCTACATCGACATTCATAGATCTCGCGCACATAAGGGCGTATGGTCGCGTCACAGTCAAAAATCTGGTTCAATAACGATCTAAGCATTCCAAGCGGTATACATTGCATCTCTATGCCTCGGGCGGTAAAGAAAAAATCAAGTTGAATAATACCATGAACGCCGCCCTCCTGTGATTCTTTGATTTTGTCATACAGGAAGACCATCAAGGTTGATTTACCCACACCTAGTTTACCTTTAACCCATAGTAGACCACAAGGCTGATTTCTCCAGGACTAATACTCGTCCAGCTTAAAAATCCATTCGCAGGTATTAGCGTAACATAGCTCGACATTGTCCCTTCAGTCTAGCATCTATAGGAATACTAGTGACCTGAGCAGCGCTGCATCTATAGTAAGTCAGATAGTCTTTGACTGGTACAGGGCAGAGCAAACCATTGTCTATCCTCTATACTGGATTTTCCGGCTGGTCTAGGCCAAAAAGTATTAGTCACCTTATTACGGCTTTACAAGGACTCTAACACACCAGATAAGATATTGATTGTCCCGATTATCCCATGGTTATTTCCAAGTTAGAGACCCATGTTCGCACTACCAAAAGACGTCAGGCTCATGCTAAATATTCAGTACATAAAATAGGACTACTTTCAGCCGAGCGATAGTTCCACCTCCTAAAAGTCAAGGTTGTCTTTTACCCCGCTCTCAGGTGACCGCCGGGCGCTAAACCTTGCTAGATTAGGACCCATGGTTAGTTGCGCCGCTCAATGTGGGGATTGGGAGAGTTAACGTGGGGCATTCGACTCAGGTGACAGTTTTTGGTCTTACAGGCAATACATAAACGTGTTCCCCGCTACTATGATAATCCGGTAATTTACGGTACATTACAAAAACATTACAAAAACAAATAAAGCTGACATAGCCATTCTGAAAGAAGTTTAGTATATCTTGGCATAGCCTGGTTTGAGCTGTAGAGGGCAAGCGTCATTTTAGATATGATTCATTGTAGATTGGTTAAAGGGTATAATGCCACATCCTAAGGAATTGCATGTCGTCGCAAAACGCAAAGTCAAGATATAGCATGTATCAGCCAGTTCAATGTTGTTTTCAAGGGTTAACACATAACCGTAAAACTTGTTTTGGAGGTACTAGTAATGTCTCCATAAGGTATATTAGAGATTGGAGCTGATAGAGGCTGCATAAGCCGCGGCCCTTGTAGTCTTTTAGGTACAACCGGGTGATCATGACAATTGATTCATACGAAATAAATTGCAGATGCCTGGTATAATTATATCAAGGGTAGTAATAATACAGAGTATTCTAAAGTCTCATCTATGTCGGTATATTTACAAGGCCTCGACGAAAAGTCAAGCACCCAATCATGCGGTATAAAGCTATTAGAACTCCGGGTGCTCCAATTGCACAACTTCTTTCTCGACCCGCTCACGAACCCTTTGCCGGTAATTATCCTGTTGAATGTCTGGGGATGATCCATCTATCTTTCCAGCTTCCCAATTTCTCCAATCTAACCAACGCATTCTCGGACCCAGCACGCCAATCACACGGCCTGTTATCAGACTAATACTGACTGGCCCATATGTGTTGCTATCCAGTGTGCGGCGAGGATCTTCGGCATCACCCTCCAGCCAAACGTGGTTGTAGGGGACGATTTGAGAGGGTTTCATGCAAGGTTCGCGTGTCGTAATGCGATCGCCCGGAAGACCGATGACACGTTTTATCGCTACATGGGACGAGTTCGCCGGTGATCTATAATTCATGAAGTCAGTCAACTAGTCTATTTGTTCATTCTTGCGCTCCAATTTGGGATTGACCGTAGTGTGTTCAAAGCAAGTAAGGCCATACATACCGGAATGTCACAATTGTTCCCCGTTCTAATGTCTTGGATCTTTGCCATGGCAATGTCCAGCCCCAAGGCCACATGCTCACCAATACCATGTCGCTTTTTGTGTGCATTTGGTCGTAGTCTTCATTCAGGTAGGGAGTCATGGACGGGCCTTTCACCCACATGATCTGCGCAACATGCTCGGAGAAGAAAAGACTTATAGGAAGAAGAGGACCGAATATACGGAGCATGCGACAGGTCCGTCGGACTGGAGATGGGAGAGAGGCGTAGCGTTCGCGGAGGCGGGAGAAGGCCGAGGGGAGGTGCCATCTAGATGTGAGGCGCGGACCCTTATTAAATTCTTTTTGTTGTTCAATGGATGCATATTTCCCCATCGGTTGAATGTCAGGTTGCGCAGATTTTAAATTTTGTTGCGCGCGACGTCTGGCATCTTGGGGCGTCAAGACTCGTGGTTGTGGCTGTGGTTTCGTATCTTTTGGGGGAGAGTTGCGATTGGAGGGGTGCATCGTGAGGAACTATTCTACAATTGATACACCCTCGGCGAGATGAAAGCGAGACTTCGAATATATTAATTGTGATCGGAAAGCATGGCGTGAGACAGGATGAAGCTATCCCAATGTTGAACTGAAGGCGGAAAAAGAACCACATTCTGCCGCCTATCTCCGCTGCTTATCGCTTCAATCCTACTGCAGCGCCCTAGTAGTACTATATAGCCACAGGTCTGGATCGAGTCCTTCAAAAACCTAAAGAGAGAGAGAGACAGCTCTCGCCAAGGAATACAAATGGACATTACCTTTGTTGATCAAATTCAAAGAGCATTGAGTATAGACCAAGCACGATCAGTCCGATCCGTCTGAAAATGGAGCTTATGTGGTTGTATCAAGCGGATGTTGAGCTCGAATACCGCGGACCTCTTATGGCCAATCATCTACCTAGTACTACTCAAGTGCTAGTAGTAAGTATTATAATATTGAAGGTGCAAACATATTAATTTTGGGGATCTCACTACTTTTGCTCTTCCGGGTTTAAAATCATTGATATCGCTTCCACCACCGGCTTTAACTCGTGTCTACATTGGCTTACTTCTTTCCACAGCGGCCAGCCTTCAGACCTAAATCGAGACTGACCTTATCCAGAAACGCTGTAGATGATATTAAGATATTGTACACACTTTTATAATCATACAACTCAACTCAAATGAGTTCAACCACAGTCAGAGCTCCGGAGTCTACTATAACCTAAATGAAAAGGACAGAATACAAAGAAGAATAAATTTTAAATCATTCAATCCTTCCCCAGCATCTCCTTCCGCATCTCTTCCCGTTGAATTCGTGTTTCCTCCTTCGCCTTGGCCTTTTGAGCCTCAAGTATCGCACGTTTTTGATCCAACTCTTCTTGCGCGGCATACCAGACTGTAGCAGACACAGAAAGTCAGCATTGGAATACTTCTGTAGCAATAGCGAGGAACAGGGAAGCGATACTTGACTTATCAGACTTAGACCACTCCTTGAGCTTTTTCACATATTCATCAAATTCCTGCGCTTTTTGATCGCCTTGTTCCTCACTTCGTTTCCGGAGATCTGGATTATATCGCTTCACAAGTTCCTCGTCGGTCGGTCGGATATATTCAACAAATGCAGGCCCTCCGACAGAGATAGCGATACCGCTAATAGCAAGAGGAACGGGGTTAGTCACCCAGATCAGATATTTGATTGGTATTCATTGGTTTAAGCCCGCATGCTCACCCTGCAATGACCTTCAGCCACAGTCCAGCGCGAGACATATTGAGTTGTTTTGTGTCCGGTGCGGAGATCCGTGGAATGGCAGGGAAGGAGTTTCAGGACAGCGACGGTTTAGGCGATGGAGACGTAGCTCGAGGACGGGATAGTGCTGGAGTAAGTTTGAAATAATCAGAGTACGCTGTTTTGGAGTTGGAAAATGAGGTTATTTCGAGGCTGGAGGATCAATTGCATATGCGCGCGAAGGCGGTCAATGAAGAACTTCTTTAGATCCATTGGAGAGAGTCGGCAGAATTCTGGTGGGCATGCAAACAAGCCAAGGCGGTGAGGCGTGGCAATATCAGGAAACGGCGGCCTTTCCTTTCTGTGCGCTCTTGCCTTGATTCCGTGTCTCTGGAGCCAGTTTACTCTTTTAGTATGACCGTCATGTGGGTCCCCATATTTATCTGACCCATGATTTTGACCCCACTCACGCAGACGAAAACAACGTTGAAGATAGGAGGAACAAGGGGAGGAAGAAGAGATACAAAGTGAGGCCTTAGACGTCCAGATCTCGCATGATAGTGAGGAAACGCACTCTTATTGGTCCGAGTCAGAGTACAGCCAAATATGTACAACAAACTCACTCGCTGCATGCACCTCTCGATCTATGTAGTTACACTGCACCCCCTAACGCGGTGGTCGTTCTTTATCACAACATGTATTTTGTAGAAGAATAAAGTAAAGCATCCTATATGGTTATATAAAAATAAACCTTCTTCGTCTTAAATTAGGGCAGTAGGTACATATAGTATACTGATATTTTGGATATACGTCACTCAAAGTTTTTCATCGCCCTGCTTCCTCCTTTTTATTTCGTTTTTCTTTCCTTCTCACAACGCTTTCACTTTCCCATGTGCCCGAGCGGCAGGTGACCAAGGGAAATGGCCAAGAGGAACTGTAAAGAAGCCATTGCTATGATCAAAGAGACCGGCAAATGCATTATACCACGCCATCAGTGCCGCTAGTATGCCAAATACTCCACCCACTCGTTGTATTGAAGCAATGATTTCCTCATTGGCGGTGCACTTTATATGGGCGATGCCGAGAAGAAGATAATTCATGTCCAGAAAAAAGAACAGGAGAAACATGGCCACACTTGACTTGAGTGTGCAAAGTAGCATAAGTGTGGTAAAGATAAACCAGGCCTGAAATGGAGTTTGCTGGTCAATTTATATGATGCTTTAGAGCATAATCAATTTTCCAGATTCACATACCATCATGTATACACCCAACATGGTTTCCGCCACACATGTGGCTTCTTTTGTTTCAGGCTGAGTGTATTTAAGAAGTGACATGATGCCGGATGTTATCCAGTATGCACCGTACGAGCAAAACGATGTTGCTCCAAATGTGTTCCCCACCACCATTTCCCTATCCATGTCAGTATTAATTCAGAGCAAAAATGGAATCGATGGCTTATTGACTGGTATTCACGTACCAAATGCCAGCAAATAGCTGAGCAAAACCACCGTAAACAAGTGGAAGGGCAGTATTAACTTCAGATGATGTCACGTTCGTTAGGTAGACATTGGTAAAGTTCGAGATAAATGAAGTCAGCGCAAATGCGCAGAGGCCAAGAGGAGCTGGATTTGCAAATTTTGGCATCCCCTCAGCGACTGCCGCTGGTTCCTGTCTCAAGGGCAATGTTTGTTCCGAGAGAGTAGATTGGGGAAGAAGTGAGCGCTCATGGTCAGTATGTGGGACTACCAAGATCGGAGATTGATATCCATCACCTCTATGTCCGTTTAGTTCGTCGTAGAGAACAGGTCTCTCGGCATTCTTGGTACTAAAATGCTGGTGCTCCATATGTTTATCCTGGTTTTGAATAGTAGCACAAGAAGAGATTCCGGTTTTGTTCTGTGCTTTTGGAGTTTTAGGGGTCAATAAAAAATCCTCAGAAGGTATGTTTTATATTTTTCACAGGAAGCAAGTAATGGAGCTTGGAGAGAAGGAGTTAGGCTAGAAGAGGGGGTGACATAGGTAAATTTCTATAAGAGAAAGCACTTGCTCTGTCGATCTTTTAAAAAACTTGAAATAAACCACACACTTGCTATTCGCCCCTCCATTGTATTGTCATTTAACCCGGCAAAACCCGCGGGAACCATCAGTTCTGTACCGAAGTCAATCCTGTATGGGAGCTAGACAGCAATGCTGCCCAGGTGTTAGAAGTGGGAATGAATAGGTGTAATGCGAGAACACATGACTCAATCTCGGAGAGCTCCGTGGAATTACTTGCGACAACAGCAAATGAAAATACGGTATGAACTTAAAACTAGCCACAGTCAGGACACTCGCTATCGTGACGACAACTCTTTAGAATGGTCAAACGGGTCACTGGGACTCATACGCCAATATGAGGCTTTATCCACAGTAAAATGATCTGGAACGGCCCGTGCCATGGAGAATAGGTTCAAAAGAGACATCTAGAGATACGCGTGATCTGTAAAAATCACAATCCTAGAGCGCTGCGGAGCTAACTTTCTCTTTTGCTGCTTTGACAAAAAGTCAAAAACTTCCAAGGTTATAACATTTAATGTAAATACCGACCAGACTTGCCAGTAGTACTACGCCCAGGTGGGATTTGCATGTTTCTTTTAAAACATATTTATCATCAGTCGGCAGCGAATTCCCCAACTGGACTGGTTAAGCTTCCAGGGCAGTTTATAAACGTAATCATCCCTAAACATTCCGAGTTCGACCAACCATCATGATATTAATATTTCTGGGAAGACTTGAGTGAGATAGCCGGATCCACAAATGAATGGTTCAATTAAAGTCTTTTGAAAAGATTGTGCTAACTATTTTTTGTTGATGACAAAAGACAAAAGAAAAGCCTGCCAGGGTTGAAGATGGTGCTGCTGTACTTTGAAACCGAATCATTCTCCGCGGAAGCCGGCGTTCTCCGCAATGGATGATCAACAATAACAGACGGGGGCCCGATTACAATTTAGTTATTCTATGTTATCTTACGCGAGTTTTCTTTGAATGAGAATATTCTTCTCCTCGGAAAAGAAACGGCTAACGTGTGGTAACTTTAGAGGTACAGTATATATACATGTACACTAACATAGTATGAAAGCAAAATCGTAGGTTGAAGGTAGATCTTGAAACGGTCTGTGCGCATCTGATCCAGCCAACTTCGAGTTGAACTTAATCATTTTACCTATTGTAGATAGCTACTTGGGGGCATGGAGGTGTATATAGTAGCAGGGGAGTTTCAAATATCGTTCTGCTGGGCTGCACTTTGATTCTGACCAATGATGACGTGTTGCCTCAATATTCATGCAAGGCCTGACTTCACATCTATTTCCTCCTTCCTCAAAGTTGTTTGCGTAAGCTTTTTGCACCTATGATTGAGGGAGAGGCAGTCACTGTCATGTAATAGAGATCATGTGTTCTTGAGGATTCCTAGATGGGTAAAGATGAAGAGCTTTTGCATATTGATGACTGACTTGTGCGATAGAGTGCTATAGCTGCCGGTCAAAGCCTCAGCCCCCATTATTTCTAGACACAACTTTATCTGGCAGACTGGGATGATATCTCGTCTGCACTAGACTTCACTGCTGGAAATGAGAAGTCACTCTCCATGAGGTCGAACAGGTCAGCCACATAGGATAGACCCCTTTCAGACGAACTCCATACTCGTTGACTATCAATTTATCCTACGTCATGCAGTTAGATAGCGTTGTATAGCCAAGAGCCATTTGAGAGATATCAAAATTAGCCTCGATTCATATCTTGAAGCAGTATTTTGGCCACTAAAGCCCAGTATGATGCGGTTGATCAAATCTGGTATAGTTTAATGGTTCATTGATACGACTCGATGTCAGAGGTCTGGTTCTGAAGATCTAGGAAGGAACGCGCCTTGGAAGACCTCTGCCTTGGCTCTGATTCCGCCGTAGTTCCGTCCGGCAGCTTTATGATGTGACCCCCTTCAAGTCTTATCATCACTGGAGCGGGTTCCGTGCCCAGATGCTGCAGAGGATGTTCTTGTGTAACGAGAATCATCCAGTTTCGACGTCTATGTAAGACCACGCAAGTTCACGTTGAATACTAATGCTAACAGAAGAGAGTGAAGGTAAAGATTGACCAGAGTGCTCAGACTGCTCCGCAATATGAAGCAAAGGTACAGGATGGATCGAAATCAGTTTCACCACTCCACTCTCGTGGATTCTATCCCGAACCCTAGTCCGAAATCACTAATCCATTTCCGACTTAGCTCCGTCTCAAGTATTGAATCGTATTGAAAGGCGTTATCACGTGCTATTTTGTTCACTAATTTACTCGTAATGTTCGTACCGAAAATACTAGCATCTTGTGGCCTCTTGAGCTTGTTGATGACATTTCGATCTACTTGTCTCATTATTTTGCTTGAAGTTTAATAGAGCCATGAGGTCAATTCCCTTCGAAAAGTGCGTACGAAGTCAATTTGTGATGAGACATTGCTTTGGGAAATACACATGAGGCAGAAAATAACATAAATGCCTAAGCGTATGATCTACGCATCCATATGCGCCTCCTTTACTATTCCCTGTCGGTTTCCCACTCCTCATCTGTTTCCCATTCCCCTTCAGTCTCCCGTGTCACTTCCGTTTCCCATTCTAACAATGTTTCAGAATTAGATATAGTAGTGGGATGGTTTTGGCCGAGTGCTTGCTTCTGCTTGGTTAGGCACTCTCGTAGCAGATTGATGGCTTCGGCATCGTGAGCGGAAGATTTCCAGGTGAAAGCAAGATTCGCCATACTGTTCAGCGTAGAGGGATGGTCCTCGCCGAGCTTCGTCTTACGAGTCTTCATCACCTGCACCTCGAGCTGCTCGGCCTCCTCCCACCGGCCCTGGCTCCGGTACGTCGCCGCCAGGTTGGCCATACTCGACAGCGTATCGGGATGATCCTCGCCGAGCTTTGTCTTACGAGTCTTCATCACCTGCACCTCGAGCTGCTCGGCCTCCTCCCACCGGCCCTGGCTCCGGTACGTCGCCGCCAGGTTGGCCATACTCGACAGCGTATCGGGATGATCCTCGCCGAGCTTCGTCTTGCGAGTCTTCATCACCTGCACGTCGAGCTGCTCAGCCTCCTCCCACCGGCCCTGGTTCCAAAGCGTCGCCGCCAGGTTGGCTATACTCGACAGCGTATCGGGATGATCCTCGCCGAGCTTCGTCTTACTTGTCTTCATCACCTGCACGTCGAGCTGCTCGGCCTCCTCCCACCGGCCCTGGCTCCAAAGCGTCGCCGCCAGGTTGGCCATACTCGACAGCGTAGAGGGATGATCCTCGCCGAGCTTCGTCTTGCGAGTCTTCATCACCTGCACGTCGAGCTGCTCAGCCTCCTGCCATCGGCCGTCAAGCCAGTATGCCGTTGCCAACATGCCTGTGCTACTAAGAACATCTTCATGCTCTTCACCTAGTAAAATGATTCTTTCCTCTCTTGACCTTGCTGCCATGTCTCTTGTATCCGCGATATTTCCGCTTTGCGACGCATACCATGCAGCTCTATAAAGCAATGTAGCCCATTGTCGTAGACAATTAGGCGATTCTGGTCGTTGTGATATTGCGCATTTGACATGTGGAAAGAGCGCCCGACACCTCTCCCAGTTTTCGTATTCAGCCGTGGGAAACTCTTCGTATAGATTGTTGATAAATATCTCTCTCCATTGATTCATTTGTCCACGAGATTTCAACCACGCACGCATAGTCAGTTGCACTAGCCGATGCATCGTAAAAAAAGTGCTATTCTCACTGACAGATATAAATGCAAAATTCCTCAGTGTCACGACATCATCTTCAAAATCGGGGCCTATATCAGACTCGGAATCTTCCGTATCATCAGAGTCGTTCAGAAGCTCTGAAATTGATGTGTCGTTGGCCTCGGGTCGATGCCGGATAAGGTTCTCTGGTATCTCTTGTCGATCGAAAAAACTCATAAGAGAGAGCAACTCCGCTGCAGATGGCTTTGTTTGACGTATATAATCGAAGGACATTTGCCACGTCACTAAAATTGAATTCTTTGCTTCCCAGTCTCGGTAGTAGTGGCCCGCCTCTGCTTTCAGAAGCCTGATAGCTTTGCGGTCGCTCTCTTGAAAATCTTTCAGGTATTGTGATACCGAATAGCGAGGCGTCCGATTTTGAATATAGCTCGCGGCCTGTACGATCGCTAGTGGCATGAGCTCCAATGTGTCTACTAGTTTTTGACTCTCTTCGCCATCCCCGGCTTGTTGAAGCTTTCTTTGGAGAAGCTCTAGCGCCTCAGAGCTTTCCATCGGTTTGACTTCGATAAGATCCTTGCGATCAACCAATTTCAAGGCAACCTCTCTCGTCCGACTCGTGATAATAATAGATCCGTTTCGGTTTCTAGGAACATATTCTAATAGCGGTTTTGTCCAGGCATTCGTTGGATCTCTTATCGAATCTTCCTTCTGTGCGGCCTGAGATGAGTAGAGGAGCTTATCATCATCAACATTATCAAGAATACAGATCCATTTTCCTGTCTTCTCTTCCCGAAGCCGGTTCTCGACAAGTTTATATATATTGACTTTAGGATCCTGACGACCGGGGATCTTAACTTGGTCCGCAATGTCCCGGAAACTCTGCTCGAACCGGGCTTCATTACTCGCATGGACCCAGAAGACCCATGTCGCCGGCGATTCAGACCGAACCCGGTAGGTGTATTCGATCGCTAGTTGCGATTTCCTTCGAGTTATCAGCAATAGTCAATAAACCACGTGCTTGTCTCTCTATACTCACCCAACACCGCCGAGGCCAACCAGCGCTATTCTCGACCCTGGCACTGAGCCTTTCTCATGAATCTGATTGAGCAGTGTGAAGCGATTGACAAAATCCGGATCGCGCGCGAAAGGGACGGTTGATAACGGGTTGGGTGGAGTTTCCGGTCGCTCTAGTTCGGAATACGGCGATTAGTCACAACTGGAGCTTGTCCCGTTCCTCTAACTTACCTGGAGGCAGATGAAAGTCGATTGAACCATGGTTACCTCCGACCTGGAGCCCATTGTTCTTGCCACGGAAAGATATCGATGCCATGTTCGAATAAATGTGCCTCGTTTTCAGTCCATTGAAGGCTTATTGTCTGCTTCTCAGCTGGAGGCGGGGTACCTCCCCAGGTTCACCATCAGGTGACTTTCACTGCGCTAAGACACCGAAATAATCGATTGGCGGCAACCCACATAGAAATTCAGCCCGGACGTGTGGGGTGAAATTAGTATCTTCCAGGAACTGAATCGGCCCAAGCCCGAACGTACTGATCAAGTGCAGCACGCAATAAGCAGCCTCATCCCCTATTCTTCGAGTGGAACGAATGAAAAGCATGGAACTTTTTTTATTGCTGCAAAGCCGGATCCAAGGCATGGTTTTCCAGCCTGTAACTCCCTCTTTGAGGTCCGCAGGTTTAAGATGGCTCCCAAGCTCCTAGGAACTGCGAAGGTGCTGAGTGACATAAAGTACCATGGAGGCCCTCGTACCATAACATACGGAAATTATATTCATTTATGACAAGAAAAAAGCTTGCGAATACAATACCACTAAGGAAAGGCAAAGTTTTGAAGGTATACATTGTAGAAAAAAAATGAATCCATCAAAACTTTATTTAAATTTATACTGTTGACCGAACTTTCACTGTAAAGCCCAGCGAACGGACAAATTGTGCGAGGGTAGATGGTTCCCATGACTTAGTACAATTTCTCCTCTAGCCAAGGTGCCTGACAGTGAGGGGGACAAATAGACATTTATTGGACTGATCTCCACTGTCATCGCCTGTTCACGTATTTCATGCACAGAGCAAAAGAATCTCAGATAGCATTTTGGCGCTTTGGAATGGAATATATCGGTGCTTCTGGGATTTTCAACGTCGCTAGTGTCTTCGAGACGTAGTCCGCAGGGGTTCTGTAACCCACCGGCTGAGAGCGAGAAAAGTATATAAGCTCATAAGGTTGCGTAAAATTGAGGATATCCAAACTTACCATTCTATTTCCAGTTGGAATTGGCAAACCAGAGTGTAAGTGGTAAGTGTAAACTCGGCCATTTGGTATCTCCATAGTCAGCCAGGTCCGGATAGCATAGAGGCGCCAGAAGTCGTTGTAGCGCCGCAAAAGATCGTTCCGACGTTTTCGTAGTTGTTCCTACTTGACACGACTGGCCTTCGGCTCCATTGACGATTGCAACAAGATATATACTTAGAAATCAATGCAAAATTAAGCTTCATAGCGAGACGATCAGACGATCAGACGGGTGATATTTAATTGCCATGGATTTGCTATATGGCAACAGCGGGATTCTCTCTAGGCGAGCATTACATTTAAACACCAGAGACAATTACACAAGATATAGCTAGTCTTTTTATACTCATTTTGCCAAAGGATGACAATGACAAGGTGCGCAAAAAGAAGAATTAATCAACAAGTGCAATACACCACGTGCAGTACTGCTGGCGGCCGCTCAACAAGCACAGAGAGCACCGATCTTCATTCCGGCCTTACAGGGGTTTTCAAGGGGATTCACACACTGTGACCATCTTTAAATGAAGCGACCTAGGAGAAATAATCGGAAGCATTTCTACTGATACAGTAGCCAAGTGATAACCTCTGAAAATCCATAAAAAGAATACAGTATCCTGAGGTTAATCCCTTCGTTTCCAAACAGCTTGACTCGGTTTTCTGATCTTCAGCTGGACGCTCTGTTGCAACAGGGATCAGTAAAAATAATCATACTTTGATCTTTTGCGCTGGTGGCGATGTCTTAGTACGTCAAAACGGCGGTGGGTCTGGGCCGAACTGGTCTCTAAAGAATTTTTAAACTCTGAACCACTTGGGCAATTAATTCCACGTACTTCGCTCTGAGGGATATGGCGGTAAGTTTTCCTGAACATTATCATGATCGTGCAGTCTCAATTGTCACGTTCAACTCCAGAAAACTTCATGTGTCACAAAAACCCAATGTACGTTACCTCATCAATCAAGCCCGCGGATGACCCTGGGTAAATGGCCAGACTAGAAACCTGACCAATACAATTTAGCGCAGTGGTTTATATGCATACAGAAGTGCAACTTACGAGCAGTGAAAGCAACACGATCACCGTCCAAAGAACAAGGAGAAGCGTCATTTCTCCATCAAATAGTCAAATATTCCGAGAGTTTCTATCTAGTAGTCTTCGGTATTAACAAGGCGCCTTTTAAATTTATATTTGATACCAAAGAATCCTGCAAATCAGAATTCAAGGTTGTTACAAAGCAAGCCGAGATCGCAAGCTCCGAGGTAGCTCACGCTAGGCCCTATCCGGTACTAATACGATGCGTACAGCCGATGTTTATTGCTTGATTTTCGGTCTCACAAGGGGTCTTTTTACGACATAATATATTCAACGGCATCCACTTTGGCCAATCCGTGACCTCTATGAATTCCACTCTTATCAAAGGGGGCCTGTTCATCCACTTCGAACCAGTAATTCCACAGATACTCACGCAGTCGACCTGCAGTATCATTGCCTGAACGCTCGATGATTCTAAGTGATTTGTCACACCAGACCAAGCCTTCCCAGTTTCTGGTGTGTGAGCATAATTTCGATATATTGAACAGACCATGTGGTGCATAGTATGTGCCCTCAGTTCCCATGCATGGTTTTGCACAGTACGGCATAGCCCTCGCAGATTCATAGGCGTAGAATGCAGCCATCTGAAGCCCATAGCTTCCCCACTCAGTTAGGTCAATGGAGGCGGGGAGAAGATCAGGGTGATGGGTATTCAGAAATTGTATACATCGACCAAAAACGGGATAGAACAGCGATATTGATCCCCAGAGCCAGGTATGTAACCGGGCTTCATCCAAGGACCAAAACCGATAAGCAGGGCCGAATATATTATCAGTAGCTGGTAGCTCGGTTCTTAGCTCATCTGGAGCGTAGGTTGGGATATTGCCGCCGGTAGTCTCGATCTCGGGATAAAGCTGCTTGAAAAATTCCTCAAGCGCTTGGCAATCATTGAACAAAGACTGGCAGAGTTCGCGGTTGGATTTATTAACTTTATCAAGCACATTTCCGATACGTGCAGTTTCGGAAAACCCCCAAAGTACACCAGATAGCGGTGTACCATCGTAGGGCTCTTGGATAAATTTGATTTCATCTTCTGTTAATTGCTGAAAGAGCCAGAAGAGCTAGAAGAGTTTTTAGTCACATCCGAGTTGTCTAGTCGGGAAATATCCATAAAGAACTCAGAATCAAAAGTAGGGGCTTACCGTCCTCTGTTTAGCGTGTTGCAGATAAGCAGAAGTAATTGCTGTATTATTGAAAGCTTTGGGAGCTTGGTATCTTAGAATTGCGTTAAGTCCCTCGATATGGGCGAACAATTCGATGATAGATTCTGGGCAAAAGTAAGTCTAGCAATAGGTTAGTATTATGATAAATTACCCAGTTATATGAAAAATTTGAATACCTGAATCTCCTGGAAAATAACAGCAGCGTGAACAAATTCCTCCGCGTAGGAATTTTGGTTAAGGTGTTTAGAGAATAGCCGGATTGCATAGTTAAACCGCCTGAGACCGTCGTAAAACAATACTTTATCCGATTTAACCTTGCCCAAATAAACACGCGACAATGACGCACATGTATATTGGAGTAGTACGCTTTTTTGAGGCTGGCTCATGATATTCGATATAATTGAGGGCCACATGTGCGTTGAAGAAGTAGCTTCGGGCTCAGGAAAGTAAGTGCCAAAGTAAGTTGAGAATAACTGCACATTGATCATTGGCCCTGTGTGAACTGTCTGGAATGGCGAAGTGACAGTCATCAAGTCTTGACAGGTAGTTTTCTCATTTTTTTTGTCTTTGTTTTCAAAATCTAGGTATTCCCATGGCTCTACCAATGAACGAGGGAGACGCTGCTTATCGGTGTCATCATTGTATGAGTAGTGGATGAATTCAATTTTTTTGCGTGGTCCCGGACATTTGAAGCCTCTCCTGATGCATCGCATACATTCAGGGATTCGCTCATCACACTTTTGAAAATGAAAGTATCAGCATATATCAATCAATAAGCGATGCTATACAGGAGCAATTGAACCTTGACTTTTCGTCTTTTACACTCATTACAGCCTCTCGATGACCAAGGCACTCCACCCATGCTGGCGGAGCCTCTTGTGAAATTGCTGAAATCCCTGGTATCAGCGTAATGTTCCAATTATAACGGGATAAACGGAAATATCATTCAACGACATTTCTTCTCCTGAGATGCTCCACCAAGACTCGCTTGTTTGGGAGGGGCGTTCCACGTGATGTCGGGGGCAAAAGGCTCAGCCTAGCGGCTAACCTTGTTGCTCCTCTATTACACCTGCTCAGTGATCAAATCAGGGTGCTCAGATCAGGCTCAGTGAGTGGATCATGTTCATGATGGTGATCAGCTCAGGCCGCTCAGGGGCGTGCTCAATTATACTCAGTGATCATAAAGCGGCGACGGGTGAGCACTAGAACGGAGAGGGAACGCCGAGCGTTGCCAGACATTATCCTGTGTATATGCAAGTGGTGAAACTGATTTCGATCCATCCTGTAGTATTCGGTTAACATTGAACTGATCGCCAATCTTTCAAGACCAGCTCTCATGGGGATTATGATACATGAAGACTAGCTACCAACTTGAAGTTCCAACGCCAGAAGGTCCCGTATGGTGACGATACTGCACAGCGAGGAGTCTCACAGTCAATAGTAGCCAAAATGTCTCTTAGTTTATATGTAGTACATTTGAATCATTGATTGACTGATGGACCTGGTAATACTCGAAAACAAGTGATTCAAGTCTAACAGAACCCCTCTGGGTCCATCATGATTGTATGTCAACCCCCCCCCCCCCCCCCAAAAAAAACCACTGAGTTTCTGTGTATACTTTTCTTACATATAGTGGTTTTGAACCATTAAAATAAAATATCAGAATTGCAATTCATTGAAAAAGTCTTGAAAAAAAGAGGTAAAACACAGAGCGCTATTAAATCACAAGCTTCTGGGGCGATTTTCCCGTTCATAACCAAATACAGGATTTCATTCCGGCACCAAGCCATTCATCATACTTTCGTTGGTAGATAAAAATCAGCCAGCGTTTATTTCTTCTTCGTGGCATCGACAAATCCATTCTTCAAGTCATCCAGATATCCAGCGTTTTCACCCTTCTCATTCAATCCCCAGGCCGTGGAGGAATCGTCGAGAATAGTTGCTCGTCTCATATCACGAATGTACTTTCCGGCAAAGGAACCTCCGCAAGACTTGTGCATAACGCATGTGTTGTCCTGCAATTAAATCAGTATTGAATGACTACCATGTACAGAACTTTTTTTTAAAAAAAAAAAAAAAAAAACTCACCCAAATGACAAAGTCACCATCGTTTTCCCAGTCCACTCTCAAAGTGTATTTTTCCTGGGTCGCGTGCTCCATCAGAGCATCGACCACAGGCTGACTCTCCTCGTGAGTCCACCCGTCGAACCGATAGCCATGTGCTGCGACATACAAGTTCATACGCCCGCTGGCCTCGTGCTCTTGGACCAGTTTGTGGCGGGCCATAGATCGCTTTGAAGGGTCCATATATTTCAAGAACTTCGACTCAGGTGCTGCAAGACGACGACTATGCCAGATAGAATGCCATAGTACATAGTCGTTAATTTTTTCCTTGGTTTCACTGTCTAATTCTTCATATGCTGTCCGTGTATCAGCAAATCCTGTTCCACCACCAGTTCCCTTCGGAGGTAACTGGTGTGCACGTAAGATACAGTACCCAGCACGACGCGGGTTATAAGAGCAGTCGACATGGAAAAGGTTATTTCCCTTGTTGCAGTCCGCGCGAAGACTTCCTGGCTGAATGATGGAGCCATCGTCTTCGATGTTCGCCACGTCTGTCAACTCAGTGTAAGGTGCGAGTCGGTATTTCTTGCCAGGGGTGATGAACACAGTTGAGGCATCCAGCTCACCCATCTGGCGGGCTAGAGCCACGTGTCGTTCATCGTCGAGTTGAGCATTTCTGAAGACGAGCACGCCATATTTGGCCATACCATCTTTAATAGTCCGGACCTCTTTTTCGTACAGAGGGCGTGAGAAGTCAATTCCCTGGCACTCAGCTCCAAAGCTGTTGTGCAGAGGCTTGAATTCTACTTCAGATGTATTGTTGACAGTCATTGTTGCAATTCAATAGTAATGGTTCACAGTCAGGTTTAGTGTTTAATTTCGCTAAGAGTCGGCGGAGGATTTGGGGCGTTTTATATTATATAGGATCTTCAAAGGAACCGTCAAACAATGCCTATCAGCCTTATGTACCAATAGACTGGCTGATTGCCATTGTAGAATGTTGGCCCCAAAATCTATTATGGGTCCTGGAAACTGGGGCATTTGAACAGACCCCACCATTTTACATGTACATGTTTCAGTCGCCAGAGTGCTTTATGGGGTTAGACCTTTGAAGATGGGGAGAATGTTGGCACAATTGATTGGCTTGTACCCTTTCTCTGACACTTCGAATTTCTTAGCTTCGCCCCTGAGCTTTGGAAAATTTAGAAACTTATCTGATTATAGCCCCTCAAATGTATCGGACGGAAGTGGAGTTGCCGTATCAGGTATCCGCGGCCCCCATCGTCTGACGATGGCGATCGCCCATGTGTACTATGGTTATGAAACGGTGATCTTGTAGATGATGTCACGGGCCCTTTGCCTCCCTCGGCATTTCGAAAGAACAGATCTCTATCTTTAAATACTCCTGCCAAGCTGCTTTTGATGCCAAGCTGTTTAGATGCATCCTTATTTATCTTGGCTTTTGATATTCACGGCTGCAGATATCTATATCGATTCTCCTCCTCAAAAAACGAAATCAATCCGCCTTAAAAAGAAGAAATCATCACTTTAATTCGGGCAACATGTTCACGTAAGCGCTAGAACGCCATTTAAATTGCTTACCGGATCTAGTAGTAACCGTGGAGCTCGGCCCCAGGTGGTATCCCTATTGTATGACAATGTACTATGTCAAAACGCAGTCAGATAGGTTCGCGGTGATCGACCATCGCCACAGGATGCTAACGCTTCAAGAGACAGTCTAATTTCCCTGTTTTTGCTAGATTATATTACCAAAAAATGGCCTTCACGGGGGTCCGAGCTGAAATGTCCGCCTATTCTAGAAAGAAAACAGTCCTGATTACAGAGTGAGATAGAATGGACTGCAGATAGTCATTTTCAATGACACTCGCTTGAAATTGAATCACAGTACAGTAAACGATTCAATTCCCAGCGAAATATGTATGCTAAGTGGTGAAGAGGCAGATCGGCAAGCCGAGGCTCCCCGGACTCGGAGCTCTTATCTGTTACGTGATATGTGGCCTCTGATTCTGATTGGGGACGGGCTTGTCTCTTCAACATTTGAATGCTACCACCATCTTCTCCCTCCTTCAATCGTCGCCACAGGACGCTATCACATTGCCCCGCATGAGTCCTCTGGCTCCATAACTCGGACTATAATCAAAACCTACGCCCCTTCAAAATGCTGACCTCCGGTCTGACAAACACCCCGCTCACCAAAACCTTGCTCATTTACACCATCGCTTCTTCGATCGCTCTCTCCATTCTCGATGTCAAGCATCTCGCAATAATTCATGTGTCGCCACACTTTTGGCCATACATACAAGTATGGCGCGCATTGATCTGGCAAATAGCTGGCTTCACAAATTCCACAGAGGCACTGTTCGCCGCAATGCTAGTGTACCATCTACGCGTTGTAGAGCGAGCTTGGGGAAAGCGGAAGATGGCGGTAAGATGATACTTCCTTAAAGATAATCTGGTATGATACTAATGAAGATTCTGCAGACTTTCATCCTCATAACATTACCTTTCACCACAATCCTCCCACCCCTCATTCTCACTCTGATTGTCCGTCCGCTCTCCCTAAATACACTCAATTATCTTCCCTCCGGACCGACAGCGACAGTATTTGCTTTATTAGCGCAATACTACGCGACAATACCTGCTGTATTCCGGTATCGGATCAGCACAACCGCATCTTCCAGCGCGAACGCTGCCACTCCTGCCAACACGAATAACAGCGACAACGACCCTCCGACGAGGAATACAGCGTCCAAGCCCCCACCGCCGAAACTTTCGATTCTCCTCTCCGATAAATCGACGACATATATTATAGCAGCCCAACTCGCACTCTCCCAATTCCCCGCAATGCTTCTCCCATCCGCCATCGGCTGGGTCGTGGGCATGGCCTGGCGTGCAGAGCTCTTTCCTAGTCTATCGCCTTCTGCAACAGGATTTCACATACCGGCGTGGATATTTAACGAACGTGAAAGGAGGAGTGGGATACATAACACTGCCGGGGAGCGGGAACGATACGAAGACTTAAGACGACGATTAGAAGGGGAGGCTGCAGCTTCAACTTCTGGAATAGATAGCGCTGATGGACAGAGGAGAAGGAATGTTAACAGTACAACTAGTACGGGCCGAGAAGGCAATGGTGGGCTTATGGAGCGATTAAGAGGAGCTTGGTGATGACCTCTTCGTTCTGCCATTCAAGCTATATGTCTGGATTCTGAGATTATGTACGAAATATCTATAGGGTGGTTTCTTTTAATATACTTATGTCTCATCAAGAACATATGTAACTAAGGCAACAATTTTATGATTTGTTTCTTTTATAAGCGACTGTGCTGTGGTGTGGCCCAGTTCAGGTTTGGGTGGCCATGGGAGACCACCGTCCTTTCCTACTCTCGAACTCGTCTTACACTGACATACATGCAGATTCCCCATCAGCAATTCCCCATCAGCAAGCTGTTCCCATATTCAGGATTGACATACGATGATCTATTTAGAACTTGAAAATTATAACCCGAAAGATACATTGGTCTCATCTACTAAAAAGATAAAATTTAAACATGCGTAAATCATTGACAGCTGTTCTTAGCCGAGCCCCGAATTCGCTGCAACAAACATCAAGACCTCGGCTCCAAAATGCATGACCAGGTGCTCGCTCTATTCCGACTCCAAGCTAAGATACTTCTCCTCCGCACCCTTTATACAAGCAATATTAGCACCTAACTTGTTAATAGTCTCCATATACTCATCGTAAGGATCCGAATCAAACACAATGCCACCACCAGCCTGCAAGTAAGCGACACCATCCTTAACCATCATAGTCCGCAATGCAATACAAGTATCCATAGCCCCAGGTTCTTCATTCGACCCACCAACATTCGCAATGTTGTATCCGAAATAACCAACCGCACCGGCGTATACACCGCGCTTTTCACCCTCTAGCTCGGCGATGAGCTGCATCGCGCGGATCTTAGGTGCACCGGATACTGTTCCGGCAGGGAAAATCGAGCGGAATGCATCGAAACGTGTCTTTCCGGGACGAAGAACACCGGAGACCTGGGAGACGAGGTGTTGGACATGCGAGAATTTCTCAACTACCATGAGGCGGTCGACTTGTGTGCTCATTGGGTCGCAGATGCGGTTTATGTCGTTCCGGGCTAGGTCGACGAGCATTACGTGCTCGGCGCGGTCTTTTAGACTGCTGCGTAGTTCGTCGGCGAGAGCGGTGTCTTCTTCCAGTGTTCTACCGCGTTTCACGGTACCGGCGATGGGGTGGGTGATTATTCTGCCTCGTTCTTCTTTTACCAGGAGTTCGGGACTAGCGCCGACAAGCTGGAAATCTTGGCAGTCGATATAGAACAGGTAGGGGGATGGGTTGACGGTACGGAGATGACGGAAAAGGTTGTATGGGTGGAGAGATGTCGGTCGGGAGAGACGTTGTGAGGGGACGGTCTGGAAGATATCGCCCTTGCCGATGTGCTCTTTCAATGTCTTGACATGCTTCTCGTAGCCCTCTTGTCCGATGTTGGAGGTATATTCTTGGTTTTGGATAATAGGTCCTTGTTCGGGCAGTGGTGTGCGGTCCTGTAGAAGAGTCTCGATGGTCTTCTGGATTGTTTGCTGGCCCTTCTGGTATGCAGGTTCGATATCGGTATCTGAGGCTGGGATAGGAACATAGGTGATGACCTTGACGACTTGGAAGAAATGATCAAATGCGACAATTGTATCGAAGAGCATGAACAGTGACTCGGGAACACCTAAGATATCCTTCATAGGGCGAGCGGTCTTTGGCTCAAAGTATCGAACACAGTCATAGCCTACATATCCGATTGCTCCGGCCGTCAAAGGAGGAAGAACCAATCCAGGAACAGTTGCGACGCGGAATTGAGATAACTCTTCTTCCAGGTGTGGGAGGGGATCCGCCTCGGGGCCATGGCCTGCGCCAGTCTTGATCACTTTGCGGGGGTCTAGGGAGCGAAAGAAAGAAGAAAGTTAGTAGATGGCGGGGTATAATTTCAACACGATCACCCACCTGCGCCGACAAAGCTGTATCGTCCAATAGTCTCTGTAGTCGCAGCACTCTCATACAAGAATGACATACGCGAACTATAAAATCCCCAGTATTAGTCTTTGTGTTTCTGCTTCTGCTGTCAAAATTTCCCCGCAAGATAGGGCAAATGGAAAAGACTCGTGCTTAGAGTTCAACACTCACTTCTCTGCAATCTTCAAGTATGCCAAGTTAGGCGTCAACAGATCCGCAGGAATCGAGGCAGTCACGGGTAGCAAGTTCGGGGCAAATTGGGAGTTTCGTGACTTCGAGATAACTTCTCGCGCCGTCTCCAGCGACGGGGTGGTAGCAATCTGAGTCATCGCGTGTAGGTTAACAATCTAGTCTCAATGTGGTACAATTGGTCTTTTCTCTCGCGGGTATGCCAGTATTCAGTGACATTGTACTTACCGAAGGCGCCATTTTCCGCAGGGGTAGCTGAATGACTAGCTGAGTTGGATCGCCGATGACAGAGATAGATTTGGCGGTGGGAAAATGGCTTGACTTGCTGTGGGGCTCGGGTTCGAATGTTGGTGGGGAGTCTTAGTCACTCCGAAAAAGGTTAAGCGCGGGGACTTGGTTATCGGTTATCGGTGCGATGTCCACAGGTATATACAACTATTTGAAAAGCAAAAGAACACAAATTTTCACAACATCCGTATCAATATTGGTATTACGTTATCGTCCACTGGCAGACACGCTTTATATTCACATTAAGTTATCATCATACAGCAGAGGAAAGATCTTATAAGCGAGACTTCAATGGTGCACTGAGTATAGAATCAACCGGGTTATTATCAAGCAGAGCCTTTGAATCAGGGTCATACAACGGTTCAGCGGAAACCGTAGCTTGAATACGACGACCGAAGTATTCAATCTCGACCTGACTCCCAAGAGAGGCGTTGTTAGGAAGCCAAGCATAGGCCACGGGCTTGCCAACAGTATATCCAAATCCAGCACTGGTCACATAGCCAACGGCCTTCCCTCCACAGAAGACAGGCTCTTTCCCGAGAACCATAGAGTGACCATCATTAACTGTAAGACAGCGTAAACGGCGAGTAGGATACTTGGAAAGTTTCTCAAGAGCAACCCTGCCAACGTAATTATCGGTCTTGTTCATACGGATGGCATTAGAGACGCCGGCCTCGTATGGGTTGTGTTCGGAGGTCATGTCAGCACCGTATATTCGATAACCCTTTTCGAGACGAAGGGCATTAAAGGCACCTCGACCAGCTGCAATCAGACCATGTGTCTTACCCGCGTTCCAAATGCTGTCCCAAAGTCGTGCTCCGTACTCAGCCGAGGTTTGGATTTCCCAGCCCAGCTCACCAACATAGGATTTGCGTAGTGCCTTGGCCGGAATACCGTTGATCGTGACATTCTTAACGGTGAAATATGGGAAATCCTCGTTAGAGAAGTCGTCTGTACTGGTAGTGGAGATAACGTCTCGGGAGCGGGGACCCCAGAGGCCAATGCAGCAAGTGCTTCCTGTGATATCACGAACTCGAGCCCATTGTTTCTGATGACGAGCTTCGCGAGAAAGATAAGCGAGATCACTTGCGGTGTTAGCGCCAACTTGGAAAAGATCTTCTCCCAGTCGGGCGATAAAGATATCGCTCTGGATCCCCGCATGTTCATTAAGAAGAAGAGCATAGCTGATCGTGCCCGGTTTGGTATTGATATCTGCCGTACTCAAGCGTTGAAGAAGATGAGCGGCACCAGGGCCAGACACTTCGAATCGATGGAAAGAAGTCATATCGTACATGGCCACTGCGTTGCGAGTCTTCCAAGCTTCCACTGCGACGATGGGAGAGTGAAATTGTGCTGACCAGGCATCTCTTTCAATGGGTTTCCACTCTTTAGGAAGAGATTTGATAAGATGAGAGTTTGCTTCATACCAAAATGGTCGTTCCCAACCTGCAAGCTCAAGGAAGAAAGCACCTAGGTCCTTCTGGCGAGAGTAGAAAGGACTGGTGCGAAGGTTTCGAGGAGACTCCTTGGGCTGCGAGGGATGGAGGATATCATAAATTTCCACAAAGTTCTGTGCGGAGGTCTCATTGATGTAGGCACGACTGAGCTGCACTTCTTCGAATCGGGATAGCTCACATTCACTAATATCGATCTGAGATCGGCCAGTAGTAAGGACCTCAGCAACAGCACGCGCAACACCAGCAGAATGGGTCACCCAAACAGCCTCCGCAACCCAGAAGCCGTCCAGATTTGGCGCTTGTCCCACGATGGGACCTCCATCCGGGGTGAAGGAGAAGACACCGTTGAATCCATCCTCGATTTCAGTATTTCGGAGAGCAGGTAAAAGTTTCTGTGACTCCTTCCAAGCTGGATCGAAGTCTTCCTTCGTGAATTCCAGACGAGAAGGCATATTCCTGTCATCGACGTGTTTAGGAGTCAGGCCCAAGGATGCTGCCACGACTGGCATCGGGCGATGGCCATAAAATCCAATACCATATTGTTCACCATGTTCGCGATAGTATAGGTCTTGATCTTGGTGTCGTAGAATTGGGAGTACGGCATTCTTTCCGTTTATTTGTCTGTTGATTTCGCGATCGACTAGTTCTGGTACCTTCGTGGTTTTGGCATATTGGTGTGCTAGTGGGAGCAATGGAATCGAGATACCCACCATTGCACCTAACTCAACTCCCCAGAACCCAGCACAAGAAATAACAATATCAGCGGGAACAGAGCCGTTGGGAGTTGTCACGCCGGTAACATGATTATCCTTTCGTTCGATATTGGTGACTGGGGTTTCGGCAATATAACGAACGCCCGCTTTGCTGGTACGTTCAATAAGTAGCTGTGTGGCGCGTGCAGCGAGTGCAAGCCCATCGCTTGGAATATGGAAGCCGCCAAGCACCACATTTCTGTTAAGATGCGGATATAGCGTTAGACATTCGTCGGCACTAATGAGACGCGACTCAATACCCCATGAAGTAGCATAGCCATGCCGGCGCTTGAGCTCCTCCAGTCGAGCCGGAGTAGTAGCTACCTCTAACCCACCAACCTGGTTGAAGCAATTCTGGCCATCCTTCTCGATTGAAAGTAGTTTTTGAATCGTATAGCGTGCTAGATGGGTCATAGTCTTCGAGGGACCAGTTTGGAAAACAAGCCCAGGCGCATGAGAAGTCGAACCGCCTGGCATGTGTAGAGGACCTTGCTCAACAACAGTGATATTGTTCCATCCTCGTGAGACCAGCTCATCGGCCAAATTGGTTCCTACGATTCCAGCACCGATGATAACCACTCGTTGTGTGTGTGCCATTTCGCAGAGAGATATGAATCAATGAACTGAAGAGAAATATGAATTGAGGAACTCAGCAGCAGCGGACAATAGCTCTTCCTTATTTAGATGATCACATCGTAGCAGCCAGGACACATTTTGAGCTTCCGGCAGATACCTTCCACCTTCCCCTCCCCCGCAGATATGCCAATCAGGGATATCTAGAATAAGATTGGTGAAAGAGAGCAAATGCCCCGCATTTCATAATGCGAGTCCGGTTCGAGTGACGATATACGGTCCGGTATAGGTAGTTGAACCCTGATAGCCACCGAGCCGGCCTTATGGTGTTGGACAAACTTACCACTTTAGATGGCCGCATTGAGTGGTGATTGGTTCACGCAAGTTTAATCTTGGGAGATCTCGGACCACAACCGAGAGCCGCTCACGTGTCCGGCAGGCATGGAAGTTGAAACCGGGGGTGGGGAGAAAGATGGGCCAGTCCGTAAGGAGATCTAAATATATCCATATATCATGATGCGATATCAAGTATCGTGGAAGTGTACTAGTACTAGTATATACATGAACTCATGGACTATGCACATCATTGATGCCGCGTTAGTGGAGATGTACCTATACAATACTATCTATGCTAACCCCGCAGGTCCAGCCCAAATGGTTCATGAGACACACGTGTTTGGTTATGTGGCTAACACTGAATTCCGTTTTGTTTGCCCCTGCGAATAATTTGAATCGCCTGGTCATAGTCATGTTTTGGAATATCGTCAACATAGTGTATCTGCTCATACCCAGCTGCATTGATCTGCATCACGTGATTTTCCTATTATACTGGCTCTCCTCACCTTCAAGTTTGTCACACACTTTCTTGAGCACTGATTTAGTTGCCCCCTCAACGGTTATGTAGTGTCTTATTGCCTAGATATTATAATATGATGCTAAGGAAGAACATCAATCTGCCCCCTTATCTCGGTCGGAGAGGAAAACATGTTGGACTGCTTGTTGTCTCCCCTCACTCGTCGCGACAAACAATGCCTGGTCAAAACATCTGCTGTTTCTTCAAAGAGTTAAATTAAATGCAAGGACAGTGGAACACTTCACATATACTTCTTTCTGAGCAGATGTGTATGCCATCCCAACTTCGAGACCATCTCACGCAGATATGCACCGGCCATAATTGATTATCCGCATACACCAAGAAATCCGGCTTCCGAGGGCATCTGCTAACTCACCGCTTCTATTTTGCCCTGGCTTTCGCAACGCCCATCCCTCCAGGGTTATCTTTTGTTATTCAACCTTACTTCGACTTGTTGAATCTCTTCCATAGGAATGTCCTCAACCATCAAGCGCGGCATATTTACTTACGCCGATTTCGATCTGGAAGCTCTATGCAGAGATCTTACCATTATCACACCATTGCTTCATAGCACCTGTTCCCTTACAGAACGACTAACCCTCCCACATACAATATGGAAACGCAGTGGACCTATGGAACAACTTTGTGGCCGTTGGACGCAAAATCGACTCATCGGACAACAGACTAGACTACATAGTCGCGGGCGACGCTCCGCGTGATGTTATACAGAAATTTGAACTCCCAGCGATCTCTCCGGAGACTTTTCCCTTATGCCACCCTGATTTGAGTGTTAACAACATATACGTTGATGAGGATTACAACATTACCTGTATCATCGACTGCTTCTGGAAATTGAGTAGACTCCTCAACTTCGACTCTTAGTGATTACCCTATCTTTGATACGCTCTGGAAATTTACACATAGTCTTGAACAGGGACCTAGTGCAATACTTCTTACAACAGTGGCGTTCGGCCCACTATGTACAACTCTATAACGAAGTTCGACAGGAGGATACGTCACTTTTTAAAATTGAAAAGGACGAAAAGGCTTGTTTTCGAAAACGGGATCTCAGACACACAATAGCTAAGAAGCTGGCGCTCATGTCCGAATGGAAAACAGGGTATACCGACAAACAGCCACCGAGGCTCCGGGAAGATATGTTTGTTGCTTCTGCCAACTTATGGAAGTGGGTTCCAGATGTTCATGCAGGGCTGGGGGAAAATGTCATGATGAGTCTATTCCGCTTGTTCCAAACATTAAGATCTCAAGCGAATACGGTCAACCTGGACCTCCCACACATCGCTAGTTTCATCATCCATAACCTTGTCAAAAACTTACATCAGCATCAGATTTCCATCCAGGCGCCCTCTTCGCCCTGCCCGGCCGGGCGCTTATAAGATGTTCCCTTCCCTCTCGATGTCCTCACATTTTCCCAGTTCTCTTCTCATCTCCAACCCTCAACCCCCAAATCGACCCCGCGAATCTTACTGCCTGTGTTTCCAGATTTGACCCCTGGTCATTTATCTTGGCCTTTCCAAATGGCAAGTCCACTCGTTCAGTCAGCTTAAGGTGAGGAGCACCAGTACTGGACCGATTCCATCCTTTGCAAGGAAACTCGAGCCAAGCTGGAACAATTCCGTAGCCTTAGATAGTTGCCTCCAAATTTCGAACCCGGCACCTTAAAATATATCGCTGTCGTCAAATGCTAGTAGCGAAAGTAAGTATATCTATTCTCCAGACAAGGCATCTTAGGTAGTAAATACTCCTCGAGAACAGGTTTTGTATTCAGTCGGATAAGGACTAAATATACTCCCTTCTGCAAGAGGACCAAGCGATTTATATGAACTTTTTCGACTAGATGTTCAGAACGTTACTACTGGCGCCGTCTTTGTCGGTATTGAGGTTAACCTAATTGTAATATAGTCTCTCAAGGGATCTTTTCCGACTGAGCGTACAATTCCCCGAAGAACGAAGGATAAGAATACTTTGGATGTGGATATCTTCTGTATGATCTATTAGTATTACTGGGTCTATTGAAGATTTTTTGGTTATGGAAATATGATTGTCCAATTTGCTATAGCTATAGTCTACTATTACTGGGACTTGTCCTGGTTCTGATGGGTAAGGGGACTCCCAATCTATATACTATTCTTCTACTACGACTGCGAAGGGGAGCCATTTTCAGCGTCCATTTCACAGGGCCTCTTATTCTGTAGGTAATGATGTTCACTTGCTCGTGCAGATGGCCAAGGGAATTCTCAACCTTCCGCAAAGTGTTGGGGTCGGCCCTGGGCGTTACACTCGGGCGGCTCCTGCAGCGATTTTCTCTGTGTCTGAGAGGTCAAATTAGTCAATTCGTTGGTTGTGCTGGTTTTCTGGTTGCGACCGGCGCACTGTATTTGGCGATGTAGCCACGGCAGCGCCATTTTACTAGGTAGAACCGATATTGCATTTGAAATCACCAGGATCCCCAGGATCTCGCACCCGGGAAGGAATCATTCCTTCTCCTTGTCATTTTAACATTGAAAATCTGAAACGAAGTAAATTGGAGCGGGGGCAGCCTTGCGTGTGGCGTTCCATCTTGGGCGCTAAGATCCCAGATGTGGTCTGGGTGTTCCCCCCTGACCGTCAACTTTGCTACAAATCGCACGATAGGTCAGTTGAGATCTGACTACAGGGTACGAAGCATGGAGTACTGGATTGCTCAAGTGAAGCCCTATCTAGCCAAGCCGTATGAGACCTGTCTCATTACGCGCTGGTGGATGATCTCACTGCTGCATGTTGCAGCGGAGAATTCTTTAAGAATTTCGGGGCTAGACACCATTAGCGTAGACCTGGCTTAGCGTGGTCGTGGTGTGCAAGCTTCTTAGTCCTGGGACTACCAGAGGGAGTGCCCTAAGGCCGATTTAGGGATTGATCGTTCGAATTAATCTATCCCGCGTTCATCGGTTTGTGGGTCTGCCATATCGCTCGGCTTTTAGGGGGCGATCCTTAAGTAACATCTCATTCCGACAGAGGAAAATACCGGTTCCTGAAACGAGTGGCTGATGGCTTCACACCACGCCCTGTGGTCGGAGGAAATTAATGTGGTGATTTGCTCGCACTTCTTTATTTGCCTTCAGGGTCGAGACATTGGCGGTTATCATAAATATGAGCTAAATGCCCCGACTCGCTATAGTTTGATCTTGATCTTAACCAGTCACTCATTCTTTCCCATTAAATCCTGGGGATTTAGTCTATTCACTCCTTTACTCTGTACAGATCAAATAGCCCTGGTGGCTTCTTTGATCGATTCCACTCCTTTTGACTTCATCCTCTTATTCATTTCATTCTTTTCAAAATGCGTGGATTCACCTACCTCAAGGGCAGTGCCCTGGCTATGGCCTCTGTTGTCTCGTCCACCAGCATCCTGTTGCCTCTATACCAATGGCCAAGCGACAATACTACCTGGTCTGCTGTCTACGACGCTGCTGCTGCGCACCCAGCTATCAATTTCCAAATCATTGTCAACCCTGACAGTGGCCCTGGCGACACCAGTAAGGAAGCTATACTAAGTCTATAGGTGATATTTTTGCTCACGCAAGGTCAAATATCTAGCATACCCCGAATCGAGCTATATCGATGGTGTCTCCCAGTTGAACAGCTACTCAAACGTTGAGGTCATCGGCTATGTCCATACCGAGTACGCTACACGTGACATCTCGGTCATTGAGAGCCAAATCTCAACCTACAGTGGCTGGTCTTCGTACAAAGAGCAAAACATCACTATTTCCGGAATCTTCTTCGACGAAGCCCCAAGCACCAATGACTCAAATTTGGTCTCCTACATGCAAGAAGTGTCGAGCACCGCCAAGTCTAACAATCTCAACACCGTCATTTTCAACCCGGGCACCAAGGTAGAAGACGAGGCCTACTTCGATGCTGCCGATTTGATTGTCGAGTTTGAGAATTCTTACTCGACTTGGCTTTCTTCCATTCCTGCCAACGATTTCACCAACACGGCTGGTTATTCCAAGGGTGCGGTCATTCTGTACAGTGCGCCACTTACGAGTGACTATGAGACTGTTCTTCAGGAGGTTGAACAGATGGGCCTCGGAGCTGCATACCTGACCAATACTGATGACTATGCAAATGCCAATAGCGTGACGAAAGTTGCCTCTGCGCTGAAATCTGCTCTTACTGAGACGTCGTCCCCTTCGCCCTCGTCCTCTGTGGGTGCATCGACTTCGACTTCGACTTCGACTTCCACATTGACTTCGACTCCGACTTCTGCATTGACATTGCCTTCGACATCAGCATTGGTATCAGTATCAGCATCGACTTCGGCATTACCACCATCACCATCACCATCTTCAGGATCTGAGCCAGAGCGGGGATCATCGTCATGCTCCCAAGGCCGTGAGCCCTAGGGACATCGGTCAGGGCATTGAATACTACTTATATACTCATGGTGATAGATTTACCATAGACTTTTACATTCAACGACGTTGAAAAATTTCAATTTACCACTTGATACTGGTATTTTTTAGGCTCTGTCACTGACTAAATGCAACTACTCCTTCGTTAAACGTTTGCACGGTCAGCTGTATAAATCAAAGGCACCTGGGTGTGACTCTGAGGCTAGGGCTGTATTCTCTGAGCAATCTCAATGAAAATAATTCAAAGTTCAAATTAGGTAGCTGAGGTCGTCAAAGAACGGACCAACTCAAGGATTCCCCCGCCTCAATATCCACATAGATATCTCGGTCTAGTCTGTGCCGCCTTCGGAGTAAACTGCATCTCCGGTGGCATTGTGTGAAGACTTTCCCTGTAATCAAGTCGAGGCATCTACAATGGCCTTGGGGATCCGGTGTCCGCAATCATTGGATGTATGTGAGGCCCTTTCTGATTGGTCCGACCAGATAGCTGGCAAACCAAACAAACACACTCCCCACCATGAGGGGCACATGTGCACCTCGACGTAGCTACATTATGTACAAATTGATCCGTGGACCGATTCCAAGACTCTGCAAAACAACAATTGGTTTCCCCAAACGCACAATGAGACTTCCCTACGCTCCCAACACCCCTCCCGCCGATGCGCCCGCCGACACTGCGGACATCTACACTCGGATCGCCGCGCGTCGCAACCCCCGTCCATTGATTCCTCTCGACCTGTCTCTACTGCACAGCCCGCCGGTCGCTGACGGCTGGAACAGCTTCATTGGTGCAATCCGCAGCCGCACCATAGTCGATGGTGGAATTATGGAATTGGCCGTGTGCCGTGTCGCAGTGCTGAACGATGCTATTTATGAGTGGAATGCCCATGCGCCCCTCGCATTGAAGGGTGGTATTAAGCCCGAAGAGCTACACGCTTGTCGCACTTTGCCTCCAACTACCGAGGGCGACCTGGGCGCTTTGGAGAGTAGCCCTTTGACACCGCAGCAACGGGCTGTTCTGCGCTACACGGATCAGATGACTTTGACCGTTAAGGTTCAGGATGAGGTCTTTGCACAGCTGCAGACTGTTGGGTTCAATGATCGGGAGATTGTTGAGCTTACCACAGGTATTGCGGGATATAACTGTGTGAGCCGGTTCTTGGTTGCTTTGGATGTGGGAGAGAACAATGATCGTGAGATGAAGAGTGTCGATGAGCTGGTTGCTGCTCTCCTATAGGGTGGATAATTGCTTTGTATGTAAAAATTATTTGAACAAGATTAAGTTCGACAGGCGTAGTCGGGCATGTCCCGCCGCCGGCAGCGCTGCATACTGAATGAATTAAACAAATCAATTGTATCGGGATTCCCTGGCATGGCCCGAGTCGCCGTTATATAAACTCCAGCCACGACTCATCACATCTCGATTGTATATCCTAGCTTTGGAGATGATAGACATATCCTTCGATAAGTGATTTGACGAACAGAGGCGTTGTTGATAGTGCGTCCACGAGAAACCCATTTGCCCCCTTCGCGTTCGTCCCCAGCGTTCTCGTTCAGCGAAGTCCCACCAGGTTCTTGAGATCCTGTGTATCTTCACGGGTGAGGTCTCCGAGTTTTCCGCGCTCGAGCTGAATGAGCACAGGTGGATCTAAGGTGGTCATAAGATCTCGAAGAAATGTTGTGAGAATAGTAATGAATTCCAGAAGGGGATATTGCTGGACCGCCTTCTGGGTGGCACGTGGTGAGCCTAAGTCCAGCTCATCAACATATCGTTGTCGTATCGCTGTCCATTTCGAACGTTGTGCCGGATCTTCCGGGGCCCATGAACAGAGCTCAGTTAAATATTTTGATGGTTGGCGCCCTTCACTCTGATCTTCGATAATCGCTTGGATTATGAACCGCGCAAGGGCATCGAAAAATCGGGACTCAGAGATCTTGGAAGAAGCTGCCGAGCAAAGCTGAACGAACATCATGCCTGTTTGTGATATTGGCACGCGCTGCTCCCTTGACTGGTCTGTCCGTGTAGTCGTCGCATGCCGAAGTTGGTCAGCCGCCGTGAGGATTCCGAACTTGATACCAAGGTCTTCGGCCAGTGGAGACTCAAGCTCAGACGGAACCAGAGAGGAATATAGTCCTATCAACACTATTAGACTCGCGTGCGGTTATTTGAGGTTCTCCACTAACTTACCTCTTACAGTATCGACTTGCCAGCTTACATCGTCATCATCGTTCCGGTGACTATCATTTTGGGCCAGGTTTTCAATGGCCACAAAGATACTGTCAATAGCCAGACAGACGAGATAATCGAGGATGATGGAATCAACATCCGACTTGGTGTCTGGATTGGCATGCATCGGTGCAGGTGTCGTTTGATCCTTAGGCGGAGAAGCCCAGGTGGGTGGCATTGTTGTCAGGTTGGCATTAGAAACATGTGTCTGGAATCTGATCACTGTGAGAACGAGACGTGATTCTTGCCGTTTATGTACTTCGGGCCTGCTTTGTTGAAGGGGGTGAAGGCGGATTTGAATTGGACAATCAGAGTTTGGTGCGCGGATCCACGCGCCCCGCAATTTGGAGAGTACAGTGTATATAGTAGCTTGCAAAATCGCCTTGCGCTTTTTTTGTTCATTCTTTCGGGACGCGTGGTGCCAAGATACTTCTAACCGCATCCCGTTAGTCTTTGGTTTATCCTTGTCTTCGTATATAACCTAGTATTGTAACAAATCGTAACAGTGGTTCTTCCAGCTTTACTACTAGATGATTTCTGTTTTCCTTGGGGTCCTGTTATGAAGTATAAATGACAAATTGAAAAAGTGAGCAAAAGAGTGAATACTGTTGAGCGCAACTATGTACAAAGAGAAAAATATGTGACTGTAGAGTGGCTCGATCAATTCTCGACATTAAATAGAGAGCACTACTACATGTTCTATATAATCTCAGTTTCCATTGACTGCTTCGTATTTTCGAGGACTTCCTGAGACACCAGTCGGTCAGGATGTTCTTCATCAAGCGTTCTCTCTTGTACCGCGACCACGTGCTCAAGTAGCTCGACGGCCTGCTTGATCTGCCCGTTAGATTGATACGCCCGTGCGAGTTCGTGCTGAGACGCCAGTCGGTCAGGATGTTCTTCATCAAGCGTTCTCTCTTGTACCGCGACCACATGCTCAAGTAGCTCGACGGCCTGCTTGATCTGCCCGTCAGATTGATACGCCCGTGCGAGTTCGTGCTGAGACGCCAGTCGAGAGGGATGTCCTTCATCAAGCGTTCTCTCTTGTACCGCGACCACATGCTCAAGTAGCTCGACGGCCTGCTTGATCTGCCCGTCAGATTGATACGTCCGTGCGAGTTCGTGCTGAGACGCCAGTCGAGAGGGATGTTCTTCATCAAGCGTTCTCTCGCGTACCGCGACCACATGCTCAAGTAGCTCGACGGCTTGTTTGATCTGCCCGTCAGATTGATACACCCCTGCGAGTGTATGCTGAGACGCTAGTCGATCAGGATGCTCTTCATCAAGCGTTCTCCCTTCTACCGCGACCACATGCTCAAGTAGCTCGACGGCCTGCTTGATCTGCCCGTTAGATTGATACGTCCGTGCGAGTTCGTGCTGAGACGCCAGTCGAGAGGGATGTTCTTCATTGAGCGTTCTCCCTTTTACCGCGACCACATGCTCAAGTAGCTCGACGGCTTGTTTGATCTGCCCGTCAGATTGATACGCCCGTGCGAGTTCGTGCTGAGACGCTAGTCGAGAGGGATGTTCTTCATCAAGCGTTCTCTCGCGTACCGTAACCACGTGCTCAAGTAGCTCGACAGCCTGCTTGATCTGCCCGTCAGATTGATACGCCCCTGCGAGTACGTGCTGAGACGCCAGTCGAGAGGGATGTCCTTCATCAAGCGTTCTCTCTTGTACCGCGACCACATGCTCAAGTAGCTCGACGGCCTGCTTGATCTGCCCGTCAGATTGATACACCCCTGCGAGTTCGTGCTGAGACGCCAGTCGAGAGGGATGCTCTTCATCAAGCGTTCTCCCTTCTACCGCGACCACATGCTCAAGTAGCTCGACGGCCTGCTTGATCTGCCCGTTAGATTGATACGCCCCTGCGAGCATTTGCTGAGACGCCAGTCGAGAGGGATGTTCTTCATCATACTGGCTTTCATTCCATTTATACACTTCTCCCAAAAAAGTCACAGCTTCCTTTGCTCGGCCATCTGCTAGAATGCAACTTGCAACCTTGGATAGTAAGCTATACCTCTCCCTTGAATCCTTACTTTCCTCTCTCCTAGCAATTCCAAGGGCGTGGGGTAGGTACATCCTCCATGTCTCACGGTTTGTGTATTCATTAGATGGAAAACACTTGTTCATATGTCGTGTCACAGTTGTAATGATTTGTTTTGTCTTCTGTGACTCTTTTATCCATACACGTGTTGATAGCTGCACGAGGCTATGTATATCAAATATGTCCTCATTCTCTCTTCTGGTCAGAAATCCGTAGCTACATAGCGTACCAATTGCAAATTCCATCTCTTCCTCTGAATCGAGAGAAGGGAGAGCAGATCGTGGGATTGCCTTCGGCTCGAAGTAAGACATAAATTCTAACAAATCAGCAGCAAAGGGATTAGAGCCCTTAATCTGATTAAAGGAGATAAGCCATGTAGTAGTCACCGCGTTTGGCATTTTACGGTAGCGAGTGATATCGTGGAACTCTCTGCTTGCTAGACGCATCCGGTCTTTTTCGGTTTTGTGCATAAGTTCGAGGTACCGTGTGACCGTTCCATCTTGTCGACAAATGTAGTAAGCCGCCTGTGCAATAGCTAGAGGTAGGAAGTTAAGTTCCTGTAGTAATTGTATAGTAGACTCTCGCCCAGAAAGTGAGTCTTCTCCTACAATCTTGGTGAAAAAAGTAATCCCTTCCTCTGTTGTCATCCCCTGGAGCTCAAGTATATCCCTTCCAGCGAAAGATACCGCCACCTCGCGGGAACGAGTAGTGAGCAAAGTCACGCCTCCCTTACTAGCAGGGAAATGCTGATCAAGCTCATCAGAAAGCAAGTCCATATCATCAGCATTATCGACAATAAAAAGCCACTTTCCGGCTCTATCAGAGCTCAGCTGTCGGTGTATTACTTCCATTACACTCTCACTGTCTGGATTCTGATAGATTTTAAGCTCTTTCACAATTTTCGAGCAAGCCTGCTCATAACTTTCGAGGCTAAGAGCTGAAGCCCAGAAAATAGAACAGTCTGGTATATACGCTTTCACCCAGCGGGCAAGCTGAAGAGCAACCTGGGTTTTACCGATGCCACCCAGTCCGAATAGGGCCAGTTTTTCAGTAGTCGCTTGGAGAAATAGCTTCTGTTTAATCTTATCTAGCATCGGTTCACGGCCGGTAAAGTGACGGTTCGACAAGGATGGAATAACACAGTGGACTAGAGATTGATCATCTTGGAAAGATTAGTGAGTCCAATATTGTACTTAATATTTGCGGTTGACTTACAAGGCCTAGTGTTTGTCTCATTCATTTCTCCAATGGGCATATGGAGGTGGTAAGTGACCGAGCCGTGGTTCACACCCATCTGGAACCCCGAGTTTGAAGGCCCAAACGATGTTGTAGACGCCATGCTCGCCACGGGGGTCAGTTTCGTTTCTTCAACAGGCATGTGGAAAATAACTGCCTGGAATAAGCTGCCGCCGCCGCGGCGAAGGTCAGAGTGAATAGGTAGAGATATAAATATATCGCTTGGCTTCGAAAGTATCTATAAGCTGTAAAGTCAGCCATTCAACAAAATAGTGGAGGGGAGGGGTAATAAAGAATGGTTGCGACCGTAGAGACGCCTTGCTATCAGCCTAAAGCGTCAGGGGTGATTGGGTGCCGTTAAGCGCCCGCCCGCATCAGCGAACGAGGCAATTCCACGAGTCATGTGCATACGCGGATATCGAACTGCATGAGGTACTTCGTGCTATTGACGACTGAGTTGTGATTGCACAGCAGTCAATCCAACCAGCGGCCTGCATGCAAGGTGGGGCTCAAGAAGCCGGTGTATCCAATTTACCGCCTTCGACGATATGATAAGGCAGGTAGTATCCCACATGAATCTAGACAGGCTCGTTGTTATATTGGTAGACGTAAACTGTACCCAACTAAGGGCTTCTCATCAAATTGGGAAAAAGAAAAATTTTGCGAACTGAATAAATTACAACTCCGGAAAATATTTGAATATACATAAGCTCTATAAGCCTATACAAGTCAATTATAATAGTATTTAATTGTTAGACCTATATGGCGGAAATGGCCTTCAGCACTCTTTTCTCTTACACCAACTACATCTACGCACCACTTTAGAAATTCCTGGAAATCTCTATCCGGGTCATCCTCAAACAATCGCCAATTTCGTTTAATAAAAGCTTTCAGCTCGGCGAAAAACTCCTCGATGGGGTTTAGATCAGGAAAATAAGGTGGAAGATAGACCAGCTTAGCTCCTGCTTCTAGACATATGCTTTTTAACCGCCTAGAGCGGTGGAAGGATGCATTATCCATTACTAATACCGATTTAGGCTCCGGCCATCTGCCATAATGATGGAGAAGCTGCTCTATGAAATCCTCGAATATAGGAGCGTCGGTTGAGCCCCGAAAGACGCGGTAAAGAAGTACACCATCTTGGCAATATGCCGGCAAGATCTGGGACAGCTGACCACAGTGGAGCTTTGTCACTTGGACCGGGGCGACCCCCAGCGGGCCCAACCTGTCCACCGATAGCCGATCCGCTTGTCACATCCAGATTCGTCCACATAGACCAGATGATATAACTCAATTTCCGATAGATTATGGAGGTAGTAGTCTCGTAGATCGGCGTTGCGATCCTTCGCTTGGTTCCTGGTTGTTTTCTTGGACCAGCCTTTTGCTTCCAGAGCTCGACTGATGGTAGAGTTGGCCACACAGGCACCAAGTTCCTCTCGCGGGAAAATCGCGATCTCAACCAAGATATAATCCAGGTTTCTCGGATAGGTAGTGACAGAGAGCCTCAAGCATAAGTGGTCTGATACTCTTTGGTCGGCTGGAGGGGATTGGAGGTGCTTTAGGACTGCCGGACATCCGTAGATTAGAACGGGTATATCTAACAGACTGTTTACTGCATTCTGCTGCATTCTGCTGCATTAGCGATATCAGTGGTTTTTAGATTGCTCTCAATAATATCACGGATCAGCTGCCGCTTCAATGGGGATAAGTTTAGAGCCATATTTGGCACTACAAATAGTAGATGTTGAGGGGTACAGCAATATTCGAAATTGGCTTCCATGTTTTACACCGAGAAACTATCTCCAGCCCCACCGCCAAGATGCTAGTGAGACCGCCTAGGGCAAATTAAGCTAGCCTGCAGATCATGCTTGTTTTAGACTGTCTCGACGTATCGTACAAAACATGAAACGTAATACGGTCCCGTAAGTTACCCATGGATATAGTCGAAACAGTTTCTAGAAAATTCCAATGTTCAAATTATTGATATTACAATCTAATGTTTAATGCGATATGAGGCTTTCATTTTCGTGATTACAGAATTTTCTTGGTTCAATGGTTTGTTTTTATCAACAATTACTAGGCAAAGCTCCACTTTAGAGAAATTGAACACGGGAGAGTCCTACTTCCTGTCAAATAGGCGCAAGAATATTGCCCGCCTACGGTGTCCGCCAGGTCTATCAACCGACTCGGAGGTTTCTATGGAACTGCCTAGGATTGAGGCCTCTTTGGTGTCCGACAGCGGTTTAGTGAGCTGGGAAGACGGGGAGTCAACCTTCCCGCGCCATTCGTCTAAAGCAGACTTGGAAGATGTAGTATGCGGATGGTTAGGGCCTAATTTTCGGTGGAGAAGTTGAACGCATTCAGCCATCAGCTGCAATGCAGCTATGTATTGACCCGATGACCTAAGGGTATAAGCCAGGTTGTTCATGCTCGTCAGCGTGTCAGGATGGTCCACGCCGAGCTTCGTCTTGCTCGTCTCCATGACCTGCACAAAGAGCTGCTCCGCCTCCTCCCATCGTCCCTGGTTCCTATACGTCGATGCCAGGTTGGCCATGCTCGTCAGCGTAGAGGGATGGTCCACGCCGAGCTTCGTCTTGCGAGTCTCCATGACCTGCACTTCGAGCTGCTCCGCCTCCTCCCATCGTCCCTGGTTCCAGAACGTCGATGCCAGGTTGGCCATGCTCGTCAGCGTAGAGGGATGGTCCACGCCGAGCTTCGTCTTGCGAGTCTCCATCACCCGCACCTCGAGCTGCTCCGCCTCCTCCCATCGGCCCTGGTTCCTATACGTCGATGCCAGGTTGGCCATGCTCGTCAGCGTAGAGGGATGGTCCACGCCGAGCTTCGTCTTGCGAGTCTCCATCACCCGCACCTCGAGCTGCTCCGCCTTCTCCCATCGGCCCTGGTTCCTATACGTCGATGCCAGGTTGGCCATGCTCGTCAGCGTAGAGGGATGGTCCACGCCGAGCTTCGTCTTGCGAGTCTCCATGACCTGCACTTCGAGCTGCTCCGCCTTCTCCCATCGGCCCTGGTTCCTATACGTCGATGCCAGGTTGGCCATGCTCGTCAGCGTAGAGGGATGGTCCACGCCGAGCTTCGTCTTGCGAGTCTCCATCACCCGCACCTCGAGCTGCTCCGCCTTCTCCCATCGGCCCTGGTTCCTATACGTCGATGCCAGGTTGGCCATGCTCGTCAGCGTGTCAGGATGGTCCACGCCGAGCTTCGTCTTGCTCGTCTCCATCACCCGCACCTCGAGCTGCTCCGCCTTCTCCCATCGGCCCTGGTTCCTATACGTCGATGCCAGGTTGGCCGTGCTCGTCAGCGTGTCAGGATGGTCCACGCCGAGCTTCGTCTTGCTCGTCTCCATGACCTGCACAAAGAGCTGCTCCGCCTCCTCCCATCGTCCCTGGTTCCAGAACGTCGATGCCAGGTTGGCCATGCTCGTCAGCGTAGAGGGATGGTCCACGCCGAGCTTCGTCTTGCGAGTCTCCATGACCTGCACTTCGAGCTGCTCCGCCTCCTCCCATCGGCCCTGCTTCCTATACGTCGATGCCAGGTTGGCCATGCTCGTCAGCGTAGAGGGATGGTCCACGCCGAGCTTCGTCTTGCTCGTCTCCATGACCTGCACAAAGAGCTGCTCCGCCTCCTCCCATCGTCCCTGGTTCCAGAACGTCGATGCCAGGTTGTTCATGCTCGTCAGCGTGTCAGGATGGTCCACGCCGAGCTTCGTCTTGCTCGTCTCCATGACCTGCACTTCGAGCTGCTCCGCCTTCTCCCATCGGCCCTGCTTCCTATACGTCGATGCCAGGTTGGCCATGCTCGTCAGCGTAGAGGGATGGTCCACGCCGAGCTTCGTCTTGCTCGTCTCCATCACCTGCACTTCGAGCTGCTCCGCCTCCTCCCATCGGCCCTCGAGCCGGTATACGTTCGCTAACATCGCAGTGCTATCGAGGGTCTGTTCACCCTCCAAGCCAAACATTAACACTCGCTCCGTCCTTGATTTAGATGCCATATCCCTTGATTCCTCAATGTTCCCGGTATCCTTAGCATACCATGCTCCCCTATAAAGTAGCGTCGCCCATTTTTGTAGAGAGTCTTGTGATCCTGGTCGTTGTGAGACCGCTGATTTTATGTGTGGAAATAGCGATCGGCATCGTGCCCAATTTTCATATTCACCGGTCGGAAACCTTTGGTATAGGCTCGTGATGAATTCCTCCTTCCATCGCTCTATTTGCCTATTGCTTTCAAGCCACACACGCACAGTAAGTTGCACTAGCCGGTGCATCGTGAACACTGTTATGTTCTCGCTGATAGAAATAAATGAAAAGTCTCTCAATGTTGTAAGATCATCATTAAAATTATCATCCGTGTTAGATTCTGATGTGCTATCCGTATCCTCGTCGCGGCGGTCAAACGCAATCCTCTCCGAGGTCGAATTCTCGTTATATGTATCGCGTTGAACTCGGAGAAGGTCCTCTGAAACTCCCTGTCGGTCGAAAAAGCTCATGAGGGAGAGCAAATCAGCAGCGGACGGTCGTATTCGTCGAATATAGTCGAAGGATATTTGCCATGTGACTAGAATCGAATTCTTCGCCTCCCAATCTCGATAGAGATGACCCGCCTCATAATGAAGAAGCTTGATCGCTTCACCATCACTCTTCCGAAACTTCTCGAGGTACTGCGATACTGAACAGCGGGGTGCTCGATGCACGATGTAGCCAGCTGCCTGCACAATAGCCAGTGGCATAAACTCAAGTTCTTCCACTAAAGTTAGAATATCAGGAGTTTCCGCCAATCGTCCAAGCTTTTGTTGGAGAAGTTTTAGAGCCTCCGACTTGTTCATTGGTTCTATTTTAATAACGTCCTGATGGTCGACAATTTTTAACGCTACCTCTTTATTCCGACTTGTGATAATTATAGATCCGTTCGGGCTTCGGGGGAGAAATTCCAACAATGGCTTTGTCGAGCTGTTGGTTTGGCCGATCTGCAGGCCCTGCTGGCCTGTCGTTGATGGCTGGCGGAGGAACCCATCATCATCAACATTATCAAGAATTAGTAACCACCTTCCTCTCTTGACATCCTGAAGCCAGTTTTCGACTAGTTGAAATATATTCACTGTGGGATCCTTGCGCCCGAAAATTTTGGCCTGGTCGGCGATATCCCGGAAACTTTGCTCGAACCGAGCCGCGTTACTTGCGTGGACCCAGAAAACCCAGGTAGCCGGTGATTGAGATCGGACTCGGTAGGTGTATTCGATGCTAAGTTGCGATTTCCTGTCGACTGTCAGTACTAACCCACACGCTGCCCTCCTTGCACTCACCCGACACCGCCAACGCCCACAAGAGCTATCCTGGAGCCGGGGACTGAGATCTTTGTATGTATCTCATCGAGTAGTGTGTCGCGACTGACAAAGTCTCGGTCGCGGCGAAACGGGACGGTTGATAGAGGGGCTGGTGGAGTTTCCGGTCGCTCTGGGCCAAGAAGCGGCGATTAGTCGACCTAGTCGCCTTTCTAGAGTCTTGTGAATACTACCTGGGTGCAAATAGAACTGCGCATTGACTGTGCCATTCACAATACCAGCCTGGAGGCCAGAATTCGTGTTGCTGAACGTTATCGAAGTCATAGTCAACACGCTATGCATAGAATGCTTGGCTTTTTGGGCAGATCAAAGGTCTAAACCCTCAAATAAAAGGCCATCGTTAGCCCCTCTCTCAGGTGACCCGGGCGCCAAAATTGTCAGGTGCTCATTCTATCTTTAGAAGAACTAAGACGTGGCGGCTTTCTTCTCGTCAGACATTCAATATCAAAAGTGGAGAAAGACACAAAGCTAACCGAAAGAGTCGCGTTGTTGAGGGGTTGCGGGCCTTTTTCCAGTAGCAAGTGTCTTGGCGTTGTGCAAAGTGAAGCTGCGTAGTCGAACGAACCCCTGTTCCCGCAACGCGTGTGAGAAGTGCCTGTGGAATCCCCACAGGAACCGTGGTCTGGAACAATAGACTTGAGCAAACAGACCACAGATTGGTGCGGATGGTGGTGATGGAACGCGCACTGCATCCAGCGGCATCGGCGATCTGGGATGTGGTAAGTGATTTGCTCAAGATCATATCGCGAATAAACTCTCTAGTAGAAGAAGGCAGATTTAGAGCCATTTTGTGAGTGGCTGGTGGCCTTGAAGGCGATGTGGTGGGCTTCAATAATATATGCTCGGTCGGGAGATCGAGGACAGAAAACGTTCAGCGAGACGCATGAGAATGACCAGGGTGTATCTGTCTTGTCAGGTAATTTACGTTTCAATTCTGACGAGCAGGGATAATTCGTAGCCTAACCGAGTTCGGCCTATGTAGACGGTTTCACTATCGTTTTGGCGGTGGGGCTTGAGATAGTTTCTCTGTGTAAAAAATGGAAGCCAATTTTGAATATTGCTGTATAGTTACCATTCAAGGGGTTCAAGCCAGGGGTCGTTTGGAGTCTAACTGATTCAGGCTAACGCGGTCTTGGCAACTAAGTTTGGGAAAGAAAAAGTGAGTGTAAAAGCGCGAGGCGATTTTGCAAGCTATTATACAGTATACTGTACAAACACCACATGTACGTAGCATAGCTCTCTCTCTCTCTCTCTTCTTCCCTTTTCTTCAACGTTGCTATTCGTTGTTTTTGCACCCTTCCCCATCCCAGTAGAAACGTAGGCACCCCATCACATAATTTTTGGTTGGCACTACTCAATCTTTGTGAGAATAGTTCAAAGTAAATATGATTGAATGAATGGAATAGAGCTATGAAGCTACTTTGAATTCTCAACAAAAACATGCTTCCAACAGTTTGTAGAGCGGTCGTAAGACTTTGAAACGAACAGGGTCGTGGTGGCATGCGGTCGCGTCAGAGAATAACGAATCTCGCTACCAGGATATTCTGGCGAGATGAAAATAGAAGGTAAAACATTGCCTCGACCTAATAAGAGGCCAAGCAAGCTATCACTTGAATGAGGCGGGCGTTCATTACGCTGCATCGGCATCGGAATCGGGCTTCATGAAGCGTGTCTCGATATCAGAATCAGAATTCATAAAGCGTTTTTTGTTCTCAGAATCGGGACTCATGAATCGTTCCTCGATGCCGGAGTTAGGCTTCATGAATCGCGCCTCGATGTCGGAATCAGGATTCATAAATAGGGCAGCAATAGCTCCATTCGCCAGAAGGGCAGCGGCCAGTACGTATGTCGCGGAGGTAAGATGCATTGTGCTTGCGGTAAAGCAATCCAATCGTGATGCGGGAGTGTAGTTGTTGAGTCTTTCAAACCTCAAGCTGTTATTGAAAGCGTTTTCAAGACCAGGAAAATCAGGGGATACACCTACTTAGCCCTATATGTATGTTGAATAATTGTTCCACCACCTTGGGCAATCTTCGGGGTTCACTCAAAGCTTGGAACACGCAATATACCCTTGACTCGGACTTTCTATTGAGCTAAGGCCAAACCTGCTCTATATAAGCTATCTACCTCTATCTGGACATGTGTTTCTTTTATGACCCTCGTTCCCGCAAGCTCCACATTTCGGTAATGCTCTCGACCGTGGTTGTAGAGGTGGTGGTGGCTGTCGTGCGGGCCGGGGTGCTGGTGCGACCGGGAGCTCAACCAAGGGCTCTACTAGGTCTTGGAGCTCTGCAGCTGATATCCCTACTTCTCGTGGTATCTGCTGCCTAGATCGAGTTCTTTTCTGCTTTTTCTTCTCAATTCCAGCCCGTAATTCCTCGTATTCTCGAGCTAGAAATGCAGTAGATTGTATTATCATTTGAGAAGCCTTGAGAACTTGATCTATCGCGGAATTAAATGACCTTGGTGGGTTCTGCTTTTTCTTCTCCATTCCAGCCCGTAATTCCTCGTTTTCTCGAGCTAAAAATGCAGTATATTGCATCATGATTTGACAAGCCTTGAGAATTTGATCTATCGCGGAATTGTGTGGACTTGGTGGGTTCCGAGAACGTTTTTTTAATAGAGCTTTGATCGAGGATGCTTGTCTTTGCAGCTGAATATAGTTTGAGGGTGTTTGTAGCTCCCACTCGCTTCCCTGGCTTGAGGGGGGGGTCGGGGTTCGAAGCGGAATATTAAGCTTTGAAAACACACGATTGGGGTCATACGGGACTAAACCAGCTGCTGCGAAGCTATTCTTGATTGTCTCTGGTTTATAAGCGAAAATTCGGGCGGACGGGTAAGCTTCGAGGAAATCAAATTTGTCGATATGATTATTCCCGAGTCGCATTTGAGATTCGACAAATTGACCATAAGAGCGGTTTAAAACCGCAGAACAGCCTACATCAAGAGGCTGTAAAAGGTGTGATAAGTGTGCTGGTATGCAAATTGGAATTATGTCATTTTGACTGCAAAGTTCATCGAACTTTGGCGTTAAATGACTACCATGGCCATCAAGGATCAAAAGTCGAAACTTTCCTTTCGTCCGCGAAAAAGTCAAGGGAATAAACATTTTTTCAAGCCAGCGAAGCCCAATTTCATCAGAGGTCCATCCATTCGGACTAACTTCAAATCGCCAGTCTCTCGGGAGACCATCACCCCAGCCTTTCATAAAGATTTCGCCTTTAAAGATAATCACTGGAGGAAGCGCCCACCCCGACGCGCCCGTACACTCAATAGCGGTTACCCACTCGCGATTTGCGGGTTGTAAAAGTGATCTCCGATCGTAGTATTCCGATCTTGTAGTAACTTTTGCAGTTGTGATTAAACCCATCGCGAATCCAGTCTCATCAAAGTTATAGATATCATCTGATTCGATTCCGTTTTCGAGGATCGTTTTTTGAACAAGATTAAACCATTCTTGAATGATTTTTGGATCTTCAGTTTTCGCGCGTTCATGATTATAACGTCTTAAGAAGCGAGGTGATAGCTCGTGGTGTCTTTTCACGTAATTATAGACCCATTTTTCGCCAACAATTAAGGGTGGTGTAGTTCCGCGAGCCGCAAGAAGAAGATTCGCAGCTTCGCGTACGGTAGAGGGCCTAGGGGCAGCTCCACGATCGTCAAGAGATATAATCCATTTTTGAAGCGATTCCTCTTCAAATTTTGTCAATTTGTGTGAATTTGGGCGTGTTTCAGAGCGTGCTTTGAGGCCGGTAAGACGATTGCGTAGTGTTGAACGTGGGACGTCAAAAGTGCGCGCGGCAACAGTAATATTGCTTATCTCTTGCCTTTCAAGGGCCTGGATAGCTAATAGAATCCTGCCCTCTTTTTCGGCAGAATTCCGAGAGGATTGGGTGCGAATTGGTGGCATGGTGGGTGGTTGAAAACAAAGAGTTTGATTATCTTGACGCGTTTATACGCGTTTTCGGGTGGGTGGCCAACTCGCTTACATGGCCACCCCAAACCACATAGTAAATGCGATATATTACAACATTGAATTCAACCACTTTTGATTAATAAGACGCGATATTAAGAGATAGTGCTTTTAATAGCATTTATAGTTCATTATTCTGGCTTAGGGTGAAACATCAATGTTTTGACCCGGATCTATATAGTTGAAATTGAAATGCGAAAATTATTGTGTATTTTATGGTAATGCTTTAAAATAATACTCTGAATAGCGTGAGATTCATATATGCTACTACTTATACTGGAGATAATACAATACCCGATTCCTCATTTGAATGAAGTTGTGGTGGTTGAGTTTCAGCTCTTGGATTTATCGCATTTACTCTGTGTTTTGGGGTGGCCAGTTCGCTTACATGGCCAACTCGCTTACCGAATACGTTAACTAACTAAACGAGAGATGTATTGATACCTAATATGTCTTCCTTGGTCACTGGACGATTCGTGGGAGAATCGATATGTCATCGAATGATCTGGCACTTGTGAATCGTTTAAACGCAAGTACATTATTCTTTGATCATTTGGAGACCACCATGCAGCGCAATCACTCTGAAGAATTTCCTCCTCGTAGACCCAATCCGTAACGCCGTAGAATAAATCCTGACCGCCGTCTCCTACGATGCTTGTAACTCGATCTGAAGAAATTCACCGCAAGAAGAGGTTATTTTTCCTTGCAAATACTACATGATTCGACGTTGACGACCAAGCTGCCCATTGGATATTCGCTTCTCCATCGCCTCCGTGTGTCTGTGGAAATTAGAAGCCATTTCAAATCCGGGCTTGGCCAGACTTGATGAACCTTGATAATCTCTTGATTAATTATTAAGGATGATGAATTCAAGAGCTTGCAGCTCGTTCTGCAAAACCTTTCATGAATTCGACTGGTCGGTTTGCATGAGCCAATATCATCTTCTCTCAGATATGGCAAGATTCCAGGGTTGTCTATCCGAAGGTGTCCATCATCACCATTAGGCCTTGTAACCCGTCTTTCTGAATGCAATGACGTGTTCTCATTCCATTTCCCCGAAAAGACTTGTTCACGGGTAATAGAAGACTTGCGGTGGTGCAGTTTTATTTTATCTTCCAGTGGAGGTGGAAATGATGACACTGGGAACAGCTGAAGAATTGCTATGGTAAAGCCCAATGCAAACAGGGCTCCTAATATGCAGAATGCAGTGAAGCACTTTTCTCGGTGCTTAATATCCATTTTTTAGGGGTGTTATTCTCATTCTGCAACAAGCCTTCGTTCAAATCAACCTCAGAAGTTTCATCTAAGTCTTTCAGTGGAAATGAACATGAGTCAAGATGCTCGCACCAATCAAGACTGGCCATGATACGGTTGTAGGCTTACTCTGTGTTGAGGTCGACAATATAGTGTGGTTTGTATATATATTTGAGTTGAAGAAGAACTAGTAAAAATAAACAACACATTCGTCACAAGAAGGCGATGCCACATTACCAAGTTTTCCTTCTTCTGCTGTGAAGTCTTTATATAACTAGTGAAATACTTAAGAGGGGCATCACTTCTCCAAATGCATTCTCTGCTTACCTGGAAAGTTCAATAATAATAAATTTCCATCGTTGCCAATCAACAATCACTATGAAGTCTTTTTGAATGTTTCAAATTTAGTGGCAGTTGCATTGTGCCTTTTTGGCTGTCTTCCAACTGAAGGGGCGGTCTTCTCTATTAGCCTGTCCAGAGGCCATTGCACCTCACCCAATCAGATTAAAAATTACGAATCTTATCGTTTTGTGACGGTTGTACCAGAAAAGGATTATTGTGGAAGCTTTCAGTGAATTGAATAAAATTTGCAGCGCCCTAATAGTGTTCTTCCAGGATTTCTGGTTCGCTCGTTTCTCCATTGGAGCATCACGCAACCTATCTATACTTAGATACAGGGTCAACGGATCTAATTCTAAATCCAGATGTCTACACGCCCAATCAATTCGGCCTTTCGTCGTCGAATGCATTTTCTATGAAATATGGCTCGTTAAACTCGGACGGGTCTGAGGAAGAAGTCGTAAGTCGCGAGAAAGGGGTTTACTGCCATGATTGAATCTAAGAGCGCATAAATACAGGTAAATGGGACAGTGGTATAGGATACTGTTCAACTGGAGACTACCAACCTATCAGTTCTCTTCCAATCAATTGGAGTAACATATGCCTTCTCTCCTGCACCAGGACCACCGTTCCCACACGATGAGCTGATGGGTTTCTTCGTCCCCGGGAGCGCATTTGGAGATGATGTACCCAACCTGCTTTCAAGCCTATGTCGCCAATCTGATACCTTCGACCAGTGTCGCTTCGGAATGGTCTTAGACTCGAGCAAAAGCTCAGGCTGCCCTTACTTGGGTGGTGTTGAAAGTTCAATCTTCAGTGGAGAATTAAGTATAACCCTGATGCATCAGCGATATGTTTTTGGAGACGTTGCGATTGGGGAGAAAGTCCTCTATAAAGACGCTCCTATAATGATTGATAGTGTGGCACCACAATCAGTTGGGAGTAAGATAACCCCCCCTTAAGAACGAAAACCGTTAGACTTCGTCACAGTTCTGACCAGAGAATAGACCCATTGAACTAGTACAACAGCTCTTGTATGTCGCTGGAATCAAGTCTATTCGGCGTTACAACAGTATAACCTTAACAGCATGCATCGACGGGGTCTACCAGTGTGATGAATCCCCGTTATTTGAGTTTCAATTTCCCTCATCAGAAAATCCCTTCGTTGCCTCCACTGGCAGGTCAGAAAAAATTAGTCATATCCCAGAAACTTTCTACATCTCGTCTGAAGCTCTAGTAGAACACTCCGACGATGAAGGAAATTGTTACGCATCAATTCATGGAATGGAGCAAGAAGGCAAATTCTGGGTATTGGGTCAAGGTAGTTCCATAGAGATAGCTCAAATCTTAACCATGTGTCCCATTGACCAGTCACCTTATTCACTAGGATTTTTTCATGGGCGATATATTGACCACAACGTCGAGGCCGGCACCATTGGATTCGTAAATTTGATTTGAATTCGCATTTAAAAAGACCAGCAAGATATGGCGTCGCAGTAATCTCAATCCCGGGCTTGAAATTTATATTGGCAAACACGAATGGATTTTTTTAAATATTTGGTGATAGACAAGTGCGCAAATTGAAAGGCGATTAGCTACACTGTGAACGGCTTCTTGTGGAAATTTGCTTTTCTTTCAGATCAAATAATCGCAGAGCAATTATATCAGGAGACAAAATGGTATTGTAAATCTATCTAGGAAAACTTTCAACACCAGCTGCCTGTTCAATTTGGGCCAGCTCACCAGACTGTTCGCACAGTTGGCGGAAAAATGCATTTTCACCTCGGCGGCGAAGAAGGCCCGCCGCCGGTCCTTGCTCCACGACCTTACCTGCATCCATCACAACCAGCCAATCGTAGTCTGCAATTGATAGGAGCCAATGCGCTATAGTCAGAATAGTGGTCCCATTGGAAACGGAGCACATTAGTGCCTTCTGAATCAATGCATCTGTGGCATGATCTATCGATGCTGTAGCCTCGTCCAAGATCAGCACTCGCGGCCGGCGTAGAAGTGCCCTAGCTAGACAAACGAGTTGACGTTGTCCTAAAGATAAGGCGACTGCCCCATTGTCGAGAATTTCGGCAGGTAAAGATCTGAAAAAGTCAAGCTCCTCCAGTAGATCCCTGATATCGTTGTCCGAGCGTTGATGTAACGGGTCGAGGTTGTCTCCCACAGTTCCATTGAAGAGGGTTGGGTCTTGCGGTACCACTGTTACAACATGTCATAATTGAGATAGACGCAAAGATGCAATATTAATACCATCAATTATGATCTGCCCAGAATCTGCCTCAAGAGCTCGAATAAGTGCCAAAGCTAATGTGCTCTTGCCAGCACCTGTCCGCCCAACCACCGCTACCCGACTTTTAGCCGGAACGTCAAAGGTGATTTCCGACAAAACAGGATCAAGCTCCGGTGAATAGCGAGTTGTATACTTTTCAAACCGCACTGAGCCGCGCACGGGCCACTGGGGTGAAAGGTCGTATGGTGTTTGCTCGATTGGCTCGCTGGGCTCCGATGGTAATTCAGTGTATTCAAGAACTCTATCCACTGAATTGAAGCTTTGCTGAACGATAGCATAAAGCTGAACTAGACAAAGCACATTTTCTGTGAAAGTTGCTGCGTAGGTTAGCACCAGACCGGCCGTTACTAGATCGATATCTCCTGTATCCACACGCCAGAGCAAAAAGATACCCGTGAGCCACGAGATGAATGCACTAAGGCATGCCACACGAACAGTTAACCATTCTTTGACAGCCCATAGTACAACATATGGTCGATTGAAACCATCAATCAGACCATGGTTTTCCTCGGTAAATTTCTTCACTTGTCCGTAAGCACGAACGCTGATGGATCCACTAAGAGCCTCTCCAAAATGTTGATAAAGAGGAGACTGTTGAACGGATTCCATTCTTTTGAGGTCCCGAGCACTGTTTATATACACGTTTGTAATAACGTAATAAGCACAGTAGATAACTGCGGCGACTGGGAGAAACACAGGCAACATAGCAGATATCAGAATGAGAACCGTGGCAAGAGAGCAAAAAGTATAGAGTGTGCTCATTGAATGAACCGTAACCTCCTGATCAATTGTACTCATGTCTCTGAAAAAGCGATTTGTTATCTGTCCAAACGGAACCTTGTCGAAGAAAATAAGACTGGCATGGAGAATGGAATTAAGTAGATCATCAAAGATCTCGGTGGAAGCCTTTAGTGCGCCGGCGAAAGTTGTCATGTCACGGAGAAAGGAAACGAGAAGAAAGGAAAGACAGATAAGAGCATAAACAGCAAGGTAGTGTTTAGAGTTTACTGCCCCTGGGACTTGTTCAGATGGTGGTAATTGGTTTAACTTGTCAAACTCGAGCGCCCACTTCTTGATCCATAGATTTGTTGCGAGGGAGGTAATCTGTTGAAAGCCAAAGGCCAAGAGAACAACGAACCAAAACAATAATGCCCCCATGGATTTAAGATAGCTCTTTATAATAGAGAAAGGTACTGCTTCGATCGACTTTTCTTCGGTATATGTTGGTTCGACCTCCGGGTTGAGAGGTTCATTTTCAGCCTCGATTTCCGTATCAAAACTAGTGTGCGTTGATTTTGCAGAGTCAAAGGTAGAAAGATCAGTCTTCTCTGGTTGATTCAAGGTATCAGACTTCTGAGGAAGGTCTTCGTTCTGTATCTCTCCTTGGGTGCGAAGTAAAGATCGCGCTATAACGAATAAATAAGGACCCCACCTCACAAAGCTTCAAGAAAAAGAGAACTACAATGTAAAGCACTTAAATAGGTGAAGCCACCAGCTGTGAAAATTATCGATAGACAATGACATGACGACGAGCAGGAAATCCGACCGCCTATACCTCAAAAAAGATTGATAACTCCGTTCCATATCTGCCTAGCAATAGGCATCTTCATTCTTCTCCTGAGCTCGGTGGTGATGCTTGAACGGCTGTAATAAAGAACTCCCACTTTAATAGTAAATGCAAAATTAGTCGCAGCCTGCCAACAAGTACGAGGGGTACGGGCTGTAGAACCCATTGGCACGTGGAACATACGAAAGCGTTGCCATATAGCATCGTAAAAACTTACAAGAGGCAGTCATCTTATTCAAGCCTGGCGCTCTCCTAAGACGGCGGCAGGGTTCGCAGAAGCATATCGACGGCGAGCAAAGCCATCGTCTCACGCATAACTTCCGATGAGAATATGATTTTTGGAGAAGTCCGCTCCGGTCGAACTCTTGGCATCGATGGTTTGGATTCTATCCGCGGGCCAACTTTGGCTACTGTGCCAATTCTTCTTCGACTTGAACATGGAAAACCTATCTGCGATCTTCTTGATCGGGTTCAGAAGGCTTCTAATTCAATGCAGCCACACGAAAAACTTGGACTTCACAAAATAGGAGCTTCCAGTGAAAGTGCTCGAAGAGTGACACAATTCCGCACTCTTTTTGTATTGCAAGAAACTGAGGATAACCACCAGCAAAGATTCCAAGCTAAAGATTCTATCTTCAAAATTGAAATTGTGAATGATATACGTGATTTTAGCAGCTATAGCTTGATGCTTATATTCCAGTGCATTCAGGGACGCCTGAGCCTTCAAGCCACTTTTGACTCTTCCGAAATTCCATTTGAATTTGCGGAATACTTGATCAAACAGACATTGTCATTGTTCGAAAGGATATGCGTATTCCCTTCGGAAATACCGCTATGCCAACTAGCTTGTGCGTCGGAAGACGAAGTTCATCAGATTTGGAGCTGGAATCAAGCTGCCTCACAGCCGATACGCAGATTCATGCATGAGTTTATAACTGACCAAATACGAAGAACACCACATGCATTGACCATTCATGCCCATGACGGTAAGGTAACTTATCAAGAGCTTTGAAAAATATGCATCACAATTGGCAAAACAACCTTTACTTCTAGGGATTGGCCCGGGAGCATTTGTCCCTCTTTGCTTTGAGAAGTCACTATGGGTTTCAATAGGATCCAACAGGCTGAACACAATGAATTACCTTGAAACTTTTATCTGACATATCACAAAAAGTGTGAATCAATACACCTAGGAATATTCAATATGAACCAGGTAAAAAGCCCATCTGATATTACAGAGCAGCTAATCTAAACACGTATCGTCGTCCTTCAAATTAGGATGCTACATCGTATTTCCATTACACCGCTGTATCAGGGCAAGTGAAAAGGGATGCTCCTGGGGGGTTGTGGCATTCATTTTTTGCACGAAAGGGTTCACTAATCAAGTAGCATCCAGTGAGGCCGACACCTCAGGGGGCGTGTTCAAGATGTAATCTAGAAAACCATAGTTGCATGTAAATCAACCTAGCGTGTCGTATTTATTGAGCTAGCTTCATTCAACCCATTCTTCGTCTGAAGCTGGGTCAGCAGATGAGGTCCCTGGTCAGCAATGGTCAAATCAGAGATCAGGCTCAGTGATCGGGTTACGGCGCTCAGTGAGTGCATCAGGTCCACGCCAGTGTAGTTAACCACTGACCGGGGCTCAGGCCACTCAGGCGCGTGTTCAATTGTACTCAGTGATCATGAAGCGGCGAGGTGTGAGCACTAGAACGGAAAAGGAACGCCAAGCGTTGCCAGACATTATCCGACGTCTGGATGTATACAATGTACAAAATGGAAAACCGTCTACTCTCCAGCCCACATCTTCCACTTCCCATCACCCCCAGATCCTCCCATAGAATCCGTCTCCACAACAGCCTCAGGCAAAACATAAACAGCCGGAAACCTCTTCTCATCCTCCCCTTCCCCCTCACCTGCACTTCTCACCTGAAGCCCAGCCCCATCATAATGCACCTCATCCAGGAAATACCCCATAACAACCCTACAACGTCCACACCTTACAAGAACTCTCTTCTCGATACCGTCTTCGCGCCGAATAAGCGTCGCGCGCCGATCAGGTATACTCGTTGAAAGAAGGAGAGTAACATGTTTAGACTGTGATTTGAATGTTGTGTTTGTGTTTGTGTCTTCGTCTTCGAGCTCGGTTTCGTTCTTTTCGAGTGGAAGGATAATGGCTCTATCTTTTGCTTCTCCTGTTCGGGTTGGGAGGATTTTTAGATCCCTGGTCGTCGCTAGAAGGAGATGGTTGCAGAATGTGCAGTGTTGGGTGCGGATTTGGAGGCGGGGTTGTTCGGAGGTCATATTGGAGTGGTGTGTTGGGGGCTTTGGATATGCAGATTGTAATCGTCAATGCGATTGTGATTGAGGGTAGGTTGTTTGATTCCTTGTCCTTATGAAGGAGAAAGCTTCTATAAAGCTTTCGGTGCTGCAGATTAGATAGAGCCGTGGAAGGCGGTGAATAGTCACCTCTACATAATAAAACCAGCAGTTATGTTCACCGCAGATGCCTCCAGAGATCTATGTCATGAACTCCACAGCCAATAATATCTCTGCTAGATTCCACCGCCCTCACTACCGCCAAACTCCCTATAGAGTGCAGAATTGACTTTGAACCCGTTGCTTACCGCAGCCAAATCAAGTAAGAGAGATCGCTGCCCCACATCCCTTTCCATATCGTCATATTCTCCCCTCCCTTGTTTTCCTTTTCCCTCCGTTTTATTCTTTGCGAAGACCGTTGGAAAAAAAAAACATTTTGCCCCCAGTGAACTTATAGTAATCATGGTCGGACTCGGTCCTAAACATCCCCCTTCCCGCAAGGGTGAGCTTTATCTGTTCTGTATCGCGAAGATCGCCGTGCTAATCGTGTTCATCATTCTACCCCACCAGGATCCATGCATGATGTGCCGCAGAATCTTCTACAGCAGATTAAGGACTTTGAGGAGAGGTTCACCGTGGATCAGGCCACGCTAAAGAAGATTGTGGCTCATTTCGTCAAGGAGCTTGAGAAGGGTGAGTTTGCGACCTGGAGGTCTCTATAAAGGAACCGTAGGCCTCGTGCGACCTCGTATTTGAAGCTGACAAGTCATCTGAACTTAGGTCTGACTGTAGAGGGTGGCAACATCGTGAGACGCCCTTCTATCCGTGAATTAATCTTGTAACAGGAATTATGTGAAGCTAACGACAGCGATTAGCCGATGAACGTTACTTGGGTTCTGGGATTCCCCGATGGCAACGAACAAGGCACATTCCTGGCCCTTGACATGGGAGGCACCAACCTGCGTGTTTGTGAGATTACCCTAACAGATGCCAAGGGCGCCTTCGATATCACCCAATCCAAATACAAGATGCCCGAGGAGCTGAGGACGGGTACCGCGGAGGAGCTGTGGGAATACATTGCCGACTGTTTGCAGCAATTTATCGAGTTCCACCACGAGGATGAGAACTTGACAAAGCTTCCTCTGGGTTTCACCTTCTCTTACCCCGCTACCCAGGACTACATTGATCACGGTGTCTTGCAACGCTGGACGAAGGGATTCGACATCGACGGTGTTGAAGGCGAGGATGTGGTTCCTCCCTTGGAGACTATCCTGAAGAAGCGCGTATGTCCTCGGCCTCAATATTTTCTCGATTTGTTCTATCACATATCTAATTTTTCTTTCTCTCTTACGAAAGGGTCTGCCCATTAAAGTTGCTGCTCTGATCAACGACACCACAGGTACTCTTATCGCCTCTTCCTACACCGACTCAGAGATGAAAATTGGCTGTATTTTCGGCACTGGAGTCAACGCCGCATATATGGAGGATGTTGGTTCCGTGCCTAAGCTCGCGCATATGGGGCTCCCCGCCGATATGCCTGTTGCTATTAACTGTGAATATGGTGCCTTTGATAACGAGCGTGTCGTACTCCCCTTGACCAAATACGACGAGATTATTGACCGTGATTCCCCCCGACCCGGTCAACAAGCATTCGAGAAAATGACTGCCGGTCTTTACCTGGGCGAGATCTTCCGCTTGGCCCTCGTGGATATTCTCGACTCACACCCTGGCTTGATCTTCAAGGAACAGGATACCTCTAAGCTGCGCAAGCCTTACCTGTTGGACGCGTCATTCCTCGCCAATATTGAGGAGGACCCCTATGAGAACTTGACTGAAAGCTTGGATCTCTTCGAGCGTGAACTGAACATCCGTCCTACTCAACCCGAGCTGGAAATGGTTCGCCGTCTAGCAGAGTTGATTGGTACCCGTGCCGCTCGCTTATCTGCTTGCGGTGTTGCTGCCATCTGTACAAAGAAGAACATCGAGTCCTGCCACGTCGGTGCTGATGGCTCTGTTTTCACCAAGTACCCCCACTTCAAGGCTCGTGGTGCTCAGGCTCTCCGTGAGATCCTGGATTGGGCCCCTGAAGAGAAGGACAAGGTTACTATCATGGCTGCCGAGGATGGATCCGGCGTGGGTGCTGCGCTGATTGCCGCTCTGACCCTGAAGCGCGTCAAGGCGGGTAATCTGGCTGGTATTCGCAACATGGACGACATGAAGACCCTGCTTTAAAAAGGGCCAATTCCAAGGAAAGGAATAAAGAAAACAAAGAAAGCAAAAGAAAAACAGCAAAATTCCGATAAAAGGTGGCATAAGACCTGGGATTGTGCACAATTTGGTTTGATTTTAATGCTTGATGGATCATGATATCGATTTCTGCATCATGTGGGCCTATTCGGCCAGTCAATAGAGTACGAAGTTGAGTACTCGCTGGTAGTAAATACCATAGAACCGTGAATAATGGAATGGGAATGTTCGAAGTAACTTGTTATATCTTTCAAATGTTTCCCGGTTGCGTAATAGACGAGATGTCACTCTATGGTAATCAAGCTAAGGCCGACTCGGCGTGCCAAACCTCTCCGCTTAAGCCCCAGTTCCGTGAAACTTACCCTGGGAAAGTTGACATTCCAAATTCAGGCAGCAGCTTAAGATACATAGACAATATACCTAAATAACAATATATTTCATAATCCGTATGTGGAAAATTAATTTTCGAAGTTCTTTATTTTAATTCGTTGATCTATGTCAGTTAGATTTGTATGCCATATCACAAATGAGCATCCCTTTTAGAGGAGACTGTGTCTAACCAGTGCTGAACTGCCCTTGCCAAGCTGTCAATCTCCTCTTCTGTATTGCCGGCATGCAGACATACCCGGACCCTTTCTTTTCCTTTCGGAACTGTGGGAGCCATAATAGCACGAACAACAATCCCCATTTTTTGGCAGAAGCTCGCCAGCTCCCGAGGTTGAAATGTTCGGAGGGCAAATATAGCAGATTCCGGGAAATGATCCACTTCGAACATGACAGATGGATGAATCTGAAGAGAAGCGAGGCGAGTATGAAGATAGGTAACCAAACTTTGCAAGCGGCATTGTAGTAACTCAGTCTCGCCCGAAGATAACAGTTCATAAGCAGTTCTAATGGCTGCTAAAAATGGAAATCCAAGGGCGGTAGTGTATATCAAGCTGCGAGCATAGTTTATCAGATATTCCCTCACTTCTGGCCCACAAAGTACCACAGCACCATGGCTGGCTAAGGCCTTGCCAAAAGTGTGGACCCGAATGAATATGCGCTCTTGGACTCCTAGCTCCTGCACAATACCAGCACCTCTTGGGCCAAAAACACCGGTTGCATGGGCCTCGTCGACAATAAAATAACCATTTCCACATGGCAAAAGTTCATCCACAATGTCAAGGAATTCCTTAATTGGGGCAATATCGCCATCCATACTGTAAATGGACTCGATCACAATAAAGATGTTCCGGGTTCCATCTTGAATATTCTTATCATTTTGAATGGAGCTCTCCAGGACTTTACGTAGGTCAATTGGAGAGCTATGTGAGAACATCGCCTGTCTGCCTGCTCGGGATAAACGTATGCCTTCGTGTATACTAGCATGAATATACTCGTCGTACACAACCAGATCACCTGGCTGTGGAATACTTGACAAGACACCAATATTTGCATCAAAGCCCGAGTTGAACAACAGTGCAGTGGGGGCATGGTGGAACTCTGCCACAAATTGTTCTAGTTCCTCGGCATAAGCCGAATTACCATCCAGGAGCCGTGATCCGCCACTTGAGAATGGGAAGGACTCTGGGGCCTTGTTTAAATGAGCCAGCAGCCGATTCCGGTAGATAGACGCGGTAGAAAGAGAAAGAAAGTCATTAGAAGAAAAGTCGACTGTTTCCTGAGGCAAGATAGTCAGCCTACGACGTGCAGATTTTGCCTCTCGAGATTTTAACGCATTTGCCAATGCCTCAGCAAGCGACTTTTGGGGTAGTGGACCCATGGACATAATCAGATAAAGTCTTGCTGTAGTCGTGTGAAAAAGAGAGAGACCTCGGAATACTCACCCTGAAGGGTATATACGGTGGAAATTGCCATCTGCCACCGCCCAAGCCGCCAAGCCGAGGCCTCAACGTTGTGGGATAACAGCTGACTCTGGAGACCCGATTGCAGCGCGAGGCAAGTCAAGAAATGTTGTCAACAAGATGCGACGGCAGGCTGGGGATAGGCACGATATCGTAATCCAAACGATATTGCTCTATCGTATCGTGAGGCCTTTGGCTAGCGATATCGTTTACCGTGCGTCTTTAGTCGTGATTGAAATATAATGGTATGCAAGTGCTGTGCTGTACTAGTTAAAATGTATAAGTGTCTCTGATGTATAGTATGCATGCTGTCAAGGTGGTGCACATGTGGCTATAAAATTTCTTCGGAATACCACTAGCAGTGCGGTCAGATAATACTAGTAGCTGCATGCACAGTCACAGCATCCATAACAAGTAGAACGGGAAAAAAGGCATGAATGTTCGCGTAAGCTATTTAGTATTTTCTGTGTTTACATAGCATATTCCATCGATAGCTTAGTTAGCTTTTCCCACCATCGTCTACGTACGATCATACCGTACACTATGGATTCTGATCTTCTAATTCTTCTTTAGTATTTGTTTCTCAATGCTTCCCCAAAGTTATTAAGTATACCTTGGGAAATAACTGACTAATCCATTACATAAAATTAAAAAAGTCAAACAGATTCTAGATAATCTCCTCACAGAATCTAACATTGAAGCTATCCAACAGAGCAAAGCTTCCATTCCAAACCCCCTTTCTGAGTCCCAGTCTTTGAAATGTCCCGACACAGACCATTAAGATCAGTACCGCTCACCAAAAAAACTACTCGCAGTCCCAAAAACCCAACTAAGATCATTTCAAGGACGAACACCCGCATCACCGAGATCATTCACTCCATTCGGACCTCCATATCTCCCCTTAGGATTCCAGTACCCCTCTCCCTTATCCCGACAAGTTCCAATAACACAGTAATACTTCGAACCCTTCCCATTACTGTTCGGCGAGACAAGTACCGATGGGCTTTCGACAAGACTAGTTCCACCAGTAGCATCGTCGCAGTAAAGCGATATCTGGTTTTGGGCTTGGTATTTTGTGTGTGCGGCATTGTACCATACACATACTGTTTCGCCTTTCGTTCCACCACAGGTGTAGGAGGCGCTTTCAGTGAATGTTTTGGAAACGCTGAATCCGGCACTAATCCATTTGTATAGTTCGAAGGATGATGTGAAAGTGAAGGTGTGTGAGTTGCTGCTTGTTACGGAGGCGGAGCAGGATGAAGATGAGCCGCACTCGATGTTTTTCTGTAAATGTAAATATTAGTTGATTGAAATCGGGTTTGAAGAGAGAAAGAGATAGGGGTATCATAATATGATGAATGATAGATACTTACACTGTACTGTTCAGCAAAGTATTGCTGTTGAATTACGCTCTTTATAGCGACAGTGGTCTCACTGGAAGAACATGACGAGCGCTTATCAACATTCTCAGGTTCATTAAGTTCGCTCTTAGTGACCGGAACAGCGGAGCGACGGTCCACCGGTCCAGCTTTGGAAGTATCAAGAATCCGAACACCCTGTGCCAAATCAAATGCAGTAAGATCACCCCCAAAACAGGCCTGAGTCTCATTAATTGAGATAGGCTTTCCTACAAACTTTGCATCCATGGTAACGGTGCAATCCAGCTCAATCTCATTATCACTGTAGATGCGGTTACATGTTGGGCCACCGGAGTGCTCAGCCTTAGAATGGACTGGGTAGGTTTTGCCTCCAATGATGATTTCTCCAGAAGCTTTCTCGTCAACTTTGAACTGGATGTGTTCGGCAGCAAAGTTCCCATGGTCTAAGGTGTAGTCGCAGGTGTGACCGATAAGCTGCTTTGCGCCGTTGAATGCGGCTATGCCGTGCTTTTCATCATTTCGGTCATGGCGATAGAGCACGTTGATGGTCGTGCTCTTTGATGGAAGGGCATGGGCAATGGAGAAGACCGTCACCGTTGAGGTGAGGAGAGGACCGAGACGCATTGTGAATAAGACCTCAAGTTGGGAATAGGCCTTTGAGTGGAATAGAATGGAAACCGAATGAATTTTCAGCGTTTTTGGAAGGTGGATTTATAGCTTAACTGAAATTTCAAAGCCATATTCGTTCTGCACTACTAGCCTTGTTGCCCCCAATCATGATACCCACAGCCTGATACCACCTTTGAATCATTCTGCACTACCGACCTAGTCATGATACCCACAGCCTGATACCACCTTTGAATCATTCTGCACCACGAGCCTTGTCGCCCCTAGTCATGATACCCACAGCCTGATACCACCTTTGAATCCGAGCAATCGGAAATGGAATAGATATGCGTGCTAGCTCTTCCTGCGAGGATAAGTACGAGAATAAACTGCAGAACCATTCTTTTCCGATTCCCGGTTCTCGAAATTAAGAGAAGGCCTATTTAATGTAGAAGGATAATAGGTAGAGATAAGCATTAAATAGAATAATCGTCTTGGAGATTCAAAAACATCTGTCCCAACTGCAGTAGCAAAGGGAAGCCCGGGACCCTGCAGATTGAATGTCTATATTTGGTACTACATGCACGTCTATGTACGCTCTCCTTTAAGTTATTAAGAGTGATTTAGAGTTATTATTAGGCTTAATTAAAGGGATTGGCTTTCTTAATCCTGATCTTCGTGCCAACCTCTTGTAGCTAGTATAGGTCTCCCAATTAGTGGCCTGTTAGTAGATTTCAAGTTACCGCCGCGTAGAATTTTAATGCAGAAATACAACACTTAGTACTACATATAATTTTATATACAAAACAAAATACCAAATTTAGTACATGAACAACTCAAATTGAAGAATTTGCCACCGCCTATATTTTACTGATATCCACACTTCACCAGGACAACAAGATACTATCATCAAAAATGAAGCTAGTCACATCCATTTAGAGACCTCTAAAGCTCGAAACTACCTAGTAAGTGCCAATTATCGTACAATCTAGGCTCAAGCTAACTATCCCCCTTATATATTACATACTGAAGAGGGGGAATAGGCCTGTATTAGAATACTAGTCAGAAAAACCCACAGCAAAACATCAATATCTTTCCCTGGTCAACGCGGGAAATCAGAATCGCAGAACGTGATCAAAAGAGTGTAAGAAGTGTGCTACTCAGAACTAATCGTAACGCGATGCTATACTGTATAGCCAGAAGAAACGAAATGGAATAATAACTCCGCAACCGTAAGGGTCATTCCTAACAGAGCGGAGGCTTTCCTCACTACAATATGCAACGAGAAACGATACCGCGCGATATCGCACGGTAAAGATCACGATAATCCTCCAGCTTCACGATACGATATCGTAATAACGATATCATCTAACGGTATTATCGCTAGGAATTCGGTTTAACGATAACGATAATTCAAAAATCTAACGATATCATATCGTGCCCATCCCTACAGGGCAGGCCTGCGAAAGACTTCCGACCTGTGCAGGCTGTGCTCAAGGCATACAGCACACTTTGCATGTTGCCGATCACGAGCAGCAGACACTTCTAGGCCCGGTCGCGGCCCGGCCCTTATGTAGGGGCCTACCACTGAATTAGCTGTACGTTATTCTTAGCAGTTGAAACATGCTTCTTTTCAACAGTCTCTTTTAAAAATTTCTTTGGATGATATTGAATACAGGGGTCGCCGCTCGCAGTGCGGCGTCACTAGATTTGTTACTAGCTACCTAGATAATGTAGTTCCTGAGGTGTAGAGCCCCAGCAAAGGCGTACTGGGGCCTCAGATCGCGTCTCCCTTCGCCTTCTTCAGCGTTGTGATTGCTCGTATTATACACTTTTCTGTGTATCACTAGTGATCGTAGGCACTCCGCCACATTATTATTGGCCTTTTCTTGCCTACTCTTTGAACATCTCTCATAAAACAAGAAAGACTTCGAGTCCGTTCAAGACTCCTCCAAAGAACCATACATAGCCTTTGAACGTTTCGTGTTTTATTCTCGACAAAGTGTTTTCAAACACTGAAATTTACTACGAATAGATTTAGCAAAGACCTCAAAGAACGATGATCTCAAGTACCCTAGTAGCTACTTCAATTCAAGTCTATATAAGAAAAGAAACTTCAGGCACTTTGGAAGCCTCTCTCCTTCTTCTTCTTCTTCTTCTTCTTCTTCTTCTTCTTCTTCTTCTTCTTCTTCTTCTTCTTCGCGCCCGTATCTCCCTTTGAATCATATTAGTAAATTCACATCATCATCATGCCTAACATTTTTAGACGCCTGGGAAGTTTCCTGGATGAACGTCGTCAACGCCCTCATAGGCGCTTTGCATTCCATCGCGCTCGAGGGCTTACCCAGGTAACTGAAGTCCTTGAAAACTGGAACCAGGCGGATTAAACAGATGAAAATTTTACAATTGCTTTTAACAGCCTCTCTCAAGTAGCTAACGTTCGAAATAGACAAATCGCTCGTACTGCTACGCCTATAGGCGGAGGACTTTCATTTCAGAATGTGAACGGTCTGTGGACTCTGCCGACTGTGCCCGCTCTTACATTGTTCACCCTTGACTTTGGTCGAACTGGACAATTTGAGGGTCTAACCGACGCTGGTTTGATGGTTGTTGACTATCTTCGGGGCTTCCGAGATCTAAGCCCAATGGAGCCTCAGATTGGATTCACGTTTATTACGCTCTATCATCATACCGAGGGTATCTGTACATGTGATTTTACAGATGTAAAAATAGCAAGCCCACCATCAAATATGTCTAACCTAGGGCACGATATCCTTACCATATAGAACTGACACTGTCGCCTTCTATGTACAGTGGCCGTTCATTAATATTTGCACTGTAGTACTTTCCCGCCCATAGCGGGTCTGTTAGATATCAAGGTACTACAGTACAAATACTTATGAACTCTGACTGTAATCTGCCAAGTCACTTAATGACGGGATCTAGAGGAATTTACGGCCGAGGAGGTCTGTCACGTCTACGGGTGTAGATATCACACCAATTCACACGAGATCTACAACAGATATCGTTCGTGCATGTGATATGCACCATTATTCTCTTCAGGCAGGGCCCTAACTTGCTAAGACTGTATTCGCAAGCAGATCTGGATGATTTAACCTCCAAATATAGGACTCGGTATGTTCAAAGACCAGACATAGGCTTTTTGTGTAGTATCCGCTTTGTTCCATCTATAAATAGAGAACCTCCATTATATCTCTTTGTGACCGTGTCAAGTCTTGTTTGTCTGTTTGAGTTAAGCATCCGATTATAGAACCTAACAAAGGGCCTTTATTTCTCAGAATGGAACAAAGTCTATTGTATTGCCGATCCTTGCATACCACTTGATGATTTGAATCTATCCATGGATAATCAATGACAACATAGTGTATAAAGACCTTTATGACCTTTGTTTGAGAACAATATGTCTTTGGTATACAAATATCCTTTTATTGCAAGATTGGATGAATAATTGAACTAAAATAGATCCTTCACAACATATTAGTATATAACCAGGCATTTCCAGCAAGCTTGGATGGACGAAGGACCAGAACCATCAACTTTCTCTTTCTCATACAAACCTCAATCCCAGAACTTCAAGTCCCATCTCAGAAGAACTTCCAGCAAATATACTATAGCTCTGTTGGGATACCTACCTGGAATCGATTCATCATTACTACTAGTATCTGCTAGTAGTATTCTGATATTCTTTTACTGTCATACAGCATCAGCTACACCAATCAGAAGAAAGTCCCCTTAGTACACAATACATTCAACTAACAATGGCACACTACTCCCAGCCTTATATTAATTGGAACAACAAGATTCAGCCGCTGGTACGGCCTATCATTCCCGAGACCCCAGAGTTATCTCCCCTTAAGACTCTCGCAGCAAAAGTCCAGGATAGTTCCCGTCACCCTTGGGGTGTGATTGACTACCACTTATACCTGGCAGCTATTGAAAGAGGTCGAGATGTACTGACTCGCCTCGAAGAAGCTTTACTCCTAGACGCAGGCGGCTTCCGCAAAGTTAGCCTGGACGACTTATTAGACGCAGATGTATTTTCTCGGTCGCCCATTGAGACAAATATTATTGTCTTTGTCAATATGCCTTGGTTACCATTGTCTACTCTAACTCCTCTCACTGAACAGAAACTTGTCTTGGGTTTTGATCTCCAGCGCCGACACATCCTGGGATACTTCTTTGAATCGGCACCAGACAACCTTACCGATATAGGGTATATATGGGACAACGGCCAGGAAGTTATTGATATCCATATCGACCGATTTTTAGAGATGTATACCTATATGGTAAAAGAATATATTGAAGTTATAGGTATCGGTATGTTCCGATATTTTCGCGAAAGCCAATATGAGCTGCCAACGGGAATGGATCTCACAGTAACGATCCAGATCGCACAATTTCTCAATGACTTCGCTGATTTATTATGGGGACAGAAAAGTACAGAGTTCCGAGAAATGTACAGTGATCATGAAGAGCAGCTCCGAACACTGCTATCCAAGGCATCCTGGGAATCCTGGTTTGCAGTACAAAACGGATTAACTATTCAACAGTACCGAGAAAAGAGGATTAACCAAATGAAACTTGAACAGCTTGTGCTGTATAATTTATTATTCGACCATCCTTACGTCTCAAGCGCCCCGTCTCCGCAGCCCTCGTCATGAATTCTGAGGTTGGATCAGGTGAAGTGTACAATCATTGGGACATTGTAGGAATATCATAGCAACTGTATATAGGTAACCCAAATCGGGATAATTGATATGATTATTGATTCATTGATTGACTGCGTTCGTATGATTGAAGATCGACATACGGCCACACTGCCAGAAAACTAGATACTACTCCTCATCCAATTAGTAGCAGTACATCTATTGAATAGTCACGGACTCACGGTACTAGCTAGTCATAGTGTAAATATTGGTGAGCAATTATAAGATGTTGTAGCGGCCTGGAGAGATCATACTACATGAATGAGATGCTGTGGCAGCCACTCGATATATGACTATGGCAGTAAATTTTAATTGCCAGGTGGTAACGCGAAGGTGGTGGGGCTGGGTGGAAGGGAATCCATCTACACTAAGTTTGCAGATGTGGTGCTACACACGACATGCATGGAGCTGATAGGCCTTATAAAACCAGATCTCAGCCGCTCTGCTCCACCAGTCCAATTTGAAGCTCCACCCCGCTTCCTGGTCAGCTGTAACATGTGACCAGATCCAACGCATTAAAATCCATCGCGTATGCCGAGATTATCAGCGAACCAAAAAAAAATGTCGCGCACTTTTATCGATGTTGTTTACAACGGGGAGTTGGCTTCGTTACATGATGACGACCTTATCCGGTTACTCTATACACAATTTACACCGGAAATCGACCACTTGAAAAATGTCCCACGCGCAGTGGAAAAAGCCGATCAGAACAAAAGTGGCCCAGAAGGAAATATAACAGAGAAGGCACTCAGTCCATCACGACTATTATTTGGCGAGGACTTTGATGAAGTGAATCGAACTATTACCAATGTCCGTGCGGTGAAGTGGCTGCTTGCCAATGAATATGAGGCCTTTTCAGCGAACCAAGCTGTGAAATTATCGGCGCAAACTTTCAAGGCCTTTAGAGATAGAGCATTGCTTTCATTAAACGATCCGGATAATCTGGTTGCTTTGGTTGTGGCTCTTGTTGTGGGTGATATGGGCAAGGACCCGCACTTAGCCGATGAGATCGCCGCGTTGAGTGGGGTGAAAAGCAACGAGAACCACGATACTCTTCTTGCTCAGGCTGTCGGATGCGGTATGTTGGATAAACCGTTGAGTTTACTTTCCAATACACGCCGCGAAGATGTGATTTTGGGAATCAGAGTTGGGGCTGTTTTGAATATCCCGCAATTGATGCAGGGGGAAAATGTCCCTGGAAGTTTAAAACCAGTCCTTCAATTCCGGGACCATCTTTCAGCCTTTACGCTCAAATATCTCGAGATTATTTTCGATGTTGCCGGTGCTGCCGGTCATATTGATAGCCGCAGTGCGAAGCGCATGATCGAGCCGGTTTGCGAATCATTCCTCCAGGCCTGGCCAATCCTAGAAGCTATAGTTACCAGCCAAACGAGTCACGCCGAAACCTCACTGAAAGAAGCATACGATCAGGTCCTACAGAACCGTGGAAGACTGGTGAATCAAATGGGCTTTCTGTCAGTCTTGTCAACCAGCAACCCTGCCGAGCGGGCTCTTCTTCGCCTTTTCGCGATGGGACGTGTGGCCGATCAAGAAACAGCAGACCAAGTTCAAAAGGCTTTTACCACATTACCCGAGATAGAATGCCTTGTGCAAGGACTTAATGTTAATGGTATTGATGACGGCGAAGCCATACTATTATACTACATGCCCGCCCTATTCGCAGGAACACTTCAAGCTGTGCCTGAGCCTGAAGAGCGGACAGAAGCATTGACAAGCTTGATGAGATTTATGGTTCGCTTATTTGATGGTTCAAAACCCCAGCCTGGTACTGCGGGCTCTATTAAGGAGTGTGATGTTTCAGCTGCGGTGGATTTTGTACGTTCTTCGGATTTTCGTCCACGATTTTTTGATGGCTATACTTTGCCTGTAGGTTCATAGTATGTTTCTGCACAATGACATAATTCGGGGCTCAGCTGCTACCTATTTATGAAAGACCTTCATATTCAACTCGACTGCATTGAATGATGATCCATAATCACTGCCTATTCATATGTACGTAAACATCTTGGGGTAAGAATCCTGTTGCATATTACCATAAGATATCAATAGTCTTCTGGCAAGCCGAAGCTTAAAAAGCCAGGTACATCATCTCCATATTTGAAAGATGGTAAATAAGCCTTGGTCGACAAGAGCTGTGAGATAAATCGATTGCGATGCTGATTCTGTTCACCAAACCCAATGGAACCAGGCCATTACTGTCTGAAAGATAGATATTTGTGCCTCCGTAGAATAAAGAAGGTTGTGTTCATGACCTTGGGAGTCACAGTCTTACTTACCGCTTCGTTCGAGGATGCTGTACTTTTTATGCTCTTGAAGGTGAAGAAAGGCCTTCAACTCGATTTCCAAGTTACGGTGGATTCTGAGTCTGCGATCAATGTTGCGCAGCAACGGGCTGGATGTGGAGTTAAGGGTGGCGCGAGGGTCTTTTCGCAACGATCTATTAGATCTCCATATTTGTTTCTTCAGCATACTAATTCAAAAGGAAAATCCCTCTATTAGAAGAGTATACCCCCTAGGATACCAGAGCTTATTTATTCCAGTGCCTAACGGGGCTGAATGCGTCCCCACTAAGTATAGTACATTCTATCTGGAACGCTGCTAGGACTCATGAAGAATAAGGCTTGGGACCTAATATAACAATATAGCAGGTCGTACTACGGGTGCATACTTCGTGTTCTATTATTTCTTCATAATGCACTGCACTGCGGGAGAGACTCGCTTGGAACATGGAGGCACAGTCATTGACATTATTCTTAGCACAAGGAAACTGCAGCTACAGTATCATCGTCTTGTCATCCTGTGGCTCTAGGTAGCTAAGCTTAGATTCGTAATCTCTAATTGCATAGACGGATTTGGAAGGTTAGAGCCTGTCGTTGTAGAGAATAGCCCTGGCCTTGTTGATCTGCAATTCGCAGCATTTTCAGACTCCCACTCGAAGCATCTTTTCCCAAATACATGCGGCGCGCGGAGGTGATTGGAAGACACTATTTTTCATGACATACTTGACCAGCCCTCCCAGCGCTATATGAAGAGTATAGATGCCAAATCCAAGGACGGCAATGGGAAGCCGCGGATAGTCGCATATGAGAAATGTGAATTTTCTTTACACGCAGAACGGGGACCACGCGGCCCACCGTGACATGTTAAAGTATTACAGTTGGCATGTGGTAAGAAATGCCGTATGAGTCGCTAAAGCAATAGCACAAGCTCCATCAAGTCTTAACAGTACTCATTCATGGCTAGGCCACAGCGACTGTAAAAGATCCAAATCCTGAGCAACTGCAGGGCTATGTGGTGCACAGTCTTCCAAAAACCCCAACATCTCGTCATTCCATCGTTCCCAGCCAGGTGGCAATGTATCTCGAACGCGGGCGCTGGGAGAATGAGCAATGCAGTAGAATAAAAGGATTTGACCAAAGAACCTGAAGTACTCGTATAAGCAAACACGGTCGAAAAAATGTGGGAAAGGATTTGATAGATGTAAACCAAAGAGATACACCGGCTAAACTCACTGAGAACAAAACGCAAATTTAATAGGAATGCAGCTTTTCATCTTGCGAAAAATTCCCTGTGTAATAGGCCAATCCATAGCATTGCACAGCCCGCTCTTTATCTGCTCGATATCATCCTCTGTTAATTTGTTGGGAATAAGTAGCGCTTTGTAAAGATACGGGCGACCGATGTGAAACTGAGCGATCATATACCGTCCGCGAAGCATGGCATCGGTTACTGCTACAGCAGGAGAAATTGGGCGATTGGGGTCTATGGGCCGCGGCGAAGATATCGAGGATGGGTGAGGAGAGGCGGGTGTTGAGGGGGATGGATGATGCATCATTTGTTCTCCTGGTGTGGAGTAGGTAAAAGAGGGCGCTAGATCTCCAAATTGAATAGCAGATGGGAGATTAGTCCGCCATTGATCAAGTTGGTGGCGGAGCTCAGCATTGACGGCCGGCAAAGGAATAGTCCCCGAGTCAGCTAAAAGTGATGTTAGGCATATATCCCCCTTTAAAAGTGGTATCCTTGGTGGCAATTCAAACTCACAGTAGAAGTAGAGAGAGTGGCGAATGCGCGTGAGGATGATGCGATGCGCGACCTGGGCGAGAAAATGATATTGAAAGAAGGAATCGTCGACCACGTTCGACAAAGGGTAGCGATTAGATCCATAGGTAGTTGTGCTAAAGTCAATGAATTTGGGAATTGGAACTTGGTCCTCTAATCGAGAGAGACCACTCGGTGGGAGATGAAGTTCTTGGACAAGAATTGTCTCATTCATAAGGCAATTCCAGTACACGCGAGATTTCATATCGCCTTCCCACTCATTGAAGTTGACATTGTGACTATTTTGATGTGAGAAACATCACTCTCGATTATCGGAGTAACACAGAGAAACAAGTGGACTTACTTGGTCAGCATTGACAGACAACAAGTGGCGGCGCGATGTATCATTGCCCAAGCGTCCATTGGTCGAAGAATTTGACTGTGGTAAATTCTGCAGGGGAACGGTAAGCATTGATATGAAGACACATCAGGTAGTGAAAGGGTCACACTAACGAGGATAGCAGGTAGAATTGGCAGCTTTGGATGTCGTTATCGCACAGCAGGAAACCAATGCGCCGACGAGCCTCGTTAAAAAAGCGCAATCCCGGCTGCTCTTCCAAAATCACACTCATCCATTCAGGTGCTTCAAAGCGATGGCTTTGAGTCCCAGGTAGGGGGTAGTTTCCTTCTTGATGTGCAAGCAAAGCCAAGCATCCCAGCGCCATAATATTGAGCACAATACAACTTTCCATCGTGTACCCAAACCCTGTTTCAAGGGCAGCACCAATAGTGAAGGAGAAGAAAAAGTTTTTATCCATAATGGGCGTGAATGGGTTGAAGACACTAAAAAAAGCATCGGATAGACCCCGGACCATGGCAAAGGGCACGTTTTGAAGCCATTGGTCCCCTGCATGTACGGGATAAGGTGTGGTGAATATCGGTAACGGTCGCCGTGTGGATTCCAGCTCGACAACATAGTTCTTGCCCAGCGATTCATGACTTGCCAACAACCTTCGAGGAAGCATTCGCTGCGCCCCCGGCCATACGATGACACCATGCTGACTGAATGAAATTGACGTCTGACCAGCTTGATCGGCGGCAGGCTCGTTGCCATCCCAGTCAAACTCATCCTCTTCTGGTGGTAATGTGAAACTAGCTGACATGGCGGCAACTCGATGGTCATTCTCGAGAACCGCAGGCGATCGACCGAGGTCCTGAATATTTTGCGACGTGGGCAGTGTTCGACCTCGCAGAGGCTCAAGGTCGCTTAATATTGACGCCGGAATGTTTTCTAGCTTGGTCTCTAGGCGATGAAGGGTGCTCATAATCATTGTGAGTGATTGGTCACGCCTACCAAGGGAATTAGTTCATGAAGAGGATCTTTCCAGGACTGCGACGACGCTCACTTGGATGATTTCCGCTCATTGTAAACACATTCTAAACCAAGGGACTTGCATAGTCCACATTTGGGACGTGACTCGTCGCATCTTGTTTTCTTCAGTCGACAAGTCTCACACGCCTACCAAAGAAGGGTTAATGGGAAAATCCATGCCGAACGCGCGATTCGCGTGGAGGTGTGATCGGGTGGAAAGTGCCTACCACGGTGGCAATGAAGTTCCGAGGTTTCTTGGTGGTGCCGGTCGCGCCAGAGTCTTGTTCCTCGCCGGGGGAGAGTAAGTCGTGAATTGGTAACGAGTCATTGTGATCCACGTCAGGCAGGTGGCCATCTCTGGAATCCTCGAATGAGCGCTTGCTCATGATGCATCATAGTCTGGAGTCGCGTGCTACACGCGTCGCGACTGTCGGGGATATTCGACAGATTCTCCAACAGCGGAGAGTTTTTTTTCACTTTCTTCTGCGGATGTGGTTGGTCAAGTGGAGTCGGAGTTGGACCTTCTAAGCCAATGAGACCTCGACTTTTCATGGCATAATAACATTGAACATTGAACATCCAGGTGTCTCCCTGGGCAGATAGGGCGACGCCTCCAGATCACAAACACGTTGGCGAAAGAAAAGCTTCAGTGGAACTGGAAACCTTTCCAAGATTCATGGTCATGCAGTAAACAAATCCATTTGGACAGGTATGTGCAGTAAGTACATCATCATGATAGCCCCGCATCTCGCGTGGGATGGAGCTCTACGCAGTGTGGGATGGGGCCCACATGAGGAGGGGGGAAGTTGTCCTGGCTATCGTGGGATTACTGCTAGTGCTCCAAGATCACTAGCAGTGGGATACATACATAAGTAATCAAATCCAATCCCAATGGAAGCAAGTTTTTACGAAATCTTACCCCAGTACACAACAAACTTGACTTACAAAACAATATGGCAGGTTTAGAGTCAATCAACGGAGGCAAGAAATGGTACTCCTGCCCAGAACCAATGGTACTCGGAGAGGCACCGATCTTTCGGGCTAGTGACTCCACCCTACATTGGGTTGATTGCCTATCAGAACCATCAAGACTTTACATCCTCAACATCGATGATGAGGGTGAGGCAGTTGGAGAAGCTCGAGTACTGGATCTCGAAGACAGCGTCACGGTGGTCTTTTTTCGAAAAGATAAGCCTGGATATATAGCTGCTTATTATCAAGGAGTATGTTTTATCGACGAAAAGACGGGGAAAATGGATATCGTCAAAGAGATCATTCCAACCGATCAGCGAGACGAGCTACGATTTAATGACGGCGGAATCGACGCCAAGGGGAGATTCTGGCTGGCCGAGATCGACAAAAAAGCCATGGCATTTGGTCCAAACAAACTCCCATCAAGTTATGGGACCCCCCGGGGTCGTTTGTGGAGATATGATCCTGATGGAAGTCTTCATATGATGATTGACGAAGGGGTTATCTGTGGAAATGGACTCGGCTGGAGTCCAGATAATCAAACCAGTAAGGATCTCCGATCGTTCCATATTGATACATCTATCAGCTAATCAAACATAACCAAAACTCCAGTGTACTTCCACGACTCCGTTGCTATGGTTGTGTGGGCCTATGATTTCCACTTAGAATCGGGTAGTATCACCAACAAACGCCTACTGATTGACCGACGAGATTCATTTGGAGAACCAGACGGAATGGTAGTCGAGTATGTGATCCATCAGCCAACTATTTCTCATTGAAAGTACCCCCCAAGGCTGTATATTGACTATATCTACCATTTAGTACGGAGGGAAACCTTTGGATTGCAATGTTTGACTCTAACCGGGTCATGGTTTTCAGTCCTAGCGGTCGACATTTGAAAGACATTGTATTCTCTGCAAGAAATCCCGCATGCACGACCTGGGGTGGTAAAAATTTTGACATCATTTACATAGCCAGTGGGAAAGATCGTCGTGCAAACCCAGCGCCCAATGACGAAGGGGGCCATATGTTTCGGTATAAGCCAACAGATGCTCGTGGCCAACCTAAGCACGAGTTCAACGGCTGATCATGTCAGTTCTTACTAAGTATATAAATCAGAATCTCTAGTGGAATTCAAGTTGAAGCTTCAGCTAAAACAAGTAGTATACACAGATGTCCTGTCGGGTCCTGGCGGGTCCGTATCCGTAATACTACCCTTTGCTCGCTTAGATTGATGTCTTGGTCACTCATGAATATAGCTAATCGCACTTTTTGTATCCATGTCAACATTTGAAGTGCCCAGAATAGCATCCATCCTCCAAACCTTACACCAGGAGTCACCGGCAGTCCACTGGCAGTCCAGCTGGGAAGGGCTCCACGGCTCCAATATAGACAGTGTCACTGTATTACAGGTATTGGGAGTTTCTGCCGGTCTTAAATAGGCAAGCGGAGTCTATGCCCGAGTTGACCCAAAGCTTTCCACTCCGCGGCGCATCATGGCCCGCGCTGGTCGCGCGCGTCGCTTCGGCACCTTGGATTCTCCTCTTCAGTGTACGACAACGATGATAAACCGTGGACAATAAGAATAAACCACCATACTCATCTCACCATGGATGTTCTTCATAAGGCCATAGGAACTCCGGAGATGGATCCTATAGATACCCTGCGCTTGTTTTTTCTTCTTTCTGCCGCCACTGTATGTGAGTTTGCGATCGTCCCTCAGCTTCCTAATGACTTCCCCTCCTCCAAACTAACAGAAAGATGTGCGAACCTCTTCCAGGCGTTTTCGATCAGCATTCCCTCTTCTCTACGCACCCGCTTCCTCGTCTACGGTCCACGTACAACCTCAACACCTGCCGCAACGGCTGAGCGCCCCGAGATCAACAGATCCACGTTTCTCGATTACCTAGCCACCTGGCAAGTTCCGCATCGTTACTTTACCCATTTTTATATCGCCTCGGTCCTTTCCTCGGTCTTCTGGTTCTTCCAATTAGCCTGCCGTGGCACAGCATTCCAGCTAGTAGCCGCCCGAATGAGTGAAGAACATCTGCAACAATCCATGTCTCTCACGCAGGTCTTGATCTGTTGGATCCTACTTGCCATCCAGGGTGGGCGCCGCCTATGGGAAAGCTATAAGTTTGCAAAACCATCTTCGTCACAAATGTCTGTTGCCCACTGGTTTCTCGGAATTACCTTCTACATGGCTGCAGGTATGGCCATTTGGGTTGAAGGTTGTGGTGCCATCCGCTCATACAATCTTACACTTGATGATATTAAAATGACCAATGCCCCGACGGCTCGCACTTTCTTCTGCGTGCCGCTCTTCCTTATGATGTCTGGCTTGCAGCATGACTGTCATCATTTTCTCTTCTCCCTGAAGAAGTACACCGTCCCCGACCACCCTATCTTCCGAACGGTCGTGTGTCCTCATTACGGTGCGGAATGTCTGATCTATCTATCTTTGGCACTTTTGGCAGCCCCTCCAGGTCATTTAGTCAATAAGACCATGCTGACGTGTCTTGGCTTTGTGGCGGTGAACCTAGCCCTTACGGCACGGACGACGAAAGATTGGTACAAGGAAAAATTTGGCCTCGCATCGGTGCAGGACCGATGGCTTATGATTCCGTGGGTATACTGAGTGGCAACGTAGCTCCACCCATGGAATTCGACGATTGCAAGTCATGATTGTTGAAGGGAATATAGATATCTAGTATGTAGAGGACTTGTGGAATTACCCCCATTGGGGTTGACTTATCCATGTTGTTACATGCACGCACACCAACGCACCAGGAGTCCTCGACACAGTCCTGAGTACCTCTAAATCTACCATGTTGGAGTGGAGGTCCACGAGTGCACTATGCCAATGTGGTACTAGGGCACTAGGGCATTCCCCTACGCTAAAGTCTGGGCCTAGACTCAGCGCAGCAGTCAGGGGTGGGGCTCCGGGCAAACGGTGCTTCAGTCCGGTGAGGCTTATTCACAGTTCGCTTTGAAGACCCGATCGGCCAGGGGAAGCGCCGGCGTTTCAGGGGGTTATATGTGGACACATAGCGTCGTCAGGCAAGGAGGGGCTGCGTATAAATCAAAATGGAAATTACTCCCGTACATAGTGTTTTTATCTACTCTGTACTGTTACAATGTCTACTTGGTATATGAGACTCTCAATATTCGAAAGTCAGCGATGCTCTCCGTACGCCGAATCAATTTCCAATCTTCCCGTCTTATATCTCTCCGTTGTCTTTCGTGAAGAGACACCAATTTTGCGGTCGGTGCAGACTGTATTACAGCCTGAGAAGCAAGGTTTGGAGGTGAAACCATTTTGATCGGTGGGATTGGGTCGGATCGCCCATGAGTGGACGTCATCGGTGTATTCAAGTTCTCCGTGTGGGTATTGGCGCGTACAGATTTGATTTTGAGTCACTGTGGGCGATTAGCGAACCAAAAATACTGCGCAATAGTATCGTGATGGGTGAGATGTCTCTGTCCTCTTTCTCTTATTTTCTTTTTCCTTTTCTTTTCTCCTTTTTCTGAGTGGGGAACTCAAGGTTGATTTGAATTGTGGACGGAGTACATACACGGAGTATACGGAGTATACGGAATACATGGATGGAATGTGATTGATAGGTTCGACCTAGGTACACTCCATGTGTACCTAATCATTTAAGATTATTGATTTGACCTCTCCAATCAGGTCACTGCCCTGGATCGGATCCCATGGATTACAGCCCTCGCACAGTCCTGACCGCCACCGGATCTCCAATCCCATCGAATGTCGACGCAATCCGATCCATGGTTGATCAGCCCCGGCTCCACTTGGGCTTTTGACGCCCACAAATCTGCCAGTTGTGCCTGGACCATTCTTGTCAGGGGGATAATTGGGTCATTGAGCGCATAGTGACACACGGCAACATACAACTGGGGTCACAGATCACAAGAAAGTCTATTGTACTCCGTTTTAGATACGAGAAAAGACAATCCCGTCAGAAAGAAAGAGCTTCGGGTGGTGAGCGTGGGGGGATTTGGATGGAGTTGATCTCTCCTCATGTTTCGCAATTCAGTGTGTCACTGGTCTAGCCCCCTGGCTATGGAGACATCTGGAAAGAAAGTCCAAAAGACTTTGACTGTCAAGGACTCCACTGGGGCTTGTTCCACTGTCAATCCCCATACAATGATCCAGTCTTGATTCTCCGGTAACCTGTAGAATTCCTCAGAAAAAGAAATTAAACCCAAGAAATACTAATAAAAATGTATCAAAAAGGAATTAAATCCATGTCAATCTCCAATCAAATTGCACCCGAAGATACTCAGTCCAATCATTCAGTTGAATTCCCCCCGCTGGATACAATAAACCCTTTTTTTTACAATCCGTCATGGATAGGCATTTCCACTGGACAGTGCAGGTTGGTAAGCTTGACGCACAGTTGACGCCTAAGTGATTTAACCTCGTCCTTTCCCACATTCAATTTCTTCTCCTTTCCTTCATCTCCTCGTTGTGTAGCCATTCCTTTCGGGTCTTTTTTACGATCCCTCGTTTTTTCCCCTTCTTTTTTTCGCCATCTAGTTCCTGTGCCGTGCACGGTCTAGAGTGTCCTTCCTTTCTTCCATACACACTCCTTTCCTCCCTCGAGAACAGGTTTCTCTATCTGATCCTTGGTCTGATTCATTCCTTCTGGGACCACAAGATAAAAAGCAAAGCAACCAACTTTAAAATGGTCTCCTTCACCAAGTTATTCACTGCTGGTCTGGTGGCGACTACAGCCCTAGCCCAGCCCCACGCCATGCACCGCAGCCTGCACAAGGCCCAAAAGCGTTCTACCTCCAAGCGTGGTGCCGCCTACAACGACGTCTCCACTGTCTCGTCGCTCACCAGCAGTGGCACGGTTTCATGGGCATACAACTGGGCCTTTTCACTCGATGACAGCCTTCCCTCGGGTGTCGAATATGTCCCCATGCTCTGGGGTGCCAATTTCTTCGGCGGCTGGATCACCGGCATCGAATCCCTCCTGTCCTCAGGCAGCAACTACATCATGGGTTTCAACGAGCCTGACATGTCTTCGCAGGCCAACATGTCCCCATCGGAGGCAGCAGGGTACTACAACCAGTACATCACCCCATACTCTGGCTCCGCAAAACTGATCTCTCCCTCCGTGACTTCTTCCACCGATGACGGCAAAGGACTGAGCTGGTTTGAGGAGTTTATGTCGGATTGTAGCTCCTGTAACATCACTGGCCTGGCGGTTCATTGGTATGGCGATTCCATCGATGAGTTCAAATCCTTTGTGCAGCAGGCTGTCTCGACTGCTAGCAACTACAACCTGCCTGAAGTGTGGGTTACTGAATTTGCATTGAGTGCCGATACCACCGGAGTCACTGATCAGACTTCCGCCGCGGATTTTGTCAGTCAGGCTGTTACTTGGATGGACTCCCAGGCCAATGTTACTCGGTACTCATACTTCATGTGTGCTGATAACTACCTCTTGACTAACGGTGCTTTGAACACCGTGGGCACTGCTTATACTTCGACCTCTGATTAAGAGATCCAAGTATATGTGCTGTGTGCCTAAGAGATGATGTTGAAGATGTTTTGACTGGTAAAAGATACTGCGGAGACATCGGCATCTTTGTACAAGACTGGGTCTCGCAATCTCTTCGGCATATGGCATAGAAACTTCGCGTTTCTTTCACCAGTCTTGTCCTTTGTGTGGATTTTTTGCCTTCTTTGTTTTCTATGGATTTGCTTGAAATGTATTTACGACCTGAATGTCTTTCTCCTCACATGAATATCGATACGGAAATGTAAACACATCGTCTTTCAAATTCTCGCCTTGGACGACTATGGGCGGTAGTAAGGGTTATGTGCTAATAGTGAAATAGCGGATATCGTAGAAGAGGTCGGAACCTACGTCGAGATATATTTAGTGGGAGAGGTGGGCCTATTCTTTTTGGACTATATGTCGATGAGTCTAATTAGAATTAAGTACCCCATTTTACACGTCTACGTGTGCACACCTAGCTTCACTCTGTGGCGTTTGGAGTTTTCTATGTACCTTTCCTATTCCTTCCCAATGAAATGATAGGCATGCCTCATATAGTTTTCGACCTTAAAGTGCCCTCCGTGAAATTTCCATTGTATCGGCTCCCGTTGAATTGATCTCAAAGATAATGTAACTACCTAGACTTCCCACAATGGCTCGCTGGAAGTATTACATGTGTATTGAGAAGCCGCAAGCCTACCCGACGGAGGGACCGCGCACTCAATCCGACACAGAGAGATCATCACCGTTCAACACACATTCTCTTCAGCGATGTTACGGGTCAGTATGGAGTCAAAAGAGTAAGTCTCATCAAGATATATCAACTGATCTATTTGATAGGATTATCCAGTCCCGAAATCTCTGAAACGGTCGCGGATTGGAGGACGATAAGATCGGATGCGGCAATGGCGATCGGACCGAACCCTCCCCCGCACACCCGATGAATCATGATGAAACAGACTGCATTGCAAACCAAGAACTCTTTCAATTCCTTTTTATAATCTAAACTTGAATCTTCTTTTGAGACCGACGTCAGTTCGAATCAGTGTACACCGACTTGAGAATATCCAGCTCAACATGTCATACCGAATCGAATACGATACTGCACTGGCTCCGCCACGCGGGGCGGACATTGTCGCATTCATGAACGACTTCTACAACACTAGCGATAACGAGGAACTCCACGAGAGATATGTCCAGAGCTTTACAGACAATGCAACACTCATCATGGGCCCCAAAGAAGCCAAGGGCACTGATGGTATGTTTCTACCAGCTGAGAACCCTCAAGGGTAGAATATGGATCATGGATATGATCTCCAACTGATCACCGAGACTGATCACCATATTGATTTAGCGATTCGGACTCTGCGACACGGTCTTTGGACCCATGTTGCGACTCGAAAGCACGCTCCTACTCGAATCTTCTTCAGCGGGGAAAATGAGATCATGCTTTATGGTGGAGTGAATTATCGTCTCAAGGCTAACCAGGAGAACGACGTGTACGTTCCTTGGGCTGGAAGAGTTGTGTTTGATTTGGGAAAGGAGGGTATTAAGATGCAGTTCTATCAAGTCTATCTGGTATGCTTCTTCATACAAATGGCCATTCCATTTTTACTAATAGATATAGGACCCATCTGCACAATCTGGCAAGAAATAGATGATCAACGCAAGAAAAGACAATCAGAAATTTATATAACCAAAATGATTTTTTGAGAAACATTTGAACGGATGATTGGTTCTTATCATCCCGCAGTAACAAAGATCATTGATGCTACCTATGTCCGCATTCACGCGTTTTCATGTCTTCTTTCTGGCATAATTTTGCAGAACATTCATTTCTTAATGAGTGAAAAGGTTATGATTTCAATGGACGAAACTTCTTTCACAAACATAATGTATGGCAAAAGTACACCGGGTGTACATCCGATATAGAAATAATTTAGGAAATCGTTCAAATGTGAATTGATAGAGTCAGCAATAGCAACGAGTGTAATATTCATGCTAAACAACTCATATTTAATCCATGTGACCACTCATCACTGATACAACTTCGAAAACCCACCCTCAGGTGGCTGCAACCAATTTCGCTCATCATATTCCCATCCATCGCCCCCTTCAATAACATGGAAGGTATAAGCGTACCGACTGCGCTCACTGGTATTCTTCTCACTCTTATGTACCACATTGCCATGGATAAGCACCAAAGACCCAGCCTTAACATTCAAAATCTCCAGCTCGTCCTCAGTAGGCTCCGAAACCTTCTCCTCTTCCTGTCCCCGCGGCAAGGAAGGCCCCTCGTTCTGAATGAATTCCGTCCCTAAAGAACCCTCTTTCCTCGCAAACCGCCTCTTAATATGACCACCCTTTCGTCCCTTATGGGATCCCTTCCACATCCCCAACGTGCCATTGCCCGGCCCCGCATCCTGAAGCGCATACCACCAGCCCACTGCAGATGGCGGGTCAGTGTAGAGGAACTCCGAGTCCTGGTGCGAAGGTACTGCGCCACCAATGGAAGGCTGTTTACAGATCAGCATACTTTGTAGGACGCGCGGGTCGACGAAGCCGAGCGAGCGCGCGATGGCGGCATTACGGTCGTTCAAGGAGACTGCCTTGAACGGCGGGGATAGGGTGTGCAGCGAGTGTCCTATTTTATTCACGGCGAGGTTCTTCGGTTTCAGTAACGCAGCGCGCCCGGTCAATGGGTCCGGCTCGGTGGTGAGCGCGTCAGGCTCGAAGAAGAAGCGGATCTTATCGCCGGAGTTTAGGAAGTAGTCGTCTCCTACGTGGGCGGTAGAATTATCGTCCCCTGTTGTGAATTGAGTCAGGGGGTGGGTTTCTAGGGAGAAGTCGTTTAAGAGGGTGTTGGTTTCTTCGAGGAGCGATGTGATTTCAGTTTGGCTCAGATAGTCGGGAAGAACGAGGTAGCCGTTCTCGCGGAAGAAGGCGACTTGGTCTTCTGTGAGACCGGACATCTTGCTGTGCGAAAAGAGAGATGGGGATTTGGAGCACAAAAGGAGGGAAATGGTCTCTTTTTGAGGGAGTCAGAGCACTCGAGGGTGGCTTGAGTCTGTTGATGGAAAAAAGGCGGGGGAAAGCGATAAGCGATATTAGTCTGTTGCGGGATTGGCTGCTTCCCCTCGGAGTCTTTAGCTTCATCTCTAGCTTGATCTTGCTCGGAAAAGAAACCAATCAATTTGATGCTGAGACCTAGTTTATCTCACGCAGGATCGCGAGCTAGATACACAATTTTCGATTTGACTGAGTTGGCGGGGACTCTCGGCAGCGTGATACTACTGTACAGTACACAGCGACATGTATGAACATACAAGCCTCAAGTGCTCTTGTAGTGGGAAAAGCTGCTGTCCAATCAGAAATGGGCCGCACGGTCGCGGAGAACATTTGAAATCATCAACTTTTTGATTCTTGCATGTTATATAATTGCGTGTTGCGAATAGCTTCGAACACTATTGAGCGATATCCAAACAACCCTTGGTTTTCTCACCGCGCCATTGGTGGCAGACAACAGACAATATTCATTCTAGATAGTAATAAATGGAAAAACAATGATCCGCTGGAATAATGGTCACGTGCTGCGGCCATCCTTCACAGCGTTATTAGACTGGCTTTAAATAAGTTAGGCAACATCTTCAATATATTGTTATACCTCTGGCGATGTTGCTCGGTTCTTCGAGAATTGCTTTAGGGCTGTTCACGGTACCAAATTTTGACGATATCGTCACGGACTCACGGTAACATCGCCTACTGTATCGCCGAGCTTCTGGCTTAGCGATAATATTGGACAGTATTATCGTAGGTACCCTCAAAGGTAGGTACTGTTGTAGGTACTGTCGTGGCCTTGAGAATAGTGCGACAATATCGTACCGTAAACAGCTCTAAATTGCTTAGGGGCTGTTTCTACTCGTTGACTCATCGTCTGGTATCTCGGATTATTGAATTAATTTTTTTCTATACCGGAAGAAGACGACGACCTTGAACAGTGCCAACGCCCCCTTTTGAAAAGTGATCATTCAGCGGTCACAAAGACAAATTCTTTGACATTCAACAAGGATCACCAGCCTGGTCTACCCAATGAGGAAGCGGATCCCATTCTCTACGAACCTCATTTGACGGAAACTGTGGGTTATGGCTCTGCCTCATTATAGCAAGAATGAGGCCAGGCGTTGTCCTGAAATACCCTAATTAACGCAGCATTTGGTTCCATTTACGGATGTCGCTCAGTTGCGACTAGTATTAGACTTTTTGGATCTTGAATCCCGCCATCCAGAACCTCAAAATGAGGAAACATACCCCGGATCCCAGAGTAAAAACACCCCCATATATCCAGGTTCCAGTCCAATCTAAGTCATTTGGGTTTCCGTGTCGCTGTAGAACACCTCCGCTACCTGGGCCTCCTGTTAAAACACCGGTGCCGAGCAATGCAAATGCCATGCCCATTCGAGTTCCGATTTTGGATTTGTCCTTGGTGAGGGCGACGAATAGGAGCGGCGGCGTAGCAATGAAGATCCCCGAGGTGAATCCAATAAAGACAGCAGTGCAGATAATCCCTGCCTCACTTTTGACGGCCAAGTTGCAAGGTAAGACTAAGCCGGTGAGGAAGGCACCTATTGATCAAGGGGCTATTAGTATTAGAAATCATAATCAATCAAGTTTCAGTATGGACCGAGAACGTTAAGATAGAGTATATACCAGGAATTACAACATTTGTGGGCCCCATCCAGTCAGATAGCCAATTCGGAACAGTTCGACCAAGGACCGAGGATGCATTGAGGATGGGGACGAGATAAAGGGACATGTGTGAGCTCATCCACCCACTGTCCTCCGCATACAGCGCGATATAATAAAACGCTGTATAGCATCCTGTGTATCCTAATAAGCAAGCGAAGATACATAGTAGGTAGGGTCCATCACGAAATGCAGAGGGGTCAAGAAGTTTCCGTACCCCAGTAGGCTTGATACGCATCTGAGAGATAGAGATCGGGACAAGTAGGGTACCCAAGCTCACGAACCCGATAATACGGACAGTCCAACCAAAGCCAAGCCGATTAATAAGGTTTATAAAGATGACAGGATAGATGACTCCACCGAGAGAGCTACCTGTGGCTGCAAGACCGATAGCAAGGCCTAAATGTCGACTGAAATAAGGCTGCATCACAGCGAGCGAGGGTACAAAGAGACAGCCCGCGCCAATACCAACCATGAATCCCTGGGCTAATAGGGCCTGCCAATACTCTTTGCAGAGAGACAGCATCATATGACCGAATACCATGCAGAAGGTACCCGCGATAAGCAGGGGCTTTAGATACCCGCGGTCGAAGATCGGGCCAGCCACCGCACCTGTCGCAAAGACAAAGAAAGCTTGTGTCGAACCGATCCATGAGATATTTGATGATGTCTGAGTGAAGAGCTGGCCAGACTCGTAAAAGCTTTGATAATCGCCAAAAGTGACCACAACACCTAGAAATTATAGTAGATCAGCTTAAGCTCTAAGGTCAATCTTCTCTTACTGACGTTTTGCCGGTACGTACCCCAGGTATTGAAGATCAGTACCCAACTTCCTAAGACCTGTAGCCAGGCTTTCAAGCCACCATCCGGAGGGGGTTCAGCGTCCGGATTCCACGTCGCAACGATACCATTGGACACTGTCGTATTCCAATTCTCTGGGCCAGGATCCTTATCGGAAAGAGGGACCAAGCTTGGCCGCGAATTTATTTCCATTGTAGGTGATAAAAGCCGTGCTCAGTGCATCCAAACATGTGTAACAGTCAAAGTTAGGGCAAGCATCAAGTATTGTTAAAGTAATTTGTGACGGTGTTTACGCTGCGGGCTTAACGTTGAAATCCGGACTTAAGCGGATATATGAGACCCTGCACAGTGACTTTTCCGCAGCCTTGCCCGCAGCCTTCAAATTGCCCGTAGCATTAGTCCCGCAGCATCCTTCCCGTGACAGTAACGCGTATGCAACGGCATCGGAGTTAGAGGCCGTTCGTACATGAGGTCGCTGGTGTTACACTGCGGACGGTACGGAGTATAGAAGATGCCGGCTAGTAGTTAGCAACATGTATTATAATTCCACTGTGAGCTAGCCTTTGGAAGGTTAGCGATTAGTTCCTGTGATAACCGAATACTAAGTTATACTGTAAAGTAATCCGGGTATCTTAAATCTTCTATATCTTCTCTATCTTCTCTCTTCTATTAGTATCATATTCAATCAGACTACCGATTTCGTTCTAAACATAGTAACGTACTTCACCAGCCTAGATCCTTGTCAATCAGTTGCATTATAGCAATCTCGGCGGGCCATACTTGAACAAACTCCTGGACTCGCCAGGACCAGTCTTCGTCCCACTGGAAAGTAAGAGGGTAAGATGCACAAAAGAATTCCCAGAAGTCAGGAAACCAACCAGAATTCTCCCAATCGACCAATACGACATCAAATAATCGCCCACCTTGATCGTTTGGGTGACTTGTATTCTCCACGACCATAATGTTCTTCTGCTGAAGATCCCCATGCGTCAATGTAGGCCGGTGACCTTGAAGGACGCAAGCAAGATATTTTTCGTAAAAGAGAGTCGTGTATTCCGGTAGATTATTGCGTTCAACCAAGGCTCTATGATTACCGACAAGGCCCGCAACGAAGGCAGGTTCGCCGGAGAAGGGCTTTAAAAATTTCATATCGCCATGTTGGCTATAGAATATATAGTGATGTACGCCGCCCCCATCCAGGCCTCCGAAAAAGTCAGGCCATGGACACTCGGCCTTTCGCATTGCGTCGGATATGACTTGGAGTTTGGCGATAATGTCATCCTTCTCAGAAGACGCCAATGATGGCCAAATGGAATTCAGCTGCACCCCGGGAACACGTTTAATAATTAAGAAACCTTGTTTGGAATCATAATACATCGCGTACAGTCGAGGGGCCGGAACTCCTGGGACGTGTCGTTCAAGGTAAACCAAAGACTGGCCTTCCCAGGTGCTGATACAACCTCCATATTTTACAACAATATTATCGTCCAGCGCCACAACCTTGGTGGCCTGGGTCTCCCACAGAACATTGGTGCAAGCGCGGATTTCATCTGTTGTAGGTAGAGTAGGCAGAGGCTGGCAGTTCTGAAAAGGGACAACCACTGGTTCCCACATCGTGAACAGAACAGGAGTCGGCGGGGTTAATATTAAACTATAGATAATTGCCTGAATAGAAGGAAATGAGCGGTGAAGGAAGATCAGAAGTCCCCCTCCAAGGCCTCGCTTGGGCCACCATAGCTCGTGTCCGCGCCCACGTCAGATTTCTCCTCCGGAACTTGGGTAGGTCTGAAGAAGTTCTATTATTGTTGAATTTAAATGATGGAGTCAAAGCCCGCTTACAGTACACCATTCCATCCAAGAAAAATTATGTACCATAAGTGGATTGTACCGTTTTGAATGATGAGATAATATTGAAACTATACTTGCTTAACTATAGCTCTAAGCCCTATTGCCTATTTCGGCTTCCATCCCATATCTTTCAAGGTCACCTGACGCTTTTCTTCACCCTGAAATCGGCTGAAATTACTGATTAAGTTCTCAATCTGACGTATATGGTCTGGTGTGCACTTTTCTTTGCTTCCAGCCCATAGTAAAATACCCTGCAGTTGAAACATGACCTCAGAATTAGATAATATCTCTGGTGGTGGCCCGTTTTCTTCAAGATCTTGTGCTTCCGAGCTCTCCATATCAATATATATATCTTGCCTATCGATCTCATCTTCAACTGCAATATCTTCCTCTGTTGGATTCAAGAATTGATCAAATGGTATAATATCATCTTGACCAAGCTTCTCAATTGCTTTATTGTATAGAGTTTGAATCTCACTAGTCAACCCTGGCTCAGACATTGGTTGAGAATCAGTCTCGGTCTGATCTTCAGTTTCGGTCTGCTCTCCTTTGGTCTCATCTTGAGAGTCCAGACGAATTAAAGAACTTTTTATAAAGCAATTTTTAATCGATTCATCCGATACTGAAATTTTCCAAGCCTGGGTGATCCAAGAAAGCGCATAGGAGATATTCATCCGAATATGTGGATCAAGACCTCGATCAAGGATAGCAATCATCCATCTCATCCATTTCCTCCGATAATGATGCTTTAAATTTTGGATGATTCCTTGATCTAGAGGTCGATAAATCGAAGTTGCGTTTGCTGGGAAAAAAACAACCCTGATATGGGATGGTGGTGGGAGATGCTTAAGACCAGCAATATGCGGAGAAGCATTATTAAGAAACAACAATACTTTCTTATCAATAGGAATCCGCATATAAAAAGCACGTAACCATTCTTCCATGATGGCTTGACGCATCCAAGCCTTCTTACCCCAGCGCCATACACATCCCAAAGCTTGGAAATTAGTTGTCCTGAGCGCACGAGGTGTTTTTGCACTTCCAATCAACCATAAAGGCATTCGGTCTGAACCATCTGCGTTTGTGGCCACAATAAGAGAGATCCGAGTCTTATTTTTATTTTTTCCGGCAATTTTTCTATCAGAAAGACCCCCATTTGGCATTTGTCGCCAAAAAAGTCCAGTTTCATCCATAGTATAGATCTCTGATGGTTTATATTGATCGCATATCGTACGAATTTCTTTCATCTGATCATGTACAGAAGATGGAACTGAAGCAGCTTCTCCGTGGAATGTATGATATCGACGATTATGCCGCTTTTTAAAACGAGTAAGCCAACCATCTGAAAATGCAGGCCTTTGTTGATTTTGATATTCAGGGATTTGAGACCAAATCTCAGCTGCTTTTGTTTGGAGCAAAGGGCCAGTAATTGGATAACCACTATTGATATGCCCGGTAACCCAATCAGAGAGCTTTTGGTCTAATATAGGCCAAAAAGATGAGGAAACACGCATATTTGACCCTACAGGCCCTGAATCAAGGTGTTCATATTGGGATGAAAGGATTCTTGAGACCGATACACGATTAATTGTGTGATCAAATTGGGACGAAAACCAAGTTGCACAAGCGGATTGGGTCGGTTTTGGACTAGAATTAGCCCAAAAGGCACGTAATGCCTGCTTCTGCGCGTCTGATATGCCTAATCGGCGCCGCTTTGGTGGTGGTAGAGCAGCTTGAGTGGCCGTTCTGGCGCATGGTAGGAGTGGAAGATCAGGGTTTTCAGGCATTCTGATTGGTTGATATCGCTGATTAAGTGAATGACTGCAAAGATGGGATGAAAAGAGGTGTACAAAGGTGAGTGTTTTTTAAGCGGAGGTTTCGTATGATAAAACCCATAAAAGTGGGTCCATCCAACCAGAGCCAGTACTATAAGCGGGGGTTGACTGTAGTAGGCGAAAGCTTCTCTGCCTCAGGTGTCAATATCCTGGGTTTTAGAGGACCCGTAGCTAACACCATTTTCGCTTTTATTTCCCCCCCTTTCCTGTCGCCGGGGAACACTGGGGATCTGGGGATACCCAAGAAGTCCGGGTCCAAGTCACCAAGTGGTAAATGGCAAATACCCCGAAGGTAAGAACAATAGATTGTATTTCTGAGGTATGGATGACATCCGTGTCTCTACAGAAGGCATGGGTGTAGATGCCCCAATCAGCCGTCGAGTCGGGGCCACTAAATCTCGATCCGGATGCAAGACTTGCAAGTAAGTTCGATATATGCCCTATGTCCGCCGTATTCAGCAGCCTCCCATGCTAACAGCCGGCCAGAATTCGAAAGGTGAAATGCGGCGAAGAGAAGCCAAGTTGCTTCCGCTGTACGAGCACAGGACGAAAATGCGAATTCGAGGATGATCGGAGGTCTCCACCTACCCTCACCCCCACATTGTTGCTTTCTTCATCTCCGGATGCTGGACGGAGAGAGCGTCGTGCATTTGAGTATTACTTTCAGAATGTCGCTCGCCACCTTGCCGGTGGGATGGAGATCGATTTTTGGACCAACGTCATTCCGCAGATCTGTCGTAGTGAGCCTGCAGTTTGGGATGGGATGATTGCAATCAGTACCCTGTTTGAATACCCGAACCAGTCATTGGATTTTCCTCTTTTAAGGGATCGCCGCAAATCAAACACGCTCAATCAGATCCAGCGGGAGGCCTTGACATGGTACTCTCGATCAATATCTAGTGTTCATTCTCAGATTGAGCGCGGTATTGCCGATCCGTATATTGCTCTCATTAGCTGTGCATTGTTCATTTGTGTGGAAACCATTCAAGGTCGCACAGAAGAAGCCCTGCAGTTATTCAGACAAGGGGTGACTCTCATTGGTGACCTTCGCACTCATATTACTCTGGGGCATGTGTCTAAAAGCAGACAAAATCTCTTAAAGGATGCTATCATTCCTCTATTTTCGCGGTTAGCCTCAATCTCCTTGACAGTCTCGGGCACTCAACCTGGCCCAATTTTCACCTTCCTGGAAAATAATCCAACCGCTGGATTTACATCGCTTGAACATGCTCGATCGAGCATAACGGTTATCTCTGCTGACGTCCTACTTTTTGAGCGCGAGGCACATTCACACCTGAGGGAGATTGGAGCACACTGCTATGTGAGCATCGATATGCTTAATCGAAGGAAAAATCTCCAACACCGAGTTGCTGAGTGGTATATCGCATATACAAAATTTCACCAGGGAAATAATCGGCAGCACTCCACCCCTCAAATCAGAGTGCAACATGAGCCTCTACTCATTATCTACTACGTTGCCATATCCATTATTCTGTCGGTATGTTTAACACCACTAGAAATCGTTTATGATGATCATCTGGCAGAATTTGGCATCATCGTCGAACAGGCCCAATTGTCTCTGGCGACCTCCGCAATGACAGATGGCTCCCAGCCGCCCTTTACATTTGAGGCTGGCGTTGGTGTTCCACTGTTTTTGACTGCTCTGAAATGTCGTGATTGGAGGTTGCGGCGCAAGGCTTTAGAGCTATTACGCCAGGCCCCACAGATGCAAGGACTTTTTAAATGCGCTCCGAGTGCTTTCATGGCTGAGGCTTTTATGAACATGGAAGAAAGCTACAGCCTGGCTCTTAGAGATTCAACTTTAGCTACATCACCTACTAGTGGCGCTGAAGGGGACCATCCGGGTGATCCGCAAATCCTTGTGCCCGAAGAAGCCCGCATATATTACTACTGCATATTTAGACCTGGCGAATGGTATCCGCCGGGCGTAAATGAAGAAGATGTTGTCAAATTCGGTCGCAGCCTCGATCAGCTTTACTTGCATTTCTCAAGGAATGAGTTTGATCTAGAGACGAAGACATGGCGGCAGAATTTCGAATGTATACCATTTGGCGCCGACCTGATGTAATATAGTCTATGTATAGCATCCCACGGGGGACTCAACCTCCAAATTCAACATCAAATATAAAATCCTCGTGTTGTAGGGAATATTAAGTGCTTTCGTAACTTCGTCACGGTCGATGAGCCGAGTACAATGTCTCCGCCGCAAATAACCGAGGTTCCTCGGAGCTTCCCTTGTCCCTTGTGATTTCACCACCACCACCGCCATTCGAACCTTTGAATCTTTCTCCTCCCCTAAACCACTGTCATTTTCATAATCATCTGCTCTCTCGAAATGGCGTCTATTCCCCGCTCTCTGCGGTATCTGTCGCGCACAACCCCCTCGGTCGGCCTATCCTCCAAACGCCTAGCTACCTACCGACCCGTTCAGAGGTATGCAGCAAACGGCTGAATCCATTCCACCAACCTCTTACCCCTCCCCGGCATGTACCGTTGACAAATTTGATTTGCACATGCTAATTCAAGATATATCATTTAGCGTATATGCCTTCTCAAGTACCTCCCACCGACGGGATGCCGACCTCTCATCGCTCATCCCCACGCCGATCAGCCATTTGTCCGATACCGAATCGCTGATGGCTGATTCGGTCTCAAAGTTTGCTAGTGAGCAAATCGGCCCGAAAGTGCGAGATATGGACGAAGCCGAAACCATGGACCCGGCCTTGGTGGAACAGCTATTCGAGCAGGGATTGATGGGTGTCGAGATCCCCGAAGAGTACGGTGGTGCGGGGATGAACTTCACCGCCGCAATCGTCGCGATCGAAGAACTGGCACGCATAGATCCCAGTGTCAGCGTGATGGTTGATGTCCATAATACCCTTGTCAACACGGCGATCATGCGCTACGGCGACGCCAAAACACATCGCACCTGGTTGCCCAAGTTGAGCACCGGTACCGTGGGTTCCTTCTGTCTTTCTGAGCCGGTGTCGGGATCAGACGCATTCGCGCTACAGACCAAGGCAGAGAAGACTGCTGATGGGTATAAGATTAATGGATCTAAGATGTGGATTACTAATGCCATGGAATCTGGTATCTTTATCGTCTTTGCCAATCTCAACCCCAGCCAGGGGTACAAGGGCATCTCAGCTTTCATTATTGAAAAGGGGACCCCTGGTTTCTCAATTGCTAAAAAGGAAAAGAAGCTTGGTATTCGTGCAAGCAGCACTTGCGTCCTCAACTTTGATGATGTTGTGATTCCCAAGAGCAATTTGCTTGGTGAAGAGGGCCAGGGCTATAAATATGCCATCAACATCTTGAATGAAGGTCGCATAGGCATTGCAGCCCAAATGACGGGCTTGGCGCTGGGCGCATGGGAAAATGCTGCTAGGTAAGACCGTAATATCACTTGAGAGTCGTTGTCAATATTATCTAACCACATTGGATACTACCCAGATACGTCTGGAACGATCGCAAGCAGTTCGGCCAGTTAATCGGCAACTTCCAGGGAATGCAACACCAGATTGCGCAGGCGTATACCGAGATTGCGGCAGCCCGAGCGCTTGTTTACAATGCCGCTCGCAAGAAGGAAGCCGGTCAGGACTTTGTTCAAGATGCCGCCATGGCCAAACTGTATGCCTCCCAGGTCGCGGGTCGCGTATCAGGCTCCGCCGTCGAGTGGATGGGTGGCATGGGCTTTGTTCGAGAAGGAATTGCCGAGAAGATGTTCCGCGACAGCAAGATCGGGGCTATCTATGAGGGTACCAGTAACATCCAGTTAACGACCATCGCGAAGTTGCTCCAGAAGCAATACACTAACTAGCTCTGAGCTGCTGTCGCATTCTTGAGGTCTTTTCTTTACGTTGATCCGCGATAAATCGAAGCTGAAACTACGCATCTGTGATGTGATCTTACGGGTTCCACATATGTATGATAACTTTGTAGATTTGGAATTAAAGTTGTTGATTCATGAATAATCCTTGGATCCTCTGATCGTTTGACTTTCATCACCCGGAGACATGTGTCAATTTGTCGGGCCTGATTGATTAATTTAAGAATTTTGGGCTGTGGTTGTGGAGTCATCCCAAAAATTCGACTTGCCAAGAGAGATGTGTTTTTTTCAGCTTCTATTGGGGATTATCTGCTTTTATTCCTCACGTAACCTGATCTTCTTGAGTATTAATGGTGGCACTACATAGATCGGTATCGAGTCAATGGCAATGTACCATACCATTGTCACTGTCATTGCCATTGTATTCGTGGCTCATCTGCTCATATTCAACGTTTATAGTAGGTACCGTAGTATACTTAGGCAATGCCTAAGCTCTCCTCCACTTCGGCAACGATTTTCCGCACACCATCAGTCTCATGCGCAAAGCGTCCAAGGAACATTCCATCTACTGCTTTGCCGAGTCCACCAGCGCCCCAGAGACCGGGTCCAGCGCTCCCACCGTAGAGAATGCGGGCAGTGCGGGGTCCCACCACACCCCGAATTCCCTCCACAACCGCAGCAACGTGGTCCACCCCAGCAGGCTTAGGCTTTCCAATAGCCCAAACAGGCTCGTAGGCAAAAATGACCGGCGCATCCGCAGGGATAGCAGCTAATACGGCGCGTACGAGCACAGCACACTCTGCAACAGCTTGTCCGACAGCTTCTGAAGCAACCGCGCCCGGGGCAGTGATCTCGCCAACACAAACAAGCGGCACCATACCCTGTGCACAGGCCGCAGCAGCCTTACGAGCTGTCTGCTCATCTGTTTCGCCGAAGATAGCGCGACGTTCTGCGTGGCCTAGCTCGACGATTGAGCAGCCCAGAGCGCGGATGGAGGCTGGGGAGACTTCACCTGTGTAGGCGCCGTTCTCCTCCCACATGCAGTCCTGGGCACCGAGAAGGAGCGGTGGTGGGGAGGCAGAGATTCCCGATGCAACGAGTTGGTTCTCATATTCTTTGAGGATCTCGGCGCAGGGCCAGATCGTTAGAAAGTCTGGAATTAGAGCGAGGAGGATCTTCTCGCGGTTGGCGGGTTTGACGATGTCGGGAGCTAGGAGGGCGCGAAGATAATTTAGAGTGCGCTCCGGGGTAAAGTACATCTTCAGCGAAATGAGGAGAAGCTTCTCCGGGAGTACGGGGTAGCCGCTTGGAGCCATGGCGGGTAATCCGTGGATGAGGTATATGGGAGATGGGAGATGGGAGATGGTAGGAAGGTATTTTGCAAGGGTATATTCTGTAGCCCTGGAGATAACCCAAGGTTCAAGTTTCAAGTTTTGTTTCTCGCGCGTTACTTTCCTTCTTTCCTTTGCACGGGATATCCCGATCTGATATCCCGTAGTATGTAGCGGGTCCTTCAAACACCCATCTCTTGGTAAATGGAATTGACCATTGGAACCCAGTTCAAATTTAATAGTAGTAGTAGTATTAGTAGTAGATAGGTATATACAGATTAGAGATTAGATCAGGATAATTGAATTCTACTGACATGAGAGGCATTTTATAAGCGAAGCCCGATATTGCACGTGACGGGTAGAGCTAGAAACACGCTATAACATCAATTGATATTCGGAACAACTATCTCTTGGCAAATCGAATTTTTGAAATAACTCATTTTGCTGGGACCCTAGGAGCCTAAGACATAGCTCAAAGTCTTGCAAATCATGCTGAAATCGACGCACCGCCTCCGCCGACCCTGGACGAACTCGCTCCTTCCCTCGACCTCGTGATCCCCCTGACAAGACGAATGACGGACGACGAACTCCTGGCGGAGCTGCAGCGCTCCCGGGCGCAATTTGACGCGTTCGACAAGTCCCAAGCTGACATGTTGAACAAATGAAAACACAGTATTGGCCATTGCGCTGCACGGCAGGCGCAGGCAACAGCCGCACCCCATAACGGACCGCTGGCCTACCGCGATTCTGGGCTTGGTTTGAGGCAGAGTACAGCCGTTTCGGGTTCCAAGGTTCTTACTGACTGGGAGTAGCCACTTGAGCAAGGAAAAAATTATCGAAGATGAAATTTGCACAAGAAAAGTCCAATTACATGCCCGCCAACGCTATAACAAAGTGTATATCATATCTCTCACTCTAGGCCGACTTAGTGAATTCCCCGACAAATTCATTCAGCCTTGTGACATCCGGAGACCATCCTCGCCACCACGACACAGCACCTGCGGTGGCGACTCCGGCCAGAGTCGCAGTTATAAACATGTTGCGCACGATTCGCACGAAGCGGTTTTTCACGAGATTCTCTTTGCGACCGGTGAAATCATTCGGGTTGTTGGTATTGGGGAAGGGCTCGTCGGGGACGGGCTTGTCAAGAAACTGCATTTGTCTCGTGTCAATAGGAATGTTTGAAAAAAGAAGGGAGTCGGAGGAATATTTCATTCTTCCGACTTGAAGATCAAGGGTATTCTTACCTCGCACAGAGGTCCCCAGCCATCCTGAACAGTCCACTCAAGCAATTTTTCCTTAGGCACCATACCCCGAACCATATTGCAATGGTCGCGATAGATCCATTTGGCGTTTCGTTGGACACCGTCCGTGGCACTTCCATTAAGACTTCGAAAGATACCAGGAATTCCACAGCCGATATATATTCCGGTGAGCCAGAAGGCCCCTCCAGAGAACCATTTCATCGTCCAGAGTAACCAGGATTGGTCAAAAGTCTGAATGAAGGTCTTGTCGATACTGCGATACCAAGCATCTACATCGGTGCGTAGATTAAGGATTACTTTGGCGTCTGGGTAAGCAGCAAGGAGCTCCGGAGCAAATAATGAAGGTAGGGTATCAATCACACCCTGGTGGTCACCAAGAAGAATATCGAACTCCTCACTGCTAATCGACACATCACCATCGCGGGCGCCCCAGTATTTCCGTCGCACCAACTCATTGCAGTGTTGTAGCTTGCTACCATCCGTCTCAAAGAGGATATCCCAACCGTGATATGTTTCTATGCCCAATTTTCGTAAGGCGACACTCAATGACTCGGTCCCAGTACGTGGCATGCCTAGGCACAGCACCTGAACGGGCTTGGTGCGCTTGTGCGGAGCTGGTGGGGGGAACCCGTAGATAAACCGTTGAAGGGCTTCCATCGTGTTCTTGATTGTGTATGAGGAAAAGGTAACAGAAAATAGTAGGTAGATTACACCAGGATAAGCTCGGGGAAGGAGTTTCTTTATATACTAGTAATTCTTCACTAGAATTATTCTCAGATGGACCCGGGAGTAGATGGGCTTCGCACCTGGGCACGTATCCTGTTGGGGGCGAAACTTGTGAACATTATATTGTTAGGGGCCAAACGTTGTACCTGACTCGATTATTCTGATAAAACCACATACTCAATTGAGATTTTTGTCCTAGCTGGCCCCCGCACTATACCACAGCTTAACAGCTTGGCGTCGGGACCCACTTCTTGCAGAAAGCCTCCTACGTAGATCCGACCGTGACGCTGGCCCCAGGCAAATAGTAAACTAGTCCTTGGTAGTATTCCTTTGGCCCCAGGCATATGTGGGCCCATACGCGAGTACATTGGTTGAGTCTGTTGCTGGGGAACTTGGTCACAACTTCCTCGATATGTACTCGATCTACGGAGTTCTCATCATGGATCATGATCTTCACAAAGTATCAGTTCTCCTATACGACAGTATGGATTAAACTCAAGCCATGAAACACCTGGCTATCGATCAACGAATTGTGCAAAATCTGAAACAACAACCCCCCTGGGGCCGTTTCCTTACCATTAGGGGCATATTCAAATAGCATTATCTTTGGGTGGCAATTGTTCTAATTAGTACGAATGAATATTTGATTACCTCAAATTCCCAAATCAGCCCCTTAGCTGTCGATTATCCTGGCCATTCATCTTAACACATGTATCTGTAATTGATCCATACTATACCCTTTAGAACATTAATATCCTGGGAAAGGGGTCTGTTCATGTTGGAAATATCACAAATTTAATTATTGGATCTCTTCCAAGGTCCCAAGGTCTCAAGCTTTCAGTAATAATGGTGAATCAACTCGAAATTCTGCTATTCATATTGCCATTCGAACATGATGTCACCGTCTGTTCGCTAAAATTGTCGACGACGCTCCAGAGGGCTCTATGTTATCGCGCGGCCGCGATTAATTCTCGCCCCCAACTGGCAGGCTGGGCATTCCTTTCTTTGTGCTCCAGTTTGTTCCAATCAATTTATAACGTGAGGTCTTATCGAATTATGCAAACTTTGGCCCCGTTTTCTTGAGTATTTACCACGCACAATAACTGCCCAGATCTACGAATGTGTAAGATTCGTAACTTCATGTAATACATTAACACCACCTACATAACTACAATGCCATCCTGTGAGATAAAAATATCGCGGCAGTCTATTCAAAAGTCAAAGCCTAATATAGCGAATATAAAGCAAGTTCACAAAAACTTGAAAAGCATGGTTCGTCACACATAAACATCGCATCAATGACCAATTCGGACCTTCAACCTCCAAGCGGAAAATGTCCAGCAGCGGCTTTCTCCCTACTTAACAGGTCAGTCTCAATTAATCTTTGGAAACCACTTGAATATAACATAAACAACTGAAATAAGAAGAGGGAGGTGTAAGGTCTATACCCTAGTGTATCATAGCAATAGAGATGTTGTTCCTCGGTTTCTTCATAATCCAAGCTCACGGGAATTGTGCACCGATCACTGGCTGAGCTTGATTGCACAGACCGCGGCTTTATTTGATAGTTGCCCCTTCCTTGGTCTGCGTTAACCGATGTCTGAGTACCAAAAGCGATAGGTACTCTCTCATGCTGGAGGTCACTCTTGCTACTCTGGTGGAAGACCTGAGTTATCATCACCGCACTGCATAGCATATCTTTGTTACCAAGTGTCAACATACCAACCATGTAGTTGCTGATGAGAACATTTTGACCTGAATAATGAGTCGCGATAATGTAGTCCTTCTGAACGGGGAATAGATGGTGGGACTTTTGAAAAGCCAAATTGTCTGTAGAGTTCTTGGGTCTTGTGGAGTTCAAAGTTTGAATATGGCTACTAGTAGCAGAACGAGTTTCCTTCTTGTAGGATTGATCAGGTGCTACAATGATCTGTTTATATTCCACAATAAGAAATTGGAGTTTGGAAATTGGTATAATGAATGAGGATAGTCACTTGATGTCTCTCAAGTGAACAAAAGCGGAAAGTTTTGCAACGTTAATTTCCTAATCCAGTAAGGGGGGTGTTGCTGATCTTCGCCCCAAGTTGGGGGCCGCGTAATCTCACGCCTGACGCGAGAAAACATGAAATAGTATACACGACTACCAGGATTAACGTTAAAATCAAGGAAACGGAAATTGAGATAGAATAAGAAAGGAGGTCATGTACAATCATTTTATCTCGCGAAAAGATTTCCCTGACTGCTGCATCCTTCGTACCCAAATGGCCTTTTAACTCCTGATAGAAATGGTTTCCACACGAGGCGAAATAGTCTACAATGAGACTCTAACATGACAGGAGATAAGGACCGCCTATTCAGCTGGTTGCTGTGCCTCAACTTACACGATCCATCTCGTTTTTGATATCACAGTGCGCTCAATCAAAAAGCACCACTGCACTGTTCCGCACGACTGACGGGCCCAAAGCCGCCGCCAATTCAGATATAATACCTCTTAATGATTGAGGATTGTCAATCGGCATATCCTCCCAGCCAACAAGGTCCTGCAGATAGTCAGAAACGGTTAAACACAGTGAATAGATGATTCAACAAAGCTTGACGGAATGTAAAACATACATTCATTTGGACGAATGTTCCATGATACAGCAAATACCATTGGCTCAATCTCAAGTCTTTTACTTCGTCTCGAGTGAGAACACCGGGCATGTTGATATCAAAAAGGGAAAGTTCCTCTTCATTGACGTCAGGGTCGAGCGCGGAGGTTGGCTTTGAATCTTCCCCTTCACGAGAGGCACGATCTTGTGATAGAGAAACATAGGATTTCTGGTCTAGTTTCTCGGACAGTTCGCCATCTAATGGATCCCATGCGTATGATTCCGGATCTGTTTGGTAATTATTAGCATATACTTAGGAAATGACATTGATTGGTTCTGGGCACCCAATAAAGGTTCTGTCTACTTACCAAGGATGTACTGTGGGCGATAGTTTCCCTTGTAACGCATCTTTTGGCAGCTATGAATGTAATAACCTGTGCCTTAGGATTAGCATGAATAACATGAAACAAGTCATTGACTACTGATGTACTAGTAGAGACCTCGGGATCACTGACCCATATAGTAGGAGGAATATTGATTCTCGATCGCGAATGCGATTTCACGCAATGCAGTCAGTTTTCCAAATTCCCACTGTTCGTATTCAGGATCGTAGCTTTATAAAGTCAGCTAAGTTCATGCTATAACACTTATCAATATACCCACAAGACATAGACTGAGCTCACGCCGCTAGGCACCAAGTCCAGCACCGCAACAGCAATAAGTTTCCCATCTAAGCGATAGCATTGATGCCACGAGCCAAGTTTCTTCTCTGAGCCATCTTTTTTCGTGGATGAAGCGGGGGACCGCTTGATGCCTGAACAGAGAAAGTTTTGGAAGTCTTTTATTTTCCAACGAGAAACGTCTTCCTGATGAACTTTCATCTGGTACCTCAGAAACAAATCAAACTTCGCTTGCGAGACCGAATCGCCTTCAATGTTGACTTCAAAGCGATGTGCGGGCTCTAATGCTCGCTTTGTGCCCGGGTCAATTGGCCGCTTCAGGTTTTCATATTCGATCTCATGGACCGCGGCCAGGAGATCAAAATTACACTTGCGATATTTCTTCTCTCTGCATGAATTGTTAGCTATTATGAACTAGCCCCGGGGGAAAAGCAGCGACAAACACACGCTCGGGAACGAGGACTCAAACGAGCTACTTTGCGCATGTACTCAGGGCCGAGAACGAATTTGTTCCAGCGATTGATGGCTTTTCTCTGGTCGCGACGGGGGCGAAAATCGGACGCCTCAAGTCTTAGTGTGTAGTGAGGACAGCAAGATCGTTGCAGATTCTGTTTGTAGTAAAGCGTTCCCGATCTAGAAGGCTGTGAGCGATTCAATTGAATAACAAAACTTGCGATGGGACTCCATCAAATAGGCATACCGTCTCCATCCACGATCGATGAGTTCCCCATAGTGCTCAGGCTTCACAGCCACTGAGCTAGTGTAGTATGAGGCGCCTTGTAAATGATTGTTAGTGAATATTTCTTTACACTTTTGAGGTTATGCGGGCAAATAATAAACCGAAAATACAAAAAACTAAGAAAAAGATGATAGGAAAGCATACTCCCGTTTTCTGATTTGCAATAACCACACGAATTACGCTGGTAGCCTGCCCAATACTGTATTAGTATTTATTTGACGTGCTGGCAAGATATACAACCCCCATGAAGTCAACACCGCCGCCTACCGGCAGCTAAAAGACACAGATGGAACGGTCACGCGGGGACACTTCTCTCATTTGGTCGCGGTTCATGTGGAGTCACAATGGAACGTACCTAGGGGACGGAAAAGCGACAGCTGTCGCGCGCGTTCAGCATCAACAGGCTCTGCCATTGGGGAAGTCTCAATGACTGTTCAGAATGATGGACGGGGATGATTGGGGCCCTTATTATGAGGCGTAAACAAGCTCAGTAATGTTGCAGTCGAATTTATTTCTCCATCTCAAATGAGGTTCACTAGGGATGCCAGCTCATCTGGGGCGGAAGTGAAACTCGGGAACGACAGTCTTATTGATGCCTTATTGGTGCCTTACTATTATCTAAACCGCATTGGAGCTGATACCCGCGGCACCACTGACACTTCTAAGGTTTATGTTAACAGTGGACGAGAGCGTCCTATAGTCAAGAAAAGGTCTTGGATCATCTATTTCATCCTTTATGGGACCTTCCTCTCTATCTGAATGGACGCGTTCCCGTCAGTTCTTGCAACAATTCGATGTTCAATGAAAAACGAGACCACCGTCGTAATATTTCGACCATCTCTTAAAGCCAAGAGGCCGAAGTGCCCTGTCTTGCTCGTGACAACATTCTAATTAAAGTGGATATGTATCTCTCGCATTTATTTAGCGCTAAGTTGCATCTGAATCAGAAGGAAGGTGGCTTCTCTCCCAATCTCCGTGGCCACTTTTCAAGCCTTCCAAGCTTTCCCTCCCCCAAACAACTGGTTTGCCCCCCGTTCAATTCCGCAGGCTTGGACATCGGCCTTACGACTAGTAGCAATGCTGCAATGTGTATCTATGTAGCACTTACGCAATAGGTGGAGGTTCAGAGGATGGACATCATGGGTCGAACCCGTCGGACAATTATTCCGTCGTCGAAAAGCGTATGGTGCAAGTTTGGACTCGACAGGGAAAAGTGAGCCGATCAGCGCCTTTTGGGTTGGTACAACTGAAACGTATACCGATAACTTGAAGAGGCGCTGATGAGCTCATTGGAGTGGCTGAAATGGCCACTTGAAGAAATTGAAGCGCCAAACCAATTTCGCTTGATCGACATGCCTGGCTTGCTTCTGTTAACTGGTCTTACAACTTTGTCTTGGCAATTTCAGTATATTTATACCGTCAAGGCCAAGTGCGTGGAAATTGGAGGCAGTCGATTCCACAGCATTGAAGACAGGCAACCACCACAACCACGGAATCGTATGTGTTGTTTTTTTGGCAGCAGACCACATCAACACCTATAGCTTGAATCTCATGTCTACCCCAGAAAGCGGCAGTAATTTGTCGTCGAGCGACATCGGCAGCAACAATAGTAGGCTCCCCACGGAGCCTGCAGCGGTTCCCTTTGATGAAGAGAACCACCATACCGAGAGAACTACAGCCCTGGAGCCAAAGCCACCGAGAGTGCACTTTCGGTCATCTGCAAACACTGGCGCCTCCCGCGATGCAGCTCGGCAATCGACCTTGAAAGACTCTCCCCCTGGATGGGATGATTCCCGAAGAGAGGATCAGCCTCACAACCCCATAAGACCATACACCCATGAATCCGCGGACGTTGCCGACACACCATTGGGTAGTCAAGCACCGCTCACCTCCCAGGCTGATGGCGTGGCCCCCGATGAAAAAGTGCCAGATGAGCAAATACCAGAAACAACCAACAACAATAATATCAAAACTCTCCCAAATACCCTCAACTTTGACAATGCGAAGACTCGACTTCGTTCTGCAAAAGCGAACTTGAAACAAAAAACGCGAAACTTGGGTGAGCGGCTGGGTCGGCCTACACACGGAGGCGATGATCTTGGATCGGGTATGTACCAAGCAGACTGGGCCACTGGTAGTGAACCTCCGCTGTCAGACGTGACAGACGATAAACATAAGACTTATGAGCAGAAGCGTCAGCATCAAGCCACAAGTAGCTCCGAGGCTCATCGACTCGTACGCGATTTAACGCAGGATCATTCCGCGAAGCGCCGAAAGACCCGTGGACGGCCTTACCCACATACCGGTACGGAGTCAGTTGGAGGTGAAAATGAATCAAGCTTAGAATCCAACCTACGATATCGATCTGGTGGCGGTGGAGTTTTATCTCAACTGATCAAACTGAACGGTGGATCGCAGCAACAAGGGAGAGGTTCTCGAACTTCTAGTAAGTCATCAATGGAATCCACATCAAGTACAGCATCGTCTACGGGTTCCGGCACAACGACGCCAAAAAAAGATAGGCCCAAATGGTACAAAAAGCCGCCTAACACGTCAACTTCCACACTGATTGGGGCATCGGGTGTTATGAGTGGAGCGAGCACACCGGTTTCCAGTGAAGTAATGTCGGCTGCATCAAAAAGGCAGGGCAAGCAATCTGACCGCAAGGCGCGACGTGAGGACGAAATTCGGATTACCATCCATATCGCAGAGATAATCTGTCGCCAGCGATATATCATGCAACTCTGTCGGGCACTTATGTCATTTGGAGCACCAACGCATCGATTAGAGGAGTATATGCAGATGACAGCCAAGGTTCTCGAGGTTGATAGTCAATTCTTATATCTACCAGGATGTATGATCATGTCATTTGATGATCCGTCCACGAGAACGACCGAAGTGAAGCTTGTACGAGTTGCACAGGGAGTGGATCTAGCGCGTCTATCAGATACCCATCTTATTTATAAGAATGTGATCCACGATGTTATTGGAATTGCGGAAGCGGTCCAAGAGTTGGATGATGTGATGAAAAAGAAGCCACGCTATCCGAAATTCGTTGTGGTTTTAATATATGGATTGGCAACAGCAACAGTCGGACCCTTTGCATTCAATGCGCGACCCATTGATATGCCGATTATATTTATCAATGGATTACTTGTTGGGGCTATGCAACACCTTGCAGCACCTCGGTCGGTACTATACTCGAATGTATTCGAAGTAACTTCGACTGTGTTAACCTCCTTTCTGGCCCGCGCATTCGGCAGCATTCCACAGTCTGTCGTCGATGGTAAGAGGCAGTACTTATTCTGTTTTTCGGCTATTGCGCAAGCTTCGATCGCCTTGATTTTACCTGGGTTCTTGGTGCTCTGCAGCAGTTTGGAATTGCAATCCCATCAAATTATTGCTGGCTCGATTCGGATGGTGTATGCCATTATTTTTTCTTTGTTTATCGGGTATGGAATCACGGTCGGTACTACAATATACGGCCTGTTAGACAAAGGAGCCGTGTCAGACCTTAACTGTCCCCAGCGGGGCGCATTTCCCAACCCATATGTTGCCCGTTTTCCATTCGTGGCCATTATGACTGTCTGGCTTCTGATTATCAATCAAGGTAAATGGAAGCAGTTGCCACCGATGACAATTATCGCGTTGTCGGGATACACAACAAACTACTTCAGTACCAAGAGGCTGGGGTCGAATTCTCAAGTTGCTAATACTGTTGGTTCATTTACTGTGGGTATCATGGGCAATCTTTACAGTCGGCTGTGGCACGGCCATGCGGCTACTGCAATATTACCTGGGATCTTTATTCTCGTGCCTTCTGGACTTGCGGCCACGGGTTCCTTGATCACGGGAGTACAGTCTGCAGATGAAATTCGCCAGAACGTTTCATCTCATTCTTCGCCAAGTAACACACCAGGAGCAGGGTTGTCGAATACCTCAGTCTTTACATTGGGATTTGGTATGATCCAGGTAGCAATCGGCATTACGATTGGATTGTTTATAGCAGCACTGATTGTTTACCCATACGGAAAACGAAGGAGCGGGCTGTTCAGCTTTTAATAGATCATGATTTCATGCGTCTTTTGCTTATTCGACAGTAATCCTCTGCATGTTATTCCCAACTTCTATCCGTAGATCTATTTCAGTTTGAGTTTATTTGTTTCGATTGGTAGAAGGTTCATATTTCCACTCAGCATCCAGAGTCTGAGCACCTTCAGGCTCCATATCCTCAGCCGCGCGATCGGCTTTATTGCCACGAGTACCGCTGGCAGTCTCCTCTTTTTCGATGCCGCGTTGGTTGGGGAATGTGCGCTCAACCCCACGGTTTTGAATGGACCCCCCAAGGCCCTCAAGGCCCGCAGATTGCTTCTTGCGTCCATGGGCGCCATCATGGGCGAGCTCGACTCCACTTTGCCCTTGGAGAGGCTTACCAAACCCGGCATACACATCCTGCGATGTGGCGCCAGTCAGAGTGTTGCTGACGGATGTACCCTGACCGCTGAATGTATTGGGGTTATTTGTTTGGCTGCCGATATCATTGACATTCGGAGTATATGAGTTGCTGGCGGGGGCAGTGCCTGGAGGAAAGGCCTGAAGATGATGTTCGGGGCGCTTATCAGCCTCGTTAACTTTGACACCTGGCTTGTGCTAGATAGTTTTTTATCGTCAGTCAGCGGGTTACTAAAAACCGGCGAAGAGCGTGCAAACTTACGCCTTTATCAGTTATGGGGCCTTCGGGGGCAATCGAGGGCTTGAAGCTGCCCTGCTTGTCGTTGGTGACGGAATCAACATTATTTAAAGTGCTCATTTTGTAGTACACGTTGGTCACAATGGTATGGAGATGAATTTTCAAATGGGACGTCTTCTAGATTGGAGATGTCGATGTAGTGAAATGTGAAAAAATGTATATTATTCGAGTTGCATGGCAAGCGCGGCTTTATAGGCGCCCATGAGCGCCCATAGCCGGTCTAGTAACTAGTCCACATTGACATGACATCAACTTGAAGCTTCAGGGCAATTGATTTCAAATTCACATGATACCTAGTGATAACTAATTGAGATGAGATATGGTGGCGACTACGTCGTAATAGACTACAAGTATGCATATTTTACATCTTTGACTATAGTGGAGCAATCGGTGCGAGTTTACATGTTAACGGCAATGGATGCCGTATACTAGCGTGATCGGTCGATTAATGACATCAAATTAAGTGGAGTACAGAAAGAAAATCATGTATGTACATACGGGATTTCCTTGAAATGGATCCTAGCATTCCTTGATTTAAGCACTGGCATGAATTAATGGTGAGTTAATTGGTTTACGCAGTAGGAATGTCGATGATGTAGCTATGCGAAATTGATTGGTGGACGAGTTACCGGCCCATCGCAAGCGACACTCGGGCTCCAGCTCCGAAGGCTATACATGCCTACTAGTATTGATTACTATCAGTAGCTCCAGGGTCGGGTTCCAATCCTTCAAGTTTTGCTGGACAGAAATCATGATTGTATGTAGTAGTATTTTCCGATTGACTGTCGAAATCGAGAGAACTTCAAGTTGAATATTTATGCAAAATATTTTCCCCAGATCTCATTAAATTCCACATATACATTGTTACAAATCACTATTTATAGAGCCTCACATGCCACATCATTCCAACCTTGGGAAATAGTATATCCTCGTCATCCAGAATGCATGCTCGTTGGCGGAGAACGGCAGTAATGCCCTAGACCCCATACTCCCAATAAAAGACTGGATAACCTCCGACTCTGTATCTTCCAGTGGACCTCCAAATAGGATCCCAGGTTTTGAAGGGAGTACCAACTCCAGATGCTGTCTCTCCGCGCCAGGACAGAAGAGAAGCGTGTTACATGTAATGTACCCAAAGGCAGCGGGATGTTCGACAATTGTCATTCCGATTGACTCAAGGAGAGCGCAGTCCAATTTATTGAAGACAGGATCTTGTATATATACCGGGGTAGAGATGGAAGTTATAGAACCTGACACGTGAAGATATGCAGTGTTAGTGTATATAGTATCCGATCAAAAATAGAGATAAGGTAACACAGATAAATAGCCGGATTCCAAACGGAAAAGGCTAACTTGAAAGCAACAACGAAAGAGAATAAAGAAATCACTCACAAATTTCCCTCTTTATACCCTCCAATGCTGCAAGTTGATACATCGATACACTCCGCCGATCAACCCATCCATCTCTCAAAAATCCACTCACACTTCCCAAGCCAATACAGACAATCCTATCAATCTGATTGCTATTTCCTATCTTCAACAGAGTCTCCTGGCATCCCTTCCAAGTCTCCGACTCAAGCCATCTGTCCCGATGCACCGCATACTGGCTCTCTAGCTCCCCCAGCGTTAACCGCGCCGGCGCTTCAGAAGGCCCTAGCATAAGTTCATCAGGCTGTGCGGCGCTGTTAGACGAACTCAGTCGTGCATTTGTTAAATTTACGCGCCGAGCATTGTTCCTTGTTGTAACGTGTGTCCAGCCGTCATCGCTGGTTATTTGGTGGCGTTTTTGTGGAAGAGGGTGCTGTTTGCGGGTGCGAGAGGTGTGAGGCATTTTGGACTTGGTGGGCAGTATATTGGTTTTTAGCGGATTTTCTTTATATATTTCATTGTATGAAGCTGGTGTTATGTGGTCTTTTTGTGCTTTCTTGAAGATTCTGGCTCCAGGGCTGCATTTAATTTGGGTTTTATCGATAAGGGCATCTGGGACTAAGCCCGATAAAGATAAGGAAGCGTATCGTCTCGACTTCATGTTGACCGCCCAGGTCAGGTGATCGATCCGGGCCGATCACATCACGTGATCACAATGCATCGCGTGTCGAAAGTTGGTAGGATCTTTTGACGCCTGCACTTCTTCTATCTAACATCCTACCTACGTTATGTTACGCTCATCTATGGGTTCGGGCAGGGCCCGGATTCCAAATTTGCGGCCACCGTTTTTAACTCGTGCTTCCCGTCCCAGCCTGGCCGTTTATTCGGCGTGTGCAGCGTCAAGATTCAACTCTTCTGTAACAAATCTGGACAATTTTCCGGGAGTGGGCGACAAGTTGCATGGATTCACTGTTCGCGACAAGAAACATATCCCAGAGCTGCACTTAACGGCAGTCCAATTGACTCACGACAAGACCAACGCAGACTACCTCCATGTGGCGCGAGACGATAAAAACAATGTTTTTGGAATTGGGTTCAAGACCAATCCGCCTGATGCGACCGGCGTGCCCCATATCTTGGAACATACTACCTTGTGTGGTAGCGAAAAGTGAGCAATACAACCCATGAGAAGTCTATCCTCTCTAAACTATGATCCTAGGTACCCTATTCGCGATCCTTTTTTCAAGATGCTCCCTAGGTCGCTTTCGAACTTCATGAATGCCTTCACCTCTTCCGACCATACTACCTACCCATTCGCCACAACCAACTCACAGGATTTTCGGAATCTTCTGTCAGTGTATCTCGATGCCACATTAAATCCCCTTCTCAAGGAGGAAGATTTCCGTCAGGAAGGGTGGAGGCTTGGACCAGAAGACCCACAGGCCCTCTTGGCTACACCAGACCAAAAGGCCCAGTTAGAGGATATCGTATTCAAGGGTGTCGTGTATAATGAGATGAAGGGTCAGATGTCGGATGCCAACTACCTATACTATATACAGTTTAAGGAGAGCATATTTCCAGCCATCCACAACTCGGGTGGAGATCCTGAATTCATTACCGACTTGACTCACAAGCAGCTATACGATTTTTCGAAGCGCAACTACCACCCAAGCAATGCCAAAATCTTGACTTACGGTGACATGCCTTTGAGTAGTCATCTGGAGCAGATTGGGCCCGTCTTGGATGGATTTGAGCTTGGCCAAGCTGACAATGATGTAAAGTCACCGCGGAGCCTCGACAAACCCGTGAATATTACTGTCCCGGGACCAATCGACACATTCTCCGGCGAGGATAAGCAACACAAAACCTCCACTTCTTGGTACATGGGTGAATCAACTAACATTGTTGAAACCTTTTCTGTTGGAATCATTTCCTCGCTTTTGCTTGATGGGTATGGCTCTCCCATGTATCGGGCGCTCATCGAAAGCGGCCTTGGTTCCTCTTTCACTCCAAACACAGGTCTTGATTCATCCGGCAAAGTCCCCATATTCTCAGTTGGCCTTACTGGTGTAAGTGAGGTGGATGCATCCAAGGTCAAGCAAGTGGTCCAAGAGGTTTTCCGGGAGTCTGTGTCTGCTGGATTCAGTGACGATAAAGTGCGAGGATTTCTCCATCAGTTGGAGCTTGCGCTACGACATAAGACCGCTAATTTCGGGATCGGTGTCATGGAGAAGACCATCTCTTCTTGGTTTAATGGATCTAGCCCGATGAAGGAGCTGGCCTGGAACGATGTTATTGAGGAGTTTAAGAGAAGATATGGGCAACCTGGCTACCTGGAGTCCCTTGTTGAGAAATATCTCTTAAATGAGCGCTGCATGACATTTACCATGGTCGGCTCCCCGACATTCAACAAGACCTTGGATGAAAAGGAAGCCGCGAGGAAAGAATTGAAGCTCGCTAAGCTCATTGAGCAACACGGCACAGTTGAGAACGCTGTCGCTAAGCTGAGCGAAGAAGAATTAGAGCTTCTCAAGGTACAGGAAGATGCCCACAATGCGGACTTGAGCTGCCTCCCTTCGTTACGCGTGAAAGATATATCCCGCCAAAGAGAACACAAGCCCATTCGAGAGTCAACAGTTGACGATGTCGATGTGGTTTGGCGTGAGGCTCCCACCAATGGATTGACCTACTTTCAAGCCATCAATGTCTTCGAGAACCTTCCCGATGATCTTCGCCTCCTAATGCCCTTGTTCAACGACTGTATCATGCGACTAGGCACCGGAAATCGATCCATGGAGGAATGGGAGGATCAAATCAAGCTGAAGACCGGAGGAGTATCGACATCTAACTTTCTTGTATCGTCTGCAACCCACTTGAACCAGTTCAAAGAAGGTCTCAATTTCTCTGGATTTGCCATTGACAAAAATATTCCTGAAATGTTGGAGATCCTGTCGACTTTGGTAGCGGAGACAGACTTCGCCAGTCCTTCGGCGCCAGCTATGATCCAAGAGTTATTGCGACTCGCCACGAACGGGGCACTTGATTCTGTTGCTGGAACCGGACATCGCTATGCCGTCAATGCAGCTGCTGCAAGTCTCTCCAAAAGCTTTTGGGTACAGGAACGGCAGTCTGGTTTGGAACAGCTGCAAGCTACGGCAGTACTCTTGCGAGATGCAGAGTCATCTCCTGAGCGTCTCCGTGAATTGATTGATAAGCTGCGTCTTATTCAGTCATTTGCCATCTCAAGAACATCCAATTTACGTGTGCGTCTTGTTTGCGAACCTGAAATGTCAACCCAAAATGAGTCTGTATTGCAAAAATGGATGGCAGGACTGCCTCAAGTTCGTTCACCTCAGTCCACTTCATCCACAAATCAGTTCCAGTCATTCGAGAAGGCACTCTACGACCTTCCTTACAAGGTCTATTACTCTGGCCAAGCTACACAGACGGTCCCCTTCGTTGACCCTTCCAGTGCTCCTCTAACAGTGCTATCTCAGCTTCTCACCCACAACTACCTACATCCTGAGATTCGAGAGAAGGGTGGTGCATATGGCGCTGGAGCTAGCAACGGTCCTCTCAAGGGCATTTTCACATTCATGAGTTACCGTGATCCCAACCCCATGAACACTTTGAAGGTTTTCAACAATAGCGGTCTATTCGCCAGAGATCGTGTATGGTCTGAGCGAGAGATCGAGGAGGCCAAGCTTGGTATCTTCCAAGGGCTTGATGCTCCTGTGAGTGTGGACGAGGAAGGAACACGTTACTTCATGAGCGGCGTCACCCATGAGATGGACCAACGTTGGAGGGAACAGGTACTTGACGTGACCGCGAAGGATGTGAACTCGGTTGCGGATCGATTCCTTGTGAACGGATCTCGAACGGCAACTTGTGTTCTCGGTGAGAAGAAAGATTGGGCTGATTCCGAGTGGGAGGTGCGAAAGCTGTCCATGGGTCAACAAGAACCCTCACAGTAATGGTCTCAACCCATTCGAAGGTAATAATGGGGTGTGATTACCTGGTGTCTGCACACTTCCCCGTGTATTTTTAATGGTCCCGCATGGTGGTATCTATGCATTCCCCTGTACATAAATGTGTATACTAACTATCTACATGACATGATCTGTCTCCTCTTCTTCACTGCGCCGGATTTTTTCTCCCACAGTTCATTTGAATTCATTCCTAAAGTTGCCTCCAACGCGCTACAAGATCTATACGTGCCTAGTTGCACTTGAGCTCATCACGTCTTCAACCAGCCATTTCCATTGGTTGATAGACGTGGCATACATTTCATTTTCGGTTTCCACCGATTTGATGCAAGCGCAAGAACAGTAGAAATGTGAGTCCTTCTGTGACACACTTCCTATCTCCGTTTCTCAGACCCATCTTGAACCTTTCAGCCTACGCATGATGGACTAAAAACGTGAGAACATATGGGTAACTCCAAACGGATATCCTCGTGTATACATACTACCACGGTGCCATAACCTAAAATATAGGGTGACTCCCGAATGCAAACTCATCTCATCGAATCCTTTTAGAAGAATTTATCAATACATGTAATTATATCACAATATAATCTAGGCATCTCTTAAAATAATTATTTTCCAATGTATAGATAGCATGGCGTAGTAAAAGCAAGAACCACTTGAATGGTTTATTCATGCAATGGATATGATTAATACATACCGCAGCGTCAATTATGGACAAGCCATCATCGCAGATTCTGTATGATGCACCCAAGAAGTCGATCGCTAATAGGACAATATATCCAGGATGCAATGAGAGAAAAAGCGCAAAGCTTACTTTACTCCATCAGTTCAACAGGAGGTCGAGAAGTTTTAGGCGGCGTTTTTTTCGCCGACATTTTGACCGGACTCATATGCGCATCGATATCGATATCGATATCACCGTCACCGTCACCGTCACTCTGTACACTAACATCTTCAACCAATACAGCAGGAAGATTGGTACTATGGCCATGGTCGTCGGGGTGGTAAATGATAGTACTGCTGCGACTACGCTGCTGCGAACCCGCAAGCGGCCAACTTGGAGTCCTCGTAACCGATGATATTGAGACTGGAGTGGCAGGATCTACGCCTGCAGGCTCCGCATGGTCGGTTTTCAGCATACATAAAGCGCGCGCAAGGTCGTCAGCATGCACCTCTTTGTTAGGTGGGTCTTCATTGCGCACGACCCAGCCATGCGGGGGACTAGGTGGTGGCGAAATGAAGAAAAGCTTGTCACTTTGTGGCGCCTGCAACAGCTTCGGGCCCTCTTCACTTAGAATTGGGGTGGGCTCGCCGAAATAAATCTTTGGGGTTATATTATGATTTAAGAGGTTCGTGCCTTCTAGCATCTTGCGGATGGTTATTGCGTCGGCATCGGTGTGGAACGAGCAGACAATGCGGCGAAGGGATGGAAGTGGAGAGAATGAGTTCAGTGGAGCCACGGCCATAAGGTTTTCGCGAATTTGGTCTAATGAAGGTGGTTGGAAGAGGATGAGGTTGGTGAGGTTGGTGATTAGAAGTGTGTTCGAAGGCGGCGACGGTTGGGAGAGCGGGGGTAGGCTGTTAATATCGATGGACAGGGAATGTTGAGACGATGACCGAGACCTCGGGTTATTGGCCACTGAATGGGCCATTTTGTGAGGGTGTCCACCTGGGCAGCAAGTATCTGGATGAGCAGCTGGGTAAATAAAAGGACCTCGGAGTCGAATTATCAGATCCATGAAAGATAGAGTGAAAGCGGTGAGCGATAAGGTGATAAACGATAATCGATAAGCCACGAGATAAGGGAGGGGTTGGTGGCCGTGAAATTCAAGCATCACATTACAATAGTTACTATGACCACCTAGACAGGGTAGAAAGAAAATAAGTGACCATCTGAAAGCCTGACAAGAATGATATCTGCAATTTGACAGCAACTTTGTATTATAACCCTATTTCACACAATAAAAAGTCGACGCCGAAGATTTACCGACTATTCGTTGGCAATCGCGGGGAACTCTTAACGCCAAGCACCTCCGCACTGGGGAATCAATGTGGCGGTTGAACAACTCAGGTTAAAGAGTAAGAAGGTAACTCAGAGAAAAAGAGAGAGAACTAGCAAAGTCCCCAAGCTTGAATACTTTATACTGCCCATCTAACAAGCGGGAAAAGGTCTAGGTCAATATTCGCCCGCCTGTACCATGACATCCACCCATGGCGCCCAGGGACAAACTCTTGGTACAGAGCACATTACTCTTGAGTCACTAGAACCTCAGAGTGAACATCCTGGATTAAATATTTCAAGTGATTCGCCCGACAATTTTCCAATGCTAGAGAGATGGAATTCTCCACGCATCAATATTTATCGGTCTTTGTCGACCTTCTGGAGCTTCCTAGTCATGGGTGCAAATGACGCTGCGTATGGGGTAAGTAACATGAAGAATATATGAATAATGTGAGCTCAATCGAGACATATTGCATCTAATACTGATAACCACTACATATAGGCCTTAATTCCTTATGTAAGATTGATTATCATTCCGTCTATGCAATGTTACGCGGAAACTATCCATGCCAGGATGAAGCTTGGCCTGACCATTCACAGCTCGAGTCATACTACAACCTTAGCTACACCGTCGTGTCACTTGTTTTCTTATCGCCTCTAGTCGGCTATACTCTTGCCGCATTTTTGAATCAAAGGATTCATATCTCTCTCGGGCGCCGTGGCCCCGCATTAATTGGGCCAGTGTGCCATCTAATCGCCTATGTCGTGAACTGTGTACATCCACCTTACCCAGTTCTTGTAATCTCCTTTATCTTTGCTGGGTTCGGTAATGGGATTGAAGATGCGGCCTGGAATGCTTGGGTGGGAAATATGGCGAACGCAAATGAGCTTTTGGGCTTTCTCCATGGGCTTTATGGGGTTGGTGCTGTTCTAAGCCCCTTGGCAGCTACTTCTTTGATAACGAAGGCAAATGTATCATGGTATTACTTTTACTATATTATGGTATGTCAGCCCTACATAATTGACTTCTACCTTGTTTCAAGTACTGGGTCTCATACGAGCCTCGGGCATGTTTCTGTGACTGACCGCTTTCCCGGTAGGTGGTGTGCGCATCCATTGAATTGGTCGTCTGTGGGATATGCTTTTGGGAGTCTACAGGAGCGGTTTTCCGGGCTGCTAACACCCATGCTACTGGAGAGAACAAAAAAGGTGGACTACGAGATGCGCTGTTTAATCGACCCTCCGCAAGAGTAACCTGGCTATGTTCTTTATTCTTGCTGGGTTATGTAGGCGTTGAAGTCGCACTCGGTGGCTGGATTGTCACGTTTATGATGCGTGTTCGAAATGGGAGTGCCTTTGCTAGTGGTATGACAGCCACCGGCTTCTGGCTGGGAATTACTGTGGGTCGAATTATCTTAGGATTTGTTACACCACGAGTAGGCGAGAAGCTAGCGATTGCAGTAAGACCCAGTCCCTCTTTATATGGCACCTGAATGCTAAGATGGAAGCTTTTTAGGGATATATCATATGCTCGATGGCATTTGGATTGGTTCTATGGCTTGTGCCTCAATTTTATGCATCAGCTGTGGCGGTTTCATTCCAAGGATTCTTTTTGGGGCCATTATTTCCCGGAGCCATCGTGATGGTGACAAAACTTCTTCCCCAGCACCTTCATGTTAGTTCAATTGGGTTTGCTGCGGCATTTGGAGGATCTGGAGCTGCCATACTCCCCTTTGCGGTCGGTGCACTCGCCCAAGCCAAAGGCGTTAGTGTCCTTCAGCCGTTTATCATTGCCCTATCAGGGGCAATTTTTGTTGCATGGCTAGGATTACCGCGGGCTTCAAAGCAAAATGTGCAATAATTCGGAATGTGATAAAAAGTTGACACCGCGACAACTTAAAAGGTTTCTACACCCTTGAATGCCGATGTCTTGATTATTTGGTATCCGCATAAAATAGTTTAGTTTGACCAAATACTCTTCACAGGGCTGAACGCCGTCTCAAAATTATAAATACGATTTTGATAATTGAGTCCAGTCAGCCTGATGATGTCTTACTTACATACATAATAATATGGCCCTGCCATCATGGGGTTTACTCAGTGGATAGGGTCAAGCAACGTTATATAACATTGTGCTAGTTCACGATACCTGGTGCAGCGGCACGTGGAAATACATTTGGTCAGTCGCTAATATCGCTCGAAAAAGGGCCAAGTGGGAAGAAGACATCAGATCGGCGCTGGATAGCTAAGCAGCTTGCAAATATCCTTCCGTCGATGTCGAAACCCGTCATAGAGATCTTTCCAAACCTCGCGGTCCCGACATCCACTCTCTTCTGGTGTTCCTGGGTTATTATCGCACATGGGCTGCAACTCAGACAATAACTTTTGAGGCCACATAATCCAAGGCTTCGGTAATGGCCAGTCTGAAAAATGTACAAATTTAGCCTCCGCCAGGGCTTGGTCGGGGTTCCACCGTTCCTCCGTATTGCCCATATATCTCCAATGATCTTTTCGTCGGAACTCCCCCGATACAAGTCCATATTCACGGTGTGGGAGAACCATCGCGCTCTCACCATACCGAGCATTCAATAATTCCATATCGAAGCGACTGTCGGTAAAGTTCACCCCGCCCACGGAATGGACACTCTCCTGGAGAATCTTATATTCACGGTAGGATGGTTCGAGGACAACGATGAGCGAGGAGAGGGATTTTGTTTCGGGAAGCAGCCAATGCGCACGAGGCATGGCAACAGGAGCCTTGGGAAGGAAGAATAGCTCATCAATGGAGGCCAGAAGGGTCATATCGGAATCTAAATGTATGACTCGATCGTATTCGAGCAGAGCGAATGCAAATAATTTTGCTGAACTTGTGTCCCATGAGGCTTCGGAGGACCCTGCATTATTTCAAAAAAAAAAGTAATTAGCTTCCGATCAACTAGCCCAATGATGACACTGGTATTTCCTGTTACTGACCGTGTTCATCCTGTGGTTCCACCTTAAGGCCCTCGATAGCGACGGGTTTTAATTGCACATTGTATTGGTTCATTGCCATACGCAGCAATTGACTTGTTCGATCTGCTTCATTCTTGATAATTAAATCCCATTCTTGTGGATAAAAGAGAACACGTTCTGCCTGGCTTCCCAGCCTATCTAATGCCTCGAAAAGCATGACGGAATTGCAGAGATATGTTTCCGAGGTCGCATACTGAGTATAGGCATAGCGTGACCAGTCCACCCTGGTATAGTCGAGATGAGGCGATGGGTTCGGTGGAGGATGGGCGCGATACCACCATTTTAGGATGCAGAACCAAGCAAGTAGGATGATCCATGTACGGGGTCGGCGCAACTGCCGCTTTGCAATTTGTATAGTTGACTCATCATCAATATCGAAAAAGTCCTTGTCAGAGGCCCCCGAGCCCCGACGGTAGGGAAATGCAGGAGTTTTGATTGGCATGGTATGGAGAGAGGAGATGAATTTACATCATGTCATCCAACCCCTTATCTTCGCTTTATCATCACGTGGGACCGTCGGGCCGGAACATGAGGGAGATCCACCTTCCTTCGTTTATCCTCTTGTTTGTTGATATTCTTGGTTCTTTCTTCTTCTTGCTATTCAACATGTTACTGGACTCAGCTCGCTTGTTCAAGGTTTGAAGATAATATGAACCCGCTCCAGTGTGAAGCCCCCTGCCTCCGAGATCCAAGCACAAACACACTCACATCCATAATTCTTCCTATTGCAAAAAAAAAGAAGAAGAAAAGAAAAAAAGACAGAAATGTGCTGTAATTGCTCTCCATATTGCTGTGGCGACAAAGTGATTTTCTATACTGTGTAGACATCCAAAACTTGGAATAATCACAGATGAATTGAAATATAGCAAATGGCGCAAATCATAGTCTTGCATTGTTTTATTCGTCATCATCAAATTCCGCAAACTCCATGACCACCCACTCACAGAATCTTTCAAATTCCGAATGCCATTCTCGCAAACGAGCGGCTTTTATTCCTTCACCCAATATCCCCTCACCTACTTCAGCTTTCCACTCAGCAGTAGTCTGATCTTCGTAGCAGCTCCACCTAATGGAGTTCTGTACCATCATTGCCAGGCTCGCTAGATCAACATTTTGGAGCCCCTGTAAAGCCTGCCAGAAATCATGGGTCAATCCATTCTTCCCATGTCCAAGAATAGCAGGGTCATCATTGCAGAGTGAGACTGGAACACCGCGGGATAACATCGCTGGCAAAGGGTGGGATTTGATGGAACTCGTGAGCCGAAGGATTTCATTGGAGATTGGGCAACATTCGACTAGGATTTTCTTCTCCTTGATCAATTCTATGAGGAGAGGGTGCTTATAAAGAGAAAAGCCATGGCCGATTCGTCGGGTACCCAATAGTATTGCATCAAAGAGGTTGTGGTCTGTCACATCCCCATCGCCTAGTGTTTCTCCGGCGTGAAAGAAAAAGGGGATATCCTCATTTTCATCTGCGCAGCGTTTTTTGAACCAAAATAGGAGTGGCACAAGGTCCACAAGCGGCCTGCCGGAGTCTTCTTGGCCGACTAGATCATAACCGCAAATCAAATCTGGGTATTTCTGCTTCATTGTGATACATTGCTTCATACTGTCGACAATTTCCATGTTGGAGAGCATTCGAAGGCCACACCAAATGATTCGTGCCTCGTAGAAGCTCTTGCCTTCATCGGTCTCTTTGAATCGATCAACTTCCTCTTGGAAGACTCGGCAGAACTCCGTCCTGTCGTCTTCGGCTTCGTCAACTCCCTCTTTCTGGTATCGAGGGGACGGCACGACGCGAAACTCGACATATCGGATCCCATCGGCAGCAAGCTGACCTAGCATTCGACGAAAGCAGGCGCGGAAAATCGGCTCATACATTAAGATTGAATTGATCACGGGAAAAGTTTTCGTGAATATAGCCCAGATGGCATCCACACCGTGGTGATGATGATACGAATGTTCGGGCATTATCATACATCGACTTCTGACCCATTCGCGAAAACCGATTTCACCTCCATTTGGAAATGACGTCGCTGCAACCTGTATGGGGATAGGAGTTGAAGCTTCATAATCCTTAGACCAGATTGAAATTCCATCGGAGCTCATTTTCATTTGAGATGAGAACTTAAATTCGAATGGTGCAGTTTCGAAGTCCTGCGCTGTAATTAGTGGAGCTGATGCCGACACATGTATCCCTGGCGTGGAGAAGGCTTGATCGATCAAGAAATCGACATCGAACATCGCATCCATGTGAGCATGTAGAAGAGATCCCTTAGGCATCCTTTGGACGATTTGCCACAACGTTGTCTTTTCCATGTAGCCCTTTGCATGATGAAACATCACACCTGGATAGAGAATCTCGTCTGACTGATGAGCCGTGGCTTCATCTAGCCCATGTGTCCAGATATCCTTTTGCTCACGGGCCCGGATCTGTGACACAATTTTGCAGGCTCGTGCGGCAATCGGGGAAAGCGACTTGCGGAAAGTAGCATCTAGGTATGCCATTCAGCACATGTTATTTCGTCCTCTAGGTGATGAGTCAAGCCTACCATGACGTTGTTTTTGCTCTTCTGCAATGAGAGCGTCGCGACCATTCAGATACTTCTGAATGAATGGATCGTCGAACTGAGGGAGTCCTTCCTCTAGTTCCCAATCGGCGTTGTTAGTTGCCATTTTTTGTGAATCCGTCAGATGGTATGACGTTGGTACTTGAAAGAGATGGGGCGCATGTGAGAGATCCTAAGAGGGGGCACCCCACCATACCTGGCATGCCGCATACCGCTTTTGGCCGGCAACAAGCGCTGGTATGTACGTTGTGGCACATTCATCTTGGCCGTGGGTAAAGCCAAAGTGCCATGACTACGAATAATCTGTCCTATAATTTGTCAGTATATAGGGGGTGGTTTTGGAAATAGAGGGGCTGGGATAGAGGAAGAAGCAGCAAAAAGCTACGTGTCTCGAGACCCCTGTACTGTTGATGCCTGAGACATAGATACCTCAGAATACTAACATTTGGACCCAACAGCTACTAGAGACTGACAGGGGTAAGTTTGGGGGCCATCGATCTAATTCGCAATCAAGAGCCTCCGCACGGCCGGAATACTCCGAGGGGAAGTGACCTTATTGGACCAGCCACCTGGCAAGGTACAGGAGGGCTAAGTTGCCATGTGAATTACCCCCCACTACGGAGTAAGTCTTGGGAAGTTCAAGTTTCATAAATGGCACCCATGGACGGCATAATCTCGACTCGAACCCGCAATAGATACTATACTATATTATAAGTTCCGATCTTCCAGCCTTCCCAAATTTGAACATTAAACCAATTCCACCCCTCCTCGAAGCATCCATTCTTCATCAGTCCAATATGGAAAATCTACTTATTTCAGACGAGAACTTGACAGGTCTCCAAGCGAAAGTCGTCTTGATCACTGGTATGCTGTCCATTAAACAATTCAACTCAAACCACACTTAATTAACTTGGATAGGTGGTGCCTCTGGGATTGGAAGAGCCACTGCACAACTCTGTCTTGACCTGGGCGCATATGTCGTAATCGGTGATTTGAATTCTCCAAAGACTCCATTTGAAAACGCCAAAAACCTCAAGTTCGTGCAAACCAATGTAGCACAGTGGGAAAGTCTTCGGAATCTATTCATCGAGGCAGAAAAATGGTTCGGTCGCATTGACCATGTATTCGCTGGCGCGGGGCTTAGTATGACTCCTGATTTCATGGAGGTGAAGCTCGATGAGAATGGCCTCCTGCTACCTCCAAATACCCAAACAGTCGATGTGAACTTCACTGGCTCACTCAATACCGCCCATCTTGCAATCGCCTATATGACCCAACTGGCCAAAATTAAAACAACCGGCACGGGAAGCATTGTGCTTATTGCTTCTGCGGCTGCATTCCAGAACTTCCCAGCCACAGACTATGCAGTGTCCAAGCACGGCGTGGTCGGTATGGTTCGTGGCCTCTCTGGTAAGATGAAGGGGCAAGTCCGTGTCAACTGTGTTGCCCCTTCATGGACAGACACGGAATTTCTTACTGCTTTCGTAGCTGTCCTCAAAAAGGTTGGTGCTCCTCTCCAAACCCCAGAAGCGGTTGCTCGGAGCGTTGCTCTGTTATTTGCAGATCAGCAACGTACCGGGGATATAATATATAGCTGGGGAGGAAATTACAGAGAGATCAATAATCAGGAAGGGGGACTTCTGGACCATGCCTTGAAGCTTATGTCTCTTCCAGAGAAAGCGGAGGGTTTTGTGGAGAAGCTCATGGAATTTCAGCGAAAACACCTCGAAAAGCAATCGTCGTGATTCGGGTTTCCCTTTTTTTTTACTTGCAGAATGTACCATCTATGAATATTATATCCAGATCTGTATATAGTCCGATTGAAAGTTCAAATTCTGTAATCTGGAAGAATGAGTTTTCTAAAATCTACCTAGATATACTTTACGTACTGGATTTTTCCTGATGGGTGGGGCTACCGCATTTAGTTACCGCCGCTTTAACGAGGTTGCTCCTCATTGTCACGTGATAGAGCAGTGAGCACTCAGTGAGCACTCAGTGATCGTGCTCATGACATGCGAGTCACGGTAAGACAGCTTGATTGGTGGACTTAGGAATCATATTGAAATGACCAAACCTGGTCCGCCATTTCATGCATATCAGTTTCAGTAAGAATGAAATCCTCTTCCCCCTTTTCAGGGTCAGGATTCCTCAAAAAAACATCCGCGAAGTTGATGGACAAATTGCCACTGACTTGAGGGAAACCGTGCTTCGGATTGCGGCATATCTCGAGTGCTTGGGATGGCGATGGAGTCTGATTGCCAGATGTCTCCCACTTCTCAATCAAAATTCGGCCACGGAGCACACTGATGGTAATCGCGGCATTCACACAACTGCCCGGATCATTCAACCAGAACTTCATATCAGCTATCAATTTCGACCGAGGCTCAGACCAAGCTACCTCGCCAACAAAAGTTGGCCATTTGTGGGAAAGCCCACGCGGCATGTTTTTTGGTGCCCATGATATGTCGGCTCGTTTGGTTCGGGTAGCGCCACGGACTGTTCTGGTGCTAGTATTTTCTACCTCGGGGGGAACTGTCCTGGCCCAGGCAGAGAAGATAGTAGTAAAAGCCCCGATGGCAACAGCGTGCTGGGAGGATTCCATTCTCAATAGTGTGGACTGGCTGACATGGTCATAGATTTCCCAAGACAGTGTCAGTAGTCTTTCCCCCGAGTATACAAAACAGTCCAGGAAGGAGCACTCGTCCACATCCATGATGAAATAAGGGTTATACGCCTGTCCAAGCGGATCTTCTTCACACTTAAGCTCATCGTACTTCTCTTCGAAAAGTTGAAGACATTCGTCGTAACTCTTATATCTATACTTGGGTGTGTCGGACGGAAGGAAGTCTTGAAAGGACATCATGTTCAATGTTTGCAGCCGAGGACGTCGATTGATCCAAAATTAAAAATTTAAAGATTGATTAAAATGGGGCTGAACTTGACGCACATAAGGATTTCCGAGGTTTGTTGACCAACGATGACGACGATATTTATCACATTACTACATATTGGCTCCACCTGGCACCCAGAGGCATTACATAGTTATTATCCACAGGAGAAATCGACTTTCCACCCGAACTAGGTAAGGCCGGAATATGTGGTTCAGGATCGTCTTGGATCTTACCAACTTAAGTATGCAGTTTAAGCCACAGGAAAAGAGTTTATTCAGCCTTTGAACAGACTAGAGCGAACCAAACCAATACTTGATCCAAAAAAAGAAAAAAAAATCCCCTTGAACAATAGTCGTGCACAAAAGTAAACAAGAACTAAAAAAGAAAAGAAAAGAACAAGAGGAGAAACCAGCAAAAAAAAGCAAACGCCTGTTCCAAAACATTTTCCTTGAATTCTTTTCCACTAAATTTGCCTAAAATGCCCACTCCGAAAAAACCTTTAAATTCTTGTTCTATTATATTATTCTTCCCCCTTAGTTACTATAATACGATGATGAGGATGAACTAGAGGGCGATTGCCTCCATTCATTCGTTCACAAATCTTTGGAGTCTTTTATAGTAGAAATATCAGCAGAAGCAAAAGAGGTCTATAATATTGTAACAGGCATGCTACAAGACTGGAAAGAAGTGGATAAGCGGGGCGTAGTTTGTCAAGAAACTCTTGCTTAGATCATTTCAGACCTCAAATCTAGAGGTTTGGAAAACCTTTCCTGTTTTTGGAGAAAATAGCCTGACCGATAGCGACAGAAGCTGCCGTTTTATACATCCGAGCACAAAATTGCGGTTGGGTGGTATTTTACGATAAGCGCAATGACAAAGTTATTATGGATGTATTTGAGGGTTGTACTACGATGACGGCAAACCGCTTACTTAAGCAAATTTGCCAACGTCAACCAACGTCACCCCAACAATAATATTTCAATTAGATTAAAAATAAAAATAAATATTATAATAATTCATATATCAAATTAGGTGCCCTATAACCCTAGCCCTAACGCCTATTTTTGCATAACCTGCATGTATGCCCTATTTCCCCACGAATTGAACATTTTGGTGCTTTTTTCAGAGATTTCGGAGCAATTGCTGCGTTGATTGCTGCAGTTGACGCTGTAGCAGGTGTATGCATTTGGTTTGGTCCGATCTTTTCCTTTGGTCCGATCCTTTGTCGAGGCTCGTATATTGGCCAAATAGGTGCTGTTTGTTATGACTGAATATTCTCAAGCTATATTGCTAAGTGCGCTGGCTGGTGCTGTGTGGACATAAGGGCCATTGCACTTAAGGATAACAGATAATATATGCGCTACTTATATACTGTTGCGGGCACTGATCGAACATTGAGTTCGATTATTGATGGTCTTTTAGCTATGTTGGTTATTGCTACCCATAAGGTGATACTTCTAACAGTTTATCTCTCCAATAATAATGTCATAGATTTTGGATATCCTTGAAATTCATTAAATTTGCAGGGTCATCTGATCGTATTTGATCAAATATTGATCGTATTGACATGCCGCGGTTAAAACAACTGAATATTCATTGTTTTTCGTTGTCGGTAGGCTTACGAGCACCTATATCAACCAAATTATTAGTTACATTGATCATATTTAACAAAATTTAGTCAAATTTGACCATGGTTAACCAAATAATTTGGTTGAATTTGGTCGAATTCGATCAAATTAAATATAACTAACCTGGATGTGCAATTAAATTGTCAATATTAGATATATGTCCCATATGGGTAAGGTTAAACTTTTTGATATGCCATTTTCTATCTGATGTTTTTTTGGTGGATTTTGCCGCGGAGATAAAAAATGCGCAATCGACACATCTGGTGCTGGTTTTTCGACGTTTCATCCCATCTTTTGTACTAGTCCGATCATGATAAACTCCAGATTAATCACAAATCAGTTTAAAATATCGATCACTATGCGAATTGCCAATTCTAGCCACAGTTCCAGCTGCCAAAGCAGAGGATTTAACAGCTGCAATCAGCTAATCGCGAGTCTCGAAAGATTAAGTCAAAAGGGTATCCATTGTTGGGATAAGAAGATAATTGTTTGGATAAAACGAAAAAAGTTGAGATGAATGGCTACCATTAAAATCACACCCTTTTTTCATAATAACATACCCCCCTACACGGGTTAGTCCTATTTAGATAAGGCGTGGAATTCATATTACCGCTGTAGGCTTTGTTGTTATGGTTCTTGCACTTATAATGATAGAAAACTGGCAAGGCGAACGCGCCATGCTGACACCACGCGTTATGCGCCAAGGACTGCTTGGGTCAACGGCATATGGGGCTTCTTCTTCGCTGGCTCGTATTTCGTCACGCTCTATTATCTACCTATCTATTTCCAAAGCATTGACAACAGCAGTCCGATTGGCTCGGGTGTGCGCAATATTCCTCTCATTATCATATTTAGCGTTACCACCCTTGTCACAGGCAGAGTCATCACGAAGACGGGTATTGCAGCTCCGTATTTGACAGCTGGCTCTGTGGTCGTAACCATTGCCGCAGGTCTACTGTATACTCTCGACATTGAGACTTCGACAGGCAAATGGGTTGGGTATCAGATCTTGGCGGGCTTCGGATACGGCGTCGCCCTCCAGGTCCCGATCGTCATTGCGCAGGCTTATGCTGAGCCAAGCGATATAGCTCCTACGACCGCGATTCAGATATGTGAGTTCTTCTTCGCCCTGTCCACCCTGTTCATGGATGTCGTCGGTTTCATTTTTATCCCCTTGTATCTCTAAGCTAAGTTTGTCCCCCGGGCATAGGGTATCGATCTATCGGCAGCACATTTTTGCTCGCGGCCGTGCAATCCAGCTTCGCCAACCAGCTCGCGCACAAGCTTGCCAACACCGCACCGAGCGTCAGTCTCACCCTCGTCACGGTTACCGGTGCTACTGAGCTGCGCCAGGCATTTTCCGGAGCCGCGCTGGACGGTGTTATTCGTGCGTACGCATGGGGTATCAAAGTTGCTTTCGCAATTACTATCACGACCTGCGGCGTCACTGTCTTTGTGAGCTTGTGCAACAAGTGGCAAAATATTAACGCGTTGAAACTCAAGGATGGTGGTGCTTGAAACAGCTCTTCAGACGGCCATGCCAACAGAGGTATTTCCATTTTCTCATTATAGAAATTATCCATTTGTACGATGAACGGATCTCAGGACGTAATCAAAGGGGTGTAAGAAGTGTCTCTATTCTCTCTGTAGAACTAATCGCAACGCGATGCTATATAACTGCAAGAAACAAAAAGGGGTGATAAATCTGCGACCGTAAGGGTCACTTCTGATTGGGTGGAGGTTTTTCCCACTACACTAGGTAGCGGATATAACTTACTCGAGAAAAGCACGGTCCAAACACGTAATTGGGTATTATCACGAAGTATATTATTCTGAATCCGGCTTAGCTATTATTTTCGTACACTAAGTGCATTTTTCTAAATGCCAAGGCTTGGAATGAAGGATAGTGCTATTTGAGCCACACTATAATTCATTATTACATATCCTGCATGCGTGGAGATACCCCCCACCTTCGTCGTTATTCGCAGAGCTTAAAGGATTTGAAAAATAAAATTGGCAGAAGCATGCAGATGAAGATTATAAGGGGTTTCTTGAATGGTGCCTAGACATCGTCGGAGCAAGAGCTAAGGGCACAGAAGGTTATTTCCGACATGCAAAAGTTGAGGTTGAAAAATATTGAAGATAGATCCATAATGTATTGTCGAGCGTGCCGCCATCGACACCACTGCCAAATCTCGCTCCCCTTCGTGCCCGTCTCACTGTTTTGACTATATAACACAAGAGCTTTAACAAGATTTAAACTCACGACTCTATCCATAGATTCTCCATTGAGTGGGTACCTCTCCCGTTTTGATAATTTCTGGACCTGGTAAAATCTCTCTCAGGAGCTCATTCACCCCCAAACCCATCTCGGAACATTTCTTCCATTGCCGTGGATAGCCAAGACTGACTTCCTCGAATCGACACCCATCCCTCCAATCGGTCCTGCGAATATGAAGGTGGCCACTAACTACCACTTTGGCATTGAATCTCCGATGCCAATCATCTGTCAACTTGGTACCACACCATAAACTAAACCTTGGGATAAATTTGAGTGTCACTAAGTCTTCCCGTAATGGCCAATGGTTTGCAATAACAAGAGGCAATAACGGGAATTGTGCTCTCGCGGCCTCTAACTTCGTCTCAAACTTCTTAACGAGCACTTTGCACCAATCTTGCCGACTACGATGCGGATCCGGATAAAGCAAAAACTCATCTGTAGCTTCCGTATTCTTCTCCCTTGCCCAAGGGACGGCCCCCTCCAAGCTCACATCGTCAGGTCTGAACGAATAATCGTACAGTGTAAAAATTGGAGCAATGACAGCTGGACCGCCTTCTCCTTCCCAAACAAGAAAATAGTCTTCAGGAGTAAGAACATTGTATTCTCGTGCTATATCGATGCATTCTTGATATTTCTGCTCTCCTCGGACACCGCTGCCGGATTTATCGGGCAGCGTATATAGCTCGTGATTGCCAGGACACCACCATACGGCATCGAAGCATTCCGTCGCTCTAGAGAATGCTGATCGTAACTGCTCAGCAGAATCTCCAACGTCTCCGCATAGAATGAGTCCATCTCCTGGATGAGGTGACAGCTTTGACCAAGCTACTTTGTTGTCCGCAAAGCCGATATGGAGATCGGCGATGGAGTAAAGCTTGCCCGTGGGCATTTTCCTCGGGGGAATTGAGCTGTTGGATGGACTAGTTGCCTCTCTCTGTCCAAGTAGTTGGGATGCTTGAGGATCGGAGGCCATCATTGTGAAGTTGTAAGCTGAAGCCTCGGCCTTGATGACGAGTCATTGCCAATGTCAAGAGTTTGTACCTGAGCAAGCGCACAGCATAACATTAGATCGTGTTGCACCAGACGAAAATACTGAGTCTAGGACTGGCGACGGAGTTTTTTTGCTCGAATGTTTTGTGTTTTACAATTGGTTGTGTGCCTTCAGCTTTGATACACGTTCAAATAGTGCAGCTGAGTGAGCTTAACATAAGGTACAAGCCTGCGGTTAAGCTCCGGTCTAAAGTGTTATGGGGGTTGTCCAGTCCGTAGGCTGGATGCGCCTATTTGTCAGGTATGGATGAGAGAAGGATAAAAGTAGACTTGATTCAAGACTGATTCTTGCTAGAATCAGTACAAATTTCGACTCACAACTATCTGAAATACCCCGCGCCTTGGCAACGATCACCTGACGATCTGGGGCCGAATTGCAGGGACACCCAGTGTTCCCTTACAAGAGCGTAGAGATTGGAGCATCAAAAATACGTTCTGCAACGCAAATAGAGGAGATATCTGGATTTTGAATAGCCTTAATAGCAAGAGCAATCCTACCTTCCTGCTATATCAAATCTTCACGGTTTTTCATTTTATAGAAAGAATAAACAATATAATAATAGGTAAAAGGTAAAAGGTACGTCTATATCTATTTGTACTTCTTGGAAAGTAGAAATATATTCCAGAACCCCTCTAGTTAGCCCAGCAGTAGTTTATAGCGTATACCATCGTTATTCGTTTCTGCCAGCTGAATCAACTATTGTTTGGAGTTGAAGGATAAAAAGCTTGCGCGTATGTCATGTTTCTTTGATACTCAGTTGGTTATACTATGCAGTCCACTCTCGTTACTTCTTAAAGCACTTTGCACTGAAAGAAAACGATTCTTTCTCGGCAAAATGTTTTCTTGAGATAGAGATATCTAGACAACCAGAGGCGCCACAGCCTTAGGAAGTAGTTGATATTAGTCGTTACTCCAAGCGCTACCGCCCTGTATGTAAGTTGTAAGAAGGATGGCAGCGATGGTTGCGACTGGTACGAGTACACAAAAGTTGCCCCATGAGAAGAGAGCCCCAAAAATTATGGTACCCGGCCACCCACCAAAATCGATGAATGACATTGCAGAAGGGGGTCGCCAGGTGCTCAATCACATAGAAAAGAACGGCACGGAGGACCGGTATGTCACTGGATATATTCGGGCCGTCTGAAAGTACGCACTTAACGCCCAACGGAGTGACGGCTTGGGGGTGGCCAAGGTGCTCGAAGCGTTGACCAAGATCAACGCCGACACGGATTGTCTGAACTAGTGAATGGAAACCATTGAAAAGATGCTTTGTTGATCGCTGGAATTCGTCGATAGATTTATCCCATCTTTCAGAATTGGTTTTTGAGGTCTCTTGTTGCATAATATGTAATAGAAGGTTGCCGAGAGATCTAGCGTTGCTTCTCGAAGACGGCTTCTTGTTTGCCATGAGACTTGCTCCGACGTTCCCTTCATAAAGTCATGAAGTGTTTCAGCTTCACCAGCAGTTATTCACACCGATCTTGACAGAACCTGTACATAGACAATTTGTAACGTCTGGTAAATACAGAGCAGCCCACGTAATATCTATATTCATCTCAGTAAATAATCAAATTCTTCGCGCGCTCACCCACCTCTTTACTTATCGTGGCCATTTCAGTAGTATATAGCTTAAAAATTGATCGCAGGCGTGGCAAGGAGATTTTCACTTGCTCATACACAAGTACACGAAACCATCGTCCACAAATGCTTCTCTTAATTTCACCACGTTTACGTGGCTTGTCTGTAACAGGGGTTGAGCCATTCCAGTGCCTGATATACTGTGTTCTCGAACCACAATGAGGTCACGGTATGGATTAAGCCGTTGTGCAAGATGATTTACGCGATGGTTCAAACATACATGAATGCCACTGCAAGGTATCTGGGCTTGTGTACAGGTCACCAATCCTGGTGGCCTACAACAGTTGCATGCTCATACCTTGCACAGTGGGAATATTGACGGTACTGTATGTATAGGCTCCAAGATTCGTTGAGGGCAAAAAGACGAAATCTGGCGACAAGGAAACGATGGTATTATTCGTTGCCTAGAAGATTTCTTTCAAATCTTTAATATTGGTTTGCTAGTACATGATGATATGTATAGCCTGAGTTGCCTTTAACTTGAGGGTGGCCAGACATATAAGTATGTTTTCAACATTGAATGTTGTGCACGAATTAGATTTTGATTCTATTATGCCTTCCCACTACTACCTATAATATCCATCCACCGCTCCATCTCTGCGACCAAGATTTGGATACCAGTATCCATCAACTCGGTCAATGGGCGTGTGGCGTTAGCCCTCAGATTGTCATTCCATGGCTTCAAGACTAGTTTGTTCACATTGACTTTGGTCACACCGGCCTTGATGCACGCCTGCGTCAACTCGGGGGAAAAGTCGTTGGTTCCATGCAGGACTAAACGGACACGCCCCCGCATCGATTTGAAGATACCCTGAAGCCTAATATTGAAGAATATCAGTATGGACAGGTGAGTACAATCAATCCCCGGAGACTCTGGGACATACCGTTGCATATCTAAGTCGGGACCTCTAGGCCCATAATCTCCATGAATATTTCCAACGCTCGGTGCAAGAAAATCCACGCCGACTGAGATGAACTCCTCTACATCCTCCGGGTTTGTGAGAATTCCCTCAAGATCACCAGTATCCATTATTCCATCTTCTCCACCCTCGATGCGACCAGTCTCGGCCTCGACAACAATGCCCCGCGCATGACAATATTCTCGCAAGATGCTTGTTTTCTCCAGATTTCCTTCTTTTTCATAATGACTCATATCGACCATGATTGAGTCAAAGGGCAAATTATCTGCGACATACTTGATTTGTTCATAGTCTTGTGCGTGATCGAGATGAACGGAGATCGGAACCGAGGCATTTTTCGCTGCAGCGGCTGCCGCAAAGACCAAGGAAGGTGTTTGTTTCAAAGACGACGGGAATAATTGTATGATTAGGGGCGATCGTCGCTGTTCGGCGGCCTGGGCCATGGCTGTGATATGCTCGACATTGTAACTGTGGCCTGTTAGCGGTCTGTGCTCGTCCTTTCGAAGTTGAAGTTCCATCCGTTGTCAAGGTCACTTACACAATCGCAGCCAAAACACCATAACCGCCCTTTTCGGCTTGGGTTAGAATATGATATGTTTTATTGTTATCGCGCCAGGACATTTTGAAGATACAAATATCTTGGGTTTATTTGGAGAAAGAGATTCACGAGCTCTGGAGGTGGTTTATATATGTATGAAGGAGAACTATAGTGGGTTGTTCGGAGACCTCGTATCGAGGCATCTCCATCCAATCAGGAGATCTCATGAATCGCGTTCAGCTCAAGGAGAAGGGTTTTGTGGGCTCTGAGCATTCTTGAATGATTTGGATGGAAACGGGTAGTTCAAGATACTTAATGTCCGCTAAAAGTATGTGAAAAAAACTTAAGGTACATATTCTGTACTAAATAGTACGACAGGTTCTTCCAGGGTTGTTGGTAACTGCAAACTACGGATGCCGTTGTGTTCAGGCATCAAGGCACTAAGGCACACAATTCTACCAAGAATCAATTCATGGATTCAACCACGCTTGTTCGATCGGAAACAAAAGCAGCCTTGTACACCGTTATGCCTGATTCACATTCAAATTGTTCAGGAAATGCATGCCTGAGGTATCGAGGTGCCTTGCATTAACCTAACTAGTTAACGTTAACTAACTAACCTCGGTTTTGTACACAACTGCTGTAAGTTTTGTGGGTTCGGAGTTAGGTTCAGCCACCATTGAAATACGCGGCTGTGAATGGCTGGAGGCCACCAAGCAGCAAATGATGTGGAGTCGGAAATGCGGATCATACTGTACAAAGTTGTTCCTCTTGGAACTCCAAAACAATGACGTCTTGTGCGGGCTCGGGCCACTTAACTGTCAATTGGCATCCTTAATACGGGGGAACCAGGCTGTTGACCCCCTCATCCACCTCTTCCCATCTCTTACGTTTACTATTCTCCTCGAGCTGAATGGCAACACGATGCCATTACATACGGTCGCTTTAGGAGCAGCGCTGACCCCGACAGTTATCCAGACTCTGATTGCGCATGTAGGTCATAGGAAATCAAGGGGATTGCACTCCTGCGACGCCCATGGTTTGATATTTGCTATTTACTAATGTTCATCACAGTACCTGCATCGCAAGTCCCATCACAAGAAACCTACCGTTCATATCACTTACGATGAAGGAATCAATGTCATTCGTCAATTTCTGTACTACGCGTCGAAACACCAAGTCGAGGACATTCAGGCGTTTACAAGCCAATCTGTCCCAAGCCCACATTGGGTGAGAACAGAGACTGTCACCATCCCCGAAAATTATCTCTCAACAGCCGGAGATGTTCTTTGCAAACAATTGGGGCCCAAGGGGATCATGCGTGTTGGGGGGCAGAGATGGTGGCAATGGCGAGGCCCTTCAGAGGAGCTCAAAGCGGAGTGGGTGGAAATGCGCAGCCATTACAATTCCACCCAAAAGGCCGATACACGCTGTAACCGGATTATGCTCTATGTCCACGGAGGTGCCTATTTCTTCGGGAGCGTTGACACACATCGCTACATGCTACAGCGCCACGCGCGCAAGCTGAAAGGTCGTATTTTCGCCCCAGATTATCGTCTTGCCCCCCAGTTTCCTTTTCCATGTGCCTTGCAGGATTGTATGGCCTCTTATCTCTGGCTTTTGGAAACCTATGATCCTAAGGAAATAATCCTTGCCGGTGATTCTGCGGGTGGCGGAATGGTCTTGTCTTTGCTAGTTATGATGCGAGATCAGGGCATTGCTCTTCCAGCAGGCGCTATCCTTATCTCACCATGGGTTGACTTGACACATTCTTTCCCGAGTATTGTCGAGGATAATCCTGGAGATTATATTCCTCCCTGTGGTTTCAGGTATAAACCCTCGATAGCATGGCCACCGCCAAATGCCGACGAGCTGCTGAAAATTAAGGAATTATCGCACAAAGAAACGGTGTCGGCTAAAGAAGTTGAGCAAACTGTTCCGGCAGCCAACAGCCTGGCAGAGGAAACCGCAATTCGTGGATATACACTGCATGAAAAGGTGGCACCTGGTACACGACCGGCTTATCCCGGCGAGCAACAGAGCTCTGATCCAAAAACCTTACATGGAGAGCCGGATAATATCCACGTGGTGTTGGGTGAAAAAACCATTGAGATCAAAGATCAGATTCAGATGTACACTACCAATCAATTGATCTCACACCCCCTGGTGTCCCCTGTTCTTCAGCCTTCCCTTGGTGGCTTACCGCCCCTCCAGATTCTGAGTGGAGGGGGTGAAATGCTCCGTGATGAACAATTCTACGTTGCTCACAAAGCCGCTGATCCCACAGCCTACCAACCGAGCCACGTATACCTTGATGAATATGACCCAGAGCGAGAGACGTTGAATAAGTATGAGCCGACTTATGTGCAGTTTCAAGTATGGGATAATCTCTGTCATGTGGCGCCGACCTTGAGTTTCACACGCCCCGCTAAGTACATGTTTCGGGCGATATCCCAGTTTGGATCTTGGGCGCTGGCTCGTGCACAAAATGCCGAAGTTGAAATTGTTGATGAAGAAGCCCTCTCGCCCATTTCGTCTAGTGAAACAGAAAGTTCAGAGGGCCTTCGGCACATCCATGGTTCAAACAATCAAAGAACCGATACCAAAATGTCATTCGTCGGCAAAGCAGGCGACCCCTTGCCGGCCTTCCACCAACATATGATCCGTGAACGGGTTGACAGCCGCGGGAGAACCTATCCGCTCGACCCTCAATCGTCTTATCCTGTCCTCAATACTCCCCCAGAAGTTGTCGGTGCAGTGAATCCCGAGCTTATTCGCAAATGGCTAGCTGCAAAGCATGAATGGGATGTAAGATTTTCCAAGGAAAAGCTGAAGGTTCAGAATCAACGGATCAGAGAGATGTCGCACGGCTTTCAAGACTTCGAGGGCGAATACCCATCCCCAAGCTCCTTAGCAGCTCGTCGTGCTGCTCCGGGCGTCTTGCCGAAGCGTCACGCCAAGAAGAATTATGGCATGATGCTTTGGAGTGGCTGGGGCAGCAAGCATGACGAACGAAGCATGGAACGTGAGAAGGTTGCCGAGAAATCTGGTCATCCATCGACTCGCACAAGCGTGGATGCTGGGCAAGCAGGGCAGTGGTCTAGCCGGCCTGCGACCAATGCTCACCAAGATGGGTCTCAAAGAAAATCTGCTGCCACAACATCTCTCTCGAGTGGCACAGCAGGTATAACATGGGATGCTGCAAATGAGAAGAATCCCCAAAATGGGTCACGATATTTTGTCGACACTGAGTCATCTTCTGCCCGACCTATATCTGCAAAAAGTAATGGACCCATTCTTCTACTTCCTGGCGTAGATAACCGCAAATTCACCGAAGAAAATGCGAGCACACGAGCGTTGTTTCATGCTGCAGGGACACTTCCTATGACTTCAGACCTTTCTCTCTCCTATACCCCAGGACGGCCATCGTCAGTTGGAGGGTCAATGGCTGACCGAAGCGAATTTTTGTCCGATGCTGGCGAAGAGACAAGTACTCTTGGTGGCGGCGATACCAATGGTGGCATGACGCATGATGCAGCAAGCACGCGCGCCGTTCTCTCTGCCCGAGGGATCATTGCGCCTTTGAGCAACGGTGACACTGGCCGACTTTCTACCGATACTGCATCAACCCGTCAACATCGGAAGTAGCCAGATGTCGTATTCTCGAATGAGAACAATGGTCCGGATTCTCTTTCACAGACAACATATGGCCGGTAGTGTAGACTCAGTACTGCCGGAGATCTGTTTCACGCCTACTTCTCACATTATCATCTTGCCTGAAAACCCCCTTTCAGGCTCATGATACCTTAGGAGACTTCATTTTCGGATTTTGAATCATACACTCGCCTTTCTCTCTTTTGGTGATAATTTTGTTTTGTTTTAGATATACCCAGCTTGGTGATTACGCCAACTTTCTTTATCACACTATGCCATAACCCTTTATTGAGGATGGATATCAACCTGGGGACATGTTAGTTACTTTACCTGACAGATTATGTACATGTTAACATTGATGTGGTGGTTTTACTGAATGCTCGAAGACACATAAACCTAGTATTTAGACTACTTCTTCAACCTTCGAAGTTTATAGGTAGATCCCGATGCCCCCCAATTCATGTTCCAATCTCTTCTTGCGATGGTGCCCAGGTGTACGGCGGCCGATAGCGTTCATCAGGAAGAAACCCCCTTGACCCTATATTAAGGTTTACCGCCTAGTACACTGCTATCTGTACCGTAAGCTCTACATAGATTGAAAGATGAGTGGAAAGATGATTGGAAAGAAATGTAGAGAAATTTATCTTATAGATCCTTTACATCGTACTAGTAATTTCATTTGAAAAGAAAGAATAATTACATCTTAAGGGGCACCTGGAGCTGGAACTACTTGGCGGTACTACATTGGAAGTATGGATAGTAAATACGTGGCATATTATTGTCGCACTATGATGAACCTATAAACAGTATTTTCTGATTCCAGCACAGTGCAGTGCCAATGTGTTGGCGGCATTGACCAACTTGTGAGAATTCCATTGTAAATCAGAATTTCAAACCACTTCATCCAACATAGAAACATCATGATGCTATAATCAATTTGATCTTGGCAATGCCTTGTTCAAGGTGGGGCGATCTGCTCACGTTCCAAGTAAGGTACACTATGAGATCACCAATCCCGATAGCACATTTTAGTCGATAGTTTGGGACCTTATTTAAAAATGAACATCCTAGCAATAGAATATAGGGGGTCCATCAACAACGTCTTTTTGGAATTTTGCACGAAATCTCCATGTAGTTATAGCCACAATGCTTTGTACTAAGAGAAGTGACCTTATCGAATGTGGAGCCGCATGTGTTTCTAGAGTCATGACATCATTTGATCCGCCTCCACCCGCTGTAGAATTTCCGGTTGAACACTCGGTGGCCTTGACCGGAGTCACCAATTCGGAGAGGTTCAGGAGATAGTAAGGCCACCTTATGGGTCCTTGGTAAACTGTCCTTAGAGTGGCGGAATGTATTATATTCATGCCTTGTAGTAACTAACCGGGATACCCCAATGATGAGGTCATGGCTTTGACAAGTTGTAAAACTGAGGAACGGACATGCAAGGAGCTTAATCAAGGCAGACTTTACATGTAAATCTGGCACTTGACCTCATTCACCGGCCTGGACACACTTATAAAGTTCCCCTCACTACCCCCTCTTCTGTACTACACTCTCATCATTACCCTCACCTTTCATCTCAAAATCGTCAACTTTCCACTCCATTCGCCAACTTTCCACTCCATTCGCCATGCCTATCCCCGTCCCCAAAGCCGACAGCCTCAAGGATCTCCTTAGCCTAAGGGGCAAGGTCGTCATTGTGACTGGCGCCTCAGGAGCCCGCGGTATGGGTATCGAAGCAGCCCGTGGTTGCGCCGAGATGGGCGCCGATCTAGCCATCACTTACTCCTCTCGACCAGAGGGCGGCGAGAAGAATGCCAAAGAACTCTCCGAAACTTACGGTGTAAAGGTCAAAGCCTACAAGTGCGACGTCGGAAACTGGGAGAGCGTTCAGAAGCTCGTCAACGATACCATCAAGGAATTCGGGAAGATCGATGCCTTCATTGCCAACGCCGGCCGCACCGCCAACAGTGGTGTTCTCGACGGTTCCGTCCAAGACTGGGAAGAAGTCATCCAGACCGACTTAAACGGTACCTTCCACTGCGCTAAGGCTGTCGGCGCTCACTTCAAGGAGCGCGGGACTGGTAGCTTCGTCATTACCTCCTCGATGTCTGGCCACATCGCCAACTTCCCTCAAGAACAAACCTCTTACAACGTTGCTAAGGCCGGTTGCATCCACATGGCTCGCTCTCTCGCTAACGAGTGGCGTGACTTTGCTCGTGTCAACAGCATTTCTCCTGGTTATATCGACACAGGTCTGTCGGACTTTGTCGAGCAAAAGACCCAGGATCTTTGGAACTCGATGATTCCTATGGGTCGTAATGGACAGGCTAAGGAACTGAAGGGTGCCTATGTCTACCTGGTCAGCGATGCTAGCACCTACATGACTGGCAATGATCTCATCATTGATGGCGGTTACTGTGTGCGGTAAACGCACTTTTCTCTTTTCTTTTCTTGTACATGACATATCTTGACTTCTCAGCTGGCTCTACAGTCTTTGATGATAATCTGCCTTTTTAAGTAATGAATGAAGAATAGCAATCGACTTGCTATCTAACAATGTCTTTGGGAACATTGATTCGGGTCGTAGAAGCCATATAAGCGATCGGGACGATACCAAAAGAACATTCCATTTAAAGTACCATTTCAAATCTCATATATCACCTCGTAGTACTCATATATTCAAGTTGTAGTGTGTAGTGAGTAGTGTGTAGGAGCAAAGACCTCGGGGTCCCATTGTGGAGATCACACGGTTCACCGCCCGGGCAAAGCACATGGGAAGATGTGAAGCTCGGAAAGTTGATTCAGAACTTAAGATCAGCATCCTCCCCTACAAACCTGCATGGAGCACAATGCAGTTACGTCCAAGGGGCTGGCATGCTCTTCAATATGCACCCAAACCACGTTTTTATTCTGGAGCCCAAGCACCGCCATGGCGGCCGGTTTCTGCGGTAGACGAGTATGACTCCGCGCTTGGGAAAGCTGTCGCATGATCTTCCCTCAGAACTGACCTTGGCGATATACAAATTTAGATGGGTCGAACGCCCGATCCGCCCGATCAGTCTACGCCAGTTGACATTTTTTGGCCGTACACTAACAGAGCCCCGACTGATTAGCTCTGCAAACTACGTGCGAACTGAGCTACCCACGCGGTATGTCTTGGCTAACACCCCCTCCTTGACGATCGGGAAAGCAAATAACTAACCTGGTTTCCCCGCAGACTGGCCCATCGACTTCGAGATATTCAGCAGCTGCCATATGTCGCCGTCTCCAACCCGCACCTCTCCCTCGTCTACGAATTGTACTATAAAGCATTCGAGCGATTTCGAGTGATCCCCGAAATATGTAGCCTGGATGATAATGATCGGTTTTGTGATGTGCTCCGAGAAATGCTCAGGGAGCACCTAGTGGTGATTCCGAATCTGGCCACCGGGGTCTTGGAATGCCGCGAGCTATTTCCAGCGGACGAAATGGATAGGTTCATGAACACCTTATTGCGAGCGGTATGAGTCCTCGATACGAACATGAGTACTCGACAAACCCAATACTGATACCGTGGCTATAGAGAATCTCGCGTCGCGTAATCGCAGAGCAACATCTCGCTCTAACCGATACTTTTAACTCCCCATGGCATTTCCCAGACTCGCACGAACGAACAGACATGAACGCAGACTTTGTAGGCGAAGTCTTTCTCAAATGCAACGCGAAAGAGGTGATTGAGCGTTGTGGTAAAGTAGCACAGGATCTACTGCGGCAAACCTCACAGTCTGCTCGAGTTCAAATCCCTGCTGTCAAAGTTCAGGGCCACCTCAACGCTACTTTCCCGTACATCTTAAGCCACTTGGAATACATTGTGGGTGAGTTGCTACGCAACTCCGTACAAGCTGTCATCGAAAAACACCACAATTCTTCAGAACCCCCACCGCCTATAGAAGTGCTCATTTGCGAAACCCCTCAACATGTCATCATGCGCATTTCCGATCGGGGTGGTGGGATCCCACGCGAGATCTTACCATATCTGTGGTCTTTCAGCAAGGGCCCGCGAACACAGAAACGGCTAGAAAATCTGGGTCAAGTTCCTGCAATGGCTGCGACAATGCAAGAACTTAAGGTCGGCGAGCGTAAACAGGTGCAGGAAGGCTTCCACGAAGGCTCACTGGATAGCTTGACATCGCGGCCTCCAAACTTAAGGCTGGGTATGGGCCTTCCTATGAGCCGAGTGTACGCTGAATACTGGGCCGGTAGTCTTGAATTGCATAGTTTGGAGGGCTACGGCGTGGACGCCTTTCTACAAATCTCGAAGTTAGGGAACAAGAACGAACAAGTCACGACCCGTGCAGCCATTGATGCTGTGTGAACAGTCAGCTGCTCTTCCTCTTCGATATTTTTGCTCCATTCATTGGAGTTGCGCAGAGTATTTACGATTTGGCCTTTCATTTGTTTCCGGGCGTTTTGATTTAGTATCTCTTGATACTTCATGTCAATGTGGGCCATTTCACCAAGAGGGCCACCATGAGCAGATATGCATTGTGTCGAGCATCATGGATGATAGTCACTGCCTCATTGTCACAGGGGCAGGCGTGGGAAAGAACATTTCAAGTGGTTTTTTGGTCTATGTTATGCGGAAATATACAACGACGTAAGTCGTCAGAGTCCCGACGAAGGCCGAAGGCATCAATCAATTGGGCCATTCGCACCTGCCTTGTCACCTATAGGGGCAAAGCTTGTGTCAAGGAAGTACGGTTGACAAGGTGTTTTCATCATCTTTCCCCAGAAGCATACAATGGACAGTGTCACGATATACCATAGGCCTGTCGCATCCAGCTTACAATGAAACAAATCGGATCTTCCAGGGGCAGAAAATTCTCCTGATACCACTAAGCGACACATGGACACATTTGAATGCATTAGGGGCGCATGAAGGATTTAGCCAGCTCGGGTCGTTCTGCATTCATTGCACAGAGAAGAAGCCCCGAGTACCATATTTCATGACCCACGATTTCTTTTTAACGACAGACTTGAGGTTCTCCTTTCTGAAAGTGGCTCACTGGTCCCTGTTATTTCAAGTGTTCTATAAAGCGGCTCTAGTTAGCAGTTTCCAGGCCATTGTCAGCCACCAGAAGGGCATTGTTGCAGCAGCAACGCCGTCTGTCACATACTCTAACACTCTTGATTCATTAAATAACTATTATACTACTCTTACCCGTAATTCTTCCAGGAATGAAACAAATTCACCTAGCAGCCCTCATCTTTGAGCGGCCAGTGTTCCTTTTTACAATCTAAAGACTGCTTGGTAGCAATAAAAATTTAAAATGCTCACCCTCAAAGAAGTATAAGTGTCTCTAAAGGTGCAACGATGCATTTTGAGGCCATAGGGCTCACAATATCTGCTCAAATTTATTCGATCCTCCGCCCCTGAATGACTCCCTGAGAAGGATCAAAGGCCTTTGTTGATTGAATTATAAATACCCTGAAATTATTGTATCATTGGAGTTTGGCATTGTGAAGTTCGACATTGTCAATCATTTCTTTGAAAATTCTTATTTTTGGAAAGCATTCTGCTCATTGTTCAATTTGAAGCATTCGAACAAAGACGATCTAGAAATGCTAACATTATCAGGATCCTTCGAAAGGGCCTTATTCAATATGAATGCTCTTTGTTTGTTTCAAGATTATTTCCATCTAGGCCCCATCCTGGAGAAATAATATATAAGTGACTCGAGATACTGTCCAAGTCCATCTACCTGTACACCTTCAGCCTGAGCTTCCTAAACATTCACCAAAATATCCAACAGAAATCTTCTCAGGAACCTTGCAAATGATAATGTAAAGTTATCCAAGTTTGAAACGCACGTCTATCTAAAGAAGTACCTCTATTTATCTGAATCGCGAGACCCGAGGCCAGGTAGGTGAAAACGCGATGTCCGAATTCCAGAAGAACCAACAAAACAATGAAGGAGCAAACAATTCCCTTAATATTACTGCAGCCTTGTACTGGGATATCAACTGTGTTTCCATTAGCCGAAAGATCGTTAACGGCACTCACTCCAAAGAAGATAGTGAAATCTATGCGCAAATGAAAAATTCCACAGACGTATTTATCAGCCAAGTAATGACTGGCTGTTTCACAGCATTGCAAACTAATAGCTTAAGTCGATGCACTTCATTCATTAACGAGTTCGGCTGGAAACTCCTCGCTATATGTGCCCACTCCGAAGCCTTCCGTTCTGCAGGCGAGAACCTTAACGAAGCAGACTGGCTCTCTTTCAAAAATCTTCTTGCCCAAAACCAAAGGAGTGTAGAAGTTTTTGCCAATTCGCGTGATCTAGAGTGGCGTGGTCCACTTCTACCTTACGCTTCTAGTAACTTATTGCCAGGACTACGAGAAGCACTAACGCCTGATATCAATCTTGCACAGGAGCACCCACACCACCTAGTGCAGCTGCCTGATGGTCATCTTAAGCGACCAACACATAGAGGTCTAGCGCAGGTAAATATCTCATCCTCAATTGATTACAAAAACCCAAAGATAAATCTCCGCACGCCGCAGATGAGAGCATGCTACTTATGCCGTAGCCCTCAGACTTGTGAGTGTCGCCACATATCTATGGTTGGTGATATGGTTGAGCTAGTTGAGCATCTAGAAAAAGGTGTTACGGTGCGAGCTCTCGCTAATTTCAGAAAGGGGGAACATCTAGGTGAGTTCTCTGGTCAAATATATCCCGAGTCACACAGTTACAGAGAGTCTGTTTATAGCCTGCTTCTCAATGCATATGATGCTGAAGCTAGGCAAAATCTTAATGTTGGAACAGTCTTTCCAGATCAATATGGCAATTGGACACGCTTTATTAGTCACTCGTGTGAGCCTACGGCTCGTTTTGTGAACCTGATTGTGGGCAATGAGGCAATATCTGATGTTCAGGCTGAGCGATCTATATCTATGTTTGAGGAGCTCACGGTCGATTATGGCGAGGAATACTTTAAAACCAGGCCTATTTTTTGTCGTTGTGGAACCAAATCTTGTAAAAAGCCTCCCCCATCCGAGGACTAAAGGACATGGATTTGACATAGTATGCTTGGAAACATGCTCCTTTTTTGAGATTTCGTTTTTGTCATAAACTTGTTTAGATATAGTATTTAATGTTGAAATTTATAATCCCTCAGGGAAATGAGTCTCGATCATCTTCAGGTCCAAGTTTGAGTGCCTCGGTAGTATAGACAGTAAAGATGAGATATACTACATATCCATCATGGACACTAGTCGAACAATATAATCATGATGTTTTCCGCAAGGCATCGTAGTAGTACGTAGGACAGAAATGACATAAACGAGCCACGCTTTCCAAGGTGAAACATCATATATATCTGCTGGAATGAGTCTTGGGCTTTCAACTCAAAACAAAGAGGTTCTTCCAGGAGTGTGACAGGAACTTCAAGTTGAATTCTCGTGAGTGTGGATCCCGCCAGCTTCAGCCCCCTCCTTGGCGTAGACATAAAGGGAATAACCCCCCGCCAGCCTTTATTTTAATTAAAACAGGGCACTCAGCCATCAACAGAAGAACCTTGGAGATCACCACAATTGCCACCGCTCTCTTCGTACAAAACGCCTGTCAACTATCAAAAGGTGATCCAGGAAGCCATTTACTCTCAATTCAGAATGTCTCAATCCGGTTATCAGGATGCGCCTCCTCCTTATACCGAACAAGTACAAGCTGCAGCACCAAACACAAATAACGTTCCACAATACCAAACACCTTCCTACCATTGCGAGTCGGCCAAGGACAGCTCAAGAATATTTCAAAGTGCCACAATAAAATTCCCACCAACACTCAATGGCTATTTCTAACTGAAGCCGACCTCAACTTTTCACCTTGGACCAACCTCAGAGCAGAAACTATTTGCTATAGTCACACATTCAGGTATTTTTCGAGACAAGCCATCAATTGTCCTACATGATGGTCCAACGGACAAAGATGCCATCCTTGCAACACTAAAAGCGGATAAATGGGGTCGAACCAGACCAGCTACTGTTAATCTTCTCGTTTGCCCGAGTAGCTCTTACACTGAACCCATCGAGGAGCTTCTGATCCCAGCATCAACATCTCATCACAAAACATCAACCTGGTCTTTTGAGATGCCTGTAGCTCGAAAGGGCGACATCCGCGAGCGTTTCGAGTGGCGCAGCAGTCATGGAAATGAAATTAAAGAACTTGCGACGGGCCACTCGTATGGCTGGAAATTAGTTCGGATTGCAGGTCCAAATGCTAGTGTGGGGGGAAGTAGGAAAGACCGGGGGTTGGGGTTTACAAGTGATGGATTGGAGATCGTTGCTATTGTGGCTCATAATGCGTCTTGGAGTATGACGAAGGGTTTACGGTTTGCTTTTATGGGTGCTGGACTTACTGGGACCCTTGGAGAGGCCTGGGAGATCATGACCCTGATTTCGGCCATGCAACTTTATATCTGGGATGTTATTGCTACCAATTCTGCGGCCGCGGCCGCGGCCGCATAGTTCCGTATACATAATGAATATGGTTTACTTGGGCCTTGGGTGTCTAAAAATGGGGTCGACTGCTCTCTCGTTGTTGAACAGATCTTCCCAAAACGGGACGTTGATTCTGGGAAAGATACGTACTAGTAATACTATTAAAATTCGGTCCTATAGTTCAAATTGGTCCTTCTTTACAAGATCATCTCCAATCTCCATAGCTATGAGCCCAATGTAAAATTCTTTATCATTTCTAGAATCATTCTAATCCCGTATCCCACGAGAGACTGTATGTATAGTAAATCCATTTTGCTGAGGCGTGATTGAATGACAATGCACAGGCGTGAGGCTCCCGTCAAGGTCGTTTACAGAGAGGCAAGGACAGCGTCGGCTCCAGAGTTCTGCACAATTGTCGTTAGAAAAGGGTCACTCGAATCTCATTATGACAGATACACCCATGGGGGTTACTTACCTTCACGACACCCTTCTCTGTTTCAATCTTAGCATAGCCAATCTTGCCGTGGTCAATAACAATCGCATAGCGACCAGTGCGACCGGAGGCATTGTCGGCCCATCCAATGCTCTTGGAGAACTTGGCATCGGGATCAGAAAGGAAAAGCTATTTGACAAGGTAAGCAATCAGCTTAATACAACAAAAGAAATGACAGATGATCGGTATACTTACGATGTTGTCCTGGACTCCATTCACTTTGCCCCACGCGCTCATGACGAAAGCATCGTTGAATGCCACCACGGCAACGATGTCAACACCCTTCTCTCTCAATTTTGGGAGATTCTGAACATATCCCGGGACGTGGTTTACAGAGCAGGTCGGGGTGAAAGCGCCTGGGGTTGTTAATGGATATGCATATTAATTTTGATGTTTGGCTGTGACTGACCTGGCACTGAGAAGAGGACAACCTTCTTGTTTGCCCACTCCTTGGAGGCATTGTAATTGATAGGAATGCCACATGAAGCGACTTCACTGCTCTCTTGGGACCACGGGATGTACCTATTCCGGTCAATTAGCCATCGTCTCCGTGTAGTCGTGTTTCTCTTCGTGTATGGGATCTCACTGGAAAGTCACATCACTGGGGAAGGTGTCACCAGGTTGGAGGGTAGTCATAATGGGCAATTATATTGATAGGTTTTTTTTCACTTATATGTCGAAAAGGAAGAAGAAAGCGAGCAGTGAAGGAAGTCAATGCGGGGGATGCCGCGGACAACAGGTGGGGGTGAACCAAGCTATGTACCTCGGGGAGACACCTTGTGGGCAAAAGCTGAGTAATTGGCGGAGATGGCCGATCAATGCATAAGGTACATCATGATGCTTATGAATGGCGAATCTCATCTTCAACCTATTCTGATCTGATCGTTTTTAACAAAATATAAATTGGAAATCACTTTAATCTATCATGATGCAATATTTACTTATGACTCTCACACCAGCTTTTTAAAGATCCGACGCGAGCAGATCGGAGAGTTTATCCAGATACGCATGAGGTCGCACAGCACCAGATACAAATTCCTCCTTCGAGCTGACACCAGTCAACACACCTAGAGTCCCTCCAAGGTTGCCTTCCAAGCCGAAGCGGATATCTGTGTTCACGCGATCTCCAACCATGCATGCCCGGCTACGATCGAATTGAAATTTGCCCTCGATTGCATCCATCATGGCTTGACTAGGTTTACCTAGGGCGATAGGATCCTTGCCTAGCATCATAATCAATGCAGCGCTCATCGATCCCGCCCCTGGGAATAGAGTCCCAGAGTTCGGTAGGGTAGAATCGATATTAGTGGCCAAGAACACGGCTCCTCGTTTAATATAATGGTATGCCAGAGCCTGCTTCAGATAGTTGATATGGAAGTCCAATCCAACAAGGACAACACCAACTTCCGGGTCGAGAATCGATTCATCGCCTGCAGCGACTAACTTATAATCCTCCGGGGTTATGTCGCGGCGATAAGCTGGGTCTGTGCCGCCAATGAAAGGGACATTCTCGGAGCGTAATTCTTGTTCAATACCGGACTCGCCAATGACGAACACTTTGCGCTTGTTTTCCGGTAGTTGGAGGATGCGTGAGATGTAGATCGAGGAGCTGTAGGAGGACGAAAATATCTCTTCCTAATTAGATGTGAGTCATGCGGGCCTGAAGGTTCAATTATTTGTTCGGTGATATCTCAACTGACCACTGTACTTGGAATTCCGAGCCCCTCAAGCTTCTTGGAATAATCCACACGAGACTTGGTGCTGTTGTTGGTCACAAAAACGACTTGCTTTCCTATGGAGCCAATCAATACCCCCATTCGTGCATGAGACCCAGAGTGAAGACCAACCATTCTTTCGTAGCAATTCTAGAGTCTCAACAGTTCCAGGGAAACAGTGATCACCGGACCAAAGAACACCTAACCAGCCAATTTTATCTTAGTCTTTCTCTCCCTCCATGGTGAAGCTCTCCAGTAGTCGGCGGGGCAGATCGAAGCGGGGATAAGGGACCGAGGCCAGCGAAGGCTACACAGTAGACGTACCATCACAGTCAAACAAAAAAACCTAGGGAATCAGAGCCTCAGCGAATGGAATTCAATAGATCATGGGGGTTGTAGGGGGATTGGGTGGTAGTGCTGACATCGAACCTGTCAAGGAACTCGCGGAGACCAGTCTTATCGCCAGTCAAGTACTGGGGAACATGGGTGGAAGATACTGGCGACTTTGCCATCGTTATAGGATCTCAAGAAACAAATTGTTAAAAGTGACCTGGAGATGAGTGAATGCTAGCAAAGAATCAAATCAAGCCGGAAGATTAAATTCACGGTGTACGCCCCGAACCCGAACAGATTCGCCGGTGACGCGCCGATCGCTGTGGGTCAAGTCTATGGCGGAAGAGGAAAGAGGGACCTGCCAGTCCCACTTCAATGTTCTCATCCAGTTCAACATGAAATTCTGACTGTTCGTGGAGAATTGGAGAATTCATGAGTCACATTGACTGAGCCATAGAGCAATCGACCTTGTTGCCTGAACCTCGATTTCTAACCCGTTTTAACTCCGTGTCTCCGCAGCAACATTGTGAACCTACACACATTCCATTCAGCCTCGTCGTCACAATAGCGACCCCCCTCCGAACTTTATTCCGTCGTTTGAATCGACACCGAAATATGGGCGGAGAGAAGGATAGGCGGCCTCGAGGGCAAAACCGAGGCGGAGGCCAGTCTCGCGACGTCCAAATATCCAAAGCACTGAGTTTGCTCCTACGCCACGCGGCAGAGAAAGAAGGCCTGAAGATAAATGCGCAAGGCTACGCGAACGTGACAGATGTGGTATGAAAGAATCGTCTTTATTTCAAGGCCATGTGAAGTACCAAGCTAACACAGTCGTCGCTCTACTCTCTAGCTACAATGGCGGAAACTGAAATCAATCAAATGTTCGTTCGACGAAATCAAACACGCCGTTGATTCCTCCGACAAAAAGCGATTTGCCCTTCTCCATATCCCCTCCTCAATCCCCAAAGAATCCACCGCAACGGCCATCGAGAATCCTGGTTCGGGTGTAAATACCCAGACTGAGTCTGCGAACCCGGACGAGACTTATTCACCCGCTACATCAGCACTGGAAGCGCCGTCGACAACCGAGGAACAGACAAGTACTACTGAGCAAGCACTATCAATGACGGATGATAACCCTGCCAACTATCTTATTCGGGCGACGCAGGGCCACAGTATGAAAACTGTGGAGGCGGCATCTTTCCTGGAACCTCTATCGCTAGATAATCAATCCAAGATTCCGATCCCAGACACCGTGGTTCATGGGACCTTTCATGGCGCATGGCCCTTGATTTTGCAGTCGGGGGGATTGAAATGCATGACCCGCCACCATGTACACTTTGCAACTGGACCATCTCTTCAATCCGTACTTGCGGCTCAGCAAGAAGACCAAGCAGAGACCAAGCAGGAAACCAAGGAAAATAAGGTCATTTCCGGCATGCGACGGGATGCACAGGTATTGATTTACCTTGACATCCGGAAAGCCATGGAAGCTGGATGCCCTTTTTGGCGCAGTGAGAATGGCGTTATTCTAAGTGAGGGACTGCCGCTCCCCAATGCGGAAGATGATACCCAGAGGGTGGTTCCAGTGGAGTTCTTTGATGTTGTCGTTGAGCAGAAGGCTAAGATGGGCAAAATTTGGGAGAAGGGACAAGTCCTGCAGGAATTGCCGGCGAAGTTAACTAAGAAGGAAAATCCGAAGAATAGACGGTGATACACATCATTCGATAGGTATAAGTATACTATATGGTGTGCATTGAATGTTATTTGGGAACTCCTATTATTCCCTCCCACGAGTGTGCATAGACACTAGAAGAAGACGACCAAGTTAATAGTTCAACGAGCAACATCATGAATGAGGTGGCCAGGCCTTGGAGTTTTCTAATGGGGTGCACGGTGGTAACAACTTGAAGAAACGCTCTCTGAAATGCCTACCAGGCCAACATTGAAGGCTTGCTTATATGTAATGGGCAAGGACTATCACGGTACTAGGAGCTATTGGTGCACTTTGGGCCCTGTAGCGGTTCAAGGTTGCGGTAGGTCACAAGTTTGAGCTAAAGAGAGCCCTCGGAAGAGTATGGGTTCTGCGACAACAAGAATTGACGGACATTGTCAGGCACAAGCCACTCAAGATCTTGACTTGCGGATTTTATTGCCTTGCGCGCTCTAGTAGAGCTCACCGGCTCTTGATCCGGTTTTCTGCCTTCAACCAACTGAATCCTTTCTACCCATTCTCGTTGTGCGCCTTCTTGGTCTCGATCTCCAGAAGCAAGTCCACGTAGAAAGGCCTCTTGTTCCTCTCTACCTCCCAATTCGTCGCTGGGCCTCATCGTCACTCGTAGACGATGCTTGAAAAAAAGTGGAGCTAGTGGCGCTAGAGTGTATTCTGGAGGGTAGTATTTCGCGTTAAATATGCGGATTAGAGTATCATAACCTGTCAAATGAACTTGTTCAGGTAGGGTGGAATACACGCCGGAATTCTCAATCACCATGGCCTTATCAATGAAATAGGGTTTCTTGGTCACACCAATATCAATACTGGGAATACGCGCCATGGAAGTTGAGCCGTCCTGGGATGTTATCTTTGTACTGATGTAGGATCGCAGGTCGTGCGCAAATAACTCCATCATCGCGAGACGGTCTTCGAACAAAGCAAGGTTCGAAGGTTTATCGGCATTTTGTATAGCAAGTAGGAGAAGCAGTCGAGAGTCTGGTTCAGGTCGCTCTAGAAGCGCGGAGCCCGCAATGCGAAGATGCGCCCAGGTTGGTGGATTGAAAGACGAATCTAGCACATAGAGAAGGCCTGGCGAGCGAGAGCCACTAGTGGGGATACTGGTGAAAACCTCAAACTCGAGGGGTGAGACAGTAAACTTTTTTAAAAGTGAAGCATATTTAGTTTGTAGGCCGCGAAATGAGGCCATGTTGCTCCTGGAATATGAGAAGAAGCGGGATTGTTTATATGATCTGGACTCTGCAGTGCTCACATCAATGCATTCAATTGATGACTAAGAATTGTTCCTGCCTTGGTGCCTAAAATGCGGAGCGATACTGACTAGGCCTAGTTCAGACTAGCGTGTTTCTTGAAGACCGCTGCAAAGCGGATTTTCTGGCGATTTTGAAGCCTCGACATTGGAAACGCCTGACTCTTTCATTGCAACTAGATTTGAGATCTCATTCTCGCGGAATCATGGCTACCGTGCCCACTCGAAAGTGCATCGGCCTTGACTGCGCCAACGATGCAGGGACTCTGCAATGTCCCACCTGTCTAAAGACGGGCACTGACAGTTTCTTCTGCTCCCAAGAGTGTTTCAAGCGGAGCTGGGTATGTGTTCTTCACTAAGTATGGCTGAATTGGGGACGCGTTTGCCCCTCTTTTTATCCAGAAAGGCATTCTCTTTTCAACGCTGACAACCCTGTTCTTCAGACCGACCACAAGACCATCCACAAGAAGAGTAATATCCTTACCAACCTTTTCCCCCCGAAAGTAGTTTCTGAACCTGATCCAGCTACCGGCCATTTCAATCCGTTCCCCTCGTTCAACTTCGCTGGCTCCCTGCGCCCTGTCTATCCACTATCTTCCACTCGCACCATCCCCAAATCCATTCCGTATCCCGATTACGCACGAGATGGCATTCCTCGCTCGGAACAAAAGCTGTTTGGTCAACACAGTATCAAGATTTTGAACAAGGAGGAACAAGAGGGAATGCGTGTGGTTTGCCGCCTGGCCCGTGAGGTCTTGGACATAGCAGGGCGCGCATTAAAACCGGGTGTGACTACCGATTACATTGACGAATTGGTCCACAAAGCTTGTATTGAGCGTGAGGTAAGGCAATATGGGGCTCTGTCAAGGGATTCAAGGTGGAGGAGTCAAGGCTTGCTAACTGAAAACTAGTCATATCCTTCGCCGCTAAACTATATGCACTTCCCCAAGTCTGTGTGTACCTCCGTCAACGAGACTATCTGTCACGGTATCCCAGATCAACGACCATTGGAGGATGGCGACATTGTCAACATTGATGTGACTCTGTACCATAAGGGTTTCCATGGCGATATCAACGAAACCTACTATGTAGGAGATAAAGCCTTAGCAAACAAAGAGGCGGTTCGGGTGGTGGAAACCGCGCGCGAATGTTTGGATAAGTCAATCGAGTTGGTAAAACCCGGTATGCTCTTCAGGGATCCTGGGAACGTCATTGAGAAACATGCCAAGGCCCAGAACTGCAGTGTGGTTAAAACATACTGCGGTCACGGCATCAACCAACTATTCCATTGTGCACCTAACGTCCCTCATTATGGAAAAAACAAGGCTGTTGGTACTGCTAAGCCCGGCATGTGTTTTACGATTGAGCCGATGATCAATATCGGTACGCATCGGGACCGTACATGGCCCGACGACTGGACTAGCACTACTGCTGATGGAGCTTTGTCAGCGCAATTCGAGCATACACTATTAGTGACAGAAGACGGCGTGGAGGTCCTCACAGCCCGATTCCCAGACTCTCCTGGTGGACCTGTTCCCATTCCACGCACAGAATAGATTTGGCTGTTTAATAAATTGATATGACATCCATGTTCAAATACCAATATAGTGAATTTCACAACTTCCACACGTCAGTCTACGGAATCTATCCTAGGCTGAAAAGCATCGAAATTAGTGTTGTGAAAAAACCAGATATCCTGGCAGATGGTCTTTTTAAACACACTGCATGTGGTGCAATTAAGCTCCTGTCAGCCCTGGAGGCATCCATATACTCGACGTTCAGCTCAACATTCACTATCCACGACCGCGTGATCTAAATATTGTGGCAGTAAAGAGAGGCCGAAAGAAATGGGATAATCAACTGTCGCACCATATCGCAAGTTATGTTATACAATATTTGAAGACGTAAAGGGCCAATTAAAGATCCTAATCAAGAATCTCTTCTCATTTACATCCATGTACAGCAAAGGTACTTACGGTCAAGTACAATGATACTAATCAAACTTGCAGGTAGATTCTCCACCCGAGCTCGTCATCGCGACCCCAATATTGCTCATCATGCCGATCGTGTCTTCTCCATCAACATGTGCCATCTAACCTCTCACCGTAATCTAATTTGTCAAATTGTTATACTGGGTTCTCGGCCGGGAGCTACCAACACGATGCAACAATTTAAGTTCTGGAACTTGCTTTTTCAAACCTGCCGCGTTGTTTATCGCGTAAAGATGTTGGTCGATGATGTGCTCTAACAATACTTGAATGACATATCCTTTCAAATAAAATGCACTCGCTTTTTCTACTCCTCTTACTCTTTTAATACTCAACTTCATATTCATCGTCATGGCTTCTACCGCTACCGACGAGAGAAAGGAGTTCGATCCAGCTGCTGATGTGAGCCTGAATAATCTTGCCGCTTCTACCTCCAGTAGAGATGCCGAAGCTATTGGTATCAATGAGAAATCACTATTGCGCAAGTTGGACTATCGGCTATTACCACCATTGACATTACTATATTTACTGTCTTTTCTGGACCGTAGCAATGGTTTGTAATTTCAAAATATCTCTAAACGATCCACTGAATTCAAATTGACAATTTGCCACAGTTGGAAATGCCAAATTAGAAGGAATGACTACCGATATCAAGATGTGTATGTTTTCGATATATCTATCAAATAGTATCTCTACAGTCTACTCCCGAATTTGACACTGACAAATGATTCATTTATGCAGCTGGGGACCAGTATCTTAATGGGCTGACTTTGTACTTCGTGGGCTATGTCCTCTTCGAAATTCCATGCAACATCGTTCTAAAAAAGACCACGCCCAGAACTTGGCTTCCCACTCTGACCCTGATATGGGGTATCGTTGCTACCCTACTTGGGGTTGTTCAAAACTACTCCGGCTACTTAGCTTCACGATTCTTTCTCGGCGTGGCTGAGAGTGGACTTTTCCCTGGTGTTGTTTACTATATCTCCATGTGGTACAAGCGGAATGAACAGCACTACCGTGTTAGTCTGTTCTTCAGTGCTGCAAGTCTTGCAGGCGCCTTTGGCGGTATTCTTGCCTGGGTAAGTTTTCTATATATCCATTCTTTAACTTGAAATAAATGGTACTAACTTCCAGATTAGGGCATTGGGCACATGGCTGGTGTAGGTGGCTACAGTGGATGGCGATGGATCTTCATTCTTGTACGTTTCTCATTTGAATCTCTCAAATTTATTAGGAAAGTTGAAACTGATTAAACTTCCGCAATATAGGAAGGTTTGGTAACTGTCATAGCCTCGGTGATCGCATATTTCTGGGTTTACAATTATCCATCAACAGCTGAATTCCTCTCGGACGAAGAACGAGAATTCATCCAATTTCGGCTAAAGAACGACAGCGATGCTACTCGGGACGAGAGTTTCACTTGGTCCGCAGTATTAGACACATTCAAAGACCCGAAGGTGTGGCTTTACTGCGCAGGGTTCCACACGATGTCACTGCCATTATACACGCTTTCTCTCTTCCTGGTGAGTTGATTTAACTAATACGCACGCATATTTAGTCCCTCCTCATACTAACATCATCCAGCCAACCATTATCAAGGAACTTGGATATTCGGCGGCTGAAGCTCAGCTGCTCAGCGTACCGCCCTATGCCGTTGCTTTCATCCTTACCCTTACGGTGGCAGTTGCCTCGGAGAAGACTCACATACGTGCACCCTTCATAATGGGGACGTCTGCCCTTGCCTGCATTGGCTATATCCTGCTACTATCCGATCATAGAGCGGGCGTTTCTTACCTCGGGACCATTCTTGCTGCTGCCGGCATCTATCCCTCTGTCGCCATCGTGCTGTCATGGCCTGCCAATAACGTGTCCGGACAAACAAAGCGTTGCATTGCTAACGCGCTCCAAATTAGTGTGGGTAATATCGGTGCAGTGATTGGGACACAGCTGTACCGCGTTGAGACTAGTCCACGCTATTTTCTTGGGCATGGCTTCGCACTGGGATATCTAGTTGCTAATATCTTTGTTGTGGGGGTTTTGTGGATAGTCCTGCGCGCGGAGAATGCTGCAAAGGCCCGCGAAATCGAGGGTAAAGAGATCAGACCATTTGGTGAAGGGAATGGAGACTTTGAGGACGAGGTATTCTTGGGTGACAAGGATCCTCGCTGGATCTTCCAGACATGAGCGCATGATACCCGCATCGAGATGTTTACCCAGGAACACGGACTATTCAAAGTTTGTAATATGGATGATACAACAATAATGCAAAGTTAGGTCAAGACAGAAGGCAGATAATGTATATTATATTCATTGCTAAACGTCCAAGAATGCCATCGCTGCAGAGAGGGCACAGTATTTACGAGTATGTATCTCCAGCTTTAGACACGAACAACTCCATAAGAGGAGCAGACGCAACACGAAGGAGGCTTCAGAAGGAATCTTTGTCCAACTGTAAGGGATTATTATTGGCACAAATTTGACCTCGAATATCATTGAGCAATAGACGGACGAGACTTCGAAAGTGCCTAGTAGTAAAAATATCTGCTGGTTAGTGACTGGTATTTGGGACATCTTGCACCCACTGTGGAACAGCGTTAGTCAAGCCTTGAACAGAACAAAACATTATTTTCTGACAAGACATGGAAACCATCCCAGACAGCGACAGCGTGGTGTTCATTGCGCTACAGGGAGAGACTACAGTATCAGGAATGAGTTGAAGACCAAGAAAGTTGAGAAGCCCGTGACAAAGGCACAGGGCAACACCAACTCTTGGTCTAAGCAAGCAGAAATCCTGGCTCATAATGGGTTGTGTGCTCAAAAGCGAACCTGACCACCTCGGGGTGGAAACGAGTCCAACGGCAAGGGTCAGGATTAGAACGAGCATTCCATCGTTCTGGGTCTCATACTAAAATTTGCGAATGAAATGAGTTTTCCGTCCACAAGGGTATGATGGAGACCGTGAATATGTTGGAGAAAAGAAAGGAGAAGAAGAAGCACAGAAGCGGGAAGAAAAGATTTATGAGGGATGTGGTTATGTAAGCGTCACGTGCTGACTCCGGAATTGTGGAGCCCTTGCTTTCCGGGATGTCAACAATTGTTGATTAGCACATTCAATTTACCAGAGGAGATGGCTTGTTCGAATCTTAAAATTCCTGTTTATTACTTTAAACATTCAAAAGACCACAGACAACAAAATGCATGTCTTTCCTATGAAGAACCTCCCCCGGTGCTTTCAGAGTGAATCTCTTTTCTTGAAGTTTTGACTCAATTTTTCGAGATACAATCACTTGGACTCTTTCAAACCAGTACAGAACCATATGTTCATCAAGTCATTTTGGGTTCAGATTGCACTGCCTATCACACAGGGCTTACGACAACTAGATTTCTTCCATGTAGAGATCCAAACAGTCTGTGAATGCCCATCCAGGGAGTGTTAATTGGACTATCCACTCCGACGTAGAGAAAGAAATCATATACACATCCACCGAATACACAGCCGAGGAAAGGTGCAACCATCGGGACCTATAGAAGAACCTTGGAAGTTAACAAGAGTAATCGGATACCAAGGGAGGGGGGGGTACACATACCCAAAAGTAGTAACCACCCGCCTTCCATACTTCATGGCCGTACCCAAGCATATAAGATATGAGTCTTGGACCGAAGTCTCTGGCCATATTGATTGCGTATCCCGTTTCCCAACCAAAACAGGCTCCAATGCCAAAAATCACAAAGAAAAGAGCGAGGGGCATCAATTTTCCTGCCCCGAGGTTATTGTTATCTTTAAGAGCAAAGATCATGAACATCAAGATAGCGCTTGCCAGGAACTCAGAGAAGAATTGACCGGTCTTTGTCATAAATTCTGCTGGGTAAGTACAAAAGATGCCTGCAGTGGCTGTCATTGAATAGCCAGGCACAGTGCGAATACTTGGTCCACCTTCGTAGACGTCGATGGCAGATTTGTAGTTACCGTACACAATTGCAGCTCCACACATGGCACCGAGGATCTGCGCAATTGCATACACGGGGAATTTGCGCCAGGGGAAGCCTCTGAAAATGCAGTTTGCGAAAGTGACGGCCGGGTTTATATGCGCCCCCGATGATCCACTGGCATACACTCCCAGCATAACTCCCAGCCTGTCCGAAACTTGAAATTAGTGACTGAACATCATATCGGCGGTAAAATCATGCGAAATATAGAACTCACCCCCATCCCCAGGATATCGATTGATAGTCTCCCTTCTGCCCATGGCTAAGGAGAACTTGTGCGACAACCCCGTCACCAAAAAGAACCAATATCAATGTACCGAAGAATTCGGAAAAGGCATCGCGACTGTATGCTCTAATCCTATACCAGATCAAAGAACTCGCAACAAAAATATCAGATTCAGCAGCAAGTTCATGCATGGATTCTCTTTCTTTGCTAGTACCAGTGTATATGGATTCGAATGTCCTGTCATGACCCCCAGCAGGGCATATCTCTTTGTATATATTCGATATTGGTTCGGAGACGGTATTGGACCAAGAACCCATTGTAAAAGACCCTCTTAACAATATACTTTGTGGCCAAAGTGCCAGAGAGTTCAGTTTTGTTGCCAGGTGGAGAGGTCAGCAGATGAAGAATAAAGATAAGCCAGGAACAGAAGAGAAACTAGAATCGTCACGTCGCAATCCTCTAGCAGTATGGCAGTGTTGATAGAAGATAATTGTGCAACCCCGAAAACTCAAACAATGAATTTTTGGAGGCCCCTTCGTCGAAAATCAACTCAAATAAGTTGAACACGAAGTTTCAGTGCACTGGTAAAAGCGTGTTTCTTCCGTTGTAAAGCAGCAAGAGCATGGCGCGAGTTACAAATTTCCAACGCAGATGGGTCGAGAATAACAATATTCACAAACTCCAATAAAGGGAAATTTGGAAGAAGTAGGTAGGATAGCTTTTTCTCAATTTTGTGAATTATCTTGAAAGGTCTTTGCAGGACAATTAAGTTATTCGCTTTTTCGGCGCGTTTGTCCAGATCCGTTTGACTGGGAAGCATTGGGCAACTCTTGATTGGTTTGACCGATTGTCTCTTCTTCTCGCTATTTTCAGGTAAGTCAGGCCTTGGAATGTTCCTCGCCTCAACCGTGACACTGTACTCTGCCTAATGTTTCTATTGGTGATTGTCAAGCATTGCCATATAGAAAAGCTTTGCTTGTCATGAGCTGCGGCCAATCATTAGATTAGCCGCAATCAAAATTTCTTCAATTTTAAGTTGTAGCACACAAATAGGGTCTTCTTAGTCGAGAATGACTGGAGCCAAAATAGCGTTCATATGGTATTGAACAAATAGAAAGAATTTTGCGGTGCGAAAATTTGACAAAGTCCTCGGGGATGACAGTACTACCAGTGCAAAACGCTTGGCAGTATTCAACGCTTATTCTATAGGCGGATATACATTAATAATTATGGTTCTCCATAACCAGACTTGTATCACCACTGCGCTAACATGTGTGCAGATTCTAAGGTTTTAGTGTCACCGGGAGGAAGGGGCAGGGGGTCAGTTTTACATGGGCGTTGTATAGACTTAATTTTCAGCGCTCTAAAAATACCCAAAGAGTTTATCCTGCCTGGAGGTGAAACAGAGAGAAAAGGGAGGACACGGCTCTGGCAAAGGCTTAGAGACTAGATTGGGCATCCTCGCTGCATTCGCTGCATCACACACACTACCCACCGGCGGAACCAGACTTTTATGCTAAGAATTGCCCAGTGGACAGGTAGGATTATGATTCAAACTTGCAGGATTTTAATATGGGCTGAATTCGGCTACAAACGATATCTAATCCACATATGCTACATTCCTACAGCTCCGACATGTGCTAGACCGGCGCCATAGCATAAAAAGAGCAACAAGATAGTGGGGAGGTAAGTGGTATTTATGTACTAGTATATGCTTCGGTGACTTGAACTTTGATAATGCTACTGGTTTTTAAAGCTTGGAACCTCAGGTTGCATTCGATGTTGGCTTATTATGTAGTTCCGAGGCTTAGGACATCGTAGACACTAGCACTAGTATTCCATTCCCGATATACAACCCCAGCCTTGAAATAGTATACTATATTCATACTCACCAAGTTAGAGTAGTACTAGTACTATGTACACACGCACCGGCACCGGCTAACAGATACTGTTTGTATTGGGAATTGATTAACGGAACAGCCCAAGGCTTTGAAATTAAACACGTATAGGTATTATAGGCACATATAGACAATTGAAAAGGGCGAATAAAGTCAAAAGGCAGGCAATTTGAAGAAAAACCTAGTTATTGAGGGGGCAAGGAAGCGCCAGAGATAGGGTCATCGGAAACCGCAAGGCTTGGAAGTGCCATTGTCCAGCCTGAGCTAACCAGGCTCGGCAGATATAAATAACACCTAGATGATGTAACATCATATCTCAACCTTGGAAGCTCAGGCTGGACAGCATCGTATGAAGAGCGAGACCTCATTAGGTCCACTTGGGTACATGTGCACTTCGAAGCCGAACGACTAGGAGTTAAGAATTGCATAGATATCAGAGATCCTATTCAAATCATGTTCTTTTCTTTGAGCTGCGTTTCTGCATTAAGAATTATAGGCAATCGATCATTTGAAGGCCGGATGATCATTGAGACAAGGCGCGGAAGACTGAGTGGCAACATCAATGTATGAAAGTCGACCTTCTTTGCCAGATTGAAAAGCACTTAATCTTTCCGCAGCCTCAAAGCTATACTGCGGGCCATGATAATCATATCTTGCCCGAAGCAGCCACCATATGCCGGCCAAAGCAATTAACCCAGTGACGATGACGCTTGTGTAGTTCATATTCTGCACAGAAACAGGTAGCACAAGTGGAAAGCAGAAGAATACCACAGTGACCATGATGTACAATAATGAAATAATATTTACCCCCATACCAAGCTTTTGCCCCATATAAAATGGACCGGGGACCATGTTCCCGCGTCCTGACATAACATGGGGTAAGATAGCACCAAAATATGAAAGAGTGCTCAGTACGATAAAAGAGGATATTAGTGCTTGAAACGCGGTGGTGCTACCGACATAAATGCATCCAAGGCAAGTAACAAGAGCACTCATGGCGACCGTTGCACGTACTGGACAGTCGAGTGTGGGATGAACATGAGCAAAATATTTAGCGAAGGGCGTCGCGTTATCTCGAGCGAGACTCCACCACATCCGGCCGCCAGTCACAAATGTGCCAATTAACGTTGGAAAGGTCGCAATAAATAGTACGGCAATGAGGCATATAGCGCCTGCATTTGAACCTGTTGCTTGTCTGTATATCTCGGCCGTTGGAAAAAAGCCGATATCGCTACTGTATACCGCATCAAGGTCATCAATTGCGTAGAAAAGAGCAACCAAGTATATGAACGAAGTCGTAAACGCGGTGAGCATCTGAATCATTATCCCTTGAGGAACCTTGGATTCGGGGTGGCAAACTAGGTAGAATGAATAAGCTTTGTCTTCGATTTGATCATGACACAAGTTGGATCAATACTAGTACCTTCTTCAGAGAGATGACTGATACAATCGGGTGTTCCGACAGCAAAGGCTGCATTCAGTAGCCCTGTCATAAAACATATACCATCAGACCAGCCACCAGTATTGTTATGATACTCAGTCCAGACTTGCGAATTGGTGGCATGTTCGTTCGGCATTACAATGAGCACGACAACCGTGACAAGCAGTCCACACATCGAGAGACCCAGTGCAATCCGGTTGAGCTGGGGGATAAATCGATTTCCAAAGCATACAATGGCGCAACAAGTCCAGTTGACAATTTGGAAAACCACAAAAACTTGCCATGATTTCCATCCCGTGCTAGGGTGCTTGAGCAGATACATTGCTACTGCCTCGTTACCCAACATGGAACTCATAGACGAAGCGGATAAAAGCCATGCACATGCATTGAGATAGCCGGTGAAGAAGCCAGCAGCGCGGCCCCGATTTCGGCTTAATACAGAGGACCAGTAGTACACTCCACCAGCTGAGGGCATCGAGGAAGCCAATTCAGCTAGTGATGCGGAAATCGCGGCGTAGAAAATGCTGACGAGAATGAGACTGTAGATGACAGCCATAGGGCCTCCATTTTTAAGAGCAGCCACGATTGTACCGCCTGTTGATGCCCAGGAACTAATTTTGTCTTGTTAGATATTCGATTCTTCTACCTGTATTCATTTGATGGCCATCAACGCACTTTGCAATAACAACACCCAGACTCGTCAAACTCCATAGCCCGAAGTTGCGTTTCAATTCTTGCTTATGTCCCAATGCTGCCTCCAAGCGCACCACATCGATTTCGCCCTTGGTTTTTAAAGGATTTACCCCATTCTTTGCTCGCTCCTGTTCCGCCATAACCGTCGTGGCCATCTAAATCGAGCGGCAGATCCGCCTCGGGTGGCTCAAAAGCGTAGAGGAACGGGTATTGTGATTGACGATAGGAATAAAGATGCATTTAGGGGAGATAAAGGAAGATAAATATTCTGTAAAGGGTTCAGCGCTAACGCATGGATTAAGCGGCCTGACGTGCATCTTCCCAGGGAAACTTAAGAGTTCAATGCCAGTGATGGTCCATGCAAGGGGTTAGCCATATGGTCTCCACGTGTATGTATTATATGATACAGTACAGAAGGGCGAGTCCGAAAGGCGCTCGCCGGTGAAATATTATCGGTCGGGAATTTCCAGGTCTCAAGGAATGTTGTGGCGATAAAATACTAGACTGTGCCCATGTGGAACCCTTGGAAACTAGTATTAAAACTGCACAACCCCGGATCTCGAGAGGTGGTGGTATGTATCACTTTACAAACATATGCTGAGAGGGTTCAAATGTTGGAAGATCTGCACAGAGGTGGGCTGGTTCATTCTTGCAGTGGAAGTCTTGAACTCGGAGCAGCAAATCAAATGGGCTATGTTATATTTTGCTTTTGTCTCTATCCAATTCGAGAAATTCAGGGGTAATATACTGTATGTCATGGCGCACATATCGAAAAACGCGAGGGGCTAGCCAGGGATGGGGCACCATGGTGGGCTTTTCGAACCTTGGGAATCAGGTTTTAGAGTACTCCAAAGTCAAAAATGGATGGGGCGATCGAAGCTATTGAACTGCATACTTTGGGCGCAAGCGCAACTAAGTCCCAGGCACAGACGGATAAAATTGCCCCTTGTTAGCTCTAAGGATTGTTGATCAGCTGCGCCGAATCATCGGCTTCACTTCACGACTCTTAACAAACGGTCTGTGGGTAGAGTTTCTTTTTCACTAAACCTGAGGCCATATTACAGGTAGGGACCGTACGTGATATATCACATTGCCACCACGCAAGAATTGAAACTTCAATAAACCCATGCACCATGCAGTTTTCTCCCATGGACGAGTGATAGGACCAAGTAGAAGCTTAGAAAGAGACCACTGACTCGAGTGAAAGTACCAGTCCATGAGTTCGCCAGGCAATTGACGGAGGAAGAGCGGATGACTTGGGAAAATGCATGTTCCTTTCGACTCGGTCGGCTCTTGATGTGGGTCACTGCCCATCATGGCGGATCCACTTGGACCCTCTGAAACCCGAAATGGTAATTACAGCCAGGTTCATAGGTTGCTTGTTTTTACACATCTATCTATTGCAGCACTACCACATGCTTCGACCACGGACGTTCCTTCCTATTCCATTTCTCTGAATCTCAATATCTCCTTCCCAGATTCATCCTCACTGCTCTGCCTCTCGGACTAATCCGTTAATTGATCTGCACCCGAGAGTGGGTCAAACCGAACAAATGTACAGACATGCAAACACGGTCCCTGTGCACTCTCTCCATGTAGCTATACTACAATTCCGGGCTTCCCACTACTACTACGACTGCTACTAGGCTGATTATTTTTACCCAATTCAAATAGTGGCCTACTTCTCGCGACCAGGGTATTTCTTATGGAGGTGTTAGCTTGCCAAATTTACAATAAATCATGCTGCACAGTTGGCGTATGAATACCTTGCACAATAGGGGCGCTACAAACATCCATGGACGCAACTTGAAGCAAAGAACCGCATAGCCACGTCACACCCGCATTCATACACACAGTACCCCGCTCTGCGCCTGCACCTGCGCCTATATAAGCACCCCAGATAGTATTGAGAGGGGTTCAGGTTACCTATTCGGTATAAACCAGGTCAGAACTACATCCACGCTATGCCTCAACGCTCAATCCTAGAAGATAACCTCCCTCTTGCCATCTCGCAACTTCGAGCTGATAATCGAGCTCCTGTCGTGAGCGAGCAAGTAGAAGGTCGCAATAATCGAGTTTTCAAGGTTGATTTCCCAGAGGCGAGAGCTGGGCTGTACGAGTGCCAATTAAAATCCGAGCTACCGAATCGGAAGCTATCACGTTTTTCGTTGAAGCGGACATTGGTGTATTGAAGAAGCTTGAGACAAAGGGCTTTCGATGGTCTCCAAAGCTCCACGGGTATAGCTCTGCCTTCGACAATCCCACCGGGCACCCTTTTCTTGCTATGTCTTGGATTCCTGGAAGTCAGCTTATACGGACGGAAGATGTCCCAGAACGACCTCTTCGAGACAAGATCTTAAATCAACTTGTCGAAATACAAACATCGTTGATTGAGTGCACGGTAGAGACTGGTATGCTCTTTAAGAGACCCGCCAGAGAAATTCGGCTAACAGATGACACAGGTGATGTTGGCCAATAAGACCGTTTCATAAGAATAATCCAGAATAAATTTGATCGAATCCAAAACGGTAGCCTACCTGAGCTTACAGAGCGTGACGTCTCAGAACAGATGGACCTTCTCCCAAGTGTACTTCTACCTGAGCTTGAGAATGCACCTTTCGCCATAGACCATGGCAATCTTGGGCCACGGAATATCATCATCGACGAAAATCATAATATAGTCGGGTGCGTCGGGATTTGTCTATTTAGCTTACACGCACCATCTTACTAGACTAATTTCCCTGAAGATATTTAGTGTCATCGATTGGCTTCTGGCTGCGAAAGTCCCCTTTCAACAAGCGGCTTGCCTTCCTGCCCTCCTTTATCCAGATGATATTAGCAAGCCGGCATCTGCCACTCTTAAAGATGACCGTGCGTATTATACTGCGTTTATTCGATCCAAAAAGTCGGAAGTGGCTAAGTGGATTACCCCTGTCATATGTGCCGAGGACAAGGAATTCCGCACTTTCTTCTTGGACTCGATCAGAAGTAAATCAGTGCATAAAGATATGGCACAGGCTAGATGGAGAGCAGCCCCTGCCTTTTGTTAAGTTAGCAGGGAATGTGTCCGACGCCTTAATGTATACTGAGGAGATGGCAATGTGCTCAAGCTTTAGTTAAGATGTTATCAATTCGAATCATGCTACTGCGTATCTGTTTTTGAGATGTATTTACAGCTCTATTGAGCCTGTGTTACCCTCTATGGCTTGTTTAGTGTTGCCATCGTCGCGGGGATCCAAATAAGTGATGAGTGCGGCAGCGCAGATGATCTTACTATGTGATACCTATCCATAGATATGAATTTGGTCAGCCTAAAAAAATAAAGAAAGAAATAACTTCAATGCATCCTCAAAAACAAGCCAGATGAGGCGTGCACAAGTATACACTAACTTAAACATCGGCCGGGCCTTGTATACCTGAGGCATCAAACGCGAATATGATTGTTCCGCTTCGCTCCGTTATTAAAACCGAGCACCGACCACCATGAGAATTCATGAATCGATTGTCTCAACAACCTGTTACCTGGTGAATACTATCACGGACTGTTGTCCAAATCGAGCTCACCGAGGGCTGGCTTGGTTATGTTTCTTGATGCTGCTTGGAGCATGTAGCATACAGTAATGTAGGGGCGGCCCTGGAGGCAGCAGGATGGCAGAATGAAAGCGGTGTGGGTATGATCTGCTTCATTTCGTCATCTTTAGCAGAGCTAATCAAGGCATACTGTTTGCGCTTTCCCAAATGCTCATTTACCTCCCTTATCATGGGTGTTACTGGTCTCTGGACAGTTGTCCAGCCCTGCGCCCGACCCATCAAGCTCGAGACTCTCAATAAGAAACGGTTGGCTGTCGATGCGTCGATCTGGATCTACCAGTTTCTAAAGGCAGTACGCGACAAGGAAGGAAATGCGCTACGAAATTCCCACGTCGTTGGATTCTTTCGGCGAATATGCAAGCTTCTATACGTGGGCATCCGCCCGGTCTTTGTTTTTGATGGCGGCGCTCCAACCCTCAAACGAGAAACGATAAACCAGAGAAAGCGAAGACGCGAAGGACGAAGAGAGGATGCTTCGAAAACTGCAGGGAAGCTGCTCGCGGTACAAATGCAACGGCTCGTAGAAGAAGAAGCGGAAGAGCGAAGGCGGAATAGGAAGCGAGCCAGAGGAACCGAGGAGGAAGTCACTGGTGCCCCCGTCTATGCGGATGAAGCCTTCATGACCGAACAAGAGAAGCAGAAATCGAGGAAGTTCAAGAAGACGGATGCTTACCACTTACCGAACTTGGATATCTCACTAGAGGAAATGGGCGCTCCAAACGATCCACGGATCATGTCCCAGGAAGAATTGGAGCAATATGCAAAGCAGTTCCATCAGGGCCAAGATATCAATCTCTACGATTTCTCTAAGATCGACTTCGATGGTCCCTTCTTTCTCAGTCTTCCAGCTACCGATCGCTACAATATTTTAAACGCGGCTAGGCTTAGAAGCAGACTGAGAATGGGTTATTCCAAAGAACAGTTGGACATCATGTTCCCGAATCGCATGGACTTTTCCAGGTTCCAAATCGAGCGAGTCACAGAGCGCAACGATCTTACACAACGTCTTATGAATATAAATGGTATGAACGGAGAAGAGGCATACTACAAGTCTGGACAGCGGGTCGCCGGCGAGCGTGGCAGAGAATATGTTCTTGTCAAGGATAGTCAACATGAAGGGGGCTGGGTCCTTGGTGTGGTGGGAAATAAGGATCAGGGCCAAGAGGACAAGCCTATCGACGTTGACAAGATTGGTCTTCCAGACACGGTATGGGCCTCTGATGAGGATTCCGCTGAAGACGAGTTCGAAGATGTACCGATTGAAGGCCTCAATCGTCTACCTAAACTGCCTGTTTTGCAACAAGGTGTTTTTGACTCCTCACTTCCAAATGCCATCGATAAACTTGAGTCCGAAAGCTGGGTATCGGAATTTCAAAGCAAGCATCTGGAAGATGAATCCCTCTTTGTTCCCGCCGAAGACGTCCTTGACAAAAATGAGTCTTTACGAAATCGGGACCAATATGAATCTGACGAGGAACTCCAACAAGCTATACAATTATCAATGCAGCCCAATCATGACCAAGATGAGGCTATGCTTGATATTCCACTTAACCGCCCAAAGGACACGACAACGTCTAACAAGCCTATGTCTGATATAATTCCCAATGAGAGTGACGATGAGGATGATGATATGAACTTTGCAGCTGCAGTCGCGCAGACTAAGGTCTCCAAAAACAAGCCTAATAAGAGCCAATTTGATGGACCACTCCCCTTTGAATCAATCAAACTCACCAAGAATACCCAAGGAGAGAAACCCGATCATCTCGACAAGGAGTCCGGAGGTTTTTTAACGGGGCCTTTACAGAAATCAAAGAATTTCGAACCTCTTCCACCTTGGTTTTCGGGTGAGAAGTTAGACGAGCAATTTATTAAGGAGACGCCATTCGACCGTTCCAGCAAGGATCAAAGCCCAGAAGAGCTAGGACATCATTTTCTGTCTAACCATCGTCCGCCGGAAGTTATAGACGTCGATGAGCCAACTAATTATAATGAGGCCGTCGAATCCCAAAAAGATTCGAACGAACAAAATCAAACAGACAGAGACTCACATGAGAGTGACCTGCTACATACACATATGCCCACCCAGCCTATGAACGCGATCCCTGGCGGTGACAAAATTCATGAGAGCTTACACCCAAGACACAATATCGAAATCGGCTCTGTGGCGCGAACCTCCTCAAATCCGGAATTGGCAGATAATACCTTCCAGCCTCCAGGGCCTTATCTTACGAGTGAACAAGAGATGGATAAAGAGCAATCTCCAGTCGCTGAAAATTCTCCTCTAAATGAATTTGAAGATGTTCTGCCCCAGGATATCACACAAGAAGCAAACATTGCTCTGGTTGCAGGGTCTATGGTTCCTACGCCACCTCCTCATCATAATCAAGGCGAAGAAGATCAATTTGACTTTAGTGATCCTGAGGACGAAGAACTCATGCAACAGCTTGCTGAGGAATCGGAAGAACATGCTCGTTTCACACAAGCCTTAAACTCGGCAGCCCCTGTTCAGACGCCTTTTGATTACGAGCAAGAACTTAAACAACTACGAAATCAACAACAGAAGGACCGAAGAGATGCTGATGAGGTGACGCAAGTAATGATCAATGAATGCCAACAGTTGCTTCAGCTATTTGGGCTACCATATATCACGGCGCCAATGGAAGCTGAAGCGCAGTGCGCGGAGCTTGTCTCTTTGGGACTTGTGGATGGCATCGTTACAGATGACAGCGATACATTTCTCTTTGGTGGCACGCGCGTTTATAAGAACATGTTCAATCAAAGCAAATATGTGGAATGTTACTTGACCTCTGACTTTGAAAAGGAATACTCACTTCACCGTCGCAAACTTATCAGCTTCGCTCATTTGTTAGGAAGCGACTACACCGAGGGTATCCCCGGCATTGGGCCTGTGACCGCACTGGAAATAGTGACTGAGTTTCCAAGCCTCGAAGAATTTCATGAATGGTGGACCCAACTTCAAATGGGCGTAAACAAACAAGATGACCCACACCTTGCATTTCGAAAGAAGTTTCGCAAGAAAGCCTCGAAGATTTTTCTACCGCCTTCATTCCCAGACGAGCGTGTAGAAAACGCCTATCTTGAGCCGGAGGTAGATTCTGATCCTTCTCAATTCCAATGGGGCGTGCCAGACTTGAACGGACTGAGAGCCTTTTTGATGACGACAATTGGCTGGAGTCAGGAACGCACTGACGAAGTTTTGGTTCCTGTGATCCGAGATATGAATCGCAGGGAGCAGGAAGGCACACAGTCAAACATTACACATTATATGCAAGGTCCTCAGGGTGCTGGTGCATTCGCACCGCGGGTTCGTAGCACGGGCGTGAGCCGTATGGAGAAAGCGTTCGGTCGACTTCAGCAGCAAGCTCAGGTGGCTCGTCGCCCAGATGGTTCGAATGAACAAGGCCAGTGAGTAAGCGGGTAATCTAGCACGATCCCCTCTTAGCTTCACGGGTGGAGTTTATATACTCTCATAAAGTCGTCGACAGATGTTAAAATAGAAAGAACAATAAGAAAGCAAACGCAAGAAGCGTGCAGCCTCCCATACATACTATTGTTGGCATGGTGTAGCATAGCCCGGAGGGATACTAGTTAGTTAACCTATTCGGCAAGCGAGCGGGCCAGGCAAGTGAGCAGGCCTTAGTAGTCAGGCACCAGTATCTCCATCGACTGCTTATGTCATCGTGACACAATCACGCCATCTTGCACTAAACCACTTCGGGCCAATCCACAGTATAGAAGTGTAAAAAAGAAAAGGGAAAAAAACCCACTAGATATGGATCATGGGTCAATGGAAGATTCACGGGTGCCAATATCCATTCTTACATGATTGTTGTTATTCTCCTTTCTTCAACAACATCCCAAAGGTGACCAGCATCTCCGAAGGCATCTCCGAGGGGGTACTTATTCTGACTACTGTCAAAACGTTTTAAGCCTCTTATCAACCCTTATCACGACCCGTTATCTCACCAATCATCACCAATCGTGACAGACCTTTTACTCAGTCCGGAGTAAAAAGCTTCAAACTGAATGGTAGAGAGGCACTCTACTCTAGCATATCATATAAGAATTATGGATATGACAGAGAAACCTGGTGTTGCAGCACCATTTATGACCGCGTGGAATGTGGAAGCTCATACCCACTTGATCATTGGTGCCAATCCCCTAGCTGCCGCGAGATGCTCGAAGAGTCTGGAGGCGGGAGCCCACCCGATAATTATCGCGCCAGAGACAGCGAATCTTCACTTCACTCTAGTGGAGCAGATTGCCAGTGGAAAAGCACAATGGCTACGCCGCGAATTTCAAGATGAGGATTTAACTACATTGGGCCGCGCAGAAGTTGATGGGGTGGTAGACATGGTATTCGTAACTTCAAGTGGCAGTCATGATATAAGTATGTGGACAATAACCCCGAGCTTGAAATGTATATCTATTAATGCTTAATATCAGGCTCTCATATTTCTAAGCTGTGTCAACGGTTACGCATTCCAGTCAATGTGTCGGATGCACCCAAGTTGTGCTCATTTACCTTACTTTCAACTTATTCAGATGGCCCACTTCATGTCGGCATCACAACATCTGGTCGTGGATGCAAACTTGCATCTCGTTTACGAAGAGAAATCGCCGCTTTTCTCCCCGCCAATCTCGGTCCTGCAATTGATCGACTTGGGGCTATGCGACGTCAATTATGGGAAGAAGATCATGCCGCCGGGCTTACGGATGTAGCTCTTGAATGCGATGACGATGACATTACAGGCCAGAAACACACATTCAATAATCTCGTCACGGAGGACGATGTTGCTGCTGCAAGAACCAGAAGAACACGTTGGCTCTCCCAGATATGCGAATATTGGCCTCTTCGAAAGCTTGTCTCTCTGACCGATACGGATATAAATGGAATTCTCCTGGCATATTCATCAAGCCAGGTTAATAAGCTAGAAGAAACTGTCACGACCGGCATTTCGAAACTGGGGAAGATTGTACTCGCTGGTTCCGGTCCGGGACATCCAGATCTTCTCACACGAGCTACTTATAACGCAATTCAAAGGGCCGACATTATTCTCGCCGACAAACTTGTCCCGGCCCCAGTTCTAGACCTTATTCCTCGCAGGACAGAAGTTCATATTGCTCGCAAATTCCCCGGAAACGCAGACCAAGCACAAGAAGAGTTTCTACAAATGGGTCTTGCCGCCCTCCAAAAAGGCAAGCAAGTACTCCGGCTAAAGCAAGGAGATCCATACCTTTACGGTCGTGGAGCAGAAGAGTTTGAGTTCTTCCGAGGAGAAGGGTATATTCCACTCGTCCTTCCGGGTATTACTAGCGCGATGAGCGCATCTCTATTCGCTGATATTCCCGCGACGCATCGTGGAGTGTCAGATCAAGTATTAGTCTGTACGGGTACTGGGAGGAAAGGTGCTGCACCACAACCTCCAACATATGTTCCAACCCAAACTGTTGTGTTTCTAATGGCACTACATCGGATTTCCGCCCTGATTGAGTCTCTGACATTACCTTCTGATGATATCATACAGCCACGAGTTCTCTGGCCGAAGGAAACACCGTGCGCCATTATTGAGAGAGCATCATGCCCTGACCAGAGGGTCATTCGGTCTACCTTGGAACACATTTGTCAAGCATTTGAGGCCGCCGGCTCACGGCCGCCGGGGCTGTTGGTAGTTGGGGCCAGTTGCCACGTCTTGCACCAGCCCATTGGACAAAGATGGATCATTGAGGAAGGCTTTGATGGGTTAGAAGAGCTCCATGGAGATTTGGATGCCACTGGGCTTCTGATTGATCAAGTTGTGAAATAATTGGACACGCATATGTATATATAGCCTGAGCTTGCATGAAGTTAAGAGTTACGAACTTGAAGATCATAGAGATACAACTTACTGCATCATGATATACTTGCTTTCTCTCTCTGCGTCTTACGCGGGTATTTACCTACTAGCACGTTAAAGCCGATATATACACTCATACCTGCGAATTTTAAATAGGGAAGCCAAGTTCATAACTTAAGTTGGCATTGCAAAGGTCTAGCTGCCTAGGTCCAAACGTGGATTCATGATTACGCTGAAATACGACTAAATATGCAAATCCATCATCAATAGGCCAGTGCCTCTTTACTACCGGACTGGCATCCTCCTCCGCAACAACCACCTGCATTTGTCTGTGAAGAACAATCGGATCCCTTTTTCTGCGTCGTTAGGTTGATACAGAAATCCATGTCATCTTGGCTGGTCGTTGCGGTGGTAGGAAGGGCTTGACGTGACGGCCAAATCTCTCGTCCAGTTCCTTCCTCTCGTTTATGAAAGTCCGTTACAATATCTCGAACAACACTCTGAAAGTAGAGAGGGCCTTTCTCCATTCTCGGATGAAGTTCGCCGTTGACAAATACTCCCGTATTTAGATTCTTTTGAGCTTGAGTACAGAGCTCTTTGTCTTCCGCCATAATCCTTTTGAACATAGTGTTGACTACATCGAAATCCTCACTGTTGGAGTCTTTCTTGCGGTATACTTCGTACCGCATGGAACATGTAGTTGGCGAAGTAGGAATGAAGCGTTGCATGAAGAAGAAATGAGGTCTATTATTATTTTAATTAGAAACTGTTCAATTTCGATCAGACATGGCAAAGAGGAGAACTCACGAAACAGTCATGGATGCATTAGGGAAGTAGTAGGTGCTGGCGATCGTCATGCCCTTTGCAACTTGCTCTGGCGTAGTACCAGGATTATGGATTATGCTACCATCCTTCGTATCGACATCATAAGTCTCAAGATCAGCCACGGATGGCACGTCGGGATGGGCAGTTTGGCAATGATAGCATTCATTGTAATTGTCGGCCAGGATTTTCCAATTAAACTCTCCTTCCATATCCCAGGTGTGATCAAACTCATATTCGTTGAAATCGAAGTCTTTGAACCGCGATTGTAAATCGATACCATCAAAGTCTTGCTCCCAAGAAATTTCAGGCTTCTCGGCACTGTCTAAGTTTACCCAGATAAACCCATTACCATCAACGTGGGTATGAATGGAAAATAGTCCATTCTGTGACTTATCAAAGCCCGCCAGCTCTTGATAACCAGGGGCCTTGGCAAGCTTGCCATTCAAGCCATAGGACCAGCCATGATATTTGCAGGAGAAGATCCGAGTGGATCCACTATCGGCGTCGTCGGCGACCACTGGGAAGGCACGGTGACGACAGACATTGTGGAAAGCATTGATATTGCCTTCACGGTCACGGACAAGAATGAATGGGAAGCCGGCGATGCTGTACTTTAAATAATCGCCGGTATTGGCCAAACGTAGTTTATTTGTGGTCAACAGCCATTTCCTGGAGAAGATTGCTCGTCGTTCAAGCTCATACATCTCCTGAGAGGTGTACCAGTTGGCAGGAAGGGCTCTTGTGGTAAGATTTGCATTAGGACCCTTGACCCCAGCAGGATCTGTAAATCCCAAAAAGCTTTTGAGCATTGACGGCATATCGGCTCAGCAATGGTGAAATTCGCTTGGTACAATGAGAAGAGAAATAGAGAAAAAGATGTATGAGGGAGGGCTCAACTTCGCGCTGAGTAGTTATTGCCAGGAGGAATTTGCGGAAAGAAAAACACACTGGTCATAGATGTCTATATAACAAGATGTATAGTTATCAGTAGTAGTTATCACAAGCTCCGTTCACGGGCCGGCGTAACCCGTGGAACTACTAAACCTTGGACACGCCCACCCGCCCATGTGATCGGCACCCTGTATCTACCCCCGCATATCAATGCATATCAATGACATCTGAGGGGAAATTGTCGAATAAGCTTCGTAGTCATATTTAGATTATGATTACCAGCCATATTATGACTCGGTGAACGGTTTGCCTTGCCGAGTTGGCCGGGTCCACCTGAGACGCCACCCCGCCTCAATGACCCGTATGCCCGTGTTTTCTTTGATACTTCCAAGATTGGGAGGATTTATGCGTGTCACCTGCTAGTGGGAAAGACGTCTGAGTTGAGAATAGAACCATATGGATTCATGCAACCGTCCACGGGTAGAAATGAACATTTAAATAAAAACCGTGGCGGGATACTAATTACTACCCAATAGATCTTATCTATTGTAATATGTCTTCTTCTTGTACAAGGACAACCACTTTCATGCCCCAATCTCCAATCCAATTCTTCTTCTTCCCCACCTTTTCGATCTTCTGCACGTCGTGCTTCAGTTCTTCTTTAAGATTAGTTGGGTCGTATTCAACCCTTTGAATGGAAATTGTCAGCTCCAGCCCATCCTTCTTGCCTTTTTTCCCCAGTCCTTTCACCCACCGGGCAGCGGGAAGAATACGCGGCTTGGAGGAGTCAATGGAGCCAGTAGGATACAGCTGACTGAGAACAAGGCCAACTTTACCAAGGTATCGCGTCCACCAAACCTCATCTGGGGTAAGAATACCTTGCAAATGAGATTTAAAATCCACGTCACGTGGCGGTAACTCTCCGCCATACCGCTCTTGGAGCATGAGAGCCAAGAGGGCTCGATGTGAATGGGGGATACCATGTGTCGATGCAAGGATTCCAGTACTCGTGCTATATAATGCGGCGCTTGACGATAACTCTTTTGACATGGTTGCGTGGAAATAGAGGGCATTGGCAAATGCTTGGATCAGGTGTACAGTCATAGAAGATGGAAAGGTGCGATTTTCTGCTGGTCGTGGTAGGGTAGCCAAAATCAATGCCGCGATTGATTGGGCAGAGGAAGGCGCGTACGCGGCCGTGGCAACCTCGAGGGGATCTTTCTGGCGGATAAATGGGGGCATTTCTCGAAATAAGAGCCCCTCTCGAACTCCTCCTTGGCAAAAATGGGCTTCTTTGATGCCATAAGGCAATGATTCGGCTAGAACGTTCACCAAGAATGCGACTGATGGAACTTGCTTACGCCGCCTATCAGACACTCGGAATATCTCATGTGCGGTACGAGCCACTTCTTTGAGAGCTTCGGTATTTTCGAAATCCTCCTTGGGCGCCGAATACCCATTGATGATTGATATGGGATAGCTCTGACCACGAGTCTGATGAAGATATAAAAGAAGATAACCCCAGCCCCGAAAGCCCCCGCCGGAAAGATACAACAGGAATCCACCTCTAGCACGCGCCTTTTTGATCATACTTTCAGGGACCTCCAAGCGCTCAAATGCGTCACGGAAGTTACTCGCCATTTCTTCGCGAAATTTCTCTTTGGCCTTTTCCGCTTCTTTTTTACTCTTGCCTCGCTCCAAATCGGCCAGTTTCTGTGTCAGTGCCGCCGCTCCATAGGGAAAACTGACTGATTCTTGGGGACTAAGGTGTATGTTGCCCGCGTGAGACATGATCCATGTCATTTGCATACTTCCTCCTCCCAAGTCCAGAGCTAGCCCTTCCACGTCAGAGAAACTGCTGGCAATGCCCCATGCTCCAACAATACCTTCTTCTTCTTTTCGCAGCATTTGCACGGATAGGCCAGTTTTATAGAAAATCGCATCAGTGAACGCCGTGGAATTGATTGCTGTTCGAGTCGCTTCAGTAGCGATAATCCGGATATTGGAAGACGGAACACCAATTTCCACACAAATAATTTGAAAACGAACGATGGCGCTGACGACACGATTGATAACAGATTTTGGGATCGGAATACGATCTCCTGTGTCTGTGTCAATCTGCGCTTCGTACAAGGAGATATTGACCCGGTGAAAATGGACTGTAGGGATAACGCGCGTTGTTGGCGCGGAAAGATTCGAAATTGAACATCGAATACCATTGCTGAAGGTGTCAATCCAGCTCAATGTCATCACTTAAGGCAGGGGACGCGGCGTTGCAATTACCTTCCCATATCTATCACACCATGCAGCTGGTCATTTTCACCCGGAGAGAAAGTCTTGTCTCTCTCCTCGGGTCTGGGATTACTTGGAAATTGATTGCCACCACCCATGTTCAATGTTTGTCTCTCTGGTGTAGACATCGTCCTAAGGTCGTGTGGGGCACAGCATATGATGTCGTCGATACGGATGTGGTGGAGAATGTGACGGGAAATGGTTCCTCCGGTAGAATGACGAGAATGCCTGGGCGGGGCTGGTAGCAGCCCTGGAGGTAACTTGAAAGAGACGCCGGCCACAACTATACCCGAAGAGATGGCCCGACGAGTGCCAAATGCCAGCGACTATTATGAACATAGGGATGGGTACGATACGATATCGCTAGATTTTTGAGTTATTGCTAGTTTACTAACTAGTTATGTGTTAACGTGATTCCCGGTTGCCCGGGCGCCCCGGTTGCGCGAGCGGCCCCATCAAAAATCCACTTTCAAAACAATCCTTCTTCTTTAACCACAACAAATATGCCACCCCAATGCTCTGATCGGAAAAAAAAGCTCGTCGAACAGGAGGGTCGTCTTTTATTAGCTATACAAGCTATAAAAGATGGTAAATATGTCTCTGCTGCTGCTGCTGCGCGGTCTTTTCAACTACCAGTCTCAACTTTGAAGGCCCGGCTAAATGGACGTCAATCATGTGCCGAACAGCGACATAGTCGCCATATTTTCTCTGAAATTGAAGAAGAATCAATAGAGAATTGGCTATTAAGCTTGGATTCAAGAGGTGCAGCTCTTAATCTCTCTATGCTGCGAGATATGGCCAATATTCTACTCCGTGCGCAGAAAAATATACCCTCTACTACCACCCTACCTAGTGTTGGTAAAAACTGGCCTACAGAGTTTATTAAACGACGCCCAAATCTCTCTAGTCGATTCTCACGACGATGTAACTATAAGAGTGCGCTTTCAGAAGATCCTCGAATTATTAAACCATGGTTTGATTTGGTTCAAAGAACAATCGAAAAATGGGGTATTGTTTCGGACGATATCTTTAACTTTGATGAGAGTGGTTTTGCTATGGGAATTGGTTCAACACAAAAGGTTATTTCTTCGGCAGAATACCATAGTAAAAGACACCTTTTACAAGCTGGAAATCGTGAATGGGTCACTATGATTGAATGTATTCGAGCTTCTGGAAGTGTTTTGCCTCCACTTTTCATTTTCAAAGGAAAAGTTTTTCCAGAATATTTACGCCCTTGTCTTCTTCAAAACCAAAAAGGATCTCGTTTAATTATGAGTGAAAATGGTTGGACTACCAATACAATTGGTTTATGGTGGCTGGAACATCATTTCATCCCAAATATTGGGGTAAGAGTTGGGAAATATTGCCTACTAGTCCTCGATGGTCATGGGAGTCATTTAACCCCTGAATTTGACCAAATTTGCGAGAAAAACCAGATCATTCCAATCTGTATGCCTCCGCATGCGTCTCATCTTTTACAGCCTTTGGATGTAGGCTGTTTTTCAGTGTTAAAAAAGCTTTATGGTGGAGCAATTTTAAACTTGATGCGGAATGGAGTCAATTCTATCGACAAAGAAGATTTTCTTGAAATAATTTTGGATGCAAGATTAAAGGCTTTTAAAGGCCCTACTATCCAAAATAGCTTTTTAGCTACTGGATTAGCACCATTTAATGCTAATAGGGTCTTAGAAAAGGTTATATAGGGCTAGGCCTATAGCAACAAAAAAGGCATATGAACCTTTCCCAGTCCTCTCTCCTTCTTCATATAGATTCAAATTTAATACTTCATTTTGCATATAAAATTATATGTAATACTAAGTATTACATTTCTGCATTACAATTCTATACAGAAGGCAAATCCACTATCTATCTGCACTCAGACTGACATTTCGAAGGAATTTTATAGCCACATGTGCACCACCTAAGTTAAAAGCATACTATGTATACGCCAGAGACTCGGAGAGATATAACCTTGGAATTATGGCACAGCACTTGCACTGGCACTGACATGGATACCATTTTATTTTAATCACGACCAAAGATTCGGCGGCTCCAAGACCTCTATCGAGGGAACAGACTTGTGACCCTAAAGATCAAACGCCAGACTCGGAGGGCCAAGGAGCCTCTAAAAAGGGGAATAAGCCGCTTGGATAGGCGAAAAGAAGCGTTGTATGTGCTATTCATATTATGTATACCTGTTATGTACTACTAGCAGCCACAATTAGAACTGCAAGGACACGCGAACGGTGTCCAGATTGAGTACGAAGCTAATAGAGAGAGTGAAGATGTAGAGATTCAGAGTGCTCAGAGTGCTCCGTAGGATAGTAACGTTCTGTAGTATGACTTGGTATTCGGTTTTGCACAGGAACTAATTGCTGACCTTCCAAAGGCCAGCTCACAGAAAGATTATTATACATGCTGCTAACTACTAGACGGAATCTTCCATGCTCCGCACCGTCTATAGTGTAGCTGTCATGTTGACAGCTTGAGCGTTGATATCCGTGTCGGTGATATGGCAGTATGCGGAAGGCCCAGAGGGTCTCACAGTTCGACATGTACCTGATACTGTAGGTATGAAGTTCTTGTTTAAACCCGGTTTTAAGTTTTCTTTCCCCCGCTAATCAAGCTCCGGCTCAACAGCTGCTGATTGCTCACAGCTACCAAGGATGATATAGATCAAACTCAGAACTGGCCACTGATCAGAGAGAGAAAAGAATTAACTTTGTTTTGAATCTCAAAAGGTTCCTATGTGCCCCAGTCTATTTGTTTAAACGCTAGATTAATACAGTACATAGCATGAAAAATAATGCTACCAATGTCGAACACTGACCAGGACCTGTTCCCTGGCATCTGGCTCCAATGAACCCGTCGGCCCAGTTCCAAAGCCGAGGCGAGTGAGAATCTGCCACACTAATTTTTTTTTCAGATTCTCTCGGACCGAGATTTTCTCGAGTGCATCGCATCCATTGAAATACTTTAAAAATAACGGCCAATATATCTTAAGCAAGGTTTGGAGGTCTTTTGGTGCGATATCCGGACTCGCGCCGTCAGAGAGCTGAGTGCCACTCGCCTTGTCAGGAAATCGAGAAAGAATCTCATCTAACCATCGGGACTCAAGTGAGGATGCTCGATGTGGGGATAGAATCAAAGATGAAAGCCGCAGGGCGGTGGACCGGTCAAGGAGCTTGTGGGAAGTACGGAGCTGTGCGTGCGGGTCATGACGACTGGGCATTGTAGTTTCGCCTCCACTACTTTGGCTAGCCAGTGAAGATGAGGATGACGACCCTGCATCATCGTCGTCATCCTCGATTTCTGTATCGTCTTCGGCCATGTTGTTCGGTCTGCTTTTAGCAAGGTAGCGATCCACCTCTTCTTTGCGGAGAGCCATTTCCACTGCCAGTTTAATTTCGGGGGTAACTTTGATGCGAGCAAACGTGCGCAGTTGTGTTACCCAGCCTCCTCGAAGGAGCCATGCTAAAATAGTAAAATATGTTTCTTTGTGATCTTTGCTGGGGATAAAACTTCCATATGATCGAGGAGTACCACTGAGCGCCGATAACATTTTTGGAAGACTAGGAAGCGTAGGAAAAGCCGTCTGGTAGGCGACTGTTGCCACTTCCAGTTTGCTTAAATCGCAATTGGGAGAAACAATGTATGTGTCCCGTTGGTGAATAGGAGGAATGGCCCGAGCTCTGCGCCAGTACACCAGATGACTAGCTAACATTTGGATAGTAGAGAGTGGTATTCCAGAAGAGACAGAAATTTGAGCGAAAGACTTTGTCGGTTTTGAACATCGAATATAATGTGCCAAAGCCGGAGCAAGAGTGCCTCCGGAAGTTTCGATGTCCTTTATAATAGCGGTTTCGCTATCCAGGAGAAGCAAGGCGAAATGTTTTGCAAGAACTTGGTGAGGCGCATTGTTATTATCATCAACCCCATGTGAGTCTACTGGAGTAGCGCTGTCTGCTGTTGTCAGCCAGAGACCCGGATATGATTTGTCTGCCGGGCCAGCTAGGTATGGAGTGGAAGTCAGCGGGGGGATTTGTAGCGATATTGAAACGTCAGGGCTGAGTGAAACAGAAGCAATCTTCGACGCCGATATACTGGTGTAAACTGTATATATCGCCCTCGCCAGCGAGGATTGGTTGATTAAGTCGGAATAGAGATTATGGACCGATGACTCTGCAATAATCTTGTCAGCGCAGACCATAAGAAGATCTGTGGGTGTAAGAACATACTTGACTCTCGCGCATTTCTACGCATAGATAATATATGTTGTGATTCTTTCCAGACATAATCTGTTCGAGCTTGCTCCCATTTTAGGGCCTTGGCAAACTTCTTAATCACATTTTCGTAGATTTCCTTAACGCGTCCGGAGTACTCAAGTAAAGGAGGGTCCATGACAAAAACCACATTAAACATAGTCATATGATCTTTATCCTCTGGGTCAAGAGAATCGTCATCCGACTGCTTTCCAAATTTCGTATTGTTGGTCACAGAATGGCGCTTCGTATCAGTGGGCGAAAGCGTCAACTCAGTGATGGTGGCAATACTAGCCCCCATATCAGGCGAGGCAACTCCATCGTCATCTTTCGAACCCTCAAGATCTTCATTGTGTCCCAACTCCCCGCCATCCCACTCTGAGTGCGTTTCCTTGTTTTTCTTCCTGCGTCGCTGCTTGGCCCAGGTTCCATCCTCGCGTATAAAAACGGGCCACCCGACAAGGGCGAGATCATTGATCCCCACCTCAAATCTTCGCTTATGCCATGATCGGGATGGGCTTAGCAGCTTCTCCCACACACTCCCCGGTAGCCCCAGGAGTGCTTCCCAGGGTAGGCGGGACGTTCCACCAGGACCATCGCGATCAGATGCCCCATCGTCCTCGAGATCGGATCCCGCACCACCTCGTTTCCGAAGCGATGAGGCCCGACCCGACCCCAGGGACCCAGGGCGCTGGGGTTCTATTATTCCAGCGTTTGGCGACACTGAGATAGGCAAGTTCTCATCCACGATCCCAAAGTTACTCGCGCGTCTGCCAAGAAGCGAGTTCGGCCCACCCGAGTAGCTTGTGTTTGCGCCCTGGCCCTGGTTTGGAAGAGCATTCTGGCTCTCAGGCTCTCTCTCCTCCTCCTCTTCGTCTGAACTCAGACCGCTGTCGTCGCTCGAACTTGAGTCTGTATTCTTCGTGCTTTGTCGGCTGCGCGTGCGGGAGATGCGCCGTCCGCCTTTAGTGGTTGTCTTGAGACGATTCTCGCTGAGCGGGTTCGGGGGGTAATGAAAGACCAGTCGGGGTCCAGTGCGCGATCGCACGATTAGAATAATAGCTACCAGGCATGGGTCTGGTGGTCGGGAGATTGAAGACATCAAGTGGATTGAGCCAGCGGGAGACGATCAATGTTGGACCTGTAAGCTCGATGTTGCTGTGAGCGGAACTCGAATTCCCCGCAGATGGATAAGCTCGGACCAATCAGGTGTAGTAGCTAAACACTTCGTATGTAGACATCTGGACTGGTGGTCCCGAGGCCAGCCGTGCAGATTGTATTATGTAGTATGGAGGCAGTATGCACTAAAGCCTGCGAGGAGAATACTATTCAACTGCATCTAAGTCTTTCTGCTCGAAATCTGCCCGTAATCATTCAAAGATGTTACATGTTACGGCCTGAGGCATCAAGTACTCCAACTCTGGACCGAGAATTGCTAATACCACCCCTCAAATGGCTAAACCCACCCCTTCTAAGCCGCTTTGGGAAATTCTGCCGTATTTGTAATATGAGCCCTTAACAAGGCGGTGTAATTTAAAATGGGCGGTCAGGCGAGGTCCAGGCGGATCCCAAGCTTATGGGAGCAGCTAGGTGCCGTTGAAGATGCTGTAGATCGTGAGTTTTATGAGCAATGGTCCCAACAAGGCTCACAGCAGCCAGCAACTCAGCAATCGCGGAGGAGACCCGATACGTGTGGAAATTGGGGCGTGGAGGGGCATAAAAGGCCTGGATGTCCGCAGATCAACAGATTTGCCAGTTAATTCGACTGAAAATGCATTTTCCGGTGTTTTTAAAATCAGCCCCTGTTTCCTCTTTAGGTTAAGCTTGGAATGAGATAACTTGCTTGCATATTAAATGTCGTTAAATGTGTGGTAAAATGGAAGCTTTTTACGTGGAGATTTAATTTAATTCTGGACCGTATTCATGCTGCCGGCAGAAAATTGATGCCTTTGTGCCTCGTGGTATTACAAATACGGCGGTGAGCTTAGAAGGGGTGGGTTTAGCCATTTGAGGGGTGGTATTAGCAATTCTCCTCTGGACCTATTTATGCCTTATAATTCAGGCATCAAGAAAGTACTGTGGACCCGCTCATCTTAGTCAGCGACAAGAAAAGTTGATCCAAGGCGGGGCAGAGAAGAGAAAAAAAAAGAGTCACAGTTCATTTGTCTCGTTGATATTCTTTTGGACCATCAAAATCCAACATGTCGATGGATCTGGATGCTCCGGTCCCCATGTCGGCCTTGCAGGATGCCCCTGTAGCTGCGACGTGAGTCTCAAATCCCCTTGTCTCGCTACTAAAATGATTGTTAATCGTATTCTCGAATTTAGTATTCTTTGCTGCAACTGTGGTGCCCCGATCGATGGAACAACGTCTGCTGGTGCGCTTTGCCAGGATTGTCTGAGATTAAATGTCGACGTTTCTCAAGGGTAAGAATTTATACTCCGTACTTTTAAAAGAAGCCGTATCTGACATGCTTGATAATCCAGTATCCAGCGCGAAGCCACTCTCCACTGTTGTAGAGACTGCGAACGGTGGTTACAGCCTCCCAACAGCTGGGTCGTTGCATCTCCCGAGTCGAAAGAACTTCTTGCAGTCTGCCTTCGTCGTCTTCGAGGCTTATCGAAAGTCCGTATCATCGACGCCAGTTTCATCTGGACCGAACCTCACTCCCGCCGAGTCAAAGTCAAAATCACGATCCAACAAGAAGCCTTCCAAGGCACAATCATCCAACAGACATTTGAGGTAGAATATGTCGTTGCCTCGCAGCAATGTGACGGTATGTCCTCCACCCTCCACTTTTTGAGGATCGTTTTTCAGACTGACTGACATTACTGTGTCCTAGACTGCAAGAAATCATACACGCATAACACATGGCGAGCAGCAGTCCAAGTTCGACAGAAGGTGCCTCATAAACGTACTTTCCTCTACCTCGAGCAACTGATCCTTAAAAACGGCGCTCACAAGGATACCGTGAATATCAAAGAGGCACCCAATGGACTCGACTTTTATTTCGCAGCGCGCAATCACGCCGAGAAAATGGTTGACTTCCTTGCTTCCGTTGTCCCATGCAAGGCCAAGAAATCACAGGAACTTATCTCCATGGATATTCACACCAGCACAAAATCGTTCAAATTTACATTCTCCGTCGAAATAATTCCTATTTGCAAGGATGATCTCGTTGCGCTCCCTATCAAGCTTGCCCGCCAATCTGGAAATATCTCGCCACTTGTTCTTTGTCATCGCGTAGGGAACGCGATCAACGTTTTGGACCCGAGTACCCTCCAAACAACCGATGTCCCAACAGACACATATTGGCGAAACCCATTCAAGAATTTAGCCGACGTGTCCGAGCTGAGAGAGTTCATTGTCATGGATATTGAGCCCACTGGTGTCTCCCATGGGAAATTCAACCTAGCTGAAGTCACCGTCGCTCGTGCTTCTGATCTAGGTTCTAACGATATCACCTACTTCACGCGCACGCATCTTGGCGGTATTCTCCACGTCGGTGACTCTGTTCTAGGTTATCATCTGAGTGGCACCATGTACAACGACGATAACTACGAAGCGATAGAGGCAAGCTCTCAGTATAGTTCGACCATCCCGGACGTTATACTAGTTAAGAAATTCTACGCTCGGAAGAGAAAGCCCAAGAACCGCGCCTGGCGCCTGCGCCGTATGGCTCGCGAACATGAGGACGAGGCTCTTGCTGGTGCTGTTCAACAGAAGAGTCGCAAGCAGGAGCAGGAGGCAAATCGCGTGGAAGAAGATTTCGAGGCGTTCTTGCGTGACATTGAAGAAGATCAAGAACTACGACATACTCTGGATCTTTACAAGTCCCGGAAACAAGCTCAGGCAACTGATGCTATGGATGAAGAGGAGGACAATGAAAGTGAAGATGAAACACCTCAAATCAACATGGAAGAGCTGTTGGATGACTTTGATGAGTTGAACATGGGTGGCGAATGAGGTTTCTTTCGCTCAAACCTCTAACAATCATGGCTGGCGTTGGTGATCTTCCTTCATGATGATATTAAAATGAATTTAAAATGACCATCGTTTTTTGAAAGATATCCATTCAATGTAAAGTATGCCGCGGCTTCCAAGGTTTTCGTACTTCGGCATCAAGATGCACCAATCTCGGGTGGTGATTATCCCTGGAGCTGATGGGTGGCCGGAATCATACTATATAGTAGCGCACTTGTATATGAATACGTCGCATATATTAATCGACATTTGTATTTGAGCTGCCCAGCTGGAGGTGCCATGTTTCTATTTAGTTAACTAACGTAATCCACTACCGAGCTGGACACCTCAAAACACCATAGTCAATGCGATAAACTCCACGCTTATATCTCAGCAATCAGGGATTCATTCAATCACAATTCTTGTCCATAGCCAACGATAAGACTTATGATCACTACACTTCAACTTCAAGGAAGTTTAAAGTGTGCTTTACATTGGTGTCAAAAAATATATTGCTGTCAGCCATGAGATATATATATCTACATACATCACCAGGTGTAACAAATTCTCTAAAGTCTGCAAATAGGCTAAACATCATCTAAAAAGTACTAGTCTACTAGGAAAAAGCCACACCAACCATGGCTGTTGAGATATCAAGTTGTAATTTATCGCATTTACTATGGTGTTTTGAGGTGTCCAGCTCGGTAGTGGATTACGTTATACATAGTTAACTAAACTAGTTAAGAACCGCCCGCCAGTGGCCCGAGATTAAAAGCCCATCAAATACTCCAAACTTCCAAGGTTGCGCGCAAGCTCTGTTTCAACATCTTTAAATTGGTCACTTCGCGCCATGTTCTTCACTCGGACAGCTGCAAGAAGCTTCGCCGGAGCTCGTGCTTTCTCGACGGCGCGCGTGTATCGGGCGGAATTGTCTTACCAAGTTTACGGCCCCGAAAAGGAGGAAGTGACTCGCGATCCTATTCTGTTCCTGCATGGACTTTTCGGGTCTAAACAAAACAACCGGAGCATCAGCAAGTATGTCGAAGATAATTGATTATGAGTTGACATCATTTTACTAACTAAATGTCCCAGAGCCTTGGCTCGAGACTTGAAATGTCAAGTTTTCACACTGGTACGGCGGAAGCGCAGTCCCTCCTGGTTGACGCATGAATAGCGAGAGAGGATACATTGAAATTGATCAGCTGAAGCTAAAATATGCATATAAATACAGGACCTTCGCAACCATGGAGATTCCTTCCACTCCCAAGAGCATAACTATAGTGTTATGGCCAAGGATGTGCAGGAATTCATTGCGCAACAACAATTACCAAAATGCGTCCTTATTGGCCATTCTATGTATGTTTCCCTGGAACTTCAAACATAACTCTCAATTCCGGATCTACCTTTCCTTGTCTAGTTCGTATCGCTGATATCTCTTCCTTCAGGGGCGCGAAGGCTGCTATGACGGTTGCTCTCCAATCACCAGAAAGTGTCTCCGCCTTGATCCCCGTCGACAATGCGCCGTTGAATGCCGCACTGAAGAGTGACTTTCCAAAGTATGTTCGAGGCATGCAACATGTCGAAAGAGAGCAAGTTTCAAAGCAATCTGATGCAAACAAGATCCTTGAAGACTACGAGGAAGTACGATGAGACTCCAACTAATGACCGCGCAAACTTCATCGCTAACTGGGACTTATAGTCTCTTCCAATCCGCCAGTTCCTTTTAACAAATCTCATCCGTTCCAAGGACGGACATAAAACACTGAAGTTTCGAGTTCCGCTCGATGTAATAGGGCGTTCGCTCGATAACATGGCGGAATTTCCCTTCAGCGAGTCTGATAATATCCAGTATAATGGGCCTACCCTTTTCGTTAGAGGCACCAAGTCTGGATATGTCTCCAATAACACTATTCCCGTTATCAAGAGATTCTTTCCGAATGCTCAGATTTCAGATGTTGATGCTGGACACTGGTTGATTTCTGAAAACCCCGAGGCTTTCCGACAGGGTAACTATGACCCAAACTCTCAACTTGCTTAGCTCTATTACATTTCTAACTCTCCTTTTTAGCGGTTGTCAAGTTTTTAGGATCGTCATGAAATAGATACTCGAATAAGTGGCTTCAGCCATCCTAATAAAGCGAGAATAGAACATTTAGAATATTTTAATATCATGTTTATGCTATATTTCAAACCTCCCATCTCCAATTCACGCTCATGAGTTGAATAACTCCTATTATGCCAAGCTGATACATTGAAGCTGGCGACTCAAGTTGAAGCTTTCCCGCTCTTCGGCCCCGGCCGCCTATCTTATCGCCGGAGGATGCCGACATGTTCCCCGCGCTCGAACCTCCACGCCGATAATCTCAACTCTCAACTCTCATTAATCCTTTTCTTCTTTCTCTGGTCCTCTCCTCAAACCATCTCTCCCTCCAACAAGTGACTGGATACATACGAGCGAACATAGGAAAATCTCAATCATGGCGCCGTTCCTCGCCTCCATCCCGACCGGCAAACTGGTACCTGAGCCTCTCACCCCGGCCGGCTTCGCACCATTCGGCACAGCCATTTGCTCCCCCATACCACGAGACCTCAATGTTCCACCTCAACCTTCAAACCTCCCACCCTTCGAACCAACTCCAGTGCTAGCCAATCAGAATTCCGCGCTCAAGTACAGTCCTATTTCGCCAATGCTCAATAATTACGCGGCCAGTCCGAGCCAAAAGACCGGCTCGACGCGAATGACGATGTTTTGCTGTTTCCCTCGCAAGTTGCGAACAATCACTACGAACCAGAAATCCGACAAGGAAGTTTTTGATGTTCGAATCCTTGAGCGCCACCCATTCACCAACCAGACATTCATTCCAGTCGATCTCTCAAGCCATTCAAAGGTCGGGAATGGCGACGACGAACCTATATTCCTTGTTGTTGTTGCGCCGACCCTGAAAGGTCAGACTGCGACAGCTAAAAGCGCGTCAGGCGAGACTATTACCATCCGCGATCCTCCCGATCTCAAGAATCTCAAAGCGTTCATTGCACACGGCGGACAGGCTGTAACATATGGGGTTGGAACATGGCATGCGCCTATGGTTGTGTTGGGTCGCCGAAGGGTAGATTTTGTTGTGGTACAACATGTCAATTGTGTGGACGATGATGACTGTCAAGAAGTTTCCTTTGGGGAGGGAATTGTGGTAGACTTGGGCCAAAGTGGACAGCATGGGCGCAATATGAAGGAGTCCCCTAAGCTTTGGTCAGCGAAGTTATAGAGCTTGACGACGCATTGGTGTCTGTATGAATCTTTGGTATAATTATCTACTACAAAATCATTAAGTATGTAAATATGTATACTATAATACACTGACAATAACTTGATTGATTCGGCTACGCTCTGAGGCATATAGTCATGATGCATAGTATTTGAATTCCCAAGGTATCAAAATTAACAATGCGCCCGCATCCCGAGGTCTCATTAACATCTAGAGGAGTGTCTCTTGATGAGCAACAATTCGCCATTCACCATCAGAAGCTTGATTCCATGTAGTTGAGCCTGTTGCCCGATACTCTTGATTCCCTCGAACAGCGCGGACCTTATACGTCACTGCCCCAGCCATAAGATCTATAACAATTGTCCTCACATCATCCAGTTGATACCCATCAAACCGATGGAACGGTGGCTTCAAGCCCTCGTCGAAAGCTTCTTCGTCTTCGAGTGTGAGAGTGTGCATTTTCGGGAACATCAGGTTGACTTCTTGGTTGCTCAGTTTCTTCACGGCGGGCGCTGGATCAGCCGATGTAAGTGCTGTCCAAAGTGAGCGTTCTTTATGGAGGAGATCCGCCCGGATTCTCTCGTGCATAGTCGGCATGGTGGCAGAGGGTTGTCAAGGCTTTCTAAAATAGTAGATATACTCAGTCAGACTTGTTCATCACATTTTCGCTTTTATTCCAGGATTTGGCTAAACATACCAAGAGGACAATATAAAGTATGGCTTCTACTACCAACGGGCACAAAACACGAGTCTAAGGACTCCCCTCAGACAAGGGGACATGAATGGTTTTATTTACCTGCTTGTTCCACGGTCCAAAATATATTAAAATGACGTCAGACAAATGACGTTCAAGGCAATCCAACACTTTGTACTTTAATATCCGCTGAGCAGCCACTTATTTGAGATCCACTTAGCGTGCGTCATGCCCCACAGCAACGCCGGGGTGAGATGTCACAGTGGCTTGAGCCCCGCGCGTCATATGGCACAGTAATTCACAAATTCTTTCCCTTCTAATATTGGGCTTAAAGTTGCTACTAATCACCTGACTTAGGGAGTTTTCTAGAACTGTCAAATAACTAAGCGTGGACCTTTTGAAAAATACCGTACCAGGCTGCCATAGGAACGTTGAAAAAGATAAACCATAGTAAAAATAACATAACGTGAACAGTGTATTACCGGTATCTTAGTTTCTGCCGGTCAAAACCCGTTTTTTCCCGCTGGACGCTATCGTCGCCCGTAGTCATGTAGTAGCAGTCTATGAAGAAGTCTTGGTAACATACTAGTAAAAGGAAAGAACAAAATGAGATTGTCAGAGAAAGAGAGAAAGAGAGAAATCAAGTCAAACGAGGACAATAGGAGATAACTTGAATATATAGTAATGAGTGCTGTAAATACTACTAGTACACGTAGTACTAGTAAATACTATGTATCTTTTCATTGTGATCGTAGAACCGATCCAGTGGAGATAGTTGCATCAGAAACAGCATTTGAGAGCATTGAATTGACAAGCTCAACTTCTGCCTCAATCTGCTCTTTCGACCAGAGAGAGCTATCGTAGGCAAGTTTCAGCTTATACCCATTCATATCCGCGGTCTTGATAACTTCAAAGACGACCGCATAAGGCTGAAGCATGGTGACTTGGGACTTCGCCATCACAACCCATTTCTGCAGCTCGGTCGCAGCAGTTCCCGTCGCCGGCTCGAAGGGCTGGAACAAAAAGAGGGTCTGGTTGGCTACATCTTCGCGAGCGAAGCCGTTTGCCTGGCATATATCCTCAATGCCGACGGTGCAGTTTTCCGTGTATTGCCAGAAATCATCCTGAGTCTTCAGCAAGTAGTCCTGCATAGAAGCCTCCGAGTCGACTTCGGAGCGCATGGGGAGGAAATTCGCGCAGGTTCCGTTGATGCTTTGGGGGTCTTCGAGATCGACATTCCGGCCGGTGTACAGATAGTCGAAGGCGATGCTGTTCTTACTACTGTGGCGAGAAAGCCAGAGTTGGAAAATGGATTGGAAAAGCGTGGAGACCGTCACGCCACTGGAGCGACTGAATGCTTCGAAGTTGAGTTGGATGGTTTGCACGACCGATGCGTTGATTCGTGGCGCCGTCGCGTCGGAGATTTTGAATTCTATCGGTCGCTTCTCTGGTTGAGTCCAGAAGTCGAGAGTTGGACGCGTCTGGTTGATCTTCCAGATATGGAAGGTAAATTCCTTGAAGGAAGTGAACTTTTCAACTTCCTGGCCTCGCTGGTAAGCTTGAAAATGGGCGTCAAAGACTCGGAGGAGGGTGCCGTCGTACAGGCCATGGTCAAGTTTCGTCACGATATGGTGCTCGCCGTTGGGGAATCTGAAGACTGCGTATCGAATGAAGGGCTTCCCAAATACAAATCGATCGGCCCAGATTGATTGTAGCACCTGGCTTTTCTGAGACTCGCTGGAGATATCATGAAACTCTACAATGGGTGTGGAGTCATTTAAAACAACACCGTACCAAGTGCCTTGAATTGTTGTGAAGGTTGTGCGCAGAATATCGTTCGTCGCAGTCAACTGCTTCGTGAGTTCAATCCAATGAGCAATGTCGGGGTTGATTCCAAGAGACCGTGAGGTCATCAAATTCCAGAATTGATCGTTGCGAGCTCCTTGACCGAGGAACTCAGCTTGTCCAGGAGGGCTGGGGTAGACGTATTCATACTGAGAGCTTTTGAGCTCGATCGCCACAATGGCATCCTGCAACTCCGTGGGAACCGAGAATGTTACAGTTTCGAGCGACGCCTCATTGTCTTCCTGCTCCAAATGCTCCGACATAGGGCCAAGTAAAGGGTATTTGAGGACATCACGAACCGTGATGTTCATTCCCTTGCGTCGAATGCGGCTGACAAGGTTGATGGCAGAGATAGAGTCACCACCGAGGCTGAGAAAGTTGGCCTCGAGGCCGAAGTTGTCATCTGGAAGCTGCAAGACTTCGATCCAAGAGTCTCGGAGTGACTTCTGAGATACAGTGGAGATTGGGATAATTTCTTCAGAGCCATTAGCCCCGATCTTATCGAAGGAATATTTTGCGAGATCGCTTTGGCTAAGAGCCAGAACTCGAGCTTTCAGCTGCTTGCGGTCTGCCTTTCCAGAGGCAATCCGTGGAAGGAAAGGAAGAGGAATTAAGAATTTGGGGAACATATAATGAGCGAGACCACTGAGCTTGGCCTTGAGAATTTCAGCTTGTTCAGAAAAGTGATTTGGCGAAAGAAAGTCGAAGTCTTGATCAACAGTATCGAACACCACACTTGCCACCAAATGCGCTGTGTTGTTATGTTTCCACACGGTCAGAATACAGTCGGTCGCTTCGCCTGATCGAAGAATAGCTTGCTCAATCTCGCCAAGCTCAATACGGTGGCCATTGACCTTGACTTGGTCGTCTTTCCGACCCAAGCATTCGATGTCGCCACCAGGGAGATAACGAGCCAAGTCACCACTACGGTAGAGTCGGCGACCAGCGCCGAAAGTTGAATTGAAGAAAGCTCCAGCTGTGAGTTCGGGCTTCTTGAAATATCCATCAGATAACTGAGGACCCCAGAAGCAAAGCTCACCAATCGCTCCATAAGCAAGTGGTTGATCACCATCAGCCTCAAGGATAACCGCGCCAACAGAAGCAAGCGGCTTTCCGATGTTACCACCTTGAGTATTCTGGTGGATATCTTTCATGGTTACCAGGACAGACGCCTCGGTAGGTCCATAACCATTGCGCAAAGTGACTACCGGTGCCCAGGTAGAAATGACATCTCGAGTCAACTGCTCTCCTCCAACAGTCATCGATTGCAAGTTGGGGACGTCTCTAGGACTTAGTAGTCGAGCAACGGTAGGCGTAAGGAAGACATGGTTCACGTTCATATCATTGATGGCCCCTGCCAGGTCGCCCAGCAAGTGATCGGATGAAGCAATGCAAAGCGTTCCACCGCTGAATAACGTAACGAAAAAGTCATACAGCGAGACATCAAAAACGTAGTTTGAAAACTGCAAAGCATTGAACTGCTGGTCTTGTCTACCTTCAAATTCAATAATCGACTTCATGGCACTGGCACAAGCGCCATGGTGAATGGCGACACCTTTGGGCTGTCCAGTACTTCCGGATGTATATAGGATATAAGCAAGGTCTGTCGACGCGACCTGCACGTCGGGTTTTTCTTTAGAATAAGCACAAAGGCGCGTCTTGTCAATCATAACTGAAGAAAAATCGTCTGCAGTGAAGAACGAAGAGTGCTCCTCTTCGCTAAGAACCACACGGGCTCCAACATCATGAACAATGAATTCATTTCGCTCGACCGGATTCTCCGGGCTCAGGGGTACATATGCGGCACCGAGCTTGAACAGGGCCAAGATAGCAATTATCATGAGTGAAGACTTCTCAAGAAGAAGAGGGACTACATGACCCTTCTCAATGCCCTGGACGGAGAGGAAGTTTGCCATTCGATTAGCATCATCGTCTAGCTCAGCATATGTCATGAGCTTCTTGTTCTCGAAGTTTATGGCCATTCGGGACGAGTGCCTTCGGGCTGTCAACTCAAATTCTCCGTGTAGGGTAGTCGGAGCTGGCTGGTCATCATTCCACTCGAGTAAAAAGTCCAACTCCGTGGCATCAAGGAGGCTGAGCGACTTGGCTGGAAGTTGTGGACTTTCGCTGATTTTGGTGACTGCTTGGCAGAACTGATTCAAGATAAATTCGAGGCGACATTTCTCGACTGGACCCGTAAGGGCAATGTCCAAGCCCTCCCGGCTCTCTTCGATGTTCAAAGTAGTATACTCAGTCCGCCAGGCACCGCGGGATCCATACGCCTGGAATACCTCACTAGTCAACTCATTCTTGCCTTGGGGGTTGACTAAGATATTAACCATTGTGTCCAGGAAAGTAGAGTTTGAGTGACCAGCAGCGTGAAATGCTCCACGTAGCCCTATCTGGGAATGCTTGATGATATCCCAGAGGTTTGCATTAACAGATTGCACAATATCTGTCAAGGGTACGTTAGACCCCAAAGTTACAGTCTGGGGTACCATAGCCAAAGTTGGACCGTTCACTGTCTCGATGCCTTCTAGAGGCAGCTCTCGACCAGAAATAGCAGTCGCAAAGGTGACCACGTGTGATGCAGTGTGGGATGAGAGTACTAAGGCCCATGCAGCGTAGATGATAGCGCTTGATGGAACTTGAAGGGCTGCAGCAGCTGACTTCAGTTGAATGGGCAATATGCGACTTGCGCTGAAGAACTCTGGGACAGGAGAATGGTTCAAAATCGTAGGAACGGATTCGGCAAGATGAGTTTTCCAAAATTCTGTTGAACCTGTATCTAGCTGCTGTTGCACCAGGCCAATAAAGGACCTCCATGGGGTTCGAACTTCAGGGCTCTTGCCGAAGTAGAGACGAGCAACGTCGTCAAAGACAAATGAATGTGACCAGAAATCGAACAGAGCGTGATGTGCTGATACTACCAGAATAGAACCATTGAGAACAGTCACTCTGATGAAGGGCTCTCCGAGAGTCACACCTCGTTCCTTGTCTGATTCAAGGAATTTGTGGAGGCCATCCGATGACTCCTCCCAGATTAACGGAAGATCATTACGCAAAATTTGAACAAATCCATTAGTACCCACAGCGAAGCTAGATTGCAATACCTCGCTTTTCCAGAATACCACTTGGAAAGCAAGTTGGAGTCTGACATGATCAAGATGGCGAATATCAAAGACTCTCTGGTACAGGTAGTCTTGGTTTCCCTGCAAAGTGCTAGCAAGAATACCTTCTTGTAATGCCGTGACCGGCAGTGCATCTGATACACCGTGGTCTGCTTGCAGGTCACGTTTGAAATCATCCTCCGGGATAAGAGCGAAGGCTCGCGGGAGAGGACGCTCGTTATCTTTGATTTCCAGACGCGAAGAGTCAGCAACGTCTTCTAGAGCTTGCGATCTCAGCATGTCTGCAAGCTCCAGGTGAATACCACGAGTTCGCAATTCTCGAATCGCAAGGATCGCATCGAGAGAGCTGCCACCCAAGATTACGAAGGAGTCGCTGGAGCGGATCACTGAGTGATCAAGCTTCAAGACATTAGCCCAGACTTGAGAAATTGCAAGTGCAATCTCGCTCATGTGGTGTCTTTTGGCACTTTCGTTTAGGTCTCGGCCAAGCAGGCTGTCGATCGCTGTCGACTCGGCAACTGAGCGGATTGCTTGGAAGTCAACCTTGCCATTTCGGTTCGTTGGTAGAGCTTCCAATCGGAGCCAGTATTGGGGAACCATATAAGGTGGGAAAAGGCGCTGCGCATGACTTCGCAAGCGGTTGACTAGGGCGCCCCAGTCGTCCTCGTTTGAAACCACCGCCGCGACTAAGGAAGTCTGACCCTTGATTTTGGCACCAAGACATACAACATCACGTCCGTTTTCTTGAGCCGATAAATTTACTCCAATATCTTGTGGCTCGACTCTCTGGCCGTTGATTTTGACTTGCTGGTCAATTCGTCCGAGAATCTCAAAGCTGCCATCTGAGCGACGGACGGCCTGATCACCAGTTCGGAAAAGTATACCAGATGCGAGTGTGGCTTTAACAAAAGCCCTGTTTGTCTCTGCACGACGCTGGTGATAGCCGCTGGCAATCTGAGGGCCATATAGACACAGCTCTCCAGGCTCATTAACGGAGACCTCTCTGGTCGTGTTAGGTTCGAGGATCACAGCAGTTGTTGTATCCAGAGGTATTCCTGGGCTGCGAGGATTATCACCAGGTTTCAATTGTCGAGAGAAGTTTAGCTGGGCACATTCACTAAGACCATATGAGACACGCAAGGCAATATTTTCAGCCCACAAGTCAACCAGAGTCTGGCTAAGAGGTTCGCCGACGGTGGTGATTTGCCGCAGACTCTCTGGTACCTCACTCGGAGAGAGCAAGGCCAGAGCCGAAGGAGTGATACCAAGGGCATCGACTTTGAGATTGAAAAGCACTTCAGGAAGTGCGGTGGCCAGGCGGTTCCGGGGTGCCAGGCATACGCAAGCACCTTTGGCTAGGGTAGCCAGAACGGTTCTCTGGGCTGCTGAGAATACCGTGTTATAGAAAAGGAGCCACCGCTTGTGTCCATTCAGACTGAACTGACTGATGCCATGAGAAGCGGCACGGTGGCTCAAAAGAACTCCTTTAGGCTTTCCAGTAGAACCTACGAATGTGTTAGATATGCATAATGGCTTCTTTTCTCCTGCAATGCACGTACCGGATGTGTAAATCAAATATGCGGGATCTGAAGGGCTCGAACTAGAAGACCCGAGATCTTCCTGGGGCGCTTCAGAAGAGGAAAGAAGATCTTCCACTCGGACTGAAGTCTCAAAGAATGAGGAGTATTTGCCGTTTGTGATAGCAAAATTCGCGCCTGTGTCTTTCACAATGGCTCGGTTCCGCTCAACAGAACCTTCTGGGTCGAGGACAACATAAGCTGCCCCAGATACCATAATTGCCAGCAGACTGGCCACGAACTCAACCGTTGGATCCAAACATACTGGAACAATAGATCCAGGCAGTATCTTTGCACAAGAGGCAATGCTCTGGGCTATTGACCAAAGTTGGTGGTAGGTATATGGCTGCTCATACTCGCAGTGGACAGCCGGAGCGTCTGGGTTCTTTTTCACTTGGTAGTGAATGAAGTCTGTAATCAAGCAAGGTGCAGAAGGAGGTTTAATTGTTGCCTCGTGATGGGATGATGTGTCGTCGATTTTGAATTTTGAGTTGATAGTATGAGAAGGGGGACTATCCAAGAGGTATTGAGTAGCAATTGGTGCCATCTTGATACAATTTTGAATGCCGTTCAGCTCAGGGTCTTGTCCATGAAGATAGAATAATTATCGAGCTGATATCTCAAAAGTGGTTCTCATCGACACCTTTAAATAGACGAAAGCTGACCACTTGATTTTAGATACTCCTTGGGTCGGCTCATCCTGCATCCGAATCCTCAAATTATTCAAAACAAATGTTCTGGGGTTTCTATAAAAAACCCTTTCTAGACCTCTAATTGTCAATTTGTAACGTAATTGCTCGTAATCATGGCAACACATTCTTCAAGCATCCGGAAGGCAATTGCTGCCTGCCAATGGATTTCAGTTCGTTGCTTACAGTCTTGGAAGGATTTGACTATGAGGCATTTTCTTAATGGGTTTGCTCATTTGTTTCAAGTCAAGCCCTTGTCGAGACTTCGGAGCTGGCCAGCATCCTGCCAGAGCTATACAGGTTACCACGAGGGTACACATGTGGTGTGCACGTGGAATTGAGCTTACAGCTGCAATCTACATGCCTATTTTGAACCCCCGGCCCAATCATATCAACCCTTCATGCGAGAGTGAACTTATATCCACCAATTACACATAGTCTGTAGAACAAAGTGGGATACTCTCTACTAGCCTGATGCAGAGATATTGTTCCAAGTCTTGCATTAGATTCACGCAAGCCTTAATAGCCCCCGGGGCTACGTATATCGTATAGAAGAATATTTGCATAGCCGTGCACTAGCTTCATCAAGACGTCTGTCAGATTTGCTCGCATAATATTCCCAGATAGTTCGTTTTGTATACAAGTCTTGTTCAAATGCTAAATTGATTGGAGAGAGCACCACTAGTAGGCTACGGACCGGTCCAGGGCCGTATTGGTAATGGCATTGTCTAAAATGAGCTAACGGGGCACGGATCGCTATGCATGGGATATTAAAAGTCCGAACTAATCCATCTTGCCCCATATTACATGCCCCCTTGAGCCATCCTACTTGGGCATTTCAGTTGTTGATTGCTTCTCAATTTCTGGTCTTACTCAAACGCCATACTACTTCCACTTTTACCCACGTTCCATCATGGCTGAATCTCTGGTATTCCCATACGGCTCGCCTGAACCACTCAAGGGACTACGCCTCGCTGCGCACCCTAGACCCATCCATGGACCTGAACAAGTGCTTGTCCAGTTCCTCGCGGTCCCCATCAATCCACTAGACCTTCTGGTCATTCATGGAAAATACCCAATCAAGCCACAGAGTAGCATCCCCAACGAGGATGGTGAGTCACTGGCAATTCCGGGCTCTGATGGTGCCGCTCGTGTCGTCGAAGTGGGCACCGGAATCCAGAACTTGGCCGTCGGCGATCTTGTGATTCTACGTACCCATTGCAAAGGTACTTGGCGAACCCACGCGGTGCTTGAAGAGGACGACCTCATCCGCCTCCCATCCACTGTTCCCCCACACCTGGCCTCCATTCTACGCATGGGGATTGCTCCGGCTTACTTCCAGTTGCGAGAGTACTGCAACCTCGAGCCCGGCGACTGGATCATCCAGAACGCCGCTAACGGAACTATCAGTCACTTCATCAGTCAACTTGCCCCACTCTACGGCATCGGAGTTATCAGCGTGATCCGCAGTCGAGCTAGTGCTGATGAGTTGGAACGTACCAAGCGTTCGTTGCGCTCGCACGGTGCCAGTCTCGTGTTGACGGAAGATGAGCTCCACTCGACCAACGCCTTTGACGGGAAGAGGGTCGTGATGGCGATCGATTCCATCTCTGATGATGATCTCGCCCGCCATATGGCGACCCACCTTACGCCCGGTGGAACTCTGTTGACTGCTGGGTTTCTCGGCCCAAGAGTTTCGTCCGATGGGAACCTGCGACAGTTCCTGTGGCAGCGGAATATCACGCTGAAATCCTTTCGGTTGAGTGACTGCCTGGGGCGAAAGGACGGGCCGAAGCAGGAGGCGCTCTTTGATTGGTTCGCCAAACTGTTGACGCAAGGAATTTTGAAGGCACCAGCGCTTGAATACGTAGAGTGGAAACGAGGGGCCCCACAGATTGAACAGACGCTTCGTGAGGCAATTCACCGATCTCACGAAGGGGCGATTGGATCTCGCAAGCAGATATTTGTGTTTCAGGAGTAGTGTGACTAGATATATTGAATTGCAGCCCCATTCATATACTCTCTCCTAGTGTATTCTTTAAAATATTTAAATTGATTTTTTAGTAAATCATGCTTATATTGTAGACATCTTATACCTGATCTTATAGTACATCATACTATCAGATATTATACAAAGCTATAGGGAATCATAGGCTTTTCATGGTTGCCCATGGTCTTTATATAGTAATAAGCGAAGGAGTTCCACCTCTGGGGCGTACTACGTACATAGAAGGTTATCTCATGGGACCCTGTATGAACAGGTCTAAGCGTAACGGCCAGGGTGTAGTGAACCACCTAAGTCCAAGATGATTTTCATTAGTTTCTTTTGCATGTTTTGCACGATGGGGCTTGTTGTATTTTGATTGGCCGAATCGGAATGTCGTGTTCGTTAAGAGGTGAATCCTGGCATGCAGTCTTCTTCCTTCTTTACCTCCCTTCTTAACGTTGATATTTTCTTTATCAGACGCATGTCTACAAATCACTCGCATTCCATAGCTTTACGCACGTCATCATAAGTAGGCTCGCACTCGGTGTTTCGGACCTTTCGTCCTCTTTGTGTGTTCAATATGGCAGTGCATATATTTGCAGTAGATGATTAGTCAATAGGATTCGTAATAGAGTGCGCTAGTGATGCACAGTGTGTTGACCAATCGTAAATTCCGCCATTTAGTACATAGAAGCTCGCCACTGATCTAGATCTGGCTAGCGTTTCAGCCGCAGGACGGGAGATCCTGCCCGACCATCAAGCATTTACTTAAATGCATATTCAAACAAGCCTCGCCGTGACGGAAATCGGCTGCTCCTGGTTTCCACTGGCAATGATAATTCTCCGTTTGCATTGTTCCAGACCTCTTTGTACAATGTAGTGTTAGCACTGTAATAACACATAAGTCGAAGGCCAAACCTACTATCTTGGCCAAAATTAAATTCAAGTCGAAATCTTTACAATATGATACGAATTAGACCTGCACAAACTCATGGATTGACCCAGATGGGACAGCCCAAACCCGCCCGGGAGAATGACGGTCTGTTCCGTCCCGTGGCCGGCCGGTGTGGGGACGATGATGAGAATCACGGAAGATCAACAACGCCCGATCTACAAACCTACCAACCCGGACAAGCTTTGCCTCGAGCGTCGGCGACTTGCTGTCTCACTGCGTCAATCTAAACCCTTTTCTTCAGCTTCTCGTATTCCCTGCAAGCCCCCTAGGCCCCTATGTGACCTTCCGCGCGGGCGTTCCATCACGCAACATATCACGCCTTCCACTCAGGGGATTTTCCTATTCTAAGGCTATGACTGGCTTGCTTCTTGAATCCTTTGGATTTTGAGCGAAGGGAACTGGACGGTCCACTTGGTATATTACCTGCGAGCCCCTTGGCCCCATATGTAACCTTCCGCCCGGGGAGGATTCAATTGTGCAATAGATCACGCAATTTGCCTAAGAGGGTTTTCTATTCTAAGGTTGTAGCTGCTTTGTGTTTTGCATCCTTTGGATTTTGGGCCGATGGAAACAGGATCGGTCCACTTAGCATATTTGCTGCATACACGGTTCGACTAAATTTGACAAAAGGAATTTAGTCGATGTGGGTCAAGCGAATGCAGTCACAAAGAAATGCGGGCTCTTAATAACTAATCCCTCCAGCTCATTACAAATCGCGCGCTTGCAGGAACAGACCGAAAGCCCGAGAGTCCGACCAAGTACGGAGTAATTCTTCTGAATATACTATTTGAGAGGCGAAGATGGCATCTACTTCGTTTTTCAATTGCTCGTGTTTGGGTTTTATTCGCGTCCCGCCCCAGGAAAACAAAGAGAACGGCCGTTATGTCTTTAGATGTCGAAAAGGGCCCAGCCCCCCCAAGCCCCGAGCCTGCCTTCTCGCCTGATGATTCTCCCGATTCTGGCACGGAAAAGCAGATCGCAACACCACCCCCTCCGCCTAATGGAGGTGTTGTTGCATGGCTACAGGTTGTAGGGGCTTTTTTCTTGTTCTTCAATTCTTGGTTAGTTTAAGAGAAGTTTAGCGGCGAAACAAAAAAAATCAAGAACTAATTTCAACATGGGTAGGGGTGTCGTCAACACTTTTGGCGTCTTCCAAAGTTACTATGAAGTTACGCTTCTCCCCGGGTATTCTGCATCGTCAATCTCATGGATCGGTACCGTCCAAGGATTTCTATTGTTCGTCGTCGGAGTGGTTGTTGGTCCTGCTTTTGACAAGGGTTACCTGAAGACGTTGATTGCTCTGGGAACTTTCCTCGTGGTCTTTGGGTTGATGATGACCTCTCTGGCAACTGAGTACTACCAGGTCTTCCTCGCCCATGGTGTTGCGGTCGGAATTGGCTGTGCTTGTCTTTTCCTTCCTAGTGTAGCTACTGTTGCAACCTACTTTTCGACAAAGAGAGCTTTGGCCACTGGAATCGTAGCTTCAGGAGGAAGTATTGGTAAGTCTTGATCTAGGAAAAAAGACGTGAACGCTAGCTAATATCTGCGCCCAGGCTCGGTGATCTTCCCCATCGTCTTCCACAGACTCATCGGCCCTCTTGGTTTCGGCTGGACAACCCGTGTAATCGGCTTCATCGCACTCGGGGGTCTTCTCTTCTCGCTTGCCGTGATGAAAACGCGTTTGCCGCCAGCAAAGCAAGCCAGAAAGATCATCGACCCCTCCGCCTTCAAGGAGCCGCCATTCATGATCCTAAGTGTAGCCTTGTTTTTCGCTTTCATCGGCCTATACTTCCCCTTCTTCTACTTGCCCACATTCCTGAGTGACTACCTGAACGCCAGCGAGAACATCTCCTTCTACATTATCGCCATTCTCAACGCCGCGTCTGTCTTCGGACGAATCACCCCGGGTCTTCTCGCTGACCGGGTCGGTTCCATCAACACGATCATTCCAATCAGCCTGATCGCCTCCGTCTTGGCCTTTGCATGGATTGGAATCCATAATGAGGCGGGCACAATCGTCTACTCGATCATCTATGGATATGCGTCCGGAGCTATCGTCTCCTTGCCACCCACGATTCTCGCCAAGATCTCTCCGAACTTGAGCATCGTGGGTACACGAATGGGAATGTGCTTCACATTTGCTGGTGTGGGTCTTTTGATTGGAAATCCTATCGCAGGAACACTGCTAGATTTGTCGAACAAAATATTCTGGAAGGCGCAGCTGTTCAGTGCAGTCACTGTGGTCGCGGGTTCCGCCTTGTTCATCGTGCTGCGGATTGTCATGGGCAAGAAGATTGGCGGCGTGAAAATGTAAAAATAGCCTGAGGGCGTCCTATAACGACCCAGCATACGAAACTAGACACTAAATATAGCCTGAAGTTAAATTTTTTGGTCTTTTGTCAATTTTCGGAATTCATCCCTCGAACAAAACAGGGAATTCCCATGCTCAATGCACGGGTCTACATGGGGGTTATTCAAGTAAAGCCTTTTCACAAGCCGTAGGGTATGATTGTTCGTGACTGAGATTTCCCAATTCCTCTCTCCAAACTGACAACTTAAGTACGATTTGTAGAAAATCAAGAGACCATCAGAAAATCTGAAGTGCTCTATATGGGTCAGGTCCAGGATAAGAGCCACCATAGCCCGAGCGCTACGCAAATCAATATCCCTGCATCTGGTTTTGGCCGGCTCTTCGCTCCACCTTTATTCGCACCTTGTTACTCCATGAATCATACTCGAGGACATCGATTGACTGTTAATGCGAACCTCATCTGCCAAACCAAGCGAGCCAGCCATGGATGGCAAAATAGGGAAGGCGCCACGCAGCCTCTTGCTTTCTTCCACTCCGACTATGGATTGGCAAGAAACTATTTAGAGCAGTCGGACCACATGGAGTCCGAATCAGCCCTAGCAGAATGGTCAAAGGGCCTTGTGCCATGCCAGAGCTAGCAGCCTTGGAATACGTCGCTGAGCACACATCGACTGATGTCCCTAAAGTCTTCAACGCCCATTATTACGATAATGATCTCTACATTGAAATGGAGTATGTCCGTGGAACGAGCCTCGAGGAAGCGGGGTACTGCGGTCACCTGTCGCAAGACCAAAAGAAATACATAATCACTGAGGTGGCGGGCTACATCAACCAGCTTCGGAGACTAAAACCTCCGGGTGAAGGGATAGTTGCATCGGCAAGCCTGGCCTTCCATCACCGTGTCGGATCTTATACTTTCGGGCCTTTCACGAGTCATGAAGGGTTCCACTCATACATTCGAGCGAACGTTCCGATTGAGGACTGCAACGAAGTACTCGGCCCAGAGGTCACTGAATGCCACGCACGTCGTTATCGAAGCTGCTTTATCCACGCAGATATCGCCCCTCAGAATATCATGGTGGATAATGAGAAGGCCTCAGCGATCGTTGATTGGGAATTTGCTGGCTGGTACCCAGAATATTGGGAGTATACTAAGGCACACTACGGACAGATAGATCGACAAGAGCGGTATGATGGATTAGGAAACGCTATGGAGAGATATGACGAAGAGCTCAGAGCGGAACAAACTCTGTGGAAGCGACTGGACGAGCCACAACTTCCTTGGCGAGGGAGAGACTTTCTGATTCCGAGCTTGGACCGTACGTAACAGTATCGAGACAATGAGATATGGGGTATTTCGCAATTCACATAGGCCGACCAGTGTAGTTCATGCTAGCGGGCGTAGACCGGGTGCTTTGTAGGCGTTGATCCGCGAAATCAAGCGACTCGTCCATGAATCGGTCGACGTCGAATTGTTCTGAGAAGGCCATGGATTTCCGCGTAGGTAACTTCACTGGGCACCTTCCCAATCATGACCCTTCCAAGGATCGAGAACTCCATCGCTTACGTTGAAAGCATAGCAATCTGCCCCCTTAAACCCTTTGGGAGAAATGAGAATACCCCAGTGGTCGGCCGCACGACTGAGTCGCTGCCTTTTGCCGCCAATAGAGAGAGCATCGCGATGATGAAGCGAAAGGAAGACTTGGGGTTTTTGCTCATGGCCAAGATGTCCTAGAGCCGGTTCGTAAGAAAGTCTAGAAAGTAGACCGAAATTGACAATGAATTGTGAATGCAGGTCTTAAATTGGGAAAGCGGTTGACATCAGATACTACTACTACTAAGAGTGAGGGTGAGAATGGAAGCTGAATAGCTGCTACCTATAGTATATACATAAACAAGTGCTTCAGCGGTAGTAAGGCACCCGTAGACTGAAAAATCCGCTGTTTGATCTACATAAGCGCTGAACGTTCAATGAGGAGTAGATGGGTCCTGCTTGCTTCCACTTTATCGCCTGAATTCATGTACGGGCAATAATGTTACGGAAGTGGAGAATTTCCTCCTGTCGGTAATTTCAATATCAGGCTTTGCATTACGCTGCTGCCCATGTAGGAATCTAGGATAGTAGCAGACCTTCCATAATGGGAACGCTGAAAAACAATCGAGTCCCAGTCTAACTCGAATACGCCTTTTAATTCGCCTTTGTCGCTCACTAACATATTGGGCAGTGACAATCATCATGAGAAACCACCGTTGGTTCCGGAAGCAGGGTATCTGCAGGGAAAGTAGTACAGTAGTGTGAGGGAAGATATTTTCCAGTTTTTTGATTAGTCTGATGGTTTTCGTGGCAGTCTCTTTTTCAAGTTCGTCTTCGGTGTCACTATCAAGGTCATCATCCACAGGAAGCTGGTCTATCCAATCTCGGTTTCGCGGGTAGATCAACACAGCCTTGGAACATTTGAATACTTACAGGTGGGGTTGACAGTGCTCATTGGAGTGCGGGGGAAAATCACGTGGCTATCATCGGTTATCATCGGCCCAAGGTCCAAGGATGAAATCAAGGAGCAGCAGAAAGATAAAGACCTTACCTCCTCCAATTATTTTTAATGAATTCTACAAAGACAATCCTCGAAGTGGTCATCCAAACTCCCGGGATCTGATATCATGAACATCTTGCGTACGGGGAGGACCATCCCCCGCGTTCTGCGATCAGGTCAACCCCAGAGTCTTCTCCGCATTCTGAACCCCATCGTGTCTGTGTCGAGCCGCAGATTTCACGCAGGCCCCGCGTTATGGGGGGTCAAGTCACAAATTTTGAAAGATGTTGGTGAAGGTGAGTTACTAACAATATCATGGTTCTTTCTACATTCCTATGCCAATTGATTACTTATTTTCATAATAGGTATCACCGAGGTACAAATAATCCAATGGTATGTGGAAGAGGGTGCACACATTGAAGAATGGAAGCCTCTATGCCAATACCAATCCGACAAGGCAGTTGATGATGTACGCAAATAGTCTATTCTGAATGGGGCTCCGTAGCCAGCAGCTAATAATCTTAGATTACATCACGTTATGAGGGTGTTATTAAGAAGCTCCACTTCGAGACTGATGATACTGTCCCAACTGGACGGGTGAGTTAAATGAAACCTGCAATCTGGCCGTGTGTATTATGCTCTTATTAACATTTCTTCTTCTTTTCAATTAAGGCACTATGTGATATCGAAGTAGACGATGCAAAATACCCAGATGATAACCCGTCGCATGAGCCTCAAGCGACTCCGGAGACAACAGAACGACCTCCCGAATCTACCACCGTCGCAGCAGTCCAAGCTGCCGAATCGGCCATACCGGATACAACCCTTCCTACTGAGAATATCCCTGAAGCGCAGAAATCCAAGCATGCGTCACTCGCAACCCCCGCCGTGCGCGGTTTACTCAAAACACACCACGTCGACATTCTAGACATTACTGGAACAGGTAAAGAGGGGCGGGTTATGAAAGAAGATGTTCTCAAGTACATTGAAATCAGAAACTCTTCTACGACATCCTCCTCAATTACGGTCCCAGTATCTTCCATACCTGATACGAAACAGGCTGAAACCGAAACCAAACTCACACCAATCCAATCAGCCATGTTTAAGACAATGACCAAGTCCCTCAATACCCCACACCTTCTCTTTGCCGACGAACTCACAGTTGGCGGTATCATGTCCATTCGCAAAAAGCTTGCCAGCGATGCGCGTGATCCCAAAAAGCTCACACTCCTGCCTTTTGTTGTAAAGGCTGTCTCGCTAGCGCTGAATGAATTCCCTATCCTGAACGCCAGAGTCGATACCACTGTTCCGGAAAAGCCAAAGCTTATCATGCGCAGCAAGCAAAACATCGGCATCGCCATGGATACACCAACAGGTCTCATCGTTCCCAATATCAAGGATGTCGCGAGTCGCTCTATTTTCGACATTGCTGCCGAGATCTCCAGGCTCAGCACCCTTGGAAAGAGTGGAAAGCTGACACCTGCTGATCTGAGTGGCGGGACCATCACGGTCTCCAATATTGGAAACATTGGTGGCACATATGTTGCTCCACTTATTGTGCCAACAGAGGTTGCTATTCTGGGAATCGGAAGAACAAGAACGGTACCTATCTTTGATGAAGTCGGACAAGTGGTAAAGGGTGAGCAGGTGAACTTCAGTTGGAGTGCTGACCATCGCGTCATTGATGGGGCAACCATGGCGCGGATGGGCAATCGGGTGAGAGAATTGATTGAATCGCCCGAGTTGATGCTGCTTAACCTAAGGTGAATAAATAATGTACAAAATAAATGCATTCAAACCGAATATTACTTCTCTTGCCATGCTTTTTGCAAAAGTAATCATCTTATAGTCACACTTCTAACAAATCAGAAGAATCTGCGCTTTCACGACCTGAAGGCATTGGATGAACGAATTTATACACGTGTTTCATCTATGGCTATTTCCCAAGTCCGATCCGTATAGCTCCCAATGCTCGGAGAGCCTTCACTTCCCATTGTTCACTATAAAGCTCGCATAACTCCCTCAAAAGCGACCAAGGCCATTGCGTTCGCTGGGAACGCCCTCAGGAAACAGGGTACAAAGCCCCGCCAGTAGCCTTTGAATCCACGTTCACGGTAAACAGCCCTGGCCGCATCTTTCCAACTTTGAAACTGTCTTTGACCATCGTTGAGAGATCCTCCCATTGGGTCGGTCATCAAGCGCTGCTTTACCAAGTCCGACGGGTAAGAAGTGATCCAGAACATCTGAGCCGAGATTCCTCCAGCCCAAAAGTTGATTGCTGGCGCTGAAAGATTTGTATTACTTTTCATGTAGCGAGTGAGCATGTCATATGAGCCCCACCAGAAGAAGAAAAAAGAGCGAAAAAACATGGTAGCATATAATCCGCGATACACACCGCTGACGCCATGAGTGCGAAGCTAGAGTGCGCGTTAGTTAGGATTCACATATCTACCGGAGGTCATAAACACCTACAATTTTGCGAAGGCAATCTATGGGGCCGCTGTACATTCGCTTGTTCTTTTTTGCGGCATATTGCACCTGAAGGCGTGCTTTGATATGCTCAACCGGGGCAGCGATGAAGCTGACGGTAACTCCAGCCATAATTCCGGCAATTCCATGACCAACTGAGGGGAGTGTTTTCAAGTCGGGCTGAAAGTTTGTAAAAGGGATGTAGGTGCGGAGATGAGGTTTAGAGAAGACATTCTCCTGAAGAAGTTGCCGATATAGTGTCAACGAGCCTAGCATACTGCATGCGTTCTATCATTAGCAGGTGAATCTCTATATCATAGTGTCAAGAACTCACACAGAGTCCATTATCATCCATCCGACCAGCGGCGGACTTGCGCCTTTGTATAACCCTCGGACGCCTTCTTTCCGTATTGTCTGCATCGTACAATCAAGCGGTCCACGAAAGTGCCCATCTTTGCTGGTCTGAAGGCGAACTTTAATGGTATCGAAACTGTTCAAATAAGAGGAGGTTAATAAAGAAGGGTCGAATAGACGCGACGAGCTTAAAGAAGGTGGGGGACACACGGATGGCCGACTATATAGATTTGAAGCGGTTAGCAAACATTCTCCCACGGATGACGGAGGGAAGAAAAAGCACTTGAGACTAGACAAATTACGATAACGGGGAAAGCTATCCAATTTCACAAACATACCACTCAATTTCGCAATGCCTGAGAATATCCCGCCCACAAAGCCTTTGTAGTCCTTGCCTGTTTGGGGCGGAGCTACCACAGGCGTCGACGCCCGGATGTTGTCTATATCACCAGGCCCAGACCGTACGGAGCTGTGTGTCATTTTGAATGTGAGGAATGGGGTATATAGGCGCCTGCGCCAAGGGAATTGACCAAGAAAGAAATCAAGCCTCGGGACGAGAGCGATCGAGGGGCCCACTATGAGGATAGGGAAGGTCGGTCGCGCGACGGGAGGGACGAGGGCTGCGGTACTGCAAATTGGCGGGGTTGATACGGAATATGTGGTTCTTCTCTAGGCCCGATTTATGGGAATCATCCAAGGCTTGAGAAATGGGAAATGGGAAATGTGAGATGTGAAATGTGAAATGTGAAGAAGCTTGGAGGCCCCGCGTCAATGCATATCAATGATTTCTTCGGGGAGAGATAGTTCATCTCCGGGATCGGCTCCATCTCTTGGTGCCTCAGGTATCAATGTGTTCGGCCCAATCAACCAATCTCATTCTTCGGTTTGCTTCGGGTGTACAGTAGTACTGTCAATGTAGTTATAGCCTATAAGATACAGCTATGATATTCAATTCTTGCAGTTCATACATATCTGGCGCGTAATGTTACTAACATTTAAATGTATGCATGGAGCTCCGGAGCATTGATTCGTGGGGATAAATATACAACCGGCCCCGCCGCCGATTTCTCCGCATCAGAGCTATTCCGCAGTCATGATCTCGAGCCCAACCCCCAACTCGAACCCCCCCCCCCCCCCAATTGCGGGTTCACCTCTTCCAACATTCTACTTCCCCATACAACTGGTCAATTCTGCCATACAAGCCGTAAATATTGTACACCATGGCGTCAGCCCTCAAAGCCAATTGCCGCAAGGTCATGTGTATTGGCCGAAACTACGCGTGCGTGCAACCCCCTCTAGCTGATCCGACTGACCCATTCCCAATATATACGATGAAATACTAACAACCTCAATCGCATGAATATAGAGATCACATTGCAGAGTTGAACAGCGCAACTCCTAAACAGCCATTTTTCTTCCTTAAGCCCTCGTCCTCGATTCTCGTACCAGGCGCTGGCCCCGTTCTTCGCCCGAAGGGTATCAAGCTACACTATGAAGTTGAACTCGGTCTGGTAATTGGGAAGACCGTCCGTGATCTTGATCCAAAAGATGAGAAATCAGCATTTGATGCCATTGAAAGTAAGTCAGCCTTGCTCTCGAGTTCCTTGGGGCATGGCCATGAGGAAACTGTTGCTTATTTATGTGCGCTTAACTAGGTTACATCCTCGCAATCGATATGACAGCTCGCAATACGCAGGACGAAGCTAAAAAGAAGGGTCTCCCTTGGTCTATCGCTAAGGGGTTCGACACATTTATGCCCATTTCCGAAATAATTGACAAAGCGCGCATTCCGAACCCCCACGAAGCCTTCCTGCGTCTCCGCGTCGGCGATGTTGAGCGTCAGGCTGATTCGACTAGTCTGATGCTGCACCGGATTCCCAAACAGCTTGCGCAAATCTCTCAGGTCATGACCCTGGAGAAGGGTGATATTGTTTTGACTGGTACACCAAAGGGCGTTGGTGAGGTCAAGGCTGGCGATGTGATGCGTGCTTCGATTGAGGTTGATGGCAAGGAGATCGAGGAAGGCCGCATCGAGGTTGAAGTGCACGATCGTGAAGGTCCGTACGAATTCAAGGAGACCTAATTTAAAAGCTCAACTTTGAATTTTTCTTGAATGTCATTGTCTATAGACGGGCCGTTATGTATCAATGAATATATTGTCTTGATGCTACACGAGCACAGCGACCTATTTCTTGTCGCCTAGGGAAAGGCTTTCTTTCGGCAATTAAAACATCGCTTTAGTATCACCGCCATATTGTACCTTACGGATCAGTGACCGATTGCACTCCGCCACATTCCGGATCCCCGCCGTTGCCATGTTCAACCATAGGTCAGCCAGCAAATTCTTAATCACTTGTCGTGCGCCCTCACGCCCATCAATGGCAAATCCATATACAATGGGTCGTGAGACCAGCACCGCTTGAGCTCCCAGACACAGCGCCTTGATGATATCACTACCTGTTCGGATTCCTGAATCGAAAAGTACTGTCATCCTGTCACCAACTGCATCAACAATCTCAGGGAGCACCTCCAGCGAACCGATCGCACCATCAACTTGGCGACCTAAAAGTAGGGGAAAGGTAACAGATTAGTAAGTGCGCGACTGCATGGCAAAGCTAAACAAATCGCAATGGAATTGAAAATCATACCTCCGTGATTAGACACTACAATCCCATCGCAGCCCCATTCCAGAGCGAGCTTCGCGTCCTCCACATGCTGAATGCCTTTCAGAATGATAGGACCATCCCAGTTCTTCTTTATGAATTCCAGTCCTTCCCAGGTAGGCCCAGGAGCCGAGTAAGTCTCAGCGAGCCACATTCGAGCAGCAGCCGGAATATCATCTTCAACCTTACGTCCAGTTTCCTTCTCGACTTTAGCTCGGAACACCGGATCACTCAATCCAACCTCACATCCAACACCGCTAAGGAACGGTATGTATCCGTTATCCAAATCAGCCGGTCGCCATGCGAGAGGAACAGCATCCAACGTGATCATTAACACGGTGAAGCCATTATCCTTGGCCCGCTTCAAGAGAGATGCCGTGATCTCATTATCACGAGGCCAATAAAGTTGGTACCAACGTTCACCATCTTTACTAGCAGCAGCTAGATCTTCCGTAGAGCAAGTATTTGCTGTGCTCATTGTGTAGGGAAGCCCTTCTTCGGCGCAAACTTGAGCTAACCCGGTCTCGCGATCTTCATGGAAAATAGCCTGTACTCCAACGGGAGCCATTATAACTGGGTGATCATACTTCTTGCCGAAAAGCTCGATTGAGGTGTTTTGACCATCCATCTAAAATCATTAGCTACTGGTTATTTGTAGATCTCGGCATCAAACCAACCTTGCGCAGCATTCGAGGGATCCTGCGGAAATAAGTTAGAGGCTGTAAGTTACATACGATCTGCAGATTTGGTAATAGAATAGAACTCACAATTTCCATTGTCGAAAGGCCAATCGGTTCGCATCCATCGTAGCTTTCTCACCTGCACCGCCAGCGACGAAGTCAAACGACTTCTGGCTTAGAGCATCTTTGGCTTGTTGCTCCAATAATCGAGGATCGGTCGACACTGTCTGCCGAGTATCTAAATATACACCTTTGCCGTAGATCTCATTCTGATAGTTGCCGTAAATTTTAGACATAGCTGCTTCAAGTTTCGTTTACTCGGGGGTTCAAGTTGGGTGTTCAGTTTCAAGTTGGTGTAAGATAAGTAGGGCTCGGTCTCGACAGTTGTGATTTAAAATGTAGTGAACATACGAAACAGAGCCAAATCAAAAGTAACCTAATAAAGTGGGCGACCCTTCTTCTTAAGAAACTCTGTCATTTATACATAGCTATGGGGGCTGTTAAAACTGACCCCAAATCGTCAGACCCTTTAGCCCCAAATGGGTAATCTTAGAGTGTTGCGCATGCTCCAAGTTTGGAAGTGAAGAAAAGTCCGTGGACTGCAGCATATTGCAGCATAGTTATGTATTCATCACAAATTTGCGAAACTCAAAAGTAAAAATACGGAGTAGCTTCAGCAAATATGACGTGAGTTGGCTTCCAACGGTCCATTCTGGTGGTATTACGGGGGCCAAAATTGACTTACTAGGTAGTCTACATCCTGTTTAGCCCCCACCACCCACACATGGGCACCGTAAGCCCCGCCCTGGTGATACAAACCAATTAGGCCCGTAGAAAGATACATGCCTGGTTTCATCTGTGGGGATGGTAAGATAAAATCGATATGGCCTGATCGTAGGTGGCCGAACACTCCGACCGTTCTCACATAGGGCCTCTTGTTCAGAATATTCAGGATTTTGCGACACACTTCAGTTAGATAGCTGCCCGCCGGGAACCCACGAGGCGAGTAAGGCTGGGCCCCGCTAACATTCCCATGATGGTATCGGGTCTCCCTAGTCTCCGGTGGGGTCCGCTAGAGTGACCAGTGCGAAAGATGAGAAGATAAGTGCGAGGGTCTAGTGTGTAGCCTGGGGGGAGGCCCATTAGGGTTGTGTGACGAGCTATATGGGATTTTCCACAAGACAGCTTTGGAAGTAGTAATAAAGGCATGTATACATCGGTGAATTTGGGAAATTTGGAGCCTGCAGATATGTATACATACGTGTTACTCTTATGGGATGCCATTAGTTATATTGTACTAGTAGGATGAACTTAATAGATGCTCCAAGGCTCAAAACTATCCAGGCAGATTCTATGTGTCGATGCCAGGCGCCGCATCAATATTGCCAGCGTTGAACCCCCAGGGTGATCCTTGTCGCATGCGAAGTAACGATCTAGTGTCGGGACATGAATAGAAACCAAACGTGGGGCCAAAAAACCTTCGGAGATAAACCCACTTTTTCCCCTGGATATTCCCATCGCTTATTGGTTGTCGCCCGGGCCTTGCGCCTCTCTAAACGAGGCTAAAGCCGTCCTTCAATGTTGCTAGTGTCATCCCAAGAGGCTGTACACACCGCATTGCCGATCGTCGCATGTTAAAAACTGCCTCTCTCCCCCGAGGTCAGATTCCGTGTTTCGTATCTCACACTCTACTTCCTATCACCCCTCGCCTCGGACACTTTCTTTACATCTTACTCTTGCGACATCATGGGGAAAGCTGGACGTGTCGCGTGTATTATCACGCCTTATCTCCTGACGATCGCTACCTTAATCTGTATCATCGTTGTGGCTTTGGGATGTACCAAGTCTAGCTCCAGCACCTTAAGCAATCTTTACTTCATTCGGGTAGGTCATGAACGTTGATTTTTTTTTAAAAAAAATCACACATGAGACTGGCAAGATCAAAAAAATCTATTTGGAACGCGACTCACAATTGCGCTTGAATAGGTCGATCTCAGAAACATAGACAACGGCACAAAGACGGATAGCGAAATTGAAGACATCCTCAATGAGTTCCACATCACCAGCGTCAACTCATCCGAAGTGAAGGATATCGTGGACCAATTAGCCAGCAATGAAGAAGATAGCGAGATTAAGGAGTTCTACGACATTGGTCTGTGGGGTTATTGCGACGGTGATGTTCGCGACGGAAAATTCGAAACGACCGACTGCACGAAGCCCAAAGGCGACTTCTATTTCGACCCAATCTCTGTCTGGCACCTGGACAGCACCTCAATCAAGGATGAAATGCCGGATGACTATAACAAAATCATGAAGGTTTACAAAGCCGTCTCCAAGTGGATGTCTGTCGCCTACATTATCGCCATCATTACCACCGTTATTGAGATCTTGGTTGGCTTCTTCGCCATCTGCAGTCGCTGGGGTAGCTGCGTTACCACTCTCTTCGCTGTCACAGGCTTTATTTTCACAACCGCTGCGTCTGTCACTGCAACTGTCTTGTTTTCCGTGTTCAAGGGTAGCTTGACCCACACTCTTGAGGCCTATGGCATCAAGTTGCACATGGGCAAGAATATCTATGTTGCTACTTGGCTCGCTGTTGCCTTTTCCCTTGCTTCGACTATCTTCTGGGTCTTCAGTGTTTGCTGCTGCTCCGGTCGTTCCCCTTACAACCACAGCAACAAGCCCCGTGGTAGAGGGTTAACCGCCGAGAAGGCTCCTTACACCTATGAGGCTCTTGGTGCCGGTGCTCAACCATTCGGCCATCATGACAGCACTGCCTACCCTCCTCCCTCTGCCAACTCCTACCCCATGACCAACCAACCGCCGCAGGCGAGCCCCTACGAGCCTTTCCGTCACTCCTAAACGAGGACTGATGAAGCAAAAAATTCATACCACTTTTAGGTATCCTGGAATTGTTCTTAGATTGTGAATATGATGGCGTTGAATAATGACCCCGGGGCTTTTATGTTGAATTCGGCCCAAATTTTCCTACTTTGTGTCACTTTATTTATTTACTTTTTGGTTTCTCCATGTGTGGAGACGTCTATTGATGAGAATTTCTTTCTAATGACCTAATGCTTGAACAGCTTGTCTAATGCCAATAGCACTGTTCTCCCCATTGACTTTCGCTTCTCAAAGGAGGCCTATTATGTAGTATGACTCTAATCTATATGTTATGTGTTTTAAACATCCATAACCATGAAATATCAGAATTATTAATTCTCTCAACCTTCACAAGGAAACTAGTTAGCAGTCCTTCGGACATTATTAATTTCCCTGAAACCTTAGGGCCCGTCTGTGTATTACCCCTATTCCATGGTGGGCCCAGCCTAGCGCCATTATCTGGGTTAAGAAAAACACAGCGCTGTGCAAAATGGGGCCGCTTTCTATTTCAAGATCTACCGTTCAAATGACAAAGCCATACATTAAAAAGCACATGTTATGCCAATTTCCACATCATTTTTTTGCCAACGTCATTCTACAGGCGGTCTGGTTCTCTCGGGGCACTTGCAGAAGTGAAAGGAGATGAAGGGTGGGGAAGAGCTAGGCTAGTGTACCTTCAAGCGTTCCAAAATTTGGAGTGCAATGGGCAAACTCTCAGGAAAGGCATATCTATACAACTTTCAAGTTCGATCTTATGCGTCCCCAAATTGCAGGAGAACACGAGGCCGAGTCATAAGTAGGAACTAATTCGATCTATCATTCTTAGTCGTGAGGGAGCAGATCTCAGCCTTGAAATTTGCACTCAACCTGCGGTTTCAAATTATCAATGACATCTTCTCCGGAGTTACCAAGCCACAAATGTAGTAGAGATCTCGATGCCCTTGACTACCCGATATGTACATAGGTGACACAGTTTATTAATTTTTATCTACTCATTATTAGTAAATGACGAATACTCTCCTCCCATTTGCCCCACTTGGTATGAATATTTGAATCTATGTTGGGGTAAAAGGTCTGTGTATACGGGGTGCATGGGCGATGACTCCTACCTACTACGTTCAGGCAAATTGAAGCTATGGAAAATGCACATATGCAGCATTGCGAGTATAGCTCATATGCTCTCACACCCGAATCTAAGCCAATGAGATGTGATTATGTCCAAAATTCATTGGTACGTAGATAGGTAGTGAGAACTCAATCCCTTAATGTTGTGTAACCCGAAGAGCTTCAGTGAGGGCCCATGGGTAAGCCCCGCGTCTACGTACTGGCTAAGAAAACTACTATAGACGCTCTTTCATCAAAGCGAAAGACAATTAACCGAGGACATGACTTTTCATACAAAGCAATCGAGACGGTTATCAGCATATGACAATTGTCCTCGGCTCTAGACACAATTTCAAAGCTGTTCAGGTCCTGAAACTTGGGCTGACGCAATGGGCCTGCGGTAGCTCAAGAAATATGGTTTCACCACATGATTTGCTTCGAAAATATTTATCAACCGCTTAGGTGTACTCGAATACTCTGTACGTATGACAGAGATTGGTTGCAGCAAGAGATCTCCCTGGTTGAGATGAGCATGTGGGGGCGGGGCATGGGGCATGGGGCTTGGAGAGCTCATACAGTGTAGATCGAAGTATGGAGGCCGCTTCAATCCCGACTCTTGTTTTCGATGATTTTTACTATGTACGTTGCATTTGTTACGCGCTCTCACTATTGCCACCTACCGATATACATGTTGCTAGGTAATTCTTACAGCTGCAATCATATACTACCGGGGTATTTCTATATCTATTATATAGTATAGGGATGTGTGTTCACGTGTTTTTCTACCCCTATGTACTAGGCACATGTCGAAAGTTATAATTGTAACCTTTGAAGCTGATAGGTACATTCAACAAGGCTGCTGTTGTTTATAAAAATGAAATCAAATCTATTGTTCTCAAGGTTGCAAATTTTGATCTGAGAGCTGCAAGAAAGAAAAAGAAAGAAAGTGTAACGGACTATATTGTGATCTGTACGAACCTCCCCCACTATGCTGTCGCTGATGCCGCGATTGATCTTGTATAGTAGCCAAAGCCAAATATCCTAATAATCATTTTCAATATATAGTGGAATATTGGAATCCGATCGAATGTCGGTAAGACTAAGTTCACCTAGCAAGTCGGAAAATCAAACCTAAATGGATCCACGAGTCGAATCTCACGCCGCACATATCCACATGTGCACCTCGTGTTACGTTCAACTACATACCCCACCAGACACGATGTACATGATATAGACTTCCGATGTATCTAGTATATTTGAGATCTATTATGATAATTGCTACATCGAGCAGAGCATTGCATATAGCCTACCAACAATGGCCGCATATTCGAGGATACCATGATCGTACAACAGGATTCCACTCAATATTAGTGCTGCATGATAAGCAATAATGTAACCATCTACGATACAGATATAGATGAAAATTTGCGATTAGCGCAATTCCATTAATGAGCATTACTCAATATTTTCGCCCTGCACTTGATCATTGTCCGAGCACGGAAGTGGTGCGAGAGAAAGAAAGGAATATAAAAGATGCCTCGAATCCCAGACAAAAGATAGCAATCATTCTATCAAAAAACAACTCAATTCACTACTATAAGCCATCTTCTTATTGATAACCTCCTCTGACCTTCAACATGCCTTACATTGCCCGGGGTAATGAGCTCCCCGAGATAGCGATCCGAGGTGGGCTCGTTGACCCGCGAGCTGATCACCAGCATTCGTTCAACAAACGGATTTCTTGTCGAGACGTGACGGACTTCATCTCTAATACAGCCGAGGTCTCTCCTCTTGAATTGCGCGACAAGAAGGCCGCCGCTAGACATACTAGTGATTCCAAGGCCAGACTGTACAAGATCCTTGCGCGGACAAATGAGCTCAGCCGGCCTTTAGAAGTGAAATCTGTGGACCAGCCCATCTCCGATCTCCTTCCAGGTCTGGTCGTCAGCGGTGGTCTCAGTCGCTCGCCTGCTTTCGATTGTATCCCTGTTGTTTCCCACTGGGGCGAGCGTACCGAAGAAACTTCGGCAGAGGACCCTGCTGCCAGTGTCCGTCTTGTTTCAACTTGGAACACCATCCATGTTCGTGGAGAAGGCCTTAACAGGGAATCTCCCCATGGGGCTCCGTGTTGGCTGTTGAAGTCCCACGGCATTGGACCCATCGAGCCTGGTTCGCCGAAGTTTGCCCAGCAGTATTCTTCCGAAACCGATACGCTGACCACAACCGTTAATTTGGCCCGTCGCCCTGACACGGTTCAAACACGAGGAGTACTGAATGCTGCTTCAAGTATCTCTTGGATTCGTAATGCCCGTGTTGCGGATGCCGTCGACTGTGCAGTTGGACTGTTGGCCGATGCCGCCACTCTCTTGGAAGCTCGTGACAAGGTTATCACAACTGGCCAGACACAGAAACTGGACTTTGCAGAGGTGCGCGGCGTCGAAGCACCAGCTTGGTGCAAAGCTCGCAAGCCACTTGCCCCAAAGCTGAGCGGCGTGGCAGACTCAACAGACAAGGTTTGCGATCAGATATTCGAAGCAGAGGGCTGCCAAGGACCCTTAATCAACACTAGCATTTTCTCCATGTCGATGGGCTACAACCGTGGTGTATACGGCGGATCGATCTCCGGTTTATGGGCTATCATGGACTCAGCCTTTGTGCTGGATTACTCTATTGGTACCGATACATCTGCAATGGCAGACAGGCTCTCTTTTGCTTTCGCCGAAGTGACTGCCGCCGCCGAAGCATCTACCTCTGCTGGGCCTCACATTGACGATGTTCGAATTGTCAAGGGCTGCAACTACGCGTGTGTCCGCCAGAAGACGATTATCGAGGATAATGACCCCGTTGAATCCAAGCCGTGCATTGTTGTGTGGAATGACCTTGACCGGCTTGCCCGATACAAGCTAGCGGACGCTGTATTTTGCCATGTCTACTACGACTCGGGTGGTGGTGAACAGATGGCTGCAATTGCCGGCCTTGGGTGCGTTGCGCACGACTGGATTGATCTTGGACCCGACACTATGTGTGGAGAAGTCAGTAACATTATTCCTTCTTTAACACGCGGATCTCTGGAAGAAGGCCCACTGGCCGAGGTTTACTCACGATTGATCGGTGCTATGATCTGGTACCGCAACAATGACCCCTACAACCCGGCAGCTCTTTGCCTTCTCTGCACTCACTGGTGGCAGCTTTCAAACTGCCGACACCGTCCCATCACTCTGCTTGGCCGAACGGACTTTGGTGTCGAGGCAGCCATCGCTCCCACGATGCCTGAAGGCAGACCCGAGTTGGAGCATTTCCGTGCCAACGGAACCAGAGTTGAGCGTGGACAAGGCCCACTCTCCAGCGCCGAGGCTCGACTCCAAGCCCTTCTCGCCACTGACATCTTGCCCGAAACTCGTGCTGTCATTGACCACCTGGTCAACCCTGTTCTTGCATATGTGAAGGGAGGTGACTCTCTTCCATCTGAGAGTGAATTCGTCGGAACCGTCCTGGCTGCTGAGCTGGCATACCCCCACGGCCAGAAGATCATGGAACTATGGGACCTCGCCATCGTTATGTGGGAGTGTGGAGCAATGTGGGGAGCTGGAGTGGCAGGTCTTTGCTACACCCATACTGGCAATACTAACTGTGACCGGGCTCGTCATGATTTGGCTGATCACACCTGGACTTAAATGCATCTCATCTTTAAGTGAGATTCAACCTCAAACAACTTAAACCACACGAGAGGTCGTTTTGCAAATGCAATTTGATTGAACGTGAGCTATGAGGCTCAAAGTCAAAATTGACCTCTAGTGTTGTCTTTCAATGATTGCGTTAAACTACTACAATTTGACGCCGTTGGGGTTGTTTTTTTGAAGAAGTTTAAATGTTTCGGTTTTCAATTTAATTTGATTTCAGGTCTTCAATTCGTGCGAGAGCTCGTTCAACCGTGAAAGGTCAGAATGTAGCCCGATCATGGATAGGTACATAGCGTACTATCATTACTGTCGTTCTCTAAATTCAAATAGCCTTTAGGCTAAATACAAATCAACTTCTAGTGTCTAAGTCTACACGAGATTTCACCACATTTCTTGTGCGGTGCAAATACGCTCAATTGCACTGAATAAGCTGTTCTGCCCATAGTAAGAAGGTGGTTACTAAAATAAGGATACCTTTCGAGTTTGAGTAGGTCCACTCGAAAGTATTTCATAGACAAAACAGTGCATTCCATCATCTGAAAATAATTCTTACCTTTATTATTAGAAGGTTTAGAAGGTTTAGAAGCATAAAGGTAGTTATAGAGGACTATGGTCCATTGAATGATTGTATGGTTATAATTCAAGAGAGTTTAACTAGGTGTTGGACTTGGGATTTTCCAGGATTGTTTCCTTGATAATTTTACAATGGCATTGTAATACCAATCTACTTCCAGGATTATAGACTTACCCGTGGGCCTGTAGTGGAATATGAAAGTGTCCACGCTTTAACAACCTTCCAGTAAAGGGACCAGACGCGGCCCCAGACAGCGAAGAACATATATGGCCAAATACTGGGCAGTTTGAGTAATACTTGTGTGGCATTGATCGGGTTCATTATTTGAATGCCCAAAAATCTACTGAATCCGAATTTGAATGTTCAAGAATGGATGAATGGCGTGTGACAAGTCAAGAACTTCACGTGTCTGTGACATTTTGACGTGTGATAGTCTTGATTTGCTTGATCTATGAATGCACTCGGTTTCCATGTGATTGAGATGGAGTCTAGGTTGACCAGATCACAACACGACCATCAACACCACTCGCTATGGGCAAAGAGTTAGTATCATATCATTTTGCAAATGTTCCAAGGAAAGTCTTACTGCTGAAGGAGCTCACTTGGCCGTTAGCCTCTTCATAAGCGCGAACGGTGTTGACCGTGTTCTGGTGTGTGGATTTAAGCTTGGTATCAGCCTGGGTCTGTCCCTTCAGATCCATTTGCCGGAACATGTTCAGCGCAGATTCTTCCTGAGGCCCAGCAGCACCGGCATTCTGATTTTCGAGGGAGCCAGCCAGTTGCCATCCATTCTCGTCACCCTGGAAGCGGAATGGTTCGCAATCCTGTAACGTTAATAATTAGCATGAATACCACACTAGCATAAATGCCATCTTATACGCAGCCAGGGAGACTTACATGACCGGCGGCAATAATTTCAGTCTCACCGTTCCAGATCAGGCTGTTGAGCGGAAGGAGACGGGTAGAGATATTCAGCATTGCCCGGGGCGGCTGCTCTGGTGCGCTGGGGTATACGACCGTAACGCTGCTGTCGTGACCAGTAAAAGCGAGAGCATTACCAGATGGGGAAAAGGCGACACCCTGGATCCAGCCAGCGGAGTCGTTCAAGAATTCGCCACAGATTGTGTTGAAAGGCAGACGCTCACCCCAAGCGCTGGGTTCAGGGCGCTCGTCAATGCCCTTAATAAAGCTGGAGAAGACCCGAGCATGCGAGTCAGTCGAACCCGCAGCAAGCAGCACTGAGTTCGGGTGCCATGCAAGTGTGGTAATTGTGCTTCGAATGGGCTTCTTCAAGTGCTTTGAGATCCACCAGTCATTCTCCTCTTCAAAGTAACAAACAGCGATGACGCGAGCGCCAGATCCGACGGCGAATTTCTGCTCGGAGGGGGACCATCGGACGAAAGTCGCTGCACGGTTGATACGGAGAAGGACTAGGGTAGGCTTCCAGCCAGAGGGGGTCTTTTCCCAAACATAGGCGTTGCGGTCTATGTGATAAGCAACATTAGAGAGAATCCATCGCAATAAGGGAACGTGTACTAACCCTGAGAGCATGTCACAATGCGACCACTGTTAGGAGCAATGTCGACACTAGTCACTGTCTTCTCGTGGCCCTTCAATTCATCGCTGAGGGAGAACTTGTTGCCTGATGCTTGGTACAGCTCAACATTGTTTTCACGGGCGACAGCCAGTGTCTGTTTATCCGAAGAGAATGAGTGGTCTGCAATCGGAGCATGGAATAGATGGTGAACTTGAGGGGCAGCCATGGTGTGAATTCCGACAGGAGGAGCTCTCTACCGTCGATAAGAAAGGAGCAGTGAAAATGGGGGGAGGAGAGGAGGAGGTAAGCGGGGGAAAGAGGTGTTGCTCCAGGCCCCGGAGGTTTACATCACTGCCACCTTGGAGGCTTACTAAGCGTATCCACTGTCAAGCCAAAGGTAATTAACCGTTCTAAAATCCTCTTATACTCTAGAATTCAATAACCGGCTCAATTATTCCATCCTGTTCGGTAAATGCCTACTTCTCGAACAATTTGAAATCGTCTGGTGTGGTGTAAATTTGGGAACTGTAAGGACACGCGCAATGTCCACTGCAGATGGAATACGGTAGCTAATAGAAGAGAGAAGATATCATAGTGCTCAGATTGCTTCGCAGTGTGACTTGGTATTCGGTCAAGTCACTTAATTCGTAGGGCATTTAATAACCTAGGAATGTGGTGGAGGTCGTTCTTACGTCTTCAACACGAGACAATTACTGGCGATAAAATTGATGTGGATCACACCTGCTTGGCAGAGGACTTCGCTACGAAAAAGGAATTCTGTCAGAGTCTGGAGACACGTGGACTACTTTATGCGCTTTCTTCGGGCGAACTTGAGGATATTGGTTTCACTTTCGATTGGTATAGACACAGTATAGTATAGTCCCGAAGGTCGAATGATCAAGAAGACGCGGGTAAGCGTCGAGACGCCAGCATCTCTCGCAAGTTGTATCGCATCAAAGTAAAATTACAAGCCGCATCGTTGTCTGAAATCATTGGTGTTCTTCTCCTCCCTCGTTCCGTATAGCCTGCATGAGCTCAAAGAGCTGACCGAGTTGCTGATCTGCAGTAATGAAAGAAGTCAGTAAGCCCAAACAAAAGAAACGTGACCATGCCGCAGGAAATCAATCTCACCACTCATCTTGTCTAGCTTCGATTTGTCAAGCCTTTCTCCCGCCCAGTTATCCCCTTCTAACTTCTGGGCGTAGAGCTGCCACTCAGTTAGGAAGCCAATCTACCATTGCATAATTAGTTTCGGTCGGTCTTGTCCACCTCTATGATTTGCAATCCGCAGCTGCGGAAGCCCGGAGAACAATTGAGAGTCACATACGATATGTAAGGGGTTCTCTGCAGTCCGATGCGCCCGAAATTCCTTCTTCACGTATGAATCGCCAAGCACGCGCATTTCCGGGTCCAGCCTGCGGTGGACGCGCAAGATGCGACGATAAAGGTAGAGGGGCGGGAGGAGGGCGAGCGCCTCACTCAAACTGGATTTTGAGCCGATGGCAGCCGGCGTGGCCATGAATAGACGGTGGGCGAGACGCATGTCGGGATATGCATGTGGTTGTGTTCAATGTTGAAGGGAGGACCGAATGACATAATTATCTGGGGAAATTTTCTTTTTTCCCTTTCGCGGGTAAAAGGCGGCGAGGCGACCGCGAATTCGAGCACCCGCATACATATCGAACTTTGCACCTTTATGTTGATCTTACACCTTTAAATGATCCCTCAAATCAAAACATTCCTTTCTTTCATTCGTTTATAATTGGAATCTTGGACAATATAAGATGTTACCGACACCCGACACCTCACACGTCTCCTTTGATACCATATATGAACCTTCCGAGGATTCGTACCTTTTTCTGGATACCCTATCATCAGAGTCGGAATCAAAATGGCTGTCTCAAAGATTTAAAAATTGCAGCGCGCAGTCAACTTCCAGCGCCAATGCTGTACCCTTGGTTGTGGAAGCAGGAACAGGATCTGGCGTTGTGCTAGGATTTGTAGCAGCGCACTCGCAGAAGATATTCGGGCGTCCAGACATCCTGACGCTCGGCACAGATGTGAATCGGAATGCTTGCCTGGCAACACGAGAAACCGTATCTCTTGCCATCAAGGCCAACAAACAAGAGAATGATACCCCTGACACAAAATCAAATCCGCATACGATTCATATCTCCTCCATAACAGCCGATCTGTGTACATCTTTACGGCCCGGGAGCGTTGATGTTCTGCTTTTCAACCCACCTTATGTGCCAACAGAGGATCTTCCACGTTTGCCAACCGCATCTGAAAATGACCCCGTTGTGGCGCAGACTATGTCATACAGCTCGAAGTTTGAGAGTGATTCATACTTTCTCTCATTGACCTACGCAGGCGGTGCTGATGGTATGGAAACTACCAATCGCTTATTAGATGCCATTCCGGACATCCTTTCAGATCGTGGAGTAGCTTATATCTTGCTCTGCAAGCAAAACCGACCGAATGATGTAAAGCAGCTTATTCATGAATGGGGACGGGGCTGGAATGTTGAAACTGCCGGCTCGAGTGGCAGCCAAGCTGGCTGGGAAAAACTTGTGATTATTCGGATATGGAAGGATAATACCATTGTATAACATAAAGCCAGATAGAAAATAACATGGTTCCCCTATCGTTTTTATCGCTGAGATGCCCAACTGAAATACACTGAATATTACATGTATGACTGTGGACACGGGGCTTTGTCAACTAAGCTCTGGGGCGAAAGAAATGGAACTTTGAATATGCTTGAAGGCTAGTCTTCTGTGAAGACTTTAGTCTTAGGTTGATGCTGAATACATCGAGATTGGAGGCCGGAATACATAACTTCACATCATGAACCTAGAGGTGGACTTGAGACCCCTCGGGTTCGCCAATCAACCTTAGAAAGCTTCCATGCACTTCATCAGTCAAGTCACTGGCCTGCATACTCCGTCCCTTTATCTCGAAAGCCCGCCGCGAGGATTCCCTGGTGATACTACTACCCGCCCACGCAGCTAAAAGCAAGGTTGTGCTCTTCGATAAACGCTTATCACCCGAGTCCAACTCAGCTTGCACCTCAACCCCAGTCCGAGCCTCAACCTGACTATCTCGCTCTCGGGATTCCCATAAGCGGTCATGGTAAGCAGCTCTCCAGGCAAGGAAAGTGCCAAGGGAACCCGTCAGAGTATCACCCTGGCCTCCGCTTCGCTTCAGTCCACCTTGAATATCATTAAATATACTAGTGACTCCATTTGAAATGATATCCTTGGGTCCCTTCTGCAGGATAGTCACGCCACCCAGCGCATTTGATAACTGCTCACATGCATCAGACGCTTTGCTGGTCTTATCATCGCCATTTTCCTTCGAAATATCGGCTTGGCTTGAGGCATTAACCCCCAGCGCCTTGGCTAGCCGACCAAACTCAACCACATTCGGCGTTAAGATGCATTCTTTATACCCCTTTATGAGGCTAGGCTTCTCTGTAATAATCAGAAGTCCGTCTGCATCAAGAACGAAGGGAATGGATCGTGAGCGCGCTTCTTTGATCACTTCTGCGACCACATCAAGGGTAACAGGGTCACGACCTAATCCAGGACCAATAACGAGCACATGCAGACGAGAAAGCATGCTGATTATGGGGCTTGCAAGGGCTGGCGCGTCGATCGATTTGGGGTCTTTAACAGTGTCCACGCTAGGAAGCAATGGGTGCACCATTAAGTTGGGCGAGTAGCCTTTGATAACCTAAATAGATATTATGAATGATGTGATACTCGACTGTTTAAACGGAAAGAAGTACCTGTGCGGCTGAGCGATCGCAGAGAACATGACTCTATATCGGTGTCAATTGAGGCTTGCAACTTGTATCATATGGTGTTTTTCAACATACCATGTCACATCCTGACTCCGGGTTAGTTCACGCAAATACTGGTATGCTAATTCACTGATTCAGAGGCGTACCTAGTTTCGCAGATGCCATCGCCGAGAAGTATGGAGCACCGGTATAGCTATATAAGGTTAGATTAGCCTGCAAAATACTGACCACAGAGTTCTTGTTTGTCCTACTCAGCACATCCTCCAATAACCGCTACACGACCGAGTTGACCTATACAGATCATGAGAATCATCAAAAAAATCGACAGCCGCTGGAAATAATCTAGAGCCGGCATTTAGCGCGGGTAGGACAACACACCCTTGTGGAATCTCTCCAGCATTGGCGGGACAATCTTCCGGACTTGGCTGAAAAGAACCTTCGACGAACTCGTGATCTGATGAGCTGGCTCCATGATGAATTTTAGCTCCTCTACGAAGGGTTCAGAGTGATTGAGATTTTTGCGCGAAGCAGAAAAGAAAGTGAGGGGATATAAGCTTGCGGCGGGTGATGTCACAACCAAGTGGGGCGCGCATGCGGAATGACCGGTTTGTAGTACCACACAACTGGAACTTTAACATGGAATACAAGTATTGGAAACTATGATTCACCACCATAATATATCGATTTATGGAAGTTTGATTGAATTTGCATGAAACTGCATAGTTGTATTAAAAGCCGCAATATCTGTCGATGCATTTCCGAAGGATAACATACTAGTGAAACTTGAAGAGAACATTGGAACGGAGAGCTAAAGGAGCCCTAGGATACCAATAGTATTCTGATTAGACGGGGTGAGTGGACCAGATATGATTAGACATTACTATTGTACGCTATTCATTTGTATCTGTACACATGTGTAGGTACGATCATCAGGACGCGCTCAATTTTATTGGGAAGTTTAGAATGGGTTACTGGGTCTTATCCCTCTCAATATAACCTAGGCACTGTTCACGTGGTGCTCAAGGTGCCGAACTCCTTCCATCCGAAAGTTTAAGACGACAATGAAGAGAATAATTGGATCTCACATGACCTATAGTGTCAACAACAAGAGATAATTACATATGCCACGCGTCAAGTGCTAGATTGCTGACAGTCGGGTGCGTAGTCTAAAGCTTGGCACGGAAATCACGTCGTAAAGAATCAAGCCTTGAAGGCCCGTCGAAGATCTGCTGTTCGGTCATGCGAGTGTTGATCTACACAAGTATGTCAGTTGGAAGCGAAAGCTAGGATGGGGATTGGAATCATACATATTCAGGACCAAGTCCATCCACTGTTTCAACACCAAGCAGTCGCATGCAAGTTTTGCTTTCATCGGACAGAACTATGAAAATGGTTAGAAGTACCCTCCAGGTAAAATTCAGGCTAAAAACATACTTTGCAATGTCCGACGCACTCCGTCCACGCCGCCTGCTCCAAGTCCCCAAAGAGCAGCACGTCCAATACCAACAGCCTTAGCGCCCAGACAGAGAGCCTTGACAATGTCAGTACCTCGACGAATACCGCCATCCACATAGACCTCTAGCTTGTCGAATACTTCTGGGCAGTATTTCCGAATCTCCAGCAATGTATGAACCGCTGGAGGTGCCGAGTCCAAAGCTCGGCCGCCATGGTTGGAAAGAATGATTCCCTTAACCTGTGGAGTATGCAGCGATGCTAAATAAGCATCCTCGTGTGTCTGCAGGCCTTTCAGGACGATGGGTAGATCGGTATGCTTGACCAACCAAGGCAAAGTCTCCCGCCAAGTCAAAGTCGGATCTGTGCCGGCAAAGAGGGACTTGCCCACTCCACCGGATGCCTGTGAAACATCCGGGGTATCTGACTTCTCAGCCTCCTTGATGCCGCTTGGCACGGGAGCCGCTGCCCCCTCCATACTGTTCCTCTCGTCATCTTCACGCTTTCCAGGGACCGGAGCATCCAGCGTAAGCACAATAAATTTGATAGCCTTGAGTTTATTGATGCGTGCCAGCATTGCTTCACTTTTCTTTCGGTCAATCTGAGCATATAGTTGCCAGCCAAAGACTTGCTCAGAAGAGGCATCCTTCACAATCTGCTCTGGAGTCATGGATGCATTGTTGGAGATGATTTGCATAGCTCCAAAGCCACGACATGCCTCTGCGATGCCCGCCTCTCCATCAGGGTGGCCGAGACGAGCCATAGCAGCAGGGGAGACATAGATAGGCATTCCCAATTTATGCCCCAAAACAGTGCTAGACAAATCACATCGCTCACAGTCCCTGAAAACCCGCGGCCGCAGAAGAATTGAGCGATATGCTTCATTATTAAATTGCTTGGAGAACTTGTCGTCGGAGGCCGACCAGTAGTACGCCCATGCTTTTTTGCTTACTTGTCTGGTTGCAACCTCTTCAATCTCATCCAAGTTTAAAAGATTATCCATGGGCGGTGGGCCTTGAGCAGGCTTGTTGTCTTGTAGCGGCGGCTCTTCTTTGGGGAAAGTAGCTGCATCCACAGTTCCAATGCATTGCTCAGGCTTTAGTTCATCCTCCAATATCCCCGGGGGGTGAATTGGATCATATTCCTCTGTGGCATCCTTCCCCGCGAGCTTCAATATGATCTTCGCTCCGCCGGGGTGACTAGAAAGGAAATCGGTCACCTAATATGTATGAGTCGACGTCTAGCATTGATTGCGGGTGGAGCAAGGTAGCGGTATGGAAACCTACATCGTATACTTTGCCATACAAAACAACCCAGCAGCTCTCTCGGGTGTTGTGTTTTGCGACTGCGATATCAAGTCAACAATGTGAAGAGGAACGAAGAGAGAAAGCTCCCTCGTGCGGGGAAGATCAAAGATTAAATACCTTCAGCTGCATCGAACACTTTCGCCATTATGTATGAGGCTTCAGAAGAAAACAGGCAAACTCAAGGGATCCTTTCATTCAAATATATGCATAAAAAAGAGACAAAACAATGAGGAAATTGAGAAGGTTGAAAAGCGTGGGGGGAAGGAAGAAAAGATGTTCGGAGAAGGCACCGACGCATGCTCCACTTCATATGTAAAGCGTGGGGAAATCATCGGCAACTGAGTAAAATGCTTTATTAGGCAATTTCTATAACCGACTGGCCAATCATGTGACTCAGATTATGATCAAGGATTCTGCCAATAATGAGAATGTACAGAAGGCATTGACCGCCGGAGCCGGAGCCATAGATTTTCCTGGTAGAAGTACCCCAATGCCTAGGTGGATCTCCAACTACGAAATCAAGATAATTGCAATGAGTGGGGACTAATTTTGTCCTGGGTTTTTAAGGCTTCTTAATTTCGACACTTTTTTATCTCACCGCTCTATATTAAAATAACCTTGACGAGCACGATCTCCAACACTACAGCAAAAATGCCATCAACCCCTCCGCGACAGCACTCTGTTGGTCCGGGACAACTTCCCCGAGGGCCCATCACGCCCGAACAGAAACGAAAGATTGTAAGCGCCCGCTCTGAAAACGACACTCGAACGACGAGAAACGAAAGGATCTGGAAGCTCACAAAAAAGTTTGCTAGGAAGAGAATCGCATGAAAGCCAAAGCCTTGCGGGAACAACGGGAAGCCGAAAACGACAAAAGCTCATCTTCTACCGCTAATAGAAGCCATACATTACACCCCGCCCAAGGAGTCAAGCGCTCATTCAACTCGATGACAGGGGAAAATGTCTCATCGGTCCGCGATGCGCGCTCGAATCCTACTTCGTCCAATCGACCGCTCGATACAATCAAACCTGCACGCAATTTCACATCCTACGTCGACTATGATTTCAGTAAAATGACCGACACAAAAGGAGGGTTTCTCACCCAAGAGGATGATCCATTTAATAAAGCTTTACACATGCCGGAGGGAAAGACAGAACAGAAGCCGGCGCATATGAATCAGAAAGAATGGGAGCGTCACCAATTACTTAAGTCTCTACGACACAACCGTGAAGGGCCCTTTGAACCTGGGTTAAGTGTGCTAGATGATAAAAGTAAACAGAAGACTTGTCGCGAGTGTGGCAGTCTCGAAATCGACTGGAAATGGGAGGAGGAGCTTAAATGCCTCATCTGTCATGGTTGTAAGGATAAGTACCCCGATAAATACAGCCTTCTCACCAAGACAGAAGCAAAAGAAGACTACCTCCTGACAGATCGTGAGTCATACGCCCAACGAGCTTAGACGTCATCACTTCCAGAAGATTCTAATGTTGTGGACCAGCTGAATTACGAGACGAAGACCTCCTTCCGCATCTTGAACGACCGAACCCGCATAAGGCAACATGGAACAACATGATGTTATACCTTCGATATCAGGTGGAGGGATATGCCTTCTCAGATAAGAAGTGGGGCTCCGCAGAGGCGTTGGATGCCGAGTTTGAACGGCGAGAAGGCGACAAAAAACGGCGGCGAGAAGCCAAGTTCAAGACCAAGTTGCAGGATCTCAAAAAACGCACTCGTGTGGAAGCCTATCGAAGGGGCCGACAAGGAGCCGCGGGTGGGGAGTTTGGTGATGATCTGAGTAGTAATCGGAAACATGTACATCAATGGGGCCGACCTGTGGAGAACTCAGAGTCTGGCATCCCTGTCAAGACGTGCGTGGACTGTGGGATGGAAGTAGAGGAGCTGGAGTTTTGAAACCCTTGAAATATATTTTATGATTCTTATAGTGAATCAATGAATTGACGATATAATGGTTACTGCATCTGTGGGATGAGCTATGAGCGACAGAAATCAAAACTTGAACGAATCTATTCTTTGGAAGGTTCGATTTAATCTCATAAGATTATGATCACCTGGGCATGATGATATGAAAACATGCCTACTAGTATGGAGGTACTCTGGCCGGGCCTCTCTGTGTATCTCTCCCCGAGGCTTTAGAAATCAACTATTCCTCCCGTGTAATGGTGAAAAGCAGCCGTCTAGAGTTTTCATCTTCGACCGCGCTGGCCGTCTTCCTCTTTATCCCGACTTGATCAAGAGAACCTTCCACCTTCCATTTGGTTCCTGTTTCTTCTCCAATTCTGTTCCACATCTCATCTAATGTGCTAACATCATGTCTAAAGCTAGTAGATCCAGGCTTGATAGCAGTAACTTCACCAGGCTTCACACTCCCACTCTGTCTCCCGACCATAATTCCGTTCTTCCTCACTAATTTCCCAATGATCTTAGCAGCTTCAATCTGCTCCTGTAAAGGAAATAAATTAAATAATGCAGAGCATTGTATAACGTCAGCTCCAGTGGCAAGTAGGTCTGTCCAGGGTTCGCCTTGAGACTCCCCCTTGAATATGTCTGCCACAAGGAACCTGCTATCCAGTGTTCCTTGATCAAGGAAAAGTTGATATCCAAGGTTCATCAGAGGACCCTCAATATCAAGACCAGTAAGTTGTGATGATGGTACACCATCGTATACTAGCTGACGCAGGTCTTGGCCAAAGCAACACCCCAGATCCAAGTAGATGGAGTTTGAGTTGGACTTTAGCCTCGTAAGAATAGACTCATAGAGCGGGTGAGTGAGCAATGTGAGATTGAGGAAACGGTAATGTCCAATACAAGGGTATGGATTTGCCGCAAAGCCATCAGCAGGCTGGAGAAAGAATAAACATTAGCACCTTTTAATACACGCGACAAGAGCGCAGGTCATATACATAGCACTTAATTGGAAATGGGAAACGAAAGGTTGACTTCTTCGATATCTATGTCGTACCACTCCTGGTGACGAGCTGCATCACCATCGTCATTGGCGGCCATTCTAGAGAATGTGATAGAGGGAGATGAAAAGTGAAAGTGGAATCCACGCCGAAAGGTCAACCGACTTCTATTTAATCTACATATACCTACGTATACCTGCGGGGGAGGTCATCCATTGGTTGATGTAGTAACCATGTGGAATCGGTCTTAGGGGTTAAGCCCCACCACCACTTGCGAGCCGTGCGGGGCATTCGCGACGCCCATTCCACGGTTTGCTCCGGGTCCACCTGGGCAGCACCTGGGCACCTCTATCGTTCTCTCGGCCTTATACCCAGTACTATGAGTGCCACTCGCCACCAGGGCTTTTCCTCCAAGAGGACTTAGGTCAGGAATACTTGACGCTGGAAGTATGTAGACTGTTTTGTTTGGTCCCCACATACGTGTGGATGTACAGTCAAAGCGATAATTCGGAGACATTAGCATCATTTTGCGAAGAATTTCCGCTATTTTGCGACCAATGACCTCATGGTCGATATACAGAAGTCAACCAGTCAACCATGAACCTGGAATTCAAGGCTGATGCCTAGAGCTTGAAATTCCACTTGGATTCCTTTTTCCTATTCTGCGAGTTTAATTAAACCTATTTTTTGCATAGACCATCCAATTTGTCGTAAGTGCAGATCATGACTGCTTCTTTAGAGGCGCGAAAATGTTCTCCCATAATTCACTTGCTTCTCCCAAGTAGTAAGTCAAGCTCACGTCAGCCATACTGGCTTCATCGCCTCCAGCCATGGTTTCTAGCTGTGAAATAATATTCTCCAAGCCAAAGGCTTTTCCAGTCGCCTGTGTGGCGCCAGCTTCTAGCATGACATTAACAACGTGGATATGGAAATGGTAGTAAGTAGGTTGATCTACAAGATTGGAAATGTAAGCATATATAGACCGGGGGAAGGGATCAAGAAAACCAAGTACTCACAGTGAACATAGAGCTTCAATTGATCCTGGTCTAAATCAGGATACATGGATACCGTAGCTTCCAGTACTCGTTGCCGGAGATATTTTAACCAAGGCAAATGTCCTTTGTGTAAGTCACGAAGACTCCAAATGTCTCTTCGACATACTAGCACCAGCAAATGGAGAGAGCTCATAGTTTTTCGATCCCAGTTTAGATCTGGTAGCATTAAGAAAGCGTTCTCAGGCCCATGAGCTGTATCTCGCAGTAAAACATCTTCCTGCTCCGTACGACCCTCGAGGATGTTGAAAATCCAATCCAAACGTCCCTCTTCGCGATTTCTTTGCATGTACGTTCGGACTTGGTTCTTGTAGATTTCGGGCGTTTCGGTTACCATGCGAAGTTGCTGATCCGAATATTTCTTAATGTGTTTTTCGGTGCACGGCCAGATAAGATTCAATTTCAAATCATGCTGGAGCTCTGGATGAGTTCGCCGGCTATCACCATCAGATGAGGCGAGGTACCAACGATAGACATCGTTGTCACCAAGGTTGTTGATCTTTGTGAGAGCTGCGTGGAAGGCCTGGATAACTTCAAGAGACTCGGTCGCGAATGGGGCACGCTCGGCGGTAAAAATGGCTTGCTGGTCGTCTATTGTCCCGAGTATCGCAATGCGTCGGCCGTTTTGATCTACAGACTGTCAATGTTGTGTTTCACATTCAATGGATCTGCGAGAGTCTTGAGAGCCGCACGCCTGTCCTTGCCAAACAAACTTCGAGGGTCGCTTACCTTGTTTTAGTAGCCTCTTCACTTGGAATTTAGAGACAAGTTCCTCTGGAGTTCCCATTGTATTAGTTGTCACACTCCCCGGGTGTCCTGGGAGATTTAATGTGGCCAAGACTCAATAGAGGGATTGAGGAGGGGGATCGCCGAGCAAGCAAATCCCACCGCTTGTCGGTCTTCGCCAGGGCGGGGAATACTACATAGCTCTCGGGCCAATCAACATCCATTATGTGAGAAGCTTTAGTTGACGGGCTACAATATTGGAACATTCAAAACGTTGAAGAAAGCAGGTTTATAAATTAAGAAATTAGCGAGGAACTGCGTGCTCATTTATGAGCTTGTCGTTTTTAAATTGTTGCTCCATAATAATGGTTCCACAGACTTAGTGGTACCAAATGCTTAAAGTGCACTAGTCCTGACAGTGGCTCGGACAGCTAGACTTCCTCTAGAATCCTCAATCCATACCTCCAACGCACCAGCGCCTTTGGGCTTACCGCAAACTGTCAGTTCCTCATCTACAAAGAGGGGTGCGATATTCTTATATTCAATATGTGCGACTCCAGCATTAGCGCCTCTCAGGTGGCTTTGCACCACGCCCAAAAGTAGTGTAAGGGTCAAGGGCCCATGAACCAGAAGATCTCGGAATCCTTCCTGACCCCGTGTGTAATTCCTATCGAGATGGATAGAATGCGCGTTGAATGTCAGCGCCGAGAAACGAAAAAGCAAAGCTTTGGTGGGCAGGATTGAATGACGGAATACCGGGTTCGCAGGAGCTATTTTGTAACCAGTGAGCTTTTTCCATGTTCTGCCAAGCAGAGGTAGAGACATAAATAATGAAAGGGGGATGAGTACATTTCACTGTACGACTTGGTTGGTCAAATTGATCCTGGTCCAGTTGGAGTTCCTCCGGGGTCTTGGATCGCATGAAGATGAGGTCCCGATTCTCCACGACTGATGAATCCCCCGGGTCCAACTCATCCGCTTTCCATATCCGACTCCGGGTTTCATCCTCATTTTCCCCTTCTGGAACAGTACCAACTCGGCGTTCAATCGTCACGATAACTTTCTCTTCCCCCCTCCCGTCCTTTGACGGCGACTTTTCGAATGGATTCAATACAGACAGCTCGACTGCCATCTAGTAACAGGTTAGATTTCGGGAATCGAACACTACCTCCCGCCCAAAGACGTCGGCTGAAAGGCTCCCCTGGCGAGTGAAGAATATCAGTCCCGTCCGGGAGTAGTTGCGAAAGTGTTACTTGAGGGGGGAAGTAGATGAGATGGTGGCCAATTGGTAGCGGGGACGGGCATTTGATTGAAGGAAGGGAAAGTGATGTCTTGCAGTCGTCCGACGGTCGTGGTATAATGTCATGGAGTGAAAGGTTCAAGAGGTGAGAAGGCTGGGGATGTAAATAATCAAAAAATAAGGGAATCTCCCTGGTCGCTAAGTCATTATGCAAGCGCTCTGAGAGGGAGGAATTGGCCCGAAAATGTACTGCTCGTTGAAGTAACTGCCGGGCAGCCCTCGTCCGAGTGTAGGAATTGAGAAACATATTGGAGAGATTGAAGTTAACAACTTTGATCTTTGGAATCCAAGGGTCTGGTGTTTGCCTTGTTTGTTATTGCGGGAGAACGCCGCTCACTCCGTGCCGAGGTCCGCATACTACTAACGTTGGAAAGGAATTAGCTAGGGGAAGCTATAGAAATATGGTTCTTCAGTTGTGTTCTATTTTTCTATTTCCCTGGAAAACAAAATTGGATTCAAAAGTCACAAATTCACAAATTCACGCAAGCACATGATGGCAATCGATTCCTTCTATCATCATTGAACCTTACCTCTGGAGTCAACGGGCCAGATCTCCTCAATGATACCCTTCCGGTGGGCAAAATAGAAATCATGCAAGTTCACGGTAGGATCAATATGACTAGGGATCATCTCCACACGATCGCCAACACCAAGGTTTGGCGTTCCAGTTTCCCAAGCAAGCGAACCATGTTCATCACCCAAAACGCCATAAGCATATCTTGAGTCTTTGCACTCCGCCAAGCCACTATCCGTCGTCAAAGATTTAAGACCAGTGTCGATTGTAACGATCTGGGGGCCTTGCTGGCTGATTACAGTCGACAAGAGTGTCAAACTATTGGAATAGAACGTTCCCACCGCATTTCGATAATCCGTATCCATGAAGATGAAAGATCCAGGCTGAAGCTCTGTCACTCCAGGAACAGTGGCACAGAATTCCGCTGTGCCAGTTCCACCAGTAGTCACAACTTCGATGTTGAAGCCTGCTTCCCGCAGATAATTTGCGGTGCCGGTGAGAATCTGCATGGATTGCAGACATTGTTCCCTGCGGTCTTCCTTGTCGTGCAAGTGTTGCAAGTGGCCCTCGTAGCCTTGAACGCCAATCAAGTTTAACTGCTTCAGTCCGGCAATGTGCTGTGCCAGGGCCATAGCTGGCTCTCCGGGCTTCACACCCGTGCGGTGAAGTCCAACATCAAGGTCAATCAGAACGGAGATGGGTTCCTTGATTCCCGAAGCAAGCAGAGCCTCGTTAATGGCAGACGCGCCGATTTCACTATCCACAACGATTCGGATATTGCGGTATTTTCGATATAACTCCACTAGTCGCTGGACCTTGGCAGGACCAATGATCTCGCAGGTAATAAGGAGATCATCGAACCCGGCTGCGGCGATAGCTTCAGCCTCGCTTACTTTCGCGACGCAACCACCCTTGGCCCCGGCTTTGGTTAATTTGTTGGCGAGAATGGCACTCTTTGTAGTTTTGAGATGAGGTCGGATATTGAGTCCAGTTGGCAGAAGCCTGTCCATTAACTTCTTGATGTTGGCTTCACAGAGATCAAGGTCCACGATCATTGAAGGCGTATCGAGGCTGTCGATATGATCACCGACTTTTGGAGACGACATATTGTGAACGGTATCGAGACCAAGGAAGGAAATCGCAGAAATTCAAAGAGGAGATGACTAGTGTTTGAATGTGTCAGGTAAAGAGAACAGTGTCCGAAGTGGAATTTGAGTCTCAATCTCAGAACCGAGGAAGTAAGGGGGGTTTTGTGGGCGCAAAATTCATATATAAGTAACTTGAATAAGCCTGTTGTCTTCATGCCGAAAAGGGTCTCCATATCCCACTATTACAGTCATTGGCATCCCACCTTGACCCCTCATTAGGGATTGTGAAGCTCTTCTGATTTGTTGGTCCAAAGGTGCTCCCGCGTTAAAGAGTGGTACTGTCCCCCCGCACTAGCCCCATGCCGGGACCCCCATGAAGAAATGTCACGTTTCCTAGTTATCGGAGCTGGGCCGATCTAAAATGTAACGCTAGACATGGGATATTCAAGATACAATTATAATCATGACTGCTTTCACTTCCCAAAATCCGTACTGTACTAGTATAAACTAAACCATAAGAAATTATAGACAAATTGATTGCATCACTACTAACAGATTCGTATCCGCGCTAATCGCCAAAATCCAGAACATCAATACAGGGCTTGAGGGCACTTTCCTCCGAATCTCAGTCTTTGTTGACCAAAATCCACGCTTGTTCGTCACATCCTACTTTTGGCGGCCGCTGAAGAGCACATACATGTCCATAGGCTTGATACTAAATGCGCCATTGGCATGAAGCTTATAGTTGGGGTCCTCCAACTCAAATGTGACATCCTTGAGAATACTGGCCAAGGTAAAGAATGACCATTGCCAAGCCCACAACTTACCGATACACTCCCGCTTGCCATTGCCAAATCCCTTCTTGGCGGCCTCGGGGAGGTTATCCCACTTCTCGCCAAGCACTTGTTCGGGTTTAAATTCCTCGGGGTGCTCGAACACAGTTGGATCCCGGTTAACCGCATTCAAGATCGCAATCATGGGCTGATTGTAAGGGATCTCGTATTCACCGCCACCGAGTAGCACAGGGGATTTATCGGACTTGTCATCGCGGGGAATAGGTTCAATGTTGAAGCCAGGTGCAGTGGCAGATAGACGGATAGTCTCCCGCAGGATAGCCTCGACGTAGTTCAGCTGCTTCAAGTGGGAAAGATCCAGAGGGCCATCTCCCACAATAGAGTCAATCTCGGCCTGGCCCTTCTTCATGGCTTCTGGGTTGTTGCTGAGGTAGTATAGCGCATATGTAAGCAAATTGGCAGCGGTCGCGGCACCGATGAAGATGGTGACAATCTCATCTAAGACCTCCGCATCCCTGAGTTTTTCGTTGGTCTCGGGATCAACACCATTCAGAAGGGCATCGAGCATATCTTTGCGCGCCAGCTCAGGGTTCTCCTTTCGCTGTTTCACAATCTCCGAGGCATAGTTGCGCATAGTCCTGGTCATGGAATAGAAACGCGGGAAGTAGAGCAAATTCATACCAGGAAGACGAGTTGGTCGCTTCAACGCTTCCATAGTGGCACCTTCCCACGCTTGAACCATACCCCAGGCCTTTTTGTGAGTCTCATCTTTTTCGCCAAGGACGTGCACTCGCTCATTAAAGAAGCACTTCATACAAGACGCAAGCAGAATAAGATCCAGATCGTCACTTGCTTTGACACGCTGTTTGGTGCCTGCGCTCCATTTCTTCGTCAAATCGGGAACAACGTCCATCATATCGTTGTAAACACTGTCGGTGGCTTCCCGTGTAAGGTGTGGCATCATAATTCGGTGAGCAACTCCCCAGCGCTTGTCATCGTCGTCCGCCGTGAACAGACTTTTATGCACAGATTGTCGAATCTCAACCACCGGGCCTGTCACACATTTTCGGAATCGGGTTTGGTCGCAAATTTCCTCAAGAAGAGCCACGTTGCATATGAATACAATCTGGTGACCCACGGCGTTGATCTTGAAAATAGGACCTGGAAAAAAAAACAAAAACAAAAGGGGTTGGTCAGTGACCAGATACACATTCGAATGAATACATATGTAGCTTAAGACTTACCATATTGGCTAGCTAGCTTGTTGAGGGAGTTCCATGTCTCGTTGGGGTCGATATTGAAAACATTGCCCAGTATAGGCACACCCGGCGGGCTAGGAATTTCGGTAGGCATATTGTGTTTTGCAGGGTAGAGAGAGAATCTGAAGAGAAGTTCAAATATACACCAAATGGTATTTATTCAAGTATTCGACGTAGTCAAAGGTAAAGACTTCGAGGGAACAAGAAATATGTAGGTAGCAAAAACAAGAAAAGGAAAAGGAAAAGAAAGGAAAAGAGCTATCTGACACCCCATGAAGCGGGGGGAGCAAAGACCTTGGTAAAACTTTCAGCTTCCGCTAATCTTCAGCTTGGTGTCACCGATCGACAGATCTCATCTGGTCCGTTCATCCAATCATTAGATCCCGAATGGCGAGGATGTCTCCATCGTTCACATCAAGTTTGGCCTAGCTGGTAAGATCGGCACGATCGCGATGTAATAGCGCAGATTGGCGGATGCGGATCCAGTTTGGATTGGCAGGCGAACAGGCTATCTGGATCCCATCTGCAGCTCGATGGGTCCATGCGGGCTGGGTATTTTGCAAGTGTAACCACCAAGGAATGAGGTTCCTCACAATTGTCAGCGTGCGCCACTGCAGGTTTTTTTTCGTCTCCACGCTTCATTGACCGCTTGAATGCTTTCCTGTCCCCTTTGCCATGAGTAATGGACTCTTAGGAGGATCAGACCATAGCACTTAGTATGAATGAATTATTCCCTTGGGAGGTTCCATTCTGCTTCTCTCTCCCCCTGAGCAAGCAGTCCCATAAATATGTTTTTATTTTTTATGTTTGTTTACGAGGGGCTGGTTCTCAACTTTTGTTGACGTATTGTGGGCCCTTGCCAGCGAATTATAGTGCTCCGTACAAACCCACATGTGCACCTTGTACTAGCCGTGGTGGTTGTCTTGTCCCCTGTCAGAACCCTCGGCATCCTCACAGTGGGTGACAGTCCTAGCTAGGATGTTTGGACAATGGACTGATACCTCCACGTGGTGTCTGGTGTTGATCCATGTTCATGCTGCTAAAGTGCATTCCGTTTGTGACGTAGGCAGTCACACTAAGATATGTACCGGACAAACGTCGAAAGCGAACTCGAAGAAGTCAATTAAATGCTTATAGGAGGATAATTCTTATAGATGACTTCTTCATACAGATTGCCGATCGAGATGCGACGAGAGAAATTATAATATGCAAGTATGCTAAGCGTTGATGTGTTTGGCCTTGTCGTATCAAGCTCAAAGGTCATTAAGTGGGCATCGCTGCCATCGAACATCACCCAATCACGACTCATTTGAGATTCCAAGCTCTTTCTCATTATCTTTAGCTGTTACGGGGGTCCCATGCATCTGTTATAATTATTCATGTGTTAAGATCACCCCTTAAGATAGTGGACAGGGTGGAACATACCGTCTCCGCAAATCGCATCCATTCCTCCATTCCCTTAACAAACGCGTCATTCGCCGCAGGAAGGTGTTCATGTCCCCAAACCATCATCTCATTAAATTTTCCCTGCATTTGAAGAATTTTCACGGACTCTTCTTGCTCCGGTGGAATCTCAACAACATCAGAGTCTTCTTTTGAATCCTGGGTGGAAACTTGTATGACACTATTTGTTGGCATCGCAAGAACGCCTGAAAGTACACAAAAGCAAAGAGAGGCTCAAGTTAGCCAGAGTAAGCCCAATCAGCCGGACTGTGTCTTAGATATATGTACCTTGATAGCCTTCTGGAACGGTAACCCGCCGCCCACGAAGCTTACGCCCTCGAAAATGCGAAGTTTGATTTCCATCTAGCCAAAAGGATGTCAGCGACATGATTCATGATTAAAATCCATCATATGGATTGGAATATCCGCTTCCAGCCAGATATAGCAGTGCACGAGTACCTTTTCCGTCGGTCACGGGTGTCCAGAACCTGTCTGTAGACTCAATTGGGCCATCATGGTGGATTTGACAAGGAAGAATGTTCGGCGTAAACTGAGGTAGAGATGTATCGTCTTGGTCTGTGTTTGGTTGCGAGGTTGTTCGGAAGGTATAGATGTCGGACATTGTGGTGGAGTTGAAGCGCGGTTCGCAATTGATGCGTCGGCAATGGCCTCCGAGGTCGGGTCTTTTGAGACTTGGGCAGATCGAAACGCCGAACGATGCAATACTAAGATTAAATAAAAGTAATTGAGTATCTTCGCGGTGACGTGAGCAGGATAGGGTGTCGAATCCTTCAAAATTGCCTGACTGAGCTAGAGACGCGTCGCGTTATCGCGTTAAGTGGGAAGCTATTGTCGGGCGGTGTGAGATTAGGGCCGCTGAATGGTCACCGCCCGGCTAGATACGGCAAGTATTAATCTTGGAGTGTCTGTGTTTATAACACAATCTGAAAGCTTCCAAGCGATTGAAAGAGGATGTTTAGATAGTACTGATCTATCCGATAGATTGAAACTTGGCCATAGTAACAATTTGAATCAGAGTCAAGATGCGATGGCTACAATGTATGTCCATGTGAGCGTTGGATTACTTCAAGAGAAGCACTCGGAGAAAATGATCGGGACGTAATCTTGGAACCGTGTTGAGTATTGCTCAATACCTCCAGGGCTCTACTTAGTCGGAATCCTTTCTAATTTTCAACCTTGGGGACCTTGGTGAATTTCCAAAGTCCACACCGGGAGCGAAATAACCCTCCGAATGGGGTTTTAAGGTTTCTTGTAACTTACAAGCTTGTTGTCAGGTGAGTCGCCCTGGAACAAGCCCGGCTGCCCAGAGGGGAAATACAGAGATGTTGCCGTACAGTAAGATACCGTTTTCACCGTCTGATCCGGTATCCTCGGGTAACTTCAAACCTTAATAGAGGACACTAAGTACAGAACATGACTACACACTAACTAAGTGGACACTCGGAGTGAACTTTAGCTACCATCTCCGTACTCAACGCCGGTTTGGTCCATGGGTCAACCGTAACAATCTGCCTACGAGGGGCGAGCCCCGCCTTATTGGCCTAAGGCTTCGACCCGGGAAATTTGGCGGGGGAAGGAAACCATTTGACTCACCTACACATAGTTTTCAATTCACTTCTCTATTTTTTTTTCTTTTCGCCTTTTCTTCTCACAACTTTTATACATCCCCCCCATTCATCTCATTCCTTTCAATCTCTCACAATGGCCACAGCAAACGGTACCACCAGCAATGACTTCACCGTCAAGGCTGGCCTGGCGCAAATGCTGAAGGGTGGCGTGATCATGGACGTTGTCAATGCAGAGCAGGTATGCCAATTCAACTCACCTCGAGACATCTACACCTGGCTAATAGACTGCGTTGCGCTTTTTAGGCCCGCATTGCTGAAGAGGCCGGCGCCGCCGCCGTCATGGCGCTGGAGCGTGTCCCCGCCGATATCCGCGTTGAGGGTGGTGTCGCTCGCATGTCTGACCCCAGCATGATCAAGGAGATTATGGCGGCTGTTACTATCCCCGTCATGGCTAAGGCTCGTATTGGTCACTTCGTTGAATGCCAGGTACGTTTTGGAGGGGAGTTACCTCATCTTTCTTTTGCGAGCCAACAAGATCGACGCCCGTGGTCAATTGCGATGAATTGACTGTCAACACCTATATGCCTGCAATTAAACCTTTATTGACAAGTGAACCCAAACTAATTTTTCTCTTGTGCATAGATCCTCGAATCCATTGGTGTTGATTACATTGATGAATCTGAAGTCCTCACCCCCGCCGACGATGTCTACCACGTCACAAAGTCCAACTTCAAGGCCCCCTTCGTCTGCGGTTGCCGTAACCTCGGCGAGGCCCTGCGTCGCATCTCAGAAGGTGCCGCCATGATCCGTACCAAGGGTGAGGCCGGTACCGGCGACGTTGTCGAGGCAGTGAAGCACATGCGTACCGTCAACGCGCAGATTGCTCGTGCCCGGGGAATCCTACAGTCGAGCCAAGACCCAGAGCCCGAGCTTCGTGCTTTCGCTCGTGAGATTGAGGCTCCCTACGAGCTTGTCCGTGAATGTGCCGAGAAGGGCCGTCTGCCCGTTGTCAACTTTGCCGCTGGTGGTGTGGCTACCCCAGCTGATGCTGCCCTGATGATGCAGCTCGGTTGCGACGGTGTCTTCGTTGGCTCTGGAATCTTCAAGTCCGGTGATGCGCAGAAGCGCGCCAAGGCTATTGTCCAGGCCGTGACTCATTTCAAGGACCCCAAGGTTCTTGCTCAGGTCAGCGAGGGCTTGGGTGAGGCTATGGTTGGCATTAGCGTACAGAAGATGGCTGAGGGCGATAAGCTGGCTGGCCGTGGATGGTAGAGGGTCACTGGTGTGATTCTATGGGGACCTTCCAAAACTTTCTAAAATTCGTTGTACATGAGATACGAGCCGACTTTTGCATGACCGACAAAAAATTCTAGACTTGACGTTTGATTTGTTTTGACTTCCAGCCTATCTTTATATGTAGATGACACCTGATTGAATCCTTGGAAATATACAACCTCTCTATCCATAGGTCAAGCCCTAAAACGTCACGGTATAGTCACACCGGAATGTTTGGCGCCAATACTAGTAGTACATCCAGGGCAGCTCAAACACGAAGCAAGCTCAGCATAGGCGCTAGGCTGTATGTATAAGTCATATACCTAAATAATTTGTACACTAGCACATCTGGGCAGCCATGGTATAGTAACATATTGTCACAAACATGGCAACCTAAGTGCATGCCCAGTGTACTATGTACGGAGTACAGAGCAGGTAGACTTATGTAATACCGACAATGTCCAAATCTTATGTATTACCCTAGCTCGGATCATGTTTTGATAGGTCCTCCACGCCGAGCTACCGGGCAATCGCTGAACCTTTATAACCGGGGAACTTGCCGTCATCTCCGGAGGATCGTCCCGAAGCCGTATCGGCAACACGGGGCCCACCTACACACGTCTCCATAACTTAGCTTCCGAGTATAGCCCTGAAATTAGAATAAGTGTACTCCGTAAGCCCTCAAAGTGCCGGCGGCTCTCAGGACGCCATTCTCATCCCCCTAAAACACGCGATGTGACTGGAGCAATATGCATTGAGCTTGTATGCAGAAAGTCAAAGGCATGTCTATGTCTTCATTTTCAACTTGAAGTTGAGGCCTTGGGATTTCAATCTCTTTCGCTTCGAGTTGGCTTGAGAAACTTGGATTCCTCACATAGATTTGCAGTCTATCACGCTAACAGCTCTAGAAATACCGTGACGTTTATTCTGACACTTTTTGCTAAATACGCTGGAAATTTGAAGTGGATAGTGCTAGCGTGTGCTACCTAGTAACCCTGTTTGATCTATTTCGAAGGGAGAGACGAGAAATTAAGGGGGGGCGAGGTGTAAGAGGTGCTTCCAAGGTTCTAGTACCCCTCAGGCACCTCTGCTTCTCTGCTTTTTAAATGTTCAAAGTCAGAGTCCGAGTCCACTGAATCTCCGTGTCTCATCAAGCACTGGCATCATTTCTCGCACTACATTCTACATAAAGAGTGGGTGATATTGCTATTTGGAAAAGGAAAAGTTCAAGTAGTGATATTTCTATAACTAATTAGCCTGCCCGACTCAAGATAAAAGTCGCTAGCATTGTTCCAAAACATGAGCATCAAGCCTTTTTACAAGCTTTAACAATGCCCTGTACGATCGCATTATTCGCCCGGAACTCTTTGCTGAAGGAGCTCAGAGTATCCTCGGTCATCGCTGTGCGGAATGCGGCAGCTTTGGTGAAAGTCGTCTTGCTAGCCTTGCCAACAACCAAGGCATCGGCCCCATGACTAGAACAAGGATAGCGAAGGGAGCTGAAGATGGTTTCTTCACAATATCATAGACCAAAAGAGCTGCGTTGCCAGCCTCGCCGACAACATAAGCCGCACGTGCAACGTTCGCCACGCCACCAATCGCATCGACTACCTCTCCAGCGAACGGAATGATCATAAGAACAATGCTGACAATGTCTAAGATGAAACTGACTTTAGCATCATCATCAGCTTTTTCCTGTTCTTTGCCGATTTTCGTGATGTTCTTCATTTGTTCAGTTGTGTCTGCAATCATGAAAACGGGCATACTGGCGCGGTAGCGACGTCTTCGTCCGAAGCATCTATGGCCCCGATACTCATCTCTATGAAACCCCAGGGAATTATTTTGAAGTATCGTAATGTTAGGTACTGCATTGTCGATGATGTCCTTGAGATTAGGAACATCGATGTTATCGTCCGCAGCCTTTACTGGCCAGTTGTGGTAAGTCACGCTATGACCAGTGCAAGGTTTGTAGTCTTTAATAAGGTTAGGACAAGGAGGATAGGTAAGAGAATTCTTAGGGTCTGTGTATGTGTCTTTCTATATAATCTAGTCCTTCTTAATTCTATAGTCGGCTTGAAGGGCTTTATGAAACGCATCTTTATTATGTACTGTATATGTGGTACTGACTTCATCTTGTCCTGGTTGCCCTTTTGGGACGTGGATTCCTGTACAGGCCGTATCGCCACTGCTATCCGATGTAGATGACTATTTGCAGTCTATGTAATCTTTTCCATCACTCCAAATAAAGAGTGACAATGAACTATCGATGCCGTTTCTGACCTATTCGGCATAGTATTTGAACTAGAGGCATATTGTTGTTAAAGGAAACATGACAATTAGTAGTTAATCCAGCAAAAGCTAAATGCATATAGGTTAAGGACGTATCGCTGATTTTATTAATGTCTATGTTTAGACACTCGCGCTTGAGGTTGAAGACTTTAAAATATGTAATATAGTAGAAATTGTCCGGGGCGCCATTATTGTTGACGATATCTGTGCCACAGTTGGAGATGTATCTATTTTTGTTACTTTGAAAGCCCTCTGGGGCTTTTATCTTGGCGGGTGACTCGATATGATAGTTGGAAAATGAAAATGAACTTGAAAGGACAGAGGAGATGATATTAAGATATATCCATCACTAGTACCCAATATATAGGCAAATTGCAAATACTTATAGTTCGTTATTGAATGGCCACTCACAAATTTGCAGACCACGAACTTGAACCGATATGGGACGGACATCCTTCGAGCCCATGAGTTCCCGTGTGTCACACCTTGACGGGATTTGGTGAAGCTAGTAACAGTTGAATCACAACATTACCACTAAGAAGCGGATTTCACTATGGAGTACGGAGGTCCGTTTCATTAATCCTAGATCTTTTGGGCTTTTTCCTAAATTAGTAATAGCTTTATATATCTTGGTAGTAATGTAATTTACACCACCCCAGGCCACAGACTCGCACAGATCCTCTCCAATTTTTTTCTTCTAAACCGTGGATTTGCAAGATTCTTAAGAATTTTAAGTCTATCAACACTATTTTGACGTCAAAATGATCCATAAAGCTGTGATCCGCTCAGCTGCTCTTACGTTGAAGAGCGAGGGTAAAAGCTATGAATATATTGCCGTAAAATTGCAAATTGAGCTTCATACTGTACGGAATGCTATATCCAAGGCTACAAAACCAAATGGATGTGTATCGCCTTTATGAGCCAAGCCGTTTTGGACACTAGCCCTATTTTCAAAAATAGCAAAAAAAAAATAAAAAATTCTAGAATTAATGAGACGGACCTCCGTAAACGGGGCGGAGACGAGAGATCTGACTTACCCGTATACGAAGTTGAATTACCTCTCTTAGAACTTGAATGGGCCAAGCGAGAAATTTGGCAGCCATCCATGTGTGTACTAGGCGCTACCAGTGGGGTCCATACAGTCAGGGTCCTAATCCGTAGTCAGGGTCCTAGTCAGGGGCTTAGTGGACATCTGGAGACGACTACTTCAGGCTTGAAAATGCAATTTTCGCTTCCAAGATCAAGACGGCACAGTACTAGGCAGCGGTTGGAATGATATTAATAGTCTCGAATTAGAATCAGTGCGACGTACTTAACTCGTTCATGGTTTCATATACAGCCCAGTTTGTGTATGAGCTTGTAAGTTTACGGTACAGTTCCCCATGGTGGGGCACCACTGCACCAAGCTGAGTGGAAAATGAGAAGGGGAAAAAAAAGAAAGAAAAGGGCGGGAAATAAACTAATGCAAATCAAATAATAGTGCGATCTGAGGAGTACTTCGCCTATAAATCCTTGCTGGTCGAAGCATAATCCTGTCTTCCTTTTCCTCAACATTGAACTGCATTTCCCCACTTATCACTGTACGCAGCACCAGCGCCACTGGCAGCACTGCCCATACTATTTCCTAATGGCGGCTACCGAACATTCTGGCATCAGCCTTATGAGCCAATACAATATCGTTCTACCGAAAAGGCAAGCATATGACTCTTCCGGCAAACCTATACCTGCATGCGACGAAGATCAATGTGGTTGGGCAATGAAGGGGGAGGATATCCCCGTCGATCTAAGTTCGTTTTGGCATCGGAGAGCAGTCATTCGTGGGATTCGTGATTCACTTCAATTCGCAACAAGCCCGGCAATTATTGAGCTGTGCTCCGGCGACTATGCCCATCAATTTTCCCGCGCCTGCAATGCTCGCCTGATAATGAGTGATATAATCCCCGATATGCAAGATCCTGCCACTCAGCCGTACTGTATATGGTATCCCGACCTTGCATCAGAAGAGACATATCGCGAAGTTGCCCGGCAGTATCCGTCTATGCGGTATCAAGTCGGCCGAGCGTGTGCTACAGCATGCTATACAGATCTTTACAAAGAATTGGACCTTTTGCCTGACGTTTCTATTGCGGAAGAATCCCGTGAAGTTGACAAAGACAAAGACGCCGAAATCTACAAGATTATCATGTCTGCCCCCCAACGATATGTTGTTATGGAAGATTTCTCTCGAGCTGTTCTTGAAACCCCACGAACACCTGCGTTTCTGATTGGCGATATGAAGCCCCGATGGGCTCTGGGGCAGCGAGTTTACCCTGGTAAAAATTTACCAGAGACAACTGCTGATGATATTGATATCGAGGAAGATGGATTTATCGGCTTACAAGGTATCAGCTTGGAGAGTATCAGCGGATTGGAGGACTACGCTAAACTAGGCCCAGGCCAGTCCGATCAACTGTGGATACCTCTTCCGCCTGATCTCCCATTTCTCGAAAAGCGTCTTCAGACACAGATAGCTACGTGGGAGAGCAATGTCGATCGATACAGTCGACTAATGCACCCACGTAGGCTAAGAACCAAACTTAAATACAATTGTATTCTTCGTAGTATTTATCATAGTACAAGCTTCGCCAGATGGTGGGCATATCAGCTGGAAACAAACTCTGGACGGGCTACCCTTCCAGATAAATTGCTTAGCCAAGGCAATAAACGGGAGTGCAGAGAGATTCGCAGTACGATTAATACCCGTATGATAATAAACAATGATATCTCTGGTATCGACAATGATTCAGACTGCCTCCCGTGGGTTATATGGGGGCCTGTGAAGCCCTCTATAAACACTTTAATTGATCTAGTTCGAAAATATCCGTCCATGGGACATCAAGTTGCGATCACTTGTATAATATATGATTATAAATCGATATTCCAACTTTTGAAGCCCCCTACACCCAATCCTTGTATGTGGCTGCCAGGCGAAGTGAAAATCCATTCTACCTACAATACCTTGAGGAAATCATGAAGAAGCGCGACATAACCCCCCCGGACTTTCACGACTTTAAGGATTTTGATCTCACTGCACTAGGCTTACAGACTGATCTGGAGCCTAGAGATTCTTACACTGATCACACTGTCAGCTACTATGACATGGAGATCGGGTATGGACAATATCAATGTGGAAATCCACACGAAGATACTCTAGGTACATATGGGGGCGGGCTAGCTAGTGCGGGAACGGTGGAGCGATACATGTGGCTCTCAACTGAGACTGCACAGAAGTTAAAAGATGAACTTGACTTCTCTTACCCAGGTGCGGATACTGGTCTTTTGTATGAGGATGAGGAACTTTGGGATAAGCTTTCACGCCGTATAGAGCCCATGGAGTGGTAGTATGCAGGTTTCGATATGTCGAATACAGTCAGTCTCTTTGATTTCCGATTATTATCTGCCGGATATTCGCTAGCTTAGTTACCGATGGCAATATTAGAATGTAGCACCGAAATTGATATCCAAAGGATAAAAATCGACGGAAACAGGATGCTGTCTCATGCCATCCGTATCATGACTACGCCCACTGAGTGCTCACTGAGCCTGAGCCTGAGCGACCTCATCAAAGCGGCGAGCACCAAATGAGGCAAGCCCCGCCCGTCAGGAAAAATCCAGTACGTACATCTACCTACATAACGTTCATCTGTCAATTATGCTACTTTGGTGTATAATCTTATCCCTGAAGGAAATTGTAGATTTATACTAACGCAAACCCTACTCGTCCTATCAGGGCATTCCACCTACTAGTGCAAGAGAATGATCTCTAACTTTGGCAAGCCTGATGCACCCGCTTATGTGAACCATTTGCCTTTACTCTTTGAAAAAGTTATCTTTTCTTCTCCCGGGGAAAGGTTATATTCTAGTAGCAGCGACATATGTAGACGCACTTGTATACCTCTGGTGGTGTGAAAATAAATACGCTAACTATGGTAAGGCCGCTAGCTACGAGAGACTGATTGCGAAATACTGTTACTTTCTGATATGGCAATCTTCTAGGCGTTAAAAAGCTAGCGCTAGTCAGTTAACGAGATAGCAATCCTCATTTACTTTTCGTCTCAATAGATATGCTGCAAGGCTCTGCGTTGCCTTCTGCCGCGCCGAAGAAATTAGACCTGGTCCAATGTACAGGCTATAAACATAATATTCAAGAGAATCCCAAATATCTCCAAATCTGTCTATAATAGGGGTCTTAAATATATATAGTAAAGGATTAGGCTGGAAAGAGAGTATTTCGGGTTACTAGGGTAGCTCGTCCGAATTTTATTTATACAATTGTGTTATAGAGCCTTGCACAAGATTAGCACTAATGTACTTGAGCCTCGAAACGATTTTTCTAGACCCACATTTGGTTATATAAGATCTATCTTCTATGAGCTGTCAAATAGAATGACAGGTGAGACCAAGAAGCTAAATTACCATTTTAAGACTTATTCGGTATGGTAGGCTATTAAGATTCAAATAAATGAATGAAGTAAAAGGAATGAGGAAGCTGGCCCCCAAGTAGCTCTGTAAATTGAACAATCATAATAAGGCAACGACTGCAACTTATACATGCCGGCTTTTACCGTAAAGTTTAGAGAAACGTAGACCCCTAAAATCTACTATTTAGGCTTTCTCATTATAGGAGGGTCCTCCTTATCGCAATAGTTCTCAGTGTCAATGGTCTACAAATTGCAATGCTGACGCCTTTTTCGAAGACTAAGTTGAATACAGATAGCTACCAAGATGTATGCAATAAAAACACTTGCTAGGCAAGCAACCAAAGCATTTAAAACACCTAGTACTGCCGGTATAATAGCCGACGTCATTAGTAGGTTTTTCTTTTGATTTAGACCCTGGCTATTGATTAAGATGCCTGTTCCATGGAAGCCATCATCCCAGAATACATGGACGGGTCTTCCTCACTGGCCGCCTTATGAGAGCTTTCTAGACTTGCGCTCTTCGATTTCTCGGTCCGGGTGAGCTCGCGTTCCGGCTTCAAGGATGTCAGTCCTGGACGCGTGTTCGCTGGCTAGCTCATGGTTTCAGAACTCGTTGGGAGATACCCATCTAATTGACCAAATGCAACCTCTGTGACCGCAGCAATGAAGCCAAGAGATTTACCAGCCTTCAAAACCACATTCCGTGTGGAGACAAGATTTTCCGGAAGGCCATGGATTCCTGTACTGTCATTGCCAGACAACCTGGCCTTTTTCTTTGACCTCAGATGGTCATTGAAGAGTTTTCTTATAAAGACTCATACTGTAAGCCATTTCTTAGCGAGCCCTGTTGCCAAGTCGAGTCTTGAAATGGACTAATTGGCGGGGTCATGTGGTTGTGACTTAGCCATGGCAAAAGCCCTTCGACTGGCAGCGCTGTAGACTATGACTCTCAGTCAAAACATATTCCCAGTCTCGATACCGGAATTGTGACTCACCAGGCCTGCATTACCCCACTGAATTGATTTGAAGGGTGGCACACGGGCTAGATGAACCTCACAGGATAGACAATCGCGAGCTGATGACAAGATCAGTCCCAGAGAACTCCAATGAAGTCTCATCGCTCGCATTCGCTCTTTATGAGTAAACTCAATGTCGACAGACCACAGTGAAGTCACAAGGTTCAAAATGAGAAAATGCTAGCGCGCCGTGTGAGGGTGTTTTCACGAAAACGAATCATTATCACGGATTTTGACTTCGATTAAATAGAGTGAGCTGAGATAATATACGTACGAAGAGACAAAAAGCCCATACCGTACCAGTTTTTCTCTGAGAGCGGAGAACATTGAGGATTTCTAGTTTGTTTGAGGCTTTAACACTTGACCGTTGAAGAAAGCAGCCTTAGCCTGCCGCCTACGATTTAGTGATTTCCAACCCGTAAACAACACTGTTTTTTACATGTAAATCTCATGTTACCTGACTTTATTGGAGGTGCCCAGGTGGTACCCTAACACCGGCAGTTACTACTATGAATGGGGAATTTTTGAACTAGAGCTTTATGACCGGGCATCTTTTGGCTGACTGGGCTTCATAAGATCGGCGAGGGCTTCTGTCTTATTTTCAGGAGAGGACGTCCGAATCCGGAAGGATTGGAGATCTACCTCTGCCCATTGTAAGTAGCCACCTGGCTCTACATAACATTATTTGAATTAGATCGGGTTACACAAAGAGTAGATATATTAAATTGGATGACGTACTCAGAAGCTTCAGCAAGTTACCCAGTGCACTCTTTATTTCATCATCCTTGAGGACAAACATCAATAATGAGATATTGACAATATCGTAGACCCCAACAAGGTCGCTCGGGACCTCAGACAAGATATTCCATTCCCGAAAATTGCCATTTTGAGGCAGCCATTCCTTTGGGGGCGTACTCTCCAATGATATATCTAATCCGTCAAGACGGACGTTGGAAGGAAAATGGTGGGCAATGTCTGTAAGCCAAATACTATCAAAATCGAAAGATTCCCAAATTAGTCTAGTCTGTACCTAAACAATACAAAAATTCGCATAGACCACTATCAGTAAGCCTTACCCAGTGCCAGTTCCAACATCTGCAACTCTGAGGTTGGGGTCACCCGTGGGAATTGAAGGGTGGACAAGGTAGCCATGCAGCTCGCGCAAAAGATAATGATGAAGGTTGAGCTTATAGATCATCATGTCAGTCATATGCTCTCCAGATTCCCCCATACTCAGACTGTAGAGGAAACCAATACCGGTTAATTTCGAGATAGTCTCGAGGAAAGACGTATTCTGGCTTCGACATCTTGAACCTTGGGAGTGTGTAAACAAAACTTCGAATTTTGAAAATCGAGAAAGAAATGAAATTTGCAATGTTAACGAATGGTTAATTGAGCCTGAACGATCAAGGATGATGGTCTAGGAGCCGATTATATATATGCATGCAGACTGGCAGACCTCGGGAGGTATTAGTAGTAAGTAGTGGCGGTAAGTACCTAAGATGCATCTCCTTAGCACAGGTGGCTTGGTGGGGGCTTGTTTGAAAGCGCATAAAGACTAAGAGGTGCGAAACCTGCAGCGTAGCCAAAGACGGCTGTCATCGGAGGCTCTTACGAAATACTCTGCCCTCGAAAGAAATCCCTCATATTACTTGATGACTTCCCGGCCGACTAGCTACTAGTGATCGCAGATCTCTATCTCTGGCCAAATGAGTCGGGACGTAGATCCTTGTCTGCGGGGTCAATGACAAGGATAAAATCTTGATATGAGCTGTTTCAGTTGCGGGTCTATCATTGCACGCTCCGAGTTCCAACATACATAGCCCCCAAAATATGCCAGTACCTATGTATGTTCAGCCCCGCAAACATTCAAGCACCTAAAGACCAGTGAGTCTAGCCTGCACCGCTCCAATGTTGAAGATGCGTGGCAATATCGAATATGTTGGCAGACAGGAGCATATAATGCTCACGTTTACTTCGACTGTTTGCTAAATACCAGCTGGGAGCTTGGATGCTTTGAATGGTTAGCGGCAGAAAATATGATAGATAGGATCAAGGCGAGCGTTGCAACTTGAACTCACCTGTGGCATTGTCTAGGTTTATCTGGGAGAGATATATCAGACGAACAATGCTCGTGATGCACACACTGTATATTTTTTGTCAGTAAAGTCCCAAAAAATGCCTGTAAAGTTTTTAAAGCAAGATGACAGTTATGCGAACTTACAACCCTCCAAGACAAAATACTCCAGACAGGAGTAACCTCTGTTGGGAACTCATTTTAAGCTTCCATACGAGCGGTTGCGGGAGACAGAGAAGAATCAAGTCCAACACAATATCGAGCACTCCGAAGGAAACCCCAGAATGGCACTACATCAATACTTGTAGATGGTATCCATACTTTCCATTGTCCGTCGATTGGGTTGTTGGCGAACATTAACCCACATTCACCGATCACGAAGAAATCGAAGATCAAGAAGCCCACAACCCAAGACGCAATGCGAAATAGCTTTTGGATTTTGAAAATACGTTGGTAAAATAGACGCATAGATACTTTTGAAAATGTGACGCTCGCAATGTATAGCATGTCACCGGCCAGAGTGATCTAGTTGATATTAACGCCGTTCAATCATTGTTCTTACAGAAATCAATGTTTTCCCGGGAAATTAGAACGAATTAAAGGGTTCGGGGGAACCATACTTGAAGGAACTTTGCCAATGTCGTCATACTGTATAAATCAATATTATATCCACCACGGCCAACAGTGGCATCGAGGACCGAGGCTATAAGGCATCCATATGAGAATGCCAGCGCGCCAAGGCAGGCCCAATCATCCCATTTCACCGCAAAAGTGAGAAGTCGCGAGACTAATCGCAATCCGATCGCAAGGGTGGCCAAGAAAGTGAATATCGATACGACAATCACGTAGACCTCATGATTATGACTGATTTGTTTGGCATCAAACCTTGGGACGACATGGCGAAAGATTGGCCTTTGTTGTGTTTGGAAGCGAGAGACAAACATAGAAAAGCAAAAAAGACACTCGAAGGGGCGTTAAAAAACTAATAAAGAATTAGACAGTCTGGACGTAATTAACAAGTCTGGGTCCAAATGGCCATGAATAATTTGGGGGCGCTCGGGAGTCCAATACGCAATCAACTGTCTGTGCTTACCTAGTTTATGTTATTTTCAAACCACTAGAAACAAAGGCGCATATGCCTTACCACGATAAGTTCTTATATATGAGGGGGGCCAGAGAAGAGCGAGAAAGGTTATTTTGACGCCCTCAACATATGCACACATACGTACTATAATACATACAGTATATATGTACTTGGTAAATGTCAGTGTATAAAGTTTGTCAAAATTATGCATTCAATTTTGGCTCGAAGTTTAAGCTATAGGCTTGGCGCGTGTATGCGAATTGGCCTGAAAGCCCGAAGTCCCTTACACCCCTGGTGAGATGCGAGATCTATATTGACTCATGAACAATGATTTATCATGCAGTAAATACCAAGAGCATTTTAACATATTGTCAATGCATCTTTTGAACGGGTAAGGCGGCAACTCCCTCGGGTCTTAGGCCATGAACATGTCCCTCACATTTTAGCCCCTCACACTAGGGCGTGCTGTACAGCCTCCTAGGTACATATAAAGGTAATATGCGTTTCAATTGCGTTCTAATTCAAGTTACAACTTGAAGTTACCATCAGTCGAGAGTAGAAAGTCATTGCCACAAAGCAATAAGCTACGATATAAAAAGCGGTACAAGCAGGGGAAACGTAGGGAAAAGAGGAACCCGCTAATGTATCATTCAATCGTATATCCTGTATATTGTAGTTCAATGTTTCCCAAGAGCAAGAAAAACCCCTAAATGAATAAGCCGAAATTTCGTCCTACATGATGGTGTTTATAGATCTCGGTATTTCACTAGTCAAGGCAGATCAAGCCAAAGAATATTCTATGAGTGCATGTATCAGGGGCAGGGGATGATGTAGAAGAGGGTATTATCGTAGAGGTCGACGTAATAGTAAGGGTGCTAGTGGACTTGTCCCAACACCCCCAGAAAACTCCTGGAGTGCTGCAGGTAGAGGATGCCGGCGTTGAGCCAGTGGCGGTCGTGGTTGTCAATGTAGGATCATGACACCCAAACCACCCAGGATCATGGCAGCTTGTTGAAGTTACAGCCGGATTTGTTGGCATGGCAGTAGGCCCCGGAGTCGCTGGTGGCATGGTTGTAGTCGGGTCTTTACATCCAAACCAACCTGGAGTTTTGCATGTAGATGATGTGGTAGTGGCAGTGGCAGTGGACGTGGATGATGACGTGGTGGCTGCAGTAGTGGTAGTTGGGTCGTTGCACCCGAACCAGCCTGGTGTTTTACAGGTCGAAGTCGAAGTAGTAGTAGTGGTAGCGCTCGTAGTAGTGGAGGTTGTCTCATCAAGACAGCCCCACCAGCCGGGGGTTTCGCAGGTCGCTGTCCGGGTAAATGTAGGTAATGTGGTCGTTGCAGTCGTGGTCGGTGTATTTTCAGAACCATTGCTGCGGAAGAATTTCCAGAGCACGCAGTCATAACATTCCTCTTCCGGTGCGCACCCTGGAACATCGTCATAGGCTTCTAAAACATCTGAAATGACACTTTTGATCTTGTGGGTGCCAATGCCGACGCGCCAACCCTTATCAGCCACTGTATCGTATGTACACATCTGGCCAGTGTGACAAGCAGACTCCATTGCATATCCGCCCCATGTGCAGACAGAATTTATCCCATTACATGTTCCCATGTACACCGGATCTGCTGTATGTCCGAAATGATAGGCCCCCGTGTATCGCCGATTCTGTGGGAACCGTGGATCTTCACCGGGTGGGGTCGGGAGACCCAGGCGAGCCGCTGGAAGAGCCTCAGGGATAGCCTCAAAGGTTACGACGGGGAGCCCAAAGGTCAAGCCCAACAAGCTAGTCATAGCACCTCCCAGAGAATGGCCAGTCAACCAAATGTTGGATTTGGGATAGATTGCAGTCACGTTGGAATAAAGATCGATTGCGGCCTTGTAATACCGGTTCTCATCGTTCATGGCTTCGACAATGCAAGTCAAATTCGCTGTGTACGTCGTATTTTGACAATCACAGACTTGTCTCCACAAGTAAGAACCTCCTTGGCCGCAACAACAGCTGAAAAAAAGGTTGTCATTATTCTTGTCATTCGTAGTGGTACCTGCACCATCGAAAAGCGCTGGTGAGGTCCCTTTCAGCGAAATAACAATTGTTTTATTTGTTTGATCGGAGTAAATATGACCCCTTAGCCCATCTCCATTCCATCCAAAACTATTTGAATAGTTGAAGCCGCCATGAATAATCTGCCAGTCTTCGGTACCAGGCTCCGCAATATAGTCATTTGCAGTCATTCTGGCAAGGGTTAATACCGTCTCCTTGTTGCTGATATTTGGGCCGGGGAGCGTGTCCAATACCCATTCCAGCGGCGACGAGGCTACCATAGTTCCGGAGAGCCGTGCTGCTGCTAGGCGGTCCTCCATTGCTGATACGCGACGATCGGCCATGCGTTGTATATCAAGAGGACTTGATAACGCGATCAAGGGATTCGATGCTGTGATATATTCCTCCTGGTAGCCATCGTCCGAAAGAGCCACCAAGTGGGTGCCAGGGCGTACATCTAATCTGGCGTGGATCTCACCGTCCTTGGATGTGTCACGATGGAATATGTGGCGCAAGGTAAACTCGTGGCTACTTGGAATAGGGCTTAAATCTTCTAATGGTCTCTGCGGCGGCAAAAGAGGAGCCTGGGGATGGGAACTGGCCGACCCCGGTTCAGGAAACAGCACAGCTAACAATATAAAAGTGGTCAAACTGGTTATTCCAGACAGCCAGTCCCAGGGTTGTGAGCGTAGGTAAAACATAACAGGGGCGATGCGTGTAGATTCGATTCAGAAGAAGCTTGTGTTGATGCAGATGTGCTCGGTCGGGCGGAAAGAATAGCAGTCGTAAACTCGGGACCAGCCCGGCCAGTGTACGGGGGCAGAACGGAAATGACCAGCAAAAGAAACTAGCTCAAGGTTGCCCCGTTCCCCTAGTCAATATAAACGCGTTAGTGAGCTTCTTCTCAATGGTGGGTGTATGGTGGGATCTAGAGAGCGAGGGAACAAACCAGTGACGTAAGGGTTCTTTCAGGAGCGAAGAAACGGGCGACCGGTGGATAATATCTAATGGCTAAGCGCCACTAGGCAAAGCAAGTGGTAAAGTGAGGTGTGAATATGTACGTAGAGGTGTGGACTCTCAGATCCCTCAAGCGGTTGATGAGCTGTGAGTGTTGGGGACATGAGGAGATGATGCGGGCCGGGGGCTGATCGGGGTCCACGGGTGTGTACTAGCACCTGATAGGAACGGTACCTACAGTAACTCCACCTTCGACTGATGATATTGTTTGTCTAGTTTGTCTCGTTTGTACTTCAGGTTTTGGGCGGTGAGGGTTGGCAAATTCGCTCATATTAAACAGGTAAATATAGATACACACATGAACGAGGACGCTTCAGATAGAAAACACAAAGAGAGAGAAATGAATCACTAGATCTTCAAGAAGATTCCTCCAGATCAATCCATGTGGGTGATGATTCTCCCCCAAAATGAAGGTTTTTCAGAGTTTGTGCGACTCCCTTCCTATGTTCATTGGCCTGCTGAAAGAATTGCTTCGACTTGTCCACTTCCAATCGTCTTCTGTCCATTGCAAGCCTTTGCACATCCGATGTTCCATATGGGCTGTTTGGAGAATTCATATGCATTTCGTTCATGTTGCCTTCAGAGGCGAGAGGCATATCCGAAGAAGAAATCAGCAGATCACCAATCCATAACGATACCATGCCCCGCAATTGAAGTATTTCTGGCGAATCTGAGTATGGGGGCGATCTAACGATAGAGTCCATACGTATTGCTATCTTCTGTGCTTGTTGCAGTTCCTGAGATCGAACGGAGGCGATAAGAGCCTGCTTTTTATCCAGCTCCCGAGTTTCAGAGTCAAGATCTTCCTCATCAAAATCTTCTTCAGAGGAATTTTCCCAATTCTCGATGTTGTATCTTGCAACCTTGCTTTCCTCTTGAGCGGTATAAATCCACAGCCCGAACATGACGGGATAGAGAGTGAGAGCAGAGACGGGGCTCGGGGTCAATCGTAAGTAGGGATGGTGCAGAATCAGTCTATCGTAATAATCTTTTGCTTCCTCGACCCCCTTTCTGGTGAATGGTAAAGACATGTGACCATCCACATTTAATTTGTTGAATGGGATATCACCCTCGAGTCCTCGTCGCAGCAGGATCTCCGCTCCAATTCCCCATCGGCAATCGCTGTGCAAATCCAAAGGTAATCCTTGAAATTCTTCTCGCAGTAGGAGGCCCCAAGCTCGTCCAGCCCGAGCGAAGTCCCCATCTAGCAGGCAGGTGTGAAGAACTGTGTTCAGTGCAACCAAATGCTGTAGATGGAGGTCGTCTCTATTACTTAGAGAGTTCTGAGGGTAATAGACGGGAGTTGACCACGGTGACAAATCTTTCAAACGCAGCTCAGGGTCCTTATCTTCACCAGATGATACCGCAGCAGGTCCATGGGGATATTTTTTGCCCTTTGGTAACTGCTCATCGACTGAAAGACCGGCAACTCGGTATTGGTGAGCTTCGTTGGGTGTGAGGGTAGGAGCTTCGCTATCAGACCTGACGTACGTCACTGATGCAGCGTCAGTCGTTGTTCCTCCGTCCCCTTCTGTATCAGTCAAATCAACTCTTTTTCGTTTCTGCCGTTCATAATGAGCTATTCGAGGGCTGGGCGTCTGCAGCCATTGAGGGAAAGGTAGTGAAAATGGTGGAATGGACAAGTCAGACAGAATATCCTGGTCAAACTGGTCGGATTGGTCGGGCTGATCAGGCGAAGCTGATCGTTCAGACATTTTAGGCGCCATGAACCAGGGTTGGAACATGTACGAGTCTCATTAGAGCATTTTCATAGAGATGTGCAAGAGGTTTCAATATTTCCTTTCCCAGGATAAGTCTTTGGACAAGCGTGCAAAGGCGGTCAATCGAATTTTTGAAAACGGGATGCTCGCGATGGCACCGCACATATAGAAATGGAGGACAAGTTGACTACTAATAAAAAAAAGTAAAAAACTTTGACAATCCTCTGTGCGGAACGATTCCAAGGTTAACATAAAGATAAGAGCTTGAATGGGTGAGAGCGATTGTGGTCTGGATGAGTTGATACAGGGAAGAAAGCTAGTCGGCTAAATCTCTATTGCCTTCAGCAAGTGTGGCCGAGGGGTTAAGGCGGTGGTCTTAAGTTCCGACTTTCCACCACTTCTGTTTCAGATCGCGCGTTCGAATCGCGTCGCTTGCAATGTCTTATTTTTTTATTTTCTGAAATAAACTTGTCGTAGAACAGTTACAGATTTACGAGATAATAATTTGATGCTACTTGCTGAAACCGATAGTTGGTTTCAGAACCTCTATAGATCACTATACATCAATAAATAAGAGATAAACTTATACTACTGTAAATCTTATCAAAGATATAGCTATTAAGTTATTTATTATTATAAGGAACTAGTAATCTTATCTTGTGAACTCGAGTGCCTTTTATACATTTATCTTTTCTTTTTGTTGTCCTCTCTCTTTTAAGGTTCTACCCCAGATTGCTTCACGTGCCTTGGGCTGACTAACGACTAACCAGATGACATCGTCGCTTCTCTGGCGCAACCTGGACATTCCCAAGCTTATTAACCCTGCCATGAAGTGACCCCCGTCGCAGTTCGACTTTCCCTTGGCCTTGTTCATATCGCAAGATGATGCGCCCGCGCGATCCGCGTATCCGACAACGTATAAATCAGATATCTCATAATATCGAATCGGCCAATGAGTCCGCCCAGGAAGGACTATACGCCTTTTCGCAGAATTACATTTCCCCCTGTCTATCCAACATTGCAACCTGTATCAGCGCATGCACGGCGCCTTGTATCTCAAATCGCGACGATCGGCTCCGGCGCCGGCGCCAGGGACATGCCGAGGCCAACTTCGATTTCTACGATGACTGGGATAACACCCAAGAAGAAGATACCTTAGTAGGATGGGGCACCGGTGAACTAGACCGTCTTCTCGCTGGAAGTGGCTTGACTCGCTCCACCGACCAACCACGGCGCCCGCGAAGTATGAGTTATGGTACAACACGTTACACAAGGAGGAATACAGTCCATCTCCCGGATGATCAGAGAGACCCTACGGTTATTCCAAGTTCAGCCTTGATTGGGTTCCTAGAGCGCTTTCCCTGGAGATTTGGTGCCAAGGGAGTTAAATATCGTCCATCGGCAGCGGACTTACAGGATCATCCGGGTGGCTCTCGACGCTATGCACATGAAGATGAGCCCTTGATGGAAGATACCGAGGAAGATGGGGGGCGGGTACCGTACGGTAATAAAAGGAATCGAAGTGGGACAGAGTCGTCGCGTGGTACCTCCAACTCCTTTAGCTCACGTGGGGATTTATTTCCAAGCGATGAAGAAGACGCAGTTCCACTGGATGATGAATTTGCCTTTGCCTTTGGACGTCGTGAAACAGGTCTGGAATCAGATGATCAAGCATCAAAGTCCGAAATAGTGATATCTACTTCCAGTACGTCCAGTTTGGGAGATACGTCTTCGAAAAGGTCAAACCGGAAGAAAAAGAACGAGAAACAAAGAAGGCGTCCCTCAACGAAATCACTAATAGATGCGGATCAGCAAGTCATGCATGGCGTTGGCGATTCATCAATGGCATCTTTGAAAAGAGAGGAAGACCAAATAGCACTTGATGAGGAATCTGCCATTACATTGAAGCGTGTCGCTGCACAAGAATTGGCTGCTAAACGCGGTCTTGATCCAGCGAAGCCTAATATGGTACGGCAATGAACTTCTCATAATATGCTACACCGAAGTACTTCAGGGCTGACTTTCCATGCAGCTTGCATCGCCCTCGAATTCAAGGGAAGAGATGCCTGTGACAAATTCCACTCAAAGGCCCGTGCCGAAAATCGAAAATTGATTGGTAGATCACCACAGTCAATGGCCTGTTGAGCCGCTGGTTCTGCAATCAACTAATACTGGACCTTAGTCGACATGAACGCCAACGCGATGTGATCCAGCTCACTAATGTAATCTTGGAAAGAGCAATGATGAAAATGACAACTTGATGAACATAATGATGAAAAATATACCACCAATATACGCCTAACCTAATCGAAACTCAATTATAATATGCCTGCTCCGTTGAGACCTTTCAACTCCGAATATGACTATGTGCAAATTTATAATATCTTAACATTCACTTAACCACCGAGAACAGTCCACCCCATGATGGCCACCCAGCCCGCGACGAAGATTGCCGTCAATATTCCAGCCCCGGCTCTATCTCCCGTTGTTATGGCTGAATCAGTGGAAGTGCTTGCACTCGTGTCATTTTCACCAGCGGTAGGATTGCTTGTACTGTTACCGCCCGTGGTGGAAGTGACTGGCGCTGAACGGTCAAAGGCGATCATGTTAGCCACGAAAATATTCGTAGCGCTTATCTGTTCTTCCATGCCAATCAAGCCATCATACTCCGACTTATACCAAGTCACTCCGCATGTATTGTTGTTGAGGCCCGTACAGGATTTAGCAGCTGCCTGGGCAGAGGTTTGAAGGACGGGTAAGATCGTATCATAGGTCGATGGAACCAAGAGAGCTGTGAAGGACAGCCAAGATGATACGAGTCCTTTGAATAGGATTTCATTGTCGTTGCAGCTTGCACTTGGCTCACATAACTTTTCCTCCAAGATGTCGTCAGTGAGAAAGTGGTCGAAGGTCTTGTTCAATAAACCGTTGACGGCCTCGAGCCAGACTGTGCTGCCATTGGTCTAGGTAATTCATATTAGTTATTGAAGACAAATCAACCTGCGAATATATTCGTTCAAAGTTAGGATGCAACTCACATAGTTGTACATATAAGCAGCGCCCATCATATATGTACCGTAATTGTATGACCATTGATCATCACCCTGGGTTTTACAATTGTTCGTAGTGTCGGTAGAATCGGCCACATTCCAGGTTGTGTTACTGAGCAAGGGCGAGGATACGGACCAATCCCAGATCTTCTCGGCCCAAGTGGCATATGATGCCGTGTTCGTATAGCGTGCAAGGCGAGCCGCTAATTGGAACAGTCCACCATTGGAGATGGAGTTTTTCATATCGTAGCCAGATTCGTAAGTCCAAATCTGCCACCTAAGACCACCATCACAACTAGTTGTATCCCATTCTTTGATTTGATAGTTATAGACACCCTGTGCGAGGGAAAGCCATGAGTATCCGGATCCAATATTGGGGGCATCGGCGAATTTCAGCTCGGCTGCGGTCATGGCGGCTAGGCCCCAAAACATCTGGTCATCATTTCCCTTTGTCCAATAGTTAGTACGCAGAGCGAAATTGAGTAGGTCATTTTGAATCTCACAATCCAGGAGCTGTAATTGGTCGGCAAATAATCGTTGTCACCAGCCTGCCATTCCAAACCGACCCGAAGTTCATCATTGTAAGTTGTGTCCCCTGTAAAATGCCAATACTGTAGGAGGGCTAGGAAGAGAGCTGAACCCTCCCACCATTTTGTAGGAAAGGAACCGGGGATATGGCCTGTTTCATTGCCATGGTAGTAGGTCATCATAGCGTAAGTTGTAGTGCTGGCGGCATCTTTGATCGACTCTATTCAAGGATTGCAAGGTCGTCAATATCAGGAAAGTGACATCAAGTTCACATGGGAGGGGGGAAGATCAACACACGTTCATCAGTGATATCTAATTCAATAGCAGATATCGATCCAGAGAAAAGAAGGGGGATCAAAAGGCCCCTCAAAAGGGTCCAAGATCCCGACATATGCATTTTGGAGTCGATGAAATTTCCCAGCGCCCCAGAATACTACAAGCAGTTGGCCGATCACCTGGGCAGAATCGGATATCGATAGCCTTATGACGCTTGTCGTACTTCCTCTTTTTTTTGATTTGATTTGTCCTGTGTTGAGAGCAGGGAAAGGGGGGGGGGGGGTTCTCAAGCAGTCGAATGGAGAATTTCCCTTTGCAAGAGCGAAAAACAGGAGTGGATGTGCCATTTCGCGCCATGGGGATAAATATAGTGTCTGAGCATGCGTAATCCTCGGCGCTAGCGTCGTAAACCTTTATTGTGGAGATCGGCTATGTACCTTCATAATTCAACTAGTGGGACCAATCAGTGGGCCGCCAAGCTTTAGGCCAAGCTTTTTCTGGGATACCGGATCGGCATCTCTGCCAAAATTCAAGGTTACCAGTAGAAGCCGGCCTTGGAGTCACCGATTCTAATCGTGTAGACCCGAGAGAAACCTGTAAACTGTACATTATCCAATCGTCAGACATTTATAGAGTTGCCAATCAGCTATCTCGCCGGGAATTTGACGACGAAGCTTTGTGATACTGTATTGGCTATATCTTTTTCCCTCCCACATATTTATACTACCTCATACATAATGAGGTCTACTAACTAAGTCAAAGAGAGTTTTAGAGGATAGAAAAGGTGTAGTTACATTGCACCTTTCTTTGGTGGGGCAGGAACGTGTTTTTTTTTCTCCCTTTCAATTCTTTCCCACAAAGGGGCACTAACTTGCGGGAAGAACGGGTAGAACAGCGTGTGGATCAAGCAACCATGTACAATACGATGCAAAGCGGGGGCAAATTAATTAAAGGCTACATAGTATTCGATAAGGCTATCTCAAGATTGATTTCTTTAAACCCCAGGGCTGAGTTTTCATATTAAGCTACAATGAGTATTGTATAAGACATTCTCAGCATAGAGAACAAACATTACTTTGATTTGGAGTCTTTGGATATTGACAATTACAAATCTATATACACTGAGAACAACCTTTCGATTTTCCTCCGCTAAGCCCGAAGACGATCTGCCTCGGATGTTTCATCTTCTTTCAAAGAAAGATTTTGCAGACAAGGCGCATAAAACAGATTCCCCCGCCACGCACCTAGAGCTGTGTGGGAAACAACCAACGCCCATAATAGTAAGACAGCACCACTTAGAATCTGAGAGAGAGAGAAAACCCACCCATGTTAGAAACGTTTCGCTAGAATAGATGAAAGGGGAGATGAGCTCATACCGTGCCAAATACTTTGAAAAACATAAGATCAAGTTCCTTTCCTAACTCCATTGTATTCGCTGCATATACTCCAAGCGGAAAAGTAAAGCCCCACCAGCCCATATTAAAGGGAAATGGGGAGCTATAGATAACAGTCGCAAAGGCAAAGACAAGCCAAATCAACCCAAAGCTCCACATGAGCAAGGATATCAAAACCCCCAGGACATACATCATGGACCCTGCAATAGGGTCCAGTATATCCGAGCCATCTAAAAGTTGCCGTGCAACTTTTCCGATATAAATTATACTGGAAACAATCAGTATGTGCTCATTTGCTTTTAGGGCGATATCAGGTGAGAGGGTATAAATCATTTGAGATGTCTCTTACCCGAAGCCGCCAAATCCTAATGGGCCTAGCGGTAGAAAACAGCTCACGATCGCTTCCCGCGGAGGCAACTTATGCACTGCCAGTCGCTGGTAATACATGACAAGTACTGCAAGTGCCAACGGAGTCCCCATTCCCCAGAGAACAAAAGAAGCAAGGAGGGTTCCCAACGCATGAATCCTATCCGGTAGAATATTCGCAACCTCCGCGCCCGCCCCTGCTGCAACAATAGTTGCAGCTATAGGAAGCAGTTGAAGCGCTGTGATCCGATCCAAAGAAGTGATATATCTTTGCGACATCCTAAAATTGTTCAATCAGCTTAGAAGATGACGGTAGGTTCTAGATCAATGTAGCCCACAGGATGAATGATAGGGACAATGTCACTGAAGCTGCAGCGATGACATCGACAATCCATAAAGCCCATGCCAAAGATGTTGCCCAAGGCCCCCAGCGGGGAACACAAACGAAAACCCACATCTCAATTAATGTAGCGAAACCCATGGGTATGGTTGCTAGAAATAAAGAATTTGTTGGGTCTTGGATCATGACCTTCCAAATTTCCGGATATAGGACATATCGCAACACAGAGGTGATGAAGGCAAGAGTAAAGATAATCACATTCAGTACAAAAAACACAATAGATATGTAGTAGAGAACAGGAGACTGGAATGGAACTGAATTGAACAATACAGAGACAATCCCCGTGCCCATTGTCATGGCGAACCACCTATATTTCTGTTGAGTGGATCTGGCAGTGTATGGGTCATGTAGGGTTTACGTACGATGGGCTGAAATTGCGGACCACTCGTCTCCAGCCAACGTTATACTTTTCAGGCCCTTTAGGCACTGTAACTTTTTTCTTTGCCATAATAAAATCCGAGTATTTCGAGTCGCGTACGTATGAAAAGACGATGGGAAAATGAGTTGAAGAGTTAAGATCTGATTTCGGGAAGCCTGCGGAGGGAAGGGGGCGGATTTCCTCGGGCAACGCCGATGGTGGATCATCCCCGCGGCGGGTTCGCCTGGTTCGATTTACAGCCGAGTCGGCCGAATATGGATTTCCAGTGTATGTAGGAACATTTTCAGGTACAAGATTACTCATAGCTACCTCGGGATTTCTTGCCCCTATGAGGCTCTTCGCGTCCCAGGAACCAAGGCACCTTCTCCACCCCCAGGATGATCCAGGATAATGTAATATTTGGTATACAAAGCTTAATCAGCTTGTTGAACATACACATGTCCATTTTTGAACGAATATGGGTATGTATATCTATGATAACACCCAATCAAAATATAACGCCAGCAAATGGAAGCTTCTTTAATGCATACAACAGTTTACCATGCACCCACAATACCCGCAATGGGAATGTCAATGCCGCTTGTGTATGAGCTCGAGTCACTGAGGAGGTAGACATATGCACCACCCAACTCACGTGGGTCAGCCAGACGAGGCATACCACCATAGTACTGCATTTTGAGATCCCAATCAGGCGCAGTCTCGACGTAGTATGTCATCGCAGTGCGCACGAAACCGGGTGAGATGCTGTTAACACGGATACCATGCTTGCTCCATTCCATAGCGAGGGTATGGCACATGTTACGGACTGCCGAATGAACATTTATTAGATTGAGTATTGTAGTAAAAGTTATCTTAGGAGCTTACCGGCAGCTTTGGTTGCGCCATAAGGAGCTGAGGGCGCGGCACGGTTAGGACGATAGGAGGTCATGCTAGAAGTCATGACGATCGAGCCCTTGATACCGAGTTCGATGAACTTGCGAGCAGCAATCTGAGCACAGAAATAGGCTCCATAAACCTGAGTTGGTCAGTGGAATGTAATTTGAATCATGTAAGGAGGAGAATAATAGCGAAAATAACAACAGAGACCGAAAAGAAGAGGGAAAATCTCTAAGATACTTACATTAAGGTTGAACAACTTGTCCAGCTCAGTACGATCAAAGTTCAGAGCAGGTTGATGTTTGGTCATACCGGCATTGGCAACAATACCATCGATACGACCGGTCTCCTCAACAACCTGATTGATAGCCTTCTCGATACTTTCCTCGGATGTCACATCGGTCTGAATATACTTGAAGTTGGGATAACGCTTCTGAAGACCTGCAAAATCCTCGCCGGGTTCCATCATATCAAGAGAATAGACAGCCTTGGCTGTGTTGGCCAGACAGACCTCCGCAATACCGAGACCGATGCCCCGGTTGGCACCAGTGATAGCAACCACTTTCTGGTTAAGGGTAATTTGCCAGCTAAAGTCGTTGTCTGGCATGGTGCTAAGGTAGGGAGCAGGGGTTTCAGCCTTAACGGCATCGGTAGCGTTGGTAGAGGGCGCCATTGTGTGTAGTATGGATGTGTCAACCAGAGGGAACGTTTAGATGCGTGTTTTGCGACGTGAGGAGAAATTTGCAATAGGGATACTACCCAGAGGCTTTAATAGAACTATTTATGCCACCTAACAGGCCTCTCCCTGCCCCTCCATATTCAGTCAAGCTAGGCTTCACACTTACTTCGCGTCGAGGCTCGGGTCAAGGATTGGGATGACTAGTCTGACGTCATTGAATTGTAGGTAGGTTACCGAAGGTATTAAATCAGACTCGGCATATATTTAATGTTGCCTAGGTGGTAGGTTACGCGGCGGCGTCAATAACTACCGCTCGAATTCAGACTTGGTGAATGTATAGCTTAAACGTCTCAACCATTAGGTTTGGGGACGATATTGGGGGAAATGTCATAATAGAGAGGACATCGTGCTATGCAGAATGACTCTTGGGGAAATACTCCCCTACACGGGTAAAGTCCTTAGCCCCACATTCGATGCCTCGATACGAGATCTAGACCAAGTTAAACCAGTGAACAGGATTAAATTGTGTGTCACCACTTGCGGGGATGAATCGTTTTGATTCCAGCTTGGCTGTGTAGAGCAATGAAGAGCCCTTCAGAAAACCTGACAGGGCATGTGCCTGTCTTGAAAGAGTAAACCTTTCAAAGAGTAAACCTGGAGAAATATTTCTCTCTACTACATATGAATTCCACTTCGCACTATATGCAGATCTTTCCAGTTGTATCATCAAGCTTAGTTCACTCAAGTCAACCTCACGACTGAGGCGGGCGCTATGTCCAGCCAAGCAATATTTTTCCGGGGTTACTTTATTCTACCCCCTGCAGGTATATCTACAAATATTCTCATTTCCTCAATAGTAGTTGAGCCCTCGTTCCTTGCCATCCTCCCCCAGCAGTTCATATAGTCATATCCATTGATAATTTGAGGACCTCAAGGTCACATATCTCACATGAAATCGTCTAGGAAATCAGCATCCCGATCTTGATTATTGCTCGCTTCCATATTCTCCTCACTGAACATATCGTCGTACGCATGGTCCTTCTGCCACTTGAGTTGTTCTCGCTCCCGCTTCTCCCGCTTTTCCTTTTCTTTGAGCTGGTCCCGAGTTTTCCGTTCGCTGTTACGCTTCGTCTTGAGGAATTCCTCCTTCTCCGCTCGTAGGTCGGGGGTTTTCTCGACACGGGTCTTGTTCAGCCGGTTGACGGTAGGGTTGTCGCGTTCTCGTACTAGGACCTTGCGGACAAGTTTGTGGTTATGGAAAGAGACCTGTCCTGTCGCCATAGAGCCGTCCTTTTTGAGGTTCGACCACGGGGTATATATGATAGTTATATTATCCTTCTTGTTTCCTGGATTGAAATGTAATCAGTCCCCGTGAAGCAGTAGCAGAGGATTATGGTCGATAAGAAAAGAGAGTAGGCTCTAACCTTCAATGGAATTGGCTTTGGTCAACTGAGCGCAGTCCTCCAAGAGCTTCTCCGCAATGTTGTCCCATGTCTCTCCGTCCCGGAGGCGTACATACACGTGGGCACTGGAAAGGTTGTCGACGTGAAACTGGTGGTGCTGTTAGAGCCGCTGCAGGTAGGATACTGATCATCGGGCGGGGGGGAGGCGAACCCTATCAAGATAATTGGTTAGTCTCTCAAAAAGCCAAGAAAATAAACTTCATTCACATACCAAACATCAGAGTCCAATCCGTACTCAATCAAGTCCTCGTCTGGCCAGATGGTTAGGCTGTGAGATTCTTAAAGCGCGCCGGGTCATACAACCTACTTTCGAATTTGTCCTTGCCAACGTAAATGAAGGCCGCTGGGCTGACCACATTTGAGGTGAAGTAATAAACCATGGTGTAGTCCTTCGGCTGGCGCCCCCAAAATGACCTGGTCCGGTGGTCGTCGCTTTGATTGAATCTAAATATTTTTCGCGGGGAAGTGTTCATGGGGATTAGTCATCCATGACAATCAGACATTTGGAGGCTTTAGAGCCCCCAGCTCAGTCTGAAACTGTAACTTTCCCTTGTGCAGAGACGCCTCGAGCAGATTGAACTGCAAACACGTTAGGAACTGACTGCAGAGGGTAGACCATCGCGTTTGCCCACCTTCATCATCTCATTTTCGCCAAGCCGTTGCTTCATATTCGAGTTCGTTGTTTTTGATCAGTGCCCCGCGGGCGATTCGGGGAAAGAGACCACTATGCTCGTTTAGTTTTGCTGCTTTTTCACGCCTCTCTCCCACAACTTTTTCACGATCTCAGCTACCATGGCAGCTTCATATCCGAGCCCCGCGATTCTACTTAAACTACTGAGTGGTCCGACATGGTCCTTAACCCGCAACCTCCGCAGCACAAACAAGAACGAGATCAATGGCCAGCTGCTCGGCACCGCCACTTTTACCAAACTTGTTGCCAGCGATGAAGTCCAGGATTGGCTGTACACCGAGAGTGGTCAATTCCCCACCTCGTCAGCACTTCCACCTGCATTAGCAGGAATGGCAAGTGCAACATGGTCGAAAAAGTACATTTGGCGATTGAGCAATGCGCCATCTGAACTGAGCGCATGGTTTGTGAAAGTCGGATCTGCCAATGAGGCCGACTACCTATTTCACAAATTCGATTTTGGATCCGATGCGAACATTTCAATCAACAGCGCCGAGCAATACGCTGCACCTGTTCCTATTCTCCCAGAGGGTATTCAGAGTGATCAGACACGTGTTCTCCAGGCACGTGGGGATCACCTGTGCATCAATGATATGTATCGAACTTCATATGCATTTCGCTTTCATCGAGACACGAATGAACTACTGAGCTGGTCGAGTCTTCATGTGGTGCGTGGACCAGCAAAAAGTCAAGAAATCACGAATCACTATATCCCGCAATGATATCGATACAGAGCCAGAACAGTGAACCCTGATTGGCCTCACCAACATTATAAGAATGATTGTATGATCAAAACGTTAATTAATTCAAGGGTCTGCTAAAAGTCTAAAAGTGCAGACATGTCTATTTAAAGGTCTCCTCTGTAACGGCCCACGGGCCAGGCGGCACCTTCTCAGTCCATTCTCCACGAGGTGGTCTCCACAGCAGCAAGATTCCAGGCGGCTTACATTCATGAATCAACCTGAGCCATTCATCACTTGGATTGGGCTTATCGAAATCCACATGTAGACCCATCACCCTCTGATACCCGTATTCTTCATATAACCAGCGCCCAATCGGACTGCCCTCGATAAAGCTTTCGTAGCCCAGCGGATCAATCCTCTCATGTCCCCACTCCATAAGAAGCCGCCCAACGCCCCGACGGCGATAATCTGGGTGAACGCCCATAGCATTGACACCAGCATGAGGGCGCTGAAGCCAGGACTGCCGCGGGAAAAAGGCTTGACTAAGCATGCATTCTGCGTAGGCGGCTCGTTCGGTTCCTTCGGGGTACCAAGTACACTTAATGGGTTCTGGCCCATTGGGGAACGGGTTTTTGTGGAAAATAAACCATTCACAACCACCGGCAACTCGGCCGGTTTCTTTGTCGATCACATAGATTAGATGAGAGAAGGGATTCTTGGTGCTAGCATTCCAACGGATTTCGGTGTCCAGGGCTTTGTCGCGTACACGGTCCTCGGCAGTGTGGCCACTGATTGGGTGAACGGCTGTCCAGACAGGACTGAGGAGGTTAACAATTAGCAATGATGGAGTGATCGGACTCAGTGTAGTATGTGCCTATATAACGAGGAAAGGGAAAAGGAAACAATGGAGGCTTACTTGTAAGGATTGAAATTGGCAGCCCAGAGGACATCAACCAGCCGACCGTATTCTTCTTTGGTAGGAATCACTGTCACTTCAAATTGTGAATCTGCCATGGTGAGAGGTATGAAGGGGGAGCGGGGTGGTTCAAGTTACATAGGAGTGAGGGGAAGAAAACTAAGTTCAGTACGGTAGGGGGGAAAGGGGGTACATTAATAACATGATGTTGCAAATTATGCATGGGACGATTTTAATCATTAATCTTCTTATCAATTGAACACGTAGACTCGGATAGAGCATACTACATTCAATGCTCGACCACCTGCTACCTCCTTGTGTATCTACGTTCTGATGGTGGTTTGTTAAAACAACCGTGGATAGTGACTATATAGTCCATGCTCAGATCAATTGACAACAACAAATTTCCCTATCAGGACGAAAGGGTCATTGACATACAAACGATACGGTATCTATGTACCTATAGACACAAATCGACAATTGAGGTCGAAAATTGAGTCGCAGACGCTTATCCAACTCCCTTGTTTACTGTAATACCAGCACCCCAACATATGGCGCGGGTGATAACACTAGTAGTATTCAACAACTTGAATCCATAGTTCGTCGAGAAGGACAAATTACGATACTCGAGTTCACGGAAATAAAGGATGGCATTCGAGAAATAGAGCAATGGATCATATATTGGAGATGCTTCAAGGGTATAATGGCAAATATGGTCCATTTGGTTATCGGCTCGGCAAAACACTTTGCAGCAGTAAAGCGTCACTAGCTCGGTGGTGTCGCGTGGCAGTAAATCGATTCAATGGGAACTGGATCATTATTTGAATGATCTCCAGGATTCAACAACGTGTTTCGGCCGGTGCAATCAGGGCCACTGCGGTATCCCAGAATATTAACGTCAATATCGGGAGGCTCTTGCGTGAGAACTGGGCAACTTACGTGAACACGCGACAATGCTTTTTCACTGACACGGTGAGGACTTCCCTGTAGACGAGTTTCTATCAGCTCTGCCGCTTGAAATTCGAAAGAGAAGAGAAACATTGTTCCATAGCGACATACTCTTGCTCTACTGCGTGGCAGTCATCCAATGGGACATCAATACCCTTGCTGTTGTCGACAGTTTCGATACCAACCTGTAAGCCACGTCAGTATAAGCAACTATTTGATATTGCATTATGATGTTATATATTCACCATTGTGCGCTTTGTATCCTTGACTGCGGACACCGATAGGAGCATGAAGCTCAGCACGGTCAGTTGTTTGAGTCCATACATCTTGTACGTCAGAGGCCAGTGGTGACAGAATGAAGATAAGTAACTGCATGAAGCAAAGTGGCCATGGGAAGAAAAGCTCATCAGAAATAATTCATGCGTAACCCCCTTGCGTTCATTGTTTTGGCTAAAAAGAAAACAGGGGGACCCCTTCGTGCGGCCTCGGCATCTCTAGGGATCGGAATGTCAAGCCTTGTTTGTCCCGTCGGTATCTACCATCCTTAGGGATAAGTAAACCTTATACTGTATGTGGATTCAGGGCTTGCCGCATCGCCTTCGAAGTTCTTAAAGAGAGAGATTTCATTCCGATCTGTTGTATCTCGAAAATGCCCAATATTGAACGGAGACAAATAGAAATCGATTGCTGCTACCTACGCACATCATCGGTGGCACTGCAGTACTAGTATTTAGTCCTAATAATCGATATATATTGGCCCTGAGCTATGGCGCTATGTAGGTAGGATCGAGTGTATCAACATTTGAATGTCAAACTATCAAGCAAGGGTTCATAACGATCTGTTTCATAACCCCAAGGTTCTCTGCCAAAAGTAGAAAAGCGACAAAGTCTCATTATATTAATGAATAAATCCATATTTCATACTCTGTTCTTGGATAGCTCGCCGCATAACATGAATTGGCGCTGGTCGCTTGGTAAACAATTCATACTGAGCGATACCTTGTTCTAGAAGCACCTTCAATCCATCAACCATTACCCATCCCTTCGAAGATCTTGAAAGCATTTGTTCCATCAGAGGAGTCCTAAATGGACCATACGCAACCTGTATAAATGGGTTAGTCGAATTGATTGCTCCATCAAGTACAGGAAGCCACTTACCTCGACAAAAACACCGCCCGTCCGACTTGCAAGCCAATTTTCCGAAATATTGAATACCACAGGCCCTTCATCGGCACCATCCATTTTGTATGGTGGAATACATGCAACAACTATGGTTGGGAGCCGGATGCCCTCTGGCCAGACATCCTCGACGGAACGAAGAACCTTTAGTCGCAATTCGGTACCTCTAGACTCAGCCCACTTGTGATAATAATCTACAAGCTTTTCCCCATTGGCCGGTGTTCGGTTGTATATGCAAATATGCTGTATACCCAACTCATGGCACGCATAAACTGCGGCCTGGGCCATTCCACCAGCACCGATGATTAAGGCCGAGGTTCCATCGCGAACGGCATTTGCGGGAGAAAGATATTTGTAGATACAATCTCTGATTCCAATGTAGTCGGTATTAAAGCCTTTTCGAACGATTTTCGTACCACCACTGGGTGGATATTGATGCTCGAGAACCACCGTATTCACGGCATTCATATCTCTGGCATCTGAACTTACAAAGTCCAGATAAGGTATAATCGCTGATTTAAATGGTAATGAGATGGTGATACCGCCTTGCGTTTCATCCGTTAATAGCTCTTCCACGTCAGTAATGTCTTCTGTGGGAAAGGTGTGATATGTATGAGGCAAGCCGCTAGTAGCGTAACACATGTTATGCATAGCCGGCGACAAGGTATGTTTCACGCCTTGTCCAAATATATGGAAAGTTTTTTTGCGTAGAAGAAAACAGGCGCTTAGTGCTTGCTGCGCCGCTTGTAATGTGACTCCAGTGGTACTTCTCAACGACACTGGTGACAGAGTGGGATTCAGGCATATGGATGCTCGACCCAGTGGCCCTTTATTGTACGCAATTATGGGGAGATTTGAAATCGTTCTCATATGTCGTATGAATGACAGTGCCTCTACGTGGTCATTTGGCGCTGTCGACTCTCCAGTTATTCGGAGGGCATCCAGTTTCAATGGGTCCACTTTCTTGATAAGAGCAGGAGGATCAAGGTTTGACTCAATAGATCCCAACTGTGACGGCGTATGTATTGTGCCGATGATTTTAGTGCCACCTTTCGAGAGATTAAATTTCGAAATGTAATCTGTGGTATGGTTAAGTGAACACATGATTGCATCGGGGACCATTCGCAGAATCATTTCCAGTATCTGAAAATAGGTGGTAGAAAGCGCGTATGGTGCATCTGAAATGTCGATGATGATTGGGACTCGACAGAACGTCCTCAAGGTCGAGATATGGCGTAGAAGCTGGGCTTGAATCGTGCTTGAGCTAATTTCACCAGACTCGATCACCAATATGATCGCATCAACCCCAATCTCAAGAGCTTCCAAGTCCTGATTGGGTTCATTCATCCAAGAAAGGGAGATTTGTAAAGCATATGTATTTGATGCTGAGAAAGGATTGACCGAGAAAGCTTCACGATGGGGTTTTTGAAAAACTCGACGTAAGAAGGCCACAAATACACGTTCGGTTTCTTTGAGCTTCAGGTAGGTCGGTATCCCCCGATCAGTTTGATCTTGAGTATGGTTGAAAAAGTCAAAATTGGAGCATGATTTGAAGAAAGCGTTTCCGACTTCGAATATTTTTTCAAACTTCTCTAAGCTGGCAGAAATGGAACTTCGGAGATCTGCTTCATCCCTTCGTATGTAAACAACAGGATGGGTTTGAGCAAATTCACCCAATAACACCTGCAATTGATGACTTGCGGATCCCCCCAAGCCGACGATAACGCATCCTGTAGCATTTTTGGCCAAAAGCGTTCGTGATACCTCTAGTTCAACTTCGCGGTATCGTGCTAAGCCATGACAAGCAATGAATTCTTGTGGTAAGGCCTGGGTTTCCTTTTTGAAAAATGAGTCGAATTCAATGAGACGTCTTCGCAGGGCCACGGATGCAATGATTCCAAGCGTCTTCTTGCCCGCCCCGAAAAATCCTACCAACAATATAGTAGCATTGGTGTTATATTGTCGGTGGAAGCGAAGGGCTTCGGAATACTCCGGCTGAGTGGTATCTAATGGTGTAGATGTTGCTATGCTTGGGTTGCTCATATCGCGATCTGAATCAATTTAAAGGCTGCTGTATTCGTAGCCGTTCATTTGTATTGGATTATTTGCCTTGTCGCGATTTGTCGCCGACGTCTAAATCCAAATCCAGGCCGGTTAAGCTCAAGGCCGATCACATGACTCATCCGGCTGTTCAGCGGCTGCTTCCAAGATGACTTTCGCTCTTTTCCTCAATCAAATGAAGTAAACCAAAGTGAAAGTGTAACAAAATAATATGATCAATCGCCTGTCATTCATTATTGTCTCGCTCATGAGCTCGGGTGGGCGAGCATTCCGCAACTTGAGAAGCCCATGAAAATCAGCCATGATTTAGATTTCTTATGAATGTAAATTTTGTTTTCCTTTTTTATATCTACTAGTAGGACAATGACTCAGGTTGCAATTCCAATGTTCCGCGTATATATACAGGTCCAGGTCCAGGTCCACTGAGTAGAGGCTGGTTAAGGTGAGTCATTCACCGCGATAAGATACATAAGTCCCGAGGTCGCTCTCAACCTTGTTAACCCCACCAATTTTTCGTGTCTCGAACACTCAAGCATTATTCTCTGGGCTAGATCCTCCACAACCCTCACAATGGCATCAAGAACTTCTCCATTCAATTTATCAACATGCGCTCGGTCAAATATTCTCCAATTGCAGCCTTACCGTTGCGCTAGAGAGTATGTTCTCCCCGCTAAACCCTCTCCGATGTCGCGCTAATAAATCAGTGACTACAAAGATGATGGGACGAACGTCCTCCTTGACGCCAACGAAAATGCCTATGGCCCAGGACTGGCATTAAACAACGAGGGCGCCCTTCAGACCTCCCACACCGGTAACGCGACAGGAGCCTCCAAACCGGAGATTGACTTCCTAGGCTTGAACCGATACCCCGACCCGTCAGTGATCACAATCTCCTTTTCCTGCATTGCATGATCCCTGCTATCACCCAAGTAAGACTTAGCTAACTGATTCTCGCCCTACAGTCACCAGATCGAGCTCAAGCAACTTTTCTGCAACCTCCGCAATACCCACCACCACACACAAAAAACCCTCAAGCCAGAGAACCTCTTCGTGGGCGTTGGATCCGATGAAGCCATTGACGCACTGCTACGATGCTTTTGTAGGCCCGGAAAAGATAAAATTCTCACTTGCCCGCCCACCTACGGAATGTATAGTGTCAGCGCCCAGGTGAACGATGTTGATATCGTGAAAGTACCACTGGACGCGGAGAATGGCTTCCAGCTCCAAACAGAGAAGGTCAACGCGGCTCTATCGGCAGACCCATCAATAAAGTTAGCATACATTTGCTCCCCAGGTAACCCGACCGCCAACATGATCCGCAAAGATGACATTCGCAAGGTTCTAGAGCACCCGACATGGAATGGAGTGGTCGTGGTCGACGAAGCATACATTGATTTCGCCCCAGAGGGGTCCAGTCTAGCCGAGTGGGTCACAGAGTGGCCTAACCTGGTAGTGATGCAGACGCTCAGCAAAGCTTTCGGATTGGCAGGTATCCGCCTCGGAGTGGCATATACTAGCCCTGAAATTGCTCTGCTCCTGAATAGTTTAAAGGCTCCTTATAATATTTCCAGCCCAACCAGTACCCTTGCTACAGCCGCTTTGAACGAAACCAACATGGCGGTGATGCGCAGCTACCGGGAGCAGATTATCGCACAGCGCGATCGTCTTCTCCGTGAGTTGCCACAGATTCCTGGCGTGGGGCGATTTCTGGGTGGTCAGGATGCGAACTTCTTGTTGGTGGAAATGTTGGACGTTGAAGGAAAGCCTAGCAATGTTGTTGCGTTGGCGGCATATGAGGCGATGGCAGAGAAACGCGGTGTGGTGGTTCGATTCCGTGGTAAAGAGTATGGATGTGAGGGCTGTCTGCGTATCACGATTGGTACGGAGACAGAGGTAAGTAAGTTCTTACAGGAGCTCCGAGCTGTTTTGGGCGGACTGCACGGAGGGATCGAAATCTAATCGCGATATGTCTCTGGAACGCGTCATTTGAACACATAGAATAAAAGGATCCTCACAAGCATATAAATCAAAAATCGATAGATTTCAAAACATGTGTCATGCTGTTTACAAGGAATTCCTCAATCTTAACAGAGCTGGGATATTGAAGAAGTGTTGTGCTCGTACTAGAGTTGGATTCTCCTTGAAAGCTTAAAAGGCATCTAGAGCCACGGATTTAACAGCCGAAGCTCACAATAGCTTCGATAGTTCGGAGACGAGCGGACTCCTTGTTAGGTTTGACGTGCTTGACTGCTTGGTTGTCTTGGGTGAGTTACTGCAAACCTTGGTCTCTCAGTTCTCGGATGCCAATCATCGTCTTGATTCTTGGTCAAGCACATAGGAAGGGAAAGAGGAACAGAGGCTCAGTAAATTACTGTTCATGGAACGCCAGTGAGGCATCATTGAGGATGTTGACCCGGACGCTGCCGAAGTAAAGAAAGGAAAATAATATAAAGTTTACTCCCTAGGTATCCGTGGACCTAGTATTTGGCAACAGCCTCACCTTTCTTTCCCTCTCTCTTTCTCTCTCCCATTGTGTGTCACTCAACCACAGAACCACGCACATACCAGTGAGCCCAGTGAGCCCTGTGGTGCTTATTGTACGTGTGAACCCCCGTCAAGATCCTTTCAATGTTCTACTCATCTTGAATGATCTCCCTGCTTGCGTCTTTCCCTGAGCCACCACCAACAGCCTTGGGAGATTTCGCTAATTTTCAGTCTCAAGTACCCAGCCATCTCAGCTTGATTAAGATCATTCGATTCAGTATCTTGACAACACATCCTCTCGCCTGGTAAGTATCGGATCCCCGACAACCACAGTACTCTGTCCACCCCCTCTGAACCTGAAATGCAGAAAGCTCAACCGGGCTAATCTGCGGCTTGTTTCTTCATTAGTTCGACTTCCCCCCAACCCTCAAAATGGCTGCTATTAGCCTCCCCAGCCGATCGCAGGCAGCGAGCTTCCACGCTCTCACCAAAAGAGGCAAAGGCAACTTCGCAAGCAGAAATCCCGGGGTAGTGCTCGTGTTTTGCATCGTCTTTCTCGTCGCCTTGGGAGTTGTCTCGCTATTCATCTATCGTCGCGTGCTTCAGAAAAGGGCCGAGAGGGAGAAATTTCAAATGACCGAAGGCCCCTAGTCTTCCCTTCTTTCGTCGTTGTTTTGACCTCGTCCTAAAGCTTGACACTTTGATTCCACTGGCTGGTGGAATTTGGATTTGGTCCCCGCGAGCTTTTATTGTGGCTTTTTACGGTTGGCCATGTATGTTGAAGAGGATTGAATATTAACAACTGTGATAGTTCTTGTGTCGAGTCTGCGGACTTTGCTTTGTGTGTGTTGTGTGTGTTACAATAATACCCGATGACTGAAGTTGAATAGAAAAAAAGCGGTTTAGCGAATTGTCCCTTGCTCCATGCCAAATCTCTATACAGATCAGTTTGTTGTACCTTCTTTATCATTTCAGATATAGAGTGGGGGCGTGAAGTGGGGCCTGATCTGCTTAAAGTGTGGATCAATCGATGCCCCCCCCATTGGGGATGGTTAAAAACATTTAGTCCTTCCAGTTGGGGACAAGTTCTTTTTTTGCACTATTAAATTCGTATTCGGGATACGTGATACTTGGACAAGCTTATGACTCGTGACTAACATTCACATATGTTTCCTGCTTCTCCCGTGGAATCAGCCGCCGTTTGATAGATTTTTAGCTGGGAGATTGCTTCAGACAGAGTCCACCGAGTGGAAATATCTTGAGTCAAATGATCCGCAACCATGCTAAGGGCATTTAAATAATCATCGTCTTCGAGCTTCAAATTTGACGTGATTTCTTTGAGAACCTTCCCGTAGGCCCAAGTATCATTCCATCGACGTGTTTGAAATGGAAGATCAAAGGGTGATATTTCATAACGTATCTCTGGAGCTTGCCATCCATGCGTTATTCCGCCGATACCACTAATATCAATAATGACCGCATTACCATCTTTGTCCAGAACAATATTTGGTAGCTTCAGGTCCATACGTGTTTTCTTCGCGCGATAATACTATCTAAAGCATTCCCAATTTAAACAGGCCAACACTTCCATTTGAAATCGGTGACACGCTGTTCTTTTAGAACACGTTGCAGAGAATCACCGCTATAGTATTTCAACAGGATACCATTGATAACCCTCTGTAGGTTATCTCCCTAGGAGGTTACGTATAGGTTTGTAAAGACTACAATACCAACAGGCTAAACAATACCTCTTACACATCTGAAATATTCAGGGTTCTCTAATTCTTTTTTATAGCTTCCGATCTCGTGAATAGAAAAATGGGCGATTGACTACCTTAAGTATATAGAGTGATCTATTGTGCTTATGGAAAACACGGAACACTCTATCGGTTACTTCGACCTCTTGTATAAAGTCGGTAACAAACAACTTGAAAAGACGGGCATTTAACGATCGGCAGGTATACTACTCGCATAGGATCCTCCCAGATTGAGTATCGTATATTCTTGCTAACGCGTCTAGACTAATTAGCAATTCTTGTCTCGGGGTACAGGCAAGAAGCGTTGGCTATCTCCATCTCTTTTTTCAGAATTAGTTCAGTCACAACGTCATTCAAAAGAATTGGACGCAGTATTCGAAAATTAAGCATCTTAACAAATTATTGACACTCATTTCGGTTTTCGCGTTTTGATTTATTGCAAGAAAAGAAAGAGACTGAGCCTTCTAGTATAACTTTGATCCACCATTTCTTGTCGCGGAAATAGTGAATCACAGTCTGGGAGCGTCTGTTCGGCTCCAACTTTCCCTGTCCTTTGAAATCTTGATCTTCACAATACCCCTTTAATTCTAACTCAGGGGGAATAAGAGAAGCTGCCGTACTGGGCATTTTTATGAGAGATCATATTGACAGTAATTAGTACTTACAAAGGTCGAGCTTTCATTATGATGTTGATTCAATAAATTGATTTTGTCGCAGCACTGGAGCAGTTGAGCCCCATAGTGGTCCAACATTGAACCAATCAACATCCGTCCTTCTGACGGATTTGTCAATATTATCTCAAATTATCCCAAATTATCCCGAGTGCACATGTTTCTCACGCGCCATTGACGCCAAGAAACGCCAAATTCAAATAAAGAGCCTGACTGCTCTATACGGAGCAACGTATGTACTCCGTATCTTGATCTTGATAGCTGAATCCTGGGGCAAACCTACATATACGAGATGACTCCACTCAGTCCACTTATCCGTATCCGGTGGCAAACATTGTGCCAAGAACAGCTTACTGTCAGTGTCAAAGTCCTCATAATCGTTTTTTTGATTTGCGCCCCAGAATTCCGTAGCTCGTGAAGTTCAGGTATTGCTGATTAGCCCACCTGCGCAGAGATAGATAGGTCAAAGCTCCCGGACTCCGATGGATTCGCGAACGGCCCTCACATCATACCCGTCATTCATGTAGAGGCCGATTCTTCTCCCCGTAAAGATTAAAAGATTATGATCCGTGAGCCCTATGGAGACTATAATTCATATTGATTATCGTCGAGCTTTTGATTCGCCCATGGTGGGATGATGGGAGATCTCTGAGATAGCTCCTGCAAATCCCCTGAGAGCCTTCCCCCCAGCCCCTCACTAGGTTAATCAGAGTCAGGTCGAGATTGGTGCGAATAATATGACTGGCTCGTCATTATCTTGCTTGTTCCCATGGCGCTTTCTGGGTCTTATTCTTCGCTGTCTTTGTCGCCTGAATCCACCTTATATCGATCCCGACGCTCACCGAGTTTCTTGGAAATCCTCTTCCCCGCCTCCTCTCGCCCCCTTTTAACTCTCTTCTACTCATCCATCGCAACCGTACTGGATATCCTCACGGAGCAGGAAATTTGAATCCCAATTTCCCCTCGCTGATCGCCCGTGGCCTTTCCCGATCGCCTTTAGTTCGATTTGCGTTCTCCACCAACCCGATATAGCTCACGTGCGACATGTAAAAGACCACCCATTCCTTCCAGCGTGAAGGTATGTATCTGAACAAGCCAAAATCCGAAATAGCATCACAAAAACAAGTCACAGAGGATCTTTAAGAGGCGGAGGGGATCATGGAGGAGTCCCTGGCTGCACGCGGTCTCTACCCCCAAACCCCTCCCGCCTTTGAATCCCGCAGTGAGATAAATCCAACCTTGTTGATGAGCTGGTGGGCAACGATCTTTTCCGTGGTCATAATCGTGGTTCGCTTGTGTGGTCGCTATGTGCGAATCGAACGCTTTTTTCCAGAGGATAAAGTGATGACTTACAGCATGATTCCTCTGCTTATTCGCATGATATTAGTCCATTATGTCTTGGTCTATGGCACAAACAATGTCCAAGCGACCAGCTTGACAGCCGAGGAAATTTCGAAGAGAGAAATAGGAAGTAAACTGGTGCTGGCAGCTCGAATCTTCTATGCGATCTTGTGAGATAACTTCCTCCCAACTCCGAGTCTCTCATCGAGTTATCATACTTACTGATAATTCCAGTATCTGGACAGCAAAGCTTGCAGTGTGCGAATTTCTCAAAAGAGTCACTGGAGTGGTTTGGCGTCAATCAATAGCAACCTTTTTACGATTCATCCACTTTTTCCTGGCCTCCACGCTGGTAGCCGTAATCATCGCTACACTGGCGGAATGTCAACCATTCGATCATTATTGGCAGGTCACCCCAGACCCCGGTCCCCCCTGTCGCTGCGGCTATGCGCAACTCATTACCATGGGTACCTGTGATGTGATCACCGATCTCCTTCTTGTCGCTTTCCCCGTCCCGATAATCCTCATGTCCCAGATGCCTCTCAAACGCAAGTTGGCACTGGTTATTCTCTTCTGTCTCTCTCTCGCCCTGGTCGGAATCACTTGCTATAGAGTCCCATCGGTTATCAAACGTCGCGGCAATCAACCCTATCGTTCCCTGATCGCATCTCTCGAGATCCTCGCCGCGACAGCAGTATCAAATGCTGTCGTCATCGGCTCATTTGTCCGGGACCGCGGCGTCAAAAAACTCAAATACAAACGTGACCTGGGCTTTGCATCTGTCAATGAGAGTGTGGATAATAGCCACGTGCGTCGAAATACAGTGATGCAGCATCAATGGGGAAGTGATTGCGACCTTGCCGGTGATTTAGGAATTAGGCTCGATCCCCGAGTTTACCCAATGGCTTCTTCGTCGTCACAACCACCCAGCTCGGGCCCCTTCCCGATCCCACCGTCCCCGTTGATTGATGCCGAAACAGGCTCTCTGAATAGGTCATGGTCTTTTAAACAAAGTCGTCTTTCGGACGATCATGTCTCGGCTACTGACAGCCTCGATACCAAAATCAGCCCGCACGAGTACATTCCAACAAGCCAGTCCCCACGGGAGAAGCCTGGCTCACATCCTTCAACACTATCCTCTCCTCGCATGCCACTTTTCGACGTCGGCGGTCTACTGAATAATGACAACGAGCGGACAGCAAGGCAACAATCAAATAATACGTCCCAAAGTACTGGCAATTTCCCTCAACCCCAAACTCCAACTTCAGCTCCAGCTCGTGCCAGGAGAACTTTCCTACAAGATATCGGTGCTTTATCTTTCTCAAATCGCCTTATAGCCACCGATTTGAGGGCTTCGACACCTCGAGTCACTGCAAATACCCATAATCGATCACGATCCCATAACCCTCCGCCTTATAATACCGCACCTGACATGCAAAGTAATGTCGAGGTTGAGCTTCATGATGTAGGAGGACTCTTATCCAGGAACTCTACGCCTGGTCCCTGAATGTCTGGGAAGAGATCAAGCTTTCTATCAGCAATACCCTTTCTGTGTTTCTGTGTATCCTATATTTTCCAAATACTTCTACGAATTATGATTCAAGAATAGTACTGTAATTATCCTAATATGAATCCGAAAAAGAAAACCATAACTCCCCCAGTATCTCTTCACTGTATTCTCTCTTGAACAACCCTAGTGGCTGATATGATCAGCTTGTTACCAGAATACCTTCACATTATTGAACTAATCATTATGACTAATCATTATGACACCAATTTCAATCAAATCCTGGCTAGCCGTATTGTGTTATAAAACGTATTGGAACTAGTGCCTGGCCTTGGAATGAGTCATTGTAAATTATTGTTATCCCGTAGAATGTTCTAGGGGGCGGATTTAGAAAGCGGGGGCCTAGACATCTTTCAATCCCCCGTTATCTAACAACTCAACTTGAATTCACATCCAGTTCACAATGGAACCAATTTCTAAAATTGATTGGGACAAAGGTGATAAAGATGGGCTTGTCTCCGTCGGTTCCCATAGACTCCATTTGTCCGTTTCGGGACCAGATCGCAAGCCCGGGGAGCCCATCGTCGTTCTCATGCAAGGCGTTGGCAGCACAATCGATGAATGGGTTGTAGTGCGAAGGCTTGTGGCTCCATTTGCCCGTTGGTTGAACTATGATCGTTCAGGGATGGGTAGGAGTGAAGGTCCCAACCAAACGCCACCAAGCATATCTGCAGCATCAGTCGCAGCAGAGCTTGATACTCTCCTAAGAAACGCCGGTATTGAGCCTCCGTTTATGATTGTCGCTCACTCTTGGGGAGGCTACACCTCTCGCGAGTTTCTGGAACTCAGACCCAATGATGTCGTGGGCATGGTATTCGTGGATTGTAATACTGAACGTTTCTTTGACAGTGGTGCGTGGGGTTGGGACGCTTTCAGTGCAGTCATCGGTGACCAAGATTTCTTTGAAACTACCGGTCTTGTAACATCCCATGTTCTATCTGAAGAGGAGTGGAAAGCCGTCCAAGATGAGCAGGCTGACCCCCGACATCAAGCCACCGAGGCTGCTGAGTCGGTGCCGAATGACAGACGGGCATTGGCTGACAAGAATCAACTCGAAAAGCTACTTCTCAAGGATTGTCCGGTCAGTGTCATTATTGCGGATACACCTGAAGATTTCCAGAAAATGTATGACTTTGGAGTTGCCGCAGGCAATGGAACTGAACAGGAACGGGCTCTGTTTCGAAAATGTCTCGATCGATGGCGCGAGATGAATGAGGACTGGCAAAGAGATCTTTTGAGGCTTTCACGTCTCAGCAGATCCGTCCGTCTGCATTGCAGTCACAATGTACAGCTTTTGCAGCCACAGAGCATAGTTCAAGAGATACAGTGGACCATGGATAACAGCAGATAACTCTCAATCTGCTAGTGAAATCTTGCAAAATTCTCGGGGGCAAGTCGAATTCTCGAAGATGAACACCTCAATGGCCCATTTATAATAATAAATGCATTAATGGTACCTCATTCTCTTATTGATGAAGCCTAGCCCTGAACGTTCTCATTTTCTTGATATTCCGTACCATGAGAATGGCTAGGGAGGGCCACTGAGCTACAATAAGAGCGAGGGAGTTTCGTGTCGTATACCATGTTATACGAAATGGGGTAGTTTTCAAACAAAAAAAGAGTATTGTCTTAGAAAATATATTGCGTTGCACCTTACCTTATTTTAGATTATGTAGTATAGTTTCGGGAAAGGACGAGACACAAAGGGTGAGTGTCTGGGAGGCACTCTGTTTTCGAAATGTACTATAGAATACCTTTCCAATGTTGCCAGCAAAGACTTCTGAGTAACCATGGATTCCATTCCATATCTCCCCCGCGGGGCTCCAGAACCTCGTTCGTACCCCCGGGTAACTCGTCCGACATGGTTTTGGTGGCCCTTCCGGACAGGCGTTGTGTGGGCACGGTCAGCCTCCCGGCCATGCGTCACATTCCGGGTACACGAGAAGCAGGCTCTTATCAAATTGGAAAACGAACCCGCCGGATACTCTTTGAGTGCAACACAACCGCCCGCACACTTTTCTATCAGTACAGTTTGCCTCACGAATAAGTTGCCTCGTGACCATCTTGTCGGGGGATGGTCCGATGAGGGCCCGATACTGGTTCTCTCTGTAAACCTTGTACTAGAGTTGCGGGGAAGAGACTAGATAGGCAGGGTATATAGTAAATGATAAATAAACCATCGTCGTACGCAGATAATAACCTGAAAGGACCATTCTTTAATCTTTAAACTATCACCAACCCGGAAGAATGACTATCTGGTCCATTGGGAAACCCACTAGTTCTCGAGCCAGTGAGGCTCTTCTCGCAAGATGCAGCATATCCTCAAGGCAGAAGATTATTGTGCCAAATCAACAACGATTCACTTCTACCCTCCAAGTTGCGGCGAAGACTAGTTCGACTTCTACTGTCCAGCATCCTCTCTCCGTTCTTCCTACCCATGTTTTACTCCGATCCCTGCTGGTTTCTACTATCTCCTCGAGCCCCCTCCTTCTTCGCTTATCTCTCTGGACCATGTCTGTTCTATCCAAGCCCAACAGAGGATTCCTGCTCAATGTAGACCGCAACCCAATCATTCATGGAATCCTCAAAAAGACATTCTATGAGCAATTCTGTGCGGGAGAGACCGATGCGGAAACAAGAAAGACCATCCAAGAGCTCAAGGATATGGGTTTCCGAGGCGTGATTATGACATACGCCAAAGAAACTGTGTTTGATCATAAAACAAATACAGAACAAGGATTAGGAATTGCAGCACTGGAAGCTGAAAAGAACGATGACGCTTTAATTCCTGCCGTGGCTCGTTGTGCAAATATCGAGGCATGGCGAAAGGGAACGGTTGAAACCGTGGATCAACTAAATAATGGAGACTACCTCGCTGTCAAGTATGATAAAATTGCCCCAATCTCCCCCGCCCGTTCTACTAAGCACTATCACCAAAATACCAGTGACTAACTTCTTCCTGTCATAGATTAACCGGCGCCGGATCCACCGTCACCCAAGCGTTCTCCAAAGGCGAACTTCCACCAACACAGATGCTAGAAGCATTAGATGAGATCTGCAGCCGATGCGAGTCCCGCAAAGTCCGTATTCTCGTCGATGCCGAGTCCCACCATTTCTTATCTGGAATCCTTCGCGTAACCCTCGACCTAATGCGGAAGTATAACCGTAACGGCCACGCACTGATCTACAACACATACCAAGCCTATTTGAAGAGCACCCAAGACACAATAGAGAGACATCTCACAGCAGCCCAAGAAGAAGGCTTCACCCTCGGACTGAAACTAGTCCGCGGTGCATACATCGCTTCCGACGAACGGTCCCTAATCCATGATACAAAGACAGACACTGATAACGCTTACAACGGTATCGCGCAAGGAGCGCTCAAGCAGAGCCTTGGCAAATTCGGAAACGAGACTACTTTTCCATCCGTGAATCTGTTCTTGGCTAGTCACAACAAAGAGAGTGTTTTGTCTGCTCATCAGCTTCATAAGCAACGTCTATCGGCTGGTCTTCCTACCGTTCCTGTGGGGTTTGCACAGTTACATGGTATGTCTGATGAGGTGAGCTTTTCACTTCTATCTCTTAAGGGCAGCGATGGCACCCCGGAGGTTTATAAGTGCTCAACCTGGGGTACTATGGGTGAATGTCTGGCATATTTGCTTCGAAGAGCGGTCGAGAATCGCGATGCAGTTCTACGCACAAATGACGAATACAATGCTTTGAAGACTGAATTTGGGAGGAGAATTCGATCTATTTTCTCTTCCCCCTCGCAGAGACGAGCCTGAGGCGGTATACAAGGAAAAGAAGTTATGAGATAAAGAATACAATGCCAATGAGTATATGAATTGTTTATGCAATCCAACAGGCCATTTAGTAGAACCAAGTATAGCTAGAACTTGAATGAATTAACCAGCCAATGTGGCTGAGAAATGAATCCCTTGTGTCTGTCTAAAAGTTTTAAGTTTTGGCGTCAGTAGATAGGAGAGACCGGGAACCCTTCCGAGTGGCGCCCGTGCCCCGATCGGGGACGATAGCACACGTTGTCAAAATTGAAAGAAAACACCTAATTGGTATATTATTTAGATAACCTATCTCGTGAACTATTTCCTGTCATGTATTATGATATTCAAGAGTCATTTGGTCTCGACGACGGAATCCATCTATAGTTGACGCAGGCCTTTTCCCCCTTTTTTAATCTTTTAGTACACCATGCTTTTTTTACAGAGCAGAAAAGAAAAGTGAAATCAATCCACGGCTACGTCAAATCTAAGATGTTACAAAATCTAGAGACGGTTCAATTTCGAGCCAATAGTATAGCAGATAAATTGGTCCAAGAAATAATACGAGGTTAGTCCTTGTGATTGGGTTGAGCAAATCTAGATGTACAGCAGAACTGGAGCGCAACTACAAGGAATGAAGACAATTCCAAATGGAAGCGTCTGCAAAAATTCTAATGAAGCTTATGATGTCTTACCATTTATCACTTCATTTCATTTACTTTGTGTACTAGGTGTGTGGCAGAAATTTGTTAATTGCTTGAGTATTCCCTTTTCCGGGAAACTCCCATTCATTCATTTCGCTAGATCTATATAACAAGAGGATTCACAAATCGTTTACTGGTAGTTGCTAGGGTACAGATATCCTCCTAATTGAGGAAAGAACTCTTCCTTAATCAAACGAGGACTGGTGAAGCGTCGCAAGACATCGGAGCTGCCAGCCTTGTCATTGGTGCCACTAGCGCGAGCACCACCAAAGGATTGCTGGCCAATAAGTGCGGCGGTTGTCTTGCAGTCTAAAAAGGAATACAAGTTAGAATGTAAATAGTGATAAACAGAAGGAAAGAAATACTCACTGATGTAGAAGTTACCAGCTGAATAGCGGAGCGCGTCCTCAGCTTCACGGATTGCTTTACGATCCTGGGCAAAGACCGCACCGGTTAGGGCCAATCCACCTCCAGCTGCATCTACCTTCTTCAGAATGGATGACCACTCAGCGTCGGGGTAGACATAAACTCCAAGAACCGGTCCAAAGATCTCCTCATTAAAGAGTTTGTGATCCGGTGTATCGACCTGGTAAACAGTAGGATGCACATAAAATCCAACCGAGTCGTCGTAGGTTCCACCCGCAATAAGCTTCACCGACGAATCCTTATTGTTGTTATCAATAATGTTCTTGATCTTGTCAAATGAGCGACGATGAATCACAGGGCCCATGAAGGCATCCAGATCCTTGTCAGGGTTTCCAATAGTGATATCCTTCACACCAGCCTTGAGAGCTGTGAAGAACTCCTCAGCCCGAGATTCAGGGAGGTAAAGTCGAGATGTGGCAGAGCATTTCTGACCCTGGTACTCGAAGGAACCACGAATAGTGTGGTTCACGGCACTGGTGATATCGGCAGTAGGGTGAACGAGATGGAAGTTCTTGCCGCTTGTTTCGGCAACCACGCGAGGAAACTCGCGATAGGTCTTCTTTGCGATGCCCTCGCCAATTCTGCCATACAGGGAGCGGAAGACATCTGAAGAGCCGACGAAGTTCAATCCGGCAAAGTCACGGTGTGAAAGAGCGACATCGTTAATTGTCTCCGGATCACCTGTGACAAACTGCACAACATTTGGGGGAAGACCCGCCTCGAGGAGAATCTTATAAACCAGGTGGCTGGCATAGACGTTTGATGGCGAAGGCTTCCACAACACCACATTACCCATAAGAGCTGGGGCAGAGATCAGGTTTCCTCCCAGTGCAGTAAAGTTGAATGGAGAGATGGAGTAAACGAATCCTTCCAGCGGGCGGTAGTCCAAGCGACTAGATAAAATTAGTTAGTAAGGGTCAATCTGTATAAACGAGAATCTGTCACACCTCCACATTCCATCACTGCCACGAGTTGGCTGTCTCTCAAGAATCTCAGCAGCGTAGTTGCAATTCAAACGGAAAAAGTCCGCCAGCTCAGCTGCCGCATCAATTTCACCCTGCCAAATATTTTTGCCTTGTCCCAACATGGTTGCGGCAATGAGATCGTATCGGTACTTTCCAGTAACAAGCTCCGCAGCCTTGAGGAAAATTGCAGCTCGGTCAACAAACGGGGTCTCCTCCCAGTCCTTCTTCGCCTGCAGGGCAGCATCAATGGCAGCCTTTGTTTGCTCCTTAGACGCGAGAGGGTAGTTAGTGAAAACTGTGCCATGCTCAGCAGGCAAAGGTTGATCCCAAGATTGAGCTGCCTTTTGAGCCTGTCCATCGTAAAAGATGCTGCTAGGAACGGGAAGTTGAGATCGTAGTTTGACAAGAGCCTCTTCTAACTTGACACGCTCTTCTGATCCTTTTTTGTACAAATGCTGCAATGTGTTAATTTCCAAGATTTTATGTTTTCCCTATTCAATTGAAATCTTACATTGGGTTCATTTCGAGGATCAGGAAGACGGAAAGGAAGTGTAGCCTTTCCTCGAATTTGGACTGATGGTCTCGAAGCGTTGAACCGCAGACGAGGAGAGAAGACACGCGCTGTGCGTAGGTTCATGAGGGATGTAGAAGACATGGTGTGCGGCGAATTGATGGTTAAACAGAAACAGTCGACATTGGCCAGCTTTTAAATAACAAGTACTGGTTCATGGTGGCCATGGAATTTGGAGCATCGGCAGCCCTTCCGATGGTCACACATACTACCCCGCCATACTTTAGCTACCCGGAGCGGGTGCAGGCCCTTGTGGGGTAAGATAAAGAGGTACAGCTGTAAGAACTGACCGGTCGGGAGGCGAACCCGGTCATCAGCAGGTACACCTGGGCGCCATGTTTGCTCTATTCCCAAGTTTGTCGTTCCGAAATCGCAGATAGCATCATCGAGGTCAAATTCCGCGGGGACTGTATCTCCATAGCCGGGAAGCAAACCTGGATAACAGCTATAGTGGGGAACTTAAGAAGGTTGGCATGATTATCTACTATCCTCGGTCGGGATCGGTGGTTTGGAAAGGAATTCCGTCAACTACATCCAAGTTTCACCAAAAGCTCACACTGGGACGGCCTCTCGTTGTTTAATATTTTACTTTTTCTCTCTTCATAATAGTCTTTTTAAATATATCTGTTAATTATGCCTATAAGGAGAAATTTTTTGTAGTTGGAATGTATTCTTTGCTTGTTTGCAGTGTTCGAAATATTCTATCGCGAGAAGCTTGAAGTAGTATGCTCCTCGTACAGTGAAATTTTATACAGGTCTAAAGATATGTGCGCAGATATTCGCCAAGTGCCATAATTCCCATCGCTTGCCCATAAGGCATTGAAGTCAGGGGAATATCCTTATAAAATTGGAGACAGTCTCCCATTCCAGTGCCAAAGCTAGTATTCTGAAGCTCACCCGTATGATCAACATCTTTGAGAACAGATTGGATAGCCTTTTCAGCGACAGATCGGTATTGCGTCCCGATATATCGCTTTCGAACGGCTTTCAGAATTCCATACGCAAATCCTGCTGTAGCGGACGCCTCGAGGTATGAGTCCGGGTGATCGAGGAGAGTATGCCAGCCCCCAGATTCTGATTGAAGACGTTGGAGAGCTTCGCATTGCGCTTCAAGAGTCTCAATCAAATGCTGACGGATCGGATCGGTAGGCTCCAAATCAAGTAGCTCAATAATTTCAGGGATCACAATCGTCACCCAGCTATTGCCTCGTGCCCATCGCGCATCAGCGAAGTTATGTCCACCATCTTCGAAAGTCCATCCGTGGAAGAACAATCCGGTCTTAGTATCAAATAAGTATTTGATATGTGTCAAGAACTGCTTCTTCGCCTCGACAATGTATTCGGGGCGGTTGAGGAGCTTCCCAATCTTGGCCAGCGGCATCACCGTCATCATTAAGGTATCATCCCAGAGTTGTTGATAATTCTCAGTGATGTATGTGATGTGCTGCATACCACCAAAGCGGGTTCGAGGCAACTCATGCATTGCCCATTCAGCCCAGGCATCGAGCCAAGGTAAATATGTCACATTGCCAGTTTTTTCATAGACGTATGCGAGGGTCAAAAACACGGCCATCGTATTGATGTTTTTGGTGGTACCACCCTCCGCGAAGCGTGCTGCAAACCAATCTTCAATTATCTTGAGCAGCCTCTCGTCGCCCGTGATCTCGTAGTACTTCCAAACGCCGTATAGGCCGATACCGTGCGTCCACTCCCATCCGTGCCATGATTTGGTGTCTATAACGCGACCGTCGGGGAGGTGGAGGAGAAATTTGCCAGTTTCATCTTTGATATTGACGAGGTTATCGATCAAGAGATTCACAGCCTGATGCACTTCAGGCGCTGGAGGTCGGGTGGAGGCCATCGAGAGAATGGGTGTGGATGTGATTCGCGTGTTGAGAGGTAAAATTATTTGTTTCTCTTTTATTTATGGAGTCCCTCTATCGGGTTAAGTATCTCACGATTATTGCCGATCGCCTCGTGGGTGATTCGAAAGAACCTGAATGCCCCTCTATCCCCGGATCCCCCACGCCAGTCAAGACATGTTCGGGGTAAAACAGCCCGAATCCGCGCTAAATTCTGGTGCTTGATGGCTTGACCCATGGCGTTGTTTTCATAGTGGGGATCTTCGGGTAATTGCTTGCCCGCATTGAGCGCACCGTGGGGGAGGCGTAAAGTAGAGAGCGGGGAAGACTCGGCTCCAAGGTTGAAGTCTAAGAATCTAGGCTAATGTAGTAGAAGCTGCAAACTTAAACATCAAATAATTCAATTATTCCAAAGCTACCTACACATTCAATTTGCAATATATGATATGTTGACCTCAGTGAGGCTTGATGACATTGAGGAGCTGTCGTGGCTCTTTAGTTAGCTCAAGCCAGCCATCTTTCTCCACAGCGATAATATTGCCATCAACACAGATCCGTCTCCAATGTTCCGATTCTTCCTCGAAATCAATTCGAAGCTTCTCAAACTTGGCATACGTGACAGCTTCCTCCTCCACATGCAGACCTCCCTTATAAGCAAGAACAATCAGTCGCGTGGCTTCTTCACCAGACATAGGACCCCAGCCCATAAACCACATGGAACCATCTAATGGCTCCGACTTAGGCGAGACAACAAAGTTATACTCAAGACGAGAAACAAGACTTGCAAGCAGGTACATATGTTCATCGTCTCCAAAGGTCTTCTCGGCAAGTTCGCCAGTCTGATCATCTCTTTCGGAGTATGTCACCTTGCCCTTAAATTTATGAGGCGCGCTGCCATCAGGAGGGTGCAGTAATTTCATGCCTGCGATCTTGAATCGCTCGTTGCCAAATTTACGATACTCAACTGTATCACTATCGGCAACCAACGCTGCATGAATGCCCCAGCTCACTGTGACAGATCCATAAAGAGTTTGATGTGACGCGTTAGGATCCCCCAATGGTACTTTCTGGCGCCCCTCGTCAACAATCATCTGGCTACCAGGGGAGAGCTTCGTGGCGAAAATCGGGATAGGTGTTGGTGTCCCGCGAATCAATGACTTGAGACCAGACGAGGGCCCAGTCCGCGATCCAATAGAACAGGCCAACGCATTGCCGGTTCCGCATGGGATCAAAGCAATCTGTGGCGGTATCTGAACAGATTGGGTGTGTCGATAGAAATAATCGACAATGTTAACGACCCCACCATCACCAGAGAGTAGAACAATTGTCTGAGGAATGCCCGCGCGAGCCCGTTTCAAGAATCGGGATTCGCACAATTCTGTGATTGTCTGGGTAGACTTGGTCTCATGAACTTCATACTTGACGCTCAGTTGGGTGAGAAGGGGCTCCACAAGGTCTCGAAATATAGTCTGGGCTTGGCATGTCCCCGATTTCACTGAGATGACGATCTGCACTGGCTCTGCATGCTGAAGGTATTCGGGGATTGTGACCAAGAATTGCGTCAGCGAAGGGGGCAAGCACGAGATAACGGTCTTTTCTAGATGCCCGACTGCCGCAATTGAATCGCCATGGTTATGACCTTCTGGCTTCACGAGAAACAAGACGGTGTGATTCGAAGATGAGTCTTCTGCGGGTAAAAGTCCCAGAATATCGGACAAGTTGATTTGTCCTTGCAGTCCTGATTGAGAGGTGCACTGCAAAACATCACCGGTCACCTCCGGGGTGAGCACCTCGGTGCCCCACTCAAATGGAGCTGTCGCCATTCTTGCTGAGAAAAAAAAAAAGGAAAACCTTGAAATCTTTGAAAATCTTGAGATTGTGGTACTCTGGGTAGATAAGAGATTTCGGAAGATGATTGTGTAAGGCTGTCCAAGGCTGTGGAAGGAAAAAAGCCACTAAATAGATAGTTTTGGTGTTCAACCCCTCTCCCCTTTAAGTAATCGGTTGTTTATCGGACCCCGGGGCCGTGACTTCATGTTTTCTCCCACTTACATGGATTTATGCCGCAGAGTGAACCCTTTTAGCTCCTTTTGTAAGAGATCTCCAAGATGTCTTCATTTGGCCCTAATTTATAAATTTAGCTGGGTTTTCTACGGTCTGACAGTGGCGTGTACCCCGCCTGTCGCCTGTCGCCTTGTTGATTGAAGATGTTGTGATAAATGATTACGCTTCATGTGCTTCTCACGGGGCCATACCAAGGGGTTCAGGGCTCCAAAAGTTAGTTTGAGACTTGAAAACTATTCATTATCCACACCTTTGAGTTGATAAGCCACTGCCGTCAGTATGACTCCCGCCTCGGGCGTACAACTCTCTGATCCATCACCGTCATTGATCGGAAACCTCAAGCTTTGGGAGCCTTAATGTTCCGGGGCTGTCGCCCCACAAGCTTCGGGTATAATTCATGCACATCACACACGACCCCTGGACAAAAAGGGTTAGGGAGCACGGGACAGCTGGATCTTATGGATCTCATAGGGTCCATTTGAGATCCTTCGAAACCATTTAAATAGCACCATGGGGGCCATGCATGTGCTTCATTTCGAAGGTCGTCAATGAAACAGTGAAAAAGGATAGTGCAGAATTTGAATGTTGCAAAGTAGATTGTCCCGAATACCTACTACACTGCCCTGTAATAATCATAAAGAAAATGTCCTTGGGAGACAGCGTAAGCAATCAACTTACTTTTATTGCAAATAACGACTACGCAAAGCTTGGCTAATAGTACTCATCCGACTTGCCATTCCTCCGTGTTGCATGTTACTCATAAGGGCCTCCTCCAACGCGGACTGTGTCACGCTAGCGTCTAGATCTGCGTCAGCAGAATGCAATAGGGCAAAAAGATTTGACAAGAGACCAACTTACCATCCAAGTCGCTAAAACTACTCCCCATGCTCGGGGTCCCGTCACTTGTGCCCCTCCCGGAATTGTTTGACTTGGCAGGATGTATTCGAGGCATATCACCCACTCGCGGTGAGCCTAAAGTACCAGATGCGTGTCCTGCTCGGGAGCTTTCATTCCGAACAACGACCGGAGCACCAGAGCTCATGGAGCTAGCAGATGATTCCGAGCCAGCGGGATGATTGCTAGGTCGAGCTGCAGCATGCCGACGACCCATTGCCGCACGTTCTGCATCTAGACGTACCGTTGTGCTGAGCTCTTGACCAGCGCGATCCGTACGACCATTCTCAAACTCGCGGGTAATTGGCAGGAATGCAGGCAAGTCATCCTCGTCATTTTCATCATCCCGCAGGCCAACCTGGTGCATGGAGAACTCCTCAAATCGCCGAAAGCGTTGTGCTGCAGAGTTCGCATCTCTTTCCGAGTCGGAATCGGAAGAGCTTGATGAAAGATCCGCTTCTGCTAGTGGAGAAGAATGTGGAAGTGGAGCTAGGGGAGGTTGGTCTCGTTTATTGGTTGATGGGCGATATGAGAACGACTCGCGTGGTTGTTCATTCAGATTGCTCTCTGTTGTAGGAGTCTCTGCTCGAAAAGGGTCACGGGAGCCACGAAACTGATTAATAGTTGTTGTCGAAGTAGAGCTCGTGCGCCGACCGTGATTACTGGCTATTGCAAGCATTAGATTCGATTTTTGGAATATATATCAATGTATGTAGTTCGAGGTTATAACAAAGGGTCCGTAGCACAAGGAGAGGAGAACACGGACCTTGTTGGGTTATTTCCTTTGATTGAGACACTGGCCGAGCAGGTATCCGTGACCCTGAACTTCATTAGCACTGTTTGGGTACTTCACAAACATATTGTATATATATGTGGCAGACGCGGCCGTACCCTTTGATGTCAATCCCCCCAAGGCCATACTGCCTGTCACAGAGCCGGAAGCAGCCGAGGGTGAAGGTGAGTTTGATTGTGCAGTTTGGTCAAACCGCCGCATCTGAGCTCGAACCTGGGATAGTTGTCGATCATATAACCATGCTGCTTGCTGAAGTAAGAATGGCAAAGTAACATGGAAATTATCGGCCCTTTTGGGCTGTTAGCATGGCTCTTTTATGGGAAAAGAGAGATATAGCCTCATACAGAATTTTCCCTAGAACCACAGTTAGTCCTATAAAATAGCAACCAAGGTACATCATGATGCTGAGTGTGACGTACAATCAATATTATCTCCCTTGGATGGACGGGACAAAATGTCCCACAACGCCTGGTCCTTTATCGCATTCCATTCCACCTGGGCGATATTAGGATTAGTCAATGTAAAACAAACTTGTAAAGGCTGCATTAAATCGAGCTACAGGAAGCGTACTGGTGGGGGATCAATAAACTGATATCTTGGAAATGGCAAGCGGATAAATATAGTGAAGTTGGTGTCGCCAGCTTCGGCTTTAGTCGCCATGCTAACGACCTAGATAGCAGTTGAAATCTGGTTGACGGCGCGGATCTTCAAGTGAATACTAGGTGCGATCCACTAGCCGTGTTGTATCATATGCACTGAAAGGGACGACTGAGCTGTTCTTCCAATATTAAAACCTTTGAAAAGGTATCTAGTCCCCTGCAGTCCTGTCAAAGATCATTCAAAGGATCGACGAGGCAAGTGAGGAGGAGTTTGGCCCGTGGACGAGTGACGACAGCCGGGTGCTATTCTATTGGCTACAGAGTTGCGTGGCGATAGCTGATGGGGAGCGTGGCTTGAGTATAAGATCTGCGTGTCTCTGAGGCTGCACAAGTGTCTAAGGCTGTAAGACGCTGGAACTAGTGGAGCTTGAAGTGGGCCCTAGGTCAAGGCGGTGGCAGAAAAAGTAAACATGCCTTCAATGTTCCTATCTGGACATATTTTCACAAGGACGACAACTTTAACCTAGTCGAAGGCTGCTATTGTCTCCTCACTCCAGCTATATATCGGGATTAATCATGGGGCTCTTTATCCCTCCCTCCCTTCTTTCCTCTTACTGATTCACTCGAGTCCTTGCCTTCAAGTTCCCCCTCAACCTAATCTCCTCCGTCGTCGCAGTTCACCCTCTTTTCCCTCGAGTGTTTTAATATGGACAATATGGATGGGCATTTGGGACTGAGTGAGTGGCCCTCGTCTTTTGTACCTAACGGCACCCCAAATACCGATCTGGGGCTTACACTTTCCCCCGGATCACAGTCTTCGCCATGCGATTCTTTGTTTGGGAGTCCCTTGATAGCCGGGGGTGAAGAAACTGTCGCGAACAACCCATATGGCTCATCTGATCCATTTCCTGTCGAAAGTCAGGGCTTTGACCTCGATATCGACCTCGACCTCGGCCTTGAACCAAACTTCGATCCTTTCGAAGGCTTGCATCCAACCTCTGCTCAGTCGGAAGCTATCAACCAAGTTGTTGTCGGGACCTCCCAAGCATCCAATGAAATAGCCACCCAGCCTTCGGGTTCTCCATGTAAAAGGGTTTATGAAGATGTTTCTTCCAATGGCGCCCAGCAGTCTCCTCCACCCCTCCCACCTCCCAAGAAACAAAAGCTTGCGAGCCAGATGTCATCAGACGGCCTTCCAGCCTTTTTGAACCCAAATCAACGCCAGCCGTCGATATCCTCTCACATCGCCCCAACACATCCTCCGTGCCCTTCAGCCAGCATGATCTCGAAGGAAAAGTTTGCTATCGAACCCTCCGACTTGGATGAACATTATGCCCGCGAGGTGACTACCTTCATTCCGCCCGACACGCACCATGCCTCACCCTATCAGCCAGTCGGGTACAATCCTTCTACCCCAAGCATGCATTCCAAAGTGGTGCACGTCAGCAATGACACTCTTCATCATCGTCTTGCAAATGCTCGACGGCGAGCGGATGCTGTGACAGCAGACCGCAACAAACTCCGTGAGGCTTTGCTGCAGTACACAAGCGTTGATCCTCAGACGGGTAAGCTAGGAATACATGCTCTGGAATCCCAGCTTACTACTCTACGGCGTGTAAACACTGGCCATCAGCGGCGCGCAGAGACGCAGAAAGAAGAAACCCAGTTCTGGAAACAAAGGTTTGTAGAGATTTCGAACACATACAACTCGCTCCTTTACGACTACAAATGTCTGCAATCAGGCTTGCCATCTCCTCCCGCATCTTCAACTAGTAGACCTAACAGCTTGTCGGCTCGGTCTTCTCCTACTAACGCTGCCGCCGCCGCCGACGCAACCAATGTATCGAATCTCGCCTCGCCTGTCACGTCTTCGAGCAACCAACCTAAAAATCACTTGGTCCCATCGTCTGCTATTTCAACGACTATCTCGCTGTCCAACTCCCCTACTGCGCTCCCCCAGGATACGACTCAAGTGATCGATCTGACACTTGACGATGACGCAGAGAACGTGAGTCCCCAAGGATCTGAAACCGTCACACCGAGAGAAAACGCCCAACTAACCCAATTTCACCGTAATATTAGGCAGAAACAAATGAAATGGCTCCATAGCACTGAATCAACCAATGATGCTGCTGACCGCATCTTGAATAAACTGAATCCCAAGCACCGGACGGGTATCATCGAAGTCGGCGTCAACAAATGCTACAACATTATTGAGACTCAGAATGGACTCCGCCTGCAACTCGGAGGGCCCTTCAAGCAGCTCATTACCACCAGTCAAAACACCGACCATGAAAACCCCACAATATGTAGCGAGGATGCGGCTGATCTCTACAACCCTACTCATGATGAACTCTGCCAAATGATGGAAGAGGAGCTGGCCGGTGGTAGCGATGAATTGATTGAAACTCACGATACCGACAATGAGAACTTGCAAGGATCAGCAGGATGACCAAAAAAAAACGAGGAGACACTACTGTCAGTGGCCAATCAGCCAGCAACTTTGTGATCACGCGTACAAGTTTACGGCTGTTGGGTTGTTGGCTCGAGCTGAATCAACATCACCACTGCAAAATCCTTTTCCGTTCTTTGAATAACTGCGCGGAACTTGAATGTGTATGATTGAGATGTCTGGAATGACTGTCAAACACCCAACAATATTGAATGGAAATGCCTTCCAGGTCCATACTTCGGAGATCCAATGTATATTAGTAATAGAGATCAATAACCAATGAATCTTGGAAGAGGCCGTCTAATTAGTACTATATACTTTTGTATAGACTACGGCGAACTATAGGTAGCGTCTAGTGAAAAAGAAATCCCTTGGCCCTATTGATATAATCTTTATCGCCTATTATAACGCTACTTATACTATAGGCTCTACATAGATAGAAAGACTATTAAAAAGATAGACCTTTCTCGGAACTTGAATTTGTATAATTGAGATGCCCAAGATGATTGTCAAGCACTCGCATGCGTGGCCTATTTACGGCTCTCTGTGAGTGAGATCTAGAGCTAGCGGATATGACGTATAGCCTTCCTTGCCGTTTAAAAGGCCGTATTGAGACTACTTTCCAAATATGGACTCCCACCGGCCAAAAAAGGGGTTGGTTTCTCGACTACACTGTGACTCTACTAGTCGTAGAACCTGAATACGAGTACTTTGGTAGACTTGGAACTGCGCGATTCTTGCGACTTGCGTTCTGAAACTAATTTGGTTTTGCGACTCGGGTTCTAGAACAGGTCGTGGGATATTGTGTTCGAGTACTTCCGTTGTGTCGAAACATGGACTGCCTGACGCTCGTTCCCCCTAAAGGATTTGATTACTCACTGTCCTGATTGCGGACAGCTGAGGTCAGAGAAAAGAACAGGTTGCAATCTCATTGGTGCGTACAAGAAAGGATGTTATTGGAGATCCTTTGGCCTGTTTCCAGTAATTTTAGACTTGTATGACCTTAGGAACTGTCTCTAGGGCTGATGGGAGTCCTTTTGAAAACAATGTCCCTCGCACCTGGAAGACTTTTCGCTCCGGGGATCCCGGGTACAGTTTCTGGAGATAACCATTCATTCTCTGGGATCGCATGGATGGCCCCTGATTGGGTGGGGTGCCCGCGAAGTATTATTTCACCCGTTCAACTGCGGCCGAGTCAGGCAGCCCATACGTGCACGAATTCCGTGCATTATAGTTATATACTCTAAATGACATTCAGAGTGCCGCTAGTCCAGAAGAGGCACCAGCTCATATTTATCAAAATCAAGTCCATGCTATAGTATATACCTTGTAGTTAAGGCGGCACATGTTGACTAACGAAGTAATCCTGAAGTGTTCATTTGTTGTACGGCCCTTCATCTGCCTCGGAATCCCGGGACCGACTTAAGTGACTCCAGGAATGTGTCAGTCGGTCCTAGGAGCTCTATTTCTCCCTGTCAGAGATCGAGCAAATAGAGTAGTATGGGTGTTTGGTCGCTGACCAAACATTGTACCTTTTGGCCAGTTGGCGTAGTTATTAAAGCCGAACACTCCACGATCCGTCACACTCCCAGGGTTACTGTCAGGGATATACATGAAGCATACACGCTAAGCGGAGGAGACGGACCCACATGGCGCATCTAGGTGCCCTAAACGCGAGGAAGCCACCTCTCTTTTGCTTCCTCGCGCTGCGTCTTGTATCTAGAGTCGACTATAGCTTTTCCTAATATTGCCTAATGCCTAATTAACTACGCATACGTGAGGTCCTCACAGTTACAGGCACAGTTCCCAGAGGCAGCTAGAGACTTCCTGGGAGCGAGCAAAGTGTCTGCGGGGTACATGTTGGAATATTAGCACACAATTGTACAGATAGCGAGCTATGATAACGATGGCTGGTTAATTTGAGGCTACCGTGATAGTCATTCAATGGTGAGAGACAGCGGGCATTGAAGGTACATGTACTCGGAAATTCCATCCAATGTTCACCACAACAAGTGAATCGTTAAACGTTGATTGTATATCCAGCAAAAACTCTATCAATTTGCGACCCTCGGATTAACACCAGAAAAAACTTTAGTTGGCTGCACCTAGATAATGGTTGGCACAGTATTTTGAGGGTATCGCTGGTGATTGATAGGGCATGGTGGGGCTCTGGGAAATACATTCAGAGGGAGCATGGCCAATGCATCTTCTTGTTGCTTCTTGATCGCGGCTGCTCGCTCCCTAGGATTTGTTGGAGCTGGCATTTTTTTGATAGGTATCGAACAGCTTAATATCTCTAGAAAGTAAGCTATGGAAAGCTTAATGGGCGTTAACGGTTAGCGTTATAGAGAAGATGGAAGATTGGTGAGGGGATCTAGATCATTATAACCGCCTTCAAGTTACTCCCGCCTATAATAGGCAAGCATTGAAGTCATCAGTGAAGTCATAGGCAAGCAGAGAAATCAATAACAGATAGTCAGGCATCTTCGCCAGCTTTATCGCCTTTCTCGGACTGAGAGGCAACAACGTCGTCAAACACGGCCTAAGAGGCAACAATGTCGTCAAACACAGCCTTCAGATCGCTCAGCCAGCTAACAGCGTTATTGTAGAGCTGGAGCTGCTTCGCTGAAGTCTGTCCGGCTGCTTCTTTGGCACAAAGGAAGAAGTGCACCTTCTGGGCACAAACAATCAACTTGTCATTATGAGCGGCGAGGTCAGCCTCAGCAACAGCTATCCTTTCGTAATGATGATTTGGCAGCATATTATTGGAGCCATAATACTACCATGATAACCACTTCCATATGATACCTACTAGTAGCCACCCCGGATCGAGTAAAATGGAGTTGCTAATATACTTTCTGCATGACTGTATAGTCAACTTTCTTTACTGTATGGAGCTATATCACCCATGCATTTTAGCGCTCCTCCTGAGCATACGGCGGAATTAGTAGATATTTCCGAAGAGCTCAGAGAGCATAGCCGTCCGTGCGGTGTCTTACTATGTATTTGAGACCGTCGGCCCTAGCCTATAAGCATATAAATTGCCACTTGAGATAGATAGGCGTGGATGTTGGGGTATCTTTCTTCACGTATTCATCGGCAGTGGGATACTGGTGACATTATTCCCGATCTTGACCTTAAGGCAGTCAAATTGAACGCAAAGATCCTGCAATGGATCAAGATCAATGGTCGTGAGATGTTGAGTATCCTCGATACGGGGCTCGGTCAACATCCACGCAATAGAGATATGGAAGTTGGCCGAGTAATCTTGTTGATGGGTAGAATCGCCGACTGAAGAAGCATAGAGAGGTGGCTGACCAACTCGGGCCAGAGCACGATTAGACAAGCCCAAGAGCGCGTTCAAGGTATTATCCTTTGGTCTTTGAACGTGTAACACTAAGAACCAGCGGGTTCGGTCATGATTAGGCGCCCACATCAAGCGGTCGGGTATCACATTGAATCTGCCAGGAGATAATATTAACGTTGGTATTGGCAAGCCCGTTTCCAGCATTCTTGATATCTCGGTAGAAAACATTCATAACTCACGGTGGTATTTTAGAGCCCTCGATAGCTTTTTTTACCGAGTCCATGAATAGGCTGCGCTGCTCAGTCCGAAGGACAACGGAGCGTGATAGACTGATATGGAGTGGTAATTGTGCCCCCAGGTCACTATTGAGAAGGCTATGGATTCTTAATTGATTTGAGTGCTCTTTAGATGGAGAAGGTATCAAGTCTTTTAGGAGAAGGAGCTCCTCTTTGGAAGGATACCCTGTCACTATCAGTATAACCGCGTCGGTATCCGTGAATGAGGCGGACTTACATTCCAGGTACAGATGCGTTGGCCAGTTTCCTTCTACGTGAGGAATGACTCGCTTTCTGCCTCCGTGAAGAGTTGGGTCATCTTGAACACTGACGCGTGTACTCGAGGCATATAAATCGTGAAACGTTGGTGGAAGGGGAGGAAGGTCTGAGATGGTTTGAATATTGTGGCGGGGTCTTTTAGGTGGGGGAAGTTTGGAGTCGGAATCTGAATCAGAGCCGGAATCAGAATATTGAACTAAGGACATTCGATGTGACTGGAAGAGTAAAACCGATAGGAAGAAGGGTTTTAGGTTGAAAATGATGGTAGTTCGAGTTGAGGCTGTTGTGGAGTAGAGAAAGTCTATCGAGCTTATCGGAGACTCGGACCTGATAGCTTCTCCGCAACTCAAAGTTCCTTTGGCCTCACCAACTCCGAGGGAAACCAAAACGCCCCAATTCGCAATCCCCAATTCCTTATACCATATACCTCAAACATATACCCAACCTATGCGGAATCAATTGCGACCATGAGGCTTGCTCACCTTCATCTACCGCATACTACGCCCTTCGCGCGCGTCTCCGACCTGCAACAAGCTCTTACAACCCGCTTCCTCACCCACAAGAAACTCGCAGGGTCAATCTCTTCACAGACACAGCCTATAGTTCAAGGCAATGCGCCGCCACCAGATCCCACTATAATCACTTTCAGCCCGAACCCAGTCTACACAACCGGTCGCCGCGACCTACCACCCTCCAATACCTGTCCCTACTCAGCATCCAATAATATCTCCCTTCCACTACCTCTCGAACCAATTCGCTCCCTTCTCGTACCATCCGGTCCAAGCAATACCCCCAAAGCAGAATACCATCCTACCCTCCGTGGAGGACAAACAACATACCATGGCCCGGGACAAATGGTCGCATATACAATCCTTGATCTTCGCCGCCTCGGTCTGACGCCCCGATGTCACATCCGTGTTCTTGAAAATAGTGTTATCGATATACTGAAACATTACGGAATACGTGGGTTTACAACCGCTGATCCCGGTGTCTGGGTTCAAGATGGCTCAGCGGAAAAGAAAATCACCGCCGTTGGGGTCCATTTACGACGAAATATCAGTAGCTTTGGAGTTGGGCTGAATGTTACAGAAGAACCGATGTGGTTCTTTAAGCAGATTGTTGCCTGTGGACTTGAGGGGAAAGAAGTAACCAGCTTAGAGGGACTTGGAGTAAAAGATGTCGGGGTTGATGAAGTTGCGGAGGGTTTTGTGGAGAGGTTTGTGGAGCGCGTGAATAGGGATTTCACGGGAGAAAAGATTAATGAGGTTTATTCGGTCAAGGAGTCTGATTTACTGGGGTCTTCTTAACTGCAACAAGCACTACTATGTATGAAAGTCGAGATAGCTTTGTAATATACCAATTTCTAGATTCTATGCAGCCCTAGAGGCTTTGCCGATCCCCACTAGTATGTCTATGTCTTATTAGGCACGTCGGCACAGAGTATGGGAGTGCTAACATTTGAATAAGGCTAGTTCTATGCCTTCTTCCTTACTTTATTTTCTTCTTTTCTCGTGTTTTTGGGGCAAATCTCTTTCACTAGATCCAAAAACAAAGTTTAAGCATCCGCTCTCTCTCGATCTCTCTCCAATCGTACGTAATACATTTGGAGTCAAGTTGGGGTTTCCACAAATGCTCGGCCAAACCAATCAATCACGATCTGCTCCGAAATAAGGTCCATGAAAATGCCTACCTAAATTGTCTCGGTCTTGAAACCTTCATCCAACTAGAAAAAGAAAAAAAGGAAAAGTGCGACTGAGAAAGAGAGGAATTAGAGACGGAAAGAAAATTTCTCGCCTTATCGTCATCACCCCGCAATCCACCCATCTCATCAATCTCGGAGTTTTTTCTATTATAAATTGAGGGGCAGTTAAAAAGTCCAGATAATACCAATTACGACCTATTGAGTGGGATTCCGTCTTCAATCTTCACTGCTCTGGGCTTGTCCTCTGTTCTTACTCAAAGATCATCTCGGCTCCGCAGAACACCAAAATGACTACCACAGAGGCTAACCTCCCAATAATCGGGGATGCGCCATCAGATGATACGGCTCAAGAATCGAGGGTGTTAATCATTATGACAGGCGGTACAATTTGCATGCAGCCATCGCCATCTGGGTTTATTCCTGCCAGAGGCTTTCAAGAGAAATGCATGGCCCGTGTGCCGTCCTTCAATGACGGCGCCCTGTCAACCCCCATGGATGTCATCACCGACTCAACGGGGACTGTTCAGACTCATCCAAGTCTGCGGACACCAATCACAACCTATGGCCGGCAGGTGCGGTACACAGTCTATGAATTCGAAGAGCTACTTGATAGCAGCTCCATCGATGCCAAAGGTTGGTCGCAAATTGCTGAGACCGTCTTCCAAAACTACACGCTCTTCGATGGATTCGTCATTTTACACGGCACAGACAGCCTGGCATATACCTGCTCTGCATTGAGCTTCATGTTGCAGAATCTTGGAAAGCCTGTTGTGCTCACAGGGTCACAGGCACCAATGCTAGAACTGCAAAATGACGCCACAGATAACCTACTTGGATCATTGGTGGTGGCGGGCCACTTCATGATTCCCGAGGTGTGCTTGTATTTCAATAACAAGCTCTTCCGTGGTAACCGTTCTACCAAGGTGGCTGCAAGTGATTTCGCTGCCTTTAACACACCCAACTGTCCTCCACTGGCTGTCACGACCTCCATGCGTACTAATGTGAACTGGGACATGGTACATCGACCGACAAGCCTAGCGCATTTCCGGATCCAAACCAATCTTGACACCACTCATGTCGCATGTCTCCGTATATTCCCGGGTATCAAACCGGAAATGGTGGATGCTGTATTGAGACTTGATGGGCTCCGCGGTCTCATTTTGGAGACTTTTGGGGCCGGCAATGCTCCATCTGGACAGGACAATGCTATGATCAACGTACTGGCTAGCGCTATCTCAAGAGGAATTGTAATTGTCAATATTACCCAATGTAAGCTCCACTTCTCCACCTCGCATTTACAATCATGCAGACCCGAACCCCGATATTAATCCTTTTAGGTCTTACTGGAAGTGTCAGTCCTGTTTATGCTACAGGCATGAGTTTATCTCGAGCAGGTGTCGTGGCTGGTCTTGACATGACCACTGAGGCGGCTTTGACTAAGCTTGCCTATTTGCTTGCTCTGCCGGAGTCGACGCCGGAGTCTGTGACCAAGAACATGTCTGTTTCGCTACGCGGGGAACTCACCGAATCTTCTCTGCCCATTTTCCGTCACCCAGACGGCGCCTTACCTGAACGTGTGCAGACTCTCACCATGTTAGCCTACGCTATCGCCCAGGGTGATCTTGACAAAGTGCAAACGATCATGAAAATTGAACATCACTGGCTACTTAATGACGCCGATTATTCAGGCAACACCCCTATTGTAAGTAATTAGGTGACCCAAGTTACTGAAGGGCTTGGATTGTGCTTCTTACTATGCAAATACTAATTCGTGCCAGCACTTGGCCGCCACTTCTTCTACCATCTCTATCCTCCACTTTCTTCTCTCACATGGAGGGTCGGTCCATCTCCGCAACCGCAACGGCCGTACGCCATTATTCTTGGCAGCTAACGCTAATCTCTCGGACCATGTACTACTTCTCCGGAAATCCGGGGCTCATCTGCATTCCGATGAGCGCCCTGCCGCTGAATTACTAGCCCGTCGCCGACCGGGTGTCTGGGGTCTTGCAGGTATCGATCCCCGAGAAAATAGCCAGAGGGAGTTGAATGAGGACTATGGTGACAATAGGCGAGGCCAGCTATTTGCCGGCTCAGCGCCATCATAAAGAACGGAAAGACAAGAGGCTATCTTAGTTGTTCTTGATTTATAGACTTAAAAAAACGTCCCATAACTTAGTGGATTCGGACTTTCTTGTTACCATATGACGCTAATTAATTTATAAAATGACATAAAAGAAAGGAAAAATAAAATCAATCAATTCAATTACAGGAACGGGAGCCCGGGTATAGTGGATCCCGACCGAGTGCATAACGTGAGAACCAAAAAAAGGTGGAAATTCGCCATCCTGACCCTTCTCCGCACTCCACAGCCGCGGGGAGTCAAGACCATCCCTCCACAACAAGAATCTCCCCAGCTCTTTCTTTGATTTTCCAAATTAGATTCAAAGTCTCCCAAACTGACCGCGCACCGGTCATCCACCCCCCCTCCCCCCCAGCTATGCACGTCCCACTCAATCGCCTAATCATTCTCCTGACCCTCCTCTTCACCCCCGTCCTCGCCGTCGGCCCATCATGCTTCAAAGTTGTCTCTGCCCTAGTCGGCCGCCCAACCCACCTATTCAACAAATTCCAGAGTGAAATCTGCGAACGAGGCTGTCAACCCATAATCCCACACTGGGATCTCTGGACCCGAAACAACACCTTCGTCCCCGCAGTCCGCAACCTAATGGAACGCATGAACGTCCCACATCAAGAAGAGCAGCTTCTCAAAATGGGCGACGACGTGGCGGTCATAATTAAACAAAGCTGTGCACCGCTCTTACACGGTCGGCATATTTGCTCGGATCCAACTACGCTCGCGGATTTTGGGAATTGTTTCAAGCGCAACTTTTTCAAGGCATCGCTTAAACATCTTCCTGTTTTGTTACCCATGGCATCGGATGCTGCGTGCAAGGAGCAATATAAATTCCTACAGGGGGAGGAGCTGTGGGAAGAGACTATTCCGCAAAATATGAGGGATTATGCTAGTGTTTGCGACAAGTTGGGTCCCTTTGAGCATGATGAATTGTGAATATCATTCGGACTGGCATTTTTAGATCGGCATGTACAGTTGATGCTGTGAGTTATGTATTTCACCATCTTGAATGTTGCCTTTATGGAATATACCCGGCGCCTAGGACTTTCTCGGTACATTTATTTCACTATATAATACATACTCTTATCCATGACACATTTCCACAAACGCAGTGATATATGAGCCTTAAACTCACTGGCAGCGATCTTCATCAATTTTGTGGACTGAGTTGAATGTGTTTATTGCTTGTCTAGATCGCACCGTTACTCATAGAAGGCGAAAGAAGCCATAAACGAGCCCTGGATGCCAATAACGACCCTTCCAACGCATTGAAATAACCGGGAGTTCCCCAGGCTAATTGGAGTCTGACGATATGATATCGTTATCCAAAGATCCAATAGCCAACCATATTACAAAGATCAATGCCTTGAAATTGACTTTGAGAATAGCCGAAAATCAAAACTTCTATGCAACATGCAAAGATGGAGATAGTATTGTTTGATATTTATGAAAGACTCAAGTCTGACCTTGAGTCGACGAAAACAAAGACTACCGACATAAATCTGCAAGTTTTCACCTCTCTCGATACACTCAATAGAAGGTGCTAAAGAGCATCAGTCATATATTGGCTGGTGCAGGTATCGGGATGTGGGGAACCACATCCGACTCCCCCATACGGAAGCTGCGACGATCGGGAATCTGGGGCTGTTCTGGATCCCGGTGGGCACTCGGGAACATTAATACTTAGAGCACGCATAAGATTAATTTGATGAAACCTGGAGACTTTCTTTTTCCTCTTTTGAAATCGATTGCAAGCTTCGAAAGTTCAAGTTGAAGATCTGAAGCCTTTTGTCAATATGAGTATGTAACTGTCCACCACCTGATACCTATATAGCACCACTAACGACAAGATAAGGTCTGACACCAGTACATTTCTTCTCTCATGGCTCGACTATGATGCTAGGAGAGGAATCCGAAAGTGCAGATTACTGGAAGAAATGCGGAGATGAAGCCTTAGCACGGAACATCAAGGGTGTCGTCGTGATGGTATGAACTGAACCAATTCATTTCGAGATCCAGATGAATAACTTAAACAAATATTAGGGCGCACACTGGGACTGCCTAGGCGACAGAATTGAACTAGCCACAAATCCCAACCCCGCCAAAAGTCCAGTGGCATACGTCAAGCCCGAAAAATACGTGAACTACAAATTGAACCCAGATCTCGAAACCAGTGAACGATGCATCAAGATGCTAGCCAATGAAGGCTTCAACGTTGGCGGAAACAAAACCTTCGACTGGATTCACGACGTATACCTTATTCTCATTCGCATGTTCCCAGCCGGATGTCCACCCACGACCCTAATCTCCGCCAACGCACGATTTGATCCTCATTTTCACATGAAGATCGGAGCAACGCTACGACCGTTACGTCGAGAGAACTTTCTCTTTGTGGGAACTGGTGGTGCAGTTCATAACCTATATCGGAATCGATGGGCACCGATGCTTCGTTTCCGGGATAACTTTGCCATGGAGACGCCGCCGGAGGATTGGGCGATGGAATTTCGACAGGCTGTGGAGGATGTTATTACCAAAACGTCGGGTCCACAGTTACGTGGTGCGTTGACTCGACTGATGAAACATCCTCGGTTTAGAGATGCGCATGCTACTGATGATCATTTTATGGCTGCTCTGTTTGTGGCGGGGGCAGCTGGTGACTCTGAAGATGAGAATAAGCCTGCGGTGATGGGTGCTGAAAATTGGGAACTGACTAATATGTGTAACTCGCAATTCACGTTGGGTGCATGGTCCAGAGAGATTCCTGTTTGATTTTCTTTTCATAGTTTGCTGCACATATCATTGCTTTTTGTTAATAGCTTCATAATTTACTGTCGAGAATCACAAGGTTAGGATACTCAGTGCTAAACCGTAGATTATGATGTTGATTGGAACTTCGATTCCAGTCTTATACTTTGAAATTTGTCATGCATTTTTTCATTTTTCATTTGAGAGCCTGGAACAATATTACGAGTCTTGAACTATTAAGACACAACAAGAGCTTGCGGAACTTTTCATCAATTAGAAGTTGTCAATTTAAGCCTCTGCAACCTCTTGAGCTTCTGTAAGATCTCGACTTTCCTCAGTTCCAACAGCAAGTCCTCTTCATCTTCCTCCTCAAGATCCCCTGAAATGCTAATCAAGGGTATTTTCGATGATGAGACTGCCCGAGTGTTATCTCGCAGTTGTTTTTTAGCTTTCAGTATGTATCTTGAAGGATCAACCACGTCAGAGATCAAAGGCGAGTGGCTTACAGTCATTATCGAAATCGGCTTGACCGATACACACTCAATCACTCTTTTCTGGCCCCACTGCCAAGACCTTAGCGCAGATCATTTATTGGGCTGGCCGCAGTAAGTTGAGGGCTATTGTAAAATTAGGTTTGTAAAGTACTGTAAAGCAGTTGTAAATTTACATAAGATGCACGAAAAGTTCATGGAATTCCATAGAAACCTAGAGTAGGTCTTAGTGGGTCTGCACAAATCATGCGAGCCGACAGCACCTAGCAGGCGCTCCTGATTGGTGTTTTACCAACATATTCTACATTACTTGATTGATTTTGGGAGCCAGCTATTTCCTTAGGGGGCACAACTGACATGGGAGAAAACAATCAAAATAGGGAACAGATGGATATATGTACCTAGCACCGCACTTTCGCATCTATTCTGCATTGCTCTTAGCACACTACTGGCATTATTCCTCAAGCATACTGAGATTTTGGGATGTGGATCGTAACGTTGCATGAGATTGAAATATACCTAGGGTTCGCTTATTGCTAAGGAAAGAGATGCGACAATTTGTGGGAATCAAAGTTAAATATTAGTACTCTTCCCGAACTACAGCCAAGAGTCACGTTTGAAACGGACACGACAGAAGTTATTGGCCGGTAATCGGGCGGTAGCCAAAGTAGATTTCCAGAGTTCCAAGTGATCCAGGTTTTATCGGAACTTACACCAAGTCCTTGAATTTGCGCGTGTTGAGGATCGATGTTCGTGGGCGTTGTATTTGAATTAGAACAAAAACGAACAATGCCAACATCAAGTTCAATACAGCCAGCGGGAGCATCGAAGGATTTGATTTTGACAAATTGATTAACAAGGATAGTCTGCACGCATTGTCCGGTGCTGGCATCCCACACCTTGACAGTTTTATTGTATGAAGCAGACGCGAGGAGCTTAGAATCATGGGAGAAGGTGACTGAGTTGACCGATTCGCTATGACCCTCCAGGGTCTGCACGCATTGCCCGTTGTTGGCATCCCACACCTTGACAGTTTTATCGTCTGAAGCAGACGCGAGGAGCTTAGAATCATGGGAGAAGGTGACTGAGGTGACCCATTTACTATGACCCTCGAGGGTCTGCACGCATTGCCCGTTGCTGGTATTCCACACCTTGACAGTTTTATCGCCTGAAGCAGACGCGACGAGCTTAGAATCATGGGAGAAGGTGACCGAGGTGACCCATTCGCTATGACCCTCGAGGGTCTGCACGCATTGCCCGTTGCTGGCATCCCACACCTTGACAGTTTTATCGCCTGAAGCAGACGCGAGGAGCTTAGAATCATGGGAGAAGGTGACTGAGGTGACCGATTCGCTATGACCCTCGAGGGTCTGCACATATTGCCCGGTATTGGCATCCCACACCTTGACAGTTTTATCGCCTGAAGCAGACGCGACGAGCTTAGAATCATGGGAGAAGGTAACCGAGGTGACCCATTCGCTATGACCCTCGAGGGTCTGTACGTATTGCCCGTTGCTGGCATCCCACACCTTGACAGTTTTATCCCATGAAGCAGACGCGACGAGCTTAGAATTATGGGAGAAGGTGACTGAGTTGACCGATTCGCTATGACCCTCCTGGGTCTGTACGCATTGCCCGTTGTTGGCATCCCACACCTTGACAGTTTTATCGCCTGAAGCAGACGCGAGGAGCTTAGAATCATGGGAGAAGGTGACCGAGTTGACCCATTGGCTATGACCCTCGAGGGTCTGCACACATTGCCCGTTGCTGGTATTCCATACCTTAACAGTTTTATCGCCTGAAGCAGACGCGAGGAGCTTAGAATTATAGGAGAAGGTAACCGAGGTGACTGATTTGCTATGACCCTCGAGGGTCTGCATCTGCACGCATTTCCCGTTGCTGGCATCCCACACCTTGACAGTTTTATCGCCTGAAGCAGACGCGAGGAGCTTAGAATTATGGGAGAAGGTGACTGAGTTGACCGATTCGCTATGACCCTCCTGGGTCTGTACGCATTGCCCGTTGCTGGCATCCCACACCTTGACAGTTTTATCGCCTGAAGCAGACGCGAGGAGCTTAGAATCATAGGAGAAGGTGACCGAGTTGACCCATTGGCTATGACCCTCGAGGGTCTGCACACATTGCCCGTTGCTGGTATTCCACACCTTAACAGTTTTATCGCCTGAAGCAGATGCGAGGAGCTTAGAATCATAGGAGAAGGTGACTGAGTTGACCGATTCGCTATGACCCTCCAGGGTCTGCACGCATTGCCCGTTGCTGGCATCCCACACCTTGACAGTTTTATCGCCTGAAGCAGATGCGAGGAGCTTAGAATCATGGGAGAAGGTGACTGAGCTGACCAAGTCACTATGCCCCTCGAGGGTCTGCACGCATGCATTCCAATGCTCCGCCATGGCTGGTTTCGCAGTTAACCAAAGCGGCTCCTCCTTTTCGAATTGTACCCTAGTCATGCTACTAGTAGGGCTAAAAACAATTGCGGAATTATATACCTGAAGTGGATAATCTTCGATCCCTGTCTTAAAGTTAAGAGCGAATCGACATGTGTCTTGAACTCTATTGTTCAAAGGAAGATCGTCTGTTGTCATCTGAAGGAATAGTGTTAACCAAATTCCTTGTTTTTATTATAAATACATACCTTGAGAGAGTTTTCGAGTTTCAACATTGACGTTACGCCCTTGGCTAAGCTTTTTGACAAACTAAGAGCCTCGAGCCAATGGAGGTAGTCCTGGCGCAAGAATTTGCCGACTAAACCGCTATCCTGGAGGTCTTCTTTTGCGTTCTTGATAGGACAGCATTCTTGAAAATGATCTATCCAAAAAATACACGGGTAACGCATTGCGCCAAGCGGATCAATATCTGGCTGTTGAACCCGGCCAACGGGAAACCCGGGCATCACTAAGCTATAAATATCGCGCCGCAGCGTTTTGGATATGGATTGTAAGCACCTTGAGAAAATAGAATAGTGCATCTGTTTTATTCCCTCGGGAGATTTAATATGGCCTGCTTCTCGGAGGAGGAAGTCTTTGGCTGACTGATGCACCAAGGAGATTGTGCCATTTCGAAGGGTCAGGAATGAACCGCAATTTCCCACAATCTCTGTCAGAGCCTCAGTATCGTCCGCAATCCCTCCAGGTAATTCGATGCAAGACGCAAGTTCTTCAAGAGTTATAGGACGAAAGACGGTAGCTGTCACAGAGAGCAGAGACTTACAAAGCTCTGCATCATCCGTTTCACCGACATTGTCTAACATTCGCTTGTAAAGCTCATCAAGACCTGGCGGGATATCTTTCAATTTCCCAGATACATTCCTGTCTGCGACCTTGGCGAGTCTCTGACAAACCAATGCTACCCAGAGGAAAGTACCTTGTGAATTCAATTCCAGGTGACGATGAATAGCCTCTCGAGTCTCAGGCTTATAACCATTCCTCTCGGCCAATTCGTTGACCTTGTGACAGATGAACAAGTCCACTGCAGCCGACAGAGTATCTCTGTTCAACTCAAGACATAGATTTGAAGTCGAGGTTCTTTTCAGGTCTTTCTTGATATTTGGCCAATTTCGGCTGGAAACGATCCATTTGACGCGTGAATAAGCCGAGGATTTCCGGACAAGGAAATCAAGAAGTTGGTCCAAGCCCGCAACGCATTCGTCAAGTGCATCAACAATCAGATAAGTACTTTCCAGATGTGGATCATCCAGGATATTGGTGAGTACTCTACATAACTCCACCCATGCAGTCTCGCCTTCGAATCGACCGCCGTGGATATGGGTGATAAGGGAAGGTTGCTGTTTTACAAGCATGAATATCAGTCCCCGCAAGACTGCCGAAGCGTTGTTGATGCGGATGTTGGTGGCTTGGCAGAAAAAATATGAGATATTCGTATTATGCACGGCCAGCTTAGGTAGCTTAGATAACTCATCAATGATACCGCAGAGTAACATTGTCTTGCCTTTTCCAGGATCACCTGCGATTAACAGAAGCTGGCCCGATTTTGCATCCCGCCATCTCTGAAAATCGACATGATCGAGCACCCAACAATATGCGTCTCTGAGTAGGCCGCCTTTGTCTCCTTCGATGCGAGTTTTGTCAAGACTAGGATCAGTGATTTGGAGAATGTTTAGCCATTGTCGGAAGTCAACGTCAGACGAGCGTTGCTCAGCCCTCCGAGATATACTAACAAGCTCCTGAAGATCAGCATTCACGGCCTGCCGCCATGTTTCCGCTTCCTTAGCCAGTCTTTTTAGCTGCTCTAAGCTTGTACTGGACAAAACAGTATCGAACTGCTGGGCAAGGCTTGCCTCTTTCTCTTTGAGGTGGACTAGTTGATCGTTCCAGCCGTCATAGTCGATGACACTTCTGAAGTAGTTTTTGGTCGAATTGCGATAGAACCTCAAAACACTCCGTACCTGAAATTCAATGATGAGTTTATATAGGTCAATGATACGGGTGGTCAAGTCCGTCCTTAAATCGGGTCTCATATCCTCTGGTAAAAGAAGTGATTCCATTTCAGCGTAATAGCTCATCTGTGATGTGACATACGCAAATCCCTGACGGTTAGCCTCATCAACAGCGGCTGGGCTTTTCAAGAGCGGAAGGACCAGCGAGATACCGGCCATCACCGCTGGTGCATAAGGCACGTCTTTTATCGCATCTTTGATATAGGTTTGGGCCCAATCCACTGCCTCGCCAAACTGACCCACCCCGTCTTGCAGACGAATCTCATGTCCTAGAATAGTAACCTTGGCCTTCTTATTGTCCATATACTGCAAGCCTGACTCGGCGATCTCTTTCAGTGTCTCTCGGCGCGCGGCCGTGTCATGCTGGGGGATCCGATTCTCGACATCGCCGGCGTCCTTTTCCCATGTGGGTACCGATAGAGAGGTTACTTCACCTGTATATTGCTATTAGCTCTAGAAAGGTATGAATTCACTATGATAGCTGCTACCTTGAATAGGCACTCGAGATAGAAGATCTTCATACACAGATAGTAACCTGCACGTTTCCTCTTCCTCTTTGAGCAAATCGTATGCTCTATCCCAGAGAGAGACCAAATTGATTCCATCATCATCGATATTCACCTCCGTTTGGGTTGAATTTGGTGGAATAGCAGTCTGTTGGTCAGCCACCTCTGTAGTATTGGTGTCGACATTGGTCGGCCCTGCTTGGGGTGTCTTTTTAGAGGGATTAGAAATCATAGGAGTAGAGCCCGTAGCTGTTTGGTTTGGGATTGAAGACGTAGAATTCGATACTGAAGCCGTCAAAGCGAAACAGACGTGATCAGCTCGCTAATAGTAATATCATTTTGTTGTACTACCATACCTGCCGGTTTCACAGATATATTTTCATTTGGCTCTGTTTCCTTCCCCGACTGCTTCTTAAAGATCCGTTTAAAAAAAACCGCCATAGCTACTGGATGCACCTCGCCGCATATTCAGAGGCGTCTAACATGAATAAAGCAGACTGCTGCGTGGGGTCTAAGGGTATTCAGGGGTTCGACTGTTGGTATTTTGCTTTAAGAAGATTCGGCGATGGTCGAGGTATACTCATGCAATACTGTATTGAAGTGTTACTCAGAGTGGACCGGCCCGTTCGTGAAAGTTGTCTTCTAGATAAGATTTACCCCGGGTTGGGTAACAACTCTAAAGTTAGTTGTTTCGGGTTGCAATGAGGGGCGATTAGACGATGATCACATGACATGGAAAGTTATGGAATCTCTTGAACGATGGAAATCTAGCTTCTGTGCGCAGATTCCGGTGTTGAACTGATAGTGCAGGATTAATAATCGAAGACAACTGAAGCCCTGACCTAGGCGTATGGATATATCTCAAATTATATAGATACTTGAAGAAATGCGCTTATATATATTTTATATCACAAGATCTGTTGATCTCCACCCAGAATATAGGTGGCTTCTGGCATCGTCGCCGGAAAGATTGTCGGCCCGACCCGGCCAAAACTATGGCTCATGCCACGTAATTTGCTTAACGTCAATTTTTTTGGTCTGCAAATGGATCTCCTTATATGCTGACTTGTTGATATGGTGGCGGCTAATCCGAATCCTCCTTATCCCGCCCCTCCCGGCCAGCGGTTAGAGACAGCGATGATTAACTACGTAGTTAAGGCTGCTTGAGATCGCGGGGAGACGGGTCACAGGAATGATGGCACCTCGGATTTACTGTCGGTCCGCACAATGCATCCGCTAGACTTGTGGTCGAGGCACCAGCAGAGGGCAGCCGCTCCTCATTATGCGAAGTAAAATGGCACCCAATTTGAAGCCGCCACAGCTCGAGCTGATCCACCATATGATCCAGAGTAAATCGCTAACAACATCTTAGATGGCCCGTGTCGCAGGTTGTAGCAAACAGTCTATAATTCGTATTCGGTCCAACCTACAGGTGTTCGGAAACGTGAGAGCCCCCCGAAATAGCACTGGACGCCCGCGAAGCATTACACCGTCCATACTAGAAGCTCTCTATGAACATCTTATGGAGAAGCCGACTTTATACCAAGACGAGATAGCTCTTTTTCTCTGGGACGAATTTGGGAAATATATAACGATCCAAAGCATCAGCCGGGCACTTGCTTCTGTAGGGTAGTCTAAGAAAGCTGCTCGACAAATTGCAAAGGAACAAAATGCGGATTTACGCGATTTCTATATCCATAACTTGTCGTGCTTTCGGTTGTACCACTTAGTCTTTATGGATAAGTCCAGCTGCGATAAAAGGGCTGGATTCCGACGAACAGGCTGGTCTCCATTAGGTATGATACCGGTCTATATATCCAAATTTCATCGGGATAAACGTTATTAGATTCTTCCTACATACGCTCAGGATAGGATAGTCCTGCGACGGGTTTTCCAAGGGTCTACAGATACTGAAGCTTTCGAAGATTTTATTAAAGAACTCCTTCAATACTATAACAAATAGCCAGAACCAAAATCTGTTCTTGTAATAGATAACACCTCTTTTCATCGCACCGAGAGGATCCAGCAGATATGCTCAGATTCAGGTGTAAAGCTGGTATATCTCCCACCTTATTCGCCAGATTTAAATCCTATTGAAGAGTTCTTCTCTAAGCTAAAGCAATTCATCAAACGAAAATAGAACGAGTACGAAGTAAATCCAAATCAAGGTTTTGATAAGTTTCTCAAATGGTGTGTTGATGTTATTAGCTTAAAGGTTTCAAGTGCGGAAGGGCATTTCCAAAACACAGGTCTGATAATTGACAAACTCTAATATCTTACTTAGTCATAAAGGCCTATCTCAACTATATTAAGATACATAAAGAACAAATAGCACACTATAAACCAATACACGAATTAAACATTACCCTTGTTCATATAACCATCATATTCTTGGCCCAGAACCTAATGTCTTTAACGAAGCGCCGAGCAATACCCCACTTGACGCCTCGCTTCGTGAAGTAATCTGGGCTTTTATCTTTATCAATCTACGACAGATCTAGTCCATCGTCTAGAGCTACCTCGCACACCTTTCTGACCTCAGCTTTTAATATCTTATCACTCAACCGTGACTGCTGCCAAGTACCATATTCCTTTACGGCAACGTCCAGAAGTCCGGAAATATGCAGGACAGGTAGGTCTGCTAAGGGAGACATAGTACTGTTTTCCGGAGGCAACGACGTATATAACGCGGTTGCTTGTGGCGTTTGTGGTGGAAGGACGTTTGTAATAGTAATAGGGGGACAGCTTGTCTCAGAGGCAGTACGATTGTGAGACCTAGGCCTTTCAAGCCGCTGCCTCTCCGCTCTATAGATTTGTTCGCGAATCATACCCGGGACATCTTCATGTGATTGTAAAACCCCACCACTCTGCACGTATTTCACCAGATTCTCTAGTTGATCCCGGTATAGTTTGTAGTGCTTCTTCCCATAAGGATCCTGCCAACAGTGGGGGCCAAATTCACAAGATCCAGGGCAGCGTATTAGAGCATATACCGCTTTCCAAGCGGGGGGTTCTCCGGAAATTTCTTCCTCAACACAGAGTTGTTCGTCCCGTTCTCGAAGCATGTGCTGAGTAGCGGATGAAGATCCTCTTTTATCGGTCGTCCTGCGACCAGCAGTCGAACTCTGGCTATCTATGTAATTGAAAGAAATGACGAGTCTCAGTTTCTTGCCAGTAAGAAACAAGTCTCCCCAATCAGTCAGCTGTTTCTCTATAGAGGCCCAATCAATATTGGTTCCATCAAAACTCAGAGGAATACCCCTTTGTCGTGTGGCAGATACGACAACAGAGGTGTCGTCTGTTTGAACTTTCCGATGAGAATACTTTCGCATGATGAGTTCTTTTAGCTTTGGCTCTAGAAAGAGTCTCCAGTAAAAACGAGGGGCTAGAACCAGGTCTTGTTCTGTATTTTTTGCCACTGTTCTATTATTCAGAGTGACTTTCCACTCAATCAAATAGTGTATACAGGTCGGTGGATCTTCATCATATGTCCGACCTTCTTCCCAATCACTAAACTGGAGTAGTGGAAGGGTATTCTTGGGCAAAGAAGTTTGTTGCGGAGGGGCGTAATCAATGGAGGGTGCGGGGTCAACGTTGGAATAGCCTATGTCGGATAGAGAGGCTGGCGAACGGCAGAAATTACCGGGCGTTGGTGCATATTGGGATGCGTCGTCCCACAGATCAACCGTTGGATTTTGTTGAAAGCCATATTCATCATCATGGCCAATGGAATGATCGAGCCTCATGTTTCTGGGCTTACTATAACGACAGACTTTATTGTTAGTGATTCGTTAAGGCCTACGTCATCGGCTGCCAAAAGGATGCTGTTTGCCAGGATGCTGTTTGCCAGGATGCTGTTTGCCCGCAAACAACAGAACCCTGCCCAAGCAGTAGTTCGCCGATGTTCTCGCCCGTAGAGATATTCCCCAAGCCGAAGAAACACCCCTAACGAGGCGGCGTCTGGCAACGAGAATACAACAGGCTGAGAAGGAATTTTGGAAAACTGAAGGCACCTAGGGACTGTTTTGCGGGTCAACTTCCATGAGATTCTATGCAATTCTCTTACACATTGCGTAAATTTACTAGCACCGTACGATACCATACAAGCAGCATTTTACAGCGGCCCTCAATTTACTGCGACTAGCCCAATAAATGATCTGCGCTAAGGGCTTGGCAGTGGGGCCAGAATAGAGTGATTGAGTGTGTATCGGTCAAGCCGATTTCGAGAATGGCTGTATGTTAACGGTCTTGTTAGGAGGAAAACTCTCCAACCTGACATTCGGTGCTTCGTTAGTCTCTTTTCCATCAGCTTTGCCGGGGATGATTGTTTCTTTCGACTTGTCCTGATTAGTACTAATCCACCCCTTGCTCATTCGTACTGCCTTCTCCCATTCTTCAAATTTGTTTGCGCTATCCTCACGTGTAATTTGAGGATCGAAGACTGCTCCACCACTTCGATTTATATCTCGCAGCTCTGCAAAGTTTCGCCAGATACCCACCGCAAGGCCTGCAGCGATAGCTGCCCCCAAAGCAGTGGTTTCGCGCATTTTGGGACGGTAGACGGGTATAGATATCAAGTCCGATTGGATCTGGTTTGTATACAATGATTATCATGCCCTTTGAAGATTCATCATTCCCCCCTCTAAACTCTCTTACCTGCATGGCTAAATCGGAATTGCTCATGCCCCCATCAACAGCAAGCTCGGAAAGAGCTTTCCCACTGTCCTTTGCCATTGCCTCGAGAATTGCTTTGGTTTGAAAGCAAGTTGCCTCCAGAGTTGCGCGGGCGATGTGGCCTTTTTGAGTATACTGAGTGATACCAACTGAAGATCGAGTTAGTTTAACACTGTCGGTGAACAAACAATAGATTTCATCAACTTACAAATAGTTCCCTTCGCATCATCAATCCAGTAGGGCGCAAAGAGTCCACTGAAAGCCGTGACAAAGACGCATCCCCCGTTATCATCCACCGAAAGAGCAAGTTCATTGATTTTCTCGGGACTTTGGGAGAAATTCAAATTGTTTTGAAGGAACTTTATTCCAGCCCCCGCCACGGCAACGCTTCCTTCAAGTGCATACACGGCCTTACTACCAAAGTTGTAGGCAACTGTTGCTAGAAGACCATGCTTTGAAATGACGGGCTTGTCGCCAACATTGTACAATAAGAAGCATCCTGTCCCATATGTGTTTTTAGCCATGCCGGGTGAAAATCCTTTCTGCCCAACGAGTGCAGATGACTGATCACCCAAACAACCCATGATAGGAACACCAGCAAGGGCACCAGAGGCAATCGCACCATACGCATGTGTGTCAGAGGAGGGAACAATAGTGGGAAGATGAACTTTTCCTTTTATTCCGAAAAAGTCCAGTAGCGTCTCGTCATACTGCAAGGATTCCAAGTTTACAAACATGGTCCGTGATGCGTTTGTCGAATCTGAGACAAAGACGTTGGCGTGTACACCGCCGTTCAAACGATATACGAGCCATGAGTCTACCGTTCCAAAAGCAAGGGTACCCCGATCGTACGCATCTCGCACTTTTGGAACGTGCGCGATCATCCACAGAAGTTTTGTCGCAGACGAGTATGTCGATAACGGCAGGCCGCATATTGATCGGATGTTAGAAGCTCCCGGCTTCTGTTTTAACCCGTTCACGATCGACTGGGAACGTGTATCGGTCCAGACTATTGCATTATAGAGGGGCTCCCCCGTCTCGTGGTCCCAGACGATAGTAGTTTCTCGTTGGTTCGTTATTCCGATCGCTTGTATACCTGTGCGGGCGTAGCCGTCGTTTTCGAACTTTTGGACTGTTTTTTCAATGCACTCCTCCACGGAGGAGATCAGTTCAAGTGGATCATGTTCATGCCACCTATCTTGGAGAAAACTTGTGGTCAGTCCCCGCCTAGTCAAATTATGGGTTGAGCATCGAGGGCCTCTGTGTGCTAATCTCCGTGTTCTGCTCACCCTGGATTGGGATATATTTGACTGAATTCGACTTGTTGTGATGCGATGGGTTCGCCTTCTCGATCGAAAATCAAGAACCTGGTGCTGGTTGTGCCTTGATCGATAGAACCCACAAAAGTCGCTGAAGATTGCATGGCTTGGATACGTGAAAGGCCAAGTGTGTTTGTTAAAGGGAACCAAGTAGCCAGGCGCAAGCAAGTATAGTGAGGCGTGTTCTAGTCCGTTGGGTCCACTGGGCGCAGAATAGCATGGACTAGAATCGCATCATCAAACCCGCCGTCTGAAATCGGAGGAAAGGAAGAACAGAGCCTACCGAGTGAAATAATCATAATCTCCTGTGGTGACACAGCCTATGCGCAGTCTGCGACATTTGATTCGAACTCAGTGTGGGGGTAAGACTACTGGGTTTGCAAACTTGAAAAGGATTGGTGGAATTACAAGAACCAGGAGGCAGGATCAGTGCTACGGACCAGGGGAAGGAACCTTTAGAAAGATTTGAGGCTTGAGCGGCGGGGAAAGTCTGCTCTACCAGTGGTAAAAGTCTCTTAGGTAGGTAAAAGGTGAGTATTATGGAGTACCTCCAGGACTAGGATAGGTATGCACCTACATAGGTCACTGCAGCTCGAGTGGGACAGCAAGGAGAATTGAAGGCTAGTAGCAGGCTCGAAAATTTTAGGCCTAGATATAGAAAGAAACATTTGAATGTTGCAATGCAAGGTTGCATAGATAACTCTGGCAAAGCAACTGAGTGCCTGGTAAAGGCGGTCATGATATTGGGATAGCTGGAGGAGAGCCGGTTTGAAGGAAATTCTCCGCCACGGCCTAAGGCGCGACATACTTTTCGCCATTTGCCTTGGACATTCCAGTTTTTCTCCTCCTCGACAGTGAACCCTGCAATGAAAGAAGCGAAACAATTCAGTACGTCATAATTGTCTGCCACACATACAGTTCCTGTAGGGAAAGTGGCCGCTTGATGGCACGCTAATCTATGGAATACGTAGACTATCATCATGATGGAAGACAACCTCTAGACCGCTTGAAGGCTATTTAACGAGCATTTCGATGGCCTGCTCGATGAATCTCGTCTTTGGCTTCACACCGTACATGCTATGGCAGAAGATGATGACATCAAATTTCTCGTGGGGGTGATTTTCACAGGCATCGATACTAGCTCTCTTGCTGTGGAGAGAGAATGACATTCTATGGATTTCAGGCAGGCACTGCAGGCCAGGAAGTGGTGAATCCAGCTCAGGGGTAGGGTCTAGCCTTTTTTGTTACACTTGCTGCAAACAAGTGGTTCGGCTCAAACGCAGCATACTTCCCAACCTTTTCTCGCAGGTGGCCCGGTAGATCGCCTAGCACGCTTTTCGGACCAGGGCCTATTTCTACTACCGAGATACGGTCACGCGAGTTGAAGAGAGACGTGATGAGAAAAGATAGATGCGGGATGATGAAATCTTTGTAAGTCTCCCACTCTGAGCCTTGCAGCAAAGATATCCAAACCAGAACTGTATTGCTCGTCTGAAATTGGCTTTTTTTGGAAAGAGTCCGATATCCCGACCTGCTTGAGAACCGTGGCCAAATGATCGAGAGTAGTCATATCATAATATTTGGAATTCTTCTTACCATTCAAGTTGGGAGGATTTGGGAAAATATGTTGCAGCTGGAAGGGGGCACGCAGTAAAAAGAGGGCACCCCGGACCAGCCATAGCGTGCCAACAATCGTGCCTCATGCATACCATGCTGGCACTCCATACATTTTTCGATGTGTGCCATGAGAAGGAATCATTACGGGACGCTTATCGTGTCTCTTGTTCATTGGTGTTTGCGTTTAGGATATACGTAAAAAAGGTAAGCTGGACAGTATCTGCGTCCGTAACGCTGAGTATGAGGATGCCACGAATCTAAGCAGTACTTCTTTTTCATAATTACGTCTTCTATGTAGATAGATTAGCGGGCAAACGGGCAGGGAACTGAGCTGCATACGCTTTGGCTCCGGTCATCAACACATATATACCAAAACCGAGTCATTTTTTGGGCAAAAAAAGACACGTTAGAACACGTTGATCCATCCCGTTTTTTTTCTGCCAGTGGACTACAAGAAAATGCGGGGGACTCAACGGACGACTCGGCTGCGTTAACGAGGTTCCAGGGCCAGTATTTAATTGCAGTGGAGCCCGTGTCAAATTGACTCCACTTTCGATTACCTATCAGCAGAGAGGTAACTATTGGTACGGACAACTGGAACCCGATCTGTACAGATAGAGGAACCAGGCCGGAGCCCACCGAAAGATCATTTGAACGTGACCAACATGCGTGACTAAGCGCTTCTCCTCGTATCCAAATGATCCAAGATGGCAAGTCCCCAAGATAACCAGGCATGTCCATGCGATAAGACTCTCTCATTCCACGCTGGCTCTTTCCCCCCTCCCCTCTATCCTCTTACTCTCTCTTTTAATAATTTTCCTCTTCTCGAAATGTCCTCTTTCTCTGCAATCCGTTGACAAGCTACGCACTCATGATCTCTCGAGGATCCTTCTTATGCCCCATTCGGCGAGGGCTTCGTACGCCTCCGCGGTGCCGCAGCACCAGCTCCATTGCCCCACCCTCACCACCCACACCACCCACAAGACCACCCACGAGCGAAATACCTCAACATCCCATTGCAGCTTCCTCGAGAATCGGTGATTTGAAATCCGCAAAACCCTTCTCTGAATTTCTCACCGATTCTTTCAACCGCCAGCATGACTACCTACGAATCAGTATCTCCGAACGCTGCAATCTCCGCTGTTTATACTGCATGCCAGAAGAAGGGGTGGAATTATCTCCACAATCCCACCTGTTAACATCCCCGGAAATCCTGTACTTGTCGTCTCTCTTTGTTTCCCAGGGCGTTACAAAGATCCGGTTGACAGGCGGAGAACCAACCGTCCGCAAGGACATAATTCCGTTGATGCAGCAAATTGGCCAGCTGCGACAGCACGGCCTCCGCGAGATTTGTCTCACAACAAATGGAATATCCTTGCACCGAAAGCTTGAGCCCATGGTCGAAGCAGGGCTAACGGGTGTAAATCTAAGCCTCGATACCCTGGACCCATTTCAATTCCAAATCATGACACGGCGCAAAGGGTTCGAGGCCGTGATGAGAAGCATTGAGCGGATACTGGATATGAACAAAGCCGGAGCGGGGATTAAGCTGAAAATCAACTGCGTCGTAATGCGCGGTATGAATGATCGTGAAATTGTCCCATTTGTGGAGCTTGGTCGTGAGAAGCCTGTCGAGGTGCGCTTCATTGAATATATGCCATTTGACGGTAATAAGTGGAATAAGAAAAAAATGCTGCCCTACCAAGAAATGTTGGCTATCATTCGGGAGAAATATCCTGCGCTGGAAAAAGTGACGGACCACAAGAATGATACCAGCAAGACATACCGTGTGCCTGGTTTCGAGGGCCGCGTTGGGTTTATCACGAGCATGACGCATAACTTTTGTGGAACTTGCAATCGGTTGCGTATCACAGGTGATGGCAATTTGAAGGTTTGTCTCTTTGGGAATTCCGAGGTTTCACTGCGGGATATCATCCGGAGGGAGAACGGTGGGAATCCAATTGATGAGGAGGCATTGCAGAATCTTCGACTTTTGGAAACAGTACAGAGTGCAGCTCATCTCAGTGATCAAGGTGTTTTGACACATGAAAGGGAGCGGGAAATTCTGAATATCATTGGAATGGCTGTTAAGCGCAAAAAGGCAAAGCATGCTGGCATTGGCCAGCTTGAAAATATGAAAAACCGACCTATGATTCTTATCGGTGGGTAGGCCATATCTCTCTTTTTCCTCTTTTTTTTTAACGACTGCGATGATTGAATGACTTTGTACACCTTGACCATGACTCTGGCGCGGGTAAGCCAAGTTTCATGGGACTGTTATGTCAATATAAATTCATATTGTTTATGTATCCAAGTTCATATTCTGAGATAGCTCAGGTCATTTGTTTGAATCCTGTGCTGATAGTTGAAAATAGATAGTCAAATATTTCCATCCGGACCATTTTCCAACTCAAGGCCAAAGTACCCCAGTATTCCCACGCATCTACTGGGCCTTTCCCCGTCCAGGATACATAGTCGACTTTACAGTACTGGACGCCCTAGCACCGAAGACAAAGAATACACACCACAGAAATCTCAAAAGCCCAACCCTCGCTCTCTTCCAAACATATCTGATTCCGAACTTCCGCACCTCACCCCCAACCAAACAGTTCACATGACGAAGATCACCGAAAAGCCCGAAACGAAGAGACTAGCAACTGCAGCCTGTATAGTCTCCTTCTCCAAAATAAAGCCATGGGAGCTTCTGCGACACGGACAGGGGTCCCACAAGGGCGACGTATTCAGCATTGCTCGAATTGCAGGCATTATGGCGGCTAAGCGCACTCCAGACATTGTCCCCCTATGTCACCCAGGGATTGGCATTACCGGGGCGGAGGTTAGTGTTGAGCTGATCGACCCTCGATCTACTAGCGGTTATGAATGTGGCGCGATGGAAATCGTTGCCACTGTCAGCTGCTTTGGTCGAACGGGAGTCGAAATGGAGGCCATGAGTGCCACTATGGGCTCGGCATTGACAGTCTATGATATGCTCAAGGCAGTAGATAAAGGCATGATCATTGGGGATGTACGATTGATAGAAAAGCAAGGTGGAAAAAGTGGCCACTGGGTGCGCGAGTCACCAGGTGAAGTTGCATGAACGGGAATTTACAGTTGTTTTGTCCAGGACTATACTATTCAATAAAAAAGAATAATGCTATACGTTCCAGCATTTCGGTGTTACTGACAGGATGTGGTTGGTAAAATGACTGATGCAACAACTCATGTTCAACAGTAGCATGGGTCTAAAGATGTGATTAATTGAAGTCGTTTAGAAAGTAGAGCACATGATCCTTGAAGTAACCCAGCGTCGTGAACTACAAAGAGAGCTGACTATAGCCCTGGGGGGAGACACAGACACAGAGACGTAGACGTGGAACGAGAAGACAAAGCTCCGTAGATACTGTATGTGTCAGAAGAAAAGAAAGAGGGATAATTTGAAACGCAGAGACATGTATGTGAGGTCCATCACTTGGATATATCCTCAACGCCTCCAGACAGGCGAGAATCCAGTCCCGATTCGCTCGATACCTCTGTTTTCGAAAAAAAAAAAAAAAGGCCTAATATCTTGAGCACTTGCCGCAATTGATAGCCTTCCTAAAAGGTGGAGAAGTCTATGTTCCGTTAATTTTGTAGGGTAGGGGCCATGCAGATTTCGTGTTCTATTTCACTAGCAGAACAGTAGGGTTAACGGCGTTCGAAGAGTCTCGCGGGTTGACAACCCGGTCATAAACGGATATTTGTCCAAAGACAGCTGTGGAAACTTCGTTTTCGGTTTGATCTGCTCCTATTTTTCGCATGTGGTACTTGTTTTTATTATGGCTGGGCTGTCCAGTACCCTCCTTTTCTAGGAACCGGGGCAGTGTTTCCCAGACCGATTCTGTCAATTGCCTGACCAGTTAGCTGAAACTCGAAATATTTGGAGAAGAGGGGTACTTATAAAAAAAAGGGGGGGGGGCCGTCTCCCCTGCCTCGACAGAGGAAACGGCGGTTCACCGGTATACAATAATCCAGGGGCTCATAAACTCATAACAATCGATGCCCGGCATTCAGGAGCCCGTCAAAAGTCTCTATAACAAGAAGCTTGAACAACCATTGCTTGTCAATTATTTATCGTCATTGGAAATAAAGATCAAACTGGAGACATCACGCCAAAATATGAATCAGACAAGCCAAAGCTTTGATCTTCTCATTCAAAAGAAGTCCTGTTCCATAGACTGGATGTGACGAAAGTTTAAAATCATCCAGAACAAAAAAAATCAAAGCAAGCGATATGGTTTCACGGCCACTAGTCAGAACACAATTGATTGCCCCTGAGATATGGTGGACTGGAAGGGTTGAGTAGAGAGGGACCGAGGGAAGAGTGTCGACCAGATGAACAAGGCTCACAACGTCCACGACCCCGGCACAGTCGAATATCATCGCGATTGGGTATAGCATAGTACGACAGGTCAAATTGGCGGCTCACGGAATTCCCGCTACTTCGTAGTAACGAAGCTAGCAAAGTCTCGGGTCATGAAGCGAGTGTCTTGTGTGTAGTTCAGAAACCTCAAGGACAAGTTTTTGTTTCCTCTCCAATGCAGGAGGGCATTCAATAGAACGAACAAAGAACATCCGAAAAAATCGCACTGAATAAGAATGAATCAAGTTCATTATTGGAGTAGTCGACACCCATCAATCGTTTGCAAGCTAACTCGCAAAGGGATGGCTAACATGGGCGGTCTGGACCTTTGAAAAAGTTGAATCGGTGACTAGTGTCGAGATTCAAGGCAGGCAGTGGCCCAAGGCCAAAGAATAAAACGGAGGTAGAAAGCAGGGGCTAGATACCCAGGTATCTCCTTTGTTGGAATACGCACGGGACAGCCGACAGTAGAAACCATCAATGAAGACACGTAGGCGAGCTAATATCAAGAAACACATAAGTATAGTGGAGAGAGACATTGCCATCCGGAACGTGCCAACAGCCTATAGTCGAGCAAAAGATCTCGATAACAGACAGAAATGCGTTGGCCTCGCGACAATCCTAACCATGAAAGTCTGCCTGGGCAGATTCAGGGAGTTGAGGAGTGATTCCGGCGAGTGGACCAACGTATTTCGCTGCAACCAAGCGTATGTAATAGGAACCATCGTGTCCTAGGCGCCGAGTCTCCAAATCACCATAGATGTGTGCCCCGGGATATCCAGATACCAGCATACCTTATGTAATCATCGACCTTTGTTGCCTCTTATCGCTGATGCTCCCAAAGACGGCCTCAAGTGAGGCGTCCGGCGTGTTCCTCCTGCTTTCTCCTTTCACATTTTATCCTCGTGTGCATGCGCTGGCCATCCGTTTGTGACCTGCATATTGCCCAGCATTGGAAAACTGACGCCTGGCTCATATGAGCACCAGCATAGTCAACCGTCTTTTGGTGATCTGGACGTGTTCGATAACACTTTCGCGCATTCAATCCATCAAGATCAATGCTACTAGTCGTGCTTTCAATATGCATTTCCCGTGATGTATTAAGTCTCGTCGAGAGACACGACTGGGACGCTGGTTAGGGTGGTTGACCCCAATTGTCACTTTTTGCAGAAGCAAAACATCACAATTGGATCGGAAGAGGTAATGGCTGGACGGGATGCCTAAAAAGGCAAGACACTTCACGTTTCATGCGAGATATTTGCTGTATGGGAAACCGGATAAAACCTCACAGTTCGATGCGACCAGTTGAAATAGATAGTACCGTCGTAAATGATATTCCGAGGCTGTGTAGGAGGGGAGTAGAATGGAGCGAGCGCTAGCAAGGAAGCTGAAGTCGCGTCGCGATGTATCTAGTTATCTCAGAAAGACACGAGGTCACGAGATCGTGTTATCGCTTAGTCATCGGTCACCTGACTGAGGACAGCAACAGCCGCCTCATGTATTTGACCCACCTCAACTTTACGATTTGGCTATCTGTCGAGGTTTTATTGTTGACCCTTTTGAATTCCCACCGTGAGCCCACCATGGCTTCTTCAACTGTGAACGTTCTGCTTTCCACCTTTCCCGGGCTGTCGCTGCCATCTACAGTCTCATTCTCACTGCCCTCGACCTCGAGCATCTCCGACCTCACGGACAAAGTCGCCTCATATCTCCCGTTGTCTTTATCCCTACAGCGTCTCATTCTCACGACCACCAGTAATAAACAAATCCTCCCCGACACCGGTTCCATACAGTCCTTGATCATTCAAGATGGCGAATCTGCTACATCCCGTCTCCTGCCTATGCGCCTTTCCGTCCCGCTATGTGGAGGAAAGGGTGGATTCGGATCCCAGCTTCGTGCGGCGGGTGGTCGCATGTCCAGCAAACGCAAGCGCAACCAGGGCGACAACAACAGTTCTAGTCGCAATCTTGATGGACGCCGTCTACGTACTGTGAACGAGGCTAAAGCTCTTGCCGAATATCTCGCCGTCAAGCCAGAGATGGATAAGAAAGAAAAAGAAGAGCGTCGTGAACGGTGGCAGTCTGTTGTTGAAATGGCCGAAAAGCGCCAAGAAGAGTTGAAGAATGGGGGCGGAAAGGAGAAGATCAATGGACAGTGGATGGATGATAAGGATGAAATGAATGAAAAGGCGCGAGAGGCAGTTCTTTTGGCTATGAAGGAGGGGACATGGACAGACAATCTTCGCGATACAATTCTGGGTGGCTCAAGTACTAGTGCTAGTGAAGGCAGTGACCACATGGACTCATCCACATCAGATGAGGACGATGAAGACGAGAACGGTGCGCCTTCAGCTACTGCTGGCCCATCTGGCTCGACAGCGAAACCTGCATCACGTCGATTCATTGGGTTTGATGATGATGATGATGAATTTATGAGCGACTCTGAAGAGGAGGAAGAAGAAGAACAAGAGATTGACGGAAAGGGCAAGGGCAAGGCACGAGCTTGAACTGAAAAGACGAGGTTACTTTGATGAATTATGACGGCGTTATTGGTAGTATGTTTCAGTCTGGTCCCAGAGTATAGCAAGCTTCAAGTTTAATGAACATTTGATTATATCCCTCATCATTCATTGATCACCTGGGCAACCTTGCTTCAAAATTTCCAAGCGCATGTTTATGTAGTTGAACTTGAACTTCTTGAGCGCAACGTGCAAGCTTGGAGTGACTATTATGTGCATAGTATATACATATGTATCCAACGAGATCTACTGATTCAAGTTTGTCACGGTAACACGAAGCACTTGATCTATTTGATTCTAGAAGACTAGTAGTATATAATTGCCTAAAAATATTGCGAAATTCAAAATCCGAACATCATAAATTCTTTATCTCAGAAAGATTGAGACTTGCCCCCGTTTCGCAAGTTTCAACGACGAATCCTAACATTGCCCAGGTGGATGCCAACAGTAGTCGGTATGGTAAGTACAGTATCAACGTCCACCGGCGCGGCCAATCGGGGAAATGACGCGTAATAAACGTATTTGCCTTACCCAATACTCTAGAGTGGATACCTTGGTTCACGGTGCGGAGATTAGGGAATTTTTTTTTTTTTTTTTTTCTTCACTAGCAGCTCCGCAGCTCTTCCATTCGAAAATTTCCTCAACTTTTTGATTCCACAACTATACGGAATTTATAACTGGGCGAGAAAAAAGCGAAGCATTTCACCATGTTCGCTGTTCCAGGATGGTCGCTCTCCTCGACTCCCAAACGCGAGACTGAAGCGTCCAAGGCCGCGAAAGAATCGACTTCCAAGGCCAACAATGCGAAGAACAACAAGCGAAAGCGCGGAAATGACAGCATCACCCGCGGAAATGTCGATGAGATGTATCGGAAGCATATCGAGGGCCACTCTGCTAGACCCAGAAACGCAAACAAAGCTGCGAAGAAGCAGAAGAACGAGAAGCAACCCGAGAAGCCTGCCCAAACAATAGTCGATGGTGCCCAGGAGAACAAACCTGCCGACACTCCCAAAGACGAAGAGCATACCCCAAAGAAGAGTGCGAAGAAGAACAAGAACAAAAAGGAGCAGAAGGACCAAACGGACCGACCCGACCAAGCCCAGAAAGAAAACGCAACCTCTACGCCTACCGCTGCCGCACCAACCCCTGCAGTCGAATCATTGAGCGCACCTCCAACAACATCGGCGACCTTGACACCGCTCCAGCAAGCTATGCGCCAAAAATTGATTTCTTCTCGCTTCCGCCATCTCAATGAGACCCTCTACACAACCGATTCTTCGAAGGCCGTGGAGCTCTTCAACGCCAACCCGGAACTCTTCGATGAATACCATGCTGGTTTCTCCCGCCAGGTCAAGGAATCCTGGCCTTCTAACCCAGTAGATGGCTACATTCAATTCGTCCGCCGTCGAGGTGTTGTACCCATGCCAAAGAGAGGAAGCAAGCTAAACCCCAATAAGCCACCTCCCCTGCCTCGCAGACCCAATGGAGCTTGTAGCATCGCTGATCTCGGCTGTGGCGATGCCGGATTTGCACGCGCTTTGACCCCGTCGGCGAAGAAGTTAAAGCTCAATCTTAACAGCTACGATCTCCAGGCCCCAGACTCTCTCATCACCAAGGCGGACATCTCTAATTTGCCTCTTGAAGACGGATCTATGGATGTGGCCGTCTTCTGTTTAAGTTTGATGGGAACCAACTGGGTTTCGTTCGTGGAAGAGGCATGGCGCATTCTACGTGGTGATGGTAAAGGCGAGTGCTGGGTTAGTGAGGTCAAGAGTCGATTTGGAAAAGTCAACCGCAAGAAGTCACAGATTGGGGCCCAAAAGCCCGCACTGAGCAAAACTCAGCAGAAGAAGCAGCCGAAAAAGAAGAATGGTGATGATGATGAAGATGTTGAGGATGCCGAGATCTATGCTGAGGATGCTCGTCGCAGTGATGCTGCTGACGAGACTGACATTTCTGCTTTCGTGGAGGTATTCCGAACCCGTGGATTTGTGCTCAAGTCAGAGACAGTCGACAAATCCAACAAGATGTTTGTCAAGATGGAATTTTTGAAGGTAGGCAGCGGCCCTACAAAGGGAAAGCATGCCCCGTCTGTTAGCGCCCCTGCAGCTGGAGGGAAGAAGCGATTTGTGGATCGCAAGCCTGATGCTAGCACTGGAATGACGCCCGAGCAGGAGGCTCAGGTCCTCAAACCCTGTGTGTACAAGATTCGATAGATCTATATTGATATATCCTAAAAGGAACACAAAAGTTCAATTTTGTTCAATCTGGTTAAATATAATCGCATTTTATTCCAATTCATTCAAGTCAATTTGACTGATCCGAATAATTACCCCCTCACATGGGCCGACAACCGGAGGGCTAAATCATGCATAACCGGGCCTCGGTCCAAGCAACGAGAGGAAAGCCGCGTGCAACCGATGCAGAATGACATGGGCCAGGCTGATCAACCCACTAAAAAGAAGCACTCAAACTTTGTATCTTATTTACCGGAAGGCTTTTGAAGAATCCTTCCTTCTTTTTTAAATACTCCACATACTCCTCTTTCCCCGAGATCCATCTCTCCTGAGTCCTGAGAGACCTCACGTACCTCACGTTGAATCAACCATCCCCCTCTACCCTTCTCCGCACCCTCCCTTCCGCCCCCACAATTCTACCCCGGACCCATTAATCACCAGCCCACAATGGCCATGACTTTCAGAGCGACTCGACATGCTACAAAACTGAGCCAGGTAAGAGAATCATCTTGAATTGCACTACTCACTGAACTTCCTATGGGCGCTGCATGGCCATTGACTGACCACATTCCAGGCGACGCGCCCGCTATTCTCGGCCCGACGTTATGCGACCGCCGAATCCGACTTGAAAACCGCGCTCAAGGGAGTCATCCCAGCCAAGAGAGAGCTTCTTCAGCAAGTCAAGGCTCAAGGAGACGAAGTTATCGGTGATGTCAAGGTTGGAAATGTCATTGGTGGTATGCGTGGTCTCAAGGCGATGCTGTGGGAAGGTTCCGTCCTCGACGCCGACGAGGGCATTCGATTCCATGGAAAGACGATCAAAGATTGCCAAAATGAATTGCCCAAGGGAACCACAGGAACTGAAATGCTTCCAGAGGCTATGTTCTGGCTGCTTTTAACTGGCCAAGTTCCCTCTACTGCTCAAGTGCGGGCATTCTCCAAAGAGCTCGCAGAGAAATCACACCTGCCACCACACATCTTGGAGTTGATCAAGACTTTCCCCAAGTCCATGCACCCGATGACTCAACTATCTGTCGCCGTAGCTGCACTTAACACAGAGTCCAAGTTTGCCCAAGCATACGAGAAGGGCCTCAACAAGGCTGAGTACTGGGAGCCTACTTTTGATGACTGCATTTCTCTTCTCGCCAAGATCCCGCGTGTTGCCGCTCTCGTCTTCCGCCCCCAAGAAATTGACCTTGTCGGTAACCAGAAGCTCGATGTTACCCAGGACTGGTCGCACAACTTTGCCGAGCTGCTTGGAAAAGGTGGCGAGGAGAACAAGGATTTCCATGATCTCCTTCGTCTCTACCTCGCACTCCATGGTGATCACGAGGGTGGCAACGTTTCCGCCCATGCGACCCATCTCGTTGGCAGTGCCTTAAGTGATCCATTCCTCAGCTACAGTGCCGGTCTGCTGGGTCTGGCTGGTCCCTTGCATGGTCTTGCAGCCCAAGAGGTTCTGCGTTGGATTATGGCTATGCAGGACAACATCGGCACCAAGTTTACAGATGAGGATGTCCGTAAATACCTGTGGGATACACTGAAGTCTGGCCGCGTTGTACCCGGCTATGGACATGGTGTGCTCCGCAAGCCTGATCCTCGCTTTGAGGCTTTGATGGACTTTGCCGATTCCCGCCCGGATGTTCTTGCCAACCCAGTGTTCCAGCTAGTGAAGAAGAACGCTGAAATTGCCCCTGGTGTCCTTACTGAACATGGAAAGGTATGGAAAGCCCATTTACGCGAGAGAGATTGTATAGCTAACTTTGTTTTCCCACTAGACGAAGAACCCTCACCCCAACGTTGACGCTGCTTCTGGTGTTCTGTTTTATCATTATGGATTCCAACAGCCCTTGTACTACACCGTCGCCTTTGGCGTCAGTCGTGCTCTCGGTCCCCTGGTTCAGCTCATTTGGGATCGTGCTCTAGGTATGCCCATCGAGCGCCCCAAGAGCATCAACCTCTTGGGCCTGCTCAAGAAATAAGCCATGATACAAAAGAGGTCACATAGATATTTAAATCCCACTGATATGCAATGAATTTGAAGCGAGCTACCCTAGATCGAATTATCTTCTGTTTCCGAGGGAAAGGTCGACTAGTATAGATCTAGAACAACGCGAAGAAAAACAAAGAGCAACTTGAACTTGGATCCGGGCGCCTTGAGCTGTGTATCTTGCAACACAAGTAGTCAAAACTACAGGCCCATTGTCTTAGGTGACATTCAACTAGATGCGACACGAACACTGATAATTTGAGACTATTTAAAAGATCTCCTAATGTGTTTGACTATTTGACTATCTTAGACCTTTAATGCCATACTCGGGGTTTACTATCTTCAGCCTTGGAATATAACTAATACAGTTGCACGAAATGTACGTTTTTGTTTTTGTTTTTTTTTTTGTTTTGTAATGGGAAGATAAAAATATGGTCAACCACGACCAAATGATGGCCTCCATCATCCCACAACATATTGCGCCACTCACTATCGCCGTGGATAATTCCGTGAGACTGTACTAGTACGTACAGCCAAAGCTTCCTTGCGCTCTCGATCAAAGAATACGAAATGTTGGTCGTTGACGACATGTTGAAGTCGCATTCCAGACCAGCCCAAGGTCATCATGTGCGCCATTAATTCACAGTGGTACCAATATGCGATGAATGATCATTCGAGCCCCAAGAGTCTATGGCTCATTTCAGGTCAAAGATGGTACACAATATTTTGGTACATCTGGCTATATTGTGATGGATTTTATCCCAGGTCAACCACTGGATGAGAGCTGGAACAGCCTATCCCGTGACATTCAAGGGACGCAGCGCAGGTTGCTGAAATAATCCAAGAGATGCAGTCTATTCAGCTTTCACAGCCTGGTCCCATTGGTGGAGGGCGAAGTCGAGGTCGGTTCTTCACAGACTATAGTCCGGGCCTTTTATGGACACTGCTGAAATGGAAGCTTGGTTTAACCACAAGCTAGATATCTGCAAAAGTGTCCATAAAGCCCCAAAAGACATTCCGCCATTCCATTTTGCCAAGTTTGTCCTTACACACAACGACATCAGTCCTCAAAATCTGATCTTAGATCAGCATGAACAAGTGTGGTTGATTGACTGGGCATATTCTGGTGCATATCCTCCTGTCTTTGAAAGCGCGGCATTGTCGGTGCAGCCATTTTTCACTGATTTCAATGAAGCGGTGTCATTCCCTTATTCCACGTTACCCTGAGGAGGAAATGCAACTTGGTTCTATTGCATATGGATTAACCACCGCGGCATTGGCCTAATTTGTGACGCGCTCTTCCTTTTAATCCTTTCTAGTGTACTCGGATGCCTACTTTAAGGAGAAAATGGGAGTTTTCTTGATCACCGAAAGGCAGCCTCGCGTTTTAAATATGACAGTGCTATTAAGTTTTAGAAAGAGCCATCTTAGACTGCGAAAATGTTCCAGTCTGGCTCGAGTTTCCTTGTAAAGAATGGGGTCGGTCCAGTATTTGTGCTTATCAATTTGAGCTGGATGTACAGGTGCAGGTGCCATAGAAGAGAACAGGACAAAGACTGGGACTTGAATTCAGTTGAAAGGGAGCTATTTTCGGCGTCGTTTTGGTCGCCAGTAGAAACGAGGGGAACAGGCATGCAAGTCGAGCGTTAGCATTAGGACAGGAGGAAAACTAAAAGTTCTGAGCGGGTGCAGAATAGAGATGTTACAGCCTTACAGGCAGTGGGAGGTCAAGAGGCAGCTGGATGTCAAAGTTACAAGTGGAGAGGCTGCCGTTTCTGGCCTCCAAAGCGGTTATTTTCGGCGTCAGGTCCTCATATTTTAGGTGTAATTTCCAGTGATAACCAAGAAAAACAAGTCCAATCACACAAACCCACCCCAGCCATTAAATTCATCGGCAAACTTGACCGCTGCTTTCAGATAGAAGCCATCCTGATCACCCCACGTCGTCTCAATCTGTTTCAATGACCTTAAAGCTTTGACGTAGTGGGCATCTGTGGAGTGCTTACTCCGAATTGCCTTGCCTGCCACCCACTCCCAGTTCCTCCGTTGAAGATCAAACTGATGGACCTCATCCACCGGGATCCCTGGACATAGCTGTGAAATGTAAATCGCCAACGTCATCAACCACCATTGACGGATGAGTGGAATCTGGAACCTTGGTGGAATAAAGGGCAACAAGACGCGGACGGCGTGACTGGTAGTGAGAATATGGACGAGGAAAAAGTCATGACTCCCAGTCTGATGCTTATGTGTCGCAAGCAAGAGTCCAGCGGCAAGTTGCTGACTTTCACGAAATTGCTCGATTGGATTCTCAATTTTCCATGCATTCCAGTGGTTGAGCAAGACTGCTTCGTGCTTGCTGAAGAGTTGGTTCAAATTGCCATTTCCTGGGGTGGTGAAAAGAACCTCAATATTCTTGTCTGAGCGAACATTTGTGAGGATTTCGAATATTGATGATGCGTGGTATGATGACTCTTCCTGCGAAAGCGCTGGCCTGTCGATATACTTATGTATACTGCCGTAACAGACCGATGCCAGGCCCAGCGCTTCCATCGCTACCTCGCGACTAGATAGCTCGTATGCATAGGCGAGATGAATGAGCGGATGGCCCACTATGAAGTGTTAGTGTATGAAAAAATGTAAAGGGGAGTAGAAATCCATGAGCTAGAAAAACGACGTCATAGAGCTTGACATACAGTCCGCAATGATGGAATTGAACACGGGCTCATCACCAGAGAATAAATACTCGGCAACAACCTCCTTCCAGTCATAATTAAGTCTTACCAACTCATCCTCATAAAAGTCCACAAATGCCTTCTGATATCTGTGATCCCAATCATGGGAGTCATTAGACACGTTTGGTAGAATGATCCAATCACACGGGACACTTACTCTCGACATCCTAAATGATCTCTCCAGTCATCAGGGGTAACTTCCGCAGGCGAATCAGCCCACACATCTAACAGTTTAGACTCCGTCTCGTAGAGTCGGTTTAAGTCCTCTGCATCGGCACCTTGTAAAAACGCCGCACTCAAAAGCTAGAAAACAGGTCAGCAAAGGCCGGACCAGAAGGCATTAGAAAAGAGAATGAATCACTCACATGAGGAGCATGGTTATGAAATTTCAAATTATTGTATAGAATCGCATGATTTGCATGATTCAATTTGAGTAGGTGCTTCAATGCCCGGGCTGGTTTTTCCTGCGTGGATTCAATGTCAAGGGACTCGACGCTGGGCAGATTTATGACATATTTCTCTTTTGAAAATGGAAGGAAAGATCTGAGCGAAGGGAGTGAGATAGACAGCATTTCTTTTGGTGGGGAGAAATTGGTGGCATGAAATGTTGTTGGGGTCGATGATCATCTGATAACCAGATAAGAAGGCTAGCTTCTGTGAGACGGTGAGGTCACGGTTGCCAAGCTTTGTTATGCCTTAACCTTCAGGCGACAACAGGCGTCACCTCAATTAACTAACTAGTTAACTAGTTAACTTAACTAGTGCACCACATATCATGGTGAAGCAATCAACGTTCAGTATTTCCATCGGGGCATAATCATGTGTCCAGAAACAAATCTTGGAGGCATATGTTTAAAACCAGGCCGGGCGCACTGTGTCACAGACTCACAGTAATCTGTAGGGCTCTACTCGGGAGGGACTCGGATAAACAGGTCAAATTTCCAATCACTCTCTTCAAGTACTGATTTCACGTAGCTATGCTTCTGATTTACATATACTTAATCTGATCTGTCTTTCTAAGTAAGCTTTTCTAAATCATGGGAGCCAACCGCTGAGTATGAATTGAAGGTTATTGCTGTATGAATCCTATTCAGTAGCATTTTGCAGAGTTACTGAACAACAAAACCTTCACAGATCTTGTAGATAACCTCACTGCACGCGTTAACTCTGAATCGGAGCCGCCAAATAAAGCTGTACCCAGAATTTCAATCCTGGAGCAACGCGTTGACGAATTCTGAACATCAGGTAGATAATAGGCTTCAATCTTTCGCCGGGCTGAAAGGATCTATGGATTCAAGCCTGTCTCGTTTGATCGCTCTTGGACTATGACCCGGAGCGTTAAAGGAGCCAATATTCCACCCTGTTAATACATTAGTCGATGTACATATTTGACAGCTTCACGTCAGGCTCATGATAACTTGAACCCACCGATGTTAATTTCAATTGGTATGTAGGATCAACCGTCCACTCAATACGCCGAAGCATCTCAAATAATAGGATCTTCATTTGCATAACAGCAAATCCTTGTCCTAGACACTTCCTCGAGTGTGCATTGAAAGCAATGAAGTGACATTGTGTTGTTTTGATGCGGACAGCATTCTGAATCGTTTTCACATCATTTCCCCAACGCTCTGGAATGAATTCTTTCGCCGTCGGACCCCAGACTTGCAAATCCGTATGTACACCATAGGCATTCCACCCTACCCATGTGCGATTGGGAATGACGATTTCCCCTCCTAATGTAGATTTTCCCGTTGTCACACGGTTAATCAACTGAGACACGGGAGGATACAAACGGAGAAGCTCCATTACGACCGAAAAAAGATACGGCATTGAGTTGACTTCATCGACGGTTGGGTTTAAGGTATTCATGGCCAGAATTTCGAAACGAAGTTTCTTCTGGATCGCCTGGTTATTTCCTAATTCCCAAAATGCGGAGTTAAGCAGCTGTTGGGCATTTTCATGTGCTGTTAAAAAGGTAACTTTGAGGTTGTTCCTGTACTGCGTTTCTGTGATTTTCCCTTCTTTGAGGGCGCGGTCGAGTAGGTCCACAACTTGCTCTGTGTTATCTTCTTTATATCCCATTAGTGTTCTTTTTCGGACAGTGTCGCATAGGAGGTCACCAAATTCCTGCATAATTGAGAAAGCAATTTTCCGTTGACGGAAGAGATAGGGAAACCGATCGAGATCAGGGAAGTTGAAGAAGAGTGGCTTAAAAAGTGTCTTCTTGATGATGGTTTGTAGTTGCTCAAGACGTTGCCCCGGCTTCTCTAAGGCCTGTTTCCATCAATGTCATATCCACGAGGATTTGAATCTAAAGAAAAAATGAGACAAAAAGACACATACTTCAATATCAACACCCATAAAGTTCAGTCCCATACAGCTTAGCGCCCAACGTTGAATGATCGGGTTCACAGCAACACCCTTTTCCTCGAAAATTATCTGTTCCTCTAACAATTTATCAATAAATAGCCTCGACTTCATCAGAAGTGGATCTGAATCTGTAATTCGCCTCTGCAGCCCAGGCTTCATAATTGAAGTAAACAGCCTCCAATTATGCCCGTGAGCATTAATAATATTATCACCCACAAGAGCAGCAATCACACTCCAAGGAATCTTCTTCTGGCTACCAGCCTTTGCATAGATATCCTCGTGCCGGAACATATCCACCAGATACTGCGGCCGCGTAACAAGTATATTCCACCGCCCTGCAAACCATATTTGGACAGCTCCATACTTTTCTAGCGGTTCGCGAAGCCAGCGGTCATAAATCGTATCTTGGCCCATATCACTCCAGAGGCCTATCAATGAGATATAAATCGGTACCTTTGGAATATTCTTTGGCATGTCGCCTGGAACTCCAATGTACCAGTATAATACCCCAGATAACGTCACTAGGAGAGCGATAATGCTCTTGGTCCATGTCAGGCTCCAGTCAAAAATAAACATGATATAAAAGAAGTGGTCTCAATAGCCGTGTGTAGTCAATGACACTGAAATTTTGATATCATATATTGAGGAGAATGGCAAGAATTGCGACAAGAACCGGAGAAGAAAAGTAAGTGAACGATCCGAGCGAGGATGCTTTCATTTATGACAAGGCCTAATAAGATAATGGTAACTTTGGCTGACTGCTACCACTTGTCCTAGCACAAATTTCTATAACAACGGCCGCAAGTAGGGTACACAGCTTTGGGGATTGATGAGACATGCTGACCGAGATTGCGACATTGTCGAGTTAATTTGCATAGCGTTTGCTTATACCTGACCCCTCCTTGTGTGACCAAGTCAAAAACCCAGAGTATTCCAATGTTTCTATGTAGACCTCTAGATTCAATTAAATTCTGTCCGATGGCTGGATCGATGGCTAGATCGATGTGTGTTTCCAAGATAAGAGATTAATTAATCGTTCGCCAGTCAGTTTGTAAAGAATTATCAAAACTACGTTTGTAGTTCAAACCGTAAAGGAGTTCAAATTGTGTAAATATGCAAAGTATGCCCATAAGATGATGCACTGAGCGACTTAGCGGATCCCGTACCGAGCGGATTGCAAAACTATCTTGACCCCAAAGGCTAGGATAGTAACAAGATTGACGAAGCGCAACATGTGCATAAAACGCAGGATTTTGATCCTCACCGTATAACCATTAAGAGATATAAGATATTTCCAGAGTAGATAGTATTCTCAAATTCGAAAGACGCATCGAAAAGTCTGAGACCAGGTGTAAATACCTCGTACTTAAAGGGTAATACCCCCAATGTAACAATGACGAAAGTTAATTGGGTATGTGATGAGTCAAAAGCCTTATGAAAGAGACACTAGAAGTAAAATTACGCTTCTAGTGAATCCTTCCCGGGGTCTCTTCTCGAATAGAGGCACAATACCGATATCTTCGGGACATGACAGAAAGATATGAAATGAAAAACAATGGCTGTACAGTACATCCTGATAATGAAGTTTCACGAGGGCAAAATAGATTCTGATCACAGTCAAGAGGTATAAAACATATTTCTATCATAGAATAAAAAAACTGTGGCCAGGCACCAGATATGGGAAAGTCTTGTGTGGGCCAATAATAAGAGCATAAGAGCTAAGATGCTGTCCCTTATGACATCGTGCCTCTCACATCCCATACATATAGACTTTCGTCCCAGCCAACACTAGCGCACCAGCCTTCACTTCCAAATAAGCACCAGTCAACACCGGTGACGAATTCGGTATGTCTGCCCATTCGGCCCATCTCCATTCCGACAGCCGGACCCGCCGGACCAGAACGCATTAGATCCACATCTCCAACACCGCTTGCATCTGAACGGTCACTCCATACACGACAGGTCATGTCATAGCTGGCACTCAACAAGACATTGGAGAGATGAGGCGACCACGCAACTTTTCGGACAGCGTAGTCATGGCCCAGCATCGTCGTCAGTGGCCCTTGTTGAGGAGCACGAATATCAAATGTTCGGATTGCACGGTCCACGCCTGCTGTTGCGAGGACGGTGGGTCGGTATTTGTTCCAGTCATGCGTCAGTGCTTCAGCGGGAGGAGTGGCGGCCGGTGGGATGCCCGGTTGACCGGGAATAGCTGGCGCGGCGGGGGCTGCGTGGATGGGAATTTGGAGGGCAAGGTGGTTGGAGGCAGAGGCTGGGGTACGCAGATCAAAAACCCGGACATAGGAGTCAGATGTCACGCAGGATATCAGATCCGGGGTATGAGGGCAGAAGGCGGCGGAGTAGGTACAACTGTGAGTGGGAAGGGTGAGTAGGGATTGCGGGCGATGCGGCGACCAAACACGAACGGTGCCATCCCAACTGCTGGAACAGAATCGATCCTTAGCTACCATATTCCAGTTCACACTGAAAACTTCGCGCGCATGCTCTTTCCAGCTTTGAATAGGGAATTCATTTTCTGTGCAGTCGAAGAGCTTGATGCTACCATCGCCTGATGCAGTAAGAACTTGGTTTTCGTGGAGCTCTGACCAGGCCAGATCGTAGAGAGAATCTTGTGTTGTGAACCTAATAGCACCCAGATGTTGTTAATATGAGTCCGGGAATGAATCAAAGGTGAAAGTATATAGATGGAACATTCCCGCGGGGAAAGACATGCGACCATGATGACATACCATTTTATGGGTTGAATGCCATTCGGCGTTAACTCTAGAATCCAAAGACGGCCATTTCCCACTAATCCAAAGTTCGCTGCGCTGGCGACTGCAAGTCGATTGTCAAAAAATGGTGAGTATTTCACTGCGCAGCCATTGAAGCCTTGTGTGCGAAATTGAAGCATAACGAAGGGACCGACTGGGCGAGCCCGATCTTTCGAATGGAGGAGAAAACCACAGAAGAACTGAGCAAAGATTGTTATATAACTAGGTGCAAGTATCAGGAGGCGACAGAGGCGATCATACCCTTCTCCTCGTAAAGGACTAAGCAGAAGGCTGCATATGTAGAGAGTAAAATGAAGTGAACGGATTGCGGGGAGGCTTCAGAGGGTCAGATGCAAAGTGGACCGAGGTCAATTGCTTATCGGGACTCTTATCGGCCAGGCAGAAATTCAGGCAGAAATTGCTTTGACCTACATGAAGTCAATAACACTCTACATGCAGTATACTAAGTAAACTACTAGAATATATGGATATGATATCCATGGTGATAGCCCTGGAGGAATATGTTCATTCTAATTAGTTGCAAATACCGTGTAAACTTAAATATCAATTTCATTTTACTTCACCCTCTCTTCAGCTGCTTTGTATTTTTCAAGTTAATTTCTATCTACTATTTAGTAGACCTACCTAAGCTCGAATTGAAACATACGAACTATCAAGCTATACTCAGTATCATCCCTCGCATCGTCCACATTGCTCCCGTCTAGCAGGGGTCAACAGGGGGGATTTGGCGGCCCTAGTGGACCGGAGGGAAACAAAGAGGGAGCTGATTCGCCGATCCCTGCCAGGGCGCGATGTCATCGATTCGGGCAGTGCTGGAATTCCTCCTCCGGACACAATCCCGCGCGCTTGGCCCCAACTTGCTTCTCTGCATCTCCTACTACTTTTCAATACCTGCTTGTTTCTTATCTATTATATATCGGACCCGATCTCGAGCGATATTTGCATCTACCTTGAATACCCTCTCTTTATTACCCCCCCCTTTGATACCGAAATGGAGCTATGTGGACGCCAGAAAGTCGTCCAGCGCAAGATGGTGCTACTGTCAGCTTAAGGCCCCGAGTGAATGCCTCCCATTGATTTCTAACAATTGCACAGAGGTGATGGTGCTTGTGGCAAGACCTCCGCGCTGAATGTATTTACAAGAGGGTGCGCAATTCGTTCCCTTTCCCTCGCCCGTCTCCTTTCCCCCTCCCTCGTGCTCCACTATTTGCCATGATGATCGCGATAGCTGATTATATCAAATCACCTTAGGTTCTTCCCAACCGTATAGTAAGAGAATCTCTTCGTCGAACATGCGCGACCATAAAAATTAATCTGGATTGGCTTCGCAAAGTGAACCCACGGTTTTCGGTACATGTTGAAGCTTCCCAAGCTTAAAGATTCGCGCTAACAACACGACCCTAGAAAACTACGTCCACGGTATAATTCTCTGAACTCCAACTATCGAACGGCACCTCAAATACTTATGCGCGCATTTAGATATATTTGTCGACAATGTACATATGGAACTTTCGCTATGGGACACAGCCGGACAAGAGGAATTCGATCGGTTACGGGCACTTTCCTACGAGGACACCCACGTTCTGATGCTTTGTTTCAGTGTAAGCATCGGGCACAAGCCCGACACCGCCGGCAGACAACCATATAACCAATGCCAAAAGCTGACGGGGTGTCTATAGGTGGACAGCAGCGACTCATTCGAGAACGTCGGTTCCAAATGGATCTCCGAGATCAACGATAATTGCCCGGGCGTTCGCGTTGTCCTCACGGCACTCAAATGCGACCTGAGGAAAGACGAGGAAATGAACGACAACCCTAGCACGATCTCCTTCGACCAAGGACTAGCGAAAGCGAAAGAGATTGGCGCAGTTAAATACTTGGGTACGTCATGCGCATAATTTCATGGAAAGTCTATATAACTGATCCGTACATGGATGCAGAGTGCTCGGCCGTGCAGAACCGCGGCATTCGAGAGAGCTTTTATGAGGCCGCTAAAGTTGCCTTGGAGGTCAAACCTGCAGGAGGTAGTGGCTCCGGCGCCAAGTGTGTCATTCTCTAAAAAAACCGACCTTTCGATCTCTGAGATTGTCCTTGAGATGAATATTGGCTCTAATCTCCGTAATTTCCTTCTCTTTGCCTCCCTACCGAAGCATGCTTCTCTTCTTGGCCTTTTGGGCTCCTTTGACCCTTTTGTTCTCTTCCTTGCCTCCGCCTTTCAAGTTGTTGATTCCCCTTTGCATTTTGGATGTGGTTTATCATTATTACTCCCTTTTCTCTTTCTTTTCTTTCCTCTCTCTCCTTGGACTCATTGGAGGCATTCTAGGCGATAGAGCCAGTCACAAATACCTATATCATGATGCGAGAGCACCTTTATCTCCAAAAAGAATTACTAAAGTAACATGCAATGATTCTGTAAGCTTGCCCAGGAAGTCACCATGCTGGTCTTTATGCATGATTGAAACATCAAATTACAAAAATAAAAAACTGTCGGCGGAGGTGAGATAGTCATTTACCGATCAATCTAAGAGTTGTAACGCATTGAGGTAATGTACATCATGATGTACATTATTCCTACGCCCCACTCAAGCTGTTGAGTGGGGTCAGCCCCAAGGTTGCCACATGGATGTATCACTCACGGTGGAGCCTGAGGAAGGAAACGGCCCCCAAAGGAAGCATCTACTATGACGTTGCTTTATCTTTAGGTCAGTGGACTTACTGCATTATGACCTAGGGGACAACCTACAAGAATCATCAATCAGCTCGACTGATACTTTCCATCGTACTGTAGACGTTACAGATGTATAGGTCTTGGATACAACGTATAGTTCTGATACACTTATTAGGCATTATAAAGTCACAAAAGTCTCAGAAATTCAAATTTGCATCCATTGAAAAACCTGCCTACCTAGATGGACAATTACTTGCTAAGAATGAACCCTGAATCAATGTTAGTGGAATAGCCAAAACTATATAGTATTTTCCTAGACCAAACTGAGACCATATTCAAGTATTTCACGCGGATAATTCCAATTTTGGAACTTCAGAAGCGAATGTACCTAGTATATGCACTGCACCGACCCAAAGACAAATATCGATGTCTTCAAGCATATGTACACGCAGTTGGGGGGCAGTATCCATGGCTACATGAGAAACTGCAAAGACCAAGATAGGAATCGTCTTCTCCAGGAAGCGGTACACCATTTGCTCCCGTTGAGGGGGGTGGTGAAACTGGCGCCCCATACTGAGTACATGTGCAAGGCCCGGGGGGGCAGTAATCGTATCCGCAACAGAAGTTGCAAAGCCCAACATAGTTCCCTGGTCCTGTACCTCCTACGCACACACTCCCACCACCACCGCCGCCACCAGTACCGGGTCCTGACCCATCTCCACCTGGCGCACAGCTTGTACTTTGCGTCTGCGTTAGGGTCGCTGTGTAGCTCACTGTAACAGTTGCTGTGGCGCCACCTGGACCACCTGGACAACTTGTTGGAGGAGGGGTCGGGCTTGTAGTATTCGTCGGTCCTGTAGGTGTCCCTGGCCCCCCTGGTATCGACGTCGTTGATGTAGTGGATGCAGGTGGAGGAACGGTTCCCAAAGAAGGAGTCGGACGACAGGTATTCACACGTAACCCTTGAGAAAAGGCAGCTAGGGCATCTGGCTGCAAAGGATCATCGAATCCTGGCGGTAACGTTCCCACTATAGAGCCAAAAGTACGTTAGGTGATGGCGTCTCTTAATATCGTAGAATGAAAATGATATCCATACCATAGGCATTGAAGTTATACAGACCACAAACACATCCAGCAATGATAGGCTTCAGACTAGTCCCAGAAAGAACTGTCTGTCCATCTCGGGCGATTGAAAATGCTTGCACGCCCACTTGCATGGGTACTGCTTTCGCGTACGCCCCAGCTGGTGCATTGTATTGATAAACAGTGCCGCCAGAGTTGACTTGAACTGTTGCTGGGGATTTCAGCAGAGATACAACAAAAACAGAGTCTTGCATGGACTGCCATCCATCCGGGCGGCCGATAAAGTAGTTTCCGCTGCCATTGTTGGCGGTAACCATGCAAGTATCTGTTGCATCACAGTTTTGGTCTCGCGGTGCTGGTCGATACCAGTAGATCAACTGATCCGCAGTGATATAGTTGTTTGGTGACGATGCTCCAGCCTTGAATGCTGCGATGAAGGGCTTTGATATTTCAAGCCATCCGTCATGGGGCCTGTCGAAGTCGTGAGCAATTTATGAAATGTTTTGTATTTGAATCAAAATTCTCTTACATATCATTGACCCATCTTGAGGCTCCGTCATCTGTATGTGGAGATTTCAAAGGTCCAATATAATGGGATTCCCCATAATCATTCCAGGTCACAATCTCAATAAAGCGGGGGCCGAGAGATAGAACATCATTCCATCGGTTGTACCATAGAAGATCCGAGGGAAAGACCCAATTTTTGCTATAAGAAACCTCCGGCCCAAAATGTGTAGAAAACCACGGAGATACCGCTGTATCAAATATGTGAGTCTCATTCCGGTAAAATGAATTCAAATAGCGGAAATTGCAATGAACTTACGGGCAACATAGGCTTTTCCCCCGAGAGCATTGGTATAGACTTTATCTCCATCAGCCACGGAAACATTAGCTCCCGGTGAAGGTGCTTTATTGTTTCCATTGTTTGGCCAGGCCATCCAGTTGAGTAGACCATCAACTGTCGAGATATCTGTCCCGTAAGATGGGTGAAAATTAGGAGCAAAGAAGATGGGTCGTCCAGCGGCAGCTCGTAGGGCTCCCACATTCAATCCATCGCCTGAGAACGACGACACAAAAACCTTGTCGTCCACCATCAATTGACCTGGCTTAGTAGCATACTGCGCAATCTTTTGGCCAATCGCAGAAGCCTGTCCAGTGTTCCACCAGTTGAAATCAAACGAAATGAAAACCTTCATTCCATTATTTGCCGCAGCATCATACGCAAATTCTAGCTGTTGATCTGTGTAAGGATCAACGCCAATATTCAATGCAAACGCGTCAATCCCAAGAGACTTTGCTCGTTGCATATCATCATCGTAGGCAGAGGCGCTATGTCTGTCACTTGTGATTCCAATCTGTTCCCATTTTCAGTATTTTCAATTGTAACTGAGACTTTTACCTTAAAATAGTTCATGACCATGCGGAAACATGAGGCTAAAACATACCATGAAATGCGCAAACACCAACCGATTGGTGGCTTGCCTTTTGGCTTCACTGATCTGACTTTTCACATCGGGGAGTGATCTCGCCCATACCCCTAGCAAGGAAAGAAAGATTAAAAAAACACTTGGAGCTCTCATGATGGATTTGGGATTGTCGTTGCTCAGGGTTGTGGTTTGAAATGGTATTTTCAGATCTCTTCGGCCAATTTATTCAAACCGCCATCCCCTTCTCATTATATAGATACACAGGCATGCATGCATAGTGAGAAAGCCCTCCCAAGTGCAACGACCGGGGCTTGCAAAAGTCCCGCAACCAATTCGGAGAATGACTTCAGCACATGGTGGCTGATTGCCGAAGTGTAACTTCATGCCCAAAGAAGATCAAGCCTTCGAGCGTCACATATGAAAGTTCCATATTACCACGAAAGGAAGCCTATATTGTCACTTCAAACAAAGGCTAAATCGGATCGGGGTTGGTATATATGCATGTTTGATAGAACTTGCATATCTAGCAACGGTGTGCACATTTTGAGTCATTTATCTCCTCAACATCTGAATTAACTTCAAATCGTGTAGGCAATTTAGCATGTATCAAATATTTGAGCATGATAATGCAAACATCGTTGCAAAATATCATCACTGCCTGCTGCGCATACTAGCATGATCTTGAGATACGTGGCGAAGGATCCACATGGTTTAGCTCGTACAAAGCCGAGGTTTTATCCCGTGAGTTTTTAGTTTTCGCTTTTCCATCTTGGCAAGAGGGATTTAAATATGCTAACACCTATTATGGCGTAGAAATCGTGATAGTGTCAATCCCGGGGACCGATAAAGTCAAAATGGCTGATGTCAAGGGACTAAAGGGCTTTCTATGTGCGACCCTGAATAATAAGTAAAGCACAGACCCTGAAAATTTGTCTCGTCAGCCGGGGATGGGTAACATTCCGAATGTAACCCCTTCATGCACAAATAAATCGTGACGTGATATAATAGACGTGATATAATCTTCAAGTCCCTGAACATTTGGGCCAAGTTTGGGGAGACGGAGTTTGCTCTTCTTCGGAATAAACGAATGAAATAAACAAGTAATATACATTGACAATAGCGGAGCTAGAACGAAGTGCCTATGTATAGGGAGAATGATCGTACAGTAACGCTTCGTTTTCGTAAACATAAATAATGGCATATAAGTAATAGTACATTCAGAGGCTTAAAAACACCAACAACTTGACATAAATTAGTCCAATACAACAAAAGAATGACCCCATCCGTGCAACATTATCGGATTAAACGTGACCTGTACCCCGCATTAATTAAAAGTAGTTAATATTACGTATGTGGTTCAGGTGTACTCACGGCCAAGCGGCTTTGCTCTCTTAGAAATCGACTTAGCTTGATCCTGCTTGATCCTGGCAAGTCGGGCCCTAAACCATGCGGAATATGAGTCAGAATAAGAAAGTAAAAATTTTAGTACAATCACACTTACTCTTCCGCAGCTTCACGCTCGAGGTGTTTAACGTGTTCTCTGGCTTCCTTTACAGCCTTCCTGGACGCTATTAATGCTCTGTCGGCCTCATGCTCCGCGGTTTCTGCACGGACAACCTGCTCACGAGCAGATTGTATTGAAGGATCTTCTGGCGTGCGATGAAGAAAACTGCGTCTTTGGCTGCCAGCTGATGAAGATCCGGATCGGGACGATACTGATGTGTGTGATGAGAGACTCCCGAATTTCTTACTGCCAGCGGAGGAGTGAGAGAGATCTGACGAGCGACGGCTGGATACAGATGAGCCTGCAGTAGAATCACGCCCGAAGATAGCCATGGTTATGAAGTAGTAGATGGTCTGTGTTATGCACTAATGGATCAGATAAAGCTCAGTGTAGTTGCAAAAAATAAAAAGATATAGTGAAGTTATGTATTCATGATCAAAAACTACGACACCGTGGCCGACCGGAGTTCTTCTATTTAACTGAGTCTCTAGCGAGTGTTTACTCAAAGTGGGATTTAACACTGACGTCAAATCGTTGATCGACATATCACGACGCGCGAGGAGCACTGTGGATGTTAGGATGTGACGTCAAACTGAAGTCTAAATAGATTAAGCCTAGCGGAGCAAGCCTAGCGCGTCCAAGGTCTCTGGGCGAGTTCAAATGACATCCCCACCATTTTGATCTAAATATCTACTAGTATTCCAGAGTAGCCTTCCTGAGTTTGTAGTAGTAGTTCGAAATTAGACCCGCACTGGGGATTTTTTATACACGTAGGGTGTTGGTAACCGAATATTGCAGTCTGCGATACTGTAATCTCCAAATCATTTCAGTCCATGACCCAATTCAACAAAATATCACATATGACAGAATGAAAGAGAGGGGTCTCTGGCAAGTTGAGATTGTGGCGTTTAAGGGGCAAACCACTCTATGTCTGCCGCGTCATTCCATTGCTTGGCCAACACATTGAAAAAAGACGGTGTAGATGGTATCTAGTACACCCGAGGGCTACATCGATATTAAATGAGAACAGAACAGATAACCTTGGAACTTGGGTACTCAGCTGCGGGTGCTACTACCTAATTTTCAGAATCGATTTCCCTGATATCATCCTGGAGTCGGTAAACATCATCTGGAGGTGATCACCTGCCGGTGGGCATGATCATGATAGAGGCATGGCTATGATCCATGGGTTTGCTGCATTTATATAGTTACGTCTTTCAAGTGGCCAACTTGAACATTGGACATGGGAAATTGGAAGATTCATCAATTAATCTCGGTCGCATCTTTTAAAATCGATGACACGAATAGGATTTACTTTCTTTAAACGGGGATCCAGAGCTTATTGGGTGGTTGGATATCTACTGATCTATTCAAGGTTAAATCATGGCGTCCATCCCAACGCCCGGATGGAATTTGAAAAAGTCGCAATGACAAATCTTCCAAATAATGCACAATCTGAGAACTAATTAAAACATATAGTATGTTTCATTTGCAGTCATGAGCAATAATAAATTCAAGTGTAAGTTTTGCAATGATAGAACAGCATGGGGAGTTTACTCTTTAGATCTGTAGTTGGTTTAGACACACTCGCCAGTCCCTTGTTACGATCGGAAATAACAACCTTGGCAGTAATCAGGGTGTGTACGCAGTAAGATAAGGAGAGGAAGTTTTCTATTTTATTCTTTAAATTTATTTTTTGAAAAAAAAGGAGAAGGTGGGGAGGCATCCGTTGAATAGTAGAAATGGGCGAGCCAAAGTTTCTCCTAGTAATTTATTGAAATAGTAACAAGCCTGCTTGGCATGCTGAGCGCTGTAAAGCCAAATTCATAAATCGCTGAGGGCATTATCCCGAAAAAGAAAAAAAAAAGATTCAGAAAGAAGGCGTGGAGAAAAGTAGAAAAGTATGGATGCTAGATAGCTCATTGCTCATCCCGTGGTCCCAGGTAGTCATAAGCCAATGTCGCCCTTACGACATCCTCTCCCTTCTTCACCACAATATGGCGAGTGTGGTGTCTTGTTCCGTTAATTTCCTGGAAGCCAAACGCCTGGTGGGTGATCAAATCCTGATCCACATGCTCCGTTTCAGAGTAGATAAGGTCCTCAGTCCCTTCTTCAAATCCCTTTGCCAAGTACTCGTCGATGTCGTTTAATTCCTTGACGGATTGCCACTTTGTACGGACGCTGACATTGCCGAAGAGAGTGTGGGCGAATTTATTGGGCTCGCCATTCAGTACGCGATCCTCATTGTTGGCTGGAAGGCCAGACGAGGGCTTGTTCTCAATTAAAACGTGGGTTACACCGGACTCATCCACCCACTCCTTGAAGACGACAGTGACTGCAACCATGTTGAGGATTTTTCGGAAGAAGAAATTAACACCCTGGAGTTTAAGGATCGGATCGCCACTGTCGGAGATACTGGTGTTCTTTGAAAGAGGTCAGCGTCGGTTTTCCAGAAGCTAAGGAAACCCGATCGTATAATCGTATTCCGAGTGAGAAGCAATTTACCATAACAAATTGACCATTAAGGTTCTTCAGGGTAATTTCCGATGGAGCAGCCATGTTTGCAGTGTATTGATCAGAATAGAACAACAAGAAAGAATGTCTTTGCTAAGTTGCTAAGTTGCTTGGTGTAGCTGTGTGAGTTTATCTTTACCACTCTGCAAGCCCTCACATGGATTAATTGTATGATTTATAACATGTTTAGGGAACACTTGGCAAATTAGAAAAAGCCCCCAAATATGATGCTATGAAGGGATAGTCCTGAACTGGTGTGCTGATTTATGGCCCCCATTTGTGTAAGCAACTTTGGAACTCGAGAGGGGCCTTCTTCTCGAATGGTAGTTGAGACTAAAGCCCATACGGAATATACCTGGATGTTACACAGAGAGCCTTCTCGTATGTTTAGCTTTGCCACGGTGGCGGGCACGTTGCTTCATACTTTAAGCCGAAGAGGCCCCTGACGAAACTGTATAAGGTTAATCACTGTTTCAAGATGACTTCAGATGGCCTTCAGGTCGATTTTAGGAAAGCCCCGCGAAGATCACGATTGCCAAGTTAGGCTATGTCTCAGCAAAACATTTCCTAAAAGAGCAAAGTGCGAATCTTCGATGAAACATCTCACGGAATGATGTTATTTGACAAAGCTTAAGAGCTACATCAAAGTGGAGAAGCCGGGAACCAGTAATATCCGTGATATCGAGATTAAAAATAACCATACGGATGGCCCCCAGTTCAGCTTGGTGGCGGCCCCGCTAAAGCCTCGACACCACGAGAACTGAGATTTCCGCGTGGCTTTCCTATCTAGGCATGGACTCTAATCCACTAGGACTGTTCTGATCGGGTTTATGGTCTATGACTGAGCCACTAGCCCCGTTACTGAAGGACTAAATAATGACTGGCCGAGCAGTAGGGCTGATTAAGCTGTTCACGGCCGTTAACCCCTGCAAAACAGCCTTGAAGGATGATACGTTATACGCAGATCACCTAGTTACGACGGAGAAAAGAAGACTCGCGTGGCATCGGGGCCAAGATATCGAAATAGAAGCACAAAGCAAATTATAGTTGTCACGCGTGCGTACCATCCCAATTTAGGTAACATAGAGCTGCAACAATCAAATATAATGCAGAGAGCCCCAGTTTCAAATGAGATGTCAAACTCAAATCAAAGCCGGTCTTTTCACTTCTAGATATTCTTCTTATACTGCCTGGTGCACGTCTTTCCCATTTGAAAAAAGTCTTGGCACAGCCTGCAGTGCAGCTCTTGCCTTTCTTACCTTTGTTCAGTTATACATACATTTCAAGTTGTCGAAGTATTCATCTGTTGGTAAGTAGACCCTCAAAGCTTAGGAAATTTGGTGCTAGTCCAACTTGAACAGTTCTAACTTGAACACAGTTTTTCTAAATCTCATCCCGATCTGCGGGTAAATCTCATTATGAGTGGCCTCCAGTCTGGTAAAGGCCAGGGCACCAAGTCACGCCGCTGGCTTGCCCTAGGCTCCAAAGTCCCTCCGGTTCCTCAAGAGCGTGATGCTTCCCCTGAGTTCAAGGCCTCTTGGCTCAGCAAGTTAACCTTTGGTTGGATGAGTGGCATCATCGCCGTGAGTTAGATGCTGGTCTAAGTTACATAATTGATGTACTTTGGTATGCTAACTAGTCTTCTATTTAAACAGACCGGTTATAAACGGACACTTCAAATGAGCGATATCCCCATTGTCAACCCCAAGAGAAGTGTACAAGATCACAATGCAGTCTTCAGCACAAACTTCGCGGAGGCAGTCGCTGCGGAGGATGTCAATGCTCCACTCTTCAAGTCTCTACACAAGACCTTTGCTCGCGAGTTTTGGTTGGCCGGATTTTATCGCCTTGTCGCCGACCTTCTTACCATCGGAAGTCGATACTCGATTCGCTATCTCATCGAATATGTCACGGAGGCCTATTATTCGCATATCCCCAACAGCGGCGTCAACGAACCTCAGCTTGCCTTAGGTGTAGGGTTGACAGTCGGTATTATTTTGATGCAATTGATCATGAGTTGGGCTCAAAATCACTTTTTGTACACTGGACAGGTTGTTGGTGGCCAAGTCAGGGCCGTGATGATTGCTAAGATCCAGGAGAAGAGCATGAAGATTTCCGAACGAGCGAAAGCTGGTATTACTGTCACAAATCTAGGAGCTGGAAATTCCCAGGAAGCTTTGCAGAACGTCAATCTATCCGACCCTAATGAAGCTTTGAAGCGACTAAATGGCGAAGAATACCAGAAGCAAGGCTACAGTACTCCAGCGCCTCCTTATGTCACCGATTCAGCAGGTCATAATAATGGGCCTCACTACCCCCGAGACAATCAGAATCGCTATTCTCGGTACCCTCGGAACTCTCAATATGGTGAGCCTATTCCCGAGCCTCGACCTAGACAGTCTCGACTGCAACGAATTTCGCGATACTCCTACTTCTTCAGTGGAGATGAAAATTCGGATCCACAAGGCCTTGGGTCGGAACTGCAGGTCCCCAAGCCTGCGTACGCCGGAAACTCCGAATATCCTCGAAACTCGTTGTACCCTCGTGAATCATTGTACCCCAGAAACTCTCTATATCCTCGACAATCGGTCTACCCTCGGCAATCAGTAAACCCTCGACAGTCTCAGTACACTTGGTACGCTCGTTATTCTCAATATATGGGAGATCAACATTCAGACTTCTCAGGAAAGGGTCAACTACCTGTCCCTCAACCCCGGCACCCCAGACAGTCTCGGTACACCAATCGACTCACTCGATACTCTGTATTCCCTGAAGCACAACTCCCAGAGTACGACATGTCATCCGAGTCTCAATACTCTGACGATGATCCTGACTATCCCGAGCCAGAGATTGAGTATGAAAATGAGGATGGTGAGTTGGTTGAAGTCCACGGTCAAGGCTGGTCCAATGCGCGTGTTCTTACCCTCGTGAACGTCGATGCCAACCGCATTGACCAGTGCATCAGTATGGTACACTTGGTGTGGACCTCGCCAATCATTATTGTCATTTGTATGGCATTGATTCTTTCCAATATCTCTTACTCTGGTCTCTCCGGTCTTGGATGCATTTTCTTTGCCTTCGGTATCCTTGTGGTGGCTGTAAAGTCTCTCAAAGCTCGTCGCGTCGGACTGAACATGGTCATCGATGCCCGGGTTAGTCTTACCCAAGAAGTGATTGGAGCCATTCGAATGGTCAAGTTCTTCAACTGGGAAGGTAGCTTCCTTGATCGTCTCACCCGACTTGGAACCGAGCAAACGCATGAGTTGCAGCGCTGGTATGCCATTTACAACTTTACCATGGCTCTGGGCCAGGCTTTGCCTGTGATGGCAGCCATGTGCAGTTTTATCACCTATGCTACCGGTAGTGGCCATCAATTGAATGTCGCTACTGTGTTCTCCAGTACTGCTCTCTTCACTTCTTTGCTTATCCCTACTACATACCTCCCTGCCTGTCTTAGCCAGGTATCCGAGGCAGGTGCTGCGCTAAAGAGAATTCAAGAATATCTTCTCGCGGAAGAAAAGGAAGAGGCAGAGATCGATGAGAATATGCGAGAGGCAATTAAGATTGAAAACGCAGAATTTAGCTGGGATAGAAGCCACACCGCTCCTCCGCCCGAAGAGGACAAGACCAAGGGCAAAGGACAGGACAAGAAGGACGAGGATGCGAAGAGCGATCGTGCTTCAGATATCACTTTAGCAGACGATGACGATGAGGATCCAAATGCCCCCTTCAGAATTCCCTCTATGTCTTTGAATGTGCGTCGCGGTGAACTCATTGCAGTAATTGGTGGCATCGGCTGTGGCAAATCCTCTCTCATATCAGCCCTTCTCGGTGACATGCGCAAAGTGAGTGGCACTTTGGCAATGTCGTCACAAGTCTCGTTCTGCCCTCAAGCTGCATGGATTCAAAGCACAACAGTGCGTGATAACATTCTCTTCGGATCTCCATATGATCCGGAATGGTACGATGCCGTTGTCTCAGCTTGTCAGCTTCGTCGTGACTTTGAGATTCTCGCCAACGGTGATGCTACTGAGATTGGAGAAAAGGGTAACAGTATGAGTGGAGGTCAGAAACAAAGAGTCAGCCTCGCCCGAGCTATATACTCTAAAGCGGATATTGTACTGCTGGATGATGTATTGAGCGCAGTCGATCCTCACGTCGGACGAGCTATCTTCGAAAATGCTATCCTCGGCCTTCTTCGTCATAGAACTGTTATTCTCGCGACCCATACTACCCATGTTCTTAGCCGTTGCGACCGCATTCTTTGGATGGAGAACGGTATGACCAAAGCCTTGGGTAGCTTCTCGAAGTTGAAATCACAATTCCCCGACTTTGCTGAGATGGCAAAGGATGGTGACGGAGAACTCAAGAAGAAGGAAGAATCGGACGCTAGCAAGGAAGCAAGGAAGATCATGGATGAGAACTTTGTGGAGTCAAATCAACTCAATGGCCTCAATGAGGAAGAAGAAAAGCCCGACGAAACCCCTCCGCCGCCGCCTCCCACGATCCAGAGTAATCCGTCGGCTTGGAAGGTCTATTCGTCTTACCTCGCGTGTACCAAGAGTTATATTCCTCTCATTTTGGCATTGCCACTCATTTGCATGTCCCAGGCGGGCAATATCTTGTGTGGTATGTGGCTTGCTTGGTGGGCAGAGGACCAGTTCAACCTTCCTCGCAACACTTATATCGGTATATACGTCGGTCTGGTCCTCGCCATGGGTCTTCTTCTCTATGCCTTCGGTATGTGTGTCACTTATGTTTGCCTTACCGCGAACAAGGTCATGCTGAGTAAAGCAAACTCGAATGTCATGAATGCGCCAACCTGGTTCTTCGACGTCACGGCCTTGGGTCAGATCACGAGCCGATTTTCGAAGGATATTCAAGTTATTGACGAAGGTTTACCTGAGGCTTTCCGGCTCTTCATGTACTCTGTTACCATGATTCTGGCTATTTGTGCGCTGATCATTGCCAAGTTCCCTTGGTTTGCATTTGCGGTCGTCCCTTGCATTATAATCTTCTTCATTGCTGCGATCTACTACCGCGGAGCGGCTGGTGAACTCAAACGCTTTGAAGTTGTTCTCAGGAGTGGTGTCAATGCCCGCTTCTCTGAGACTCTTACTGGTATTCCCACAATCCGTACATATGCCATGCAATCGCCATTTTCGAAAACACTACTGGCTGCCATTGATGATATGAACAGCGCGAACTATTTGACCTTCTCAAGTCAAAGATGGTTGGCCGTTCGACTCGATTTCCTCGGTGTTGTTCTCATCGTTGTTGCTGTCACTTTGATTATGGTTGACAAGTACTCACAGTCACCAGCAATCGCAGCTGTGGTCTTGACCTACTCACTCAGCGCTGTCCAATCTCTTCAATTCATTGTCCGCCAGTGGGCAAACGTTGAAGCTGCTATGTCCTCAACAGAAAGAATGTACGGTTACTCGTGTGACCCGAACTTCCCCGCCGAGGGCAAGAATGGCAAGGCCATTGAGGCGGCACCGACATCTTGGCCTGAGCAGGGCGCAATTAATTTCTCAAACGTACGCATGCGCTACCGTCCAGGCCTTCCAGAGGTTCTCCAGGGCTTGAACCTGGTGGTACAGCCTGGTGAGCACATTGGTATCGTGGGCCGCACTGGTGCAGGAAAGTCATCTCTCATCAGTGCACTGTTCCGTGTCTGCGAGCTTTCCCGCGGTTGCGTCTCTATTGACGGTGTCGACATTTCGAAGCTTGCTCTGTCTGATTTACGTCCACGTATCTCAATTCAGCCTCAGGAGTCTATCCTGTTTGCTGGTACTGTTCGTGATAACCTCGATCCCTTGGGTGACCACACAGATCAAGAGTTGTGGCTCGCCTTGCGTGGTGCTTGGCTGGCTGATAGCCTACACCTCGATGACGCCGTTGATGAGGAGGGGCAGAACTTTTCCCATGGACAGCGTCAGCAGCTTGGTCTTGCTCGCCTTCTTGTTAAGAACAGCAAGATTGTTATTTGCGATGAAGCAACTTCGAGTGTTGACTTGGAGACGGATGAGAAGATCCAGCGGACCATGGTCCAAGCTTTCAAGGGCAAGACTGTCTTGACAGTTGCCCATAGGATCCGCACCATCATCAACTATGACAGAATTTGTGTTATGGACCGTGGCCGGATCGCCGAGTTGGGTACACCAATGGAGCTTTTCCACCGAGGTGGTGTCTTCAGAGAGATGTGTGACACAAGCGGAATCTCGGAGAAGGAGATCCTAAGCTATCACTAACATTCATGAGTCATGTCATGAGTAACGGAGTTAATGGAACGATGCATAGAATTTTTGGTTTTTGGTTTTTGGTTTTTTATTGCGATTGCGATTATGATTATTATGGTTTTGATTTACAAGCACGCTTCTTTCTGTTGTCATATAATGCAAATATCCCCTTGACTTTAGTTAGTACTATAGAATAACTTGAAATGCAAAAAAGATCCTATGAAATAATATTCCATATCGCAGTAATTGATTTCGTTTTCTAATTGTCTCTTTTAGTCTGAAAATTCAAGGACCCTTTATGCTCTAAACTGGTTATCATCAATCATCATGGTCTTGCAAACAAAGCGCATTTATACAAAAGTCTATCACACGTCCACCTTATCTCACGCCAGCTTTGTCACCACCAAATCACTCTCCGCAGCTTCAGCAGCTTGAATCAAACCACCGGCATCGAGCTTCTTCTTCCACTTAGCAGACTCATAGCGTGCTAGAATGAAAGTCAGGCGAGCAATTGCATCATCACCATCCGCAGCTTCTGACACCGTTGTTGATGGTGTGCAAGTCCACCGACCAAAGGCCCAGTTGAGAATATAGTGCCGAACTCCAAAGTCTTGGGCAGGCTGTCTAGATGAATTCAAATCCTCTGATGATTCGCCAAGGGGTGTTTGTAAAGAGCATCTCAAGATACCCTTGATACGGTAAACCTCTTCCCTGGGCGCAGAGGCAAGAAGCTTCTCCAACGCCTCAACATCAATAGATTTCGTGGACTCAGCAGATTTCAATGACACAGACAACACCTCAACTTCCGACTGGTGATCATGAGCATGTTCGTTGCCATGCTGATGATCGTCATGGCCCTCGACCTGACTAGTCCCTTCCTTCGCAAACAATGCCCCATCGATACCTAACAAGACATCTTTCCCCACGCGTCCTTTATTCGACTTAACCCACGGAGTTTCAATCTCCAAATCTCCCAAACGGTCCAAGCAAATTTCAAACCTCTCCTCAGGAACACATTCCCACTTATTAAAAATGACCAAATCTGTATACCGCGCCTGGATCTTGGCCGTGTAACTGGTATCCTCATATCCTTCCCAATTCTCCACATCAATCACACTTATAACACCATCCAGTACAAAGCTTCCCTCCTCTTCTCTCGCCAACCGATTTATCTCCATAGCCAATGTAGCCGGGAACGCGCTCCCGCTGGTCTCGATCACAATGCGGTCTGGAGACACTTCATGACGAAGCTGCGACAGCGCGTCGCTAAGTTGGCCGACCAAATTGCAACATATGCAGCCGTTTAATAGCTCGCGGACACCGGAGATGGATTGTGTGGTTGCGAGTTGGGAGTCGACTGCTACGTCACCAAATTCGTTTTTTAGGAGGGCGAGTTTGTAGTCTTTCGGCAGTTGGGGGATGAGGTTGAGGAGGAGAGTGGTTTTGCCGGAGCCGAGGAAGCCCGTCACGATGGTTATAGGGATTGGTGCCATCTGGAATCGGATTATTGAGACGAGGGGGGGAGTATGGGTTTGATGCACGTCAAGTCCCTCTCGGAGAAGGTTGGACTCAGGGTTTGCAGGGCGGGGAGAGGAGTGTGGGGCATGCGGTTGAACCCGCAGATCTGGGTGTTTTGCCCAAGCAAAGCGAGCATAAATTTCCAAGACAGATATCCATAGAAGTGTCATAGATGTATGTTTTTAGTATGGCTTTTGTCCTTCACCTGTTGTTCTTCCATTCTTTTTTCCCCCCCCTTCTTTTCTTCCCCCCCCCCCTCCTTGGTTGTGTAGACTTGAGATACGTCCAGAACTGCAAACCTGTCTAATCGACCATTGAAACTGTCAGAAAGCTAATAATTGGGGGGGGGGGGGGGGGTTTGAAATTAAGTCCTGGAGTTGAATCATAGGATGAAAATACCAATTTTCCCGGGAGCTCGTCGAGTACTCAGCATAGGCATCTATGGGTATTAAAAGTCCGTGGCACAGCAGTTGGATGTACTCCAAGGTAACAAATATCTAAACCCGCCGAGATGACTAGTTTAAATTGTGACCTCATTGCCGAATCTGATACTCACGGCTATCCATGCAAATCAATGGTGATACAGCCCCCTGTATGTCGCAATCGAAGCTTAGAAACCGGAGCGAAAAGATGTTCGATATTGGCTCAAAGGTTAACCAATTACTCAAGCATTTCAGCCTTAGGGGATACAGAGGTTAACTTAAAGGTCTTGGATGCCTATATGCAACCAATGATCAAGTAAAAGTAGCTCAAGTTCGCGTAACCATATGATTTAGAGAATTGGTGTACTTATGTTTGCTAGCCCGGACACCTCGATTCATTCAAGTTGAAGACTAGCATGGGGTCTACGTATGGCTATTTCAATGTGTCCCCCATTTTTGAGTCTAAGTTCTCTATCAAATTCTCACGCTGGAATCTAATCAAGCTTCTAAAAATGGCAAGTCCTACGCAAAATGTTCTTTTCCTCACAAATTGTGAACTGGGACAGTGTAATATAGCCATCGCCGTGGCAGAAGAATTCATACTCAGCGATAAGTTTACTGTGCATATCGCTTCGTTTCGCCCACTCGCCGCATTCATAGAGAAGCTAAACAGAAAAGCGCCGAGCTCAAAGCCTGCGACATTCCATGAAATACATGGACCTTGCATGGAAGACCTTGCCGTTCGTAGTAACGTCGGCCTTATAACGCACAAGCCGGGAGTTTTGGGGACAATAGAAGGTTTCCAGAAAGTTAACCGGGTAATGTCAAGCTGGACTCCACAAGAGTACAGAAGGGCATTCGAGCGATGCGTGGATATCTTGAAAGAAGTTCAGCCGGTTGTGATTGTTTTGGATCCGATCCTTCACGTGGGCTTAGAGGCCTGTCAAGGGTTTACGTCTCAACTTGTGGTTCTTTGGCCTGTGCCATTGAAAGATATTGTTATACTGAGCCAGCCTTGTGCAAGAGCCTTGTGGCAGTATCCGATGTATGTGAACGGTACATTCACGTTAGTGGCGGAAATGAAGCTAACCTTCGCTAACTGGGCAGTTCAGGACAGGGTCAGGATACTCATACCCATTGCCATGGACTTTGATACTTCTAAATATCTATTTAATACTCCGCGCAGCAATATTGATGACCATACGGCATTCTCCATCAGTTGACACAAGACACGGGGATGGATCAAGTGGTAGGACTCCATTTCCCCTAAAAAGTGCTTATCAAGGGCAATCCTTGCATCTCACGCCAGCATTTCCAGAGATGGACTTTCCTCTAAGTTTGCCACCAAATGTCATTAGCTGTGGGCCGATCCTCAGAAAACACTTACCATTGAATGAGGTAGATCCTGGAATGGAAGCATGGCTGAAAAGTCCAAGCATTCTTATCAGCCTCGGATCTCATGTTAGACCCACGGAAGCCATTGCACTTCAGATGGCCAAGGGAATCCAGCTTTTATTGAATAAACATACAGATATCCAGGTACTCTGGAAACTGAGATACGATTGGAAGGATTCTGTGGCTTTTCGGGATATTCTTGGCACATTCATCGATTCTAGCTTGGTGATGATATTTGATTGGATAGAAGCTGAGATTGCCGCACTGTTGGAAACGGGGAAGATTTCTGTCTATGTTCATCACGGCGGTGCAAATTCGTACTTTGAAGCATGCAAGTAAGCAGAGCTAATTCAACCAAAATGATAGACCGGGAGGGTTTGATGATCTAATTGGAAAATTCTTAGATTCGGCGTCCCTCAAGTTGTACTTCCTCAATGGCTTGACACATATGACTGTGCAACGAGAGTTGAGTGGCTACAGATAGGAGCTCATGGAAGCCAAAATGCAGCTCCTGGTATCGAAGCCAATGAGTTTTCAGGTGCTATTAGCAAGGCTTTGTATAGCTCGAATATTCGTTCCAATGCAGATACTATAAAGGAGTTGTGCAAGACGACAGAAGGGCGTGTTTTTGCCCACGATCAGATTGCACGTTTTGCTCTTCGCTGAAGCCCAAGGGGGTCTCTTTAGGATGCCTATGGATCAATTTCTATCTAAATTGACTTTTTTACCTCTTTATTTTCATTAATCTGCCATATCAGGAAGTTTCCTAAGTGATGGGGCTCTGCAGATCCAAAAATCAAAATAAAACCGAGATTAGTCTCTTCGCAATCGCAGATTACTAGCTTCAACGCAGGACTAAATCAGCCACAGCACTTCATGTCTGCCTGGGGACTTGACCGAGCTAACTATGGATTCGATATCTCCGTGTATGAATTGCCTAGACCTCGCCACGTCAAATTCGAGTCCACGGGTTATGGGTCCTAGCCTAGCCCCCAACGTTGAGCTTGCATTATCCAACGATGTTCCGATAAACAAGTCCACGTAAGTAGGCTTTACTTCACATACGCAGAAGATAACTGAAAATTATGATAAAAATTCGTGCCATTATCTCATAAATTTCCGCCCCTTTGAGGATACTTGGCAAGTGAAAGAATTAATACAAATAGTTGATTAGGGTAAACTGTCAAGATCCGGCAAAACCAGCAGATGTGCACCCTTAAAATTGTCTCTGATAGGTTGCTTTCCACGCTGCTCTCTCTCCAGAACGCTCTGTGTAATCCTTCCCGCCGTTCTTCAAACTAATCCTCGTTTCCGATGCAAACTTCTCGACCCTTCTTTGCCCTTGGATCACAAGTGAATTTGAAGCAAGAAAAGAAAAGACGCAGTCGTGCAATCAAACTAGTGAATCCTGTCGATGTGTGCTGGTGACAGAGATGTCATGCTCAACGGAAATCCCAAAGGGCGTATCAGAATCATGCGACTGCTTGGTATAGTCCTGTTCGGCATAGCACAGGGTTCGAGCCGCAGAGCTAGATGTAGTATCCGTCGCAGTCGCGCTCGTGGTAGTAGATTGTTTAGTTCTACCAGCGCTGTCCGCACCAAATGCAAGTGTCTGCCACAGATTTTGACGACGCAAAGGAATTGAGTCGTTTTGTTGAACATTGAGGGTAGCACCGGCCCAGATAGACGAAAGCGGGAGAGACAGGGTGACGAGCGTAAGAACATTAGATGCCAACTCGGGAACCGTAGTGGCATATTGGATGATTGTGAAGATAGCAGGAATAGTCATGGTTTGGCATCCACAAACGAAGATCGCCTTCATGGGACCGAAGTCTCGAACTCCGAGTCGGCGACGTTGTCGAATTGCAAATCCTAGCTTCGTCACGAAGACAGCGCAGAAGAAGCAGATGCTGACTGTGATGAATATGCCCGTGTCACTTTCCAACCACCATATGCTTTGGAAGGATGTCAGATCGATTATTTCCTTGCAGTTCATCACCATGAATGCCATGCGGAAGCCGATAGGGACAAGTGCCATGACTATGGAGAGTGCGAGCAGGAGGCGGCGGTATCGGCGACGGACGGTAGCGCATATGACATGAACCTGAAGAACAAGGGAACATTCGAAGCAGACAACCAAGAGAGATTCGAAGACCACTGCAACTATCGAGATAGCATATGCCGATATTGGAATATCGGAGTAGTCGCCAGAGAAAAAAGGATAAATTCTCTCGAATCCAGTTGTGAAGTGGATGCACTGGAATAACAAGCGAAGGAAATTGAATAGCAGAGCCTGAGCATTCAACAGAAAGACTGCAGAGCGACGTTTTTCGGGACGTGTTAGCAGTAATAATATCACAAACAACACGACTGTCGCGCCTAGCTGGGCTCCATAATCAATGCACACTCGGATGTTGTACTGGGTAAACTCCTCTAGATACGGAAGAGGCACGTTGAAGGATTGACCAGATGGAGTGTGGAACACCAGTATCTGCTCCTCTGGATCGGAAGAAGCCATCTTCTTTTCGAAATGAATGAGATGAGGAGTTTCAATTTATCAAATGGTTGCTTCTTGGTATCAATTAAATCCCGATGTGCAGTAGTCGATCCAAAGGGTGTTTTATAGGAGGCATGGCCACACTATAGGAAAATCGAATCGACTGCAATTAAACTGAATTCATGGGGAAGGCACAACTCCTGAGGAAGCCGAAACAAACAATAGCAGCGGGCTGTGAGCTGAGAAAAAGGTTGCGACATCTTGAGTGAAGCGATTATCATTGAGTTGAGTAGAACAATACTTGGTGAGGGAGGAGAACAATACTAACATCTCGCGTTGAGACAAAGGGAGCCACAGCCTAGCGGTCCCCAATCAGGCTGATCGTTCATTTCTGGTGGACCACGGCCCAAGGATGGCCTGCGTTGCCTAGGCCATTTCTCCTTAATCTCCAACGACTCTTTAGCCCGTGGTTCCCGGAACTTGACTAGGATTTTCTCTTATCTTGGATTCGACTCGCGATCAATGGAGCCGGTCCCAGGGGTATTACGAGAGAGTCCGACCGAGTATTCCAACCTCGGAATCGCATAATGTATCTAGAAATGAGAATATCGGGTCAAATGTTCTTTTTCAAAATAGAATGCGTTTGAATAATAAAAGTGTGATGATTTGCATCGCTTCGTAATGATCCAATATAGCGGTAGGCAACCAGGTAGTATACAGAGAAGAGGGTATGAGATATAATACAGAAAGACTCGATGAGCTTGGGATTTACTTCCCAACACAGAACCTGTAAATCAGTCAGAGATGCCACTAACCAAAATGACGGGCGCATGTTTAACGAAACTCACTTTTCAAAGACAACACCCAACACATCCTCGACGTCACCACTTTCGCCCTTTCCAGTGATTTTAGCCAGCATATCTGCCGCAAACCGTAGGTGTTCGGCAGCGGTCACAATGTCAATTTCGGATTCTACAGAGTCAATAGTGTTTCTGGAGGAAGATCCTGCATCGTTAACAGTAGATGTAGTCGTTTGCGAAATGAAATTGTCAAGATGTTCCAAACACTGTTGTAAATTTGAACTTTGCCGATGGGTTACACCAAGTGAATCTTCCCAATATGACGTATCATAGTGGGAGTGCTGTTCTCCTGCGAGAGTCAATGGTGAAGCAATCTCCTCAAAGGTCGAGATCAAGCCGTTTAAGAAGCGCTGAAGATGACCGGGATCACTAAGCTCTGCAGATGAAGTCCCGGTTTCGGCTTGTTCACACGATATGGCGAAAACTCGACTAAGAGAGACGCTAGGGAAGAAGGCGCGAACAGTATCTGCCATGCCTTGTGACGACGGGCCTTCACTTCTGTGAGGTGAAAGCCTGTCGCATTTGTTAATCGCGATGACAAGATGCTTTCCAGCGTGGATGCAATCATTGACTGCATCAACTACCTCGGGTTCTACGAATAGAACAGGACCGCCTGTAGCGTCTTCAAGAGAAAGCACAACCACAACAACGTCGGACTCCAAAGCTCGAGCCCTTGCGCGACGAATTCCTTCTTTCTCCACGGCTCCAATTACAACGGAGTCATTGGATCCCGAGTCTCTGCGCTCTGCGCGTATGCCAGCCATGTCACCGAGTTTACAGTACCATCCTCCCAGGTCAACGCCAACATCAACGATATCACGAGTAGTACCTTCCTCGGTACTGACGATAGCAGCCTCCTTGCCAACAATTCGGTTTAATAAAGAGCTTTTCCCCGCATTCGGGGCACCCAGCAGGGCAACACGAATGCCATTACGGAGCAATTCTCCCTTGGACGCATTCTGGATATGAAGCCCAATTTGCATCTGAAGTGTCTTCGCCTGTGTAGAAACCGAGGAAACCAGCTCTTCGGTTGACTCATCAAAGTGTTGATCTTCAGAGAAATCAATCAGGGCCTCTAGTTCGCCACGCGCATAAAGCAATTGTTGCCGCCAAAGCTCATAACGGTTAAGTAGCGCGTCGCTAGAGCCGCGCACTGCTAGGCGTCGCTGCTGCTCAGTATCAGCAGATAATGTATCTCCTAAAGCTTCGATCTGAGGTAACCCAAGTCGGTCGTTCATGAAAGCACGCCGTGTAAACTCGCCCGGCTCAGCGTAACGCACGACGGTCTCCGATCCATTAGTGCGCGCGATGGCGGCGAGAACGGCCTTGACGATCGCGGGCCCACCATGGATGTGGAACTCGATAATTTCTTCGCCCGTGACGGTCTTCGGTGCTGGGAAGTATAGAACAAGTGCGCCCGCGTCTAAAACTGTGTTGGCAGAGGGCGGCTTGGAGGGGTCGTAGAGGGTACGGAGGCCGACGCGACGGGGCTTAGGAAGGGAGGTTTGTGGGCATAAGGCATTGTAAATCTGCATATCACAGTCGTTTGTCAATAGTGGTTCCGACTGGTAACAAGGTGCTAAGGAGTTGAAAAAGTGCTTACCGAGACACAAGCCGGGCCGGAAACCCGCACAACTGCAATTGCAGCTCTTCCTGGTGCTGTAGAGAGAGCGTAGATTGTGGACCCGGCATCAAGCATAGAAGCCTTCTGTCGGGAAGAGGAGAAGCTTCTGATAGATACGGGGCATCTTTGCAGGGTCGTGAATTGGGAAGTCGAGGTCCGATGGCCGCACAGCGGTCTATGGATGCTTGTCGCCAACCATGCTGGGCGATAGGGAATAGCCCAGCGAATACCTCTACAGTAAGACGCTTGCATGCGTAGAAAAATCACCGAGTTTGAAAAGTAAATCCTAAGTCAATGTTGCCAGCACGCGACATGCAGCTCCAGCGATTTTTGATTCTCGATAAGAGCGATAACATCACATAAGCGTCGCAAGGCCAAAATATTGATGCCTTATAAGCCACCGATTAACTTATGGTTCGCATAAACCCCAAATACAACATTCGGTCTCAGCCTCGTGGACAGAAATTTCATTTAACTTCAAAGTATGCTTACTACAGGTTCTATGCTGCCCAGATGTCGGCTCTAAGCCTTCCAGGCCTTGTACACTGTCTTGCAACCAAAAATCTCTCCCTTTTTGAGCAACACCATTGATCGCCAAGCTGGCTCATTGATCGCATTCACGTACCGGCTAGGCTCTACACAGAACCCAGAGCCTTCCGCGTGTGCAGGGGCGCCATTAATGGAAGGCACATTGATGTACTTGCCCGTATAAAATTGGAATGCTGGCTCAGTGCTGTGGACTTCAAGGTGAAGGCCTGTATCGGGGTTGCTGAATTGGGCGAGACGGCGCAAGGCTAAGCCGCGGGTATCGAGGGGAATCTTCGATGGATCTTTCTCCATCACGAAGACATCATCAATATGGGGACCAGTCGCCTCGAGTTCAAACAGCTTGGTCACGTCACGGGGGAATTGAGCGATTCCGCCCTCTGGAATGCCGGTTGAATCAAGTGGGAGGTAGTCATTTGTTTCCAGTTGGGCCATGGTGCCGGTGATAGTAGCCCCATCGCCGATATTGAAGTAGCTAGTCGGGTGAGACAAATTGTAAGTACTTTATATGACGTGATCCAAAAAAAAGCTAAGTTTAGAGCTTACCTGTGGTTTGTGATGTTGACGACAGTCTCTTCACATTCATTACCGACAAACTCGACCTCATATTCGGCAGTTAAGACGGTTTTCTCGTCCTCTTTGCTAGCTGTGTACCAAACACGCACCTCCACTGTACCAGGGTATCCCTCTTCCGCGTCTTGGCAGCGATATTTGAAGAACAAAGAATCATGACCGTGCCGGCTAACGGTATGTGGGCCATCAAACACACGTTTTCCCCAGCCCTTCTCGCCGCCGTGAAGGGCGTTTGGACCGTTATTTTTCACAAGCTGATAAGAGCGGCCGTTGAGGTTACCGATTATACCATCCTTGATGCGGTTGGCAACGCGACCGATGGTGGCACCGTAATGCGGGGTGTTATGCTGAACATAATCCTCTTGCGTGGGGAACCCCAGGACAATGTTCTTACCACCAACGCGGAATTCCTGGATGATGGCGCCGAGGGGCAGAAACGTGAACTCAGCTTGCTGTGGAGCGGACATGATCTGTCACTATTTTTCTATTTTGGTGCCTTTTAAACGTAGTTTGAGTAGGAAATGGAATGAGTTGATGGTCGGATGGAGAGTTTTAAGACCGATTGGCATGACGTCCCACGGGGTGGGACCCCGCAACAAGACGGAATGGTCCACCGGGGGGGTAAATTGGCCATGAAGCTGGTGGGGATTTCGGAGTTTTGCCTAAAATAGGAGGTTCTTTATAGCCGCAATTCGAAATTGATGTAGTAAATTGATCCAAAGGACGCGGGTGTGGGGCGAGGATTGAATTTAATTAGCCGAGTTTAGTTTCCGATTGTATACACCTTTTACTAGTATGCAGTACCAGTTGACATATGCTAGATCATTGGTGAGTAGTCCTAAATGTGAAAATTAATCCATCTGACAAGCTGTAGACCTTTCCAAGGCTATGTCCAATTAGTATTCATTCAAGGGCCAAACGCCAGGCTCAATGGATACTACCTACGGAAGTCATGACTGAACTAGAGGCTATGGAATTGGAAAGGTGCAAGAAATACTTGGGATTAATGGCGCTCTTATATAAATACACATCAACATCAGCAAACTAGGAGAATTGATTCATTGCCACAAATCGCGCTCCTTTTTACCGATTCTCTTCTGTACTGATCCACCCAGCCATTCTGGCCAAGATAACATCCAGTCTTGCCAGCGAGAAGTCCAATCTTGCCAGCGAGAGGTCTTCCACCCAAACTTAGCTAATGCCGTATCAATCCAAAAGGGTTCGGTCCAAGGCCATCGGCTTGAAGATTTTGTCGAGAAAGGCCAGGGATACGAGCGTTTTGAGGTTTGGAATGGCAACCATGAAGACGATGAGGGCCACGAGAAAGATTTTGAAAGATTTGAGATCCATCCCTGCTTCTTCTGTTGGCGGCTCGCCTCTGCTTTGATCGCGTTTAAAACGCGATCAAATTGGTGATCCTGGTTGTGATGTTCACGACGTCGGGTCTCTGAGCGCTCCAATCGCCATGAATCTTGTTCTACCGGATCTAAGCACCAGACAACGATGTCACCATGCCGGCGCCAGTCATCGTGCCAATGCGTGTTCCACGTTCGCCAGCATTCACCATATGAAGAGCCGCGAAGAAGGCTTTGCATTGTCGGTTCGAGTTGAGCAAAGAAGACGAGGTAATCAGGCCACTCGTGAAGTGGCGGGTTGGAAGGAGACAGCGATTGGGACTCTGTCAAATAACTTGGCCGACGAGGTAGATGTCGTAGCCCACCAGCCATATTTTGGCGCAGAAATTGACTCGGGTTGTCGTAAAACTGGTCGGCCTCATCGCGATAGACTGCCTTCTGTTCCTCATCCATATCGATTGGTGGCTCGCAAGAGAGCGCCCATGCATTAAGAGATGGATATACCATGTGGGAGCGCCAGGGAGTGCTGTGGCAAGGCATTAAAAATCCAGCTGTGATTCCAGTCTCGCCTAAGAAAGAATTGGGATCTGCTGTATGTTCCCCATTCCGATTCACTGATGAATGGGTCTCGTATTGCCTACGGAGGTAGGCGAGGACCTTAGAAGGTCCTGATGCGTGGAGGAACGATGTATATACGGCAATAAATACATTAGTCAGTATTAAACAGATAAACGCCAGTCTTTTGGGAGTATAGGTATTTGATCTGGATGTCAGGGCTGGCCAGAATGTTTGCACCAGGCGGGGTGCAGCTAAGATGTGTAGTGCTGGTAGTATTGGATAAATAAAACGGACTTCTTTGTGAGAGATCAAAGACAAGACCAACGGCATCAGCAGGGAGATAGTCGCCAGCTGTACACGTATTGCGGTCTGAAGCTTGTCAGAAGCGGAAGAGACTCGAGTCGTCAATGTGAAATATAGTCCAGAAAGAGCAAAGGGAATCAGCGTGGTGAGCAAAAGCGGATATCCCTGCGAGGCATAATAGTGCCAATCATTACGGCCATAGAATATCGCCAGTGATTGTGCGATGTTGAAGTAGAGAAAGCGCAGTGGGGGGAAAGTCCAGAATCCATAGAATAGGCGGTCTGCAGTAACAGAGACAGCCAAAATAACGAGTCTATTCAAATGGGTCAGTACGTGCTACTTGAACAAAAGAACAGGGGACCACGGACCCGCAAACTACAGCCTCTCGTACAAAGACCATGCGTCGAGTCCAGCAGCATTGAAGCCAAACGACCGCGGCCAAGGTTGCCCAGATGATGATATTTGTTGGACGAAGAATGCAGGCAACTGCTGCGAGGGATAAGCACTTGCGTATGCTGTTTTATGTATTAGCAAATATTGCCCAAGATTTCAAAAGTTCGACTTTGGAGCTCGCTTTACCCCGAAGGTGTTGAATAGCTGGCTGCTTTAGCCTTCTGACGAGCACCATTCTCACTGATATTTGTCGCAATAGACCATTGCCATGGCCAAAAATACAATGCGACAACGGTAAGGGATGTTTCTAAGCAATTGGATAATGTTCTCGTTGAGCAAAACCATTGCCAAGGATTGAAGATCGTAGCGAGCAACTTTCAATCATTAGCCTACACTGCCTTCTGATGGATACAGGACCCAAGATCGATACATACTGTTGCCAACGCACCACGAGAATCTTCTCCATAAACCCGATTGGCGAGCTTCCATGTATAATAGTCACTAGTTGCCGATATGACAGCCTGGACGGTTTTCGGGGCGGCGATCAAGAATTCCGCGCGAATTGAGGGAGAAAGGCGAAGTAGGGACGCGAAGACATCAATTAATTTGTAGATCGCAGCGAAAAGAAGAGGATGCAGTGAGGATCGCAACTGATGTCGCCATTCCTGTATAGAGCTTGGTCAATATATTGCGTCGCTTAAGCGTTTGTTGTATGACTTACCCACGTAAGCCAGGCCCCCTGGTCTTTCCCAAAGGCAATTTGCCAAGCCGGCTCGAGTGACTGAAAGAATTCGTCTGGTTGGAAGAATGTTCGAACTGTGAACGCATTGACAAGGCGCAAGGCGATCAGAAAAAGTAGGATATTCCAAGTTGCGGCGGGGGCGACGCGGCGACGCGAAGAAGAGCTCGGGGGAGGCATGATCAAGAGGAATGAGAGCTAGTAGTGGTAGCAACAGTAGCAGTCCCCATATGTGAAGTGAATTATTTCATCGTGGGTTGTATTATAGTGTACAATATGGCATCAGATACTAGAAGAGGAAAGAAAGAAGGAATGAACTCATCATCAATCGAACCCCGTGTACTTGGCTAATCGGAGGGCCTCGGAGATATGGGGCCTCGGAGGGGGTTCCGACAGATTGGCGCCTTGGTGCCTTAATGCCTTAAAAACAGCTTACCCGCATCAGGAATCCACGTCTTAGACCTTCATCAATCTTGAATGTTCAAGTTGCTTTTAATTCTTAATGGGCATAATTAAATCGGCCTTGAAATTTCATAGGCTTTTTTGAGTAAGCATTGAGGCAATATTGAATTAGCGTCTCTTTCTCAAAATGCAAACTGCTCCAAAATCATGCTACTATGGGCACATACTGCAAGAATCCATCAAGCGAATAGTACTACTTGACGAACAAGTAAAATATACCGTCTAACAAGAAGAGGTAATTATTCAAGTCACTTCCAAATTTCAAGCTGAGGATCAACATATACATAGGAAAACATGGGTATTGTCTTCATATCGGATTTCGCATCAATTATCCGTCGACGGTAGTCATCATGTGGTCATCGTGGCGTACGTAGGTGCAATGAATTAGCTACCGTCTTTGACATGTAAGGTATCGCTGGAGAGATTCTAAAGGCATGTGTCGACATTGACATGGCTTATATCATTAAGCATTGGCGGCTTTTATTTCAGGTGCGAGATTATGGCTGGTTTCCGATATCGACCAGAGCTCCTCGACGGGATCTCAGAACATGAGCTGGCATATCTCAAGCAATATGAAGACTGGTTTATACTGGAAGCAGACGACTTGAAGAGGATCACAGATCATTTTGTGAAAGAATTGGAAAAAGGGCTCACAAAAGAAGGTGGCAATATTGTCAGTCTCATCATAAACCTTTGATACATTCCAATACCGTTCTATACTGTCCTATGCTGTCCTATACTGACATAACTCTTTTTTACCCAACCAGCCCATGAATATAACCTGGGTGATGAGGTTTCCCTCAGGTCATGAGACGGGCCGAGTCCTGACTATCGATTTGGGAGGAACAAACCTACGTGTTTGTGATGTCTGTCTGTCATCGCGCAAAAGAGATTTTGAGCAAACCCAGCGGAAGTTCAAGCTGCCAGATGAAGTCAAAACGGGAACCAACTTGCAGTTGTGGGATTTTATAGCAGGTCGCTTGGAGTTGTTTCTCCACGAACATCACCAAGGGGGCCAGAACGGAGGAATAATTCCACTATCCTTTACCTTCTCATTTCCCGTTGATCAAAAATCAATAAATAGCGGGATTCTCCAGCGCTGGACGAAGAATTTCAATGTCTCAGGAGTTGAGGGAGAAGATATCATTCCCCAGCTTCGGGCTGCGTTCCAACGAAAAGTAAGAAAACTCATCAGAGCTCTCGATGGCTGCAAGGTCTATGTCAATGAAAGACTGCTGACTCTTTTGTTTTAAAAAAGAACCTACCCGTGAGAATCGTAGCACTGATCAATGACACAACAGGAACGCTCATTGCATCACATTATCGAGACCCCCAAGTCAAAATTGGGAGCATTTTCAGCACGGGATGCAATGCTGCCTATATGGAAGAAATAAAATTGATCCCTAAGCTGAAGGATGCTGGTTTACCTGAAAATACCAAGGTCGTTATTAACACCGAGTATGGGGCGTTCGATAATGACCGCAAAGTCCTCCCATTGACCCCATTTGATCGGAAGATTGACTCTCAATCGTCGCGGCCTGGCACTCAGATTTATGAGAAGATGGTCTCTGGACTATACATTGGCGAAATGCTTCGGCTTATCCTTGTCACCTTACATGAAGAAGGGCGGCTGTTCAAGGGCCAAGATATCAGTCGTCTTCGACACGAGAATGCCCTGGAAGCCTCCTTTCTCTCTGTTGCTGAGATGGACGTCTCTGATGACTTGGATGACATGCGCGAAGAATTTGAAGAGAGCCTGAGTCTATCACCAAAAGTGTACGAGTTGAAGATTTGTCGATATCTTATTGGATTAGTTGCAACTCGAGCTGCACGCCTATACGCATGTGGAATTGCAGCCATCTGCAAAAAGAAGAATATACGAAGATGCCATGTTGGGGTGGATGGATCAGTGTTCAACAAATATAGTGGTTTTAAGGGACGAGCGGCGCAAGGACTTCGTGACATATTTGATTGGCCTCCCGATGAGCTTGAATTGATTGCCCTCAACACGGCCGAGGACGGCTCAGGCGTCGGGGCTGCATTAGCCGCGGCACTGATTCTTGAGGGCGAACAAAAGGCAAAGACATTGTGATCATTCTTCTCAACGTCAAGAAAATGTATGAGACTACCTAATTTGTTGTCAAGTTCCATATATAGAGGTTTTTTTATTGGCGCTTCGTTTTCAAACGTTAGAGAACTTGAGATCAGTCCATCATAGCAGGGCTTCTTTTTATTTTTGGTTGTATGTCGTAGACCTCCGTGACACCTAAGTATTTCGAAGCTGTACCTTCATCGCTTCGCAGGGGAAAGTAGACAGAGGATGGTGGGAACTGGAGCAGCGAAATGCAGAATGCTGTAATGGAGCGACTCCCTGGACATAGCTTGTCGGTATCACACTTGGGCATTGACTGTTCAAGTCGTTCCAGGTAATATGGAATAGGACATATTGAGGATTTATTACATTCCGTGGGTGAATATGGTACAAAAGCTATCCTTGATGGATTGAAAACTACCCCTCCCATTCGGATCGAAGACCTTTCAGCCCTTTCTTCCTAGATTCAGGTTCTTCATGTTTCTGGGTCCCCGTTTCTTCTTTGGATTCGGTCCAAGCAGAGCGAACTCCTTCGTCAACTGACAAGGCATCCGCCCCGCAAATCCTTCGCTCCTCCTCGATATCCGCTTCGCCCATCCCATTGGTTGCCCAGATCTTGTGAATACGTAGGTCATAAGCCCCCTCGATACGATCTGTAAGACCGATACCAATACTTTTCACTCGTTGACGAATAATAGAGGTTTGCGGCTCAACAACGAACCCATGATTGGTGCGAACGAATGTATTGAATGGAAGGAGCACTGTCTCCCAGCCTGTTGAGCCTGATGTAGTGACGGTACTTGTCGAGGACATGACGGTGGAGTCCGGGGGGACATCTGAGAGTGCCGAGGGCGTTCCGGCGGGATACAGCTGCTCGGCGGCTTCGGCATCTTCAGAGGATTTGGTATGAAGAGCTTGGTTCGAAATAGCTGCGCTATCCTGAACACGGTGATGTCGGGTATACAGTCTATGTTGGTGGATATCAGTCTCGACGAGGGAGTCTGTTTGGATATTCACAGTGTATCGGCGACCATCGGATTTAATACGTAAGGCGAGGTAAGCGTACGGGTCGACATCCCAGTATAAACGGCCAAAAAGCCACAGTCCGCGATCATTGTTGCGAAAGGCGGCATAGCCTGTTGTTGATTCGCGCAATTAGTCTTGCTGGTTGGATATTATTTGAGCGGAGCGAGTTATGACGCCAACGTACCAGTTCGTTCAACACGCCAGTTATCCGGGAGCTTCGTTGATATTTTGCCGTGGAATCGCACGTGGGCTGGAGTGTTGGAGGTTGGTTCGGCTGGTTCATAGTCTAAGCTGGCCGTGCTGAAACCACCAACGGCGCGATCGGCGAAAGTCTTGCATTCGGAAACTGTTCTCTCGTCTTCAAAATCTAAGAGAGTATAGGGTTTGGTAGGAGTGTGCAGTGCTTCAGTATTCCAGGCTAGATTATGCCGTTAGACTTTTACCCTCTCCTCTTGTAATAACTGGGTATGGTCACTGTACCTATTTTCGAGAGGCGCCCAAGTTCTTCGGCACTGCGCCGGAAGAAATTGCCTTGAGCAGCTAACCTCCGAGTGGGTATCATATCTCCGTTTTTATAGGAGATGCAACGGGAGCATAGAAGAATGGCTGGAGAAAGTGCTTCCAAGAAATGGATTGAATAGGATCCTGTGAAAGACGGACCGATCGGCCGCGATAAGATAGCTCCGTCTCGTATGATTTCATTCCTACTATATTGAGAAGCTGACTAATATTCCAAGATACCCAACTATTTTGTATTTACGCTACGTTCTCTCCCGCGCGCTCAGCTACGTCAGAACCCCACTTGGCTTCCGAGGTCTCGATGTATGTAAGGTCATTTACTGAATTACATACTTACATACTGGGGCGGGATGGGAACTTCTTTAGGAGATCGGAACGCTTTCCAATTTTGATGATTCCGACAGTGCTGGGGCAGTACTCCGCAACAATATGGTGAATATATAATTCGGTTTCACCCCGGGGCCCCGCGTTAGCAAAAACCTATAAATTTTTCAAGTGGGACGAAAGAAAAAAGGACTTTCCAAATCGGATTTGCAACAATGTCCAGAATTCTTCCAAGATGGGCGGTTCGCGCAGCGTCAACATCTGCCACGCCGCAAACAACCAAGGCCGCTGGCGATATCTCCTCAGTCTTTCCTAGTTTACGACCAGATTACCAGCCAGAGCCTTTGCCTCCTCGATTTCAAGAATTGAAAGAGAAATTATTTAAAAAGAACGAGAAAGCCTTGAAAGAAGGTTGGAAAAGGCTATTGCCGAGTCTGGAAAACGAAGTGGAGAAAATTAGATCCCAAGGTAGCGATGTAAGTCAAGGCACCACGGACAAATGGAATCATGCAAAATAGTAACACTACAGGTCAGATTATTCCATCAGTCGATTACTCCGATGTCGTGTCTGGCAGAATAAACGAAAACACCCTGAAAGAGATCAAATATCGAGGAAGCGTGGTCATTAGGAATGTTCTTCCGCGAGAACAAGCGCTGGACTATAAACAGCGAGTGCGAGATTATGTTTCTGCCAACCAGCAGCGAGTGAAAGCTTTCCCACCTGATTCTCCTGCCGTTTATGAGCTTTACTGGACTCCCTCGCAAGCAGAAGCTCGCGCCCATTCCAACACGCTGACCGCCCAGCGTTTCTTGCAGCATCTATGGCATTCATCAGATCCGAGTACCAAGATCTCAACTTCAAATCCCCTAACATATGCGGACAGATTGCGCATTAGAAACCCAGGCGATTCCAAATTCACTTTGGGTCCCCATATCGACGGCGGCTCACTGGAGCGCTGGGAAGATCCGGAGTATGCCAGTGTTTACAACAAGATTCTCGAGGGCAACTGGGAGCAGTACGACCCGTGGGATGCCAAGCATCGCCTCTCTGCAAAAATGGATATGTATAACGGTGCAGGAGCTTGTTCAATGCTACGCTTTTTCCAAGGGTGGCTTTCCATGTCTGATACTGCTCCTGGAGAGGGTTCGCTGCATGTTTGCCCCATGGTTGTGCACAGTACTGCCTATACTATTCTACGGCCATTCTTTGATATAGAGAGCCAACAAGTTTCAAGAGACGCCACATTTCCTGGATCCGTCCCTGGTGCGTGCCAAGAGTATAACCCTGTGACACACCCTCATTTGGAGCTGGAGAGCACCATGGTCCCGATACCTCGAGTTGAACCTGGAGACTTTGTTGCGTGGCACTGCGACTCACTTCATTCGGTTGATAAAGAACATCGCGGCAGCGGGGATTCAAGTGTGATGTATATTCCCGCTACTCCTCTATGTGACATGAATATCAAATATCTTCTCAAGCAACGCGAGGCCGCATTGGCATACTCCCCACCATGGGATTTCCCTGGCGCAGGTGGCTCTGGCGAGCAAGGGTTTGAAGGTGCTTTAGACTGGTCTACGTTGAACCCTGAAGGTCAACGTGCGATGGGACTAGGTGACCAACCTTGGGAGATCAATGATACCATGTCTGAAGGTGAGAAGAGGGCAGTGCAGTCTGCTAACAAAATTTGTTTTGGAATTTGAGATAATTGAAGATGACATTCAAATAAAAAACCAAGACTTTCTTTCTATACTATTGAATACATTTTTCTTTCATTCTTCTCAATATTTAAAACTAGCCAGTTTGCGTAAAGCGGGTATTTCCGCCTAAGGCACCAAATCATGATTCTTAGACTTATGATTGGCTGAAATCCCGATTACTCAAAGCCCGGGCAGGTAACTTCCCCCTAGTTAATTACAGCGCAAGAGCGACGCGCTTAGTCGAATTAAGCTATACGCGGTGCCAATACTGCAATTTCGACTCGGAATTTCATTGCAAAAAGCTATGCAGGTATAGAAGTCGATGTAATAGAATAGTCCTATCACAAGTGCTATTTTCACCGTCTATTGTGGCTCCAAAATTCTCTCTGCGACTGCGAAAGAACCCTGAAGACGACTCAGTCTGAGCCTATGAGATTTCCAGGACTGCCTGCAGCCTCCATAGCATTTTGCTCTTGGCCATCCACAAGAAAAAACATCGGCTACAAGCACCTAGCGTCCAGCGACGTGAAGACAACCAGTCAACATGAACCCATCCATCTTTGAGATTCAGCCAGTGAACCGCTTCCTTGGTTCAAACACCACAATCCGCCGACCCAAAGTATGTTTTAGCCGTGTTGTTAGCTCTACCGTATGGAGTAGCTAAAGTTGTCTTAGGAAATTACATGCTTCTCTTATGATGATAAGCGTCGATTCTCGCTGGGAGAGTCATCGCTGGCATACTACTATCCGCCTAGTTTGCCAGCGGATCTGAATGAAGGATTCGAAACTTTCCAGAAACTCAATGATTCCGCTGATGAGCATCTGGATGCTCTGTTAGATACAGTCACTGCGCTTGAACGGGATACACAAAAGAAATGCGATGCTGATATCGTTACGTGGCGTGGAATGATGACCAAGGTAAGCCTAAAAAATTACAGTAGGACTCGCGGTAGTAATTGGTGATTCCCGGACGGCTTAACGTGGTTATTTAGATTTTGGCAGCGCCTTATGATATGATGAATGGGTACGTTGTCCGGTTGATGGCAAAGAGATAAAGTGGTTTCATTACTAATGAGTCGTGGTTCACAGCTTTGAGATGAATGCGACCTGCTTCCAGGTATGTTATATTGATTATTGATAAGCCCTTAAAGAAAACACGAACTAACATTCAAGGAAGGGTACAATGTGTGTTCATCTGGATCAAACTCGATCGCGTGGCTATGAACCCTTTCTAATTCACTCCCAGATTCATCGAAGAGGACAATAGCTACAAGAACAGACAGAAGGAAACCCAGCGAAATCAACGAATGCCACCAGGCATGGCATCACAAGAAGAAATGATGTACTGGGGTATGAGTGACTTTCAAAGAAGACATCTCACCGCACGGTAGCTAACCTACCTTGCTAGGCTATAAATTCGAAGTTTTATCAGTTCTTCGACAACCCTGGGACCCGACAACTCGTGAAGAAATAGAATCTCGACCTTCGCAGGTTGTGAACAATAGTGCACAGTATTGCTCCGTTGTCAAAACCGGGATTGGAAATACCCGCATGATTCTTGGCGGCGAGGTCGATGCAGGTGAGCATGAACCCAGAGAAATTTCCAAGTTTATCAGACTAATACTATGATCCGTAGTATGGGACTGTAAACCAGAGAGAAAGGAAGATCCTATCCACTGGGTAGAACTGAAGACATCTGCTGAAATTCGCAATGAGCGCGATATGTTGAAATACGAGCGAAAGTTACTGAAGTTCTGGGCACAATCCTTTTTGCTCGGCGTGCCGACTATAATCGTCGGTTTTCGGACTCAACAGGGCATTGTTCATCGCCTAGAAGAGCTCGATACTGCAAGTATTCCAGGTAAAGTCAAGAAATTGGGGAAAGGCTCATGGGATGGAAATATTTGCATCAACTTTGCAGCCGCGTTTCTCGAATGTATGATTAGCCTTTTAGTATGCTTCCCCTCTTCTTCTGATTAGATGCTAACAATAATACAGGGCTCAAACAGACTGTTCACGAGGATGGGATTTGGAGAATTCGAAAACGGGACAAGTCTACAGTCATTGAGGTATTCAAGGTTGAGGACTCAGGACATGGTGGTATACTCTCGCCGGCTTTTAAGGAATGGCGATCAACTGCTCAACACCTCTAGTCTATAGAAATTTGAATGCATCCGAGTCTGAATGCGAGTCTTCCAAGTTTGGATATTTCTATTTGCACGCAAGGAACGCTGTGAGGCTATGGCCGACCCAATGCTCAAGTGTCTATGATGTTATCTCCTATACTGTGCTTCATGAACTTTTCAATATGTAAAATAAGAACCATATCCCTTTCAGCCAGAATTATTGCATGACGCCTTCCATAGAATAGCTCATGTTACAATGTTCGAGATAGCATATATCCTGGTAGAGTTATCTTCACTGGCCACTGCAAGGTCGAACAAAGCATCCTCATCTGTCGTGGAAGTAGACACAGGTCGCCATGACAATTGTGTGATTGCCCTGGAGGGAGCCATAGTCGGATCAATGGTGACAAGTAGTTGCGCTTCGAGGGTGTCGGCGGTGATTCGGTGGATGGAGATAGCACCACTATCCTCTCCCGCTGCAAGGATGAATGAATTTTTGTAAGGAACAGACAAGAAGGCTATCGCTGAAACAGCTGATGTCAAAGAAATGGTGGTCTTGCAAACGAAAGAATTGTCATCCCTTTGCCAAATTTTGACAGATTTGTCACGCCCAGCTGTTGCAAAGACGTCGTCTGTGATTTTTGGTGCCCAGGCAGCTCCCAGGATCATTCGAGAGTGGCCCTTGGGGTTTATCATATACTTGGTGAAAATGGTGGGATCTTCCTTGCTTCGAGAGAAGACGGCCCACTGTCGATCTCTTCCCACACTAAGAAGATATTGGTCGTCGTCGGAAAATGAGAGATCGGTGATGGTCAAAGAGTGCGCTGGTAGAGAAGGCTTAATCTCATGCCAATCCGAAGTGTCGTAGAGTCGGATTACTGCATGATCAACAGAGCTAGCTTTGCAAGCCGTGGCAATGAGTTTACGATCATGACTGACAGCAACTGCCGAAATTTCATATCCATGGCCGTAGAGCTTCTCGTGCTCTGGCCATAATGTGTATCGGGCTAACTGGTCTTCTAGCGGCGGCGAGTCTGTGCTGAGTGAAACGACAGGAGCAGAAGCTGGAGCCCCAGACTCGTCCTCATCATCCTCGACTGGCGCCTCATCTCCTTGCGCTTTGTTGGATAGGCCTAAAACGGGAATTTCGGCTGTATCTGGAAGCTCACCCTCGATGGTTTGTTGAGATCCAGTCAATTTACAAAGTAGATCTGCGATCTGCTTGGGCTCGTTAAATACTCTCAGAAGCTTTTCATCTGCACCAGATACAAACTGCAAAGGACCAATAGTATCGATGCAATTGAGATCGTATCCATGAATCTGGGGGCGAGAGAACTCATGCCAAGATCGCTTGTTCTCCCTCAGCCACTCAGCATGGAGACGAGTAGTTTGATCAGCACTAGTTGAGAGGAGATATCCACCACTTGGTTCCCACTGTACACCATTGGCAGACCGCACATGGCCGGAAATGCCGAACTTTTGTACCCAAACATCTGCTTCGGCATCAAGCTGCCACATCCGCCAACTACCCGTGCGACCCAAGCTGACCACGGTTTTACCATCTGGCGACCAGAGCCCAATCCAGAAACCGCCAGCACTTCCAGTAGCAGTGGTTGATCCCTTTTGTACACTGATTTCTCCCATTCTCTCTATCGACATCCAGACTCCCGACACAGGGTCTTGCTCCCAGATAGTGACAGTGTTATCAGCCGATGCCGACAGAAGCTGGGGTCGGTTTGGATCCGGGTTCCAGGCCGTAGTATAAATCCAATCCTCGTTGCCAAAGAGAAGAGCCTCAAAGGTAATGGAGTATTCCTGGTCTGCCGCCTTGAATTGATGAGTTTTGTTCGACAGCGTAGGCTCCATACCACCTAACAAGGGATCCGCGTCGTCTATAGGCGCGGGAACACTTGCTTCACCTTGCCGCAACCTCCAAAGACGGATATATCTATCTTGACTGGCTGATGCAAGCAATATATCATCGGTGTTATTGTTCTTATTCTGCGTGAATGACAGAGACCTGACCCATGCCTCGTGGCCTGCGAGAGTGGCACATCTGTGGAAACTAGGCTCGCCATGGGAATCCTCTGCAGAATAAATGTGGATCTTTGTCGTAGTGCCTGCGACGGCTAACACTAACGGGCAAGTGTTACCTTCTAGAGCTTGCAGAGACAAAGAAAGCGGGAAGAATCGAGGACTCATAGTCAAAGTATCAACCAAACTGCCCGTGATGCCACCCTCTGTGCTAATTCGCCAAATTCGAACGGTCCCATCGGCGGCCCCAGAAGCGATAATGTTGGTCCCATCGGCGACAGCTACGGCATTGATAGACCCAGTATGGCCCTCAAGGACAGCAGCTTGAGTGTAATTGTTCGGTTCGGTGGGATGTTGTTGCCAGACTCTGATTGTTCGATCGACGGACCCGGTAACGAGCAGTTTCGCGGATGTGGAAGGGCATGTGAAAAACTTGACAGCGCTGACTTTATCTGAGTGTCCTACAAGAAGTGCATGCACGCCCCGGTGGGTTTTATCCTTTGAAATTGGTTAGTAATCTATATGAGGTAGACAAGTGCGTTGGGCTATGACGAGAGACCTACCAGAGGATCCCACAAGGCGACATTGTTATCCGCTCCGAAGGCAAGTATGCCCGATTGAACATCCCAATCAGCGGCTTGTGGATGTCGGTTTCCACCGACGCTGATATATTTGGAAGATACCGAGGCCATAGCTAAGAAGCAATTGGGCGACCGTGGGAGTGAGGAGGGCGTGAGTGTAGACACTGGCGGGGAAAAAAGAGCTGTCGCAAAAGTCATTAACGATACCCACAGAAATTGTGGGCTTATCGATAGGACGATAAGCCGATAAGCGCGAACCACCTTTTCAACCCACCATCATCTTCATTTCTCGCGCGCTCTGATCGGGTTTGTTTCTTGAAATAATCCCGACGTCGAGGATCCTAAGCTTCATGAGTATATAACAACAACGTTTCATTTATCCTGATATAACCTGTCATCTTCACTCGCCACATAAACAATGTCGGACAGCGCAACTGGAGGGGTTGCGCCTATCGCCATCACAGTCGAGTTCACGTACATTTTTCTCGAGTTTCTACCCCTATCGTTCGTCTAGAAGCTGATGCTCTGCTACAGTGGTGGACTCGAAATCTTATTTGATAATAAGCGCAAATACGCTATTAACTTACCCGGTCAATTGGAGGATGGAAGCCAACCAAACATCTCCTACCTGGTTCAATATCTCGTCGAGAATTTGATGAAGGACCAAAGGAAAGAGTTATTTGTAATGGAAGATAATGTGTATGTGATATCTGTCAATCAGGCCGTTATTTATGAGATCAAAGCCGTAAGCTAATGGTTTAAATAGCCGACCAGGTATTCTCGTCCTAATCAACGACGCTGATTGGGAACTGGAAGGTGAAGAGAAGTATGAACTGCAGCCAAGAGATAATATTGTGTTTGTTTCAACATTACATGGCGGGTAGAAAATGAATTATTCAGTTTAAAACTCTCATACACTGGGCTCAATATCCACCCTCTTTTCTCTAGCGCCGGACCAGAGAGAGGCATTCAGAAATAGAATACATACCCAAGATGCCACAGCTTTTTCTGCTGGTACTCGCTGGCTCAAAGTTTACCGCAATACCTTAGACCCATTGACCATATGTTGATATGACTGAGACTTTCAAATTCAAATTCTAAACTCTAGTCTTGTCGACGCTCCAACCGACCCCAGACTTCATCTACGCTAGATTTCCCTTTAGTCTCGGGAAGAACCTGGTAAATTACAAGTCCCGAAATGGCCGCAATGACTGCAAATATCCAGTAGACTTTACCTTGGCCGCCCAATGCATCATTGACCATGGGGAAAAACTGCGCAACCACAAAGGTTGCCATCCAGTTGATCGCCTGGCCCCAACTTTGAGTTGCTCCAACGGCCTCTGGCCCAGCCAGCTCTGATGGCAAGATGAAAGGAACCGGTCCTAAGCCCAAGGCAAAACTTGCTACAAAAAGCAAACAGGCCATTGCAGAGACAATCTTCTGGTTCAGGGCAAATCCGAGCGCTAGAAGGACAGAACTGCAGCCTATCCCACTGATGCTAAGCAGGAGGCAGGTCCTACGACCAATACGATCGGGCAAAGGCATGCACACGACCGTAGCAACGAGGTTTATCACGGAAGTCATAATGGTAAGCAGTGCAGCTCCTGTGGGTAAGATGCTCTGTAGCAAAGAGACGCTGTACATAATGAGACTGTTGATACCTGTGAATTGTTGAGCGAGCATGCATGCAACAACAGCGATAATGGCAGGTCGATAGTATGGATCCTGCACAGCTTGAAGCATAGTGATCGACTCTTGCTTGGATGTCTGGTTTTCATCATTTGATGAGGGTAGAAGAGACTCTTCTTCGCCGGAAATTGGAGTGGTGATGGAATCACTCCATGTCTCGATTTCGGCATCAATGTCAGCATTCGAACCGCGAATGCGCTTCAAAACGTGACGGGCCTGACTTCTCTGATGGTTCTTGACAAGCCAGATCGGACTTTCAGGCACCATAAAGAGTCCTGCAAGCCCCAGAACTGCTACAATACTAGCTGCAGCGAGGATGAGCCGCCACATGCTATCGTGACTCCAGAAGTATCCCAAGACCTGGGAAACCAGAATCCCAACATTCACCATCACCTGAGTGCATACCCCAAATAGGCCTCGTGAGTGCAGCGGTGCAACCTCAGATATGTAAATCGGGCCCACCACGACAACCGCACCAGACCCGACTCCGGACAAAAGCCGACCGAACGCGAGTAGTGGAATCCCCGGGGCTAGAGATTCTGCTAAGGGCCCTGCAATAAGGAATAGCGATGCAACGCGCAATGCAAGCCGTCGCCCAGACTTGCTCGAGAATGGACCTGCGAGCAGGGATCCAATAAAGCCGCCGAGAGTGTAGATTGACGAGACCAGACCGAACTGGGATGAATTCATGGAAATGCATTGCGGGAGGTGCGGGAGAGCGTTGGTGCCGGCATTGGTACCAATTCTCTTTTTCTCACATGTTATCACTGCTTGAGGGGCGTTGAGCTCGGCCTATATTGTAGGGAAATCAAAGAAGGTCTTGTTAGATTGAGGATCACAGAACCGAACAGGAGGATAAATGCGTACTAGGTGATAACCAAATTGGAAGGGACCTAGGGTCGCGACCAGGACAAGAAAGACTAAGTATGGAGTAATACCCAACTTATTCGGTTGGCCAGAAGTCATATTGCGGACGGACACGATGGGTGGTCCACGGTGTTGACGTAGTTGGGGAGTTGGAGGAGAACAAGGAGGTCCCCACTTCAAGGGGGCCATTAGTGTCCAAGTGGGGAACTGAACCAATTCCCGTTACAGCTGGATACTACATCCATAGTACATATCGGGTATTATTGTGCCGGAAAACTTATCTAGCATCCAAGAAGTATCCAAGATTCCAAAATTTATCATTTTTATGTAATTGAAGATTAGGGATTAAAGTCAATGGAAATGAGGGTTAATGGTACATCCACGGCTTGCACTGTACAGCAATTGATACATACATCATGATCATACCAGTTGGCACAACATTTGAAAATTTGAAAGATTGATCTCAAGCCACAACGAGGTTGAAGCACAAGCTTCTGTCTACATGATACATATTACCTACAGCTTCCCGAAGTCTTCCAAGGTTCATGCACATGCAGTGCATAATGTTTATTATTGTCCGAAAAAGGTGATTACCGACTTCATACTCCGTATAGCTGAACACGAACCTTGGAACCTGTTCAACTCCTAGTAGCTAACCTTGTAGTCCGCAGTGGCGGTGACCCCGACAGAATTCAATAGTGCGATCGGATATCAGTCAACTTAACTCAGCTTCCAGGATTCGGCTTGATTCGGTGTGGGACTGTCGATCGTCTCCGCCAGGCTGGCAATTTTCAAATCAATATTTTGTCTATCATTTTCCTGGCTGGGTACATGCGCAGTGCCGTGGTTACATCCCTGGCATATTATCTCCTAAACAATGCTTTGAAAAAAGGTGGGAAACATAGGGATTTACCCAATGTTGAGTGGTCTCCGTGTTTGAGATAAAGAGAGAGAGAAAAAAAAATGAAAACAAAACAAAAATCTGAAGGGGAAAAAGACCAGTCAACGAGTCTCGGGCAAAGTCCATAACTCCGGGATTTGATAGGTACACGGCAATCTCCAGCGTTGAGTTGTCTTCCCCATTAAAAAAAACCCTTCGAACTCAAATCTCAACCCTGCTGCACTCCTGCTGGACAAAGGGGTGTTTGGTACGGGGGATGATTCAATAAGTCCACTAGGTAAATTTGACAGGCCTATGGGATCAATCTCAGTGGAGAGAAGCTAGGGCGCCAATCATTTCCGCCGACGATCAATCCCTTATCGAGATCCAGATCGTAACCTTGTGCCCTGGCTTGGGAGAACAGGATCTTCAGACCCTGGACGTCCACGGAGAAGACTACGGAGAAGGACTCGATGACTTCATGCCCCAACCACGTTGCCTAGCATGAAAGGCAGCCAAACTCAAGCAATCTTGAATTGTGGATTATGGTTTATGGATTGGCTTTGGCTGATCTCTGAGCTACCAAACAGCTTCCAAACTTGGAATTATTGGCCAGTAGTTTCTTTTTCGGCTCCACGATACGATTCATTCGATAGGTAGTGTTCCCACTTGGGATTCAACCAACTAATTTCAAAGTCTCAGCTGGATCAACCTGTGGTCGCCCCTTTCTTTATAAGAAGTCCCTGCGCCGCCAGTCTTGGTACGATTGTTTACCACCTTACACATCCCATTCTTACCCCAGACAACACATTCATACCCTCCCTCTCTACACACCATGAAGTCATTCTCCATTGCCTTGAGCATGCTGGCCGCGGCCAGCATGGCCTCCGCCGCCGGTGTCTCTGCTTCAGACTGCGCTGTAAGTTTTTCTTTTTTCCAATACCATTGAGCCATGGCGTATGTATTAGGTACTAACGAGATGTGGTATTAGCAAATGTGTGTCAGCAATATGAAGGCCAAGGCTTCCGAGCTTGGATGTTCTGCCAACGACATGGCTTGCCTGTGCAAGAGCGAGGACTTCTCGAACGGCATTCGCGACTGCACCACGGAGGCCTGCCCCAGTGACAACGCTCAACAAGTCCTTTCTGAGGCTCTCAAGTCATGCCCTAGTACGTACCCACATAGCACCTTCCGACAAAACAAAGACTGAATACTAATCATATACATGCAGGCGGCTCTGGCTCTGATTCCTCGTCCACTGCCTCTGGCTCAGGCTCCGACTCCAGCTCCACTTCTGATTCTGGATCTGGATCTCAAACTTCCACCGGCTCTGCTAGCGGATCAACAGACTCCATGATGACCGGTACCTCAAGCTCAACCGGTGGCTCCAACACCAACTCCGGCACGTCAATGACAAAGACTGGCTCCAACACCAGCGGCATGGGTAACATGAGCGGCAGCGGAAGTGTAAGATCTCTCAGCTCTTCTACCTCAATTTGATCACTACTAATAACTCCTTCTAGATGACTGCCACAGCCACTGGTTCCATGGGCACCGGTGCCTCAACCCTCATTACCACCACCATTTCTGGCATGGCTACCACAGAGACCCTGGGAGGTGACTCTGCTACTTCAACCGGCTCTGGCTCTGGCTCTGGATCCGACTCTTCTAGCTCTGGCTCCGACTCTGGATCTGGATCTTCCACCACCGATGGCTCTGGATCTAACTCCGCTGCGCCCTCTACTAGCACTGCTGGTGCTCACCCTATGGCCACTGTTGGCAGCGGTGCTTTCGGTGCTCTCGGTCTGGCTGCTATGCTCGTTCTGTAAGAATGTGTCGTCGCCGATTACATGGATGTATAGGTGTACGAGTGCGATGGGGATATGGAAAGGACGTGAGCATCGTGTTTCCATGATGTCTATATAATGATGCCAAGTTCAACGTCGACGGGCGCTGCTATGTACTTTTCTTAGTGATAACTTAATTTAAATCTGATGCTCTCCTTTAATGGTGATAATTTTGTGGATCCAAAACCAATTGAAGGAGGCGCACTAAAAGTAAATCATCTCTCAAGACAAGTCACTCATGCCATATACTCTATACCGAGATTGATTTAAGAAAAGGGTGAGAACTATGCGCGTATAGATGAAGAACTTCGCTTGTGTATCTTTTTCGAGGTTCCTTCCCTCTATGTCCATTATTTTCAAATTCGGTAGACTTCTATTTTCCCTCGCCATGCACCCGACGCACAATCTGATCTTCCATTTGTGCAAATCCTTCGACGGCCTCACCATACTTCTCAAACAATCCTGGCTGATATCCATCCGCAATCTTCTCAATAAACTCGTCTTCATTCCATCGCTGCCCAACCAGGTTCTCGAAAGTCTGACCCGGTTGTCGCTCCATACCCCAAACAGCCTTATAAGCAGCTCCCAAAGCACAGGCATTATCACCAATATCAAGCTTATACACGCCTTCGACGCCTCCAAGGATTTCTCCAGCAATCTTAGCAATAGCCTTGTTCTTGGATCCACCGCCAACAAGATATACTCGGCGTGGCTGGGCAGGGAGTCCTTCACCACTTCCATCTTCAGTACTCTGAGTCAAGTCTTTTGATCTAAGACGCAAAGAGAGCATCTGACTTTCAACAATAGCCCTCGCCTCATCTCGAGGCACAGTCCATCCTTCCGTGGTTTCCGTCAAGGTTTTTGTTTTGGAATCGTAGGCGAATCGCCACTGTCCAGAATGAATATTGGGCACAATTTCAGGTCTAGGAAAGAAAAGTCCCATTTTCATCGGATCGGCAGCATTCGATTGGCCTAATGAAGGGGTACTCAAGGCGATCTCGTCGAAGAAAGCCCATGGTTGATCGGGGGTATCTTTCAGGCTATCATTAATCGCATCGCGAACATATTCACGCGCAAGACCACCATTCTTATAACAGAGCATGAACATGTATAGCCCGGCGGTGGTGGGGTGGTTGAAGAAGTGGGTAGCTGGGTCTGGCTTGTAATTTGGCGTGGACATTAAGAAGGTGGTCGATGTTCCTAGAGACACCATGGCGTCTGAAGGACGGAGTGGCAATGCCAGAATAGTCGCTGGGTTGTCACCAGTCGCTGGGATCACTGTACAGTTGGAACTGAACCCGTAGCGTTTGGTGAAATATGGGTGGACGGAGCCTAAATGGAGACCACCATCCTCGGGCACATCACCCAGTTTTTGTTTTAAATCTTCGAGGCCAAATTTCCCAGCGCAGAGCTCGAGGAGGCGATCATCGAAGACTCCCTTTTGAATGTTCCATAGGTTCATACCGCATACATCCGAGATATCAAAGGGGGCGATACGGCCCAGGAAGAGCGAGGCAAGGAAGGATGAGACGAGGGAGACGCGGGCTGTCTTTTTGTATACTTCGGGGTATTTTCGTGTGAATCGAAGAATCTGAGGACCTGTGAATCGCTTGAAGAGATGTCAATCAATGATCCATTGTGGAAAGGTGAAGGTTCATGTTCTTACATGGTGCGCTTTGCTTCCTGTGACCAGTGCGAGCTCTTCGGGGCTTCCAAGAACAGCGTCAAATTCATCGCACTCCTTCTGCGTACTCGAGTCTTGCCAATTGGGGCTGTATGGATGGGAGAACGCAGACTGGAGCTGATCCTCCAATGATCTCCCCGCATCAAGTTGATGAAGGAGAGACTCTGCCTCCTGCGCCCAATAAACACTACCGTGTTGTTGGCCCGCTGCACTGATTCCCTTTACTCGACTGAAATCCAGCCCTTGTTGGCGCAGGCTTTCTAGCACCGTATCCAGGGCCTGCAACCACAATGCGACGGGCGCGAATACTTCATGTTCCGCTTCATTTGTGAGAACGCCTTTCTTGATCGGAAAGCCTTTGGAATCGGCATCGAAGTCGAATTTGGCGAGATACACAACTTTCAAGTCTGAGTTGACGACTATACCTTTGAGCTGTTGGGTGGATAGGTCAAACCCGATGTATAGGGGAGTTTGCGGCGCCATTGGGAGACACTTGGGGAGCAACACGGACGCCGTGACTCTAATTGAAACCAGGAATGATAGTAGTCCAAGTAAAATGTAGCAGATAAGAAAAAATAAAATTCTTCTTGGGGGGGATACTTTTTCTTCTCCAAGAGAGGGGGATCTTTAATTTATCCAGAGCAAGTGAAGCGCGAACATGGAAAGTAAGCTACGAAGTGCTTGGCGGGGCAGATCCGGGGGACATGAGTCCGTGATGATGTCAGATCACTTGTTTGGATTCTCTTTACTACAAGTTAATACAAGTTACTACACAACTGGATATATTGTATGAATCAATTCTTATCAACAGAAGAATCATTGAAAACCCCGCACAGAGGATAAACCCGATGAATTCGTCTACTTTCCCCTGTTATCTCCCGCGATTTGTGCCGGTTAAATATGAACCTTGCGGGATTCCCTCGGTTGAATTCATTGCCCCACCAGATGCTAAATTCGTCCCGGGTATTACTTCATCGTCGCGTTCTAGACTGTCACGAATATTCGAAATCCCAACACCCGTTATAGCCAATTTCGGAACCCGAGATGGATTTAGGATCCAAGACTCAATACTCAAAAACCCCAAGATCCAAGCTTAAACGTATGACAGCGACCAGGCCACATTCTCGGAGCTTCATCTCTCTCGAACACCAGGGAAATTGACCTAAGAGACTAGAGCCCGTAAGACGAACCTTACTAACCCCTAACCCCGAGCGGAATTATATAACGCGCCATTGTACACCCTCAGAGCCAGACTAGGGCCTGGAGCCCCGGGGTTCATACTGACGTAGATTCGCCATACTTGAGGCAAGAGGCGACGGATAGGTACCCCTCGAGATCATTTGGTATATATAGTCGCGTCAAATTCTACTATGCAAGGATGTTTCCGAGCAGCTAGCATAATCCATGCTGTGTGGAATTTCCTGCTTTGAACGGTCGTATCTGTCTAATGGCCTATTGCATCCGACATGTCAACTGACGGCGCGAAGCGTAATTTGATTATTGTGTCCAACCGACTGCCCGTGTCCGTGAAGAAAGTAGATGACACCTATGAGTCTTGTATTTCAAGCGGAGGACTGGTCACGGCACTGTCAGGATTGACCAAATCGACCCAATTTCGATGGTTTGGCTGGCCAGGCATTGAAGTGAAGGATACCGAAGACAGACAAAAAGTGTGCCAGAGTTTGGGAGAACACAATGCCTATCCGATTTTTCTGGACAGCACTTTGGCCCATGAACACTACAATGGATTCTCTAGTAAGTATACCCTATACCTATGTAATCAGCAACGAAGTTCATCGGATTGATTGTGGCCTCTAGACCGGATCCTATGGCCTATTCTTCACTATCAATCGGGGGTACAGTTCGACGACGGGCCATGGCAGGCATATAAACGGGTGAATGAACTATTTGCAGACGAAATTGTCGAATCTGCTGAGAATGGGACCTTAATATGGGTTCATGATTATCATCTGATGCTTCTACCGGAGCTTCTGCGATCACGACTTCAACAGCAAGGCAAGTCTTGCGCAATCGGGTTTTCACTACACACCCCATTTCCAGCCGGGGACTTTTGGAGAAATTTGCCCGTACGAAAACATCTCATCGAAGGGTTACTGGCTAGTGATTTACTTGGGTTCCACACAGACGAGTACAAACAAAACTTCATCGACACATGTGCAACTTTATTGTGAGGGTGATTTCCAATCTCATATTGATAATAAGATTAACAGCTAACAAAGTACAGGGGTGCTCGTACTGAAATACCCAATCAGATACAGTATAAGAACCGGTTGGTCTGTATTGGCAAGTTTATTGTTGGTATCGACCCCAACAAATTCACCGACACACTGCAGAATCCAGAGGTTAAATCGCGCATTCAAAGCCTCGAGGAAAAATACAAGGGTGTGACGATTATAGTTGGTGTGGATCGATTGGATTACATCAAGGGTTTAACGCAGAAACTCAAAGGCTTTGATGCTTTTTTGGATGATCACCCAGAACTACGAAACAAAGTGGTTCTTATCCAAATCGCAGTTCCTAGCCGTGAAGATGTCAAAGAATACCAGGAGCTGGAAACTGAGCTGAGTACCTTAGCGGGTAAAATAAATGGAAAGCATTGTTCGAGACCCTTATTCTCCCGAGTTTACTCCTTCGATACTAACCGATACAAGCCACCCCCGAGGGTACACCATTGCTGTACATGCACCGGTCGGTTCCTTTTACGGAGCTAGCTGCCTTGTATTCTATCGCAGATGCATGTCTATTGACCTCTACTCGAGACGGGATGAACCTAGTTTCTTTCGAATATGTTGCCTGTCAGGAAAAGCGCCACGGGGTTCTCGTGCTGTCCGAGTTTGCTGGAGCAGCTTCCTATATGCGGGAAGGCAGCATATGCTTCCACCCTGCGAATAAAACCGAGATGTCCGAAGCCATATACAACGCTCTTCATTTAGATGATACAGAGCGCAAGAGGAAGTATGAGCTTCTTCGAGACTTTGTCCATAAGTATACGAGGTAAAGGTCGAATTTCCTGAAGCAAGAAGTTTTGACACTAATCTATTCTGCTTAGTGCTCAATGGGGCCAGACATTCATTGAAAAGTTGAACTCGAGAGCAGGGGATGGGGCAAGCAAGAGCTGCTCGTAGAGTATTCGGATAGAACCGCAAACTAGTGTCACAATACAGGAAAATCAATCGATTACGGGGGATGGCTTATCTTCAAACTAATTCGATTGAAATTTCTCGTCATGATGACGATTTTGGTTGCTTGCTCTTCGTCTTTCCAGTTTACATATGGGTTGTATAACATTGCACTCCGAACCGAGGTAGAAGCATAGTCCGAACACCACCATATAGGCAGCTGTAGGTACCTGGGTAGTGCCATGTAACCTGAGCATGTCTCGTCTCAGCTTGCTAAGTTCAACCTCCCAGGCACGTTCACGTTCCTGCATATATTCACATGCTCACATGTGTAGACACGAGGTCTTTTCAGCAATTAAAGCCTCGCGCGACGCAGTAGTACCCGGCAGCTTGGAATACCTAGTCATCTATATACACAAAAAGTTGCATAATGAGGCCTAAAGCGCTCATATATTAGTCAATTCGACAGGTATTAGGCCACTGAGATATTGAAGTTTAGGTTCACGGCTTCTTCGTGGCATTTTTCTTTAGATAGAACTAAGATTTGGGAAGGCTGAGGAGTTGACATAGCCGTACAGCGAGCATATCACGTCTAGAGTTTCGAGCGCAGAGTAGGTAACACAAGCATCATGAGCTAACCTATCATAATCATACCGAAATAAATAGATTCATGTCTAGGAGGTTAAAGATTTGATTGAGGATGAATGTCTGGGGTATAACTACAATAAAGGATATCATCATCTGAGACCTCGATCGAGTTCAGTCTAGCAAAATTTGAGTCTTCAAGTGTATTCACGCCAGATCTTTTCTAATGTCGTCGCTTAATACGCAAACTTCATTACACGCCGACGAAATTCTTCGAGGAGGCTATAAGAAAATCATCCAAGGCCATACCGTTTTCCTGACCGGCAGCACAGGTTCATTGGGAGGATGTCTGCTGTTCAAATTAGCGCTCCAACTTCCCACACGCAAAATTTATGCATTTATCCGCGGAAGCCAAGAGCAAGCAATCAATAAATGGAGAAAGGCAATGCCAGACCATGTTCAAGCCATTCTTTTATCAAAGAAAGTCGAATTTGTCACTGGGGACATTAGATCACCCAACTTTGGCATACAACCCGCTATCCTCCAAGAACTCTCAGAACAAGTCACAATGATCATTCACACTGCCGCGAAAATAACCCTCGACGCAAGCCTCCAAGATGCATTTGAGAACAACTGCCTTCCAGCCCTGGAATTAGCTCGTATAGCCTCCCGTTTCCCGCGTCTAAAGCTCCTCGTCCAGGTATCAACAGCCTACGTCAATAGTTTCCTCCCCGATGGCCCCGTTTTAGAAAAGCCCTATACACTCTCAAACGAGGATCCCGAAGAAGAACTAGCCTCAATCCTCAAGTTCAACAAATCGCCCTACGCAACGCAGTTTTCATCCAGCTACGCTCAAGCAAAGTCCCTCATGGAGCGAATCCTCATCCAACGATTCCCCACACTTCCAATCTTACTTCTTCGTCCCACAATATTTGGCCAGGCCCTCCGAGACCCATACCCGCTATACGGGTTGGAAAACTCCACGCCACTGAATAAATTCTTCCAATATTTTATGGAAGACCGTGGGGGCTCACAGGTCTGGCACGCTGCAGAAGGACATCGCACGGGAGCAAACATCATTGATGAAATCCCGGTTGACTTCGTAGCTAATGCATGTCTTTTACATGCCGCAGCACGTACGACGGGGATAGTCCAGATAGGATCTGAGTTATACGAGCCATTTACATTTGATCAGTATCTGGAAATCGTACATAGTAATGCGCCGCCTGTTATTCGGAAGGAGCTTCCGCGGGTCGTCTTTACAGAAGATAGGGAGGAGCCGCAGTGCTTTTTGGCAGAGTTGGTGCGGGTTGCGTCGAGGAATTGGCTTTTTGATTGTGGGCGGTCTTACTGGCTTAAGCAGGTTGGGGGGCCGTTGAGTATACGGGCTTGCAAGTTCCAGGTGGATGGGTTGAATAAGAGAAGGATTCATCAAATTTATACCTACGGTGCGGAGAAGGCTCGTATGTGATTCAGACAGCCTTGGAGATGCATGAATATTACTTCAATTTTGGATCGAGCCTGTCTAATGGCTTGTTAGATGCAGTCTCGCACGCCTAGAAAGTGTTACCTACTGTAGTGGGGAAAACCTCCCCTATCAGGAATGACCCTATGGTCGCGGAGCTATTATCCCTTTTTGTTTCTTCCGGTTATATATGATATCGCGTTGCGATTAGTTCTACAGCATACACACTTCTTACACTCCTTTGATCGCGTTCTGCGATTCTGATTTCTCTGATTTCCTGCGTGGACCGGAGAAAGATATTGATGTTTTGCTGTGGGTTTTTCTGACTAGTATTCCGATACAGGCCTATTTCCCCTCTTCAATATGTATTAATCATTTCAAGTTGAAGCCTCGCAAATACTTATATAGTGGGTTACTTCTTCTCAATTTGAGGACTTGTAAACAAGTTGTAATACCCGTGGACGGAATCCTTGTTCAATTATATCTCATGCCAAATTGTTGTCTGGTTTTCCCAATGTTTTTAATCTCCAAAGTTGGGTCTAAAATGTCCATTGATTCATGAAAAAGTAACATATGCCTGTTTAACTGTAAAATATTCTAGTTATTCAAACTGGAGATTCCATTTATGCACGCTCGATAGCTTTGTTCATAGGGCTCAAGTTAAACCGTCCATGAAATAAAAAAATGGCCATCTAACTGACTTTCCAGCCTTCTCTGCCCCATGCTCCAGAAGAAACTGAATAATACCAACGTGGCCGAGATCGATTGCTAGTTCCAATGCGGAGCCCTCTGAGCGTAAGGATTGAGAGTTATGCAATCCATGATACCAAACATTTACAGAGCCACCTCTCTCATCGACCAAAATCCGCACCATATCTATATTTCCGGAATTAATAGCTCGCACGATTGGATTCATTTTTGGCAGCCCAGTCGATAGCCCGGCTGCGTTCGGATTTCGTATCGCGTCGATATAGTAAGGGGTCGAATATAGAATATAGCCGACGGTTGAGGCTAGCTAGGCTTTTCAGTGATTGAAGCGATGTAATGTAGCCTGCAATATGGCAAAGCAATTCTGGCGGGATATCTAATATCGAAGGGGCCATGGCTCGGTGCTAGTTGGTGAAGGAACAGCAGGATGTATATTAGTGTCTCGCAAATTCGTGGGGTGACATTTAAGATCATCCAGGGAAATGAAGGGGCAACAACAGCCGAACGGGCGGGCCAGGGCAAACACTATAAGCTCGCACTATCCTCCCGAGTCCCGAACACAGTCGCATGGCTTTAGCTCTGAATGAGGGGCCTTTGGGACTCAAGACGCCACTCAAGGTCACGCTATTGTATGTAAATGGAATCAGACCCGGGGTCATCCGAGGAGGATTTGCCAAGACCCTTAAACTCATTTTAGACTTAAGTTAAGGACAGATAAAGGGCCCCCACGGGCAGGAAAAATCCAGTACGTACATCTATCTACCTAGGTAATCCTTCCAATGTTCACGCTGGATTTATTTAACGGTTGTTTTTTTACTCTCTTTATCAATCCCTAGGGTTCATGGCTCTGGGGTCTGATGTGTACCTAGGACACTGCAGATTTACATTATTAATCGATTCAAGCTGGGATACATTCGATGATAAATTGGCAGGAAGCTATATTCAGAAGGTTGTAACTTCTTTGAGAACACCAAAATAAAAATCTTTGTGAAATTCAAGTTCGTAAAATGAGAAACCAGGGCATTGTCGTTATGTACTGATAAATGGAAATTTGAGCACTGATCTTTCGATTATTTTTGCTTGGCAATTCATCCCCAAGCTGTTCAACACCAGAAGAGCTTTACGCCTGAAGAGGCTCTCCCATGCCGCCAAAGGTAACACTCTTAACAGTCAAGAATTCATCAATACCATACTTGCTGCCTTCGCGTCCGAAGCCACTCTGCTTAACACCACCGAACCTGTATAGGTTGTCAGTTTCGGCCTCAAACTTTCACTCTGGAGAAGAAATACTTACGGCGAAGCGACATCACTTATCAAACCAGTGTTAACACCAACCATACCGACTTCCAAGCTTTCCGCAACGCGGAAAATGCGATGCACGTTTCCGCTGAAGAAGTAACCAGCCAGACCAACTTCAGCCTTGTTGGCAAGCTCGACAACTTCCTTCTCGGTTTCAAAGGGGAAAAGACCTGCTACAGGGCCGAAGGTCTCCTCAGAGGCAATGAGCATGTCCTTGGTCATACCGGCCAATACAGTGGGCTCATAGAAGTTAGGACCCAAGGCAGATGCCTTCTTACCGCCGATAAGGACCTGAGCGCCCTTGCTAGTAGCATCCTGGACGTGCTCATGGACCTTATCAACAGCACGCTCATGAATGACAGGGCCGTGAGTAATGCCATTCTCGAAGCCAAGTCCGAGCTTGAAGTCCTTGACCTTGGCAGCAAATCGCTTCGCAAATTCGTCATATACGCCCTTTTGCACATAGATGCGATTGGCACAGACACAGGTTTGACCAGAGCTGCGGAATTTCGAGTTAATAGCACCCATAACAGCAGCATCAAGATCCTCTACATCATCAAAGACAATAAAGGGGGCATTGCCGCCCAGCTCCCATGAGACCTTCTTGATGGTTGAAGAAGCCTGCTTCATAAGAATACGGCCAACATTAGTCGAGCCGGTGAAAGACACCTTGCGCACATCCGGGTGCGTGGTAATCAATTCACCCACAGAGGGGGTGTTGTGTGATGCAGTAACAATGTTGACGACACCCTTGGGGATGCCAGCGCGGTGAGCCAATTCCGCTAGGGCATTGGCAGTGAATGGGGTCTCCTGGGGAGACTTTGCAACCACGGTACAACCAGCCGCCAGGGCTGGGGCGATCTTACGTGTGATCATAGCAGCTGGGAAGTTCCAAGGTGTGATCAGACCGCACACACCAACGGGTTGCTTTAGTGTCATTACCCGGTTACCAGGCACTGAAGCCGGAATAGTATCACCATAGATGCGAGGCGCCTCCTCACTGAACCACTCGAAAAAGGCCGCGGCGTAGTTGACTTCACCCTTAGCGTCGGCTAACGGCTTTCCGTTCTCCCATGTAATCAATTTTGCCAGGTCCTCTGCATTGTCCATCATCAGTTGATACCATCGACGAAGCATGCGGGCGCGCTCGCGAGCCAGGGTTGTGCGAAAGGAAGGGAATGCCTCCGAGGCAGCCTGGATGGCTTTTTCGACATCTGAAGCGGCGAGTTCAGGGCACTTTCCGATGAGTTGACCGGTCGCGGGGTCTAGATAAATGCAGAATGTAATTAACAACATATTCAATCTCTCCAACGCTCCGACACGCTCCGCATTTCCTTACCGTGAACTTCAAAGGTCTCGCCAGACTGGGCGCCAACCCATTCACCATTGATATAACATTTCTCAATAAAAAGGGATTTGTCTTTTAACTGCATTCGATATCGTCAGTCATGCCCAAGTACATTCCCCGAAACGCCTTTTATCCGAAACGCACCTCAGGTCTACCGTGTCCCATTGTGTAAAGTCTCTTGACAGCAGGTGTTGGGGGGATGGCAAAGGGATATCGCAGATGAGGTCGTAGGAGTTGCCGGGAGACGGGGCGGATGATTCGTTCCATTATAAAAGAGGCCAGCACTCGACGGGGGTAACTTAATAATACAGGATGAGGGAACAGCAAGCGGAGTCAAGGTTCAGCGTGCGGGGAGAAGTTGGAGGCGCGTCTTTTAAAGTACTTTCGGTGATTTACAACAAAAGAGACCTGATCTTTTTTTCCCAACTAGTGCACCAAAGTGGAACTCAATGGTGATTGATGTTTGGGCCCGAGAAGCACCGAGAATGGAGAACACGCCGATGGTCGAGGTCTAAGTGTTGGGGCAAGCTGAGAAGGGAAGCTTGATGCTAAGCGGGGGTTGATGTCATGTTGATCCGGGGCTTGTCTCCGTTTCTGGTGCTTCAATCCTGCTGCTTTGTTTTTTGGTTATTAGTGTCTTTTTGGGCAGCGAAATGAGTCCTCAAAAATTTGCCTTCTTTTACAATCCCATTAGCCCAGTTTCAAACTATTTCTTGCTACTCTGTCAACTTTGTAGTTTGAACTTGAAGGTTTGTTTCATTTCGTTGTGATTCAAAAAGTTCAGATGTTGCCGTGGGGGTATGAATATTACATAAAATACGAAGTTCGGCTATTTCAACCAATCGGCGCATATTATCGAGATTTGGTCGGTGATTAAAACCAATTACTTTCGAGATACTAGATCCGTTTTAAGATAACGTCTTGGTAATACCGACTCCATCAGATCCATCCATGGATAGAGGGATGTCAATATCGCATCTTCAATCCGCCAGTGGGTAAGACCCCACTGAGCTAAGTTTAGGAAGGGCCAGCCGACTATTCTATGATTGAGTCAGATTTATCTAATCATTGGCAATATCAATTTATCGAGGTGTCGTCCCCCTGTACATGTTCGCTGAAATTAAGTTGGAAATTTCATATGTGCAACCTTGTATACAACTTCGCTTATAGGTATAAACATCTTTAGCTTCAATATTTCGAACCATGGCAAGAAACTTGAAGGTTAAGAAACTAAACTTTGGGGTCCCCCTTCTAAAGTTTCAATCTAATCACGTCTTCAATATGCCTTCCAACTTTTCCTTGTTCATGAGTGCAGACTCATCATCCTCACCAAAGGCTTGTTTGCTAAACCATAACACAAGTCTCCCACACAGAGGATCCACGTAAATTGTCCACAAGTGTGCAATGTATATCAAGATGATATAAAACAAAGGTATCGCGATCGCAAAAGTCAAAGTGCCCCCTCTCTCAAACCACATCGGCTTGCCTTCTTGATCGGTCGGGGACAGTCCTTTCTGAAATATAGATTGTCGGTAAACAAGCCACGAGAGGATGGTGCGAATGAAAATATCATGCAGGAGATAAATGGGGAATGAAATCCGACCAAGGAAGTTCATAAACGGATGTGAAAGAATCTGTCTCCCCTCACGCGAGAAAAACACGCCGAAGACGAAAAGGGTAGTTCCAAAGGATACCACATATCGATTTATCTCGCCGCCTGCAGGGACAATATATTGTGCTAGTGAATTCAAGGCCCGGCTCCATGGCGCCCATGTCGGATTTTCGTCTGGAAAGGAAGCGAGAAAAAGGCCACTTAACATCATCAGTGTCGATATGGGCCAGGGCATCATTGAGGGTGCCTGGGCACCATAATCGGCATTTAACTCCGCTAAGAACATTCCGGCATACACATTCGTTTCCATTAAAGCTATTTTGGATCGATAAGATGCTGGGGTTAGAAAAGAGACAAACTAAAATGGAAGACTAGCCACGAGAGATTCAGAACTCACCTTGTCCACCTGACCAAGCGAAGCAATAAAGGAAAATAAGAAGCCACTTGGTAAACTTCGGGCGAGTGAATGTCGTCGCCATGAGAGTTAAGTAGACCAACATGGATCCTTTCAAAAAGAAAGGGATAGTCCAATAAACAGGATCATATGGGGAAGAACCACCATGCCAAAACAGTACCAAGTTGCGATAGAGTCCAAGTATTGCAGCACTGAATGTTGGCCCCCGTTCAGCAGCCACCACTCGAATCCATGAAGAATCAACTTGACTTGCTACTCGATATCCGTTCAACTGGCAGACCAGCCAAGAGAAAAGAATTCCGACATTGGTTGGCACAACCAGTTTACCCGCTCGAGTGATTGTGTTTCTCGACAGCTTGGAAAGCACAAGTGCATTATCTCCTGCGCGCATTTGTTTAAACGAATAGAACGAATTCACATAACCGGTAATAATGAAGAATAGAGCGACTGCAAGGCGGCCTGCAACAACCAGTCGAAGAAAAGGATATTGAAATAGAAAGATTTCTCCATTTTCTATTGTGGCGGGCGAATTCAACCAATTCGCGAACGAGGAGCAGAGATGGTAGGTTACCACTATTAGGGCCGCGATCCCACGAAGCCCCTAAGCTTCAATTAGTTATGGGTTCAGACGAAAGATTTAGTAAAACAACAGTCAAGACTTACATCTATCCAGTTACTAGTTCGCGCCTGGTGCAACATCATGATGTCGAACTGGACCCTCAATAAGTTTGCGTATCGAATAAAACGATGATTGAGACATGTCAGTCTTCAAGTGAGTGTTCAGTAAGACGGGATAATTCATAGATTGATCTCATGGCTATCAATAAATTTCCGAACGCATCTCTATGTCTGTTAGCTTTAGTACCGATCCCAGAAGTATTACATTTCTGGTAATTGGGTTGTACGAAAGGGAACATGAGCGGTTGGGTGCCGGATGCAGCGACAAGGCCGATTCAACGACGAGGTAGCCTAGCCACATAGTGAGATAGTCGAAGATGACACTTTTAATTAGATCATCAAACGTTTGATGTGAGGCCAAAGCCACCCAATATTCCTGGGATCAGATATGACTGATCGATCATCCAAGTTTTAAAGTATTAAACTCATGAAATAATTGTATGCCGTCGCCCGATGTGCGACGGGACACATTCTTGCCCGACATCAGCATTCCAGTGCAGGATCTACGTTTACCCCTGCAGGCACTCCCAAAATAATGTTACATTATCATTGGCTACCTTGATGGGCAATGGGGTGTTGTAAGATGGTGCACTACCCCAGGGCTCCCCACAATCGTTGCATCAACTCCGCCCTTCTGGATTTTTGGGACTTTCTACCCAGGTACCTACCTATTCATCCTCGTCGTGGGTATTGAAGTCAATATTTAGCGAATTCTAGAATATATTATATTATACAGGACACATTTCAAAGTTGATAAAATCTACCCTTCTAACCTAATTCTCAGTAAGAACCCCTTCTTTTCCCTGTGCAGTCTCAATCTCAGCTGTGCCATCTCTCAGCTTGGCCTGAACAGAAACAGGTACTTCCACTTTCTCACGCAAATTCCAGTACTTCTTCCACTCAGTTTCGCAGATTGAACTATCACCACACCCTGCAAATTGAATGATATGATCACCCTCTTGCCAATGCTCTCCAAGAGCGTTATAAGCTGGATACGCATTCAAGGTCCGTTGCTTCATACAAACCGCATGATCTTGAACAATTTTATGATGTTGCCACATGTGAGTCCAAGCATCATTCTCAGGGAACACCCAATTCTGTGCAATGTATAGAGGCTCGATCCACAAATCCAGTAACCACGTGCTCCAGTCGCTGCGACGCATCAGAAAGTTCCCCACGTTCATACCCCATGCATCCATGGAGATGACAAAGTTGACATCTTCGGCCTTGTAAGCTGCTGGAGTACGGTATCCTGTATCACCTCCACCAGCACCATGAATTGGTTGGTCCAGAAGGATGTTCTGGGCCATTCCTTTCGGCGATAGAACGTGATCGTAGATACTGAGTGACATGTTCATGATGATGATATCCACATCCATCCACCAGACCCATTCAGCATGCGGATAGCGTTTGAAAGCATCCTGAAGAATAGGGATTTTATTCCAGTAGAAGGGCGAGCCATCGGGTAGGTTGTAGCTTGTCATGTTCGCCCACATGAATTCGAAGCCGTGCTTTTCAGCATAGGTCATTCTATTTTCGTATATCATGTCCTTGATATGTGGGATCCCTAGCATTCGGTTTGTCCCAGAACTCCCAGTGACCATGACGACCTTTTTCAAACTTGATGATTTACCGGGAAGAAAGTTGTTCAATCTCTCTGTCGCATGTCGGTATGCGGTTTCTCCAATTGAAAGATCGTTCTGATTGGTCTCCATATCATTTATGGAACTGCGGCAGAAAACGCATGATGGCACCAGCGATGAGTGGTCAGTTATAGAATTCAGTACGAGCTAAAATATAAAGAAAAATATGATTAGTTCAAAAGTGCATTATATCGTCTCCCAAGGTAAAACTTCTCTCTTCACATACGAGGCAGGCAATTAAACCGATCGCGGTCAGTAAAATGTGCAACGGTCTGAAACGAATGCAAAGCGCCCTACTTAATGTTAATATCTGTATATATCTCGTCAAAATAGGTGTACAAACATCTTTTTTTTTTTGGTGAAGAAAACCAAAGTTTAGGAGCTTCTTGTGCTGAGACTGCGGGCGCTGCCCCGAGATTCGAGATGAGGCTTAATGAGAGTCAACAAGAATCTTTCAAGCTTTAGGCCACCACACCACGAATTCTGACGTGAAGTGCGTGACGGAACCAATTAAACCTCTCAAGGCTTCTAAATTGGGCTTCAGATATTATTAGCCAATATCATTGTGGCAGAATAAAGACCTCAAGGCCTTCAAATCCCATTATTGCGATCGACGATCGCATCCCTTGCGCATCCGGCAAGATTACATAGTACCTAGCGACGGATTCTTCCGATGAACTAAAGCCAGCCATGCGCCGTATTTGTTCAAATTTGGAAAGGAAGTTAATTTTAATTTTAAAATTATTAGTAATTTTTCCAATAAGTGAAGGTCCGATATCTCAAGTGATTGCAAACAGGTGAACAACACACTTACATTACGCTGTGGGGACGCTGGCCGCTTGCGGCTGACAATAGCTGACAATAGCTTCCACCACCAAAAAAAAACCAAAAAAACAACAACGCTCCCTAAGTCTTAGTCACTTCAATTCTTGATTCCAAAAGTCAATCGATTGCCATCATTCATGTCTCTCTAATATTGGCAGCGGCTTCTAACCATGACTCGTCGGTTTCGATTTTTGATTGCACTAGGTCTTGGTGCTATAACACTATGGTACCTTGCTGGAGATATCGGACTGTATAGTCCTCGGATGTCTTCCCATGGCCATCTGCCAGTGACCAGGGTGAATCCACATAACACAACAGAGCACATTGATTTCTGGCGTCAGTTTCACTCTCTTTTGCTGGCCTCTGAGCCAGAATGTAAGCCCCCAAGAAGAACCGGATATGCGCCCGCAACAGGCTTCAATCCTTCTGAAGCTGGCCCCCGACCAGACTTGTTGAAAATGCCCACACGCGATGTATGGCGTATGAAAAGAGCGCACCAGAAATTCGTGGAAAGCATTCAACAAAGTCCACCTTCTCTCTCTTATCTTCCTGGAACCAGGGGCTTGGTCACAACTGCAGGAGGCGCTTACCTCCCAGTCCTTGTCATATCGCTCCGCATGCTACGCCGAACCGGCTCACAGCTACCGATGGAGGTTTTCCTGGCCACACCAGACGAGTATGAGGAATTCATCTGCGATCAAGTGTTACCCTCGTTAAACGCCAAGTGCGTGGTTTTGACAGAGATTACCAACGCAGTACCCGGCGGCGGCCAAATTGAAAAATATCAACTGAAACCATTCGCCATGATTTTCTCTTCGTTCGAAGAGATTCTCTTCCTAGATGCTGATGCATTCCCAATCGCCAAGCCCGAGTCACTGTTCGAGCAACAGCCATTTCAGTCTGCCAATCTCATCACATGGCCCGACTTCTGGGCATCTTCAGCTTCCCCATACTACTATGACATTGCTTCGCAAAATATTCCCGCAATGACATCCCGCCAATCGACCGAATCTGGCGAAGTGCTCATTTCGAAGAAAACACACTTGAAAACGCTCCTGCTCTGCACTTACTATAATTTCTGGGGTCCAACGCACTATTACCGCCTTCTCTCGCAAGGAGCTGCAGGGGAAGGAGATAAAGAAACGTTTATTTCGGCCGCAACTGCCGTCGGTGAGCCGTTCTATCAAGTTCGTGAGCCCATATGTGCAATGGGACATGCAACCAAAGGCGGTCTTGCTGGATCGGCAATGCTCCAATTTGACCCAATCGAGGATTACAGGTTAGCCCGGGGGGGTGATTCGAGTATAAAAAGCTCCTCCACGGCTGCCCCAAAGGCTTTCTTCATCCATGCCAATTTCCCGAAGTTCAACCCAGCCACTGTCTTTTCGAAACAGGCCGTGAATCCCGCGTTCAATGATGATGGCACATACACGCGTGCTTGGACAACTCCACAGGAGAAGATACAAGCATTTGGATCTGACGTTGAGAAACAATTCTGGGCAGAGATTCTGTGGACAGGGTGTGAATTAGAGAATAAATTTCGTGCCTGGGAAAACAGAACAGATATATGCAATGGGGTGAAACAATATTGGACAGCTCAGTTTGGGTCAGAAGATCCGTCTCGTGTATAATAGAGTCACTTTATTTTCAGCGTTTCAGGAGTTCTAAATCGAAACAACTCAACTGGTTTAAATTATTGTCACATTGAATTAAGCGCTTGAATTGAGTGGATCGGGCATCCAAACACTTAGTCAGATAGGAAGCCAATCAGATTGCACTCGGCCGCATAAGACCCCACATAGCAAACAAGCGCCCAGTCTCCCCCGTCTTGATGCCCAGGTGAGAACAAAGGATTTCTCTTCATCTGGTCCCTGACTCCCTGGGCATATCATCTGCTTGGGAAAGATGGACGCGATGAATGAGACGTCTAATGAAGTCACCATGGTGCCAGCCGATATGGTTGGGGTGAATAGTGAAGCTTATCGTCCCCGCGGCTATCAGCTTGAAATGTTTGAAGCAAGCTTGCATCAAAATATCATCGTCGCGGTATTTAGATTTTCCTCCACAACCAGAATTAACCCCGACGACTAACACTTATATTTACATATTAGATGGATACAGGAAGCGGGAAGACTCAGATGTAAGTGTTGCTATGATTTATTTACGAAGAATAAGCTTAACTGACATATACCCATAGCGCGGTGCTACGTATCAAGGCTGAATTGGAGACCAGTGGGTCAGGAAAGGTACTTGATCGTCTATTACTTTCATTCTTCTCGTATTAAACACTTAATCAAGGCCAAGGAGATGCATACTGATACATCTCCGCACCAGTTTGTATGGTTCTTAGCGCCAACCGTGGCGTTATGTCTTCAACAACATGAGGTCATTTCTTCACAAATACCATCAGTGAAGACTCGCGTACTTACTGGGATGGACAACGTTGAGCGATGGACGGAGCAGTCTTCTTGGGACGTAGTTTTGCAGGATACTCAAGTGGTGGTGTCAACGCATGCTGTCCTTGCGGACGCCTTGAACCATGGCTTTGTGCGAATGTCACAATTGGCGCTTATTGTTTTTGACGAAGGTGGGATTAATTTATACTAGAAATTGATAACGCATTGAACTAATCTCGACTAGCTCATCATTGTATGCGTCGCCATCCAGCAAACAAGATCATGCAGTATCACTACCATCCAACCCGAGAGAAGTTTGGGCCAGAAGCTGTACCCCGGATTTTAGGCTTGACCGCAAGTCCAATTGTGCGATCTAGCGAGAAGGAACTTCAGTTAGTCGGAACTTTTAACTGAGAGTTATGATACATTAATAACTGACAGCTTTATAGAACCATCGAGGCTAACCTAGACGCTGTGTGCAAAACGCCTCGCACTCACCGAACGGAACTTCTCGCACACGTCCATCGTCCACATCTACAGCGTGTACAATATCCCGCATATGAGGAGTACCATCAACCTACTGGTACCAAAATGCTTCCAGCACTTACATCTTGCATTCGTGGTTATGATATGGGCCGTGACCCATACATAGAGATGCTGCGGCAACAACCTGCAAGGAAAGATGAGGCCGACAAATTAGCAATGTCTGGCAAAACATTTTGCCTAGAGCAGCTTACGAAATTTCGTGAGCAATGTCAACACATTTATGAGGAGCTTGGTGGCTGGGCAACAGATTACTTTATCAAGGCTTCTATTGAGCGTCTTCGAAGCTCTGCTGGCAGGGAGACGGGGCTGTCAAGAATAGCCTGCGACGAAAGGGCTCACATTCTCAAAATTCTTCTGTCGATACCCGCGCCTGACGAAAACACTGGCGATCCTCACATCTCCGCGAAACTTGAGACATTGATTCTGTTCCTTGCGAGCATGGACCACCCAGAATTTTCCGGGTTAATATTTGTCAAGAGACGAGCCACTGTCAGCGTCATGTCACAAATTCTATCCATTCATCCAGCCACGAAAGATCGATTCCGATGTGCAGCTTATGTTGGATGGTCCAATGGTGCTAGCCGTAAGGATGCTCTGGGAGATCTACTCAGCCGCGGTGCACAGAAAGACACGCTCTTGGAATTTAGAACGGGACAGAAAAACTTGATCGTGGCCACTGATGTCCTGGAAGAAGGTTTGGATGTGAGCTCGTGCAGCCTAGTGATATGCTACGATAAGCCCTCGAATCTGAAGTCTTTTGTCCAAAGACGAGGCCGAGCTCGGCATCAAGAATCGACATATGCAGTCATGACTTCATCCGAAGATGAATTACAAGACCTTCAAAAATGGCAGTCCTTGGAGAAAGCCATGGTCAAAGCATACCAAGACGACCAAAAGAAACGACAAGACGCATCCGCAATGGAGGAGACTGATGAACAAGTTACAGAATGGCTAGAAGTTCCATCCACCTGGTATGTCTTATGGAAACTCAAACTTGAATTCATAAACTTATGATAAAACCTTTAGTGCACGTCTATCCGCAGAGGATGCTATGCAACACTTACAGCACTTTTGCGATTTGTTACCTACAGATGAGTACGTCAACAATCGACCAGAGTTCTCCTTTGAAGAAAATGCCAGTGGCCTTATAAAATCCACTGTGACGCTTCCAAATTCCGTTCACCCAGCTGTTCGCCGATCGCAGGGGAAAGGATGGTGGCGCACAGAGCGTGCGGCACGGAAGGAAGTTGCTTTTCACGCTTACAAAGCGCTCTGGGAATATGGGTTGGTAAACAACAACTTGCTTCCCTTGACCAAGAAAGTCGAACTTCAATTATGTAAAGCTAAATGTGAGGAAATCTCTTCCATGGTCGAATGCTCGGAGCAATTTGATCCATATGTGGATTTAGCACAGGCGTGGTCATCTCAAGAGCTCTACCAGACTGACATTACTATGTCCCACAACGATGGCTCAATGAATGAAGATATGAACATGTCACTTGTCTTGCCTAAGTCGATCGTTATGCCACAGAGTATACCTCTTTATTTGAACATGAAGACGACAGTGGTGGCGACATTCACTCCACCGAGACCAATCAATCCAATTCCAATAGAAATGGTCCGACTGATGAGAGAGATAACGGCCCTGTTTCTTCAAGCTCCGACATCTCGCCTCATAACTTCAGATCGAGATTTTGTGGCGCTCTTCTTCCCAAGTGTCCCTCTTGACCGATTAGAAGAATGGACGTGTCAACATGAAGGTGTCGAAAGAGCATTAGATTATTATACAAGAGACCAAACAAGTATCCCAATGGGTATAGTACGGGACAGGGCAAAGTATAGCGAACCACGATTATTCCGAAGATGGATCTTTACTGGGGAAGGAGAGAAAACGCAACTTGACCTGGAATGCTCTTCGATACCACGTAGGCGCAACTTCCTGCAGCATCGCAAGGAACCCGAAGTTGGCGAGGATGGAGAGGCAGATTCAGGCAAAACTCACGTTGTCCCTGCAGATGGTTGCACGATCGACAGACTTCCGGCTTCCAAGGCACTGTTTGGTCTTCTAATATCAGCAATATTGGATCGAATGGAAGCGGTACAAGTTGCAACAAGGTTGAATGACACTATCCTAAAGCCCGTTAAAATCGAGAATCTCAATCACGTTCTAACAGCGATCACAACACCCTCTGCACAAGCTAGCAGTGATTATCAAATCTACGAATTTTTTGGAGATTCGGTTTTGAAGTTCACCGTTGCCTGTCAGCTATTTATTCGGCAGCTCAATTGGCACGAAGGGTATCTTTCGGAGGGTCGTGATAAACTAGTGTCGAACAAGCGCCTTACACGCGCAGCTCTAGAAATTGGCTTGGATAGGTTCATCCTAACCAGGCGATTCACACCCCGCCGATGGGTCGCTCCTTTGATATCCAAGAAGCTAGTAGCCTCAACTGATACTCGAAGCATGGGTAGCAAAATACTGGCAGATGTAGTTGAAGCTCTTATTGGCGCAGCATACATGGATGGGGGGATGCGCAAAGCCCAAGCGTGTCTCCACCGCTTATTACCCGAGATCGATATCTTCACGAGTGATATTCCAGCGTCACTCTTCACATCAAGAGAAACACGTACTCTCATAGATCAACATCGTCTAAAGAATATTATTGGATATACATTCAATAATGTTTCTTTGCTGACTGAGGCATTGACCCATCCATCTTGTGAGCATGACACAGTCACGCAATCCTATCAACGACTCGAATATCTCGGCGATGCGGTGCTCGACATGATCGTTGCCTCGCTATTTGCTTCTCATTCAACTGCTATGCCCCAGGGCCAAATGACACGCATCAAGCACGCAATGGTCAATGCCAACCTGCTTGCATTCTTTTGTATGAGCCTTGGCTCACCCGAAACAGTCACTGATATTGGAACAACCGACTTCGACAGACCTGAGCTCATATCACACATTGAGGAGATACACTTGTGGCAGTTTCTTCGCTTCAGTAGCACAGCTTTGATCCCCGCCCGTGATTTGTCTGTAGAAAGATATCACTCTCTTAAAGACCAAATTTCACTTGCTATGGAACACGCGACACATTACCCTTGGGAGACACTTTCCCATCTCCGCCCTGATAAATTCATGTCAGACATTGTGGAGAGCGTGATTGGTGCAATATTTATTGACTCTGGCGGAAGTTTGGATCCCTGCTGTGAGTTTTTGGAACGTCTTGGTCTGCTGCCATATGTGCGCCGCATCCTATCGGATGATGTAAACGTTATCCACCCGATCAACGCTGTTCAGATGCTTGTGAAGGCCACAGGGATACTCGTTTTTAAAGCGAGTAGAGTGGAAAAGAAAGGTGGCATTGCGACGTATCGTTGCACCGTGACGCAGAATAAAAAGGAAGTGGCCTTCGTTGAAGGATGTGATTCGGGCGAGGAGGCAGAGATTCGCGCCGCATACATTCTCATGGACAAGGTTCATTCAGAGACGAATGGACAACCTTCAGAATGAGGCGGGGGTTTCATTTGGTACACGAAATTGGATTGGAAATAACTGTAGATACCCATGCTTGACATTTGGATAGACAGCGTTAGGAAATAAATACCTTTTGACAAATTATTTAGCAACAATTTTTGGGAGAATCCATTATTCAAGTTGGACACAAAGCAATATCAATTTGTCGAGGGGTAGTATTGTGACTCCTTATGACTATCATGTTCGTATCATATAAAGAGCTACCTTCTATAGTAGGGAATATACCAATCCCCACTACAGTAATACCCCGCTACTATAGCGGTATAAGTCATTGATATTCTACATGTCATCCATCACTTAACCAAATTGGGGGCAGATGTGGACGTGAAAGATGCGAATGCGCGGAATGTTTTAAAATTCGCGAAACACTGCAATCAGAGAGATGCTGTGGCATACCTGGAAGATTGGAGTCAAAAGCACTAGTTTGCATATTATACTCTTCTTTCTCTTTCCTGTCTAGTTTAGTCATCTGTAGCGACTTGGGAACTACCATATATTCTTCTCCTGACGTGTCTGTGGTCGACCAATGGTCATAGAAGAGACTCTACAAATTGCTGTCGAGGCAAGACCAGTCCTGCTGCCAGTGCCCGGCCACCAATTAAATTGAACTTGCATGAAAACTACCCCGACACTTCTACGCCTGGATTTTGTGCTTCAGGTCCCATCCGTCCGAAATGAAGGCAAGGTGTCAAGACGAGTCAGGTGCTCACACGAATATGAATAGTACGTACCAGTTCCTAGTATGCTGCTGATCTCGTTTCAACACCGTTCTAAGTTTTATAAACATAGTACTGTATTACCCCCACTAGTATGCCACGCGTTATAGTGGCTCAAATAGAGACAGAGGTAGAGCCGGTATACAGCAAGATACTAGGAGAGGTTATTAGTTTTTTTGATGAGTTTCAAATTACTTAAATTTTTTTTTATAAAAGATAATAAATTGTATTGCAGTGAGAATTACATTTACGTATTGTAGAGGCTTCTCTTAGATCACTGAGTGTACCTGCCTGCCTCATTGTTAGGTGATTATTGGACAATGACATCATCGTCTCCCTGGCACGTGCCCACACTATGTAGATTTGAATGCATGTGATTGTGGACACAACTGATCCAGCTAGAGATATAGTACTTATACAATCCATCTATGTACCATTCGTATCATTTCATATGAGCAAAATTTGATAATCAACATTTGAATCCCTTTAGCACGGAGACTTCCATATTTCCGCCGGGAAAGGGGAGGCGCACTGCTAAGTTTCCCGTTCACCCGGGGGCGGCGGTCTCCGATCGGGATACATGTATACAGTATGGCCAATGTAGGCAGTGCTTGATGAAGCAATTATGAAAACCAAAAACAAATGAGCGCCTGATACTTTCGGTGTCCCTTATATAGACTAATGTTGTTTTACTGTAATTATGACTACGACTTTCACCCCCCTCCAGAAGTGGATCATAGGGAATAATTACAGGTATTGGCGGCATCCCAGTTTCTCCGCCCCGAGCCGAGGTTCATCGTAGTTGTCCGGGGCATCTTAACCAGCTGTCGGCATCGGTCCGCGTGCGTAGGTCGATCAACCTAGGGCTCTTTTTTGCGTAGTCTTCATTTTTCAAACTCACATTCTGAACATATTCTGATATTTTTTTTCTTTCTTTTTCTCCCTTTCTCTTCTTCATCGTCTATATTCGGACCCTCATCTCTGATCCTTTCTTCCCCCCCCGGATTCCCCTCCAGGCTTCCCCACCTGACCGCCCCTCCGATCACACCATGTCTACCTCCACCTCCCCGCCGGAACAGCTCAAAGATGAGATCAAGGTCGTGGAAAAGAAGGCTGTGAACCAGACCATTGTCCAGCTGCGCTCACTCGCAGCTGGTGCAGCTGGTGGTCTCTGTGCAGTCATTGTTGGCCACCCCTTCGACTTGGTCAAAGTCCGTCTGCAAACTGCGGAGAAGGGCATTTACTCCGGTGCCATGGATGTCGTGCGAAGAACCGTTGCCCGTGAAGGATTGGCTCGGGTATGCATGATTCGAATCTTATGTGGCTCTGCACGAGCAATTGAGCTAATGGTCTCTCTGTAATAGGGTCTATATGCGGGAGTATCTGCGCCCCTTGTGGGTGTAACTCCAATGTGTAAGTTGCTTCTGCATTTTCAATCACTTCATGATGATCTTTTACTGATCGTATTGCTTTTTTTACAGTTGCCGTGAGCTTCTGGGTATGTCCAATGGATTTCTACAGCCATCCGACCACCCCCTCGATTGCGATACAAGATCAGAAGTCTAATATATTTATAGGGTTATGACGTGGGAAAGACCCTTGTAAACAAATTTTCCGAGGTTCCAGTGAAGAACAATACTCCCCAGTATTCGATTGCACAGATTTCCGCGGCTGGTTTCTTCTCCGCAATCCCGATGACCTTGATTACAGCGCCCTTCGAGCGAGTCAAGGTTCTTTTACAAATCCAGGGTCAAAACCCACCACCCCCTGGTGAGAAGCCCAAGTACTCCGGTGGCATGGATGTCGTGCGTCAGCTCTACAAGGAAGGTGGTGTGCGCAGCGTGTTTCGAGGCAGCGCAATGACCTTGGCCCGTGACGGTCCTGGTTCAGCCGCGTACTTCGCCGCGTACGAATATATCAAGCGTTCGCTCACTCCCAAGGATGCGGAGGGTAATGTCACTGGTGACTTGTCCCTATCTGCTGTTGTCGCTGCTGGTGGTGCCGCCGGTATTGCTATGTGGATCCCAGTCTTCCCCGTTGATACCATCAAGTCCCGACTGCAAAGCGCTCCTGGCAAGCCAACTATTGGAGGAACAATCAGCAAAGTGTATGCTAGTGGCGGCTTGAAGGCTTTCTTCCCTGGATTCGGACCAGCCCTGGCCCGTGCCGTCCCGGCCAATGCAGCTACCTTGTAAGTCCTTCTTAGCTTTAAAGCTCCTCCCCTGGAACCCCTCTGGCTTTTTTATATATTTCATCTTCAGCGACTGTTACTAACCTTCATCTTAGCTTGGGTGTGGAGCTTGCCCACAAATTCATGAAGAAGATGTTCGATGAATAAGCGGTACCACAGGACATTTTTCTTCCCCCAGATACCCGTGTAAAGATTTCGTTTTGTTTCTCTGCAGCGTTGGCTCGTCCATCTATCTTACACAGTATCAAGTGGTCGCCTACCTGTTCGGGGCTTCCATAGATGCATGCGTTTTCTTCGCTTTCCATATTACCGTTTTAGAGATGCTGTTAGAGCCTCACGTCCTTTCTTGGTGTTATAGATTATGCTATCTCGACTTGCCACTAGGTTTTGGCATGAAACTCTTTTCCAGCCCCTTTTCGGAATGTCCTTTTCTTTCGCCTTCAAGGGTCCCAGAGCGGTGCAGGTCATTGTATGTACCTATCTCCATCTACGTAGATAGAAAGGCGGCTATTCGGCAAGTGGTCCGATCAATGGTATTGGACTAATAAATGATAGACGATTCTTGCTCTAATTCTTGCACTGTGATTGGGCCATCGCCTGTCATCTCTGTATCTATGGAGACACCGTTGCTTGGCAAATTTTGAAGTGTCCAAGGCTTCGTGATGTCTAAATCAATACCCAATAAAGGCTCCGAAGCGACATGAAAAGAGTCCCATTTCCATTCACTATCGTAATCAAACTTGATCATTTCCCCCCCCCCAATTTCGTCGTTGCATCCCAATCGTCGTTTAATAAGAGCAATGTAAAAATCCCGTGTGGAGCGCGGCTACAGCCGGCACAGCTACTTAAGAGGGGAAAAAACCTTTGGGGCCAATGGGCTAATTACGTGATAAATTCCAGGCTTGACACCTGAGTGCAATGCCCTCCTCTTGAAATGCCCCTCTTTCCCCTCCGTCGCATCGCTACATTCGCAAAACCTGGGCACTTTATTTCCCGGTTTTCTTCTCCAACTCCGTTTATCCCTCGTCGATTTTACTACGGATACATACGTGACTCCAAAATGGCGCCTTCGTTGGAGCCCTTCTTCAAGCAGTATGTTGTTCGGCTCCCAGAGCATCAAAGATTTCCCTTCCAGATAGAATAACAGGGGATCAAAAACGCTAACGTGGATTTCAATATAGGGTTGACTCTTCCGCAGAGAACTTCATTGATCGTACGTGACTACACCGACTGAATCTTGATTCCAACAACAATTCATAGCACCGCATTCCCCCTCAATAAATATTGGACATCACTAACAAGTGGTGCAGGTCTCCGGAAGGCTGTTGCAATCCCTTCAATTTCGGCTCAAGATGAGAACCGACCGGATGTGGTTCGGGTGAGTTGGATGGCACTGTCTCTTACGTCTCCGTAATGATGGATTGAAGAGCTGACAACGGGATTGTTTCGTAGATGGCTCAATTCCTGGCTGATGAGCTCACTGCCTTGGGCGCCGAGGTGCAACAACGACCACTAGGCCCTCAGCCTGGCAAGGAACACCTTGAACTGCCCCCTGTCGTCATCGCCCGGTACGGCAACGACCCGAACAAGCGCACCATCTTGGTCTACGGTCACTACGATGTGCAGCCTGCGCTTAAGGAGGACGGATGGGCTACCGAGCCCTTCGAGTTGACTATTGATGAGAAGGATCGCATGTACGGCCGTGGATCTACAGATGACAAGGGCCCTGTGCTCGGCTGGCTTAATGTGATTGATGCCCACCGCAAGGCTGGTGTGGAATTCCCCGTCAACTTGCTATGCTGCTTCGAGGGCATGGAAGAGTATGGATCTGAGGGTCTGGACGACTTCATCCAGGCCGAGGCCAAGCAGTTCTTCAAGGATACCGACGCGGTCTGTATCTCTGATAACTACTGGCTGGGCACTGAGAAGCCCTGCTTGACATATGGTCTCCGTGGCTGCAACTACTACTCCGTGAGTGTTGAGGGTCCTGCTCAGGATCTCCACAGTGGTGTCTTTGGTGGCTCTGCCCACGAGCCAATGACCGACCTGGTCAACGTTTTGTCAAAATTGGTCGATGCCCAGGGTAACATTCTCATTCCTGGTCTTATGGATCTTGTCGCGCCTGTGACTGAGGAGGAGAAGTCCCTGTACGGTGATATTAGCTACACTATGGAGAACCTCCACGAGTCCCTAGGCAGCGAGACTGGTATCCACCCTAATAAGGAGCGCACACTGATGGCCCGTTGGCGATTCCCCTCCCTCTCCATCCACGGTGTTGAGGGTGCTTACTCCGCCCCTGGCGCGAAGACCGTTATTCCTGCCAAGGTGACTGGAAAGTTCTCTATTCGCACCGTGCCCAACATGGAGAGCGCCGATGTGAACAAGCTTGTCTTTGACCACGTCGAGGCAGAGTTCGCTAAGCTGAACAGCAAGAACAAGCTGAAGGTCTGGCTGCAGCACGACGGCAAGTGGTGGGTTGCCAGCCCCAAGCACTGGAACTTCTCCGCTGCCAGCAAGGCCGTGGAGCAAGTTTTTGGAGTCGCCCCAGATATGACCCGTGAGGGTGGAAGGTACGTCCCTGCGTCTAATATTTTGATTGTCTCCTGTGACCAGACACTAACATTTGCATGACTTGATAGTATTCCCGTGACTTTGACTTTTGAGCAGGCCACTGGCAAGAATGTCCTTCTTCTGCCGATGGGAAGCTCAACTGATGCTGCTCACTCCGTCAACGAGAAGCTGGACCGTCGCAACTACATTGAGGGAACCAAGCTGCTGGGTGCCTACCTGCACTACGTGGCGGAGGAGCCTACCTCAGCATAGATAATTTCTATAACTAAGCAGAAACCAAAAAAGATTTTTGAATAATTCGTGTACGGCGTGTGTTTACCTTTCTACTATTTTGATATAATTATGGTTAAGCAGATGGAGAAGAAAGTGTAGATGTAACTTTATGTTTCTTGGAGACCAGATATCTAGTACTTGGTAGGAAACGGAAAGCGCAGAAAGTAAGGTCACGAATATGAACCTTGAAAAGTATGCAGGAAGATGGAAATCATGAAGTCTAACCCTGCAGGTACATACAGTCCATGCTTTCCACGGTGAATAATCATCCAGAACGCCACATGATGAAACATAACACAAGATAGTAAAGAAGTTCAAGTATGCGAGCAAATACACAAACGTCGTCATCATAGCGTAGCGGGAATCTGGAACAATAGATTGCGCTTCTCTTCAGCTTGAAAGACCCGAGAGAAGAGCATGCACCAGTGCCAGGGGGTTATGGCAAAGGCCTTGATCGAGGAAATCAGTCCAACCCAGCCAGGGGGTACTAGGCATCTGCATCATGGCTTGCCTACGATAGACTCGGCTCCTATCACTCAGAGCGATAGCGCCAACACCAGCACTAATAGACCGATGAAAGGCCTAGTAGTGACCAAAAAGAGGTAGGAGTATAGCTCGCGTGGGGGTGTGGAATGCCATGTAGTTGATCACTGCAGAAGGGGGTCCTAGAAAAAAGGCTAGTCAGTACATAATTGTGTGTGAAGGCGCGCAAGAGACATACCCGGAAATGCTTTTGAGAGTTGTTGGCCCGTTGGATACGGGCAAGGTAGCGGTTTTCATGGCGCTGTGTACGGGTTCTGTCGCGTCGTTCCGAAGTCAGAGCGGCTTGCTTCTGCTCATCAGTAGCACCAATCAAGCCCACACCACCGCTTCCACGAGTGATAAGAGCTCGCTTCTCATTGCGGGCACGCGGCTTGTCTTCCTCGACCTCGCCATTCTCAATAGCAAGCTGGCGAGTAGCCCGCTCATCAGCAGTAGGGTAGCTGTGAAGGTTTTGGCGATAGTATTTGGCGAGTGATCGGTGGCCAACACTTTTACCGGATGGAAGGTGAAGTTCGTAATCATCCTGGTAGACGAGAGGAGCTTTGCGGCGCGAGTCAATATCGCCATCGCCAGATGAAACAGAACCGTCAGTCTCCCAGCCATCGTCCTCGCCATCTTCACCGCGGATCTTGACACCGCCTGCATCGGCCATGGTCTCATCTTCATCTTGATCCTCGTCGTCGTCTTCTTCGTCGTCGGAATAGGTGCTACGGAAATCATAATATTGTCCGATTTCAATCTGCTCCTCTTCGGCCTCGAAGGCAATCATACAGTGACCCTTGTCACGCATGTGGGTTCGAGCACCATCAGCATTGTTCCGGATGGCATGGCAATAGAGACATTCGTGGTTGTCATTAATCTTGCGGTAAAGATATTCAATGAGCCCCTCCATATTAACCAGGTAGTTTCGCTCTGGAATGAACATGCCATGGCTCTTGGACATGTGTTCGACATTTGCCTCGATATCGGATGACTCAATACGGCAGAACAAGCACCGGGATGAGTTAAAGTCAGTAGTGTTGTCCTTCATCGCCTCATCATCATCACCATCCTTTTCTTCATCTTCCGCGATAGTGGCTGCCTTCAGACCATCAGTGACGTTGGAGACATCTTGTCCGCCGGGTGTTCCCACAGGTTCTCCAAGAGAGAATGCCGAACTCATAACCGATGCGCTATCACTCTCCTTGCCGAGGCGAGCCTCGCGCTGCTTATGCTTGGAACTTTTGACATGGTTTTGATAGGAGTTTTCACTGTAAAAGGCTTTCTGGCAGGCGTGGCAGGATTTCTCGAAAGAGGCCTTGGCGGCGGCCTCGGTAGATGTAGCCTTAGCGGCAAGGACTTTCTCGTTGAAGGTCTCCTGAGAGACTGGTGGTAGGGTTGCGATGCGACGCTTCATGTTGTACAAACTTCACAGGGTTAGTAATTTTTTGAGATCATCACCTAGATACCATGCACTTACTGCCAGTCCTTGCGCATATGGTCTCTCTGTGCATCGCTGCGATGAAACGCAACGAGACAGGTGTTGCAAGTATAGGGAAGATTAGTCGCCATGATTTTCCCTTGGCCAAATTTTGATGAACGAAATAAAAAAATTCAGGAAGGTGGGATGGGAAGAAATGAGAAGCGCACTTTTTTTATCGCGGGGTATGATAAGAAAAGTTCGTGGAATTTCTAATCCGAATTAGGCTTAGTAACCCACTTGGGCACTGCGGAAATGTTGCAGGCTTAGGTACGGTTACAATGCCATACTATCCATCTGTCTTTTCATACCTTTATAGTATCGGGCCACAGTAACGGTCTTGTTGTCATAGAGATGAATGGGTGAGATTGAGTCAGTATGCTTTTCTAAGTCTCTATTTGAAACATAAGACATTGGCAGAACAAATGCATATACATAAGACCAGAACGCCGTATATACTAAGAAGCACAAATAGCCTGCTCAAAACATTGCCGCATAAAGAGTTGAGAAAAAAAGAAATCTAGGTAAATAGCATCGCAAATCAACATCGAACTCCCTTTTTCAAAACGCCGCATAGATCAGAAACCACCCCGGAGAGAGAGAGAGAGAGAGAGAGAGAGAGAGAGAGAGAGAAACCACCCACAGAATATGGTCATTATGGAGGCCGGGTCTAGAAACCTTCGCCCTTTTTCCAAGGACGACCAGCCTCCAAAGCACGATGCTTCGGATCTTGACCACGCTCCAAGGCAGCGTCGAGAAGATCCGAAACCTCTTGTGCTTTATCATGAAGCTCCCTTTCCATTTGATCCTTATCACTAAGGGGTGGAATGTTGAGGTCCATAGTCTCGTCCAATTCCTCATTCTCTTGGGCCAGCTCAAGACCGTCTGACAAAAAGATCCACTCCGACAGTTCTTGATCGAGATAGTTCCGTTCAAAAGTTAGATCTCGATATTTTTGAAATTCATCCGGCCCGCCGAAACAAACCCCGTAACCATCACAGAGACAGATATTCTCCAAAACACAGACAACAGGCTCGCCAGTGAAAACGTATTGCCAAAGATATTCCCAAATTCGACCGGCGATGTAATCGCTCAGATCAGTCTGTAAAAGCCAATCACGGTAAAAAATAAATCGAGAACGAGGGATCGTACGAATCCGATCGCGGGATAGAGCAAACTGGCCACAGCACGGCTGTGCAAGGACCGATGGGACCGGCTCATCGGGAAATAGTTCACCCCATGCGCGGGCTAGCATTGTCTCTTCTTGCTTCTCCTCGCTCTCCACCATGGCCCCCGGATGCATCCAGTCCGGGCAACCCGGCGCAAATCCACAGCGCGTATTCATGTATCCCTCTCGGATGACTCGGGGCAAGCTTAGGCGGCGTAAAATCTCCACTGCGTCGCCACCAAAAATCTCGTCGTTGTGCCATGCGTTCTGATGGGAGTGCATGAATACAGCGACATCAGGCAAGTCGTCGTAGAAGTCGATGACAAAGGTCAGATATACCATCACCTCGTGCCCCTTGTTCTTTGGTGGATGCAGCGGTGCCGAAGGGTCGTCAGCAACGTATATAGCAGTACCCCAATCAGGCAGCTCCTGCTCAATCCAGTCGACATCCTCGGTTTTTGTACGCGGAATCACGAGCATCTTAGTGTACTCCGAACCCGGCGGTTTGGGAATGCCTGGGATGAAGTTCGGTTGGGGGGCATACAGATGTTTGTGCCCGTGGCTTGTGGTGAAGTTATAGGCTTTGGTTCCATTGTTGCCGACAGGATAGATGAAATCACCAAGGCCTAAAGCCTGGGGCACGTTACGCCATGGTTGTGAAAGGTGTCGGGCTGTGAGGAGGAGGATAGCGAAAAAGGAGAAGCCTAGGAAGACAACCGCGCGCCGTGAGAGAATCATGGAAGTTACGGCCGATGGGATAATTATACAGGAAGGTTTGACCTGTAGCATGAGATAATAGTTAGCTTTAGATTGTTTCACCAATTGATGGATTGTACATAGGAGAAGGCAATCTAGGGTCGTGGTTGTTTTTTGTTCACGTACGGGTCGCTCCAGCAGATCATTGCAATTCAATCATTGGATGTTAGAACGCCAAAGCTCGCGAGGATGGAGATAAGTGGAAAATGGGATAAAATTCGCAGGGGTGGAAAGGGTTTAAGGAGGATCCGTAGGGCCTAGAATGAAAGTCGACAATCCATTATATTTGGCAATTTCCATGGGGCATCGCGGGGGCAAGGAGCGAATGAACGGGTGAAACACGGAGACCGGTGGAGCTGAATTGCGCACCGCCCAAGTATGACGACAAACCACGGGCCACGGCCCCGGAGGGTCAGACTTGGCCGGATTGTAAGGTAGGTGGACAGAAGATCAGGGGGATCATCATATTTGGAAGTTCAATTTTGAAGAAAACAATAATGTTCAAGTTGAGGCTCGGGCGGTCACGATGTCCGATGATAAGGGTCAATGCTATACGTGTATGTATAGTACGCCTAGCTATATACTAGTACTACTATACGTGTACGTACTACTACAAATATACGCCCGCGCAAATTGAGTAGCAAATGAATCGATGCATACTAGACGCAGAATTATTAATTTGTACATAGATATCTTTGAAGCAGATATACACCTGGGCAATTATTTCTAAGGCCTTGAAATTGCTTCCTACTACGTATCCGAGACTCGTACACGTCAAAAGCCCTCAAAAAACAAGAACAAAAACAAAAACGTTTTTTTGATCCATATTCTGAGAGCCGCGGTATCAACTTGAATCTTCAAATCAAGATTGGAACCTCAGAACCAATATCCAGGGCCGTGAACAAAGAGTTTTGGAACCTGAAACTGAAAGGGGAATGTAGGTACAAGTGTCATACTAAGTAGTATAATCAATAGTAGTGCATATATGGTTCACCTATGAACAAACAGGACCGTGAAAACTTTCTAAACTGGGACATTTGAATCTATACAAATGTATTGTGGCACTTATAGTTTGGGTGCAGGCTTATCGAAGACGACACGGTTGGTGCATGACCCAACCCCCTCTAGCGCTACAGTCACCTGGTCACCATTCTTCAGCCACAGTGCGGGCTTGCGACCCATCCCCACACCCTGGGGCCTATATATAGTGTCACGTCAGTATGTTAATCCTCGGGAGCAGAAAGACTGGAGTGTGCCAATCTCAATTGATGCAGGGGTGTACTCACGTTCCAGTGAAGATCAAATCGCCAGGCAGAAGTGTGGTACCCTGCGAAAGAAAGGCAATCGTTTGGGCCACCCCAAAGATCATATCCTTGGTAGACGAGGACTGGACGGTCGTGCCATTCAAAGTTGTCGAGATATGCAAAGCATTGGGATCAGAGATCACCCGAGAGGACACAATGCCCGGTCCAAATGGTGCCCAGCCATCAAAGCCTTTGCCCAGGCTCCATTGGCCACCACCACGTTTGATCTGCCAATCGCGATGGGAGACATCGTTGCCAACGGCATAGCCCAAGACATACTCCAATGCCTCACTCTGCTTCACATCTCGAGCTTCTTTACCTATAACAATAACCAATTCGCACTCATAATCCAGGCCCTCGCCTTCTTGCGCCATTGGAGCAACTGGGATATCATCTGTGGGGCCTGCGATCGCGGTGACGGGCTTGAAGAACAAAATTGGGAACTTGGGAATGGGTAAGTTGGATTCCTTGGCGTGTTGTTCATAGTTCAATCCCAAGCAGCGAACGGTTCCGATGTCTTTGCGAGCTAGTGGAGCCAAGAGCATGCGCACCTCAGCGACCTTGTCAGTTACTCGATGCTGGCCGAAGATGTCGCCCTGTATGACTTTGGCATGGGTGGCTTTGGAGATGTCGCTCACGCCTGTGTCAAGCAGCGCGTCTCCATAGTAGACCTGGCCATCCTTGGCCAGAAAGCGGATAAGATGCTTGAAGAATAATTCAGTTCTGTTCCATACGGATAGAAGCCCGGAGAAGGCGACTTACTGTGAATGTAGCCATGAGTTCTCCTTTCTCGGTTTTTCCCGGCTTTCTTGTTATAAAAACTTGATCTAATTTTTCCCTTTAAAATTCCGATAGTATATATGTATAATTGATGAAGTGAAATAGTCAGGAGCAGCGGAGAGCACGAAGAAATAGAATCGCAATTTCAAGTTGCGGAGATAAGGCTTATGTATGGGGAAAGGTCATTGGCTCGAGTCGGCCGAAAAAGTCCGGCGGAAAACGGAGCTCACACTGCTTTCCCCAGCTTCACTCCGCTCCAATGATCCAATGATCCGCGTTTCTTCATCCTCTTAAATCATGGCTAGGCTTTCCGGCCTTCAGCGGGACGTCTTGTCCCTCTACCGCCAGTGTCTCCGAGAAATTCGCAAGAAGCCGACCGTGCGTATTACCTCATCCATGTTGGGAGGCATTGATGCTGGTCCTTTGTTTTTTTAAAAGAATTGATTTTTAATGATGTTTCTCTGTTTCTTCACAGGAATCTAGAGGCAATTTCAAATCTTACGCTAGGTAAATTCCTCTCCCTTGTTTCTTTCCCGCTCTCAAGAGATCGGTGCATCCCGGCTGACACGGTCCTAGGGCGGAATTCCAAAAACACCTCTCGGTGAACAAGAAAGATTTTGCTGCCGTCGAATATCTTCTGCGCAAAGGCCATCGCCAATTAGAGATGTACGCTTCCCCGGGAATTCGCAACATCCGATGAAGGCCAACCTTCTCTCCGTAGGTTTCTCGTCACCCTTCCTCTTCAGTACGTCGTTCTACTTCTGACCAACAGCATTACGTTTTATAGGTCAAGGCAATCCGATTACCCCCGAGATAGTATATGTTTTAGCAAGGAATTAGCCCCTGTAGCGCATATAAGATGTCTGGGGCCTGTACAGGTGTACTTATAAAGTGTTAATGTTCAAGATTGGAAGACTGTCACTTCAAGTTCAGGGGTTGAATCTAGTAGGATGCGAATCATGTTGACTGTGACCTGGGGAAAAGCTTCAACTTGAACGTGACTATATATCGATGTACAACACTACTAATTTGAGATGTATTTTTACATATCCATGCCCGATATTTATCAATTTGAATTAGTTGAAGAAACCCGGATATTCTAACCAAGCTTGACTCTCGGGCGTCTGATGAGCTCATCAGCGAGAATGAAACCGCGCCTATTCTTTGATTTACGTAAGGTGCAATGGTAATCGCGTTCAAAGTTTGACGAACTTGAACTTGAATGAGGTGTCTAACTATACCAAAACTTGAAGCAGGGTGATAGACTTCAGGCAAAAAGGCACGGCACGATACATACCACTATAGTAGGATGTACTACTACTAATAAGGATAAATATTAACCTTCTAGGCCCTCGTGGAAACTCCTTACGTGTTACAGGCCAATCGAAAGGAACATCAATTCGGTCCCTACTGACGGAATAACTTGACTGGAATTCTATACCGGTGTGGTACTACTATTCCAGTAAGTTATAGAGTAGAGGTATAGTATCTGGAATTCACCAAATAGCCGGTGATAACCTACCGTCAAGGTGAGGGAAACCACCTGGGCAAGGGGCAGTCCACTTTGGACCGTCAAACAAATGCATGCGTGTTGCCTGAAGAAAATAATTCCTTGATCGGATTTCAGAGAGATCACATAGTAATGGTGGAAATGACAGTGAGACCCTGCACAGCGGCCTTCAAGCTGCATGGTTCCATAGCAGCGGCACGGATACTACCAGCGGCAAAGCTGTACGTCAACACTACAGCTATATTACTATAGACGGCACGGAGCATAAAGATTGTGGGTAGTAGTTGGCAGCATATATAATAACCCCCCTGTAAGCTGGCCTCGAGTTGGAAGGTCAGCGATTAGTTCATGTGTAAAACCGAATACCAAGTTCAACTTGAAGTTATATACATCGCGGGATAATCGGAGCACTCTGAATCTTTAGATTCTCTCTCCAGGTGCTATTAGCATCATATTCAACTTGAATCTAGACACTGCGAGTGCCCTTACAGTTCTAATCGCTCTTACTTCTGGTAGTTTGAGAGCAACTGTGAAAGAATGGCAGCGTGGTAGTGGTCTTAATGACCCTCCGCAAGGAGCCGACGAAAAATTGAACCAAACCGAGCTACAGCCCGAGAAAATAGACGAAGAAGCGTCTTACCGGAGCCCGCTGACTGAACTAGCTTACGCTGCTGCTGAAGTCACGCTGGAAGACCTCACTCCAGAGATCGTCCGTCGTTATTCTCAGGCCGACCAAGAGGTTCTTACCGCACGTTTCGAAGGACAGGAGCGCCGGAGAGCGCTCACCAGGAAGATAGATCGTTGCCTTAACGAGATCAATAACAACTACGATGATCATGATATTGATGCCGACGACGCTGCGCCGCAATGTGATAGTTCCCTCTTTGACCAAGTCTCCAGAACGCCAGAGGAGCCGCGTGGACCAAAGAATGTCACCTCATACAAGGAAAAGAACGCCTCCGAAGCTCGCGTGTTCTTTAACCGCATGGAAGGGCACTTTAGGGCCAGCCCAGCATGGTATGCGGCGCCGGGTGCTAAGGTCAATACAGCAGTAGAGTTACTTGGTGATAATTGTGTGAATATATGGAAAATACGCCGGTTAGGCTATACTGAACCATACCATTGGTCGGACTTTAAAGACTTCTGCCTCAGCCTTGTTGATACTAAAGTCAATATTAGCAAGGATGCGGCTTTCAAATACTACAATTCACGACAACGCCCGCATCAATCAGAATTGGAATTCTCAGCCTATCTGAAATCCCAGCTAGATCTGATGGACACAAGCCGTCAGACGAAGATCGAATCATGCTGCTGTATGCCAAAGTCCTCAACGAGGTCCGCTGTGAAGCCGGTAAATACCAGAACCCGCCAGGCAAATACCCAGAATACGTGGGATGGCTACACAATGCGGAAATGGGCATACCAGGCCGTCGAAGTACCCTAAGGGCAAGAAGGGCAAGGACGGAAGAAGGATAAAGACATGCCGGGCTGTTCTACCTAAACTGTCGCGTTTCTCAAAGTCTCACAGGGCGAGAAATCGAAAACTTGCCACTTGAGTATTTGGATGACCAATAAATGATTATGTCGTTCACATATGTAAATCTGCTTACATATCTCAAACAATGTAGAATGACCTAGTTCTGTTATGTGCGTATGTTTAGGAGGTGTGAAATCCACAGAGTGTTGGAGAAGTTGCTCGAAAGCGCCACTGCATTCGGGCGGGTTCGAGCTGATTCGAGCTAATCACCAATCAAACGGCTTTGACCTCGCCTGAAAGTATATATGCTGTAAAAGCGACCACTCTACGACAACAACATCAACTCAAGAAACAAGTTCTCTACTTCACCTTTCGCACATTCGAAACAATCTTCCCATTCTTCGATCACTTCATCATCCAAAATGACTTTCCTATCTACATCTGACCTGGTACCACTGTTCCAGCTATTCGATAGCTGCGATGACAAAGCGCCCCACCGAGCCCGCTCCACCCAGAGCCGTACGGTTAAATTTGCCCCGGCTTTCGACGTATGCGAGGCCGGCGACCACTATTATCTAGATGGGGAGCTTCCCGGCGTGAATCAAGACAATATTGATATTGAATTCCGCGATGCCTATACACTAGTGGTCAAGGGAAATACCACGCGGAATTATCCCTCCACTGAGTCTCCCACCGGATCCTCCCCGCGCTCGCGTCAACCTACCGTTGAAGATGAAAACGAATCTGCTTCCAATGATTCCGATTCCGATTCTACAGCCTCAGCCAGTTCAAGAAAGTCGACCCCAGTAGCGGACCCCCAATATCGATACTGGGCATCAGAGCGATCCGTTGGCGAGTTCCAGCGTACTTTCAATTTCTCATCGCGTGTTGATCAGGATGCGGTTCGCGCTAGCCTGAACAATGGTATCTTGTCCATTGTTATTCCCAAGGAGGCTACGCCAACGGCAAAGAAGATCCGCATCCAGTAATATGGTGTGCGGAGCTTGCTTTCATGCTACTTTTGATATCGATCGATTAATTACGCATAGTACGAGTATTGTTCTGAGATTTTTATAGCAAGGCGTGTCATAGATGGATTATTACGGATGAATTTGTATCTAATTTTTATTTTTGCTTTTGAAATATAATATTTGACTAGAGAATATTAAGGCTTTTGACATCTGATTCTAAGGTTCCCATTAAGAGTTCCCATCAAGAGTTCCCATTAAGAGAATCCATTTCACTGTTGTGCATTGTGGTATGGTTCCAAGGTTGCTGTTTAACATTCTGAGCTTTTTAACGGGTTTAAGTTTGTCTTCTGCACAACTGTACATGTAGAAGAATCGACTTTCTTATTAATGATGGTAGAGAAGTCCCCAAGGGCACTTCACAATAATACTATTTTCGAAGCATGATCTATATGTACGGCCTAGGATCATGTGACTATATCGTGCATTGTTAACGCTAGTCCTAATTTGGAATTATGGATTTTTGCCGATTTCACTGTCACCGCCTTCACCAAGCAAGCGGGCATTTCAACTCCTGTGTGACTGCTAGCTTACCCCCATCTCGGTATTCTTTTACTCTTAGACCGATCCTTGTCATTCATTAATTTTGCAGAGATGTCTGCAACCCAGCTGCTCAACCCCAAGGCGGAGTCCCGGGTATGGAAATGCCACGTCAACTTGACCCCTCCATCGCCCGCACTAACATTTCACATTTAGCGGCGTGGAGATGCTTTGAAGATCAACATCGGCGCTGGAGAAGGCCTTCAAGATGTCCTCAAGTCCAATTTGGGCCCCTCAGGAACACTTAAGATGTCAGTGTTTTAATGATATTTCTTTCGACTTGCAGAGAGCTAACGGAACATTAGGCTGGTGGATGGTTCAGGCGGAGTATGCAATATGCCCCTTTGCCTGCGAGATTTTTATTAGAACATACCTTCTAACTATACCGATTTGATAGATCAAACTGACCAAGGATGGAAATGTCTTGCTCCGAGAAATGGTGATTATTGACCCCCTTTCCCCCTCCCCCAAATGTTTCGCTACGCCTATCATGATGCTAATATCCGCTTTTAGCAAATTCAAAACCCCACAGCTGTAAGAGAACATTCTCGCACGCCGTCCACGATCCCCCGCTGATGATAAATGAAAGGTTATGATTGCTCGGGCCGCTACAGCTCAAGATGACATTACCGGTGATGGCACAACTTCGGTCGTGCTGTTGGTTGGAGAACTCCTGAAGCAGGCTGAGCGTCATATTTCGGAAGGATTACACCCCCGAGTCATTACCGATGGCTATGAAATTGCTAAGACTGAGGCCCTGAAAGTATGTGAGAACGACGGGATTTATTGGTCAATACTGGATCTAACACAAGTCTTATGTTGTAGTTCCTCGACAAATTTAAGCTGGAGCGTGCCATTGACCGAGAGTTGCTTTTGTCGGTCGCTCGTACCTCTCTCTCGACTAAGCTTAACCATGCCCTTGCCGAGAAGCTCACCCCTGACATCGTCGATTCGGTCCTTGCCATTCACCGCGCTCCCGAGAAGCCAGACTTGCACATGGTAGAGATCATGACTATGCAACACCGCACATCTGCCGACACCCAACTCATCCGTGGGTTGGCTCTGGACCACGGTGCTCGCCACCCTGATATGCCCAAGCGTGTAGAGAACGCATTTATCTTGACGCTGAATGTCAGCTTGGAGTACGAGAAATCCGAGATCAACTCTGGATTCTACTATTCCACCGCCGAACAGAGAGACAAGCTGGTGGAGAGTGAGCGCAAGTTCGTTGATGCTAAGCTGCAAAAGATTGTTGACCTGAAGAAGCAAGTTTGCGGCAATGACCCGAAGAAGGGATTCGTCGTAATCAACCAAAAGGGTATCGATCCTCTTAGTCTAGATGTGCTCGTCAAGAACGGCATCATGGCTCTGCGGAGAGCTAAGCGCAGAAACATGGAGCGTCTACAGCTGGTTTGCGGTGGCGTTGCCCAAAACAGCGTTGAAGACATGACTCCCGATGTTCTTGGCTGGGCTGGTCTAGTCTACGAGCACCAACTTGGTGAGGAGAAGTTCACATTTGTCGAAGAGGTCAAGGACCCCAAGTCTGTTACCATTCTCATCAAGGGTCCCAACCAGCACACCATCGCCCAGGTCAAGGATGCCGTTCGTGATGGTCTGCGCTCTGTCTATAACACCATTGTTGACGGCTGTGTCATTCCCGGCGCTGGTGCTTTCCAAGTTGCTTGTGCTGCACACCTTAAGTCTGACGCCTTCAGCAAGACTGTTAAGGGCAAGGCTAAGTGGGGCGTGGAAGCATTTTCTGATGCACTTTTGGTCATTCCCAAGACTCTCGCAGCCAACTCTGGTCATGACGTTCAGGACTCACTGGCTGAGATGTTGTACGAGGGCAAGGATGGTAAGATAGTCGGTCTGGATCTGAACACTGGCGAGCCCATGGATCCCATTCAGCAGGGCGTGTTTGACTCATACCGTGTCTTGCGGAACTGTGTGGCCTCTAGCACTGGTATCGCATCCAATCTTCTGCTCTGTGACGAGTTGTTGAAGGCTCGCCAGATGAGCAAGTCTGGTGGCCCTGGAGGTATGGAGGAGTAATGCGCTCGAATGACGAAATAGTCTTCTTCAAAACAAAAAATACATATTGAAAGATTGATTGTACAAGATGACTTCTTATTGTAACCTCCGCCGTATCCATCTAGCCTAGATCTGTACCTATCTACAAGTACCTAGGGCTCTTCGTCTCAAAGGGCTGAGACAGCCAAATGTAAGTTGCAAAGATGATTCAAGGGGGTGAACGGCCCTGGAAGCTTCAGCTGTATTAACCTCACAGTGCATATATGAAATAAATACTGGTTCATAGAGTTCCAACAATAGCCTTATCCATACTATTATCCAGGATGCGAATCTGTCGCACTGCCGGATGCAATACACCTCACAATACGGATGGAGTATCCAGATATCCCAATTGATATAAGTTCCAGATTCGAAAAAGAGAGAAATTATAATAACATTAAGACAAGAAAAATGTCCAATTTTGACTAAAAAAGAACTCGGCATTCGAGTTATTTGCCCGAGTTGTGAGCCGCATTATGCTTTCGGAAGTGGGTCGTGCATAAAGCCGACTTGGTGCGGTTATCTCGGCCAGTCGGGCGATGTCAAGTTCCCCCGCGCATAAGAATTGGAGAAACGCCGCAATCGCATTGAGTTGTCCAACTACCTATTCGAACGAAGACAGGTAGTCTCAAAATGTTTACATGCGCACAAACTCACCTACGGCGCCAGTTGCGCCCATCAGCCAAACAATTGACTGTACATCGAAGCTTCGCCAACTCCAACCGTCTATACTCCGAACCCGTCGCCGCAGATGTAGCTGCGTCGTTCCTCTCGCGATTTCAGTCATTGGGCCCCCAAACCCGCACACAAACACTAGACGCCAACCAGCTACAACTTTTATCTCTTACCCTCAATCGACCTTCCCTCTATCCAAACCAACCCTCACTATCTAACGCGCCGACCGGGCCTCCGTCTGGAACACCCGTACCGCCTGGATACCATCTTATTTACTTCACACCAGGGTTTTTAGAAACAGAGCTTGGTGCGGATGGTACCGATGCGTCTTATAACCCCGATGCCCCATTCACGCGACGTATGTGGGCAGGCGGCGAGGTGGGCTGGCCCAGGGATTCCCAAGGGAACCCCAACCTTTTACGCGTGGGGCAGGAAGTGCAGGAGACAACGCGTGTGCTAAGCGCAGAGCCGAAGATCGTCAAGAAAACGGGTGAAGAGATGATCGTGGTTGGAGTGGAGAAGGAATTTGCGAATAAGCACGGTGTCTCAATTGTGGATCGAAGGTGAGTGGCTCGCCAGTAGACGCAAGTCCGCACTAGGATGCAGATATTGATATTGGAATATAGGAACTGGGTATTCCGAAAAGCACTACCGCCACCATTATCAGTGTCTACTACAGACAATTCATTCCCACCCTCGTTCTCTCATGCTTCCAAGTCGAAGCAGAGCGCGATATCTACCGAAGGAAACACGCATTCAAGGACGTTCGTACAAACTCCTGTAACGCTTTTCCGATTCTCTGCTTTGACTTTTAATCCGCATAAAATTCATTACTCGCTTCCTTGGGCGCGGGATGTAGAGGGCCACAAAGACCTCGTTGTTCATGGTCCGTTGAACTTGATTTCGATTTTGGATCTTTGGAGGGATACTCGCGATACAACAAGGACAGACCCTGCCCTTTTAGTTCCGGAAATAATCTCGTATCGGGCGACGAGCCCGTTGTACGCAGGTGAGGAGTATTCAGTTGTGTTGCAGGAGAAGGAATCTAAGAGTGGTGGGATGGCGGTCCAGATTATTGGACCAGGTGGTGCCGTTGCAATGAAGGCGGAGATACAGTAGATGTTTGGCATAATCTTGCAACCTGACATATGCATGGCAACTATATGCAGCGACGGGCTATGACCTCTGCTCCTAGGCTAGGGGCCTAGATATCGTGGCTTGAAATTTAGCAGAGTTGTTTATCGCGATGAAAACTGTAGACTTATTGATGCTCTGTGAAAACTGACATCCGGAAGATACTAAGTATGATCTAGTATGTATAAATCTATATGCCACCCAGATAATCGCCGGTTTGCGAAAGGCTACAGCAATTGAGCTACAGAGCACTTTAATCGAGGGTTATTTACCTCCCTTAAGGTATCAAATGGCGGTGAGTCTTAAATAGGTTGTAGTCGTCTATTCATTTTCTTACTTGTCTGTACTTCTAACTTCTCTCTACATGTGTTTTTCACTTCTCTTTACATTATCCCACAATTCCATTCCCCATTCTACTTCATCACGATGATGACTTATGTTCTTTACAGTCCCGACGGCGCAATTGATGAATTATTCAACTCGAGCACTAGTGTCACAAGACAGCAATGTGATAAACACGCTACTGCTCGCGCTGGTTGTGAGCCCACTGCTTTACAGATGCAAGGAATGTGCAGCTATACCGTGACAGCGGGACCCAACAAGTCTAAGCTCTTCCAGTTTCGAGATGAGCATTCTACCATTGATATGGGAAACATTTCTCTTGCAAAAGCAATCCATCCGGAATTTGTGGCTAGCTGCAAGTGTCTTGGTACCCTGGGCGATTCACGGCCAGTATTTATCTACGAGATGGATCATCTTCCCGGAATCGCTCATATAATGGCGCGCATTTCTCCAGACGACATAGCCCAGCAGAGTAACACTATCAAGGACTTTGTAGGGGTACGCTGAAAGAATGCTCTGTTTCATTTATGAGAACTACCATTTCAGAACAGGTTCTTTACACAGTCATGAAACAACGATTTACAGCCATGTTTAGATGCGACTGCGAGCTTGCTTACAGAGTTTCAATCCATTTTTGACCTTCTTGCTCGAGATTTGCCGTCTCGCTTTGCACCAAACCTAGAAAGGGTCCGCAATGAGCTTCCGTCTCTCTTTTCCAAAGCCCTCCCCTTTGTTCTCAGTTCTCAGCCACGGCGACCTTAAAGCGATGAATGTCCTCGTCAACCCCAGGAGTGGAAATATTACTCGGGTTGTTGACTGGGCTGAATCAAGGATTCTGCCGTTCGGTTTCGCACTATACGGGCTTGAGAGCTTTTTGGGCCGAATGAATTCCGAAGGGTGGCACTACTACGATCGCTACCGTGAACTCGAGAGCCTATTCTGGCAAACTTTTCGAGAAGAGGCACAGAATTTCTCTGGCGCTGATTTGCATTTGGTCCGTGTTGTGAGAATGGCTGGATTTTTCTACCGTTATGGACTTGACTTTGACACAAATGGCGTGGTGCAAGGAATGCGGATGAACCAGCCAGATGGTTCGCTCGCATATCTCGATACTTTCTGCGCTGCTAATGAGTGGGCTCCTCTTCTATAAGTCTGCTTATTGTGCGTTGCAAGGCAGGCAACGTGGTATATATCATGCGCGGGTGCAAGTACTTCTATATGCATTGACAGTAAACTATGTGCGTATACATTATTACTTGATTTCGTCAATCTAGTGGGCGATAGAAAATGATTTTCAACAAAATATCGGTGGTAGCATCCCCAATATTGAACTATATTGATACTATCTCTAGATAAAGATACACTCAAAAGACAATATCCTCACTTCGGAGGATAGCCATAAGCTGGTCCTCCGTTTCGATATTGTTGTTGGTAAAGACCTGGTGCGTACCTCTTACAGTTGGTGCATGGGACTCTCCGTCATTGAATTCATTGATGTCTGGCTCGCGAAGGAAGAACCCAGTGATGCAGAAAGGCACCCCACGATTTTTCACATCTCGTTCGTCCAGCATGACGGTGCCTTTGTATGCGATAACAAACTCGCTCATCGTCGCCGGCACATCGTTGGTAAAGACTTGAAGCCCGAGGAGATCGACTAAGTGATGAGCTCGAAGGTATTTAACCAGTTCCTGGAAGAACACGGGATCGACGCCATCCAGACTAAGAATGGTCGGTACAGTACAAATGCTTCCAATAGATCAAGTACGTTGTTAAAAGTTCAGTCTGTTCGTATTATCGACGCAGTCTAAACAGACACGACGAGCAGATTCACTTCCTTAGATTTGACAGACTTGTCACAAAGGGCAGGAAGGAAGGAACCAGAATTAAGATGTTGATCTCTAGAGAAAGGCTATAGAAATAGCATCATGAGAGAGCACGGCAGACAGTCTCACGCAATACATGCAGAGGCATGAAAGTCCATCACAATACAAGTGCGCCTGGGAGGAAAAGGTAGGAGGTAACCTTGTTTGAAGCTTAACCTTATTGAACTGTCATCCACGCTGCTTCCTTCCTCAAAGTCTTCGATATACTAAATGCAGAGAACCAAAATTCATCAAGCATTAGGCCCGTTCAATGATTCCAACGATCCACAAACTTGATAACCTTTCTCGCGGTAACGCTCCGCTCAAACCCTTCGAGGTCATCCACAAACACAATTCGTGCAAGATGTTCATTATCGGGAAAAATGAGAAAGAAAGCCTCGATTCGACGTTTGAGATCGTCATCAGATATAACGCCACCCTGTGGACGTTTGAGTAAGCGAATTTCTAGAGTTGATTGCGGCGTGGTCTTCAGTCGGTCCAAAATTATCTGCCACTGGAGAATGCCACATTCCTCGGCTTGCATTAAGCTGTCGATCTTCTCGAACTCAAAATAGGCACCACACCACTTGAAGCTGAAGCGATGGTCGCGCCCGTGCATGCGCAAGACACGAAGATGTTCCCGGTCAGCCTCAGGAACCACAGCAGAGGCTGTTTCCGGAAGGGGATGAACGGAGCCAATATCACCAGTGTTATAGCGTATCAGGGGATTGCGTAGTCTTTGAAGAGATGTCTGCACAACGAGGCCCGGTTCACCTAGTGGGATCAGATTCAGGTCAGATTGAGATGCACTGTCTAGGTCGGAGGGTGAAATGATCTCTATCAAGATGCTGCGCGTGTCAAAGACAAAATCGGTACTGCTGCCAGTAAGGCTCTGTTCTCCGGTAAGATCAGGGCTGCTGATCCCCCAGGGGCCCGCTTCTGAACTACCCATAAAGGAAAAAATCTTAACACCGCTCAGAATCGTCTGGATGAACACTCGCTGTGGGCTAGTAAGTGGTTCCGAGGTATAAATTATCTTCTCCAGATTGATACGATCGCGATAATCCTGAGACAACATCGAGATATGGTGAACGATTTGAACAACTTGACTGCCGTCACCAGTTAAGACATTAACATGGTAGTCGGCGAGAGACTTAGCAACTTCTGTAGGCAGCATATAGCTCCCGGCGCTCAAAACGGTCGCTCCAGCATTTTCCATGATTTCTGTCGTGAGATCGAGGGACCTCACAATTTCTTGATTAGGTAAACTGTATCATTTCCAATTGGCGGCTTAGATTCAATTACCTGTAGAACCCCCCGGCCAGATGGGTAGATAGCACCCAATCTCCTGGCTCAATCACACCGCAAAGCTTGATAAAGTTTCCCATTTGAGCTCTCTGCCGACGATTCTCATGTACATCCACGGCAAACATCATGGGAACCCCTCCAGAGCCGCCGCCCGTGATGGACATATAAGAACTTCGCCGATATGTGTTCAGAGGGTCCATATCATGGATAAGCCGTTCAATAACCTTGTACCTGAAGCAAGTTAACGCACCCGCAGAATGGATCACTGGGTATGTTGTTATTATCTTACAGTGTTTTCTTGTTGAGTAATGGCTGCTCCTGGAGGGCAGGCTTCGCCTTTTTGTCAATTAACTCCCGAAGTCTCTGGATCGTTTCGGTATCGGCAGGGTAAACGAAATCTGGATTGTAGAACGGGTGGATTTTAGCCACCGCTAGTACTTCTGCCAATTGGTAACTTTCTGTGGCCATTTTGCAAAATTATCTGTAGAAGTTTGTCGTAGAAATAACTTGGATTCGAAGGGGGTACCAGAATTCCGCCGGAAGTATACTTGGAGAGGAAGAAAAGGAGATAGAAAAAGGATAAGAATAAAATGGAAATGGGAAGAAAAGAAAACATGAAAAAGTAATGATCAGATGTATCGAAACTAGAACAAATATTTCAATGGTTGTACTGCAGTTACAGTATCATCGTACGGAGATTGATTCAATACGGTACCTTGAGAGAGCTGTATGAAAGGAGTAAGAACCATACCGATATGAAAGCTTACTCCGACAACTCTCAGTTCCAGCTGACGAGCATTTTCGAGCAATGTTCGTGCAATCTCTGTAGGGGCTCCAAACTTTTCGCCCAAAGCGACCTGAGCAGTATGATCTTGCGCATATATCCGCAGGAGCAGCTCCAACTCGGGTCTTATTTTCTGGATCTTGTCCAGCTCGTCAGAATTGTCAAACGTTGCCCACCGACCCCTTGCCGTGCAGCTATGCCTAACACGGATGGCGCTTTGCAGGGATGAGCGAAGACGATCGGACTTGGATCAATTCCCATATCCAACACTTGTTCAATCTCTGCTAGAGAGGCGCAATCAAATCGGAGTCCATATCGGCTAGCAGTTGCAGAAGTTTGGGGTCCGGATTGCATTTTACCGCTGGGATTTTGTCAGGCTTGCTGTTCTGGTGATATGGATGAGGTATTACTGACCATAAAACGGGTGGATATCAGGCAATGTATTTCTCCATCTTTGATGCTGTTGGACGATTTTCTTCGTATCAGCTAAAAAGAAGGGTACGTCATTCTCGCGACCACATGGGGTTTTGCTAAAAAGCTGAAGGCGAGCGTGGATCGCGTCATCAATCCCTTGCTCCTCGATGGATGGCCCGAAAAGATGCTCCGTAGTCCAATAATTTGCGCCCAATGGGATCCACTTAGTTTGAGGGTGACGATTTGGCTTGCGGCCCGCACCGAATTGAGGAAGAATCGGGGACGTGCACAATAGCGTATTACAAGTAATGTATTTTTAGCCAAGGCCATGTTAACCGAATCAGAAGAAAACGTGCGTATCTCTGAATGTAGAAGTATATAGATTGAAACTTCCCCACCTTCAGCTGAGCTCACCGTTTGATTTATTTCTTGTCTCTGGATCAGACGCGCCTGATTGTCTCAATAACATCCATGTCGCATCCAGTCATGTCAAAAACAGTGTGTTTGTTCCTCATACCCCCATCAACCCTCGAGATTATCATCTAAATACTTGACTCACAGGTTTCAAGGTCTGTGTTCATTAGATTGGAATGGTAAGTAAAAGCAAAGCAAACAAAAGCAAAGGGTATACGAAGTGTAGTCAGAGACTGGCTATGCAGGACCGCAAGGGGGGTTAATGGTTACTACTCAGCTGTATCTGCATGTAATGCAACCTGCGTCTTCCGTCAATCTTACGGATGGGGGGAAATATATCTAGCTCAACAAGCGGTGTGACACATATCTCCCCATGTTTGTTTCGATCAATACTTCTTTATTTACGATTGATAGTTTGAATTCGCCACAGTCCTCATAGTATTGCCGCTTCCCCAGGGTTATTGTTACCTCTTACGTGGAAACTAAGGAGGCGTGTCATAAAGCCGAAAATGAGGTACATTGCCTAAGTTCTAACGCGTACTTTATCATTCTGCTTGACTGAACAAATCCATGTAGCACCATCGGACACAGCGCACAATCTCCCGGGACTACATCGCCAAGTCCCTAGTCCAAGGTATTCTCCGTTGGTTGCATGATAGGTCCCAACCATATGGCATCGCTGTAAATTACCTTCAGACAACAGCACGTCATATTTTGGTTGATCGATTTTGCGCTGCACAACGAACACGGTCTTGCCTACTTCCAGTTTCGGACATCGCATCTGCTCAAGCAGTGCTAGCCAGGTAGAATAGCTGACTTCATCACCAAAAAGAATACCGGCTCCCTTTCCCCCTCTTATTGGCTTCAGGATGTATTCTTTTTGGAGGATTTCTGACTCTCTACAAGAGTTGATGAACCGATTAAGAGCCATGGAACCCGGCAGGATGGTAGGTGTTATGCCTCGGTGGAGGCATTCAGCTTGTCTGGAGGTGATGATGTTTCTAGAGACCAGAGTCTCCAGTTCTTCCTGTATAAGGCCAAGCATCCTCTTGTCGTGGGCAAGCAGAATTGTTCGCATGTCATTAAAGCACCGAACGCTGATCAGGCGTTTCATCTCCGGGTCAAGGGCATTGATTTCCCGTTGATGAAGTTCGAGGCCAATTTGATGGACCTCTTCCACCAGTTCGCCGGAATCGGTAGTGATAGTGTCAACGGAACCTGCTTGGGCGAGACAGTACAATTTGAATCCGGCATCCTTAGATAAGTCAGGGATGATTCGGAGGCTTTCCGGAGTTATGAGTCGAGGCTTAATACCAAGCCTTTTCTTGGCGAATTCGATAAACATGAAGATGTCGATTCCATGTTCCTCTCCTTTGACCAGATGCAAGGGAAGGTTGTTGTCGAATAGTTCGAATAACCCCCCGAGAATCTTAACAAGTCAACATCAACTTCTTGCAAAGACTAAGTCACTATCGTTCAATTAAATTACTTACTGATTCTGCATCGGCGGCGTGCATCAGACCCCGAGACTCAAGATTAAACTCCGAAAGTGAGTCTTGGCCAAAGCCGCCGTGCATAAAGCCATTCCAGCAGAATCTCGCATTTATTTCGCAGATGCGGAATACCTCCATACCGGCTTCGTCAATTTCCACTAAGAAATCCGGTCGCCAGGATCCCTGTCTCTCATTCCACGGTCGGAATAGGCACGGGTTCGAGTGGATCCACTTTCGTAGGGATACATCATCAGTATGCTACAATGATCAAGTACCCAAAGTGAAGGAATGGGGTGACTAACACGCAATAAATCTTCCTCTTCGGGTTCTAACGGCATCCGCTGGGGAAACCGGGCCTGCTCATCCGTCCACCATCGCTCAATGATGTCTTTAATTGCCAAACTCAAGGCCAGATGCAATTCGTGCAACTCCTCATGATGCCGTTGAGTAATCAATACGGGATGAGGAGATGATGCATCTAACGATCCAACAGGCCAAGAGGAAGAACATCTTTTCAGTCTTGAGGTATAAGTGTCGCGGGCCTTATCCAATAGGTCGGCATCTGGCCTTTCTGACACAGATTCAAAGCCCACAGCACCTGGAAGGCAGACGTGCTGGAGACGTTCAAACAATTTGTTTCTCATTTTGGATGCTCTGCAGTGGCAATTATTTGAACGGAAGTTGAACACAAAGCCAAAACATTTATGAGACGAAAGGGATACTTAAATAAGATTCAATTAACTAATGATAACTCGCAGTCCTCAACGATCGATAACCCTGTCCTGGCCTGCATATACTATAGGTTATTTTTGGTCATCTTCTGATTTGATTATACAAGCGAGTGTAAAAGTCGAATGCAATGTAACCTTGATGCAGTTGATATTGGCCCCACAAATTGTGGACTACTTTTGATTTTAGGCAAATCCGTAAGTCGGCAGTGCATGGTGGTGCATTTGGTATTAATTACAAGCTCCTATATGAAACCGCAAGTCAAACCCCAATGAAAAATACCGAAAGATTCATGCGCTGCGGGATCCGAATGGTCTCGCATCCCATCTTACACGTCGGAGATGTCGGTTGGGGTCTTTCACTTCATTCCGAGAATGCAGCCAACGTCGATTATCCGTCAAGATTATTGACCCCTGAGGAAGGCTCTTGGGCTCTAGATGAATGGTCCATTCCTCGGCTCCATTCCCATACAGGATCTCCTTGAGTTCGTCCAGCGCCTTAGCAGCGTTTGGAGTCAAAGGTATAGTGATATCATCCCGGAACCGCAATTGACTACCACTTTCTCCCTCCGGTTTTACTGCGAGCAGGTTGCCAGAAATATACTGCTCTCCCACTTCCTTAACAAATTCAGGAGGGACAGTGATCTTGTAGTTATTGCTGGAGAGCCATTTCTGTGCGAAAGGGGAGAGTAAGGCGAGGAGTCGATCGACGTTTAGTACAGACAACGTTCCACCCCCGCAGCGATCCGGTTGAATGACTTGAAGAGCAAAGTATCGCGGCGGACACTCCTCATAGCTGCAGTCGGTATGCCAATCAAACCGAGACATTGTCTCTGAGCGGGCTTGGTGTCCATGGCTTTGGAAGCTCGACGGAGAGGGCCGAACATCCCAAAACCAGCCGCATTCAGCACTATGGGTTATCGGAAGACCATGACCATGGCTTTTGTTAAGGTTGTTAATAAGTGTCTGCAGATAGATGCTTTTTTCATCGCTGAATCCCAAGGCCAATTGAACCACTCCTTTAGCTTTCAGAGTCTCGTGTACAGCTCTCATGTGAGTGGTCTCTGAGGCAAACTTAAGTTTGGTAACCTCAACCAGGGGAACGATATTGGAAATACGTATATCTCCTTCACGCAATTAGCACTGTCCAAAAAAAGACTAAATCAAAATGGTTACATACTGATAAGCTGCGTAGAATATCTAGCAGCTTTTACCCCGATCGTAGAAACAGTACGGAAATGGTGAAACATTCTGTGCAGATAAAGACCACTGCCTAAGAAGAAGTTATGTTTCAATGAAGTCGTGATAGAAATGGGAGTTTGCTTTTTAACAAGGCAAGGGTTTGGCGCAATCTTTCTATGGATAATTCTTTGGAACATCAGATCCCTATCCTTGAACACGCCATCTCGCATTACCATGTACCTGTAGGGAGTGTACATATGCCGCAGTACTGTAGACTTGCAGCAAGAATCTTTTTCTTTTCTTTTCCTTTTCTTATGGCCAAATACCAGGTTATTGTTCCCGGCCATATGGTGGACTCGCTAGCAAGGAAAAACCTAGAAGTCACATAACTAGTTGTACAGCACCGTAATCAAATGGCGCGACCAGGATTAGGTGTCTTGGCAGATCATGTTCATGTAAAAATGATCTGTAGTTCACTTAGCTCGCTTATACATACGGGCAGCCATCATCACGGTGGGGTCAACAAAGACGGGGATCTCCGGTAATCTCCAACTACTACGCTGGGTATCCTTACAGAATCATCGAGGAAAATGACGAAATCAATCGTGACGATCTTTTCGAACCCGGGTCTTGGCAACCTAGTGTAGACATGCTGTTGCGTGCTCCACTTTACGAAGTTCACATTTTTAAGTGCGCGATTGATTGACTTTCATGCAAGGGTCTGAACCCCTTGGATTTGGCCTATTTAGCAAATACACATTTAAATCCATACTCACCGACCCAGATTTCTATGCGGCGTAGACCTCTTTACTCAGAGCTGAAAGTCCAACTATGTATATCCTCAATATGAGCGATAATTACGAAAGGCATGTTACGCCCATGGGCTATAAATGGCGTTCCTCCAAATGGTATGTGCTCGCTACCATTGCGATCGCGCTGTATGCTGGTCTGTTCCCCTCGTTGGCTTTGTCAACCACGCCCTAATACCAATTAGAGACATTTCTCTATGGCTTTCTAGTGCCTTTCCTCGGCGACATGCTTCAATATCGTCTCAATATCCCGCCCTCTGAAACACAAGAGTTGACATCATCCGTTCTTGCTATCCACGGCGCATTCTCCGTGATAGCTGGCCCTATCATTGGGCACTTCAGCGATCAGACTCCCAATCATAAGGTTCCATTGCTATTATCTCTTGGCGTCTGCATTGTCGGCACCTGTATGGTTGCGGGCGCTCGTTCGGTCCCTATACTATTACTAGGCCGTGTGATGCAAAGTATCGCGGGATCAGCAGTTTGGATCATCGGCTTCGCAACAGTCGCAGACACCATAAGTCCGAATTATATGGGTTCGGCGATGGGACTAGTGATGTCATTTGCCAACTCAGGGACGATTAGCGGACCCGCAATCTCTGGCCTGCTGTACGAGGCTGTCAGTTACTGGGTCTTGTGGTCAGTTCCGTTACTGGTTCTAGTAATAGACCTTGTCGCACGCGTTCTTATGATTGAGAGTCCGTCACAAACTTCGTCCTCTACGTCTAGCAGCCATGCATTAGAGATACGTAGCCCGTTGTTATTCCAGGGGAATCAAGAAACTCCATCCGGCATCAGGAACTTCTGGCGCTCGCTGCTATGCAACGGCCGTATTCTAACATGCTTGCTCATTACATTCTCGAGCATGACTGTGAGTACGAGCCTTTATGCGACGCTTCCTTCGCACATTCAAGAGGAGTTTAAATGGGGTCCAAGTTCTGCCGGACTCCTGTTTGCCGGTCTTGCTATTCCAGGTATTCTGGTCGGTCCCCTCGCTGGTTGGGTCCGTGATATGGTTGGGGCACGATACCCAGCGGTAATCGGTTCTATCCTTCAGGCATTATTCCTAGGCCTGTCCGGAATCGCAGGGAGTGATAGCTTCTCCTGGTCCAGCGCTCAGACTGGGGGCAAAAGTATCTACTCAACCTCTGTCATTGCTATCGGCATACTGCGACCATTCGTGTCAGGTATCGCACCCGCCGAGTTGACCGGTAAAGGCCCTTGCCCCCAGGATTTGTATGCAATGATAATAAATGTATATTGACAGCTGCTGCTAAAACAATTCGGGAGAAGAACCCAAGCCCTTTTGGGGCTAAAGATGGCGTATCACGCGTAATCGCCATGATGGACGTTGCTGCCTCGCTTGGCGAGATGATTGGTCCAATCGTAGGCGGTTCGCTTAACGCGCTACTCGGTTACGAGTATATGAGCTTGACGTGGAGTAAGTAAGTCATCGAAGATATATGATATTCGTCGCTTATAGTCATAGGTCTTTTGTATCTCATACTTGCCGTGTTTGCAATGCGCTTTTTATGATCCGAGGAAACACATGAAGCGCGCCACTCTGAAGAAGATGCCTAGTGCCAATTCCTATTCTACGCCTAGTGCAAGAGAATAAATGCAAGGAGCTCGTGCTTGACGTCAAGACCCTCAATACAGACTCAAAGAGTAAATTACCACGTACGCATATAGCTCTCTTGTGTCATTCTGGGACAACATGGCTATTAGAAGCATTTTTTACCAACTCATACCGATATTCTCGATTATTCAAGCGCGCAAGTAGTAGTAGCTGCTTTGCTGCGATTGAATCTTGATTCTGCATCTCATGATATAAGATCATACACATCTGTAACAAGTTGCCTTGTTGGTACTGACGCTCAAGGGTTGATTATGACTGCTGATAATATTCTAAGTAAATGGGTGATGCTAGCGCCAGTCTAACGCATAAATGCCACATCAATGTCAATTACCAGTGGTAGTCCATCAAGACGATCGGCGAGGGGAAGGGTATCTAGATACATAAGTACTGATTTGAAATTATATGTCATCCAAGACACGTAGCTTTTTATGAACTACGCATTTAACTCTTGTAGCCAGGAACAGTTTATGTATCAGAGTTAATATCGCCGCACTCAGTACCCCAGTCCCCTGGGTCGCAGCCTTGATCTTTGGAGAAGGCGACGATGAATGAATTCACTGTAGTCGCTTACTCTAGTCCACGGTGTCTACATCTACGTAGAGAAGGATCACCTGATATAACTTCTGCAGGGACCGAATGATCATACTTTGCTAAATCATACAGTGGAGGATGTTCCCTGGCGCCCAAAAATCGGCTCTGCTAGTCGCCTCAGCTGAACAGATGAACGCCTCAGTCCGTATAAATGTCCGATCCTGATTCTTCGTTTGCGTAGTAATTGCGTTCGGTAGCAAGACGATGAACATCTTCTACGTGTGTACGAAGACGCATCTCGTGTAGCATACGATGTAGTATAGCTATATAGAGGAGGTCAGCCGGCAGGTATATTTGTATATTTGGACGGTTGCTTAGTTTGACTCACTCTCGGATACAGACCATTCAGATGATTGGTCCGAGAGTGGGCTCCCTATTATACGTAGTATAGCTCTCTCTATCTCTCTCTCTTCTTCCCAGTTTCTTTAACGTTATTATTCGTTGTTTTTGCACCCTTTCTCTATCCTGGTAGAGACGCAAGATAGCCCGATAGCTAACTAGAGATATAAAGAGCCACGGTACCCCGTGGAAAAAACCCAATATTCGTATGGTATAAATTATTTCCCCAATTCATCCTATTCCTCTTGCTTCTTGTAGATATGCCGTGATAGGCCGACTTCCTGTTGGGGCAACACTGTCACACGCTTCCAACATTCAAACATTGGATTAGAATGAATCTTCTTTCTTCTCGACACAAACCAATATGGTATTGCCCGGGTGGCAGGTCTTGCATTTCATGAATTCCCTCTATTTTGTAGTTTCAAAATGTCAATTTTATGCGCTACAGAGCATGCATAGAGAGAGAGAGCCACTTGGTGGTCAGCCTGCATGGGTGGACGCTAAGTCTAATGAAGACTAGTGTCTCGGAAACCGTAGAGTTATGCACATTATGCACAGACACGAGCTTAATGCGCAGCAAATTCTACTAGAACTCGGGAGCTGCACTCCCGAGAAGTGGGTCTCTAGAAGTATACCACAGTTTAAGGCTTCAAAGGACTGATTTGATTACATGGATGAAAAATGCGCATTTCAAAAGGCAAACAAAGCTTCCCATCTTCCAATTTTCACCTTCCTTCATCTCAGCACATCTTTCACTCACTTCCAGTATCAGCTCAATACGCCTCCCCGATCATCATGGCTAAGATCGAAGATTATACCAAGGCACTGGAGATCCTCAAGGACTACCCCTCCAGCGACGGCCTTCACATTGATGCATTGCTGGACTCAGACAAGCATGGCGCATTGACTTATAACGACTTTCTCATTCTACCCGGCTCAATCAGTAAGAGCGTTACCTCTTTCACAACTATAATAATTCTTGGCATTTTCTGATCTCCAATTCGCAATCAGCTTTCGCGGCATCGGAAGTCAGTTTAGAGACCAAGATTACCAGAAGATTCTTCTTAAAGGCACCTTTTGTCTCATCTCCCATGGACACTGTGACTGAGCATAATATGGCCATTCACATGGCTCTTCTAGGAGGACTGGGAGTTATCCACAACAACTGCCCGGCCGAAGAACAGGCGGAAATGGTCCGAAAAGTCAAGCGCTATGAAAACGGGTTCATACTAGATCCTATCATTTTGCCTCCTACCGCAACAGTTGGGGAGGCAAAGGAACTGAAAGCCAAATGGGGATTTGGAGGTTTCCCAATCACCGGTAAGTTCAGTTTCCTTTATTCGATAATTTTTCACGGGGCAGCTCTTTTACCATGCTCTGATTTGTTTTTTCCTTGAACCAATACTTACAAGATTATTTCCTTGGGATTTATAGAAAAAGGAACTCTTCATTCAAAGTTGCTGGGAATAGTCAGCAGTAGAGACATCCAGTTTCATGACCAGCTTGATGACTTAGTCACCGCTGTCATGTCCACAGACCTGGTAACTGCACCAGCAGGCACAACTCTTACCGAAGCAAACAATGTTCTCCGAAGCTCAAAGAAGGGCAAACTGCCAATCGTGGATCGACACCAAAACCTCATCTCGTTGCTCTCTCGAAGCGACTTGATGAAGAATATCCACTATCCCTTGGCATCCAAGCTGCAGTCCAAACAGCTCATCTGTGCGGCGGCTATAAGTACCCACGAAGCCGACAAGGCGCGACTCAAGGGACTGGTTGATGCAGGCCTAGATATCGTCGTGGTCGACAGTAGCCAGGGAAACAGCATGTATCAGATCGCAATGATCAAATACATCAAAGAAACATTTCCACAAATCGACGTCATCGGCGGTAATATCGTGACTCGCGAGCAGGCTGCATCATTGATTGCCGCTGGCGTAGATGGTATACGAATTGGTATGGGGAGTGGCAGCGCCTGCATCACGCAGGAGGTTATGGCTGTCGGTCGTCCCCAAGCGGCAGCCGTACGCAGCGTGTCCTCATTCGCGGCGCGATTTGGTGTTCCATGTATCGCCGATGGCGGTGTTCAGAACCTTGGTCATATCGTCAAGGGTCTCTCGCTGGGAGCCTCGGCCGTTATGATGGGAGGCTTGCTTGCTGGTACGACAGAATCACCTGGAGAATACTTTGTGAGTAGCGAAGGACAGCTCGTGAAAGCTTATCGTGGTATGGGAAGTATTGCGGTCATGGAAGACAAAAGCAAGAGTGGTAGTAATGCTGGTGCATCACGCTACTTCTCTGAGAATGACAAGGTCAAGGTTGCTCAGGGTGTTGCGGGCTCGGTTATTGACCGGGGTTCTATCATTAAATACGTGCCTTATCTTGTGGCCGGAGTTCAACATTCTCTTCAGGATATCGGCGTCAAGAGTTTGAATGACCTGTGGAAAGGTGTGAATGATGGCGTTGTTCGGTTTGAGATGAGAAGTGCAAGTGCTCAGGCTGAGGGAAATATTAATGGGTTGCACACCCATGAGAAGAAGCTATATGCTTGAGAAGGCCGGGCCCCGGTGAAAAATAAGGCTTGCGTCTGTCAAAAAGTGTCTGTTATTACACGTTAGTTTCCTATCAAAAGTCTTTTTGATACTAAAAGCTCCTAAAATAAATATATTTCCAACACACACTCCCTAACTCAATAATTTGAAATTGGACATACGATGCGCATATATTGGTACAGCTATCTGTATATACATTAATTGAAAAAGATTTCGATCTCACTGATCGTTAACCTCGCTTTATATCCCTCACTCCTCCCGATTTATGAAACTTGAGAAACAGTCTATAACACCCCATTTTTTGGAGACTTCGCGTCGGATCACTAATGCAAAATCACACATTACTGCGCCTTTTTGACCTCTTCCTTGACCCATGCCTCCAAACCACCTGCCGCAATAATCTCCTGTACATTAGCTGGTAGTTCGCCGACTTGCTCAGTCCACTTGTCACCACTTTCACCCTCGCTGACTTCAACAACGCTACGCTTGACATCCCAGGTCAAAGTCCATCCTGTCCGGCGTGTAGTTTGACGCTCTCCTTCAGCGAAAGTAGTGCGCAATCGCTCAACGAGACGAGGAACCTCAAGACCCATAAGTGCGTTGTTGATACTGTTTCGGGAGAAGATGTTACCAAAGCTGCCTGCAACGACCAGGGGAATTTGCTTGGCGAGAATGGCGGTAGCAGCTTGCTCTCTTGAAGATCCGCACCCGAAGTTGAAACCAGCGACAAGAATATCATTTGGCTTGGCAATGTTCTTGAACTCGGGGTCGTAGTTAGACATGCAGGCCTGTGCCATATCGGCCTTCGAGACATTGTCTTGGTATGTCAATTTTCCAGGGTAAATGTTGTCGGTATCCAGATTATCCATGTCACAGAAAACAATTTCTCCACTGATCTTCTCAGGGAAACCAGGTAGAATCTCAGTGGCGGCCTTGACAGTTTCATCGCCGGCAGACTCAGCCCGATCAATGAAAGATTCCATCTGGTCCAGGATACTGGTCAAGGCACCTTCGGTAGTGTGGTCGCGCCCATTACCGAACCCGTGTTCCACACCGGACCAGCCTTCTGGCACCTCGTAGGCACCAGGGCCAGAGATAACACCGTTAAGGGCACTAGCAGCCACGACTTCGGGGCTGGCTAAGTAAGCTAGTGCATCTCTTGAACCCATGCGTCCCTTGAAGTTACGGTTGCTGGCACTGATGCCAACCTCACCTGGTTCGAGGAGGCCGGTACCGAGTCCGATGCAAGGTCCACATCCTGCAGGGAGCGGCTGCGCACCAGCATCAAGCAAAATCTGCCAATCACCACTGGCTTCGGCAGCCTCTTGTTCAGGAACGGAAGCCGCTGCAATATAGAGTTGGACACCGTCGGCGATCTTGGGGGTGGTACCAGGGTTGGCCGTGGCTGCATCTTTGAAGACTTGACTGGCAGCCTTGAAATCCGAGTGCCGGGAGTTGGTACAGGAAACAATGCTGGGTAGGAGTTAGTCATGGCCATTTGAAAGAATCTAATAGAGTAAGAGAAGGATATAATGGGGCGCTTACTATGCACGGTTAACTTTGATGTTTTGCTGCGCAAGTTCGTTCAATGGTGTCGCGACCTTGACCGAGTTTGGACCTGAGACGTAAGGTGAGAGAGTGGACAGGTCGAGATACAGCTGCTTGGCGTATAAAGCATCGGGATCAGCTCTCAGGGGGTTAGCAAATAGTTCGTCTACCCTCTCGTGCGTGATACGGTTTCGAGTTGTTCGATCCTCAAGCATTGCTGCCTCGCTAGCTTTACCCCGGAGCCAGCGTTCAAGGGTTTGATCGATGGGGAAAAGGCCAGTAAGCGCGCCCCACTCAGTTGTCATGTTGGCAATAGTCATTCTGCTATCAACAGGAAGAGTTGCCATTGTTTCCTCTGATCCAGTGAATTCAATTGCATGGTTGAGTACGTCGCTGTTGAACAAACCACAAAGCGCAACGATAACATCCTTGCCCGTCACACCCTTGGGTAATCTTCCTAGCAAGGTCACACGCGCAACAGGTGGGATCTGCCACCATGTGCGCGATGTTGCCCAAATACTAGCAGCGTCCGTCCGAACAACAGCCGTGCCCAAACCTGAATATATTGTTAGATCTGCACGGTTTTAATTTGGGTTGTCGCACTCACATCCGACACCTCCATAGTGGTTGGAGTGGCTGTCTGAGGCTACCGCCATGGTACCGGGCCATGCGTATCCTTCCTCGACCATAATCTGGTGACCAATACCACGTCCCGCGGGATAGAAATCGATACCATGTTGTCCAGCAAATTGTTCAATTTGCTGATACTTCTTCAAATTCGCTTCACTGGTATTCTGGACATCGTGGTCGAGGGTCATGACAAGCTGATCGGGGTTGTGGACTTTCGTGGCACCCATTGACATGAACTTTAGAGCGACAGGCCATGAGTTGTCGTGAGTCATGCAGTGCTTTGGCGCAAGACTGATGTAGTCGCCACTCCGGACAACCTTTCCCTCTGGTAGGCCGACAGCATAGCGCTGTACAATCTTCTCAGTCAGGGTTTGCGGTGTCTGCTTTTCGGAAGATGCAATTGAGGCGTCCTCATGTTGAGCTTGGGAGAATGCTGAAGTGCTCAGTCCACGAGAAGGAAGGGGTGAAGATGCCAATCGAAGGGGATGGTTGAGAGTCCTGGTTGGAATACGTAGCGACGGAGCCAACCTCGGCCAAAACTAGGAGAGCAAGAAGTTAGAATTGTAAGAGCAGTTTCCAACGAGCGATACTTACCGGCCTGCGCACGGTGGTGCAGGGGGCCCTGGCCAGGGCCTTCAATGGTATCGAGCGCGCAGACATTGGTGAGTCACTCTAATGTCAAACAGAACTTCCCCGGAGACCTGGCGTACATCCAAAAATTGGAGGCCCACAGCACGTGTCATGTGATCCCCATACCCCCGACTTCGGCAGCCAACCAGTCGTAGTAATTTCTAAGCAGTATCCCGAGGTCACGTGCTTGTGTTTCTTGGTCTTGGTCTTTCCTGGCTCTGGGGTTCGGATTCGGATTCACTTGTTAAAAAGGTTTTACGATATGCATTGGCAGAATTGCTATCATTTAATCTCATGTGATTATATCAATCAAACTCACGACAGACGTCACGGTAGTTCCGGGCATCCTCTGTGTTATACATCATTGGCCGCCATGGTAACGGATTATAACTAGTCCGGGTCCTCTATACAGACATTGGCCCCCCGCCGTGGAACCAAGAGGCGACCGAGCTCAAACACCATTAATCACATACCAAGCCGGGATTTTATAGACTTGTTTCGACCTTGAACTGTATTAAAATTCTCGATTCCCCAGGCAATTCTTGGAATGGACTCTCGGGATCTAACCAGCTCCCCAAGCCATCAAATACCGACATTTCCTGACCTGGAGGCCCCACTTGATGCTCACGACTCAGAGAATTGGATATCTTCTGAGATTTCCAATGACTGGAGCTCATTGAATGATTTTTACTTCTGCTCTTCGGAGCCAGCCAGCTCACAGTGGCCATCATGGGTTGCCCCCGGGCCGAAGCTCCCTGAGAGCCCCAATGAAGACCAGGCAAATTTGCAGACAAATGATGACCCCATATACTCCTTTACGGGTGCGAATGGAGAAAGTAATGTCCCAGATTTATTTCATCCAGAGCCACAAAGTCCAATTCACCATATTCAATGGCTTGATGGTGCTTTTCGTCCACCGGTTCCGTGTGGTCATTGCCGCAGGCACCGACTACAATGCTTAATTATTCGTACTACAGCGGCGAACCCCAACCCCGTTTCATCTTGTTCTAGCTGTGTGGCTCTTTTTCGAGAATGTAGTCTTGCAAAAGGAGAAAAGCGTCTGCCTTCTGGGTTTGAGACATTCTCCCCTGTACTAGGCCACTTGCATGGCCTCCCGGAACATATCAATAACCCGGTTAGTCCCTGCCACATTACCCGCGCTATCAACTTCAATTTGGAGGCAAAGCTAATCCGACTTAGGAGGATCAAATAGTTCCCAGCGTCGAGAGCATGGAAGAGAGAAAAGAGTCCAAACAATTTGTACGAAAAGGGGCCCGGGTTCTACGCGAATGGTTCTATCAAAACCAAGAGCTTCCATATCCCAGTGAAGACCAGAAAATAAAATTTTCAAGAGAAACCGGGTTCTCACAAAAGCGTATCTCCACATGGTTTGCAAACGCTCGCCGTCGACAAAAACAACATATGCAAATGTCAAATGCAGCATTAAATCGGCGTACTCGCGCCGGATCTCCGCTGATCACCAGCACCCTGGGCCCGCTAACTCCCATGGAACGTTGGAAGGCCTCGCCGCCAGAAGATGAACCCGTCGCCGAATCAGTGATTCAAGACGCCATCGCACTCGATGTGACAGACCCTATAACCGAACCCTTTGAATTTGACACATCCACCATGGAATTATTTAATTTCGACGCTTCGTCATCCCACTTGCCCTCTTCAGGCTCTAGCTTTGGAAGCCGTGCATCGGAGTCCTCGGAGAGTGTCTCCTCGGCGTGGAGTCATAATTCTGGAGAAGGAAGCTTACCGTTCCCACTGCCGAGCCAAAGTTCATGGTCACGATCTCGACCAAGAGATCCTGGGTCGGATGATCGCATGTTCCAGTGTACCTTCTGTACTCGATCTTTCAGAAAAAGACATGATTGGGCTCGACATGAGAAGAGCGTCCACCTTTCACTTGACAGCTGGATATGCACTCCTGACCTGGAATGCCTAAAACAAGATTATTCTACTTTGGCGACTGAGTGTAAGTTCTGCGATACTGCACTCCCCACTGCACCTCACTGGGAAGAGCATGAATTTCATGTTTGTGCCGAGAGGCCTGTCGCAGATAGGTCGTTCAGCCGAAAGGATTATTTGTGGCAGCATCTCCGGAAGTTTCATGGTTGTACAAAGATTCCAGTCCAGGACCTTCAATCTTGGCGCGGGCTTGGTGCCAGGGTTGAAAGCCGATGTGGGTTCTGTGACCAACTATTACCAACTTGGAATGCCCGAACAGATCATCTGGCTGGCCACTTCAAAGACGGAATGCGAATGGATCAATGGGTCGGGGACTGGGGACTGGGTCTATCCGCAATGGCAGGTCTTCGGAACGCTATTTTGCCTAATCAACGCCGCATGAACTTTTGAACATAGATAAGATCTGGGATCTGTGTTCCCTGGAGATCCTACCCATTTATCATCTATACTTAATTTTTGCCCTGTTTCTTTACATGAGATGGGAATTTTAACTGGGTTGACTATGTATATAGTACCAAAGCAGGGACAGATAGGCTAAACCGCGATAAGCTAAATCTCCCGATCGCTGAGTCATCGCCGGGATCGGCAAGAAGTGGGATGCGCATATTAATTTTATTTTCTGTGTTGAAGATCATTTTCTCTTGGTCGATTGACTCAATTCACTCTTTTTTTGGTTCCCCTTCCACACGGATTCAACACCGTCCTCGCCTCTATTCAACATGGCTCCTAGCTACATCCTCACCCTCTCGGGCCCCGATCGCCCGGGAATTGTTCACGCCGTGACTGCCTTCCTGGTCCAGCACAACTTGAACATCGTCGACTCATCGCAATTCGGCGACCCCACATCCAAACGTTTTTTCATGCGCACACAGTTTGCGCCCGATGGTACCACCGACCTCCCCGAACTTGAGCAAGTTCGATCTGCTTTTAAGTCCACTGCCGAGTCTTTCTCGCTGGACTTTCAAATTCACCCGACCGCACAGAAGCCTCGCGTTCTGATCATGGTCTCCAAAATCGGCCACTGCTTGAACGACCTTCTCTTCCGCCAGTCCACCGGCCAATTGAGCGTCGAAGTGCCGCTTATTGTCTCCAACCACCCGGATTTCGCACCTCTCGCTGCGACTTACAACATCCCCTTCCACCACCTTCCTGTCACCGCCGATACCAAGTCACAGCAAGAAGGCCAGATCCTGGAGTTGGCAGCGCAACACAATATCGACCTGATTGTCCTTGCCCGCTACATGCAGGTTCTGTCTCCAAAGCTGTGTGAAGCTATGTCCGGTCGCATTATCAACATCCACCACTCCTTCCTGCCCTCTTTCAAGGGAGCCAAGCCCTACCACCAGGCGTATGATCGTGGTGTGAAGATCATTGGTGCCACTGCCCACTTCGTCACCAGCGATCTCGACGAAGGCCCTATTATTGAACAGAATGTTGTTCGTGTGAGCCACGGAATGAGCCCGAAGGAGCTGACCCACGCTGGTAGCAACGTTGAGAGTAACGTTCTGGCTACCGCTGTCAAATACTTTGCTGAGCGCCGTGTGATCCTAAACGGACATAAGACCGTTGTATTCGACTAGACATCCCATCTTGGATATCAGTCTTTCTGATAATTGAATGACCTGGAAATATACTGCAAGGCTTGGTTTGCACAACAAATACTATAGCATACCCTGTCATATACCAAATACAATACGCATTATGAACCTACCTCTCTCTATCTTACTCCAAAAACGACCGTGGATCTTATGTATCAGAAATCTCAAATTATTATCCATATATTTTTACACTTCGCATTATACCAATTAACGTCCATCCCAGCCTGTGCTCCAGCCTTGAGGCGAAAATCTTCAAACCGCGAAAGGTATATACTACATACCAGTGAACATTGGAACTTCTCATGCACCACTATTTACCTAGGGGTTTCCATGAGATCTTGCTGCAATGGCTCTGACTTCGTAACGCCAGCACGTTCCTGTGTCAAATTACGAGTCACAATCCCAGCAGAAATATAAATAATCATCACGAGAAATTCTGGAATGGTCCCAAAGATCGCCTGGACGGCCAAACTACCTCCGTTGACGCGTCCGTCCGCAAAGGCCACGGCGAATGAATAAATAACTCGAATTCCAAGAAGCGGCAAAGCCACGGTAACTGCAAAAAGAAGCTTTGAAGTCGTTAGCACGGAAATAGAAGAAATTTGGCACAGTTGGCAAAATAGGTACCTTTTTCTCGTGATCAATTCGACGACGGTTAGAGTCCGATCGAAGAGAGATTGCGGTGAATACAACGATCATCAGCCAGCCAAGGGCTAGTACCCCCATACCAGCCTCGAGTAGAGATGACTTTCCCTTGCTAGCAGCTGAGAGGGCAATACCAGCCAAGATAGTCAAGTGAGGCACAAGGAGACCTGCTCCTTGAAGGATAGCTGGGAGTCTCTGTTGAATGGAATAGTTCCTGTGACATGTCAAACGTCGACATTAGGGGTCATTGAATCTACCAATGGTATTTTATGAGCCTACTTACGCTTCATGAAGGATTCCCAATGCGGCAAGTAGGATAGGCGACAGACCGATCCCAGAAATGATCTGGGCAGTTGGATTGGGCTTCCCCGTGGTTGATAACGAATGATAGGCCATGCCGTTGCCGACGAGACGAAGGCCACACATAGCCATCACATAAAGCCAGCCAGCTAGCCCGTGTTTTCCATGTTTAGCGAAGCAAAAAAAGGCCGGAATGAAAGCTGTAGCATAAAAGACTATCTGGGCGAGCTCAAGGCCCTCCGTAGAAGATGTACCGGTCATTGTACCAAAGTCGCCTTGAGGAATCAGATTGCGAGAGAAATCAAGATAAAGGTAGAAGATATTGATGAAATTAGGTGAGAACGACTTAGCAGATGGAGAAAGATGCGGCGGGATTCAAGGCTTTTATGGGGTTAATGACTCTCATACTCCAAAACGGAAGATTCTTGATCAATTGTCATAATCAAGTATAGTTCTCTCTAGTATCCAATGGCAGCGTATATCACAATCGATCGTCTGGACAAGGTTGGAACACAGCCTTGCCTTTCGGCTTCAAGTTTGTGTTAATGCTTTGTCTTTTCGGCCATTACTTCCAATCTACGTTTATTTTCAGCTGCAATAGACTTGTGGGTCGTCAAAAAGCCAGGTCAATGTCGATCAATAATCAATCTACATAGAACGCAGCCTTGTCACGCATTGAAGTGATGTGATAGGACGAGAGCATGGAAAAACAGAGACCAAAAAAAGAACCGATCCCGAAACCGAGGGAAAGGGAAATGTATCCACAGTGGGGGCCGGGAGCAGCGTTGTTAGACTCGGTTTCGGGTTTAGCACCTATATGGGGTATGGGGTATGTCGATTATGTAGTAGGTCAAAGATGCGATCAAATTGTACATAAATCGACCACGAATTGCCAGTATAAGCCACCGTTAATTACTGGCCCATGATGATGATGTTTTCGCTTTCGCTTTTGCTCAAATCACAAGGTAAGCTAGAGTCGGACTATTTGGAAAATCGACTTGAGCCACACGACACGTCATGGATAGGTTGGCCGATAGCTGTCATCGATATTTCCAGTGCTAATATTATTTTGCTAGGTCTACCAGCTCAACAATCCTGTGGACTAAGCATAAATATGTTTTTATTAGAAAAAACAATGGTTTAGTGGCTCGGTAATGCATCGTAACGCCGCATTATACAGAACCGTGACTATATTAGAGGTCCAACACCCGGGATCATCATGATATTGACCCAAATCATTGAAGGTGACTCGGAAGTCCTGAAGATAATATTGATGCCTCAGTCTTGGGGCTCTAAATGACACCGCTTGCTTTGAACGTATCTATCAAGTTTCGAGATTAGGACTAAGGATGCAGGCGGAATCAGACTTTTCAAATGTGAGCCAATAAATAGCAGAGGCTTGGAAGATTATTAGGAGATCCGTGCGTATAAAAAGCGACCATGACCAGCGAGAGCTCTGATTAGCGTTGATTTATCTTGCCAAAAAGCTCCACAGCGTGAGATCTAAGTGTCCACGAAATGCTGGTGGTCTCACACTGTCTAGTTTCCTTTCAAACAAAGCCAGTGGGAAGAAAGCTCATTTTAAATCCGCATAGAGGACAACGTCTTCTGTGTAAACTATTCGGAACTCTGCCAAACAACAAGTAAACTTCTTTTATTTAACATGATGGGTAAATCCGAATTATCATTTATCTCGTTCAACATGCGATCCATCGGAAATCCCTGTGGAACCATACTCAAGATTCATAAGTATAAATGGGAATCGCCCTTCCGCAGGCTCAAGGGTTAAAATCAGGCGTGACAGAAGATGCTCTTAACCTTTCCTTATGGTGCCAAACATTGCGAAATCGTGCTTTCTTGAACGACCACCTGCTGCTAAGATGATAGAAGCTCAAAACGATGACCTGAGTTCAAAAGTTATCAACTTTACAATGAGTAGAACCTCCAAGGACATTCTTAATATGTTAAAAGGGAATGCCAAATTTGCAGATGAAGTTGAAAATCAGGACCTGAAAACGCAATGGGTGATTCAGCTTGCGTGGTTGATCACAATCTACAAATTTAGCACATCTCCGACAATGTATTTTTTTGGAGATTACTCAAATGAACGGCCATTTGCGACGGGGGAAGAAAGAAATGATTTCAAAACTAGCGACCTTACGGTACAGCTCCACATAGATTCCCAGGACACATTACAGGGCATGCTTTCCGATATAATACATAAGAGAAAAGCGGCCTCGATAAGCACTGGCACCAATGAGAATCACAGATGGCGCTACAGGAAAGCCATTTACAATACGCATGTTATATACCAGACAGATGAGAAATCAAAGAATACGAGTGTTCTGAGCGGATACACCAATTCAAGTTATAGCCAGACGAGGAATGGTATGATCAGCAACGAGCGCCTTCAATTAGAATTCCCTGTTTCGGCTTCTCGACTACAGATTTCATATGCAAGCGAAGGGAATATAACTGTTCAAGCTCACCTCACTATGAATGAACTTCCAGCCCCCTTGGCAAAACGCTTATTTCATCATTTCGACAAAGCATTGTCGACTATCTGTGACATGCCTATTCAGCCTGTTGGTGCTATAGATCTAATGACACCATATGACTATAACTGGATTACCGAACTGACGCAGTCGATATCGCCAACTAAACATGGGCTATTACATGAAATGTGCTTGGCACACGCTAAAAGTCATCCGAATGCCCCTGCTGTACGTTCATGGGATGGAGACTTTAACTACCAAGAGTTGAAAGATCTGGTTCATCGACTAACACACTGGCTAGTTGACCAAGGCGTTGGCCCAGGCATCTTTGTGGCATGTGTGTTTTATAAGTCGGCCTGGGCAATTGTAGCCCGTCTTGCAGTTCTCATGGCCGGAGGTGCCTACGTTTGTGTCGACGCCCACGATCCACCAGCGTACCTGGCATCTGTCCTAAAAAGAACTCGAATCACCATTCTGTTGAGTTCTTTCGGATTTTCAAAAGATTTTCATGATCAGGTAGAGGTCTGTTTTGAAGTAAGCGCCACATCTATTCAAGCGTTGCCATTCAAAGCAGGAGTACCGTGTTCAAATGTCACATCGAATGATCCTTGCGTTGTGCTATTCACCTCGGGAAGTACTGGAACACCAAAGGGAATCATCCAGGAGCACCGAAGCTACGCTTCAGCATTGGTGGACTATATCAGAGTTATGAAGATGGATTCGCACTCCCGTATGTTTCAATTCGATGCCTACGCATTTGACATCAGCAACAATGACTATTTGGCACCTTTGATTGCTGGCGGATGCTGTTGTGTCCCCACAACATCCCTTTCGATGGAGGCGCTGATGACAGATTTCATGGATCTGCAAGCTAATGTGATGTTTGTTACGCCATCTGTTGCTATTGATATTGACCCAGACCGTATCCCTACATTGGAGACTATTTGCATTGGGGGCGAGCTGATATCTGATGCTGTCCTTTCCAAGTGGCTCTGCCGCGTGCGTGTCGTCAACCAGTACGGTATGGGCGAGGTCGCTTCTATGTGCGCTTATAACCCCAGTCTGAGAATCGGTCAAGGTGCAGTGATTGGACGTCCTGCAACAGGAGCAATTTGGATAGTAAATGCCGATAATGCAGATCAACTAATGCCGGTCGGAGCTGTGGGTGAATTGCTTATAGAAGGCCCCCATGTTGCTCGGGGATATCTTGATGGAGTATCCGGACAATCTGGAAATTTTCTCGACACGCCTCCTCCGTGGATGACTCAAATACACCTTCACAGAGAGTTGAACCGATTATACCGATCGGGAGACCTGGGTCGGTATAACGATGATGGTAGCATCGAGCTAATTGGTCGAAAAGATTCCATGCTCAAACTTGACGGAGCCCGGATAGAGGCTGATCAAGTAGAGTATATTTTGAGTCGCGAGTTGTCAAAGGCCGACACTGTTATAGTTGATGTGCTTGGTACTATCGACGGGTTTAGTGACCCAATCCTTGTGGTATTTTTGTTTTTGGGAAATAACCCGTTAAATCTGACGGATATTCCTGTTGAAAACATGCAATTTAGCCCTGTCAAGTCTTGTCATGCTGTGTATTCTTTGACAAGAGGCTTGATTGATGCACTTCAAAAGAATTTGCCCTCCCACTACATCCCAAGCTTGTTTCTATTAATTGATTGTATACCTCGGACAAAATCTAAGAAGACAGATCGCCGAAAGCTACATATGCTAGGTCAAAACTACTACCTGGCACACCGGGAGGAGTTGAGAGAGATAACAGTTTGGCCTCATTGGGAATGAGGTTTAATTTGAAACTTTGAGAAATGCGTGGAACGCGGGGAGTGGGAAACTTGAGTACTGGGAAAGGTTTTGCGATTATAGCAGGAAACGAATGTATTTGATAATCACTAATTTACGCATCTCATCTACATAAATTTGTATTTCAAGAAGACCTGCTTATCAGTATTCAGAAGAGATGTGTCAGTCGATATTCAAAAAAGCCAAAGAGAAGAAAAGCAAATAAAAAGCCGAACAGCCAAGAAGCCAAAAGATTCCAAAGCTGCCCAAATCCTCAATAAATGACCCAAAAATGGAATAAAAGGTCAAATGTCGACTGTTGACTGCCGTAACCTAGATGTAAAACATTGTGTCCTTCACATTAGGATGGACAACAACCTGGCCACTGTCAGGTGTGGTTCCAGTTTCACCTTCAGTGCCCACAACACTTGCGTCTGGCGTAGCAGCGGTAGGGTCAAAAAGTTCACTCATGTAGCATCTTGCGCGCGTGCACACAAGGTCTGCGTAATATGCCGGCGGGCAAACACTGACTGCCTTCGTAGCCCTGCCAAAGAGATAACACATCTTGTGCGTCAAGTCTTGGAGGGCGTCGGCTGCTCCACGACTTCCATTACCACCTGGGTGGCGTGCTGCGAAGACTTCATCGTAAACGGTGAAATAGTGAGCAGGGCGCGCAGTCCCCTGAAGTGCAGAGTGGGCCTGCAAGAAGAAATCCCAGCTCCGGGACTCTGAAACGCCACGGTCAACAACAGTACCGGGCATTGGGTTGAAGGAACGTTCGGCGTTCTCCTCGGCCGTGGGGTAGAACCGGGTGTTGTGGCGTTTCCCGACAATGATGATAGCAAGACGCGGAAGACCCTTCTTCGTGTCAGAAGCTGGGTAGATACTTTCGCAGGCACTTTTGAGGCGTGGCAGTTCCTTTTCACACACAATAGTGTATTGGCCCTCGGATACACCATCACGATAAACAACGATGTTCTCGGGATATTTGTTGCTATTGTGTTTGGCCCAGAGCTTAAGGCGCGACTGCAAAAGGGTATCGAGATCAGCGACCATTTCCTGCCTCGAGGGCTGAATACGAAGCTCTGCAGGCCATTGTGCAAGGGCGGAGTCTACAGAAGCCACAATTGCGGCGACACTGGGTGCAGTGCTTGCCGAACCTGGAGAGGGATGAGTGACATCGAGACCGACTAGCATCGTTTTACCGTCTGCGAACAAGCCAAGGTCAGAACTGCGGAGGGATTGGTTTCCTCCACCCAATTTGAGGTTGATCTTTAGGCCCACGTTGGCACAGTACTGGTCCTGTGCAGCGCTGAATTTCTCGGCCTGCACATTGACGTTCCGAATTCCGCAACGGACATCACAGACCTGCTTGATAGTATTGTAAAGCCCGGTCTCTCTGCCGTACAGAATTCCCAGAATAAACGTTGTTCTATATTGGTTTTGTAGGTCGCGAACAGCCTTTTCGATCATTTCAGCATCGTTTCGTCCGTCGAGTTCGATGCGTTTGCCATCCACAGGGGGGTCGGCGTTGATACCCATGTTTCGAAGGACAGATGTGAATTTCTGCAAAGAACTCGTCATTTCGGCTGAAGAGGAGAAAGCCGGGCGTCCACGAGGAGTCACGAAGTAAAGCCATGTCCAGTTTCTGAGAACAGCAGGTTTAGAAAACTGGATAGCTTTCATATTCCACGATCCGCCCATGGTCATGATCTCTTTTTGCTTGGCGTACAGAATTTTAGGTGCGGGTAAAACGCGACCTTGCACGGTGATCAGGTTGTTATTCACTCGAATTCCGAAAGCAGACTATAAAGCAAGGGAAACACGGTAAGTATAGAGTCAAAACACCAACAATGAAGAGAAGGGGAATTTACCAAAGTCGCGTTGAGAGGCTCTCCCACTCCCAGCATACCCACTCCCTTTGTCACAATGGACTGGGCATTCTGTGCTGGTTTACGACCCATAACAGCAAATTTAAGCATGCCGGATGTTTGATCTGGGGTAAGTTTGGTTCCCACTGGCTGACCAGGGATAACATCGCAGACATCAGCCGGGAGATACATGGGGTTCTGACGGTTGCCAACATTGAGGACAGGTAGCTCTCGATTGACGTCACGGTTGTATTCTGTAACATAGTTCGAGGTCAATTTCAGCGATTTGATTTACCTATGAAAAGGATGTATCAAAAGAGAAAGAAAGAACCATACCTCTCTTAAAGTAAGCGGCAACCGAGATATACTGGCCATCCGGAGAAGGGCCGGCTTTGGGCGGCTTCTTACTCTTCTTGCCTTTACCCTCAGCAGGTTGCGTTGGCGAGGACCTGGAACCGGGGGGATCCAAGTAGAACTGGACATCATAAGGGCCAGCACCTGATTTAGCCACCTTGGGTGGGTGTGGGCTAGAACGGCCATCACCAGGTGAAGCCAAGCCCGCAATAGTTTTGATGGGAAGAGGGCGAGGCTTGCCACTGCTCGTCTTGCGCACAATGTGATTAGGACGAACTCGCACACGTTTCAAAAAGGCCTCCAAGCGGTGACTGTTACTACGAGAATTCGCGCGGTAGTAGTCTCCGATCACCATGGGCAGCGGACCTTCCTGATAGCATGCGAGATACTTCACTTGAACGTTCAATAGAGCACGTGCTGTAGCGGCACGTACACTCACGAAGAAGCCACGCAGGGCCTCCAGTCCCCCACCAAGATTCATTCGCTCGACAATGTCTGCATTCATGCTGTAATGCTTGTTGGCCCCGACTGAAACCACTGATGAATCAGTTTTAGGATGATGACCCATGATGACATTCAGAGCTTGGACAATTTGCTCCTGAATCGCTAACGGACCCGTAGTAACACTACTTGAAGTAAGATGGTCAATCAGTTCATCTGGTTGGAGAGTTCCTGTACCCTGCACAGTCACAGAGTACACCTTCGGATCTTCAGGGTATTCAGGATCAGTCTCCGTCTTGTACCGCACATCAAACACTTTGCTGTCACCAGGGAGATTCAATTTAACACAGGCGATCAAGTTCGAGCGATAATCGGTGGCGATGTTGTTCAAGTCTTGAGGAAAGTGCTCTTCAAGCAGAAGGCGCACAACCTGCCGCGCTTTCTTCGGAGGCACATCCTTACCCTGATCTTTGCCAATCGCGACATGATAGCGATACAAAAGCTGCCCAACAGAAGTGAACGCTAGATAATTGGCATACAGCGTAACAGGCTTTCCAAGTGTTCCATATCCTGGCCGATCGGGATACATTGGGTCTGTCTTTGTCTTCTTTCGCCCAACCAAGGCTTTGGCGATGTCATTTTCGATCTTCTCAACGCGGGCATCGGGGGCAGGGACCGGGCGACCCTCACTATAATCAATCACATCAGAACCATTTCAATTCTTCCCTCAAGCCTCCAAACCTGTTGAGTGGACTCACTTGAAAATTTTCGGGCCTTGTTGGAAGCCTCCGCGGAAGCCTCCTCCTCTACCACCACCACGATCTCCACGACCACGATCTCCACGACCACGATCTCCACCGCGTCCTCGATCTCCACCGCGTCCTCGATCTCCACCGCGTCCTCGATCACCTCCTCTACCACCGCGGAAATCCCCTCGAAAATCTCCACGAGATCCCGGTGAACCTCCGGCTGGTCGAAAAGGCATTTCCATATCGCCGCGGCCCCGACCGCGGCCTCCCCCACGGTCGCCGCGACCTCGACCTCGATCCCCACCACCATTACCATTCCCACGACCGCGACCACGATAATTGTCAGCCATGATTTTGTTGCAGCGAAATTATGGCTGGCTAACCAACAGTCCCATCACAAGGATGAAGAAGGAAGAAGGAGGGAAGGAAGAGGTCAACCGGCGGAGGTGATCTACGTTTCTTGTATTTATGAAGACCTGGGCTGTCATCCAATCAATTCACTGCAAACGCCGTTCGTTCGCTGCGTCACCTTTTCTTTGTTCCATTCGTTCACAGCGTTACACGTTACTATCACGTTCTTTGTTTGTGCAGCAACTCCCTGCGCTGGCGCTACTTGATTGGAAGTGAACCCTGGTCAAGAGTGCTATAAGAAGGCTATGTACGGACTAAAGCGCTATGACGCCTCGATTTCTTCACTCAGATTTGCTCCAAGCAATGGGGAACAGGGACTTGCGGTGTGCTCAAAGCGCCGCTTTTTCTTTGAGTTGTTGGGAGCATTGATACATTACATTCCATCACACAGGGTCGTAGTGTTGGGTGCATAATTCGTTGCGATAGGTGACAATAGTACTAAACCCCTAATAACATCTGTAATATTTTACTCTAGAGCCGCCCTGCCTCGTTAGTTCTGAAACTGCCATGGTTAATGACAAGGTCGGGAAGAATACCCCGACCCGTCAGTTCACCAGTTGATGGGCGGGTCTGGACATGGATGAGATAAGCAAGGGATCTTCTGTTTTGTGATCTGCTAATCGCCAAACAGATATCAACTGCGATCATAAAAAGTAGCATGGAGTCATACGGGCCCTTGTTTGATGGTTTAATCCAGAGTATACGAGATGGGCTATCAAGATTGACATGGACCACCGTCCTCGCCGTGTTGGTCGTTTGGTGCATCATAACACGTGTGATTACAGGTCTTCAAACTGGTCAAGAAAAGTCGGATCCAACAGAGACACGGTTGACAAGAGTCGCGCCCTATTGGTTTCCAAGGATTGGTCATGGATTTCAGTTCCTTTGGGATCATGTTGGTCTATTTAAATCATTGCGGTGCGGTATCTAATGTCCCATCATATCTACCACCTGTACTAATTCAAAACAGAGATACAATGGGGGAGCCCGTGTTTGGGGTCTATCTAAGCGGAAAGACCCACAATGTGGTGGTATCGCCGTCAATGATCCAGACTGTCTTGTCCTCACAGGGTGTGTCTAATACAGACGTGCTTGATCAAGCGCTGCGTAATGTTTTCGGTGATGGGGGTCTAACACGGAATTTACATTCGAGCCACGAGCAAGATATCAATGAAAATGTACCCAGCATGATCAACCGCGAGCCCTTCATTCGCGAGACATCAGCAGCCATCACTAGGTCGCTTCAGAGGCATGTTTCCAGTTTAGTTAGCTTCAGTCGAAGTCCCGTGGACCAGTTCCCCTGGGAGCGCGATTGCTCCATCGAATTGCTGGAGCAAGACCAACCAACCTGTGAAGTGGAGCTCTTCTCACTAGTTAGGGAATTTGTTGGTCATCAAATCACTGGCATTCTGCTAGGCGAGGCTTTCCTTGACTCTTTCCCCGGCTTTCTTTCTCAAGTATGGAGACTTGAGAGCAACTTTGTTTCATTGTTCGTGGGATTTAAAAGATGGGCACCCAGCCCTGGAGTTTCTGCAGGCCACGCTGCACGAGAACAGCTCTTGCATATCATGTCTATCCTTTATCGCGCATTCACAGCCTGTGACGATGGCATGGACCCAGGCATTGAACTCCGCGATCTAGACGACATGTCAGACTTGTTCAAGCAGAGAATGCGAACATTCCGAAAGTTAGGCCTCTCATCGCGAGCCAGCGCGGCGGGGATTCTATCTCTTTACTGCGACTGGATGGAGCATATTGTCAACATAACATTTTGGAACCTGGTCCATATTTTCAGTGACGCCGAGTTGCTCAAAGAGATCCGGAAAGAAATCGAACCCTTCGCTGAAACGTCTAGACCCAATCGCAAAGAAACTGGGTTCCCATTTACTGAACCTCCGAAACTCAGCCTTGACGTTGAAAAGCTTCTTGAATCTTGCCCGTTATTAAAAGCGTGTCACTACGAGACAATCCGTCTCCACTCTAGTGGTATCTCTTTTCGCAAACTGGAATCTGACCTGACACTGACCGAGTCAATCGGAGAAGCGTTAGCCCCTCGCACCTACAAGATTCCCAAGGGACACAGAGTATTAATGCCCCATGGAGTCTTCCAAAATGACCCAACTCGCTTTTCCAACCCCGATCAGTACGATCCTCTGCGGTATATTACCAGAGACTCATCATCACCTGGGAGCAAGAAAGTCAACCCGGATATCCTCGGTCCCCAGGCAGATGGCTTGTATGGCCCCAAAGAGAACAATTTCACCGAGCGGGCTATTATATCTCTCACTGCTTCTATTATCTCGATGTGGAATATTTCTTCCCCAGACAAGGAGTTCGTGGTGCCACGCCAAAAGAATACATGGGGGGCGTCCCGGCCCACACAGGATGTCAAAGTCAATATCAGAGCGAGAGTTTGAACAACTTCACATGATCCTAAAAAGCTTTCCATGTCACAACTGTGCCTCTATGTATCAGGAATCGTCCAGGCATCAAGTCTCTGCCTTCCCGCTCTTGTCTACATTCAGACGACGCATATTCAGTGCCATCATTTTGCTCCTTGGCCATAACTCATAAAATATTACTACATATACACATTAAATTTATTCATTTATCAAATCCCCGAAAATCATCCAATCCGGTATATCAGGTACCAGTACCCCTGGTCCAATGTCAGCATGGTGTGCCCGATTTCCAAACGGCCACTCAGATGTCTCTCCTGCGATAGCTGATCGCGGTTCACCCTCTATAGGATTGATGCTGGTCAAGTCGTATGCGGTAGTAGCTCCGATGTGTAATCCCGATCCAATATCCGAACTAGACGGTCGGTTTGTGCCCCTTTGCGCATATCCATGCATATCATCTCGCGATTTTGTCCCTAATCCCCCCAAACCTGGTGCATTCGAAGAGCTGGATAAGCTTGTAAGATCAACAATATCCCACATGAGATCCTCATCCTCAGTTGACATTCTAGGCAGGTTGGAAGACGTTGCCATGTTTGAAAGTTGGCCCGAGAAGCCCTCTTGGTTATAAAACAAAGATCCGTAATTTTGGTGTCGCGAGGCCAATTCATTAAGTCTATCAAGCTGTGAAGGGGGCGTTAGTCATCTCATTCAAATTTTCACAGGCGCTTTGGACTTACCAGGACTTGCATATTCCTCCACTTAGCAGACAATTCCTTGATAAAGCCAATGAGAACACGGTACTCATTATTAAGTAGAAGTGCAATCTTTGGATTCTTGTTTCCAGTGTGCTCGATTTGAATAGTAGCTGCGATTGCAGCTAAGTAACCAAAGAAGGGATCGGAAATCTTCAATTGGACTTCAGACATTTCCTTAATAAAACGAGCTATCCACCTTGAATGGAGTAACGAAGCCTCAAATGATTTCTGCAGGAATGTAGCAGACAGGTTACCACTCATGTTTCGAAGTTTGACCATGGTCACGAAAGGGTGGTGAAGAAGACATTGAATGGAATGCAATAAAAACTGTACACATAGCCAGGTCGAGAGATATTGTCGGGAATCAGGGTCTTCACGAGCACGCCGCTTAAAGCCGACATTCTTATAACGATGAGTGTCTTCAAACTGAGTTTCGAACTGCATCCATTCGGATTCAAGAATTGCAAGCGCCGAACCACTCTGCCATGGTGGTAGGGAGTGGACGGCGTAAGGTTCAAAAACCCATTCGGTTGCTTTACCCCACAAGGAGTACAGACGGAGGAGACAAGCCAAAATGTCTTGATTAAGCCTTTGACCATGGACTGGTGGTTTTTCATGTAACGATTCACGAGAGCGCGTTTGACTATCTGAATCGGTCAGAGGAAATGGCAGTGTGAAGTGATTATCGGAGAGGCAGAGCGAATAATTCCGTGATGCGTTGTATGTGCGATCAAGCATGAAAAATGCCCAGGTTATACGCCTTCTATCTTCCGCATCTGAATCTGGCAGAGATAAAAGACCTCGCCCGTGATTAAGTCCATATGATTGTATAACACGCATCCCAAGGCCAACAGACATGCATCCTCTCCAAGCATTCCCACTTGCAAAGTCGAGCTGAGCCAAGAGAAATGTGCCCTGCAGAAATGATATACCTGTTCTTCCTTCTTGGTAGATTTCTGATAAGGTACGCCAAGCCTGTTCCGCGTAGGAAGAACAGGGCGACCGATTTGAACCTGGCGTGTTTGGGGGGTTGGCTGAATAACATTGCTGGGTGAGAGCCACTAACGGAAACTGAATCTCCGGTGGCAGTGTGTGCATATTGGACAAGAGCCATACCTTCGTAAAAACGCAATACGGCTGCTCATGGAAGACTCTCAAATATACGTCCACCTCTGATGATATCAGAGACGGGGATAATATTGAACTTTAATCTGTTAGTCAAATTGAAATCATAGGTATGGAATCGACCCCTTCTGTTCTAACCTAGTTTGATCATCATGAGCCTGTTGTCTAGTCAACGAATCTATTGGTCCGGGTTGTCGAGTATCTTCAGCATACGAGGACACGTAATTTGGCGAATGTTGGGCTGATACACCTTTCTGAGGGATTCGTTCTCTATGATCGAAACAGATCAGGCATCAATAAACTCGCCTTCGATTCCGGATTGAGCTTACTGCAGCAAGGCTGAAATCTCCTCTAGCCTCTGTTCAATATGTTGAAGACGCTGAGCCCCGGAGGCATCTGATTGTCGATCTGCTCCCGTTGTGCCATAGCTTGCATCATGAATGGAAGGCCCTCCCTGCGTGTTTATTTGGCCGGCAGCTACTTGTGAGCCATAAGAACACATTTGGCCCAATCGATGACATAATGAGCATACTGGTCTCTCACCAGGACAGCGGGCTTTCTTCCGTCTTGATATTCCGCATAGATTAGCCTGAACATTCTTTGTTTCAGTGACCAGTGAATTTACTTACCGACATGGGCCGCATGCTTGACGGGTACGCCTAAGAGAGACTTTCTGGATACTATAGTTATCTTTGGAAGCGCTCATTACTCAATATGGTTCAAGGCCCCAGAGGAGCGGTTTTTTTTGCCGGGGGTGAATCCCGCACGGTGAAACCAGTATTGGGGAAATCCCTTGCGAGTTCAAGAACTGATGAAGAATCCCACCTGACAACCATTCGCTCAACACCGGGACGGATGGAATATGATGGACACCCGGAAGATACGTGCAAACGCGAAGATTAGATATCGCAAGGCGTGGAGTCGCGCGTCCCCGACTCCGCCGAGTGCGGGGTGTCATTACGGGTCCTTCGCCCTTGAATCCAGCACAGATGCAAAACAGTCTGAACTTCCATATCACGACACATAATTCAACGGCTTGAACAAATCATCCACTTATTCGAAATTTCGCATTATTTATTTTGAAAAATGTCTTCTATAGATATGTTCAAGCAATTGAATTCCCGAAGATCTCCCAACAATTCCTGGGTCTACTACTGTGGATATCCATAACAAACGCCCTGAATTGGCAGCATTCCATATGTTCTTGGCTAGCTAAGCGGGAAACCCATGCAGATTAATGCTAATGGTCACAATAATTAAATCAACACTTTCTATCATCCCCTTTTCCATCTCCCTGGCTTCGAAAATCCTCCCAATTCGCTCGATCGCTGCCATTTGGTCGGCTTGCTCTCACAAACTGATTGTCCACCCCTTCCACGATAGCAACAGGTTTCACAACCTCTATTTCAGCATCATACGCATTCGAGAACCACTTTTCGGTCAAAGGTTGGCGTTCCTCTGACTGGAGCCCAGCACCGACGTATAAGTGAGGGAAACGCTCATGCATACCTTTGAGTACCGTTGATGAGATTCGATCCACGCTATCACAATGTCGAAGCTTGAAAAATTCCGCTGGCTGAACCGAACGCAGTTTCGCTTGTACATCCTCGGAGTACTGACCAACGGCGAAAAGGAGAAGATCATAATGCATAAGAGATGCCTTGCCATGGTATGATCCGCCAACGGTAGCGCGATGATAAAGTCCCGTCAGCGCAGCAATGGCACCCATACATCCTGTTCCATAATCCGAGATCGGGAACGGTGGAACAACGGGTGTAGAAAGACCCATGAATTGACCTTGCGCCCAAGCGATACCAGTAACCTGTTTCGATAAATTAGATGAATTTCCCAACGCAGAGACTCGCAAAAACTTACGCAATCGGCAATCTGCTGCCACCCGGCTCGTCCAGCCCATTCGCCTTCATATCCAAAGCAGTTCTCATTTACGTATACAATGCCTTTTCCTCGCTTTTCCGCCAAAGATGCCAGGTCATTCGGGCCGTATCCAAGTTTCTCTAACGCCCCGGGGCGATATCCATCAACTACCACGTCCACGTCTGCTAGTAATTTCTCAAACTCCTCACGGCCCGACTCTGTCTTCAAATCAAGATCCGCAGCATGCTTTCCCATGTTTCCATCAACTTGGAAAAATGGTACATCCGATAGGTTGGGGCTCGTGATTTTGAGCACGTCGGCGCCATATTCGGCTAGGATTCGCGTAACAGTCGGGCCTGCAATGATGCGGCACAACTCAAGCACTTTGAGCCCTCCGAGAATCTTCTTGCTACCAGTGTTATTGGCCGGGAAAGGTGTAGGTGGAACATCCCCTTCTAGTCTTGTCACCTTCCATGGTGGCTCTTCGACATTTAGCTTTCCCTGTTTTCCACGTCAGCATGTCACATTCTACGCGGATTCTGAAGATTGCAGAACTTACATGAGGCGTTTCAATGAAATCAGCATGTTTCAGTGCTGGAACACCCGCCTGTTTGCGCTCTTTATTCATCGCCTCCAGCTCACGTACGGAATATTGCTGTACCTGAGCTTCAATGACCTTGATTATTTCCTCGTAGTCCGTCAGGTCAGGCCGGTGACCTTCAAGGCCAATCATATTCAACGTCTGGGTAGCTTCAAGAGAGCCATGAATATGATAAAACTCGTCTGGCACCTTTGTCTTATACAAGTTGGCCGACATACGACGGTAACCGTTTGACTGAGCAGCCAATAGATCCGTGTCTGATAGCAAAATATTAGAAAAGTATTTCACGTAGTGTTTCGATAGAATGTGACATACCTTTCAATCTAGCCTTCACATTTGGATCCAACTTCGACAGCCCATCGATCTTAGCCATATAAGCTTGACATCCAAATGCCGTTGCTCCCTCCAAGCTAACTCGTACACTGCGCGGTTGCGTACCTCGTCCAAATCGAAGATCAGCAAGTGCCGAGGCCACGGATCCTTCAATACCTTTCAATGCCGCGAGCGTCTCGGTTTCTTTGAAGGGGATCGGAAAATAGATTACATTATGGGTGGAAGAAAAGGAGACCTTGTCTTTATTTTCCAAAACCTCTGTGGGTAGACTGAGTCTTTCCGCCTGGTCACAGAGGTAAGAGAAAATACGACTTGTCTCAAGAACCGGGGAGTACTGGGTGGTATTAGGCACAGATTGGTCTGTCATGATGTGTGCTGAACTTGTTTCGCCTCTTTGCTTAGACCTTCCTGTTGAAAATAATTGCCCTTCTCAGCTACTCTTTCGGATATTGTAAACCACTTTATTCAATATCGTTTGCAAGACTGATTTCGCCGATGACCGATATAGCAATGACGGTCAGCTAATGAAGAATTTTGGGGAGCTTCGTTGTACAAAGCGCAGTTCAAGGTTCGTGAATTTCAAAGAGTTCAAGTTCCAACTTCCAACTTGAAGGCGTAGAAAAGGCGTGGGAGATTTTACCTACGAAATCTACATATATGACGGCAGTGGTTACCCGACGGAGACATTCCGTGCTCGATCCGACCACTGCCGCACATCAGCCGTCGGCTCTAGATCCATGCGGATCTGGGATTCATTCTTAAAGAGCAAGTGATGGAACCCCGCAATTGCATTCGGATGCGACAAGCAAAACCATCCGGCCCGGGGATTGATCGGATAGCGATAAGATCGGATGTGAATGCCAAGCAAATGTAGTCCTCGGCACACAGCCGTATCGGCGTTACTAATCAATGCAAAGGTTCAATATTGGCATCCTAGCCAGGTTTAGGAGGAGAAATTGCTGAAATTAGCAATGGAAGTTCTGCAGCCTGGAGAGAAACCTTAAAATGAATCAATTCATCAACATATGAAGTGACTATAGAGTATTACTACAAAACGAAATCTACCAGGAGGACCGTGGCGTTCCATAATTCCCCAGGCCCAGGTGATGATTGATAGTTGGGGATTCAAATTCAAATTCGGGAATTCGGGATGATGGAGCTGTACATCATGATAAAAATAGTGGGTATATATCTCTTGAGACCGCTTGTATGCTGACTCGGCCAAAAATAAAACAAAAATCGGGAAATTGGGAGTAAGAACTTGTACATGCACACACACCCAAAGAGAGGGGGAGAGGGAGAGAGAACCATTTGAAGAGAGAACAAAAAAAAACATGAACAATTGAAAGAAAAATAGATTCGTAGAACCTAATGAATGGGGAGTTCTTTAATGATTTTCAAGCCCATGAGTAGGCGTAGTGGTGCCTGCACCCGCACCTGGACCTGCACCTGTGCCGGTAGCGGTGAACGGTGCCAGTGGATCGTTCGGAGTATTATCTCTGAACAGTACTGAAGATCGATCTCCGAGAAGATTTGTCGTTGACTCATTCTTTGGTATAATAGGCTCCGGTGTGACGGCTGTGGCCTTGAGAAGGTCTCGTGCAGCAATTCGCTTTGACTTTGCCCTATCGCGTGCACAGTGGAGTATACTAACTCCCGCAAAGAAGGAGAGTAAACAACAGGAAAAAATGATAGCGTCAACATTTCCTTTGTGGTTTCGTTTTTTGGTCGCTGCGCTTTCAGTACTGGTCGCGGTTGCAGTGCTTGTTGTGCTTGTTGAAGTGCTGCTTGTCGACGAACTACTGGAAGAAGTTGATGTAGAAGTCGTTGAAGATGAGGTAGATGAGGCAGATGATGTAGTGGTGGTAGAGCTGGTAGTTGAATCCGATGTAGTAGTGGTAGAGCTAGTAGTCGAAGTCGAAGTAGTCGAATCGGATGTTGTGGTTGTTTCTGAAGTTGTGCTCTCTGTCGTGGATGTCGTTGATGAGTCTGAACTCTCAGTCGTATCACGAGCAAAAATCATATCACGTTCGCCCTCGTCACGAATCTCGAAGACTTGGATAGTTTCATCCGATTCGTACCCCATAGACACACTGGCATCTTCAGTTGGTGGGGATGCGAGGGAATCGACATTGCTAATAGAGTAAGGGCGAGAGACAACGCTGGAGGCGTACACTCCCAAGAGAAGTAAAAGTAGAACTTGCATGACGACTTCCGGTACGAAATTATGGATGGAGAAATAGAAAAGAAGAGCAAAGAGAAGAGAAGAAGTACCAGGGTAATATGCTTATTTTTTTTCTGTCGAGGACTAAATCGAGAACAGGGAAAACTCTTACTAGTCTACTGGTAGTTTCAGGGCCACGACAGATTGACGTACGCACACTGCCAAAAATAACATATTCCAAGATCTAAGCTTGCGTGATTCCACAGCCTCAGTAGTTTATTTTTGCATGTTCCTCCCGAACCCAGCCACTCATAATCTAGTGGAGACCGTTTTGGTTCGATAGCCCATGATAGCACACGCACATGCCGCGCGGCACGGCCCCACAAGGCTGCTGAGGTTGTTGAAGTGTCAATTGAGAGCGGCGAGGACGCGTTGTCGCCTTCCAACCTTTGATTTTTATTTAACAAGGCAATTGATCCCTTTTTTCAAATCTAAAAACCCATGAAACTGCGTGAGAAACGGTATATTCGATATTCTGCCGTGGAAAGAAAATTCCGGGCCAACACGGACAGGGAGACAGCTGATAAGAATATAGCCGTTCTGATTGTTTTTTTTATCCCTTCCCACATCTACTCCCGAGCTGGCCGACATAAGGGGTCCAATGTTGTAACGAAGTTCTATTTTTATGATCTACTGTGTGGCTGTACTCAAGTAGCTCCTGATAAACAGACACTGAACGGCCTCAAAAGTCCGTCGAAAGCTACAGAGTACTTGGCGAGCATGAAGCTCTAGCAACTGACGAAGAGAACAAGCTAGTAGAGACCTGAAGCCTAACATTGTACTGAAAATAAAAAAAATCCTATATAAACACTATATACAAAGCGTGTTAAGTTTTCAACTTCATATTCTCCGCGAATATGCATCTTGGAAACCCTGGGAGAATGGCCGCTCATACATACGATTTTCATATCTCCATTGAGTGAACCAAGGGTAAGAGATCAAAGTTTATAATGGCGGTCTTCTGTAGGGGTCTTTCTGGAAAAGATGTTGTAATACATCTTTACAATCCTGTGACAGGTCTTCGTTGATGTGTAAATCTTCGAAAAGAATTCTTCTACGCCGATCGTAGACCCGAGAGTCAACCCCCCCCTATAATCTAGTAAACCAGACTCACATCCACAAGAAGGGTTATCCCATGGCCAGTACCCATGAAGAAGACCATCAATAATGACACCAAATTTCCAAAGGAGAGTGCGACGAACATCGTTCGGCAACGTCAACCAGGGTTCGTCTCGCCAGTCACGACCCTCGTTTTCCGGCCTTAGTACCACTTCAAGTAGCTCGGGTGACATTTGATACTCCTGGAAAGGGAGATATGCGTATCTCCTATCGAAGAAATCTCGTTCATCTAAACCGAAAAAGACGTTACCTAGATCAATTAGCTGAACGTTAAGTTGGGGATCAACAAGAAAGTTATTAACAGAGAGATCACAATGGAATAAATGAATCTGTGCCATGTCAACGATTCCTTCTAGTAGCTGCGCAGCGATTTTGCAAACAGCCATTTCATCCAAAAGAGGGATGTGAGTTGGTGAAATCAAATATCGCCCAGAAAACGCAGGGAACTTACTGGCATAATCACCCGATTGTATAGTTCGTCGATCTAAAGCTGAATCAACACATGGAGACATAATGATCGACTGAAATCTATCATGGACATAGACAGAGGCCAAATTGGGAAACCTATGACTGCGAGAGAGGAAAAGAAGATACAATGCTTCAATGGGAATGAATTTCACTGATTCAGCATTGTCGTATATAGCAGCCATAGAGTTTGGAATCAAATTTCTCCCCCCTCTGAGTGTGGTATGTCGTTCTACTTTGACTGCATAGTGTCTTGCTTCAGGCCCATAGGGATCATCAGACATGGCTTGACGATCCCGAGCGAGATAAATTGCACCAAAAGCTAGGCACGTATGAATTAGCAAAATTTCGAGCCACAGGAACATTTTAACGATGGTACTTTGAACTTACTTCCGCAGCCTAGTATGCCATATATCTCGACTTGATTTGCTAAATGCTCACAGATATTATTGACTCGGGAGGATGTAGTGTCGTTTAAAATGGGGTTTAAGAAATCGATTCGCGAAGAGTTTTCTTCTTGCTGGAAAGTGGCACCGTCAGTTCGACCAAGTTCAAAGCCATGAAAGACATGATGTTCACATCGTGAGATGGTGGCGTTGTTGCGGGATGCATATGCGTTCTCTAACCTAAATTGAAGACACCGGTGAAGATCAGGGTATTTATTGGATAAGGCGCTATGTGGGTCGAGAAGTTGGCGGGCAGCAACAGAAAGACATTTTTCACCTCGAGCCATGATTCTACCTAGATTATCTGGAGGTCAAGGGAGAAGTTTAAGTAGGCAAGAGCAGATTTAGCGAAATTTGTGACTTGAGGTAGTTCAAAACGAATCCTTACTAGCAGCGCCGTCGAGCGTTAATATACTCGGAGCTTCAGGTTGGCAACAAAGGAGGAGGTCGCTGGAGAGTAAATAAAACAGTGGCTATATACGTACTTGGAAGAAGAAAGTGCCGTTTGTTGGAACAAATAAGGGCAATGGAATATGCCATTGGGGCCATATAATATGAGATCCAAAACCTACTTACAGAACGCTGGTTGTGATATACATAGGTTGAAAGAGCCCTAAATAGAGCTATAATGAACTTTGAAACAAGAACAATGGATGAATGAAAACATTGCCCATTCTTCCCCAAGTGTATGTGCAGATACTCAGCGACTCTCCCAAAACTGTGCATCAATGGCGATAAGCCGATTGAACAATTGGTTTCGAGATCTCATTCCTGTGAGATGATAAGACTGCTCCAGCTCGTCGCCAGAAACCACAAGGCCATCAGCAGCGTCTTTACTACCAGCAGTTAGTTCAACAATCAACTTCCGTTTCCAGCCTAGGCCTTCAGTCTTTTTAAGCTCCTTGATATCCGTGACGGGTATCTGAAAAAGAACAGAGCCCTTTTTTCGACTTTCAATTCGCAAATCCTCCAGTCCAGCAGACTGGTATGTTGTGAAATACAAGACTGGGGGCTCCTTTGACGTGTCAATTACCACAGCACCTCGTTTACGTTCGAACTTTGCATCAAACTTAAGAGGCCCAAATGGTGTTGCGGAGAACTGCCTCTTCTGCAGCATTCCAATCAGATTTTTAGTGTGAGCTGATCCTGCAATGGCCATAGCACGGTCAAGTGCGATATGACCTTTGATAGCAGTTGCAACTGTGTTCCGGATGAACCTGAGGAATTTAAACATCGTTCTTCGCTTCGGTCTCGCCTCTGGCAGAGATCCTGCAGAGTTCGGTGTTTGCAATTCATGAGATGAGCCATTCTTGATCAAGTCCGTGGAGCCCTCAGGCTGCGACTTTTTCCGGGAAATGGGCCATGCCCGGTCATTGTCTCCAGGAACTGGGGGAGGCGGCAAAGGCTCGGAGTTAATTTCGCCGATTCGAAGCAGAGCTAACGTGAGTTGTGCATTCGTAGGTACATCTGCCAATAGTGTTCTAAGAATCTTGTCAGCATTGAAGGTTTAGGAATCCACTTGAGGTGGACAAACTTTTGTATATCCATATGAGATCTCCAGTCAGGGATTTTCTTATCCATAGTCTGCAGCATGTATTTGATGACTGGATCACCAAAAAATCCAAATCCAATCAAGAAGCCCACAGCTTTGATGATCCAGTAGCTCGATATCAACGGTGCAGCAATGGAGACTAGACTGAATATACCGGCCAATCGTAGTCTAGGGGAAATGAGCGAAAAAGGTGGTGTTGGTGCTATTAAACTATTGAATCATCAGCAAGGGGCCCATAATAGATTATCAGAAATCGTACTTGGCAAATCTCTCATAGGTATCAGTGATATCACTTAGCGCACGCATAAATTGGTCAGTGCCATGCGAGACCTTTTCTTTCATAGGCTTTTTGGTCTTATCCTCGGGAGCATCTTCAGCCGGGGCTTCAGTAGTATCATCAGTCACTTCTATTGCATTAGTAATAAGCGGCCGTTCAGAAGTTTCTTCAACCACTGTTTGTCCATATTTGGCGGCAGCACTTTCCATTGCAACAGTAGCAATACCATCAATAAGATTCTTTGCCTCGCGTTCCGCTGCTTCTCCCTTATGGCTTTCTGGTGCCCCGGTGAGGCTGTCCATTGACTCCGGTTGCCCTGTGCTGTCCTTATCGCGCTTTGATACCCTCGGTTTCCTTTCATAGGCAGGGAACATCAAAGTACGAAAAGGACCAACCATTATCAGTGCAACAAGAACGCCGAAAGTAACCGGTAGCAGGAGATCTAGCGCCCATGATGCGCAGTAAACCTAAAACATGTGAGCAACTTATACTATATGGACAATGGCCCTAGTGGATTAACATACAAGGCAAAATACGAAAGTGCGATTTGGGTTTTCCCACGACCTTAATCGAGTTATGTGTCTGAAGAATTCAACCACACCGACAACCACTGATGTGTAGAATCGCTCGATTGTGATGCGTAGCTTCTCCGGGGGAAACCTTTCATTGTCCACGCGATTCAAGTCTAGGCTTTGAGCCTTTGTGTCCTGTACGGCTCGCACATGGTAGATTTGCTTTTTCACGTGTTAATATACGACCCTTGGATGTGTGGAGCCACAAACCTTGTCAAATCGCCGAATCAGCATCCATAAATCCTCATTTGACAAACCCCGAGTGAGGCCCTCTTCTACTAGGCGAGAAGATTGTTTCCATTGGGCATTGGGTGACGGTCCCTTGTTCACTAGCTCGATGGGGCCGCTTCCTTCAGGGGATGAGGTTAAATCGTCGCTATGTCTGTTCAACGCTCCAGAGTCATCTTGGCCATGGCTCATTATCACAAATTCGCTTGGTATGGTAGGCTTTTTGCTTATACCAGTATGATGAAATATACTTGTCCTTTGATGGGTTGTGGTGAATGAGGGGGGCTTGTGTTGTGGCTGATGTCATTGGCATTCCCCGGGTCTAACCGTATTCAGATCAGGGGTCTTATCAATACTTATCCCTTATCTCTTATCCCCTATCGGTTGTCCTCTATCTCTTATCTCATCTTGACCTTGTTGCCTTCATGAAGCCCAACTCCAGGGGCTAGTTAACTATCTCTCAGAGCTGCTATTTCCACAATGCATACCTTTGTCACTCCTCAAAAACATAGGCTGCAAGCTGGCCTGAGTTTCCTTGAAATTTGCAAAATGAGGAAGAAAAATAACCAAAACGAGCAAATGAGCAAAACGAGAAACAAAGGAGGCAAACATCCGGCGTCCCCGTCTGTGTAAGCCCCGGAAGTATTTGGGACAGCGTTGTGTTTTGGTCAAGCTCGCGAGTCGATTGGATGTAAGCCCTGAGTACTCCGTGGTAAGGACAATAACGAGAATTAGTGTCTATGTGGCTTTTACGTCGTGACCCTCACTGAGCCAAAAAAAAATCGGCCTGAAAGAACACTCCACTCTTGCTGATGGATGGAATTGGGTCTCTGGGCCTTTGCTGACTCTCCTACGATCACTGCACTTGATGATCAAATTGCTTCTATCCAACGTCACTTACTGCGGACTAGATACTGATCCAAACAAAGGGCTTTACACAAAATGAACCCACGAACGATAGCCACGAAACGGACATATATATATACCTGTTTAGGAGATAAGAGCGAACCAATCAACCATCACGCTCTCAGTAGCGCTAGATTATAGTGCACGTGAAATTGAAGGTTTCGTACAAAGGAGCCCCATATTCCGGAGTCCAGGTGTTCCAATTGGCGGTCGCGTTCTAGCTTTGTGCGAGATGGATCCATTCCAGCCGCACTAGACTAGCGAGAGTCTCACCAGTGAAGTTTTGGCCCCCATATTCAAGGCCTCTAGGCTCAGCTCCAAGGATATAAAATCCTCATTACACCCAAAGATGAATACAAGCATGCGGGACTCTTTAAGCAATTCCCTCGGCGTACATCAGCGTATCCTTGTCTCTTTCCAGCATGCGTTTCATCGGCGATGATCTGGTCATTGACCGCAATGACAAATCTCCTCTTCAGGTCCTTTGCGCTGGGCTCCCTCGTTGCGCAACAAGCTCCATACAAGCGGCTCTAGAGTCTCAATTTGTTGGACTCCAACCATGTATGCACATGGCATACGTTATACCACACGCCGATCGCAGCGACGTCCTTCTTGAGGCCATAACAGAACGCGATACTGAGAAGCGCCACAAGTTCCTGTACAAGATATTCGATGGATTCCAGGCCACCGCTGATTTTCCGGGGTGTGCCTTCATCGACGACCTAATGGACATGTATCCTGACGCCAAAATTGTCCTCAACAAACGCCCTGGCGGCGGTGAAAGTTGGGCTAAATCGATCGCGATTCTTTCTTGGGCAGCCACATCCACATACTATTTTATTACCTTTCTCTGGAAAACTGACCGCAATTTGCACAACCTGTGGATAACTTATATGGAAATCAGCCGGGAAAAATTCGGCATCACTCAGGAGGAACTATTCACAGCAAAACATTACGAGATTCACAATGCGTGGGTCCACGCTGAAGCTGCAAAACGCGGGCGAGAGGTTTTGGAATACGAACCTTCTGATGGCTGGGAGCCTATTTGTGGCTTGGTTGGAAATGATGCGCCAAAGGAGGAACCGTTTCCTCATCGGAATGATGCCTCTGAAATCCGTACATTAACGAAAGTTTTGTACGTCCGTGGGGTCGTTTCTTGGCTGGCACTGGCTGGTGTAACTTATGGCGCAGTCAGATGGCTTGGTATAGCCAAGTGAAAGCACTCATTATAAGATAATCATTCAACCAGATATTAATAAAACCCATTTATTTGACTGCTGTGAAGCTCGGGGCGGTAAATGAGGACACTGAAAGGACAAGGAAACCCAACGGTAGGCTAAAAAATAAAAGAAATTGCTTGGTCGGACAGTGGTCACTTGAAATGCCCGAGATTCCCGAGCGATATCGTTCGTAGACCGAGTGGGATCCACCTGGGCAGGTCGGCAATTGCTCTGGCAGCGGGTTCGGGGTAAAGCTCGGGGTAAATTCCCCCGGTCGTTGGTGGCCAGGTGTCTCCCCGCGATTATGCGGGGATACAAGATAAGCAGACAAAGCTCCAATTGTGAGCCACCAAGGAATCTTTATGTCCTCTAGTACACACTATGGATGAAGAGATACTGGATAAGCAGAAGGTTTGCAGGATTTGCACTCATCCACTCGCTGGTAGCTAATGGTGTGAATAGACGATTGAGAGTCTCCAAGCGAATTGGATCTGGGTTCCAGACTGGGTCGACTCTTCAGCGATCAACACCGCCGGGCGTCTAGTCAAATTCACACGGAAATTCAATTTGCAATCGAACTCAAGTCAGGCGATATTGCATTTTTCTGCCGATACAAGATACAAAATCTTCGTCAATGGGATACATCTAGCCACGGGCCCCGCCAGAGGGAGTCCCCTCATCTGGTATTATGATACCTTGGACATTGCAAAGCATCTTCAAATTGGGCAAAATGAAATCAACTTTGTGGTCATCCGGTATTTTGCCTCATCTCGTGGGGGAATGCCGTTTGAACGAACTTCTACACCAGGCTTGACAGTCACTGGCAGTGTTAAGACAGCGACCGAGACGATTGACTTAGAGTCGCGACAGCTTTGGCAAGCACAGGTAGATGAAAGCGTAACATTCCCAATGGGACTTGTGGATGATGTGTTTCTTCATGTATGTTTTCTTCCAACCTCTTGTTTCGTCATCTAACAAAACAAAAGATCAGTGAACGAGTCGAGCCCGTCGAGCCTAAGCCGCCCACGACACCTATTGCATATAACCTCAAGACCCTGAATGGAGAGCTTCCACCATGGCGCCTACAACCACGATGCATCCCATTCCCTGAGATGGGAAAAGTGGAAATGAATATTGTCAAATTTCACGACAGTTGTGTCTCGGTCGATAATTGGACAGAGTTTTTTTCGCAGAAACGCCCCCTCACACTCCCATCTGGATCACGCCACGTACTTGAACTGCAAGCGGATGTTCATTCTACTGCATTCCTGAAATGGGTATTCAAAGCAGTTGAGAAGCCATCTGAAATCCGAATTCGAACGACTTACTCGGAGGGATACGAGTTGGAGCCTCGTTCATATCCATTTTTCCGTTCAAAAGCTGACCGCCTAGATAAATCGGTAGGCCATATTCTTGGCCCATACGATGAAGCGGTGATACCAGTACCAGAATTTGTTGAAAGTACATATGAACCTTTCTGGTTTCGAACATTTCGAGTCTTAAGACATGAAATTACAATTGGGGCGGAGCCGGTGACCCTGGAATCGTTCAAAGGGACACAGGTGAACTATCCGATGGCTGTGAAAGCTCAATGGAGCAATCTAGATGACCCGCAGAGCAAAGAAATCTGGGATGTTTCGATTCGAACTATGCGGAATTGCATGTTTGACGGCTATTCCGATTGTCCTTTTTATGAACAACTTCAGTAAGTGCAAAAGCAAAGGGTTCTAGGCGAGAAACTGACTAGTCGACAGATACTCTGGTGATAGTCGATCCGTTGGGCTGTTTCACTATCTTCTGTCCGGAGATGATAGATTGATGCGACAAGCAATCACAAACTTTGGTTCCTCTATCACCCCAGAGGGCCTGACACAATCCCGATTTCCATCTCATGTTCCTCAAGTAATTGCGGGATTCTCACTTTACTGGATCTTACAAATTTGCGATCATCATCTTTTCTTTGGGGATAGCCGGTATTCTCGTTCTTTTATGCCTCGAATTGATGGTGTGCTCGACTTTTTTAATTCGCATGTAGACGAATTTGGGTTGGTCAGCGGTATGCCAGAGCATGTATGGCAATATGTTGACTGGGTAACAACATGGGGCGCAACTGACGAGCATCCCGACAAAGGGGTACCAAAATCTGGCCGGAAGACAAACAGACACACATACTTTAGTATGCTGTACGCATACGTCCTCAAGCAGGCCGCGCAACTTATCCGAGACGCTGGAAGACCAGGGAACGCAACAGAATATGAGTCACGGGCCGACTCCCTAATATTAGCTATACGGAAGCATTGCTACGATGGTCAATCTTTCACTGACTCAACCGTTGATGTTGCTGATGATCTCTCCTATTCCCAACATTGTCAGGTTTTCGCCGTCCTCTCGGGCGCGGCGGTGCCTTCGGAATCGGAGAATCTCCTGGTGACGTCTTTCGAGAATCAGAAATTCTCCAAATGTTCATACATGATGCGTTTCTATGCCCTTCGCGCCCTTGCGATGACAGATGGGAATGCATACGATAGACTTTGGCATAGCATGTGGGCTCCTTGGAGGTCCATGCTAGCAAATAATCTGACCACTTGGGAAGAGGATGATGTTCGCCAGCGTTCGGATTGCCATGCATGGGGAAGCGTCCCAATATATGAATATTGTACAGAAGTGGCTGGTATTTTGCCCATTGCGCCGGGATGCTCCAAAATATCATTCAAGCCCCGTCTTGGCCTGGGTAAGGCTGTTGATGCCAAGGTTGCATTGGGGCAAGAAAACCTAGCGTCGGTTTCTTGGACGACTGGCCCTGACGAGGAGATTACGGTCCAACTCAAAATTACAAAGGCCATAGATGTTGTAAGCCAGCTACCAGGGGCTGAGCTGGTAGAGCATGGAATCGTGGATGAGATTACACTAGTTTATGGGCGTGTTTGATTTCGAGGTTTGCAGAATGTGAGACAAAAAAAGAAGACAAAAACATGTCGGCTGTCTATAAAGCATAGAGTACAAAATTTTGATATTTCTTCTTAGAGAATAATGATAATACTATTTCCCTGTTATCTTCTCTCTCTTGCTCTACACATCCTTCAAGTTCTTCCAAGGCTTTGACGAGGGGCTCACATGTAATCTTAAAGTTGGAATCCAATACTAAAAGAATATTACACTTTTTAGGATCAAACTCCTTGTAAATCGGGGTCAGTAATGTCACTTGAGGTGTCTTCAAGTTCGAGTAAAATTTACTATCTCGTAGCATAGTATATAGCATTCGAATATTTTTCATCTGAAGCAAAAGTTCAGAGGCACATCCATCAACCCTTGATATTAGTGTCACGATCTTGTCACAAGATTATTCCGAGATCTGATCCAGAACCCGTGGATCTTCAGAGCACAGGCGCTACATGATTTAAATTTCGAAAAACAGCGAAATTTCCAATCCGTATATGTAGCGTCGGTTAAAGCCATTCGTCTGCAAAATCCATTCAATTCCAATCATGCGTCATCAACTATGATCTTCCCCGCGTTGTGACTTTCATCAGCCCTCAATTGTACCTCAGTGACATATCCCTTGAACTTCCGAAGATTAACCTTCTTCTCGAATCTGTTCGCGATATTGTTATTAGCTACCCAAAGCGTAATAATGACTTCCAGAGGACTTGGACTAACAATTCATCAATTTCAGCAGGTGTGCGACGTGTGACCTCGGGTAAGATAAACCAGGCCACAATCACTGCTATCGTTCCACTTCCAGCAAAACTGAATGCTCGGTGTTAGTAAATGTACTATCTCGAAGTGATTATAGTGAAACTTACAAAAAACCGGTCTTGACTCCCCAATGCGAGACACTGCCATTGTCTATCATAAGTGGCGTGCAAAAGCTAAACAGGATTGCAACACCATTAGATAAAGCTAGAGCCCATCCAGAAGTCTGAGCTCGCAAGCGCTGCTGTGGAACCTCAGCTGGATAGGCATACCCGATTGCTGAAGCGCCAGTGGTTGAAAAGGTGGCCAAACAAGCAAAGAAGATCTAATATTCTCGGTCAGTAATCATATGTGAGTTTCTTGGTTTCAGCAAAATTGAGACATACCAGTAAAGAGCTAGTTGATGGTTTAGTGTAGTCAAAGCATCCGATTATTCCCAAGCATAAAACTGACAAAACGGTGACAGCGTACGGGTAGACGGTTAAAGGTCGTCGTCCAAATTGATCCGTAAGCGTTGCAGTAAGAATCATTGAAAGGAGCTGTACACAAGACAGGATAACAGTAACTAAGAATGGATTCTTGTTTCCAGCATATTGAACTGGAAGGTTTACCGTTAGGTACTTCTTGTGTCAAAACAACTTGAAGCTGGAGAGATCACTTACAGAAGTATGTCGCATATGTATTGAAAACAGCGAGTCCCACAAATTGTTGCGTTATTTTAGGCCACGAAGCGATAATGAATCGAATCAGATTTCGGCCTTTGAATACAGCGAGTTTACCAATTTCGGCATTTCTCTCTGCAAGCAATCGCTCCTCTGTAACTGTGCCGTCCATCACACTCTGTAGGAGGTCCAAATTTAGCCAATTTCTTAACAAACGAATAGCCTTCACTTACAATTTGTTCTTGAACATCGTATCCTTCAACCTTTCCATTGAATTTACGAAGGACGTTTGCTGCTTCATCAAGCTTGCCCTTACTGACGAGCCACCAGGGAGATTCTGGGATTAGTATGAAGATGATGGCGGTACAACCGATCATTGCCCACTAGATAATACATTCTGAATGTCAGCATACAAGATCAAGCACGCAAAGTTAAAGTCTCCTTTTAATCGCTAGGCTATCCCACCTGAGTATAGATTGGTGTTCGGAAATCCATGGGATCGGTGTCATTCAGTCTGTTAAGAGCAACCGAAGCAAATATTTGTCCGAGAACAAACCAGCTATGATCGTGGAAGTCAGTCTCCTGAGGATGTCACAAACTAGCAGAATGATCCTTACAAGCTATATGCGTTGATATAGAATCCTCGAAGTTGAGTTGGGGCGATTTCAGACAAGTAAAGGGGAAGTGTGGACTGCAGCATTCCTACGCCCATGCCAGAGAAAAGCTTTGCCACGAGCCAATGCTCCCAACGAGTAGCAAAAGATTCGATGAATATGCTCTATATATTCCAGTTTAAGTCAATTATGGAGATGAAAGTTGTCTTTACGGATTCACTCACTATAACGAGATCAACCCAGATGATGTACAGTGCTACCTTTCTTCCATAAGCCTCTGTCACATATTGTAAAAGCTAGATTATAATTAATATTTGTTCATAAAACACTTCCTTTTTATTGACCTACAATTTGTCCAACTGTTTGGCCTGCTGATTGGATTCCACCCCAAGCTGAGACGTATGTGCTATTCATGGTAGTTCTCCCCTTGGAGGCGAATTGACGAATGAATCCAGTATTGGCAACGATTCCTCCATTGAGATTGATTTCTAAACATGCATTAGCCTTTCCATTGGAGTTCCGCTCCGTATTTTACAATAGCACTCACGGTACCCATCGAGGGATGCACTGAAAGATGCAATCATAGCGACCATGGAAATGACTTTGAACTGTCGCGCTGTTTGCCAGACTGAGAGCTCATCGGCTTTGGACCGCAAAACATGTGCGTTGGAGGCTCGTTCATCGATTGAGTGAACATTTTCAATGTTTTCACTATCATTCTTTGGCTCCTCCATATCTTCGATGTTTACAATATGGCGGGAAGATTCGAGGTCCGATTAAGCAATTTGTTCCACGCAGGAAAGTAAACGATTTCTGCCAATAAGTGAGCTTGGCAGCCTACCTCGTATAATCCAGTTTCAAAAATATGTATGGCAGGGGCATTCTTTTTTCAATCCTTTAGAACATGTTCGAATGCGGGGTTCGGTACTTATTACGGGGTAATGTATTGTGATGAATTGGAATCACATAACAAAGCTGAAACTTAAATGCGAATTCGGGCATTTGATTACAATTGTGTATAAAGTGATATCACATGGGATTATCGCGGATATCTTTAAAGGGCAAATTCATTTCCCGACTATGGTCACTGGCGTGGCCTAAATGAATTGGTTGAGGGCCAGCCTGCGATATAGCATGACGGCCCTTCGAAGGGACGCAGTCACCGGGCTATTTCTCGGGCAGGACTCTCCCGAACTAGAAAGTGGAAAAATATTTCGGTTTCAAGTTCTAGCTCCCCTAGGCTCAAGATTTCAAGGCTTCTTCCAAGGTTTGAATGCATGATCCCCAAAAACACTTTCGATAGATGATCGACTTTCTGCAGTGACGACTTAATTTTATTCTATTGACAAGACCAGCAATGAAGCCCGATACAAAGTCCATTGGTAAAATAGAACGGGGATTTCTAAGGCCTCGTATAAAAGTGTGGAGACCGAAGTTCTTCCGCCGAATAACCATGTTTATTCCAATTCAACAATACTTAGCGCCGGAGTTTGCTCCAACAGGATAATTTCCGGCGGTTGTGGGATCACAGGGGCTTCAAAAGCCGCAGCATTGATAAAGATATCCCAGAATGAGTGCTGTACGACCAGTGCTCTCTTGATGGCTGCATTATTTGCTTAGAGGTATTTTATGGCTATCATGCGTAGTTCGTTCGTCCCCTAATTTCGCAACCCTTGGAGCAATGCAAAATCGCCCCTGGAGAATGCGGAAAGAGAAGAAAAAGAAGAGAGAAAAAGGCATGTTCCATGAGAGAAATCCCACCAGTAATATAGCAGGCAAAAATATTTCTCGACATTGTCGAATGAAATTTCAAACTTTGGTCTTTGTCAGCCAGCGCCGATGCAGCGATATTGTCTACCAACTACTACTAGTAGTGCGTGCGATTTCCAGGTCTATTGACGTGGTCTAGTCGAAACTAAATGGCCTCTATCTCGTAGAAATGCATATATATATCCCAGATAATGTCTGGCAACGCTTGGCGCTCCTGTTCCGTTCTAGTGCTCACCCCTCGCCGCTTTATGATCACTGAGATTATTTTCAAGGTTTTCAACTAGTATTCTTACATCCGTATTACCTTGAGAAATACGAAGATTTTCCACCGCCCGTTCTCGTTCTCGCTCGCCAAAATCCACTTCTCTTCCCCACCTAGGCTCCTCTAGGGTTTACAAGAAGATAATCCCCGAAATGTCTCCACTCAGGCATCTTCAATGACACACCTACGACATCTTTAAATCATCTTTCCTCTTCTCAGATTAGTCTACCACTGGGATAGAACTACTGGGACCATGTCTTCCGAGTCCCCAGCTCTTTTGCCAGCGCCTTACGATGAAGAAACGATAGTCACCCAATTGACCTCTATTTACACCTTACTTCACAAGCTGAGCTACTACTGCCCCGGGGACGTTGTATTCCCTCCGGCAGGTGGCCATACCATCAATGAGGAGCTATGCTATGAGCTCCTTCTTACTCCAGAGGTAGTATCTCTTATAAAGAAGATTCCCTATACGGTTGGCGGCTACGAAAAACCACCTTTATTACAATCCCGTGCCTATGAATATCTTAATGATGACGATATCCGGAATGGCCGCGATCCTGAAAATACTGGCACGAGTGAACCGTTAAGAATGGATTTTTTGAAACCATGGGAGATTGCACTGACTTGCTGGGTGCAAATGGATGATGGATTCTCAGTCATTCTGAATATCAAGTCAAGTATATTCCCTACCCTTTGTATTTGGAGAAAATAATTAATAGTAAATTAGATATCATTCAAATCATAGATGGATCTAATTATGGTGATGAGAATGACTTCCGGGCCTCGGAGGAAAGCAAGGCCTACCATGCCCCTACCTACCTCCCTGGAATTATCGATGATATTTTTAATTTACAATATATCTATACTACCGATGGAAATATTATCCACCCTGAGTCACCGGAGCAAATTCAAATAAGGCGGATTCTGACCGGGGAGTATGGTTGGGGGTCGGATTTTCGGGAGGAGGACTGGCGACGAGAGGGAGAGGATACCTGCCAAAGGATATCGGATGTGCAAATGGAAATGTGGGAGGTGTGATCAGGTGCTTACGTCTCTACCGGAATGAAGAAATATTTAATTTGACGTCAAAAGGTTAGGTAGATAAAGAATGATGATATTGGATAGAGTTCTTTTGATGAAGTAGGTACACAAACTAATCCTTGGAAGACTACAACTTCCAAGTATTCATACATTTTATATCAACCACGGTTCGTATGCCTCACTTGAGGGGCCCAGGGCTGGGACCCTCGGTAATTCATTTGTCCGTTCTTTGATCATTCCTTCAATATACTTGCATACCCGTCAAGCGAGCTGATAAATGGTTTGGTTGAGTCAAATTTGAGTGATTAGATATTCTGATTGGACCACAACGCGGTGTGCCGGCTGACTCTACGGTTGATTGTCTAATAGCACCTTGGGCTTGACATAAATAGGCTAAAGTGCTCATTCCATTGTCTCAGAACTATGTACCATGTACCCGAGAGATCCTGGGTATCGGTGAACTGCATAGAATGCCATTTCATGTCCCATATTGCATCTATAATTCTGCTGTGACTGAAACAATAGTTTTGAGCATTGATATGCTATTTCCCTGCGAAAGTCTAGAGAACCTGATGGACGCGGACCCGACAGAATCATAAATCCTGATTGGAAAATGGGACAAGAGCAGGTGTCAAATCCGGCGGCTCGGCGAATTCTCGATCATATGGCCACATCGGACGATGAATTCGACGATGTCCAAGACGCGGTAAGTCTTGATCAACACCCCCCGGAGTCAGTGCAAGCATCCAGTCAACAGCCATATCAAACAGCTCCGGCTCTAGATATCCTATTTTCACAATCACAACATCTGCCCCACGAGGATCAAGATTCAGCTGCGTAAAATCAAACTCATGGTGATAAGGCTTGCGCAACTTTGTAATAATAACAAAGACACTTCCAACTTGAAGCACAGCCTCAACAACAGCATCCCTATCACCATGTCTGATAGAGTGAATACGTCCAGTCATTTGAATTGGCCCATGATGGAGGTTGTCAACTTGAGCACCCACTGTCACGGTAACAATGGCATTTATACCTGTTTGCAAAATGATATCAATTGCTTCCGGGCCTGGAATGCTCGCGTAAATAACTTTTGGGCCAGCCGAGTTCTGAAATTCAGGACGAGATAGAACGCGATGCAGACTCCAAGTAACATCTCCAGCCCCTCCAGCGGTGGGGTTGTCACCTGAATCTGAGATAAAATATGGTCTGCTGGTTGACTTCAGAGCGGAATCAATGCATTCGGACAGAGATCCAGTGGGTGCGACAAATTCAAATGCATCGCGTTGGTCCCAAAAATGCTTTGCCAGTTTATGGGCACCCTGTATAACTGGCTCCTTAGCCCACCCCGTGACAACCACGACAGCGTGGTTTCGAGGCTCATCAGCCCAGGCATAGCCAACCCAAATACTTGCATCCAAAACTCCCGTTGTCTTTATAACACCTGGAATCAGGCCGTAGAGTCCTTTCGCGGGTTCCATACGAGTGGATGTCTGTTCTCCCGGTAACAGAATCGGAATTGCAACTCTTGCCTTCAAAGGCCTAGTAGGGGACCCATTGGAGGACGTTAAGACATCAACAAGGTCCTGACAAGCTCGCTCTTTAGTCTCCATCGCGTCCTCATGCGGTGCCATTCGGTAACAAGTTATCAGATCGGTTTGATGCGCCAGTTCTTGAGAGACATTTCCATGCAAATCCATTGATGCCGATACAATAACTTCAGGACCGATCACCTTCCTAATCCGGTAGAGAAGATCTGACTCTACATCATCAAGCCCTTCAACGCACATTGCGCCATGGATATCGAACCAAAGGCCATCGATGACAATTGAGCTCTTGAACTCTTTCAAGCGATCGATTATTTCATTTGCTAGTTCCTCGAATGATTCACGCGATACAATGCCTCCCGGAAGTGCATGACCTATAAGAGCCCCATGCCATGTTGCAGATTCCCCAAGCCTAGTTCCGGGATGAATGAAGGAGTATTTTTCAATCACCTCATTCCCGCGCCGTGGATGAAATGCTGCAGCCAGGGTACGAGCTGGGGAAAAAGTAGAGGTCTCGCAAGCGAGGCCCGCGATGACAATATTCGGCCGTTTCGACATCGTATCTTGCGGTTCTTTCACTTCCGGAAGTGTTCACGTCTTGTCTGAGTTAAAATGCGAACTCAATTCTCTAGTCCAAAGGCGCCACGTGGAATCAAGCATCTACTATGAGGTTGCACTGACATTCAGTTGTTTCCCACCCTCGGTTATCTCCCCATGCAACGTCGCGTCGAACCGCCTGGCTGAACACTAATGAGCACCGACCCCGCTTTAACTCTATACAGATGTCAATGGATTCAAGGGCTCATCGTGTGGGGCACACACCTTCCTGTGATAGCACTAAGCACTTTACGCTGGAGAGTGAATGTTTTGAATTTTGTCACGGTCGGGGGGGGGGGGGGGGGGCGGATGTTGAGTCCACGAGTGATTCCAGTCGTCAAAACAACTCCTCGGGAGGGAACAACCCTGCACCAAACGCTTATCTTCACTATCACTAATCACATATCGATTGGGCAAATGCTTAAATACCACCTCGGGGTACATGACAATTTTATCTTTTATCTCTACCCCGCTGATCAGCGTTCTAGTGTTGAAACGATCCATCCTATCGGTGATATTAGCGATGCGGAGAAGACGAAATTGGAAATCTCCACGGAGGATACTCTTACTACAAAAATTCAGATAAACACACCTTTGACCGCCATAGAGCCCGGTCGCAAATCGCTACTCTGAAAATATTTCACGTCGACGCTCTCATGTTGAAAAAGACGTCAACAGGAAGTTGGATGCCGGCTTGGGTCCCCGAGTCGACATTCACTGTTTCGATACTGTTGCTTATCTGCTCAATTGTTCAGTCTGCTGTGAGTTAAATTGGTAAATTGCAAAGCGCTCCCCAGACATGGGTGCTAACATTTATGGGTAATATTTCTAGACAGGCGGCTATGACGGATCTATGCTGAATGGTCTGAATATTCTTCCATCTTATACAGATTACTTCCGCCTCAACGAGGCAACAACGGGCCTTAACACATCATCTGTCTTTATTGGTGGTTTCCTAGGACCGTTAGTATCAGGCGTTGTAGCGGATCGATTAGGCCGTCGCCCTGCCATATTTTGGGGGTCTTGCATAACTATCGTGGGAATCATTCTACAGACGGCTGCGCAGGATATTGCCATGTTTGTGGTAGCACGAATTATTCTTGGATTTGGATCTCAAGTATCTGGTATTGCCGGAGGAGTATACCTCGCAGAGACATTCCCAAGTCGATGGAGGGCTTGGGGCGTGGGACTCTTGAACGATTTCTTCTAGTACGCAATCCCGCTATATTCCTATACGATGAAATTGCTTTTAACGGAGATTGCAGTGTTGGAGCCTTGATGGCAGCTGGTATAACACTTGGTACTGGCCAGTGGCAGTCGACGTGGGCATGGAGAGCTCCCTCTTTATTTCAAGCGGTTTTCTCGGGCCTTTGCATCTTGACCTTGCCATTCATGTAAGCTAAGATGCCACTTCCTTTTCAATTCATGGCTAATTATGAATTCAGTCCTGAATCCCCTCGATGGCTTGTTCACCAAGGATATTATGAGGAGGCACGCCTCTCTGTGGCTCAGACAAACGCAAACGGAAATCTGTCGGATCCAATAGTCATTGCTATATTTAAAGAGATTGTGGACACTTTGAAATGGGAAAAGGAGAATGGATCGGCAATGAGTCCCATGGAGATTTTCAGAACACCCTCTGCTCGGAAGCGGCTTCTTATCGGGATGTCCCCTGGACCATTTTCTTGTATAGCTGGAAATATCATTGCGTCGTACTACTTTGGTTCCGAGCTCAACAGCGCAGGTATTACTGACACGAACGATCAACTGAAAGCAGTAAGTATTTTCCCTTTGAGGAAGATTTCATATTTTGTTTTATTGACCTGACGCTTCACAGAGTGTTGTTCTAAATGCTTGGTGCTTGATATGCTCCCTGATAGGAACTCAACTTTTGGCTAAATGGGGAAGAAAGCCAACAGCAATGCTTTCACAAATTCTTTTGAGTGCATGTCTATTCATCATTGGCGGATTATCGAAGGTATATGCTGCTAATCCGAAAGACGCGTCGAACTCTTTGGTTTACGGAAATGTGGCCATGATGTTTCTATTCCAAGGCTTTTACTCAATTGCGTGGACACCACTTCTCTATCTTTATCCCCCGGAGATCATGAATTACTCAATTCGTGCGAATGGAGTGGCTTTCTCTTCATTTGTTCTCAATGCATTCGCGTAAGTCAGCACCATATATTATGCTACTTTGATAAGTCTGCTAACCGAGCACAAGGTTGGTGTTTACTTTCATTATGCCAATTGGACTTGGAAACATTGGCTGGAAGATGTATATGATCAACGCGTCTTGGGACCTCATCATACTCGGTCTTATTGTATGTCTTCTTTGCCCAAGAGTACTTCTCACATATTCCCACGATAGCTGACAGTAATAGGCATACTTCTGGGTCGAGACTAAAGGCAAGACTCTGGAGGAAATAGACGCCATCTTTGAAGGGGAGAAGCACTCGTCCGTACCAGATGTTGAGAAAATTCGGCGGGGACAAAAGGTCATTGACACGGAGGTCCTTGAGGAGCAACTTGAAGCAGAGTTGAAAATTCATTAGAATATCCCCGTGTCCAATACAACGTACCGCAATGTCGCAACATGTGTTTGGTTTCGAATCGATCAGCGTCCTAGAAGAATATTGCAGTCGGCTCCGGAATCTGAGAAAACAAAATCTAAAACGCAATAGTCCATTCCAAAATTGCACTTAAGAGAGGCTTGGGATACATTCATTTTACTAGTATTAATATTAAACAATTAACTCTCTGAGTTTGCCCACTTCATTCACGTCAACATCATCAGTCTGATTAACCAGCGCACTTGAATGGAACACAGGCGCAGATGTTTTCTCATTCAAGAGCCGTACATTAGAAGGCCTCACACCCCCTCCCACTATAATTTCTGGCACCCGAGTACCAACCGGGAGAATTTGTTGAACGCGACGAAGCTCTTGAAAAAGGCGACCTAATTCATCAATGCATTCCAACGCGGTATTCCCCGACGGGCCGCCACTTGTTAATATCGAAGCAAAGCCACATTTTGCAAGTTCACTCAGCGTCGCACCCCAGTGATGCTCTGGAATGCAATCAAAGGCGCGATGGAAAGTACATGGTTTTCTTCCAGCGAGTCGAACCAGTTCTGTATTTCTCTCAATGTCAATCCATGAGTTCGAGTTGGTATCCCCTGGTTGTTTTTGGTTTAGAATTCCAAAAACAAAACCATCCGCTCCAGCTTCCTTCATAGCAACCAAAGTGGATTTCATGATCTCAAAATCTTCCTTGTTGTAGACGAAGCCTTCGGAATGTGGGCGGATCATCACGAAGATTGGAATCGACAACTGGGATTTCAGCTGCGATAACACCCCTGGGTCTGGTGAAAGCCCCCCAGATGCATAATCATGGCATAATCTATATGTATATCAGTTAACATGCTCTTGACTAACAAAAGATTTATTTGCTTGCAGAGCAGACCGGCAAGGGGTAGGGGATAAGGGGTAAGGTGGTGAAATAGCGATCACTCACTCAATCCGATCGGCCCCGCCTTCAGCCGCACTGATGGCCGATGTGCCATTGAAACATGCGATTTCTAAAAGAGGACGTGGTTTTATGTCGTGCAAAGACATGGCGCAAGATCTTGCAGCTGCAAACCTGCTTCTACTATTCAAATATTTCGATGACCAGGTGTGCACTGAGGAGGTGGGGGCGTCCGGGCGGCCGCGGGGTATAAGATGGGCTCCACGACTAGCCGAAGCTACTTAGCCCAAGGCATTTAATCCCGCGGTGAGACCTTGTCAACATCTAAGTTTGAACAAGTAAACAATATATGTCTATATTCTCATCGATGTCTATTGGTGTCCTGCATTAATTCCTGGTATGTGTGACCGTATAGGTCCATAGGGTGTACGAAAGTAGATCTTATTCAAGTTTACTTTGTTAAAAGATTATTGGACAAGTAGATACATAAATAACTCGCAGGAATGTGAATATATCGCACAAATAATGAACAATACAATTGAAAATAGGTAGCTATAAAAATGAATGAAACACTGTATGAGTCCAACGACTTCTGTGATGACTCCAATAATCCAGTCAGCTTCACACAAATTGCGTTAAGTTATTAAAATGTGACCCTGGGCTGTTAAGTAATGTGCAGTCATCAGGTATGTCTTCCAAGAGGTCTTCAAAGTTTTCAGGCCACCATGTACTATATTCCAAACTCTGATAAGTCCGTGGGTGATGTGAATCATCAGGTGCATTCATATTTCCGCTCGATGGGCTTAACTCTTTTACCGATATTGGGCCCGATATAGCGGAGCTAAGACGTTCTGGCTTTGGCAATTCCAAGTTCACCTGGCCACCTGAACTTAGACTTGACATATGGACAACTTCACCAGCTGTTCCTGTCTGTTTATTGGTAGAGTCAGTCTGTTCCTCGGATGTCGATGAAAAGGGAGACATTGGAAGGGGTTGGTCAAAGTCAAATTGACTCCTCCAAACACCCTCCTGGGAGTTGGAAAATCGGTTCCAATTAAATATTAGAGAGTGATCCGGGCTCTGTGAATTCCGTGGTTTACGCGAGAAACTTTCAGGTCTCCATGTATATGGGTATTTGTCATGTAATTGACGGTAGTCGGTTGAGAAAAATCGCGCGAGTACTTTGACACTCATTTGATAGAACGTGGTTCGAAATACCTTTGCGAGAGGATATTCACCTTCCAGCTCTTCCAGTAGAGCTAGAGCAGTAAGAACAGTGTGATCGAGAACTTGAAATGACTGGTTCTTCAATGTTAGATTCATAGCAACTTGTCAAAGCTAGCAAAACACATACCATTCCTTGGGCCACCTGAACGGAACTCCAGAATGAGCAAAGAAAAAAACTACCTGATATCTGCGAATTAGACTGCGCAAAATGTAATTGTAGTGAGACTTCTGCTCACCTGCAATAAATATCCAGTTCGTCGACAAATACGAAATGTTGTTCAAGCCAAGAAACCGCATCTCACGGTAGAGTTGGATAACTCTTTGACATGCTTTCACCAGTTTGAAGTAGCTTTCTGTCAACTCCGATTCGCGGGACTCATTCAAACATTGGCAAGGATGAGGATCAATGGAATGATCCTCGACAATGTCCTCGGGAATCAACACATTTTGACGATATAATGTGATGATATTTTGCCAATACTCCAACTCCATCATATATTCGCATCCATTAAGGCAAGTTTGAGATGACCTTGGGATATTCAGTCTCCATCTATCGAGTTTTGTAGTCATATCTCGCCGCCAGCTAATAAATTTGCCGCATCTAGCAAGGGATCGAGACGTCTCGAGAGACGATTGAAATGAGTGATCGGTACCAGTGGAGCAGGAATGCTGACATTGGATCATGCGGTGGATTTCAGACTGCAAAGTCCTCAGTTTCATAACATGATGTGTTGCATATCTGTAGCTTGGCAAATTCTGAGAGATCTTCAAGTTCAAATTGAGAGGCTCATTCCCATTGAGAGGGGAATCGTCGGCTGTGGATGGGTATTGAGTAGTCACGACTTCATCTGGAATGAAGAATGGGCGACCTAAGTAGGGAGCAGAAAGACGTTCCAAACTATATATAGACCACCATAAACGACGACGCAGATCCACAATGTCGTTGCCACCGAAGGAATTGTATCTAGGCTCTTCCGGGTCAGAATCATGCCCTCCAGACCTCGATGCGAAGTTATAATCGGAGTAAAGGCGTAAATCCGTAGCGGAACGCATAGCTACATGGACCAGTCTTTCCAATGAAGGAGTTGCGGGTCTGAGTAGCGTGCACAGGGAGAGTAAAATCAGTGCTTGCAATTCCTCGAGTTTTCTCGGGTAATCTAAAGGTCGAGAAATGGAAAGGTATGATTCAAGGTGGACCATTGCAGATGACCTATACAGCTCCGGTGCATTTAAGACATGGGGTGAGTCCTCTTTTGGCGACACGTGGTTATTTGCATCCTCATCTTTTATAATGGATAGATTTTTCTTTTCAGCTCCAATCGCAAAAACCATAAAGGCAGTATACAACTTCAGGGAACAAACAACCCCTTTAGGAACCAAATATAAGTCATCCAGGATTTTCTGAAAGTCGTCACGGCGCAAAACAGGTGTATATGGATTTATGTGCTCAAAGTAGAGTCTTGTCAACTCTTCAGCTTCCTCTCTTTGGCGAGGGAGCTCCAATGATTCTGCCTTTGGGCCATCAAATAAAAGGTCATATAATGAGGTGCGAACAGACCCGGTGTCTTCATTTCTGGCACCTCGACTCTCCTTCGTCATCACATGTCGTACCGTCGCTCCAGATAGAACTTTCTCAATTCCAGTTGCAGAGAGGACTCTGAAATTTGTAGTACCACGGAAGCATGGGTCATTTGTAGAAATTGTCAGAGACTCTACGCTCCCAAGAAAGATATCATCTTGCTCTGAGTATTGAGAATCGCATTCATCTTGCCTAACTTTTGGCGAAGTGGTATTTTTAGATCGATCATACTCCTCGTTGGAACAAGATAAATCGCGCTGTTCTTTGCATGGAATATCAGGATCTTCAAGTTCGATACCCGGGTTGAGGGGAATTTTGTGACGAAAGAGGAGCGAATCAAGGTACTTCAGTCGATTCTCAAGATAATAAACGTAACTCCGTGGAACCTCTCGTTTGCTGATTGGATCATAGCCAACGCATCGAGATTGGGATTTCTCACAAGGCTTGCATCGGGGGAGAGATTGATCACATCTGTGCTTTCGCAATCGACATCTTTTACAAGCTGACACATTGCGGAAAGAGGGGCCACCGAGCGAGGCATCTCTTGTCAATTTCGGCGATAAATTGGAAACAGTCATATCCGCCCTCCGAAAGCATGTGCTTCTATTGAAAGGCGAATGATCGAATAAACTAAAACGTCCCAAGACAGCGATTTTGAAAGATTGCTGGACAACTTGAAGGAATATTCAGAGATGACTGTAATGGGCTCAGATAGCAAATCAAGTTATAGTGCGCATGTGGGGAAGTAGTAGTATATCATATGATAGTATTCTTCTGTGAGCAGTGCTGTGATTAGCGAAGAAGTACTTTTGGGTAGCATATCCATGTTCAAGTTATTGACAACAGATGGAATCGCGCATAAAAACTGCTATTACTCGATTGAAACTGATTTAACGCATATGGCTGATAGTGACGCAGGATTTTGCAAGAATTACTCGATTAAATTCTGTCAAAGAAAACAAAGATAAGAAATATTTGGGGTTCTGCAGGATTATATTACTCGATGAAAACACAAAAGCGGGTGTTGGGGTCGATCACCACCACTAATCTATACACTTTCCGCGGAAAGGTAATGCTTGTGGCATCGAAGCTTAGCCCTAGAGGGAAGCATAAGGGGAGATATGACGTTGGTAGCTCAATCTGAGCATGCAAGCTAGTAGCCGATATGGCTCCAGTCACCTGGATAATGTCAATTAGGTGCCCGATGCTAATGAGAATTGGGTCAAAGCACGAAGGCCAACCTGACTAGGGTGAGAATGGGGTAACTGAGGGATTATCGTGGGGTGGAGCTATGGAGACCATCGTATTACTTTGCCGAGCTGGAACACTGCATTCATATGCTGACTTGAGACGTGGTGTCTAGGAGTAAGGAGAAAAGTCTTTTGTTTACTCGATAGCTATTTGTATTTATGGCTTTAACCACCGATATCGGCTACAGTATAATGGCCGAGGCTCACTCCTGGTGCTCCACTGTGGAGTCCCCCACTTTCTTCTCCTCATCAAGCGGGGTGTCCACTTCATATGGGATTTCGTTCCATGTCTCACTCGTCGCAGGAATGGGAACCACGTACTTAGCAAGCAGCCAGTACACTCCACCGGACACAATAAACCCGGAAAAATAGTTGACATCATAAACGTATACTGCACCGACTGGAACATTGACCCCCACCGCACCAGCAAACCCGACAATGTTAACCAAAATGCCACTGAAATAAGCGGCATATCCATGCCACGATATACCAAATGTCCCATAATAAGGGCCATCACGGCTGGCACTGTATAGTTCATGGATTTCCAAATAACCCTTGCGCACCAGATAGTAGTCGCTGGCCATCACCCCAGCGATCGCCGATAAGAAAACGGAATACGCAGAGAGGTATAGGGTAAACTTATTAGATGATGCGACGAGGGTCCACTGTTATTGAATCGTTAGTTATGATGCATGTTAACCAGGAGGAAGCTAAGTAATAATACGTACGGGACACATAGCAAGCCCAATAGCGGCGCAAATATAACCGCCGCGTCTGATTGTACAGAATCGTGGCAGTAAAGCTGTTAAATTCGTTCCAGCAGAAACCGAATTGGCCGCAATGTTTGTTCCCAGCTGTGCCAAAGCAAATCCGCTGGCAATAACAAAAATGCCAAATCTTTCCGCCGAGCTAGCATCTTCCAAGAACATCCCTAAAAGAGTCAATGGATTCCAGACAGATTGGTTAAAAATGACATTTGATGAAGAAGAAACAACAATTCCAATGAATGAAGTGATGGCAAATCCAACAGGAATTGTGATTAGTTGCGGCCAGAGAGCATCTTGCGGCTTGCGGGCATATCTCGCGAAGTCAGGATTATTAATGACTAAAGCAGCGAAGTTGGCAATGCAATTCATAATACTTTTCACAAATACCCAAGCAAGTGCGCTTCCGTGAGCAGTATTTGACTGAGTCATAATAGGGCCGAGTCCGTGGGCTCGGGCAATGGCCCACCCAAAGAATGCGATAGCACACGCCGGGGAGAAATATGCCTTGACCGTAAAAAGATGACGGATTTTATAAATTGGGAACCAAAGAGCGGGTAGTGATCCGAGCCAGAAGAGAAAGAAGCTCACAAAATCTTTTGTGGTCACTCCAGCACTAGCAGGCATTGAGTTCGGTAAATTGGCATAACTAGGCCAAATAGCCTGGATCATGAGGGTGACACATTCGCCTTTTGAACTTTGTCAGCAAATTTTTGAACTTCTCTTGGTGGGATGCCTCATTGTTGACAAAAATTACCTCCAAGGTAGGTCTATCAGAGGAAACCATTGATCAATATACGGGTCATCGAAATGGGATACAGAAGTCTTACCTGAACTCCATACCAGATGACAGCCATGCCTGCCCGGTTGAGAATGGGCCAAAAAGAACCCCATACACCAAAAGACGCACGATTGGTTACCGCAAATGGAATTCGATAGATAGCTGCAATCCGACCGAGTAGGCATACGAATAAAGCAGCTATAGTATACCCGATCCAGACGCAAAGCCAAGATTGCCACCAAGAGAGGCCATCAACTATCATAGAGGATGAAATCATCCATGTGTTCTGGGGTGGAAGGGAATTTCGAGTCAGTGACTTTGTATCCTCATAAAGCAGTATTCAGAAACAAGGTAGAGATGAGACCAACCACGTTCAAAGAGTCTGCGATCCAGAATGCAACAAAGTTGAGCCATCCCCATTGTCGACGCTCGGGTTCAACTAGTTGTCTTAAATTAGTCTCTTGTAGCTCATGGGATATAATTTTGCTTTTTCGCTCGATATATTTGTCTAGTATATGGCATTCCAACTCGGATATCTCTGTGGAGTCGGCTCATTTACCTGGACGGAGGTCATCATTTGTCAACATTAGCTCTGCTGTGGTCAGGCCAGGCTCCGTGGGAGCCTGTATTTTCTCAGCCCAATATCTGAGTCGACCCATCTCTTTGAAAAAGGTTCAATTCGTCTTTGTAGATATAAAAGAATAGAGATACTGAGTATGAAAGGGATATGCAACCATTCGCAAACTAGCCTCCAATCGAGACTTGGTGAGAAGATATAGTAAATTTTTACTCTTCAAGAACCGCAGAGAACTTTATTTGTATAGAGGACCCTCTACCCGCGGAAAAGGTCCGATAATCACAGCTGAACAACTCTGACGATCTCTGTTTTGCCGACCCCCAGATTCTCCATGTGAAGCTTAACCCCGCATCTGTTATGGATCCCATCCCCACATACTGTACGGCCTGGCATTTAGTTAGGTAATAAATAGCCACCAGGCGACGAGATCGGCCTGGTCAATAGTGCACCGCGAAACGAAGTCCAGGAAAACTACAATTTAGGACGGGTTGGAAATGTTATTACGTCTTCCTCAAACTCAGAACTATCACTCCGCCATTCGGATAAAATAGCGCTCAGAGCGAGACATGAATTCTTCATTCTTGCTTTGAAGATCACCACTTCTCATCAATATACTACTTGTCCCGAATTTCGAAGTTCCCCTAGCTTCGAAAAATGTGTAACCAAATTGTTTGTATGATCTTGAGAGAAGGAGAGCTAGCTGGAGACCATAAGTGGAGCCTCAGGCCTTAACATCTTGAAGTGGGGCTGGCTGCTTCAGGCACGGATATCGTCGCATCTCTCTTTCCGGACACAACTCCAATTTTGGTCAACGTTGCGCAAAATATTGCCATGCAAGCTGCACTAACACACAGAATCAATTGGAGACTTTTTGGCACCAAAAGAGTTATTGACGGTGCCGCAAAGGTGCCGGAGGCATCGATGGTGGCATGCACTTGGTTTGTCAGTTATATTGCAACATTAAACGCAAAACTAGTTGAAAATCTCCCAAAAGCCGCGACATTACCAATATTTACCCGAGATCAATTGGAATCATTCCCGGAGGAGATAGGATGATAGCTTCATCATCAGTTCGGCGATTTATCGCATCTGCGATGAGAGCTGTGATTACATGGTTTTGAGTCATCTAAAGCATCAAGTTCTTATCAACCGCTCCTCTGCGCGTGTCAAGAGTTACACGGCCAGGCTTTCTCTCTGGTCACGTATTCTCGGGAGACTATTACTCTTCTAGGTCTCCTAAAACGATTATTTCTGGATTTGTGAGTGTTGAAGTTGCAGGCAGTCAGCAACTGCATCTCCTTCAAATGTTTCCCTGCCCATACTCACCTTAGTAATATCCTGTTACATAGTTGGAAGTGAAATATTGCTTGATCGTAGAGAACTTCAACTCTATGTTCCATATCTGCTCGACACTGGCGAGTCGTTTACCAACAAAATTTATCCCATTGATCTCTTGGATACGGCCAAGACTTGGAGTTGCATAAAAACTTACAGTAACCGAATTTTTCAAACGATTTCATGAAATATTTACCAGCTTCATATACTTGAACAACCACTCTGGCTGCGCCCTTTACTTTGCAACTGGAAAATCCTAAGTTTAGCTAACATTTATGGATATAAAGAAGGGTGAGCACCCAATATCGCACTGTCGTTACTTCGCCAGACATCTTTGAAAGACAAGGACTTGCCTCCAGGGCTGGACGAACAGTCAAAATTATTGCCGGACCATGGAGAGTATCCACGGATAATCTATAGAAAGCGATCAAAGGCCATACATTAACCTGCAGAGTTGGTTTGCAGCTAGTGCATTTACTGACTAATTATAGAGCTGAAGAATAGGCTGTGGCGGTCAGGGTTCTGATTTGCATACTGTCCCTGCATATATGCATTTCTCATTTGTAAACAGGGAGTTTAGCATTTTACATTGACTAACTTCCTCTCAGAAGCAAGTGAGGGCTAGCTTGGAAGTGCTATTTTGGAAATTAGCCCGTCGCTCAATACACGAAATTGCCATTGAATCAATGGGCCAAGCGGATTTTGTTCTCTGATTACTGGGGCGAAGGAGTCTGTTTTTGTTTTTGACACGCTACATGCTAGTAGTGCCTCAGAGCACTGACTTTATTCCGTCAAACTCCGGTTGGTGGCGCATCCTCAATACCAACTAGATCAGATGTCTTTGTTGGTAAGATCCTTTACTAGCTCTTTACTAGTTATTTAACAGTTGAAATTTAAGACCAAATGATCTTCACCGTCGGCGTTGATTTCCACAATAGGTCTCAACGACCGATGCCTGTTCCTTGAGTAATCTCCACAATATGCCTCTGAATATGCCCTTTGTTCTTGTTTTCTGGGGATTGGTTGAGGCGTGATCTGAAGGATCATTTACTAATAAAAAAAAAGGCCTGCTTGTTGCATTCGAGAACCTTGTGACACGGTCCTTGCCTTACAGCGAGTCGTTGCCGTAAAAGCCGGCCATTGAATGGGGTGGCGCGCACGCTCCACCTCCAGCCTAGCTAAGAGGGGCAATGATTGGCGGCATTTAATAAAGCCACAAGAACGGAGTATTCCCTATCAGTCACTGCTGACCTCTCCCTCGCCCTTAAAGATAGCAAATTAGCATCCTCGATCGCTCCTCAACGGTGGGTTCCCCTCGTCCCAGCCCTGTCATTCAGTTGGATCTAGAGCCAGACTGTGCATAAACCCCCGCTTGGCCGTTTATCGAAATGATTGGGGTATCTGCACTCGGACATGGCGCCACGAGGATGGTGGAAGCTTGAAACGACTTGGCTTATGGCCTCGGATTCAGACTTCAGGGTCACTGGAATAGCACGCCAGAACGACTTTATTTGTTTGTTTTTGTAAGCAGCTTTTGTCTGTTCGTCTCTGTCTTTTTTTCTCTCTCTCATTTTCTCTTTCATTTCCGCTTTTCATTGGAGTGAGAATTTTGGGTTCTGCCGTCGGCATTCCTCCTGGCCGAAAGCTTGGCCTGCTAATTATATGGGTCTCTTAGCCTGTGCGCCACAGTAACATCGCATCAAGTTCGCTTATCGAAAATCACCCCCATTCTTCACAAATGAACAGGCCGATCGCTACCTTGTTTGTTCGGGTCCATCTGATGTGAATCTACTCTACACAATTGCATGCAGCCCCTTCTTGATCTAGGTGCCAAATTCAAGCCCCTCGCCATCACGATATGAGTGACCGTCGGTGATCCGTATCTCTCTATGCTGCTAAATCTACCGGATTAATTCCTAGCCCGCTTAGAGAGGGGTATGTGGCTGGCTCGGGTCTTCTGTTGACGAATCTGGAGACCCGCTATCTTCAGCAATATCGGGAATCGCCCCAAGTAGTAGAGAAGCCACCCGTCTGAGTAGTGCACTGTGCACTACTTTCATCCATTCTAGGACTAGAACAGCCAATCTCCGCGAGTAATTTCTTGCATGCTCCTGTTCCTGTTCCTGATGGAAAGATCACACTATCGCAAGCCAGGCACGCCCCTGCTGTACCCCGACCCAGGCCAAAGCCCACCTCCTTCTTTTTTCTTGTAGTTATTTTGATGAAGCGTAGCAGATTTCTGCTAGGTCCTTAGACCTGTTATTTATCATATGTTTCTCGGAAGTGCCTCCGGACTAGCTGAACTTTTACGAAGAATGATACGTGCATGTTGACGCGATCTTGACTATTCCCATGTGGAGAGCGATAACTTATCGGTCTCTGCAGAAACATCCTTAGCGCCTCTTGCTGCTGGCTACCTCGACGGTCACATCGGTCTCCGACGGCCTCAGATATTGACCGGTCAGGCGTAAATCTACTATTTTGGTCAGCCTATTGGCTCTCCTGATGAACAATCATGTTGCATCAACATGAAGTCTCATAGTGTGGACTTGACATTGAATCCCTCACGGCCCTAAACCCTATACAGCCTTCATGGCAATATAGATTATGCTGGGAAATTGTATAAAGCCAGGCCTTCTATCCCAGGTTCATTCTTCTTTTTCATCGCATCAGCTTCCTACTCCATCCTCCAATCTACTTCCCACCGATCAACTCAAGCTCAGCTCTTTCGAAACAAAGCAGTCTTGACCATGAAGTTCTCTAATATCGCCGTTGGCAGCACTCTGCTCGCAGGTGCCCTTGCCGCTCCTTTGACTTCTCAGCGTCAAGCTCGCCGTGCAGCACGTCTTGAAGGCCGCTCTACTTCTCGCCGCAGCAATCCTCCTTTCAAGCCCGGTACCAGCGAGGCTATCAACCTCAAGAACACTTCTGAGGTTGAGTACAGCTCAAACTGGGCTGGTGCCGTTCTCATCGGAACCGGCTATACTGCAGTCACCGCTGAATTCACCGTCCCAACTCCCAAGGTCCCTAGTGGTGGCTCTTCCAGCGAGCAATACTGTGCTTCGGCTTGGGTCGGCATTGATGGCGACACCTGCTCAACTGCTATTCTTCAAACTGGTGTTGACTTCTGTATTCAAGGAAGCACTGTCTCCTATGATGCTTGGTACGAGTGGTACCCCGACTATGCGTATGACTTCTCTGGCATCACTATTTCTGCCGGTAATGTCATCAAGGTGACCGTTGATGCCACCTCCAAGACTGCTGGAACTGCTACCATCGAAAATGTTTCAACTGGCAAGACTGTGACTCACACCTTCACTGGTGGTGTGGACGGTGACTTGTGCGAATACAACGCCGAGTGGATCGTTGAGGATTTCGAAGAGAATGACTCTTTGGTTCCTTTCGCCAACTTCGGAACCGTCACCTTCTCGAACGCCGCAGCTACTGATGGAAGTACCAGCGTTGGACCCTCCGGTGCCACTCTCATGGATATCGAAAGCGACAGTGGTTCAATCCTTACATCTGTCTCAACCTCCTCCAGCAGCGTCACTGTGGAGTACGTTTAAGTCCAACTATTCTTCATAGTGGGTAGTCATGAGCTTTCAACTATATAGTCTTTAGGCATCCAACAAGGTACTTCTGTGGATGCAGGAAAACATCTCTCGGTCTATCTGTCTGCCTTGGCTTTTTTGTGTCAATGACACAATCTATACTTATACTGTGATTATGGATGAATATTTATGCGCATTCTGATTCTGATCATCGAATGGCATTGAATTTATCTCAATTCCTATCAAATTATTTCCATGTCTCTCCATTTGCTTGGCCATGCTTAAGTGGCCGTTCAAGACTTAATATTAAGCTTGGGTTCTAGATCGTAATCTTATTTCCATTACCCTATCATTATTCTATATGGAGCATATACAAGATGTTAAAATGAGCCTCCCTCAAAGTTATCTAGGTAACTTCAAGAGATCGTGGCATCATTCTCCGGTCCTTGCTAGGTCTCACCTAAGATTAATACTTGTATTGGTGATATGGACGGATTCAAGGTCTGACGCGCGGAATATACCATTTTTTTTATTGTGACCGAAATAGTTCATAGCCACGCGGGCTCCTAAGCCACAAAACAACACGCTTTCAAAAATTGAGCAGTCTGCCTTTGACCTTTAACTGAAACTTCTTACAGGTCCCCTTCTGGTATTGACTGCGGACAGCCTGAGGTCACGCTTTACAGGATTATGCTTACAATTTGGTTTATTTCACCGACTTCAATTTCGACTCTAAATCTACGACGACTTTGGAGGCTCAGTTGAAAAGTAGATCGATCTGTGAGTAAGCGAGCGGCAGGTAAAATTACATCCGACTGTTACAGTGTATAACCGTGCCCCCTTCGAGTCTCTTATATTATATGACAGGTCAAAACTTCTGCTTGGAAATCGAATCAAGGACTAGAAAGCGCCTTCAAATGCATGATAAACGTCTTTATTTTAATCATAAGAATTCTTATACAATCTGCAAGGGACTATTGTGTCTCAAATGCTGAGATTACACGATTGCTTTCCCAAGTTTCTCTCATCTTCACTCTAGTATGAATGTCTTCAAGTCAAGCTCGGTTGGCAATTAATGAAACACATCTCATCACTGTCTCCTAATTTATTCGACTCCGAAAACTGATTATCTTTGGTCCACATTTTCTACATGATACCCAGTCACCTATACAAGGAAAATAGTTTTTATTAATCAGTCAAATATAAGTTCACGGCCAAGGGGTTGAAAAGCATCGAATAATATGATCCGAGCCTGCCAGTGTCACAGAATGAACTGCTAGGTTTCAGGGCACATGCTCAGCCCGCGCAATGGCCACCAAATGCTCCGATAGGGATCATTTGACGTGGAAAATTACAAACTCTACATAATTCTTATTTGGTTTACATCTGCTCGACCTTATCATTGGGATACAGTGACATCAGCTAACGGCGCTGCCCAAGTCGCGTGCCAAATTCCCCGAACATGAACCAAGTAGCGGTGGCCTTCAAGATTTCATGTGAGAATATTATGCGTGCTAACTAAAATCTTTTCACCATCAAAGAAATACCAGTTCACTGACTATAGTCGAATATTCTCCCAGTGGCTTCATAATTTGGACCCCAAAGTGTGCTTAGCCTTTACAGTTTTGCCGATAACCTCAAATCGCATTTTCAAGGCAATTATTTAAGTTAAATTACTGTTCGGGGTTGAACTCTGAGATCTCTGTCAGCCCTAATGTGCCCTCGAATGAATCGAAAACTCATTGGTATTAAATTATATTAAACTGAATTCATAGCTCCAGACGTCCGACTGAGATGGCTCTAAAGTTTAGCCCCCTGTATTGACAGTTGTTCTGAATTTGCCGGTTTGTGCAACCATCCACGGTCAATAACACATATTGTGTGGGAATAGAAGTCTTGGAGAAATATAAATGTTACCATCACAAGATGAAAGAACATCTCGTGGAGGCGGCAGCATTTGACTGGCCAGCGCTGTATCCGATACAGATCTATCGTATTATTTTGATAACTCAGTTTTTCACTTTGATGCCTTAGAGAGATCATCTCTTTACAGCTGCTATGCATGATCCTCTTGCAAGTAGTTTTAGCCGTAAGGCTTGGGCTTGAGTGTGACATGCCCTGGCGCCATTAACCATCATTCAAATTACAGTGCTTCAGCAAAGTAACAACTCAGCTGACCTAGCAGGAATGGATAAATTTCCTCGTGAAGTTGGAATATTCGAGGGCAGAGGATCTGAGTAATAGTGGGTCAATACTAAGTGAAAGCTAGGCCTCACAGCTTCGCGATAACGAATTACAACGGAATTGTGTGAGGGCTTTTTATGCTGGTCACAGGAGAATATCCTGTCATGTCTGCTGTTCAAGAGACTGTGGTACCACCTTCACATTTCATTCGTACTAGTAGATGATCCCGGTTAGTAGGGAACGTCTTTGCAAAACCGCCCACAACCCCCCGGTGGATGAAAGCTCTTTTGCGGGCTATAAATTGTGCTCATATCGTCCCTTCGATATGTATGTTTGACGAATCTTAAAGTTCTTTGATAGCTTTGGTCATAACCACCACTCATCGAGCTGTATATAATCGCATTAATATCGGCCCATCATGCGTTTAAGTGCCTTTTATCCGATATTTCTGGGTTTAGTACCTTATTTGGCTGCTCTACCAACCGATATTGGCCAGCATTTTGGGATAGATGTTGTATTGAGTCAAATCGGTAACACTCGAATCAAGGCTGTGGTTAAAAATACCGGCCAGGAAGTGACTTACATGCATCTCAATTTCTTCGGCGACAGCGCCCCTGTCAAAAAGGTTGCCGTGTATCAAAATAGTACGAAGACATTCTCATACTGAATTGATTATTTAATATTTACTCCACAGGTAGACACCGAGATCGTGTTTGAGGGCATCAAGCGGCGTATCAGGCTTGAAGGTATTACATCAGAGGCTTTTACAACTCTGCTACCTGGGCAAACTACCGAGGATGAATTCGACATTTCAGAAACCAGCGATCTGTCACGAGGGGGCTCTATATCACTACGCTCTCAAGGCCTGGTCCCTTTGGTACAAAACAATACAGTTTCTGGCTATTTGCTATATTATTCCAATGACCTCCAGATTGAGGTAGATGCGGCGAAAGCTTCTCGAGTGAGGAAAGCCATCAAACCTCTGCAACGCCGAGCTAGAATACAATGCACCGATCCAAAGTTAAGTCAGGGTCTTCAAAAGGCCTTGAATAGCACCACCGCTCTAGCTAGTGCTGCAGCGAAGGCTGCACTTTATGGCTCTGCTCAGAAATTCAAAGAGTACTTCAAGACAACAAACGGCTCTGTTCGAGCTGTTGTGTCAGCAAGGCTACAGGCAGTAGCAAAAGAGGCTAATTTAACAGCAACGGGGGCCACATCTTACTACTGTAATGACGAGTTTGGATATTGTGAGAGTAATGTTTTGGCATACACAATCCCAAGTCAAAACACAATATGCAACTGTGCACTCTACTATTCGTACCTCCCAAACCTTACAAAGGAATGCCATTACCAGGACCGTGCGACGACCTCACTGCATGAATTCACACATGCGCCCGGTGTGTATAGCCCTGGGACAGAGGACCTGGCATATGGCTATCTCGCTGCTATGGGGTTGAACAGTCGTGAAGCGGTAATGAATGCAGATACCTACGCTGTGTATGCAAATGGTAAGTCTGAAATCACACATAAAACGAAACTGAACACTAAGACTTATTCAAATCGCAGCAATATACTTAGGTTGTTGAAAATGGACTCAACAAATGCAAGTTTTAAGGGCATGTTGGACTTTAGCTTCATTTATGTTACGAGACGGTGAGCTGTAGACTGGTGACCGTGGTATCCGCTCCCATCTTTCGCAGCCTTGGAAAGAAAAAGACATATATCTACACGACTTGCAACACAAATCTTTGACTGTGAATTCCAATTCTCGAGGAAGCTCGCATGGGGAAGGGCAAGAGCTTGAATGGATCCGGCACCGAGACAGACCTGCATATTGACCTTGTCCAAGGTTAGAAGTGATGAAGAATATTATCATATATATCCTTTACATCATCATGTAAACCCTTTTACAGCCCTAAAATTCGAGGAATTCTGTAGATCATTTTCGAATCAAGATATATACCCAATGGAATATGTCTGGAGTGTAAGTCGAGGACGACACGGGCCCCGTGGGTGCTTTTAATGGTGTCCGGGAATGCAAGGTCCAGTATTTGGCTAGATATGGAAGATTATCAAAGCGAAATGTCGAATATGACAACACGATCCAAGCGGTGCCTCTCTGAGCCAACGGGACTAGATGCAGAGCCAGTAACTCGACAGGGGAGAGATTGATCTTATAATCGGTGGCAAGAAGATGTTGCACGGTCGGACAAATATGGGAGATGTCATCAGTAGCCTCCATACTCTGGTCGGTCGAAGTGGCAATCGCATCGCTAGTGCTCTTATCCAGGATCACATCGAATGGAGCGTACGGCAAGAGATTGGCAACATCATTCCAAGCGAGTAAATCGGCTCGGTGCCAGTTCATTGCCTCAGTAGGAGGTCTTAGGTTTTCGAAAGTCTGTCCAATACGTATCGCTTCACTAGAGAAGTCGACATTCTGTAGAGCCAGGTGAGTAGGGGGCGTAGAATGAGTATGAGGCATATCTATCGAAACTCACGACAATTCCATTCGCTCTCCATCCTCGATCTAGACAAGCCTCTCGTAATTTAGATCCCAGCTGGGAAACACCGGGTCCCAAATGCAAAACATGCGGTTTTCTTTGTCCACCGCTGGAAGTACGCGACCGATTCTCTAGGTTGGACAGCACTTCATCAATAAGTACTTGGCCTGGGTTTAGCCATTCGCCCACATCCTGGCCTTGGGCAAAACGGGCATCCCAAAACTCCGGGGTGTCATAATCCGGAGCCCCGGTAACCTTTCTGTGGGATCTGTCTCTCAGGTGTGCCATGCTCGAGCATCATAGCAGAATTTGCGCCCGTGGATTCCTTACGAATGGTCATGTGACTGGTTGTTGTTCTTTTTATGACTTTATGGGATCCACTAACTATTTCCAAGGTCAAGAAAGCTCGTCCCTCCTTAATCTCCACCTTAGCACTAGAATTAATGATATCGACGTATTCACATTGCGATCTTGTAAATATTATGCAAAGGATATTTGAGAGATCGGTAACTTTTATCAGAATTTTTAAATTTTCTTTGTCTTCTTGCCTTCACATAGTATTATTCAACAGATATACTAAATCCAGTTGTAAACTTGAAGTAACTGCTACCAAATCTTTTACCGAGTCATGGCGCATTCTAATGTTTCATTTATTTGCCTCAAACATTAAGGGATGAAGGATATATGTACGGAACAATGGATTCGTTTCTTTCACTGAATTGAGTTCCGCATAGCAATTGCTGACTGAAACCCAGCATTCCATTGGAATGAGCAGATGTTCGACTCCTATGAAGCTGGGTATACATGAAAATGAATTCTGTCCTCGCTTGGAAGTCTCAAAATCTCAATCATCCAGACATTTGGTTGCGCTTGTGCTAGACTCGGATAGAGTAAATCCTTTGTTTCAATCTCCTGTCGGAGATGACCCGAAGCATGTTCTTGATCTGGGCGCGGGAAAGGGTACCTGGGCCATGTGAGCATACAAAATCCAACTGCATATTCCCAATCTCTATAACCACAACATTCAATGCATTGGCAAAACAGCTTATTCGTACATAGTGATGTCGCCGATCTGTTCCTTGAAGGTATATCAAAGTCTTCAGTCTCGAACTACATTCAAGTAACTGATGTGCTTTAGCAACCATTCGGGGCATTGATTTATTTCCGCCGCCAGTAACATGGACACCTCCAAATTGCTTATTGGAAGTAGATAATCCCCTGGAAGAGTGGACTTGGCGCGAACAGTTCGACTTGGTTCATATGCGAATCATGATCGGGTCGTTCGATCCGAAGGAATGGGATCAAGTATACACCAGGATTTACGAGTCAGTCTTCGGCCCCTGCTTTTCATTGCTTGGAACATACTTACCGTTTTGACCATCGGATAGAAATCTACGACCCGGCGGATGGATTGAACAGCTTGAGGCCTGTCTTCCTATCGAATGTGACGATGACAGTCTTCCTGAAGATAGTATACTCAGATCCTGGGGCCCAAATATGCTTGCCCGTGGTGAGGCAGCAGGACAGAAATGTGATAGTCTTGATCCCATGTCGAGCGCAATTCGTAAAATTGGTTTTGTAGAGGTGCATGACAAGAGCTACAAGTGGCCAGGGAACCTTGCAATACCCCATGGCGACAATATACTAACAAGGCCTTCAGGGAACGAGTGTGGGCTCGGAAACCGTATCATAGTGAATTGATGAAGACGCCTGACTCGATGCCAGACTGGGGAAAAACACCGGATATATGAGTATCAATAGGTTAAATTTATGATTCGGTAAAGGGGTTATTTCTTTGCTATTGTTATTATTACAACATTTACCTAGTCTGGGAACGGTTTTATCGATGTTCGTCGGTTAATCGGAGGGCTACTCCCAAGAAGTTTCAAGCGCGTGTCCCAATACCTGGGAAGACACACGTTACAGAGCACGATACGACACAATTCATGCTTCCAACATGATATGCCTCAAGTGCCACAAGAAGCACAAAAATTCCCTCTGGATTCATTTCCCGTGCCTAGACCCCGGAGCTTAAGTTTAAAGGGCATTGCGTTTTGCGACCGATTATTGGCCCATCGCTCGGAATGCTCATTCCTGACATCACCACGATCGCATCGCACCACATCATCAAGGTTCCTTAATTTGGCATATACGCTAAATACCTTCAAATCCGATTTTTGTCCTTTGCAAAATACTCAGATAATCAACCTCCGCAAAAATCCACGCTAAATTTAACATGGCGGACATGCGTCGAAAGAAAGTGGCAATCATTGGAGCTGGAGCCGCAGGCATGGTACGCGCTTTTTGACATATTTTCTTCAGTGAAAACATTACATTCTAATCCTTTTTCGCAGTCCTGCTCTTCGACACTGGCAAATCATCCAGACCGGTTTGAAGTGACTGTGTTTGATACGGCATCTCATACTGGTGGCCAGGCGACTTCGATTCCCTTAGATGAATCTAGACACGGTGCAAGTTGGTTAAATGATGGCGTGCAAGGAGGCTCCGCCATATTTCGTCACACATTTCGTTATTTTCGCGAGTATGGACATGAGCCACAGCCAGTCAAACTTCAAGTCTCTTTCGGCAGAGGCCGAGATAGTTTCTGGACCAATGTGTTCCCCAGCCCCTTGGTTGATCAACATTCTCGTGAAATCAAAAAATTGGGCCGCATGTTGAAATACATCAAGTACTTGCCGATTCTAGGAGTAATGCCAATAAAGGTCGTCCTACGCCTCTTTGGGTTCAGTCGCGAATTCAGCAACCAAATGGTCTTGCCACTCCTAGCTTTATTCCTCGGGACTGGAAACCAGACACCTAACGTATCAAGCATTTTGCTAGAGCGGCTATTTGATGATCCACAGATGAGTCTGTGGGATTATGATCCAGACACTTTACTACCGAATTTACCAATCATGTATACATTCCCGAATTTGGGGGAGTTCTACAAGGACTGGACAGCCGACCTTCAGTCCAAAGGGGTCACTTTCAGACTCGGTTCTTCTATGACAATAACAGAGCGCAATCAAAATGGCGTTGTGCTGGAGAGCCATACCCTAGAAAATCCCTCGACAGAGCCAGTGAAAACCACTTATGATGAATTAATTCTCTGTTGCCCCGCCGATGAAGCCAAGCATCTGCTCGGTAGACATGCAACCTGGCGAGAGAAATGGGTTCTAGGCGGCGTCAAATTCTTCAGCGATGTGACTATCACACACTCCGACTCTGAATACTTCCAAAGTATCTTTCAGGCTCAGTACGATCCCGAATTGTGTGCAAAGCCATCAACCACAGAGCGCAAGGACCAAATTGCATTTGCTCAACAGCAGCCGATTTGCCAAAAGGACGGATGGCTCGGTTATCGACCAATGTACTATACGCATTCATTTTCATCAGATCCAAACAAGATAGAAATGGGTTTTGACTGTACAAATTATCAGCATCAATTTCGCGATAATTTGGGTGTGGGCCAGCAGTCTACACCACTGACCGGGCATGTCTTCCAGACTATATTTTTGAATGACCAGCAGAAACACCTCTGGACTTGGAACGATATTGATCCATCAAAAATTATCGGGAAAAAGTGGTGGCACCAATTTGGTCATAGATGGCAGCATTATCTGCGCGTTGTTCCAGGAATGATGTTTATAAACGGACGGAATCGAACCCATTTTGCGGGAAGCTGGACTATGGTGGTAAGTGTCTGGCATCAACTAAATGAACTTTATTGAACTTTATGGCAACTTGAAGAAGCTAACAGCTCCGATTATAGAACATGCATGAGATTGCATGTATCTCTGGAATTGCAGCTGCATACAAGTTGGGTGCAGATTATGAAGTATTCGATGAGTTTGCAGAAGACTTTTTTGCAAAGTACTTGCTGGTCTGTCATGGCACGAGATATAATAAAGAAAAGCGGAAGCGAACTTGATTCATGGTACTTAGAGACTTGGGAAACAGTATTGAAGTCTCAATTCATATTACAAAAGATAACGGAAGCTCTCAATCTCATGGTCTGTCTTGTTGGAGAATTCATCCTGTAACTCTTCTGCTTCAGTTAGCTGTCTTGGAGAACCATAAAGTCGATCGCGACGGCTATTTTCCCACGCGTAATACACGTAAAGGCATATTAAAAAGAAAATGCCTAAAATTAGCCCAGACATAGCTGCCTTTATTCCAGTCTAAAGAAAAGTCAGTCATGTAATCGCGTGTGGTTTGTGGATTGCATCATATGAGTAGCAAAATCACTTACCGGATATGCGGGCTTTTCAGCGGGAATAAAGAACTGAGGCCCGACTATATTTCCAACACAATATGCCACGAACATCAAAGCACTGACGGTGCTCTTTTTTGTAAATCCAGCGATGTTCGAGCTGATTATACTGAGTGACAGTGGGATATTGGCGGCAAACACGGCCCCTAAGCAAAGACCCGTCAACCTCCCCGCACGATCACCTTCATCTAACTTCCAAATAAGAGCCATTCCGATCACAGAGACCGCGCAATTCAAGATCATCATGAAGATTCGACTTGACCGCACAAAAGTTGCAAAGCCAGAGGTTAGCAAAAGGAACGCCAATTGCGCAGCTCCGAGCGGCATCTGCATGACCAGAGCCTTGAGATTGGAAAAGCCGAAACCAGCGATAATAATAGAAGAAAAGCTCGTAATGCCACCATTGCAAAAGTTCACGCAGAGCGTATAAAGTACAAGGAACCAAGTTTGCGGATCTTTGATGGCCATTACCACTTGGTTCCATCTGAATTTACCGGTGTCCATGACACCAGTCTTGTTCTTCAGTGTTCGTTGGATTGCAATTGTCTTCTCGGTCTGGTTAAGGAACACATTTTTAGCCGGCGAGTCGGGGAGAAGCCCCAGAAGAATCAATCCATAGGCTGCGGTAACGGCACCCAGAATTAGGAACAGCAATTGCCAGTTTTGGACAGCGCTGGTTTGGATAAGTCCGATTCCATATGCGACTACTCCTCCAATGACCGTCGCAATGGAGTTTCCAACAAACCAGGCGGCTTGTCTAGCAGGCTGCTCTTCTCTTTTGTAAAACATTCCTGTTATCAAAGCGAAGCCAGGTGCGATGGACGCCTCTCCCACTCCGAGAAAGAACCGTGCAGCCATTAACCCTGAAAATGAAGTACAGGACGCATGGCACATCAAGATGCCTCCCCACAAGAACACTGCAAATCCCAGGTATTTACCGAGTGGGAGTCGGACAATAAGGTACGAGCTAGGCCAGCTCCATGCGAGGTATCCGAAATAAAAAACGGCGGATGTCCAATTATACTCCGTACCCTTGAGGTTCTGTCAAGAGGAACTTGTTAGTTAATGACCAAGTAAAGGTTGGCTTGCTTAGTAGCTAGTGGGGTAATACCAAATCTTCTTGTAAATTGAACAAAGTCGCCTGGCTCAGTGCCAATTTATCCATATATTGCAGCATATAGCAAAACCCCATCAGAGGAATAAGACTATAGTAGAGGTAGTGTTAGAGGACACGCAGGGGCAAATTTTTATCTAATGAGTGGCTCACAAGAGATCTAGCTTCCAAAGAAGCTTCCTCTCCATCTCGGGGGTTGCATATGTTTCGAGAACTTGACCAAAGTCGACATCTTTGTTTGTTGAGGAGTGTTGTATTTTCAATGAATCGAGGCCAGTTGCATCGTGTAGTGAAGGTAATTGCTCTTTTTCCATTTTGGTGGGCATAAAAAAGATAAACTAATCAATAAGAATGTGTATACTTAGGTGGATTTATATGTTGGTGACTGTCTCATTTATCATGCTCAAGGTGGCGATAAGCGGAACGATAAAGTAAAACCTGGGGCAACTTGTTAGACTCATGCTGGAATACTTTGACGCCCACCAAAACAGCCACAGCCTATCTTCTCTAAAGAGCGGGGAGTTAAGCGAGGCAATGCGAGGCCATATGATCAAATAGGGACAAGCGGGTTGGATTATCGGCAGTCAAAAGCGAGTGCAAAGATTAGCAGATGCCGACTCAAACTCCCATATATTTCAAGGATTCTCTTAAAGTTCTTGAACCTGGGTGTTTACGGTGTTGATCCTGAGAAGGTTCCGGGATTAGAGCTCTCATCGGCAGAGCAGCCAATGTCAAAGCTCCCTCGGCAATCCCGTTCCTCCTCCTATCAAAACCCACTTTTCCTATCAAAGGACGTCCATGTAATCAGACATCACGGAGATTCTCCACGACGACCAACGAGATAAGGGCCCATAGTAATCCCACGGTGGCCAGGTTTACCCCACAGATGCAATCGCGGGGATACGACCCACTTGATTGCCGACCAAGGGGCTGAGCACGTCTCGCCTTCCTTAGCTCCCCAAACGCAGAAGAGTGGACATCCTCATTACGCCATCCTATTGAGACGATAACGAGGAAATAAGTTGAATGCCCTTTATCGGTTGTTTTCTTGTCGGGTATTTTTTTTTCGGATGTCGGCAAACTTCTTGGCGACATCCTAATCCCGTTGGCTTAGTAGTATTAGTGATATGACATACTTCGGGTTTGACGCAAGTCGCAATTTCCCCTCCTCTTTCCACCCAATTCTATTATAACAACCCATGCCCCGCTCTGTGAAAAGGACATCGCAGTTAACCCATTGTTATATTTTGTCGTGCATCAGAATCAACCCCGGCAAAATGACTATTTCGAGCCACCAAACAAGTGATGTGCGAGCATATGTAGATGATCTGTTGGGAACGCTACAAGAATCGCTATGGAAGGTAAACCATGAGGTAAGTTCTACTTCCAATTCATATACATAATAAAAGGACTTCTTGTTCATTCTTCCGGATGGCTCGCTAAAACCTTTGCGGCGTATATTTAGATTTGGTCGAATCCCGAGCTTGCCTATCAAGAACACCACGCACATGATGTTATTTGCGATTTCCTCGAAGCGCAAGAAGGATTCACAGTGACTAGACATGCATATGGTTTAGAAACGTCTTTTGAGGTTACCAGCGGAGCGGGTGGCCGGCTTGTCAATTTTAACGCTGAATATGATGCGCTTCCTGAAATTGGACATGCCTGCGGTCACAACCTCATCGCAACGAGTAGCATTGCTGCTTTTCTGGCGCTTTCTTTCAGCCTACGAAAATATGGCATTCCTGGACGTACCCAACTCTTAGGGACTCCAGCCGAGGAGAATGGTGGAGGAAAGGCCAAGCTCATTGATGCAGGAGCTTATAATAGTGTCGATATTTCACTCATGGCGTATGTTCCATCTTCTATATCTTATATCTATCATCATGATGGCCGTGGGAGAAAATACTAACCAAACCCAACCTTGGAAGTCATCCCGGGGCCAAAAAGATATTCCCAGATCAGGAGGAATCAGATGGAATTGCTGGAACCTTTATGAATGCTCGGAAAAATATACATTGCGAATTCACAGGAAAAAGTGCCCATGCAGGCGCCAATCCATGGGATGGCGTCAATGCCCTTGACGCCCTCGTTGCCTCATATAATAACGTTGCTGTTCTTCGCCAACAGCTTTTACCTGATCAACGAGTGCATTGTGCTTTTACAGACACACCAAAGGTAGCTAATGTGATTCCGCCATTCACTAAAGCATTTTGGCAAGTTCGTAGTCCGACACTGAAAGGGCTCAATGATCTCACCTTGAAGGTGTGCAACTGTATTGAGGCTGGGGCTTTAGCTACTGGATGCCAAGTCACAATTAGAGAGTAAGTCTTCGTACTTTCTCTCTTTTAATGATCTTACTAACCCAGCCTTCTATCACTTCAGAGATGAACTATACAAAGATGTTCGATTGAATGACACCCTTTGTGAGAGATATCAAGTCCATATGGCTTCATATGACCGAAAGGTTTTGAAAAGTCACGAAAAAGTCATGACAGCATCATCTGACATTGGTATGTATTTTCTGACCTAAGACATTTTGTGGAGTATTGGTTTAATATTTTTGGAAAGGCAATGTCAGCTATGTCACTCCTACTTTGCATACAATGTTCGCCATCCCCCTGGCAGTGGACACTTCTCCTCATCATCCTAAATTTACGGCATTGGCGGGAACAACAGAGGCGCATCAAGAGGCAGTTATTGTAGGGAAGACATTGGGTATAATCGGGTATGAAATGATCACTAATGATGAGATGTATGACATGGCTCGCCGGCAATGGCAGGATCAGATTCGCCACGATGATTGAAAATTACTCAACAGAAGTACTCACAGGTGTCTGACCCTCCATTGTGATTTTGGTTGTGCCGACAAGACCTCACCAATGTATTATGTATATATATATACCAACTTAGAGTTAAAAGGGATGCACTTTTCAAGTCTATGATTCCTGGCCATTTGTGACCTCCGTGAGGTAAATCATCGTCAAACCTGTTGAAATCTCGTCACAGAAATATTCATACTATGTAGACACGTAAATAGTAGGTGATAGTTGCCTATTTATTTCCAAATATGTACTATAAACTCGTCATATTTAATACAATGCTTGCTAAAGCGGATGCTTTTGTGTAGCTCCTAACTTGTCCTTAGCTCACTGAGCCCCAACTGAGTACTTGAACTGAATTCCGCTCAAAATGTGATGATTCATGGAATTAAGCTTATTTGAATTGGATTTTATTATACGAAGTGCTCACTTGCTACTGATAATCACGTCTACGAAGCAAATAGCATGGAGCTTGTTGATAATACGTAGTATCGAAATGTATAGACGAATTCAGGGGGTTCAGGGGGTTCAGGGCTTTCGAACTTGAAATGCGCAATTTGTATCTTTTATACCAGAGCTGAACAACTGTATAGAATTTAAAATGGCAAGTGTCACATTTTCTATTTCACAACTGACATAAATTGACGCGCTAATGCATGCAATCAGCATATGCCTGATGCACGAGGTGTCGAGCCCCACATATCGCCTTATCGGTGTTTTCGGGTCTCCAGTTTCCAACTACCGAATCGATGATTCAACTCTCTTTTCCCCACTCCCACATTCTCTTGAATGCCGATGACTGCAGATTCATACAGGTTTTTTGGCTCTTATGAGAGGTGGGGGATTGCGTCTTCATGTCTGGCCGCAACGCGCCACGCTCAAAGAATGGTTGGTTTTTCCTCTATTCCCCTCGATGCCACATTTCTCTGCCGTGTCACTACTAATTCGGCTTTTCACTCCACTCAGGGTGCAGCACTTGTCGCCGGCGCAAGGTAAAATGCGGCGAAGAACGCCCTGTATGCAAGCGCTGCTTAAATCTCCATCTCAGTTGTGAATGGGGAGTTCCAGTAAAGCGCGATCGCAGTGTACAAATTCGCCATCTTCAGCCTGCTCCAGTGCTCCCAGATCAAACGGGTTGGCCGGCCTTGGAGGGTATTGATCTCGCGGTGGGGATCTCACCTGATACACTCCTTGATGGCATGTCTCCGGTATCCTGGCCTGGAGATCCAGTTCCCCTCGAGCTTCCGCGGATGCCTCCGTTCTATCCGTCTAGCGCGCCCGTCCGAATTCACACTCCCCTATATCCACCATTGGGAGGCAATAATGAGATTGCGTGTGCCAATTCTCTCACCCTCACCGATCCTGATCAAAAATACTTCCAATACTTTCCTTCTTCTTCTATCGTTTATTATTATATGAAAGGATGGCACTGGAGCAGCTTTTCTTACCTGTACCAAGGCCCAGCGGCTACAAACAAAGTCATCATGCGAATGATACTAGCCCTGTCTGCCAGCGACATGCATCGCCATGGGCTGGTGGTCAGATCACCTGGTCGACCGACCGCTGAAGATCACGGCAGATACCACTATAGCCTCGCTGTCAAAGAGTTTCGGCAGCTTTTGGAGACACCCCGACGAGAGGTCTCCGTGGATGAATTGGAAATTATATTTGCTACCATGTTCCTCATGGTCACCTATGAATGGCAATTTGGCCATTCTGTCCGCCACTTACAGCTCCATCTACATGGTGTGCGTTCACTTCTTGAATCTCACCCACAATTGTTCCGCATTAAGGACATCAATGAGGTATTCCTAACAGAGGAAGACGACGACTCATCCCCGGAGGACATGGTCGCTTCAAAGGTTTCATTTATACCAGAGCAGTTTTTGCTATGGATGCTGTTAGTTCCCTCTCTTCCTTTTCCCCCTTTGCTTTCCGTTCTATCGTCACTTTCGTTCCGCTGTTCGGTTGATTGACCACATGTCTAGGTACATTGATGCCAGTTGCGGACCCATGGGTCTCTCTGAATCTTTGTTTGATTATGTTCTTCAGTCAAAAAACCCCGCGTTGAATCCAGACCATCTACATAAATGCGCTCGCCTCTGGGGTAGATGCTTCTGGGGCAATCAATATCCCGACCAAGAGGTACTAGATGACATTGAAAACTATCGAGCTTTGGAATTGCTACATGCTGGCTTTAGCTTTCGCTATCGTATTTGGCGAACCCTAGTTGGATCTGGTGCTGAATCTGACACCGCCGAATCACTCTATCGGGATATTGTTTCCACGCGTGATGTAAGCCCTTTTCTCTTTCAACTTCCGCTAATTCTAGAGCTTGAACATTTTCATAGCTAACATCACCAGAAATTCACCGATCTTTTTATCACCGCAAAATTTGCCGGGGCAGTCTCCGCTCGACGAACTCTGAACACCATCTACATGGGCGTATGTACGCTCTACTCGCAAATTCTGCTACATCGACGATTACTCTGCCCAGATGATCCACCGGCGTCTATTCATCGCCAAGCCACTGCTGGAATTATAGACATTACTCGCAAGCAGTTCACAGCCGATCCTCGATTGCTATGGCGTCTACATTGGCCTCTTTTGATGGCACTCATTGAAACAGATAGTACGGAAAATCGTGTATGGCTTCGACAACGATTGTTTGAACTACGTGACTTTCATTCAGAATACGCGTGGGCTAACGAGATGGCCAACCAAATCATGGCTCAGCAGGATTTGAGCGAGGGGGGCTACGTTAATTTTGCCGAGCTTCTGCTCCAGCGATTTCATGTGTCATGATGCTTCTGCGATGCATTTTGTATATCTAGATGTAATAACTATAGACTTATTAATTGGTGGTAGCAATGCCACGTTCCAAACAAATAACAAATAACGTCCTTAAAAGCAGAACTGAATACCCGTTGGCTTCGAGGGCTTCATATTATGATTCCCCAAACGGGGTTCTAGGACGTGAACCTTACTCATCTAACGAAATAATATGTCGTATGAGGACAACTGGAGCTGAAGCTTTGCCCCATAATTAAATCTGAGTTAAATCTTGGGTCTTGACATCATCTATCCAATAAACTTTTCTAGGGATCCACTTTGCGCTGACGTCTCCGGAGGTCGTGCTCTATAAAACAATTTTCTAATATTTTTACCAAAATTGTCCGATTTACAAGATATTATCGAAATGGGAAATTATGAGAAGGGATAAATTGGATTGTTATCCGGAAAACATCCATACGACATGCGTGGGTGGCAATGTGGCATAATTGCATCTATGTTTAATTACCTCGGCATACAGGAACTTCAGCACTTGAGGTATGTCAGGTGTACGGACTGGGGGTGAATTAATAAACCACGTATATAAATGAATATTGGATCAAAATAAGTGACGCTTAATGGAAGTTCCTTAGCACCCAGTATAACGCTTATGACTAGTATTAGAAACTGTGCAAGCAAATTAGGTTCAAGTCGGAGTACCACTCCGTATACATTCCCCTGAGCAATTCCGTTCGGATTATATTACTATCTTTATGAGTTCGTGCGCAAGGAACTCACCGAACGAATACAGAATAGTGGAGAGCGTTTCTATGGTTTCCGAACATGACCTGACCAAGCCTGGAAGCGATATTAAGGACGAGGGCAAAAACGCCCCCGGGTATAATTCGTTCTAGGTATCCAAGTAAAAGATGCGACCTCGGAAGTTGGTCAGTGAAGGTACTTAAATGCATATAGCTATATAGTAACGTACATATGTACTCGTCGCTCAAGCCACTTATTCGTCGGCGTTGGCTGGGATCATCACCCCGCCACGCTAATGCAAGTACCCCAGGCCAGCAGACACTTACGGAGTGGGAATTGCCGGAATTAGCCTGCAGAAACCCAGCTTTTATCCCTTCGTCACGGATATGGGCTCAATTGAGTTCGCTTAATTTAGTACTCGTCAGGTAGTAGCGCCGTGGAATCGCGGGGAGTTTCACAATCATTACGGGACTTGACTGCCAACCTGGTGGACAAGGAACACCTATCACACGACGAGCTTACTCCGGCACCGTATACTGATCTCAACACGGAGCAAAGCCTCCACCGCATTCAAGTCTGATGAAGTGGCTCCTCGGTCTCCGTTGCAGAACCTGATCTCATCTCACTTGTAACGCGTAATGAAGGCCAGGGGTCTACCTCCGTGTCCGCGGAGGCTTCACCACTCTTCTTTTGGTAACAGACACATTGTCACCTATCGGGCCTACAGAATGAGAAAATTGAAGCATTTGAGACTCATACCTGAATGACCCAACTTCCTGGTATATAAGATGGACCTTCGGTCGTTTCAATAATGTATCAAGCTCTTCAATAATTGCACAATTGACTAACTCGATTCATCTTACAATGGCTTCTACATTCGCCTATCAAGTCTACAGAGGTGCGCTTCTATTGTCCGCCTTTATAGGTGTGACTCAGGCACAGCAAGTGGGAACTCTGACTACGGAGACCCATCCATCCTTGACCTGGCAACAGTGTGCAAGTGGCGGAACCTGCACCACCAAAACCGGCTCGGTTGTCGTCGATGCCAATTGGCGCTGGATTCATTCTGTCAGCGGCTCTACGAACTGCTATACTGGCAATACCTGGGATGCAACTCTTTGTCCAGATGATGTGACCTGTGCAACCAACTGTGCGCTTGATGGTGCGGACTACTCGTCCACTTACGGCGTCACCACCAGTGGTAGCGAACTTCGTCTTAATTTCGTTACCAATAACTCCAACGGGAAAAACATTGGGTCTCGTCTGTTTTTGATGGAGGACGACTCGACTTATCAGACCTTTGATCTGCTAAACCAGGAGTTTACCTTCGATGTTGATGTTTCGAATCTGCCATGTGGACTGAACGGCGCTCTCTACTTCGTTTCCATGGACGCTGATGGTGGAATGGCTAGATTCCCTGCAAACAAGGCCGGAGCCAAATACGGCACTGGTTACTGTGACTCACAGTGCCCACGGGATCTGAAATTCATTGACGGTGAGGCCAACTCCGATGGCTGGGTAGCCTCAACAAACAATGCCAACACAGGTCTTGGAAACCATGGGTCCTGCTGCGCAGAGATGGACATTTGGGAGGCCAATTCTGTTTCCAACGCAGTTACTCCTCATCCTTGCGACACTCCAACCCAGACTGAGTGTACTGGCGATGCATGTGGAGGCACATACAGCACTGATCGCTATGCGGGTACTTGTGATCCTGATGGATGCGACTTCAACCCTTACCGCATGGGTAACAAGACTTTCTTCGGTGAAGGCATGACTGTTGATACATCATCCGTCTTCACTGTCGTGACTCAGTTCATTACCGATGACGGCACTTCTTCTGGTACTCTCAGTGAGATCAAGAGACTTTACGTTCAGGACGGGGTCGTTATTTCTCAGTCTGCGTCCACGGTCAGTGGTGTGACTGGCAACAGTATCACCACCGATTTCTGCACTGCTCAAAAGGCTGCCTTCGGTGGTGAAGACACTTTCACTCAGCACGGAGGTCTCGCTGGAATGGGTGCTGCCCTTGCCGATGGTATGGTTCTAGTCCTGAGTCTTTGGGATGATTACTATGCCGATATGCTTTGGCTTGACAGCATATACCCAACAAATGATACTTCTACCACCCCCGGCGCTGCCCGTGGTAGCTGTGACATCTCATCTGGAGTTCCTGCTACCATTGAGAGCTCAGACTCAAGTGCTTATGTCCTCTACTCAAACATCAAGGTCGGTCCGATCGGTTCTACCTATTCGTCGGGTAGCTCCAGCTCTGGCACAACAACCTCTTCCGCAAGTAAGACCACAACTACAAGCAAGACCTCAACTACAAGCAAGACCACAACTTCAACGAGCTCCAGCACTACGGGTGCTGCACACTATGCTCAATGCGGCGGATCTGGATGGACTGGTGCGACCACATGTGCCAGCCCTTACACCTGCACTGCACAGAACGCCTACTATTCTCAGTGCCTATAGTCTCCCTCGTGTCATGAGGGGATATTCTAAGCGAGATTGGACAAAGTGTGGATTTTGATGGGAATATTTGAACAAATCTTTGGGGATTACTAGTTAGATAGTTCAATACTGACAATAGTCCATCTCAATTCTACATTTATTATCATTATCACCAGGTCCACATGATCCTTTAATCTGAAAGAAATAAATACGAGGAAGTGTTCAAATGTGGCTTGCATTAATATACCGAAAAGGAAGCAAAGCGGATCAGCACTAATATCCTGTCATGTAACATTCAATACGGTCTAACGATGTGGCTTCGGCAGTATCCTGATCTGAATCATGTGGCGTTTTACGCGCTGCAGAATACCCCATTTTCGAGGGGTTGCAGAACTCATGTGCGGAGGATTCTCCGAGGGACTCAACTCAGCTAAGCACGAGTCTCTTATTTCCTTGAATGGGAACGAGGAACTTGATGAGCATTAAACCTCAGCCTTTAGCCATGCGAAACGCAATGAAACAAGCCACACATTATTGGCCATACGCATTCCCCTTCTCTTTGATTCTATTATGCATTTAGTAAGATTTTCAAAGGTAAGATCCTTCTTCAAATTTCCGTTCTTTAAATTACATTTTGTAGGATCCAACCCTTGTGCACATCAACTTGTACAAATAAGCACCCTCATCGGTACAATAAATTCTGTCCCCTACAATTCTTCTTCCTCGATGTGACCTCATTCGATGCAGATTTGGGCTTCGCGATAAAATAATCTCAGATTTAGCAACCAGCTTAATAGCGGCTCTCCCCTCGGTACCTAGTGTAGTAAAAACTTCCTCCACCCAATCAGAAGTGACCCTTACGGTCGCGGATTCATAACCCTTTTTGTTTCTTGCAGTTATATAGCATCGCGTTGCGATTAGTTCTACAGAATACACACTCCTGACACTCCTTCGATCACGTCCTGCGATTCTGATTTCTCTGATTTCCTGCGTGGACTGGGGAAAGATATTGATGTTTTGCTGTGGGTTTTTCTGACTAGTATTCCGATACAGGCCTATTTCCCTTCTTCACTAGGTAGATATACGTACTAGATTTTTCCTGACGGGTGGGGCTTACCTCATTTGGTGCTCGCCGCTTTAATGAGGTCGCTCAGGCTCAGGCTTACTGAGTAGTTTTTAGCCTGGGCTTAAGGCTCACTGAGCTGCTCCTATCCATCATGTGATAAATTAGTGAGCAATCAGTAAGCACTCGGTAAGTGTGGTTATAATCTATAGTTGACTTATCTTATTAATTATTTAGAGGTATCGATTTAATACCTAGTCTACTACACCTAAAGTAGTATCAGATCTCCACAGTATTGATCGTTTTTCTATCTACAATTTGATAGTCCTACTGTAGTATCACCGCATATTCTCAATAAGCAAGTAGTATGAATCCCTTAGTACTCCCTCGGCTGCAGCTCAAAAGTGAACTGCTTCGAAACAGGTGACACCTTCCAGCGTGCAAAGAGCTGCGCATTCTCCACAAGAATCTGCCGCAGCATCTTCCCCCTCTCCTCTGCACCAGGCCACACGCCCTGCCATTCGCGTACATACGGTTCCATGATCCCCAAGGCCTCACTGGCCCACCTCTCTGCCCTCTCCTTGCCAATCCTCCCCTTCTGCACCATCCGCCTCTCTAGAACCCCTAGGAACCGCTCCCTCTCCTGCCCATCCTTCACCGCAGCCTGCATGACCGCTAGAAGTATATGTGACCGGATTGACAAGTCCAACTCATCCATCTCGATTCCTTGGAGTCCTAATTCAACTGTCTCCTCCACCGCAACAGCGGCTAGAAACTGTACTTCTTCCTCACTCCCGACCTCCTCCTCCCACCCCCTTAACCGCGCTTGTGCTCCAATCCCTCCATCCGGCAACCCACACCATATCACTGGCTCCGACTGGCTATCTCCCTCGATAACCTCTTGCCCCAATACCTGTGCGAGGTACTCTGCTTCTAACCCTTGTATATCATACCTTCCCTGCGCGACAGATCTCCCAAAGTTATTAAACCCCCATACCTGGCGAGTGGCTGTGGCCACGCGAGATGGGGATAGATCAGGAGTAAAATAGTCAAGCCAGAAGCGCGCATGTGATTCGGAATAGGGTAGTGCGCTAGGGTAGGCCGTATGCTGGCGTATCATAGTTGCCTCCAGCGTGCTAAGGGCTATTGCAGTAAGAGTCGCAAATGGCAGAAAGGGATGCTTAACGCGCGTGCACCCGACAGTGTAGGCCCAACGGGGGAGTTTCAGGACATTATGATGTATCGATGACGGACTATGGCGCGGCTGGCATAGTGGGGAGGAGGAGTCGGGGAGGTCCTGGAGGTCGGGCAAGCGGTAGAAGCGCGCCGTGGTGGGCTGAGTCAGGAGGGGTGTAGAATAGTAGGATCTCCAGACGGAGGAGTACAGGAAGTTGGGGTGGGCCGTGTAAAAGGCAGAGAAATTAGAGAAGGAGGGGAATTCATCTTCCAGTTGGGAGGAATAGCGGTAGAGGGCCGCTGCTAGTTGTGCGAGGTAGAATACATCCAGGGAACTGTTATTTATTCAAGTTGTTGATATATACTAGTAAGTACTATTACTAGTAGGGATTCAAATGTTGTTCATAGTACTACTAGTAGTATGAAATAGCTTACCGATTAAAGCGTAAATCGCCCTTACCAAAGGACAAGCCACGTGTGTGTAGCTTCTCTACAACATCGAATACTCCATTGCCGTCCCATAGCTCCTCGTGGTAGATGAATGCGATCCGCAAGACATCCTCATGGCAGGTCACTGGCACGATACCGCCTTCAAAATTGGCGAGGAATTCTTCAGCGCTCATTGTTCCGAAAATGGGCCAATGGTACAGGCGGCAAGAAGGAAATAGTGGGAATTGGGGAAGAGAATACGAATTTCAGATCTTGAGTTAGGATGGATCGTGACTGGGATCGGGATGTGTACTTGGAGTAGTTGATGCTTTTATACACTAGTGTATTCGCTTGCTAAGAAAACACAAGCACGTGACTCTACCTATATGGCAGTCACAAGTGCCTGGAATGCCACGTGTGTGTTGAAGGGGCATCTACTTATATACAAGGCAGGTTAACTATCTAGGCTACCTAGTACTACTGGTACCTACTAGTACCACCTAGAGCCTAGATAGGTAGTATTAGCCCTAGAGGTAGTGCTCCAATACCATAAATGTACCACTGGCATAGGTATTGTTGGAATGCAGCAGAATACTAGGTAGATACCCGGATACTGTAAGGATAACTAGTTATCACCTGCCCAGCGCAGCTTGTACTAGTAGAATATGCAATGTTCTGCAAAGATTGGTTATCTATGCTATTGATTAGAGCCTCCAACTATTTACTTAAATTGCCAACTTGAATTATATACTACTGATATGTAGGGGCCTATTATTAGCAGTCCAAGCCTAGTGAAGTTCTATTGGTGCACCTGTAATAGTAAGACCCACTTCGCCTATGCAGTACTGTACTTAGGCACCCCATGAAGCCATTTAGAGCCACATACCTAGCCACATATCTAGTCATTCGGATTCTATATCCGTCACTCAAGCCATATATGTATATAAATTCACAACTGGCCCCACTTTATCCATTGAGTAAACTGCTTTTGTGGGGATGATGTAGTCTCCTCAAACGACCAAGAACTGTTAGCTACTCAATGCGTACCTTGCCATATAAAAGGGCCTATTGCCCACAGTCCGGCCCCCAAAAAGCTCCTCATGTATCTTGAACTTGCGGTTTCTTGTGCTCTGCTAATGTTGCCTCCATGTTTTCTTCGCCTTACATGCCGCCAATTCTACTTCTATGCTAACCTGCCTATTCGCGTTTTGTGTCCTGGAAATGCCGGCTTGCTCTACTGCTTGGTTCGTTGGGCCCATTGCATTGATCATATTTTAATGATCCCAGAATATCTTAAGGGTCCAATGGGTGATCAAATTCAAGGATGCTTCCAAGCACTTCGAACTCATGCTGGCAGGGTGGATCATTGATCTGGATACCTGTAAACTAATCATGATCTATGACTATTTGCATAGAAACGGTCTGCATATCTCGAATTTGTCACAGATAGAGCATGTCTTGTTTGTTTTTATGGCAAAAAATCGACAGCTTCAAATTCGCTATTCCGCTGGTCATGGCGCCATCTACCCCGGCATCACAGAAAATCCTCACAACCGGTCGGGAATGTGGGCTGCCGTCTTACACTATTGTGGGTAATTACTTATCCGCCAGTGTGGGGAAACGCTTCTCCGCCCAGTGTGGCGGATGCCGAAGCGGCCGCGCGGGGAAGCAGAAAGTGCCGTCTGGACACTGCAAAGCGATTCTCCGAGAGTCATCAATATGCAAAACAATAAGCTTATCCCATGATTTACTAATCCATTTGGGAGCTTTCGGTGTAGAAGCATATTCCAAGGAAAACTAGTCTAAAGTTTCGATAGGCTGTGCCAATGCTAATACAACATATTTCCCTGAAGGTTCCCGGTCATAGAGCCATATTAGGCACATTTGCAGGTTTCTACTAGGAAGCGCTTTTGCTGTATCTTACTGCTATAGCTTGGGCTGGATGTTTTATGTATAGTGTATTCATAGATGTTCCAACAAATCTCAGTACCTATACAACGTTCGGGCAGTTGCCGGTCGTTAACATACAGTGTGTCGTGCCAACTCCTCGAAGTTTTTATCTTAAACTTCAAGTGCTTACCTATAGAAATTTTTGCCCCAATTGGAAAAAAGTACATTAATTGATTCGAAGATATATAAGTATCTCAAGTACATAAGCTTGTAATGCTCAAGTTTCTACAATCTCAAGTTTGCATATTAGACAATATAACTATCAGTACGAACTTGAAGTATAAAGTACACTATGCAGCTCTGAAGCCCAGTCGTTAAGGCTGAAGGTGCACAGCCACCTACGGGGGGCCAAACGTTCCTACTTCAGGTCCAGCCCAGTTCTGAATAGATCTGCACCCGGAGATCTAATCAATCGTCCAATGCATGAGTGGGGGTGGGCTAGACCATTGCACGTCGCGTGGGATTGTACTTAGTTTGGCTTAGTTGATATGTGGCTTAGGCCACCTATTATTGCTTATTACACTGTGTACCTATCAAAAAGCTTGGAAGATATTATCAAAGTGTGGTAAATTCATCCATATTTATATCAATTGGAAGGTGTAAAGTACACAAAATTTGAACATAAGACATGAGTAATAACAAAACAAATTAAAGTCGCTAAAATCGCAAATGCAATGCCAGGTTGTTTTTCAGTTCATAAAGCTGTCCCGCTTACAGGGAAGACTTGGCCTCTTTTTGGCTGCGCTCGAAGGAGGAGACAGGGGGAGCGGAGTTGGGGTTGGGGTGGTGCTTCTTCAGGGCCATGGTGACGTTGTACTCCAGGTCAAGAGTGGCCTTGGGGTCATCTGTCTTAGGCTTGAACTCAACAACGAGGTCATCCTTGACAGCGAAAACGGAGTCGATGTCAAGGTAGGGGTCGGTGCTGGGGTACAGCTGGTTGATGATGGTAGCGTAATCGGGGTGGGTGACCATCAGGTGGATGTGAGCGGGACGGAAGGGAGAGCGATCCATAACGTTCAACAGAACACCAGCGGGACCGTCGGTAGGCAGAGAGTAGGCAGTGGGGTGGTAGCAGTACCAGTAGTATTCACCCTTCTCGTTGGTGCGGAACTTGCCGCGCAGGTTGTTCTCGGTCTGCGCGGGGTCCTGGAAATCGTAGAGAGCGTTGGCAGAAGCTTGCCAGATGTCGAGCACAGCGTTCTGGATAGGAGCGCCAGTCTCCATGTCCTTGATAACACCGTGCATGAGGGTGACCTGGCCCTTGGAGTGAGGGTTCTGGATAATGCTGTCACCAAGGGCACGGAAAGGTGCGTTGGGAGACCAGAAGGGACCCAGAATGACGTTGGAGGTTGGGGAGAGACCCTGCTCAGTAACGATCTTGTTGGCGATCTCGTCAACCAGAGACTCGAGACCGATCACATCACAAATACGGTGACCCTCGTTACGGATAGGAGTGCTGATGGCACCAATGGAGTTGATGAACTCAACACCCATCATCCACTCGGCGGGGGTGAGCTCAACCTCACGAGCAAAGTCGTGGATGTGGCGGATAAGGCAGCCAATGATCTCTTTGGCACGAGGAGGGGTCTTGGGACCCATGGCGTTAACCACATAGGGGGTGAAGTTAGGGTTCCAGCGGTGTTCCTCAGGCATGTTGGCGGGGTGTGTGTTGTAGATGGTAGATAAAAGGGTGGCGTATAGAGTATGTAGAGTATACTTGGAGCGTTGGAATGATGGGATGGGATGAATAGAAAAAAAAAAAAAAGTAGATGAAAGGGCAGTGCGGACCCTTTATAATTTTTTTTCCACCCAAGGTTCTTTTCGTGTTAACTAACAAGAATAACTCAGCAAAAATCTACCCCGGATGACCATTTCGGCCCATTCCAGAGATCAACCCCGGACCGCACGGTCGGCAATGGGCGGAGGAGCACATAATCTACGAATCGGCAGCAACGACACCACAACTCCCGTTCTCCGGGATTGCATTTTCCACAGTGCCGACTCGCCACTGTCAACCAAACCTTGGAATCACCTGTGGAATCTGCTTAACTCAATGATCAAATCAGCCACTCAAATCGATTCTTTCTATTCCAGGTAATCCGCAACGAGCGGTTATGTCTGGTGCCGCCTTTTGCTGCCGGGTCATGGACCCCCACATCTGGATAAGACTTCTGCGGGCGCGTGTATATTCTGTATCTTCAACTCGGTAGCTAGAAATCGTATGATCCGTTCGACATTATTCTCTCGGGCACCTGCCTTCTATACCCGATCAGCTATTCGTTCGTTCACTAGCACTCCAGCCACCAACATGAAGCACCACTTGATGATTGGGACGTGGACCGCCCCCGGGCGCATCTACACTGTCCAGTTCGATGATGAGGCTCTGACTCTGGATCTGGTCAAGAAGACCGACATCCCAGAAGCTGAGCCTATCTCATGGATGACCTTTTCTCATGATAAGAAGGCCATCTATGGCGCCGCCATGAAGAAGTGGAACAGCTTCGCTGTTAACAGCCCCACGGAAATTGTTCATCAGGCATCACACCCCGTCGCTGGCCACCGTACGTATAGATCAAATGGGCAATTGCAATTGGCATACTTTAAACAATTGTGTTTAAAATCACTGCTAACGTCTACTGTTTCTCCTTATTAGCCCTGGCCCCCAGCAGCGAGACCAACACCCGCGCCATTTTCGTGCTTGCGGCTCACAAGCCCCCCTACAATGTGTACGGAAACCCATTCTACAAGTATGCGGGCTACGGCAACGTCTTCTCAGTCAAGCCCGACGGTGCTCTAGATGCCAATGTGCAGAATTACGAGTATCAAGAGAACACCGGTATCCACGGAATGGTCTTCGACCCTACTGAGACATACTTGTACTCAGCCGATCTGACAGCAAACAAGATCTGGACACATAAGAAGGATGCGCAAACCGGTCAACTGGAGCTTATTGACTGTTTAGAAGCTCCAGCCCCTGGTGATCACCCACGCTGGGTAGAGATGCACCACAGTGGAAAGTATCTCTATGTGCTGATGGAGGCTGGCAACCGCTTGGGAGTCTACGTGATCGATGAGCGCACTCACAAGCCTGTCTTCACTCACATTACGTACCCTCTGCTTCCTTCAGGTTAGTGAAACCTTCTCAGCTACTTGACTGAAACGAAATACCGAGTCATTTCCATGGGATAATCCGTTAATTTCTTTCTCTCTCTAGGTCTCCCACCCCGCAACAAGTACCGCGGTGATGTTACCTTTACCACCCAGAGCGGCGAGTATCTATTTGCAACCACTCGCTCCAACCACTTCGACGTGACGGGATACATTACTGCGTTCAAGCTGGGCCCATCCGGTGAAATTGAGCGCCAGCTCTTTATCAACCCCACTTCGACTAGTGGTGGTCACTCGAACGCGGTCAGCCCTTGCGACTTCACCGACGAGTGGGTTGCCATTTGTGATGACCAGCTGGGCTTCGTTGAGATGTACCGCTGGCGCGATGAGAAGTTGGCGCGTGTGGCGCGTTGTGACATTCCAGAGCAGGGCTTTGGCATGAATGCTATTTGGTACGATTAAACGAAAATCACAGATGCAATTTAAATGCAATCTAAATTATAGAAGCTGGCGAAAGTTCCACGCCACAACAATGAACATCTTGGAGCATAAAAAAGAAATAAACCCTATTTTATTCATTGACCATGTAACTTTATAATTTCAATGGGCAACATTAACTGGAGAAAATAAAATCAAACAAGCCTAACCCCGCTAGAGAACAAATGCCACAAAGAAGAAGAAAGAAAAAAAGAAAATTATCAAATAAGACTTTTTTGGTTCCAAGGTAGAACCGGCAGTGAAAATCGGTTGCGATTTGCTTTCTTCCGCCCAATGAGGGGCAACTGCCGATGACGATGCTGGGGAAGAGAACTAAAAGCCATGATTACTATATGCGATTAATGATGGGGATTCTCGATAATTCATTATCCATTGCTCTTTCTTCCTCCCAATCTCCTCAATATTGAAGTTTTTCGACTTCTTTACATCCCCCTCCATCCAGAAAGTTCCCCGCAATCATGCCAAACACCGGTCTCCTCTACGTGACAATGCAGCCTAAGGGCGCATTGCCCGACACCCAATTCCATGACTGGTATAACACAGAGCATGGACCTTTGCGCCTCCGACTGCCCTTCATTACCAATGGATTCCGATTCCGGGCGACAGACGGTGAGCAGCCCGAGTACGTGGCGCTATACGACATTACCGACATGGACGAGTTAACTCGCAAGACCTATCTGGATCTGCGAACAGACTTGATCAAAACGGAGCGTGAGAAAAACACCATGGCTCAGATTGACGTTGGTCGTAAGCTATATGATTTGGTGGATGAGCGGAGCCAGACCAACTACCGCCCGCTGGAGGACCAAGCCGATACCGATCCCGAGACTCGTGGCAGTGTCATGATTGCTGTCACTACTGTCACCCACCCTGACCCAGAGAAGGAGGCTGAGCACGACCGCTGGTATCGCGAAGAACACTTCGATATGCTTGCCCGCGTGCCGGGATGGCGTCGCAGCCGTCTGTTCCGCACTGCCGCCATTGACTCCGCTGCACCCCGCGAGACCCTCGCCCTGCACGAGTATTCGCCTGTCAACGGATTAGGTGGTGAGCTCCACAAGGCTTCTATGAACACCCAGTGGCGTCAGCGTCTCCAAGATGAAGTTGTTACTTCGAAGTCGCGTCGCGTTTACCAATGGTACTACACCTTCGGACCTGCACCTCGTGAGCTGTCGTCTCTCGCCAACTCGGATGTCATCGGGCCTTGGTCTTCGAATGACGGTCGCACTCGCACTTTCCCCTCATCTACCCGCCCAGCAGTGGAATCCTATATCACCACCAAGGACGGCGTTGAGATTCCCTACCGGTTGGAAGGCAGCACTGACCCCGATGCCCCGGTTGTTGTGCTCAGCAACTCAATCCTGGTAGACTGGAACATCTGGGACCGATTCGTGGATGCTTTCTTCGCCCACAAAGAGAACCAGAAGTACCGTGTTGTACGATACCTCACTCGCGGCCGTCGCTCTGCAAGCGGTGAGCAGCCCGTCAACATTGACGTTCTGGCCTCCGACCTCGACACACTCCTCCAGGCCCTGCGTGTGCCTCCCAAGGCTGCCCGTTTGATCGGTGTCAGCTTGGGTGGTGTCACTGTTCTCAACACATCTCTTCTGTTCCCCGAGCGCATCGCAGCCTTCATCGCCTGTGACACCAACTCTAACGCGCCCGAGTCCAACCGCAAAGCCTGGGGTGACCGCGTTGCCATGGCCGAGCAGGAGGGATCGACCGACCCCGAAACAAAGGAGCCAATCGTCGGTGAGCAGTTGGCCGAGATTACCACTCGTCGCTGGTTTGTTCCAGAGTCCTACGATACTCAGCCCGAGGTCCTGGCGCCAGTCAAGGAAGCTGTGCGCACCAACAGTCTGAAGGGTTTTGCACACAGTGTGCAGGCCTTGTGTGCCTACGATATCCGCGACCGCATGGCTAAAGCCACTGTCCCTGGTCTATTCGTGGCAGGTGCTAATGACGGTGTTCTGCCACAGACCATGCAGAAGATGGCGGCTGATTTGCGCGGCGGCGCGGAGCTTAAGGTCATCGACCGTGCAGGCCATTTGCCCATGGTTGAGCAGCCTGAGGCTTTTGCGGGTGTTGTGACTGAATACCTGAGCAAGATTGATGGTTAAATGAGCAGATTTTGATGGGCTATATTAGATTTAAAAATATTGACATCGGTTCTGTTTCGGTCATTAAAATACATAGCGAATGAGAAATGAATATCTGTTTTGATCACTTTAAATACCCTTGAGTCCAGTAACAAAGAAAACTAAAAAGTAATATCCAGCAACGAACAAACCATGTCCATCGACACTGGCACTGGCACTTGTCACTCTTATTTCTCTCGCGCAGGTGAATCAATCAAAAGGTAAAGACGCGTTCAGGTGCGAGTGTCGTGTGTCTCGCCCGGACGTGCGGTAATCGAGTCCTACCAAGGACGCAAGTTCCCCTCCGCCTCTGCTCTCCGCTCCTCCACAGGTATTACGCTCCTCTAACATCTTTCGTCATGACCGACAACAAGGTCCCTCAGCCAGGACCGGCGAGACTGAAACGCAATGCAGGCCCCGATGAGTGGCTGGAGGCTGCAAAAGATTGCAAATACCTCTCTGAAGCTCACATGAAGCAGCTGTGTGAGATGGTCAAAGAGTATATGATGGAGGGTAAGGACCAGTTTCTAGACAATTTACACATTGACCAATATACTGAGATCGATCTTTAGAATCAAATATACAGCCCGTTTCTACTCCGGTCACCGTCTGCGGCGATATTCATGGCCAGTTTTACGACCTTCTCGAGCTCTTCCGGGTCTCTGGTGGGATGCCCGATGGCACAGAACCCGACGCTCCCCAAACGTCACCCATCACTTCTGCCGACATTGAGCCTCCTTCCGAAATCACAGATCCAAAACTCAGAAAGAAACTACGTGGCCCCAATAACAACTCTCAAGAAGATGATGAGGAGGATTCTGAACTGAGTGAAACCACAGGAGCTCGGTCGACAAGTCCAACATCGAATGACGTCCAGGTTAACCGCAATTTTGTCTTTTTGGGGGATTATGTCGATCGTGGATATTTCAGTTTGGAGACTTTGACCTTATTGCTGTGTTTAAAGGCCAAGTGAGTGTAACTTTCGAAATGTCCTATACAAAAATGACGGAGAGTGGCTAATACTTCGCTCGAACCCATTAGGTACCCCGATCGAGTCACTTTGGTGCGCGGAAATCACGAATCCCGACAAATCACACAAGTATACGGCTTTTACGAAGAATGTTTCCAAAAATACGGCAGTGCTTCAGTGTGGAAGGCTTGCTGTCAGGTCTTTGACTTTATGACACTGGGCGCCATCATTGATGGCAAGGTTTTGTGTGTACACGGTGGTTTAAGTCCAGAAATTCGCACCCTAGACCAAGTGCGAGTAGTTGCCCGTGCGCAGGAAATTCCTCACGAGGGTGCTTTCTGTGACCTGGTCTGGTCGGACCCCGACGACGTTGAGACTTGGGCCGTCAGTCCTCGCGGAGCAGGTAAGCGCATTCCATTCTTTTCTCGACAAGAATTACGAGAAAGTTACAAGTGACTGACGAAATATTGTGCTCTGCTCTTAGGTTGGCTTTTTGGTGATCGTGTCGCCGATGAGTTCTGTCACGTAAACGATCTCTCCTTGATTGCTCGCGCGCATCAGTTGGTGAACGAAGGATATAAATACCATTTTGCGAACCAGAATGTGGTCACGGTCTGGAGTGCTCCGAACTACTGTTACCGATGCGGTAATCTTGCATCGGTCTGTGAAATTGGCGAGGATCTCAAACCATCATTCAAGCTTTTTAGTGCTGTGAGCGACGACCAACGGCATATGCCGAATTCGCGGCCAGGCCGCAGCGAGTACTTCCTGTAACATGTCAGCTATATTTGCACCGGCGCAGGCGTTCGGAGATTGGGCCTTGGTTTATTGCGAAGAGGAGGAGCATTGCCATAATGATCTTAGAAACGAAATGAATGATATGTCTATATTCATCCAAATAGTTGCTTTGTCCTTGTATCACTTATTACGTACATATTTGGGTAGGGCATAGTACGTATGTTATTCAAGTTTTTTTCCAGACTTCCAAGGCGCTCTCTTTGAAGAGGTTTGAAGCTCATCCATGCGACCCTGGATGAATTGACGATCATATGGCTCCATATATTATAAACAATCCTCTAACGTAGCCAGAGATACCCCCTCGAGAAATTCCGAGGAGGTGCTTATTGTCATTCAAGTTCGACTAGTTATTAACTTATACGAGGGGTGAGTCAACAAACCTAAACCTTACATAGAATAGCAGCATCTTCTTAGTGGGGCAAGATGCTCGAGTTGTTACTCTTCAAGTTTTACCTATCCATCCATCAACCAAACATCCATCCAGCCATGACTTCCTCCTATACAGTCGCTCCACACCTGGAATATTTCAATGTCCCACTGTCTGATTTCACAGCAGCCCGACCCGAGTTCGAAGCCTTCGGTATTGGCGGCTACATTTTCTCACAGAATGTAAAGCCCACATCCCCACCACGCATCTTACTTCTTCAACGAGCATTAACTGACTCGATGCCCGGATGCTGGGAAGGACCTGGCGGGGCCTCCGAACCCGAAGAAGATAGAACCCTGTTAGATGGGGTAGTACGTGAAGTACTCGAAGAATCAGGGTTGCATGTATCACGAATTGTGGAATTAGTGGCGATTGATAGCTGGGTGCATAAACGGCGTGATGGACAGACGATTCATATTGCAAAGTATTCGTTCATTGTTGATGTGCATGAGGCTTTTCATGAATCGCTCCGTGGAGATTCCCATGTTGTCCATTACGATGAGATTCCTGTTCAGTTGGAGGCTAGCGAGCACCGGGCATTTGCTTGGGCCGTTGAAGAGGATGTACAAGCATCAATGGAGTCTATTACAGGGAAATACAGTCTTCCACTCCCCTCTAGGTGGCATCAGGGGTCTAATATTTTGCGGGCATTTGAATTGTTCAGGAACTTGAAGCAGTGAAGAGCAAGGGAATGATTCTGGATGTTCATGTTGTATATAATGCTCTATCTAGAGAGATTGGGAATCGTCTTCCACAGGAGACACCCCATCAGCTTGCATTTGGAGTGCCACTTTGTCAACATCCCTCCAAACACGTAGTATATTACCACCTGCCACTTTGGCAGCATCCTCATCACTTAATCCACGGCGAAGAAGTTCCGCAATCAAATCAGGGAACTTTGACACATCCTCCAGACCGCGAGGCACTGTCCCGATACCATCAAAGTCGCTACCGATTCCTACATGATCGAATCCAGCAACAGATCCAATGTGCATAATATGATCCACCACACGATCCAGAGTCGCATTCTCAGCATCAAGATCAGGCAGCCCGTCATCGCGACCAGATTCCACACACGAGATAAAGTCAGGCGCAAAGTTGACCATGACAATTGAATTTTTCTCACGGACCAGTTCCAAAACATCATCTGGTACATTGCGTGGATGTGGGCAGAGTGCATAAGCTGAGCTATGGCTGAAGATAACCGGAGCTTGGCTGCCGGTCCATTCAGTCTTGCCCGCGCCCAGAACGTCACGCATGGTATCTACGCTCACATGGGCCAGATCAACGATCATCCCGAGGCGGTTCATCTCAAGAATCAACTTGTGTCCCGCGGGACTAACTCCATGCCAGAGGGGGTTAGATTTCTTAATTCCTCCGCCCGGTAACTCGACGACTGCAGCATCTGCGTAGCGATTGTGACAATTATGCGTCAAGGTTGCATATGAGACGCCCAATTCATAGAAAATACGAAGATGGGATAGAGAATTGCCGATTGAATGCAGCCCTTCAATACCCAGTGGAGATATAATCTTTCCCCTCTCAAAGGCGCTTAATGCGGTAGTGCCATTTGGGGGTGTTGAGAAAACATTAGGAAAAGCTTTCTGCATGCGAGACATCAAATCAACCTGTTCCATTGTTTCCCTCACACCTGAATGAAAATGAAGTGTTAGTTCCCATATCAATAGCTTGAGGGTAAATGACATGTATTTGAATACATACTCGGCGCATAGTTTCCATCTGAGAAGTCCGTCCAGTTCGCCGGGCAAGGCACGAAGACACTCCAAAAAGTGCCGCCGACATGACCTTGCTTCAGGCGAGGCAGATCAACATGCATAGGCAGAGTGCCATCAACAAAAGAATTGGTGAAACCTTTGCTATAGATGTGATTTTGGTAGTTTGACCGAATGAAAATAGGGAGATCGTCATGTCCGTCTATCGCAGGTATCAGCCAACCGGTACTTATCAAGAAGGTTTAGAATTGTAGGAAATTTCAAAATTATATCATCCATACCAATTAGGGGGGTTTGAGTCAGAATATTGTGCACTCTATCCTTGATGCTGGTAGTCCGACGGGCGTGGTGACAGTGTGGCCGCAGGAACCAGCCACTGACAAATACGCTGCAGAGTAGGAAGACCCAGGCCCGTGTCCAAGATGATGTCTTCGCTCTTACCTTTGTCTGGTTTTCCGGGTCCTGGCCCAATGGCTCATAGTGAACCTGAATCTTTTCTATTTCCATGATTAAATTGAAGTTGGGGAGATGTAACAGGTAGAAGAGGGCGGGCACGATTGATGCTACACTAGATAGCGCTTGAGGTCACTGCGTATTGCCAATCACGTCGATGGGCCGGTAAGTCACGCGTCCATGATAAGAGATTATAAGTAAATAGCCTAAGGGAATTTGAAGGCTGATCATGATTTTCACTCAATTATACTTAGGTATATACACAGATCAAACTATCTTCATCTGAATTCGTGGGATTATATCAATCAATGTATGAGGAATAATACCTGGATGCTCATTGCTCCGCTCGCTCCACTTTTTCTTTCGTTTTTGCGGGAAAACCAAACCCCTCGATGCAGGCATCTTTTTCTTTCTCATCTTGAACCCGCACATTGAATCAGTGTCGGACTAGGATCAAATGGCAGAGTCACCATCTATAGCCACCGGTAAGTTTGGTCCATTCTCTTTTTCTTTCTTTCTTTCTTTCTTTCTTTCTTTCTTTCTTTCTTTCTTTCTTTCGACTTTCTGCGCTTCAAACATAGAAACTCACTCTCATACTTGTACAGGCCTCGTCGCCGTGTGGCACGCCTATCGTCTTCCGCTCCTCATTATCATCTCAGCACTGTACTTCACTATTTGGGCTTATCGCACTTTCTCTTCAAGGCCCAAGACGCAGGCATCGGCTTCTGTCCCGTCTTCCCCACGCAGCCATTCCCCCGAGAAACAAGAGAAACTTGAAGCGACAAGTGAAAAGCAACCTGAAGTTGCAGTTGCCGCCAAACAAAATGCCAACCTGACTCGTACTACCGGAGGAACTACCAAACTGCCAGCCGGTCCCAAGCGTGTCCAAGGAAAGAAGCCTGTGAAGACGATTGACGGTCGCCGTGGTTCCAACGAGGAACCCCAGCCCATCACCCACATCCAACCGATCATCTTCTTTGCGTCTGTGACAACAACCACTGAGCATTATGCCAACGTTCTTTTGAAGGACATGCAAGCCGCTGCGCAGGAAAAAGCAAAATCAGAGGGTCGCGACCAGGGCCTTTTACCCCCGCAGATTCATGACATTTCCTATATCGATCTGGACGAGTATTTTATTTCCGCTCCAAAGCCGCCGCCCACTTCTCCCGGAACTCGATACGTTTATTGCATTCTAGCCCCGACTTATAACATCGATACCGTGATCAACAATTTCCTGGCTCATTTGGATGAAACCCACAACGATTTCCGAATCGACACCGCCCCGCTGTCTCAATTGGCCGGTTACTCCGTCTTTGGATTTGGAGATAAATCAGAATGGCCGACCGAGGAGGAAGGATTCTGCACACAGGCTAAAGAGATTGATCGATGGATGTCCAAACTCACAGGCCGCAAGCGAGCCTTCCCATTGGGAATGGCCGATGTTCAGAGTGGTACTGAAGAGGCTCTGAAGGAATGGTCTACCGGACTCGTTGAGACCTTGTCGGAAATCTTAGAAGCCGGTGGCCTGGGTGAGGGTGTTCAGGGAAGCGGCGACGCGGCAGAAAGCGACGAAGAAGATGCAGACGATGAAGATGCGTCCAAAAAACGGAAGGACGGTTCTCAAACTATGGTTGATCTCGAGGACATCAAGATGGACGGCGACTCTAGTGCCCCGATTCCGATTGATTTCACTACTGCTGGAAAAACAGTCTCTAATGAAGACAACGTCAAAGAGATGGTTCCCAAGACATCGCCTACTTACAAATCTCTTACCAAGCAAGGTTATACGATTGTAGGCTCTCACTCGGGTGTCAAGATTTGTCGATGGACTAAATCTGCGCTACGAGGACGGGGCTCTTGCTACAAGTACTCCTTCTATGGAATCCGATCACATCTATGTATGGAAGCAACGCCATCTCTCTCTTGCAGCAACAAATGTATTTTCTGCTGGCGCCACGGCACAAATCCGGTCGGAACAACCTGGCGATGGAAAGTGGACTCGCCCGAGCTGATCTTCCAGGGCGTGAAAGAGGGTCATTACAAGAAGATCAAGCTGTTGAAGGCTGTGCCTGGTGTCCGCGCTGAGAGATACGCAGAGGCTATGCGTATCCGCCACTGCGCATTGAGTCTGGTCGGCGAGCCTATCTTCTACCCGCATATCAATCGCTTCCTAGACATGCTTCATGCAGAGCGCATGTCGAGTTTCCTAGTTTGCAATGCACAGCACCCGGACCAGCTCGAGGCTCTGAAACGTGTCACCCAACTCTATGTCTCCATTGATGCTAGTAACCGAGAGAGTCTACGAAAGATTGACCGCCCTCTCCACCGTGATTTCTGGGAACGTTTCCAACGCTGTCTCGACATCCTCCGTGAAAAGCGCCACGTCCAGCGAACCGTGTTCCGCTTGACCTTGGTCAAAGGATTCAACGTAGACGACGAGGTGGTCGGATACGCGAACTTGGTTGAGAAAGCATTGCCATGTCTCATCGAGATCAAGGGTGTCACATACTGTGGAACCACTACAAGTGCAGGAGCAGGCTTGACAATGCAAAATGTGCCTTTCTATGAAGAGATTGTGACATTCGTGAAAGCCTTGGACCAAGAACTCCAAAGCCGTGGACTTGACTATGGTATCGCTGCGGAGCACGCCCACAGCTGCTGCGTTCTTCTCGCCTCCAGTCGATTCAACGTGAATGGAAAATGGCACACTCGAATCAACTACGAACGCTTCTTCGAGTTATTGGAGAGGGAAAATGCCGATGGAACCACCTTCACCCCAGAGGATTACATGCTTGAGACAGAGGAATGGGCACTTTGGGGAAATGGCGGATTTAACCCTGAGGATGAGCGAGTGTACCGGAGAGGCAAGAACAAGAACAAGAACCCACCCATTGAAGCTCCTCCCGCGGAGACTCAGGAAGTAACGGAAGTAACGGAAGTAACGTCTTGAAGTAATTCAACATTTCATTATGTTAATTGCCTTGAACCCGATCTTTTGGCTTCGGACGGCACTTCGCATTGGTAAAGGCTTGACTAGCCCGATCACCGCATCGTCAATATCCGTGACGATGACCACCCAAATTTTCTTCGCAGCGCGCGTCTTTCTCAGGGACCATTTCGTCTCGCAACAAAGAAAAACGACATTCATCATGCCATGATCCTCGGTTTGTTCAAATTGTCGCCGTATTTGACATGCGTTGGTTGTCGTGTACTGGATGCGTTATTTGGTTACTTGAACAGGAATACAGATGGCAGAACAAGTCATACTGCTGCAGACGTAGAAAATTGAACTCCTTTACCCTTGTTGTCCAGGGCTGAAAGAAAACTATCTCCAACTAGTCTCATCTTTGTATTTGTCTTTTAACCTTCATAAATGCACAGCTTCCAAGCCATACAAGTCTTACCACAAAGTCACTTATGTGGTGTATTAGGTCAATCTCATTTCGTGTTAACGTACTCATCGGTAAGCTCCGTATTGAGTTTGCAGCCGACATTAGAAGCTCTAAATCAAGCTGTACCTGTGGGTCGATGGGATGGATAATTATGTTGAGAAATAGTGATAAGGCAGCCGGAATTGAATAGAACGTGATGAGCCTAAACAACCCATAGTCAGTAAGATCTTGTATTCAACTTGAAGTTGCTTTTGTGTTTGAAATGCGAATCGTAAAATGCAAATAAACATACCGAAATGCTTGGTCTGCAATTATGCCAATGAGAAATCTCAAACACCATAGTGTCGATCGACTAGCCATCAAGGATATGTCAAAACTTGAGTGAACCACATCATGTAGATCCCGAGTCCCATCGCTCGCGTCGGTGGTGCATTTTCTAACAGTGGTATGAATGACCGTCATGAGATGATGATACTCTAATTGTAGAGCTATACGGCGAATAGTGTGCGGTACATCCTCGTCGCATATATCTGAAGAATAATTCTGAGAGACAAAAAGCGCTGGTCGGAAATTAATCGGGATAGATAGTCGCCAGTGCTCAACCTCATCGTCTAGTTGACGAATATTCAAAACAAGTTGGTTATCACTGTCTTTCAAGGCCCGAGCAGAGAATAGTAGTCTGTAAACCTTCTCCTTTAAATGGCAAAGGTAAATGTCTCCCGAAAGATGGGGAGTAGAAGGATGTTTTCCGTTTTTGTCATCATTTTCAAAGAACTGATCTTGTCCTGCCAGTGGTAGGTATGTATAATAATCCAAGTGGTTATCCGGTGGAGTCAAGTCGCAATACTCATCGACGAGATGGGGAAGATTTCCCGTACGAAGCGATATGTCTTTGTCGAACATATAGCAGAGCCAGAAGAGCCCTCGGATATGGCTTCTCTCACGTTCTGAGTAGGCAGTTTCGACCCCCGATGGATTTAATGGCTGATAGATATGTCCCTCTAAGGAACAAACTATGCGACATGCAATAGAATGGAGTAAGGCGGCCCGTTGCCAGTGAGCATGAAATGCATACCGTAGTTGCTGTTTAATAAGGATTAATCTCAGCCTCAAGAAGTGATGCATAACGCACAAATCTATCTCATCTGACTCACCAACATGATTGCTGTCTGGAGAGTCTCCAAGCTATTATCTCCAGTAATATGCGTTAACAGATAATGAGCCTTATCAGCACATACATCCGCATCCATCGAAGCAGGTATCTGCCTCGACATATCTAAATGAGACACTATAGAGAGAGCGCTAAAAACGCAACTTCTAGCTGCTATTTGGCTAGATGAAGATGTCATCTTGTTTGAAGACGCGTATGCGGTCTCTATCGTCGACTGAAATAGCACTTTGTCTAAAACGGGAAACGATAGTCTGGGGGAAGATTTGAAGAAGGCGTTCAAAATTTCACGAGTGGAATCTTTATCAGGTAGCTCGCATGCCTGTTGTATAGAATAGGGCTGGAATGTCGAAATAGGAGAGGAAGTTTTGATGGGAATAATGAACTCGATCCACTCGGCAGGCTGGTCTGTTCTAGTTGATATCCACTGGTGGCCGGCTTTAGAGGAGATTGGTATTCCATTGAAAAACCAATTAGGTCCCAGTTGTTTAGCAAGTGTGGTGTCTTCGCGGGAATGCTCGCTGTTAGGATGACCAGAGGAGGTGGTAGATGCTTGTGCGCAAGCGGCAGGGGAAGGAGATCGTTCAGAGACAGTTGACTCCCCACCACTACTTGGCCTCCTTGAGATGTTGGGAGAGTTGGTCTCCGGGGAAACAAGTGTTACTGGCTCTCCAGCGCTCGACACATCTTGCTCGTCAGTTGTCCCAGCCCTAACCAGAGCCTTTTCAAGCTTCTCAATGCGCTGGAATAAATTCTGGACATCACTCGAGTTCACACTGTAGAATTGGCACCCGAAGGAGAAGCACGTTAGACAGCTCATTCAGCAGGCAATTCCCGGCATATGGTGAGTCACATACCTGTTCCGCCGCCTTCTCCGTGGCCTCTCTCTTTTGAATGTACATTCAAGATCACGATGGTTGCACCACTCACATGGGCCCTCTGAGTTAGGCAAAGAGCATTGGATCTTAAGAGGTGAAGATTAATATCAGAACTAGGTCAGAGAATTGGCAGAGCATCAAGATATTAAAAGATAATAGTGACTTACCTTTCTCCGGTAGCAGACATCGCATGCTTTCTTTTGAGGACGTGCTTTCTTTACAGGCATGGTGATATATGTAGGGTCAACTGGCCTAGTAAGGTCCAGTGGGGGAGCGGCGTTTTCGGAGGCAGAAGTGGCCGTGTTTTCACTATGTGCTTCCGTCTCCTCTTTTCCTCCAAGGTCCTTGGAGGGTTTAGTGCGGGACACTATGAGCGGTACGGCACTTCGGAATCTCAAATCCCCGCGATCTTCAAGTCACAGCGTGGCTCTTGACGTCTGTTCTCCATTCCACTTGAGCTAATAGGTAGAATGAATACATTATAAAGTCCAAGACTGTTTCTAGCCATCATCCAAATTTCCATCTTTTCTCGTGGTTTTCATTTATTTCATCACAGTCACTCACATCAATAACTACAATGCCGGGTATCATCGCTAAATGGCATAAGCTTTTGGAGGCCGAAATTCTTCAACGGTCTTCTCAAGTTGTCTCTGTTGTCGGTGATCAGGCGTATATCTTTGGAGGAGAATTGAAGCCCCGTGAGCCTCGAGACAATGACATCCATACTGTTTCATTGAATACAGGTCAGTTGCAAAACCGTGATGAACAACAATTTCCCAATGACATTTTGCTGAAACAATTCGTGTTAATAACTAGACGCCACACTTACTTCCAAGTCGGCAACGTCTGAAGCCCCTTCCCCGCGTGTCGGGTCAGCAACTGCTACACTCAATGGCAAAGTCTATATATTCTCTGGTAGAGGTGGTATCGCAATGGCACCCATTGAAGAGCAAGGCACAATCTGGGAATTTGACCCAGATGCCTCGAGCTGGTCGCGGATCATTCCTTCAGGAATATTCCCCGCTGCGCGCAGTTACCATGCCATGGCTAGTGATGGGAAAGATACGATTTACGTCCATGCGGGTTGCCCTGAAAAGGGAAGACTATCAGACCTCTGGGCATTCAATCTTGCCCAGAAAAAGTGGGTGGAACTGGCACCAGCATTCGATCCTCCACGCGGAGGTACATCGATTGCCTTTACAACTGGCAAGCTATATCGGATGAATGGGTTTGATGGCAATACCGAACAGGGCGGGAGCGTGGATTTCTATTCGCCTGAAACGCATTCTTGGGCTTCGCACCTGTACACGCCTGATGGCAAAAGTGGACCGATTCCACGAAGCGTCAGCTCCGTTCTGCCCATTTATTTGAGAGGCCGGCCATTTTTAATCACTTTGTTCGGTGAGCGGGACCCTAGTTCGCTGGGCCATCAAGGGGCAGGGAAGATGTTGAGAGATATCTGGGCATTTGATATTGAGAACAAGAAATGGGAGGAAGTTTCGGTTCAAGGCAGTGGGGTTCCTCTTGCACGGGGGTGGTTCGATGCTGATGTCCTTGGAACGACCACAGTTATCGTTCATGGTGGGCTGGGAGAATCGAATGATCGACTTGGGGATGTTTGGAAACTCGAATTTGTTTAAGGAAGCTGGGTAATAGAAGCTTAGTTACTATGCAGAAGAAATTTCCACTTTTCAAAGAAGATCAAGTTGCCATTTTGTCTGTTAGAATTTTATGGGTTTGATGTGAAAGGATCCAATTCTAGGCCATTCCTGTAGCTTTCTCTGCCTCCACTGAAACGTACGATGCCAATCAGTCGGGACATCAGAGACATCGTTCACTCCTTCACCTTCTATCCAAACTTTCAAAAGTCAAGAATTGATTTAATCGAACCACTTGTTTCTTTCCAGTCCACGGGTCTACTCGGTATGGACATGCATGGATACATGCCCCGGGTGCCACCTCCAGGGCTGTTCAAGCACTTGAGCACTTGAGCACTTGAGCACTTGAGTGTTGGATTCATGGATGACGAATGCCATTGGCCAATGCTCTTTTTACGCGTGGGGGTATGATGAGTCATCTACTTGTCCCACCTATCAGACCGCCTAGGCAGAATCCCCATTGTGACTGCAGTCCAGCGCAAGGCGGGCCTTAGATGGAAGCTCTCACTTTGAGTTCCTAAAGGAAGAGCGAATGTGGAGGTCATCCTGCAAACACCAGTCCCTAGACATACACAACCCTCCACTTGAACCGATCATTTCTGTTGTCATGACCCAAACCAACAAGCCCACTGCGGGCGTTCTTCAGATCCCTGCCGCAGCCACACAGAAGTCCGGTGCACCAGCGAAGAAGGCTCCTAAACCTCCTGCTCCTCGGCTTAAATTACTCATCCGCCGCCTGCCACCTGGGCTAACGCAGACCGAACTCGAGAGTGCCCTGGGCCCAGAATGGAAGGTTGGTGCGGGGAAAGTGGATTGGCTCCAGTATAAGCCCGGCAAGGTGACCAAAGAGTAAGGCATACAACGAACTAGAGCCCTTTCGAATGAGTGCTGATCACATTTGATTTACATTTACAGCCCTGCCAAACCATCTCGTTCCTCTCGAGCCTACCTGCATGTGGTATCTAATGAGCACATCACCCCTCTGTCAGATGAGGTACGACAGGCGTCGTTCCAAGATGCCCGTGGGACCTCACATGACCCATCTCTCTTGGGACCTCCAATCCTGGAATTTTCACCTTACGCCAAAACCCCCGGAAATCGCGTGCGCAAGGATGCTCGACAGGGCACTATTGATCAAGACCCCGATTTCATTGCTTTCCTAGAAAGCTTAACGCAGCCCATTACGAAACCAGCACCCGTTGATACAGCCGAGGCGGAGGATAAGAAAGAGACAGTGACAACTACACCATTGGTGCAATTTATCAAGGACAAAAAAGCAAGCAAAGCTAAGGACTCGTCTGCGTCTAAGTCGTCCAAACTCAGCCGAGCAGAGAAAGACTCCAAAGAAAAAGTGCAGACGAAGAAACTCCTGCAGCGATCTGATAAGGAATCAAGTGCACCGCCTATTTCTGAGAAAAAGGCTAGAGGTGAAAAGCCCACTAAGGAGTCCGCAAAGGCAGCCAAGCAGGCTGCGGTTACTGCGACAAAGTCCGGCAAAGCAAGCACGCCAAAGGAGGGTTCTACTGTACCGGAGAGGAAAAGAGAAAGAGGCAATGCTACTGCAGCCACTAGGATTGTGCAACGCGACCTTGGCATTTCTCCATCGGCGAGTGGTCGGCGACGAGGCAAAGGAGGAGCAAGTGAGCCCGGTACATCAAAGACCGAGAATGCCCGGAGCTCTTCAGCTTCTGCTATGGAGGAAACGAGCAAGGAACAGGCACCTAAGCCAGCCAAGAACTCAACAACTAAACTGAAGGACACCGAGACTACAAACAAAAAAGCAACCAATGTGCCTTCTCCGTCCGCGCCAAACACAGCTTCTACCAGGGCGCCCAAGGCTCCCAAACCCAAACTGGCAGCGACTCCACTGTCGACTTCCACTCAAGCATTCCTTAAACATGCAAATCCATCCCAGGGCGTTACCGAGGCACTACTGGAAACAACGTTCGCTTCGTTTGGTACGGTAGCCAAGGTGGAAATTGATAAGAAGAAGGGATTTGGATATGTGGATTTCGCGGATCCGGAGGGACTGCAGAAGGCCATAGCTGCCAGTCCTGTGACGGTTGCGCAGAGTCAAGTGGTGGTCCTGGAGCGCAAAGCAAACCCTGGAGGTGAGAAGGCCCGCAAGGGACGAGGCGATGTTCAGCCGCCAAGTGCGAAAGCCAAGCCCGGGGAGAGTAACAACGCTGGGAATGGGACTGGATCATCTGCTCGGGGATCTCGAGGTGGTCGCGGGTCCCGAAACAAAGGGCCGAAAGGGGGGGGCGCTGCTGGAGGGAGCGCAGGCAATGCAGAAAAGGAAAAGGAAAAGGCCGAGAATACCAGCAACACGGAAAAATGAGTGAGCGAAGTAGTTTAGCGATTTCAATATAGGTGATGTCCAACGAGAAATGCATGATACCCCTTATACCCTTACAGTTGAATGCCGAAGATCTTTGACGCGGAGCCTCGTCCTACGTTTTCACTCCAGCCAGACTGGCTCAGAAACCATACAGTCGCATTAGCTTCAAGTTTCCAAGCTTTACAGTAGTATTCGAAATCAGATTTACCTCTATACTCTTAGACTTTCATTCCCGAACCCTAGCTTGAAACAAGCTAGTCTAATTTTAGCTATTCCCCAGTACTCCGTGTCAGACCGTCTTGTAATCCCTAGTAACGATAGACCTCGGGATGCCTCATTGTTATGATATTGTAATTTGCCCTGGAATTAATAGAATCTTTCATGCAAAGAGACCAAACAAAGGGGCAATGTGGCAAGATCAATCCCCCCCAAATCGACATTCTTTACGTCTTGATATTCCCATCGTCACACGCAGCCTTCGCTTACGCTCTTTTAACATCCAATAGAAGGCTGCATTTGCCATAGAGTACTAACCCTGGTAGGCAAGATGCTTTTTATTCCTATGGCTTTTGTTATCTTCTCTTATTTTCATTAGTTGCCGTTATCTATCGAAGGCCGGTGCACTTAGAAGCTGACATGAATCTGTTAAGGACTACTATTGTGTTTAAAGATGACACAGAGCCCAGATCATGACGATCCAATCTCTCGGTCCGGTGCACACGAATTATGGGAACAAGACTCGCAATACGCTTTTACTCCTGGATATTTGGGTAGTTCCTTTGCAATGCGGTCTAACTAAAGCTCCTCCCCGGCTGTTGTACTCAAGAATTAGTCGCAACCTGATGCTCTTAAGCTGATACGACTGTCTGAATAGGAGGAGAAAAGAGTATACGACCAGGATCCCCCAACCTGTATCCACTATAGTGTAGAGTGGCGTGTGATAGTCAATAATCGGGAGGTGGCAAAAGACGCAGAGGAAGACCTCGGTTTAGCTCCTAGTCTAGATTCTAGATCTACTGTACAAGTAAGAGTGGTAATGCAAAGAAGCACGTGTATGGTGTTAGTTATTCCCTTGCGAACCGGCGATCTACTCTGAAGACTTATAACACCGAATGAGTAATCAGCGGCTAGTACAATCAAATTTAGCGTTGGCACTTTTATAAACAAATAGCATTCGCGAATATAATAGACCCTCTTATCTATTGGCCTGATCCCGCCCCAGGGGCCAGCTCCAGCTAAAATTTTCAAAGCAGAAGAGTTTCATGAAGTCATCAGCTTCGCCACCTTCGTGTCCGTCCAACATCTGGACACAGTTCGTATAGTGATTGGAATCAGCCAAACCAACGTTCTGTCCAAACCAATGTTCTGTCCAGTCCTACTCTTAAATTCTCCAGGGCTGTAGAGAAAATTTTTGAATGTCTATATGGGTGTTCTTTTGCAGTACTTCACAGATGTTGACTATAAATACTTTGATGTTTCATCGAGCCAATCGTCTGTGCTTTTACATAACTGAAGACGTATATGCGCCAGAATCAGATGCAATGACATTCATCTATGTTTGTAGTGTTTGAAATAATCATCGCGGGTTGCTCTCCGGAACCCTCATTCGCAAACGAGTCCGACCCGTTTGCGAGTTTTGTGGGCTCATACGAAGGCTTGTCCAGATTGGTGTTGGCGTAACTGAATTCAATACTATTCGATGGCATCTTATTACGGTTTTAACCTTGTGGTCAGCTGATGTGTGATCAACTTGGGAGGATTGTGACGTATTTCAGGTCGTTGACCAGATAAAGACCCAAACTTTACTTCAGTTAAATTTCTCGCCGTAACATATCATGTTTCAGGCTCTGCCACATCAACTCACCTTGACAGATGCGGCAAATGTCTATTCCAATTACCTATACTAAGGAACTCATCCATTATGACCTAGGATACGGTCTTTATTACTCTGGTGACGGTGACAAGCTACACCCTGGACAGGTTGGCTACTTCAACCAAAATCACCACTTCATTCCATTGGGAGCCACGGGTTGGCAGGTAGAGGATCTACCCGCGGGGTTTGATCAGAAACCTGGGCTGATGTGCTCCAAAGGAATCAGTTTCACGAAATTAGGGGCAAAAATTCTCGCCAAGTACGCATTTGTACACCTCCGGACTAAACATTTTCTAACAACGTGTAGACTCCCTTTTCCTGCAGGTGTCCAGATCAATCTTGGCGGTACCATGACATGCGAAAGAAAGCATGGTGCAGCCTGTATGACTCGTGGCTTTATAAGGAGGCCTTACATCGAAAACGACGAAGCTGACATCTTCGATTGGATGGAAAAAAATGCGGAGCGACTTATAAGCCTCCATTGCGATGTTTTAAAAAGGCCCATATGGCTCATAACAAGCACTGTTAATGCTGAAAACTTTTCGAACAATGCTTGGGAGGAAAACGGCAAAACGTTCGACTTCGGACTTGAGGCAGGCCATAATTCGGCAAGCTTGAAGATTCCGTTCTAATATCACGTGGCTAATTCTACGGGTGGGGCCGCTTTGGCGCGTCCTGATTGGCAGACTTTCACTAAAGATAAGGGCCGTTGGCCGGTGATGTTCTTCAATGGCTACAGGTTTACATACAGAAAACGAAAAGGAAAAGTAAGACCAGCCAGGAATTTGTTAACGCGTCCATTTGCTCACCACAAAGACAGGATGCTCTGAATGCTGAATCACCAGAAAAGACTCAGAAAAGAATCACTAAGGGATCATTATTTCATAATTCAACCGGAGTTGAACAATACAATTCGGGACTTTTCAAGAAAAAACCAAGTGCCAAAAAGCGAGAAGAAAGTGGATACTCTAAGAAAGCATATGAACAAGAAGCAACCGAGGATCCAGGATGGAAAGAAGTCCTTTACAACTCCGACGAATGGGAGATCGTGGGCGTACCACCTGCGCAAAATGTTGACATTTTACGTGAGGCATACCTTGATGCCGCATTCGCTTTAGGAGGAGACATTAGCTGCCTCAAGCTCGAGAAAGGATCTGGGGAAGACCACGGAGAACAAGAAACAATAAATGCGGACGGAATCGATTCCATTGATGAATCACGCGAGGACAGCTGGGCTGCAGCACTCAGAACAGCTGAATGTGTTTCCCCTACTGCTGCTGTATCTTCACACAGAGGAGGATTTAGAGACATGTCCGAAGATACTGGGGTATTGCGGTTCGATCCTAGGAATGAAATCAGGACTAAAGCTGCTAGGCCTTCGCTCGGAGGAGAATCAAGAGAAATTGGAGGTCTGGCGAGGCCGTTACCGCGCGGGGGAAAGGAAGAGGAAAATAAAGAGGAAACGGTGGAGAACGAGGTGGGAAGAAGGAAAAGGAGAAGAAAAATGTGAACATGGTTTGACGAAAATGTATACTATAAATTCCATAAGTATCCGCAACGATTTAGTTGTTGCAGAGAAAGAAAACTGAATGTGCTTATTATGCTTGGACTCTTGCCAACCGGCTGTGATCTTATCAGACCGGCATAGACGACATCTATCTGGAATCAGTCCGGGCTCACTTGATGTAAGGGAGAAGTATTTTATTCGTCAGTAGAATTTATAGGGTGCCTAAAATCATCCTCCGAAGGCAGAGGATGCCACTTAGGAGTCTACTTACATGCTTGTATTAACTTAGGAGTCTACTTACATGCTTGTATTAGCTTCCACCAAAGGTATTACAGAGCTCCGGCTAGTGCTGACAGGCTGAGTATTATGGCAGGTAGGCTCATGAGTAGTCTCCAGGTATATAAGTAGGTATTGCCAGACAATATTTGCAATGTCTGGTGCCGAGTAAGCCCCCTAGTGTCAAGCGTTAACCGTCTCGTTTAAATTACACCAAGGGAGGTCCCAACCGCGTCATCTAAAATACAGAATCTATTCATGGAAGCAGGGAATTGACAAGCCATACAACATCTGGACTAGCGTGCTCAAATTAGGGTTCGGGAATTAAAGTCGAAGAGTGTGGAGGTAAATCTGATTTCGAATATCACTGTATATATATGTATCATGATATAATGGATGGATACCTAGCACTTGACCTAGAACAACGTAGGGATTAGAAGAATAGAAGAGGTAAAACCTTGCGGTGCAGTCCGTAAGTGAAGTTAAACCATCTAATAGAACACAAACGGGAAGATTGATGAACACCTGCGTCAATCCTGCGAGAATTGCGGTAAACCTTCAGCACAGCACTGAGGCTTCGTGAAACTTGAACACAACGTCCATCACCCACCCATTGTAAACCCTTGGGACGTTTGGGTCCAGCTTAGGCTCGTTCCTAAGTTCAGCGCTCGCACTCCCATTTGTAGGTGCCCAGCCTTGTGGATGTATAGGTGTCCAAGAGGGACTCAAGCATATAACACTCAATCGCAGACAAGAATCCTAAGGTAGAAAGAAGTATGAATGGGCTTTCAGATTCATTGGAGCCAAGCTTTAGCATTTAAGGATCTCAGTGAGTGACAAGAACGACATCCAAGTGCTTGATTACGGCAAAGCTGTTACGGATGATTGGAGAAAAAATAATTCAACGGGAAAAAAATTTTTTAATTCATATTAAAACAGCTAAACTAACAGCTCCAATTTCTCACAACCAAAGTGGGACTCCCAAATTGAATGTGGAAAAAACCTTTCAGACCTCCTCGACACCCACCAGGACCAGCCGACCGAAGTCAGACGCCGAGACCAGGTAAAGATCATCACCACTCCCTAGACAAGAAACACAGACACTGTAAACAGTACGCGTGACCCATCGAGGCGGGAGTAAAAAGGCTTCACTTTAGGGCATCGAGGACATAGTAGTCATCAGCAAGGGTGGAGATTCTGTGGCTCTTTTAAAGAGCTTAGAAGAGGACGTCTACTCTAAAGTGATTCTTTGAACTGTAGCAGGAAAAAGGTTAGTAACCGTCAACACAGAATTGGTTGTTGTCAATGTATGGGGTGGGAGGCACATACGTAGAGTCGCTTGAAGAAAAGAAAATCCACGGGGCGACGGCTTCCCTTTATACTTTCTCACCCGTGCCCTACTTGCTAAGCGATGAATTTTCCGTTTGCTTTGTTTGTCTACTTGGGAGGGGCGGTGGGGCCTTCGAGCCAATAGATGTGCTTTGGTGGGTCCGACCACTGAAACCGCGGCAGAAAAGTTTTCAGTTATTCATAAAAATTGCTTCTGATTGGCTGCAGCTTCCTCTTGGATTTTACATGAATAATGAAATCCATTCTATACCATTTTTTTCAGGGTAGATTGGGAATAGCGCGTTCTGCAGCCACGGATCTTGTCCGAAGTGACAATTTTGTAGCTGGAACTCAATATCTTAGCCTCCGTGTCATGATTCTGAACCTCTGTAGCAAAAACTTCTAGAGGCGGTGAAGATCAATAGCCAGCTCTGGAGCACTTGAGCACTTGAGGTCAACTAGTGGATCCTTTCAAGTTATTAGCCAATGAAACTTGAAATCTTTTGACAATCGGACATGCCGGGGGGGGTTGGATGTACCTGGGTAGCATAGTATATCTATAGTTAGGGGAAAAGTGTGGAAGTGACATGCTAGTAATGTACTACTAAGTATCTGCAAAGTGCATAGTAGTGGCATCGGTCGGCCTCCTGAGATAATATGTACTGCTCTAGGACTGTACTACTACTAGTAGGTGCTTATCTAGGTAGCCGGCTTCAAGCCTGAAGTGTTCAATGCTTTACATAGTACTATATATATGCATCCATACTAGGTACTTACTATCTATCCACAGGTTGCCATCGGGCTGGAGTAGTAGATCCCAAGTACTATGCCACTGTATTTATTTCAGGTTAGTAGTTGGTACTTGTGCGGAACATGAAAATCCAGAAACTGCTTTCCTGACAATTTAGGTACTATGGGGGATTAAAAATGAAACTGAATTAAAATTCATCTGTAATCAATCATGCATCTATCTCTCTCCCCGAATTAGCAGCTGTCAAGTGTCAAATGTCAGATTAACTTCCAAGAATGGAGCTTTACCTGTTTGGGGCGCCACTATCAACGGGCGATACGAAATTCCCCGGGTGCGCGGCCCGCGCACGTCCGACCACCTGCTTGGACCTCGAAACCAACGTTTACTATTCCGACCGGAAGACATCTAGCCAACCAAGCTATACCCCGGATTCTTGTCTTCTCCATCATGGGGCGCCCCAAAGTTCCCCCGGAAAATCGCCTGCGGGCCAACACAGCATGCACCAAATGCAGAGCCTCCAAGAAGCGATGCAGCGGCACATTTCCCTGTACAAATTGCACTCGCAAGGGCCATGCTCGCTCATGTATTCCTTTCAAATCCATTTCGAACGCTAGTCCCAGCAGTCACCGAGATCGAGAATCTCATGCGGGCTTAGAAACGAGCTCATCATGGGAAGGACCAGAATATGCGATACAGACTCCCTTGAATCGCCAGAATCGGGCGGCGACCCCATCCGATCGTTTGACGGAGCATCATCCAGAGACGGGCTCGCGATCCCCCGAGGCGACGCATCAGACACACCCTCGAATGTTGCGGAACTTACAAGGTGATAGAGGTATGTCCCGCTCTCCGTTACAATTGAATCTGTGATCCATCCGCTCAACAGTGTATAGTATATGTTGGCAAAGCCGCGTCTTTGTCGTTTCTTCAACTCCTTCGGGAGACAGTATATCAACATCTTGGCCCTTCGCAATTTTCCCATAACTGGAGCGAAGACATGCTCGAAAATGAAGCGCATCATGACCCACTTAACCTCACCGAAGAGCGCTGTAGCGAGAAGGACCGCCGTCGATTTATCTCGACCTTCGAGGTAGTCGTGAGTCTCGTTCCGACCCGACTCAAGGTGGCTCGCCCGCTGATTGATAATAATTTTACAGACTAGCGGGTTCTTGTACCTGGGGTGTGACACAGAACCCTTTTTTGCCGATTTCCCAGAACCCAAGACCGACCGAGAAAAAACACGGGCATCAATTCGAGATCTGATGATTGCCATCGGGGCTCAGTCTTGCACTAATACCCCCGAAAACCTTCAGATAGAGCGCTTTTTCTTCACTCGTGGTCAAAGCAGGGCCTTCACCAATTTCTTAGAAGATCCAAGTCTAGATTTGATCCGCGCCTTTCTCCTTATGTCATTTTACATGTTTGGAGCCTGCCGTCGAAATGCCGCTTTCATGTATCTTGGTGTTGCAGCTCGATCTGCAGTGGCTGTAGGATTACACGAGGACTTGTCCGGATCAAACCACCAGGAACAGCAAGAAAGGTCAGCACTATCTTGATAGCCATGACATATGTAATGATGCGCTGATTCTCAGTTACTATAGATCAAAGTTATGGATGAGTCTCTGTGTGCTCGACCTTTTGGCTAGCTCTATCCTGGGCCGACCAGCAGCTACAGCAACCCTGCAGACAGACCGGCCAGATCTAAATCTACAAGCATCTATAACCGCTGAGACCACTTTGATTGCATCATACCAGCTATCATTGATTTTGAATCAAATCGTTAATCGCATGTATGGCGACAAGGCCGCTTCAATCGATTCAGCGGAGCTGCTGCTTGCCAAGATCAATCAATGGAGTGAAAACCTTCCCACTCCGCTGCGAACACAAGACAACGATGAAAGCCCAGACGAAGCCCAGGAACACGTTATTGGCAATCTCCATGTGGCATGCTCATACCACTTCGCAGTGATACTTCTAACACGCCCATTTCTCATTTCCACACTGAGCGTCCGTCTCGCTCGGCTACACCAAAGCCAATCCGTCAACGAGATAGGTCGTATACCCGAAGAAGAACCGGCCCACTCGCGGCTAGCGGCAGCATGTATTGATTCCGCAGTCTACATGCTTCAAACCTGCCTTGAAGTCCACCAATCGGGACTTCTCCTGCGCAACATGTGCATTTTGAAGTAAGAAATGAACCCAATGCCCCACTTACCCAGAACTCAGTTAACAATGATATCGTAGAGCGTTCGTATTCGCAGCAGCCCTAGTATTGGGATTCTCAATGTTCACCCATCGAGATGTCGACACCGAAATTGACAGCGCGTTCAAAGGTGCACTAAGCATCTTGCATATGTTAGCACAGCAATCAGCCCAAGCCGCCCACTATTTAGAGATCTTGAGCCTACTTGAAGCTGCCATTAACCAACAAAGACAACGATTAGCTTCTCAAGCCCGCCAAAGACGCAGCCAATATGTCAGTCGAATTTTCAGCCTAACTGATAAGCCGCAATCATCTCAGGCGCAGAGCGATAGCGAGAGCCGCCCCACCCCTCCGACCTCACTGCTTCCCCAAGGCGGACCATTCTATCCATGGATTCCACAGGGAGAAGGCCCCGCTACAGCTACACCCCCAGTGTTGGATGGGGCATTTTTGGACTGGGAAGGTATGGAGTTACCTTTGTGGGATAGTTTTCCCTTCACCGAGCCGGGCTCGTCAGTTTTATGAGTTATACCCATTTGTGTTATATTATACATAGGCCATGGCGTTTTGGCGTTATACGGAGTACATGTGTACGCATCCTTTGGAGTGATCGACACAGTTCTGCAGATTTTTCTTATTGCCACCTGGGTACCTCTTGGCATTCTCCATCTACAGTATGTACAAGTACACAATATTTTTCGCCCCTGAGCATTTGTTCCACTGAAGTAAACTCCACAATGTGCTAGATGGTTAACATCATCCCACGCAATTTTGTCAGAGATAGTGGGCGCCACAGTTAAACCCCACTTGCCAGCGAAAAGTCACTATCCGTAAAGACGAATTATGGCTGTCGATCACTATACATTTACAGTAGAAGAGTATTGAAATCAGGTAGTCACGAAGTAAAGAAGACAGTACAAAGTACATAAAAGAAGAGAGTTTGAGGAAGGACTTCTGAAGATAGAATTGAAAACAAAATAACCAGAACGGGAAATGTATGTACGAAGTACATCCATGGATCGATATGTGGAATGCCCCTCCAGAGTTGGAGATTATGTACAGCAATCACCCCGCGCTAGCTAGATATCGCAGTTCCGAGGTGAAACAGTGGGGTACTATGAAAAAAGTGTCCCACCAAGGTTTTATGGATGTAATCATGACGCTGACCTTCTTAGAACCTTCGAAATAATTTCTAGAAAATTCCTCTTGATTCTTATGAAGGCGTGAAGTATTGAGCTTAGAAATAGTAGCACGGCATATTTCCAAGGCTACTAGCAAATACTCCCAAGCTAGCAACGGCGCCCGGATACAATCTGGGAAAATTGAGCGCTTCGCGTGGAAGCCATCTTAAAAATGCGTAAGCTTTAACTACAAAGATTGTTACCTATCCGAATGTTCCACGGCAAAGGAAGAATTTGATATTTTACCGGCTTGAAAGGTTGCATCAAAAAACCAAATTCAGTTCTCGTCGCTCTCTGGTCCCGGGTCGGGTACATAGTCCTGACTTCCTTCATACGCCAGGCCTGTTCCATCATTCCATCTCTTAAGAAAGAAATGTAAACTATCCCGCTTTGTTTTGGCTGGGGCATTCGACTTTATCACCTCTATAACCCTTGAAATATTATTCTACAAGTAGTTCATTTCGCGCATTACGACTCTTACCGCAATGGCGTCTGGTGAACCTTTCGGGAATGGCTGTCGTAAAGCCCGAACGAAGTGCGACCGTAGAATCGCATTTTGCTCGTATAATCCGAGAGAAAAATCGACATCTTGAAAGAAGATCGGGTACTCGTATAGATAGTAGAGAGGGCCCGCATAGGCATACTCGAAATCTATCACCCCGGATAGTACGGGCGGCTTATCTGAGCTGTCTCGTGAATTGACTAACAGTAGATTTTGGGCATCATAATCAGTATGAATAAGACGAATTAGAGGACCGAAGCACGGGGCATCAGACTTCGAAGAATGGTATTCTAACAGGTGTTGTCTGGTCTCAACGAGCTCTTCGTATCCAGCGAAGTCAACGGCAATCTCCGGGATTAACGCGAGTAGGTAGTCGAGAGTCGACTTGAATGGCTTCCCTTCTTGCGGAGAGAACGAAGGGTGTATCAGCGGCCTAATCCGTTGTCTTGTATACTGCCAATCCCATCAAAGTGAAGTGCTGCTAGTCGAGTAAGAACTGATGCAATCTGGGTAAGGACGTTCTTTTTATGATCGAGAGAGAAGCCTTCCATAGCTTATAGAGATGCTTCCCGGGGAGTCTCTCCATGAGAACAAACAGTGCGCCGACCGGATTATCGGGGCGTAAATCCTGATGGAAATATTTTGGCAACTGGAATGGACGTATGATGTTTGACAAGCCGCATGGTCGTGAGTTCGCTTGTGGCTTTAGCAAGACTTTCTTCGCTACGAGTCAGCCTTGCGATACATGAATGTCGGGCCCGTTCTATCTCAACCAATGATTCAGAACCGACATCAAATTCAAGGAGGAATATCTCGTGATATGTTGTACGTGTGAGCTTTCTGGCTCTAGTACAAGTGGCCGATGCAATAGTTCAAGCGTAGTCCGTCAGTTCCTGTAAGTCCAGCTTCAATTCAGGTGGTTCGTCAGACTCATACTCTTCATCTGCACTGGAGTGAGGAGAAGCAAATTCATCTTCGGTAAGATTAGTTTCATCAATAACGCCTGATGAGGCCGTATCTGTATTCATTGCTCTGTTGCTGGATACGATTTGAATTTCGAAGATATTAGAATTGTAGAGAACAGTACCCCCAACAAACAATGTTGAAACCCCTCTAAACAGGCGGTGAATTAAATGCAGTGGAAATCAAAAAATTGAAATTAATAACCAGATTATAATGTTTTTGATCTATTGTCGTTGAAATGTTTCTATCCATAACCAGCTTTTCTCATACAATTATTCCTTTCGAATCAAAAGATCGCTTTCAAACGCAAGCTCATGTTCCTCATTATCGAACTCGATATGAATTGCAATCAATCAATGTACTTAGGCAGGGTGGCGAGGACACCATCGCTGGCAATTTGCTGTAAGGCAGTGGTGATAGTCTCCATGAAGCGCTTGTCTTTGCGCAAGTCATCACCAAACAGCATCTTAATGTTCAGCAGTTCAGTGGGGTCACCACGCTTAGCCCGTGTGCGCAGCTCGTCAAGCATAGGGTCAATGACCTCGAATGTGGCACCGGTGTCCTCAACACCATGAATGTAGTGCATCCAAAGGGCGGCAGTGAAACAGAGACGACGCAAAGGACCGTTTACCCAAATGGCCTCAGCGATGGTGGGCATGATGAACTGGGGGATCTTGCCGGTACCGTTAAGACAGATACGGGGAAGCTGATCCATGATTGGGGGGTTGGAGAAACGCTCCACGAGTGTGCGGCAGTATTGATCGATATCGACACCGGGGATAACGGGAAGAGTAGGCTTGACCTCCTCCTGCATCATTTGCCAGACAATCTTGCGGAAGAGAGGGTTCTCCATAACCTGGTGAACATATTTGTGACCAGAGAGCTGACCACCGTAGGCAATGACGGCGTGACTGCCGTTAAGAAGACGGAGCTTATGTTTTTCGAACTCCTCGACCTCCTTCACGTTCTTAACAATTTGGACTCCGACCTTCTCAAATGGTGGGCGGCCGTCACAGAAGTGGTCCTCAATGACCCACTGCATAAATGGCTCAGTGACAATGGGCCATGAGTCCTCAATGCCGAAGTCCTTTGCGAGACCCACTTTATCGGCGGGGGAGGTTTGAGGGGTGATTCGGTCAACCATAGCGTTGGGGAAGTGGCCCTTGGTATTGATCCAGTCCGCAAGATCGGGGTTGCGAAGGCGGGCAAAGGAAACAAGCATATTACGGGTGATGCTACCGTTGCCTTGCATGTTATCACAGGATACAACGGTGAAAGGGTTCAGTCCCTGCTTGTGACGGCGATTCATTGCATGGTAAAGGAAGCCGAAGGCAGTGTGAGGAGCTTTATCGTCGTGAAGGTCATGCTGAATGTCGGGGTGCTCATTCTGGAGCTGATGCGTGTTCTCATTATAGTAGTAGCCGCTCTCGGTGATAGTAAGCGACACAATATGGGTATCAGGGTGGGCTAGCTTGGCAATGACGGCCTCCCGGTCGTCAGGGGCAAAGAGATATGAATTGATGCCGCCCATGACCTTGGCAACGCTACCTTCAGCAGAGCGCTCGACAACAGTGTAGAGACCATCCTGGGAATTCAGAGCATCACGCATTCCGGCGTCGAAGGGCTGCAAACCCACGCCGCAAATTGCATAGTCTGTAACACCATGGTGCTGCATAAGCTGGTCGACGTAGACAGCCAAGTGAGCTCGGTGGAAGCCACCGACTCCGATGTGAACAATTCCTTCTTTCACGGCATCACCGCGGGGGTAGGTAGGTATCTGCACTGGCGCGCCAGATGCTGTCGCGATCTGGGACAAATTCTTGCTGTTGAGCTTCAAGGGGGGCATTGTGAGATGATATGAAGGAATTGAGAAAAATTGGAAGGAAGGAATTGAACAATAGAGCTGTGGAGGGGTAGAATGATTTAAATCATAAATGGTTGAGAGCAGCTCTGCGTCACCGCCATCTGCCGGATTTGGCAATGCCGGGATGATGGCAAAAGGTCGGGACGAAGCCCCATATCTTTAGTTTTCTGTGGGGCAGAAAATCCTCATATCAGCAATTCTGATGGGCATCGGTCGCTCCACGCTGAAAATTCTGATATTAGAGTGGCTGCGCCTCGACCCATGACCTGAAAAAAAAACATAGCATATTGCAGAAATCAAGAATGGACGGGAGCGGGATGGTCAGCTGCTTCCTTAGTTTAAGTTCTAGATCGACGGTCCGTTCGCATTGAAGCTCACTGCAATATAAATATAGAAGCTTAGTCACCCCGCGTTCAGTCTCAATGTTTGAACGCGGGAGGCGCCAAACCCAAATAGGAGAAGCCGCAGATCTAGACGCCTTGTAAATTAGGCCAGTAATGCTCCACGATTGAATCCACACTGCCAGCTGGCAGTTTCCGAGGCGTTTACAGAGAAATGGTTTCCGGGTCGGCAGCAGATAATTGTACCCAAGTATCCCGTACCCTCAGGGGTACGTACGGAGTACGCAGCTTTCATACGGCGGCCTGATCCGCATCTACCCAAAAATTGGCCTCCATGACATAGGAGTTCAGGGGTACTCCGTGGTCAGCTGGACAGCTGGCAGGGATTGATACCCGGTTCCTCTCGTTCAATACCAAATCATTTCATTAAGGAGTTGCAAGCCTGCCAGTCATCGAAGGACCCGGGAGCAACGAGCGAGTCAATATACTCATGTCGTACATCCATATTAAAGTTGCCCATTGTGAAGTCTGATCACGTAGGGAATTTCATTTTCTCCACTCGTGAAACAGATGAGGGGCAAAGAGCTCGGGAGAGGCAAATACGTACTTATTCACTACCCCAAGATGCCTCTTGATACTCAGGCCCTCGATGACTTGGGAGACAACGAGAAAAAGTAGTTGATTAGCAGGTGCCGCCGTCATTTTATCATCATATGAGCAATATTTCATTTTAATCCTGTCTATTCCCTATATCACAATCTACCTATACCCTGTTTGAGGTTGAGAGCATGGAGATGAGAGCATCACAAACCCGTAGGCCCTGTAGATAGATCTCCATTCCAATGAATAATGCTTATGAAGAGCCCCAAGAGGTATGATTGTATAATGAGCCATCAACACGCATCGAGTCTCTTCTCAAGTCCTTCTTCATAAAAGCCTCCCATATCATAACAGTCTCACCATCTAAAGTTTTTTCTTCATATAACGGCTCCACCTTCCAACTAACATATCCAAGTTTCTCATACCATTCCTGAATACTGAAAGAAGGCCGCTCCATCCCAATCTTCTCCCACAATCCACTCCATTCCGGTGCATCATCATAAAAGTACCGCTTACTCAAAGCCGTCAGCGTAAGACATCGACAATTCGAATCTCCATATGGCTCAGTCACAGCCATAGTTTCAACCAGTTTTACTGCCCGCTTTCCAAGGCCCAAAGAGCGATAATCCGGCATGATAAAAACGGAATTTATAGAAAGTTCAGTTTCTCCGCTCGAGATTCCTGATTCATCAAGTAGGTTTGAAGACGCGTCAAGTGATATGTGACCTGCGTGGATGAACGTTTTCTCGGCATGAGTACTGTTATCAGGAATGATGATCCAAAACAACCTTTTTAGATCTGCTTTATCTTGCCATCCTCGGAGGGTTTGTATATCGGACTCCCATCCACAGATGATGCGTTGATCTCGGATTTCGTTGAATTGGCTCGCGTCGTTGAGATCGACGGGCTCAAGGTGACACTGGGGCGAGCTAGATTGCTCTTGCATAGCTGCACACAAGCGTATAGAGAATAAAGTAAGTCTTTGAATACTCAAACGAGAACCTCGATTAAACAACACTGCCTTGGTTTAGGAGATATGATTCTTGGTGAGAAGTAAGCGCTAAAACGAAATGGGAAAGCCAAGAGATGGTCTAATCAACATGAATGTAAACCTTTGATAACCATATCGATAACCTTGACCCCTCTACACAAACTAGAAAGCCGCAAGTCATAATCCCAGCCGCAAAATATTTAATCTCCGAAATAAGATCGGGAAACGTCACTATCTCGTGGCGCCGAAGATAAGCGGCGTCCGGCGCGCGGTGCACGATCCGCAACTATGATCCGCCAGTGCACGTTCCGACTGTAGAAGTGTACAAGAGGCAAATAAAATGGCACGGTTTGACCTGATGAGATTCATTCTTATTCCAAAGAAACATCGAAAGCATCAAATCAAACAGCCTGTTAAAGAAAGAAAAGAAAAATATAAGGAAAAAAGTACATTATCTCACGATGAATACCTCTAGCTGGAGACGTCTCAACGTCGCTGTTATTGGTGGCGGCATCGGTGGTATGTCTGTGGCGATCGCCCTGCGCCGTGCAGGCCACAGAGTTACGATCTACGAGAGGTCAGATTTTGCCGGTGAAGTGGGTGCTTCTGTATCGTGTGCTGCTAATGGAACACGATGGCTTCATGAATGGGGAGTTGATGTTGCAAAGGGAGACCCCGTTGTATTAAAGAAGTTGATCAACCGAGATTGGAAAACTGGTGAACCCGTGAGCGTGTATGATTTGAGCGATTACGAAAAGCGCTGGGGATATGTGTACAACATGTTTCATCGTCAGTATATGCATGCTATGTTGAAGGATTCGGCGTTGTTGGAAGAGGGTGAAGGCATTCCTGCTAAGCTCATCCTGAACCACAAGGTAACTTGACACTACCCGTTGAGAACAGAGTTGTTTGTAAGACATTCTTGAAACATCTTTACTAACTATTTCCTCCAGTGCCATGAAATCGATTTACAAACCAACACCATCACCTTCGAAAACGGAACCACAGCCCAACACGATCTCATCATCGGCGCCGATGGAATCGGATCAGCAGTGCGAGGCATTCTAGGAATCCGCCCCGAAAAACGTCCCTCCGATTCCAGCTGCCTACACGCCAACGTCGACGCCGATAAAGCAGCCGAACTAGGCCTTACAAACTACTCAGCCGATAGCGCACTGGAATACTGGGGCGGCCAGGAAGGGAAATGGGACAAGATCGTGCTTTCACCTTGCAACGGCGGAAAGCTCTTATCATATTACTGTTTCTTCGCCCGAGAGCAGGGAGACTACTCTGCACAAGCCTGGGGCGCAGAAGGTCGTCCGGTGGAGGACTTGCTTAAGCCTTACCCCGAACTAGATCGGCAGGTGTTAAACCATCTTGCTATTGGAAAGGAGATTCAGCCCTGGAGACTCTGGGTTCATGATCCGTACCCGTATATTCACAAGGGTAAAATTTGTCTCTTGGGAGATGCGGGACACCCTATGATGCCACATCAGAGTCAGGGTGCTTGTATGGCTATTGAAGATGCGGCGGCGCTGGGAATACTATTCAACAAGAAATATTTCAATGGTGATGTTGCACAGTCTCTGGCTGTTTATGAAGCTATCCGTTTACCTCGTGTGACTCGTGTGCAAGCAGCCGCTGCAAAGGCAGCGTATAATATCAACGAGAGAATTGGTTAGTGAATCATGGAATCTGAAAGCAAAAAGCAGACTCTAACAATATTCTTAGGGTTTTCTGTCAACAAGGACACTCCAACTTATAAGGTGGAGGATCCTAAGAAGGTGCTTACTATTGAAGAAATGAATGCGTAAGTCTACTTTGATTTCACTTTATGAATATTTTTGATTACTGACTCGAGCCTCCAGATACGACATGTATAAGGACGTCGAGGAGAAACTTGCAGCCGTACGCGGTAACATATTTGAAGGCAAGTTCATCTGTGGACTTCCAGTTGGACTAGAGTTGCCCAGTGGTGTCACGATTGGAGCATGCTAGTCCACGATTTTGAGTGTATATATTGTTTCTCATGGCCTCGTGTATTTATTTCTCACAGCAAAATTGACTTTATACCTTTTATTTTTCTACCTACTTGAGCTTGATTCTAAAGTCAATATTTGTGCATGGCAGCGGATTAAGTGAATTTTCCTCTAAAATTGTTCATGTTTGACATTCTTCATACAAAATGAGTTGCTGTTGTAAAAAGAGCAGGGGAAAAAAGGAGGTATATCCACGTTCGGGCGAAATCGAATGAATGCAATGGGCGTGCACTACTAGTAGTACGTAAAGATCGCACTAAATTTAGGAATAGATTTAAGGGGACATGTCTTTAAGAATATATAAATTCGCTTTTCAGGTTGCAACAATAACAATTTGATGTAAGACCGTGTCCACGGTGGCTTGTCCAGATGCTCGGGCACAGATACCCCGAACAAGAGCGCTCGGCTTCCTCCTCGTCCGATGCTCTCTCCGGTGCTATTTCGCCCGACGTGACCCATGAGAATCCGAGAAACTCATACCCAATACCTGTCCGAAGGTGTCACCTCGCGACATGGAAAGATGGTGGATAGACTAGTCCTAATTAATTTCGATTCTAGGTACACAGTTAACGATACGAATAAATCCAGAAAGGTATACAATCAATCAAATTCTGCAACCTTGATCTGTGCAATTTGGATTATGTACATAGAAAAAGCTCATGTCATTTCATTTCTCTTTATTTTTATTATAGAAGTGTTGTCCCTTTAACCGAAGAGAGCATCACCCAGGCGGTAGTGCACAGTCTTGATCTGGGTGTAGTTCTCCAAGGCGTAAGAGCCAAGCTCACGACCGACACCGGAGCTCTTGAAGCCACCGAATGGAGCCTGGTAGTTGATCATGTTGTAGTTGTTGATCCACACAGTACTAAAACAAAGTTAGTAATGTTATAGAGAAAGCCTGCGAAATTGGAATGCTTACCCAGCCTTCAAGGCGTTGGAGACACGGATCGCAGTGTTGACATTCTTGGTGTGAACACCAGCAGCAAGACCTGTAAGAAGGAAAAGTCAGTATGATTAACATGATATAAAAGCTGAGGGAAAGAGAAAAGAACATACCGTATTCAGAGGCATTACCAATCTTGATGGCCTCGGCCTCATCCTTGAACCTCTGGACAGTAATGACAGGGCCGAAAATCTCCTCACGAGCGATCTTCATATCGGAAGTAACATCAGTGAAAAGGGTAGGCTGGATGAAGTAACCCTTGTCACCGTGGCGCTCACCACCGTAAGCAACGGTAGCACCCTCCTTCTTGCCGTGGTTGATGTATTCCATGATACGGTCGAACTGCAATTGGGAGACCTGAGGACCCTGGAAGGTACCCTCATCGAAGGGGTTACCGAGCTTGTTCTGGGCAGCACGTTCCCTGAAGCGAGCAACGAACTTATCGTAAATACCTTCCTGGACGAGCAGGCGGGAACCAGCGCAGCAGCACTGGCCGTGGTTGTAGAAGATACCGAAGTTGGCCCAGGAGATAGCGTTATCGATATCGGCATCGTCAAAGACGATGTTAGGTGACTTACCACCCAGCTCAAGGGTAACCTTCTTCAAGTTACTCTTAGCGGCAGCCTGGAGGATAGTACGGCCAATCAGGGTGGAACCAGTGAAGGCAATCTTATCAATATCCATGTGAGTGGAGATAGCAGCACCGGCAGTACGACCGAAGCCAGAGATGATGTTAATGACACCAGGGGGGAAGCCAGCCTCCTTGGTAAGCTTGGCAGCGTAAAGAGCAGAGAGAGGAGTCTGCTCAGCGGACTTCAGAATAACGGTGTTACCAGCGGCAATGGCAGGACCGATCTTCCAGGACCACATGAGAATGGGGAAGTTCCAGGGGATAATCTGACCGCAGACACCGATGGGTTCGTGGCGAGTGTAAGAAAGAGTCTGGTTGTTGGTATCGATTGTCTGACCGTGGATTTTGTCGGCCCAACCACCGTAGTAGCGCAAGCAGCCTGCGGCGTTGGCGATATCGCCCTTGGCCATAGTAAGGGACTTTCCGTTATCCAGAGCCTCGATGGCAGCCAGAATCTCAATATCACGCTCGAAGAGATCGGCAAGCTTGACAAGGTAACGACCCCGCTCACCAGGGGTCTTCTCGTACCAAGAACCCTCGAAGGCGGCACGGGCAGCCTTCACGGCGATGTCGACATCCTTCTCGGTACCCTCGTGAACGGAAACGATAGGCTTTTCGTCGGTAGGGTTGATAGTCTCGAAGGTCTTTCCCTCGGCACCCTTGACGAACTCGCCATTGATGAATCTGCGTGGTACAAGGGACTAGGGTCAGTTTATGCGCATAATGCAAAGCTGTAGAGCGAGAGGGAGAGGGAGAGCAAAAAGACGGAGAGAAAGAAAAGGAGAGAGTGAGAAAGGGAATGAGGGGTACTCACAGGCCCAAAGGCTGCTCATAGGTGAGGCTGGGGGTCTTGATAGAAGTTGAGAGAGCCATGGTGGAACAGAAGCAAAGTAGGGGTATCACAAATGGTGCAAAGGAAGGACAAAGTGAAACGTTCGAAGGACGAGAACGACCTTTTTATAAACCGGTTAAACCAGGACTTTTCATGCGGGGTTTGGCCACGCCACGAACCGTAATTACCTGGTGGATACTCGCTGAGTTGCTGGGCAGCAGAGTGTTGGGGTAGGTATCATGTAAGTACTTTTCCCTTTTCTTCAAATAGCTGCGACGGAATATGCAGGTTTCAAGCTTAATCCACAGGATTGGACCTGATCCACATTTCGTCTCATTTCTTTCCACTTCTGTACCGCCTGATTTTAAGTAATCTTCTATGTACATCGATACATCACTACCGGGGTTGGAGATCTACCCGAGGCTTCAGCACATAGATCCACGGATAATGATCCCACTCCAACTAACCGACCTATACAAACTCATTTACATAAAACATATACAGAGACAAGTAACCTGCAGGGTGAAGTGTTCAGCTTCAGTATTTGTGATTGTACATTTCTTTTTTTTTCCTCTTTCTCTCTCGGGTTAAAGGGAGCAGTGAGGGGCAAGGGAGGGGCAATGCGGGTCAGATGCGATCATGGTGATGTGACTCGTTTGGGCGGGCCAACATCTCTCCGGTTACCCTCGGTGGAGTAAGGTATCCGCCACTTGTTCTGCCGTGAGAGACATGAGAGAGAGAGCTCGGGTGGAGCTAACACGAATTCCTAATATGAGATCCACCTTTCATGACTGGTCGGCCGAGAAACCTTGATGCCCAGATCCACCAGTGGCTAAGTAAACGGTGACTAACCGTGCTCCCTTTAGTTCCTCGATCCGGTAATTTTTGAGGGCACAGATGGTGACATTCTCCAAGTTTCATATTTGTACACGAAGTACAGGATTACCTTTTTGAAGATTCTGAAAATTCCGGGGTAGATCATTGGGAGTGAGTTTTTGGTAGCGGGGATGGTCAGGAGGGGGAACTCAATGGGCTCAGTAATCAATCCGCATACATATGCGGTTCCGCATTCCGCAATCTCGTTTATGTATGATCCCGCCCAGGGCTAGACATGAGTGGATCTGGTTCAAATTGGAAAAAGTTTCGGGATGGTGATTCCTGTAGTATTCTGAAATCTTACATGCGTCCACGGGTCTAATATTGGAACTTGTCTAGTGTGCGGGGTAACTGTATACTATCACATAGTCTTATTACAGTTTGATATCCACAAGTATACCTAACTTGCAGCTGGTAAAGAATCTACTACTTATTAAAACCGGCGTCTGCCTATGCAACAGGAACATGTAATTGATACACAAGGACACTAACTACAGTTTACCACGATTTAGGAATTGTGTTGGGAGATCAACATGCCGTGACCGAAGATATTCCGCCACATTCTTCCCCAAAAAGTCCACAGTGGTTGTGACTCCAACCCCGCGATCGAGAAGATTGCGAAAGAGAAAGTGCACTGCCTGTAGCCCTGGTAGTTCAAAGCGCTCGATAGCCAGTTGTGGCCGGTGTTGGGCCTCATCTCCTAACAGCTGACGGGCTGTATCAATCGACAAGAGACTCCGTAGCCAGAGGTACTCGTCCCGATGCCGGACCCAGAGACCACAGTTGGCATCAGAGCCCTTATCCCCGGAGCGACCATGGACAATCCAACCCAATGGGCCACGGATTGTTGGGCCAAAGTCCTTCTTGGGATTGATGGGCCTGTCAACATGAGTGATCGCTTGTGAAGGCTGACGGGGAGGGTATGTCTTAGTATGTGATGGAGGTGCAATATCAAGAACTTGAGTGCGTGTCGTTGGTTTCCAAGGAAGATGGACCTGATGCTGTACTGATGCTTGGGGAATAAGAGTGACAAAATATTCGAAGATGGCTCTGGGAAATCCTTGACGCAGATCTAAGTGGAAGGTAGCTCCAGGATAGCCTTGCATAATGTTGTCAGAGATGACTTTGATGAACTTCCTAGGCGACAGATCATCTGCATGCCGAGCCTGTGCGACTATCCGAAAGGGCACGGTAGCCCGGTTCTGACTATGCGGATCTGGCAAGCCAGACCCAAGCAGATCAAAGTTCAAGGATGTGTATTTGTTCGCATAAGGAGCGAGCAGTCGCCGAATCTGTGTTTCAAGCATCCGGGCTTTGTCTTCAATATCGAGCCCAGTCAAGAACCACCACACCTCAGCTTGAAATCCGCCACGAGCAGTGATACCCACCTTAGTGGTGGGAGGAGGAGGGGCTGACCTAGCACCTAGGACAGCAACCCGGTTGATGCCTCGTTGCTCGAAGTGAATACCATCGATGATAGCTGTCACATCTGAGTTATAGTACCACGGACCTTGAATCTCATAGAGTAACTGAGAAGTACAAGTATCTACCGTAACAGTACCCTCTGTCGCAGCTTGCTTGGTGATCACGACATCTCCCTCAGCGGAAATTTCAGCAATGGGATACCCGATATTGGTCCACCCCTCACCACCATTCTCCAGAGATTTGAATCCTGTGAAATTGCCACCACAAACATAATTACTGCATTCAATGAGATGACCTGCCACAAATGCATTGGCAAGTTTATCCAATTCATTCCGCTGCCAGCCATGATACCAATACGCAGCGCCAATAACAGGCGATGCATCTGATACACGACCACAGAGAACGATATCGGCACCTTCCGCAAGAGCTGCTGCGACTCCCAGGCCACCGAGATAGCATTGAGCGTAAATAGGCTCAAATGCCCAGTCAGATAGTCGTTCATCGGTATATATGTTTTGAAGCTTGGATTGACCCTTGGATAACATCTCTTGGACTGCAGGCAATACCTCATCACCAGTGATATAGGCTACCTAATCGAGAGATCAGTAGTGTACACCAGCAAATGAACTCAAGGGAAATGACCTTCAAATCCAGCCCTTTTGATTTAACCATTTTTGAAACAACTTCATAAAGCCCTTTGGTATCACACACTCCAGCATTGACAGCCAATTTGATGCCATATTTGGCTAAATCACCAAGAGCTGGCTCTACAGCCTCAAGGAAAGACAGATCATACGCCGGCATTGCATTTTCAGCGTGATCCACTCGTCGGCCGGCAACAGTCGACATATTAAACTCGCTCATAAAATCTGCTATAATCACATCGACAGGGTCTTTTGTATAATGACGCGCGAAATCAGCAATAGCATGACGTCTGTCTGAAGCAGAGCCCGAAGCACCTAGAAAGACGTCAATTATTGAATACTAACTTAGACATAACTGCAGCCTCAGAGACTTGCCTGCGATTCGAATGGGCCTCCCTGTGAACTTCATATTGGGGGTATGATTGACCTTAGATCATACAATGACTAGAAAATAAATGTATTTTGTGCATTTTGGGGGAAGGTTAAAAGGGTATGGCCGTTCGCATCGGCCGAGGCAACTCGGTCTAACATAATGCGGGGTTCCAAGGATAGAGTGTTGAATTTATGGTTCGCCGATCTTGTGGAACATCAATCTGTTCATAAACATATGAAACTGCATGTGTTTTTTTCTTTTTTTTTGGATATTAGTTAAACCCGTTGAATTTGATCTGCTTTGGAGCTGGGTCGAGGAGAACATTTTTGGGTAAGGGAATTGAGCCAGATCTATCTGTCTTCAAGTTCACCTCAGGTAGCCAGCCTTGAAAAATGAAGGTGTTAAATCATTGGGATGAGCGTAGTATATTACAAGACGGTTTATGTAAATCGGATACTGGGCTGTATACAAGTGAAATGGAGTGATCACAGGAGAACATTGAATGGGCTGCTGATTGTATAGTATTAGTAGCTGTTTGGGTTGAAGCTCTCCCCGGAGGTAATTTACTCGAGAATGGCTCGCTCACAGTCTCATACTTCGCAAGAAGGAATTGGCGGAATGACTTGGCCTTTGCAATAAAATAGAATTTAGAAGAAAAAAAAAAGTACGTATATAGCAAGCTGTGAACCTGGTTCAGGTTGTCGCTTCAGACCTAACCAGGCCGAAGGTACAAGGGTCTGGCTCTTGAAGGCTACTAGAGATAGGGGATAGAAGACTATTGAGAAACAAACTTCTAGAAACAGTCATAAGATTCATTAGAGCGAAACGCGCTAGGTTCCGAAAGAAAATATCCGAATCAAGTTAAATGAACTAAAATTCTCTGTTCGAATAAGTTCAATTATCCGACCTTTGGCTTCACGCAGGCTCAAAAGCAGAGTCGGAATCGTCATCATCATCATCACTGATAGTTATTTTGCGTGTTGTGCGCGTAGATCGAGAAGAACGGGGAATACTAGCCTGCGAGCTCGCGAAACCAAGAGTTGTTTGCGTTGGTTTCGCAGACCGAGCAGTTCGGCGACTAGCAGTTTCAGTAACTGTATGCGAAGATGGAGCTGGCGAGGCTGCAGTGCGCCCACCACGCCCTCTAGTAGTAGCCCTTGCTCCTCGCCCACGTCCTCGCGTGGAAGCTGCGCGGGGCTGCTTGACAAACAGAGCCTGCGAGTCGTCATCATCATCATCATCATCATCTGAAATGACATGGGCGGCTTCTTCGTTATCAACATCCAACATGGTAAGATCGTCGGCCGAGTCTTCCTCAAATGGACCTTTGGTCTTCTTCCCTTTGGCTGATGGAGCAGCAGCTTTGGCACCGGCTCTGGAAGAGGCAGCAGCTCCTCGACCACGGCCTTTCCCGCGCCCACGAGATGTTATGGTTGCTGTGCGACTTGTAGCTGGAACTGAACCATCCTCTCCTGCTTCTTCTTCGGCCGGGTCACCCCCTTCATTGTCTGAGTGGATGAGGGCACCTGGCTGATCCTCCCATATGCCGTCAAATTCACTGTCCCAACCGTCTGGCTTGGGTTTAAATCGCTTCTTGCCCCTGGTACGTCTCTTGGCCCCCTTGGCGAACAGTTCTTCCATTTGGGTACGATACTTCTCCATGGCAGTAACCAAGGAACTTTGAGGGGCCTCATCCTCTTCCATGTCCTCATCACGATCTAAAGCCATAAGATGTTTGACTTGACTTTCAAGAGACTCATTCACGAACATCTCCATGGCATGTTTGTCATCTTTGTCGATAAACTGGGCCACAGCATCACCAAACGTGTTCTGAGGAAGAATACTGAGCGACTGCGATGCGAGAAACTCTTTGACGAGTTGTTCCACTTTCACGGTATCTAGGGCCGACAAGTGTGATACAGCAGTGGTTTCATCGGTCACATCCCCTCTCCTTGACGATTGTGCGGTTTTCTTCTTGCGGTGGAATTGCACTACATCGTTGACATTGGCAACCTTTCCCACAAATCGATTTGAAAACCTCTGCGGGTTCTCACAATCATAGCTGCCACCTTCAGGAGTGGATATTTCAACCCTAAGTCGGACGAGTGGGAGCGGCATCTCAGAGTCTTCTCTTTCTCCGTCAGTTTCCCCATTCACATCCAGCCATTCGGTTTTGGCTTCTTCGATCAATTCTTCCACAATCTCCATCAAGAATCGCGTCAGCTCCGTTCGGTTGTTTTCTTTGCGAGCTAGCTTATGCGCCCTTTTCTCTTCCGATAGCGCAATTTCTCTCATAACGAATGGCCGCACGGATTTTAAGCGAATGGGCTCGCATTTGAAATCTCGACCCGTGATGCTCATTAAAGATATCTGTTTCGGCACGGCTTCTCCAGGTACCAACGAGGTGGCAACAGAAGAGCCGGGCTGCATGACATGGAAATTCATGTCTGGATTAAGCCGAGGATTGATGAGGCACTCATGCTCATGCCCCCAAATGACCATGTCCATAAAGGTCGGCAGAAAGTTTTCGGGGAGATAGCCGGTCTCTGTATAAGCATGATGGTTCTGATGGACAGACATCAAATTGAACCAATCGTCCTTTTGAACAGATGGCTGAAAGAATTTGACCTTGCCGTCCCTAAAAGTACGAAATAAACGCTCATCGCGAACGTTGCTCATTCCATACAATGCAAGCTTAGTCCGTCCTTTTTGGAGGAGGACGGGCTTTATTTCGATATTGTCTGATTCCGGGGTTCGTCCGTAGTAATTAAGCAGACCAGAAACTTGTAGCAGATCGAGAGCAGCTAGATGACCTTCTCCCGATGGATCATCATGGTTGCCATGGATGGAGAAGATGGGGATGGCAACGTTCATGTCTAAATCCTCATAATTGACATGGTTGAACGCACCTTGAAAGGTCTCGCTAGCATCACTAAGCATCTCCAGCTCACAGGGCTTATCCCCAAAGCAGTTCATCCGAATTGATCGCATCACTTGGTACATGGATTTCCTAGATGGTTTGTTCTCGTGAAACAAATCGCCCGCTAACAGCACCATGTCCACGTCTTTCTCTTTGGCAAGACACATGACTTCATGGAAGGTCTTCCAGCTGTCATCGCCCCGGATGGGGTCTCGCTCATTATAACCAACATGATTATCGGTAGATATGAGAATCCGGATTGTCTCCGCCTCTACGTGGATTAGTGAAAGATCGAGGTTGTAGTAAGATGTTGTACTTACCGTTAGCCCCTGACATCGTGCTCATTTCCTAGCTGGCTACTCAAAGGGAATTATTCACAAAATCACTCAAAACAATCACCAGTTTGCCATGACTGGAGGTGAAGCCAATCAGGTACAGGGACGGAAGAGACAAAACCACCGCGTATGATAGCGGCGCGTGATCACGTGCCTCGGGCGCGTTTCACTATCTATGCTCCAGCTTGTATAGCCTTATATACGAAAAAATGCGGGCCAGTATGACTCACTATGACTATAGATAATCTATAATCAGATTCTTCATACAAGTAATCTCTTTTCTTTTTCTTGTTCGTAGTAATAAATGAACTATGACCCAATTTCTTTGATCGCAATAAAACCCAATCCCGTGGACTTAACACTATCTCCTGATTGGCCCTTCCCGGTTCGCCGCTTTTCACTTCCGTTCGGCGTGCTCTGTCGCTCTTCGCCTCCTCAATCACCTCCTCCAACACTTCCACCACTTTAAAATCGCTGTTATACCTCTCGACTGATCCAGGTCTCATTGCCGGTTCAGTCGCTTGTCTCCCAACCTCTTTCAAGCCCTTTTTATGCAACCCGAGTCCTCAGCAGTACAAAAGACGCCTTTCCCAGACTCACCCCCAACCGATTCAAGTCCAATCCAGTATGGAAATGATTCTGAAGCCGGCCCAGTTTCTGGTGCTCTCCACCCAGAGAGGCACCAGGAGTCAACTGGGCGGGTCTGGTCTACGCCAGAACAAAATGATACGCCCCTGAAGGATACTGGATCAACCCCGCCTTCGGCCCACCGAGTCAGCCAATATGAAGATGCTTGCATGCTAGGAAGGAAGAATCTAGAACCTAGACTTCAAGTTTTAGCTGGTGCACAGTCTAAAATCCCCTTTGAAACGCTTCCGAATGGTAGGCTTGCTGTGCACCGATTATTCCTTTACAAGCACTAACAACTACGTACAGAGGTTCTCACCCACATCCTGTCGCATCTGCCACCGCAATCTCTCTCGGATATTACACTAGTATCTCGTCGCCTTCATTCGCTTGTGACCACTCCCCATGCCTGGAGAAGTGCTTTTTCGCGGTTTTTCCCAGGACCTCAAGCCCTTGAAGATGCGCGCAGTGTGGACCTCAGGAATTCAGTGGATCAAGCGTCAGATAGACGGTACTTTGCGCGGCTTACAGCGCTTGCATCTTGGCGTAGCGAATACATTTTACGCACTCGGCTGATGCGGTCCCTATCTCGAGGTAAACCCGTGGAGTTTCCATCCAAGAAACCTGGTCCTGTTCACTCGGCAACATCGCGCAACGGAAGCGCAGTCTCAACATATACGTCGCAACTGCTGTTTCCTGTGAGTCGGATGCATGGGTCTTTCAACAACCCCGAGAAGGGACCGACCTTCATTCATGGCGCTTCGGAACAAGGCATTGCTTCAGCCAGTGACCCGGCGGCGGTTAAAGTGAGTTCCTGGGGCTTGTCAGATCATCAGATGTTTCGACATTTTGCAGACATGTTCCCAGGAGATGCGCCGTATGGTCTTGGGGCTGGTGAAATGGTTGGGACGTCCAACTCAATGGATGTCAGCCAGCCATATGGCATGATCTATGGTGAAGGGTGTCCACAAGGCCGCAGCTATTTTATTTCAAGCACGGAACAGCGAGGGCGCTTTCTAGGAATCTCAGACTTGGGATCTCACCCTAAAAGTGGTATTCCTGCTTCAAACATGATTACTCATGCTATTTGCTCGGTTTGGATTGCCAAGTCATCATCGATTCTCAAGACCACTGGAGGGCTTGTAGCGATGATGACTGGTTCATCTTCCGGCTTGCTCACAGCCTACGCGCTTGGCCCTCATCCCACATACGGCAAACGGTATGAGCGAGGTCAAGTAACTGCCCGATGGGTTTTGTGCCCCGGTGTACCGATTATCGGAATCGCCATTGATGACAATTACTCACCCAGCCGCAACTCACAACACCGTGTATGGGCCGTTGTTCTCAACGCACTTGGTGAAATCTTTTACCTTACAGATCTACCAATCCAGCCAGAAGTCTCTTCGACCAGTTTGACTGCCGAACAGTATGATGAACTTGCATGGAAAACTGGCCGGAGTGTTCGTTGGGAACTCGTTGAACTCAGTCGACGAACAGCTCGCCCAGACCCTTTTAACCGCGAACTTGTTGATGGAAGTTACAGCCCACGGACCTCTTCGGATTCCATGCGACTAAGTGAAGATCAAATTGCTGCGGAGACAAAGGAAATTGAAAAATTCCTTTCCTTCAAACCAAAGCATTTTCGCAAGGTTTGTGAAGGGTGGAATATGCAACGAGACTTGCAAGTTGACTTTGCAGGTGACGATGGGCGTGGATCTGGAGAATCCGTCATCGTCATCGCTCGAGGTGCCGATGAATCTGAGAAAGCATCCATCCGACGATATATTCGAGCTACTCCCAAATCCGACGTCAAGTCAGTTTCGGGAACGTCATATCAGGAGCAGCCTCGTTCTTTGTTTGGAGGACCAATTGGATCCTCAACTCCGGCCAGCATACCAGCGTCTCCTTCATCAGGTCGCCTACATGGCCCGGCACAGAACGACTCTGAATGGAAAATCTCGAACTTCGTATTTGGCGACCGCAAGTCGGTTGAAGTCACCATTTCCGCCCTAGACAATTCTATGTTTGCCACTCTTGCAATGGGAGAAGATCCATTGTTGGCGATGTCTCAGAGCTCATTTTCATCTGCAACATCCTCGCCTATGTTACCCCACATGGAACAGCCGCGATCGAGCCTTGAAGTTCCCGGACAACGTGCGCGATATCTGGCCGTGGGTACAGCGAGTGGGTCAATATACATCTGGGATATCCGCGCACTGGCAGCTCGCAACGTAGATGTTATCAATTCTGTATCGCCTCTCAGAATCATTCAAACTGACTCACCGCAAATTTCCTGCGTGGCCCTAACATCTTTGTACTTAGTACACGGTGGAAATGATGGCCTCGTGCAGGCTTGGGATCCCTTGGCTTCAACAACGCGCCCAATTCGAACAATTAACTCCAGGTTTTCATCTCGGGCGCGTCGCCGCTTGGTACAGGCCGAAGCCACGATGCATGGCGTGGGGAATAATTTTTTCGCTGCGGGTGCTATTTCCTTAGATCCCGACCCAACAATCCTCAGGGGAATGGTCTCTCTTGGCACTCATCTCCGTTATTGGTCATACAGCTCAAGTGGCGCAGATCAATACAAGAGTAACAAGCGCCGACTCCGACATACGCTCCGCGGTAATAACGCTGCTGGTGGAGGACAGCGGTTTAATACAAGTGGCCGGGGCGCAATCCATGACTTCATCGCAGACGAGCAAGTTGAAATTGAACGGCAGAAGATTGAAGATGATGAAAAACATGCACACTTGAGTACACGTTTTGGAGTAGACCTTCTTGGTCCCGATATCGACGAAGAACAACTTCTAGCTTATGCCCAACTCCTCAGTCAAGAAGCTTACAGCGGAAACGGACAGAAGGGCGAGCAAGATCAGCCCACCATCGCAAGTTCCGTCAGTACTTCGCTCAGTGACCATGCCGGGCCCAGCCCATTTGGTATCGATGAGATGTCATCTTCCTCCTCGCCGTATCAAGAACCTGCAGATGATACAGATGTAGATGATGATCTTGCTGAAGCTATCCGTCTGAGCCTTCTCAACGATAAGCCGGATACTAGCGCTCCGATAGATCAAACACCATCTATACCCATAAAGTATGCGAAGGGTGTGAAAAGGCACTCGCCTTCTCCTAGTATACCTGACGGAGAAAGTAGTCGACAGAAAGAGATGGACGACCTCGAATTTGCCATTCAGTTGAGCTTAGCTGAGGATCAGAGTCGTGAAATCCAGGAATGGGAAGAGTTCCCTGTCCTCCCCCCGGGATCTTCACAGGAATCTAGCAATTACGAGGACAAAGGCAAGGGCAAAGCGAGAGCTATTTAGTTGATTGCAGATCGGGATTTGATTTACCTGATGCTGGTTATTCTGTTTCGAATACCGTTTTCATGTTTTCGTGTCTTTTTTAAACTTCCTTGTTTGTATTTTCGTGTTAATTTCCCCTTTGTTTTGTTAAGACGCGTGCTCCATTTCATTTTACTTTGCCATATATGCTTATATCAATCGCGAACCTACTACAATCACCCTGATAAATCATTCCACTCCTTGCTAGAAGCGGTGGGTTTTGAATACGCGTTTAACATCATATTATACTACATGTCTTTCCAAAGGTTTTTCCAAACATCGGTCTAATCGTCTCGTAACACTTTTACTAATGTAATTCTAGAGGCTAAGATGATATTATACCTAACCTTTTAAGGTGTATAACTAATATTACCACATATTATCAGGTTTTAATCAAAACTAATACCTAGTAGCTGTGATGCTGTAGGAGGATGCCCAGGTGCCCAGGTGGTAAAGAGTGAAAGATTGAATGTGGTGAAGTTGAAATGACATCCTATAGCTCTTTTGTATTCATACATGAGCAATACAATAGATGATTCTGCCGTTCTTTTTACAAGGGGTGGGATTATTATCGGGGTGACTGGTACATTCAATAGACTTGAGTTTTCTACCAGTTGCTCAGGTGGCAATGATGGGAGATTGAATCTACGATTGAAGCCCAGTTGAATTTATAGAGGAAATGTTCATTGTTCGGTAACACACCAAGCATGTGCAAGAAACGAGTAAATCACGAAACCCAATCATCCACAAGAATCCACCATATAAAGACACCGGACAAAAGAAGAGAGAAAAAAACGCTGAAGTCTAACTAACTATTCATAGACTTCAAGTCACCCATAAACAGATATACATCTAGAGGAGGGATGCAACCAGCATGAAGATGCTGGCAACACCACCAAAGGCCACAGGGGCATTGTTCATGGAGGCAGGGTTGCTGGTGGTGCTGGAAGATCCAGAAGAAGATGTAGTCGAAGAAGAGTTGCTGCTGCTGCCAGGACCGGCAGTCTCATCGCCGGCCAGGACCTTGTAAGAGACACCAGTGATCTCCTTGCCAGTGTAGTCGTAGACCTTCTGAGGAATAGCGGTGCTGGAGACAGTCACAACCTTACCCTTGTTGGCATCGGGAAGACCGCTCTTGATGTAGTCAGAGACCTTGGAGGGGGCAGCAGGAAGATCCCAGGAGTTGTAGAATTCACCGCTGGTAATGAGGCTGGCAGCGCAAGTTGGAGGATCAATGCTAGTCTGAGTCTTGTTGCTAGACGAGATGCGGTCCATGTCGAGCTTGTTGAACTGTTTCTGCAAGTTGTCAAAGTCGATCAAGGTAGTGATGGTATCGGTGTTGTTGACATTGACCAGACCGTACTCGTTGTCCTCCTCAGTCCACTCGTAGACAAGGCCACCGGAGAAAGCCTGGGTCATGTCCTCGCCATAAAGAGCCTGGACCTCGCTGAAGGTACGGGGCTTGACCTCGTTGCAGCCGTACTCGGAGAAGAAGACGGGCAGAGTAGCGTTGGAGAAGTCCTCAGTCAAGACATCGTAGCCACTGGAGGTGTAGCTAGCATCACCGCACCAAGAGTAAGAGTTTAGACCGAAGAAGTCAGCGCGAGATGAAGTAGAGTTCTTGAGGTTACACTCGAAGTAGGTAGCGGTATCCATGAGGATGTCGCGGATATCAGCAGCGGAGTAACCAACGGGAATGGCGCGGTCTGCCTGCTTGGCAATGTACTCCTTCATATCACGAACGACGGCACGGACGTAGGCGGGGGTGCTGTATACGGCATCCTCGTTGATGACCTCGTTACCGGCGAAGAAACCGAGAACGTTGTCGAAAGCCTTGAAGGCCTCGATGACACCAAAGACCTGCTCATAGTAGCCTGAGTTGTAGGAAGTCCAGGGCTTGGAGCGGTCCAGCGAGCCAGTCGAGTAAGGCGAGTTGACATCGAGGATCATGTAGATGCCGGCCGCGTTGAAGATGGAGGCACACTCGTCGTGGTCGAGACTGGGCTCAAGGTTGTAAACACGGATGGTGTTCACCTAGTTTGGTCAGTACTAATGCCTGTATGTCATGATATCCAAATCGACACTTACACCCAGACGCTGCATGAGAGCGGCATCACGGTAACAGGCCGCGGGCTGGCTCAGAGGGTCCTTCTTGGAAGTGAAGGCCGATTGACCACCGGGCTGGTAGCTGTAGAGAAGGAACAGGTAAGTGATTGTTCTATTAGAGCGGACACCCCGCACATGGAGTAAGCATACTCGACACCAATGATTTGGAAACGATCGCCAGTCTTGGAGTTGACGAAATCCTTTCCATTCACCTCAAGAGGGGTGACGGCTGCCGCAGTACCCATCAGGGCACAGGCAGCGGTGAAAACGCGACCATAAGACTGCAAGAGGGGTTAGCACCAGACAATTTCTCTAAAGTATTTTTGGTGAAAGCTTGTAGGGATCTATCCCTCCCGATGGCGGGTTGCACATACGAAGACCATATTGACGCGATCGAAAGAGAAGTTGGGGAGAAAAATCGAGTATAAAGAAAGCGGTTGAAGATGGGAGCGACGGAGTTGTAGTATAAACGAGGGAACGACAGCGCAAGGCGCGGAAAGAACGAGTGTCGGGCGATAAAAATCACCAAATGGGCTGAAGCAGCAAAGGAAAGGGAATTAGAAATAAATATACAGAAAGGAAAAGGAGGTGCGCATTTGAAGTTTAAAACTAGACGAATAATGATCGGCGGGGGGTTATTGCAGCGTGGAGTGGAGTTCAGGGTTCAGGGCCCAGTGAGAGAGGAGAATTAGGGGTTCAGGTGTTCAGATATATCTGGTTGAGTCTCCTGTTTGGTCCCCGAGAGTCGAAATTGCGGGTATGCGGGTCCAGATGTCCTTCAAAGAGTCTGACTGGGCCACAAATGAAGTCACTGTTTAGGATGTGGTTTCAGCCACAATTTGGGTTGACTGGGCTATTTTCAGCTTGCTGAGGCTTGGTGTGGGCCGGGGATGGATGAATTCTAGCCGTTCTCATTCGCTCGTTTTCTCTCTCTAAAATACATTCTGTATATCATGGCCTTTTCCTTGTCCGTCTCTGCCATACCTATCCCAGGTGGAAATGCAAACCAGAACATATGGTGAAGAAAAGGTGGGAGGTATGTGGGACAGGGATTGGGAAGATGGCAATAAAAAAACAAAAACTGAAAAGAAAAGAAAAGAAATTTCCCAATCCATGGCGCCGAGAAGTACCAAGGCCAGGCCAAGACTCAATACATATACACAGTGGCAGCGAGATCAATCCAGGGACACACCAAAGGGGAAAGGGGGGAATAGTGGAGGGGAGAATATTGTGAATAAGGAAAGCATGAGACAGGGACAAGGAAAAGGATGGGGGAAAAATAATACAGCCAAGGTCAAGCCAAGGGAAATAGATGGTTCAGGTGATGGGGACGAGTTTTTTATTCAACGCCGTGGTTATCGGCACCAGCTCCAGCAGGTTCACCAGTGAAGCTACCCAGCTGAAGACCAGGGTCCATAGCCACCATCTCTGCGAGAATCTCCAAAACCTCCTTGGGAACGGTCTTATCGTAGATGGAGATCAGGTCCTTGGGCTGGGGGTACACCTTGAGGGCCTTGTAGAAGGCAAGAGCAGCCTCGATTTGGCTTGTGCCTGCGGGTAATGGATTAGCATCGGGTCGAACTATTAAAGGGTCGACCTATGGTGGCTGCGGGCTATTGTGGCATTGCTGCCGCCATCAAGATACATACCTTCTTGGCATAAACCTTCACCCTTGGCGACTTGGTTCATGAAGTAGGACTCCTTCTCTTCCAAATCAGTGGGGAAACCCTCCTCCTTGGCACCCTGCACGACCTGCTTGATCACTTCGCGCTGCTGAGCACCCTGGGCTTCGACCTCTTCCTTCACGGCCTTGGCGAGGCGTTTGTTGTTGCGCTTGAGGGACTTGCGGAATTCGGGGTTGGTCTGACGCTTGTGGTCGAAGTAGGCCGCATAAGCTATATCAAACAAGAAAAAATATTAGATCACTGAATGGGGTCTTGGGGTGATACACGGGAGGTCCGGCGGGTTCTTACCGAGCAAGCCGGTGAGGATAGTGCCTGCGGAGGCAGCTACCAGAACTGATGTGCGCATTATGAAAGAAGAATTGGTGATTAAATTAAATGAGCGACGCGAACACGGTCAAAGGAGCCCAAGAAAAGTACGGTGATGATGGGATGAGAGACTTGGTTAGACAGATTACCCGGGGACGTGTTTGGAGAGGACAAATTTGAAGTGGACTTATGTTCTTCCGTCGGCCTTACTCTCCCGCTCGGGTTCGACTTGGACAAGTTTACTAGAAGGACTTTCTTAGATAGCACAATTCAGCATTGAACTAATTACAGACCAAGTTTATTAGTTTAACATTGACGAGGGAAACCAATTTTATGGTTGAACATTGAGGATTAATATCTCAATCAAATCCAAGATAGAAATGTGCCTATAGTCATGAATCGGAGGTAAGTCCCTACGTCATCCACACCATACTAGTAAAAGCGCTGGTAAGAACATTTAACAATTAAAACTATAAAAGAGCCATAACCAGACCCATGTTTGGAAAACCTATTAGAAATATGTATAGTTTAATATGATGTTAAAGGTATACCGCTTCTAGTAAGGAGTGGGATTTTTTATCGGGGTAACTGTAGGGTGGCTGCATGTGCAGTGTAGGTAGTTTGCTATATCTGACGCTAGCCCGATACGGATCCTCCCCCAACTTCCCCTTGTTCAATCTCCACGTCGCCTTCACCATCCCGCCGCTTACTCCCAGTTCGCAACAATGGAAGGCCGAGGTTTGACTCTACGGAGTAAATCCCGACGTCAACGTCCTCAAATCAGTGCCCCTAAACCTATATCTGGACCTCTTCCCCCGAATACCAAAGCCCCCGACGCTGGCCAAGGCGCACTCGATGTGGGCAAGGCTAAGGCTAAGGACAAGGATCGAGCTCCCCAAAGCGATGCTACATCCGATTTGGTAAAAAGAAGATACTCCACCAGATTTAATAACCCGGGAGATGTCGATACCAGTGCTCCTCCAGTTCCTGCAATCCCCCCGCCAATCTCCGGAGGTGGATTTGGTGGGCTGCCTTCAACAACCCCCGCTCAGCGACAACCGTCTCCGGCAAATGGAGCACCATCATCCTCGCCCAAAGTTGATTTAAATGTTCTTAGAGATCCCAGTTTGCCAGTGGAGCGATGTATGTGTAACCGATCTATCTTTTGTTTGAGCTAAAATTGACAAATCTACAGACGTGGCCAATCTCCTCGCAAATGCATCGGAAGAGGAGATACAAAACTATCAGCAAAGTCTACGAAAAGTTAAGAACCGAACCTCGACCGACCTCCAGCAAAACGTGTATCAAAATCGGACACAGTTCATCAAAATCAGTAAAGAGGCCGAGAAGCTTAAAGATGAAATGCGGACACTGCGGACTCTCATGGCAGAGCTTACCAATGCGCTTGGACAAACCACCGTGGGCAACACGCCTAACCCCATGTCGCCCGTGGATGACCAATTCCCTAAGAGAAACTCCAATCGCAGCTCTGTCGCCAACCTGGAAAGCATGTGGAGCGTCCAGTTGCAAACACTATGGAAGACTGTCGAGGGATCTCAGAAGTTCCTCCCAGCCGTGCCAGGGCGACATATTGTGTTAGAAACGGGCCACTGGGCTGAGCTGGACTCGGCCACTTGGAAGCCGAAACGCCCAGTTCACATTGTCTTGTTAAACGACCACCTACTCGTGGCCGCGAAGAAACGCAAACGAGTCGACCCAAACCATCCCGCTCACCGTGGTCCCGTTCCCACCAAACTTGTCGCAGAAGAGTGCTGGCCGCTCCAAGACATTGATATGATTGACTTGGCTGCCAATTTAGGAACGGGCGCGGCGCGAGAAGAGGCACTGGATCGTGGGATTGCCAATGCCATCAGCATTCGAGTAGGGACCAAACCGTTTACCTATCGTCAGGATAAGCGCGATACCTCCACAAAGAATGAACTCCTCGCTACATTCCGCAAAACAGTAGAAGATCTTCGGCGAAACCTTCGCTCTGAAACCGAAGCTGCAAGTAAACCCCTCGAGGCATATGGATACCTGACTGGACGACACATTTCTCACTCTCAAAGTAATGATCAGTTTGAGCTCACGGATGGTCCGCGCGACAAATCCGAGGTACGCATTGATGTGGATGGAAAGCAACAGAATCTTCGCTGGGTAGAGGGACAAGTGGACGAGCTCGATATTGATATCGCACTGCAACGATTTGAAGCCGCCGTGGCTAGTATCGAGCGACTACGAAAACTTGCAAAGGGTCTTAAAGGAAACACAATTGCCCAAGATGTGATCAATTCAAAGATCGATGGACGAGCAACACGGCTTGCGGGCATCCTGTCCCGCGCACTGGTTGACACGCATTCTTTCCCGACAGCTACCAAGACCAATGTCACATGGCTAAGTCGTCTGGGATTCGAGGATCAGGCTCGCGAAACATACCTTAGAGCGCGCACAGACGTTATTGCTAAACGTATCCGGTAAGTGGCCATTCATTATTCTGAGTGCAATGGCATAATATCTTCTAACAATATAAACAGGGCTTGTGTATTTGAAGGCGACCTTCCTCTATACATTTTCCAGATCTCGTTTGTATATTTCAGTCTTATCAAAAACACAGTTGGTATATTCCAACAGTGCTTCTCGCCATTAATGTCTAGCTCCTCTATCCGCTGGGCCAAGCATCATCTGGATGGATTCAACGCTCTGCTGAGCCGACAGCTCAGCAGTGTTCAGCGAGGAACATCCGTCTGGGATAAATGCCTGGATATCGTGCATGAGCATGCGTCACAATTAAACAGTGTGGGCATTGACTTTACGGATCTAGTGGCACAGGGATTAGAAGATCCCAGCGAGTCGGTCGGTCCAAGAGCTATTCAGCCCGGTGAGCTTGCTGCACCGTCTACATTGGCTTCTATTGAAAGCTTTTCGTCATAGTCAGAAGCAATAGCACCGCAGCAGTTAGATAAATTTCGAAACGATCAAATTAGCATATATAAAGCATAATCAGAAATATATCTCCATGTAAACAAAACACATCCGTAGATCCTGGCTCCAAATAGGATGGATCTATCCATCATTCCAATCTGAAAAAACTCACCCTGAACTGAATGAGTAACATCCCCTGCACTGACACTACTACTGCCGTGATCAACATACTCCTGACTTTTATATACCAAATCATTACCCACAGAAGCAATATCCTCAACAGAAACACCGATAGGCTGTCGACACATAGGGCAATTATTGTTCCCCTTTGATATCCAAGTCATAATACACTGGATATCACACCAATGTCCACACGGAGAAATCAACAACATCGTATCCCTACCCCAGGCCTTCAAACATAACCCGCAATAGTAAGAGGCAGACTCACCCTGATTCACCATCTCTCCAAGAGTCCGCTGAGGATGAGAATCAACTATAGCCCGAACAAGGTCTTCAGGCGTTTCCTGAAACCCATTAGCAGAAACAAGGTCCTCAAATCGAGAACCTGAAATTTGCATCTGCTCCGGTGTCATCTCGATGACACGCCCTGGTGCATTCCGAGATTGTCCAATGCCAATATGCAACGGTCCTGCATGATAGACATCCTCCCATTTATGGAGCAGTCCTCTGGCTCGGAAATCCTCAACGCCATGTTGAAAGAGAACGGGCCCGAAGGATGATAGATGGACTAATGCGTCTTCTGTAGCTTGACGCTCGCTTCGACCGAGCTCAAGTCTTCGAGCCCAGTGGGCTTGCACTGCACACAGTATGCCGCGGGACAAATCAATTTGGGATTGAGATGAATCCATTTGAGATTTGCCTTGATTCAGACTGAAGTTTATTTCGGAGTTTTTGGCCAGAGAAAAAAAGATGAGAAAAGGTAGGTTCGTTTGTTCACTCTAGCTCCCATTAACTTCTAGTTAAGTACAAATGAGCTGTGAAGAAGATGGAGAACTTTATCACTATATCTTTTTTAGCTATTTTAAATACGATTTTTAGGGTAATTATTGGACAAAGGTGTCTATCGAGACAAAGGCAAAGTATGTCTCATTGACACAGTGTCTGGGAATATACAAAGGCTACAAAAAACTTTGAAAAAAATGAAAGAATGAGAAGAATAATACATGTAAAGAAAGAAAATTCCAAAACAGGGGAAAGCCTAGAATTACATTCTTGACTTATTATTATCATGCCTTTGATTATAATAGAGAATAAGGGGAAAGAAAAGACAACAATGGAAGTATATCGCTTAGTGCTGGGAGGAGTGTCCCAGAATCCTGGTGCTAGCCCGCTCTTTCCGGTAGGTGCCTAGGCCTGGAGGTGCGGGAAAAGAATTTTCAGTATTGTGGGTACGGATCTCCCTTTCTCGCGGGTTTAATTCTCTACCCAAGCTTGAGTTCGATCAACGAGGGGAGAAAATGGATATATTTTCTAGAGATCGAGAGATGGAATAGTCAATTCAGAGAACAGCAAAAAATGAAATTGGTATATATGTAACAGTGAATAGACCCCAAGAAACAAAATAGAACGCGCCAATGAACCAAACCCCACCCAAAGATAGACCGAACGCAACGCACGCCAAACACACGACACACAAAACATAACACGAAACGTAACACACACAACACATATAACACACAGTATATAACACCATATAACACCAAACATGGTATACAACACATACATAGCACGGGGGTCATGAGATTCATAAAACGGAAATTCGTCTAATCTATACAGCTCCTCTATCGTAGCTGCATCTACGTAGCAAAGATATTCAGACAAAACAACACTTTTGAAATCGAAACAGAAAAGAAAAACATCTCATGCGTGAAAGGAGAATCGATGGCGCTTTTGTTTTGGATATAACAAAAAATTATATAACCCATCTAAGGTGCCAGAACCAAGGCCAAGAGAGCCATGCGGCAGTACAGGCCATAGCGCATCTAAAAAAGACAATTAGTTTCATGTTTATGATTTGGGGGGGGAGAAAGAGTCCTACCTGGCGGAAGTAAGCCGCACGCTGGTCAAAGTCGACCTCCTCGGTGATCTCGGCGTTGCGAGGCAGAGGGTGCATGACGACCATGTGGCTCTTGGCATGCTTCAGGAGAGCATTGTCAATGACGAAGCTGTTCTTAAGACGCTCGTACTGGTCGAGGTCAGAGAAACGCTCCTTCTGTACACGGGTGGAGTACAGAACGTCTGAGCGAGCGACAATCTCGGGTGTCAACTCCTCAGACTCGAGGCGGAGCTGGCCAGAGGCAACTAGCTGCCGGCGGACGTCCTCGGGCAGAGCCAGCTCCTTGGGGGAAACAAGCTGCACTTGAACATCGTAGAACTGGAGCAACTTGATCAGGGAGTGGACGGTGCGGCCGTAGCGGAGGTCACCAGTGAAGGTGATGGTCAGACCCGCAACGGTGCCGAGCTCCTCACGGATAGTGAAGAGGTCCAGGAAGGCCTGGGTAGGGTGTTCGACGGAGCCGTTGCCACCGTTGATGATGGGAACTGGCGAGAACTTGGCAGCAACATCGGTGCTGGTAGGGCTGGGGTGGCGCAGAACCACTGCATCACCGTAGCAGGCCAGGGTACGGATGGTATCCTGGAGGGTCTCACCCTTTTGGGTGGAGGAGTGCTCTGTGGAAATGGGGATGGTGCGACCACCCAGACGCTGCATAGCGGCATCGAACGATGCGGATGTGCGAGTGGAGGGCTCGTAGAACAGAGTGCACAGTACACGACCCTTGAGGATATCAAGGACGCCATGGCGCTGGACACCAAGACGCATCTCCTGGGCCACAGTGAAGAGGGTGTGGAGATCAGCGCGAGTGAACTGGTTCACAGACAGCACGTTCTTGCCGCGGAAAGGAGAGCGGGCGAGCAAGTTGTGCAGTGAAGAGGAGACCTGGGAGGAAGGCTCGTACAAGGGAGGTCCGAGCTCGCCAACAGCGGGGATGGAGGCTTCCGCAACGCGAGCACGGCGACCAGGAGTGCCGGAGATAGAGGTGTGACGCTCCAGGGAGCTCTCGGGGCGAACCATGGGGGTTGTTGGCTTTTGGATGGGGGAAGAAGGCACGATTCGGTGAGAAGACATGTCCACACCTTTGCCGGCATCCTTGGAAATCTCGCCGTCAAGACAAGAGGTCTTGCCCTGGAAAATGACACGCTGAACAGAGCCGCACATGGTCTTACCGTTGAAAGGAGACGAAGCCTGGCCTTGGAAGACATACGGGCGGTCGACCTCAATCTCAAGGGAGGCATCGGCCTGGTCGTGCAGCTCGAAGATCTTCTTAGGGTTCTCGTACAGGCGAGCGGTCACGTCCTCAACGGTGAGACGACCCTCAGAGACAGCGGTGAAGAGCAGTGGGAGTGCCTCAGCGATACCAGCCTCAGGAGAAGCCTCCTTACCAGCAAGCTGGAATGGAATGCTGCCAATTGAGAAGACATCGATGGTAGCTAGGTGATCCCAGAGAGCCTTCTGGTCTTCAGCAGAGGGCAAGGAGCTGCAGGCGGGGTGATCGTCCCGAGAGAGGAACAGACAATAGATGGAAACATCGCAAGTCACCTTCAATCCCTTCTCTTTGCTCAGAGCAATGAGGTTGATATCCTCCTTAGATGTCACGCTCATAACGTGGATGTTACGGCTGTGCAGACTGGCCAGAAGCAGGATCGAAGCGAGGTCAGTGCCCTTGGCATCAGTGATCAAAGGCTTGTTTGAGGGCCAGGCAGAGAAGTGGTTGGTAACTGTAGCCACCTTGTTGATGTTGCCAGACAGGTGGTTGAAGGGAATGAACAGGGAGCCAACTTCACCGGTGATCTGGGTGATCTGGTCAGAGTTGTTGGCAGTGGCAACAACAGAAATGTTGAAGTCACAGTAGGACTTGTCCTGAGCATTCTGCTGAACAATCTTCAGGTCGCCAGCCTCGGTGACCGAGCTGTCGACACCAACAGGCATAACACGAACCATGCTGAAACCAGCGGCAATGGAAGCCTTGGTGACTGCCTCGAAGTCCTTGGAGCCAGCTGTGGCAAGGCCAGGAACAAAGGCGGCAATATTGATCAGACCAGGCAGAACCACGGTGCGGTGACTGGTCTGGAAGTCAGATGTTTGGATGTTCAGAGGGAAGTGGCGAGCGATGGCCTCAATCAAGATCTTGGCGTTTTTGACATTGGTGACCAGGGGAGTCTGGTAGTCGACAGCCATACGACGGGTGCGGTAACCCTTGGACATGTAGTTGGCAGGGCGACGGAAGCGGTTGTTGGATGGCAAGTTGATGTACAGATCAATCAGGTTGTTGGACAAGTGCTGGGTCAAGGAATACTCCGACTTGATGTCTGCCTCATCCTCACCGGACAAAAGTTCAAGGTACTTGACGGGGACACCGTTCTCCTTCAGGAAATCGGCGGTACCAGAAGTGGCAAACAGGTTGTAGTCAAGCTTGTGAAGCTTCTGAATTGAAGGCAGCATCTCAAGCTTCTCCTTGTAAGAACCGATGGAGAACAAGATGTTGCGCTTAGGGAGACGGAAGCCAGTGGACAACAAAGCCTTGAGATAAGCCTCGTACTTGTCACGACCAAATGAGGCAACCTCACCGGTGGAGGCCATCTCAACACCAAGAACGGGGTCAGCGCCAGAAAGACGCGAGAAGGAGAACTGAGGAACCTTGACACCGACATAGTCCTTGGGAACGCTGACAGGGGGGTACTCTTGGAATGGGAGTCCAAGCATGGCCTTGGTAGCCATTTCAATCAAATCAACACCCATGACCTTGGAAACGAAGGGGAACGAACGCGAGGCACGAACGTTGCATTCAATGACCTTAATATCGTTGTCCTTGGCAATGAACTGAATGTTGTAAGGACCGGTGACATTCAAAGCGTTACCGATCTTGCGGGTGGCCTCCTCAATGCGTCGTACTGTCTCGGGGCTCAAGTCCTGAGGGGGCAGGATGAGAGTGGCATCACCAGAGTGCACACCAGCATTCTCAACGTGCTCTGAGATAAAGTGACCGACCATAACACCGTTACGAGCAACAGCATCCATCTCGATTTCCTTAGCGTTCTCGATGTATTTGGTAATGACGACAGGGTGCTCGCGAGACACATCGGCAGCCTGGTTAAGGTAATTGGCCAGGTCGTGCTCGGAGTAGACAGTGTTCATGGCAGCACCAGAAAGCACGTAAGATGGACGGACAAGCACAGGGTAGCTGACCTTGTCACAGAACTCGCGGGCTTCGTCAATGCTGGTCAATTCCTTCCAAGCGGGCTGGTCAACTCCAATGCGGTCAAGCATACGCGAGAACTTGTAACGGTTCTCGGCTCCGTCAATCATTTCAGGTGAAGTACCAAGGATGTTGACGTTCAGGCGATGCAGAGGCAGGGCGATGTTGTTAGGAGTCTGACCTCCCATAGACATGATAACACCGCTTGAGGTCTCAAGTTGGTAAATATCAAGGACAGTCTCGAGGTTGATGTTCTCGAAGTAGAGACGATCGGCCTCATCATAATCGGTACTGACGGTCTCAGGGTTGTAGTTAACCATGATAGTCTTGTGACCTTGCTCACGCAGAGTGCGGATGGTACGCACTGAGCACCAATCGAACTCGACTGAAGAACCGATACGGTAAACACCAGAGCCGAGAACCATGATACCATGATCATCAAATTTGAGATCATGCTCAGATGCATTGTAGGTGAGGTACAGATAGTTGGTGACAGCGGGGAATTCGGCGGCGACAGTATCAATCTGCTTCACAATAGGCGTAATACCAGCCTCAACACGCTTGCGGCGAATAGCCAGCTCGTTGGAGCTCAGGAACTTGGCAAGCTGAGAATCAGAGAAACCAAGTTGCTTAGCCTGACGGATCATAGGAACAGGCACAGAGTTGGCATTGAATGCAGTCAAAGACTTCCCGAAGTCACTGAGACCCTTCAAGCGGCTAAGGAACCACTTATCGATGTTCGTCAACTTCCAGATGTCGTCAACAGAGTAGCCAGCAGCCATCGCGTTGGCAATAGCGAACAGACGCTGGTCAGAAGGAGTCTGAAGCTCGCCCTTGATAGACATAAGGGCGCTGGTCTCGTTGAATCCAAGGTTGTGGAAATCCACGGAGCGAATAGCCTTTTGAATGGCTTCTTCGAAAGTTCGGCCAATGCTCATCACTTCTCCAACACTCTTCATGGATGAACCCAGCTGAGTAGAGACACGAGTGAACTTCTTCAGATCCCAGCGGGGAATCTTAACCACACAGTAGTCGAGCGAAGGCTCGAAGCAAGCGCAAGTAGACTTTGTGACTGAGTTCTTGATCTCGTTCAGGGGAATACCGAGACCAAGCTTAGCGGCAATGAATGCCAGAGGGTAACCAGTGGCCTTGGAAGCAAGGGCGGAAGATCGAGATAGACGGGCATTAACCTCGATAATGCAATACTGCTTGGAGAATGGGTTGAGGGCATACTGAATGTTACATTCACCAACAACACCAAGATGGCGAATGACATTCACGGCAGTTGTACGGAGCATGTTGTAGTCCTCGTCAGAGAGCGTCTGGGAAGGAGCAACGACAATAGAGTCACCAGTGTGAATACCAAGAGGATCGAAGTTCTCCATGTTGCAAACGGTGATACAGTTATCCTGAGCATCACGAACAACTTCGTACTCAATTTCCTTCCAGCCCTTCATACTGCGCTCGATCAGGACCTGGGGGCTGACAGCCAGAGCCTTTGTGCAAAGATCTCTCAGCTGATCCATATCCTCAGCGAAACCACTGCCGAGACCGCCGAGTGCATAAGCAGCACGCACAATGACAGGGAAACCAATGCTCTCGACAACTTGCATCGACTCTTCGATGGTTGAGGCAGAAGCAGACTTAGCACACTTCTCGTTGATAGAATCCATGCTACGAGCAAACAGCTCACGATCCTCGGTAGTGATGATGGTGTCAATGGGAGTACCCAGAACCTTCACACCAAGGTCTTCAAACTCATCCTTGAGTTGAATACCAACCTGAAGGGCGGTCTGACCACCGAAAGTGACATAGATGGCATCTGGACGCTCGTGCTTGATGACCTTGCGAACGAAATCGGCATTGACAGGCAGGAAGTACACCTTGTCAGCCAGACCCTTGGAGGTCTGGATAGTTGCAATGTTGGGGTTGATCAGGATGGTATAGATACCTTCTTCCTTCAGAGCCTTGATAGCCTGACTACCAGAGTAATCAAACTCACCAGCCTGACCAATGCTCAGACCACCACTTCCAAGGACCAAGACCTTCTTGACAGACACACGAGGGGCAGCCTTGCGGTTGTCCTCGATGAGACCACCGGGGAACTCCACGGGCTTTGTCAGGGCAGCTGCAGATGCAAGAGTGTTCTGGATAGTGGAGATGAAGACATCAAACAGGTACTCAGTATCCCGGGGACCGGGAGTGCTCTCGGGGTGGAACTGAACGCTGAAGAAGGGGAGGGAGGTATGGCGAATACCCTCGTTGCTCCCATCGTTGGCGTTGACGAAAAGCTCCTCCCAGCCATTCTGAAGGCTGGAAGCATCAACAGCATAACCGTGGTTTTGAGAGGTGATGTGGCACTTGCCAGAGATCATGCTTGTGCAGGGAATGTTGTGACCGCGGTTACCGAACTTCATCTTGCTGGTGGTGGCGCCGACGGAGCGGGCAATCAACTGGTGACCCAAGCAAATACCAAAGACAGGGGTGCGAGCTTCTTTTAGGGTCTTTGCAAGGTTGTTGACGGTGGTAGTCAGTGTCGCAGGGTCACCAGGACCGTTCGAGACGAACAGACCGTCGTAGTCTTTGCCAGCAAGGGCGGGGAAGTCATAATCCCATGGAACGACCATGACCTCAACGCCACGGGAGAGCAAGCAACGCAGTTGGTTGAACTTCATACCAACATCCAAGCACAGAACACGGACAGTGCGACCGGACGGGTGCTTGAGAGCAACGTCCGCTGGGGGCGTGTAGAGACGGGGTTCACGGATGGAAACTGATCACAAGATTAGAAACAAACTCCATCTTCAACAATGCTTTGGCACATTAACTTACCCTCGGCAACAAGGTTCTTTGTGTTTGGATCAACCCATTCGATCTCCTCAAAGTGTGATTTCCAATTGCCGGCCTCAGAGGCAGCAACGATGCTGTTAGCATCGCCAGACTTCTGGAACAGAAGACGACCCAGCATGCTACCCTTTTGACGAATACGCTTGGTCAATGCACGAGTGTCAACGCCGTGAATGGCGGGGACGCCCTGTTCCTTGAGCCATTGGCCCAGAGAAGACTTGGCCAAGAAGTGAGAGTAGTCCTCTCCAGCGTATGCAGCCACGACGAGAGCGGCGACGTGGATCTCGTTCGACTCGAAGTATTTTGGCAGGCTCTGGAGGACCTCATCCATCTCCTCTCGTGAGGGCACACCGTAGTTACCAACCAATGGGAAGGTGACCACGAGGATTTGACCACGGTATGAAGGATCAGTGATGGACTCAGGGTAGCCAACCATTCCAGTTTGGAAGACCAATTCGCCGGAGACACTCTTTTCGGCACCAAAGTTGTAACCTTGGTAGACAGTACCGTCCTCCAGCTCCAGGGCCATGAGACGGTCACTGCCACCCCGAACGGGGATTGAGGCCGGGGTAATCACAGCGCCAGTAGTAGCAGCCATTTTCAGGAAATTTGCGACGCTTATTTGGTCTGATCGGTACTACTCCGCCCGATTGCGGAATTGGAGGAGGGGGGAGATGAGGGAACAAGTCCTCTCGGGGACGAATCTGAGCGAGTTCAGGTCACTCTAGCACAGCATCCGCCAGAAAAAGTAGTTTTTGGGATCGGGGATCGTTGTGATCAGGATTATCCCAATTGGGGAAGGGATGAGGGTTTTTAAAAGTAGAGTGAATAATTTTGCAGCTGCAAGAGCTGAGATATGAAAGAAGAAGAAAATCGAAGACTGTGGCAGAAAATTTTCAGCGTCGTGGAGACCCACCGGTTCCGGTCGACGGTGCCCATACACCGCCCACAGAGATTTCTTCTTTTTTTTCCTACTTCAAGCTTCAGAGTGGATATCTCTCGTCATTGCCGGAGAAAAAAAAAGAGAAAAAAAAATTGTGGAGACACGAACTTTACACTTGAGATCTTGTCTATTATTATTATTGATTATATCTATATATTTGTCGGCTACCTCGGTATCCTGCATGGGCACCCAGTTTTATTCAACTTATACCAATACTAGGTACATGTGCTGCATTCATCAATGTATGTGGGTGAAAAGTTCCCCTCGCATTGCAGGCGGTCAGTGACGATAAGCACGATAACCTTACTGGTAGCGGGCGCCTCGCTAGCTGTGGAGGGGCTACAGTATGTAATATGTAGTTGACAGAAGTGCCAAGCACTGGGGATCTGGAGAAAAAAACCAACAACCGACCAGAGCAACGGAGAAAACTTTTTGAGATGGTAATTATTGCTTAATCCAAAAACCCCCATACCTACCATCTTGTCGTACAGAGATGTATTTCCAAGCCACCTGAGGCGTTTGTGTATGCATTTCCTGGCGGTCACGTGGCTATGGGGGCATTTTCTGGGCTAACTATATTTAGCAGGTAAAGCTTCCGCTCCGATAATAGGCACACAATTATCCTCCAGCAAGTGAGCAATGGAGAGCAAATTCAAGTGAGGTCAGAGGTGTGAGAGATCACATTGACTTTAAACTCTGTTTTTATCACACACGATTGTCGAATGCGTAATGTGTGTAATGGGTCAAGTGCACAATCGAGATGGGGAAATCTGTACGATGACGTTGTTGTACCCCCCCAGGGCTGTTTCCCTGTACGTACGGGGGACCATAGTGGCCAGAGGAGAAAACCCACATTTTGGCCTATCTTAGACCGGCAGAAAATCACAACAAATGTTTGAAGTATCAATGGATGCACCTGTCTAGTACATTTTTCTATTCATCTTCCTTTTTGTCTTTTTGTAGAGCTTACAGTACAGATAGCGGTGTACTAGGCGGTAAAGGTAATATAGGGCCAAAGGTTTTCTCCACTGGCTCCTATGGTCCCCCGTATGTAAGTAGCGACCGAAGGATCGGCCATCTGCCGAAGCTCGGGCTCCTAGCTGGTCCCCATTAATCGCGCGCGGGCAATGACCTCGGGAGCTTGGAGGTACTAACTTTCACGGCCAAAGCAAGTGCAACACTTGCTTTTCCCAGTTTTGAGGAGATCTCCATCTTTTGTTTCTTTCGAATTTTGTTCTTCTCCTGTCGTTTTCTTCCACATTTCCCCAGGTGTTTCCACCTGGATCTGGGAAAAGCATGTCTCAGAACTAAAACAAACCTCTGCGGCCCTCTCCTGCAGCAGATTCCTTAGGCCACGTGAAAAAGCGCAAGCAACCTATTGCTCGAGATGTTAGCATCCCTGCTCCGACCGAGAGCCCGGCGTGCCCCTGTTATTGACCAGTCGGCATTTTCCTCCCCCTTTGCAGCTTCCGAATATTCTCCATGGTTTCGGCCAGGCACGCGACGCGATCCGCGAGGCCCCGACTCCAGCGACGACGAGCCAGAACTTCGAGATATCGCAGAACATACAGATGGACATTGGGAGAGAGATGATGATGATGAAGAGGAAGAAACTGAGGGCGATGACCCTATCGAGTCCACCCCATTGTTACCCATCTTCTCATCTTCACATCTAGGTGCGGCGTGCCGATCTTGCTTGAAACCCATTCTTTGCGCTAACTGTGATTTCAACCTTAGATGCGCTCCCCGTATACGATATCACCCATGCTATCCGCCCGTTGATTGCCTCACGATGCGAGACTACGTTGACTTGGGACCAGCTTCGATCTCCCCAGGTGTCGCAATTTTTGGTCAAGCCCATCCAGAAGCAAATCATGTCGGAGCATTTTTCACGGGCCACGCTCTATACTTTGATGGCCAACTGCCTGCAGTTTGAAAAGGAGATTCACCTCAACCCGGGGAACAGTGGAGCGAGTCAAACTCGTGCTATGGTGGCTGAATTGTTGGCTATCAAGTTATTGCGAGAATACACAACTCGGGAGTTAATCGATGCGCTGTCCTATGAATTTTACCCTCTCCAAGGCCAAGATCCATCTACAACACGAACTATGAATCCCCAAGGGAAACGGACATCCACCGGGGTTGCTCGGATTTCTTGTTTAGAGGTAGCAATTCGCGCACAGGCAAAGCGTTTCCTGGCACACCCTGTAGTAGTCCAGCAATTGGAAGCTATATGGGCGGGCACTATTGTTTTTCATTCGGCTGCGGATCACTTGCATCGACGCTCAAATCGATCATTGGGGGGGCATCTTGATTACGGAACGTCGCTGGATTCAAATTTTCGGGGAACCTACCCCGAAAATACCACGTTCCGACGTTCAGTCACCTTGTACAACCCTCGCGAAGCTTCTCTCTTCAAACTGTCACGATTACGTGTACCTCGATATCGTCAATTCCTCTCCACTATCTCCTTTGCGGTGCTGTTGGGTCTCTTTTTGGCAGTTCTAGAAGAGCGGAGCCACCGCATCACGTCTTTAGAGATAGTGTTCTGGTTCTGGAGTGCGGGCTTCATGCTTGATGAAATTGTCGGCTTCAACGAGCAAGGCTTCAGTCTCTACCTCATGAGCTTCTGGAATATTTTTGACGTAGGGATCTTGCTGCTCCTTTTCTGCTACTACTGCTTGCGTGTCTATGGAGCCTTCTTGACCTATCCACGAAGCAATCAAATAGCAGACCAGGCATATGATGTATTGTCGGCAAACGCTGTTCTTCTTTTCCCCAGATTGTTTTCTGTTCTGGATCACTATCGCTATTTTTCTCAGCTTTTAGTTGCCTTTCGCATCATGGCATCTGACTTGATCGCTGTTTTCGTTCTCATTATCATTGCATGCAGTGGCTTTTTCGTTGCATTCTTGTCCTTTGGGAATGATAATTCCCCGAATACTGTTGCTTATGGTCTGTTCCAAATGCTCATGGGATTCACTCCAACAGCATGGGCCATGTGGGACGAGTACAATATCCTTGGCCGCACTATCCTAACGCTATTCCTCTTCATTTGTCACTTTGTGATTGTCACAATTCTTGTCTCCGTTTTGTCTAACAGCTTCATGAGAATTGTGAACAATGCGAATTCCGAGCATCAGTTCCTATTTGCTGTCAACACGATCTCCATGGTCAAGTCGGACGCCCTGTTTAGTTATGTTGCCCCAACGAACGTAATTGCGTGGCTAGTGACGCCTTTTCGATACTTGATGCCTTTCCGACAGTACATCAAGCTGAATCGAACTATCATTAAAGTCACGCACCTGCCGATCTTGTTTACCATATGTCTATATGAAAAGACTATTCTCAGTTCCCGTGTGGTGGAGCCAATTGATCTAGTTGAGACAGCCTCTCCTCAAAAAGCAATTGCACCAGCCCAACCAAGTCGATTCCGGGCATTTAGCAATAGGGCGTCACGTTTAGTTCGCGAGCCATCTATTGCAACATATCAAAAAGATCGAGCTCTAGAAGAGGTTTTCCGGCAGCAAACCAACGATGAACGACTGAGGGACAGGCCGAACAGCATACGTAAGCGCCAAACCAACAATGTCATCAAAGACTGGATGCAAGAAATTGGTTCTGGTCCAGCTCATACACCAGATGAGCAGGACTCAGTGGTCGGCGATCCCCTGGAAAGACCGATGCAACGGCCGCATATACTATTCCGAAACAAGCCGCCCGCTAGAGGTCGCAATTTCACGGAGACCACTCACTCCATAGCAGCGTCTAACCCGGAAGAAAGAGTTCGGCGTGTCATTGGTGCGCCGTTTCGCTCTCGTGTGGGAGATTGCGTCTCGCCAACACGAACCCGCCAAATCTCGCAACACACTGATATGGAAGGTGATGATGAACTTGACAGTGACGATCCCTCTAATGAGGAACGATCCGAACAGGGATCAGTTGAGGAAAGGGTCAACCCCGTTGGAAGTAATGAGAAGACTACGCCCAAATTTTACAGCTCCCGGCCATCCACTGCCAGAGTTTCCCGACGTGGCAGTCCAACTCGCCGCCCTCGGCATACACGTAATGTGTCAGGGGTTACCATGCTCTATAACCCTGTCGGCTCGCCAAATGAAGAAACCGAGGGGCGGACAACCCCACCACGGCCGCACCACGATTCATCAAATGATGAAAATGATGAAGACAATGATGGTCAGAGACCTCGAGTTTCGACTTCTGCAGATCATGGAACTATGAAACGGCATCCCCCCAATGCCGTACTAGCACGCAATCCAACCTTAGGCATGACCCAAATGTCTGTCCCCGAGATTGAAGGACTCTACTTATCTGATCGTCCAAATTCTCGGCGTCCACGAGGATCCTTGCTGTTCGACCTTGGATCTGATCTAGGCGACAACAAGGCGGTGGCCGGTGGGTTTGCGGGCGTAGTTCCGTCCAGCTTCAACACTCAGATGGCCTTCGCCACCGGGAATCTTCGCCGGGAACTACCCAGTCAGACACAAGACATGCTCAGCAAATTAGTTCTTGCTCGCATGAACAACATCGAAGAAGGGTTCCGTGAAGTCATTAAAGAGGTGAAAGATCTTCGCCGTAGCGAGTCTAGTCGCAGCCGAAGCCGCAGCCACAGTCGACCAGATGAACTTCGGCTTCGCCCTGCCACACGGGAGAAGAAGAAGCGAGCGGAGAAGAAAGAGACAAAGAAGCGACGGCCCATCTCAAATGGAAGTAGGGAAGATGGTGATTGATAATCCCCCCTCTACGGATCCGAATGCTCAGCTCTCAGGCATAGACAGATTTGGTTGAACATCACTTTAAAGGCATATCCATGTAAATTAAGCATTATCGCTGGTAGCTAGCTACCTTTGCACCTTGTTATTTGCAGATACCACTATTCAATTGTACATGATAAGTTGATAATATTCCGTCGTTTCGTCCCATCTTTGACCTATGAACACACTCCTCAGTAGGGGTCATGACTCTTGCGAGGAGCTCTTGCCGTCTTCCCATGCACGCTAGTTTGATTAAAATCCCCTCCTCGGAACGCTTCCATTTCCTCGTTGGTAGTCAAAACGCTACCCCGCTGAGGAGCCATAAGACGGAACATCATATAAGTACCCCCAATGACTCCTGCTATACTCATGAGGGCGATCGAACTAGACCTGGAGAATTTCATTGTTCAGCTTTAAAACATAGCCGGATATGCATATAAGCGTGTTTGTAGACTTACTTCATCGGCTTGCGACCGTGAGACGACGATCCTGTCATTGCACCCATCTTGTATATGATTTCAGGGAAATGGAAATTGTTCATATAAGAATGTTTAGAAATAATAAAAGTAATTTTCTAACAATGAATGTATGCTATGTGGACTCATGCAGTGGGGCCACATAGAATGACATGGTTCTGAACACATAGCTGATCGGGAGTAGATCCGAGTCCATGGTATTCATTATGGCCATTTGTGCCTTGGGCCTTGGCACCTCTACGAATCATAGTATGTCGTCAACTCCACAAGCATTTGAAGCCACCGGGGAGCTTGCCTTAAGTATATGGCTGATTAATATCGCTAATTTGCAAATTCGACGTGGCTTCTTATACGGGGGAAGCGTCCAGTGGAGGAAAAAACCTAGTACTTGGTCATACCCATAATAAATAGTAAAGAGTCTTTGTCACCTCCAACAATTCACAGTGTTCCCTCTTTTATGAGACAGGGACATCCACCTGGGCATCTTGCAGGGCTCACAGGAGTTCCAACAACTTATAGAAAACAATATCTCCAGGGCTATTTCATAAATGCTTGAAGACGGATATATCTTATAGTAACACTACTAGGACTCAAACTCAATTTGATAAAGTAAACTAGACAATCTCGGTTAGAACCTTTCAAAAATGTATCCATCCATACATTTATTCAACAGGTAAATTTTGTAGTTTTCTGCTGGTCTCCAGGCTAAAATGCTTAACGAATTGGGGGGTTTTCCCGGTGGCCGCCATAGTTCCCCGTACTTCTTGGTAGCCCAAAAACCCCACTTAAGGTGGGGACTGAAGTATACTACCCAGGGACTAGTAGGCAAACAGTTTTAGAATGTTATTGAACTTGATGCCTATCAATTAAATAACGCAAGTACAATAAAAAGGCAATAAAAATTAGACTCGTGTTTACTTATGTGTTTATATAGATGTAAATATTGAAGATATCCATTGCTTGTGACTCACGATACTTATATGACGTGCCTTGGATTGTGCAAGCTCAATATTTGAAGCCTACTTGGCACATGATTGGTGTTTGGGCCAACAGGCAGCAGCTAGATAGAGCCTCATCCGCTCCGCCCCCCTCACGGCCCTTTCCTGAATACTTTCAGCCCTTCTCTCTTGAAAGAAAAAAAAAGCTCTATTCTAGCATATTTTTCCTTCCCCATACCTCTCTGCCAACACTCTCGTTTTATTCTTTGGCGAGCCTTTGTTGGAAAGCCTGCGCACCATGGCATGGAGTACCAGACCCAATGTTCCTAACCCAGAGCTACAGGAGGTGACAAATGAGCCAGCCCCGACAAGGTCTTTTGCGAATTTATGGACGCCCGAGCAAAAGCCGAAGCTTTCCACTCCACTACTTCTGTTCAACGACGGAGACACTCTCTTGTTCATAGATTCTGGACCTGCAAGACAGTATTGTACCACTGCGCGAGGCCCAACTATTCCTCATCGGGTACACAGTGAGAAGCTATTAGCTACAGATTCTGCTTATTTTACCCGACTGTTTCAACAAAGATCACAAAAGCGGTTCCGAAAGCAGCGAGGCTATGAGGATAGACTGCCTGATGGTATCAAATACGTGGTGGATTTGACACCAGAAACATTGGACGAAGATGCTGTTATCATTTTAACAGAGGTCTCCTGTCCGATGACCATACGAACCTGGGCGTCATACCAATATTTATGGGATCTTCCTTATCCTTGTGTTGGAGGAGAGGATGAACTGGAGCTCACCGAGGTTCGAGAGCCAGTGGATCTATCTGAGCCTTTGGTTGTTCGCGATGAAGCGGAGGATGAGGATGAGGATGAAGGTATCGAGTGGCCAGAAAATAGGCCTAAGCGCTTCGTTCCCTGGTATCGTGAAAACGCAAGTTCACGCAAGAAACTCGCCACAGGTCTTCCTGTGGAGTATTCTGCTGCACGCCATAGAGAGGGAATTGAGAATGTACTGAACGTTCTCGAAGGGCTCCCCATTACTCTGGACACGCCTTGCAAGCTTTGGACTTTTTTCGCAGTTGCGAAACTATACGATGTCGCTACCGTTCCATCCATAAGTGGATACATCGTCGCCTGGTTTTACGAACGCCATAACACGCGCTTCATCGAACTGCATCCCGAAATTGCTTATCGAGTAGCGTTGGGCATAAAATCCGCTACGCTTTGTCGCGACGCATTCGTTGGTCTAGTCAGTGACGAGGCACTGCTTTATTTGATTCGATCAGCTCTGTTGAAGCCAATAGAACAATGGAAACAATCATTCAAAGATTCTCGCATGAAAGATGTTCTTGATGATACGGAGGTACAGCGAATTGAGTACGCTAGCAAAGCTTTTGCTGACGATATCATCAATCATTTCCTTCATCTCGTCGGAGAAGAAATGGCTTGGTTTCGAGACGTACCAGAATTCACAAAAATAACCCAGCACCTGTCTGACCACCCCGAGGACAAACAATCAGTTCGTCACTTGATTATAAGCCTGAAAAACACCGTTAGGAACATTCTCTATCGTACTCTCAGCGATGTTGGAGATCCCGTGCGTTTTTGCGATGCAGCGCCTTCAGATAAACCGAGGCCTTATTATCGTGCATTCCTTCAACGTGACCTGTTAGTCAGATTGATGGGAGCAGAATTCTGGACAGATCTTGCGCTCTATAATTTTGATATTTCGTACAAGAACTATCGCATAGAGGAACCAGGCAATGATCATTTGACCATAGCAGATATTGGGTATGGTCTACTTGCATTCCAAGGACAAGGAAATGCAAGTATTCGTGGAGTGATGAGGAGAGATTTGGCCTTTCAAATACAAGACTTCAACGACCTAACCAGTCGTCGCGCTAGGCAAAAGCGAGCTGTCATAGAGAGGCAGAAAACCGCCATAACCTCTAATGCAGAGCAACACAGGAGTCTCCCTCTTAGATTGCGTCAACCATACGATCAACCATACGACGAAACCGAAATTTTCCCTATGGATACAATATTACCTGAGAGATCAGCCAAGGGACCAGATACAGGTTCTTCTTCTTCGCCTCGCCAAAGTATAACCAGGGGCTTTGCATCAATCATGAACCCAGCAAACACAGATGCAAGCAATGAAGCCCAATCGAACGTCCCACATGATGCCTCTGCATTCGATCTTGATGTTTTTATCACCTCAGCGATGGCACACATTTCGCGCTATGCCCAACGTCTCGTTTACGCAAACAAACAGTCTTCTTTTCACCCGGATGGTACCGATCTTCTGACTTGTCTTACTGATAATGAATGGCAATACTTGCCCCTCTGGGCGGGAGGTAACGACGATGAAACGGGAGGAGTGTTCACTGATCATGAAATCCCCATCGTCGCCACCGGTGGATTTTCTGCTCCCGGCCCTTCAGTTCATACCAGCAGTACAGCACCTACAAATGATTCGTTCAGTGAGATCAACTCGAGCGAATTCCAGAGTACTATCCAAGGCGCCTCCAATCATGCAACCTACTCCCATGCTTCCGATATTCTATCCATGCGTTCTTTCACGGAGTTAGATCGGTTGGATGAGGTTGAAGAACCCATCCAGCAAGCTTCAGCGTCAACATTTGATGACCCCGACAGCGAAGAGGATTTTGATGCCCAGAGCATTGGGCCTAGTACTGTAGTCATGAGTTCGCCTAGTCTTTCTGGCTTGTCGGACGATGATGATGATGAGGATGATGATGGTAATGATATTGATATGATTGAATCTGAAGATGAATTTTCTTTGATGGAAACTTGAGATAATTCAAAACAATCTGTATCGCTCAGCCTTGATTGTTCCAACAAAAGGAGCAACAATTATGGGAGACGGGTCTCATTCGGGCTGCAACTTTCATGAAACAGATATATAATTGCAGATTCTAATAAAATCTTTTTTCCCTTGTTTATTATCGCCCCTTCAGGCTTCTGTTTAAATATTATTATATTGACTAGTACGTAGTGCCAGGTGGGTAGCAATGTGTATACTGCACCCAAGGATCTATGCAGGCCGCCGCCCATGTGGGGCCTGATGGACGATCTCCAAAGGTATGACTAAGCGGGTACTTAAACTTGGAAATCATTGTGAATCACTTGAGGAGAGCTCACATTCCGCAACACATCCTCAAATTCTATTTCAGGGCTTATCTCCTTTATTTTGCCTTGTAGCACGAGGATAATACCTGTTGAGCATCGTGTATAAATATAAACAAGCCATGGCTTCATCCTCCAAACCCCAGAGCTCTCTGCTCTAGTGAGTGCCTCCCAATTCTATCAGCTTCACTTCATCATTGAAACACGAAGCATTCTAACCACTAGTCTTTTACAGCACCTGTATCGCTCACCGGTCAACCATATTAGCCGAACATTCCTCTCCCGGATCATCTCCAACATCCGCATCATCTTTGGCATCCATAATTCTCCCCAAGATCACCCACGACAAATCACAGAAATTAACATACACTCATGAACGCCTGTTCGTGCACTATATCGCTGACTCGCCAACCGGCGGGTCCGCAGACGATCGAAGCGGCCGCTCCGAGCCCAACTCCCACGCCCCCCTAAGCTATCTTGTCGTCGCATCTGCCGAACAAGGCCGCCGCATCCCCTTCGCCTACCTGCTGGAAATGAAGCGCAATTTCCTTTCTTCATACCCACCATCTAGTACAGACTACTCTGCATTGCCAGCGTATGGCTGTGCGGCTTTCAACACGGATCTCCGCTCCCTGTTACAGACGTACAATACTGCTCCCCCCGCAGACTCCCTTGCCTCTGCCCGTCGCGAGATTGATAACGTTCGTGACATCATGACGGAGAATATTGAGCGCGTGCTGGAACGTGGAGAGCGTATCGACCTGCTTGTTGATAAGACTGATAGGTTGGGTGGAAGCGCGCATGACTTTCGAATCCGTAGTCGGGGACTGCGTCGACGGATGTGGTGGAAGAATACCAAGCTTATGGTGCTTTTGGGTGTGGTGGTTATATTTCTCTTATATCTGTTTATTGGGTTTGGATGTGGATTGCCTGCGTGGTCGAGATGTGTGGGACGGAAAACCCATTAGTGGGATGCAGTCTTACATACTAAGACGACTAGAATGAAGGAACTATGTTCTTCGTCCTGTCGATGAGCCCGGTTTTTGATTTTTCCTCGATACTCCTTTGCTTTCTACATTCGGTTTCTGAGCTCTGATGACGTCCGATACGATATTGCCTTTGCCTATTTCCCTTTACCTTTCCTGTCATTTTTCATTCTCTTCTTTTTAAACTTTGTGTACACTTAGCATTCTTTTATTCGATGTAAATTAACCTATAGCCTGGTCTTGATTCTAAATTCGAAGCCTATCCTCTTTCGTCAGAAGCCGAATTATCCGAATGATACTTCTTTAAGTCTAAGGGAGCTTCAATCCTGCTACCTTAGGATATATTTCTCTACTTGTCTTTCTATTCGTCTTTCCAATCATCTTCAAGTTTCCACTTGTTTTTCACCTGGGCAATCTATGGAGAGCTTACGATACAGATAGCGGTGTACTAGACGGTAAATGTTAGTATAGGTCCAAGGGTGTATTTCCCCAATGAACGCTATCGACCGCCGTAAACGTATATCAGAAAGAATGGACGTTCTTACGCACATTTTGTTTTAGGTACTTGGCCGTTACGGCATATTAGGCCAAATTAAGTACAGAACTGAGGTAGCTTGTTAGTAGTAGATATCAAAGCTTTGGAACCACTATTTGTTACCGGCTGCTCCCGGACAGGTTATTCCGACGGCACGACTGGTGTCCACAACTTAACGCAGCCTTCAGTCTGAATGGTTAGTAATGTATAAAATGTCATCGTTCAAATCTTTGTGCTCTGCATTGTCAGCCTAAAATCATACTTACCACTTTCTGGCCTTACTACCCGATTCTGATGGCCCCGGGCAGTGCTTCTTCCAGCGCACCGAGACCCGCTGGAAATTTTTCATGCCAAAGATGCCGTCGACGGAAACAAAGAGTATTGCCCCATCCTTGTTTTATTCCAAGAGAGATACTCATGTGTTCACAGTGTAGTCGTGATCGACCCTGCATTAGTTGCGTTCAAGCAGGAGCAGGTAACTTGATTTCTCGATTTCCTCCAGAGGTTCATACTGATACAAGCGAAATAATAACAGCATGTCTAACATCGGAACGGTTGCCAAGGCAATCTTCCATTAGTCAACAGTAGGTGGTGCATAAATTCTTTCAGATTTTAATTGTCGACTAAAGTAATACATCCAGATATGTGCGCTCGTTAGAGAGTCGAGTTATCGAATTGGAGGCACAGATCCATGACCAACCACAACAGCGACAGCAAAGATCCACAACTGATTCCTTGGAGAGCCTCCAAGGAGGGCATGAAAGAACAACACATGAGGGAAATGATTATTTTCCCTCTTTAAACCGGTTGAATCGGCCGCGAAGGTCGTTGGGCTCTCCTGAGTTTAGATCACCTGAAGCGAATATTCAAACCCCGGTGACTATTCAAGCATCCTCTCCTATCTTCCCCAACGCACATAATATTCGCAGTCATGACTCTAAGAGTCAGCCGAATCCATTTTCTGGGCATATAAGCATTATTGCACAAGGCGGGGTAGCCATTGACTGTGTTCCAATATTCTCAGATCAAACAGAACTCACTCTGATTCAAACCTACCTTGAACGTGTCAACCCTCGTTACCCATTTCTTCATGAAGAGACATTCTGGCAGTGGTTTCATTCCTGGAAGGGACTAACGCGCAGTGGTGACACCATACCACCTAGTGAAAAATGGAAATCATTCTTTGTGACAATGGCTTTTGCAGTTAGCCATCTCCTCGCTGCTCGAGTGTCCCCCGAGGAAAGACGCATATCCAATGTAAGTGACATCCGCTCATACCCTTCTTGCGACCAATTGTCTAAAAGCTCAGGCTTTATATTCAGTTGCCCTTTCATCTCTTAGTTGTGTATTCGAAAAGCCCGACCCCGTTCTGCACGTTCAAGCATATCTCATGTGTACAATACATGCTCTTCATTCTCCTTCATCTCAAACAGTTCTGACAATGATATCGACAACAATACGATGCTGTGTGATATCTCAACTGCATCGATCTATGCACGAGCCGCCAAGCCGAGAATATTCAACCCTTCACGAAACACAAATACGTCGTCGGGTATTTTGGTCTGCATACTCGATTGATCGATTGATCAGTTGGATATACCATGTTCCGTGTAGTCTCTCGGACGAGCATATCGAAACTAGGGTAAGCTTAGCTCTATGTTCCATGTGTTCCTAGTATTAATGAATAATTAAACCAGCTCTTTGCAAACACAAACGATAACGAGATGCAATGTCGTGGGTCGGGATTACATCCACAGATTGAACTTGAATCCCTTCCTCGACAAACCCAGGTTTCTTCGGCATTACATCTCATTCGGGTGAGGAGAATTCAATCAAGAATACTCAGTATCATGATGCGCACAGACTACATTAAAAACTTCTCAAGGCATTACGGTTGGAGAAGCCATATATTGCAGGATATGGAGGAATGGAGACAATATTTACAACCCCACAGTGATCCTCAATCCAAGGGCTACACTAGCCAGGGATGGGTGGGCATGGCCTTTAATTATACAGTTTTACTTTTGCATCGACCAACAAAGGAAAATGTTGGAGGAATAGTCAGCGAGAAGTGTCTACAAGCCTGTGCGGACATTATAACCGTTTTCCGAAAATACCAGAAGGATCGTGAAACAGCCCAGCTTTGGCCTGGAGTGAGTCGGCCTTCCAACTGGTGATATTTCCCATGTAGAGCTTAACTGACAACACGCAGCTCCTGAGTCAATTTGGCATTGGCATTACACTTTTATATTGCTTTTGGGCAACGCCGCCGTCCAGCCGCAGTGATCTTTATCGATCTCCAAAGACAATCACAGCTATACGGACATGTTCTGTTATCCTTGCGGTTTTTTCCGAGCAATGGGTTGAAGCCGAGCCATTGCGTGATCTATTTGACGTACTCTCTGAATCGATTCTCTATCACGCAGTATCCACCAAAGACAATGAAGCAAACAGAATAGCTGTAGGTGCGGATGCGGATGCAGACTCTATCAAATCTAGGATACCTCACATTCGGTCATTGGTTGTGAATACGGATATTTGCAGGATGGTCACAGAGATGGTGACCGAGGACTTTCCATGGCAAGATCCGCGCAATAATGACTCCCCAGCGTGGGCATCAGAGATTCATTCTTCGGAAAGCTGCTTCCTTTGTGAAAACGAAAGGCAAGAAGAAGGGAGTACTTCCCCAGTCTGGGTTGATGGTTTCGAGCCTTCCAGCGCTAATCTCAATACTCATTACGATGACGATTTGTTTGCCTTTCCTGGTTTATTTGGCTCTGTCGAATTTTAAATCTCACTTCTGACATGTTTGTTCTCGGATCTTCCCGTCAAAATGAGCGATCATAATGCTACTTTGGCTGAGTATCATGGGAAGTTGACAGCCGCTCAGTTGACCTTCAAGCCCAATCCTGATGCGCAATGATACTACCTCCCGATTTAATATTGACTTAAATCAATGGATATATACGGAGCGATTTAATATGCACATAATAATTTTAGTGAAATACCTCAATTAAATTGTCGATCTACAAATTCCCAAGGTCGTGCAAAAACATGTAACTATAATGTGATAGATCCACCACCCCCTATTTTTCCCTTTCTTTTTCCAGCACCGAGACGGACTACCCCTATTTCCCCACTTTAATTTTGGTTGAGTTCTTTCTGACCTGCGGAGTATATCGTCCTCGAGGCATCCACTTTCCAGTGAGCAATCTATCTACCTTTGACTACACCTCCACCTCGCAGGGCAGAGACTGTTCCAGTGACACATCCGTATTTCGTGGTAATAATGCCACCAAAAGATAACCTCAATGCCCATAGAAAAAAGATATCTAGGCTTTACCGTGACAGCCAGGATGTCGAAACTATTTGCAATACCCTCGTCAACCAAGGATGTGATACTACAGAGTATGCAATCCGCAATCGTCTACAAACCTGGGGGTTGATTAAGCCTCCACGTACCCAATCATCCAGACAGGGGAAAATCATTAAACCTTGTACCAGGACGCCAGTCAATAGTCGTCCTCGACCTCGACCTACTCTGGCCAACACGTATAGAACAACACCACAAAACCGCGATTCTACAGTTCCTGGTCCCAACTTTGCGTGGCAAATACGATGTCACAAAAGCCTTCAAAGATTTGGCATCCAGGTATAAGCTACATACTTCTCAAGTCTTGATTTCGCGAATACTGACGAGAGCTCCTTGCATGACAGGTCTCTAGCGCCATGGATGCATACTCCGGATTTATTCTTTGGTTCATGGTGGGTGCAAATGCATGCAGTCCTCTCAATTTACGCCAGCAGTATCTAGAGAAACTAGAGACTCTGTTCCGGCAACCCCGAATTATACAATTAAACATCTCCGACGCATCATCAAATATCATTGACGCTCACTACAAGCTCCGGAGAGCCGGAGCTGGGCTAGAATTTACGTTTGGGTCTAAGCAGCCACCTCTCCGGGATCTTCTCTGGTATACATGGGGTGATCTCGGTGGTTATCACCCTCTTGACTGGTGTCTACCCCCACTGGCGTCTTGGGAACGGTATTTCTCTCAGCTCGAACAAGAGAATCTATTTACAGGCTCGAATCTTGACAAGATAAGCCTTCTGGCAGTCTATGGGCCAATGATCCACAGCGCAATCCAGAATTATGTCAAGGGCAGGAACTCTCCTGATAATTGGGAAAAGAATGAAGCTGGTGAATACACTCAGCCTTGGATGGACTATTATGTCTGTCGAGAAAGACTGAATACCGGTCGTCATGTGCGAGATTATGAGCTTCAGATTGACCCAATTCTACTTGAATCATTACAAAATGCGCCAATCAGGCCGGTGCATGGATATCTTGAACCAAGCACTTCGGAATGGTGCAAGGGTGAACTCCATGGTCTGAATTTTGACCCAACTCATCCAGATTCGAGTATCTGTGAGGATTTTGATATCCAACGGCCATACCAGAATATTTACCTGAGACTTCGGCGTCAAATACAAGCACATCATCAGGCGGGTGCATTGCCTAGGCTTTCTCTCTCTGTGGAGGCTCCAGATTCTGGCGATTTGAAATAGCCTTTAGTCAAGCCGCGTTGTGTTTGGGATTTGGGAATCGTCTGTTTTGCTATAGGATCTACTACTAGTAGTTATGATTTCTCATTGATCGACTTGACTACGCCCATACTAGTAGCAATCATCGGGAAGGGGGAACTTGAACCTACTTGGCCATATATAGTATCATTTAGCGCATATTCTACCGCTACCCGTACTGTAAACTCTACATAGTAAATAGAAAGACAAGTAAAAAGACAATATTGATGGAGAAAGACATACTATGGAAAGAGAAATGGAGCAATTGATTCTTTCCGAATATTTTAGGTTATGCTAGTAAATTCATTTAAAAAGAAAGAAAAAAAGAAAGAAAGAAAGATTACATCTCGAAGGTATATCTTGACCTTGCAAGATAGCAGGATTGAATTTTAACCAAGCTCGGCGATATCCGAGAGTTTCTTTACGTGACTTGTTTCGGTGGCGTTTCTCATGACTATAGTTAATCTGGAGCCGATAATGAATGTGGAGATCTACGGCCCCGCATCGGAGGTTTGACGCCGAAAGTAACTTTATCGGACTAAAATCTCCGATGAAAATGGCGACTTCAAAGTAGACTCATAAATTTCTCTTCATTCAGCCATTGACACTCTCTTTCTTGGAGGATACAAAAAAACTTCCGAACAAATAGTCAATAAAACGAGCCCCAGCAAAATGCCACAGAAACTGACCGTCGCTGTGGCGCAAGCTCGGAGCCTGTCGGATCTGCCATCCACTCTTGCTGCATTGAAGCGTATCACAATCCAGAGTGCCGCTCGAGGTGTTCAGCTCATACTATTCCCCGAAGCCTATCTAGGTGGCTACCCGCGCACCTGTGACTTTGGCGCCGCAGTTGGCGCGCGCGGGGCTCATGGCCGCGAGCAGTTCCTGCGATACTTCCAGTCAGCTGTGGATCTCGGTGATACCCCAGCTGGGGCCGATGATGACTGGGTAGAGCGCAAACTTCCTACAGCGCCAGGAAAGAACTACCGGGGAGATGGAACGCGAGAGTTTCTGGAACAGCTAGCTCAAGAGACTGGCGTCTTTATTGCCACTGGAGTAATTGAAAAGGCCGGTGGCACTTTGTATTGCTCGATGGTGTTTGTGGACCCATCACGAGGTATTCTTGGAAAGAGAAGAAAGGTCATGCCAGTGAGTCTTTTGAATAAACATCAATTTCGTGAATATTTGTTAACCGGCTCTGGGTTCATCTTGAAAAGACAGCCTCCGAGCGACTAATCTGGGGTCAAGGGTCAGCATCGAGCCTGAAAGCAATCACAACTGAGATCAATGGTGTTAAACTCACTATTGGTGGAGCCATTTGCTGGGAGAATTTCATGCCCCTTCTCAGGCAGAGTTTGTATTCGCAAAATGTGAACCTTTATCTCGCGCCCACCGCCGATAGTCGTGATACCTGGCTCCCACTCATGCGAACAATTGGTGGCGAAGGACGCACCTTCGTACTTTCTTCAAACCAGTGTGTCCGCTATAACGAGTTGCCAACTTGGATTACCGAAAATGCGTCGCTTGAAGATAAATCTGCTGATGGTGAATGGATCTCCTCTGATCTTCTGATTCAGAAAATAAACCTTGAAACGTAGAGCAATGCTAATGAAGTCTGCATATATAGCAAACCGCTATATCTCCCGGGGTGGATCTTGCATAGTCGGTCCTCTTGGGGAGGTACTGGGCGGCCCGATATGGGAAGTTTGCCCCGACGATAGCCCTGATGTGAATGCCAGCAACTCCGATGCTGCGGATGGGTTGGTTATCTCAGAGATTGACCTGGAAGATTGCGAACGTGGTAGACTTGACTTGGACGTTGCAGGTAGCTACTCCCGAAACGACGCATTTAAGCTGACCGTGGAGGGGCTCGACTTGAACCCCCCACCTTTCTAGAACTCGCTGAAAATAGAACGGTGAACAAGTTTAAAGCCATTTGCTCTGCAAATGGTGACGGGAGGCGAGGTGGAAACATCAAGTATATGTATCTTCAAGTCTGGGTTTACCTATTCATATTCATACCCGGGGCCGCTTCAACTTCTATCGATAATACACCATGATGAGTATCATCGCACCTAAACTTTATTCTATATCAGCAAAAACATTGGAATCTACACTGTACTACGCGCTTGGAGAGCTGGTCAACCCCGAGGATGGTCATCGGGATGCAATTAAGATTACAAGTAGCCGACGAGCACAACATTCCCTACAAGGTAATATTAGGCGAATGATAAGTTATGGGAAAGAACAATCAAGTATAATTGCGTATAGATAGTCCAAGGCTACATATAAACGTACTCCCTGCATAAGGACGGATCGACTATAGTATATGTTTCTCACTTTCAAACCGACGAAATCCTAGCCTAAAAGCATTCAGAGCCGGTCTGCAAGCGAGAGACAAAACTACATTTGGTCTTTCGACCAAATGATAGTCTTGCAATTTGCTTTGCGCCATTCGTTTACCTCGCCAACCATGGAATCCGTCGAGACGGGAATGACGAGGAGATAATTTGGCGGTGTATATGTTTAATTGAAAGGTAACTATGTATCCAAAGGCATTGCTTCAAAATTATAGGGAGGCCATTTGGTATATTGAATCAGTGCTGACAGACGCTTTCTGGGATCAAACTGAAATGAAGTCGGAAGAATATCGAGCATGAAAGTCGTATTATCAGGCGTATAGGGAAGATAAAGCTAGACATTTTTCATGCAAATCTCCGTTGCATCGCAAGGACCTGTGTTAAAAACGATATCCTACTCATGATTTGATCGAGAGAAGGCACTCCAGCTCTCACCCCTGTGGGGTAACCAGGGCGAGCGAGGGCGGACGTGTGAGTTGAAAATGCATGATCACGACCTCTCACTTGATCTAGCTCGACCCAAACATTTTGTCAAAGCCAGACAGATATCAAGGTTATGTGAAATGTGCACAATGTAAGAAACAGCCCTTCGAGTTTTGTAGCAGAAAGAAAATGTGTGTAGTCAGGTGACCAGACCCATTCGTGGCTTTACTGTGAGATGATTGGCTTATCTTTTGCTCCTCGCGACGCGGGCTTGATATATACGAACAGTTCGGGATCTTTCGCGTTCGACTTTCTTCAGTCTATATTATCCGGTCCTGTTCCTTCTCGTCTTTTCAATAATGTAAAATCATACTGCAGTCCCCCCCTGCCTATCAAAGATTCTTTGTTATGAGTCTCCCGCACCTCCCAATCACCCCCGATGACCATATTTAGGCGCACAGTCCCACCTGCCTGTACCCATTCCTCCAGATTACCGGATCATGAGGCACTAGCCTGGGCCTACTCACCATGGACAATCAAGGCGATTTATTTAATGGATGGCAAGAGTATATGTCTCGAGAAGACCCTCCCGCTTGGACGCATCCAGCATTCACGGATGCTGCCCGAATTGCCAACGCGACACGTACCCAGTACATGCAACATGCCGCTCGTTGGCAGGCGCAGCAAAGGCAAGGGCAGGGCCAACCCGGACATCAACCAACACCTGGACACGCCTCATACTCTCAAGAAGATAGGGATGACCTCTTTCTTCAAGGTTCCTATAGTCACCGCCATCCGGTGCAAGCTGGAGAAACAGCCGGAGATCTCCCGGGGCAGTCAAACACGGAAGCTTCGAACCAACAATGTGTGAGACCTTCAGATCTCGGACCATCGACTTCACACTATTCGTCGAACTTGTCTCGCCGGACTGATATTCCCTTCACCGCGTCGGCGCAATCACAAAATACTGTTCCCACACAGGCATCGCGGCCGACAACGACTCGGGATGGAGGCGTGCAAAGTCCCTTTCAGCGCCACTCTCAACCATCGCCTATTGGCAGCTTTTCTCATCCTAGAAGCTTTACTCCAAGCTACACAGGCCCAGCACACAGTTCGACTCCTCCGCAGCCGAGTCAGCATACCACAGCCTCCAATCGACCAACTGGCCCTCCCGATCAACAGCGCGATCGCCAGGGCTCTGCGAAACCTCTTGACCGATCCAAATCAATGGGCCAGACCAACACAATGCAAAACCGTCGAGAAAACTTCATTCGTGACGAAATTCAGCCAGTGACTTCCCCAAACCGAGACCCCCACACCTCTGCAGCTCGAAGCACGCTAGAGCCTGATCCCACCAGACAACCTCAAAAAAATGCTAGAGTGGCTATGGATCAACATAGATCATCCATACCCCCACGCATTAATTCTGCTCCAGTCTCGACTTCACCCCGAAGCGCTCATACATCTACCGAGTCAGCGGTGCGTGGTTCTTGGAACCCCAAGACCTCCACAAATCTTAACGATGCCGCCGTTCGCAAGATCTCGACAACCTCTACATCACAGACTCCTGTTTCTTCTAAGCCAGCTCAATCAGCTGCTTACAATAGCTTGACAAGCACAGATAAGCACCGCCCTGTCCCATCTAAGGAACTACCATCAAAGGGAGGTTTCCCGCCATCGACATTCACGCCTAAACAATTTGAGCCGTCACGCTCGAAGCAGGCCGTACCTGAGGTTCAAACCCCCTCTAAGACCGCGCCAAATCTTCCTTCGGCTCGACCAAGCAATGATAAAAGGGCCGATAAGGGAATATCAGCTCCATCTAATCCGACTCCTCCTCAGCCCTTTCGACCAGTACCGGAGCCTACACAAGCTCATGGAATGGCTACACCTTCTGTGCAAAACACGAAAGCACACGTACGACCAAGGCCTTCATCGCCCCCTAGAGATCTACCTGCAAGAGCTTCTATTGGTGCCCATTCCGCTAGCGGTTCGAAGCCATTGGGTGATGTCCAAATTACTCAAACATCGCGAGCGGCTCAAATCGATATGCCGGTTACGGCATCGAATTCTTTACAATCGCCTGGTCAAATTATACAAAGGTTTTCAGACCAACGGCCTTCAATCATACACCAACATCCCAAACAACATAACTGTGTCCCCGGTAGTGATACAGTCCCACCTTCTACCCATCAGCGTCAACTTCCAGTGATGAGAAACTTTGACGGGGCAGCACCGCCTCCAAAAAAGGCACGTAAGCTTGACGATGGCTCTAAACAGGTCTCTAGTCCAAATACGGTCGACCCCGTAGTTCCTATTAAGAGACGCATTCGCCACAAAGCATTTCAAACTAAGCTTCGGCAGCGGCATGACCTAGTCAAGCGACTAGATCCCAGCGAGGTAGACCACAAGGACGAATACAATCCAGCTACTATCGCACGGGATGTGCTTGTTACTAGTGCAAAGCATCCATACCAGGAGGTGCTGAACCACCATCTCTTTATTCTCCTCAAGAACCTCCCTACAATGGATACTTCGTCAGATTTGGATACAGTTCGGTGGGATCTTATCGATCCAGTCATTCCACGTGATCCGGAACTTTCATCTAACCCTCACCCTCCTCACCGCCCATCACCTCCGCGTCCACTCACGCAATCGCGTCCATCCGTGCAATCGCGTCCATCCGTGCAATCGCTCGACGCGACAAGATTGTCATTCCCGAGTGTGCCAGGTCTTCTTTCGCGCCCACACCATCCTATCCCGCTGCCAAAATTGCCTCTTAACAGTCAAATTCACCCCCACCACTCTCAACCCAACACTGCATACATTCCCTACATCCATCCTCTACCCCCACTCTCGCCTCCACAAGTTGTCTCAGTTGTCTCAGTTGCTCCAGTTGCTCCAGTTGCTCCAGTTGCTCCAGTTGCTCCAGTTGCTCCAGCTCCCCCAACCCCGAATGCCGAAGCTCTTATCCCATCAGTTGAACGGATCGACTATAAATCAAGCCCATCAGCAGTCACTCCAGCTGTGAGGTCAACTCCTCAATCCAACCCCAAGACTGTTCACTCCACGCCTCCTTCAGTTAAAGAACCTTCTCTATCCTCGCAGACCAAAGGTCACCCCAATTTACAAGTGGTTATTCAGTCTCCGCAGAAAATGCCTCCGGTTAAGAAGCGAGTGGGCCGTCCACGCAAGGAAGATAGGGCCGCCAATTTCGAAGTAGCTATTCCTACTAGCTCAGACAAAGCGACCCCGCAATTTCCAATATTCAATTGCGAGTGGGAGGGGTGTCCGGTTGAGCTTCACAACCTGCCTTTACTTCAGAGTCATGTCAAAAATACCCATATCCCTCTCTGTCTCACTTGTGAGTGGAAAGGCTGCACTGACCGCAATCCAAAAGCATCGGCAGCCATGGAGGATCATGTTCGAGACGTGCACATCAGCAAACTTGCCTGGGCTTTAGGAGATGGTCCCACAATGTGTTCACCTGGTGAGAAATCTAATATGCAAGTTTGACCAATCATGTACGCAGAAATGGAAGTTCTAACAAGGACGGATCCTACCAGCGGAGGATGAGCGTCTAGCGCTTAGTAGGTCGCAATTCGACCTCTTTCATCATAATACACCCGCGGGGACCGTAGTTCTCCCCGCTGACCCCAAACTGGTCGACGCTTTCAGTCGAACTCACGGGATTTCCGACCCCAAGGCAAAGGCAGAGCTTTTCAAAAATGGAGGTCGTCATTGGAAAGAACAGGCTGGCCCCGACGTAGATCTTAGCGATCATCGGCTCGCCACTCATACGCGTTTATCATCAAGTCGCGTTTTTGAAATGGCGATGACCCTTCCGGATCCAGAGTAATCTCACTACTCACACCCCATGTGAATGATGCTTCCAACGCGGTCTAATCCATCAGCCCTTCCTTTTCTGGGATGTCGGTATTATTTGTTTTATTTTGTTTCAACAGAATACATTCTTCTATCGCAACTAGTGACATGGAACGACGCCGGGACCACGGCCCCTGGACACTCTATCCTGAAGTTTCATGATGCCTGATTCTTGAAACAATGCTATAAAAGAGATCAATGGTCAATAGCAGCATAGATAGTGTGCAATAACAAAGCAAATTTGAAGTTCAATTGGTATCTTGATGTCTAAATAATCAATAACAACACTTAATAACGCAACAAATAAAATTGAATGTGAAATGCTGGGCCTCGATGAAGACCATGGTGTGGATTGCACATACAGCTAGCCTCTCTCGGCAAAATGACCTCTCAACCCATGAAATTGCAATTGTGTTTCATTGTTTTCATTCGTAGTGTACATTTCAAAGTTATTTCGCCTTCGCGGTCGACGACGGGGTTTCGCTGGAGTTGTCTGATGGTACGGTGGATGTCGTGGTGTTCTTGGTTTGCTTTGGAACGGTGGTCTCCTCATCATCGCGGGCGTTGACGTCGAGGAAGTGGTAGAGGACAATCATCATCATGGCACACGAGCCAAGGAAGATGGCAAGACGATAGAGATCGCCGTCGGAGATCATTGTGAAAGGAAGTCTTTAGACAAGACAGATGGGCGGTATACGGGTAGAGGAGCTGGTCAATGCAAGGTGACCAGTGACGGAAGGGACACGTCGATAGGTCCACGGGTTCAATTGCTCAGGTGTAAGCAGTGTAAGGGCGCGTGGTGGACTGCGTAACCTGAATTTTCAAGATACGGACAGAGAAAGTACAGGAGGTAGAGAGAGAGGAAGAGAGAAAGTAGAACTTAACAGAATGCCTAGGTGGTCAGGTTGATCCACGTTAACTAATGGCCCGAGGCATAGATACAGTAGTACACCCTAGCACTCAGGCGGTAGGTAACGTGTCATGAACGTGACCTTGGAAGGAACTCCAACCGTACTCCAGGCCCTCCAAAGACCACAGCCGGGCGATATTTACCGTATTGACGTGACATAGATTTATTACACTGGTGCAGTGTGATGCATGACTAATCACCCCAGTTCCAGTCGGCGTCTCTAAGTCCGTGCCGTTTCGCCCGACCAAAAAAAAAGCCTCGTCTTGCAAATATCTATATATCTTTGGATCTTTATATTAAGTCCCATGTCTGAACTGCTTCAAAGCTCAAAATGACCGAGCCGCAGGTTCCACAAGGCTCTCAGCTTTATGAGAGCGCAATAACCGACCCCACGTCTGCAAAACCGTCCCCTTCTTTATTGGCCTGTCTGCTTTGTCGCCATAAGCATCTCAAATGTGATGGCAAAACTCCCGTTTGTGGTCGGTGTTCCCTAACGGGCGCCGATTGCCAATATGCAAAATCTCGTCGAGGTTATCAAGGCCATTCTAAAAAACGACGTGCGCAAGAGCCTTCCCCAGATAACCTGCTCGTGGAGACCCCGGATATGGCCAATACTGTGGGTTGGAGTGCTCCAAACAGCTTTCAGTATATATCTGCCGTGCCTGTATCTTCCTCGGGATCTACGAGCCCTAGTGTAAACGACACGTCTATCATAATGGCTCCGCCTGTCACTAGGCCCGCGACCGGGCCACTGACCCCAGATTCGTCCTCGTCGATCGCAGGTGACGGCTATCTGCTCGATATCTACTATACCTACTTTAATCCGGCACATCCCATCCTCCCCCCATTACGATTCTTATTTCGTTCTCCCTTCCCGCTTTATCTGGAGCAGGTGATGAAATTCATCGCTTCTCACTTCACCCCGGCAGCTTCAAGTGAGACTTATCGTCCCACCGTGGTCTCCGTGGTTTGGGAGCAAGCACCCTCAGTAGAAAAGGTCCAAGCGCTTCTCCTGCTTGCCATTGTTCTGCACTCTCGGAATGAAAGAGGCGAAGCGGGCGAATGTCTCGCTGCCGCCGTCAATGTGGCATTCGAGCTTGGGATGAACCTAGCAACATACCCCGAGGTCGCGAGTAATGGGGACCCAATTCGTGCAGAATGCCTTCGCCGAACTTGGTGGGAACTGTTCATAATTGAGGGTATGCTTACAGCTCTAGGGGTGCAGCAAGTCTATCGCACCAACCTGGTTCCTCTTGAAGTACCGCTGCCTTGCGAAGAACGCATTTACCAGGATGGCCTCACCCCGCCACCGCCGCCTACCATTGCTCAGTTTGACGAGCGTGTTTTTGCTGATGAAGAGCGGGACTTTTCATCCTATTCATATCGTATCGAAGCAGTGCGAATCCTTGGCCGGGTGGTTGCCACGCAGGATATAGTGGAGGGGCAGCAAGATCATGTCGAAGCTATTGATGCGCGTATTGCCAGCTGGTTTCATCATCTACCGGAATCTAAGTCGGAACTCATGCGACCAGATGGTTCCGTCGACGAAATAATGTTCCAGGCAACAATGATAATTAACGGTGCCTCCATCTATCTTAACTTTCCACGGTCCGATCTCTTGTCCTCCCCTGCCGTTGCTGCAGAGGTGATATGCGGCCAAGCGGGCCCGATTAGCATTCCTGCGTTCTCCCATCATGTTCATGCTATGAAGGCCGTCAAAGCGGCCAGTAAGCTTTCAACCCTGGCAGCCCTCCGTTTGCCAGTTGAACGCCATACTCCATTTTTCATATGCGCTCTTACACTCAGCTCCATTGTTCAGCTGGCCGCGTGCTCCGTCAAAGCTGGTCAGATGCCCGATCCCAGTCGCGATCGTATTGGCCTCACCATCGGTGTGTTCAAAACCTTGGCGCGGACCTGGGCTATTTCACAGTCAATCATGCGCCAAATAAAAGCCGTGGCCCGTGATGTTTTGGAGCTAGGTGTACGACCAACAATGGATCAAATTGACATAACCTCGATCCTCGACAATGGGCTGTTTTGGCCGCGGGACGGCCCCAGTTGAGATAAAACAAATGAAGCGAAGTGAACTTCATTTCGGCGTGGAGTGTCAAAGTGATGAATCATCAATTCCTATTGTTTTACAAAAAGGCACAGCTAAACCCCCAAGGGAATCAGCAAGGCCATCGAACCCTTTTCAAGAGTGGACGACTTGATTAGGTTGGCCTCTTCTTATATTAACCTGCCACTTTGTTCCGCATTGCTCATGGCGTGTCTCTCCATATATAGATCTTATGGCTCAGATACCAGCTGGCGATGCGACTGTTTAAAGTGGCATAATAACCTGAAGCCTGACCATCAAGCCCGAAATAATTGATGGAAGCTCTCTCATTATTCCTTATTTCCAGTCTAGGATTTGGTTCCGATGAGCACTGGTACCTAGTCTAGGCCCAATACAATACAGTAATACTATCATGTATGACCTCGAATATCAGCCTAGATGTCTACAAGTAATTGGAATCTGCCTCTTCAGCATGTCAATCAATGGTAATGATTATCTATGAGCTGCTATATAGACATTATTCGTAATATTCGTACTATTCCTTTAATTATTGTTATCGTTTGCAGCGATTTAGCCCACCTGGGCATCGACGTCTGGAACAATGGCAGCCTGAGGCCATCATCCGGCGAGACTGCCGAAGTATTTATTAGTATAGATAGGACCCTGTAACCCCACTCCTACAGTACTTCCCTCGACATCAATTGATCGATGAAGATCTCATTTATTTCCTAAAATTATCTATGTATGCCAAGACGATTCATCATCTGATTTAAATGGCCGCGTACTGTTCGCATACCACCTGCGCACCTGGATACTTGAAACATCGGAGATGTTCCGCATACATGCCCGATAAGAATCTAGTGGATCACAATTCGCGTCGAATGCCGATCGCAAAAGCCCCATTGATAAATGGACGAACATACAAAAAGGTTTGCTACAGTCCTTTCAATGAAGCATTCAATTGATCCCTTCATTCTCGTCTCGCCATGAGCTCGATGCCAGATGGCTGTAATCTGCCCAAAAGCATCATTCACGAACCCTCTGTCAACCCAATTCCATACCCAAATGGACTTTTCACACCAACCAACGACGCTGGGATCAAATGCCCCTCACAAAAGGATGAAGCTGAGCCACAGCCCGCCGGAAAATTCAAGCTCGTCACCTGGGAAGATCAAAATGATACAGAAAATCCCCAAAATTGGCCAAGAAATACAAAGCTGCTCCGCTCTTCCGCCCCTCTAGCAATCATCTTCTCCATAGCATTCGCTTCCTCCATTTTCGGCGCCGCATCCAACGTCACGGCCAACGAATATGCCGTCTCGCAAGAATTAATGAGCCTAGGCGTAGCCCTCTTCATCGCCGGCTTCGCTCTCGGCCCGCTACTCTGGGCACCACTAGCCGAAGTAATTGGCAGTGCACCGGTGCTCGCATTGGCTCTTACTGGCTGCGCGATTTTCCAGATTCCCCTCGCTCTTGCCACTAACGTAACCACCATTCTGGTATCTCGCTTCCTAGCCGGGCTGATGGGTGCAGGGGGGCTAGCCGTTGGCTCGGGCGTGTTGGCGGATATCTTTGGGCCGATAGCCCGTGGCGTGGCAGTTGGCACATCGGCGAGTATAATGAACCTAGGCTCTATTCTAGGGCCGATCGCAGGAGCCTACCTCGTTGATAGAAGTGGATGGCGATGGACGGCGTGGTTGACACTCATCTTATGCGGAGGGGCAGGGATTATTTCGATTTTCTTCTTGCGAGAGTCTTCACATAACCGAATCTTGAGATGGCGGGCTGCCAGATTGCGTACGGAAACGGGAGACGAGAGGCACCGAGCTAGTGCTGAAATGGTGTCACTTGAGCCCAGAGTTCTGCTACGAAGATACTGTAGTAAGCCCGTTCGGATGTTTGTGCAGGAGCCGATCTTGATTGTGATGACGGTGTATTTGACGCTTGTGTATGGGTCATTGTATCTGTCGTATCAGCTTTTCCCCCGTGCCTTTGAGCAGCGAGGGTGGGCTACGCCTGTTGCGTATCTGCCGTTTATCTCAGTAGGATTGGGGCTGATGAGTGCTTTGGGGATTTTCTCTTTGTTCACGATGACTTGGTATAAGAAGCGATGGGTTGCAGCGCAAAAAGAATTCCAGCAGCAGCTCACGGTACCAGAAGATACGGGTGGTAGCTTGGTGTCTTCTCGCATTGCACCTGAAGATCGGTTACCACCTATGATCCTTGGAGCAGTGCTTCTTCCACCGTCTCTTCTCTGGTTTGGCTGGTCAGGTAATACCCATTGGGCTTCACAGGTAATTTCCTGCTTCTTTATTGGCATGTCGCTGCAGATCATCTTCATTTCAGGCATTGTATACATTGTGGATGTATATTTCTTGAACACAGTATCGGCGATCTCAATCCATGTGGTGGTTCGTAGCTTGGTCTCTGCTACCTTCCCGCTGTTTGAGGGACCCATGTATGACTCGTTGCATATCAATTACTCTGCAACCCTACTAGCTGCATTATCTGCAGTGATTATGGTTTCGCCGATTCTACTTAGAATCTATGGGTCTCGTATTCGAGCCTGGAGTCGGTTCTCGAGTTAGATCATATAGAGATTAAACATGTGCATGGCTTGACGAGATAGCCTTGGAATTGGAATTGACACAGATGTGATCATGTAGAAAATTCATTTCCAAAGTGGGGAGAAATTAATTTCACTGTTCTATATGGTTGCTGAGTATAAAGGCCAGGGGTATCTTGAAATGCCTCTTGCAAGATGGATCAAAGCAGAATGGCCATGCGGAGGAAAAAGAGAAAGAAGGGAAGAGAAAGCATTTCCCAGGAAAATCGGACGTGGAAGTGACAAGAATGAGCTATGTGGTATACGGAAAGGAAATGTAAGGCCGAAATGAAATGAAAATAAGATAACGAAACTCCTTGCCCAATGCCAGTGTCGTTTCGGCATCGCCCCAAGCTCGTAATCAAGATAGGGCAGAGAAAAAACGATGAAGAAAAAAAACGGGAAAGGAGTGAAAGTGATGACGAAGGACGGCGACGGAGCCAGCATTTGTTTCAGAACCCTCAGGCGTTGTTGAACTCCCGCATCTCCCGTAGAGCAACCGCACGGCGGGTAACGACGTCTTCCCGACGAACCATGTTGCGCAATGCCTCGCTGGCCTGAATCAAGCCATCGATGCTGATCGCGTGATTGGTCATTTGGTGATTGATGTAGGTGTAAAGGGCGGCAGGTGTCGAGCAAGTGGTGAGCAATTGAGGTTCATTGAGTTTCAAGAGGGCTAAAGCCACCTGAAACAGGAATGTACTGCCTCCTCCACTACCAGACTCAAGGTCCTCGGGTAATGGAGTAGCCTTGTCGCTCCCTTCTTTGACATGCAATGATGCAGAGCCATTAGGAACGGCAGTGCTCGTCACATTCAAGCACAGAACCACGTCCCAGACACGATACAGGGCTTCCGCAGAAAGGCAGTCGGTAAAAACAGACAGAAACCATTGGAAAGTGAGAGCCTCCAATTCAATGCCCAAATCATCCAGGTGAGCTGACAGGTTTGGGAGAAGTGCGGAGATATACTGCCGCAACACGACCTGGTCGGCGCGAGATGCCAGGAGACCATGATCATAGTAGTGCTGGGGCAAAATGATTTCAATCATTGACACCAAGATCCAAAAGGCATCTTCGGCTGTAGGCATGATGAGCAAAAGGGATGCGGCAATGAGATTCATGCCCTGGCAATAACCAACTTCAACATTGCGACGCGAGTACGCCAAAAGAACTTCCTTCAGTTTTGCGACACCGGGACCTTTACGGAAGAAAACATTATCTGTCAAGGTCCGTCGAATATCCATATCAATCTGTGCCACAACTGATGCTTCAGGCTCAGTCCCTCCAATACCATGAACTAGGTCATCATAATAACCTGGAACGCGCATGGCCGAGGCCCCGCTACACTCAGACCAGACCTTGGCACGTAGGGCCACGGGAATGCCACCAAGGACAAGGGTCCGGAACTCACGCCACTTAGCGCGACCAACTTTTCCCTTGTTTCCCAGGCCGGCAATCCCAACAACTTCTCCATCTGTGAGAGACGCCTCCGGCGTGTCAACTGCAGTGACTGTTCGGTCAGATGTGGCTGCCGCAGCTTCTCCTTCCTTCCGGCGTTCTGCCCTGACTTTGCGGAGAAATTCATTCCATCGAACAGTGCGATCTCGTTGCAGTGTATCATGGAGGTCCGTAAGCTGCTCCAGTAACAACTTGACAGGCTCGGCCTCAGCAGCGCCAGGCTTATTTAAAGAGGTCGTAGCAGATGCGCCTGAAACTATTCCAGCAAATTCGGGGCGATCAGCAGTGACCGCTGATGTGGTTGCGGATGGCGGGGCGCTTGGATTGACTGACAGCCCCTTGTCTGTTGAAACTGACGAGCTATGTGGGCGGGTCTCCGTTGAAGTGGTTAAGGAAACGAGTGGGGCAGTTGAAGGAGTATGAGAGAGCAATTCTGTAGGGCGAGATGGTATCCGCAGGTAGTCCTGCCATCGACGCAATCCGACTACTCCGCTTTCAGGGTCATCAGGCGAACCAGGTGGAGAGGCCAGGGAGTGAATTGACTCGGGCCGTTGGCTGATTGCGTCGTCGTCAACATCTGATGAATCACTGCGAAGGTTACCAAGTGTCTCAGCAATGCTTAAACGCGGTTGAGTGGGTTTGTCGGTGGTCGCTTCTCTCTGCCGTCTCTTTCGCCGCTGATCATAGATAAATCCGAATCTGTCTGTGAGAAATTCGCCGGCAAGGGTGTTATTGTAGATGGGTGCCAGTGTTGGAGGTCTAGATTCCACGGGTAAAATAGCGTCCATTTCAACCGGACCAAGATTAGTCGAGGTTCGCTCAGCGCCGTCGGATGTTGCACCTTGTGACACACTCCCCGTCGCGCTTCTTCGGGTAGTTGGAGGGTTCGTTTTAGAGACGGCAGTCGCTCCAGCGGCAGATCTGGGATGCGGAATACTAGTATTGCTGTTGATCCTCTTCAGTGCGGCAACTGCACTCATTCCATTTTTGTGGTTCCCAGATTGGGTGTTCGGCTCTGATGAAGGCTTGGTACGATTACTTTCAGAGTCACTGGTGTCCTTCCCTTGTGAATTGCCAGCAAACAATTTGACAGTCCATGAACCGAGCGACCGCGAAGACTTGCGGGAATGAATGCTAGAGGTATCACCGTTGATGGGCGTAGTAGCAACACGCTTTGCCGACATGTCGCCGGTCGGAGGCTGAAAAAGCTGGTCATCAAGAGCCTTGCGGCGGACAGAGGGATTGCTTGGTATTTTAACGCGTTCAGGGTCCTCATCTGCAGTCTCTTGCATATCGCTCATCATGCTACTTGCGCTGCTTGTCTTTCTGCTCGGATTGGTCGAACCAAACAGATACTCCTGCCAGCCACGAATGGAACCTTGCCGTTTTCGACGGATATCAGATTCAGAGCTTAGGCCTTGATCCCCGGGGCGTTGTGCGCGAATAGTAGCCTGGTGTTCGGAAGCCAGTCCTGATTCACCATCAAGCTGAACACCCACTGTATCCATCATAGCCTGCGACATGAGGCCATTTAGCCCAGATGACTGCTGCGAGGTTTGGTCGACCGAGTGGGTGCTATCCTCGTCCGAGTTACGACTATCGGACGAGTTCTCCATTTGATACAGACGACGCTCAATATCCTGATTGGACACCGAAACTTCTCGGAGCATGCGTTTAAGCTCTCGCTCCCGAGTATCAGCACGCTGTCTCAGAGCTGAAATCTCAGCATCTCGCTGGGCCAGGTCGCGAGCAAATTGCCGGACTATTTTCACTGCCCCCGTATTTGCGATTAATCGCTCAATAGGCGCATCATCTGCCAAATGAAGCGCGCCTGGAATATCGTGTTTTGGAACGGAATCATCGAAAAGAGCCGCACGACCTGACGTGTGAGACATGCCGGTAGTCAGCCTTGCTAAAGTGGCCCGTCGACCACGTTCAGTCTCATTTATTGAATCTCCATTGTTACTCGTCATCAACGTGTTTGTCAGGCCTCGAGTCAAAGTGGGGGTGCGGTCGGGTGGGGAAAGCGAAGGGAAGGATGTGAGATCGGTGGTTTTGTTCGAGGAAGTCGAGTTTCGCTTCTGCGCTTGAGAGCGTAATGTTCTCGTCCTTTGGCTCCTGGTCGACCCAGAAGACGCCAGAGAAGAGGAACGTCGCGGCAAATGTGAGTTGGGCTCTGCCATGACTCAACGGCTGGTAGTTCACGGTGTCATAGACGGCGTAATGAGTCTTCATAAATGCTTGTGGGGAATTCCAAATTGGAGAACAACATCGAAAACTGAGTAATATTGGTTTGGTTTGCGGATATCGTCGCTTCTAGCTGGAGCTAGGTTCTCCTCTCCCTGTCTTGGAATTTTTATTTTATTTTATTTTTTTTCTTTGGGAAGGGGTGATCTTTGCTGCACTTTTTGCACACCCTTGGCGATCCTGGGTGATCCGCGTGAATCTATAGAATGCGAGGCGATCGACCGGGAACTTCCATAAGCGAATGACTCGAACGGTTAAAAGACGATTGCCAGAGAACAAGTGCCGGTAGCAGCAAGCCCAAGACGCCAAACATAAACCCTGTTTATGTTCAAAACATGGGAGAAGGCACATGACGTGATGTTATCGGTCACGTGTTTTGAGCTCGATATGGTCACGTGAGCTATACAGATACGGGCCTCGGCATCTCTGTATAACCGAGTGGGGAAAGCTCCAACCCCAGCTTATTCTTATTTATTGCCTCCTCAGACATTGTCACCTTGCTTTACTCTATTTTGATTCTCCAATAACATCATTTTCCACTGTCCAATTCAATCCCATCTCCCTGAATTATCCGATCCGAATTAGCATAAATCAGTGGACTATGTCTGGGGTTGCGCGACAACGTCTACAGGCTCTAAGCCAACAGCTTAACGAAGGCATTGCTGATGAAGGCACCTTCGAAGGAATTCCCCGAGTTCGCCATGTTGCTTCTGACTCTAAAGGCCTGTGAGTGTCTCAATATTAGCTTAGATCATACACATAACAATTGACAAATTCCCATTTCAAATATCCAAGGCTAACATTACCGCCATAGTCGGACCAAAGACAAGGTGGTAATCATCACCGGTAAAAGTTCCACGCTACTCTCATTAAAAACAAGTCATCGGCTCATATCAATTCTATACAGGGGCAAACTCACCAAACGGAATTGGCCGCGCTAGCGCGCATCAATTCGCCAATAATGGGGCAAAAGCAGTCTACATCTGCGACTATAGCGACAGTCATCTTCCAACCCACAAGCGAGAGATAGAGTCTCTCTACCCTGGCGTGGATGTGCACACCCGGCAATTTGATGCTGGGGACGAAAAAGCTGTAGTATCAGTCATTGACGATGCCCTAGCCAAATACGGTCGATTGGACATCTTCTTCGCCAACGCCGGAATAGTTGGACAGCCCAAAGTATTCACAGATATCGACGGTGATGATTTTATGAAGACCATGAAAACCAATGCTTTTGGGTAAGTGATTCTAACGTTCAAAATTCAAAATACAGATATTCAATCGAAAAGTTCAACGCTAATTCGCTTTATAGTGTCTTCCTAGCAACTAAGCATGCCGCACCGGCAATGAAAGTAACTTCGGCATCTAAGCCATACTCATCCGGCTCCATTATATGCACTGCTTCTGTAGCTGGGCTTAGGTCTAACGCTGGCTCAACCGATTACTCTGCTTCTAAGGCGGCAGTGATCTCTATCGCGCAAACATGCTCGTACCAACTCGTGGGCACCGGGATTCGGATTAATGCCCTCTGTCCTGGTATAATCGAGACGGGTATGACGCAGGCTGTATTCGACGCAGCGCGAAAACGAGGGACGGAGCGCAAGATTGGACAGTTGAATCCACTTCAGCGGGGTGGTGTTGCTGATGAGGTCGCACGCGTGGCGCTATTCCTGGGAAGTGATGAGAGTAGCTATGTTAATGGACAGGCGTGGGCTGTGTGTGGCGGTTTGACTGCTGGACATCCTTTTGTTCCTGGTAAACTAGCTTGAGAAAATATGAATGCATGATACTGAGTATCAGGTTGCAGATAGTACCTGGTGATTATAATGTGGTAGAACAACCATGAAAGTGTTGTACACCTATGGCTTTATACACTCACCCACCAACTAGCATAGCATGTACTACACCTTCTAACAAGTGTCCCCCACGCCGTGCAGGTCGTGTCACCTGAATATTGGATACCACGTAGGATTCTGGGTCGCTCTACGCTAATCGTCGGATCTGTCACATTCATTCGCATATCCCCTTGCAGGCATAGTGTAACATCGCGACATGAAAAGAGAAAATCAACTACTATCAGTTTTGTAGAAATGAGTATAACCAATTATAAGATCCATTTTTAAATACAACAGGGATGGAAAGATCCCGTATAGCAATCGAATAAGTCCAGTTCGACGACTGCAGACAAAAGGAAAAAAGGAATGCATGGTGGGATTGAGACAAAGATCAAGAAAAAAAAACATCGCACAATCTGCAAGGGGGTTTCTCTGTGCAGGTGAACAAGCTGCAGAGTGGAGCCTTCTCCCGCGCGTCGAGTCTATCACCAGTAGTTGAGCGCGAGATGGCGGGATGAAGCGTAAAAACAAAAAGAAAATTCGAAGTTGGTCCATCTCAGAAGGACACGACTCTATGTTGAGGTAGTAACAGAATCCCCAGGGGTAATGGAAAAGGGACACCAAGAGCAGAAATGGAAAACGATAACCGTCAAGGGTTTCAAATCGATAGACACGAAATGGCGGAGAGGTTGTCAATGTGCGGATGGATATAATGGATATAAAGAGTATCAAGATAATCGACACCAAGAAGCGAAGAAACCAAGTGAAAAAAAAGACTACGCCAGACAGCCAAAACTTGTGTGCGTGTACGGTCACAGCACGAGGCAGTAGAACGAAAAGGAGAGATATAAGAAAGAAAAAGTTGAAGACCACGCCATAGTGCAGTAGAAGGCACGCGAAAAGGTAGGGAATATAAGTAAAGAAGCAAGGTCGTCTCAGTGAAGCGTTGCATCATCCTAGGGTTGATGGAGAAGTCTACGAGATCACACGAGCAGTCTGGGGTCGCATGATGTCTTCACTGGCCTGCTTTGACAGAGTACCAGTCTCAGTCTGCTGGTCATCTAGACCCTCAGCCTCGTGGTTGTGCTCATCATCATCTTCCACAATCCGAGTTGGGATATCACCAGGGCCGTATTGCTGGCTGGACCGCTCAGGGAAAGTTGAGCTGCTGACCATAGACATCGAAGTGCTTGATCGGTTGTGTACCAGGTCAGGGGTAGGAGGGATGCTTGAGTGGCGGTTGTCCGGGTGCAATGAGTTGTTGTCGACATCGCTGATTTCACTGGTGGCACGGGTGGTGCGTCCTTCCTGGCTGTCGTATTCGGAACCGAGACGCTGCTCATCAGAAGGGCGAGCAAGCTTGTTAGAGGACTCGGCCTCCTCATCTTCGGCATCCTGGGCGAGGTGAAGGCCTTCGACGGCGGCGGCACACTGGTCACTGATGCTACGGATAATGTCGGCGATGGCGTCTGTTTTGTCGCGAAGGTATCGGTCTGCAACATCTGTGACACTCAGACGAGCAAGGGACTTGTGATTCTTGCCAAGGTTCAGCAGGTGCTGCTCGAGTTCGGGGCTCATATGATTTACCGATGGCTTTTGACCCATGATTTCCTTACTCGAAGCCTTCTTCTTGATAGCTCCATCTGTGCTCTTCTCATTCTCGCTCTCAGCAGACTCTTCGGGTGCGTCTTCGTAACCCTGCTCGACCATCTCAGTAATTTCAGAAGCGCTGCCAATGGAGCGAACGATGTGTTCCATGTGGTGGCTCTTGCCATTGATCAGGCTGCGCAAGTGCAAAACAACGCGTTGAGCGTCGTCGCGCTCGCGGCCAAGGGTGGAGTTAGTGTGCTGTAGGGCAGAAATCTCCTTCTGGTTGCGCTTGCGTTCACGCTCCAGCTCCTCGGCAATCTCTTGTTGGAGGACCAGAGCCTCAAGAGCATCATCGCGCTGCTTCTCAGTTCCAGACAAACGCAATGTAAGACGAGCAACATCATCCTTCTGTTGATCAATGAGACCAGTAAGACGACGGTTCTCACGCTTGTGGGTTTCAATCTTGACCTTGAGTTCAGAAGTTTCCTTGGTAAGTTGCTCCGCAAAGGCCTGGAACTTGAGGAACTGCTGCTTCCAGGTCTCAAGCTCCTCGACAAGGAAGTTGTTGCGTTTGGTAACCTTGCTAAGCTCGGTATCCATACGTCCCTTGAGGTTGATGAAGTCTTGCCAGGCTTCCATGGCATCACGAGAGTACTGGTTACGCTCACGAACAATCTCGTTAAGATGACGCATTGAAACCTTAGTCATGAGGGGCTTCTTGACAGAGCCACCGAAGATAGCCTTCATGCCAGTGTTGCGGCCGAGCTTCTCACAAACGTGATCCATCACACTCATCACAGAGTCCTGGTTCCACCAGTTAGGGTCCTGGACACTCTCGACCTCACCGCGCATGACAATAATCTGGCCGGCAGGGATCAATTTGCCACCTGCGTAGGCAGATCGAAGGTGAGCTGGGACACCAGAGGGTGAAACATCACCATTGAGAGACTGGGTCAATCGGTTAATAAACTTAGTGCGCTGGCCCTGATTCAAGACATTGGGTGGGCTGGAGGTCAAAACAAAGTTGCGATCCAGATCCACCACGAGGGCATCGGAGGGAGCATTGAAGAGAGTGCGGCACTCGGCCGTGATACCCAGAATGTAAGGGCCAGGCTCCTGGACGAGCTCCTTGACATGACGAGCGTGCACCACAGGAACGTAGAGACCGCTCCATTCGTAGACGCGGACACAGTAACGAATGGTCTCTGCAGCCACTGTCAACATAGCCGGGTAATGACTGACGAATATGATGCGTCGAGTTGGCGACACGGCTGCCTCAATCACACCGACAATGTTGGGGATTGAAAGACAGTTGAACAGGGGCCACATGGCGAAGTTCTGGAATCCGGTTGGGGATGATGGGAACTGGTAGCACAGAGCGTAGTCCTTCATGTCGATGCGAACCAAGTCGTTCAGGCGAGGAGCTGGGAAGCTCAAAATACGCGAAACCTCCTCGGCGTGAAACAGGTTGGTAGCTTTGTTCCAATGGATCCACATACCTCGGAGGTAGTCACCCAAAAGGTCGTACAATGGGTATCGGGAAAGAAAACTCAAGCAATAGGGGATCCAGTAAGTCTCATCGGGGTTGTCGTAAAAGTCAGGCTCGGTCTTCTTGCGAAGCTCACGGATGGTCTCGGCACGCTTCTCATCAGCACGGGACCAGACGCGCAGCGCGATACCGTAGAGAGTGTGGGAAGAGTCTTGCTGCAAGACGAATGCATGATGGGCACAGTGAGGCTGGCTTTTACCTGTGCAGATTTCGACATCATGGGGGAAACATGCCTATATAGAACACAAACATATCAGCACTTGTTGGTTCCTTCTAGTTGAATATTAGTTATTTCTTAGGATATAACGTACCCTCATGGCAGCATGTAAAGCTCGAGCAATCTCATTATCTTGCTCTAAACGGGGACTACTGCCCAGAATCTCGGGAAGCCAGAATTGACCGACAGCCCCTTTCATGTGGCCAATTTTGCCTTGTTCTGGAGCAGGCGCTTTAACCCATTGAGAGGGCTCTCTGCCCACACCACATACCATATAGGCATGAGTTAGAGTCTTTGGGGTTCTCTGGGCGGGTTTGATGTTAAGAGTCGAAGGAATAGGTTGAGTGATTCGAGAGTGTAGTGATGAAGTGCGACTGGGGACGACCAGCGAATTTTCCCCCTCGCCGCGAGTCGCGGGCCTGTCCCGAGTGGACGGGCGAACGAAGGACGAGTGATCTCTCAGAGATGGTCCCATGGCGAAATTTGTGGCGATATCGATATGGCTTTTGGCGTGTATATAAATAGTCCTCTTTTGAGGAGGAGAGTGTATTCCCGTTCTTCAATGGACAATGCACGCCTTTGCACGCAAGTGCCGAAGTGCAAAAGGAAATTGGGGGGCAAAGACAATGAGAGACTAATGACTTGGGAAGTCGATAGGATATCGAAAAGAATCGATAGATCACAAAGAATGTGGGGGATTGGGATTAAAGTCGGTGAGAGGCACCCCGAGCCATGTGTATAGGTGTACGAAGCACAGAGCCCTGAAGTACAGAATACAAAGCGAAGAATGTTCTACTCACACCGAAGAGAGTCGAAGGACCGAAGATGCCGAGAGGGAAGGGTTTAGGGGGTCAGCATAGAATAGGAGAAGAAGCTAAAGCCAAAGGGGGGAACGTTCGGAGCCAGTTTACGAACCAGTTGACCCATGCCCACCGGGAACCACTCGCAAGCACCAGAAGGGATCCACTTGGTCCGGGTTAATTAAAATCAATGCAAAAGCGGAGAATGGAAGAAATTTGACGGAAATCCTGTTCGGCAGGAGGCATTGACAGTATCTTTTGATCTTGAATGTACTGAATACAGATGTAGGAACTGTTATCACTATGCCTGCGCACTGTTTTTATAGAAGATGAAATTCCTTAGTTCCATTCTATAACTTCAACGTGAAGTTGAATATCCGCACGATTACTTAGTATTGATATTATTCAGTACTTCACCAACGATTTACAAGTACGGATTACTCCGTGCAGTCCCAATTATGTGATCCATGCCCGGTTTGAGGCTGGATACATCTTGCATCTGCACTTTTCAAACGGCCATTTCCCCCTTTCAAAGAATAGAATTCGGAGCAGGAAGCAGACTCAAGCAAGTTCGACAGGTCATGGTTTCGTCCAAAGAGGTACCTCATAATTTCCACTGATCATCAAGGGTTTGAACAAGTCACAACCGTTTTGTTTCATGCGACCACGATGCAACTTTAGTGTCTCGCCTGCGAGTCGCGAGGAGGAAAACAAAGTGTCTGGACCACTCTCACAATGATCTTTACGGAGAACTGCTCATAACCTAAGAAAATGGAGCACACAGAACCTCCCTCCTATTATACTGCGTATGAAAATGAAAATTCATAAATAAATTAAATTAAAAGTCAAGCAGAAGGAAAGGAAAGGAAACAACTCCACCCCCCGTTTAGTGCCAAACTCGCGATCGGGGCCTGAGATCTCATGATCGACAAATTCCATAATTTGGAAGCGAAACATTCAGACACAAAGCACTGCAATCCATGGTTCCTGGGGCGGCAAGCTTCCCAGCAGCGTGGCCTTGCAAGTGGTCGTGGTCCGCGTATCCGTCTTGCGGGCGTGCAGCTATCTGAGTGGTGCATTCCCCTAGCCCCTGGCCCCAGTGAGTGGAATTATGTTCGACCGGCTTCGATCGCGCGGTGGTGGCCCGTGTATAGAAGCCCCTGAAATATGCGGCCCAAAAAAAAATAAAGTAAAATTCAAAAAAAGGTGCACACTCCGCAACATTCCAGGTCTGGAGTACATGCACATGTACGACATCAGAAAAACACAAATCCCACGGCCTCTTTATCCCTTGATGACCTGCAGGGTCGTTTCGCGTGCAGTCTCATATCATACGGCTCTGAACCCTTTGGAAAAGAAACCAGTCCAGAGAGGCAAAAAGTCTAGACGGAAATCTTCCGCATAGGATGACTTGCTCGCTCTCCAATTCCCCTCTTTTTCCTCTTCGTCGCTTCCAATGAACTCTCTATCGGTCATTATCTTGTCGCAATCTACATCCCTACTCCGTATCGAGCCGACTAAGAAAAATCCATAACGGGCCAACCCTCTCAATCCGTGTTAGTTACTCCGTACATACCAACCTTTCTCGTTAAATGGCGTCTGTCATTTGTCTTTAAACCTTGGAAACACGGGAACAATCGTACCAGCCAATGGCGATATGTCCACCCGAGGTCCATCAAGAACGCGCGAAAAGAGGAGCTGACTAGCCAAGATCATGGATCTCGACCATTGTGCCGGATAGGTACAACCACTTACAGAGGTTTTTTCCCCTAAAATTTTCTAAGATAGCGCTCTAGTCTCACATGGACCAACAGATGCAAGCCGTACGGAGGAAGCCCCATGCACATGCAGGGGAAGGAAATTAGATTCATCTCAACCCCCGCTTCAAAATAACGCGTGCAGAGCTCTGTACGGAGTACGGACTAGCTAAATCGTAAACGGGCAAAATGGGGGAAAGTTTTTTTTTTTTTTTTTCCCATCCTCACTTCCTGACGCTTAATCTAACGGATTGTGGTGATAGCTTCTGCCGATCAACCACCGGTGTTTCGTCCGGGTGGACTATGACCCACATCCCAGCTCCCCAGTATCCCACAATTCCCAAGACTGCTGTACCTGCATACTACGTAACCGCTACCTCGGGAGTGGCGGATTACCGGTAGTCATTGAAGTATCTTTGACTCTGCTGACAGGTATCCGCGGAGCCAGTGCAAAAGCCTCGATCAGTACTTACACGTACAGCCCTGTGCTTTGTAGAAACTTCCAGATAGATGGAAATGTACTGATACAACTGGAAGGTATTCGACAATTAAGTGATAAGATAATGCCATTCAATTCGCCACATGGCCATTACTAGTAGTATGTATTCAAGTTGGCGACGGCTCCGGGAGACTTCCCACGTACCAGTAGTAGTATAGAACAACTTCAAGTTCACAGCGCTCAACCCCAACTTGTTCATCTGCCTCGTCTACTACGTCTTACATACTATGTAGTACCTCCAAGGTTGGTATACGGCGCACAGTATGATAAATTTGCATGAATACCTCTGAACTTGAATGTAAATCCCTCTATATGCTCGCTGATTTATGTCATGTAAAATTATATCATGATATGGCCACCGTGGACCTTGGCTAATTTACAGTATCTGTATACTATGCTCGAAGCTCTGGAGGAAGTAGTATTGGTATCGAGTTACTGGGTATATATTGTCACCGTGCAATGCACTCTCAATCAGCATTAAAGAAAAACAAGAGAAACCTAGGCGATGTGTGCAGATGAAGTATTATCGGAAGACATAGATCATTCCCGCCCGGTCAACACTGACGATCATGCCGTACGGCTGCCGTAACACGGCGACATCCTGAATAATATCCAGATGACTTTTGAGAAGCATCTGCTGCTGAAGACTAATGACCGTGCCACGGGGGGGTCGTGAATTTGCCCCTTTTCGAGACCCACCGGAGGCAGCGTTACCGCTACCAGAAGCACTGGGTAGGTGCTCCGTAGTAACCAACAGATTAGGCCCAGGTTGAGACAAATCATAGCGCGGTTTACCAGCGGGGGTGCCATCTGGAGATATGTCTAAGCCGCTGACGATAGTTGATGATTCTGGGCGAGCAAGATCCCAGAACCGAATTTTGCGGTCACATCCGGCAGACACGATGAATCCGCACCGGGTGCTGGAAGCTTTGTCGTCATCGGGAGGATTCAACCCCACTGTAAAGGCCCAGGTCCCAAGTCGATCACCAGAGGGTGCACTTGGTGGTGAGGATGAGTCCTTTTCGGTTGTTATTCGTGGCTTATCTGCCTCCGGGTTGACTGTAGCAAAGCGACTGAGCATTCCTTCCGGGCGGTCTTCGTCTACAGGCCATGCATCGAAGTCTCTAGTCGTGCTGACTTGTGGACGACCGTTGGCAACGCGAGAGACACGATGTGTGCCATTTGGTGAGTCCTCGTAGGCGTTCAAAGGAGTAGCTTGATAGACCTCCCGACAACGGAATTTCTCAATATCCCAAACCGTAATTTCATTGCCACGGCTCCCACTGCTAGACACACAAACCCATCTACCACGTGGCTTGGTGGGGTGTAATTGAATTCGTTGGATTGATCCCCAGCCTGGCAACCCCCAGGCCTTGAGCCGTACTCGGAATCGGAGATCCCAGAGGTCTAGTACACCGTGTGTTGTACCCACGAGGAGCCAAGTGTGTCGTCGATCACAGCAGAAAGTGGTGGGGGTTCCATGATGAACAGGATTCTCCAACGTGAAAATAGGTAGCATGGTCTTCATGTTCAGTGCGAGAATCCGGCAGGCGTTGGTGGCAACAAGAAGGGTTGATTGACCTTCATCTCGGAAGTGTTCCATCCAGACAGCGTATTCAGGAGTTCCGTCCTCAGTGAGCGGTATTTGGTACTCACGAACGAGTTGCAGTTTACCGTATCGAGCATGTTCGCTCACCTTTTGGTAATCAATTCGGACAGCATGTATGCTACCATCTGTTGCACCACTGACGAAGGTATAGGTGTCTTCAACAAATGTCAATGCCTTTACTCGTGCCCCCATAGAATGGCGGTATGTTTGGCGGGACCGAGGAGTCAAATTTCGTTCTAGACGACTCGTATCCCAAATTTTGACCGTGCCGTCATCAGATGCAGTTATGAAGAAAGAGTGATCGGGAGGCACTGCAATACGATTAACTGGACCACTGTGCTCGCCAAAGGTTGCTACCAGATTCCCTTCGGGCCTCCATATCTTAGTGGAGTCGTGCATTCCGCTGGCTTTGCGAATTGGCTGTCGTGGATCTAGCTCTTTGACGTATGGACCTAGATCAAAAAGATCTGTAGGATAGTTCTCAGAGAAAACATTGTCTAGCAGTCGTAGAACGACAGGATCGTCGCCTTTATACGAGTGGTTGACATGGTATTGCCGCGTAGTAGAGTGTGCTGACTTGCGGTCATGTGTTCGAGAGAGTCCTGGTGGTTGAGGAGTTCTCGCTCTTTGAACTGGAGCGTCTACCTTTCCAAATGCATTTGCCGAGCTTGTGCTTGTTTCCGCATATGTCTTGGTGGTATCGTTGCGACCAAGAAGGTTGATTGCACTTAGCTTTCTCTGAACTCCGCCAGAGTTGTCTTTTGGCGACAAGTTGTCAGTCTGAGTGGGCATTGTAGATGGGGTATCTTTCCCAGCACTTAGTCGATCAGAGCGCTGGGTCTCTGAGCCAGGCGGAGACAATGGTCGAGAGCCAGGACCTGCAGCAGGCGATGAGGTAATGGGCGAAGAGGAAGAAACAGAAGAGTCGAGTCCGACCTCTCCGGGGTGACTCGGATGTTCAAGCTCTGTTCCCCTTTGAAGCTGGCTTCTTGGCCTAAGAAGTCTTTGGTGGGTATGGGGAGTATTTGGTGACTGCTCGATGGTCGTGGAGGCGTCCAATAGTGCATCAGTGATGGTTCGTGGTCTTGATGCCTCCGGTGGAGGACTTTCATTTCGATCCCGTGGTGTGCTCTGTGGCCTTTCGTCCAAATTCCTATCGAAGAATACCGTTTGAGGTGTAAGACCATGACGGCTCAATTTAATGATTTCGTGCAACGGCAGTGTTGGTTCTGTGTCGACATCCCTTACTTGCCTCAGTGATACCTTCCATATATAATCCTTAAGTGCATGTAACTTGAACTCATCATCCGCACCCATCCCAAGGTTCCGCAGCTTAGCGAGCCATTGTTCATCTTCTTCGTTCTTCAATTGTGTGCCCATTGATATTGAACGGCCGGTCCTAAAACCCTGTGAGCCTGGTTCAGAAAGACTGAAGGCTCCTTCTCGACTGGCTGACTTCCAAAAGATTCCTCTGTCGGATTTCGAGGACCAAAGGAAGGCCATATCATATACATTTCTTGGCATGGGGCGCTTGAGTGCATCAAGTATTTCGACCTCAGAAAAATTAACAACCTTAACTTTAAGAAAGGGTCGAACAAGCGGGCTTAGAATAGAGTGAACGTCAGCCACAGACAAAAATTTGGCTGACTTGACCACCAGATTCACTTCTGCCTCCCGAATCCAGATATTAGGGTGAGCTAAGAATCCAACTGTAATATGAAGGAGCTCCCATGTTGTAGATCGCTGAAATAACCCGAGATCAGCCATAGATGCCAGGCACCGAATGACCTTCTCCACCACAAATTCTTCTGCCTCCGTCATAGATTGAATCATCAAAGGTAAGATATACTGCTCCAAGCTAGTGCTTCCCACGTATATGGCGACGCCAACGAGTGTCTCAAAGAAGGCACATTTAAGGATCCAATCTCGATCGTTCAGGTAGGTATTGAGATGACTGAGAATGACCTCATTTGCTTTCAAATTGCCGAAGAACACACAGAGTCGAGACACGGACCCCAAGAAGGCTCGGCGAACGGAGGGATCCGCGTCGGTGAGGAGCGCCTTTGTGTGAACTTCAAAGTAGTCTATAAGATCGATTCTAGCCACGTCGTAGAGGTTGTGATATGTGGCATCTTCAGTCCATCGTGGCTCAAAGCCCACAGGAACCATCGATGTTAATCGAGAATCTGAACGTAGAGCCTGGATCATGTCCAAGAGCCTCAAGGATGATTGCGCCAGAGAGGCAATGCATGAAGCATAAGCAGCACGGACCATACTACTTGGATTGCTCTTTGACGATATGATGAAATGCTGAAGCCGTGGAAAGATGTATTCAGGGAAAAGATAGGCATTTACGGGAGATACCACCTGAACCATCTCCAATAATTGCGCCAAAGTACGGATTGCCGCAACTTTCACTGCATCTATTCGGTCGGTCAAAAGAATCATAATGTAAGGCAAGACACGATCCAGCTTAGCTTCATCCGACAGTCTTTCTGCAAAGGCCAGAAGAATGTCACAGGCTTTGATTCGAGCCGAAGCTTTAGATGTAGTGCGAATATTGGAGACAACAAGAGTCAGAAAGATCAAGACACCCTCATCCGATTGTGTCCCAGAAGGTTGATTGTTCGCACCCTCAGGCAAATCGACCTTCACGGGAAGGAGCGCCCCTGCCAACGGCAATTGACTGGATTTAGACACATTCTGAGGTTCTGGGGATGAAATGCCAAGAAAATAAGAGATCTTATCAAAATCTAGACAGACTCGCTCTATCCTATCATCAGGTTCGCCTCCGTTGGCTGATTCTGCATCCACCTTTGTTTTCCCCGAGGACGGATCTGTCATAAGAGACATGTATTGATGAAGAAAGCTGTAGAAATATTCAGGAAAGGCTTTGTTTTTCCAGAAGTTGAGATACTCCTCCGCAGAATAACGGGATTCCGGTTCCAGTTGAATCATATGCAGGATCAGGTCTCGAATTTCTGGGTCTTCAATCTTGGATATTTGGCCGTGTTCTGGGCTGTATTCACCCTTTCGATACTTATACATTTGGCTAAGAGTGAAGATTGGGGACTCGAGAAAGAGCTCAGCAATGACACAGCCGGCACTGAAAATATCCATTGCCCAGTTGACGTGACGGTTGCCGCGCTCTTCACCTGCAACTAGAAACCGCTCCGGGGCCAAGTAGCAAGTCCTTCTACCTGATGTATCGAAGTAGAACGAGAAGTTTGCTGGGTTATCCTCGGGCAGGAATGTGGGCTTGAACGAGGAAGAAAAGTCAGACAGATAGAGCCAGTTCCAAGAAGTGACTAGAATGTTCTCTGTCTTGATATCGCCATGAAAGATATCGAGTGAATGGCAGTCTCGCAGAGCTCCCAGGAGCTGGAAAGTGATCCATTTCTTTTCGATATCTTCTAGAAATGGGCGGGTACTTTAAAACAATTAGCTTTGGCACTTCGCATAAGAATAGAATGAACACACCTCATTCTGTCATACAAAGAGCTGTGAATGTACTGGCGTACAAGATATCCACTGGTGCTTGTCTCCAGTACCCTCTCGTAGCTCAATGCGTTGGGTACATCAGATAAGAGCTTGCGTTCCCCTGCCCCAGTCAAAATCAGTCTGTATGTAACAAATGGGTGAGAAGTGAGGCATACGAATAATTGCCTTGATATATGGCTCAAGCTCCATAGTCGGATAAGGCTTCATGATTACCTTGACAAAAACGAGGCCATTTTGTTGCCTTGCACGGATGCTCTTCATAAATCTACCCCCACCCATAGACTTCTCATATACCAGATCCGAGAGCTCTGGTACATCTATCCCTGCGGACCCTGCAGATAGGGTTGTGAGGGAGTAGCCTTGTCCCATGGTGTGGTATGGGTATCATCTCTCTCTTTATTGTTGTCCACTTGAAGTTGTAGAATGGAACGGGGAGAGATAGGATAAGTCGCGATAAGCGGGCGTGAGGTCACTTGCCCGCGAGCCACGTGATAGGAAGGCGGTGTGAGGGCCAACACACGCACCTGGAATTTAGAGCTGAAACCTGTTAAACTACATTGCATTTAAAGATCAAAACCACTCAATCTGCCGGATGCTTTGAATGGAAAAGATGGTTCCTGGACCTTGGTTTGTCATCTCACTGCTTTTCATTGAGTCCCGACGATGCTTTGTATAAGAACAGCCCACAATCCAGGACACAACATAAGCCAGTATCCAAGGGCGGATAGCTAACTATTTAGAATTGGAAAAGGATTGGTGATTCGTGAACAAGATCCACAAGTCTGGATTTGGTTCACATCTGGGTCAAGTACATTGCATTCGTTGGATCAACGCCTGATAAAACACAGCGCCTGGCTTTATTATCACGATCTCGGCACATCCAACTCGAATATAGACGCCATGGACCACATGGAGATTCCCGTTATCAATACGGATGAGACCCTGTTCTCTGTGATCCCAAAACTCTCCCGGTAACCTCAAAATTCAAAAACTTACATATATGTCTTGCCCCCGAGAGGATTCTGATAGTCAAATATAGATTCATCAGCATGGCAGTAGGCGATATGCCAGTCTCTTTTGAAGATATGCAGCATGAACCTCGAGGGCATCGTCTCCGTCAATTAGTACATGTCTTGGCTGAAGATAGTCATAATCCATTCATTATAGTGGCCCTCATGATTCTCAAATGGGAATTTACGGGCGCCGCTGATGATGACTGGGGGTTGAATGAAAGCAGAGGCACAGCCTGCGAGTTCGTCGCATGGCAATTTTTGTGTCACTTGAATCAGAGTGAAACCATTGAATTTCTGCTAGAAGAACTTCCAATTCCTCGTCGCAACTCCACGAACCTTTTTGAGATAGAAAGAGGAGATGCTGGGTTTACATTTGCAGAAGAAACGGAAGCAACAGAGGCAACGCCCCTTTTACCTCGCTCGTCAAGTCCCCTTAATCTCCTCGGTCTTGGTCAAAGAAGCGGGAGCATCCAAAATGATCAAGATAACCCCAAGCAGCATGATTCAGCCAATGAGACGCCCGATTTTTCACGATACTTTCAGTTTTTTGGCCTAAACGCCTTGGAGGTCGCTGCTGTTGCTCAAGCTAAGAGCTTCCTCAGCCAACGTGTTGTTCAACGCGTCGTGAATGATATATGGAATGGAGAAATTGTTTTTTGGGACTCACTTACCGTTCATTCCACGAAGAAACCACATATTTTCAACAGAAAGTGAGAACCAGCTTCATTCAAATGTATAAATCAATGTTTTCAGAGTTAACATGGCCCTCAACCAGAACAGCAGATCCCTATTCACGCCTCCGAGTACCTGTATATCGAAAGATGTTTGAAGCGGGATTTTTCCTCTCATTTATGTTCCTATACTATTTAGTACTCATGGAGAGAGCAACCGATGGGGTTGGGGTATTTGAAGTTCTGATGGATGTTTGGATTGTCGCATTTGCCTATGATGAGTTGAGTGGACTAATTGATGCCGGTGTACTTTTCTATCAAACAGACTTTTGGAGCTTATGGAACCTCGGGATAATCGGGGTTGGATTTGCTTTCATCGTGTCGAGTAAGACCCACACTCAAAATATGCCTTACAGTGTTCTCTGTTGTCAGACTTTGATGATTCTGGGCTGAGCTGACCTACCTGCCGCAGGAATCACAGGGTTAATCAAGCACAGTGATTATATTCTCAACTTGTCATTCGACATTCTCTCGCTGGCGGCTCTTTTTCTGGTCCCAAGGTAGGATTTTCCAGAGTCTCCGTGACCCCAATGGCTCATCAGCTCTGACTCAATGACCTGCGCAGGATCTGCTCGCTCGTGAGCTTGAATGCGTACTTCGGCAGCCTAGTAGGTAGAAAACCGCCTTGCAAAAAAAGACCTGTCGGCTAACGATGGCGTCATCAATAGATTCCTGTCCTGAAAGAGATGGTGCGGTTTCAGGTTGAATCTGGATGGGAGCGCCCGAGGCTGAATTTCCTTTAGACGAAAGCATTTTTGAGGTTTTTACCGGTAGTATTAGTCTTGTACACAGGTATGGGGACCTCTAGGGCTCAGCTTCTGCAGATAATTTGGTGACTAACGGTGTACGGCGGCAACAGCCTTCCTCACGACCTTTTCGCTCCTGGCTCGAGACCGCTTTTCCCTCAAGGAAATGTCATTCTTGTTAGTGAAGATATTCTTTGGGTAAGTCGGTGAAGAAGCTTTGTTCACGGTCGATTCCAGTGACTAACGTGTGGCGAGGCAGATCGGGTACATTGGGCTTGGTGGGTGGTTTCACGATCTATGCAATATTCAGGATTTGACTGACGGTGGCGGAATTGATTGGATGATAGGACACCGCGTCAGATGTTAGTCTCCTGCACCAAGCGGCTGTTCTCCAGCTCGAAAACCATAATCCTTGCGGCTTGGCAAAATGGTTGGCTATGGTGTTTAGTTTACTGACGCGCTAAAATTTAGATCTCCCCGATCTTCGGCTATGGCTTAATGTGAGACCCCCTATGGATTGCATTACGCCACATCACCCCCTCAAAGAAAGGAACAAATTCCGCATACAAATTGAATCACGTTTTGGCATGACAATGACGCTCGGGCACGGCCGTTGCGTCTTTTTGTTGCTGGAGTATTATTGCGAGGCCTTATCGCAGGACCACATGGCCCCGCAATAACTTCCACGCATCGGCGCATGCACCTTTTTTCCCTTGATGTGATTGACTGATAATTCCTGCAGGTTGATTTATGTTTCATTGACCAATATTTTGCTCCTCTCATCCCTGATCAGTTTGATGAGTATGAGTCTGGAAGGAGTGGGTCTAATTGCCGTTACTCTTGGTCCAGTTGAATATCATGGCTAACGAAATCCCACCGGTTCCAGGTCATGTCCCATGCCCGTGAAGAGTATCTCTTACAGTGAGTTATTTCAAAATTCAGGCGCTGTCTATACGCTTCCGGTGATTTGCTAATACCGAATTTTAGGCTATCTATCTATGTATTGGAAAGCAGTAATTCCAGACGCTTAACATACTTCATGCCACCACTGGTTCGTTTATCACCCCACATGATATTTTATTATATTTTATCCCCTCCCCTGCTGTCCGTATTTGAGAACCATTTGAGACTTACACAAAGACAGAATCTTATTCCTCTTCTGTGCATCCGGCCCATGCGATTATTTCTGTCTGCGGGGACAGTTCGTCGTGTACGCATCGTCTTGCTCCGGGCAACGCACCTTCCATTCGTGACGATGATCTGGATCTATGAATCAAGCCATCGAAAATTGCATAAGTCCCGCACTCGTTCTTCTCCGCAGGGGACGGGGCAATGGCATGGTTCTGCTAGCGAGCCGAGTCTTTCCCGATGCCACGACCCACTGCATCCTTCTGTAGTTGAAACAACTCGCCCAAGCCCTGACCAGGAGCAAACTAATGTGGATATTCGTGATGCACGTGAGACAAACCTAGTGCGGCCTGGACAGGCACAGCTCGTGGACATGATCGACGCTGTGGAACGCCTCCGAGCACAGGTGGAGCACGCGGCCATAACGCTCTCAACGCAACGAGATAATTGAAAATACACTATATATTAATCATGTATTTATTGATTTAATAATTTATGAATTAAAACTTTCGGGGTGTCTACTTCCTTGTCATGATCCCTGTACCTTTTGTCTTTTGGACCCATCTATTTTGCTCCACAATGATGGAGGGGAAGAGACAATTCATTAGCGGCAAAGTGGCCACTGCCCTGGCGCTTAGTACCACGCACGCCCCTCGTTCGAACGAACTCGACCTATTTTGGGCGTAAAATGTGGATTTTATGGAGCTACCTACATACATACCGCCACTAGCTGAACATTTCATGTCGAAAAGGGTTGGACTGTCCAAAACAAGCAACCACGACGTGCCAGGGCCCCAGAGCTTTTTGGTTCAGCTGAACAACCTCTCCCTTTCTCGACTTTATATTGTTTGTCCCAAAGTGTCGTCTTCGTAACCTTGGAAAGTTTGGATCAAGCATGATCATAACTTGAATAAGCCAGACATCTTCCGAGGTTGCGGGGTCAGTGGAGCATGCACGAATGGCATACAGATGGATCAAACGGAACGGAAGGGCAGGCCCGCATGTCGTTTCAGTCACGACGGCCAAGTTCTAGTCCCTATATACTTGAAATAATCGTGTAATGATCGCCGGTTTTACCGTCAAGTTTTCACCTCCAATACAACCTTCCTTTACTCTTCTAGGAAGGCGGCTGTGTACACTACTGACCGGCATGCATCACACCAATGCAGTCGCTAAGCCAAGAGCCAAACTCCCGGGCTCTGGCACTGCTTCTGTTTGGCTGTCACTGACCAACCTGCTGCATGGGACGCGACACTGTTGGGCAGACCAGACCAGCGGTGATCGAAGGGATGGTTAGCCTTTCCCAAGACCATAGGTTGCAGCCGCCGTTGATACGTTTATTCACAAACCGTCGGGGGTTTTGTCCTGTCATCTTAGTACATCGTCTTTCGATCTTTACAGAGTATGGCAGTGCCTTCTAGCCTCCTGGTTCATGCGTATTTAGAGTATTCCGCCCATCTGCCCTATCAAATTTAGAAAATTAAGCCGTACTAAGACTAAAAATAAATAATAAATAAATAAATAATAAGTCCATAACGAACAAATGGTATGATTCAGCGCAGGATCCATCGGGCATATTTGGTCGGTTTCCTCCGGCGCTAAACGTTGCAGGCCTGCAGACTTGGGCTGCTATCGATCTTGTTCTGGACAAGTTCTCACACCCCCAGCCGTTAATTTCCCTCCCCACTTGTTTTGTCCACCGCATTTACAGACCCCTTCTTCTCGAAATCTGCCTTGTCCATGGGGGTGTAAGGTCAATGATTCTTCACCTAAAGTCGGTCTCCATGCAGCGCATTTTTTGCTCCAATAGTGTTGTGCTTTTTTTGGTTTTTTCACCTCGCCATCTCAGCCACAGTCCCATGTATGCAATCATCTGTGACCAGCGGCGGAGCTGCTGAAAATCACCTTATTTATATTTGGCACTGTCGCTACCTTACTTGCATTTTCTGTATACAGTTTTGCTTTGACTGCTTTGATGCTCAAAAGGTCGGCTACTATTTCACTACATTGTCGTATTTTGCATACCCATTGAATCAATCAACATTAGCATAATGAGTCACGTTTCAGGTTCAGCTCTTCGCTGTTCTTCAAGCTCTTCGATGGTTCCCTCATTACCAGAAGATGCTAAGTCCCTCGACCCATCATCAGCATACCCCTCGCCGACTTCTGTTACATCACCCCATGGAAGAAATATTCCCACTACGATCGGCCTGGGCATTTCAAGATGCGAATTAGATCCGTCGTTTGATAATATGAGGGGATTCCCTAGTCAATCACCGTTGTCAATGGCGTCCCCAATGTCGAGTCACTCTACACACGAGCACACTAGTATCTATGGGCTCCCTGTGAAACAGAGCGCCTTCCCGGAACCATCTTGCTATGGAATCTACAACGGGCTACCTGGAGTCACCCCACCAGCACTTAGATATTGTGAACCACAAAGTCTGGGCACACCCCCGAGCTACGGCTCTTCTATCGAGAACGCACCACTTCAACCGGCTTTTTCTGGGCAGGTATCGGAATACTGGACGCCTGCAACTTGCCCAGGACCCGCAACTCCGTCGAACATGGGTCAAATCCCAGCAGGTGGCCCAGCCGGGCGTTACTGGAGCCATCAATACACCACGGAGACATGTGATTCGATGGATTCTTCAGCTACAACACTTTCATGTGGCCTTCCTATGCTGGGAAACTCTTTTCCTTCCTCAACTGCCATGGCACCGAGCAATGGAGCGATGTCTTCCAGGAAACTTTTGGACCCTTCCTTAACATTATCCCAGCATGAGGGTCTCAAGTCCGAAAATAACAATATGGAAAAAGGCCAAGATGTCTCTCGACGACCCGGTTCTTCATCTCCCAGCCGAAAGTTACGCTCTAGTAAAGGGTATGCATGCCGCATTTGTGGCAATACTTTTACTAGACGATCCAACTGCGCCGAGCACGAGAAGAAACATGATCCTAATAATAAACGATCTTTCCCATGTGACGAATGTCACAAGACTTTCGGTCGAAATGCCGACCTCAAGAGACATACGGATACTGTGAGCGAAGTTGCTGGCCTTATTCCGCGGTAGTTGCTGATAATGATTCAGATCCACCGCGGCATTCGCAAATACGGCTGTGACTGGTGTGATCGCCGTTTCTTGCGACTAGACGTATTGAATAAGTCAGCACAAACAATCACCGGATAACACGCAATACGATCGCTAACTAGTATTTGATGAGATTAGGCATTACAGCGAATGTAACAACTATCTCGCTAATTATTCTGGATATCAACAATATCCTTATAGAGCGGTAGAAAAACCTTGGGTGGTTCCTACTACATCGCAGTAGGATTCTTGGAATTTCTACTTTGAGCCGCCTTGATATCCCTAAACAGATCAGGCTTGTGTTAGCCTGGTTTTGGGCTGTGAAATTATATTTGACCGCATAGTATTCCTATGCCAGTGCTTGCTAGACAGCGCTATTTATGCAGTATATATGCGGTTATCAGATGCGCATCGAGTCATGGTATAGCCTACCTAGACTTACAATGCTGTTGAAAGGATTACTCAATCAAGATAGATTTTAGCATAGCGATCGGGCTGGGCCCGGATCTTTCCTTTTTTTATCTTTCACTGTTTCTGGCGCTGCATTTGATTATTCGGAGAATTGTTTTTGTACTGTGATATGTGAGAATATAAACCTTAAGAATGGTATGTTTTGTCAATATCAATGATCACTCAAATATTTTGATTTTCAGCTTAGCTTCTTGAATGGAGTTAATCGGGAAGACCATGTAGAAGGCACACGTTCCGAATCGACAGGAAAGAATTCGCGATGAATACCATGTTAAGAAATCAAACGTGGAAGCCCAAGCCTAATTAGCGAAAGGACCTCGACCACTGTTGCATTCCACAAAAAATGGATCCATTAAAGCCGAATCACACGCTAATATGCAGTGATGGATCCTGAGACGGACCGGCGTGATCAACTAGGCAAAAAATCAAGATTTTCTAAATTGAAAAAGCAAGGTGAATTTATCGAGCGATAATCCTGGAAAGTAAGTATCTTCTTCCTCCTTTCCTATTCCTCCTTTTTCCTTTTTAAGAACGAGCGCTTGTCCCAAGCTCCTTCGTCTAGTGACTATTACGGAGTAGTAGCTTTCCCCCACTAAGATGATTCATGAGGTCGACCTATGCAATTTGAATTAAATTAGGCGTATCGTCAAAATTAAAGAAAAGTTGCTAAGTCATTTTTTCCGGGTTCTCAAATCCTACTGTGTGTAAAAACCTTTGCTCGAGGACGATTCGGCCATAGTCCGGCAAATACGGTCCAAATTTTGTTCATCAGTGGAGTTCGGCGCGAATCTATTGAACGAACATTGTACTATTTACAATATGGAGCAAAAATACCCACAGTGCCCGTGTCCTTACGGAGCCTGTTCCTTGTCCATGTGTAGCGCATATTGTACGGAGTACTCCGTACCTTCTTGCGTTGCTACCACTGTTTCTATTAAAGGTCTTCGAAGAACAACTTATTTTTTCCAGCTCGTTCAGCTCGTTCAGCTCGTTCAGCTCTGATGTCTAGCAAGGCAAGTTTAGAATGTATGTATCTCTTCGTCGATTTTCAGGGTTCGATGATTAAAACAAGCACCAGTTCAAATACGTAATACGACCGAGCGATGATCGATGCCTTTGAGAAAATAAAATGCTTAGGCTGTGGGGAAGGAGGCAAAACCAGTGGATTCCATTTCCTCCCCGGATGTTCCTTGTTTAATCCCCCTAAATTTGGGCTGATGTACTTTTGCTCCAGCAAACATTGAATTTCGGAATACTCAATATTATGAACACTCAAGGGACAGTGTAGAGAGTTCGGTTCTTACTCAAAGTACAGGCATAATGTAATAGGGGTCGAACCCCTTGGACGGAGTATTAATAATGGCTTTAAACTTAGTGCCATCTCGCCATCTCCTAGCAATGCATACAATTCATTGCAAGGGGGAGACAGCGATTCTGGATCGGCAGATCGGGCAGGGGAGCTATGACCTACGCAAAAACTCACCAAAAACCGTTACGCTATTCATTTTAATTACAATCCTTTTATTTCCACCTCATCTTGGATCCTTCTTCAGGGCGGCCAACCAAAAATCGGAACAGAAATGATGATAACCGAAAGACAGGGAGCTAGCCGCCTTCTTTTTTGTTTGATTTTTATTAAAAAAATTGGAAAAAGAAAAAGAAAAAAGAGAAAGAGAAAGAAAACTTTCTTTCGCTCTCTGTCTTCTAAAACCACACACTAGTCTATTATTCTTATCTCCACTAATTTGATTGGGCATCGCGTTGTATTAAAGTGACAGTGGTCCTGACAAGGTACATGTCCATCTGGCACCAAGGTGCGACACCAAGCTTACCTCAAAAGAAACGTCTAACCGGCCCCACAATTTTTCTTTCACAAAAATAATGAACCCTCGCTTACGAGGGTCCGCCACCCATATGGAACAGATCACCCATATGGAACATTTTTTCTAAATCTTACCACAACCACTATTATCATCTACCACACCACCAACAATGCCTAAAACCAATAAAGATATAGAGAACCAGATTCAGCTGGCAATAGAGTCTCTCTCTGAGCAATCTAAGCCTAATATTAGGAAGACTGCGCGAGAATTCGCGGTTCCTGAAGGCCGTCTTCGTCGGCGCTGGCAAGGTGGAAAATCGCTTTTCCAACGACAACCTAATGGCCGGAAGCTTAGTATTGCACAGGAGAAGGCTTTATGTGAATATATTGATTATTTTGATGCGGTCGGAGCATCAATAAATCGCCGTCAAATTGCTATTGCTGCCGATTCAATTCTGGAAGAAGATCATACCGACACCACCACAGATCCCCCACAAATTGGCGACCATTGGCTAAAGCGTTTTCTTAAACGGTATCCTAAGTACTATATACGACGTCGGCGAGCTCTTGATGTTGAAAGAGCTACTGTACTGGATAAATCCGTTATAGAGAGATGGTTTTAAGACTATCAACGTATAGTGGCTAAATATAGCATCTGTCAACAAGATATCTACAATTTTGACGAAACTGGCTTCCAAATTGGTGTCGGTCGCGATCAATTTATTATTATAAGACATCCAAAAAAGAAGCTATTTAATGGCTTAGTTACCAATCGCGAGTCTATTACTGTTTTAGAGGCTGTTTCGGCTGATGGCTTTATATGCCCACCGCTGATTATTCTAAGCGCTAAACAAGCATTACTACGTTGGTTTGATAAAATTGAAGACGATGAGCATCTTGCTATAACTGATACTGGCTATATCAATAATATATTAGCATATCAATGGATTCAGCTGTTTTATAAATAGACAATTTCTCGTACCATTGGGAAAAAGAGGCTAGTTTTATGCGATCGTTTTGGATCACATTTAACGCGTTAATTTGTTGAATTTTGTGAGAAGAATGATATCATTCTATTCTTCTTACTCTTACATACTAGCCATATACTATAACCTCTAGATGTTGGAGTGTTTAGTGTATATAAACACTGGTATAGTGAGGCAGTTGAGGCGGCTACAATGACTGGATGCCGTAAATTTTCAAAGGATGAATTCCTACATTTAATCAGTGAAATTAGACGCAAAACCTTCCGGCCACATATAATCAAGCTTGGGTTTAAATTAACTGGCCTTTGGCCAATTAATTCTAAGCTTATTACCGATGAATTGGATTCGTACGATCCATATTATGATAATATATCCCGGGAAGATACACTATCAGTTAACTCACAAAATACTGAGTTTAGCACCCCAAAAACCGCTGAGAGAGTTCGAAGAATTAGCGATCGTATTAATCAATATGATCCTACTACTGAACGTTTTAAAGAAGGGCTAGCAAAGCTTGTAAAGGGTGCTGAGACTCAGGCAATGTTGGCTGTCTAACTGCAACGGGAATTCGATTCTACACAAGCTATTATGGGAGCACGTCACGCTAGGTATGATGCTTCTCGCCGTTATACGCAAATCACTGGTATTATCAATTCAAGCCAGATCAAAGAAATGAAGCTAAAAGAATATAAATTGACTGAAAAAGCCGATCAAGAAAAGACGAAGCGGAAGTGGAAGAAGATATTGGTTGAAATTAGGAAGCATGGAAGAGCCAAAAAACGCCGGGGAAATTAACTTGATTTTGTATTCTAATATTAAAATGGCTGATTGATTTGTTTATTATTTTTAGTTAATTAATTAACTATATGGTGGTGTGGTAAATAGTAGTTGTAGTACGATTTAGCAAAAATGTTCCATTTGGGTGATCTGTTCCATATGGGTGGCGGACCCTCGTAAGCGAGGGTTCATTATTTTTGTGAAAGAAAAATTGTGGGGCCGGTTAATACCTAGGCATAAACAATGATGTGAAAAAAGGTCACGAAACTTCGTAAGCCGTAGCTCACCCCAAATGTCCAGGGATGAATAAATTTTGAGTTGACTTTCCCCCACCTTGGATTACATCGGAATTACAAGGAAGTCCGAGTTATGCCACGTTAGATACACAGACGGGCGAAAAAGCCACCACAGACCCACAGGGCCCAGATCAAACAAAGAAACCCAGTCAATGAAATGGACCACTAGCAGGGGTTATTATGAACTAAGTGTTTGTACAATTTGAACGGATTGAGTTCGAAGACAGATCAATGATCAATGGCTAGATCGATTCGCCCCCAAACACTAGCAAATCTCCGCCATAATTATTACGACGCACGTAAATCAATATGCCTACCACTGATGTTTGGACGGTGCTCCTTATATATGCGGTCTAGGCCTACTATACTACTCTTCGTGTTTTAAATTCCGCATTTGAATTAGCGAACTCTAAAACTGGCTCCAATTCAGTAACCTCCCCTATTTACTAGTATGAATTGATAAGAGAATATATTCTGCGAAAACATATGTGGCTCATACTAGTTTACATACGTAATTGGGATAACCAAAGCTCTATTCTATTGTTCTTGAAAGTTTGAAACTAAGACGCATAGTATGTACCCTGCAGTCACCGGCATTCCATCCTTTTTGAAGCAGCGACCGAACCCATTCAATCTTGGAATTTTAAGACTTCCGGAGGCTCTGATTCAGTCTGTCAATTTGCTCGCCTCTTGCCTTAACCCAAGACTCAGTATGTCCTTCAATTGTAGGCAGACCATTATGGTTTCTCTCCTCGTTCACCCAGCCAAGTAAAAGCTTCACATAATTCTCCTCTTCACCCTTCAAGGAATGAAAACTTCGCCCATTGCCCTTGGTAAAGAGTTTCTCCTGGTACTCCAATCTTAAATCCTTCTCCGATGGTAGTTCTATATTCCCCGAAAAGAATTCGGCAACGGCAATGGCTTGAAATTCAAACAACGTGAACGTAGCGGTATAGAACGGAATCCCCACGAAGGCCAATGTTGGATCGGAGATATAGAAAATATCGCGGTGAAGATTGTGGAACTGGGTACCATCAGTCACAAGCACGGTGTCGTTTGCTGCGGTGACAGTCTTCGAATTATCGTTGTATTGAGGCAGGAAAGGCAAAGTCATTTGGTACCCCGTACAGAGTATTATTCTATCTATGTTGTGGATGGTGGAACCTGACTTTGTTTTTGCGGTTATAGGCAAATCTTGATCAGTATCTGGGATCGGTGCATGTATCTTGAACTCTGCAATTTCTCCAATTCTTGACACATTTTGTGGGAGAGTGCTGGCTGGAACATCAAATGCACCATTGCGAGTACTTTGATAAATTGTCTGGCAGACAGAGCTGATCTCTCGGGCAATGTCCATAGCAGACACTCCGCCTCCTATCAAGAGTACACTCTGTTGAGAGTCAGCAAAGATAATTCGAACTATAGCGCAGCTTTCAACTTACCTTTCCTTCAAATCCTTCAGTGTTACGGAATGACTTGGAATGTGTGATTTTTGAGGGCCATTTTTCCTTTGCATTCGCTAGCCCTGGGATATCAGGTACCAGAGGAGTATGGTAATGACCAGATGCAATGACAACAGCATCGAAGGTCTGTGTCTGATTAGCATAAACTCCTCTTCTTCCGAGTCTTCATCATCAACATACTTGAACATGGTTGTTTTCGACGAGGCTATTTGTTTCGATGTCATCACTGAGTGAGCTCCAGGAAATGTGCCACTTAGGGCCTTCCTTATGTATGTTTGTGACCAAAGCACCATAAATTGTTAAATCATGGGCACCGGATTTCTTGGAAGTATCTTGGATGTAATTTTTAAGGGCACTATGTTTCACATAGTCCAATGTCCCTTCAGGCCAAGAATTAATCTTCGTACGCAGCAATGGGGTTGAGACATTATTCGTCAAACTCTCATAGCATGGCCTAAAGCAATCAGCATCGTAGAACCTTGAGATAATAGTAATAATGGCAGGCGTAAGAGAAGAGTTTTTACTCACCCTGGCGGAGCATGCAATAAAGACTGTCTTTCCTTTCCCTCTCGGTTATCTTGGACATAAACTTGTTCCCCTGAAGGCTTCAAGGATGGGTAACGAGCTTCAATTGGTACTCGCTTATCGTAGAGCCTGGTATTGTGCAAATATTAGCTTGGTGATCTCATCTTAAAAATCCAGGGCTCTTACCAGACACCACCGGCTGCTTGGTTTCTTTCGAATATAGTTACATTCTTCCCAGATGCGAGTAGGTGAGCAGCGCTGACGACTCCGGAAATTCCCGCGCCAACAACGGCGACGGATTGGATTGTGTGGTCTCCCATGCTGTTTTAGATGTATTTGGACAAATAAAATCGAATTCCGTTTTGTCAATATGGCTGGAATTTATTACAATTCTTGAACTGTCTAGGTATACCCTCAAATTATCCCGATAACGCACCCCCGCTATTGACCAATATGAAGTTATTCTGACCCAAGATTTCGCAATCCCCGCTAACAGTTTCCAGCTTCAAGTTGTTTCAGATGGAATCTACAAACAACCCTCTCCACATAAACATTTCAACTTCAAATATTTCGATATGGGGCATTTGAGTCCTAGCCCAAATCTAATTGTTTTAATCATGTTCATAATGCGTGCTTCTTGGTCGCAACCGCGAAGTCAGTGTTCGGTGCTAAGGCTAACCGACGGCCGAAAGTTCAGCCGAGACATGAATTGAATGAATCCTTCAACTTCCCAAGGAAAAAGAGGAAGACTTAAGAAGCGGAATTTTTAGCAAAACATATATATTTCTGAGTCGTGCTGCTACACTTGAAGGTCAAATCTATGATGTATTTAACATTCAGCATTGTCGTGCTAGCTGTCGCGGCTATCTGGGCATTACGCGTGCATGAAGTATTCCTTTTGCTTGTGCCCATTTTACGAGTTATTCAACCTATTGAAGATTTTCCGTACGAATGCGAACGCCTTCAACACCCTTCTGTGGAAGGCTGTGAAGATATTTGGCTAGATCATACTGATCGGAAATTGTATGCTGCATGTGCGAGCATTCCTGTTCGAACGGGATGGAGTCCAGGCGGCGACCTCTTTAATGTTTCAGCAAGAGATCGAGCCGATCATATTTCCGTGATAGATATCGATCAACCCGGATCCGAGGGCATGTATGGGCTTCGTCATTTGAAGATCGGAAGCGGGTATCAAGGAGATTTGGATTTGCATGGATTCGACGTCCGCAAGGTCGGGAATCGATTGCGATTCTGGCTGATCAACCACAGACCACCAGTAAGCCCTGAGACGGGGGAGCCAATGAATGCATCCAAAGTTGGGGCCAATTCAACAATCGAGATCTTTGACTTGGATTCGACGTCAGAGACATTGGAACACGTGAAAACTATAGTCAGCGATGCGATCATAACACCTAACGATCTGGCCGTCGACGAAGATGGTGTCGGTTTCGCTGTCACAAATGACCATACAGCTAAAGCTGGACTCTCTCGAGTTTGGGAATTATTTGCCGGCGGTGGAAGTATAAGCTACTGTCAAACAGACTCCGGGAAATGCCATGTGGCTGTACGGGAAGGCTGCAATATGCCCAACGGAATTGTCAACATCGACAAGGGGATCTTTGCTGTTACCCATTCCGGACTGGGTATTGTAGCCAGCTATAAAATAAAAGGCGATGAGATTATCAAACTCACTGAGTTGGATCTCCAAATGCCTCTTGACAATATGTCACTTGATGATGAAGGCAATGTTTTTGTCGCGGGGTTTCCCAATGGCCTTTACATGCTCAAGGCGATGAAAAGCCCTTACACGGTCACTGTACCAGCTACAACATTCAAGATTCCCCAGCAAGCACTTACCAAAAGTGGAAATGGCGAAGACCCCGAGTCCTCAATCGTCAAGATTCTGGAAGATCGAGATGGCAAGAAATTGCCATCCACCACAGTAGTTGTGCATGATGCAAAGACCGAACGTTTTTTCCTTGCTGGAGTCATTTCGCCTTCCATCGGCATATGTACGAAGAAGCAAATATGATATTGGTCAAGTTACCAATTGTTCAAAAATGTTGCGTTTCGTTGCATCTTTCTCGACTCATTCAGAAAAGAAAATTAACTAGCTAGTTATATATATACACTTATGTAAGTGGAGTTCATGTCAAATTAAAGCATCTAGAATGGAGTACATCTTTTTTCTCAGCGGAAACTTTGCACTCATCAGCGGGCTGTACTTGAAAAAGCCCCCCCGAGCTTGGGGGCGATAGTATACAGTAAGTAGCTCGAAGCTACATAAGGAGGGGTAGAACGCAGTAGTTGGCTGAAGAAGTGGCAGATCATTACCGCCCTCGGAGCCTGAGTCCAGGGCCCGTGCCACTGCCCGCATTTCGGTTATTTTTTAAACTTCAGCATATCTTCATCTCTTCAATAGTCATAAAAACCACCAGATTAAGACCAATATGAGCGCAACAATGACCGTGACCGCTCCGTCGGAGATTACCGCGGACAACGTGGCGACCCTCTTCCCCGACGTTGACACTTCGCTGGCTCGGGATATCCTTCCCACCGCTAATACCAACTCCACCCAAGAGGGAACTGAATTGGATGGATATGACGATGAGCAGGTTCGCCTGATGGAGGAGGTTTGCATTGTGTTGGATAATAATGACCGACCCATCGGCAGCGCCAGTAAGAAGGCTTGTAAGTACTTGCAATCTTAATCCTGTTCACTACCCCTCGAAGAACTACATCGAAAGAGGGGTTGTACCACCATATATCCCATGGTCAGAGTTAAACGCGAATTATGGGCTAATTGCATATATCCTCAGGCCATTTGATGACCAATATCGACAAGGGTCTCTTGCATCGCGCTTTCTCCGTATTCCTGTTCGACTCTAATAAGCGCCTCCTGCTTCAACAGCGCGCCACCGAGAAAATCACTTTCCCTGATATGTGGACCAACACCTGTTGCTCCCACCCACTTGGAATCCCTGGCGAGACAGGTGCGGAGCTTGATGCTGCCGTTCTGGGTGTGAAGCGTGCCGCGCAACGGAAACTCAACCACGAGTTGGGTATTAAGGCCGAGCAGGTCCCCATTGAGAACTTCGAATTTTTTACCCGGATTCACTATAAAGCTCCCAGTGATGGAAAATGGGGAGAGCACGAGGGTATGTAAACCACAAGGTTCAACCCAATGTTTTGCTTGATTACAGATATCTAACAAAGTCTACAGTCGACTACATCCTCTTTATCCAGGCGGATGTTGACCTGGAGCCGAGCCCCAATGAGGTGCGGGATACATGCTACGTCTCAGCCGACGAGTTGAAGACGATGTTCCAGCAACCTGATCTGAAGTTCACCCCCTGGTTCAAGCTGATTTGCAACTCGATGCTATTTGAATGGTGGAGTCACCTGGGCACCCCTGCTTTGGAGCAATACAAGGGCGAGAAGGAGATTCGTCGGATGTAAGCCAGGCCATGCATTCTCTTCGCTAGCATTCGGCACCATCATCCGTTTCATTTTTTAGTGCGTTTACACGATACCTTTTCGCTTCTTTGTTGATACCTGCATGTCACAAACATCTCGGTGCATATTTCGGTATACATATATTTGAGCCTTCCGGCTATTCGGAAACTCTCTTCGGCGCAATAATCTCAATAGAGAAGGCGCACTAATTCCTCGACACCCTAGTCATAATTCTGATAAAAGTGAACACGCCGCTAAAAGACAATATGAGTATAGAATGCAATCCGCTAGAACCAAAATCAACCAAAAGTAACGCCAAAAAACAGTATTGCAGGTAAAGACTCAGGCAGCTTGATCTGTCGATAAGAACAAAATGCAACTTCCCAGGATGACAGTTCCCACCACCGTAAAAACGAGTTGTGTCTTCCAGCCACTTTGAACTAGCGCAGCTTTCCGGCTGTACTTCCTGACCGTGCGGGCATAGTTAGCAAAGCCGTTGATAAGACAAGTCAAGCTCAAGAGCCAGAAGACGATGCCGAGGGGTAAGGCCATGCGTCGTTCTAAGCCGGTTGGCTGGTCTTTGAAATGGAACGATATGATGATGGCTAGCGAGACAACGGCTAAATACATGGACATGCGCAGCCATGAAAGAAAAGTGCGTTCATTTGCACAGTGGTCACGGGCATCTGACGTAGCATTTTCAAAAAGTAGTGCGCCGAAGATGGGCGGGGCGCAGAGGATATGATTCTGGTCTTCGGTATGCCTTTTCAAATATAAATTCAGTCAAGTGAATGTAACAGGTTTGAGACGCTTCCCCAAAAGAAAGTTGAAAATACTGGTGTGAACATCCACGAGAGAAGATTCGACTTACTCTTCCACTAAAGAAGGCTTGCAGTGTGTTGGGTTGACAAGAGGATTGTAGGGTCTCCGTGAGCTCCAAATAGATCTAGGATCCTCTGTAGGGTCGGCCATGTTTGCCTTTGAGCATGAAGGCAAGGATTCCGAGAACCTCGGAAGCAAACAAAATGCGGAGACCAAGCGGAGACCAAGAGGCAAGGAGGAGATCAGGTGATAGACACGACTAGACCGCTTTCGGCTGGGATGTCATCTCAATGTCATCTGAGTGTTCATGGTGAAAGTTGCCCGAAATCTTCGCCCATCAATTTCCAACCTTGGACCTTGGGGTGAAGTTGTTCCAGTACTGTGTAGGATTGCTTGGAAGTATGACTTGGTGGACCTTTTGACCGGCAAAAAATCAGCAGATCTATGGGCGATCATCAGGCAAAAAAAAACCCCTGGGCCCTGTGTTAACCTTTACCGCCTACTACACCGCTAACTGTACTGTAAGCTCTACATAGAAAAGACAATTAGAAAGACGAATGGAAACACGCAGTGGCTACACCATGCACATGAACCATTTGACATCCGACTCATACAGAAGACCGAAAACATAACTTGAAAGTGAGCTGTAAAGCTCTGGGCCTCTCTCTGTATCACCAATTGAGTAACCAATACCAGGCATTGTGAACATCATGACATCCCTTGGCGTCTCAACCGACCGTGCACGGAGACCTCCTGAGTGGGTCATCTTGCGAAGTTACTGGCACAAGGTGGAGTCAAATCATTTTGTTGTTATCAGGTCAGATGATTCCTTCAAGAATAATCCATTTTCCTGTTTAAGTATGTGTATGGATAGTGGATGAGGTTCATTGAGTTCGAGGGTATATGGGTCTCTTTAGCTGCATCGACCTTCTACTCTGAGAGAACTAATAAGGTGGAGATGTGAGCACCGACACATAATGATCATTCTCTATCTTCTCCAACGGCTCGAATGTCGTGCTCGAATCGAATGGGCCAAAGTGGCTCTCTCCCCACTTAAAATCCCAAGGTTTCATTTGTAATCTACCCGAGCATCCAAACTTGTAAGGTTCTTTCCTTTGCCATCTCTTCATCTTAGCATGCATACCGAGCGACAGAATACCATCACCTGGCTCTGATGGGGTTGTAAATAGGGGGAAACGAAAGAAAGGAAAGGAAATCAAGAAAGACATACATACATCTACTATATTTTTGCTTCAAGGATGACCCCGCGCAATATCCTCTCGGCAGATTCCGCCGAACATCAAAGTCGATATTCCCGATCTTTCACCTCAAGCTCTCCAATTGCCGAAGCTGCCATTGCCCGCGATTTAGCCCATTATACGGACGATGACTCCCTCGATACCGATACCTCTGACTCCTCGACAGTCCGCCCATCCAGTAGCTATGCCGGCACGCAGCCGCATTCGTTAACGGGGTCTTATCGCCGCCCGAGCTATTTCACTACAATCAACCATGCCACTGCCGTCCCTGCCCAGGCCGACTATCAGCCCTTGACTCAAAGCGAGCGAGAACAGGCAATTCAAGAGGAGCGCGCTTTGCTTGGTGATAATAATGTCATTCGGACAGAGCTTAGACCCCGTAGACTTTCTCACAAGTTGAGCAGTTTATTCTCACAGGCTCAAGGAAGCTCTTCAAAGTCCTATGGACCGGTTCGAAGCTCAAAGCCCCTGGTGGATGATATTGGGTCTGGACAAGGGTCGTCTGAGTCGGCCGAGTCAACTGAATCAACCGCATTGCTGGGCTCTTCCGACGCCAATCGAATCGGACCGGAGGAAATCGACCGGAAATGGGAAGAAGCCGTGACTGCAGGATTAATAAACACGACATGGAGACGAGAAGCGGAAGTCATCGGTCGCTACTCCCTTCCGTTGATGGTTACGTTTCTGCTGCAGTATTCTTTAACTGTCGCAAGTATTTTCACGATTGGACATTTGGGCAAGGAGGAGCTTGGCGCAGTCAGCTTGGCCAGTATGACTGTGAACATTACCGGTTATGCTGTCTACTCCGGCCTAGCGACAAGTCTAGATACTCTATGTGCTCAGGCATACGGATCTGGCAAGCGAAAGTTGGTAGGCTTGCAGATGCTGCGAATGGTCTACTTCCTGTGGATTGTCTCTGTCCCTATTGCCTTCCTATGGTACTTCTCCGAGCATATTCTGTCGGTAATTGTCCCCGAAAAGGAAGTGGCTAAAATGGCTGGACTTTACTTGAAGATCGCACTCTTTGGAGCACCTGGATATGCCTGTTTCGAGAGTGGAAAACGGTACCTGCAGGCACAGGGCGTTTTTTCGGCCTCTCTATATGTACTGATTTTGTTAGCGCCATTGAATGCATTCATGAACTGGTTCTTTGTCTGGGTATGTTGAAGACCCCCGAGTTCTTACATGACATTTGCTAACATCAGCCTGTCGGAAACTACAGAAGTTAAATTGGGGATTCATTGGCGCACCCATTGCAGTTGCTATTACAGAATTTCTTCTCCCCATTGGTTTGTTTATTTACGCATATTATTTCGTTGGAAGCGAGTGTTGGTGCGGCTTTTCAAGGCGCGCCTTTCAAAATTGGGGTCCTATGATCCGCCTTGCGCTACCAGGCTTGATTATGGTAGAGGCTGAGTGTCTCGCCTTTGAAGTTTTGACACTAGCTTCCAGCTACCTTGGCACAACCGAATTGGCCGCCCAGTCTATTCTGTCCACAATATCCAGCATTACATGGCAGATACCCTTCCCGCTATCCATCGCTGGTAGCACGCGAATTGCAAACCTGATCGGTGCTACACTGGTGGGTGCGGCGAAGACATCGGCCAAGGTGAGCTTCTGTGGAGCTACCATTGTTGGTCTTCTGAACATGATTCTGCTCTCCAGTCTCCGTTCCTATATTCCCAGGCTCTTTAGCTCCGACCCCGAAGTTGTCGATCTTGTTGCCAAGGTTCTTCCCATTTGTGCAGCATTCCAGCTATTCGATGCACTAGCTGCCAATTGTAATGGTATTCTTCGTGGCCTGGGCCGCCAAGAGATTGGTGGCTACATCCAACTTTTCTTCTACTATGCAATTGCTATGCCAATTAGCATGGGCACGACCTTCTCGTTGAACTGGGGCGTTATGGGCCTATGGACTGGTGTGGCGTTGGCACTCCTGCTTGTTTCAGCAACCGAAGCCATTTTCATCAGCCTTATAAGCTGGGAACGTTCTGTCGAGGAGGCTTTAGAGCGAAACGAATTAACATAAAACATCCGCTGAGGCTAGCTGCAGCTTTCATTACAAAATTCACATACCCTACAAAAGAATTTCGAAAATATTTCGAGTGTGTTTAGATTTTTTTTTTTTTTTTTCAAATCAGACAGCCCGTTATTGGGCTAAAATAAGAGATGAATCATGATATTATTTGAAACCTTCAGAATTTTATAACGAAAACGAAGAAGGCAGGTCATTTTTCAGTAAGGAGACTAGCAATCTAGAATAGCCCAGGTATGCTCATCCAACGTAGAGAAGATAACACCCGCATTGAGCAGTTCGTCTCCAGCGCGTGCAACATCCATATGGGGAATTCCCAGCTTCCCACAAATCGTTTGCAAGTGAAGACCGGTATCATCTTGTGGCTCTGTCCTTAACAATTGGTAAATATCCTTTGCAAAAGGACTCATACCATGCAGAGCTTTGTTATGAGCATCAGGCCCACCATAGTCGGCCATCGCCGAAAAGCCGCTAGCACCTGCTGCGACACCAGCACTAGCACCATCACCTGAAGGACCACGAGTGAAGAACAAGTGCACGGCAGCAGCGTCGAGCATCGAGCAAAGAAATTCGTTGATTTCCGTGACGGGCCGAATGCTGTGAGCTCCAATGTATCGCCTATTTCCGAAAGACTTGATTGCACCGAGTACACGAACGTATCCCTTAGTATGGATTCCGTTTGGATCATCCATGTCCATAGTATCTGCAGTAGCGGAGTCGACCCATTTTTTGACCTCGACGTCACCTGTGCTGTCGTCAACCTTGTATGTGATGTTGGTACTCTGTTTGCTGATGTTTCGCACTTGAGCTACGAACACCACATTGGCGACATCGGCACCGTCGACTTGAAAAGGCGCTTCGGGGTAAGGGCAGGTTGCGTCGAGGATTTGTTTGACTGTCACGGGACGAAGAGTCTTGTTGTCACCACCGCCAAACTGCTTCCCGTGTTAGCGAAATTGCTTGAATATGTCAGGAATAGCGGTTTATCTTTTACCTTGCCTCCTCCCGATGGACTGGTGGTTTCTCCAGCCATAAACCCACCGCCACCGGTTTGGCTGCCATAGGGGTTGTAGTTGTTGCCGTATCCGCCGTCTATTGAAAGATGTTAGCATTTCCTGAGAAGAAGTGGTGATATTTCCCTACCCATTGTGTACAAATGTGTGGTTGTTTGAATAATGAGTGTTGAGTCCCAAAATCATTTTACTCAATCGGGAGCGTGTCAAGCACGCGTCGCGGGGATCAGTTTGCACTGTTTGTCATGGCACTAAATAAATCTCACCGCCTTTCGGACTTTGAGTTTTCTCAACTTTTTTTTTAGGCGGTGAAGAAAACTGATAGCCTGATATCGCCAGGAACCACTGGGCAAAGATAACCCATATTTTCACATTTGGTTGAGGTCAACGTGAATAACTTGTTGTTATTACTGTTTCTGTTATTTATTGTATTTCAAAGCCCTCTTTTCTCCTGATCGGATGAATCGAGCTGCCTAATCGCCTTCAAATATTTCCCTCTGGATCTTTGGATCCCACTGGCACCTTTAAAGGTCTTTGAGACCTCTAAACCGCAAAGATGCCTCACCGCGCAGCCTCCCCCACCATGTCAGAGAATGAGTTTGATATCACAGGCACGCTCTTCCAAAACGACAACGACAGCGACTCAGATGCGGGTGTGCCCAAGCCTAAAAAGCAGCAGCAGCAGAAGAAACCCGATGCCGCACAAGACCTCGACTTCCTTGGCGCCGAAGATGACGGCGATGCGGCATTCATTGCTTCGCAACAAGCCTCAGCGAACAGGAAAGGATCCGCTTTAAAAGGCCGTACGGTCAAGAAGGGTGGTGGCTTCCAGGCTATGGGTCTCAATTCTCATCTTCTGAAGGCCATTGCTCGTAAAGGATTCTCTGTACCGACCCCCATTCAGCGCAAGACTATTCCCGTGATTATGGAAGACCAGGATGTGGTTGGAATGGCTCGAACCGGTTCCGGAAAAACAGCTGCTTTCGTGATTCCCATGATTGAGAAATTGAGGAGCCACAGTACCAAGTTTGGAGCCCGCGGCCTGATTCTTTCTCCTTCTCGTGAACTTGCTTTGCAGACTTTGAAGGTTGTTAAGGAGATGGGACGTGGAACAGATTTGAAATCAGTTCTTCTGGTTGGTGGTGATAGCCTTGAAGATCAATTCGGACTGGTGGCTGGTAACCCTGATATTGTGATCGCAACGCCAGGTCGATTCTTGCATTTGAAGGTGGAGATGGATCTAGACTTGTCTAGTATCCGCTATGTTGTCTTCGATGAGGCTGATCGCTTATTCGAGATGGGATTTGCTGCGCAGTTGACTGAAATTTTGCATGGCTTGCCTACAACTCGACAGACCCTTCTATTCTCTGCTACTCTGCCTAAGTCTCTTGTGGAGTTTGCGCGAGCAGGTCTAGAGGAACCAACCCTCATTCGTTTGGACGTTGAAGGAAAGATCTCACCTGATTTACAGAATGCATTTTTCTCAGTTAAATCATCTGATAAAGAAGGTGCTTTGCTGCATATTCTCCACAACGTCATTAAAATGCCCACTGGCGACACTGAAGTTACAAAAAGATTCAAAGAGCAAGGACCCCCTTCGAAATTCTCCAAAAAGCGAAAGCGACCCGATGAGAATGCAGGACCTCACAAAGAATCACCCACTGAGCATTCGACCATTGTCTTCGCTGCCACGAAGCATCACGTTGACTATCTATACTCGATCTTAATTGAAGCAGGGTTCGCCACTTCGTACGCCTATGGTTCACTCGATCAGACAGCACGAAAGATCCAGGTATCCAACTTCCGACGAGGTATCTCCAACATACTGGTTGTCACAGATGTGGCTGCCAGAGGTATTGATATCCCGGTTCTCGCCAATGTCATCAACTACGATTTCCCCTCGCAACCCAAGATCTTCGTCCATCGTGTTGGTCGTACTGCCCGTGCAGGGCAGAAAGGTTGGAGTTTCAGTCTTGTTCGAGACGCCGATGCCCCATACTTGCTTGACCTTCAGCTTTTCCTTGGACGTCGTCTGGTGCTTGGTCAAGAGTTCGGTGAAAACGTCAACTACGCAGACGACGTCGTTGTAGGATCCATCCCCAGGGATCCCCTTTCCCGCAGCTGTGAATGGATCAACAAAATCCTGTCCGAGATTTCAGATATCGCTTCTCAGCGCCAGGTCGCTACCAGGGGTGAGAAGCTATACATGCGTACCCGAAATGCCGCATCTCTGGAGAGTGCCAAGCGAACAAAGAAGGTCACTGCTTCTGTGAATTGGTCTGAGGTTCATGTTCTTTTCAACAACGAGACGAGTCAGTTGGAAGCGGAACGCGATAAGTTACTGGCCAAAATTGGAGGTTTCCGTCCCAACGAGACCATTTTCGAAGTCCACAATCGCCGTGGCGCTAAAGCAGAGGAGAACCCTGCCATGGACACGATCAAGCGACTACGTTCCACAGTGGACAAGAAGAAGCAACGAGCGCAGGCCAAGGAGCAAGCCGAGAAAAACGAGCTCGGTATTGGTGCCGATGACGAAGTGGACGAGGCCGAAGAAGATATCCCCGAAGAAGCTGGCGACAACATGTCAGAGGCAGACGAGTCTGATTTGGAGGTCACTTTCTCAGCATACTCTCAAACAAAGAACAAGCAAGGAGACAAGTCCAATGAACGTTTCTCTGCATCCTTCCAAAACCCAGACTACTTTATGGGTTACACACCCAACAACAACGACCTTCACGAGGATCGGGCGTACGGTGTTCACTCTGGCACGAACCAGAACTTTACTCAGGCCTCACGCAGTGCTACCATGGACATCAATGCGGATGAGGGACACCGAGGCTTCGGCGAAAACCGCTCAACCATGCGTTGGGACAAGCGACACAAGAAGTATGTTGCGCGCCAGAACGACGAGGATGGTTCCAAGGGTACCAAGCTAGTCCGCGGTGAGAGTGGTGCCAAGATTGCAGCCAGTTTCAAAAGCGGTCGCTTCCAGAGCTGGAAGAAGGGCAAGCGCATGGGTGCTATGCCTCGTGTCGGCGAGACCGAGACCCCTGGACTTGGGGCTGGTGTCAATGGATACTCTGGTGGTAATGGTGGTGTTCGTGGTGGTGGCGGTCGCTTCAGACATAATAAGACGCAGGCTCCTAAGCGAGCTGATCCGCTACGTGGTGATTACGACAAGATGAAGAAGAAGAATGAAGCTGCTCGGGAACGTCTAGGCCCAGGCGCTGGCGGGAAGAGCGAAATCCGCTCCACTGATGATATTCGCAAGGCTCGCAACCAGAAGCAACAGCGTCGTGACAAGAATGCCCGACCCTCGAAGAAGAAGCGTTACTAATGGTGATGCTTTGAAAAAAGGTCTTTGTATAGTTTTATTCATTTCTGCATACTACACATATCTTATGTATTTATCTATACCTAGTTAGAGATACCAGTCGTTTCCATAATGAAACTCCGGTTGGCGTTTCTCTTTTATTCTCTCTCTCTCTCTCTCTCTCCCTCTCTCCATAGACTTCTCTTTCCCCCCCTCCCCACCCCGCTCTCCAACATCCGTAGATAACTGCTTTTGTACTCTACTTCTTGCGGAATACCTTGGGTCCCATTCCTGTTGGGCAGACTGTTGAAGTATGTTGCCTCGTGCTTCATGTGGGTTCCTCATGTATGCACGAACAAGTTTACAACCCAACTACTTCGAACTGGTTTATCCCTGACAGCACAGAGCCGTTAATGGTCCAATCATATTGTCCATCCCCGACGTCGGATTACCACCTGGGCAAGAAAGACGGTTGAGCCCCTCATAGGCCTCGGGCACATGAGATGAACCTCGGGTTTAAGACTCCATTCTGGGTTGAATTGACCCTCTCTAAGCGATAGTCCCGAATAATCTCCGTCTCCTCATTTTTTGACTCTCGGTTTAACTGGTCGGCGAATTTGAGGATCTACATTGACAAATCGTAGGTAGATCCACCTTGGAAGATGTGAAAGGGGGGATTTACTTTTTACTTTTTTTCGTTTTTGGGGGGCCCCATTTCCCCAAAGCTGACAGCATGGGATATCTAGCATCCATCATTAAGTATACAAAGTGCAAGATACAGGTCATTTCTTCGCAGCTTCAATCTACGAACCCAAGAAAAGGGGCAAAAGAGAATAATAAAAACGGGAGTGACTAAGCTCCTCTCCAAGCAGACTATCACAGCCCGGACCAGAATGGTTCGCACTATTGACTTTCCAGTGGCAGATCGTGCATGAACGGGGGTGACAGACCCCTTGCTGCTCCGCGTGCGGCATGTTCCACACAGTTATGCACTGGGCTTTCTTTCTGTCTTTCCTTTTCCCTGCTCTCCCCCTCTCTCCTCGCTTTTCAAGCGGCCAGAACAAAGGGAGCCGCCTTTTGTTTTTTCCCCTCGGCAGCTCCCGGGCAAGTCACCCGAGTATTATTGGTTAACGCTTTCGAGCTGTCAGTCACCCGATGACGTTGGGATGGATTTTCCCTGCAGTCCAAAAGCCAGGGATGATGAGCAATGCGTACGCGCTAGAAGTGATCGTCCTCCAAGGCGCGTTGGGCTGCACCCACATCTCATCATCTTGTTGCTTCCGTGCTGGCCGGATTCCCCGGAAAATAAATCTGGGAGAAATCGATCAACGAGGACGGTCTAGGCGGTTCCTAATGGATTGCCGTGGATTTTACTTTCGTGTTTTTCTTCCAGTAACTGGTGGTCTTCTTTAATCTCCTTTATTTACCCTTTTCCTATTGTTCCTTCTGCAATTTTAATATACCATGGAGGGGGGTGTCACAACAAGAACAGGAACAGGAACAGGAACCCATTCTGAGTCGATTGACCCCGATTTCATTTAATAGATGAATTTACTGGGTACCGTTTGCTGTTGCGAGTGTATGTATGTACTCCCCAGGTTTTTTTCTCTTCACTATAAGCTGCACATGTGGGAGTTCTAGGTTGAACATTTGAAGAAGGATGGCGAGCCTGAACAAATCAATCAATACCCTATGACTATATTCCATCTATTGGTTAATCTATTGGTAATAATAAATCAGCGAATAAACTCCAGGGTCGAATCAAACGTGTTATCTGCTCCGTATTAAGTAAATCCCACCTTTTTATTATTTTTTGTTTCATTTCTTTACTTTTCTTGGCCCCATCTCCACTCCTCAAATCATCCCTGCCTGTAGCTGCCCGGCTCATGATTCATGGCAGGCCACACCTGCCGTGAGACTTTCCCCAAGAAATCCACGGTCAACGACCCTGATCTCCACCCTGTGCCGGGCTCGACTGTAACAGTAACCCCTTCTTGTATCACGGAGCATAAGCGGAGGATCGACTCGACCATTCTCGGGCTCCAAGGGGGTTTAGTGGGGGAGGGGCAGAACAGAACAGAGTGTACGTAGTGTATACGCCGTACCAAGGCATCTACGGTTCATGTGCCCCCAGGGCTACTAGGTATCTCCACAGCGGAGAATAACGACCCAAGGATTGAGTGGTTCGCGACTCATGAATATCACACGATGGATCCAAGGTAGATTCAAGTTTTTATTTATTTTTTAATGTTTGGTTCAATTCTCGGGGCTTTAATATTCCTTGATTTTATTTTCTGTCCTCAGGAACATTTTTGTTGGGAAGAATAATTATGCCATACAGATACTACTTCCCCCGGGTCTATACATTGGTATTTATTCAATGTTTCTCCCGATAAAGCACATTAGCCAATGAATCTTAGGCTTAGGGCACCATAAGCATTAAATTCCCGGGCGGTTCCCTCTTTAGAGCTTTATTTTATGGATTCGGGATTCACTATTGAGTGGAGAAAAATTAAGGTGGGAAACTCAAAAGGAAGAAATACAAAATAGCAGGTAATGTTGGAAAATTAAGAAATAATTAATTCGTTCAAATATTTTATTTATTTCAATTTTATTTTCTGGTTAAAAAAGACAAACATCAAAAGGAATCAACCCCCAGAAAACCCGCATCACCCACTTCAACTTGACAACATCCAGCAGGAGAAAGAATCTCACCCATGGATCCACTAGGGAAAATCACCGAGTCGTGCCCCCCGAATGATTGCAACCACATAGAAAAGAAGAGCCTACCAACATAGTACGTACCCCAACATACTAGTACTAGATACTATGATGTCTCGGTAGTAGCTCAGTTTTGCAAGTCCCTACTACATAACCAAGTAGGTAGTAGTATATTCAGAAGTAGCGCATGCGGAGTGATGGGTGGAATTAATTTCAATTTTGTAATTTTCGAATTCTCGCTGCACGAAGATGACGAGGGGGATAGTACTTTGTGCATGTCAAACGGAATGCGCATTTCATTGCCGAGCCCGACTATTGGCAATGGCTGCGGGCACCGACGTCGATCCGTGAATCCCTCGCTTTGGTGTGATTGGCATCACAACCCCTCTTTTTCTGGATTGGATCAATGAACCCGGAAAAATAATCATAATAAACCTAGAAATCAATAAATCAATAAATCATACACTAATTCCAATTTTATTGATTTATTTCCCACTAATCCGGTCTCCTACATGACCCTGAATCCGAGAATTTGATCCCTTTCGAGGAGCAGGTGGTCCTCGCTGATGTTCACCCTCTAATGCAAGCCACCTCAGCCCGAGAACCGGTAGTTTGTTGTCTGGAACTGAGAGTTCGTCAAGGGAATCCAAATGGGTAAAATAAAACAAAAATAAAACAAAGGTCTCCAAGGTTAAGTCGGAGAATCATGCTGTTGTACGGAGTATGATATAACCCCCATAAACCCGAATAATAACATAAACCATAAATTAAATCCTAAATAACATCCTCGGAGTATTCTCCACTCTTCCTACCGTACCGTTGGGCAAACTCCATTATTTGAAATGATCTACCATAACGGAGATCAAGTCTATCAGCTACTAGTGTCTTCAGCACTGACCACTACTTTCCTACCTTGTACCCAGTGACCCGCCCACACTTTACCCGGATCCGCTGGTATAAGCCCTGAAGCCCGCAGGTCGGGCGTGCTACACTTGGTTATTTTCTTTCGATTTTCTTTTTTCTGTGATTCATAAACAGAACTATCACATCGCACGGAGTCGCAATTCGACATTATTCGGTTGGCGACTATTAATTCCCACTCACTATTGATTCACTGGGGTACCATATCAGTGCATCAACGTATACAACACAAGGCTCGGAGGGGAAAAAAAGAAAGATAAAGCTACTCCCTAAAGAGAATTTCTGCTTTGGTGGAGGCAATACTCAGCTACAATTTCACGAGGGAAAAAAAAAGGTATAGTTCACTATTTTCTTATTTCTGTTGGTTCAATATGGCAAAAGAATCCTGCACGAGTCGTGGTGAATCAAGTCTTGACACCGGAGGTAAGGTGTGGAGAGGTTTCAACAACAAAAACATTCCAAAAGAGAAAAAATATATAATAAAAAATAAAATGAAAGAAAGAAGAGGAAGATAATTTTTTATTTTATTCCCAAGAAAGAAAAAGAAAAAGAAAAAGAAAAAGAAAGAAAAAAAGCCCAAAAGAGAAGAGATGCATACAGAGAGAGCAAGAGGGGAGAGAGGGGGCTTTGACATGGGGCGTTACTGCTCCTGCACCTTGATCCTAGCTCGATGATCGACCGCCATCCTGCAATAAGTCGCCCTGGGGAGGGAAAGACATGCGCGGCTATGAGTAACCCTGCTGTCATGATCTGGAAATCTCCCGCTGATCGATGCAGTCTATTTTCTGACTCCTCCAATAGCGGGTCTCTCTCCAATGGATTATAAGCTTGAAGGGGTCCTTGGAACAGCCTTGACGGAGCTTGATGACGGATATTGAGAAACCTTTCTTGTCCATCCCTACACCGCTGCTGACAGTTTGTTGCCCCTTCCCAGTTCCGATTTCCAGGGATTCGTTCGCCAGATATGCTGCCCCAAAGCACACAGTCGATAGCCAGTGGTCCCATTTTGTGAACAAGAGATCCCGCCGCTCTAGTTCGAGAGAGAGACAGAGAGAGAGAGAAGAGGGGTTGGGAAAAAAAGAGAATAGCAACTATAACAACAAAGCCGGAAGAGAAACGATTGGCAAACACGGTCTTGAGAGAACGTCTGTGCTTGTGCAGGTGTAGTTAGAGGAAGGAGCTGGACAAGAAGGGAACCTTGCCCCGTGGGCCTATTCTTTATCCTGCCTGACGCCCGATGCAACCACTCGTGCTTCACCCACCGAGCCTCACCACTGCCCAGTTCGGACAGTCCCGGTTCAACTCGGGCCCAGAGCGGCTTCCGTTGAATCGACCTTGGCCGTTCAATGCTCGAGGGTGTAGCCCCCAGGCCACTCCTGCCCGTCAATCTATGTCTGGCTCTCCTCCTACAGAAGAGCCTGTGGTGACATCCGAAGATTCGACTTCGCGAGGATATCCAAAGGCTTCCTCGCCGGTAGTGACGTCCGCCGAGGAAGCCAGTGTCTCTCATATCCATGGGCGGCCCCAGTTCCCTGCTCCCATCACAGAATCACTACCAGCACCTATCCTGGCACGATATGGAGAACAGCCTACGCCGGTGTATGCTGCTCCCCCACGACTTCCAGCAGCACCAGCTCCTTACCCATTATCAACCCTGGACCCTGGCTTGTCAGGCCCCGGCACACGATCACTGGCACAGAAAACAACACGACGTACGAAAGCCCATGTGGCCTCAGCTTGTGTTAATTGTAAGAAGAAGCATCTTGGATGTGATCCAGCACGTCCATGTCGTAGGTGTGTTCTTGCTGGAAAGGCTGTAAGTATTAATCACCCATCCTTACTTTATCATTTCAATGATTACTCGACCATTCTGGCTATTCGGATATATGAAGTTAACCCAGTTGATATCAAAAGTCTTCTTGTGTGGATGTCACTCATAAAAAGAGAGGACGGCCGCCATTAAAGGCAGAAGACTCTTCCCTTCGATCCTATTCTTCCCATCCAGATCACTCGGCCATGTCCGCTGAATCCCAACCATCTGTACCACCTCATCGATCTGCTTTGCACAGGCCGTCTTCCTCTCGCGAACTTCGACCTATGACTGATCTCCAAGCAATAAGCTTACCTGGTTCGGCAACAACTATGCGGCCATCTCGGGGACCTCAGCAGCGATGGTCTGCATCTGTGTTCCCTCTTACTCGTCCAATGGATCCTACATTAACGATACCAAATGCTGGAGGAAGACGGCCCTTCTCATCATCTGGTCCGCCATCATATCCGCCACCAGCACATGCACCACCTGCTTTCATCCCTACGACAAGCGGTTTCAACCCGGTTTTGAAAACGGGAGCTACGCCTGCCAGCATGGACAAAAGCTTTGCCTCATACGCAAATCCGGCTCTACCTCCACCGACCTCTCCCCAACACCATCACCCACCGGGTGTTCCATTTTTACCCTACGGTGCCTCTCCCAGTAGCTCGTCCATTCACCACCACCTCCGAGTTGATCCTCGGATCCCACCAAGACTTAATCGAGAGCCGTACCCTGAATCCCCAGTCCGATTACCCCCTATACATCAAGCGACAGCCAGTCCAGGGCCTCCAATCCCACCTCCAGGACCCCCACCACCGGGTGTGCCTCATCACGCCCATCGACTCAGCGATCCATACCCCACAACTTGGTCAATGGCCCGAGATAACTTTTCACGCGATCATCGTACCCCAATTTCACCCCAGAGAGGAGTGGGCTCCATGTTCTCGCATTCATCGCACTCGCACCACCAACGCTCCTCCTCATCCACATCTGGACCCTTCAATCCAGTCCCAAGACATCTGGGTCCAATCGATCTCTCAAGTGCCGTGTCTCTAGGTCCCTCGCCACAATTAACGCGAGCCGCGCCCCCAACATCAGAACCCGAGACCCATTCCCAGACCGAATCAGAATCCCGTCCTATAAAACGCCGCAAAATGGCCCTGGATGACATGGTGAACGGATAAAGTGATATGCGACTTCGATATATTAGCATGGTGCAGACGTGTTCTACCAGCACCAGGCTTGTACTCCTTTTCCTTTGTTCAAGTTTTGAAATTATTTCCTCAGCTCAAATGATTCCAATCTCAGCAGCCCCGGAGGCGTCTTGTATTGTATAATTAACAATCTTAGTAGCAGGGTCTACAAGTATTGATCGATCAATATACCCCAGCCAGCGTGGCGCTTCTTTTTGTCGTTTATTTTGGTGTGAGCAAAACAGCGGGACCTATTTGCTTTGCTGTGGATTTTTTGTTCTCCATTTTTTCATACTGGCCATCCATACATTTGTATCAGGATATCGTCATTTGTTACCAGAACAACAGAATCATATATGATTCCCGGTTGTCATGCAATACGAGGTGCCAGAAGTGTGTTATAAGTGTGATAACCACGCTGACATTCCTGTTTTTGTTACCAAAAGCTCACCGCCATTACCTGAGGTATCATATTCCATTCGGGATCGATGCATCGTGCCCTGTTCTTGGACGGAATGACAACATTATTAACGTTTGCTGTTGAATTATGAAGAATTTCCTTTGTGTGGAATGACTTTCTTATGTACTTGTTATTCTGCCTGTTTTTTTTTTCTTTTCACGCGAGTACCCCTTTACAGTTATAGTATGTGTTTTCAAAAATGTGGCATGGCGTTCCGTGAAGTGGGAAAGGGAACATGTTTGCGACCTATTTATTTTGCGGCAGAACTATATGTTTTTCGTTCATTTTCTAGATTCAGCTGGCATGTGATGGTGTTATGAACTATTCTGTCTTGGTATTCGTGGGTGTGTGAGAATTTTTCGCAAGTTTACTTGCTTGCCAAGATAAACCGTGTTTTAGTTTTTTATACAGGTAGCAGAGCAACCTTTGGGCACACAATCCTGTGGACTCCTGTACGCCATTGGGATTTTTACAATTGCTCACTGGCAGCTTCAGATAATTTAGGTAAATCTAATGAATTCGTCCTGTTTACAGTGTACAACATACCGTCTCATCGAACAAGAATTTTAACGTAGGAAAGTCCAATACATTATGATATTATGATCAACGTCTAGTTCCATGAGGGTTGTCTTGTTTTGATGCTGTTTCCAAGCTTTCAACTCATCTTCCAATATGACACATTAGGAACACCTAATATGATGAGAAAGATATACACAGTAAGCGGCTGAAGTCAACTCCCCTTGCCATCATCATGATGATTCGAACGTTGCAAATGGCGGCAGCCTACTAGTAGGTAATAGGGTCGTGTTCTTGTACTATGTCACATTTCTTGCATTTTTTACATTTTGAATTCCTATCAGATATGTACATAATCCAACATAGCCCCAAACTCCAACTTCCACCATAAAGCGCCAAAACAGAGCTAAAACTTGAATAATAATATTAATTGTAATTCATATGACTTCCCTATGACGCGAAGAAGCAGATTTGCAGTTCCCAGCACCATACATATAATCATGATCCGGGCTCCCACCCGGGGCCGGATCCAAAAACTCATGATAATCTAATTCCTCTCTGGCCTGAGGGGTCCTTGGATAAGGTTTGGGCGAGTCACCAGGCCAATCATAGCGATGAGACTGCACCATGAAAACAAGACGACTCAGAACCCCAAATTCAAGCTTCAGTTTAATGCTGTAGACTGCCGACTTGAGCGTTGTCTGAATGACGAAGTAGTTCATATACTCCAAGACTAAAAGAACGACGTCCATGATGATTATGAGAGCATTGATAGCCAGGAGTTGATACATAATTTTTCGATTTGGGTTATGCGCTTGTCCAGATGAGGGGGAGGTGCGAAGAATCTTGATAGCCTTGTAGATGTATAGGCCTGAGATAATAAATTCCTGCAGACAGAAGCCTGTGAGTTCGATTCGTTCCATAATTCTGTAACCGTTTGCCCAGACAGGTGTGCGGATGAAATTGGAGCCGTAGGTGAGGACCGTTGTTGGAACGTGGAGGATGATAGCGTCAACGATGATCATTGCTAGGACGCGATGGCTTATCGTCAGGTCTTGGACGACGATGTTGAGCCTTGAAAAGAGGACGAGCGCTTGTCCTGTTACCATGAAATACCAGCCGATCGTGGATAATGTGATAGAAAACCATAGTGGGCCGATATCGTAGTATTTCAGAATGAAGCTGATAGATTGAGGGACGACGCCTAGGACTGTAGCGAGCAGGAGACTCCAGAAGTAGAGGCCTTGATAGCGGCGGAAGGAAGCGAAGATAAGAACGAGTAGTTCGAGAGAGTTGTAAAGGGCGATTCCGAGGAAGACGGTGAAAGTAGCTTTGATCGTGAAGTCGTTCGCGGAATAATCGCCGATCATCCCGTCATTGTAGCTGTCAGACATTTTGATCAAGTTGGCAAGCCCGCGAGGACCAGCGCGGACTCCACTTGGAGTGAAAGAGGGAAACGAGACAGAAAAAGAAAAGGAAACGAAAAGAGCATGTAGAACGGGACTACTATGTGCTGGCGGGCCCGATCAAGGCTCGGGGGCCTGACAGGTGGAGGGAAGACGAAGCTTACCACCAGGAAATCAGGGTCAGCATGGCAAAACGAAGAAGGTGGAGAATTATAGCATGATCAAGGGTATATAACAAAATAGTGGGGAAAGCCCCGGATTTTCTGGGATAGTCCACCTTGGAAGATGCTCGCATGGCTGGGACGCTCGGCAATAGTGACCGACAGGTAACCTAGCTCCTCCCCATGGAGAAGTGAACGATACACGAACGCCGAAATGCCATGGGAGTCCGTGCTTGGCCTAGCACTAGCGTGGGACAATCCCAAGCGAATGTGATCGAGACTCTAATTGGGGCTAAGGAGGAAGAGGATGCAGGACACTAATCCCCTTTGCTAAGCGCCACAGCAAGATCCTCTATTTGATAGAACCAGTCATCGGTCTCTAGGACGGAGAATCCGCTTACAAGGTGGTCTAATGTTTCATCTTGATTCCTCGTTCGCAGATATTTCGACGATTGCTACACGATATGAAGTGCATAATTTCATTTCCTTATCCTGGTGTGGTTTCCCAGCACCATTAAAACAGAAAAAGAAAAAGAAGCATAGGCTAATTGTAAGGAAATGGGTCTTACAAAAGTCCAGGGGCAAATCCACAATCACTCCGAAGTCGAAAATGACACTCCAGTGCCTTTTTCTTTCTCTTTTAATTTCCCCGCGTTGCATCAAGCCAATGGCACCCCGTCACTTTCTAGGGAAAGTTTCTGCGCTTTGTTCGCCTCCAAGTTGGCCACCGCAATACGAAATCGTCCACCCACCTGGGCATCAAATGGGGGCCTTCCGGCCTTTTCATGCATTTGGCCTCCGTACCGGGGTACCTACTTGAACTTTCCTAACTTATTAAGGTTCTCGGTCCGTCTTTTAATATGAGGCCAAGTCACACGCGGACATTTATCGGATCCACGAATCAACCTTAGGTTGCCAAGTCTCCTGGTCTGGACTAGACTAGGTCCATCCTAGCGTATTGGAAGGTTGAATGGCGTCTTCGCTTCGCCTTTGTTGGGAGACTTGATTCTATTGTCCCTGAGCATGAGATCGAGAGAGAAAAATTACATTGTTCTACGGAATTTATAGATGATGGATTAACTCACAATATTACAAATATCACCAAGGCTGTCAGCTAGGTGCCGTAATACAACACAGTTTTTTTCAAAAGAAAAGCATGGACTTAAACGTAAAACAAAGTTTTGAAGGTGGGGTTTAAAGGTTTCTCTAACGTGATGCCGGTTGAAAATTGTACCCTGCTACTAGTACCTAACTAGCTCGTGATGCCTGGAGGGTCAGTTTCGAGTTGCTGGAGGAAGCCACTCTATTCAAGTAGACACCCAAAGCTCTCCACCGATATCATAATTTGCTCAGTTTCCAATTTATCGTCGCCACTGTGGTCACAGCGGCGATACACTTCCAAGGTTGTTCATCGCACTCACAGCTATTCTTTCTAGTCCAAGTAACTAGCTTCTTCCTGGCCTCAGGATAGAACATTTACGTCTTAGTCTGTGCAAACCCTGTAGCGAGCGTGCCTCGGTTTCATCTAAGTTTGAGTCACAGTCAAATTTGAAGTAGGCGCTCTTCGCTGCTCTCGTGTCTCCCCAACGATAAACTTGAGACAGACATCCTTTCACCAGCGTGTCCTACTACTACAGACTTCTTAAGTGTACCAACGAAGGAGATAGTAATATGTCAAAATTAACCTCGTTGGTTATGAGCAATTATGTACCTATTGGATATAGCAAGAAATGTACAAGTAAAGCTAGGTATCATGAAAAGAGCAAGCGGAAATTAGAAAAACACCCACTGGCCAACACGCTGAAGCTTCCCAATGAATCCCTTCTTCTCTAACTCCTGAACCTCTTCAGGGGTATGTTCATCATCAATACCGCCATCATATCGGTCGGTACGTAAATCCATATTCGCGGAACGAACAAAGCGCGTCCGCTTGATGAGTTTCCAGCCAACGAACATGACAAACATGACCGGAATTTCAATATAGAACGAGACAAAGTCCACGGCCTTGAAATGAGGGCTGAAGCACTTCCAGCCTTGAACTAGGACGAGGACGATATTTAAACCAACAGCACCAATAGGACCGTAGGGGTATGTCCAGTTCTTGAAGGGAAGAAGGTGCTCGAGGCCCTGTGCGCGAATGGCGCCTCGAAAGCGCAGGGAGGCGAGGCCAATGCAAATCCAAGATAATTGGTTCGATACCCCGACAATACTGCGTTTATTAGTTCTGGAACTTTTGGAAGGAAATTTATTTCGACGACTGAGGACTTACTTTTGCAACCAGGACCATAGCTGACCGGCACCAATATAACTGGCACCAAAGCAGAGTCCACTGATAACGGAACTGGCCAGCACTGCAATCCAAGGGATTTGGAAACGGTTTAGTTTGCTGAAAAAGGGTGGCGCATAACCCTCCGTGCCGAGCGAGTATAGCAATCGAGTAGCAGCAAATAAAGCATGATTAGCAGCAGATATGACCGATGTCATGATAACAGCATTGATAAAGCTGCCTGCGACGGAACTACCAGCTTCCTGAAAGACGATGGTGAATGGGCTGGTTCGGGTGTCCCCATCGGAGAGACCTGGGTAGTTGTATGGTACATTGAGCCCAATGAGTAGGATAGAAAGCAGGTAGAACAGCACGATACGCCAGAAAACGTTGCGCACGACTTTAGGCATAACCTTGGAAGGGTTCTGAGTTTCTCCGGCGGTAATTGCAATGGATTCAGTGCCACCACTATTGAATCTGTTAGATAACGGACATGCAATAGTCATGACATGATGATACTCACAAGGCGAAGGAGGCCGTAACAAAGACTGAAGCAAAGCCACCGATGCCACCGACAAAAGGCGCTTCTCCGATATGCCAGTATTTACCACCAATGTATTCATGGTTCTTGTTGCCACCACAATTGACGGCAATACCAAGAATAATGAAGATCTTGAAGCATATTAGGAAACGTCACACAAAACAGCCCACGAAAGAGTACATACCACAATAGTGATGACTTTCAGTAAACTCAACCAATACTCAATCTCACCATATACTCGAACAGAAAACAAATTCAATCCGATTACCAGCAAGAGAATGATCAAACTGATTGCCCAACCGGGAAAATTATCAGTCCAATATTGCAACAGTAATTGCAAAGCAATAATATCCGAAGCCGTTGAAACAGCATCGTTAAACCAATAGTTCCATGTCAAAGCAAAACCAAGAGCATCATCAACATAGCGCCTATAATAATTTGTCAGTCATGGTTCTGCTCCGGGAAAGATCGACAGTCAGAATGTAACGCACCCCGCATAGGTACAGAAGGATCCCGCAACCGGCACGAAGGCAGCCATCTCACCCAGACTCAACATCGTGATGAAGACGATAGCACCACAGACAGCATAAGCAATCAATGTCGATGCAGGACCACCCGTAGCAAGGGACTCGCCAACACCCAAGAATAAACCAGTACCAATAGTACCACCGATAGCGATCATTTGCACCTGGCGAGCGGAAAGACGACGCGCGAGCTTATCCGCATTGACCAAGGGGTTCGATCCGATAGAGATATCTCCGCCATTGTTGTCAGTATGGGGATGCTTCTCTATATCTGAAGTAGCAAACATGGCGACGGTGTTCACCAAGCCGCTAACAAGTCGGCAATGCTCAAAGATTCCAGATGTTCAAAATAATTCTATATCATCATGTGTAAGCGAAGCTATTCATTGTTATGGCGAAGCATCCATGCCACTCCAGTAGGTACAAAACCACTTGGTTTTGTACATGAGAAAGATCGACTCACCTGTTGTCTCGTGACCTACACGTGGTTACCCCGGACCCGTCGATATGACAGCTGAGCCCCAGTTCTCAATCTGCTGCAGCCGGTGACTAGTGTTAGGGAAAGATGCCATGTTCGATCGTCGCGCAAAAATCAGATATCCTCAGAGCGTGATTTCTGCGATGGCGTGCTTGCTCGCCATTATGGTTGGGTCGGGCGACCCGCACGCGATGACATGAAAAATTCATTGTAGATCCACCCGGGTGTGGGCCGAAGGTTTGACATCGGCCAATCTATTTGCACCGGCAGTTCATAGACTCGTCAGACGGCCTGTTACCGGACCTGCCGATACCGAAAATCAAGTGCTACCAATTACTACTTCTAGTAGTATAGTATAATCCATTCCATGTATACTAGCACAAGAGAGAATCATGGAGGCAATGAATTTTATTGGTTGAATCACGGTAATTGAAAGTTACGTTGGTAATAATATTCATTTCAAAATGTTCATCCAGCGTCTTCACTATATACTGGTGCAAATTTGGTACGATCAATGCTTTTTAAGAAACGCATCGCTAGCTCAAAAGATAAAAGGAACGCAGTACCAAAAACCAATTGTAAAAAGAAACGCCAGAGGTAACTCCAATGGACAAAAACCAATGCACGGTTAGCCCAGCAAGCCACTGGCCAAAGCCTCCAGATCTTGCAAAGATGAGATATTGGTCTGGGAAGGTAATTGGCTCTTCTTGCTCTTGCTTGGCCGTTCCTCATCGTCGTCCCGCTCATACACACGGGTCTTCTTACTGGGACGCGAGGTCTCGACAGGCTCAGGTTCAGACTCGGAGGCAGACTCCATGGGATCCTTGAAAGGAATATATGGCAGCTGGAAACCTCCATCCTCTGAATCGGCCTCTTCTTCAGCCAGAGCACGTTCGCGCTCACGACGCTTCTCTTTCTTCTCGCGTTTCTTCTCACGAACCAATTCCTTATCATCGATATCCGCACGACGAGTGCGCTCAGTCTCATCCGCCAAGAAGCGCTCCCGTTGAGCCTTAGCATCGCCACGAGCGTTGAATTGATCCTCATCTTCCATTTCGTAGATTTCATGAGCATTTCCTTCATCATCATAAACAAGCTTCGTACCCTTGCCCTTGAATTTAAGAAGCGCCTTCTTTGACTTGAGCAACTTTTCACGACGTTTCGAGTCGATGACCAGTGGGTCTTGGCCGTCAAGCGCAACCTTCTTGATCTTCTTGCCGGCTTTTGAGCCGTCGGAATCAGAATCGACTTGGTCAAGGCCAGCATCACCAGCTGCAAACCTGCGCTTGACAGACAGGAAGTCGGCGTCTTCGTCCGCATCTTCACCAGCTCCATTCCCAGAGGGAGCGGCAACCATCGTACCGTCATCGTTGATAAGCTTCGAGTAATGCTCTGCCAGAACATCCTGGTTGCGTCGCTCGAACATTCGGTCGTACCGAGTACGCACTTGCTTGTCGTCCTTCTTCTCCTTCTTGGATTCGTTTGCGTCCGAGTCTTCTGGGTCACTGGACAAGTGTGCCATCCTCCATGAAGCATTCTTACGCTCCTTCGTATCATCTCCCTTGATGAATTTGATACGTGGCGCACCAGGAAGTCCCAGACTGCTTGCATAGTTGTCTAGGGGAAGCTCCTTAATCTTAAAGACATCCTTGTCCTTTTGCACGTAAACTGATTTCACATATGAAATGAATGCCTTCTGGCCCAGATACTTGAGTTCTGGATCCTTGAAACACATGTTTTGGAGCAAATGAGTAATGCTCTGTTGCTTGTTGGCCTTGATATTAATGCGTTCAATAGGTACCTTCTTTTGCTCGAGTCTCTGAAGCATACCCTTCTCTTCACTGGGGTCTAAGAAGAGCACGGCACGGCCAACACGCTCATATCGAGCAGTTCGGCCCACTCGGTGAATGTAAGTGTCAGCATCCTCGGGGCAATCCATCTGAATAACCCAGTCCACCGCGGGGAAATCCAGACCACGTGCTGCGACATCAGTTGCAAACAATACGGCATGCTGAGATTGAGAGAATTTGGTCGTAATATCCAAGCGACCGCCTTGCTTCTGTCGGCCATGAAGATGCATCAACGGAATACCGGGTTGCAAATGTCGGAGAGATTCATAAACAAACCGCACCTGCTTTCCGGACGACAGAAAAACGACGGTTTTAGACTTGAGGTTACTGCGAATGAAACTCCAGAGTGTATCCAGCTTTTGGGGCAGAGGTGTGATAACGTAGTGTTGCTGGAGAGTGGATGGTGTAGCAGAAGCAGCGGTTTCATGAACGGCAACATATTCTGGTTCTTGCAGACTTAGACGAGCGAGATCGCCCACCTTCTTGGTTTGGGTAGCACTGAACAGCATAGTCTGTCGCTTGACCGGTAAGTGGTCAATGATGGCGTCAACAGACTTCTGGAAGCCCATGTCGAGAATACGGTCGGCCTCGTCCATAACAAGTAGCTGAAGGTTGTTGGTCTCGAACATAGCGGTCTGATCCAAGTGTTGCAAAATACGACCCGGAGTACAAACTAAGATGTTCATGCGGCCTAGACGTTCTTGTTCCTCCCGCAAACTCTTTCCACCGATCACCAGCCCAGCGGAGAAGGCATGGTACCGACCGACCTTGCGCAGCACGTCGAAAATCTGAATCGCGAGTTCGCGGGTAGGCGCAAGGACCAGCGCTCCTAAGCCGTCGTGTTCGGTCCATTGCTTGCGGTAGAGGTTTTCGAGGATGGGTACTAGGAAGGCCAGAGTCTTGCCGCTGCCGGTCTTTGCGGCGCCGAGGATATCACGACCTTTGAGAGCATGATTGATGGCTCGTGACTGGATATCAGTCATGACCTTAAAATGAGAAGCTGATAGGCCATCGGCAGTTGGTGAGGAGAGAGGGAGATCGGAGAAGTTTTTGACCGCAGACTTAAGATCCAGGTCCTCAACGCGCTGGATGAGCGACGAGAGATCTTCCTGGCCGCGCTTGCGTTTCAAGACTCGAGTGGAATCATGATGGGCTTTGGCGGGTTTCTTGTGAGAACCCTGTGGCGGAGCCATGCTTGTTATTATGAGGATTGTTGGAAGATTTCAATCAATGCGAACCAAGTGTAAACCGTAAATTCTAATCGCTATCTTTTTTTTCTCTGTCGCTGACTCAGCATCCGATAAGATCGCCCCGATAAGCAACACTCCAGAACTCCAGCTCCAAAGAAAAATATTATTGACATTTAAGGCACCTCATGGCCGAAGACGAGGATCAAGATATTTTTGATGCGCTGGAGCGCGAAGCCTCCGAATTTACAAAAGATGCGGAGATCGATCGCATCCGTAAGGCCTTCTCTCTCGACGCGTAGGTCGACTCCTTTCTCCACATTGAGCTTCTACTGACACATTAATTGGTTCACTAGCTACGCCGTCCTAGACTTACAACCTGGTGTACCTGAGAAAGATATCAAAGTCCAATATCGCAAAAAGTCTCTTTTGATCCATCCGGATAAGACCAAGAATCCCGCGGCCCCAGATGCCTTCGACCGGCTTAAAAAGGCCCAGACCGCGCTCCTCGATGAAAAAGAACGAACCTATCTAGACGAGTGCATCGCAGATGCGCGACGACTCTTAATTCGCGAACATAAATATACAGTTGACTCACCGGAGTTGAAAACGGACGAGTTCAAGAAGGAATGGCGACAAAAGACCGTTCAGGTTCTTCTGGAGGAAGAAGCGCGGAGACGACGACAACTCAAGGCACGTATGCAAGAAGAAGGTCGAGAACAGCGCAAGGAAGAGGAAGAAATCGAAGCGCGTAAGCGCAAACGTGATCAAGATAAGGCGTGGGAAGATACTCGAGAAGAGCGAATTGGCAATTGGCGGGATTTCAAGAAAGGAAAATCTGGCGGCGACGAGAAAAAGAAGAAAAAGAAGATGAAGGTCCTCGGATGAGCATAATACCATTGTATCTTATTTCATGGATACCAAAGTTCTCAATGATTATCAATGTCTATTCAAATGCATACAATTGATCAAATCTAGGTTTTGCTCTCATGCATGTATGCGTCCAATGATCTACGATGCTCCATGTATTTCCACCGATAAGCCGCGGCGCGGGGAAAACCTAGAAGATTCGACTGTTACTGCACTGTAAATCGCGATCGCTTTTCTTCGACCCTGCTCGAGAACATGGTAAGCAGGTCTCTTTCCAATTCCATCTGTGATACAATACCAACCCAATTCAGCGCTTGAAGTGGCCTACTACTCAATCCATCCCGTTTCCATCTTCATCCCCACATGGGAGATTAAGCCATTTTGCCTTCCAGCGCCGGTAAACCCACTCTCCCCACCTCGACTTCAACTCTCCTGTCATCCAGTCTCCAGCACAATGGCCGGATCCGCGATACCCGACGAGAGGCCGGCAGAGTCCCTCGCCTCATCGCAATCAATCTCACAGGCTCTTGACCATCTACAACCCTTTGGACTAGGGCCCGCGAACCTCAACCCGAGCCAACGCGGGGCCGACACAGCGCGCACCGTCCATGCCAACCCCGCGACAGCTGCAACGCACCAAAACGGCTCAGCACAGGAAAAGACCGACAATTCCACCGGTTCTTCTGATATAAACAGCAATGAATCTCTTCCTCCTCTTCCAATTGTCATCGAGCATATTCACGCCCGCGTACAGGCCTTCCTCGCCGAGACACACCCACCCGACTCACTGCTAGCCTCGGTCCAACGCCAAACACGCATTTCACTGGATGTAGTCGCAAACGCGCTACAGAAATACAAGCTTTCAGGCCTCTCACTATCCTACAACGGAGGAAAGGATTGTCTCGTTCTCCTAATACTGTTCCTGGCGGGATTGCGCCCATACTCCGACCACGCCGAGTCGGCGCACGAGCCGGAAACCTTGAACACAATCACAACCACAAATAAGAATGAGGGTAGTGATTCCTTAGTTGAAACACCCGTTATTCCAGCTATTTACGCACTTCCTCCTGATCCATTTCCCGCTGTGGAAGACTTCGTCTTAAGTTCCGCGCAAGCATATCACCTCTCCATAAAGAAATACACTACAGAACCGCCTCACACGACGCTACGATCCAGCTTTGAAGATTACTTATCAGTGTACCCCAATGTTCGGGGAATATTTGTGGGCACGCGACGGACGGATCCGCACGGGGCAAAGTTGACGCATTTTGATCGGACAGATGGCGGTTGGCCCGATTTTATGCGGATACACCCGGTCATCGACTGGCATTATGCTGAAATCTGGGCATTTATTCGACATCTTGGATTGAGATACTGTTCCCTTTATGATATGGGATACACTAGTCTTGGTGGAACGTCGGATACCCTTCCTAACCCACGGTTGAAGAAAGAACATATAAGAGAGGGCAACGATGAGAGCTATTTACCTGCTTATGAGCTAATGCAGGGCCTGGAAGAGAGACTTGGTCGTAATTGAATTTGATAGAAGGATCATCTGGGATGTTAGAGGGTTGATATTGGCGATAGCCAGGTTTGCGTTGTGTGTATAGATCGCTATTCTATTCCGACTGGCCTGATGTTTTTTTTTATCTTTCTTTCTTTCTTTTTGGGTCCCTTCATACATTGCGCTCCTCCTTGTAATTTCCAGGATGTCTGATGATTTTCATTGATCGACTATATCATATTTTAAACCATACAGCCTCGGGCTGCAAGAACACTTTGAATCTGCTGTAGAACATGCATCGTGAACAGATACCACAGAAAACATACTTTATCATATAAAAGAATGGCAGGAGAGCAGGAGAAAACCGAGAGGAAATAATAAGGGGGAAAGAATAAGAGAAGGAAGAAGAGGAAGAAACGAAGAAACAGAAAATCCCTGCAGCCATCACGAATTGCATATTCCTAGTACGTGGTAACATATGGGCAACATGGGAGTACAGTAGAAATTGGAGCGATACAAAGACCATCAAACATAAGCTTGTCAAACGGAACAGAGAGGGTAGAAAAAAACAGAAACCCACACGGAAAAAAATTGGACTCGAAAACATACATCATAGTGCATTCTGCAAAGGTAAAATCATGACACGAGTCAGAAGATCGAATAGCAAACGACAAAGTTTATCATGGAAACACGAAACCTCTTACGAAACTCAGCTTACATAGCAGCTCGAAAGCAGCTCAGGAGCAGGAGCGAGGGGTGGAAATCATAATATCCATCCGTGAGGGGATCGGCGACATAGATCCCGCCTTGATGTTTTCTTTTCGGGGACTTGACATGTACGATCGAGGTTCAAGGTCGGGAGATGGAGGTACGACTGTCTTAGATGAGCCACCTGAAATGTCTGTCATGGAGCGACACGTTTGAAAGGTGCGGCGATACACAGGTGTATTCTCGATTGCATTAAGACTGCGAGAGGACAACGAGGCATGTCGTGCGCCGCTACTAGTGTTTTTCATCAAGCCGTATCTAAATCACTTGTTAGCGCACACACGAGACTATCCTTATGATGGTATAAAGATCCGTAAAGGCACATACGTGGGAGATATCGAAGTAGCTGGGGTCCAGTTGGAGCCTATTCCAGCTGGAGAGCCGAAGCTTCCCTGTGAGTTAGGGGTCATGTGGGAGCTCGTCTGCTGAAGGCGTTGTAGAGAAGGTGATGGGGTTGAGCCTTGCACCACTTCAACGGAATAGTTATATTCCCCTGCGCGGTATGCACGGCGCTCGTTGCTCTGCTGCTTGAGCATCTTTTGAGCTTTGGTGTCTGCAAAACGAAGAAGCAACTTCACGTCGTTATCCTTTGTGAGATTGTGGAACTCGGATAAAACTCTTTCAGCAATATCGCGGGATTCGAAACTTCACGTTCTTAGCATGAGACAGCTCAATCAAAAGTCCAGGGTCTGCTCTCGTACCGTGCGAAGCCCACTTCCTTGCTCACACCCGTCTTCTCATCTCGACTTATCTTCTCAGATACAACATTGTAGGGTTCAAAGTGACGACGCAAATCCTAGAAAAACCAACGTCAGTCTGCAAACATACCAAGCAGTAAACCCAGTAAAGACTCGCCGCTTCGGTCCAATCGATGGGGATATTGGTACAATATACATTGGTGGACGATCTGTCCTCCAGATCCTTGAGACGAGAGTTTCGGGACTTCTGAGCGAAGCTTGCTTGGTAACCGAGATAGAAAAACCCGCGAATGCAGTTTTCGCAAGACTCGAAATTGTAGTATTGAACAAACCCGAAGCTAAGCGATCTGTTAGCGTGGTTACGATGCAGTTGCTTTGATCAGACTTGATGGTACCCCTTGCAAAGTCCCGTGTCTAAATCGACAATTGCCTTGCAGCGCTCAATGTTTCCAAATCGAGCGGCGTAGGAATGAAGAAGGTCATCTGTGGTTTCCGGGAGAAAGCCTCGAATGTAGACATTGGTGATACCTTCACGATTCTCGAGGCACTTAGCGAGCGTCATCTCAGATGGATTGGTCCACATGGCTGGCACAGCACGGGGAATTGCAGGTTCCTGCTGCGTCAATGCATCTAAGTCTTGTACCACGTAGCCATTTGTGGTTTTCATCATTTGAAATGGCAGTGAAAGTGAGCCGAAATTTGGGAACATGGTGCCACACGTATAAGGTGGCATACTGGTGCCGTCTAGGCCGGAAATGAGGGTGGTGGGATAGTATTGCATGGGAGTAGCGCCTTCGGCTTGCGATCCTTTCTGGCCGTCAACTGACATCCATGCAGCTGACTTGTCTTGTATATCATAGTTCATTGTATAGGGCCAGGATGAGTACCCACCAGGCACCACAGAGTTAAGGTTTTGATATACACCAGTCGGGAAATACTGATACTGGTTCATCTGGTCAGTCTGGCCATTCATCGAGCCAGGAACAAATGAGGGAAGCTGTTGAACGCCGCCCAAGACCCCGGAGTTGGGTACCAGGATCAAAGGGCTGTTGTAGGAGGTGTGGGTATTGTTTGACCAGTCCATGCCGTTCATCGTGATAGGTGTCGTATTCTTTGGCCCAAATTTGGGACGGTAGTTTTGAGGATTCATGCCTGCAAACATTTGAGACAAAGTTAGCACACTATCGTTTTGGGCGCAGATGTTCATACCCTGTGGATACATTTGGGCGTAGACTGTACGCGGATCTTGGTGGTATTGGCCATTTTGGATAGTAGAGCTGGTTCCCGAGCTCTTCGAAGTGTTGGTGCCCTGGGTGGCCTGTGGGTGCATTCTGGCCTTGTAAAAAGCAATGTCCTATACCTCATATCAGCAACACCTCTGAAGCAGTATTCATGAAGCACAGTCACAACGTTGATTTGAGGACATGACCAGGCTATACTCAAGACCAATTGATGAGGAAATTGCTCACCTGAGAAGAAGCTCGACTACTTCTTGGGAAAAGTGAAAGTGAAATAAAAAGCTTGGAATCACTAAACTGGTGGTCGCGAACTCCGTCAATGTCTTGCAAGACCAGCCAGTGATTCTAGAAGTTGTAAGCGAAACTGTCTCTCCCCGCTGATGGACCTTGTTACACCCCCAGCTATGCTTGGGGGAAATAAAACAGGTGACGGGCAGTGACTCGCTTGGACTCCCTCGTAGAATGGATTTGCCCCGTTTGAATGAGTACAAGAGCCGAAATGGCTGGTATGTGGAAAAGAGGTGAATGATTTGACAAGGCTTGGGTGGTTGCGATAAGATGACTGGCCACGAGGAGCGATGAAACCTCCCGGGCGATGAGGGACAATGGACACACAAGAAGAGATGGTAAGCCTTTTGATTCTGAAGCTCGACAAGGATGATGAGTTTCCGAATAAAAGATGGAGGGGGAATCATGCAATGGGAGAAAAAGGATTGAGGGGGATGAAGACGATGAGCTGGGGTTGAGGAAAGAGCGCAAGGTTCTTCAGGAAGAGCAGGTGCGATGAACTGAGTATATGGGAAACACTGAAGACTGGAAGAAGACCAGAGGATAGAAGATGGAAATGCGAATGGAAATGATAATGAGAATGAGAATGAGAATGGAAATAAAAGTGTGGGAAGATTGCAATAAATGAGATGAGAGATGATGAAAAGAAAAAGGATGAAATGAAGAAGAGAATGGCACTTGTAAGTAGTTGAGACTTATTATGCTCATACTAAGACTTTGCTCTTCGTCCACTAGTCTTCTTGCAATGCCTTCCCGTGGACATTCACTACGTTGGATGAAGAGTAGCTGTACATCGTCAAATATGATTTTCTAGATAGACCTCAGTTTTAGAGTATGAGCGTTCAATACTAAGAAATGATAAAAGCCTAACTCAATATACCATATACCAATGTGTGCTTTAAGTCTGTTCCCATATGCCCCACTTCAATATCACTATGCCAACAACCCCTATTTATTTTTCCCTCCTACAGTACCCAATGGCCTTATTTGGCCAGGAGATTAGCGGAAACAGTAGAAAAAATGCTGAGTTAACTACTGAGCAAAGAGCAGCAATTGTAAGTTCCTATAAAATTGGTAAATCATAAACTGAGTTAGCCGCAGAATTCCAGTGCTCCCGCAAAATAATTTACAACATAATCAAACGTTGGCAAAACAATATAATACTTAAATCAAAAGTTCTCAGTAGCTAGCCTATTAAATTTGATAATCAAGCTCGCTGTCAGATATTTTTTTATTACTCGCCGAGAGCCCTTTCTCTCGTAGAGACAACTCAGTACAACTATAGAAGGTAATCCTAGTAAGTCAGCTCTCCGTTGGATTTTAAAGCCCTTCGAACTTCAAAAAAAGACAAATAAAGATTAGAATCCCGATCGGAGAGGAGTTGGCTAAGGTTCGGAAGAAGTTTGTAGTAGAATGGAAGTTAGAATTTCGGTCTGAAGACATTGACAATTAGATCTTCCCGGATAAATGTTCTATAATAAGAGTTCCTGCTACTTCTAACTAGTATTGCTATCGATTTAGGGATAAATCTTATCGGCTAGATCTAGTGAATAACAAAGTCTACATTGAAGATATTTCTTAGATAGTTTGGGTTGTAATTTGGATTGGTGGACGATCGGATTTAGTAATAATGGAAAGGAAGGAGAGGGAGAATAGCTCAAAATAAGGTTATATAACTAATTCTTATCTAGATGCTCTTAAAGAAGGTCTTCCTAATGTTTATAAGCCTGGTAAAGTCTTTTAACAAGATACTGTTAAGATTTATATGGCCAAAATAAGTTAAGATTGGTTTAAAGAGTACGGAATTTATATTAAAGATTGGCCGTCTTACTTACCCGATCTTAGTCCTATTAAACCGGTCTAGGGTATATTAAAACATCGAATTAAGAGGCTTTTCCTAGAGTTATTTGGTATGGGAAGAGGTAAAAATAGTTAGGAATACTTTAAAAAAATGTATCTAAAAAGCGTATTAGGATTTAGGACAAGAGAAAATTGATGCGTTAGTAAAAAATATATACATATGAGCGTGTAGAAGCTGTTCGGAAGAATAGGGGGAAATTTAGCAAGTTTTGCCAAGATTACACTTTAAAATATTAGAATTTTTAGTATAAAATATATAATGTAAAAAGGTAGTAGCGTAGTAGCGTAGTGCACTGGGAAGTAGATATATAAATTAGATGTTGGTGGGGTAACAATCTATGAAATTTCAAACAATAGTCGGAGAACCTATTGAGACTTCTCCTGTAACCATCGGTAGACAACCGAGAAATCTTTACCACGATGGGCTTTCTCAACAGCAGAATAGACTTCACGGGCTTGATTACCAAGTTCCAAAGGAGTATCAGACTTCTCTGCAGCTTCGAGAGCCAGTCGTAAGTCCTTATGCATCAGGCTCACGCCAAATCCGCCTTGATAATCGCGTGACGCAGGCGCTGTCTCAACCACGCCAGGAACAGGATTATTAATTTCTGACGGCCAGCACCGCCCTGTGGAGGAATTGATCATCTCCGCTAGTGATTTTGGCTCCAACCCCCATCGTACACCGAGGTTCATTGCCTCAGCCGTGGCAATGTTATTGATAGCCAAAATGTAGTTATTAGCAAGTTTCCCCGAGACACCAGCGCCTGGCTCACCCAGGTGCCACATCCTCTTGCCCATCAATGATAGAACACCCTTGACTCGATCAAGGAACTCTGTCGTGTGTGAAGTGGCCCCAAACATGAAGGAGAGTGTGCCTGCTCGGGCGCCGACCACGCCCCCAGAAACAGGAGCGTCGACGAATCGGCCAGCCTGGGTGCTATGAATTGCATTGGCAATATCTTTGGATGTGACGGGATCTATGGTGGAGGTATCAATGAACAGACGCTCCTGTTCGACTGCCGGCAGCTTTCCAGATTTGAGAATCGAATGGAACACTTCAACAACGTGTTTCGATTCGGGGAGGCTGGTGACAATCACAGACTTTGCATCATTTGAACTCATTAGCTAAACTGAGTATAAGGCAAGCAACGCAAGGTTCTTCTGTGCCATACTGACCGACTTCTCTGCAAGTTCACGAGCATTCTCGGCAATCTGAACTTGATGTTCCGACGTTGAGGTACCAGCGCCCCGGTAGCTCTCTGTATTCTCTGCAACAAAGCGCTGAGATGCTTCTTCATTGACATCACGCACAATCAGTGTATCGGTCGGAGGAATTTTAGCGCGTAAGTTTTTGGCCATGTTGAAGCCTGGTTTCATGTCAATTCCGGGTCCCGATCTAAGGGTATGAACAGACAAGGAGTACACGATGACATCCTTCAATTGACATACCCATCTGGCCTAGACCAATGAATCCCCATGTTGCATCGCGGTGCTGTGTTGTTGTGAATGTTCTGACTGGGCTTGACAAATTAGTAGTGAGCGACTGGTGGCGGAGGCCCGCTGCGGGGTGAAGACGCGAGACAGTGGACGCAAATCGAACACTCATTTCTCTAGTTTTTTGAGTAGAGCACAGAAAAGGAATATTTGAAAAGATCTTTGATGTAGTTCCCAAAACTATTCCAAGGAGCCTTGGAAAAAGCGAGAGTGATGATATACGCATTACCGAGGATAAACGAGCAAGGGCATAAGAGGGTCATTCTCCGCACGCCGAGGCTATCCTGTTATATGCGGAGAAATTTAAGGCGCGGGACGGGTGGGTCACGTGGAGCCATGGCAACAACGTGGACATACGTAGCTACCTTCACACGCAACAAACATCCATCAAACAATTAGCCAATATTGATTTTAACAAAATCAAGAATCTCGCCGAGCAGCCCGAGCCACACATGAGCAAACAAACATGTAGGGATATGTTGAAAAGACCATTAAGAACCGCCACAATCTTGGAAGACATGAATTTTATGCGGAAAAGGATGAACTAAAATGACCGAAAAGATAACTTGAACTCCACCGGCGTCTATTCCCAAGTTTACAACGGTGAATTTCTCCCTCGACTGCCTCGACTCCCTCGATCATCGGATATCTCTGTCTCATCTACAGACTCGCCACTTTTTTGATCCACATACTCGCACCTAACACTCCATTGATCTGTTCTCTGTATTGCCATAGAACCAGTCCCATGTGCAGGCCTGACAGGTGCCGTAACAGCGAAAGCAGCTGCTGAGCTTCCTAGACCCTCAATCTCATCTTCCATATATTGTGAGCGAGTAGTGGACTCCTTTGCACCTCGATTCATACTACCCAGTGCGTATGAGTTTGCGTTTGCAGCACCGTATGAATTGCTGTATCCTCCACCAAGTCGTTTGTGTAGGGAGACGTTAAGCATTCCGCTATCGAAGGCGTCGAGGAAGGGTTTTAAACAAGGGATGCATGCGGTCATGAGGCTGACGCAGAGGGTGAGTTGAGTCATTATGCTGGTTGCGAAGGCGTCGTCATTCATATCTGCAAGAGATTTGGCTCTCTTCATAAAGATGAGACGCACGATGGTAGTGACTATAACACTGTATAATAAATCAGATCATGTAGTAGAGAGGCCTAGACGTTGGAATTTTGAACATACGAGGCGCGGAACACGAATGCGACAATAACGGTGACCTTTTTACTGAATGATACCTGGACTGGCTTCACGATGTACATTGGGAGAATGCAAATCACTAGCTCGGTGGCGATGTCGATTGGGGATATAGCGGCCCAGAAATCGAACTGCGTCGAATGAATGACTTGATCAGTATATGTGGCTTTGTGGTGATTAAATCTGACCAAGGACAGATATCCAAACTCACAACGTTGATGCAATGCCCGTTTTCTGTATCCCAGGGACTTGATGCACCGCATTTGAAAGCTAGCGTGAAGAATACGGGAACAGTCCATACGACCACTAGGAGGGACGACCAGCGACATATGGTTTTGTGGAGCTTGTTAACACAGAGCTTTTCCAGAAACTGCAAGACGGATACTTTCGCAAGGCTCAAGCTAAGAACATATAACAAGTCAGATGAATAGAGGTCCTAGAATAGTATATACCTTGTAAGTGGGAAGTTCATAAGTAGACTCGAAATGGATCGAGAGCAGGTTACCTTTTCCACCGTGGTAAAACTGGCTTTAGACATCTCGGACTGAAGCTTTCCAAGTCCCTTTTGCGTTCCAGTAAACACAACTGCGGACTGAGAGATACCCAAGATCTAAATATTAAACCCCATGTTAACTTCAACATTAACTCCAGAAAGCACCCATGATCCCCGCTTCAAGTAGTAGACACGATGGCAACCAGTCATGGACAACCCGTGAACTTACCAAAGCAATGGAAACCATTCCATCATCCCATTGCAGGGACCGAAGCATATAATATCGAAATGCCAGTCGTATCCACACAGCCATAATCATCATGACCAAGAGGTAGAGCGTCGCGATGGCAATTCCGTCCGCATGGTCGGCGTTGGCTCCTGACCGGGGGAGCCGTATAGGCAAGACCATAGCGACACTTGGTATTCGTTCACATACAGATTTGAGGCTGAATTGTATGAAATTTTGGAGAGAAAAGGGCTATGGGAAGCCGATAATATGCAAGAGTATTTAGTGCGGTAGTATTAGTCTTCCAGACTCCTGATCAATCGAACCATCCGTAGATACAGAAGGGGGGCCATACTTGGCGTTCTTCTGGCCCCAAGAATCCATTTTTCTTTTCCACAAAGTTTCGCTGGGCTTGAGAGTTTCTCACTAAGCTTCATGTACACCCGTGCCGCTGGAGCCTACGGACGCTCAACTGGAGCGTGGCCACAAGCTAAGTGGATCCGGGTCATTTACAGTGGCTGGCCCATTCCAGGGGTATTCACGATCCCTCAACACTGGTCGTACTTAATGTAGCATACTTGAACCGGTTTTAATTGGTATACGGAAGTAGCGCCGGTTACTCCGTACAGAAGTTTTATAATATACATGTTACATATGAATATTAAACGATCTACTTCGTACATCGTACTTACTAGCACGAGATTGATGGCGCAACGTTAGGTGCAGCTAATCCAACATGAGTTTCAATCCGGGATTCGAAAGTTCATGCAAACGGACAATTTCAAAGTTTGCGACGCTGATCATTATTTTTCATACGTGGGGGCATATTTTGACTTCCCATCGGCCGTAAGAAATGATCGGATTATTATGGAAACGGGAGAGGCGATGGTTCGTTATGGCCTGTGCAAGTTAAATCAGCACTGGGCGTATCGGCTGTAATGGTCTGGCCCGATTGGACTAGGAGGATTACGACTACTCTGTCTGTACTTTCTCATGCTAACTTTGTGGAAGGATCTGCTTGGGACCCACTTCACAAACTCTAGACGTGATCGAAAATACTTTCTCAGCTACAGAGGTATTCTTATGTTGCAGAAGGAAGCATGTGAGGATGAATTAGCTTTTTTGCAGTCGTCTTTAGCCTATTCGCCGTCGGACTTGCGGGCTCAAACATCCATCCGGGCCAAGCAGTGGAGATCCGCGGGCCTATCCGTTGTAAATCTGGCGGCCCGTGTGTACCAAGACTTAGATTTGATTGGCTTAACCCGCTGCAGCTTGCGTTACTAGGTAGTCTTGATCAACTCTTAACAGAGTCGAAAGGGGAGTGCACTCTATGTACCTACGATTTAAGCGAGGCGCAGAGGGGGGGCAAAAAAACAAGCTAAAAACAAGCTAAAAAATATGGAATTGATGGGTCTGCCTACCATACATAGACAATCTCCTCCGTAGAGAACTAGAGAATCTCCGAAATGGTGTGGCGGATACAGTCTCTATCAGCCAGCTCAATGTGGATATTAAACAGTTGTTCCAATGCAGACACACGCTCTTCATCAGATGTCAATGTCTGCAATACTTCCGATGTGGCCCCTATCCGTCGTTTCAATGAATTATTGAACAGGGTCAAGTCGCCCACAACATTTTCACCCGCCTCATCCAGGAGCATGCGAACACAAACAACATGGAAAGTAAACCAACTGTCTCGGCTAGTGCTCATATAGTAGTTCATCATGGTGAAGTCCTCGGGAAGAAACTCTGTCTCCGTGAAACAATAAGCGGGGATCCAGTCTCCGCCCCCATTCTGAATCTCATATTGCCAAAGAGGCTGAGTCTTGCTGGTATGTTGGGTGATTGGCCCGTGGCGCAGGCGTCCAGACTGGTCACCCACGTTGTGGAACTCGAAATCCTTCGTTAATGGCACAGGCTGGTGTGGTCCATTGGATCCAAACCCCACATCTATCAGGTACTTTTGCTCGCCGATAGTAACAAGGTTAACCATGTGGTTCCTGTAAAAAGACTGATCAGTGAAGATTCGCTGGTTGATATTTCCTGCTTGTATAGGATCTCATGGAAGGTTTCTATGTTCTATGCAGGGAAAGAGGGATCTTCGGTCGTAGTCGTACCATCCATCGTATTTGGGGCCCCTCCAGTTCTTTGAAGCCGACATTGGCTGTGCAGCCTCATTGACTCTTCCCCCGACCGAGGTAACTTGGTAGCCCAGGCTTCGCAAGACGGTTCCAAAAAGGGTACTGTTCTCCATACAGTATCCTCCCCTCTCGGATTTGTTATCCACAATTTTCTCGAAAAGCTTCTGGGCATCTATGGAAATGTGGCGTTGTACCGAGTAATGCAAATTGAGATTTTCGAATGGCACTGCTGCCACTTGATACCGCTCCAGTACCTTCAAGAAAGAAAGAGAGGCCTCTTTTTCATTACTTACACCATTCTGAACGATTGATGACTCCCGGTACTTTGCTGGAAGATTGATTCGATCGAAATATCTGTTCAATTGCTCGGGGGAGTAAGTGGGACGTTGAGACCAATCAACCGTAAAGCTCATATTTTCGAAGATATTAGAAGCAATTGTGCAGATTGCAAGGAAAATAGGTGGCAAAAAGAGTTTCAAGCTAAAAGGAAAAGACAATGCTCAATTGAATGAATCACGATCAGGATTGAATATCGGTTGCAAGTTGATTGGGCGACTCTGGTTAAAATGCAAATGAGTCGAAAAATGTCTAAAGGCCTTGAACTGCTATAGAGTTTCGGAATTGCCGAATTCCCGACCACTTCTCTGTACCCCCCTCAATATTGCAGCACGCTAGAGTCAAAGTACATGGATTGTCTTTGTCTCCTTCGCCCCTCCATTCTCGGGCCCCCAATGGGCTAGGAAAGCCGGGGGTATCGACATTTTGACCCGCGGGTGGATCCTTCTGACTGCCCAGCAGTCTTAGCCTGCGACGATGCATACGGGAGAAAGCCAATGCAACGATTCCAAGGAATTCCCGTCGACTAAAACATTAGTGGGAAACTTTCAGGACCAAGGCGTCTCATGGCTGGACACTAGCCCCGCCGTGCATTGCTTAGCGCAATGTGCAATGAACTGTGTTCCGTCCCCCCCCCCCTCTGTCTCCTTGTTCATTGTCCAATTGTCCATTGTCCCATTCCGGAGTACGAGCACAATGGGTGCTAGCCGTGCCGTCGGCCACTAATTCGGCCACCCCGAATTAGTGTCCCCCACCGTAATGCAAAATATCACCGTAATGCAAAACACGCAACAAAACATCAATTTTTAAACTAAATACTAAATGAATCTTGATATGCAATTATATCACCATTATCTCCAAGAATCGGCGTAGAAGACACAATAGGTGATTTATCTGTTGAGGGTCGAGAAGGTTCAAATCCAAAGCGTTTTTTAAAATCTTTGGCCACCCGTCTATCCTCTTTTTCATCTTCCTTAGCACGTCGCTCAGCAATAGATCGATTTGCATCTTTAACACGTAAAATTCCATCATCTTTGAGGTTTAATAATCGCCGTTTGGTAGATTTTTTAGCCCGTGGGGCCTGGATTTGGGCTATTTTTGCGATCGTAGAAGATGCGTTTTGAATCGCCTGAACGTGGAAATCCATCTCTGTAAGTATTTGATCTAACGTCCGTTTTTGCCGAGGTGTAATACTATCTAATTCCATTAAGGGAGCTAGTTTTTTGCGGCGTTTCTGGACGTCTTCTGTAGTCTTTGAAGGTGTATTCTCTAGACTTGAAGATAGTATATTTTCCAGTGGTGGTGATGGTGTTTTTTGATCCCGAAGATCAATTGATATATCTGGGATAGGAGGAAGGGCATCTTCCAGTTTTTGACAGACAATTTTAGCATTGACTGGATAAATTCCTCGTTCTCGAAACGCATTTCGGCAAACTCTCTGTGTCAAAGCTTTATCTCTAAAGCCCATAAGGTCTTCGAGAAATGAGTTTTTGTTTGCTGTAAGACCCCCACCCCACTGTGAAATGAGGTTATTTTGTTGACGAAAATAAGCCTTATAAGCCAAAAATGGCTTACCATCCAAAGGTTGAATATAATTTGTCTTATTTGGTGGAAAACCAAAGATCTTGATACCAGCTTTTTCAGCAGAGTTTAAGAATTCAAATGTCAGATGTGAGCCACAGCCATCAACTAAAAGAATTCTTTGCTCGCCTTGCTTAACGCGATGCTGCGTTTGACGGTCAAATTCTTTGATCCAAAGCACAGCAAGTTCATCAACCATATAGCCTTTCTCAGTAGTTGCAGTCATCCACTCCTCAGGTAATTTGGTATCATACCAAGCCTCCATTTGATGGCGTCCTTTAAAGATAACGAGGGGTTCCATTCTCCAACCATCAGCCGCAATACATTCTGCGACAGTAACTCGCTCTCCATGTTCTTCACCGGCAAGACGTGGAATCTTTGTTTTATGACGTGTAAAGACTTTCTGAGTTTGTCCTTGGCCCAATTGGAAGCCAGTTTCATCAAAATTATAGACAAGCCTTTCTGGTACACCATCAAGAATTTTGTCTAATAAATCATACCAATGTTCTAGAATAGCAACATCTTCGTGGCTCATTCTTTTTGAATCTATAACCTTCTGTCGTCTCATCTCAAAATCAACATCCGGGAAACGTTGAATAAAGCGATAAACCCAGTTTTTTCCGACTGTTCGGTCTGATGTTCCCGATCGGGCAAGAGTCAGATTTGCCCACTGTTCTATAATATTTGGTGTCGGAGGGATAAAAGCTTCATCCAATGATCGAATCCAGAAGGATAAAGCTTTCTCTTGGACGTCATTTAAAGCCTTATTTTGTGGTTTTCGTTGAATTCTGGGCGTTGATTTTTGACGGACTCGGCGGTACAGAGTATAATACGAAATAGCATATTCCTCCGCGATCTGCGTCAAATTTGGCTTTTTGAGGGTAGAGGCATATCCAACAGCCTCTTCCATACGAAATACTTCATTTTCATAGAAATCGGCCATAGTTAAGGATGTATAATTGAGGGAAGAAGACGTGCGGGAAAGTGTTTTGCATTACGGTGATATTTTGCATTACGGTGGGGGACACTAATTCGGGGTGGCCGGATTAGTGTCCTCCGGCACGGCTAGTTCATTGAGGTTCATTTAATAATTGATTAATCAATTAAAATTGTGTCTCAGCCAATCTTCCATTCTAGAATCCTTTCTCCATGCACTAACTTGATTTAACTTCGCAAGCGCACCTTCTTTTGCCACGAGGCCAAGCGACCACCCCAATCATTCAACGTGCTGCTCATATTGGGTCCATCTGCAGTCTAGCTGATAAGCGTAGTCTCTGTTCGGCTCTTTTCTGTTTCCGTTCTGGCTACTGTCCCCCCTTGCATACCTGGCTTTTTTTTTCTTTCTTAATCTCTCTTCTTCTCATGCTGCCTTCAATTTGGATGTGATATACATTCTCCGTTCAAGAATAAACGCCCGCGAAGATGGTTTTTAAGGATGGTAATCTAGCCGTGCGGGAGTTAAGCTCCAAGCGCTACAAGGATCGCGATGATGAGGATATGGCCAGGGCTGGCAAGAAGCAACGCTTCGAGGTGAGTTACTTCGGACAAATCTTGAGCCAAATTGGAGGTTAACAAGTATGCACAGCGAAACTTCGGCTTCTTGTCGATGTTGGGATTTACTACAACGATGATGTGTACCTGGGAGGCAGTTCTCTTGTAAGTTCTATTATGGAATTTCGCTTTTTATTTCTGAGTACAAATAACTGACATATCATGATAGCTGTAACGCAATCGCGATGGCTGATGGAGGACCCGCAACTCTCCTCTATGGATTCTTATTTTGTTGGGTCGGTGCACTCGTGACAGCGGCTTCTCTGGCCGAGATGGCCTCAATGTAAGTCGACCCACATCTGTTGTACAAAATTTCTAAGAGGACTAACACTCCCAAGGGCTCCTACTTCCTCCGGTCAATATCATTGGGTGTCAATGCTCGCACCAAAGGGACAGGCAGTTTTCCTTAGTTGGGTGACCGGATGGCTGGATTTGATCGGATGGTGGGCCAACACAGCTGTGGGTGTTTATTTCGGCGCAACCGTCACACAAGGTCTTCTTGTGTTGAATTACCCCTCCTATGACCTCCAGCGCTGGCATGGAACCTTGTTGTGCTTTGCCGGTCTGGTTGTCTGTGTCCTTGTCAACTCCGTAGGAGCAAAGCTTCTTCCTAAGGTGGAAGGTCTCATTTTGATCCTTCATATCATGGGCTTCTTCGCCGTCTTGATTCCTCTTGTTTATCTGGCCCCCCACAAAGACGCATCGTATGTCTTCGCTACGTTCCAAAATGATTCAGGTTGGTCAAGCAACGGCTTGGTTTGGTTGATTGGTCTTATGGGAACCAACCTCCCCTTTATCGGTATGATATCTCCCCAACTGCTACAATTACTCATGCATGTTTTAACTAACATTTTACTCTAGGTTATGATGGTCCCTGTCACATGGGTAAGGACTTATCGTTGTTTCATTACTCGAAAATCTCCATTTACTAACACACTTCTATAGCTGAGGAAGTCATCAACGCTTCAGTTACTGTGCCCTGGTGTATGATCGGCACAATCTTGCTCAACGGTACACTTGGATTTGCCATCGTTGTCACCTTCCTATTTTGCATCGGCGATGTCGACGCCGCCTTGGGCTCCGACACTGGGTACAGCTATATCGAAGTTTTTTACGCCGCGACCAAATCTCACGCTGGAGCAACCGTGATGGCCGCCATCCCCGCCGCCCTCGTTATCTGTGCTTCTTTCGGATTCTTAGCATCATCATCCCGTCTCACCTGGGCCTTTGCGCGAGACAAGGGTCTCCCGTTCTCGGACTTCCTCTCCCACATCACTCATGTATGATCCAACCTATCCCCACGCTCAAATATGACCATTTACTAATTTTCAATACTTCACCAGTTGAAAATCACTGGCTCGGACCTCCCAATCCGTGCAGTTCTCCTTTGTGCAGTCATTACAGGCATTATCTGTATCATCAACATTCCTTCAAGTGCGGCGTTCAACGCCATGATCTCATTGACTACAGCCGGTCTTTTCGCTTCATATGAAATTGCAATTGTGCTCATGTTCATGAAGAAAGTCAAGGGAGAAAAGGTAGCCTACGGTCCATGGACCCTAGGCCGATGGGGAATTCCCATCAACATCGCAGCAATCATCTTCCTGACTATTGCTATCTTCTTCTCTTTCTTCCCCCAGGGACTTCCAGTTACTCCGGTTAACATGAACTGGTCTATCGTTGTGTTTTCAGGCGAGTTCTTCCTTGGTCTTGGTTGGTACTTGATCTACGGGAGGAAGATCTACAACGGCCCTATTATTGAGGCTGGTGTGGGTAGTTCAGAAGAGCAGTACACCATTTCCTCCCAGGAGTGAGTATCTGGTGCCGCGCAAGTCTCACCATTACTGGCTGTATCATAAATAGTATATATGAGTTTAAATTTTGTAAAGTTAGTTGGTACTGGCAGAGGGAAAAGCGCAACTTCTCACAAGTAGGTTTGAAGCTTGTATCACAATCATTTATTCATTAATCTTTTGGATCGGGACTTCGGAGCTCTTTGCTATGTGTTTGGTTTGTAAATAAAGATGCTAGAAGCCACTTCGTACATGTATATAGTGACATTTAATTCGATTCGATTTTTTATATCTCATCATGATACAGATCAATAGCTTTGAAGTAAATTGTTTATAGGAAAAGAAGAGAGCGCGAAGCTACTTATGAGACTACCTATAACTAAATGGACAATGGGTTTTTCAGAAAAAGAATCTTGATTTCGTAGGTAGTGTCCGTAAATATCAAACGCCAGTTCAAAGCACATCTGCCAATGTCCCTTGGTAGATAATATACAGATATCAGAGATGCGTGTGAATCGAATTCCAAAATCTCGGAAACAGAGTATGAATGAGTGCATATGGGCAGGCATGTAAAAAGACAATAGGGTATGTATGATGTATGTGGCACAAATAAAAATCCGAACGCCGGGAAAATAGATCAGGAAATAAGTCAGGGGGGAAAACAACAAAACCGAAACGAGAGGCAGAATGCAGAAAAACGGCGAGGAAACAGGAATAGGTCTTTAAGAGGTCTACTCGGACCTGTTCAGATCAGTTCCACTATACATATCTATGATCGAGGAGATGTGGGGTGACTGGTTGGGCCAGCGAGATACTCTTCCGGGACTTTCGGGACCCGTGGAGAATTGGTGGTTTGGACAATAGCGCGGTGCTGTGCACGGAGAAGATCGCGTTGACGTTCCTTTTCACGGTTATTGGCCGCGCCACCTGTTAGCCTCCGCATGCCGCTTCGAATCATAGATTCTAGAGAATGAGTGCCAGCTCCCTCTGTTACGCTTCGAACCATGGGAGGCATAGGTGGATGAGCTCTCTGTGCGGTTCTTGGACGGTCTTCCAGATCAGAGTGTGTTTCATCAATGTCGTCATCTGAGAGGAACGCAGATTCACTCAAACCGACTGGGAGTGTGCCATGGGGGCCTGAGGGAACAGTATGAACAAATAGATTGTTGGCGGGGGAGGTGACCGAGCGGGTATGTGAGACAGGGCGGAGGCCTGGTGGGCCATTCGAGTTCTGGGGAGTCATGTTGACTGGGGATGAAATTCCAGGGCCGTCAAAGCGGAAATTGGTGGGACGGGACTCCGCGAGACCATTGTGGAAAGAGGAAACGGAACCAGTTCGAGCGAGCGACTTGCGTAGGATAGGCGCTGTTTGCTGGTCGTAGAGATGGGCGTTCGTATCAACGTAGCTACCGGTGAATCCACGTAGCATCGGAGGCGCTACCAGGTTGAGCATTGGGACATTTGTCTCAGTATCTTCAAAGAAGTCATCGAAGCTGTCTAGTTTTTGGACAATATCACCGATGTTGCCATCAGTCTGTGTATCAATCGATTTCATCGTGTCGGCCCTCATTGGGAAGAAGGAGTCGCTGCTATATTCATCGGCATGGAACTCAACATCTGGGGTGAGAGTGTCTCGAGAATTCATGTCATCCGCATCGGCGCAAGTATAGAATACCGCATGAACGTTATTGCGAGTAATTGCCGACTGAGTCGCGGGCATAGGCACCGACCAACCGGTAGGCTCGGGGATACCGTAAAGACTTTGGATACGCTCGTACTCTTTGCGGATAGCACGCGACGAGGCGGCAGATGCCATGCTCATGCGCAGATGATGACGTTCCATCGGGTTTCCGGAGACAGTCATTATATGATCCAAGACCTCGAGAGCTTGCGGGCACAGATTTGTCTGCAGAAGGCGTAGCAGTGGGGATATCAGATCCGGGCCATGACAAGTAACTTCAGTGCGTCGCATATCGACTTCAGGGATCAAGACGCATAGGATTTTCATTGTCTTGACACGGAACCAATCCGTTGTATTTGTCAGAAGGCCCATCAGGAAGATCAGACACTGGAAGTCTAACTGCGGGAAAAAGTATGACTTGATTTCGGTGACAATATGGTCAAGGAACACACCCTCTGTCTTGTATTGCTGGTTGGCGAAACCAAATAACGAGGCTGCGAGTCGAGGACAACCTTCATTCTCCGCTGCACGGGCTAGTAACCCGGCACGCATAATGGGTTTTGGATCAATGAAATCTTGACCAAAGCACTCAAGGAAATGAGGCAAATTCGCCAACACAGTGTATAGTTGCCGAGTTCCCTCTCCGATAAGAGCATTGTTTGGAAGTCCACTAAGGCAATGTAGTACATCCAAAGTACGGCTAAATGACTGAGATGATTTGAGTCCCTTGAATACCAAGTCTTGAAGACCATCAAATCCGCCTTCCCATTTAGATGGCTGGCCTTCAAGAAGTTCAGCTACAACATCGGGATCGCCAAGATCGACGCGGTCCAACAATTTCTCCAACATGCCAAGTGTCTCGATGAACTCACTCTCATGAATGGTATTGAGACAAGCGCAAGTTGTCCAGAAAAGCTGGGGGTAATGCAAAAGATCCGACGGGGCGAGAGAGCTAATAATAATTTTCAAGGTGGTGAGAATTTCCATCGAAAATGTCTGGTAATCTGTTTCTTCGTCGGCAATGGTGTTCGACAGGCGTGCAAGCATATCTGCCAACATTCGTGAATCCAGCGACGTTGAGATACACCTGAAAATTTGGAACGAACGGCATGCCAGATGCCGCACAGGACAAGACGTCGCCCAATTCAATGCTTCTTTCGCCCAGCATTCGCCCACACCTTCGTAGACAAAATTAAAGAACTTGATAGCATCGCGAGTCGTGGTAGCCATTGAGGAAGGCACTCGGCTATCATCGGCTTCTTCGTCTTTTCCGTTGTTTTCTTCGTAATCCCACACAACAGCCGGGTCACTCTTTCGAATCGAGTCGACAAAATCCTCGATCATCTGACGGGCGTCGGATGGTGCATCGTCCTCCAATTTAGCAGCAATCAGTTCATGGATGAGATGAACAAGCATTTCACGAGCCTGCTCCTGCACGGTAACAGTATAATGATCCCAAAGAATGAGCACGACATGGAGAAGTTTAATGATGTCGTCCATAGCCAGTGTCACAGGCGCTACCATAAGATCGACGAGGAATATGAGAGCAACTTGTCCAAGTGAAAGACCGGCTTGCTTGTTTCCCACGGGTAGTACAGTTGCGAGATCAACAACGTACGGTAAACTCTTGATATCGGGAGGGGGCGGGCTCAGGTCCTTCCGCTCCTGGACCATATTTTTTGGAACTAGTTGCAGGAGAAAGAATTCAATAACCTTGGACCCTGCAAGAGTCCCCGCCAGGAACACCACAATTTGTTTAGCATAATCCACAAAATTCTGTTCTTTACGTTCCAAGCAAAGACTGATAATGAAGTCGAGGACTAGCTGAACGTTTCCTCCATGGGGACCGGTTGCCAAGGCCTGCCACAATGCCTGTACTTGATTTGGTAAGACACTACTGCAGCGAATTGTAATCTCAAAAAGATTTGCGAGGAGCATGTAAGACTTCGCCGTCGGCCCGCCATTGGGATCCACCTGTAGTTCCATGGTCTGAACCCACGGTAGGATAGCAGCAACCATATTACGCTGCGTGTCAGGGCGCAGGCTGCGGAAGTGCAGGGCAAATTCAGAGAACAAGGTGAAAGCTAGATCAGAGTGTTGATTTGCGAGTCTTTTTGACGTCTCAAATTGGGCGAGCTTATAGACAGCGGTGGTTTTATCCGAAATGCTAATATCAAAGTCTTGAATTCGCGAGTTTTTCTGGTAGCGTTCTTCCAGTCGGCGTAGAAGCTTGGCCGACTTCATTCGAATTTCGCGTTTTTGGTTCCCAAGGGTCACAAGGACTGCGCCGAGGATTCTCCAAAATTGAAGTGGGTAGTCTGGGTGCTCGATGAGAACTTCTGTCACAACCTCGAAATAACTCTCGAGTGCCTTGGGCCGTTCTGAGACATAACACATCTCAACAGATCGCTCCATCAAATAGGAATGTTCCTTGTTATGAATGATCAGATTTTTCAAAGCGCGCCGACCCATCGTATGCCATTTATCACTGAGGGTATTGAAGATTATATCGATCCAGGAGAGCATACGTCCAACATCGAACTGAAGCACAGAGCCGCTTTCGGTGGTGATGCTAATTGGGCCAGCCTAAAATATCAATTAGTAAAATTAACCAGAGATAATTGGAAATGGAAACCTACGCAAAGAGACGCCATCGCACTCAATGCCGCCGCCCGGAGATTCTTCTTTTCAATTTCCATGGCAGCAGCAGTATTTCGCATCTCGCCACCTTCGGTTGGCTGTGAAATGGAAAACTTCCGCATATTTTCTTCTCTTTCGGATATTTGAGCTTGGTTAGGCGAATAGCCACACCAATCTTCCATAAGGGAAAAGGCAGATTTTCTTGATTCGAACGGTATCCAACGAGAGGGATCTTTTGTTCGATTGACACCTTCAAAGAGCTCCTCCATCAAACCACAGTAGTGGAACCGCAGGCGTTGGAAGTCCCAGTCATTTTGTACCTCAGCGTCACTCAAAAAGATGCGAATATCTTTCGCATAGGTGATGAGATTGTTGACGATCCAGTCATCAGCATAAACCTCTGGCTCGCGAAGGAAATGAGAAGTAAGCTTATATACGTATGTCACTTCAGTACGCAGACGATCTGTCTTTCGGCTGCGACGAGGGCTGCTTGGGGTCCGGTGGTGGGTACCAATACGGATCTTAGCCTCTTCGTTGCACGTTGTCACTGCATACTGGAGAGATTCAAGCAGTGTTCGATATAGGTTCTTGGTGATAGATCCTAGTGCAACAACAATCGCCGACCGGATAGAGTCCCGTTCGGCTGAGAGTAGCGGAATAACGAACGCAAACAGGCTTCTGGCAGAGCTGATTTTATCTTGAGATTGTGCTCCTTTTGATGATTTGCGCGCATGCATCTGGGCATTCGCCAACTGGCTTTGCGATTGAGCTCCCACGCTTGTGACAGTTGTGCAAGCCATGACCAGGTAAAGTTTCCACTGTTCAACCAAAATTTCCGCCGTCATGTTGCTTCGACCCAAGGGGCGGCTTTGGTAAACATCCACAGGGGAATACTGAGGGACTCTCGAGCTTTCAGCAAGTGATGAAATGAGTTTATGCATCTGGACAAGCCGTGCACAGACAATCTCTCTTCCTAGTGTGACAGCGAAGGGACAAGTCTCGAAGCTGACCCGAATGATATTGGGGAAAACCTTTGCCCACAGAGTAGAGTCATAGGAGACCTCGCTACTGCACAGCTCAATTAGGGTATTCTGCGAGGCGCTTCTCCTCTTGCCCTTTTGAATGCGACTTCTCTCAGCTACAGTGAGCTGCTCGTCATTGATATCTAAGATCTGCTGAGAATCAGATTCAAGGATCCGAATTATTCTGGTGTTCTCTTTGCCGAGAGCACTATCGAACTCAGTAATGAGACGCAAAACATTTACAGCGAATGCCCGAACCCGGCGAGATTGGGAGCAAAGGAAGAAAAGACCATGAGATTCTATTTCCTCCACATGGGCAAGAACGCTTGACAAATCAAGGTGCAGAGCTCGACTACCCGATGTTGATTTTTCGAGTTGATCCGAAGCAGCATCCTTTGTTTTTTGTTTAATCTCATCGATCCAAATCCGTAGCAATTCGACATAGAGCCTCAATGTAGACTCGATGTGGCCTGGTCCAAGCATTCCCTCATCAGACATGGTGGAATAACGAGCATCAAAATTGAATATAAAGCGTGCAAACCCAATAGTCACTTGCTGGGCATGCGATTGTCGCGCAATTGCCTTTAACGAATCGGCTGAGGAGGTAGCAATATTTGACTGTACATGAGCAGTCCCCGTGCAGAGAAGATTAATCAATGAGTTGAAAGGAGTATGGTCCGACAGGCAACGAGGCAACGCCTGGACGGCAACATGAAGAAGGTCATAAAACCCTTGTTTTTGATCCACTGTATTGATATGGTCATCGCGTCGGCCAAAGCCAAATGCTTCCGTGATAGGCGTTTTGGGTGTCGTTCCACCGAACTTCTCATCCAAAACCGCTTGCCCACCAAAAGTATTGTCGCATAAAATTGTGATCTTACCGAGTACTTCACAGAAGCGCAGGTAGTACTCTTTGACGTTGTCGCTCAATCTTGACATGTTGACGGGGCAAGAGGAAGCTAAGTCATTCTTTTGGGCAGCAGTGCCAAACTTCGGCTCTGCAAGCAATTGCGGGCGATGGAAATGAATGGGCACTGACGTGTCCAAGAATGGGTTTGGTAGAGAGCCCGTTGGGAATGGAGGGCAGAGCTGATCGCTTGTTTCGAGGTCTGACGTTGTTGCAAGAAAGGCTCTAATACCAATAGCCATTTTCTCTGGCTCCATCTGCTCGATCTTCACGTCTCTGCCAGACAAAAATAGATCGGAGTTAATCAAAGGGAATATAATGGTTCGAAAGCAAACATCGGGATGTTTGAATCCTATCATGCGAATGAGCTGGATCAAGGGCTCGGCACTGATGGGCTCAGCGGTCAAATATGTCCTCCTGCCCGTCGGCAATGCAATCTTGACAACCTCCTCAACCTTGCGGAGAGTAGTTGTGGGAGAATCGGAGTAACGGAAAAAATAGGTCCAAACGAGGCGACATATAGCTTGTAGAGCTGGAGCACGTGTAGGTCTATCCTTAAGTCTCGGCGGCAATCCCGATATCATCGAAAGCCACTGGGAAGAGAATGTTTCTTTGTTCGATATGCAAAGCAACAGCACATTCAGGGAGAACGCCGAACTCCAATGACGAGGCTTTGTCAGTAACTGTGCCAAGCGAGTTTGGACCAAGTCCGTGAACTCTTTCCACCGGGGTAACGTGAGGTCGCAAACTGGATTCGCCGCCACAGGAAGTAAAAGTTTTTCGATAACATAGCAATATGCCTGCTTTATCTTTTGCCCATGGGCATTCACAAACAAGCGCCCCAGAGACCGCATGAAATCGCACGCCTTAGTCCACGCTTCCGTGGCCATAGGCAAGCGCAGATATCTCATGCCCAAAATCAGCAGCTCAGCTTTAGCATCACCCTCGCGTGAGGCTCCTCTAACGGCTTCTTCTTTCTGGTATTTATCTAATTCGGCAAGGAAACGATTGGCAACTGTAGAGAAGTTCAATTCGCCCATGATTCCAAGCAACTGGCCATATATTCTCCAGTTAGCCATACGTAACGGGGATGCAGAAATCTGGTCAGGGTCAACAGTTTTGAGTTGGCCGAAGACTATGTCTTCCAATCGATCTGCCATGTCGAGTGTAATAGATGTCAAAGTGCTCTGGTGGAAAATCTCAATCAAGACTCTGCACACCAAATATACGGAGACGGTGGCACGGCGTTCGACCAATGCAACATCATCATGCCGACCGAGTAAAGGTGTTGGTGGCTGTGGTCGGTCTGATAAGGCAGTTGAATCCGTTGGTGTCTGAGTAGGCTCGGTGTTACGACGCATGAGAGCCCCATTTTCTGTTACGGTAGGTTTTGGCTGGAAGAGTTGACGCCTATGTTAGTGATTCCGAACCTTCAAAACTGTGATAAAAGCATCGAGGCATGTTTACATACCGGGTCATTTGTCATCTGCCTTGCAGTGATCGCGGCGTCCCCCTTCGCCTTTCGCCATAGCATAATTGTGTCAATCAGGGGCTTCGGCTTCTGCCTAGCGATATGTCCCAATGCTGAGATCAATTGATCAAAATTGGGATCTGCTCCAGGACCGCACACCTGCTCAACGGGGGCTTCGGATTCTCCCAGCTTCAGAATAGCCTGGTTGATTTTACTATCCGCTTGACCAACAAACGAGTTGAATAAATGGTGCAGCGCATATTCCCCCACGGTCTTGGATTCAGAATGATGCTTTGAATGTGATCGACTATGAGATCGTTCGCGCCGTGATTTCCCTCCCGAGTTCATCCGTTTGTGAACCAGACTTGCTGGACTGCCATCCATCCTTTCATCTGCGTCGGTATCTTGAATGGTGCTCAATGTGCCTGGTATTCCATAGCTCGATGCGCTCGCTGTGGAGCTCTGATGATTGGAGTGGGTATCGAGCTGATCTAACTTGGAGGGTAGACCAACGTCGTCAGATATACCGCGACCGAGTGATGCAATGAGTTCGGGGCTCAGTGGACTGGATGCAGTTGAGCCCGCCATGCTCGGGTTCCGTGAATGTTGCATTCCATGAACGATTGAGGTTTGCCGGTGGTGGCCGTACGAGTTCGACGGTCGCCTTTCCAACCCTGCGTCATATCCTGCAGGGCGACCGGTTGACACGTCTGGACTTTTGGATCCCGAATGGCCGCGGCGGGCTTGTAGGGTCGGGGCTAGCGCGGAAGGGTCGGCAGCTCTACCACGAACGGCAGAGGATTCACGACTATGCATTGGGGTGGACTGGGCAGTCCTTGTTCCTCGCCGCTCCGATGTTGATGGGAGGTTATGGTGTGACGCAGATTTGAAGTCGTCAGGGATGAGGGGCAACGTTGGTTGCTGGCCGGGGCCAGCAGCTTTGGCCGAATGAGATGCCACTATTGCGGTACAAGCCAAGCAGTTAGCAAATGTGATCTTCTCCTTGTCTCCGTTGTGACCTCTTGTTTTTCTTTTCTTTTCTTTTCTTTCTTTATCTCTCTCTCTCCCTCTTCCTCTCTTTCTTGCACGCGCGCGCTTCCTCCCCTTCTACCGCTTCCGATTTCTTCTTTTCTTTCCGGAGGACGAGGGATGACAGGGTCGCAAGGGAGAGCGGGATGGCACTGCAGTCTGCTTACTGGTACAAGGTCAACGACTCATTGCTTTCAATCCGATGCAGGCTGCCGTGTCAAGAGTGTCAGCAGTGAGCCAGTCACAGGTCATTCTGGCTCAATGCATCTGTCGTATTGGTTGAGATCGGAGGTGGTTGGTTGAAACTCGGGAATCCAGCACATGGATGACGAGAGCTTTTTGGATGTTTATTCGCCGCGCGCACGGGGAACCACTTTTTTTCTCCCTTACACTTCCTTCTCCTTAACTACGACAAAGGGACATTAGTTTACTTGATCATCTTTTTTTTATTTCTTTCTTTTCTCTTATGTTCTTTTTCGCATTCTGTCTCTTTTCCCTCGAACAATCTCTCAGCTGCATCCTTATCCACGCCCAATATTGGCGTTGGGCGCCATCGGGTCTCTCTCCCTTAACGGCTCAGTACAAACGAACCCGCTCCGGTTTTTGGCTTAACTGGCACCATGTCAACGTTATGATTTCAATACTTCAAGGAATATTGGTATATTTGTAGGGTCAAATTTCTAGTCCACTCAGCGAGGGCTACCAATCAAGGGAAAATCGAGCGTAGAGAGGATCAATGAATACGAGGCCCCTGGATAATGCCGACGACCATGATATCCTTTGTTCGCTTCCAGTAGCCAGTAAGGGAGCTCTAATGAAACCACTTCTAGAATATATCCTAAGAAGCCAAAATGGATCTCCCATCATCACAAGTCAGAGCAAAAGGATTACTTTAAAAATAGTCGCTTATAAGGATTTGATTGAAGTCCAACCAATAGAAAAGTTCGAGGCACTAGAGCTTCTCCGAAAACAGCTTAATGTGATGAGGTGCCTACGATCTACCAGAATGGAGAAGGTACGAAGAACAACGAATAACAACGTTGAGGAAAGGGAAAGAAGAGAGAGAGCTATGCTACATACATGTAGGCGGATGCCACTCTCCAGGCCAATCATCTGATTGGTCTGCATCCGAGAGTGGGTCAAACCGCACAAACGTGCAGACAGTGCAAACATACCCGTCCCGAGTCTCCTCCATGTAGTTATACTACACTTAATTAGCCAGGGGGGAGACTTTAAGACAATAGAAAATTAGTAAAGGAGCTTAAGTTTATACCGCTAGCGATCGTCTAGGCAGCTAGCTATATTCAAAATCAAGCCTCTCACTATTCAGTAGTACAATATCTTAAAGACTTCTAAGTAAATAACCGCAAAGCAATTAAACTTCTAGAGAGAGAGAGAGATTACCTAGATCAGGATTGGGAAGTAAAGAACTCAATTCTAGTAACCTAGTAAATATTGTTTAATTATGTTCGCAGTAAAAAGATATCTATAGTAGAACTACTTTCTCTTATAAGCTTATTTGATCGGTAAGGGATACCAGAGAATCTTATTCAGCCCTACTTTCATGCTAGCGGTAGCACTACTTCAGAATTCTATAATAGCTCTACTGATAGAGAGACATCTAAATCTAATATAGAAACCAATTTCAAAGATAATTTTAAAATACTAAGGGACTATTCATTTATATCTACTAGTAGAACTAGGACTTTCTTTACAATATACTTATTAGTACAACTGACTACACACATATAGCTAAAGTCTTATAAGCACATAGACCAATAGAGGGAAAAGTTTATCAATATTTTATACCAAGAATTCCCTACTAGTCAATACAAATATTAGGAGACGTGTCGATTATTGTTTCCCTATATTCGATCAGCAATATCTCAACAATTAAAATCGAAGACATCTTTATTACAATAGGCTATACTACTTTATAAAGAAGCACAGTATATATCGGAAAGTAGCAATATAGTAGTTATAAGGGAAATAGTATCGAAATCAAAAAATTAGAGAGCAAAATTACTAGGTACTGAGGATAAAGAGGTTCTTATAAGTACAGCGATATTAGCAGAAGTATACTTACTTAAGGGCCGGTAAGGGAGTCCGAGAAACTTGGGGTTCAGGTTATAGAGACAAGTAAGACAAAGCTCGGCGTAGACCAGCCCTCCACGTTAACAAGTATAGCTAATCTCGCATTGACTTTATAGAACCAGGGCCGGTAGGAGGAAGCCGAGCAGCTCGAGGTGCAGATTATAGAGACGAGCAAGACGAAGCTCGGCGCAGACCATCCTTCCACGCTGACGAGCATAGCCAATCCCGCGTCGACTTTATGGAACCAGGGCCGGTAGGAGGAGGCTGAGTAGCTCGAGGTGCAGGTCATAGAGACTCGCAAGACGAAGCTCGGCGCGGATCATCCGGACACGCTTACGAGCATAGCCAACCTAGCGTTCACCTGGAAATCTTCAGGTCGCAATGCCGAAGCTGTCGAATTACTTCGAGCTTGTTTAGCCAAGCAGGAACAAATAATAGGCCTGAGCCACCCAAACTCTTTATCTAATTGTGAAACATTGCTGGAATGGGAGACGGAGGTGCTGAATGTCAATGCCTGAGGTAGATGCTTGAATACAATAACTACAATGTCCACATAGCAATATAAATGCACTTGCTAACTTCTCAGATTAATACGCCAGCATGTCATATTATACTACAGAGCGAGGGAAAGGGCTTCGCTTCCGAGCTATGGCGGATATTGTGACTGAAGGTGATGGTAGTAGTCGATTTATGGGCGCTCTTCTCCCAGAGTCTGAGCAAGTGAATCATTCTGTATTCCCAATTTATCGCCCGGATGAAATCGAAATTTCACTATCAGATGGCAGCAGTGCCTTGCCAGCTTCTCCCCGAAAGGTATACATCCAAGGGCAAAAAGTTGCTTTCTTCAAACCAGTGGGCGCTGGAGATGTAAACAGCACATGCAGAGAGCTCAAAGCATACGCAAGATTAAAGTCGACCACGTTTTCCGAGGCTATATACACATGTAGGCTACTTGGAATCGTTCATCTTCCTTCTTCGGGTCTCATTGCTGGCCTCCTTCTTTCATACATCGATTGCAACAACACAACCTTGCTTTGCATAGGAGAAGACCTCCAATATATCTCGATGAGGCAGAAATGGCTGACCCAGATTACACGGTCTATAGAGGGGCTTCATATGTGCGGTGCTGTTTGGGGTGATGCCAAACCTGATAAAGTTCTAATAGATACGCAATATGACGCGTATCTTATTGATCTCGGTGGGGACTACAGCAAGGGCTGGGTGGATAAGAATCAGTAAATACCGCCGAGGGAGATCTCCAAGGCTTGCAAAGAATCCGCGCATTTCTCCTTGGATAACTCTTTCCATGTCCGCAACCCTTTCTATGAGATCTATTTTGAACATGGCAAGAGAAGTCATTGAATCGGCCAAAGAAGGTCCTTTACTGAGTATGGCGAGATTATTTAGGTAGGGTTTTCGTGCGACTGATGATTGAGATTGAAGTACATGTGATCTACTAACCTAATAATCTGCAACTTCCTTCTATTGATCCACCTTTGTGCACAAGGATATAATCTAGCAAAGAAAGTACAACATCAATTTTCTTTCCCCCCTCCCTTTGTTTTCTTTGGGAGGGGGGAAGTCTATGACAACTTGAACTTAAAGAATATGCTCATGATAGGGATCTATAATAATTGAAGCAGAGACAAGCTCCGCTCTAGGGAATTGTACATACTGGTAATCGTAATCCTTGCAAAAATGAAGAAAGCCTGTTATGATGAAAAATTAGCCTAAACATAATCGATCTCATGCTCAGGTGTCGGAAAACCTATATTATAGAGATACTTGACACTTCTTTGACAACGTGGTAGAGACTTCGCAAGAGCGGTATGGTCAGACTCGATCAAGCTAGGATTGATGTTCGCTATTTCAAAGCCAACTCCAGGTTGAGGAAGTAGGTAGACTACGCATATGAGAGGCTCTAAAGACCCCGATTTCTTTTTGACCTCGGGATCTACACACGTGTCTACTCCGCATAAAGTATTAGGTTTGCGCCTCCAAAATTGTCCTTACTAAGTAGTACGTATGGGGATATAAACTTCGCCATATGATTATCACGGGCCCCGAAATTTGAAGAATCCAATGTCAAATTCGTCCAAAAATGCGAGTATTTTGTTTATTCCTAGGCCACAGCATATGGGACGTATCTTGTGGTTGTTCAAAGTGGGGATCCCACGTCGTGCGGTATCCCACCGGTATCCCATGGGATATTCAAATGTTGACACATGAACGTGCCTAGGCGGACCTGTACCTACCACCAGATATTTAAGACCATTCTAGGTAGTCAACATCCATCCTTCTTGTTTCATTAAGAAATTGAATGATTCGAAACCCGAAACTTAGAATAGGCCACCATCGTGGGGGACAAGTAAAAAAATAAAAATAAAAAGTAAAAAGTTAATCATAAGTTCTTAACAAGCTGGGAAAGGCCCCCATATCCTGTAACATTCCTATTCCTCCCTTGGAACAAGACGGCCCCAACATGGTTTGATCCCATGAAAATACATATCTAGATTTATGTTCATGAAAGAGATAACAAGAGAGAAACTAAATAGTACGTTCCCAGTCATGCGAGGAATGAGAAAGCCGCTCATCGCGGAATTCCGCCGCACTTCGGTTTGTTAGGTCAAACCGACTATGTACTACCCGTGGACAATACTAAGTTGGTGCGCGTCAAACGGGGCCAACGAGGAAAGCGCGGAAGCAAGACTAAGTTGGGTTCGGGCAGTTTTGTGCATTCTTTGCCACTGTCCTTTTTGGAACATGGGGACGAAAGACACGGAACATAGGACCAACTCCAACTGAATCTCCCGGGTAGCCCTGCCGAACGGGTATGTAGCCTCCATTACCCGAGGGAACCTGGATCAGTTGAACGGGATGCTGGGTGCCATCATGTCAAATATGAGTACCCCACGTTGGCTTGAACAAGTCCAATTGCCCTCCGTAGTCAATGACCCAAATCCAGAGTCCCGTAGTATGATCCCGTAGATGGGCCGAATTCCTTTTCCGATCGATCGTTTTGGCCCCATGGCCCTATATAACGTCAGGCCCGTCAGCCGAGGCGGAGATAATGTACATAACTATTTGGGACTCAGTTATTTGACTTGAGACATACCATAGTCGATCATTTCGGTGAAAATTGATTCTCTATTCTACTTATTTTGATTATTTTATTTTTATTTTTTATTTCATTACTCGCCCTCCTCATCCTTCTCATCCTCCTCTGTTCTTATCCTACCATCCTTGAATTGATTCTTAGTCAAAAATTCACCTTTTTTCTTCTTGCATAACCTCATTAGTCGGTGAGTGCGCCTATGAGCCCTGTTCGGCAGGTGAAAAGAGATCCACTTTCGAGACCGACCGGAGCCCGGAGTGTGGTCAGACCACTTTGCCTCTTTTTCCTCGTGAATAGGGGTCCCTTTGCAACTAACACCTCAACTTCACCAGAAAGGAAGAGAATAGCCAGGGCCTTCTTATAGTGCCGGGCAATTAGCTTCTCTTTACTTTTTTCTTTTCCCGCTAGGGACCTCCCTCGGTCATTTGTTGAGAATTTTATTTTCCGCATCCTCGTCTGCGAAACTCTCCGCCTCCACTTCCCTCCCCCGCCTCACCTCCGTCTACGGACTCTCGCTCGCCATGGCGCAACTCGATACACTTGATTTGGTTGTCCTGGTAGCTCTCTTGGTGGGTAGTGTCGCCTACTTCACCAAGGGGACTTATTGGGCTGTCGCCAAGGATCCTTATGCTTCGACTGTCAATGGTCTCAATGGCGTCGCCAAAGCCGGAAAGACCCGCGACATCGTGGAGAAGATGGATGAGACTGGCAAGAACTGTGTGATCTTTTATGGCTCGCAAACTGGTACCGCTGAAGACTACGCTTCCCGCTTGGCTAAAGAAGGCTCCCAGCGCTTTGGCCTTAAGACTATGGTGGCCGATATTGAGGACTACGACTACGAGACTCTGGACAAATTCCCTGATGATAAGGTGGCTTTCTTTGTGCTGGCCACCTACGGTGAGGGTGAACCAACGGATAATGCAGTGGAATTCTATCAGTTCTTCACAGGTGAGGATGTCGCCTTTGAGAGCGGTGCCTCCGCGGATGATTCGCCTCTGTCGTCCCTCAAATACGTCACCTTCGGTTTGGGTAACAATACTTATGAGCATTACAACGCGATGGTCCGTCAAGTCGATACTGCTCTGACCAAACTTGGTGCGACTCGCATTGGTTCTGCTGGTGAGGGTGATGATGGCGCTGGAACTATGGAGGAGGATTTCCTCGCCTGGAAGGAGCCCATGTGGGCTGCTCTCTCCGATACTTTGGGTCTCCAGGAGCGCGAAGCTGTCTACGAACCGGTCTTCTCTGTTAACGAGGATGAAGACGTGTCCGCCGAGGACGACTCTGTGTATCTGGGAGAACCCACTGCTGCTCACCGTGAGGATCGCGCCAAGGGCCCATACTCCGCTCACAACCCATTCATCGCCCCGATCGCCGAATCTCGTGAACTGTTCACTGTCAAGGATCGTAACTGTCTGCACATGGAAATTAGCATTGCTGGAAGCAACCTCAGCTACCAAACTGGTGATCACATCGCGGTTTGGCCGACCAACGCTGGTGCCGAGGTCGACCGATTCCTCCAGGTATTTGGACTTGAAGACAAGCGCCACTCAGTCATCAACATCAAGGGTATCGATGTCACCGCCAAGGTTCCTATTCCAACTCCGACCACTTACGATGCCGCCGTTCGTTACTACATGGAAGCTTGCGCGCCCGTCTCACGTCAATTCGTCTCTTCCCTGGCCGCGTTCGCTCCCGACGAGGCAAGCAAGAATGAGATCGTTCGCCTGGGTAATGACAAAGATTACTTCCACGAGAAGATCACTGACCAGTGCTACAACATCGCTCAAGCTCTTCAGAGCATCACTTCCAAGACTTTCTCTGCCGTCCCCTTCTCTCTCCTCATTGAAGGTCTCAACAAGCTCCAGCCCCGTTACTACTCTATCTCTTCCTCGTCTTTGGTTCAGAAGGACAAGATCAGCATTACTGCTGTTGTCGAGTCCGTTCGTCTCCCTGGTGCTTCGCATATGGTCAAGGGTGTGACTACCAACTATCTCCTGGCTCTCAAGGAGAAGCAAAACGGCGAGCCTTCCCCCGATCCCCACGGTCTCACTTATTCGATCACTGGACCCCGTAACAAGTACGATGGTATCCATGTCCCTGTTCACGTGCGTCACTCCAACTTCAAGCTTCCCTCCGATCCGTCCAAGCCTATCATCATGGTTGGCCCCGGTACTGGTGTCGCTCCTTTCCGTGGTTTCATCCAGGAACGTGCTGCTCTGGCCGCCAAGGGTGAAAAGGTTGGCACTACTGTGCTGTTTTTCGGATGCCGTAAGCAGGATGAGGACTTCCTCTACCAGGATGAATTCAAGGTAAATAACTCTATTGCTGCTCCCGCCCATTCACAAAAGAAAAGGGGAAAATAAGAACTCAACTAATCCCTCTCATCAGACCTACCAGGAACAACTTGGTGACTCTCTGAAGATCATCACTGCATTCTCCCGTGAAGGTTCCCAGAAAGTTTACGTTCAACACCGCCTCAAGGAAAATGCTCCGCTTGTCAGCGAGCTTTTGAAGCAGAAGGCAAACTTTTACGTCTGTGGTGACGCCGCTAACATGGCTCGGGAGGTCAATTTGGTTCTTGGTCACATCATCGCCGAGCAGCGTGGTATGCCTGCTGAAAAGGGCGAGGAAATGGTCAAGCATATGCGCAGCAGCGGTAGCTACCAAGAGGACGTTTGGTCATGATTTTTATGCTTAATGATCTTCCCTTGCTCCAAACTTCATTTCTTTTTTCTCGTCTTCTTTCGTTGGTGTCCCAAGTCATTTCCCTTTCATGTTTAGATGACCCAGCATATATATTCTTGGCCTGTTATAACGGATAGCCTTATTTCCTTTTGCTTGGACATTGTTATCTTCCTCATTTCCCGTTCTGCTATTATGCATGTCTTTGTCCTGTATGATTTTGGGATTTCAGATCGTGGACATTCTTGAAGCCTTTGTCATTCTCATTTTCATTTTCATTTCCTTTCTTACCTTTTTTTCTGTCTTTAGCTCGGGCGCACTGCTTCCAAGTTGCCCTGGTGGGCAGGGTGACATAGTGATTATGTAGATTGGGTTGAAATTTACAAAAGAAGATTGACATATTAATAAATCATATTCCGTTCCTTGAGATCTTGCAGTCTAGTAGTAAGACAGGTAAACGGTCATCATATTATCATGGTGGTTTTAAAGTTATTGTAGGTGGTTTATATCTTAGAGCTTCACTTAAAGCCTTACCGGCATGTGGATCCTGTTTTCGGTTGTAAGTGCGGACTTAACTTCGTCATTGGGACCGCCCGGCACAGCTTCAAGTACTGCAAAACCCTCTTCCCTCGCAACAGAGCCAATCATTCAATCCTCAACGCCAATGAAATGCACCATTTAGAACCCTGTCCTTAATTCGCATCGTCTTCCTTCCCGGACTCGCCGAGCTTCTCCCCGCCCCTGCCGTCACCTATCCCCGCACTGAATACCGTATCGGCGACAGCACAATTTCAACCTAGCACGAATCCTGAATTATCCGGGACCACCAAATACGAATCATGTCTTATGTGGTTCCCATACACAGAGCAAGTGGCATTCGCCATGCAGTGAAGCTTAACTTCATGAACGCGGAGGAGGATTGCCTGGTTGCCGCGTGAGTAATGCCGGAATCGAGGCCTAGCTGATTGACGATCAACGCGGGAGAAAAGCTACACCGCAAATGGGCATATGTGAGAAAGTCAGAACCTAACAAAGCCCGTATAGTAAAGCAAATCGCCTTGAATTTTATACCCTCGCTCCGGATGGCCTGACACTTGTTGCGACTCGCGCCATATACGCGCAGATAACGATGCTCGCCCGCCTCCCGGCACCTGCAAACTCACTAACAGACCACCTTATCGTCGGCACAGATCAGTATAACTACTTTACACTAGTATGGGACTCTGCAACGAATGATATTGTAACTGCCCGCAGCTATGTCGATATCTCCGAGCCCTCGTCCCGCGAATCGCAAACGAACCCACGCTGCCTCCTCGACCCAACCGGGCGATTCATGACGCTGGAGATATATGAGGGTGTAGTTGTTGTGGTTCCGATTATCGAGCCGACGAAGCGTAAGGGAAGGGCCTCACATGCAGTTTCTCAGCCTGATGCGCCTCAAGTTGGGGAGCTAGGGGAACCAACCTCTTCGCGGATCGATGAATTATTCGTCAGATCGTCGGCATTCTTGCACTCAGCGTCAAATCAACCGTGGCTAGCACTCTTATATGAAGACAACCAGCAGAAAGTGAGGTTACGCATTCGGGAATTGGAGTATAGTCGAGCTACGTCAAGCGGACCTCCAGATGCGACGTTCAAAGAGGTCCAGGATCAGAAGCTGGAGGGTGGTGTCTTCGGACATGAGCTTGATATGGGATCATCACATTTAATTCCAATTCCAGCTCCATTAGGTATGTCTTCATTTTAAGCGGTGGGACTTCGGGCAAGTACACTCACTAATCAATGTTTTCTGATAGGAGGACTGATCGTTTTGGGAGAAACAACGATCAAATACATCGACGACAATGCAAACGATGTAATGGAGCGGAATTTGGATGAGGCCACCGTCTTCGTGGCTTGGGAGAAAGTCGATAGCCAGCGGTGGCTATTAGCGGACGACTACGGCAGATTATTCTTCTTGATGTTCATTCTAGATAATCGCGGTGACGTCGCAGACTGGAAGCTCGATTACCTCGGGAGCACGTCTCGGGCAACAGTACTGGTCTACCTTGGCGGGGGTGTTCTTTTCGTTGGATCGCATCAGGGTGACTCGCAGGTTCTTCGAATCGGCAGTGGAGGGTTTGAAGTCATTCAAACGCTCTCCAATATTGCACCTATCCTCGATTTCACTGTGATGGATCTTGGGAATCGCACCAGTGACACCCAAACTCACGAATTTTCATCTGGCCAAGCACGTATCGTAACCGGATCTGGCGCTTTCGATGACGGTACCTTGCGAAGCGTGCGGAGTGGCGTTGGTATGGAAGAGCTTGGTGTATTGAGTGAGATGGATCACATTACCGACTTATGGGGCTTACAAACCCAGGGTGACAGTGATTTTATGGACACTTTGTTGGTGACTTTTGTTGACGAAACACGGGTGTTCCGCTTTAGTGGTGATGGAGAAGTCGAGGAGTTGGAAGACTTTATAGGTCTAACTCTCAATGAGACTACCCTTTTGGCAGCCAACTTGCCGGGAGGGCGCGTTCTCCAAGTAACAGAGAAGAAGGCTGTGATAGCTGACTTGGAAAGTGGTATGACCACTTTCGAGTGGGCTCTTCCAGCAAACAAGACCGTCACCGCCGCTTCAGCCAACGATGACTACCTTGCCCTTGTCATCGCAGGTCAAATCTTAGCATCCTTTGACATCGGTCAAAACGCAAGTCTTATCACACAGAAGGAATTTGGGGCAGAGCAACAAATATCTGGCGTTACTGTACCATACAATCCCACCGGAGTCTGTATTGCAGGGTTCCCACAGTCCGCTAAGGTATCTGTTCTGGATATCAAAAGTTTGTCAGAAATCCAGACCAAGTCACTGGGCGAGACGGGCGAGGCATTCCCTCGTTCAGTTCTCGTAGCGGATGTGCTCGCAAATAACCATCCTACCCTTTTCATATCCATGGCGGACGGCAGCGTGGTTACATTCTTTCTGGATCCCAAGACCCATTCACTAACGGGGATGGATAAGTTGATTCTCGGATCTGAGCAGCCAATCTTCAAGAAACTGCCTCGAGGCGATGGACTATACAACGTTTTTGTCACATGCGAGAACCCAAGTCTCATTTACGGCTCTGAAGGACGAATCATTTATTCGGCTGTTAACTCAGAAGGAGCATCCCGAGTCTGCCACCTGAACGCAGAAGCATATCCAGGTTCTATCGCCGTCGCTACAGCACGAGAGCTGAAAATCGCTCTGGTTGACAGGGAGCGAACAACGCAAATCCAAACCTTGCCAATGGGATCAACAGTACGTCGTGTAGCTTACTCCCCATCAGAGAAGGCATTTGGACTTGGCACGATTGATCGAAAGCTTGAAGATGGCGTTGAGGTTGTGAAGAGTTTCTTTGTGCTTGCCGATGAGATCTTGTTCCGACGCCTGGATGCGGTTGAACTTGATCAAGAAGAGCTAGTTGAAAGTGTGATTCGTGCCGAGTTCCCAGCTGGCAAAGACGAGAATGGAAAGGAAGTTTTTAAGGATCGATTTGTGGTTGGTACGGCGTACCTAGATGAGGCAAAGGAAGGATCAATCCGCGGGCGGATTCTGGTTCTAGAGGTTGACCATGGCCGCAAGTTAACACAGGTTGCGGAGTTGAAGGTGATGGGTGCATGTCGAGCACTAGCCATGCTGGGCGACAAGATTGTCGCAGCTCTTGTCAAAACAGTGAGTTACCTCTCTTTCCATATCTTTTCTCCGGGGGGTATACTAAAATCTATTAGGTTGTTGTCTACAAGGTGATCAACAACGACTTCGGCTCAGCGAATATCGAAAAGGTCGCAAGCTACCGAACATCAACAGCACCTGTTGATGTAACAGTGGTTGACGATATGATCGTTGTTGCTGACCTCATGAAAAGTGTATGCATCGTCAAGCTCATCAAGGGCTCAGATGGAGCAGAGAACAAACTCGAAGAGGTTGGTCGGCATTACCAAACAGTATGGAGTACAGCGGTCGCTTCCATCGGCGAGAACGAAATCCTCGTCAGCGAAACACAAGGCAACCTGGTAGTCCTGACACGCAACACAAACGGTGTCACAGACCAAGATAAGCGCCGCCTAATTCCTACAAGTGAGATCGCTCTCGGAGAAATGGTCAACCAAATACGCCCCATCGATATTCCCCAGCTTAGCAATGTAACTGTGACTCCGCGAGCTTTCCTAGCAACGGTATGTATTTTCATCTCGGCTCTCGTGCTCAACATGTACTAATATGTTAATTTCACCCGTCATTAGGTTGAGGGATCCATATATCTCTTCGCGCTCATAAACCCAGACCACCAGGACTTCCTCATGACTCTCCAAAGTGTCATTGCCAGTAAAGTTGAATCTCTGGGTGATCTCCCATTCGACAGATTCCGTGCCTTCCGCACACTAGCCCGCTCGGCTGATGCGCCCTATCGTTTTGTAGATGGGGAACTCATCGAGAAATTTCTAACCTGCGAGCCAGAATTACAAGAGGAGATTGTGGCGGACGTAGGATCTAGTGATGTGGAAGAGGTTAAAGGAATGATCGCGGCTCTGCGCAGGCTACACTAGTTCATATTTTAACTCCGTCTTTATGAACTCAGCTTAATGTTATGATGGAATTGAAAATGATGTCTTTATTTTCCTTAATTCGTTTAGCATTGCAAACATTATTCTAACATTTACCCAAAAGCCCTATAAAACACAAAGAATCCTCCAACTCGATGGCTTATTGACACGGGCAGATATACCATAATACATTTTGATTCATTTATTATGTAGTCTATGTAGTGTACAAAGTGCAAGTCCATAAGCAATGCTAGCAACTGATTATCTGTTTTCGTTTTCGATATCGCCCCAGCAATGATCGAATCAAGCAGCCTTCTTCTCCTCCTCGTCGTCACTCCAATCCAACATCTCCATAATCTGTTCCTCAGAGAACTCGTCCGCCTGCTGACCTTGCTTGCGCAAGTTCTTAATGTACTTCTTCTGACGCTTGCGAGCCATATTGTTCCACTCAGGCACACCACTAGCCTGAGCCAGATTCTCCTCTCCATCTTCCAACTCATCATCCGTGTTATCCACCTCACCCAACACCTTGCCACTGTCACCACCTCCACGAAGAGAATTGGCAGACACCTTCGCCTTCTTGCCACCGCGCGCAGCCTTCTCCTTCTCCTTCTTCTCCTTCTCCTGGGCACGTTGACGGTCGTGTAGGTATTTGAAGAACTTTTCGATGTATGGACGGATGATGATGTAGAATACCACAGAGCCAATAACCTTTGCCCAGCGGCGTGTGCTCATGCTTCCCGCGTCAGCGACAGAGTTATAGACATTTCGGTAGAAACGCTTGGCAGCTTCGATAACCACGCCGAAGACCTGATGGAAGAAGTCGGCGGCAGCCTCTGCGGCTACGTCGCTCATGTCGGCCCGTTGTTCGGCCATGGTGGATGCTTTGGGTACGAGTAATTTCTCTTTCGTTTTTTATTTTGTTTGTTGGGTGAAGCTCGGGTGGCTGCGGATGGAGCGAATCTCAATTGGAGGAGGGGCAGATAGTGTTGAGACTTTCCACGAGGTGACTGGTAGAATAGGCGTGTACAAGGAGGTGATTCGAAGCTTGGGGGCTTAGAAGAGCATCAATTACCGTTTGTCCCTGTGGGAAAAAACGAAGCCGAAGTGGATCGCGGTTGCTCTTTCCTCCCACTGAAGATGAAATAATTTCAAATGCGGAAGCAGCAAACCCGGATCAATCATTTTTCCACGGACGCGTGCCTGGCCAATCAGGGGTGATCGCATGCTGTACATCGGTTTGAACGCGCTGCGCTTCATACCCTTCCACTTTAATCACTATCAACAGGATGTCACAAACTGACCAAGGGCTAGATAAGAACGAGGTAGAGGTAGGAAGACTATATACTTGTCTCATGTTTCTCAATCCCTAACCATTTCTCATATAGCGCCTGAAAACGGCTCTGTGTGATTCCATTGTGAAGATTGTCCAAGAGGAAACCCTGAAGCTTGAGGCCACTGCCACTCCTCAATTCGTCAATGCCCTTCTAGAGGTTGCTTGGTCACATCTCGGTAAGCTTTTCGTCGCTATTCTTTACAAAGATATATTCCAGAGCCTGGGGGTTTCTCCTATATTCTTGGAGTGTAGATTGTAATCTGCGCCCAGCCACCCCACCATTTCTCACACTTCTATAGAAACCACGATCGCTGATGTCGAAGCTTTCTCTCGGTGAGTCAACCAAACCTACACATCATGCCAATCAAACAAGGAATTTGGTTGATTTGTCGTTTTTTTTTTGAATCCGTTCTTGCCAGTCGGGACTCAACTGATCGTTACTTCTGTTCTAGACATGCCGGGCGGTCAACTATCACTCCGGCCGATGTGCTCATGCTTTGTCGCCGCAACGAGGGTCTGAACCAAACTCTGCGCTCATACCAGGAGCATCTGGAGATTGAGCGACAGGAGAATTCTTGAATGATGGGGTCAGCAGCAGGTTGATTCTCGTCTTAAAAACCTGCTGCATAAGCCACCTCCACTATAGTATACAACTTCATTGTATACAAACATGCAATAACATCCATGCACTACATCGGCTTGGGTGCCAGTAGTACAGGCCCTCCGATCGATGGGGAACTCACCAGTCAACGTTTGGAGCAACCCAAAGTCCACGCCACTGCGCAAGCCAACTCAAAACGCTTGCAATGGTCTTCTAGTCCTTGTCGTCCCTGTACAATGTGATACGCTGACTACTCCTGGCTCTGTCAAAGTCCCCTCTTGAATGTCCTTGAACCGAAGTTTCTTGACGCGGGCGCAAGCGACATGAGCTGGTATCTGCTGCTGAATGTTGGACCCGGAAGCCTAGTAGATCAATACACACCCCGAAGGCCAATGAAAGATCCTCGATATCAGTAACGCTGTCTACGCTACATCCCAATTCTATTACTGCGCCTCTGCTTAGTTTTGCAACTGTGTATTTATGCTTCAGATAGATGACGCCAAATCAATTTTACACCATCTACGAATGTATATTCCATTTGCACACGGGTGGAATACGCTTCTTCCTTTATATTAAAATATACTATCCAAGAATTGAGGGAAGTCAGCATTTGAACTTGATTAAATTTGTAACAAAGTCATGAGCACTGGACATTTTGACCTATGTAATGAAGTCTAAGACATCCGTCAGTCAACCTTCGCTCTTCTTGTAGTGCCTTGCATAAACCTTGAAGGCTCCAGGGCTGTGGCTGGGGAACCTTGGAAATATCGTTACCTACTCCCGCTGCACATCATTACCTGATACCGCAGAACGTCTCAATTTAAACTGCCGCCTATTGAGCCCCTCGCAGTCGCTTGTCAAACCGTGAGCGTCACATCCTTCCAAGCGGGTAATAACATGCTTATGGTTGGTAGTGGCCCAATTGGCATCGGCGTTGTGCAAGCCTTGGAGCTGCAAGGCGCCAGGCAGATCTTGGTGGCCGAGCTTATGGAAAACCGAGAAACGCTCTAGGGGGTAAATGGTATGGCGCGGCGTACGTTCTTCATTTGTTGCTTCCGGTACATATGCGTGAGCTTGTAACCTTGGAAGCGAGGCTGGTGTGTATATGATCTTCAAGTTCAATGCGACATGCGCATTGTATGGAGAAGACACTTGCGGTACAACCCTCGGCTGCCGTACGCAGGGGACAATTGTGAGTACTATATAATACTTTTTAGAAGAAAAGATCATACACATTCCGTAACACGGTGTCGGTGAATCAATACATATGACTGTGTTTATAATTATGAAGCGCGTAGTAATATTTCGGGTGTCATTAGGTTGTGCCACAGGTACTACTAGTATGGTATATTTCTTGGAAATTCCAAGGTCAAACATAAGAACTCAAGCTATCGATCCGGTCGGGGTTAATTTACTCATTTTCAAGGCTGCTCTGTCGACTTAACCCGGAGACTTGATCACATGTGCATTGCTTCCGAAGGCCGATAAATAGGGACTCTCGTGGGTAGCTTGAATACCGAGACAAGCACTATCAAAGCCTAGCTGATGATCATCGTATGTGCATCTGCATATATGTGCAGTAGGCAACATCTTTACGTATTTCTAAATCAGACATTCTTCCAAGGTTACGCGTAGACCCTTAGCACACAGCAACACCATCCTTGCCCCATAATATTAGAAACAAGGTACATCATAATCATAATGGGCGGGTCATTGTGGCGCATGGGTGGCTGGGGTAGACAATACGAAAGTCTAGGACAAAGAAGTCCACAAAAATGAAGTTTCTTCATGCTTCTTCACATGCGGTGGCGTGCCTCTCCAAGAACAAATTAACTGTGAATAAAAGCAGGATCAACGCCCCTAATGCGGCAAGGTGGAGTCTTAGACTTGGCGCGACGCAGTGGCTCCGGTTGTAAATTAATGAGTTGACATCATCTCCCCCACCAAATATTGTGGCTGAGACGCATCCAGCCACTCATGTCTACTCACGATCCATGGATCACCGGGACTGCTATCCACTGATCTTCAATTGTTGCGTCTTGGGGCCCCCAGGGACTTTTTCTTAAACCCTCCCTGAATCCTGTTGCCTTTTTCCCCAGTCACTCAAAAACTGAACGTCTTCAACACTACCGTTCACATTATAACTTAACAAAAAAAAAAGTCACCTCCCACCCGAAATAGGGAAACAAAAGAAAGCAACCTCATAGATCTTCTTGATTCTACACCATCATGGGTGCTGCAGGGGGTGTCTTTCTACGATTTTGCGGCCTCGTGCTTCGAGTGCTCCAGTTTCTCGATGCTGCTGTTATTCTCGGCATATTCTCATACTACCTTGCCATTCTTTCCAAACATGATCAAACGATCGATACTTGGTTAAAGGCCGTTGAAGGTCTTTCTGGCGCCGCTACTTTATATGGCCTGCTCGGTCTAGTTTTTGTCTGCTGCCTCGGTGGTGTAGCGTTCTTCGCCTTCATCGGCGTTGTCTTCGATGTTCTCTTCACCGGTGCCATGGTAGCGATCGCAATTTTAACTCGCCGCGGTACAGACACCTGCACCGGTACAGTGAACACTCCTATCGGCAATGGCAATGCCAATGACGAGAGCCCATCGAAGTTGACTTACGGTATGGCCTGTAAGTTGGAGAAGGTCGTATTTGCCGTCTCCGTGATCGGAGTGTAAGTTGACAGATCTTTTAACCTCATGATTCACTCTTCATTTATACTAATGATTATATGTTCCAGTTTCCTCTTCTTGATCTCCATCCTCTTCCAGGTCCTCTTAGCCCGCCACCACAAGCGCGAGAAGCGGTTCGGTCCCTCCCCTGCCAACAACTACACTTCCGGTAGCCGCAAGTGGTTCTGGAACCGCACCAAGAACAACCCCGAGAAGAACGGTGACAACACTCTGCCAGGTCACCCCACCCCAGCCGATGTCGAGTTCGAAGCTCAGCCACAGGCTGAGAAGGGCTGGTTTGGAGGCTGGCGACGCAACAAGAATACCGCAACTACTACCCCGGCTGCTACTGGTGCACAGAACGGGTATGGATATGGTAACTCTGCCTACACAGGCAACTATTAAGTGATGAACAATGCAAACTTGTGAGAATTATGGCAAGTGGATTGCTGGTTCATATTCTGCCAACTGCTACATGTGGTACTGCAGATTTTTGGTTTGCTTGAATCTATCCAATCAATGTTGATGATAATTATTTCCTTTTTGTTACCGAGGAACTGAGATATCCTGTTTGTTACAAGCCTGTCTGTTTGTACGATATGGTGAACATGGTTCACTGAATATAATGATAATTTTTATGATATCTATACCCCCTAGTCTATCTCTATACTACTATCAATTGGGATTGTAATAGTAATGCACAAGTTAAATTGTAGGCCTGGACACTGAATTAACCACGTTTTTGCCCACCAGAAGATTTATGACGCAGCTGCACCATCATCGCCCCGGGTGCCAGTCTTGGTTAGGCTTAGCGCCTTCACCCATTCATGTAACGGTACAACACAGGACACCCTATAGCAGCGTATAAGTTCTAGGAATGGCTTTGATCTTCCAGGGAATATGGCGGAGATCAGACTCTCGGATATTCAGGTAATCGCAAACCTCCCCTGGGCTCTTAGTCTTAGCACCTGGCAGTTAGTCATGTACTGTTGAGTCTGGTGAAGATAACATCAAAAATGACGAAGGTGTCCATCGGACATGTTCACTGCTATACTTGTCCGAAGTTCACTTTCAGGAGGGCTCCAACGAGGATCACAGTGCGAATCACTTGGGGAAAATGAGATGTATTACTACTAATAATAAAATACAGACAAAGAAACCCGCCAAAACCCCATCCAAAAACGCCTAGTAAAACATTCCGTAATTCCAAAGGCCCACAATCATTAACAATGGAATTCAACATGAGGACATTAACTGGGCGGCTATTAAGCGGGACAGTGAAGACCCAGCTGCGCCGAAACAAAAATAGCTTCCGAGTACAACTCGGCGAGAAGAGAAGAATGGTAGATCGTACATTAAAAAAAGCTCGGTGAGAAACGAGATTACCACTGAGCAGTAACCATGGCACCGAAGCGGCAGACCATACCGGCAGCGACTGCGCCCATGTAGATGGGTGCGCCATTGGAGCACATAGCCCAGCTGTAGCCATCGGGAGAGCAAAGGATCTCGCCAGAAGTGCAAGACCATCCGGTGACGTACTTGGAGAACTCGTTGTTGGTGCTAGCCTTGGTACCGACGACACGAGTATCAGCGGCTGGTGAGGTACCGAAAGCCTGGGCGATCTTGGACATAGACTCAGGGGTGCTGCGGGTGGCATTCTTGTTGGCCTCCTTCTCCTTGGTGGCAGACTTGGACTTATCGTCCTTCTTATCAGTCTTCTCGTTCTTGTCGGTTTTTTCGGTCTTATTGCTGGAGTCACTGTCGCCGCTGCCGAGGAAAGGAGCGTCGCCAGAGCACTTGTATCCCTTGCCCGAAACCTTGCCCATGACATTGTCACCAGGCTCAGGGAAGTTAACAGCTTCACCCTCAACTGTCACACACTTGCCAGCTTGGTCGACGTTGGCAACGAACAGCTCAGGGAGACTGTCAAAGCTGAGCTGCTTGTCAACGACCATAGCATCGCGCTGTTGATGGGCCTTGTGCGAATCGGCAATTTCCATAGGAGGATGAGCAGCCTTCTCCTCTGACTTTTCATGCGGGGCAGGCTTGTGGTTCTTGGTGTGCTCGGTCTGAGTGTCGGTCTCGTTGCCATTGGAATCACCTCCGATGGTAACCATTGCGCAGTTCATGTACATCTCACGGTTGCCAACCTTGTTGAACCAGGTCCAGGCCAGCAGAGCATCTCCTGAAGGTGCGTCTGAGGGGATCTTGAAGTTGTACTTCTTGGGAATGGGGCAGTCACCAAGCATGGACTCAATGACCTTGAAGCTCTTTCCTTGATCATAGGTAAGAGCTAACTGACACGAACCACCATCGTGGGTGGCGCTACCATCCAGCTCCATGTCGTATGACTGACCGGGGGCATAAGTGGCCTGAGAGTCGAAATCATCATTGGCGTAACCCTTGCACGGGTAATCAGATCCGGATGCTTGCAAAGGGTTGGTATAGGAATAATCCTTCTTTCCCTTCGCATCCTTGTTCAAAGGACTGCGGATGGGGTAGGGCTTCATCATCTGCATGTGTGCAGAGGCCACACCGGCCAACAGTGTGCATACTAGAGCAGCGCCCTTCATTTTGTGGAATATGACTGGATAGAGTTAGCATTGTACTAGACTGCATCTTCTATTGATTTCTCCCCGTTTGGATGTACTCACGGTATAGAAACAGAAAGATATTAGAAAGTAAAAAGCTTGTCAACGAAGCGCTCAACCACCAGGGCTATCAAAATCGTATCGTGTGATGAGAAAAAGGGAAATTCGTGTAGGAACACTCTTATGGCGTGCGTGAAACGAAATATTAATATAACAGCTTTTTGATATGTTTTTGATCCACATTCTCCAAGGTTTTCCAGAGGAATGATCAATGCCATCATTGCGAACGAACTCTATTGGCGCTGGACAGCAACGCGAAGAATGTAAACAGCCGTCGCTCTTGCCTTGGTTGCTGCAGCAGTGTTTAATTCCCGCAGTGTCCCAATACATACTATATATGTATTGAACGTCAAATTTCCCTCGGTGATTGAAATCTTGCTTGTTCCGCGTGTAGGGTTTATTGGAAGGTATGCAGACGTACTATGGCATTTATCCAATTACACTCGTTGAACAAGGCCTCGTATGTCCACATATCCAGCTTGATTCACCTTTTACTTTGATCGGATTCATAATTAGGGGAAATTAAAGTGCTTTGAAATGCGTCTTTCATCATGCTCCAATAATGCTTGTTAAATGAATGGCCCAGTTTAGAGTTGTTTCAGGAGTTTTCCGCATTGAGATGATGTCAGTAGCATTTACCCAAGTGCTGCATTGTTGCATGGGCCACTCAACTCTACTATACCATACAATAACTCGGGGTCGTATAGTAGTGATCGCAAAAATGTGGGTTGGTTCCTCTTGAAAACTGGTTTGATGGAGAGAAATTAGTTGGCCGAAGGCAAAAGGGGTCCCCATTTTCAACCCCTGTCACTCCCTGCATGCCAACCCTCATGCGCCCCAATAAACAATAGTGTGGCTTTACAGTTGTTGTGTGACCGTCTTGATTGTCGAATCAAATTCTTTGTCGCAGATTTTGTTTGCCCCGCTTGTTGCTTCCTATTAACTTTTGACTTGGAGTCTGTTGATCATCGCGAAGACATACAACTCCATTTCAATATTGACCCTGACGGCAGTGATGTGCAATTTAGCTTCACTTTTTATGAAAATGTAAAAGTAGATGGTAATTCCCAAGCGGCCAAGCCTTCCGTCAACTTTGGGATCATGAGTAGCCCTTCACAAACCGAAGATAGTAATAGCCAAATAGGTAATATATTAGACTAACTGGAAGTAGACTACCGGGGGCTCAAGGCTAGTAATTCCACAACACCTACGTACCGGATTTCCTCTGCCACTTCTATTCATGCCTTGCCTAAAACAAACCGCCCTATCTATAACATTATCGTAGTTTAAAGTAATTAATGGATGCTTGGTAATTTACAGATAATGCTAAATTTGAGAAATTGATATAGTCCCAAACTATTAATCTACTCCGTGCAATTTGAAGAAATGATCTTCCACGGTCCTTATTTTCAAAATGCGGCCTTTCCAAATAACATTGCAACAGCATTTAGAAGCTATTGAGGGCTCTACTCCAAGATTATAGACAAAGGTGGAGAGATTTGGTGGGGTGCATATTGCGATGAATGTATTGGAGACGACACGGTGCCATACAATTCCTGTCGAGACAGTATGATCTACGCCAGTACAGAATATTTGGGTTCTAAGGGTATAATAAAGTATAATTATCTCAGTAATCTAAGTTTCTGTAGTAATTTATTTATATTATACGATTAAGTAATTGGAAGTCTCGCTTAGGTGTCTTAGCTATAGGACTACTGGCCGATGGCCCGTCATTTTCGACAATTCCTACTTATGCGTTTGACCGCTTGCCAGTGGCCTATTACATACCACAACATGACGTTCAAAGTTCATTCCTTTTTTTGGGATCTTCAACCAGGTTTTTTTTAAAAAAAAAATAGAAAAAGAAAAAGAAAAATATACACATAAGGCTTTTCCTTAGGGTTTGGAGAACTGCACGACTCGGAACTCGGATAAGGTCAAAAATATTCTACTCAAGGTTACTTTGGGGACATCTCCACATCGCCAAGAAGTCTCCAAGCCCAATCTTATTTTGAGTTAATGACGTACCCAACATCACATACTTATCCAAGTTCCTATGTTACTACGCCTTCCAAGATTTTATATATACCTCTCTCAGAACTGCAGTCATCATTGGATTTTCAACCACCTTCAAATTACATATCTTCAAAATGTCCAACTTCACATACATCAACGAGAAGGGTGCTGGCGAGAAGCACAGTGACCTTGGTCACTATTCTCAGGCTGTCCTTCTGCCCGGAAATGTCGTTAAGTGCTCTGGTCAGGGTGGCTGGACCCCCACCGGTGAGCTTGACGCAAATGACTGGAAGCGCCAGATCGATCTGGCCTTCGATAACGTCGACCGTGTCCTGCAGGCTGCTGGCCTGAGAGGATGGGAGGATGTCTATCTCCTCCGATCCTACCACGTCGATATCGGTGCCTCCTGGGAATACACCGTTGAGAAACTCCGTGCTCGCATTCCTGGTCACCGTCCTATCTGGACCGCCATTGCTGTGCCTCGTTTGGCTTTCTCCACAATGCTCATCGAGCTCGAGGTTGAGGCCTACAACCCGAAGGGATCCAAGGTGTGAGTATAGATACTCTGACATGTAAGTGAAATGTCAAGTTCTGAAGCTATACTCATTCGTTATTACATGAATATTAATTGGCTAACAATTGCTCTTCCAGCGGACATTCAACAAAACTTACCCCTAGAGACAACACTACAAAGCTATGATATCAGGATAATTCCATGCCGAATACGAGATGAAGGTCAACCAGTTCGTCTTTCCTGGTGCCTTTTTATTTGACGAAGCCTGATATAGAATTGCCAACGATTCACACGATCAAATAGATGCCTAGCAAATCCAATTGATGTCTTTTTGGATATTTTTCCAGTGTAAGATGATGTACATCTTGAAGGTACATATACCGATTATACATGGTCATATTTATGTACCTAGCGCCAGTGTTAATTCAAGAACTCCAGGGACTACCACTATTGAGGTACTAGTATGAAAATTAAATAACCATTTTTATCTAAATGTTTCTTAGTTAATCACCAGTCGGAGATTTTGAACATCATGATTTGAACTGCCCGCATTATCACGCATAACACTTTCAACGACGGAAGATCACTTCAAATATGGGGTAGACTGATGAACTTTGTTAGAAGTCTAACTATTGAGTAATCGGTCTTGTATTTGGAATACGCCCTGGTTGTGGCACAACTAGTACCTTGCAGTCTGGAATTACAAAATTGGAAATGTTCCTCATTAATCTGGTCTCTATGTAACTCAAAATACACGCTTGAATAGGTTCTATCGATTTATAATCCATTTTTTGGGCTTTCTGGTGATATATTCTAGGCAGAGTAGCTCTTCCGCGCATCAAACTTTAGAAGCTTCACTTTCATATGTCAGATCTCTTAATGGATATCATGTTTACATTCAGTTTCCCTGCACGATCCATACGAAGTTTTTCATCACATCCCAAGAGAATCAGATGGTCCATATGGATAACTTATGGGAATGCAAAGTGGAAATCAAAGGTGCTTTATCTCAAGGCCATCAAAGATCAGACTAATTAGTCCAAAGATCTCTCAAGTTGATTACAAATCCGACCGACTTAACCGCGGGACGGTGATTACATTCTTATCAGTTGGAGAGGTTCCTCATGTCTCCAATAGTTATATGAGATGGAGATCTGGTTTTGGAGACTTTCTATCGAGTTTTGATAGTACGGATTATTTTCCAACAAACATGTCATACTAATTCGGGTATTTTACAATCGTGCACTAACCCTCTTCGTCAAGGATCCCTGCAGCCCCTTGAAACACGACACAGAATACATACCAGGGTCGAAATCACCCCAGCACCCTTCAAATAGACAACCAGGTTTCTGTCGTACTTCCTCTTTGGTCAGCGCGCGAAGTCCATCGACGTATCCAAGTCGTGGCCACTTTTTGCAGATGAGCTTGATATCATCTGGATGGACGAATGCGGATGATAATCCCATAAGGTCTTGACCAGAGCCAAGCGTAAGGAGGGCCGTGTGGATATTGACAGTCTTGCTGAATCCACGGAACTCAATCGTATGACGCGCAATGGCTTCTGCCGCCAGATCTGCCCATTCTTGCAATGGCCTCATCTCCCCCTCAGGCGTGGAACTTTGTTGTTCGATAATCCATTCGCGGGCTCTGATGGCACTCCACAGCTCTAGCGACAACTTGCTCTGGTTAATACCCTCCTCACCCATTCCCCATTCGTGCAGAGCGCATGTAAGAAAGTGTAGCTCTTTATCGAATCCGAGTTCCAATTTGGCTTGCTCTGTGTCGAATCCCGCATAGTTTGCGATAGCTAGCCCAAATGCATATGTGCGAAAGCAGTGGTTGGCAGCCCAATCTGGAATCTCTTTCTTAATCACCTCCACCGCACGGAGGCAAATAGGCGTATCAGGAACATCGTAGAAAGAAGATGGTTTAGCAGTAATAGGTGGTCGGTTCAAGCTAGCTATGGTTTGTACTAGTGGGCCGGGGATAGTCTGATGCCGACAGAACGTTGGGGATGACGGCATAGCGAATCTTGGCTTGAGGCTTTGGTAGGGGAATGCACATGTGTGATAAAATAATCGGCTTGTAATTTCGAGTATTTTACAATTCTAAAGTTCAGCAAGATATAGCGATGTTCCATATAAGCTTCTCAATATATAGATTATTTCTATGGCTTTAACGTTAGCCTATGATCCTACGGAGTAGTAGAACAGGGATTGATTCGGGGCAAGGATCTCCAAACCCGATCTTTGAATGAGCAACTACGTCTCCAAAACCTGATCCATGACCTGAAGATAAGCCGGAGGGTTTGCGAAAACGTAATCAGAGAGAGGTACATGAAAAGTGGAGCTGGAAGATATCTGGATTGATTTATCGAGCAGGGAGATAGAGATAGCGACGTATGGGGATGTAATTTACATGTAAAGCCTGGGATATCTAATGAGACCCCTATTCCGTCACCTCTTGGCTTGCTTCGATAAGGACTTTGGAGAATTACTCCATATAGCGGAATGGGTAGACCAATGAGGCATTTTACTGACTGGACCATGTTCATATCCTCAGTACAGTGAACTTAAAATCCGATGCCAACTTTTTGACAGAATATTTGGAGATAATATCTGACTTTGTATACCTCTATGTAGTAGCTTTTGATATATGGAGCCCAGGAACGAGGTACACAATGGGAGCTAGTGTACGGAGTAGAGAGGCAAAAATAAGGTCAAATAATGTCAATTGAGATCACTCACAGAACGAATGATGCAAATGGGGAATTAGATACGGGGGAGAGAGAGATTGGTCATGGTTTACCCCCCAATCTGGGGCCCCGGGTCACGCCCTGGTGGGTCAGGTCAATATCTACGTAGATAACGTCCACTGAGGGGATCAACATGATTACATAGTTTTCCGATGATAAGCTTTTTGATACCATTCTGTGCATGCGAGGGTATTACGCGATTGAAACGCGCATTTGCTGGTCGACATCTATTTCCCGGAATTCATGTCTATCCAGAAATAGAGCACTATATAATGACCAGCCTGGGGAAAGGATGTTTCCTAAGTACTATCAAATCCCCTGAAACTTTTGGATTATTGAATTATCTACCATCCTTCTAAATATTGGTCTCGAAGCCATGGGGCGAATAAACATTTACAATCTGATTGTGGTATTGTTTGTTGCCTTGGGATCATTCACATATGGATTCAACTCCTCAATTGTGGCATCGTTTACGGCGCTACCGGCTTTTTATGCATACTTCAACTTTGAATCCTCTGGTCCACGAGCTGAATATACCACTCAAATGGTGGGAGGTTAGTTCCCGGTGTCTTGGGATAATTCTTCAGAGGTGATTGCTAAATTGACTGGAACAGCTATGAATAGTCTGTTCGCTGCAGGAGGCTTGATTGGCGCGCTCTTGCTTGGCTGGCTTGCAAACCAGGTTGGGCGAAAGACTTCAATTCAGATAATCTGTGTGACCTCGCTGGCCGCAACGATCATTAGCGCTGCTTCGGTGAACTTGGGAATGTTTCTCTTTGGCAGGGCATTCCAGGGGTTTTCGTACGCTACTACTCACTCCCCTCCTCTCATGCGAGATATAATCGATCTAACAATTCTAGCGCTGGAATGATGGATGCTGTGTGCCCATTATACCACTCCGAAGTCTCTCCCGCAGATTCTCGTGGTAAGCTTGTTGGTTTCCACGCCTTTCTTCTTGTTTCGGGATATGTAAGTAGACTCCTGGTTTTTGTTGGTTCTTCATCACGCTAATATTTTTTCTTCAAAGGCTGGCGCTGGCTGGGCTGGATTAGGATGCTACTTTTCACCGCCAACCGAATTTCAGTGGAGGCTTTGTGTTGCTTTGCAGTCTGTTGCGCCTTTAATACTGCTCATCGGATCACCCTGGATCCCCGAATCACCTCGATGGTTAATTTTATACGGACGTTTTAACGAAGGTCGCGAAAATCTCCGGAAGCTACACAGAAGCCCTGAAGATCCAGAACAAGTATTCGCCGAGCGGGAATTCCAAACAATCTGCACTCGAGTCGAGCTAGATCGTACACAGACCATTACTTGGAAGTCCATCATGGCAAACAGATCCATTTTGCGTCGTCTAGCTATGGGGTTTTTCGTGGTCTTCGCTGCTCAATGCAGTGGTGTTTTAGTGGGTCATTTGAAATGAGCGGCGAGTCCAGCAAAAGTTAACTCTCAGAATAGGTCGTCAATAATTATCAAATCACACTTTACAAAGGCCTCGGAATTACTGGTTGGAAGTCACTTCTACTGCTAAGTGTCTATGATACCTGGGCAGCTTTTATGAATTGGGTCAATGCGATGCTTTTGGACCGTTTTGGACGCATAAAAATGATGGTTTTCGGATTGGTAAGATCCTGCAAATTTAGGCTCCCTTTGAGAGATCATTATACTGAGTTCGAGTTTTTCTACTAGGGAGCTGCTGCGGTGGCCCTTTCTGGCGAAGCAGCTATGGTCGCTAAATTTGCGGGAACTGACAATGCCGTCGGGAACGGATTTGGAGTTTTCTTCCTGTTTCTTTTTATCACTGTGTTTGCTAGTGGAATGGACGCATGTAAGTTTCAATTCAGCTTGTTCATTTCAATGCATGAGAACTAATTCATGGCCTTTCGCTACCCACAGCTTGCTAGTAAGAAGTCCTTGTGAAACGCTCATATTTCTCACAGTCACATCCTAACAGGCTTTTCTTTTAGTGTCTATAGCTCAGAAATATTCCCTACTTGGCTTCGAGCCCCGGGAATAGCAGTTTCAGTGACAGGGTTGTTCACAGCGACTCTTATATTTACTGGCTCTGCTTCGGTAGCCTTTGCCTCGGTTGGATGGAGGTACTATCTCGGTAAGTAAAATGGACAAGCCCCATTTATAATTATTCGACTAACAAAAAGGCTTCAAGTATTCATATTTACACCACTTGCGTGCGCACTCGTTATTTGGTTTTATCTCCCCGAAACAAACGGTCTCTCACTGGAGGAAATAGAGAATTTGTTTGATGCGCAGGAGATCAATGCTGTTCCCATTGACCCACTCAGGACTACAAAAGAGGCCACAGACGACGACAATCAGAACAAGGAGAAAGCCTTTGCTTAGTGAACGAATCACCGCAAGCCAGCGATAAGCACAGCCAATCCTACCTGAGCAGCTCGAACTGCGTATCAGTGTGTGGGGTGCATGAGCGATCCCTACTTCCAAGGGTGAAGGAGCAAGTATCCGACGAGATAAGACCAGAAAATTCCCCAATGCCCCTTTGTATCTGGCTTACTATCTTCCAAGGCTCCAAAGCGATTTCCGTCTTCTGAGCCAGCCAGTAACCCGCCATTCCCAATTTATGCTTTTGTTTCTCGTTTCAAGTTGTCTTCCTTTAAATTATTGAATCGTATTGGATGATGGCACCCCTAACAGAGAGCTCTCACTCAGGGGAATCGACTGCAGGCTCCCCGATAGCCGATTCTCACGCTTTGAATGCTAATTGAAAATACATTATATTGCATGGGCATGCTTTTGATATGCACGCTCGATGAACCACAGTTGAGATTAGTTCAACATCCCCATACAATGCAAGCAATCTTGAAAGCTCGATATCTCCTCAAATTCTGGTGGCAAGAGCCGCTAGTCGCACGGCAGTTGGCACGATACGACCGTATATCTTTACAGAAGGGAATATCAGTAGACACAGGCTTGGACTATAATGGGACGGAGATATCAAACGATGGAGATAGGCCCGAAAATTAGCTTCCACTGCTTCGAATACAATATCTTGCTTAAATTATTTTTGCAAGCATGGAGTGTCTCCTATACGAACGACATACTTCATCGCACTGATTTTTCCAGCCATGAGATCCATCAATCCCTGCTGAAGTCCGGTTAAGCCACCCAGAAGAACATTTCATTCCCCGGATGGCGAGGGAAAGGGGTTCGGTAAAAAAGTTTCTATTCAAACGGTCGCCATAATAAAGACCGCAAAAGCTCTCGGAAAGACCTATAAGATGAACACTGGCCCTGCAGTAAGTTCCGTTTCTTGAAATGAGGAATATACAGTTTAATATCTCAATCTAGCTTGCTAACAACTTCCAGAACTGGTCTGTCAGCCATCTTGATGACACAGTTGCGCTCTATATTGCCCTTCTTAAGAGCATATTGGATGGAAAGAATCCCGATCATAATAGGGAGGGCTACTACCTCGCAGCGTCTGGAAATGTGTCCTGGGATGACATGTACGACGCTTTCGCTGGTGCTCTCCTCAACAGTAATGTCATTGATAGCCCGAATGATGAGCTAGCAGATGAATCGGCAATCAAGGGCATCGCAAAAGTACTGGGTTGCCCTGACTACCATGTACCAAGCGAGTTTGGCGGAAAGTAAGACCCTCGATCAATGGCACAATTCTAGCTGAGTACTGATCTGTTTTAGGTGCACCTTAACAACTAAGCATGGTGAAAGCCTGGATTGGAAATCGCAGCACGAGCCAGCGCACATCCTTCGTACAGCACAGCAAGAGGTTGATTTTGTTTTGAAGTTTCTTTGAAACTGTGATAGCAGATGGTTTTATTCGAGCCTACACCATATAGAGAAACAACATCTCTCTTAGTAGGTCACACCATGGTCTACTTACACTATCATGATTATTCACACCATAACGGAGTGATGGCCGGCGTTGTTTGGATGAAAGATGACCAGCAATATGACGTACTGCATGAGATGGTAATGTCGTGGATATTCTGTGTTTTGTATATGTTGTCACACCTGCGAACCGTTGCATGCCACGGATACCCGATGTAGCTGATCTGATCGAATAAGAATTACTTCAGCAATGCCCTACGAGTTAAAATAAAGAATGACAGGGGCAAGTACCATTTAAAGCTTGGACAGTAGTGAATCCAGTCGAGTATTTAGTAAGTGAGTCTCTCACGGTGCTGATGACCTCGTTGCACAGAGTCTTCAATTCCAGCCTTGAGCCACCTGCTAGTGATACCGAGCCATCTGGCTGCGAATTCTCGAAGTATAGTATCATCAAAGATGTATACCCAGCCAGAATTGCAGAGCAAAGGAATGGTGGCACTATACAAGGTTCAGCACCACTACTATCTCACGCCAGAGGGATCAAATCCATAGACATACCGGATATTGCAGGGTCAATGGTGTTGAGGGATTGTGATATGTCTCTAGCACAGTCGAAACATATACGTAGTGAAGCTTCGCCAGATGACGGGAAAATCCGCGCCACTTTCTCCGGGTTGTAGACTTGTCGAGCAAGCGAATTGTTATCGCAAGAAGGGGAAGAATTTTCCACTATCGGGAACGACTCAAACTTTCTTAAAATGCCTGGATAAGGTATAAATGCCGGGTATCTATATGCTTTTATTTGCGCACTATTGCTGTTAGAACAATCGCTAAGAGCTGAGGTAACATGCCTACCTTTTCAATCGCATACGGCTTATGGTGGTGAGACATGATACTACTCGGGATTCCGGGGACTTTTCAGTATCAGCCACCCCGAGCTGGATGCTTTCACAAGTTTTCAGTTGAACGTCAATTATTTCTTGTAGCTTTTGGGCGCCGTGCTGCAGTTTTGGTATAGCTGTTTTCGTTTGAAACCCACCGACCAAAGAAGTGAGAAAAAGAGTTGCTGAAACAAGTGTCTCTTCAGCTAGGACATATTGTTTCCACACCTAGAATGTACGGATACTTGATTAGCGGGCTTCCCTTGAAATTTTCACTATACTCACATCGCTTCCATGGTTCGTTGTGGGATACGGGGTGGTGACATCGGCTATTTTGATTTTTCTGGTAGGGGGCTAATGACGCATTAGTCTCATGGGTTTCGTCTATATAGACTGCTTGAGCGCGAGATACCTTGCAATTAGCTATGGCAGTATAGCACATGCACACGTACTATGATAAAATCAGCATATTCAGTGACGTATTGGCTGGTGTGAAAGCAGAGAGCTTACAGTCATCCACCATGCTCTCTTCCTAGCCTCGGAGAAGATTGATTGATCATTGACAGACTGATGTAGTGAGAGTTTAACAGATAGATCAAAGGCCATTTCGGAGAGGCTGGTCATTTCTCTCAAATTGCTGCAATGTAAGTATTGGTAGAGGCTCAGAATACAGAGGGCCAATGGCACTTCTAGGTCGAATGGAACCATTGGGTGTATGCTTGAGCATCGTGAAGAGTCACATAGTACAGGGTCAGTTGTTTGAAGCTCTACAGCTTCGATTGCACGATTGGCTAGTGATCTCACACAAGTCGCACGTAGTTGAGGGTCATCTAGCCCTGAAGCATCATTCTCACTAGAATAGGGTGACAAGACGAGCAATGTCAGAATTGCAAGAACCAGAGGCGATGACGGCTCCCAAATTTCAGAAGAGTCATCTACTTCCAAATTCGCTGGAGGGGGAGGGAGAACGGGAAATGCTGGATGAATTTGGCTGTAGTATGCCTGCAGGCTGGAGATCAGGTTAAGTCAACGTCCGTTTTTCAAAGTGAGTTCTCTCAAACCCTTTCACTTGGCACTTACACCTGTGCATCCGAGCTGTATCGTTGAAACACTGGTGCCGGTCGGTCCGATAGGGCGTCTACGACAGGGATTAAATCTTCCGGTATTGTAACAGGGGGATATGAAGGGAGACTGAATATATCGCCAAAGAAGTTATTGAGCTCAATATCGGAGTCCCCTGAAAATATATTTTCAAACTCAAATGAGTTCAAATCGTCATTGAATAACGGAGGCAAAAGACCGAGTTGGTCATCCATGTCCAGGGCTTGAGGCCCGGTAGCCAAAGTTGTAGCCAAATTATCAGGCCTGCAACTGATTGAGGACATGGACTCTGGGGCGGATCGCCTCTTAGACATTCGATGGCCCTCATTCCAGTGGCATGTTATGTTTTTTGATAGGCACTAAAAAGAAAATACTCCATTAGCCCCAGCAAGTAAACGTGTTAGAGAACATTTACTTGAGGACAAGGTGACCCTCCAACACATTCAACTTCCGCAGAACGACTGAAATCCGATTAGTAGGCTGAACACTTCATAGGTCCCGATAAGACGAACCACTCTACACAGGTCTCATTGGCTGATGAGAGGGCCGATCTTTTCCGGCCCACTCCTTCAGACATGTTGTGGTAAGGGTAAACGATTACCAGGCTTCAAATTCTCTATTTGTAATATCCCAAATAGTTTGTCAGCCGAGTGTGCACGTCGTGCCAATATCCGTGGAGTTCACAGTGGAGTCAAGAGTTAAGTTATCATTATCACGCGTCCACGGGCTGATAACGATATACTAATGCGGTGTGGGGCAGCAGTATACAGCCAAGTATACGCAGCGAACTCATCCATGGATGCATTTACCTGGGGCGGCCATTAAAAAAGCTAACGTCATTTGATTCTCTGGAGGCTCAGGTCTGAGCTGCAGATGAATCATCATTATCTCGACGAAATCCAACGCACAGTCCGAGTAATAATGTAGTGTAGATTTCGTTTGCTCATGCTCAAGTGACTTCAAATGTTCGGCAAGGACATTTAAAAGACTCAATTACTAACAGACCTCGAAATTATTGGGAAATAATTATAACAATAATATTATATTTCAGCTGGACTAGCTAGAATATCTGCGTAGTTTAACAGAGTTTCGCCCAAAAACTTGACGTATTCTTTGTTCTCCATGCTCATAAAAACATACGACCAGAACTTCAGAAGGGAGATCGATATTTCCAAGAAACTTCTACAAAGTGGTGTCCGATCAACCATATCCACAGAAGACCAAGCGACTGGAAGGAGGTCCATGATATTCCCAATTATCCTGGTGTCGACTTCTCAAAGTCAGCAAACATGGCGTCGTTATGACTAGAGGGACAAGAGAATACGTACATTGGCTCGGCATAGCAACACTCTGCAACTGATTAATCCATTTGGCCAGAAATAATGCTGATTCGAAGGTCGAAAGGGCGATCTCTAGGCCCCAGCTGCTCATGTGTGTGCGAAGAAAGAACGCGACTCCAGTGGTCGCTGGTTGTTCTAAATTCCGAACACAGTCCTCGAGCAGACAGAGAGTTGAATCGAGTGAAGGAGCAAAAGGCCCTATGTGTGTACTGATGTCACTGGCGAGAAGAGAGGCATCATTCCGAAAAAGGGCATGAGAGTCATACAGGCCACCATGAAAATGATTTCGAATAGCCATAAGCTGAAGAAGTGCTCTTATATCTCTGGATAAAGTTTTCGGGACTTTTATCTTGGCTTGTGAAGTGTTAGCCTCGCGCATGTCCAATTCCCGGGTCAGCATAGCAATCGCACTATGATAAATCGGATTAGCGGTGCGCGATGGATTCGGAGAGTGGGGAACTGCGTTGACTAAACTCACTGAAGATGTCGATTATGACCATCAGCTTCGATTGAGGTATCTGCAAGCCCTTCCAGGATAGACACTTGTGACATGTGCGTCATTGCGAGAACAAAAGTTTCGTCATATGACAAGTTGAGGGGCTGCGAGTCATGACCGTTACTACGTGGAGTAAGGAGTGATCGATATGAAGTCAGAATCTCCTGTGCCGGTGGAAAACTGTCCCCCGAAGAGGTGTTATGGCTATTAACTAAAGGGGAGACCTGGATGGAACGTGGGCGAGGAAAATGAATACCTGCGCTTGGAAATTGCAACATCGGTAAAGTCTTCAACCAAAATGAGTTAGTAGCCGCGGCACAAAATCCATAAACCTGGGCGCGTCGATCCATCTCCGACTTGATGCTGAGTGAAGATTCGTTGTCTGGGGCAGCAATTGAGCAGTATTGAGGAAGGGCGAGAGAAGAGACGAGACCACCATGAAGCAAAGCAATATCATGATGTAAATGCAACGGTTGCGCCAGTTTCGTGTATTCCAGAAGTACCACAAATGTACTAGCTAGATTAGGCCTTGGCATTAGGTGTAAGTGCTCGTTCAAAGACCTTGGCATGGGTAGTAAAGATATGGAATTCGACATACTGACGAGTTGTTTCATCCTCTGGAGAATACATTTGAGAAGATGCGAGAAGACGGAATGTGATTGTTTTAGTAGCATGAAAAAGAGATTTGGAATCTCTAAATTCAAAGAGATAGTATGCTCCAAGAGCTAGAACGGCAAGTTGAAGTGGAATACAGGTTTCATCTATGAGTGCCGCGGAATGTACGAGCTGCATCCTACTGTTTTGCATGTATGATTTCAAGTACCTCTGTCGTTTTGGCGGCGAGGGCAAAAGGAAGCCAGGGACTTCTTTCAGATAATCTTGTAGTATCGAGTCCGACGAATTGATATCTGTGTCAATTTACACGTGAGTTTATAAGTCAAGGCACAATTTCTCTAGCTTTCACAAAATTACCTCTCGAACTACCAAGCCCCAAACTTGAATAATGGGGGCTAAACGTGAAAGGACCCTCGCCGTCGTGTTGGGGAGGGTCATGGTGAGGATCAGATCGCGGAATCCTCATTTGTTGTGGAGTATGCGTTAGCTGTCCTAGACCACTATTATTCACGAATGCGTGGAATTCGAACAGAGGGTTGTCTTCATCATGTTCATTTGATCGTGGCAGATCTATTACATCGTTAATTCAAGGTATGTCGCATATTTTACCTGAAATATGCGCCCAAGGGACAGTAAATGAACCACTGACCTAACCCATGGTATTCAGGAGGATATGGTAGGAACTGCTCTGGTAACACCCTATCTGATTCATTCACCAAGTCTGTTTCGCTTGATCTTGCAGGTATGGATGACTTGATAGTTGACCCTAAATCCTGAGAAGGAGGGTTTGAGGAAGTAGGCTTGTCACCACTGTCAAGAGTGGTCGCATGAACAAGTCTAGTATGACGCTGGAGCAAGTCACGCCTGCTGAAGGCGCACCCACAATGACATGTATATGGTTTTTCCTTAGTGTCTGAGGGGCCGCAAGGTCAGCCTTATTGGAACGGTATCCCAAAGGACCAAGGGGGATTGGAAGAAGCGGGGAACAAACGGATTCTGGTATGGCGTCGTAAATGCTCCAATTTCCGGAAAGCACGACTGCAGAAGGTGCATGAATGCGGCCTTGCTGAGCTTTTAGTGGATAGAGGAGATGGCATGGTCCCGAGGTCTCCAACCCCCTGAGGAACTGGGGAGACACTCTGCAATAGCACTCCGGAGCCCCTACCTAGCTTACTCTGCAGATCTGGAGTCCCACTCTGACGCTAGCCATTTCATTCCGCCAAGACAGTGATTTCAAGTCCCCAATGGTGGGACAAAGGGTATGATGTGGCGACGGATTTGTGTTCGTCCGTGAAGGTCTCCAAAAGGGAAGTGAGCGTCTCCAAGAATCCGCGAGTCGTGTTGAGGTCATATGGGGTTGATTTGTCATGCTTGCGGATCAGGTGATCTCCACATCTGGGGAATCTCTCCGATTGTCTCCTTCCATTCCTCCGGTCCTTCATCGCTGAGTACAATCCCCCGCCGTTCAGCTGTTCCAATGTTGCTTGCGATCTTCATACTACATGTATCTCTCACATTATTTATTTGACTGTTCAGGAAGTCATTCACCTCATTCACCGCCCGTTTTCTGCCAGCTAGCAACTGTTATAAGGCCAAGCGGAGACAATGGTTGCATCTGGCATAATGAATTTGAGTAATCCCACTACATGCACTGAATGTTTCGCTAAATTTTGTATTCCCAACGATGTTTTTAATGGACAGTCAGCTTGTTGGATTTCTAAACTTTTTTACGCCAGGCAATGAACCCCTTGCGATGTATATCCATGGGTTCTTATGGGTTAAATTGGCACACACGAAACTCTCCCTGTTTCAAATTCTAATCATGGATCAGACTCAGGCGATCTCCGGTTTTAAGTGTGGTCGGTACGATAGTTCGATTCTTCCAGTCGAGGTAGCCGTCGCGCTTGTCATTGTTGCGCCATTTACTGGTGATAATTGATACTCGTTAGAGAATTGAAGGTCACAACTCCAAACAGCATATAATGGAGTGATTGCGAGTGAGCCGGGTCAGTAATTACTTACTACCACCAATGTTCATCCCCCGGCTGTTCCTGATACAGAGTGACGGCACTGCCATTTTGCAGTTTTTCGGTGTAGTCTGGGTTGTATAGTAGAGGTCGACCGATTACAACAGCATCCATTCGGTCATCTCGGATCCACTCATCTGCTTCCTCTGGCATGAACGCACTATTCCCAAACAAAAGTGTATCTTTGAGAATCGGGCGTAAACAGTCAATGGGGTTCCATTCAATTCCGCGAGGTCTTCCTTCGATCATTAAATCATAAGATGCCCACCAACGCATCACTTGTACATAAGCTAGGCCCAGCGTGTTCAGCTTAGTACAAAATGGGACGTAGGTTGCTTTTGCTGCCTCCTCTGAGGGGATTCCGTTCTCATCCAACTCGCCCATATCGTTGTATCCTCCACATGGCGCAATTTTAATCCCAATACGATGGTAAGGGAAGTGCTCGTTCATTTTGGCAAGGCAGGCAAGCGAGAATCGCATACGCTTCTCAGTTGATCCGCCCCATTCATCATCGCGTTTATTACTGTGAGATTCAAGAAATTGCATGGGCAGATATCCATTGCCATTATGCAACTCAACTCCATCAAACCCGGCCTCTTTGGCAAGCCGAGACGCATTTGAGTACAGATCAATGATCTGTTGAGGGTCTTCGATTGGAGTTGGCACTGTATAACCAGGCGCCCCAGGAACGTTGCGGAATTTGCCACCTCTCGCAGCAATAGCGGAGGGCCCAGGAACAGGCTGACCGGACTCACGCTGGACTCTGGTTCCAGGATGCGCTACGCGGCCGACATGATGAAGCTGACAAAAGATCAAACCACCTTTGGCATGCACAGCATCTGTTACTTTCTTCCAACCTTCAACGTGTTCCTGTGCGTAAATCCCAGGCATGAAGGTCCACTCCACACCTTGCGGACATATCAAGGCAGCTTCGGATATCTGAGTTTTTATTAGTCGGGCTCTATACGTATAGTTGGAATCTGAAACGATATCCTTTCAATGTGGACTTACAATTAAACCTGTACCCGCACGCTCGGCATAATATGGCACGTGGAGGTTATCACGAGGCACGTTGTCTCTGTTACGAGTCAACGAAGCCATAACGACTCGATTTTTCAATCGAAGATCGCCAACATCCAAAGGCTTCAAAAGATGCTCAAAAGTCTGTGTGCTCCCCATGTTGGTATGAAGCAATCGGCGAGTCAATATTAGGTGAATACCGAGATGATTGACAACATAGGATATATTTCTACATATATGTACTTATGAACCAATAATCTTCAAAAGATTATTACCAATCCCAAAGTCTACATGGATTTTGAAATTCCGGCGAAAATATTCACTGAGGGGCAGAATTGGGGCAAAATTGGGGCAATTCCACTTTGGAAGGGATGAGTGATTTCCCCAAAAGGCGATGACAAATAATATCTCCGGCCTCTGGGGATTGTACCAGTATGGATCATCGGTAACGCAGTGGGACAATTACAATTTTTTTTTAAGATGGTCGCAAATCCAAGTTCGATAAGAAACCAGCAAAGACTTGCTGGTGCAAATTATCCAGAGGCTTCATTTTTTTCTTCTCCAGGAAATCCGAAACAATATGCTTTCCTCTATTGACTACGAGTCACTCTGTGACTTCCAAGGGCTTCCTATAGTCCGGGAAACCCTGACCAACCAATCCAATGGCTTCGTCATCACGGGTATGCCGCCTGTCACAGATGAAGCCTTTGTAGATTTGGAACGTGAGATCGGGGTAAGTTGTTACCCCTAATGAGCACCCAGAAGTGTACTGGGCTGATATTTCAGTTGCAGAGATCCAAGCTGCTTAAGAAGGATCTACCAGGTCTCGCTGAGTCGTCTTCCAGTTCTATCTCTTCATTATTCGAGGTTTTACACAAGACATCGCAACAGGTTTTCAAGAACCTCAGTCATGCTTTAGAGCTACCTTGGGAGAGATATTTAGGTGAAATGCATGAATTTACTGCCGATGGACAAGATGAGATTAGGATCATAAAACCCAACCATTCACTTCCGAATGCCTGGTCGACACTGGTAGGTTTCTATCCAGTCTTTCTATTCTCACCTAGCTCGGTATACTTATTTGAATAAAAACTAGACACTTGTGATCGACCAGAGCTCTCCCAGCCAAGCTGTCGTGCTTTATGGCGCTGCTTTAGCGGTTTTCTCCGAAGGGAATACCGCCATATCGAACAACCCCATCATCGTTAATTCTCTCCTGTTAAAGACATACACATGCGACTCAGGGGATCGCTTGGTCTACTATGTGCGTCCGAACGATGGTGTATTCTACACACGCACAGCCGGCGCACTCATGACACCACTGAGTGGTGAGGAACACGCTAGCAGGAAGCGCGTTCGCGAGATTACGTCCGTCGCTTGATCAAAGGCTAAGATCTGCTAGTGACCAAGAGAATAAAATCTGACAAAAAAATAAAATATTGTTGACAAGTTATTTTCTATTGGTCCAAAACTAAACGGTAAATACTCTTGGAGCATAATTTCCTCTCTGGTCTTGTTAAGTAATAGTTACCCACAGCGGTCTATTGAATGCACATAATGAGACATCAATGGCAAATTGGCTACTTGCGGTACAGGCGTCTCGGGCATTTATCTGCCTACACTAGTTATAATATGGACCTCAGGAGTTTCTTGTGGAAGTTTATTAACATGCAATGAGATGCCCGAATACCTACTGAAATACCTAATAATCTTTTCAACTATTTGGTCATAGGTTGCAATACATGAGAGGAGCAAGCAAACACTTGGGTACAAATCCTCGGAGATAACAAAACAAGGAATGAACGTGGCGGGAAAATCACAAGCAGAGGAGCAATGAAATTAAGGGAGAAGAGGGGGAAAGGCTAGCAGAGTGGAGGTCCATCTGCAATCTGCACGCCATCGTCACCATTTCGAGCATTGAATCTATGCAATTGCGAGATTGGAAGAGATCCCCGCTCTGTTCTACCCCTCCTTTCCATGGCAGGAATTCATTATCTGAGCATGTCTCTCCACCTTCGTGTCCAATGGAGCCACTTTCCTTTAGTGATATCAATGATGTTTCGGTGATTGCTCCGTTTGGCAGAGGTAGCTAGCTACCTTCACTGCATTTATACCAATGATGTGCTTAAGAGCGTCCATCTCGGGTAATTTCGGACATTCTTGACCTCTTGTTGGCTCATTGTCCCCTTACTAGTTCATCCTTTGGGAAGGAATACCGGTTACCGAGTGCTATCATATCCTTTACCCCACTTGATCCTTTCGATGAAGATTGATCAAGGAGTGAACCAGCTGTAGAGTACTGCTTTAAAAAACTTTGCGTCATCTTGTTGTCCGCCCAGTCACTAATTCCTTTCAAATACATGTCTCCTTGCTTTTCGGATTCGGGGGAACTGTTTAAAAATAACTTGTAAGTTACCATATTAAAGGCTCGCTTAGTAGTCAAAAAGAGCGATTACAGTGTAGTAGTAGTAGTAGGTTTTATTTACCCTGACCCCTCGCAAAAACGCGATATGCAGGATACAACAACTATATATCTGAGTATGTCCATTTAACATGATCCACTTCCTGACATGACCTTAGAGCCTCGTCACGGCGTATCGTGGCCTATTGCCGTTCCTATTGTTAGGCTGCCCATATGGCGTACGACTGCGAAACCGCTGTGACGCCTCGGCGAAGTCTAATACGGCCTGAACCGTCTTCGCCCTATAGAGAGCGATTACAGTGCCTAGCGAAATCAGCTTCCTCCCTAGAGATCGCTTTTCTTCTCCCATGCCCCACTGCCAAGGCGCTAGTGTTATAAAATATTTGACTGACATCAATAAAAATACGACTACTAAGAGTATTACTTGTATCTGAAATTTACCGGGCTTTTAAGTTGTTTAATTCCATGGAGGTGCTCTCAGGTACTAGATCACGCTCGTGGCTGCAATCATTGGTCGTGGAAGGCCCACAATCGCGGCCATCAACTTCTGGACCGCAGGAAAAAGCGTGACAAGGAGGCCGTTGAAACTTGAAAGTATCATTTATTTTTGAGCACTACATCAAAACGCACACATGCACAGATCTATAGCGGGTTGCGTTACATATTTTCTTCCCTTTACCTCTGGTTCTTTATTCATGAAGGCGGAAGAAGAAGACGCATATTTGTGAGGACGCTCAAGATTAGATGCTGACACTCGTCCCTAAAGGGGAATAGTGGTGGATCAACTCCATAGAATACCATGGAAGATCCACGATCCAGACGCAAACAAGGCAAACGCCATGAAACGATCCGATCATATTTTGGGAGAACAGTCTTCCTTTGCTAATGATTCTATTATGCTGGATTCCTAGGGTGTCGATGAAGCTGAGAACCTCGAATTTTGTAATTAAACTCTGTCTTTTCTTCAACGCAACTCGCCTTACAACACGTACTGGGCAGCTCCTGTGTCGGACATTACCCAGTCACGTGAGCTGTATTCAATCTAGAAAGCGAGCCCCTGACGGATCAGCAGCAGCGTTGCCACCAAGCTCTCAAGATCACCAATTACGAACAGCAAAAGAATGTTAATCCGATCCCAGCACGAGGTACCTGCCAGTGGGCGTTGCAAAGCTCTGAATATACATCCTGGCGACAGAGTTACCATAACGATCTTCTCTGGGTATCAGCCGATCCAGGTTGTGGGAAGTCTGTACTAGCCAGATCGATTGCCGACGAGTACCTAGAGGCCTCTGATCCAGCTATTGTAATATGTTACTTTTTCTTCAAGGATAGCGATGAACAAAATCATGTTGCTACAGCTTTGTGCTCTGTGCTCTATTAGCTATTCCGCCAACGGCCTGAGCTATTAGACTATGCGGTGCCATCGTTTCAACATAATGGGGAAAAGCTCTCTTAGGACGTTGGTGAGCTTTGGCGGATATTGAGGACAGCAACTTCAATAAGTTTATCGGGGAAGATAGTTTGTATCTTTGATGCTCTTGATGAATGTTATGACGATGATAGGGCTCAATTGATTAATAATCTCTCGTCATTTCACAGCCAGCCACGTTCATCAGATGAAACTTCGTATATGAAGTTTATTGTCACTAGTCGGCCATATGATCATATCCTAGAAGATTTTCAAGCAAGCCAGGGCAAATTCTTATATCCCTGCCTAAAAGGTGAAGAAGAAAACGATGCGATACGCAAGGAAATCGATCTTGTGGTGAAGATGCGAGTTGAGGAGTTAGCTGAAATTGCGAAACTATCATCAGATATACAGCAGCGACTCGAGTAGTAGCTCTTGCAGATGGAACACTGTATATATCTTTGGTTGCATCTGGCTCTGGATGATATTCGATCTACATTCAAGAACAGCCTTCGGCCTTGGAAGGAATTAATCCAAATGATACCAGCTTCCGTGAATGATGTATACAAGAAAATTCTTAGTCGCGTGCCTTCTCCTGAACTGGACACTGTACGAAAGACTTTGCAGATTATCGTTGCAGCACGACGGCCTTTGACAATACCGGAGATGGCTATAGCACTAGGTGTGGCAACTAGCCTAGATTCGCAGACAATAGCAGAGGCGAGACTTGATGCATCCCTGACCGGTGAGAAGCTCCTTCGATTATGCGGACTTTTTGTTTTCATCAACAATTCCAAGGTCTATCTTATTCATCAAACAGCAAGGGAGTTCCTAATCGCAAAGACTGTTTCCACTACCATTGATTCTATATACCCGTGGAGCTTTAGTGAAGCCGAAGCTCAAATGGGCTCTGTTCGTTTACGATATCTCTTGGCAGAAGATTTGGAAAAGGATGAAGAGCCCCTTGATACTCGAGCTTTCTTTGAATATTCAGCAGTACATTGGCCGGGTCATGTACGAACGATGGCTTTGGGTTCCATGCCACTAATTGCGAATCAACTGCATCGATTATATGATACAAGGACAAAATTGTTGTCACTGTGGTTCCCAATTTTTTGGAAAACATTCAGGCCATATAACACGACGCCTACGCTGAATGCATTACACATAGCAGCCTTTAATGGCCATGAGCAGGAGGTTGACTATCTACTTGAGGTGGATAAAAGCGATATCAATGCAGCAGATAGTACATTGACATACCCTATCATATGGGCATCATTAAATGGACATGACATAGTGGTGCACATGCTACTGAAGAAGGGAGCCGATGTCAACGCCCAGGGTGGACGTTACGGAAATGCGCTCTATGCTGCTTGTTCTGAAGGACACGACAAGATTGTACAGATGCTGCTCGAGAAGGGAGCCGATGTCAATGCTCCGGGTGGCTATTACGGAAATGCGCTCTATATTGCTTGTTCTGGAGGACACGACGAGATCGTGTATATGTTGCTAGAGCGACAAGCAGATCAATCGACACTTTCCTTCCCTCATCCTAAGAGGCTTAAGCTGTTTTGATTCCCACCGATAGATATATACCATAGATACCTTGAATCCTAATCTTTCTATCCGGTCATCCCCTGTTATTGTAGTGAGGCTTAAAAAATCGCTGCTTGCTTCGCTCGTGGCTTCTAGCTTACATAGGACGGAATGGAGCGTGAACATGTAATCAGTTTCTGGCAAATTTTTTTCCAGATGGCGAGAATAACGAGAATAGTACTACATATCTATCTCACTACATCCATGGTTTTGATAAAGTCTACGAAGTAGTATTCTAATTTTCATCAATACCATTAACTTGTAAATGGCCATCGTATAAAAACTACTGTCGAGTCGTGAAGGAATCGTCATGTCGCGTATGAGATAACGGTACCGACATCTTCCACATTTTCCCGAGCCTTGGCGATTAGATAATCGCATTTTCCTAGTTAACTAACGTTATAACTAGTTAGTGTAGAAGGGAACGCTCGTTGGCATGCACACGCGGAGATGTGCGGGTCGATTCAGCAGCAAAACCAACACCACAGCCCACGGCAAGTTGTACGAGAGACCTATAGGTCTGAATGAGAGAGGTGTAAGAAGGTGATGACCAGTACTATCATCATCATAAAAGAAACTATCTTCCTGCAAACCGGCAGAGCCTGTATACTAAATTTCCCGCTTCAAGATGCGGAACGGAAAAACCATTGTTCCGGTCCTAATCCATAATGATAATGTAGTAGAGGGCTCCCCACTACACTAGTTATAAATTATATAACGTTACGAGACTAGATTTAGAAATTACACTTTGTCAGACCTATGTTTTCGTACCTAGGTACTGCATACTCATGGACATATTACTAATTCGAGAGATCGGCTATGAAAGACTCGACGCTGAACATTATTAGAGCAATCTCAACACCTGTAGGTAATTAGAACTGTTTTGGGAGTTAACTTGATGCCGTGGTTGTTACTACATATCTAACACGCTTGGAACCCTCGAGTTGTCAATCAAAAAATACCATGAACTCCAACATGCTTCAGTGTAGCTTCCACGGCAAGCCTGAGGTCCGCGGGTTGAACAATATTGAGGCCTCGGGGTAGTGCTTCAGTTTTCCTGGGGACTTGATTGGCAGTAGAATATACTACTAATTCAAGTTCAATTTCAACTTGAAGTTAAAGTTGCTCGGCGGGTCCACTTTTATTGGTGAATATATATAGTATACTATATACTGGATACCGCACTAGATACAAGCAACTGCGAGTGCAACTTGAATGTCTATTTCTAGGTTAATACTTAGGTATATGAGATATGGATAAACAGGTATATAAGAAACTATATTCTCGTGTAGTACAGCTGCCTCGAGGACGTGGTTTCATAAAGTAAGATCAAATTAGATCTCCAGGGTTTTCAAGGTTAAAGTGTTATAGTGTCAAATCACGAGCCGTCGCGTCGGTACGACGGTTAATTGGCGCTCCCGCTTCAATCCCACCCCTGATACCATTTCTCTTTAACCAGCCCTCCAAACCCCATTGCTCTCTGTTATAGCGCCGCTGGATGTGTAGGTCATTTCTACGGCCGCCGCATGCCTTGCTTGCTCCCCATGCTGTCTCTTTAAGGTCGCGCCTGAGTGGTCGCCACCTTTCGTCACTGAAGAATCCCGATCGATCGATTGCCGTGGCGAACACCAGATCGCTAAGTCTGGGCCATGCTCATCATGCCGCGCGACCTGTTTCACCCTTCCCTTTACACACCGTCGTCAGTCTTGCGCACCATTCTTGCTTGAAGCTAGGCCGCTTTGCTCCATCACGTACATATTCGCAAGCCTTCGCTACCGGAAATGATATATGCGACACGAAAGAAATGAAAATGGCTATAAAAGCAGAAGTTGACATCCAACCAGCCGATATTCTCAATGGAGATGTAGCTGCGCTTGCTGGCCAAGCAGAAGCGGCGTGGGATCCCGAGTCGGATGAGAATGTCCCACTGGAGGAGGACGAGCTCAAAGAAGCACTAGGACGACCTCCTCCAGTCAATAGCAGTTATCTTCCGCTCCCCTGGAAAGGCCGTCTTGGATACGTGAGTTTTCAGCTTATAAAGCTCCTCTTTTTCCACATATTACCCTCATTGCATCGCTAACAAATACTAGGCTTGTCTTAATACATACCTCCGTTACTCCAATCCTCCTGTCTTTTGCTCTCGCACCTGTCGCATTGCCTCCATCCTTGAAAATCGCCACCCACTCCAAGACCCAGACGAGCCCGCGCATCCCACAAAGAACCGCCCGGACCGCAACAAGCCGGCAGATATAGCACGTGGACAGGCGTTTGTTGAATCCCTGGGCTTAGCGAATGCGCGCGATCTTTTGAAGTTGCTTCGCTGGAACGACAAATATGGGATTAAGTTCATGCGACTGAGTAGTGAAATGTTCCCGTTCTGTAGCCATAAAGAATATGGTTATAAGCTGGCACCATTCGCCTCGGAAGCATTGGCAGAAGCAGGCCGGGTGGTCGCAGAACTCGGCCATCGCGTCTCTGTGCATCCTGGACAGTTCACTCAACTGGGTTCGCCACGAAATGAGGTGGTTGAAAATTCATACCGCGATCTTGAGTACCACTCTGAAATGCTACAGCTTCTTAAGCTACCACCGCAACAGGATCGCGATGCAGTCATGATTCTGCATATGGGAGGAGTATTTGGTGATAAAGGCGAAACTCTAGACCGGTTTCGAAAGAATTACGCAGTTTTATCGCAGGACATCAAGAACCGACTGGTCCTGGAGAATGACGATGTTAGTTGGACAGTACATGATCTGCTACCTATCTGCGAGGAATTAAATATTCCCTTGGTTCTCGATTATCACCACCATAATATCTTATTTGACGCAAATGAGGTCCGAGAAGGCACTCAGGATATCATACCACTCTACGATCGCATAGCGACGACGTGGTCACGGAAAAATATCACTCAAAAAATGCATTACTCTGAGCCCACGAACTCTGCAATAACCCCTCGACAACGACGCAAACACAGCGACCGTGTCGCCACCCTGCCTCCTTGTGCGCCGACCATGGATCTAATGATAGAAGCCAAGGACAAAGAACAGGCCGTCTTCGAATTGATGAGAACCTTTAAGTTACCCGGTTACGACCTCCTTAATGACTTAATCCCATACATGCGAACAGACGAGAACAAAGCTTTCAAGCCTCCTCGCAAAACCAAGAAAAATGACGGATTCGTTGATCTCGAGGGAACTGTTCCGCCTCCAAGACTTATAACAGACGAAGAAGTTGGCATGGGTGGCCCTGACCGGAGAGTCTATTGGCCTCCAACTATGGAGGAATGGCTCCGCCCTGCTAAAAAGGTCGTGAAGACCAAAACGACTAAGAGCCCGGCCAAGGGATCTGCGGCCAAAAAGATTAAAATCGAACCTAGTGCCCCTGATGACCTTCCAGAGACACCGGTCAAAAAACCTGCTCAAAAGCCACGAACCCCAGCGTCGACCAAGTCTCGCGCAAAGCGCAAGGCCTCTGAAATTGAGTCTACTCCGGAGCCGGAGGAGCTGGATCCAATCCCAACAACTAAAAAGCCGGTCGCTTCGAAGCCCGCTGCTCGGCGGAGTAGTCGAGCTCAAAAGGTGAACTATGTCGAGGATAGCGCCTAGTTGAGCTGCATTGATATCAATCTATGTATTATACCTTATATACGGAGTAACTGATGCAAGATGGCGTTGGTGGCCGATCTCAGTGATAATAAATAAACAATTCAAATTTTTCTTTCTTTTGACAAGTCAGGACAGGATTTCAGAAACTTATTTATATATCTTATCGTAGTATCATAAATGAATGGAAGCTCTGCAGGTCGTAGCAGATCCAACCCAGCTACTAGCTAGCACTCGGGGCCCAAACATGATTAAACCAGCTGGCGTCATGGCTCGATCTCCCCGCAGAAGCGGCAATCGGTCTCACCCTCGACGACTTTCATCCCACCTTCGTGTCATGAGCGCTAGAACTTCAAGTTGTCCACTCTATAGATAGGTGAGTATTTAAACACTCTGTATCATCTTAAATGCTCCACCCGACGTTTCAACTAAAACCCTTCAGTCTGTTTTTAACCGGAACCTGCTGCAGGATTGAGTGACCCTCGCACAATCAACTACCACCGACCACCTTTTACGATTCAGATTATTCGAAACCCTGGCTCCTAAACCTCGATCTCGTTTGCCGATCCCTCGGCTTCGATCCTTTCTTCCTCGACGGCCACTTTTCCCGGGTATCCTCTCAAATCATCCCCTCTTTCGTCCTAACTCCAAGCCAGACACCCTCTCAGCCTTTCTCCGTGTACTCGTCGGACCTCTAAGAACTCGTCACGCCCAGAATCATCTCTGGAACATCCGCCACGAGACTCTCCCCGCACTCCGTCATCGGGCTCAATCACGGATCTACCAAGCTATTGTCCAGCGCCAAGCCCGGCGTGCAGCGCACCATCGCAGAGGCGGGGGCTTCGTAGCCTACCTCCTTGGGTCCCGGCGACGGTTGCGGGGAAGAGGTAAAGCTGGTGTTCCTTCGCGGGCAGGCTCCATTGCGAGACGCATTAAAGCTACCCCAAGGCCTGCTGACGGGCCAAACGATGCTGCGGGAGGACCAATGGCATCCTCGTGGAGTGGTGATGGCTCGTATGCCCCTGGGAGTCGACGCAAGAAAGCCTATGAATGGTTGAAAGCAGCGAATGAACTTGGTCAGACTTATACGTCACGATGGGCGGGTCAGGGAACCAGTTCCCAAGAGGACTATTATCACACACCAGGCGCATTCCCGGATATTGAGATCGCGCGGTCTGGCGACGAAGAGATGGTTTTGTTCCCTAGCTATGCGAGAAGACTGTCACCGAAAGAGAAAAGTTCTAACATACGCCCACGGCGAGATTCTTGGACTGAAACAATCGACGATTATCGCGGTACTTCCGAGGAAGATACCGCGGCGTCTCGTTGGGATCAACCTGCTGTCGAAAATGCAGTGGTGGATGTTGACGTCCGAGGATGGGTGTATGCGCCAAACCGAGGCCCAATGAATCGAAAACATCGCCTGATGATCAAACTGGCGAGGACTCTAAGTGGAATTCCAGCTCCATCTGGCGCTCCAAATGAAGATGCCTCTGATAAGATAGCCAGCAAAGGCGAGGAAGAGGACGTAAGAAAAGAGATGAAGACTTTGGTCGATGAAGCAGAGCAAGACGCCGACCAAGCTTGGAAGAGCTCCAGTACAGATCGCACCCGCGCAGTGCCAGGTCAGTCTGCATCAATGTCTAAAGACGAGATCTCTATGGCCAATGCACATCTTATGGAGCGATTACGTCCATTCCTCACGAATCCCATGGCTGGCATGCCGGTCACGGTCTTCCTTTTCAACGAGGAGCAGAGCGAGTCCCGAAACATGATGACGGACGAATCGGGCCATTTCAATATTCGCGCTCCCATGACATTCGTGCCAACTCATATTCGGGTGCTTGCGTCAGAAGATCTGTCTGCTGCGAAGCCTATTGAGATCATTGGGCCCACAGGTATCAGCTTGATCAGTGATATTGATGACACAGTCAAACATTCGGCGATCGCCAGTGGAGCAAAAGAGATGTTTCGGAACACATTTGTTCGAGAGCTCGCTGAACTCAAAGTAGATGGGGTTAGCGAATGGTATACCCAAGTGGCCAACAAAGGAGTGGAGATGCATTATGTTTCTAATGCACCATGGCAACTCTATCCTTTGTTAGAAAGATACTTTAAGCTAGCGGGACTGCCCCCAGGCTCTTTCCATCTCAAGCAGTATACGGGTATGCTACAGGGAATTTTTGAGCCGACAGCGGAGCGAAAACGGGGCTCGCTAGAACAAATTCTACGTGATTTTCCTGAGCGCATGTTCGTCTTAGTTGGCGACAGTGGGGAAGCTGATCTGGAGGTTTATACGGATATTGCATTGGCAAACCCAGGCCGTATTTTGGGAATCTTCATTCGCGATGTTACAACGCCAGAGAAACAGCCATTTTTCGAGAAATCTACAGGATACCTTGAAGGAAAGGACGTTCGTAATCGCAGCACTCCACAAACTGTGGACTCGACAGATTCTCAATCTAGCAGACCTGCACTGCCGCCCCGTCGATCCCGAAGTCCGCTCACACCCACAGAAAATGATACCAAGAGTGTTGAAGTTGGGGATTTGATAGACCTACGAGATAATGAAGTCTCGGAGTCTACCAAACCAAGCCCAGCTGTGAAGCCACGGGCGCCCCCAACCAAACCAAACAAGCCATCGGCACTCCGAACAGCCGCAGGGGTCGCTGATATAAAGAATGAGACAAGGCCCAATGATGAGCGTCAAACGTCTCAAGAATCCATTCGTCGCAAGCCAGTACCCCCTTTGCCACCCCGACGAAGTTCTACAGCCAAGACGGATAGTCTGATCGATCTCGACCCATCTCCACCACTCTCTCGGACCCAAACCGAACCCTTGGTGGAAGAAAACCGCCAAACAGCACTTTCACAGTCCTCTCGGTCCAAAGCACCACCTCCTCTCCCGCCTCCTCGGCGCACAAATACCGCATCATCAGCTTCGACTTCAAGATCAAACACACCGGGACCACGACCTACACCACCAGCAAACAAACCATCTTATCCTATATCAGCGGCTCAGTCAGCCCTACAATATGCTACTGAGCGCCTCAACGTCTCTTCCCAGCCTTCAACTGGGCTACGTCCATCTGCATCCAATCAATCGCTGGGTCGAGCATCTAACAGTAATTATAATGGCTATAGTGGCAGCGACGCTGGAATGCCCCCCGCACCGCTCCCAAATAAGCGTGAGGAGCTATGGCGGCGTCGCTGGGAACGCGCAAGTGAGATACTTGAGAAGAATGGCGTTGTGTTAGGCAGCTGGCGTGTGGGTAGTGATGCTCAGTCAGTTTGCATGTGGTTGATCGAGGATGCTCTGAAAGACGCCAAGAAGCGTTAATGGTGCTGGCCGCCAGCTCTAAATCAAGTCTACAAAGTATCCTCGTCCTCGGACTAGATACTTCTGCTTGTAAATAGTTACAATAGCCATACAAATGAATCGATACGGATCCACGGGCCTTCGTTGCCTCATGCTATCTATCATCCGTGTGTATTTATGCTATGGTATGCTGTAACATTGGAAAATGTAATTGTTAAACTTCAACACGAATTCATGAGTTTGTAGCATTTCCAGGTTGGTTGGTATAGCTCTAGCTGGAGTCTGGAGACCGGTGGGTCGCATTTTGTACCAAGTTCATTTGCATGTGGTGGATCATCAATGATTACTATTTCGCCAAATCTGATTCGCGAGTTGACAAATGCCGATCGGAGTCTATGTATTAATTTGGAAAGATCGCCGCAGGAAATGCGACCTAGCACTCTATTGTTAGAATTCCAAGAATTCCAAGACTCCTGTCAACAGTTCAATGTTGCTGATGCAGATTACCTCACCAAATCCTCGGGCCTCGGTTTAAAATCACCACGCGTGTGATTGGCGATCTACGAATCCGGGGTACTTTCACCACGCCACCTTTCTCCCTCTTTCTCACCTCACTATTCATTCACCATGTCGTCCAAGACGTTTTCCCGTGCTGAAGTCGCCAAGCATAATACTGAAGATTCGCTTTGGTGCATCATCGACCATCGCGTGTATGATCTCACCGATTTTGTAGATGCCCATCCCGGCGGGTCCGTGGTACTTGCCCAAGTAGCCGGCCAAGATGCTACAGCAGACTTTTACAACCTGCACCGACAAGAGGTTTTAGAGAAATATCGAGACCAGTTTTCTATCGGAACTATTGAAGGCGAGAAGCCCGAGGTTATTGAGCCTAAAATCGGAGCTATAAGTCCCGTCCCCTACGCAGAACCATTATGGCTGCGTCCGCAGTTCAAGAGTCCATATTTCAATGAAAGCCATCGTCGTCTGCAGAAGGCCATGCGCGAATTCACTGACAAATATGTCACCCCTGAAGCTCAAGAGAAGGAAAGAGATGGGACTTATATCAGTCAGGAGTTGATTGATCGTATGGCTGAAACAAATATTTTGGCTATGCGACTGGGCCCCGGAAAGCATCTTCACAATCGCAAGCTTCTAGGTGGCATTGTTGATGGCAAGGAGTTCGATTACTTCCATGACATGATTGTTGCTCAGGAGTCAGTGCGTGCTAGTGCCCGAGGTATGTGCTTTTATTTGTCTCATTGGCTCTTGCATGTCTAATTATTTTCATAGGATTCCAGGATGGCAACATGGCTGGCATGACCATTAGTCTCACGGCGGTGCAGCAATGGCTGCAAGATCCTATACTCAAGGAACAGGTGACTGAGGAGGTTTTGTCCGGAAAGAAGAAGATGTGTCTTGCCATCACAGAGGCTTTTGCCGGTAGTGATGTGGCGGGACTTAAAACTACCGCTGAGAAGACGGCGGATGGAAAGTTCTACATCGTCAACGGCACCAAGTCAGTATCTACCTGTTAGATTTTTATTTTTTCGCAAGCTCTTGGCTAACTTTCTTCTTTAGAAAGTGGATCACCAACGGAATGTTCGCCGACTACTTCGTGACCGGATGCAAGACCGAGAAGGGATTCACAGTGCTATTGATACCTCGTGACGGCGGCGTTGATACAACACAGATCAAGACTTCGTACTCGACTGCTGCTGGAACTGCCTTTGTTCAGTTCGAGAACGTGAAGGTTCCCGTAACCAACATCCTTGGCCAGGAGCACAAGGGATTTGCAGTGATTATGTCCAACTTTAACCACGAACGTTATTACATGGCCGCAGGTGTGATTAGAAACTCCGCGACCATTGTAGAGGAGTGTCTAAAGTGGTGCAACCAACGAATTGTGTTTGGTAAGAAGCTGGTGGAACAACCCGTTATGCGTCAAAAGTGAGTAGTAAACCCCCTGAGCCCGAAATAGCCGATTTCAAAACTAATTACCACCCCTTCAGACTAGCCCAAATGATCTCACTTGTCGAGGCCCACCAGTCATGGCTAGAGTCCATCGCCTATCAAATGTCCAACATGAGCTATGCCGATCAAGCGAAACATCTGGCCGGACCAATTGGCTTGCTTAAGTCAAGTGCCACTCGCGCAGCCCATGATATTGCCGACCATGCTGTTAATATATTCGGTGGACGTGGCTTGACACAATCAGGTATGGGCAGAGTGGTGGAGATGTTCCACCGTGGATACAAATTCGATGCTATCCTAGGTGGCACGGAAGAGATTCTTGCCGATCTGGGTGTTCGACAAGCGATGAAGAACTTCCCCAAGGCAATGTTGTAAATGTTGTCTGTAGAGTACATATTCCTGCGCTATTTCCATACAATTATAATAGAAAAACACTTACTCGGAGCTCCTCTTCTTTTTTGATCCAGCGTATACTGCAGTCATTGGATGGATGTGGCTCGTAAGTTAATTGGCCAGCGTTGTTATGTATACAAGATAAGCCTCCACAGCGACTGTTGTCTATACCCCTGCCAAAAAAATTGTCTATGATTTTACTAGGGGATTTGAACATTAAACAGAGTGGTCTTCCAAGATCGAATAATCGATACTATGTTCATGAAAACATAATATAAGTAGTAAAGGACTTTTGTTTAGCTTCTTTGTTCGGATGGCGAAGCCGCCCTGGTGCTTTCTCTAACCAATCCAGGTCCCTTCTCTCTTTCTTTATACTCTAAAACTATATATCCATCATAATTTCATCGGACAGTGCACCTTTTTTTCCTGTGAGCACATCGTATCAGCCTCACTACCTAACAGAGGGGAGAACCACCGTAGGGCAGCGATAAGGTTCTGATAAGGGCCGCATTCATGCCAAGCTTTCCGGATCATTGTTGGTGCGTGGGGCTTAGCCTTGTCGTCATCTCCGATGCCTACCTAGTACATATCTGGATACCTCCGGGCCAACATTTAAACCGCCATCCAACCCCCCGATTGTTCTCTTTCCAGATATTTTCTTCGAAAATAATACCCAACCATGTCGCGCACAAACGCTCTAAGCCCAGACCACGTCCTGGAGCTTGCAACTGATGCTTTACGTGACGAAGAACCGAGTCTCAAAACATCCTTCGAAGCTGTTGCGCTGATTGGCCATGCCTGCATGACAGCGGTAGATTTCAGGTTGCTAGGGCTCGGCGAAGATCATAACTTAGGTGAGTCTCTCTTCATAACACAGATGGCCAAGATAGAGACTAATGAGCTCCAACAGAATCATCTACAGAGTCGCCCATCCTTCCATCACAATGGAACACTAACTCATCCTTTGCTTTTCGATACGCCCATGAACAGTCCTCGATGGAATATCTTCTGAAAGTGAGTCGGCTCGGTAACAAAGCCGTTGTAATGGCCCTCGCGCTGGGCGATGATCGTACTAGTTCGTTCGATATTCCCGTGAAAGACTACATCTCCGAGTCCGCGCTCCCACTATCATCAACAACCAATCTTACAGGTGCTCTCCAAGATGTCTTCATCTCATCCGCTCGCCTCAACGACCTGATCGGACTCTTTAAAATCAACGTGATCCAGAAGCTTGCCCCAGGAATATACAAGGAAGGTTATGAAGGTTCAACTCGGGAGTTTCAGGAGGCACTCCGCCAACAGCCAGAAGACAGACCACGCCGGGATCCTCTGCGAGATGATTCTATGCCCCAGCCTGCTCGTCCTTACCCATTTGACGATCCCCTGGCTGCCGCACCCCGTCGGCCTAACCCACCAGGTGACTTTGCGCCTCCAGGATTCGAGGATGAGTTTGAAATCCACCGCCCTCCACGTGGAGGTCTTCCAGGTTTTGGTGGCGGAAGAAGCCCCTACAATATTGGTGATCGAGACCTTTACCCCGCAGGAATGGGACCCAATGATCCCCTCCGAGGACCCATGGGCCCTGGATTTGGATCAGGCGGTGGCGGTATGCATCCTTCCCTGGATGACCCTCTCTTCGGGGGACCTGGCGGCAGTGGTGGGTATGATCCTCGTGCACCACCTGGAGCCAGATACGATCCTCCTGGACCGGGCGCTCCACCACTCGGTCGTAACCGCGGACCGTTCGGTGGTCCTGGTGGAGGTTTCGGTGGGGGATTTGGCGGCGGCGGCATCCTCTAAGGCTGTTAAATTGTTCTAACTCCCCTCCACGCATGCAGGTAGGAAAAGGCCGATTATGACTATTCATGACTATTTATGACTATTTATTCTTCTTTTAATGAACATTATTGCTTTCAATCTAAACTTTACTATTAGTTCCATGTTCCGTTTCGGAAATTTTTATTATTTTTCCATCACTCAAATTTGGCCGATCAAACCTTTATCCAAGCGGGGAAGCCTTGGATATCTAGAGTAAATATGACTGTTTGGTGATTTCAGGTGTACTACCATGGTATTGCGGGGATAAATAGTATCTGATGAGCTCGAAATGATTGGAAATAATTCAACAAATTTACAGATAGAGACGTACCACATCTAAGAACCTCAAAAATGGAGCCCATCGATATTGCGATATACCAGCCTCAACTGTGATTTACGACGTAAGAAGCGGTGTGGCTGATGCCTAGGTAGTGTGGCGCAAACTCCAAACTTGACCTTCCCGCATCTCTTTCTCCCTTCCCTGTTTCCCCCACCGACACCTCTTCGCCAGCCCTCATCCCTTGAGTCGATATTTGAGGGATCTTTATGCTATTCTTGAATTGAGTTTCCGATTGTTAATTTCTTTTGGACCCCCTGAATCTTGATCGTCACGAGATCTTGTTCGTTTCTCACGAGACCGCCCCTCCCCCAGCTGGCCCCTCCTCCTATTTACGCCAGCTGTGCCCACCATGGATAATAACATGGAAATCGATACGGCGCGCTCGCCTGAGCCACACCACCTCTCACCTGTAACCGACTCAGGATCCATACCCACTTTGGATGGCTGGATTGAAAGTTTGATGACGTGCAAGCAATTAGCGGAGGAAGATGTGCGGCGGCTGTGCGATCGGGTGGGTTACCTCTTCTTGAAGCTTAGGCGGATCTCAAGAAATTGATCATTTAATGCTCTTTGCAGGCACGAGAAGTATTGCAGGAGGAATCAAATGTTCAGCCAGTGGTATGTGTTGTTGTGGCCATATCGGTCGGCGGATGGCCCCCCACCTACGAGGAAATGCATTGACATCAAAACAGAAATGCCCCGTTACAGTTTGTGGTGATATTCATGGCCAGTTCCACGATTTAATGGAGCTTTTCCGCATCGGCGGTCCCAACCCCGACACAAACTACCTCTTTATGGGTACGTAGTGGTTTATTTTCCCGGTCGGGATTCCTGACCTATACCAACAAGGAGCCGAAAAAATCAACAAATGAGTACGGAATGATGCTAATAATATTAATTTTTAGGTGACTATGTTGACCGAGGCTACTACTCCGTCGAAACCGTCACCCTTCTGGTCTGTTTGAAGATTCGTTACCCGCAGCGTATTACCATCCTTCGTGGAAACCACGAATCCCGTCAGATCACTCAGGTCTACGGCTTCTACGACGAGTGCTTACGAAAATACGGCAATGCCAACGTGTGGAAATACTTCACCGACCTTTTCGATTATCTCCCCCTTACAGCTCTCATTGAAAACCAGATCTTCTGTCTGCACGGTGGGCTGAGCCCGTCGATTGACACCCTTGACAACATTCGATCCCTGGATCGTATCCAAGAAGTCCCGCATGAGGGACCTATGTGTGATCTCCTATGGAGTGATCCAGATGATCGTTGTGGTTGGGGAATTTCTCCTCGCGGCGCGGGGTACACATTCGGACAGGATATTTCGGAAGCATTCAATCACAACAACGGCTTGACTCTGGTCGCTCGAGCTCATCAATTGGTCATGGAAGGGTATAATTGGTCACAGGATCGAAACGTAGTAACAATTTTTTCAGGTATGATTTCCATGCCCATACAAATTGGACACCGGAGGTGAATGAAAGCTGACTCGGGTTTTTTCTTCTAGCGCCCAATTACTGTTACCGCTGCGGTAACCAAGCCGCTATCATGGAGATTGATGAACATTTGAAATACACATTGTGAGTTTTTGAACTTCTCATGGTTGGGCCTGAATTAAGCTAACATGTGCCTCCAGTCTACAATTTGATCCTTGCCCCAGAGCAGGAGAACCTATGGTATCGCGGCGCACACCAGACTATTTCCTGTGATAGATTTCATTCTTTTGTCCTTCGGGTGGATCCCGAGCCAACGGAGGAAAGGGGCTGCATACAATTAAGGCTTCTCGGTGCCTCATTAATTTTGTATGGTTTGATGCCTGACCGTCTGTTGATACCAATCATGAAAATAAAAGACTCTGTTGCCAAAATTAAAATCTCAGCACTTTATTTATGCATTTCGATGGGATACATGATACCCTGGATACTAGATGTACTCGCGACTTACTACGAGCACTTTTCTGGACACTATGAGGGGCGAATATTCTATCTCATTAGTCCTCAAAATCTATGCTCTGCCCTCGAGAATCTAAATTGATTCAACAAAGAGCTTAGTCCCTCGATTCATCCCAAGGGTTTGGTCCTCACTTCAAGCTCTACTTAGCTCTATATGTGTGGTAAATATTGATCAGCCAAATCTAGACCTGAAATCTTTCTGAAGTCGAGGAGATCGACCTCAATCTATAGGATGCGATGAACCGAAACAAAACTCTATACGACATTCATTCATAGGTAGGAGTCATTTAGTGGATGAAAATGAAATTTCCCTGGCGCCGCTCAATGCAAAGTACACAAGTTTTTGAGACAGACTAGCTAACTTCCAAATTGAAGGTTATACTACCTGGGCAGCTGCGGGAGCTGTGTTTTTCTCTTCCGCTCCGTCATGATAGTAAGTTCGCACCTTTGAGCTTCCATTTGGAACCCAGAAACGTCGATCAACCCTTGTGAATAAAAATAAGAGCACAACAGAAATATCAATTCCGAAATCAAAAACATAAAAGCAGGCCTTGTGATCATACCACGGCGGGCTAGTGGCCAGATGAGCCGGCATCCAAGTCGTTTCAGCACGAAATGAAGCACCCAGGCACAACAGCACAGAAGCAGTGAGAACGATCAGGACCTTCGCACTCCAAGATCCCGACCCAAATTCTTCAATCCTCTTTCCACGTGAGAAAAGCAAGACGGCTAGAACAATAGGCACAGGCAAAAACGAGACGATAGCGAAATAAGTCACGCCATACAACTGGATATCGCGATCAATGCGCTGAATATTCGTATTAAGAGTATACATACTCTGAATGACGGTCGTGATCATCATGATAATCGTCAAGAGCACCAACACATATAATCCCTTGAACGTCCACGAGACGGCGGCCGACCAGCCAAAGCTCGGAAAGGCTGCGCGGAGGATACGTTGTGCGTACAAAAAGTTCAAAATAAATAGGAGGAGAATACCGGCTGCGACAAAGATCTGCGAGGCGATAGCGAGACGTACGTTCGTGGGATTGCATGCCCATGCTATGCGGATGATATTCGCTACAACACGGGACATACAGAAACCAAAAGTCACAGCTGATGGAATAAACTTGTGACCGCGGCGTCTGTTGCGTTGAAAGATTGTCATGTGGGCGGCACCGGCGCTGAGGAATAGGACAAGAAACACGGAGCATGTGGGGACGTCGACGGGGATGGTCGGTTTGCCGCCTAGCATGGCGATTCTGGTTGCGTATGGGCCTCCCATCATGAACTCGAAAGGATTGAAGAGATACGGATGTAAAGGTTGGGCGGGTTTGTATATCGTATTGACTTCAAATTCAATTTGAATTTGGCGAAGGCCAAATATTTCGAGGTTTCAAATATCACTGTACGGTCATGGGCCTTTTTGTCATAAGCAGAATAGGGTTCTTTTTCCAATCTGTAGGTTTGAGTTGATCGAGAATATCCATGTGGCTAATACCTGCATATCTATATACAATAGTATCTGTCTAAGTTTCCAGTAATGACAGGGTTTCCAAGGTTTCTACATAGAGGCCGAAATAGACCGACCGGAGCGCGACACGACCTGAAAGATTAATATGAACCGAGAATCTTTACTGACAGGGGTCATAGCAGGGGTCCTAGCCCCAGAAAGTTCGCTATTAAGAGATTTGGGGACAAAAACTGACCAATTGCATACATCGTTAATGTCGGAATGTCGGCGTTTCGCACTCCGCGAGTTCCTCCCCGGAGAGCGAAGGGTCCGATGCGACTAATTCGGCCATTTAGTCAATAACCGCACTCAGAGGCTGAAACTATCGTTGAAAAATCATATTTCTAATTCAGTGAGATGATAAACTCCTTACTTCATACTCTATATTTATATCCAGCGCAAATCATGATCTGTAATGCTGCGTAGGTAGCAATTTACCTATCTTATCTCTCTGCACGGAGTAATCCCGCTATCTTTAAGAGAGATATTCAAGTTAAAATTTTTTTCATGTCTTTCCAATTTATATACAAATCAAATATACCCCTGAATGCAGTAGACAGGTACTCAGCTATAAAAGTACGATCCCCCGAGCCGAATTTGACTGACTGGGTCGGATTACCGTGACCCCATCGTATCCAAATACCGGAATCGGCGCTATCAACTTTGCCGCATCATGATATAGAAAGGGCCTTCGCTTTGTTAGCTAGAATAGCCTGGACTTCTTCCACATGCTTGGAAAAGTTATCCACTAAGCTGTCCCACATCTTAGGCTCGTGTTCGTGCTTCTTTGTGCTGTTCCACGCATAATCCGTGATGGTGAATGGGCGACACGACTCGAACATAAAGGCAATGGAGGCCGAAGATATTTGCATAACAGGAGGTGAATTTTCACTGGCAGCGCTGAACTCCTCGTATGCAACACCATGAGGGACCATTCCACATTCAAATGATACACTGCCTGGCTTGAAGGCATCCGATCGACCTCCATAATCGCCATAGATTAGACCCATCAATTCAGAGGCGGCATTACGGTGATAGTAAGGTGGCCGGTAGGTGTCTGGGAATATGTCAGGAAATGAACGGTAAATTTGACATTAGCAAAGCGAGATAGAGAAGTATATTAAACGTACGGGATGCAACGTCCCACCTGGGAGAGAAGGTAAGGAAGTCGGCTAATGGAGCATGTAGATCCCGCGACTTAGCTGTAAGGACGCAGAAAATAGAGGGATCGATATGATCCACAGAAATAGAACCGACGTTCACAAATTTGGTCAGATCGTATTTATAAGGGACCTGGAACAGATTAGCCATGAACAAACATTTGAAGGTTGGAAACGTCATAAGGTTCCTACATACGTAGTTTCCATGCCATGCGACCACATCGAATGGATTATGGTTTTGAGTACTTTTGAAAAACTTCCCACCAAGCTTATACACAATCTCCCATGGCTCCTGGGCAATCTCATAATGAGCCACAGGGCTCAGGAAGTCTCTCGCATTAGCCAGACCGTTAGCACCCAGAGGACCCAACTCTGGAAGTTCGAAGCACGTTCCCCAAACTTCGAGAATGTATCCGCGAGAGGGCCCATCAGGTAGATCCACACGAAATCGGAGACCACGCTGAATGACCACAAGCTCTCCGGGCTGAACAAAGATTTTACCGAATTCAGTCTGAATATCGAGTGCACCCTGTTGGGGTACGATCAAGAATTCGCCATCCGAGTTCACGAAAGCCTTTTTTGTCATACTGGTATTGGCAACATAGACGTGAGTAGCAATACCCTCACGCAGAGTGGGGTCTCCTGAGCCAGCAACGGTTTTCAGGCCGGACACGAAGTCAGTTTCTTCGCTGTCGGGGATATCAAAGGGGTGCCACGCTAGCTGTGTTGGAGAGACATGAACTCGTGGGTTCAGAGGAAGAAAGTTTGATTCGGTATCTTTGTTATCTGGCATTTCAGCCTGTTTTTAGGGAATCGTTAGCCGCTGCTCATCAGAAAGAAAATGCACACTTACAAAACCCTGATGTGCGACTGCTGGGCGGGCGCGATAAAGCCATGCCTTCTTGTTGGAATGTCGCGGGGCCACAAAGGCAGTAGCAGTGATCTGTTCTGCATACAATCCAAAACGGACAACACGAGGATTATTCTGGCCATGTGGAATGGTGCCAGGAACTGCTTCAGATTCAAATCTGAGCCAGACTACATCAGCCAGTTGAAACGGCAGATGTAGAGTAGTATAAATACGTACGTATTGCCAAACCCGGCTTGATACTATAGCGAGGAACGTCAACGACTGAACCATTTCAATTGAGGATGGAATACGTACCTGATAGGGGTCATTATGTCTTGTTTTGAACGAAGGTATCGTTCCATCCTTTTGTGTTTCTGCCCAGTGGAATATCTTTTGATACTCCTGAGGATCGGAGAGAGTGCCGTTATTTGAAGCCATATCGTGTAGTAGCAGATCAAGTAAATATGGGTGTAGGCTCAGTAAGTAAGCAAGGGAAAAAAAAATGCAAGTTCTATGCTTTCACATACAACCCATTTCAGGGAGCATGAGGCATCCTTATACTTTGTAAGAAATAGGACCGTGCTTCTTGTGGGGTCACCCGCTACATTACGGATATAGAAGACCAGCACCGAGCATCGCGATTCTACGCCCGTGGAGAATTGGAGTCAGATTCAAGCGGGTGGGAAACGGGCGCATCGTCATGCAAATTGGACATCGGCTGAGAGATTGCTGGCTGAATCCTCGGGCGACCACAGTATCCCACACAAATTCAAGGAATTCGGCATCTCTTCATGGTGTCGCTTTGCCGACTTCCATTGACAGTGGATTGCGATTCGTGTAGAGGACCAGTGGGGAAGCCAAATCCAGGCTTAAATTCAAGCACAACTGCATTCGCGGGAATGGTCCCCACATGAGTCAGGTCTGAGTAACGACGGAGGCGGTGATGGACGGGGAGGATGACCTCGGATTTCTAGAAATCGCCTATAATTCCTTGCCTCCGTGCACGACTCTTGTTCTTGGTCGATAAGTATGGTGGGTCCCGTGTTTCTTGTAATCCACGTATGCCACTCGGTGGAAGCGAGAACGGGAAAGAAATTCCTTAACAACTGCCGAGATATCTACATAATCTCCTATCTGATTTGGCAAGCCAAGAACAAAGATGTAGTCAGATGTTTGTAATCGTTCTAGTCTAGCCTGTGAAATTTATGTATATTACTAGCACTTGTGGAATGAAGTGTTCTGGATGTAGATTCCAGACCATTGAATATCATGTACCTATGTACTATGTACTATCTAATTTAAGAGGCTGATTCGACCAGCAGTCAATGAAGCCAGAATGGGCATATAAACTTCCATTCCCGCATCGCGGAGAAGCTCACAATGCTTAGATCTTCGGCGAGTAGAGAATTGCTCCTCGCTGATCTCCGTGCACTCGCCCAACGGTCCGTATCCAAATCGTCGATCACCAGCCCAAGGCGGATCGCCAGATACGAAGGCAATCCACCGCTGTCGCATCTCTTGACTAACTTTATTTGCGGCAGGATTGAATTCTAAGTCGACTCCGCCAAACAGGAGGAGCAAATCCACGGCATGGTGTGCACGACTAGACGATTGCCAAGGATTGGCTTGGTCGACCACGTAGTTGTAAACTGGCTTACCAGCCGCCCGCAGCTTTTGCGATACTATTTCGACTGGGAGTGTGAATCGTGCATCATTGACAATATCCAAGGCACCCAATTTAGCGGCAGTAGGTCGATCTGCTACCACGTGGTACAGTTTGCGTAGCCTCTCCCCCCATTGTCCGTTCTGCTTAAATGCAGCAGCAATAGTCTTACCGTCCAAAAGTTCGATTCCGTTGCGCCAAATGACCGACTTAGTATTATTTAGTACAACCGACAATCTCCGTTATTACAAGGAATACTTACTTCATATTCTGTATCGCCAATCATGAGCTCATCCACTTGTTCTGGTCTATTTTCCCAGTCTTCTAGATCGGCGTCTGCTTGAATCCACATAGTGTTCACATTGCATTCCTTCAAGGCTTGAATCAACACAGGAACAGAGCAGGACTTCAAAGAAGACCGTGCTAGCTCCTGAACCTTCGATTCTAAGGTGTTTATCATAGCATTTCCTCTCTCGACTGGGAGCGGGGATGATAGATAGAGAGACCCAGATGCTAAAATACCCCGCTTGACTGGTGGGCCAGTGATAAGATGGGCATGGGTATAGACAGCTCCAGCACTCTCACCGGAAAGTGTTATGTTTTCCTAATTAGAATTAAATGAGCGGACATAATTTGTGCTGATGACGGACAGGTCAATACCGGATCACCCCCAAAAAGCCCAACATTCCTGCGTATCCAATCGATGGCGATCCGCTGATCACCCAACGCAAGATTCTTCTCTTTACCATTGCCGAAACCAAAGATATTCAGTCGATAATTCATAGACACAAAGATAAAAGGCTTTTCCGCCCGAATTGAATCAGCAACCAGATTTCTGGGATCTAGTTTTTTTTTTCTCGATCAGCTTTTTTTCGAATAGTGAAGATCTCATTCATCCTACCACAAACTTGAGAGGCCGCGGAGCAAAACGTCACGACCTGAGAGCCACCTGAAATTATTGTATCAGCACAGCAGAGAGCAAACAGCTAATAAGAGCCTACCATGAATCCAGACAAGGACCGGGAGGGAACGAGATGTGGATGAGACCGGAGGACAAGTGATTTCAAGATTCAAACATTCGAATTCATCTTCTAGCTCGGGTGCAATCGTAAAATCCTCTGGAATTCGAAGAAGATGGCGAATATCAACATCAACTTGTGGGCAGCGAGGGCTTTTTTTCACCTCTCAAAGATTAGGATTGAAAAAGGAGCATTGGACAACAATGAGGGGATTCAGCTTTTAGAAGAGTTATACAAGCTTACCCATATTTTGAAGCATCCACCACAGTCCCCGCAGAGTATTTTACTGGCACTGCTTTCCCAAAGCGCGCAGGTATGCTTGCATACTTGATCCCCAAAAATTGGTGAAGAGGTACACGTTCATAATCTCGTGCAATGCCTTTGAATGTGACATCCAAGGTGGTGTGAACAGCTTCCGGAGTCGACATTGTGATGTTGGTGACTGATAAGAGAAAGAAAAGCAACCTCTTCGGGGTGAAATGAAGTATTGAACATATCTACCAGACTACTCCGGCTAATGAGGCATCCTTCAACTCCCGGGAATATCCACCTTCGACTCTAGTCGGACATTGAATGTATGTCACGGTTCAGTCTAAAACTGTGTGGGGCTCTTGCGGGGAACCCACATTGTGGGGTCGACTGGCAACACGGCGTCACGGTTTTGGGTGGGGAACTTTCGGTTGTAAAGGTCGGATATAGTAGCCCTGGAGATAGAGAAGTGCTGTGTGGCTTAATCTTGATCAATTATCAATCCCAGTTTGTCTAGGCGCCAATCTATTGACCTCTTCGTAACATCAAATATTTTTTGAAATTATATTCTTGGTAGATTGGAGATTGTGTATCTATAAGTATCTTCAGATCAACCACATATCGAGACATTAACGGTGTAGTATGTACTTTGCAAGTTTTTTGTATATAATGCAGCGCACCGTGGCCATAGGCCAAGCCTTAAAATTGAAGTTGTTGCCTCCCCACTCACTCCAAACTTGAATCAGATCGGTCATTGGCAGGCACCTCCTTGCGCAAAATCCAACCACCTAAAAGTAGTAATTCCGGGATTGCAGAAACTCCCGTGATTAAACCCATTGCCCAGCCCATGGTGCCCCAGCCAGCACTTTGACGAATAAACCCAGCAAAGAAGGGGCCAATTAGACTTCCCGCGGCAAAGCCCATATTAGAAATGCCAAAGGCTAAAGCCATCGCACCGCCACGACCAAAGCTTTCAGGAGACTCGTCCTCTTTTTCTTTAACAGCATGAAATACCTCCGTCACTAAAGGGGTCATGGAGATAGCGAGACATAGGCCAAGCAACGCAAGTAACGAGCAGAGAACAATTTTGTCGTGCATCGAATCATTTCTCACCAGCCTGAGCAGCACAGCGAGTGGGAGGGCACATAGAAAAGCAGCCGATACAAGGTATCTGGGTGACTTCGGATACCGATCAATTATTATGCCAGTGATAGGATCGACGAGATGAGGAATCATAATCGGTATGAAAATTAGTCCTTGTCCAGTTTGTTGCCAACCGAATGTCTGTTGGACGAAGATCGGAAGCACACTGTCAAATGATGTAAGCACTAAAGAGACAACAAAATATCCCCAGAGTGACACGACTAGGCGTGGTGATCCCAGCAAAATTGCAATTTGTTTCAACGGATGACGGGCATGCTTTAGCTTTTCTGAGTTCTCAGTAAATGTTTGGTTTCCTGATGTTGTAGTTCCAGCACCTGATTCGGAAGTGTCATTTTTCTCTTGAGCTGCAGATGGTGACAAGGGTCTCGTCTCGGGAGATAACCACCGTGCAGCATGTTTCTGCTCAATCAGTATCACCCGAAGGAAAATGTCCACGCCAATTAACCCAAATGCAAGACCGAATACAGCGTAGTATCCACCCTTCTGATAAAGAACACCTCCAAGCAATGGTCCGGCTACTGTGCCGATGCTTAAGGACATTGAGACGTATCCTATTGCTTGTCCAAGTCCATCTTTGCCAACTGTGTCGACCAATAAGGCTATTCCGACTGTCCATACGACTGCTGCTGCTGCGCCCTGGAACAAGCGACCAGCGATCCAGAGACCAAGATTAGTCCCAATACATAGTAATGCCGTTGCCGCACCAAGTGCCACTAATCCCACTAGAAGTGGCCACCGACGGGATTCTGTTCGGTCAGCTAAATAGCCAACGATCGCTGAACATAGTTATTAGCTATCAGAGTCAAGGATCGCATACATCGGTACCGACTTACGTGAACAAGCTAACAAAGCCGCCGAGTACAAGGCAAGTAGAATTGAGTTCCATGATTGGACTGTAAAGAATCCAGTCAGCAAAGAAAATACGTATATGAGATTTGTAACAGTGTGCAATCTTACTTTGGTCACTCGAAAGGCCCACTTTGCGTTCCAATGCTGTTGGCGTCACAGGTACGATCTAATAAACATTTGAAGGATCAGGATTCGTATCATCGTTTAGAAGCAATTGGAAGATACCATACCAGACCATACATAAAGATATCCTACCTCCAATGATTAGTTTCAGCAATCAAAGAATCGCGGCAAGAAACCTTACAGTAGACGCTGCGAAAGAAACCACAAACATGATAAACCATTTCGCTGATCTCAGTTCCACGAGTTTCGGGCGTGTAGGTTCTTTTTTGCCCTGGCGGCTGAAGCACTTTCCGAACGCCATAGTGCTTATCAAAGTGACAATGAGAAGGAAAGCGGGTCTTAGTCGACGTCACATAGACGAAGCAGTCACAGTGAGGTGTCCGCAATCTGTGTACTCAACCGATGTTTGAAAGACTTCGATAGATTTTTTTTATCGACTCGGACAAGAGGGTCTATTTCGCATGGTTTGAACGGATCTCATAAAATTTTGTTAAATATGGTAAGATGCTGAGCCGAAGCAAAGGAAAATAGATCCAACTCCGAACGCGCGGGACCCGCGGACACCGAGTACGCCACTTCTTCCCGGATCTGGATAATGCTTTATCGACTATTTATCGGGCTCTATCCGCCTTGGCGTAGATGCCTATCCACCATGCGTCCATGATATCTCCGCAGCAGCTCCGAGGTTGATGATCTGTGTAGCTTCTCAGGCTGGAAGATGTATAATGGACCTACTAAACTCTCCATTGCCCAAGGCGGTCGATGCTATACTCTCAATTCTCAACGTACCCTAAGGTTTTGCTTCTTCAATACAAGTAGCTCTGTAACTACTAGTATTGATATACTTGAATATTGAAGTTGGGAATTCGGTATAGGCAGTATTAAAGGTCACTGGATTATTTATTGGTATATCAATGAATGATAAACAATAAGTAGCAACAGAAGCCTATTATTGTGGTTATAAGAATATATAGAAAAACAGTCTACAACTGCATGGAGAAGGCACACGTGCTGAAATTATCAGAACATATCCAAAAGCCTAGCGTCAAATTCTCTATACCTTGGTGGGCTTCGTAGCGAAGGGGAACACTGCGTATGTAGCAATTCCTGCCATAGATAGAAAAGGAATACTAGATCGCTATTCGTCGGCTTCTTGGATAAAATATTCTAACACCGGGTCATCTTTGTTCACGACATTCGAGGAATTGCTGATACGCACGTTCGATGGTCGGTATGCCGGGTCGGCTTGTATACGACGGAGAACAGATGAGTGTATCTGAGCACCCGGAGGAATATACCGGCAGTTATCCTTGGTAATGTGCTCTTTCACGGTGTGACCGATCTTCTTTGAGGCTACATAGTTCTCGAACCTCTTTTTGTAGACATGGAAAGAGGACCAGCCATTTCCCAACGACAGTTCGTTATGCAAAAGGCCCTTTGTGCTTGCAGAATGTAGCGCATGAAGGAAATCTCTCTTCGCAGCGCTGTTTTTTCTCTCATGCTCGGGTACATCTTCCGAGGCCAAATTACTATCTTCATTAAGACGATCTATCTGAAGATAGATATTGCTGCATTGGAACTGGGCTTGCTTCTGCAGATCAAGGCGCAAACCAGCCTTTCTTGCTTCGCTGGCCATCCAGACAAGAGGTAAATGGTCAAGTTCCCACATTTCTCCATCTGTAAGCTTCATTTCACCTCCGATATCCTATTATAGTTAGAAATCAACTCATCAATAGAGACTGAGTTTTAAAAAATGACATCTCATGCGTCTTCCTAAAAGAACTAATCAAAGCCGGCTATTCATCCTGCATTTCTGATTGTTTATGAAACTCGAATAAATGAAAGCCACGGATGTTCACATGTTCTGTCATTTTTCAAAGTCGCCTTGGGGAATGTAAGACTAATTACCTGGTGACACCCTGGGAACCAAACGTCTTGCACATCACCATCGATTGAATTTCTTGAGAATCCTCGAGCGAGGAGTGGCTGCAGCAAAACTTGTTTCTCATCGACGGAAAGAGCGTGGCGTACGATTTTACTGGATAGCGTCATGAATTTTCGAGTGTGCAAGCCCTTTGCCAAAGGTATGTTGATAGCATCAAAGAGGCCAATGAAGTGTATTCCACCGGTGGGTCGAACAAAAGCATCCCTGAAAGCTCTCATGTACCCGAATTTCCTCTTGTCCTTCTCCGCATCTTCCCATTGCTCATTTTTACTCCATGTAGAGGACATGAGATCATGATAGATACGCCATACCTCAGGAATCATGTGGTCGTGGCCACTGACGAGAATTCCGATGTAGTCAATCAAATTGGCTAAATATTGAGCCGCAAAGCCCCCTTTAGAATAGCCAAATATGCTAATCTCATCTGTACGTTGATAATGTTCCATTAGAAAGCTATACCCGGACATGGCGAGCTCTTCAAGGGTTGTGTCAGAAGTCCATGAGGGTAAAAGCACACTTGATCGTTTTCAACTCGTTCAAACATGCGATGGATCTTGGCTACATTAGAATCCGAATCACTACCAAGGAAGCCGCTTTTTGTATCATCAAAACATATTACCAGCTTCTTGTGGTGCTCTCGGGGTTGAATCCTGATGTTCAAGGGGGTGTGGCTAAGCTTCTCCAAGTGTTTCTCGTTGCTGGTATCACTGCTAAAATCGGATGAGTCCGCTGTGTCATCTCCTGCAACTCCCATAAACGCCTTTGGGATGTAGACTGTGTCAAGAGCAGATCCTAGTAGCAAATCAAATGAGATATCCCGCGTAAGAGATCCTTTGCGCCGGACAAAGTCTTCTTCACTTTTAGCTGTACCCGGTGCGAACATAACACCGATTCCTATCAGGCCCGACCCCGCTGAGCATTGAAGAACCAAGGTGGCGATTTTGTCACGAGGAGGTAAAAGAACCGACTGTATCTGAATCCCACGGTTTGTTGAAGTGAATGGGGTTGCGCCTTGAGAGACTGTGACGGGAAATATGTCCCCTGAGTTTGCAAAGTCCTTTGGTGAATGGGCCAGCAATCCACATGGGTTCTTCCTAGACACATTGTCGCTTTCCCAGGCAAACAAGGTCTCATCATCCGAATTTTTGAGGATCTCTTCTTGTAGACGGATAAACGCATTCTCGCCCTCCCCATATAGCAGGGGCATATTCACATTGAACATACCCATAAGGCAGTACGCCCGGTCCTCTGTCCGAGTGGTTTCACGCGTCGCAGCCCACGACATACGCTTGGCAACGCTAAACTGATCCAGTCGCGACTTTCCAATCAGCAAGCTTGACTCGATCTTAGTGATCTTTTCAAGCTCGTGGCAAAGATCCTCTCGTGATCCCATATCTGACCAGTTCTTGTCCAGAAAGATCATTTCGTGCGGGGCGATAAGCTCTTGTAGTGTCCATCCTCTTGTAAACCACACGCTACTAGGCAGTTGATCCGGACTTTCCATATCCGACATGTAGGCATAACATTTGGCAGACTCAAGATACCATCGGAACATCGAATTTATAGACTCGGACAACTCGGCGCTACTCTCTTTGTTGATGCAGCATGTGTCTACCCAGACGTACTCAAATCCATCGGCGCGTGCGCGTTCGCAGAAGCGGGCCACTTTTTGATACCCCTTTTTCTGCCGAGTCTCGTCTGTTTGCTCAATCATTTCTTCGAACGTGATCTCTTCCCCTTCCCAGCGATGCGATAGAATAGCATATTTGATATTGGGGAGTTCGCTGTCAAAGAACTCCCTCAGCCCGATGGGGTGCGATGTTTGAATGAGACGCATTGTTGTGTTGGTGGGTATTAGGCCCGTCTTTATACCTAGCGACTCGACTACTTCGACAAGTAAAAACGAAAGATATAAATGGAAAACATCTCCTGGGATCAGGTGACTCTCTATCCATCTGAGCTGAGCTTTCAGTGGGGTAGTGGAGCTTAAATCTCAGCTAGGTGGAGATGGTTCATACAATAGGAACTTGTTGCAGGCGATCACAGAGCAGCGGCACGGCACGGCAACAAGGAAATTCGATAATTTGCAACTGAACCTCACCAAGCCCATCATAACCCGAATAAAACGAGACAAAAAAGAAGAATTTAGTAGATCAGGACTAATAAGAAATATTTGCTATCACTCTATTTACCACAGGCAAGATCGCATAGTATCCATCATAGACGAATCTCTGACTCGGTGATACTTTTATTAAATAAAGGACTCAAGTCATACTAGCAGAAGAAGTGTCCGGAAGTGTCTGATGAAGATAGCATAGATTACTCGGGTTATACTACCATGAGTGAAAGAGTTGTCTCACAAGATGTGAGTCTAATTCAACGGTATGAAGCCCCTGTTCATGGTCGTACGAAGCGAATATTGATTTGTATATATGACACCCGAGAAATGAACTTGATCTAATGAAGCACAGGGCACAAAGAAAACTGAATCTCTGACTTTATAAGTGAGCCTTGGGCTTTTTACTTTTCAGCAGATCCTTGAGTTGTCGTCTAAGAATCTTTCCACTGGGGCTTTTAGGAATTTGATCCACAATAATGATACCCCCACGAAGTCGCTTGTGGTTTGCGATCTTGGGATTCAGCCAGGAATGAATATCTTCGGTGATAGTCTTCACGTCTCTAGACTTTGCCTGGGATCGAAGGGCTACAAACGCGACCGGGAGCTCGGTAGCTCTCTCATCGACCCACATGCCAACAACCCCAGCATCTTCAATGTCGGGGTGATCCACCAGCTTTCCTTCCAACTCACTGGGAATGACTTGGAGGCCCTTGTACTTGATCATCTCCTTAATCCGATCGTGAATAGTAATGTAGCCCTCGCTATCCATCGCTCCAATGTCACCTGTGCGAAACCATTTCGTTCCATCTGGCTCAGTATAGAAGGCGCTGTTGGTCGCTTCCTCATTATTGTAATATCCGGACGTTACGTTGGGACCACGACACCAGATTTCTCCTGGGCTGGTTGATCCATCGGGATGACTAGTAACATCACTCATGGTTTCTGGATCCACAAATCGGAATTCCATATTGTGAGCGATAACCCCGACATTGGATTCCCTTTTATCTAATCGATCATTGGGAATAGCGGTGGCCAAAGGTGATGTTTCAGTGAGGCCCCAGGACTGGGTACAAAAAACCTCGGTTTGGAAAAGACTTTTGAATTTGGCTTCCAGGGCAGAAGAAAGCTCGCTTGTAAGAGGGGCAGCCGCAGACATGACTCGCTTGACACTGCTCAGGTTATATCTGGACACTCGTTCGTCTTTCACAAGCATAAGGGCAACCGGTGGGACTAATGCGAGCTCATCTGGCTGGTATTTTTCGACACAACGCAGAAATGTGTCGAGATCAAATCTAGGCAAGATCACAACTGAGGTACCCCAGATCATGCATTGGCACATGTAAAAGTTGAGGCCATATATGTGGCTGAATGGCAGGAAGGCAATAGCAGTTTGTCGCTGGGGTCTCTGAGAGGGGGATCCTGTTCCTAGGACAAGAGCTCGCCATTGTTGAAGATTGGCGGTAATATTCTGGTGGGTGGAGACCACACCCTTCGATGGACCAGAGGTTCCAGATGAGAAGCAAATAAACACGGTCTTCTTAGCCGCTTCGGCTGGGGAGATGGCAGTGAGGGTACCTGGGGGGAATGTGCTGGCAATATGCTCACATGTCGGTTGACCATCTACCAGAGATGAACCGTCTAGAAGTATCACATTCTTAATGGAGGTGCCCTTGACCGCTTTCCTAGCCGTTTCGAGAAGTGAAGAATGTACAATAATGAATCGTGCGCCGCTTGTCTTTAGCTGTGCATTTAGTTCAAGGACTGTCAATGCAGCGCTAGTTGGTGCAACCAAGCCACCAGCTCCTACAATTGAGAAAGTGGCAATTGGATATTCAATGGTGTTGGGGCTGAACAGGGCGACGACATCATCCCTTCGTAGTCCGAAAGTCTGATTTAGGCCACTAGCTAGTGATCGTGTGCGCTGGATAACATCGGCAAAAGTGTATTGCTTCCCGGAGAGAGCATCGATATACAAAGGTCGATTATGAGGCGTATTTAAAGGGTTGGAGAATAAGTATGAGATCAGATCCTCTGATTTGATATCGAGGTCTGGATAAGGCGAGCGATAAATTTTTGCCGGCATTTTGCAGTGAGAAATTTGGCTTGGACAAGAAACGCCAGACAAACAATAAGAATGATTTTGGCTTGATGCTGGTAATATATCAAGCTCATCCAACTGGTTAAATAGCAGACCTTACGAGGTACTGGCCAGGGACCTCTCGGTAGTTCGGGACCGAAGATGATCGCAAGGTAAGTTCGGGCAGGTTGGTTGCCGTCGATGTTTGCCGAAGGGATGGAACCCCCCCACATTCCCACCCTATCAGATCCCCGGATTCTGGGGAAAGCTGGTCTATCCATTGAACTGACGCTGACATGAACTCGGTTTACAAAAGCTTGAGTCTCCCTCGGCTTGGATATTCCTCGGTCTGATTTATCATAGACAAAAGTTAGGCATCTCCATGTAGTGATTTTCTTGTCTCAGGTGAAGCTTTCCACACAACCACTGATACGGCGCTGGAGGGTGTTGTTTAACAATTTCTAAGGTCTCTATCAAAACTCTTCAAATGTTGATAAAGTCATTTAAGGCGATACCATTGTATTTGATCTGTTGATTTCTCTTTAATCACGAAAGTAAATCAATCATTTTCCAATCACTTCAACGACGAGACAGAGAAGAGAACATTAAAATACTTTTTCGCACTAGAAATTGGCATGGGGGCAAAAAAGTCCAAACTTGCTACCTTGATGGCGATCTCAGGGCTAAAACCCGAGAATGGTATCTGTTATAGTCTACAGCAATTAGCTTCTCCTTCAAATGCTATGTCCACTAGTGTTCCTCGGCAAAATTCATGTTTGACTCACTGGACCGGGAGCTGTAAATGTTTTTGTGTAAGTGGCAGCTGGGGTTATATGTAGACAACTGCATGCCGCGGAGATCTGCCCTGAACTGAAGCCCTTTAGAATAGCTGGAGTAGCTCGAGCCTCAATATTGTTGGCCGGTTCGTTGGCCCGCCTTTCCATCAGCATTCTCCTCATCTTGTCAGGGCCATTGGTGGTTGTCAGAATATATGTATATGTACTGCCTCAATAGATTCAGCACAGTTCTCGATTCATTCTAGTCAGGTATTCTTACACTGTTGGTAGTGAGAAAGTGGGCCCAGGGACTGTGGTGACACTGGGGATATGGGGGTAAGAGCTGCAAAACGCAGTTGCGGACCCACCGAGTGCCCCTAGTAAATGAATCACTTCAACATAAACATCGCATCCAAGACTACGTTCTTCAATGACGGGGTCTATGACTGCACCAGGAGCCTCCGGCCACGGTCGCCAGTCGTCCGGAAGACAAGTGATGACTAGCGGACCAGTTGCAATTGGGATAAGGTAAAGTAGGAACCTTTTGGTTAAGAACATGATTAATATCAGAGACTAATGTGTAGTTTTCTCTTGTACACAAATATCGAGAACATTAGCAAATTTAAATGACAAGTGACAAACATCATATTTTAACCAGTGCATCACAAAGATCCATGAGTTCGCCAGAGCAACCACTGATGTTGGATGTTTGGTTCAAAAAAGCCATCAGATTTGGATTGATACGAGATCTGATCGATACGAGAACCTTATTTCAAGATTGTTATGCTCTACATTTTTTATGGCCTGTAGTGTGTCAAAACAGTTAGTATTTTTTTATTGGCAGTGAGGACGAACCAAAGCTGAAACATTGCTCACGGGAAATTAGGAAGAAAAGCGTGATAAACGTGATAAACGTGATAGATTATGTGTTTTTGGGTGAGAGATCACTAGGGTCTAAATAGTATTATCGTCAAATGAGCCTCCAGACACATTTCAAACAGCTAACTCCGCAAACAGAGCCGAGGCCAGCTCCATATGGTATGCTCAGTCCCTGAGAGCTCCGATAGCTGTACTATTACTACTAACGAAGAGTATTTTGAACCCGAAGGCTCTGGTTGGGATACTCTATACGTGGGCAGCAGCTCAAATATCCCTAACCTACATAACCTACCACCTTACCATATTTACCAGGACCCAAACGCGCCAGAACACGAGAAACCCGGACGATCTTACATGCTCGAATTAGAGGTATGGGGTGTTAATACCACTGAGCAGCCAAATGTGCGTGTGGTAGCCCCATCATTGTATTCCGTTGGAGCGCTGGGATATGCTGTCACTAGACGTGCCGCCCAAATCCTACTTTACAACCTTGGTGGTTACAGGGGTCTTCAATCACCCGTAGATCTTGACATGATTAGCATGGTACAGCAGGGCATTCTGAAGGCATACACCGTTATACCGCCGCTTATTACTCCATTTTGGGTGGGAGGAGCCAAAGATGGCGATATTAACGAGGAGAAATATACGGAAGAACGAAGTGAAAACAGAGTTCTGGGGTCGGAAAACTTGAAGAACAGTGCAAGATTAGCCCTTGCAGACTTGATCAAAACTTAAAATCTACCTGGCCATGCTAAATGCAAACTTCCCATAAGCAGTATTCTGCGTTTTGTATGAGCGGACAAGGAAAGGTCCTGAGTCCAGATGTCTTTGAGTACCCACATGGAGGTATCCGTTTTTAAGTCAAGCAGTAAATAAATAATTCATATGCACTCCGTATGCTGTTCATTGACCTACTCATGTAGTATGTATTTAGGTTTAATCCACATCATGATGTGGACACACTTAATTTTAGCAATTTTATTCACACATGGAGATGATCAATGCTTGTTTTCAGGCATTGACGCTTTGAACGGAGTTTGATTGCAGAGATTGATGACTGAGCCCCTTATTTTACCAACAATTTTGCAGATTCTTGAACGGGATTCTACATGACATGAATCCTTGCATTGATCGTCTCGTGCAAATCGTCGAAAGACGTTTGTTGTCTTGCATAACTCCGATTGGAACTTGCTTGGCCTTCCTTATTTGAGCCTAATCTCAGCAAGAGCTTCAACTTGAGCCTTTATCTTATTTAATTTTGCTTTAGACGCGTCAGATTCGATCCAAATCGTACGCTGCAGGTACGTACGCTCTCCATAGCTGCTGCAGTGAGTGGTGTGGTGGCAACCGATTATACGAGGACAAATAAATAATTTTTTCTTTCTTTTTCCTTTTTATCAATTTGTTTACTTGTTTTTAGAGGGGAAAAAAGTTTTGAACTATCGCCGCCGATCACGCCGCCGATCGTCATGCTACCATCCTTTGTAACACCGATATCTCGGGGCATGAAACATTCGCAACAGCCCAAGATTTGATGAAAGAGGGAAATAATGAATCGTAGTTTTTTAGAGGGTTTTTTTAGCCCCCATATTCCTCCGTTTCAAAGGAAATGGACTATGATAAGGTGCAATTTACTCGTTGAAAGACACGAGAGACCAAGTCCAGGCGGGGGCATATGCATCCGTGTGTGATGATCGGGCTGCAGGCACTAGCCGTGCGCCGCGAGTCAATAGTCGCGTGCGAGAGGCTAGAAGGACCATAGCAACGCGTTGACGGAACTCCGAAACTTCCCCGACACAAAAATCTTTCTTCTTTCGTCGATCGCTAAGTTCTGCCAAACGATGGAAACAGATTAAAAGAAAGCGCACAGCGGGCCAGATCTGGATTTCATAAATCGGATTTGCGTCATTGTTTCACACCGTGAAAGTGACCGGCCTATGAAAAGTCGAATGAAAGGATTGGGAATCATTAAGCATGAAACTATATGAGTTGTTATCTGGACTATGATTGGCGAGAAAGAAATAGAGAGGAGTAAGAGGGGCCGCGGTGGAGATTCAAGATAGAATCGCCATATTTCATTCGTGATAAGAAAATCAACAAATCTGGATCTGACCATGAATTGACCCATAATGTTCCAGCCCCCCTATACAAAGCCACGCTATTATTGCGTAAAATTCAGACTGGATCGAGACTGGGATCGTGGCACACAACAAGCTTTCCAAGGTTCGGCAGTCTTTGCGCCCAGGAACAAAACCTTAGTCAGGGGCAGAGTTGCTTGATTGCCAAAGACTGTAAATATCTTTTAGACATCACCGATCAGAGATTCTGGTGTTCAGTAAGGCTCTGCTTGGTCGCCATTGTACATTGAGTTCGTCCTCGCTATGCGCTTTGCTCGGTCCGTCGGCCAGGCCATTGGCGCGAATCTCGCCATTATCTCTCTGGCCCATGCTTTGTCGCCTTGCACTCAGATTTCCGACTCATACGACTTTGTGATTATTGGTGGTGGACAAGCTGGTCTCACAGTCGGTGGCCGACTCGCAGAAGATACCAACCATACAGTTCTTGTTCTAGAAGCCGGCGAAAATGGCGATGCTTATCGCGAGCGTATAGGTATGTGGAATCAAAGGTAAAACCAACCATGTCGATTTCTGTCTAACTTTGCGAAAAGATACCCCAGCATATTCGTACTTTGATTCTTTATGGACAACGCCTTTGAATTGGAAGTACTACACTGTTCCGCAACCCAATGCCAATGACCGAGAGATCTATTGGCCTCGCGGCAAGACCCTTGGAGGTTCGTATCTGCGTCGCATTCAGGAAACGAAGAAGGCTTTTCAATTAACCAAAGCACAGGGAGCTCTGCCATTAATGGACTTTACATGACCCGTCCAGGTGAGATCGAAATCAACGCCTGGAAGGATCTTCTAGGAGACATGGATGGTGCAGATAATTGGTCGTGGGATTCATTCTATGCGGCCATGAAGAAGAGCGAGAACTTCACTGGCTCAAGCGATGCGATCGCTGAAGAGGCTGATATTCACTGGAATACATCCAATCACGGTCTTGAAGGACCAACCCAAGCATCCTACCCGGGCTACACATTTCCTCAGGTTGGATATTGGTCACAATCCTTGGAAAGCATCGGCATTGAAATTTCTGAGAATATGTATGGAGGTGAAAATTGGGGTGCCGAAGTCTCAACCTCTTGCATCAACCCTTCAAATTGGACGCGATCATACAGCCGTACTGGGTACCTTGATCCTCTCCCCGATAATGGGAACTACGATGTCTTGGCCAATGCGTATGTGACTCGCATTGTCTTCGATAATTCTTCGTCCGCAGATAACTTGACGGCCACTTCCGTGGAGTACACAATTGATAACGGTACAACTATATCCTCCGTCAATATTACCAAGGAGGTCATTCTATCGGCTGGTAGCGTTGGAAGCCCAGCAGTATTGCTATACAGCGGAGTGGGCCCTAAGGATGTTCTCGCTGATGCTGGGATTGACCTTGTCTCCGAGCTGCCTGGAGTTGGTCAGCACCTCCAAGATCATTTCGTAAGTCTGTCCATGCTATAGTTAAAAGAGAAAACTTGACTAATCTGAGAAGAGTGCAACTGTGACATGGGACACCGAGGTGGACACCGCAGGATCAATCTATTACGATGACGGTGCCGACAAGGTATGACTTCACAAGTCTATATGTAGCATCTCGAATATACAGAACCGTGGCATCTAACTGTCAGGATAACAGGATAACGAACTTTTCCTCTCTTATATCGATTCAGCCGTTGCGTATGTCAACTCAACCGCATTCTACGGTGGCAATGTCTCTGCAATGGAGTCATCTTTTCTAGCCTTGATTGATCAATACGCACCGAACACGACTTACGACTCCGGTGTCATCGCCGGGTACAAAGCTATCTGCAACATAACAGCCAAGAGCATATTCAACAGTCCTACCGGCATCATCGAGCTCCTATTGATGAACAGCGACTCCAACGGCGATATCGGTATCACTGCCGCGTTACAGCACCCGTACAGCCATGGTCGTATCTACATCAACTCTTCCAACCCTCTAGACTACCCGGTCATCGACCCGAACTACCTATACAATCCAGCCGGTACACATTCCAAATCCACCTCTATTCAATTGCGCATCACTAACTTATCCCAGATGACGAGGTTCTCCTTCAAGGTATCAAGATGGCACGAAGTGTTGGTGAAGCTGCTCCGCTGAGCAACAACCTCACCTCAGAAACTGCACCAGGTTCATCTATCCAGAGCGATGATGATCTGCTCTCATGGATCCGTGGTGCTGCTAGTACCGAGTTCCATCCATCTTCGTCTTGTGCTATGCTCCCCAAAGATCTGGGTGGTGTAGTTGATGCCAATCTACTGGTCTACGGCCTTGCAAATGTTCGAGTAGTCGACGCCAGTGTCCCTCCAATCGCATTGTCAACGCATCTTATGGCTTCAACATATGGTATCGCTGAACAGGCGGCCAACATCATTCGTGGGTTCTATAACGGAGTACCCTTGACAACATCGACTACTTCCGGCAGTGATAGCGACGATAGCGGTGACAGCAGCAGCACGACAACTAATTCCTCGCATAAGTCTGCGAGTACCGGGTCGGAATCTGCTCCAAGCAACAATTCTTCTAAAGACAAGAGCGGGCTTCTATCTTCTATTTGCATGTTCCTCGTTCTTGGATTCGGGTTGTCTATGTAGAAAGATGGGAGCGGGGCCTACTTAATTAAGTTTTTTTGTATATAGAGTAGACTTGTATTTACGAAATAAAGAACATGTGTCACGATTTTGATATTTGGGACACGATCAGATTAATTAGGGGCATTTTTCGACAATTGTAGCGCAATTAAGAACAAGATCAGTTTAATACCATAAATATCTTAGGTTTGTCCAAGAGAAGAGGATTGAAAGACCTTGACAGCGAAGAGACTCGGCTCTTATTTAGTATAATCTAGTAGAAGACAAATTGATGAATTGATGAATTGAACAAAGAATGTCTGTTGTATATTGACAAAATGCTAGCTGTTTAGCTAAATTTAGGGAGTGTAAACATCAGGCTCAGACTTGATCAGCACAGTTGGCTGCTCGAGAATGATAACAGGTCCAGCAATAACACTGTCCTCGGTAGGAGCACCCTCCTGATCGGCAATGTTCATGATAATCACACCATCCTGGTCGAAAACACTAGGAATAGTGACCTTGCCCTTGACATGGTCATACGGAACACTGATAGACTGAACACCGTGATAAAAGACGGCATAGTAATCCTTTCCAGACTCAAAGGTAGGCAGATTAGCCGGCTGATAGAAGAACGGCTGGATGACTGAGCCAGGAGTAGCAGTAGTTCCATTACCCCAGATGACCATCTGCGGCAGAGCTTGGCGCGGGCTAGGGTAAACGGGGTTCTCGGCAGGGTAAGAGGTGATGAAAGACCGGGTAAGCTCAAGGATCTGGTTGGCGTATGGGTAGGTAGTATCAGCAGGTCCAGAGAATGGATCGGTGTTCCAGTTATCGATGAGACCCCAGACGTTGTGACGAGTCTCAGTTTGGCCAATTGCCATCAGGGCAGCCCTGGAGGCATTGGTCTTAGCCTGAAGCTGAAGACCAGTCAGGAAAGCCTGGCTAGAGGCCTCGAGGTAAACCTGCAGAGCGAGGAAGTTGAGAGGAGTGGTCTTGTTGAAACTGTAGGAGTATGTGCAAGGGCCAGGCTTCAGGGAGTTTTCGGAGATTTGATCTTGGAAGATACGGATGTGACCGGCTTCATTGTCGCGGATCTGCTTGATACGCTCGTAGGTAGTATTGAGGTATCCGAGCTTGGTGAAATCTTCCGAAGTATAGGTATCCACGGCGAGCTGGTAGAACGAGTAAATAGCCCACTCAGCGCTCAACAGGTTCTGGAAAAGAAGGTCGTCGGCTGCAGGCTCGCCTGAGCCAGTGGCTGGGATGACCTTGAGCCACTCAGCCGCAAGGGGAGTCTGTTTACCCTGGTAGGTGGTAAACAGAGATGATTCACCAGGAACAGCGTCTGCTGAAACACTGCGGGCCGACTTGGATGGTGCTGCAAGGACCGGTAGAATGGTTGCCGTAGAGGCAAAAAAGAGTGTAGAGAGATGCATGCTGATAACCCTTGAGGACCAAGTATCAGGGGAAAAGGAAGGAAAAGACCGACTTAAAGATGTGAAAATCGTTCCCAGAGGTGGATTGCCCCTCCTTTAATAGGGCATCCCGGACATTAGCTCAATTCCGTTAGATTGCGCGGGTCTTCCTTCGTGATTTCTTGTCGCCCCCGGGGCTGTGGATGACGATATGCATCGCACTTGTTCCTTAGTTGGCAATGAGGCGCTGGACGGCGGTGAACAGCCGACAGCAGTGGTGGCGAGATTAATTTAGAATCACAGTCCATTTATCTTGACCTTTAGTCTAGTGACGGACTAAGATAAGTCAATGTTTGGGCTGAAGAAACCACTCAAGTTGACATCCATTGTCTCCCCGGCGATCATCTACCAAAAAGTAAGTATACTAGTATATGCGATCGCACAGTCACAGAAACAAGGTTTTGACCAGCTTATGGAACATAATTCGTGAGATCTTTATCCACTGACCTTAATTATAATTGCGTATCTTGTATGCTGTGGGTCGCGCTGATCAATTCCTGCCGGCAGAATCCCTGTCATCGCATTGCTCATCAAGTCCCGAGAACCTTGAATGAGGTACGAAACTCGCAATACGTCGCGCTGGGTGCAATCCAGAGAGCATAGCTCATAGGCTTTTCTGGGTAAATCAAACCGGTAAGACTTAGCGTGTTGGGGCCAAAAAGCCCAGAGCGAATCAATAAAGTAGTTGGGGCCAAAACAGTGCGACTGGCGCACAGAGTGCCTGCCCGGAGGACTGGTAACAATGCAGGTTTATGCAGCTCCGGAGTACTCCGCAGAAGGATTGAGACAGTGCGAATGCGATTCCTCAATGGGTGATATGGACCGAGCTCAGTGAAATCAAATAAAGCCATTGTAGTTTTTTTCTCTCTCGGAAATTTCACAGGCTATGGCGGCCGGTCTACTGTTCTAAACAACCACAATTTTGAGGCTTCGAATGGTGCCAGGAGCAGGCAGTTTGCCTGCATGAATAAGGGCAGAATCACCCAGCATCCCTGTAATTCTCATGTAGGTACCCGAGTGCTGAATGATCCTTTCAAGGTTCTTTGATGAAGGATCCCTCTGCGAGATTACCTTGAATATAGTCCATGCCTAATCAACTATTATGGGCGTAGATGACGCATTGCCAAGTCGCTTAATCCACTTTTGGCCCCATTCATGTTCAATTGATCGCAAGCCATTGCTTAATTCGACTATTTGAGCTGCACATTCATAGAGTCACTCATATTCGGAGTGTTCGGTTAGTGATCTGTACATAGTCAGTGTTCGGTATCGCGTCATAACTTTAACTGGAAGGACATTACTACTAGTATGGAGCCTCCAATATGAATTAATAATCTCCACCAGGAACATTGAACGGGTCATTCTTATCCAGATGAACACAAGGTCTTGCTTATATACTCAATGCAATGCATACATGAATACCCTCTACTCTGCATATATGCAAATAATATGTATGCTCTATATAGAGAAGGAGCAAGGAAGATCACATCCGCTGCTATATCACTATATGGTAATTCCAAAGATTCGCGAATAGCGTCATCCAACAATTTGCCTATGTATGAGACCAATCCCACCGCTATTTTCCAAGCTCCATTCGATGACCTCATCCAACAAGATCTTTCATTCGGAACCTTTGACTGGGCGCCGTCTCACTGGCTTGGCTATGATCATTGGATTGTAACTTCTAGCTATAACTTGAAATCTCATTGTACAGATTCCGTGTTCCAATATGGTATCGAAGGGGGTATAGAAGACGTTTCACGGTTCTCGTGTGCGGATCGCATGGAGGGTAGAGAAACAAATGAATGATGATGCAAAGCATGCAAGCTCATAAATGCTGTTGCGGCTAAGGAACTTTGGATGGGCGTAGACGGTTCCAAGTGCTTTCAGATAACCCGGAGTATTATCAGGTCCTTCCGAGCGTTAAGACAGTGTGTCTGTCTACGATGACTGGACGGTCTCTCTCTAACCCCAAGACCGTAGGTATTTATATTTGGTATCATCAGGATTGGAAATTCATTGAATAACCTCCTGTCTTTGGGTCTTGTACAAAGTTGAAGTTGTCTGTGGACAAACCAAAGGGTTTCAAGATGCCATTCCCCAGCTAGAGTTAGATAAACAAGTTAGGATTTGAATCAGACACCCGGTCGGTGATGAAGAAAACTCACATCTTTCATTTTAGACATCATGTCGCCCATTTCCTTCTCCCGAGCCTCTCCAACTCGACCTGGAAGCTCTCGAAGCGCGCGTTGCACAATACGTTTATCATCAAATGGGAGACTCTCCATCTTATCCAGAACCTGATAATCTTCCATAGCGCCTTGAAGATTGGCCCATCCACCCATCTGCGATTTTGCCTTCGCCCGTCGCATGAGGGCCTTGGCTTGTATCCGAAGAACATTGGATCGGGTTTCATCTAATTCCTTCAGCCGTTGTAACTCCTTCTCCTCCACGTCGGCGTCGTCCCCCGAAATCTCCACCACTGCATCGCTGTCTTGCGCCGTGTTGTTCGTTTGTTTCGAGGCGTTGGTCTCGCCGCGCTGAGTATCCTGGGACAGTTCTGAGGGGATGACCTTTTCGAGACGATCGATAGACATTGTAGCGGAGTCAATTGCGGCTTTCCAATCAGCTAGCTTCAGGTAGCACGCAGATATGTTACACCGAAGCACGGCGACATCATAATCGAGGTAGTTGGGGCATGAGGCGAGAGCTCGATCATACGAGGAGATCGCTTGGTCATAGCATCCGGAGCTGAATAATTGGTTCGCTTCCTTTTTGATATCGTGGGCTTCTTTCAGAAGACTCTATTATGGTTCCAGAGAAAGTCAGCTTTTGCTTGTCGGCTTGGAGATCGATTACCTTTTACTAACAGCTTCTTCTTCCGCGGGGAACCGCGCATCATGAAAAACTTCATCGTCGCTGTTTTCTTCATCAGAAATCCCAGCGGTGTCTTTGTCGCATTGTTCAGCAGGAACAGACTCGGTTGTTGTCGTCATCTTGGGGAGGTGAGATGACAACTACAAGAGCAGACGTTGGCGGCCAAATATCACGGGACTGATAAGCGGTGATGTCCCCGCGCGCCTTATCAGCTCAACTCTTCACCCCACACACACATGTGCTATACAGGGAACTGCATATCACAATGGCAGAGCACAACACGTATGTATTAGGTGTCAATGCATATCAACAGTATCTGAGCTAACAGCGCCGATAGAACCCCGCGCATTCGCGCGTGTCTCTTCGACATGGACGGTCTACTCATCGACTCCGAGGACAAATATACTTTGATCACCAATGAAGTACTCGCCATGTATGGCAAACCCCAGCTCCCATGGTCAATAAAGGCCCAGTTACAGGGGCGCCCGCAGCCCGAGGTGCGTGAATACCAAATACACTCACAAAACACGATCATTTTGAACTAAAACCTCCTAGGCCAGTAAGATTTTCCATGATTGGGCGCAACTCCCAATTACGCCTGAGGAAACAGCCGCCAAACAGCTATCTTTGCAAGCGAAATATTTCCCACAGTCTCAGCCACTACCCGGCGTTACTACTCTTCTTTCGACCCTTGTCTCAAGCCAATCCACAGATCAACCTGTACACATTGCTCTAGCGAGTTCGTCGAATAGCAGGAACTTCAAGCTGAAGACAGATCATCTGCAAGATATCTTCTCCGCATTTCCCCAGGTACACCGCGTTCTTGGTGACGATCCCCGAATCGGCAAAGGAAGAGGCAAGCCATTGCCTGATATCTATTTGTTAGCATTGGAAACCATCAATGAGAGTCTTCGTGCCAAAGGGGAACCTGAAATCAAACCGGAAGAGTGTTTGGTATTCGAGGATGCAGTTCCAGGTGTAGAGGCTGGTCGCCGTGCCGGTATGCAGGTCGTGTGGTGCCCGCACCCAGGTCTTTTGGAGGCATATAAAGGACGTGAAGAGGAGGTACTTGCTGGTTTAACGGGATCACACAAGGAAGCTGAAAAGACCCCAGCGGAGAAAGAGGCCGAGGAGCTTCAATCCTGGCGGATTCAGGGAGCTGGAACACCTGGGCAAATTGGTGATGGATGGGGTCAATTGGTCGCATCCTTGGAAAACTTTCCTTATCAGCGGTATGGAATGGAGATATCTTAGATCTTTTGAATTCAGGCTTGAAGGATTCCAGTGTCGCAATACCGCAAATATTTTAACGGAGAGATGAAATTGAATTGCATGAGCAATTCGTGAATGATAAGTAAACCAAGAATTTTCCAAACCAGACAAGTGTACGTACACATCATCGGGCCTATTTGTCACAATGGTCATGAGTTCAATGTTCTAGGTGCAGTCCACTCATGGATCAAGGCCAACTCATATAAATCAAGACCAAATCATGCCAATGAACACCAAGTGATATCAATCAAAACTAACTCAACTTCATTCACATCAAAAATCTATCTGACACAGCAAAGAATCCGAAGACGATTCGAAGAAAAGTCACACACCAGAGACTTTTTTTCCTGCCTTGATCTGACCCGATTTCTTATCATTTCCTTTCTTATTCGATACCACCCCTTTGAAAGTCTTTAAAGGGTTATCCACAACTTTGTGGATGTAAGGCGGATCCATAAGGTGCTTGCACATGGATTTCGACGAGTAAAGGACCCCTTCAACATCGTTGAACCGCCGTGTAAAATTACTTGTAGGGAGTTTTGCATGTAGGCTGTTGAAAGGACCTTTTACTTGTCGGTCGACGATTGCGGCCTTAGGAGATGTTAGTTGATGAATAAACATTTGGAAGGGGAGTAGCTTGAGTTCACCAATATCTCCCAGCAGAGAAGTTCCACCTTTCTCTCATCGTAGTTGGAATTTTTAAAGGAACGCTTGACTCCTTCGCTGTCGGTGGCATTGTGAAGGGATTTGAAAGCTTTCTTGAGTTTTGTCACGCAAGACCGGATCTCTTCCGGAGACGAGGGCAAGGTAGTATCGTCTGACTGGATGTTGTCGCGCCGAACACTCTGACGAGCTTCTTCGAGAGAAGTGAAGATGGTTTGACGGGAGGATAACGTGGCCTTGTTTGTTTCATGGGCAGTCAGAGCAGGCTTTTTGAGTGGTGGCCGGTTGGGCGTGTCTGAGAACGATCGCGACGGTGCAGGTTGGAATTGGGCGCTTGGGGAGACGTGATTTGTGTTATCGCTGGAACGCATTTTCAACCACGGGAGAGGTATAACATTTTCAACGTCATATGAGTTTGATTGGGAGTGAGAACAACAACCGACTAGGTCGATGGGCGAATCGGAAGACAAGTGATCCTCGTTAATCAAATCATGAAAAAACTTACTGAAGACCTCCTCCGAAACAGGAGTGCTAGCATTGGCATTAGAAAAGTCTCTGCCATTCGAATTGCTAGCATCTTCAAGTTTTGGCAAGGCATCCATGAATGATAATGACAAAAAGAAGATAAGAAGGATTCGAGAAAAGAACAGCGAAAAAAGATGAGACGACGTGAACTTGTGCGCACAAAATCAATGAGCTTGCAACACTCGAAACTCCATGAAGGATTGAACACTTGACAATCTTGGTGGAAATTTGACACTCAATCAGGGATTGCAGACTTGAAGGTCAATGAGGGTTTGCACATTTGAAACTTGGTGATTCGGAAGAGGTGGATGAGTCGAATGGGTATATGTGGAAGCATGTTGAAGTCAAGACGAGCACTATCAAATTTTACTCTCACGGTACACTATACTACATGACCTAATCGAGAGGGTAGTAAGAAGCGGTAACTTCAAGGTGGTAGTCATTTGTTATAACATGCCCAAATTGGATCAAGGGGTATATGAAAAGTAGACTTCAAAGCAGGTAACCATTTGTTAGAACATGACCTGGCCTAGTTGGGCGGTAAGTATATGGGTTTAATTAAGCTCACAGGAGCCAGTGCGGGCGTATGCGATGAAAGACAACATTTGAAGTAGGGGGGCTAGGAGGCCTGGTGAATGATTGGTTGAATTAAACCCGATTGAGTCATGTGCTAACAACAATCAATTAACAATGACTCAAGACGCAGTTTATCGCCACTATTCCTAATTAGGAGCAAGGAAAAGACCAGATTTTGAGGCTGCTTTCTGGTGTAGTCTCCGGTGTACTCTCCAGTGTGCTTCTTGAGTGATGTCGACGTCGCTGACCACCACAAGTAACCACAACACTTCCAGTGGAATGAGAAGCCGTGCTGGTCACAGCATCTAGTCGACATCAGTTTTGAAAATTTTGTAATAATCTCACCCGTACCTAGTCAGACATACCTTCATGAACTTTAAACTCCCAGTCAGGATCTTGGCCACCGGCAGAATACACAGGGTTTGTCCACCTGCGCATGAACCCATCTGTACCGCCTGCCCAAACCTCATGAGTACCTTCAGTGCCAGTAGAAAGGACATCAATTTCCATCCGCTGGTTGGTCATGGCCTTCCGCCCTCGTAGAAAGCCAAGCATCTGTCCTGTCATTCGAATGTCGTAGACAAGAGCCCCATCACTTTTGCGTTCAGCGATGTAAAGATATCTTCCACACGGACTCCAAACAAGCTGAGTAACGCCCTTCCCTCCGATTTCACGGTTGGCCTCGGTCTTAGCAATGCTGAACGTTCCCAGGAGCTCCCCAGAGCCATTGGAGCTATACAGCCCAACCTGTCTGGTAAAGGTGCCAGCAGCTAGGATCCCATCACCATTTGGGCTAACTGCCATAGCTGAGACGATACCTTTCATACCTATACCCCCACCTACGATCTGTTTTCGCTTACTTGGGATGGTTGGAAGCCATGACACCGGGCCATCTTTGCCCGGACGGGAGACATCAAACAAACAAATGAGACTGTCGGAGCCAGTGAGGAAGTGAGTTCCCCCGAGGGTGGACGGATATACAATGCTGTGTGGTGTGATAAAAGCTTCCGTAGTCGGATTCACCAGTGAATAAGTGGCGACTGATGTTGGGGCAAGAGCAGAAGCCAGACGAATTGGATGGTCCCTGACAGATGAAAGGAAGAGAGCGGTTGCCGGGTTTTGTAGATCAAAGAATGGATAGACAGCAGAAGCGTAAATCGGCTCTGCTGAGGGCAAAGTTGAGTACGGAGAGAGATGGTGAATTCTGTGGTCTTCAAGCAAATCCGGAGGCCTTATATTGAGATTAAATGAGATGGATATGCAAGAATAACAAGGCAGCAGCACTCACACGATGTAAGAACGGATATGGTAATCACTGGACTCGGTTAAAATAGTAGTTCCATCTGGAGTCCATCTAGCACTCCTGAAATGGTGAGAGCCGATATCTTTATTTAAATTCGAGGTGATACCACTGGCATTGAAAGGCTCAGATGCCAGAGGTTGATTGATGGTAGGTGAAGGTATTGATGAAGCCACACACTTTGGTTCCCAATTTCTAGCTTTCTGTTCGTCTTCCGACATAGTGAGGTGGCCAATAAGATAGCTTTAGAGGATAGAAGTCGCGGGTGGCTCAAAAAGAAGAAGAAGCCTTAGGAGCGTCCCTAGCACGACAAATTATAGGAATATTCAAATTCCTACATCATTATCTGGCGGATCAATCCATCAAGGCTATTGGGGAAAAGGACTGGATGCCCAAAGTCGAAACGGTATGGAAGTAAAAACAGAATTTCCAAAGGCAATGAAGTTGTTCCAATCTTATTTTTAAAAACCAACAGTCGAAAATAAGGAGCTGGGGTGTCGACTTGAAAAAGCTGAAGGTTTCTTTTAAAATGATATAATGTAGACAGAATTTCTCGAGGATCAAGTGTATGTAGGGCTTAGTTCTTCCATGTCCACGTTGCTGGGGCTTCGCATCGGAGCGGATAAACCAGCCACCGAGTCCGCAAATCTTATCGGGCTATGCGCGCTCGAATTGTTATTCTAGGTGAAATTGAGGAATTTAACATTTTGAAGCATTCCAATCGGTCATGTTCGCTCCTAAGACCTCCGCTCCATCGGCCGGTGGGTTAACCGTTAACACAAACTCCGCTAATTCTCTCTTGTGAGTGGCCATACCAAACAGTCCTTCCCCCAACCCCTTCACCATGCTATTGCCGCATCAAAGCTTCACTGGAGCTTAATATTGTGAATCCCTTACGGCCATAGTGAATGCACTAGTATTCCCTGAGTACTAGCGAAAACTATAAATTGCAGGCACGAGTGGCATGACATAAGCGCGGTCGCGTCTGAAATTAGATTCAAAACTAACAAAGAACCTAATCAGCGGCGGCACCAATACCCAGACCAACCCAACTTCAACCCCAGCAACAGCACCAGGCACTACTGGAGGACTTTTCGGCAGCGCAACTTCGGGGGCTCAATCAAAACCAGCTGGTGGTTTGTTCGGAAATACACAGTCGACTCCAAGCACCGGATCAAATATGTTCTCTGGCCTAGGTGGCCAACAGCAAGCTGGGGCGGCCGGCGGAGGGATGTTCGGTAGCTCCACAACCACAACTACACAACCTCAGTCTTCTGGCTTATTTGGTGCTACGGCAGGAGCCAGTGCCGCTCCCGGCACTACCACTACCCAAGCACCAGCCGGTGGCCTTTTCGGCAGCAGCTTAGGTGCAAGCTCTACAGCTCCAACGCAACAAAGGCCTATGCTGGGACTCGCCGGCTTGGGCAATACAACCACTTCAGGCAGTCTTTTGTAAGTTCAAGACGGACGCTTCGGGTTATTTTACTTCTCATGAGAACTAATTATGGCAAAGCAACAATACGCAACAACAACAACAGCAGCAACAGCAACCGCAACCGCAACAACAGGCTGCGAAGCCTACACTATCTTTGTTTTCGAATTCTACCACAGCACCGGGAACGCAACCATCCCTGCAGCAAAATGCGGCGACGGGGAATGTGGTGCCTGGCGTCAAGGTTGACCTTAGCAACCTTTTACCTACAACCAAGTTCGAAAGCTGTTCCGATGAGCTTCGTCGAGAGATTGAGAACATCGATAACGCCATCTTAGAACAAATTCGAGTTTGCAATGAAGTGGCTGATATGCTTCCGACCATAGAACAACAGGGATCTACCATCCCCAACGACGTTGAGTTTGTACAGGGCAAGCTGGACACCATTCAACATGCACTAGAGAATGATGCAAGCGATATAGATCAACTCCGAGGACTAGTGGGTAGAGATGCGGCCGAAGCCCAAGTTGCTTTCCGCGCCATTGACACGTTGAAGTTGCCTCTGCAGTATCAGTCGGCAGGAGGGGGTGGCTGGTGGTCAGTGCATGATCAAAAGGTTCCAGACCGCGGTTCATTGCGTACGACTCGGAAAAACACCCTAGCACTTCCTGATGACGTGGAAGTTGACCCGTCCACCGCTAATGCAGTCAACGGAGTGCCGGTGAATCTGGTTGATTACTTTTCCCACCGTGCAGATGAGATGGATTCCGTTCTCGGCCGATACAAGGGCAATCTTAAAGAGATTGAAGACCATTTGCATGGTGTTGAGTTGAACTTGAATCGTCAAATCAATGAATTTGTGAACTCCAAGTCGCGTGATGGCACCAGTGCTGGTGCATCCAGATCCGCTGTCAACGACTTAGCTGCTGTCCTCGGAGATGTCGAGGCAGGCATCATGGGTGTTGCTGCTCGGCTTGGCAGTGTTACAGAACAAGCCCAGGAGGTCAGCCTCGGTCCATTGGGGCTGGGTGATAGTCGGCTAGGATGAGGGAAGGATCGGACACGTTCAATTTCTAATGTACCATAATGCAATGAGCTGGCCTTTTGAGTATGCGGCAATATTACGAATCCTTATTTTCGTCCAATTCTTTCTGAAAGTTTAAGCTTATGTAACGGTCTAACTCTAGTAGTTTCATTCATGCCCATGATCTCATTTGCCTCGGAGCATTGGGCAAACGCCGGATGATTACAGTACCTAGGTGATTGATAACGAAAGCTACTAACTACTTAGGGAGTGGAAATACGGGGGTCTACGCCCCGCCACGGCAGAGAACTTATCTTGTAGACCAATTAGGGATAGAGAACAATGATTTAAATGGAATTTTGGAAAAATCCAGATCCGAATGTTCGGGGAATAGTTCACGGAGCAGCTGAACGTCAGCGTTGTGACCTTAGACATAAGGCCGCCACTGTTGCGTGATCGCCGCTGACCCACTCTTCAACCCGCGCCTAGCTTAATGTAGAACACTGTTTAAAATCCTACAACACTCAAATTCTCCAACTTTCACACTCCTCTCGTCTATTTCAGATTTAGTGTGGAAATTGTATTACAGTATTGGCAAAGTTCTGCCAGATAATATCCACAATGGCCATCGAATTCTGCTATGTAGGGTATATATTGAAGTAGTTGGAGATGCGGAGATCATTCATGCACATCGTAAAGGAAAAACTCCAAAAACTCTATTTTTGGCCGTATAGATGGCAACGGCAACTGAATGACCGAAACTGGCAAGTGAAAAAGAAACATCGTTTGAAACCTTGGGAACTTTTTGTACATAATGATGACAGCATATTGATGTATGTAGTCACGCAAACGTGCAGCGATGTGTTTGAGAAGCTACTACCTGTATTCAAAAAATGTATTATATTCTGCAGGGCCTCAATTAGTGTAAATAAGTGAAACAAGGCGCTATTCGAACGATGTTTAATTAATTTAATCAGTGATTCGACCTAGGACAGTAATTGTACTGCCTCGACGCCTCTCCGCCCCATACCCAAAGGGTGTTGATGGTGTGGGGCGGAGAGCCAGACAATAAAGAGCCAGCACAGTTATAGGCAATTTTCCTTGAATCAAACAAGGTGTAAAGACCAAAACGGTAAGCTAGATGCAGCTCGTTACCAAAAAGTATATCATGAATTACTTGATTTAGTAAAGCTCTCTCTTACTGAAAGAGATGATCTTGGAATTAGGCATGTTTCTTGGCGGTCAGGATCTCATATGATAGATCTTGGCAGTATTCTTCGCCGCCCCGACACACCGCCTTCATCGCCTGTTTCTTCTCTTGTTAATACGGTCACAGAAGTTGTGCGCTAAACCCAAAATGGACTAAGGGGATTGTCAATCTGGCCAAACTCTACTACATGAACCGAGCAGTTCTCGGGAGGAAGTTAGTCAGTTTAGTCAGTTCTACAATATGATGCCACTGCCCTCCTGGCATTGCGTACACATACCCATGAATCAATCCCCTCTCATTCCCTGTCTCTCTTTTTTTTGAACTCATCAAACAGCGGTGAAGCACATTGGTAATCTCTTCCCCCTTTTTTTCACATTCGTACACTCTCGATTATTCGACAAAGATGGGTCATTCTTGCCATCAACGTCACCAGAATTGCGTGATCCGCCCCTAACTTCAGAGAGCCACAATGAAATTCTGGGGAAACAGAATCGCACTCAACATCATGGAATCCACTTTGAAAGCCCACCATTCTTTCATTGATCATTGGCTGAACCATGAAATTCCGACCCCTTCTTGCCACGAGGTCAATTCGCTCTCATTTGTCATGGACCCGACTTGGGTGATCACGTATTCGATGGCGCGATTTCCGTCAAGTCCGGCCACCACGGAAGAGGCTACACAATCGCATCAGTTCTTCAGGAATTTTCATTATGAAACTGACTCACAATTGAAGGGACCCACAAGAGCTACTTTGTGGGTGAGGGATTAAACTATATAAAGACGGTTGAACCGCTCTTGGGCTGTAGAAAGCTTCTCTAAATAACAACATTTGAACATCTAAATATATTTCCGTCCCACTCTTACCAACGATTTACTTCCATTTTTACTATTTTCTCTCTTAACATTGCTCGGCATTAAGACTGGTACGCCTTGAATCATTCAAAATGGCGCCATCTCTGGAAGAACCCATCATTGCCTCTATTCCCGGATCCCAGTTTATCGTTCCCACCAAGGGAATCGGCAAATTCAACGACAACAAGTTCGGCTACGTTCCTGGAAAAACTATTGTTGAAAAGCACACCAACTATGAACACGAAGACCTCCTACCCTCCTTCCCAGATCTTCACTGGGAACCGCTAGAGGAGACCGAGCATGAAGATCGAGGTATCCACGGAGATCCCAAATTCCGCAACCTACTACAAGACGCCTCCGACGTATTCGACTACAACCCTAAGATTGGCACCGAAGTTCACGGGGTTGACTTGGCCAATCTAACCAATGCTCAAAAGGATGATTTAGCACGCTTAGTGGCATACCGGGGCGTGGTCTTCTTCCGCGCTCAAGACAATTTAGACATTAATAGCCAACGGGACTTGGCCAAACACTTTGGAACACTACATAAGGTTAGTCATCGCCACAAGATTCCCCAAGACAAAGAAATGCGCCTTGAATGCTAACTCCTCACACAGCATGCTACGACATCCGTTCCTCGCAGGGAAGGTCTAGAGGATGTCCATGTCGTATACGCGGGTGACAACTCCCCTGACAACCGCGCCTTATTTAGCCCCAGCTTTTTATGGCACTCAGATGTATGTCCCCTCGCCCACGAGAGAAAATTTTTTGCCCTTTATTAGCATGATTTTTAACAATTGTAATAGGTAACTTATGAAGTGCAGCCACCCTCATACACCATGCTCAAGCTACTCACTGGACCTCCCAATGGAGGTGGTGGCGACACCCTTTGGTCCTCACAGTACGCTGCGTATGACATCTTGTCCTCTCACATGCAGACCTATCTCAAGGGCTTGACAGCTCTTCACTCAGCGGACATGCAGGCCGGTGACTCGCGAGCCCTTGGTCGTCCTGTCCGCAGAGAGCCTGTCACCACTGAACACCCTCTTATTCGAACAAACCCCGTCACAGGCTGGAACAGTCTCTTCTTCAACCCGGGTTTCGTTACGAGTATTGTCGGCATTCCCAAGGGTGAGAGTGACGCTATCATTCGTTACCTTACAGATGTGGTTGCTACAACCCAAGAGGCCCATGCTCGCTTCCAGTGGAACAAGGGTGATATTGCTATCTGGGATAACCGTACTACAGTATGTCTCATGGAAATTTCTCGGGATTTGAGAATAAAGCTAACCTTATTCCTCACAGAACCACACTGCCACTTATGGATTCACCCCACACCGCCGACATGCTGTTCGGGTTGCGGTGCAGGCTGAACGCCCTGTTCTTCAGAAGTCTGGTAAATCGCAAGAAGAAGAGACAAATAATTCATTTGGTCTCCCGCATGTTGACAAGAACGGAGCACGTCAATCAAACTACAACGATTGAATGAGAACTGGGATTTGGGTCCAGAACGAAACGTCACTTAATTTAGCGTTATGTTATGCATATTTAGCGAGATCAGAATGCTTAGCGGAATCGGAAACACATTTTTGTCATTTATCAATTATGCCTCACTCGAATGCTTAAGTGCCTTACGTATAAGAAATGATAGGCTCAGCGTGGGCCACTTCCAGGTTTCCTTCTCTGTTGTCTGTTTACCTAGACCTGGAGAGCCACCGCCCTCCCTCTTCTCGCTCCACCTTGACCATGCCCAAACTCTCAATTATCCGTCCACGGTACTCAATATGAGTAACTCAATTGACGTTTCTGGTATTTTTGATAACGCTGAATCTAATGACGTCGCAATCCACCCATTCGAAACTGATATCACTTCCCCTCTGTCGCCAATTGCCGGATTGTGTGCGCCAGACGGTAACCGGGGTGAGGTCGACACAAGACACAGAGAGCAATTTCTTGGGTTCATCGGCAATTCCAGTCACAAAAGGCTCAGACTGAACCACGAATCCGCACGACTTCTAAGTGCCGCACGGAAAACTGCGAAAGCTAAAAAGCCATCACTTAAGTGGGACGTGCTGCTTCCGCAAGCGCATGGCATTACCGCTTCAAGTTCCCACCCCGGTGTCCCTTTATTGACCGAGCAGGAAGAACGCCGTCTTCAGCCTTCACCCCCTCAGGATAAGATCGAGGTCCATAGTTTACAATATTCTCAGTCTCATTGTTCGCTTCACCAGTCCACTGACATCGATCCACCGGCGAGCATTACTGAGACCTCTGAACTATCCAGAAGCAACTTGAGCACGGAAAAGTTGAAATTGAGTATCGCGAATGAGTCCCTTAAGCTGATTTCTAGAGCTCGCCGTATCGGTGCGCTGCCTAAGAGAGCAGTCGGGACCCTGTTTGACGAACTACTCAAAGGGCCCAAGGTCAGTCACTTTGCCGTGGTTTTGATCTGAGAAAGCTGACATATTGCAGAGAAACATAGCTCATCCTGCTGAGTTGATCATTTGCACCGAGCTTTCTGAGACACAAAGCACACCCGCACGTGGCTGTATTCCATCACCTTCTATCCCAGAAAGAGAAAGAGAGTTTTCAATAGATCATTGTGCGTCGGAAGGGAAGGATGCATCCCCAGGCCCTGTTGGATTATCGCAAATATCTACAAATCTCACCAAATTTATTTCACCGAAGACACAAAACACAAGCAAGGAGAAGCTGCCCACAGTTTTTCGAAGCAAAGGATCAAATTATATGCTTGCGGATGAGTCGCAGCGGGTGCCCAATCTCAAATCTTTCTCTGGAATCCGTATTCAAGAGCTGGAACATATGGCACAAGCTGTGCTATATACAAGTGAAGTCTGCGTACCTGTTGATGATCCTGCTTTTCGACCAATCAAGACCCCAGAAACCCTCACAAGTTCTAGAGAGCTTGTATTAGAAAATGACACGCCCAAGGAATTGAATAATAAACTTCAATGTCAGGTTTCCATCTCCGGAGAGCATGCCACTTCAACTGTGTCCAACCCTAGACTGGCCAACGTGGGATTTGGCTCTCTATCTGCATTCATGGAAACAAGAGGACTTATTGACTCGAACCATCATTCAAACATTTCACATTCTTCTTCTCGTAGTCCCCATGATAAAGAAGAATCAACTCTCGAGGAGCCAGATACCTCTAAGCTCGCTCATGATACCAATATTTACAATCCACCCATGGGAAAATCTTCCTTTATAAAAGTCCCATCGATCATCGGGCCCCGTTTCGAACTCAAAGCTTCAAATCTCATTATATTTCTATCAACAGATCTCCTCAAGACTCATCTTCGACTTGTCCAATGTCTCGAACAACGAGAAAATCCACCAAAGTGTTTCTATCGAGACTACAGCCAACCTCAAATATCACCAAACTTGAACGCTCTGATCCCACTTCCTCGGGCACCCATAAACGCACCACAGGAAGCAGATCTAATCATCTCTCCATCCGTTGGAATTATACTCACAACATCTCAAGCTCTATCCCAATTATATTTACCCGGCCACAAACCCACCGATCCTGCCATTCGAAGTAACCTTTCCATTACATCCCACCTAAAAGAACGGTTATTCCGACTAACTCAGCGGTATGACATCTTATATGTACTAATCAGTCATTCATCTTCAAACACCATGATCGAACGCGGCAGAACACATTTAGTCTTCCAAATGGATAAGTCCACTCAGGAATCTTATAACTCTATCCAAGAGTTTTGTTCTTCAATCTCCTCGTCGATGAAGATGCTCCCCCATCTCATTCCAGCTACCCCAGACACAATAGCGGAATGGATCCTGACCCTCGCAACGAACCATGCTTCCCATTGTCTGACAACGGATCAACTTCAGAACATTTCACCTTCGCCTATCGCTTTTCAGGGCGAAAAATATCGACAAAGGACCGTCAATCAACTAATCAAAGAAGATGAGACAAAGTGGGAAGTTTGGCTTCGAAGCTTGGGCCTAAATCCCTATGCCGCAAGGATTGTTCTTGATATTCTCGAAGCCGACGGTGATTGTACGAAACATAGCAAAGACGGATGGAGTGAGCCTGGAAAGAAGAAGGGTGAGAGTTCAATGTCTTCTTTCATGAGGTCTATTGAGATGGGACCGTTGCAAAGACTGGAGCGGTTCAAGATGCTACTGGGAGAGCGATTATTGTTTAAATTACAACAGGCCATTGAACTGCACATGTGGGCAGCTGATGATGACGACGAGACAGCACTTTGTGCATGGTAGCCCTTGCATTAACCCGAGTTCTCTAGTACAACCTCATCTATATCTAGGTATCTCAATATGATCTGAGTTTCCGAAGCCCACAGTAGTAGGTAAGCTTCAGAAAGCACACGTAAAACATCAAATCAAGATCTTTCTCTATCCTTTCAAGTTCTCTTCTCAATATCTTGTCGATAATTTAATGTGCTAATGTAGGTAAGAGTGGAGATATCATCAAATTATCAACTGCCAACCTAGCAAAAGCATAGAGAAGACAAGTTGTGATTGGTTTTAAAAGTACATTGGACAAAGACATGCAAGACCCAAGGCCAATCCAGCGCTTCAGAAACCCAGTATGCAATATGAGCGAGATACCAAAGTACAAGCCACCAGGCCAAATCAGACCTGACGAGCAAGAACCCGGAATTCGACGGATTTAAATTATTTTTTGAAGTTTTGTTCTTGAGGTCGTTGAGAGCGGTCGAGCTCGTGCCTTCGCTTCGGTATAATACACTGGAATATATTCCTTTCCGCGAGGATTGCACAGCTCGGCGGGTAGAAAAGACATTCGAAGAAGGTAGCGAGAGACAAGAGTCAAATTAGCTTTTAAGGAAGCAATTTACTCGTTGATCTTAGCAAGGATCCTTCATGAGATATATCGTTAGCAAGACTGAAGAAGTAAGAGGATAGATTTTTTTCGTGCATATGCGATTGGGAAATAGGGGAACGTGGAACATACTCAGAGTCACGGTAAAGAGTGTACTCCTCCTCGCCGACCTTGATGGGGGAACCACCGAACTGTAAAGACCGTGTTAGTATTGTATTGATAGATATGGATATCCGATATTCAATGGAAATCGCATGGAGCGGATATGACACGCGGAAGAGCTCGGAAAGGCGCTGGGTGTCAACTTACCATAGGGATCAAAACCTTATCACCGGAGGCAACGCCCATGGGGAGGCGCTTGCCCTCACGGTCGAGGAGACCGGGGCCAACAGCAAGGACCTTAGCCTCGTTCTGCTCCTTGACACTGCTCTCAGGGAGGAAGATACCGGAGGCAGTCTTGGCCTCGGGCTTGATGCGCTGGACCAGAACGCGGTCCAGGAGGGGAGCGAGGCTCTTGATGTTACGGAGGGCAGACTGTTCAACGTAATTAGCATTGATCTTGAGCTGGGAGGGAATTTGAATTGGTTTGGTTGGGTCTGGGGAAGGGGTTGAAAAAAAAAATAGAGAAGCGCGAATGGGCCGGAGGGCCAGTTCAGCTTGACAAGCAAATTGGGATGGCAATCGGATGGTAATATGTATTCAGGAGGTCAAATTACTTACCATTGTGATAAAGAGAGAGGTATTGAGGCCAAGAAATGATATGCGTGGGATGGAGAAAGGATGAGGAATTGTCCGGGGGAGGAAGATCTGGACTTGGAACTTGGAGAAATTTCCAGAATGCCAAGACCGCAGCTTGTCCCGAGGGAGAACCCGTACGCTTCGGCATAGAACCGGGGCCTTCAGGAATCCAAGTTAGCCCACGTCTTTCAAAGTAAAAAGTGAATATGATTCTAACGAAGTTGACAGGAATCCCTTATTATTTCAATTGTCTCAATTTTTGTTTAATGGTCTCTCGCGAAATACCTCCTTACACCCCCTCAGACACTATTGTATACACTCTAATATCAGGTAGCTCCGTTTTCCCGAATCTCAAATTCTTTGATGCGATAAGGTAAATGGTAAGACTCTGAATTGGGAACAGATGGATATAAAGTGATATTATCGAGTAATTTCAATTTCAATCATCCATGATTTTGTATTAACGCCACATGACCCGAGGTAACCCAAAATGATCAAATAGTAATAACTGACAAGCCGCCATTAGGCTTACCATCTTCGCCCACGTCCCCGGCCTCCATAGTTCCCACGCTGATCATACCCTCCATATCCCATTTGACCTTGAGGCGGTTGTCCAAAACCTTGACCTTGTGGCTGGCCTCCAAAGCCTTGCTGGCCTTGTGGACCACCGCCCGGTTGGCCGCCCATCATAGCTTGTGCGCTCTGCATAAATGTCATTGGATCCATGTTAGAAGGATCTATGCCTTGAGCCATCATGCCCTGGAGCATCTGTTGCATCATATCGGGTGACATATCAGGCATCCCAGGCATCCCAGGCATTGCGGGTGCACCAGGGCCCGGTGCGCCAGGACCGCCGGGAGGTGGTCCACCAGGCATCGGAGGCATGCCCATGCCCAAGAAAGACTGCATGTCATCCATTTGCCTCCTTTGGTCGCCAACTTCTTTGCGCACTTCCTGCTGCTTCAAACAATAGCTAACCCATGTGAATTCGTCGAACCCGTAGTTAAAGTAGTCGGAAATGTCAGAGCCTGGTCGTCGCCAAGGCTTGTCGTCAGTAGGGAAGTCTGTGTCCATGTCGGTGGCCATGATAGTCTTGCCAGTGGAAGGGTGTAGGGGGTTTCCATTGACATCGATGGTAGACGTATGAATAGCCGGGTAGAAGGAACCTGGCTTCTGGTTCTGGGGTACAACTAGCTTCGCTGGGGCCGCAGAACCAGTTCCAGGTAGCGGAGCCGGAGCATCGAGGCGGGGAGTAGCCGACGGAGTCGCAGATTTTGAGACAGCGGATGAGTCTGCAGAAGAAGGTCTTTGGGGGTCTTGCCGTAAGCTTGCGTGGCGTGGATGGGAGCTTCGAAAGTTAGCAGACGGAAATATAGGACGAGCATGCGGCGCGCTAATAGCTTGCTCGACTCACATCTCTGGCGGCGGCGCATCAGCAGGCGCTTCTGTAATGATGTCAAAGTCGTCCTAATACTTCTTCAGCAAGAGTTTCATGTGGTGCGGGACAATTGGTGTCAAACCTCATCGGACTCAACCTCTACCTCGTCATCGTCCATATCTTCATCCGCGGGTTGCCCTGTCGTTGCATCTTGGGCATTATTTGACACTTGGGTCGGTGTCACTGAATCAGTGGGGTCGTAAAAATCATCCTCTTCGTCTTCCATGGTGATCGGCTCTGAATAATCTCACTTTTGGGTATTTGACGTTGAAAGGATGTCGCGAGTCGCGGCCAACCCTCCGCAGGGTAAAGACTAAGTTTGGAATGTTTGCACTGTGGTTTGTTGCCTTGAGAATTATAGCTTCAAGTTTCTTGAATATCGATTCAATTGAATTTATGGTACCCGAGACATGAGCTGGGTCTATTCAAATGTATCCTGGTGATAATATATACATACAATATTCTTCGATGTTGGGGAAATAAATTCGTATTTATCTAAATATTCATGAGCGGACTTGCGAGGACTTGTAATTGTGAAGTTCTTATTGCCTTAGATACAAGGCATACATATTCATTGCTAGTTATCTGCATAACTAGTTAGTTAACTAGTTAACAGGTGGGCTTGTAACTTCCTTACTAGCCTTCAAATTCGTGCCCATTGCCTGCTTTCGAGTTCCAATTGACAACTGTATAGGGTGAAGTACCTCTGCTCTGGTGGAATCCAGATCTCCGGTCAGCCTGTAGCCTCGATATCGAGAATTCCACAACTCTGGCCTATAGTATCCATTTCGGTCACGTGCACCGCCCTGACATCAGTGTGGACAGGATACATAAACCAACTCCTTTCAGCAACTAAACCCTAGCTGTACGAACAGCTCCAGATGTCAATATGGCCGAACAGGAGAGCGGAACGTCCACTCCACGGTCCTTCACCGGCCAAGGAGCCTCCGCGGAAGACATGCTCAAGTCGCAAACCGTTGGTCTGGTGCATCTGTCCGACTTTCGCAAACGGCGCGCCGAAGTGCTAGAACAGAAAGAGCGCGAGGCGCATGATAAGTCGCTAGGAAGAATGGCATCTGGTAATTCAAGAAGCGCGACTCCTTCTGCGGGCGACGTTACTGACGGGTAAGTTCCAAGGGCCTCTCTTCCCCTCGCTTTTTTGGTCTTCTCGCCAGTAAACATAAACTGATCATGGTTTCGCATTGCCAAATAGATCCTCGACACCTCAAAGTGATGCGCCACCTAAGAAGAAGAAAAAGAAGCCCCTCGCCAAGAGCAAACTCTCTTTTGGCGATGATCAGGATGAGACGGGCGAGGAGCCCGCAGCGACACCACGCGACTCCAGTATATCCCGCTCCGGTTCCAAGACACCAATCGAGGAGGGCGCAACATCCGGACCTCGCCGTATGAAGGCGAATCCAAATGCGCCGCCTCCACCGAAGGCCCTGACCAAAGCTGCCGTCGAGGCTGAAGCGCAAGCTCGTGATACACTTCGCAAGGAGTTTTTGATCATGCAGGAAGCGGTCAAAAACACGGAGATTCTAGTCCCATTTGTGTTCTTCGATGGCACAAGCATACCAGCTGGGTCAGTCAAGATCAAGAAGGGAGATCCAATTTGGTTATTTTTGGATAGGTGCCGCAAAGTCGGCGCTGAGCTGGGAGTGCGAGGCGCCAGTGGTGCTTCTCAAGCACGGAAAGACAATCGCCGTGAATGGGCTCGAGTCAGTGTGGATGACTTAATGCTCGTGAAAGGCAATATAATTGTTCCCCATGTGAGTATTTCCGGATAAGCGCCTTGACCGAAACCCTTTCTAATTGAGCCTAGCATTACGAGTTTTACTATTTCATATCAAATCGAGTATCGAGCTTTTCCAAAGATGGGGGCTTGCTGTTTGACTACACGAATAAGCCACCCCCAGAGCGCTCAAATGACGATCCCTTGTTTCGACCTAATGATCACCCACTTGAGGGTACGGACAATGACTCTGCGGAGACCAAGGTTGTAGATCGTCGCTGGTATGAAAAGAACAAACATATTTACCCGGCGAGTCTTTGGAATGAATATGAACCAGGGAAGGAGTTTGAAGAAAAAATGAACTCGACACGGCGTGATGCACAGGGAAATACATTCTTCTTTTAGCGAAACTTTTTGAAATTTGTATCTGCGTTATTTTGAATATATCAGGCGCATTGTGGTCAAAGGCAAAATAGACCAATTGCTGAAGATTAGTGGACAGTTTTGATCAACGGATGTCGCTTTAGGCAAGTCCTGAGGGCTCACAGATTGACCGCGCACTCCCACCTTCCTCCTCTTTTTTCATCCCATCACATTGGACCCATTATGGATCTATACCTGCGCTGCAATTCTTTAACATGCCGGGCTTATTTGAAAGAGAGGGCAGTGGTCACCACTTGCTCGTAAGTCGTACTGATGGTAGTTGAATAAGTTCAGGGCACAGACTGACCGTACCAGACACATCTTCTGCCCTGGGTGCGCAGACGGATTGGGACTCTCACACCCCACCTCTGATAACCGTCACTGCCCGGCCTGTCAAACCGTTCTTTTCAACCCTGACGATGCCGTTTCCACAATTCTCAACCCTACGGAGGATTATAAGACCAGTGTATTGAGCGGGTTGGATCCCAGTACTATCATGGAGTGTGCCGGCCGCGCACTGGGGTTTTGGGCATATCAAAGTATACAAGAAATGTAAAGCCACGCAAACGTCTTCATAAATGCAGGATTCTCTGAACTGCTTGATTGATTGCTGACTGGTATTTTCAGATTGTATCAAGAATTCCTAGGCAAAAGCCTCACCGAGAGATATACGGGTTTAAATACTCAGATGGACAAGCTCATCCTCAATGCCAACTCGGAGATCGCAAACCTTCACAGCAAGCTTTCAGGTATATTGAAATGTCGTTTTTGGATAAAGAGATAAGCGACTGAGCTCCGAATATTTAGATCTACAAGCAAGCCAGGAACAATTACAAAAGAAAAACGAAGAGCTTGTGGATATGTACCGTGAAAAGTCCAAGAAGTTGTCACAGATGACGAATCTCTACAACCTTTTGAAAACACGGGCTATGCGATCCAGAATGGAGACTGCAGCTTTCGAGTCAGTATCGAACACTCTGGATACCGTCCCACGAAATGTACCCGCCGCATCAATCACCATACCTGAGCCATCACGACTTCCAACCCTTCCATTACCTCGGCCTCCAAAAACACCCTCCTACCCAAAAAGCCCCGACGGTATTGAACAGCTCCATCGACACCAACGAAGTGGTACAGTGAGCTCTAGGTGGGCAGGTAAAAAATCGTCAAAGGCTTCGATGATGCAGGCGCCTTACCCGGCCTTGGATATACCCAAGGGTAGGTAGTGATTATTCCAAAGTGAAAGGCCATGAATGAATGATCTGATTAAATTTTATAGCTCAAACTGCGAATACCGTGACAAAGCCGCAGCACCGTACTCGCCTTCCACGTACCACTCGACTACCTACAAACTTGTCTCAACTTCCGCCGGAGGATGTCATTATGGCACGCTTTGGAAATTGAAGCACACCTCCGAATAACCATGAATTGATTCCCTGCGGGTCCATCTGATTGGCCTTCTAGGGTCTCGCTATAGAAGAAACTACCAGTCTAATTGTATCAACTAATTCAGTTATTTCAGTCACTCGAATCAATATAATTGTGACTTCTCTGATGTTCCATTGCCTTTTCTATCCTTGATACTCCGGATTATTCGCGAATATCCCTTATCTACAGGATCTCAAAAACTCAAGGGTTGTGAGGCTGAGAGCGCAAATAATACGGAAATACTTGCCTTCGCATAAAGGCTTGAATACTTCCCGACCTTGGAAGTACCTCAATTTGGAATTTGTGCATGTGCCTCTTTACACATATACTACAGTCCACTCTACAATCGTCAAATCTAATTCATCGTAATACCTAATACCCGATCATGCAAAGCGGGATTTTTATAGAAAGAGCACCACAGATATTCAAATCTACAAGTTGAATATTCTTCATAATCTATTCTTCTAAAGATACCTCTTTTTTCCACAAGCATTTCGCAATAAAATATATCCATATAGTAACACAAGACTCTATCAATCTCCCAGCCTCCCCGCTCGCCCGGGATCCAGTTTCGGAGCAGCGGAAGCGCGTCCTCCACCTCGGTCCAGCCACAACAACCCACCAACGCTATACAGAGCAACCCCTGGTCTAGCACGGTCCCTACCTTATTTCTTATCTGGGTGTTCCTGAAGATCATGATCTAGATCTGCAGATTAGATTTAGTTGTGAATCCGGGGAAGCTTGAGGTGGGTGGATCTACTTAGTTCGTAATTTTGGTTACTTTCGAGGTTGTATTATACACTCGTATTTTTCAACCACTATATCTGGATGCCATCTGGGCAACATCGCAGTACATAATTCAGCATTTGACGTTAACAGTATTAGGTCGGTTTTGTATCAATGATTTAAATAGAAGATTCAACTGGTTATTTCACTCGGTTGGTTTTGGAAGCAACCCTTGGATGGGGAATAAGTACAATCTACGTGGACATTGTCAAGGTCCTTAACAATTACAGCGTTGGCAAGATAGCACAAGAAGGTCTCGTATCATCAGTGTATTATCCGATGGGAAATCACGATCTAAATTCCCTCGGGAAAAGGTGAACATAAAGGAAATCTAATCATGTACGTCGGCACCTAAGAATCCGGTCTTTTTTTCCCCTCTTTCGTCCGGGCAAGGAAGAAAACGCCAGACCCTCGACCAGTAAACTAGGACAGACGCCAGGAATAGGCTGTGTTCTCAGCCTAGCCCCTGCGGGTAGGCATCATCCCGCAAAATTTCATATCATGCCATGCATTATACCACACACAAACCCATGCAACGGAGGGGAGGCGCAACGCTGCAAGAAACAACAAACAATAGACCCAAATATCAAAAAACAAGCCGTGATTCATTCACATTTATACGCCAAATTCCTTGACATCGGTCTTCTTGCCCTGGAGAGCAAGAGGCACAATACCGGAAACGTGCATCTCGGGGCCGTAGACGTGCATGTCCAGGCCAAGCTCAACACCAGCAGCCTTGATGTTCTTAAGACCCTCCTGGTAGTTGGGACCAGCACGACGGACCCAGATCTGGACCTTGTGCTCAACGAGAACGGGGGCGACATCGCGGATGGCACGGATGACACCCTTGAAAGTGCTGGCAACGTTGGTGAAGTTGGCAATACCTCCACCGACGAAGAGGACCTTGCCCTCGGGGTGCTGAGGAGCACGCAGCATCAGATCCAGAACGGTCTTGGCGTAGTTGTAGGTCTGAGTCTCAGTGGGGGCACCAGAGTACTCTCCGTAGTTAGCCAGCTCGGAGACGAAACCAGCGGAGGCAATGGCATCGGCGTAGACGACGGAAGCACCACCACCAGCAACCAGAGTCCAGACACGGCCGTTGGAGTTGAGAACAGTCAACTTGAGGGAAGCACCGGTCTTAGCATCCATGTCGGAGATGAACTTCTCCTCCTTGCTCAGCTCACGACCGAAGGGGGCGGGGAACTCCATCGGCGGACCAGCGTCGATGTTGACCTTGCCGTCGGTGTTGGCAAGAGTAGGCAGACCCAGAGCAGCGGGGCTACGGGCAATGGCCCACTTGGTACCGCACTCGAACTCGGCAGTTTGGTCAATCTTAGCGGCCAAGTCGAGGAAGTGGACATCAGCAGAGGTGGCGTCAGCGTTGGGGATGACGACCAGAGGGTTGATCTCGAGGTAGGTGAACTGGCTGTCGACGTAGACGGCGTAGAGACGGGAGATGAAGTCAACCAGGACATTGTGGACGCCTTGGGGAACCTTGCTCAGCAGGGAAGCGGCGATCTCCTCGTTGGAGGGGTAGTTCTTCAGGTCGACGGGGATGAGCAGCTTCTCGGCCTTAGCATCGACATCACCAACGTCAACACCACCCTCGTGGGTGAAGAGGATCCAGTCACCCTAATGATGATATTAGCTCAATTCCTTTATTTTGGAAGTCTTTTCACGAGCGCTTTAAAACATACCTCACGAACGGAGTTGATGTTAATGTAGTATTCGGTCTCCTGGGGGTGGGGCACGAAAGGCTCAACGAGGAACTGGCGCAGAACACCGGTAACAGTCTCAACCTGAACATCCTTGGTGGCACGAGCCTCAATCCACTCACGAGCCTCAGCCCAGGTCTTGTTCAGAGCGAGGAGACCGCTCTTTCCACGACGCTTAATCAATTGATCGGGCTTAGCGACGAACTTGGAGCCGGCAGTTAACAACCAAGGGTAGGTGACCTCAGCCTGGTCAAGGACATCCTTAACAGCCTTGTCATCGGGGAAGTGGAGGGAGGCGAGACGAGCGGGAGGGTTGTGTGTCGAGGAAGCAGGGAGAGGAGTAGGCTTGATCACTGGGGCGCGAGTGAGGTGGTAGTTGAGGATGGCCTTACCATCGGCCTCGAGAATGGACTTGGCGGACATGATTTGTAGTGTGAATAGAGGGGGAGGGGAATATGATCAAGGAAGATGAGGAAAGAAGAAAGAAGATGACTTTTTGGGAGGGGACCCGAAGCTAATGGGAAAGAAGGAAAGAGAGGGCTAAGACTGTAGAATACGGCGTACAGAAAAAAAAAGTTGTGCTGGAGATTACAGCGTACAATTGAGGGGAGATCCACTGTATGTTGAGGGGGGGGGGAGGAAAGAAACAGAGCTTGTGGTGGGGGGTTTTGTGTGTTGGGATTACATGTACTGGTACCTACCGCACACTTTTAAATTGTGCATACACCGTAGAACAAAAAGTCGGATTTGGGTTTGAAACTTGTTGGGTCTTTTGGACACCGCCAGAATTGATCTACATCAGTAGGGTTTCCACAGCACTGCCCAGGTGGTTTAGTGTGCGAAAAAACCCGCCGTGAAGGAATAGATAGACACCGCTTGAAGTATACAACACACATGTGCATTTGGGGGCCTCTGTGGAGGTATAGGATACTTCCGCTATATAGTATAATCTGGGGGATATAGATCTATGCATAAATATCCTGTATAACATAATATTGATCTACTTATTTACTCTAAATTCATAAGAATTATCCATCTATATCTGTATGTACAATTTATCATGAGGTTGATCTGCCTGCTGTCAAGTCCGTAATATACGGTAATACGACGTAAGATACACCAAACCCTCACACTGGTGGATCCCCCAAGTGGAGCCCACAAGTATCGCTGGTACCCGGTACTTTGGGGAACTGTTGAGCTTTAGCGTACGCTGGGAGGAGCTGTACACCGTATCTGCGAGTACTTGCGAGTACTCGGCCCCGCGCTTTTTTTCTTCTGCTCCTTTCTTCTCTTGATCTTCCCATCTTTCTTCCTTCCACATAGCGGGTGTTTTGCACAAATAGGTATGTTTCTACAGCTTCTTCCTTCCATCGATTCACTTTTTTCTTTTCTATGGCAAATACCCTTGCTTAGCCCATTGTTGTGTCTACTTGCAAAATTTCCTAACCTTGTCTCCAACCCACCTACAGATTCATCATGCCCTCTACTTCTCTTTCGGCTGCCAACACCGGCGCCCAGTCCGCCAACGACAACATCACCCGTTTCAGCCCTCCTAGCCGTGCCCTCTCTCCTTCCAACCACGCTCTTTTCCACAACAAGACACGATGCTTCGTATAGTAAGTCCTGCACACGAGACCCCCTCCCCCTCCTTCCCCCCACCAATTGTCAACAATTCCGGGGAAATAGAAGAATAGCAGAATTGACTGGTAATAGTGGCATGCAACCCCGAGCCGTGCAGGGCATGCTCGACTTTGACTTCATCTGCAAGCGTACCACTCCCTCCGTTGCTGGTATCATCTATACCTTCGGTGGCCAGTTCGTCAGCAAGATGTACTGGGGCACCAGCGAGACCCTTCTCCCTGTCTACCAAGACACTGAAAAAGCTTTCGCCAAGCACCCCGATGTTGACACTGTCGTCAACTTCGCTTCTTCCCGTTCCGTTTACCAATCCACTATGGAATTGATGCAGTTCCCCCAGATCCGCTCTATTGCTATCATTGCCGAGGGTGTCCCCGAGCGTGTAAGTAGACAACCAATTGACTACCAGAAGAAGTTTACTTGGGTATTCAGGAAGCTAATTTAGAATTTCAACAGCGTGCTCGTGAGATCCTGGTTGCTGCCAAGGAGAAGGGTATTACTATCATTGGACCTGCCACCGTTGGTGGTATCAAGCCTGGTGCTTTCAAGATCGGTAACACTGGTGGTATGATGGACAACATCGTCGCCTCCAAGCTTTACCGTAAGGGTTCCGTCGGATACGTCTCCAAGTCCGGTGGTATGTCCAACGAGTTGAATAACATTATCTCCCAAAACACCGATGGTGTGTACGAGGGTGTCGCCATTGGTGGTGACCGTTACCCTGGTACCACTTTCATCGACCATTTGCTTCGCTACCAGGCTGAGCCTGAGTGCAAGATCCTCGTCCTGCTCGGTGAGGTCGGTGGTGTTGAGGAGTACCGTGTAATCGAGGCCGTCAAGAACGGTACCATCACCAAGCCTATTGTTGCCTGGGCCATCGGTACTTGCGCTAGCATGTTCAAGACTGAGGTTCAATTCGGCCACGCCGGTGCCTCTGCCAACTCTCAGCTCGAGACTGCTGTTTACAAGAACACCGCTATGCGTGAGGCTGGCATCCACGTCCCCGAGACCTTCGAGGATCTCCCCGAGACTCTGAAGGCCGTTTATGACGCTGAGGTCGCCAAGGGCGACATTGTCCCCGCTACCGAGCCCGTTGTCCCCAAGATCCCCATTGACTACTCATGGGCCCAGGAGCTGGGTCTCGTCCGTAAGCCCGCTGCCTTCATCTCAACCATCTCCGACGACCGTGGCCAGGAGCTGCTCTACGCCGGTATGCCCATCTCCGATGTCTTCCGCGAGGATATCGGAATTGGTGGTGTTATGTCCCTGCTGTGGTTCCGCCGCCGTCTCCCCACCTATGCTAGCAAGTTCTTGGAGATGGTTCTCATGCTTACTGCCGACCACGGTCCTGCCGTGTCCGGTGCCATGAACACCATCATTACCACCCGTGCTGGCAAGGATCTGATCAGTGCTCTGGTTTCCGGTCTTCTGACCATTGGTTCCCGCTTCGGTGGTGCGCTGGACGGTGCCGCCGAGGAATTCACCAAGGCCTTTGACCAAGGCCTGAGCCCCCGTGACTTTGTTGACACCTCCCGCAAGGCCAACAAGCTCATCCCCGGTATTGGCCACAAGGTCAAGTCCCGTAACAACCCCGATCTGCGTGTCGAGCTTGTCAAGGAGTTCGCCAAGAAGCACTTCCCCAACACTAAGCTGCTCGACTACGCCATTGCCGTCGAGACAGTCACCACCTCTAAGAAGGACAACCTGATCCTGAACGTTGACGGTTGTGTTGCTGTTTGTTTCGTTGACCTGCTCCGCAACTGCGGTGCTTTCACTCCCGAGGAGGCTGAGGACTACCTGCGCATGGGTGTTCTTAACGGTCTCTTCGTCCTGGGCCGCAGCATCGGTCTCATTGCTCACTACCTGGACCAGAAGCGTCTGCGTACCGGTCTTTACCGTCACCCCTGGGACGACATCACCTACCTCCTGCCCACTCTCCAGAAGGGTGGTGCCGAGGGCCGTGTCGAGGTCAACCTGTGATTTTGTTCATGATTTGCAGCGCCGTCCGCTGGTGGCATACAGTTCATCCTCTAATTGGAGGATGGTGGAGTTTGGATGGATGATCCATTTGTTTTATTTTTTCTATTTTTGTCTGAAGCAGTTCTCTACCTGCAACAAACACCCCTCGATGGGTGACCCCGGCCTTTACGGACAATGCCGCAAGTACACAAAAATAAGGCTTGCCATTGCAATGAAGGAAAATGGTGCTTATGCCCAGCTACGGATTTCTTGATTAATTTTGTTTAGATGACTAGACCTCCGGGGACTTAATGAATGCCCTTGCATGATGAATATAAGCCTGTATTGCCATTAGATACATAATTCTTCCTTCATAACCTACAACCCGGATAGTAAGGTAGCTGGGAATTTACATCGTAAAAACCCTTATCATTTGAGTGAAGCCTTCGATGTCCGCAGCTAGAAGCAAAAACGCAGGTGCGGCGGCTCAGTCAAATTCAAATTCCTTATCTTATCGCAACCATCTCATTTCGTGCCTAATTTCTGTCTTTCACTTTCCCAGTTCCCAACACACTACACAGATTTCCAATAGATACAATGGTCCGTCTGAAAAACCGCTATCTCCTCATCGACATCCTATACCCAGACCCAGCAACATGGCCCTCCAGTAATGCCGATCCCAAAGCCAAAGCCAAATCCACCCCTGCACAACTAGCCATCCACTCACCAACATCCGACGCCCTAACACCAGGTCTCCTCGCAAAAATGGTTCGCGAACAAGTAAGCGACCTATACGGAGACTGGGGTGTCGGGAAAACTAGGCGGTGCCTCTGCAGGTGGTATAAACGGTACGTCGCACCTCATTTATCCATCCATATATCCATCCATTCCATATCAGTCCCTCAAACACCTAGTTGCGCGCAACTACTAATTCAATGAGCGCAGTGAAATATCTTTCCCCCGCTACCTCAACTATTATTCTCCGTTGTCCGCGTGCGTCTTTCCGTCTTGTTTGGTCTGCGCTCACGTATATGTCTCATGTTCCTGCGAATGGTGGTGACGCGGGACAAAAGCGGCCGAATGGAGGGAGGGAACGAGCATGTGTTTTTCGCGTTCTAAGAGTATCGGGGACTATGAAGAAGGCTCAGGAGGATGCGATTCAACGGGCGAGAAGGGAGATTGTGCGTGTACGAGGGGTTGAAGAGAAGGGGGTTCTGGGGAGTATGATTTCTGGTGATGTTGATGGTGAGGAGGGACAGGGAGCTGCTGTGCAGAGCATTGTGGATCAGAGTGAGGACGAGATGGCAATTGATGATGACTGAATTCTCGAATTCTAACGCTGTTGAATTGAGCTGCGTGGATTACCCTGTACAATTAATGATAATGATACCCATACTGTTGAAGACATAGATATTTGATATTATACATTGTTTCTTCAATTCATTTTTTGGTAAGTTAAGTTAGGTAGTGTGTCCTTCATTCTTGCGGCGCACTTTGATACCACTATCAGCCATAGGAGGATTCGATGACCAGTCCGCCATCTCCTTGTCCTCATCGAAATCATCCAGGTCGCCGTCGCCGTTCGAATCCTTGTATGCTGCGTTTCTCGCCTGTGCTTCTTCTTCTAACTGATCCCGCTCCATATCATCATATTCATCCTTTGCATCCAGCCAACGCTCCTGTACATCTCGTACGTCCGAGACCCCCATTCCCTCCCGTATAGCAACCTGCCAGATCGTATCATTTGCGCCCTCCGCAGGTCCAAAGGCGTATCCCGATGCACGATCAATCGCGCGAAGCAAGTTCATCATGCTCTTTTTATCTTCAACGGCCAGTGTCTCGTAGGAGACGAGTCCAAATTCCTCCACGAGGCTGATGATGGCCTCGTTCAAAGCGCCGAATTTGGTATGTGCAAGGCGGGAAGACTCGGCTTCTAGGTGTGGGACGAGATAGGAGAGATCTTGCACTTCTGTGTAATAGTCTAGGTTGAAGGGGAGGTCGTTGTAGTTGGAGAGATTGTCGATTTTTGTCAGGACATTAAGATGTGGGAGGTCGAGTTGGAGCATTGTGCGGAGTGATAGGAGGAGGGCGGATATGTACATTGATGGAAGTGTGAGGGTGTATGAGTCGACGAGATGAATCACTACTAACTGTATATCCAAAGTAATCAGTTAGAGGCCTGTTTTTATTGTTCTTGGAGAGCAGGTGTCACTAACACGATAGCCTAATTTTTGAATCCGGTAAAAGATATTTCGTAACGATGAATGATGCGTAAAAAGCTCAACTTGGCCTGGACAGTCGAAAAGAACATAATCATCTATGAGAACGATGTCAGTATACCAAGGTCTATTGTTTGAGATTGAGTAGTGACAAACCCCCAAGTTCCTTCAGTCCGTCCTCTAGCCATGAGTAATTCTCCTCCAACTCCTCAAGCGCATATAGTGTAGCTCCGTTAGGTCCTAGATGATCTTCATCCATGATCTCTTCTAGTTTGACAAGGTCGCGCACATCCACCGTACAAGGGTATGAAGTCTTGTCATTGGCGGGGTCAAGATTGACAATGGAGCATTTCCGGCCGATAGCACCTAGGAACTGGTGCATGCCATTGCAATATGTAGACTTCCCAGCTCCAGGTGATCCAATAACCAACTGAGCGAAGGGCATATTGACACTTTGAGACGAATAGATATAAAAAATCTACCCCATGCGATAGAGGTAAGTTACAGCTCAAGAACGAGATGCTTTTTTCTTATCAGGCAAAGCGCGGGGAATGGGCGGTATGCGCTGGCAGAAAACGAACCGGTGTGTAAAGCTGCAACCACATTGAGATCTGATCTTGTCGTAGCATTTACAGCTTGCCCAAGATGTCGTCATCCAGTGAGTAAATTCAATTTCTGATAAAATTAACCGTTTGACTTGGGTTGACACTTCTCAGATCAATTTATCCTCAATAATCCGCCGACCGATGCTATCTCTGCGCTGAAGTTCTCCCCCGAGGCCGATTCCACAAGGATTGTTGTAGCGTCATGGGATAAGAACGTGTACCTTTATGACCTGCGCGATGAAAACGGTACCGTGGGCGAGGGAAAACTTTTACAAGCATTTGAGCACCGCGCACCCGTGCTAGATGTATGCTTTGGCAATACCGAGAACGAGATTTATACCGCTGGGTTAGACTGGGATGTACGAAAGTGAGTGGATCATGGGCTTTGAAGAGGCTTGGAGCTCTCGTGGTTTCATAAAAGACATAATTAACAAACTTCACAGAATTGATATCAATACCGGACAACAAACAGTGCTTAGCAGCCATGAGGCTGGCGTGCGAAACGTCGTGTATAGCCGCGAACACCAGATCATCATCTCTGGTTCCTGGGATTCCACACTCCATATTCACCGTACCGATGCAGGCACCAACACCGAATCTCAACCTGTCGTTGTTCCGCTTCCCTCGAAACCTTTCTCCATTTCCCTCACATCAACCAAGCTGGTTGTGGCAATGGCATCTCGTTCCCTAGAGATCTACGACCTGAAGGCATTGGCTGTCCTCACCGCACAGGCTGATAGCACATCAACCAATGGAAACCGGGTGGAAGTTGAGCCTTGGCAAAGTCGTGAAAGCAGTCTGAAATTCATGACGCGTTGCGTGGCTTGCATGCCTGGAGATACTGGATACGCTTCATCTAGTATTGAGGGTCGTGTGGCAGTTGAGTGGTTTGACCCCTCGCCTGAATCGCAAGCGCGTAAGTATGCTTTCAAGTGTCATCGCCAAACAAGTGAGGATGGAGTCGACGTCGTGTATCCCGTCAATGCACTTGCCTTCCACCCTGTACATGGATCATTTGCGTCAGGCGGCGGTGATGGTGTCGTTGCGCTGTGGGATGGAATTGCTAAGCGCCGAATTCGTCAATATCAGAAATATCCATCCAGTATCTCTTCTGTTGATTTCAGCAGCAGTGGTAAGTATCTGGCTATTGCAGTGAGCCCTGGCTTTGAAGATGGGACAGATGGAGTCGCCGAAGGGGTGGTCAAGATCTTCGTGCGCGAGCTCAGTGAAACGGAGGCTAAGGGCAAAGGTGCGAAATAATTAAAAATTCAAGGAAAACGGGAAACATGAAGTCTTTTTTTGATACCAAGTACCAAGTCTAATAAGCCAATTGAATCATCAAATTAAACATACGAATCTCTTCAATTTTAGTTCTCTCTCTATAAGAATTGGGAGAACAATTTTGGTATCATCTGTGTTATATAGGTCGTTAATCAGATCGAAATCTAAAAACAAAGCAAATTCAAAAGGAACGAAACCCAATTTCGTCTATTTACCTCATGAAGAAGCCTTTCGTACTGACACAGAGCCATCGGGCATACCAAAGTACGCCGCGACAGGTCGCTGTCCACCAACACCGCCAGCAGCAGAGGCCTGGGGTCCAGTCAACCCAGAGAAAATGCCAACTTCAAGAACTCCAACAATTTCCTTAATCTTCTTAGACAAGTCATTCACCTCCCAAGCACCATCCTGGCCCGAAACCTTGCCGGCCACAATATCAGACTGGGTCAGCATAATGGGGAAAGGAGCATCGATGAGGAAAAAGTCCTGGTCTGTCTTGCGCGGGCCCTCCTTCGGGTCAGGATTGGTTCGGATAACAGGGTCAACACTGCCGAGCTCCTTAAGCTTATTCAAGACACGATAAGCAGCCATGGGAGCGACCTCAATAGGAACATATTTCCAGTTGGTAAGGAGACGCGACTGGAGCTTGCGCGAGTCTATAAAGAAGAAAAAGAAAATCATTAGCATGAGTCACGTAGTAAAGAAAACCTTCCGGTATAGTCAAAACAAACGGAACAACTCACCAGCAACGCAAATGAATTCCTTCGCTTGCATAGCGACGATCTTCTCCTGGAAAAGACAGGCACCGCCTCCCTTGATACAGTTCAGATCATCGTCGACCTCATCCGCACCATCAAACGCTACATCGAGCACTGTACCAGCGGGAAGAGCATCGAATTCAACGGCAGTCAATCCAGCACTGACAACCAGCTGGCGCGACTGGTATCCCGTAGGCACGTACCGAGTGGCGCTAGTATCGATACCGAGGGCCTTAATAGCTTCAACGACGTAGACAATGGTAGAGCCACTGCCGATACCAACCCAGCGAGCATCCTTGGGATAGTGGTTTGCGACGGCGGTCTGAGCGGCCGCGCGCTTAGCAGCTTCAACGTCAGACATTGTGGATAGAAATCGGGCTCGAGGTAACGGGTATGCGGGTATAAAGGGAGAGGTGTATATGCGTGGGCGTGGAAGAGATCGGAGGCGGGGTACGAAGATCGGGAGGGAGAACCGGGTGGAGGGTGAGAGGGAAAAAAGTGTAGGGAGGAGCCGTGGACCCATATGGGACGATGGATGTGTCAACACGGTTCTTTTCCAGAGCTAAAAAGGGACCCCCTTCACGCTCGGAATTTGATTTACTTGGTTGGAAAATGGATTCCCCAGGCTGGACCTGCACTATAGCGTCATTGGCGTTGGGCAGTGCGGGGTGGATTGAACTTATTTGGTGAGAAAGAAAAAGTTGGGGAAACAAGACTGGAAGTTTACACCGAGCGAACTAAATAGGGATCAAAGCCGGTTGAGATGCCACTCAAATAAGTACATCTAACTATAAGCCTCTATTTCAATCTTCAAAGAGAGGTTAATGACATAAATTGAACTAGTAGACAAAGCCTTAGTGTCATTGGATAACACCAGTCGATAGCATAGAGTTGACAGCATCCACAATACTAGTCTTTAAATCAACATAATCCCACCTTCCTGAATTCCCATGCTATGGCCGCAGCGCGAGTTTTGGAAACATTGTAGCCGAGGACCCTCTCCTAGAAAACGGAAAAGGTGGAGCTCAGTAGCCTCCAACATTTTACTACGACCAAGAGCACATTCTGATCGAAGCCGCTAACAAGGGCGCATGGGAATGGGTGCAACTTTCCTGAGGATGACCTCGGATACGCTCGAGGAAACCTCAAGAATGAAGCTACATGCCTTGGGCTCTACTGTGCAGTGACTGCCAGTGAGCAAGGTGCTACCCGGCTCAGAGTTACCTTATCCCATTTCTGATACAGGCAGGATTCCCCTCTTCAGTGTATACAATGCTGGATGTACACCTCGGGACAAATATTGATCCGATCAACAGCTAACATTGAACTAATGCTTGTGGTCTCGCTCAATCGACCCGCCGCAGATCATCCTTTCTGTTGCAGAACAAATTCCCAAGCGTCCTTGCTTCATCTTTTAATGGCCACTGTACATCGCCGCCATCCATCGACTGTCCCTAACACCAGAAGAGAGTGGAAGAGCACGAAGCTTGTTCAAGACCTTGATCGACTATATACACCTGTGCGTACATCAAAAGGGCGGTTTAAACTGGCTGTCCTTAGAAATGAAACCTTTGAACGCATTCAGTGTAAGGATGACTTCCTCGACTACTTCTTTACTTCCATACACACGGTTTTATCACTGGAAGATAAGCGCGAAGCCCTTCCAGGTTACTCTCAAGTTTTTCCCTACTTTCGTAATTTCTCATCGTGGAGCCCTAGGGAAAAAGACACAGCCATGAATATTATCGACGAGTTTGCCGAGTACCTTGTCGATAACTTTTTCATACCACGTACGTTCACGTCCCTGCATAGGTCGATTGCATAAGACTTTCCGATGTGACGTAGTAAGGGCTTCATCAATAAAAACACCTCAACCTACATCTGTGTCATTATCTTCAAATCAAGCACCAACAGGCACTAAACGTCGTGTTTCGAGGTTACGACAAGAATGTCTTAGGCGTGATCATCATCGCTGTGTGGTGTCGCGCAAGTTCGATAGAGCTGAAGCGAAAAAGCGACTTAAAAATAACGAGGATAACAAAGATGACGACGAAGAGCTCTGACATCGAGCGAACATACGTTATCGACTCTACTGAGCGAAGGCCTTATTTGCGCGACCCTTTGTTTCCAGTGACCCGGGAACGTCATGTCAGCCCCGAACTTACCATTGATCCACCCGCTAGTAAACTCCTCAAGGTTCACTGCGCTATTCAATAGTCCTCTCCATATACACTCCTGCGCCGCTGCTAATACTTGTGTCAGCACAGATGGGTCTACAGATTTGACAAGTCTTGTACGATCACGATTAAGGGGCTGGGTCAGATGCATTGACTGTTTTCTAGCTTGGATGCTCTGGTATCGAGCCACATTGCGGACATCAACCTAAGATTCATATTAGTATTGATGAGGTACATTATGAGACGGCTTTCACGTACAAAGTGGTAGAAAGGGAATTTAACGCCTTTGATTTGCTTGTGAGGTCCGTCAATGAAACTCACGATAGCAAAATAGTTCATCTCATTGATGGAGCTCGGGCCAGAGATGGGATGGAGCATGGGTTCGGTTATGACGTCTGTAGTTTTACTTACTTCATATTTTAATTTCATGACAGGATTATATTACTCAGAAGCCCTAGCTATTTGTCATTCGAGTACCAACAAGCTCTTCTATGAAAGTTTCAAGACTCAAAGACATCATTCTTTGGAGTAGCGTTGAACGGGTTCGAGGTCCTTCTTGCTCTGTAAGTAGAGATAGTGGCTGATAAGCGTTCTTTGATGTATCCATCTATACATGCCTTTAAACTCCCCTGGTTCTATTCTCGGGAAAGATTCGTTTCAAACTTGAAGACTTTGAAATTTACTTCGAATACATTTAGCAAAGAATTCAAAGAACGACGGTCTTGAGTGCCCTAGTGGCTGCTTCAAGTCTATATAAGAGAAGAAACTTTAGCTCTTTAGAGATCTTTTTTTCTTCTTCTTCGTGCCCGCACATCCTTTCCTATCATATCAGTATATTGAAATCTTCACCATGCCTAACATTTTCCGCCGACTGGCAAATTTTCGCGATGACCGTCGCTGGGACCCTCGTAGGCGCTTTGAGTCATTTCCGCTCGAAGGCATGCTCGGAGGGCTACAATCGCTGAAAATCGAAGCCCGTCGGATTGGGCAAATACATATGCCATGCTTTACTATGGAACTCTCTCTCAAGTAGCTAACATTCAATCTAGACGAATTCCCGGTCGTGCTACACCTGAGGGCGGCGGTCTTTCTGACGACCCTACGGATCCGAGCGGCCTGTGGAGAATGCCGAATGTACCTGAGCTCACACGCTGGATTGTTAACTACTGTGACGGAATCGGTGCACGTGAGTATCGGACTGGCCAGGGTATGATGGTTTTTAACCTTGTTGGCACTGAGCAAAATTCCCTAGTCTCTCCTGAATCTGATATAGTATCCGCGATTCTTGCGCTCTATCACCGTTCCGAAGGTACTACTGATACCGTGAGTCATATCTTTGTCCACCATATAGTGGCCTCAGAGGCGCAACGTCTTCAGATTTAATGAACCTTGAAGGCGAATTCGAATTCAATCATGGAAACCATTTTTTCAAGGCGGTGATGAACTCTCAGATTGGCTACCTAGTTAGAACTATCCTACGCTACGCCTTCCCTCGGCACACACATCGGGTTGATCGGGTTGTACGTGTCGACTCAGGGGCAGGATACTGGGATCTTCGGTTTGATATCGTACCTAATTAGAGATAGGCTTCACCGTGTTTCCCATCCACAATTTGCTATTTGATCTTTTGCTAATTCGCGTTCTAGTTTGATTAGTACCATACTTAACTTGCTAGTAGTTACAGGGGATTTCTGTAGGTTTTTTGCTTTTTTTCCGTATAGATCCAAACAGAATTGTAATCCTCGGTGGCACCACACTCCTTTTTTGGACTTTTTCCATTCATTTGGTATTTTTTGGGGACTTTTTTTTTGGCTTTGGTTAAGTTAGATTTTACTTAGCAAAATAAATGAACTTCATTGTAATTTTTCGTAAAATCTAGCTCTGGACCAATGATTATACTTGCCAGTCTACATACTATGTACTATGGAACTATGTAGCGGTAGTATACTAAGCGGTAGTATACTAAGCGGTAAAGGTCAATATAAGGGTCCAAGGGGGTTTTGATGGAGTTTCTCTTGTAGGTTTTTCCGGCAGTGAAACTCTAGGCCAGGAAGCAATGAGTGGTACCCAAGACGACCAAGCATATAATGAGCCAGACACAAATCAGCGTTCCAGGTATCGTCGAGCCAACCGAGTCGAGAAATACAAAGATGACAAGGGTCGTATATTTGTGTGCACCTTTTGTGGTGCCACGTTCAAGGCTAAGTACGACTGGGTTCGTCACGAGAAATCCATCCATCTAGACGTAAATCTCTGGGTCTGCGCTCCGGGCAATGGAACTACGATCTCCCCATCTGGGCAGAAGAGTTGCATTTATTGCGATCATCTAGAGCCCGACAAACAGCATCTTGACACTCATAATCACATAGCATGTGCTGGTGAATCGCGAGCCTTCAGTCGCAAAGATCACCTGGTACAACACCTCCGCTGAAGGAAATCCCCAATATTACCAATTGGCGAACAGATACTCCCCTTTTCTCGTGTCGCTGTGGATTTTGCGGGTCTACAATGAACAGTTGGCAGGAGCGAGTAAATCATCTGGCACAGCATTTCGCAAAAGCACAACTATCCACGACTGAGATGGAGATCATGGATTCCCGTCGGACATTGACGCCCAAGTACGAAACCCAGATCCCTCATATTACAGATCTTTAGACCTGCCTTCGAAATCTACACGTTGTGAACCTTAGCGGAACAATGTAGAACTGAGTTTGGGAAAGCTTTGAGCTATCTTCGTTGGAAGTTTACCTATCTAAGCGTAGTTTATAGCGAGGTCTATAAATATTCCAATTATGTAGGGATCCCTTCAATATGACCTACCAGTATAGGTAAAAGCACTCTATGACCCGCCTCACATTAGCAAAGAAATCTCAGATAAGACAAGTTCTTGGACCTGTTCTAAACTCACAGAATTCCACTCGAATGACATCGAAGCCCTCATCGCTCTCACTCGAATCAGCCATCTCAATCCCATTCTGAGTAGATGCACGCAGAGCTCTCTTGTGCGAAATATCCCGGAATACATATCGATTCGCGTTCGGATTGAGAGACTCCACGTGGAATCGCTGGGCATTTTTGGACTCCAAACAAGAACTCGATCGGCAGTCGATGTATTCATGAGTTGGCAAATTCTGAATCAATGTGGTACCATCTCCCTCATCCTCAAATTGCCAAATCTGCGTACCGGCCCCTGATGGCTTTTCGAATTTTGGAGCCTTATTGTCTCCTTGCCCGGTTAAGATAAGCTCCTGGCCATTGGTCGTTTGAATTCGATAGAGACCTGTAAGGCTTGCACTAATGGACTGGGTGCTGACAGCGATTAGGACGGCGAAGGATAAAAAGGCATGCATTGCGGCGGCAAGATCTCAAAATGGACAATTGAATGGAAGATAAAGATAGTGTGACAGAATGAACTTTTCATGGGAATTCGAGCCCCTTATATGTTGAAATTGGACTGCGGGATGTTGTGTTGCTAACAAGGGTGTAGATCTTTAGCTGCGGGTGCCCAGCATACAAGATCGATTGGTTTCACAAGGCTCGGATCATCAGCACCTATTGAAATAGGCCTGAAATCAAGGCCGGGAAAAAACAATCAAACATTGCAAATCTTTGCTACGTAACACATAGCGGTACATGGTCGGTGGAGTGAATTGAACCAGCCAAACTATTCTCCATGCAAGGAGATGCACGCTTTAGTCATTTATTGATATTTTGCTTTTCTCCGAATGGAGCTCGCTCTTATTCGGGGGTTGCAATGGTGAAAATTAACCCGAGAGGAGCTGAAAGGCAAATAGTAGCCATGACTGGCACGAGGCTGGACTAATAAAGCCTTGAATTTTAATCTTGATAACTAAGTTCGCGCCTTGAAAATTCCTCATGTAACCGTTTCGTAGATCTTCGGGGCGCTAGTGAGGTGGATATGTACTCCACTGGTCTTTCTAGAAAGAACGTTAATCATTTATTGGATTCTTTATTGAAGATATTTTCAATACTATTGGTTTTTCATTTTTTCACGATTTTTGAACGCCCGGGGGCTAGAGCCCATGTGGTTACTGGGAAACATCAGTAGATGCTTGTTGACTGGAGCTAACTAGTTATTTAGGTTGTTAGGGAGTCGATGCCCGATATATCAGGCGTAAAGGCTACCCATCGCTTAGTCAAGCAGATACATCAACAACATTCAATTCTGGAGGGAAACAACTGATTCCTCACCCAACGTCTTGCAAACGGGGCACTTGAAATAAAGAGTCCCTCTCCGATTTAAGAAAGGAGCATCGTAAACAGTGACACCGCGCGGATTTTCAAAACTGGGGTTTGTGGTAATTTCCTCTTCTTACTTCTCTTCCCCCGCCATCGCCAACCTTATCAAGACCATGGTCGACTCCTTCCCCCGCGGCCCTATCAGGACCGACATCCAAAGAACGGAAATATGATCGCCAACTGCGATTGTGGGCAGCCACCGGTCAACAAGCATTAGAAGATGCACGTGTGTTGCTGGTGAATTCCGACGGCCCATTAGGTTCAAGCAGCACTGGCGTGACGGGCGTCGCAGGCGTAGAGGCTCTCAAGAACCTCGTGCTCCCAGGCATCGGTGGCTTTACCATTGTCGATCCAGCAATTGTCACTGAAGCTGATCTGGGTGTTAACTTTTTTCTTGAAGAGGCATCTCTGGGGAAATCGCGAGCTGACGAGACTTGTCGCCTACTACGGGAGTTGAATCCTGATGTGCAAGGCTACTCATATTCCAAGGTATGTATGAATTTGTACTGCAGATGCTTCATTGTTCATATTTCAAGACATAAAATTCTCACACGTGTATCTAGTCAATTACCGAGTTACTTGGCGACGCAGAATTTCTTCCGCGTCATAAGCTGGTCATTATTTCCGGGCCAACTAAGCGCTCCACTCTCGAGACCCTTTGCGAGAAAGCACAGAAGCTTGAAATCCCTGTGCTATATATTCACTCCGTTGGTTTCTATGTCACCTTTTCTCTCCAGCTTCCATCTGAATTCCCCATTGTGGAAACTCATCCTGATCCGGAATCAACACAAGACCTACGTCTCTTGCATCCATGGCCCGAACTTGCCGGCGCCGTTGCTTCGCTGGGTAACCTGGAAATCATGGATGACCATCAGCACGGCCATGTACCCTACCTTTTTCTCCTGCTTCAATTCCTCGAGCAATGGAAACAGTCGCACGAAGGAAATGTGCCAAGCAACTACAAAGAGAAGACCGAGTTCCGCGAGTTCGTGCGCTCCAATGCACGCACAGAAAATGCTGAAGGAGGCGAAGAGAACTTTGATGAAGCCGTTGCTGCCGTGGTGAAGACTATATCCCCATTCAGCCTCCGCAGCTCGATCCGCGAGATCTTCGAAATGCCACAATGCAATCAATTGACAACCGGATCGGCCGATTTCTGGATCATCGCATCCGCCATTCGCACTTTCTATAACACACATAACGTTCTTCCTCTCCCGGGCTCTTTGCCTGATATGAAGGCCAAGTCGGCAGACTACGTCGCCTTGCAGAATATCTATAAGAAGAAAGCGCGCCAAGACGTGGAAGAAGTCACAGCAACGATCCGTCAATTAGAATACAATCTCGGACGCACAAGTCCAATCCTGGACCGTGAAGTTGAGGTTTTCTGCAAAAATGCTGCTCACATCAAGGTTGTGCGCGGGCGCGCAATTCCCCAGATCAGCAACAATAGCGATGCAGCTTTACTCAAAGCCGTACGGAGTGGACTTCAAATCCCTGAATCCTTGGCGTCGTTATTCATCGCATGTCAGATTCTTGATTCTGTCGTTGATGAGATCCAAAGCAATCCCGCGCTGCATAATGGAAGTTCTGTCGACGATGATGGACTGTGGATCGCGCATAGAGACCGGATTTTGACAACTTTGACACTCGGTAATCCTGCCGCTGTTGAAAAATCTGCGCTGGAAGGTATCGACAATGCTATCCAGGAAGTGCGTCGGGCTGAGGGTGGGGAGTTACATAATATCGCATCTTTAGCTGGGGGGCTGGTTGCACAGGAATCACTCAAGGTATTGACTAGGCAGTACGTGCCTCTAGACAATACGTGTGTATTTGACGGAGCACGGAGTCGAAGTGAGATGTATCGATTCTAGGGGGATCGGTCTTTTTACTGTTCTAAATGAATGAATGAATGAATGGAATGTTCGTGGAAAGAAAATGCTCGCAGAGTGGTTTTGTGAACCCGAGCCCAATAGATCAGGGATAACGTTCGATATGATAAATGAAATCCATGGATGTATACAACCAAAATATGCTTCTGTGATAAATGGTAAATGTCATCGTAGTAAATTTCATCGTGGTATCTGTTTGTACTTGTTTTCATGAGGGTCTTGAAGCCCGACTATTTATAACTTTGTTCCAAGATTACTTCAATGCTTGCCTGGGCAGAAGATGATGAGGTCACTCTCCATCTTTGTCTCTGAATCATTGTGGTGCATTCTGGTAGCACCCCGAGGACAAAGATCCCAGGGCGAAGGACCTTGCTTTGGGATGATCGATATCAAAACATTCTTTAGAGCTGCAATGTAGCAGAATTGCCGGAAGCCAGCTCATGCTCGAAGAAAAAGTCGCCCCCCCACTTTTGACTTTCAATCAATCGAATGATAAGGCAGATAATCAAGTAAATCATCACCTCTTTGGCTTGGAATACCCATTATTCTTCGTACCACGCGGAGCATACTTAGCAGCGAAAAGCTTCTCTTTCCCGAATGCAGCATCTCCAATGCGCAAAAAGCTAGTAACGCCTTGATCCACAACAGCCAGAACGACATTCCGATATCCATGTCGTACACGCATATACATCATGCGCTCCATTTTTTCGCCACGCGGTGGATCAAGAGGAGTACTTTGCAGCAGGGCACTTAACTCAGGCAAAGTTGGAATAGTAGTTTGTTCACGGGTACTCAGTACTGCGATACGGAAGTCCGGTGGTGGAATGGCAGATTTCTTTATTGTCGTTCCAGGCTTGTAGACGTGTAAAACGACTCGGAAGGGTGCCGTTGTATCAAGCGGGTCTCGCTGGGGTGCAAGGGCAGGATCGTACCATGGGATAAGTGCCATTTTGCGATATACGTCGTCTAAAGAAAAAGATTAGCTTGGACAACGAGTGTAGGTCGAAGGGGGCCTTACTATGGCTTCGATGTATGCCGCATCCCACTAGAGGACCAGCTGCTGGGGATGCGGTAGAAAAGGGATCATTCATCCAATTTGAAATGCAGGCCAAGATGCCACTGAGGCCGGGACCGCGATGTGTAGGCTGGGTATATGCGTCTATGTCCACTTCGGTATTGGTGTGGTCTAGTTTTGCGGAGTCGTCCCAGGCAGGGGCCCTTAGAACTGTATAGCCTAATCGCCTCAGGGCTGCGTAAACGGAGTATCTTTCCAGCGTTAGACCGGCGTGTCCCATGAAGCATGAGTATGCTGCCTGCAAGCTCATCGGAATAGAAATCTCATTTTCTTCATCTTCCGCAGTGGTTGACGAAGAAGACGGCCACCTGATGTCAAGATTTCCTCTCTCAAGCATATATATCGCTTCTTCGGGTAATAACCACAGTCGATTCCACCGATCTGCTTGACCAATAGACTGAAAAGTTGAGCCTTTCGCATTAGGAATGTACACGCAAGAGTCCTGCGGCACGCCTATTCCCTTTCCGACAGTCTTAGACGTCTCAACATGATCGAGTGGCGGCATAGGTCCATCGGGCGCGTAGAAGCCTATTACCCAGGTCTTGGGGTTATGAATGCGAGGATGGGCTAGCGCATTGTGCATCGCTTGACGGGAGGCGGACAAGACATCGGCCTGGAACTCGGTCGGATTGGGCTCGAAATCCTTCTCACCACGCTTCGGTAAGCTTGAGGAGGTTGAATCATTGAGGCTATGCGATAAACTTTATTAATATGAGGTGCACGAATGAGGAATTAGAATCTCGTACAAGTTGAGGTGACTCAACAGGCGAAAGTCCTGAGTTTCGTCGGACAGATCAGTGTCCATTTGGGCGGCACCCGCGGAAGAAGTATTGATGACATCCTCGTCCGCGTCAGCCATTGTGATTGGGATGGGCTTTGTCTGAAGGGAGATGAATAGCACGGTCTCGAAGAGTTAGCTGCGATGAGGCCCGACCTCAAGAAAATTGGGGCTTATCGATAACGAAGATAAGATAACCAACCGGCATTGTGGATGTTGCCGCATGATAAGCTTCGGATATTTTGCCCCTTCGCCGTATTGCCAACAGCTTTGATGGATGCGCCGTCTTCAGATAGAAGGGATTATAACGATGCCCTACGAAAAGTATGTCATAAAAGTCCGCATGGACTTAAAGCATTTATTCTAACAGTGCAAATGCAGATCTCAAACAGTCTTGAAAATGCGCTCGACACTTTTGGTCCCGCTTCGAGGCAGTATCAAGCTGTTCTCCAGATTCTAAAAGAATGTTTGCATGATATTGAAGAGGAGAAGCAGACAAAGACTCAAGTAGATATAGTCGACTCGAATATGCTGAGCCTTGCGATGGGATATTTGGAGATTAAATAGCCGATGCTATTTGACACCCCCACTATGAGGCCTTGCACATCCAACCCGAACAATTGGGCAGAAATCAACATTTGAAGGGACAGTCAGTTTCCCATCATGGACAGAGACTGTGCAGATTTCTTCGCCCTGCTTACTTGCATATGAACGTCAACGACATCTGGTTCTCCAAATAACCAAATAAGTGTGTAATATTATGCGAATAAATTTACATTGGAGTCTACCTAGGTATCAACAAAACGTAAACTAGATTAGATCAAATGCAAAAGCACAGCTAAATCTTCAAACAGGTGACCTACTACTATAGTAGGTTCAAATGGTATGCCTCAGTAGAAGCAGAGCGCGTCTCGTGTGCAGACCGGATATCTCACAAAGCCCCCTGAGACACAAAAAAGCCGTAACACCTTGTTTCCAAGCCAAATGAGAAAAACTCCCGTAAATGGCATGCAACAAACTCCAGACTATATGCAATCATAAGACGTGACAATGGTGTGGGAGGCTTTTCGACTTTGACTAGAGCCCTAGATATCGGGATTGGGTTCACCTAGTCTCAAGTTATGTTCGATCTGGCTATGTTGGTGCCCCAGTCTGTGTTGGTGCCGAGAATCAATTATTGCACCTGTCGTACGGTTCAAGACTGATGATTGCAGACGCATAGGATCGATTTATCGTATGGACATGGTCTTTCAATCAATCAGGAGCTTCTTTTGGGTACCGACCATAGCAACGCCAATATGGCTGAGAGCGTTGGGATCAGTTGGTCGAACGATAGAGGGGAGTGGCAGCATTGGGTTGTCTGGATTGACATGTGCTGCATCACGAGCTGCCTGTTCAATAGCTTCCATTTCTTCTTTGCAGCCCGCATGGTCGAGTGGGCAAACCACGATTGGTTGCCGTATTGTAATATCTCGGGCGGATGTCAAATGGGCCTTTGTCATTGTTAATTTGGGTTTAAGAATGATTCAAGATCTCCTGAATAAACAAAAAAGAGACAAATGAAGAAAGAAGCGAGCTCACCCGAACAGTTAGATAGTATTCGATTTTATAAAGAGAAGCAGTCGTTGTGAATCCACTCACGCCGTACATGGGGAATGCGGTACGACTGCGTGGTAGGATGCCTTCTGAGTCCCGCATGTCCTTGGCGGGGAAAACCAATCCCATGTTTGTAAGATACCCAGATGCGGGTAACCTGACTCCGATGGAGTCCGTCTTTTTGACCAAGGTCTTGACTTTTCGTTGAGGCTCATCGCCTTCATGATTGTAGATGATTTCTTCGTCAATGCCTATGGTGATCTTGCCGATGGTCACCTTGCGAGCTTTGCCCATCCAATCTTGATTTGGAGACAGTTTCACATAAACACTGACTGGATCGAGGGGGCCGTAGGACCATCGGGGTAGTGAGATAGCTAGTGTGACTAGATGATCTGATACTCGTTCGGCGGACTCTGGGCGATTATACATGCCAAAGGTAGAGAGGGTATCATAACGGGCGATAGGTACGGGGAAAGTGTATTTTCGTTGTTCTGAATGACCTTGTTGAATCATAACAACCATTTCGTAGAATGTCTCGGCAGTGCGACTGGGCAATTGTAAGCTCGCGGGTGGTACCCGGCGCGAAGCATCTCGGCCCCCACGACCGAACGGGATGAATAGTACAAAGGGCAAGTCCATCGCGATAATTTCTTCGTGTTCTTTACCGGCGGGGCATCTAAATAATAACATTTCTTTCCCCACAATATCTGCGACTTCTTTGCGAGGTGGTGCCAAGCGTTTCTTGGCTACGGAGTCAGCCGTGGGGTGGATGGTTTCACGGCGGAGGAGGGAAATAGTGACAAGGGAGACATTGACTGGCGCAGATATGCCGATACTGGGACGAATTTCGACTTTGCCCTCGATTCGAGGCTGGGAGTAACGAGTTGATCAGTCCGATGGTCGAGGGTTTGGCGAGGTTGACCCTTCTCACAGCAGCGGCCGGAGGGGATGATGGGAGGGGGAGGGAGGAGGGCGCTTACCATCGTCGCAGATATCCCGGGGTAACCGATCAAAAAATTGCCATTTGCCGGACCTGAAACACGCACAAAGGCGGCCATCTCGATTCTACTGCACCTGCAGCACCATGGGCACGCGGCTGAGGCGCAATGAAGTTGTGGGGAACCTGCGAGCTAGACCGGGACCCTGTCGCACGGTTCATATGGATCGATGCGGGCAGTGTTGAATTTCTCTTTGCCTCTAGGGGAATTAAGCCCCGATTTGAGGATAGATGTCGTATCTCGTCGGAAGATTAGGAAGTAGGGGGGAAGGATGTGGAGGTCGGGAATCGCAGAGGTAGCTTAAATGGGTGCATGTGTGGGGGAATGAGAAATAGGAATGGTGAAAGGGCGAATCCCAGCCCCGTTTTACCGCCGAGCCTAACTTGAGCCTCGATACATAGAGAAGGGAGAGATTGCAGTGGAATGTATTCAGTTGAAATCAATAAGATCTAACATTTGGGAATGAATTAATTAATATTATTTAAATCAAAAGAAACTTTAACCCATGTTGACAAGTTCGGAGAGATATTCACAAAGTACCAACTATAGATCGTGATCGTGATTGTGGTACAAGTCAGGAGATATCGAAACATTGCACGTCATCATTTCAGATAACAAGAGTCAAGTTCTAAATATGTATTGATAACGTCTTAAACCCCCATACAAATGTGACATTGATGGACAATAAAACAAAGAAGGAAACAAAGAAATAATGCATCGTACTATAAATCCTCCGGCTCTATAGATCATTTCCGTACCATGGGCCTTCGTACCAAGGAAGCTTTTGGCTGGTTGCGGTTGTTAATACATCACATCGCTCCACCACTTTTTAAACTTCCCCAACCTTTGCCATCTCCAGCCCCCAGATCAAGACATATCTCCCTCTTCCAGTACACTTTTTATGAATCGAATTTTGTCGCAAAAAACCCTCTAGTTATATCGCATCGCCATCATGCCTCCTCGTCGTCGTGCCGCCGCCGCCGCCCAGTCCACCATCTCCTTCGGCTCCCAATCCCGAGTCACCAAGCCATCAGCTAAACAGACTACTACTCTACACAAAGGGAAGAAACTCGATGATCCAGCGAATCTCCCAGCGAAATCCAAACCCGATGCCATCGAGTCGCAGATTGATTCAGCCTCCGAATCCACAACCCCCGTCGTCACCGAATTAGTCGTCCGCCAGCAGCCCTCGCCGAGTCGCAAAGACCCCCAACCAGCAGAAGACAAACTTGCCTTGAGCTTGACAAAAAAGGATCTGAATAAATACTGGGAAAAGAAAGAAGGGGCCTGGAAGCCAGTTCGAAGTGAGTCGGGCGACATACTTGCGAACGCTGGATGCGCACCAACTAACAGCGCCGCAGTTCACGAGGCTGATGTGAAGTTGGAGGAGAAGATCCTTCGTAACTTCGATCTGTCAATTGATTACGGAGTATGTCATTGATATTTTGTTATTTATCTTTGTTAATTTGATATCCTAACATGTTTTTAGCCATGCGTCGGTATAGGTCGATTGGACCGTTGGCGCCGTGCTGCGCGCATGGGATTGGAACCGCCAATTGAGGTCTTGACAGTGTTACTGAAGGGCGAAGATATCAGTGAATCATCCCACATGGAGAAACTGATTTCTTGAGACTTTTTGAGCATTATTTGTGCTTGATATGATGAAGTACATTGTTACTTAGCCTTGAGATACCAACAATACCGACTGATTCATTGAAAGCGATCCATTCTATTATCCGGCCATATAATCAAATGGGAATGCAATTCCTCTATCGTACACAATCTGTCAAGTCCCAGCAAATGCCGCATTAATTGAGATACCGCATAATGAACTCATAAAGCTCTGGGTTCTCATACCGCTCCCTTTGATCGAATTCATGATCTTCCCCATTAGGTCGCTCATAAACCACCGGGTTTCTATCTCCTAAGATCGCTCCCGCGACTTCATCCGTCTGCTCCACACCAACAGCCGTATCGTCCATCCCGTGTATGAGGTAGGTCGGTGGGAAATCGCCCATTTTAATTGTACGAGGAATCCGCCACTGAGCCACGGCACCTTCATCACCAGGAAAAATACCCCACAGCCGGGCCAGACTCGCCGTCTTCAGCATATACGCATACATATGACGCCGAGGTGATGTTTCGCTACTGTTAGCCACCACAGTCGACCTCGGATTAAGAAAGAAGCCCAAGCGAGCCAGATCCAGATCTGCTTCCGAAGAATCACTGCCAACTGGCAGAGGCTGGGGCTTGGTGAAGAAGGTGCCGAGCGGGTCAGTGATGGGGTAGATTGGAGCTACCACCTGGGGTTTGGACTTAAGGACCAGAGCAGCGAGGAGCGCGAGGTACCCGCCCGCTGAGCTGCCGGAGATAGCAAGGCGGCTCGCATCTACAACGCCCTGCCCCAGGCAATCCGAGAGACGGGTGCGGATGAATATAACGCAGTCTATAACGTCTTCTAGGATCTCGCTGATTTCGACTTGGGGTGCGAGGCGATAGTCTGCAGATATGCATGCAAAACCGTATGTTTGAACTGCATTCTTCATATGAGGGGCTATCATGTCCCGGCATCCTTGGCTAAACTAGCGTCAGCTCTGCAAGTATGTTGTTTAAGGATACTATTGAACATACAGTAAGCCTCCACCGTGGAACCATAATAGTACTGGTGCATTGATTGTGTTCTTCGGCAAGTAAAGATCCATAGGTATTTCGAGGTGGTCGACCTTTTTGTAGATGAGCGTGAGATCAGGTTTAATGGACGCCATGCTTCAGAGGAGGAACGTCCTTCGCTGAACTGATCGGAAACCAATTCGAGAAAATATAATGATTGGCGGGGGGGTGACGAGCTGGTTTGGAGCAAATGAATACACATGAAATTCCATCTTTGGTGCCAGAACAGAGGCACAGGTAATAGTGGGCCATAGTTTTTCAACCCCGCTGATGATCAATGGACCCCTCCGAGTTGTTTTCTTCGATATCCACCTCAAGTGTTGTCTATACCATGTGATTATTGATCTACCAGTTGAACACAATACGGTAGAGGTAGCACCTTGGAAATAAAGCTCCCTTAGTTCCTGACTGCCAATTGGAGCATGGAGCCATAATGTGTAAAGTCCTTGAAACTCCCCACATTGGATCTGGCAGAATTGTGTCATGGGTGTAAATAAACTTTTTTGGCGATCTGCTACAGACTCTCGGGCTCTTTGTGTACATTCATAAGGTTTTATGATGCTTCGACCTCGGGAGCCATTGCTTGCTACGAATATAGCCATATAAACAAACACACAGTAACGAACACATTTTTAGATTTTCAAGTGTAGCAACCAAGCTAAACTCTAGTAGCATGCAGTACCTCTTAGATCACGCCTCAAAATATTTCAAAACGTCTCAAGAATCCAACCCCGAGATATGGTAATCGTCCCGAGATCCCGGGGACTTTAATATGCTCAAGTTACGGCTCCAAGGATGGACGTGCAGTAATGGATGCGTTTTCAGATCTTCGAATGCAGCAGCCAAGCTGAATAAAAATATTATGCAGTCCTTCTAAGATCGCACCGCCAAATCCCGAGCCGAAACATGGTAATCATCCCGAGATCTCGGGGACTTTTAACATGTTACGGCCCCAAGGATGCGCAAGTGTGACAGGTGGGTCCACGTAGCTTGTTAGCTCTCCACAGCCAGTAGGTAATGGGCAGCCTGATCTGACATGATTGTCTCATTTGGCAAATACAAAAAGGCAGTACAGCCCACCATTTGTTTTCTTTTCTTCAATTAACCAGGAAAGAAGATCTTGGTTTGCCTATCATCATGAGCGCTATCGAACATCACGAAGTCACATATGCCGGCGGTATTAAGAAGATCCACTACCTGGCTACTGGCCCGACCGACGGCCCACTGATCCTCTTTATCCACGGATGGCCTGCTACTGCCATCACCTGGAAGGCCCAGCTAGAGGCTTTCGCCTTGGTCGGCTTCCGAGCCGTTGCTCCCGACATGCCCGGCTATGGCCAATCGACTGCTCGTCGCGTGGCCGATGACTACTGCCAAGAAGCTCTTGTAGAGGGTATGATGGCTCTGTTAGCCGACACCGGTCGCAAGGCAGCCGTCTGGATTGGCCATGATTGGGGTTCCGGTGTGACATCTTCAGTCGCCGTCCAGCACCCCGAAGCCGTCAAGGCGCTGGTGAGCATGTGTGTACCATACTCGACTATCGAGCTGGGCTGGGATGGATTCCTGCCTTTTGTCAACCGTGAGATCTACCCAGCCGATGAGTACGAATATGGTCAATGGGATTATATGAAGAATTACGAAGAGAACTTCGAGAAAGCAGTTGCATGGTTTGACAGCGATATCGCTGGTGTTTGCAAAGCCTTCGCGCAAAAGACAACCACCAAACCGAATCGAAGTGCTCCTACCCCAACATCCAAAGTACGCAAAATTGGCTGGATGAATGGCCTCCCCAAGCCCCCGAGTGTGGATGTATTGCCACCTGCGCCTATCTCAGACGATGTCTTGGAATCGTTCACCAAGGATATGCAGAAGACAGGGTTCTGGTCAGGCTCTGCCTACTATCTGCATCATAAACGCAATGCGGAATATAATGGAAGTCGAGAGAGAAAGCTGAAACAGCCAGTGCTGTTCGTGCATGCTCAATGGGATTTGGTGTGTGAAACAAAGGAGTCGCGGCTTATGGAAGGCATGAGAGAGGCTTGCTCAAACTTGACGGAGGTCACAGTTGATGCAGCTCATTTCTTGTATTTTGAGAAGCCTGCGGAGGTAACCGCGGCCTTGTTGAGGTTCTTGGTGCAGGAATTGCCGGAAGAGTGGCCTGGAGCTTCAGAAAGTGGTTATAGCAAGACCAAAGCTGTCTTGTAGAAATGATGAGTATCTGCACGGGCTTGAACTCGAATGTGTTGCCTGTTCATTTTGTACAAAGCAGTATCTGTGTTTGTACTAGAGTGTTCTTCAAATCAATCTTTGCTGGACATACAATCAGGCTGTATAGCAGGAAGCAGAAAGCGCCTCAATAGACTCGGAGGGACTGCACATAAGACGACTCTGGAGAATAGATACTATCTTCTTCAACGAACTCTAGATGAGCCAAGTAGTATCCGTACATAGGATCTCGGAGTAACATATAAACATTGGAATCCAATATGATCCATCTAGGTAGTTTCACCAATTTCAGGTGGGGCGTACACAGGTACCCCGGACTTCGCCTGGCCCAACCTTGGAATCGCCGAACTGCTCTCCAGGGCTCCCGTGGATCTGGACAGGATTTCCCCCGTTCCTGAGGGCGATAGAAACCTAGGCATCCATAGTGCACATGGCATTCACTCATCCTTGGAATCCTTCTTAGTGATTTTTCCAATATCTTCGGACCTTAGATGAGTTCCGGATTTCATTTCGCTTAAATTATAATTTAATGCCTCGAGCCTCTATTCCATGTGATTGCCACGGCCACTCGTGCCTGATTCCGTCGCAGTGACAGAGCCATTGTGTTCCTGGCATAATACCCATCGTTCCTTGGGCTCTCAGACGCTAATCACCACCCGAGGAAATAGGAAGTGGGGGTGGGACATTGGTACACGCCACAATTTCTGGATGTCTCACCTGGCTGGATCGGATGGGTCAGAACCCGGTATCTGAAAATTAGGTAAATCGACTGTTATTTGTCCTACTTTGCAGATGAAGTCAACGGCCTGGAATATACCAAATATTGCCACCCCGCCCAATCGAAGTAATCAAGCTTCCACATTACTTGATCTTGTGGATGATGGTCTCTTTCTAAATGCAGGTACGATGAAACACGATCGATGAATCTCGTCTACGGTAGGAAGGAAGTCCAAAGCGCAGGTCTGTTACATTCCATACCCATCTCTAAAGGGACCTATCATAGCTAGTACCTACCTAATCTTACCTTTGTACCGTGCGTGCATAGCCCTGGAAGGCCCATGGTACTAGTCACGGGTTTGACATGACTGTTCGAGAAAATCCAGATCCACTGCCAATAAGCAATTAAGCCCCGCCAAAGACCCTTCCCGCCGGAGTGCTCCGTAGATACTCTCTGTCCGGAGTAAGTTGTAACCAAACCTATATTTGCCACTCCTGAGTTTGGGCCCCCAATGTTAATCCCTCCAGATTTCAGATCCTAGACAAGACCCTGATAGGGAGCGTTTTTAGTTTGACCAGAAGATACCTTCTCGTGCCACTCCATGAATCAAAATATATTGCTGGCGTTTTTAGGGTGGCCAGGTGTCGGACCAAGGCCCGATTGGGGTTAGCTGATGCAACGCTGCCGCAGGGCGGGGTCTTAGACTCTTAGTGGCCGTATTTCCCCAGATTGACCTCCAGGACCCCCGGTTTACGTTTCCGCTGTACGAAAGTAAATTGCGAGTTAGTGTCAGTCTCCTGCATGACAGGGTCGTTTTTTGTTTTTGTTTTTTGCAAGGTAATTTCCGCCTAGCAAGTTAATATCGCTCATGTTACTTCCGATGCTTGCTAGATAGAACATTACAGTCAGATTGATTGTATTCATAGTCATATCTCTTCTAAATATCCATAATCAAGGCACAATAATTCACACCCAAATGTCTGTTCTGTACATAAGTACGAGGTAATAAATAGGGAAACTGGGTGGGGAATCGTTCATCTGATGTGCTACCTCCGCACTATTCAGATGCATCTCGGCCGCTCGGCTGAGACAGGCGATCATTATGATTTACATTCCTGTCCATAGGAATTGACGATACTGATTATTACAATTCGACAATACGTCTAGCCACAGAAAGGTGGTACTCACCACAGGTCATTGGTAACACTGAAATCACTATTTCAAGATCAATTTCTCTACGCCTGTAGCTTTTGCTTGGCTCAAAGCCCACAAAATCTATGAATCGTTCGGCCTAAAGACCCTAGCTTAGCCATTAATTTCCTTTCCTATCCAAGAAAACCATACCAATTCAGGGACGGGCGTCAGCCATCGGTCTTGGCCCTGTAATCAACGTCCAGGGACCCTAGTAAATCCCCATGAAAGACTCCAGCCAACCGCGGCCCTTCAAACGTGTGGAAACCCGTTTTTCTTCTAACCAAGACATGTGATGGGGGAAATGCGACCCCGAAAATAGATTAACATGGCTAGATGTCAGACAAGAGAACTGCTTATAAAAGGCCATTGGGCCCTCTGTCCAACCTTGGTTCCGTTTCTTCTGTCCATAACCTTCACGCTCGTTATAAACTTGACTGTCGCTTAATTCCGCCTTATACTTCGCAAAGATGCAGTTCTCCCACGCTCTGATTGCTCTTGTGGCTGCAAGCCTCGCCAACGCTCAGCTTCCTGACGTGCCCTCGTGCTCGGTAAACAAACCCGTCTATAACTTCGCTCAACATGATGTATCATTTGCTCACACGTTCTCCAGCTCAACTGTTTCGTGTCCGCTCTGACTTCCGACGGATGCTCCACCTTGACCGACTTCGCTTGCCACTGCCAGAAGACCTCTCTGGTCAGCGACATCACCCCTTGCGTCAAGAAGGCCTGTACCGACATTGCGGACCAAGTTTGTATGTAACTACTACTCTTCAACTAACAAAGACCCAAACACTAATTCTGGTATAGCCGTTTCCAACGCTGTCGTCTCTCAGTGCTCCTCGGCTGGCCACCCCATCTCGGTCCCCCCAGTTGAGACCACCAGCGCCGCCGAGACTACTAGCACCTCTGCCGCCGAGACCACTGCTACCTCCACCTCTGCCGCCGAGACCGGAAGCAGCAGCAGCAGCAGCAGTGCCGCCGAGACCTCCGCCGCCTCCACTGGTGCTCCCGCTCCCACCGGCTCCACCACCCCTACCGGTGGCTCTGGTGGCGCTACCCCCAGCTCCAAGCCTCCTGGCTCTTCCACCCCACTGACTGGCGGCTCCAAGACCAGCAGTGGCTCTACTGCTGCCACTTCTGCCTTCAACGCTGCATCCAACGTTAAGGGTAACATGGCTGGTGTTGCTGCCATCGCTGCTGCCGCCGCTTACATTCTGTAAAATATTTACTCTTAATGTGGTGTCGACTCATCTCCCTGTCGGGCTCTATTGAGTGTGACATTGGATGATTGTACTACGATTTGCTTTGATGATACTGGTGGATAAGGATACTGTATAGTTCAGAGATTTAATACAACAAGCTTAACAGGTTATGATATTTATCCTATAATAAATAAGCAACGAAGGAAAGTAAAGCAAAGTGAAAGTGCTTGTAAAGAACGTGTAGTTCTTAATTTTAGCAAATACAAAATGTGGAGGAACCATCCACAGCATCATAATCCGGACTTGCGGTCAGTGAGTCAACAACCCAATTTGAATAACAACAGCAGTTAACATAGTAATATCTCAAATGCGGGGCCAAAAGCTTTAATTTCTAGGAGTTAGAGCTCAGGTGAGCTCGGCATAATGGTCTAGCCCCTTTTACTCTTATCATCACATTTACAATGTGTTGTCACTTCCAGGATTTGCAACCTCTCGGCCACTTGAGCTCGAAAGAGTCGGCGCCTGTAGCCAGTTTTCAACCATTCTCGAAAGGTAAACAAACATACAAAAAGCATCGGCACGAGGCTCCTATTGACCCAGGCCACATTTCGTCCCAAAAGGGTTGACGCCACCTTTTCGAGCTGCGTCATCTGCAGCTGAACACTCAATCAGAGCGCCGCATAACATGGGAAATGTGATGTGAAACCCTGCGCGATCCAAAAACGATTGTTCTTGCAGCTTCGGGTGTGACAAGCCCCACATAACTCGAACCTACGGGATGAAACTGGCAAACTTATGGGGCTGTCGATATAGCTCAATCTTCTCAATGTCATTGCTCTAATTATCGACTAGCTTGTTCTTGATGATATGACTGTGTAGTGACAAAATGCATTCAATTTCATGAGGTTATCAAAAGCCTCATTACCAAAAGCGTATACACAGTTAATTCCATGGGCGCATGTAGATTCTTCGATGATTATGCAAATATACGAGACTATAAGAAATTACTATGTGCATGATGGAGCTCATATTCACGCAAAGGGGTGGATATAGTATGAAGATAACCAATGTAATTCATACTCAGTAATTAGGTACTGAATATTCACTTATCAATTCTAAACTGGCCTGAGCACGCTGACGCTGTATTCCGCGTGCAGATCTCGGGTTTTTAGCCAGGCCCCAAAACGAGCTTTTTTACGATGTGTTGATTGTCTGCCTAAACCGTTGCCTCCAGAGACAGTTTTGCGGGGAGAGCAAAGAATTGAGAATGGAAGAGGTTGATGACGGACTTTGCGAATTGGTTGTTCCACGCCTATCGTCACGCTATCACCATGCCACATTCTATTCACATCCTCATCTGAAGGAATATCGTAGAGGGGATCTGTTCCGACCTCATCCATCAAAGAGCGGACTATGGCATTGTGAATCCCGAAGCGATCCTTTTATTGTTCTCGGCAATGGAGAAAAGTTCAATCCAACACAGGCTGAAAAGCAGATTCAAACACACCCGCTCGTCTATGCAACTCACACGCCACATATTGGACGAGCCTTTTACCCACAATAGAGAAAGCGTGCAATGGACGTGTTGTTCCATTGGATACATGAGTCGCAGCTTTAGAGGCTTATACAACGGACCCTGCTCTGAAAGGCATTGGATTGAATAGTGTTCCAGCACTTGCCTTGGCTGAATTTCTTCCGCATGCTTGTTGCTAGTCAAAACAATCCCCAACCATCGTTGGCGACGACCAAGTCTTGAGCATGTTCAAACACATTGCGCCAGTTGAAACCGGTTGATAAAGATTTGATGGAAACTTGGCTGAAACAATTGAATAATTGGATTCCGGAGTTGAACATTTGAAGTTTCAGGATTTGTATGTATCTGCTATCAGTGGTATAATAATCATTTCAAGGTTTATACCCAGATCCTTTTGGCTCCATTATTTTTACATCACATGGAAGGCGAAATATGAGTCAAGTAGAAACTTGGAAGCAAGAATTCTATTACATTTAGATTTCGTCCTGAGGAAGTCCTAGGCTAGTCAAGACATTCATAGGACCAAAATCTTTCCACGCATCTAGCAGTTCCTGGTTGGAAACATAAATCGACCCTACCATTCCTGGAGAGTTTGCAGTAATCCCTGCACAATCCCTTGCTCGTCGAGGAATAACAACCATCCAAGTCTTTGTCATAAGAAAATTATGAGGACAAGGTACATCATTGGCCAGCCGCAATGCATCTCGTGCCTTTTGGAGTAAGCCCAAGTATATCTCTAACAAATGCTCACTATCCCTGACACAGCCGTCAGGCAACAAGTTGAACCGTTGGATAAAATGTCTCAGAGGGAATGAACCCTTTTCCGGTTCAGGGACATAATCTGGGAACAGCTTAAATTCCTCCGGGTACGCCTCACCAGTCCCTGGAGCAGGAACAACCTGTACATGCTTATGGGCTCTACTAGACCCAGAAGTGGGTGTGCAGTTAAAGAAAACGTAGTTTTCACCTTCCAATTCCCACATAACCTGCCAGCCAGCATCGATGTCATCTAAAGCAAGGGGCTCGCTCTGTCTTCGGTAGGAGTCCACGGTTAAAAGGAGCAGCATAGGACGGAAGACTGGAAATTTGTTGACAACGAGGTAATGTGTTTTGTTGATTATTGCAAGACAGACATCTGGGTGGTCTCTTGCTATATCGCTACCAGGTCCAAAGGTACCAGGAATGAAACCAGCTGGTGGTGTTTGTGGTTTGGCTTGTATAGTGTCTTCAGCCTGTGGTTTGTTCTCTAGGGCCTGGGCAATATGAAAACAGAACTAGAATTCGTTAGATCGCTAGAAAGAGAACCTGGTAGAAGGTGGTCAAACGAACAGTCATACCCTTATCGGTAACAAGAACCGATTCGCTGGGCTGGTAGGCGATGATGCCCTTGGAGATCAATCGATCGAATTTGGCGCATATCTCGGCATGGCTGATACCGATTGGCATGGTGTTGACCGATGCGCTCTATGGATACGAGATCACGAGGTCGTATTTCAATCTCCGCGCTTAGTCTCAGTATCCCCAGTCTCGCTGGTAATTATAGGCGAGGGTTGGTTGGTAGTATGATGGAGTAGAGGGGCATGGGGCACGGTAGGTGATCGAACCTTTCTGTCCGAAATTGGCAACTTTGATGCCTTAGTAATTCGTGCGGCACATTATTTTCCGTACGACTTCCAAGGTTAGAAGAAATAGTTTGGCATAGAAGGATGAGAAATATATGGGAGTAGTCGCACTATCCCTAGCTATGTAGACTGAATTTTGGTAAGCAAGAAGAAATGTCGACAGCAACAAAGATGAGACGGGAGAGAACATTCGCCAGAAACAGCCAATGTCAATGTATTGAAGTTATTACCCTGTATACGGAGCAGATAAACGATCAAGAGATGATCTTGAGAGATAGGTAGATGCATATATTACATAGTGCCTAGGTATTGGATACTGAAATATCCATTCTAGTATTGAAATTACAGGGCCTATGAACGAAATCTGGAGCACGATAAGAAAAGAAACCGAAACAAACGACCACTCAAGGGACCCAGAGCCTCATAAAGCCATCAACCTCCTGTCGACAAGTAACACAGCTACCGAAGTTGTTCATAGCAAGGCTCACCCGGCAATCCTCACAAATGCAAAGACAGCGGCAAGGCCAGGTAATGATAGACCGAGGATTTGTCTGACAGACAACACACGGAGGGCCATTTGGACCAAGACCCGTTGCCCCCGATTCCCAACTGCTCGCGTCCGAATTAGGAGGAAGTTCCGACCGAAGAGTCACGATTAACCGTTCAAGTATCTCGGTTTCCTCGTCCGCATTTGGCCTGCGCTTCTCGGTAGTTGCGTCTGGAACGTCAGGGAGCAGGCGGGAAGACAGTAAAACACGAGATCTATCTCTCTCAACCTGTTTTTGATACTGGCTGCGAGTCATGATTCTACCTACTTGTCCAGGTTTTAAATGAGCTGCCAGAATGCGTGCTTCCTCTCTGCTTTCGCTATCCCGGGGGTCAAGAAGACGAGCAAATGTGCTGATATCCATAAATGGATCCTGGAATGGTGTACCCTCACGAGAAAATCCAGGGTTGGGGTTGGATTGAGTTGGCGTTCGACGACCATCCGATTGATAATCTTCCCATTCACCTTCTGACGCATTAGTAGACATTGAAACAACACTTGTCATATCGTCATCAACGGGTGGTCTGTAATCAGGAGTGTGGTCTTGGTTACCCCAAGAGCCGCCCACTTTCCACCACCCGTATAGCTTATCGTCAAACTGGCCTTCGTCATCCAATCCCCAGTTTTTTATTCCAGAGCTTTCCCGCTTCCTCATTTCTAGTTCGACGTCAAAATCATGGTTCTCGGGAAGTTCAAGCTCTCCATCATCAGTAAGGATCCAAAAGTCTAGGGACCCCGGGGAAGGAGGTTTGCTAGCCACGCGGCTTTTGCGCAACCCAGCTAGTCGTTTCAGCCATTGCGGTCGAATGCTGATTCCCAGAAGGTCAAGTAGCCGACTGAACCCGTATGCGATCCATCGAGCGATAAGCCAGAATATGGCGCGGAAAAAGGAAACGCCATGCCATAGGCGAACAGAAGATCGAACAGCACCAACACCGCCAAGTTCAGCCTGAGATCGCATCGCTCGAGAGCCGTTTTTGGGTTTCTCAATCTTCTTCTCTCGGCAATATCCACTTTCCCAAGCTGGAGGATTCTCTGGTAATTCAAAGCTAGTAAATCCGGCGGCATCAAATTGCGCGCCTCCCCCTGAGTTAGCTGACCAGTTTCCGTGGGAAGAACTGCGACGTCGAGAGGCTTCAATTTCAGCAAGGCGGTCCTGTTCAAGCCACGTCATTTGTCGTGCGATCACTGCTTTGCCCTCGTTCAAGAATACTGCTTCGCTGGCGGCCGTCAGAGCGACATAGCCGACACGAAGAAGCGTAGTGTAGAAATCTTCATGATGATTAATGCGAATGCTGCGGATCTGATTAGATCCTTGCATGTTCTCATGTGCTTCCCTGAACCGTTCTCGAATCGAGAGCTGTTGGGCGTTTTCGGCTGGCAGTGCAAAAGCAGTTATGGTCAAAGCCAACCCATAGATTGCGAGGCATGTGAGAATTCCAAAGAGAACAAGCAAATGGGGAATGAATCCGACAATGCAGACTGTTGGAAATCTGAGAACGCCTGTGTCAATACTGACAGGGGGGCCAGCCTCCAGTCCCCAACACATAGCAAACATAAAGCAAGCACCCCATAAAGCGGTGTTGAAAAGTCGATAACGACTCTGTTTGCCAAATACATCGAGAATGTGTGATGATAAGCTATTGCAGCATGATATCAACACGATAAGTAATAGTTCCGGCGTGACGTTCATTCGATCTAGAACCTGCGCCCTTGTCAAAAGATGAAGAGGCGATGTTACACTTTCGCCGGTAGCACTTTGGTTAAGAGGATTTTGTTTGGGAAGACCGAACATGCCTAGTCCGATAGACTTGCTGATCATAGATTCGGCTTCTGCGAATGCAAGAGAGTGTTCGAAAATCGACATTCCTGTCTCCGTCATGACAGGGCGTCCTTGCAATGCACAGGAAAGCGTTTCGACAAAGTGGCTCACGCATAATATGATGAAAACCGGCCACAAAAGGGCAAAAGATCCATGTGGAATATTTTGCATATTTGTCCCTCGTCCCATAGCCACAGCACTGCACGCTTGTTCATCTGACTCCCAAGACAAAAGACTTGATGCCAACCAATGGAGAGAGCCTCCACCGCTGGCGTAATCAAAAATCATCGGCTTTGCCGGCTTTCCATATCGAATTGTTGAATAGTTCGGGGAGGTCTGACATCGAATTCCGCGTAGTAAGTTCAGTATTGAAGATATGAAAAGGATGATAGGAATAATGCGAAGGGCAAGTCGTCTCTCCCATCCAAGTCGAAGGTGACGACGGGTGGATGCGTAGATCGTGATTCGGTTTAGAATTAAGGCCTGCAGCGGTTCTTAGTTGATTCATTCGAGAGTATAAGAAGCCAAAACTCACCTCTATCAAGCACGCGAAAGACCACACACTGGTCAAATACCCGAAAAACCCACCAACTTTCCGCATTGTCTGCATGATCTCCCCCATATACCAGCCCTCGCTCCCTGCTCCTTGAGGGGCGCCGGTGGCGATGCTAGCAGCATGCGACGCAGCAGTCATAGCTTCTTGTGAAAGCACGGTTCGCCCGGTCACAGGCGCAGCAGTGGGCCAAATATTCAAACTGAGATCCTCTATTCCAACTAATTTAGCGATATGTCGTGGCACGGTATTGAATGCAAATGTTTCAGCATGATGTAGAGCGCGGAGAGGGAGGGAAAGTATTTGGCGTGGCGAAGAGGGAATGAATGCGGACGCGGTCGTTGTCGAGATAGTCGCGTTAATACTCTGTGCGACGGAGGCAGAAGAAGTGCTCGGGATCGATGCTGGTGCGAGAACGTTGGACATGATTGGCGTCAAGAGACCCTCTATCAGTTCACTATCAACGGTCCGGGGATGTCGGAAACGCTATGGGGAGTCCCCCATGCGACACTTTGTATCAACAGATTGTTTCTAAAATGCCGCGGCAATTTGAAGTTGGAAGTCTTGAGCCACATTCGATATCACAGTAAGCATAGCTCCTGTCAAACGCATCCCGACGAAGAGGGGAAGGTGTTGGGGGATCGCCGCGTCTATTCAAACCGGGCACCTCCCCCGGATGAGTCAGCGTATACCGAGGCTGAAGCGCCAATACATCTACAAACTACGTAGTAAAGAGCCAGGACAAACAGGCACATGAGACTTTTCTTATAAGCACTCGTAATACCATCTATATTTCTTCGAAGGCACGTCAGCTCATAGAGCGGATCTAAAAAATATACTGTTGAATTCAAAAACTCCTAAAAACCTAGCAATGAATGTATCAACCACGAAGTACATTCTGCATCTATGAGTACAGCAATGTCACTACGTAATCCATAGCCCAGGTCAACTTAGAATGACCAAAGGCAAGAATTAAAGGTTGCGGAAGTGTTTGATCTGCCATCCATTTTAGACCATTCGTCCAGGGTTGCGATAGGCCCGAATGTTTTGATGCTTGGATGGCCAGGTTTGTATCTCGCCTGAAGCTAGTACAGAGGAAAGAGGGCCTTATAATTGGTGTTTTGTATATATTACGACACTGCAGACCTTTCATTTTCTGATTGGCGAAAGTGCCGGGCGTAGCATAGCTATCCAAACGGGTCCATAACTCCTTCTATAATATCACCGAATAAGTTCAGTTATTCTCATTGCGCCATAATTCGTTCTTAAATTCGTATCGTAGCACTATAATGGGGTTCATTCATTAGCTGCTGCACATTGTTGGAGGGGTAGAAATTGTAGACATGCATCTAGCTGTTTGGGAATCAAGTGTCCAGGTAGTCGGCCGCCATCAAGAGCTCCAGGCATAGCTCTGGTGGTATATCCATATCGGCCACGTTGGATTGGTCTTTGTGTTTCTCATTGTAGATGAAGTATTCGCAGACTTTCTCGAGGATGACGCCACTGAAGAGATAATCGTCAGTAAGAAACAACGCCAAACGTAATCTTCAGTGGAAAATGAACGGTCATACCTCAGTTCCTCTAAAACACATCTCCCGGTGAGTGCTTCCGAGAATCTGCCTAAGTCACAGAAGACAGGTTAGCAGCCATAATGACGCTTGAACATCAGGTTGAACAACATACTGGCGGGGTCTAACATAGCCCGGATTGTGCCTGAGACACAAGCTGCGCTACGAGGTATGATGAACTCAAATCCATCACGCGACACCAATGTCACATATTCGGATTCGATCTGGGGAGCCATGGTGAGAATGCGCGCTGTATGAAGACGTAGCTCAAATTCCTCCCACGCTTGAGTACCGGAGATCCTTTTGACCAGTTGGTCCGTGCGCACGCGCGCACTGCCGATAAGCCGATAAGCCGATAAGAATCGCGTCTGTCCATTGATTCCCGATCATAGATGCTTTGCCATAAGCAAGAAACCTTCAGCTCAATATGCACAAATGTCTTTTTGGGCCTCAGTTGAGAGCCCCAAAACAACCGGCTAGATGTTTCCAATTACCCAATGGCTCTCGGCCAACATTTCTCAAATCGACGGTTGTTCAAAGCAGCACTCGATTTACATCTTCTGTCCGCTCGAGCAACAACAGCAGCGCAGGAACTTTTCAGCCTTCAAGCAGACTCTCGGGTCGGACATGCATGGTTACCGGTGGAACATCAGGAATTGGATTTTCTATAGCGGAAAGATTCTTACATGAAGGCGCATCATCAGTAATACTGGTTGGCCGGTCCCAGCAGCGATTAAAAGCAGCCATCAAAGATCTGCAATCTCCAGATAATGTCCGTTTTATCGTTGGAGATATAGCAGAAGCAGGGTCCTGGATGCGCGAACTGGAGAAAGAAATGGTGAGCATTCCATCCAACATGCAGCGTTCTCCGGCCACCAAATCTAAGATACGATTCTACAGACAGATGTGGATATCCTAGTCAATGCCGCAGGGATCTCCATCTCAAATATACTCCCTCGGTCTGAGCTGGAAGACATATCTAAAATATTGCGGACAAATCTCGAGGGTGCCATACTCACATCAAGGGCATTGATGCGCGCTGCAATTCGAGATCGCATTCGCAATCGGAATGCAACTGATGGGGACAAGAAGCCTCTTTCGAAATGTATCATCAATGTCTCTTCACTCCTTGCACTCAAGGCAGGAACTGGTGCGGTACCTTATGCTGCGTCCAAAGCGGGAATTTTAGGCTTGACACGGTCGTTGGCTGCTGAGGCTTCGATATCTATGAAAGATATTGTTATTCGATCCAATGCTATCGTTCCGGGTTATATTGAGACGCCGATGATTTCAGGTAAGTTTGAAATCTTGATCTTGTGAAGGATTGATTAAAGTAACGATTTGTGTATTTAGACTTTACACCCGGCGAAGTTAGCAGGCTGAATGATATGATACCCCTTCATCGATTCGGAACACCGGAGGAGGTCGCCGACGCGGCTGTCTTTCTTGCTCAAAATGAATATGCCAATAACTGCGTGCTCAACCTGGATGGTGGCCTGAGTGCAGTCTAAGAGCATGCTGTTTAAAATAAGGCTGGACTTTGTTCCCAACCTAAGAATGCGGTACTAAGTGTCTATCTTGTATATTATGTTTTTGATATCTGCATTCATTCATTCTTGCATGTCTGTAGTTGAATTTCTTGAAAGGTCAAAAATTTCATGGTGGATGTTTCCTTCAAGTTGTGGACGAACATTCACAAAGTGTTTCTCTGGCTTATATAAATTCCAAAGTTTGGTTGAGAACTTGAATCTCTATGCGTATCAAGATCATATTGAAGTTCAACTTATTAATTGGTATGTACTATATAGATGGCTTAACATGTACTACTACTAGTAGTATGTACTGCTTCGTGTATCATCCTATCCCCACACATTATGGTTTTCATGGTATGCTGTACCTATCAGATTGTGGCTTGATGTAAGCCTGAGTATGATTAATAATAAGTAGTCAATTTTATTGCCTCCAATCAGTAGTTATTTGGAGTCACGAGCTCATGCAATCTTCTTTAATTCAATGTGACTTGCTGGGATACAATATCGTACATAGAAAGCAGAAAATGGTCATCAGATACCAAAGCAAAAGAAGCAACGGCACCCTTCCTCTATCACCTTTATTTTGGTGAGGGGGACGTCGAAGGGAAAAGAAACCGTAGGAAGTATTGGGCATCATGAACGTGAGATATGTCAGGTCTAATCATCGATCAAAATAGCACCTTCACCTTTACCCTCGGCGCCCTCGTCATCATCTATGACAATGACCCCATTATTGCCACTAGTATTGGAAGGCGGTTCTCCAGCAATCTTTTTTGCAACATGCCCATTTGTCAAATCCTCATCTTCGCCTTCGCGTTTGCGTTTCGCGGGGTTGACTACACCGTTTGCGGAGCCATTCTCCTCCTCTGGGGGAGATTGTTGATTCGGCTTGGGTTTGCGAGAAATGGTGAGTGTGTTCTTTAGCGAAGCAGGCTTTTCATCACCAGTGGCTGATTCCGTTCTGAAAGAAAAAGATATATGGTTAGCCTGGACGACTAATCGTGTTTCCATTCGCCTGGTCTTACCTTTCAATGATGAAGAGCTCCAAATTGGCTCGAGGGTCTTGATCTTCGTCATCCTCGTCGACGACAGTAATTGAGGTGCCATTCGTAAACCCGAGCTCGGAAAGCTTCTTTGAGAGATTTTCCTCAAGTTCAGGGTCATATATCAAAGCCGAATCTTTCAAGATCGATATCTCCTCGCCATATCCTAGTTCTAATCGGAGAACGTCTTCGACAATATTATTCAACGTTGCACTATTTTTATCAACAATGACATATCCCGTTGCAGCAGAGCATACAGTGCAATCTTCTTTGGGAGGATTCAAAGGCTCTGTGTTGATAGCACGTACCCCTGATTTCTCAAGGAAGACCTAAATACAAGCTCATTGTTAGAAAGTGGTGGTAAATTTTGATTCAATAATTCCTCATCTCACCATCGCGTTTGAAAGAGCGCCTTGAAGCACCTTGAAGGACTGAAGGACGCAGAGCCCTGCAGTCATCGCATTTGTAGTGGCAATGGCAGGAATGATGTTACCAGCCATCTCTGCGAGATATGTTAAAAATTGACATCCAGAGCGGCAGCGGGAATGTACTTACGTTTGGTATCGAATTTGGACTTGGGCTCGATATTGAAAATCGCAGAGCGTAAAATAGCCGTCGCAGTCACAAAGTCCAGGGTATCTTCATCATCCTTGTCGAACTCCAGAATTGGCATTGAGTCTTCCGGTGCTCTGTTTGTCTGAAGCACTTGAAAGCGCTTGCTCAGTAGATCCAAACTATCTGACATTAGTCCAAGCCATGTTTCACTCCAAGGATAGCGATTCGAGTTACCTTTCTTTAAACATAATAAAAGCTTCAGGCTGCGACCAGGGTCTCTGGTCGAATTTGGCAATTGTTTTGGAGTCCAAGGAAGACGATTGCTCTAAAAGTTGATCCCAGGAGAGCGCAGTTGGAGGTTCCCTCTCTTTCCACATATCTTTCAATCCACTTAGCCGTTCGATATCCTTTCTGAATACCTTGTCGAATACTTTATATGAGAAATCATCGGACCCCATGGACTCGCGGATTTCTTTAAGATCTTCCTTTTCTCGCTGCAATTCCGCAATCTCGTGCTCTGCTTTAATTAGTATCGGGTGGGTGAAAAGCCTAGTTGGCAGAGGAACGCATTAGACCAACCATTGTCAGCATTTTCTGAGGTATCAAACACTGCCGGATTATCTTCACTTTCACCAAATAGTTCACTAATAGCCAGTCAGTAACGATTTAAATACCTTCAGATTAGCTCGAAAGGATGTCGTACGGTAATAGGTAACTCTTTCCCCACACAATGCAGTGTATTGGCTGAGTCGGTGAACTTCGCACGGTGCAAATAGGAAATGACCTCTGCACCTCCTTTGGATTGCAGTCATAACATTCAGTTTTTCCCTGTTCCCATCAGCAAACTTCCTTGGGCCCACATCTTCGCGCTCTCCGGTTGTTAACCCACCTTCTCAATAACCTGGACCTGTCCGTTGAATCCCGTAGTGCCGCTTTCAATTAAAGGAACCGATGCAGCTAAGCACATATGGTTGACGTGGCGTCGCGCTGCGAGGTTATCCAATGCGTTGAATACAATCGTAAACGATTGGAACCAGTGGACATCGAATTGCTTATCCATGATGTTCGCATGGTATGCCTCTAGCTTCGCCTTGGGTTGGAATTTATGCGCAACCTCCTTCGCTACCTAATGGAAATAACCCATCAGATTAGAAGATGTCTTTCACAGATGCGCAAACTGCGCGGTCCGGATCGCAGCGGCGCTTTCGCAAGGGAGGATGGGAGATCGGGGAGGATCGACGCACCAGGGCTTTGGGCTTCTTTATGTGTTCATGTCGGAAAAGAAACTGGCGATTCAGGTTGCTAAGATCGATTGTGTCTAGGTCGATTATGTGGATTTCGCCGAAACCTGTGAGGACGAGGTTTTTTAGCAGCTCGCACCCGATGCCGCCGGCGCCTACCAGCAACACGCGGGACTAGAGAGGTTCAAAAAGATTAGTTCCTGGAATTTATGGCCAAATGCGATTCATTTCTTAGCTTTTCTTAGAAGCCTGCGCAGACTTACTTCTTGGATCGTCCGGGTGAGCTCAACTCCAAGGGAGCGCTTAATGGAGCTTCCCGGCATAGTGAGCGAAATGTGAGATTTGAGCAATTCTTTGGAATCAGGAACGGGTCCAGTCAATATAAGATGTTCCCATATCACAGTGATGAAGAGAAGGAAGAATTGGAGGGTGGGTTGGGAGGAACAAGGAAGCAGGGCGCGTGAGATTCCGGAAGCAAAGGCCGAGCGAGGTGGAAGCGATGGAGGGCCCCGTTTCGATGACGGCAGAGCTTGACAGGAACCTTTCCGCACCTTATACTAGTATACCTCCCCGATACCCTTCCTTCTTTTTATTATTATTATCTATAAACATTCTGTGTTTTCCAAATCTCCGATCTCAATCTTTTGGATAGGTAAATTGTTTGATCATCCTAGCTCTGTTCGATTGCCTTTGCATCACCTGCATCACCTACATGCGCCTTGTTTGCGGCTGTGTACAGGACCTTGCATCCTTATCTACTCCAGTCACCTGTAGAGAATTACTCTCAATTGAATCACAAATTTGTGGATGGCTATATTCAGGGCTTATTAGGGTTTCTGCCTAGTTTGAATCCAGACCGTGTCCATATCTGTTTAAGTAGGTCTCGCGGCCCCGCAGCAATACTATGTAGGTTCTAGATGCGAACTTGGCTGCAAGGTATCATTGGCTCTAATCCACAACAGATGAAGGATATGGACTAAATACTAATTTTGTATCTTGCTAAGAAAAAACAATATGTACGTATCCAGTCTCTTGCTATCGGAATCGACCAATGATTAAAAAGGAATCCTCAAGGTCGGTTTAATGTTCTTCTCTAGTGACCGATTGCCCGGTTGGTATATGCAGATCACAGCGATTGAGAGAGCTTGGCAGGTAGCATCGCCATGATAAGCAAAGTACAGTCAATAATCTTGTGAGAGCCTTAGACGTGTGCAATCGCAAATTCAAGCCGTTCTAAATAATGGTTATATTTCCCTGATACGAAATATCGGTGAAGATTAAAATCCAAATATTCCACGATCTGCGGTTCAGCCATGCTTATGTAACCCACATCTGGTTCCAAAAAAAACCGATGAAATTTCCCTTGTGGCGAATGAAAGAAAGCCCCGAGTACTCATAATTGCATGGTGGAAGTGTTCAAATCCAGGCTATCGCTCATTACATTCATTGAATTCCCTCTGTGAAAATTTACCAATCTCTATTGCCGCGGTAGGAGAATTGGATCAAGCCAAAGATCGCAGGGACGTCTATCTGGTCCCTGCATATCATATCACTATCAGAGATATAGGGGATAGCCCCACAGAGTAAAAACCACAACATTTGAATCAGTATATTTTTCAACATCCCCACGAAACACTCCTTGAAAATGCCATCTCTTGAACCAATTACCCCTACGAACCAGCTAGCCGATGCAGGGTCCGACGACGGAGTCGACCCGGAGCTGGTGGAGCTGCTTCGCCAGCACTATGGGCTGGGTGGGAAGCCAAACAAGGCTGCGCCGCCAGAGACGAAAGTGTTAGAGAGTGCTCAATATGTCTTTGACAATTCTATTGATGTGGCACTTAGCCTGACTCATACTAAAGACGCCGCTGAGTTAATATGGCGGTTGATGCAGAAGAAGGCATACTCCACACAGACATGGTCGGAACATGAGCTGCATCCCAAGAGCAAAGACGAGAGTACAGTGGACTTCATTTTCACCATGGATCTTCTGAACTTTAGTTTTTGGTCGGAGGAGAAAGACGAGTCCAAGCGATTTGCAATTGAGTACCGCGACAAGAAATGGACGGGATATTGGAGTCTGGTGGCTGCTCTTCAAAGAGCGCTTGATGAAGGTATAATCTAGGTCTACTAGTACTTTGTCATTACATATTACAGTTGAGACTGACCATGAGCTTGCAGATATCCCCATCACTACCCCGGACTTCTGGGTCAATGAGTCAGAATGCACGGAGGAGCTATTGAGACATGTTTTCCGCTCTTCCACGGACGAGGAGATTCCCCTCTTTGAAGAAAGGGTCAAGTGCTTGCGCGAAGCAGGTGAGGTGCTGTGCAATGTAAGTATTTCTACCCAGCGACTTTCAGAGCTTCCCTTGAGCTAATCACCAAGATAGGAATTCGAAGGAAGTTTCTCAACCTGCATTGAGGACGCCAACTACTCTGCCGCCGGTCTTGTTAACCTTCTCACCGAGTCATTTGACTGTTTCCGGGACGAGACAGTCTTCAACGGAAAGCGTGTAAGGCTGTATAAACGAGCCCAGATTCTCGTGGCAGATCTATGGGCCTGCTTTAATGGCGAGGACTTTGGAAAGTTTGACGACATTGATAAGATCACCATGTTTGCGGGTAAGACTCACCACTTGCCCACTATCGTTCTTCCTCATTAACTTACAAATGTGTACAGATTATCGTATTCCACAAATGCTGCACCAACTAGGATGTCTGCGCTACTCTCCTCCACTGGAGAGCCACATCCGCAGCCTAAAGCCTTTAACACCAGGTTCGAACTGGGAAGTTGAGCTACGTGGAACAAGTATCTGGTGTGTAGAGCTGATCAAGCGCGAGATTGAGAAACGGCATCCAGAGGTTAAAACAGCCGGCAAATCTGACAAGATCAACGGCTCCAACGAGAACGAAGAGCCCACTGAAAGCGAGGAGGTCGAAGGCCCAATTGAAGAAGAAGACACCAAATCGAACAAGACATATGGGATCAATGCGATTCTCATAGATTTCTTTCTCTACGATACCATGAAGAATTTGGAGGCAGAGCATAATGAGGGCATTCCTCACCATCGAACACGCAGCATTTGGTACTAAAGCGCAATTACAATGTGACTTTATCGATACCAGTTGGAAATCAACATCATATTATACATGTACTTCTTTTGGCAAACATTAAATTATAAATCATTTCTTCTACTTCACAAGACTTTCCCACAATCCCTTTATGCTCTTAAGTTGATGACGCAATACCAGACTTACTATCTCCTTATGCATAACCGGCTTTTCCTCCTCTTCACGACCGTCAAAGGTATCCTCAAGAGTAGATGCACCGGCTGCAACCTCAATGTAATCATGACGGTCTTTTTCATCTTCCCCAGGACATACAATGAAGCCCCCAAATTTCAACAGCATCGAGTTCAAGATCAGACGGCAAAAACGACGATTCCGTCGACGAAGGGATGTTGACAAAGATATGTGTGTACTTAGCCGCAGGCATGATTGAATGAAGACCCGATACTACAGCCTGTGAAAAATCGAATTCGAGTTGTTTAATCATGTCTTTCATTTTTGACGGAACGAGTGAGGCGTTAGGAAATGTATGAAAATCAACGCTGACATCAACAGAGCGATAAGAGCCGCTATATTCTTCCCATGGTGTACTTTCCGCATCCACTTTGTAAGTTAGAATATGATGGGTTTCAAGAATTATCTCTTCGGAGAGTTCCTGCACATCCAAGCAGAGCTTAGTGATCATGAATGCCGCTGCTTTGGCGTGCTGGATAATTTACCGGCGACTTTGTAAACAGCAGCAGTATTTGCAGAAAGCTTCGAACGCATGCGCTCCTGTTTGATGATGGTATAGTCCTTATCCTGTTCCGAGTCGTCGATATCCCCAGGAACGTATTCACCCTGTAAAATCTTCATACACAATTTGAAATTCACATCAAACCCTGCGCCAGCTTCCTCGATCATATTCGATCCATAGATCATACGAGTTAAACATTCCAGTATATGATTTTCGCATGATACGTCTTGTTCGCGGCTCAGGCGGGTTGAAAACTTTATCTTTGAGCTTATTACGAAGCTTTACCATTTCTAGAAACACAATATACGTATACCAAGCGGTAAAGCAAAGGTTATATCGGGTCAAGGGGGGTTTTCTCGCTGGACGCTATAGTCCCCCATAGTCATTCAAAACCGCAAATAGGTGTGATTGGTTTTACAAGAGAACTACAGATATCAAATATGCTATGAACTCATACTGACCAAAGGACATAATGTATAATTAGATTTCATTTCATCACCGAGGGTATCAATACCATGTTAATTGCTCCATCCATATACTCCGCAAAAGACACCCATTATGCACTCGCTACCTGACTCTGTCCCCCATCAATACGGGAAAGAATATCAGTTTTCCACTCAAGGAAGGCTTCACAACGGTCCTCGCTGAGCCAATCAACTCGATCTTGCATCATAGTTCCCAGGCCGGGTAAGAGGCCACCATGGGTAGCGTTATTGGAGCGCGACTTTTTGTTTGTCGAACTCGTGCCATCATTCCGTTTAGGAAGCTTGACGCCACGGAAAGCGGCATCTTCCTCATCAAGGTTACGAAATGAGTTACCTTCTTCGTCTTCGCCATCCAAATCCCCAGCAAGTGGGATATTTTCAAACCACTCCTGCTCATTTGCCCACCCTTGCTCCATGATCAAGCCAATCCAAGTGTCAACATTATCGCGATGACGTCTGTCATTCGGCAGGCCGAGACTGATCAGTGCAGTTTGGCGCATCTCGGTAAACGTCTTCTTGTCCATCTTCTGACCCTCGGTATCCACTTCTTCGCTATCTGGCGATGGAGCGGGATTTCTTCGACGAGCCAATACAAGGAAATAGACACCGACGACCATAGCAAATACAAGCTCCTTAAAGTCATCGTCGCTGCTGGTGTTTGAGATCGATACAATGGGTTCTAGAAATTCCAGCGTTTCTTCATCGAGTCCCTCCTCAGTGCTGGACATGCAGGACGTCAAGTACAGGATAGAAGAGACACCGGCGAATATATGCGGGGGTAGAGTTCTTGAGATCGGAGGGCGGGACCAGGTAGTTGTTCGTGGTGCTGGAGTCGAGAGTGTCTTGCAAACTGTGCGGATGGCAGTCATGGCCCAGGCCGGGGCATCGGGAATTATAGTAGAACCCAACCCATTCGCATTGTTGGTAGATTTCCGTGCTGACTTCGAGGGTGAGCCGTGTTTAGCCACGCTCACACTTCTTTTCAAGGGAGTGGATTTGGAGGGTGTGTTTTGTAGCGCTCGGGGCGTAGGAGCAGCTTTCCTAGGGGTTTGTCCTTCTGCTGACGCTTTGGTTGGTGTCCTCTGCGCAGAGGCAGTATGTGGTGATGCACCGGCAACAGAGCCGCTCGCAGATCGTTTGATGCCTGTCGAGCCAGACGAGAGTGATCGATCTAGATATGAGTATAGCTTCTTGTAGACACGCGGAGGACATGGTGGGTGGCCAAGTAGTGGAGGAAGTTTCAGCGCTCGAGTAAGTCTAGAGGTACAGGTTGTCAGTATAATTGAACCAATGTAGATTTGGGCTTTGGAAGGTAATATTCTCCTACCTTCTGCAAGCGATCTCTGCACAGGCGTATGGTCGCGCGATTTCTTCTTCGGGCTTTAAACTGCTGGAGAAGCTTCGGGATTGTGCAACAAGACTCAGCGCTAAGCTGAAAAGCTCTTGGGGCAGATCGCTGGCATGGGTTGGGACCAGGTTTCCCAACGCTTGTTCTACTGGGCGATTGTTCATGTTTCTGAGACAAGGGCGGCCTGGCGTGACGGAATTGAGCAGAGGTAATGGAGGTAATGGTTGACAATGTGTTTGAAAAAGTAGTGTAAATAGTAGGTCGCGGTCCAGCTGTTAGAATAGATATCAATGCCAACAATTAAAAGGACCTAATGCTTGAATATAAGAATTAGGAATGTTGTTGCCGTAAACACTTGTTAGCGATTAAACTCTAGGCCGCGGAACGCCGATCTTATGACTAAGCGCGATATCGAACATTTGAGCTGTCGGCGGCTTTGCTTCTTCGGTGTCACTACTTATTGCTCATTGAGACCAGATTACTTCGAAGATGTCGGTTACTGTGAGTTCTCTACATAGATATCCTCTCATCATGAATTGACCAAGGACCTTCACTAATATTGACTCTTATCCAGCTCCATACAACCCAAGGCGACCTGAAAGTCGAGCTATTTTGCGAAGCAGTTCCAGAGACTGCGGAGAACTTCCTCGCCCTTTGCGCATGCGGTGCTTACGATGATACGCCATTCCACCGTCTTATCCCCGGTTTCATGATTCAGGGCGGAGACATCTCCCTTGGCCCAGCCGCCCAGCCTTCAATCTCCACTAAACCAAGTCTACCGTTCGAGATTCCAAAGGGCGGCACATCAATCTTCCACCCATCAGGAATGAACCAGGAAATCCACCTTCCAGCCCTGCGACATAATGCGCGAGGTATTCTTTCAATGGCCTCGCGCCCTGTCAAGGATAGAACAGCACCGGGATCTCAGAATGCGACTGGTCCGACTGTCAACGGTAGTCAGTTCTTCATCGCCTTTACAGCCGCCCCGCATCTTGATGGAGCTAGCACAGTCTTCGGGAAGGTCTTGAATTTGAGTGCGCAGGATGAGGGCGGGGATGTCCTCTCAAAGCTAGAGCAGGCCAATGCCAAGGTCGATAAGAAAGGCAAGGTTTCTCAGCCCAAAGAGGACGATGACTTCGAAGCCCTTCGCATCAACAAAGTCACAATTCATGCAAACCCTTTCGCAAAGTGAATGAATTGTCAATATTTGTTAATTCGACTTGGCCTTGACCATGCGTTTCCAAAGGCGTTAGCTAGCATGGCAACGGTCGGCATCGTGGCCCTTACGCCACCAACTTCAAACAGAAGCTCCTCTATAAAGATCTTCCGGCTCTAATGGAACTTTCTGCGACGGACTAGATATTTTCCAGCCGTTAACTCATTGTCACCTCATGGCTTTCATCATACGATTGAAGTCTATGTTGGTTTCCGCGGCCCCTCAATTCATTTCCAATTCCAGGCAATCCTGCGGAATTGTAAGGTTTGTGTGACGACACACTGTTCTTCCTTTGCTATATGTTCCTGTAATCGAAGTGCGCTTTATCGAATCCAGACTCTGGAGACTGCTAGCAGGAGGTCCATAAACTTGGTACATATTTCAACTTGATTGGAAGCAGACAGGAAGACAAGAAAGTCGAAGTTCGAGTCACCGAGTGACATATCGCTGAACATAAATAACATAAGAATACCTTTCAATATGCGCAACTCTACAGCAGATTATAAAATAAACTTGTCGTTTGGTCTTGGTGGCAGCGATGCTGACCGTCATGCAAATGAGTAATATCCCCCAGCCTCCAAACGCTTATGTTCTTTGCCTTGCGATCACGGCTTCGAATATATTCTGTAGAATTGAATTCGCTCCCAACCTCTGTAGCACTAAGTATGTGCCTGAGCTACCTTACGTATCAATAGGTGCCTTGGTAAATGCTGGCACGTGACTGTATAGATCTCCTTTGAAGCTGAGAAATCCATTTCCAACGCTGACTAAAGTCCGTCAACTGTCAACTGCCAAGACCCAAGCTTTTGGTTTCGCCCATAGCAAGATGAGCTCATTCTGATATCCGCTGTCAAGACAAAGGATGAAATAGAATTTGGGCCACATCTGCCTCTCATAATTATGACAGAGTCTATACAAGTCAAGGAGGCCTTTCAACAAGCCACCACTTTCCTGAGGCCAGTGTTAAACAGAGGCAAGCAAATTTAATATTCGTTCGCCTTATCTCGACACACTGCTAACAACTGTGAAGAAAAGATCAATAATTCGCAAGGGAAATCTCTGCTGGAAGTTTTGATTCAAAATACCACGCAAAGCGTGTCACCAAACGATGAGGAAGCCGCAAGAACTCTCATTATCGGCACGGCATTAGACATCTTAAGCCGCATACATGCAGCTTTTGTTGCGCCCGTTGATGCCCGGAATCAGTACCTAGCGACAGAAGGTGAAGATACGGCGCTTGAAGATGCAAAGCGACGTCGAATGTTACATGCTTTATTGGACTTGATCTCGCTTGAAGGCATCTACCCATCACTCTCGTCGGGTGTTGGAATCCCTCTTCAGCAGAGAGTAATTTCGGTCTTACCAGCTGGTGTCATCGCCAAACAGGCAAATATTACTGCAAGCAGCACCCCGCGCAATGTGGCTCTTCTTCATCGGACTATCAAAATCTTGCTTAAAATTATGCTAGATTCGAGGTCAAGCATTCAGCCCGTTATTGGAGGTCGCATTCTAAGTGACATAATTAGCGGAACTGCTGATCTTGCTTTCAATCCTAATATTGACTTGCAAAATGACCGCATCATTCTGCAAGATCAATTTTCTATGATGATAAACGAGTATGTTTTTCAATACGTTTGTCTATACCCGCGCACAAGTACTAAAATAAATCACGCAGAACTCCAAGCTCAGTCTTACTACCCGCATTATCTACATTTCTCCAAACAGATACCACTGCATGGTTCAAATCTGTAATATCAAGTCAAATATCCCAAATCCCACTTCGCCCCGGAGGTGTGCTGCAAACAATTCTGTTCATTGCCTCGCAATTTTCTCCGTCACTTGGACAAGAGGCTCAAAGCGAGCAGTCAAATGGACCCCATTTCACAGTGCAGGCCATCATGCAAATATCAAAACTTCTATCCTCCGTCCCGCAAGGTGTTGACCCTGTGTTATACTTTACAACCATCGCACCGCAGCTATTGAGTCTGCTTGATGGAAATGACCCGGATCTTAAAAAAACTGCGTCCTACACCATCGGAAACGGCATCCTGGGTAAACGCATGTTTGGGGCCCCTGGGACCATAGGCCATTCAATTTTTCTCGAGCCAATTTTCCGCACCTTGACTGCTGATCTTGATGATCCATCGTCTCGATGGATGAAGCCGCATTCTAATTCTGAGAACCAAGATCAATCAATGGGGGGACAAAGCATTTATCCAAACACTATTGTGGAAAGTGCAATGATACAACTCGCATTGGATAGACTTGGAAGCCTTGCTTTACAGCATCCAAATCCAGGCCTTGTCAAGAGAATCGTGTCTCCAATTCTTCTACCACTCTGGGGTCTTGCCTGTTACTCCCAAGAACAGAATCTGGACTCGCTTCACCAGAGAATCATGACTCTCCTTGGTACATATTTTAGTATCTCGGTAGGGCTTCCGCCGCTCAAGAAGCTTGGTGACAACCTGCTATGGGATGGTGGATCGACTTGGACATACAGGCCCAATTTTGATGGCTCAATCAGCATTGTACAGCGAACCAGTCAGATGAACCAGCAATTGAACATGATCCATCTGATGAATTCACTTGAAGCCCGAACAGACCTTTTTGTGGGCTTGCTTGGTTCTGATCCACGCAGCGAGGAGCTGACCGGTGATATGTTCCTTTACGTAAGTCAGAAATGGCTCATGCAGCCCAATCAAGATGAACAGGGACAATTAATTGGAGAGTCAGACAACCTATCCCAAAAATTGGTCAGTGCGAAAATTACAGAGAAATTGTTGAACAACTTCAAAGATACATTGTCTCGTCATCCTCTACGTGTCCTCGACCTTATCAAACAAGTCATAGATGGTGAATTGCATAGAGGGAAATCGGCTCAGCATCGAAAACAAAATTCCCAGAAACCATCATTATCCTCTCTCGCCAACATAGTCTCCCCAGAAGCGGAAGGAGATCATATTGAAACTAGTAAAGAGACATCAGAGTCACTTTCCACTGCATTCAGTTTACTTTCCACTGTCCTTGCATCTCCAGAGTTCTCCACATCACAAGAGACCAAGTCGCTTTTGGTATCGGTCAAGGAAAGCCTTGATAAACTTATCGGAATCCTGCCCGATGACCTCTGCAAACCAGCAACAACCGCATCAATGCTACTTGAGATTCAGCTCGGCCCCTCGGAAGAAGGTGACAACAAACCTACGCCTACCCACTTTGCCGATATCGAAACACATTGTCAAGCATTATCAAATCTCAACTCAGATTTACCTCCTGTTCAAGCAGAAGGATTTTCTCTGCTTACGAAGCTGGTCAATGACTCCTCTCCCGTCCTCGACATACCCTCAACACTGACATTACTGTTGTCAATAATAACCGATATTTCTGAGTCGACGGCCAACGAAGAATATATATACCTAAACGCAATCAAGCTGATAGGCACATTGGCTTCCCGGCATCCAAAAACCGTCATTAAAACGCTCGTTGACAGCTACGCGGACAAAAACGAGCATAGAACCTTGGACCAACGCTTGAAAATCGGCGAATCCCTGCTCCGCGCAGTACAAGATCTTGGCGAAGCATTGAACGGCGAAACAGCAAAAATACTCGGCGAAGGCATGGTCGCAGTAGCCGGAAGGCGTGGTATCAAGTCTCAAGCCCAAGCCACACGGAAAGAACGGGAAAAGAAAGAGCGCCGTCGACAAGAACAAGATTTCCAGAAAAACAAAGAAGAGCCCGTCATTCCAGAGGATGATGATTCAGATACAGAGACACCGGAACATTCAGCGCACGCGGCGAATATCGTTGCTGCATGGGCAGCCGGCGCAGCATCTGATCAAGAACCAGATGACCTGCGCGTGCGGACATCAGCACTTTCTATCCTAGCATCGGCGATGACGACCAATATCCTTGGTTTGGGATCGGGGGTCGTATCGTCATCTTTGGACCTTGCGTTGGCGACGCTCACACTGGAGCCAGGACCTGAAAGTGCCATTCTCCGACGTGCGAGTGTAATCCTCATAATGGACGCTTTGAAGGCGCTTGATAAAGCTCGCGAGGAGAGGAAAGGACGAGACATTGGAATTGGCTTTTCATTGATTGACACTGGGTATACTGAGTTATACGGTGGATCCTCGAGCCAAAGGTCAGAGCAAGGGCCAGGCACTATCGGAAACATCCCTATAATACTTCGCACTCTTGGATTCGTGGAGAGTCGAGAGGATGATCCGATCGTGCGAGGTCATCTGCGGGCTTTGGTTGAGAGCCTTGAAGCTTGGATAGAGAAGTCCCTCATGTGGGGAATTGGGTGTCAAGATCATGGCAAGCCAAGGATGGAATTGAGTGATCAAATCGCTGGTTTGGATATAGATCCTTTGTCTCATCATGGATCTTCTAGACCGCGTATTGAAGAGATCGAGTAGATTCAAGAGGTATAGGGATATGAAAATGGACGCAAAGCATTTCTCCATCTACCTCCTCTCACATTATTCATCCGCTTTATGATATTCGAAGTCTTGTGTAATATACAATAATAGAGATAACGACTGAAAAAATTATAGACACAAGTCTCAAGCCGGACTATATTCTAATCCTTTGCTAGACTAGCATCATAGCTCTTTACCGGTGCGTCCATTAAATTTATTTTCATCGCATACATAACGATCATCGGAAAGTGCTATGCGCCACTAGCCCTGACAAGCCCATATTTTACCAGCCCCCTCGACCCCTGCCACGACCACCGCCCCTCCCGCGTCCATAACGTCCGCGGCCACCACGCTGGTGCGATGGGTCGAAGTTTGGACGCGAGCTAGGTCGAGCGCCAGCGGCCAAACGCGCCGCACTCTCTTCATCAGACAGAGCGAACTTGTTAGTGATTCCAATTAATGTGCAGAACTCTTCCGTCTGTTGGTTGGGATATTCAGGCGGTGCATCAGTAGTCGTGATTGGAATAGATGGATCAAACACTGGCGCAACTTGTGTGAAATTAAATGGAATTTCCAATAGTCCTTTCTGCACGACGTTCTCTTCAACCCATTCCTCTGCTTCCGCAATCGCTTGAAGGTACTCGGCTTCACCTGCGAAAGGGGGGACCTTGGCTGCAGGATCGCCGAGTTGGAGATCTTGAGCGAATACACGGGTGATTGCTAACCATTCCTTATCATACTGGAGGCGGAGGGGGCGCTGGGGTTCATCACCGGATTGAATAGAGATTGGCTTCACCTCTACCAACTCCAAATAAGAATCGTGACCGTGTGGCTTGTCGAGAGCTAGGAACTTGGTGACACGGTTCTGGATGGCTTCTGGAATGACCTTCCTGGGGGGCTGTGGTGCCGGTTCTGGGCGAGCCAAGCTAGCAGGAAGTTTGCTGCGAATATCATCAGGAATAGTTGTTTCCATTACAGGCTTAGCTTCATCAGGAATAATTCCTTCCATTCCAGACTTGGCCTCATCTGGAATGATTCCCTCCATTATAGGCTTAGCTTCATCTGCACTCTTGTCCACGATAATGGCCATGGGGCGCTTGGCAGGTGGTGAACCTGAACCGGACTCACTGCTAGAATCGAGGTCAATCTCGTCCTCGTTTTTTGGAACTTGTTCCAGCTCTTGTTCCAGCATTGGGTCCGGGATTATCTGCTCGTCTGAAGGCTTAACAACTTGTTCGACAGGCGCGGTGGGGTTGGCGGGTGTCGCAGCTTCGTAGCACCATTCCTCCGGCTCGTCAATAGAGCGTGGAACTTTTCGAAGAGAAACGCCTTCATGACCCATAGTAAGAGCGAAACGAGTGTGCAGATGTGCAGAGAACCAATAAGAGGGGCAAAGCCGATTGAGCACGTCACGAGCTGCCTGACTGCCAAGGCGCCCGTGAACAGAATCATCACGAAGGTGCTTTTTCTTCTGGAAAAGACGAGCAGAGTTCCCATGGTTCTCGATACCACGGGGCCAATCGTGGGATAAGCCAATATCAACTTGAGTGCGGACTTGAAGCAGCTTTCGGACATCCATTTCCCGGATGTGATAAATGCTCTGAATGTCCTCATGGTTGTATGGGAGACGTTCGTGGTGTTGCTTGCGGTAGTCATATCCTTTCCAGATACCTGACATTCCAGAAATACGGAATGAACCCAAGCGAAGTACATTGGCAGCACCGAGGTAGTAAATATTGGGAGCAACCCAACCACCGTAGTAAAGCTCGAACAAATAATTGCCAGCCTCGTGATTACCGCCACAGAAGATGGTCAAGACAGGGGCCACGCGTTGTCCAGAATAATATTCATGGAAGTCTCCAATGGTTTTGTACTTGGATGGAACAGAGATGCACGTTGCATCATTTGCGTTTCTGAGCGACTGTACGCCAAATTAGTATAAGAAGTTGCCTCGTCAAATTACAAGATCAACAGTTGGGGTGGAAGGTACTACCTGGAAGTCACCACCAATGATAACACAGTCAACTGCTTCCCAGTTCTTTTGGGCTCTTTGAACCTCCACACGCTCATAAATCTCATTCAGCGCACCGTGCCCCTGTATCATTAGGTCAGTCTTAGAACATACCGACAAAGAGTGCTACTGAATTAATTAAGGAAGGGGGCAAGGAAACTCACACAGCCAACACAGGCAATTCGGAGAGGAGATGCCATGTCGAGACAGTCTCAATTGAAAACAAAAAAAAAAAAAAGACAAAATCTTAGTTTGCAGTTTGATCCGAGAACTAGGAGAAGGATAAAAAGAGGTAGAGAAATTATTGGCAGGACAAGCGGGTCTCAACAGGTCAGGATATGCAAAAAAGGGTTTAGACTATGCAAAAGCACATGGTTTTTGAAAGAAGCTGATCAGGGAAACGAGGAGGCGAAAATAAAGAAGCAAAGAAGAGCAAGATCTAAAGCTCGAACTTGAGGGGAACGGTGGGGTTGAAGCGAATGAGGATGCAAGACGGTGATCGGTGATGATGGAGAGAGTGTGATGATGGGCAGGAACGGGCCAACGCTTATTCGTCGAAATTTTCAATTCAACTTCCTCCCTTCTTAGCTTTGGCTTCACGGGGGACCTTAGGCTCGATACCGACACTTTTTATTGAAAATTTGAAATTCTTCATTTATCATGCCTCCTTTTGAATCTAGTCATATGCAATTTTTGACTCAAGCCGCTGAGTGGTTGAAATCACAGAGTCCATCCACATCGGCACATCTCTTAGCGGTTCATACACAAATTCAACATCATGAATTAAAGCCCTTCAATACTCATCAAAAGAAACATTATTGTGCCTGTGGAAACTCTCGATCCAAACCCACAAAAGTCACCAAGGGACAATCCAAGAGCCAAACTAAGGGGCAAAGGAAACAGATGAATACTGTGGAAAGTGCAATGGTGTACAAATGTCTATATTGCAAACAACGAACAGTACTTCCACGAAAACGCCCCGCTATTAAACCTTCTAAGATTTCTAAATCTATGGAATCTTTCATGTCTCCTGTGTCTAAAACTGAAGTGGCTTCCCCTGCTGCAACCGCAACAACTCCCACTGAGACTTCTGCTCAACCCAGCATATCCACTAATCCACCTGTCAAGACGGACAACGTGAATAGTAAGAAACGGGCCAAGGCGCGGAAGCAGGGTGGTTTACAAGCTCTTTTGGCCTCTAAACCAAAAACCCAACCATCTCTAGATCTGTTCGATTTCTTACAGTGAACTAGACTTCGCTGCCATTATCGGAGATCGGCCCCACCTATTTTTCCGGGTCGGCGCGGGGTGAAGCTCTCAAGCTACTTGAACCTAGCTTGCCTTTCTCTTCTGTTGCTTTTTTTTTACGTTCAAACGCCATAACCATGTCCGTTTATTCTCATGATGAGGATCACGACCCTCATGCCGACGAGCTCCGAGAGACAGCTCTGGTCACCCTTGAGGCCCTAATCAGCTCATGCAACCAGCAGATGCAGCCGTACCTGACCAACACCACCCGCGCGGCTCTTCGATTCCTCAGATATGACCCCAATGTTGCCGAAATTGAAGACGATGAAGAAATGGGAGGAACACAAGATGATGGCAGTGAAGATGATGCGACTGAGGATCCGGATATGGACGACGACGAGTTCGAGGACTTTGAAGAGGAGGGAGGTTACAGTGATGTTGATGACATGAGCTGGAAGGTCCGTCGATGCGCGGCCAAGCTGCTCTACAGCCTCATTTCAAACTATGGTCGCACTCGAGGGCTTGACGATAATACCCTGTACCAACAAGTCGCCCCCGCGCTCATCTCTCGTATTAGCAGAGAGCGGGAGGAGAGCGTGAAGCTCGAAGTGGTGTCTACCTTGACCGCGTTGGTCCGCAAGACAAATGAGGACTCTATCGTTTCAATCTCTAGTGGATATTTGGAAGCCATCGGAGGAACCAAGAATTCTCGCAAGAGAAGACGCCAGGACAGTGATGCTAGTATGGTGGACTTTGAGCCAGGTGCAGGAACATCTTCAGCAATCGAATCTCCTGTGATGCCATCGTCTCCGAAAGCTGGCCCCCAGGCCGATCTCGCTCGCTGCGTGCCACTCATTGTACAAAGTCTTGTCAAAGCGTGGAAGCAAGCTTCGATGCCTCTGCGACAAGCAATTATCGTCCTTCTCAAGAGTCTGTCGTTGGTGCGCTATGGAGGATTGGCCGACCATCTCCAGCAGATTGAAGATTTGATCGCAGATGCCCTTAACACCTCTTCGATCTCAGGTAGCTCCACTGCACACTCTGGTGCTGCTGTTAGCGCCGGAACTCTTCAGATTGAAACACTTGGCCTTGTCTCGGCCATAGCAGAGACCCACTTATCGGATTCCCTTCTCCCATTCCTGATTGCCTTGGTTCCGGGTGTTCTGGGGGCTGTGAATGAACGCAATTACAAAGTTAGCAGCGAAGCCCTAGGTTCCGTAGAACAGATAGTAAGGGCCTTGACACCACCTCGCGTCTCTGCCAACGGCCCAGATGTCGCTATGCAACTTGAAAAGCTTTACGAGGCTATCCTTTCTCGCATCACTGATACCAGTGCCGACCTTGAGGTTCGCCAGCGGGCCATCCATGTATTCGGTGTCATTTTGGCACGTACATCTGGCGAACGTGGCACTGAGTATCTTTCGGCCGAGCGCAGATCAAAGGGTCTTTCTATTTTGGCCGACCGTGTGAAGAATGAGACCACTCGCCTGGCAGCTGTACGTGCCATCGATGACGTGGTTGTCCTAGCTAGTCACAAGAACGATGTGGCCAGTGATTGGATCAACACCGTCACCGTTGAATTAGGTGCAAACCTACGTAAGGCGGATCGTGCATTGCGCAGTTCTTGTTTGGAAACACTTCGAAGCATTGCTATGAATAGCAATACCCGATCCCATATCAGCCCTGATACTATGACCACCCTCGAAGTTGCGCTGCTTCCACTCTTGTCTGCTCCTGATTTCCATCTTCTCACCCCTAGTCTCATTATTATTGCCAAACTTATTCCGGGCAACTCGAAGACTCTTGTTAATGAGAGCTTAATCTCATCTATCTGTTCTATTGTGAAACAGTCACTCGTGGGCACTGTGCTGAAAGCTCTTCTCCTCCTGGTAAAGGTTATTGGCGACGAAGGTGCCGGCGCTCAGTTGATGCAAGCTTTGCTCCAAAATGTCGGTATCACCGGCGACACTTCCGTTGTAGGTAGGGCCATCGGTACCTTGCTGGTTCACGGCGGTTCAAACCTAGGTGTCACAATGGATGACTTTTCCACTGAGTTGCAGACTGCCAAGGATGGTAGCCGTAAATGCCTCGCGCTTGCAATCCTCGGTGAAATTGGATTACGAATGGGTACCGGATGCTCTTTGACCCCAGATATCTTTATCGCCCATTTCAACTCGACATCTGATCATGTCCGTTTGGCTGCTGCCACAGCCCTCGGAAATGCGGCTGCTGGAAGTGCCAAAGCCTACCTGCCTATCATTGAGAATGGCCTTGAAAGCTCTGATTCTCAAAGCTACTTGCTCCTTCATTCTGTTCGGGAATTGCTTCAACATTCTGAAGTGCGCGCTGAGCTAGCCCCGACTGCCCTTAAGCTCTGGCAAGCATTGCTCCTGGTTTCACAAGAAGAAGACAACCGTGCTGTGGGTGCAGAATGTATTGGACGCCTCGCTCTTATTGACCCTGTCGCATACATTCCTCATTTCCAGGTGAGTTTGGTCATAATCCCGATCCCAGAATTATCCCACTAATACTTTTCGTCAAGGAATACTTCAACAACAAAGATCCTGTCATCCGCGGAGTGGTTATCTCCGCTTTCCGTTACACTTTAGCTGACTCTAGTGACGCCTTCAATGATGTCCTGCGACCGCTGATGGTTCCTCTACTGACCGATATGCTCGCTGATGAGGATCTGGGCAATCACCGGCTTGCATTGACCACTCTCAATTCTGCCATTCATAATAAGATGGTGTTGCTTCTCCCACACCTAGGTGAACTGCTCCCATCTGTGTTTGGCGATACCCATATCAAGCCCGAGCTTATTCGGGAAGTACAAATGGGTCCTTTCAAACATAAAGTTGATGACGGACTGGATTTGCGCAAGGTCAGTAAAACACGCACTTTTCCTTATGAGGGTTACTTTGGTTTCTAATTATTGTCTATAGAGCGCTTATGAAACCCTTTATGCTTCTTTGGACACCTCATTCGCCCAAACTCATCTTCCGGAGCTGTTCGATCGTGTCATTGCCGGAGTTGAGGACGAGCAGGACATTCGCGCCGTTAGTAATTTAATGACGTCTAAGCTCATTATCTCTGCACCGGAGGAAACAGAACGTCGACTCGATTCTCTTTCTGAGGGGTATATGACTGTACTGTCTTTCAAGCCCAAAGACAACGCCGTCAAGCAAGAGTTGGAGAAAGCCCAAGAGGCAACTCAGGGTATTCTCAAGGTCACTAAGGAACTCAGCAAATCATTCCCTGGCGCCGAAACATCTAACAATTTGCACAAGTGGAGAGGCTATATGGACTGGGTACGGAAGAATTTCACTTCGCAGTTTTCCAGTCTTGATGCGGATTCGTAAACTGCGTTATGGTCTATTGCCCCCGCTCCCTACGCTCTATTACGAGTGCTTGAGTCGCGACATCAAGAGAAATTCGATTAGCTCACGACAATAAATGAAAAGTCTACATATGCTGCCTACTTTTGCTTGGATGTTTTAGATTGATCAATTAATTGTACGTAGAAGAGCCATCAAGCCGGCCTCTTTTTTTCTAGACGCTTGCTTTCACGCTTTGAAAAACGAACATACTTTCTGGACTCAAGGCTAAGCATATCATTTAAAGCAAATAATCTCAGCGCTGGGAATTGAGATGAAAGCATCCACGTCCTCTCCCCACTGCTTCCAACATTTTGAAATATTCTCCAACTCCTCAGAAGTAGCAAGCTCCGCCGCAAGAGCCGTAGTAGCAAAAGAAGACTTCAAAGACCGCTCCTGCCAAGTCTCACTCCACCACTCCACTTCATCCTTCTGCCCAAAGCACCAAGAACTAACACTATGTCTCTTATCCTCCAACCCAGCCTTTCTCGCCCACGAATGCAAGAAACGCCCAGCATTCGGCTCACCACCATTATTCCGTGCAACCTTATCATACAACGTTTGCCAATCTCTCAAGCCCTCAATCTCAGGAAACCACATAAACACACTGTAATCTGCTTCACGAGCAGCAACAATTCCGCCCTTCTTGGCGACACGTTTCATCTCCGTCAGCATTCCAACGGGATCAGCTACATGCTGTAAGACCTGATGGCAAAAGACAACATCGAAGCTGTCGTCCGAGTACGCAAGCCCGTTTCCATCTCCGACAACGAACTCAATGTTCTTGATTCCTCGCTCGTCTGCGAGAGCTTGTGCCTTTGGTAGAACATCGTCTACCCGCTCAAGACCTGTGACGTGGCCTTGTGGGACGTATGTTGCGAGGTCCACGGTGATTGTACCTGGTCCACAGCCGATGTCGAGAATCTTCATATCCGGCTTGAGATGCGGAAGAAGAAAACTTGCAGAGTTGAGGGCTGTCCGTGTGCTATGGGAGCGGAGGACTGATGCATGATGGCCATGGGTGTATGTAGCTTTTTCGGATGCGCCGGCCATATTTGGTTTCTTTTCTTTTTTTAATATTTGAGAAACAGATGGGTAAAAGTTGAGTACTGAAGGAATTTCAAAGTGGTTTGCGATCAAGAATATGTTTGTTGATATATTTGGGCCTTGTTGTGCTTCTTGCTGGTTTATATACCCTGCTGAACAGTTGGAGGAATGTACTTCGATGACCGATATCGGGGACATTCATTTGCGCATGACTCTGAATTGTATGGGAACCATATGGCCCGTATTATATACAGATGGTCTTATTGGCTACAGAGTATGTAGAAAATGACTGACATGACTCGATCTTCTTTTGACATCATTTGAGAGTTTGCTTTGGCCGAAATCGCGCTCAAAACATGTGTCGCTGTGAACTTGATTGACATCAAAGGCAACGGCAGCTGTTGTTATCTGATTTTCAAAAGTTCAAGTTTTTCCACAAATGTAGTACAATTTACAGCTTGGGTTCCAAGTTAGCAGGCGAGACAAATTCTCCGATTATTTGTTCTTCCAAAATGGAAATAACTTGAGGGAGTACTATAAAGGCTTCCACCTAATTCAACTGAGTATACTTCCATTGCACTGACACTGATCAGCCGACATCGGGGCAGGCGTCTCAATCAAATGGCCCCGCTTCTGATACGCCACAGAATCTGACCTTAACTCCGAGCTGGTCAAAGTGAATTAATCAATTATTAAAATTGTTCTTGAAATAAAGAAACTTGAAATCAAGAGTAACAAGGGAAAGGGGGGTTCATCTTTAAGTTTTCTCTTGACGGCCCCTCATAAAAACGTGCGATAACAGGGGGCTACGGCGCCCCATGAGTCCAGTCCGGACCCATGCGTCGCTCAATTGATTTATACTAGATTTCTTCGATATGATCTGATCTGATCTGGTTTGATTTAATTAATGGTGCCACTTGTAAAAGGCATAGTGCTGTAGTGCGTATACTCCGTACGGTGTAGTGTCTCTTGATTTTCCGGTATGTGCTTCGCTTCGCTCCGCAACAATGAATCCCTCTTGTTGGCCATCTATGTACTTAACAATCTAAAAAAACAACGGTTCATAGTTTTGTTCGACAATGACAAGGTATTTTACCATATGGAAGGCAAGTTCTCACCAGATAGACGAGCAAGTCTTTCCCGAGAAAACTGAAAACACTGGGGCAATCCAGTAGCATTCCAGTCATAGCCCAAAGCGAGCTTCACAACACCTGGGGCACTAGTGAACATGCGTGCCATTCCTAATATAATTAAGAGTCAAACAAAAGACATTTTGAACATAATATCAGGAAAGACTTACCGTGCCCATTGAATCCAGCACAAATATATTGACCAGGAAGAGACTCGATAGCTCCCACAAATGGGACAGAATCTGGTGTCATGGCAATGATCCCAGTCCAGGAATGATCTAAGCCTTCTCCTTTCACTGCGTGCTGAGATGAAAAGATTTGATGAAACTTATCCAATGCATCGTCTGCTATCTCTTGGTTGTAATGGCTATCATCGGTGCTGGATCGACTAGCTAATGTCTCAGCACTCAAAGTCGGATTGGATCTTGAAGCTCCTAAAACCATAGTACCGTTTCCTTGAATCTGTATCAAGGAGTAGAAGTGATAAAGACTATATCGCAACGAGTATGTATTGCGAAGAGTCTGTGCAGCTGCAAAAGCCGGAGTCGGGACTAAAGAGTGGGCCTGGGCACGGTTTGGTGTTATATAAGGTTCCAATTGAGGAAGCAGCAGTGCAGCATGAGCATTTGTGCAATGAATTATTTTCCCTGCTGTCACGGTGCCTCGAACGGTGTGCACATCCCATAAATGTGGTGCAGACTCGTTCTTCTTTAGTGCCGTAGCAGCACAGAACGTGTAGAGCTGAACACCCTTTTCGGTAACTGATTGTAGCAAGAAGTGGGTCAGTTTGGCTGGGTTAATGGAGCCCGCAGGCCACTCATATGCTGCGAGTGCATCTGGAATTCTGGTTTTCTCTTTGGCTTGATGCCCCTCATAATATTGAATATGGGAAGTATCGCCTCCAGCCTGTTTATAAGCTTGCAGGCATTCTTTCTCATACTCTGCGAACTCTTCCGTCATGCAAACCTCGAATGTGGTCGTAAAGTTGAAATCGCATTGCACATTATGATCATTTACAAAGTCCTTTATTTTGTGTAGAACAAGTCGCTCGTTGGATATAATGTCTAAAGCCTGCTGAGGACCATGGACCTTTGAATAGCCGCTGAACCCACGAAAGGCATCTGATTACGAGTTAGCCGGTGCACAAATAATCCATATAGATTATTCTTTTGAAGATAATCAGAGACGTATACCTGGGCGTACATGACCTGCATTCCGGGAGCTTGCCCCGCTAGCAGCTTCGCGTGCTTCTAAAATGATTATATCCTCTCCTTTGACACCAGCCTCCAGCAATTCAAACGCAGTCAGAGCACCTGAAATCCCTGACCCAATAATCACGTATGGTATTTGGGAAGGAACTGTGTTGTTTTTATTCGCAAAGAGGTATGGAAAGCCTCGAGTTGTCCGTTGCCAATAACTCAAACAAGGGGACTGCCGCGGCAGGGTATTGCTGGAACTGTCACTTCCCATTCTTTATGAGAACCATGAAACACGCACGCGCGCAAGTGGTTTTTTCTCATTGATTATCGGATGGCACGTAAATAAAAGACTCCAAGAAGATCGCCCTCGGAATGACTGATGCTCGTTATCAAGAAACGAGAACGCGGTGCGGGGAAAGGCTACTTTGAAGGGAAACCCACATCTTCGTAGCCTATGAGAAACACACGATAAACTAGATCCACTATGGATGTAATGCTGCCCCATCTGGATCTACACCGCGAAGATGAAATACGTTCAGTTGGAAGCTTGGAGGCCTCCTGTGGTACCTGTGACACGGAATGCACGAGCTTGTATCACGCGCTCGTCGCAGCTTCCCCTCAGATCTGCAGGGATCACTGTCCACTTAGAGACCAACCCACTTCCCATCACATCTTTATCTTCAAACGCATCCCCAGTCCCAGATCAAGTGACACGAAATTTGTTATTTCTCCTATCCAAGTTTATTGAATTATCGTCCCGGTCGCCATGGGGCTTCGGAGGCTCTTTCGCAGTCATGTGCCAGTAGAGAATCCGCAAGGGAGCAATGAGCGCTCTCCAGATGAAAGGGCTCTCGTCCGACGCCTGGATGCGTTTCTCTTAACATTTGGGTGTCTCTCCCAAGGTAGGTCAAATTGAAATTCGTCAAGACCTTGATGACCCCAATGGCGTCAAAGAACTAATAAGGCATAGTTATTAAATATCTTGATCAGCAGAATATCAACAATGCATATGTTTCGGGGATGAAAGAGGACCTCCATTTATATGGGAATGAGTTGAATCTGTGAGACTTGCTCAAATTGAAGCTTGGTTTTAGGGAATTGGCACTGATTTTCGCAAGGTTCACAACGTACTTCAACGCGGCATACTGCGTGATGCTGATTCCTTCACAAATCATCTTGACCTATGTTCGCCCGAGCTTATGGCTTCCTGGTTTGGAGATCCTCTGGGGCTTATTCACCGGTCTAATTGCGATGACGACAAGCGCTAAGCAGGTCTACGGACTTCGAGTCATTCTTGGCCTCTGCGAGAGCAGTTCTTGGCCCGGCATGATGACTTTACTGAGTAAGTCGAATGTAGTCTCTAACATGGTCGATCAACTCAGGACCATATTGACATTGAAATTTGCATAGTGTACTGGTACACGCCAACTGAACTTGCCAAGCGTATGGGCTTTTATCACTCATGTCAAGCCGTTGGACAGATGATGTCAGGTGCCATACAAGCAGCAATTACCAATACACTTGATGGGCACAATGGACTAGCAGGTTGGCGCTGGCTTTTTGTGATCAACGCTATTATCACGGTAGTGTGGGGATTTGCTGGATTCTTCATGATTCCAGACTTACCCAATCATCCAAATCCGCGAGCTTTCTGGTTTAACGAGACTCATGCTCGACTATCGCGAGAACGGTTGGCACGTCATGGTCGCGCTGAGCCAAAGAAAATGACCTGGGCTGGTGCCAAGCGAGCTTTCTCCAGCTGGGTGATATACTTCATCACAGTTCTTTACATTGCGAGTGTTCTAGGAACATATGGATATGTATATTTTTCACTGTTCCTAAAGTCACTGAAGAAACCAGATGGGACCCCAAGATGGACAGTGACACAAGTCAACACAATTCCAATTGGGGGCTCCGCCATCAACGTTGTTTTTGTCTGGATATGGGCTCTTCTATCCGACTTTTTGCGCACACGATGGACTCTCATCGTCTCCCAAGGTATTATTGGTATCATTCCATGCATCATTATGAGTATTTGGACTACTCATCCTGATTCTGTACCGATATCTGCTGCTTACGTATCTTATTTTGTTTCTTTCATTTGTCTGGGCACGGCTCCATTGATCTTCGCCTGGCTGGCTGATTTGATTCCGCAAGACCCTGAAGCCCGCACTCTCATTGTTGGCGTATCGGTTGCTGGGTACTATGCTATCTCTGCGTGGTCACAAGTACTGATATGGCCAGCTTCCCAAGCACCTTATTATAAGGTTGGTTGGCAGTCAGCGCTTGCACTTCTGGTTCTTTTGATTATCATGACGGGCGTGCTGCGTTTTATCGACGTTACTTATCTTCTGCCGGAGCGCGCTGCCTTTGACTCTGCAGAGGCTCAGGACATGGGGCGCGAAGAGGGCATTTTGGTACTACCCAGTGATGACGATGGCTATGGACAAGTGCCAGAAGGGGATAGAAAGCTCCCAGGGATCTCTTCCAGTGCCCAGGCGCTGAAATAAATCACTGATTGAGAACGTGTATATACCCCGCTTTGCATCTTGGTATTTGGATTCTTCAAAGGCGTCATGTCGGTTTGTGTTAGCGACTCTCTACGAATTGAATGCAGTTACAATAGACCTGAGACACGGGTTGAGATTAATTGCCTTTTTTTTATATTTCGTATCTTCTCAAATGGCCAAGTGTTGCAATATCAATAGTTCCACGTCTATTCGTTATTTTGAGGGGTACTCGAGAGCTGTTCGACCCATGAAGCAGCAATGGAGACCACCCAGTACCTAATAAAATGGCAAGTATGCGCACCAGCATACAAATCACCACGTTATCATCCGCCGTAATCCGACAATGCAGTAAGCCTCCAGTGGCTCAAGTGTGGAAGACCGTGTATGTAGAGGGAGTGTCGTCGTTACTGATCATCATCTAGTAACAATTAAAAGATTAGCATCCAAAATGCCAGAGGGTGGATGTACTTACATCGAAAGCCCCTTCTCTTGCGGAGACTTTTTAGCTCGTCATAATCAGAGGGCCTTTTATTTAAAATTTTTGCTTCATCCTGTACATCGTGGCTTCACATTAGGATTGGCGATCTTTGATATATAAAAACATTGGAAACTAGCTGAGCTTACCTGGCGAATATCCGTATGAAACTGACTTGAATATCCGACCTGGAAAAGCCTCCATATATAAATGAAGACAATGGAAAGTGAAATCAAAAAGAGGATGGGATAAATCCCGCAGATGCTTGAGTCTGAGCAAAATGACATATTCAGAGAAGACAGTGAACAACCATCCGTCTAATAGTGGATCCAAGAATGACCCGAACCTGAAACGACCATCTCTTTTATCCAAAGAGGGGTATTAAGTATTTATGACCCCCAGTCTGAGGCCCAGAACGCAGCTAAGAAAAGGACACATCACGTCTTCGCAGAAAGAAGTACGTCTACGCAGACAAAAAAACAATTCAGCCGGGAAGGTAGTGAAAATCCAATTCCAACCTGCATATCCCACCATCCGCTTCACGATGGAGACAGGAGTAACGAATACAAACTCAGCCTCGAAACAGTAATCTCCGAAGGGGTTTTACCGATAGATCAGCGAGGCCAAAGCAGATAATGCTGAAGTGGAGATTGGACAAGGGAAAGAAACCCGTTCAGACTTCGGTTCATCCAAGGCACTTATGCAGACTAGTGCAAGCCACTGATACCGTCTAGGCACGCATCAATTGTACGTGAGAATCATTCCAGGTTTGGTAAGAGATATGCAGCGTGGTAGTTCCCCGAAGCCCAGAACCCAGAGGATTGGGCCCGCGGGCCGATCCCGTTGGACCCGATGGGTTGGGTGTTGGGTTCCTCGAGCCAATGGGGGAACTCTTTTGGTGCCCCCGCTAGTGTCTCCGACGCTGCACAAGTGAAGTTTACATGTTCCGGTGTGTCGGCTCTCTGTTGTGCTTTCGAAAGTCATGCGGGCTAATCCCAGTTTTCATCCTTCGAGTCTGACCGCTACGACCTTTGGGATTTTCTGGTTTAGTATTGAGTGTGTCGATCTTGAGGCTGACTGTTTTACTTTGTGGAGTTTAGGATGAAGGGGTAGGAAAAAGAAATCACATGGCAAAGGAGTAACGGTGGTATTGGTTAAGAACCTGCCAGTTAAATAAATAAAATAGGAATCACTATTGCTATGATCCAAAAGCTTCTGACTCCCAGTATGCAAACATGCAGATTGTAGACTCCAAGCCTTAAGCATGACCTGATCCAACTCAGGTAAGAGTCTAATAAGCACACAAAACTCCATGCACGCTATCCATAAATGCTGGAAACGCCACATAATAAAACACAAGTCCCACGCCTTCCTTCCTTCACTTATTTAAGAATAGTCGAACGAAATAATTTTTATTCCCTTCCAGTAATCGCTTTTCTTCGAAGCACTCCCAACTCCTCAAGTTTGGTCCATGCCTGGCCCATGTCCGAGGACTCACCACCAAGTGTTGGACGAAGCTCCAAACCATCCAAAGTGTGAAGAGAGCCACTCGTTCCCGCATAGAGTAAAAGTTCCAACACACGTCGACGAAGTCGAGTCGCACGGTCCAAGTGATTGAGGTATTTATCATCCACATCTTGATCCGCAGCAGGGAGGGTAAATGGGTCATTGATGTCAATGTCTTTTTCCGGCTTCACGCCATCCTCCCAGGTGACTGCTTGAGTAACATGATCAATGTGATCAAGGTCAGCTAAAGCGTCCGAAAGGTCTTGACGGGTTCCTTGTCTTTGCGCGATGGCTTTCTCCTGTGCCTTTATCTTTTTAGGATCCACATTAGATCCATTTCCGGTGATGGCTGGAGGGTAAAAGCCAACAGTAAGAGGATTGCCACGGATATCGAGTTTGCGGAGGGAACATGCGCTACCCCGTCCTGTTCTGCCCAGTCGGCTCAAGATCTGACATATGCGTCGCATTCTAGCAAGCCGGTTGCCGACCATCATCAACCTTGCGAGGCAATTCATTCCCACCAGGGGCTCTAGCTCACTGAGAGAATTGAAATTCATATTCAACACCTTAAGGTTCGGGAAATGTGAAGCAAAAGTGCTAGGGAGAGAGGGGAGAGTGCATGCAGCGATATCAAGGAGTTGGAGTCGTAAAAGGGGAGATGACGGTGAGAGACATCGGGCTGTCAACGTGTTTGACGACAAAAAGACCTTCCGAATATCCTTCACAGATCCAAGGTCAAGGTCCAGAATACAGTCCGAGCCATTGTCTGCCAATTGGGTCTGTTCACGCACAGAAAGCACCTCAAGATTGTGGCAGTGCTCCAGGCCGGTAATGGTTGACAGACCATTGTTATCAGCATATAGCAGGCTCAGAGAGCTAAAGCAATTCATGTCCAATTCTTGCAGTCGATTCGCAGAGACGCGTAGCGCCCGTAGGCTGATAAGAGATGACGATGCCTCTAATTGAGAAATTTGGTTGGCACTAACATCAAGGGTGGCGAGGGAAGGTAACCAGTCAATGTTTAGCACAGAGGTTAGACAATTATGGCTCAGGTCAAGGTCTCGAAGTCGAGTTCTGAATATGTTAGCACGAGGAAACCACATGGGAGACTTGGTAAGGAACTCACAACTCTGATCTTTCAAAATCCACCATGGCCAACGAGTTATTACTCAGTTTGAGGCTTAGTAGGCCATTCAAGTCAAGGATGCCGTCTATATTGCGAATTTGATTGTCGTTTGCTTTTAGTTCCCTGAGATGAACCAAACCGGAAAACCCATCAAGCGATTCAATATCGTTTCCGGATATGTCTAGGTATTGCAAATTCGTCAAATGGCTCCATGGAGTCAGATTTGATAGACAATTCCTAGGAATCTTGAAGGTTCGGAGAGTTGTGGGAACACCACTGAGCTGTCCAATATCGTTATCGGAAACATCAAGATCCTCAAGACGAGGGCAGAAATCGCTGAGTTTGTGCAGCGTGATCAGTCCCTTTTCGCGCAAGACCAAACGGCGCACATGTTCCCAATAGGGTTCATATGGTTCAACATCTGTGATGTGCTTGATCAAGTCTTCAGTTGCAAGCGCAAATGTACCATGTACTTGTCTCAGCGAGGTGGGATTAGTGCGATTAGCCACATAACTCATGTCCAGATTTAACTGGTGATCTGGCTGGTTCACCGAAAATTCAGCCAATGGGCTCATGTGGAAACTGTAGCTATTGTCATGCTCGCCAGACTGTATGGGAACCAGTGATCTTTCGCCAGCGCCGAGGCCAGGGGTCTGCTGCATAGCCATAGATTCATGGGTACGAACAACGCCGAGATCTTCAGCCGCTTCTTCATTTCGTTCCTCAATTCGGGAGATAGGACGTCTGACAAATGGCTGACCCGCTACGGAGGCCTCACGCCGGGCGGTGGTATTATTAGAATGCAATTGATCATCGGACTTTGTGCCTTCTGGATAAGACGACTGTCTCAAATTTTCATCAGGAACACGGGCATGGTCGCTGTCAGTGTACAAAGGGTCTGGAGCAACAGGTGATGAAAATGATATGCTTGCATCTGGGCTCGGCTGGATTTGAGGCAGTTTTCTAGAGTCGACATCTTGCGTAGAAGAATTTTCCTCGGCGTTATTCTTAAGCTGCGGTTCCTCGGTGCTCCAGGAAGTTGCTCTGGTTCCGGAGTTTAACACACTTGAGCCCAAACGGGGGGCTCTAGATCGAGTGGAGCTGGCAGTGACTGAAGGCTCTCCATCTCGTGTCTGCGGACGACTCCCAGGCTTCTTTGGCGAGCCACTGGCAACACAAAGTGGGCCATCTGGATGGTTTTCTGTCCCATCCACTGACAGGCGCTTAGAGGGTGAAGCAAGGGCATTTACTCGCATCATTTCTTGTAACTCATCTACACTCAAGTCGGGGATATCTTGGAATGGGTCGTTGTCATCGTCGCGAGCCACCCGTGGAGCTGCTTTTGTCCCATCGTTTCTGATCCATAGATTTTTGAATCGGTCATAGGTAAACCCATTCACTTGCTCCGGAATCAAATGAGAAACCATATCGGAAGACAGCATTCCTTTCACTTGTGAGTTTTGGGACGAGCCAGTCGGAACGGAGTGTACACTAAAACCAGACATTTGAGTGTTGATCGTCATCAGATCTTGAGCAATGGTTTCAGCTATATCATCACCAGCAATGCTTGGCTTTCGTTTCCTCGTACCCGAAACCAGTCGTCGAGGTCCAGCCTCTGAACCAAGATCTCTCTCTGTTTTATTGAGTGATCCGATTGATCCACCGGTAGCGAAATCGCCATCCTCTCTTTCTTGATATTGTTTCAAGTAATTGAGAATTTGGGGGTTTAACTCCTTAGGTTCCCTCGTCCTACGAAGATCCGTGTTTGTGCCATCTCGACTCGGAGGACGAGAAAATGCCTCCCGTGTGGATTCGTCATCGTAACTCCCGTCTTCGGCTTCGCTGTCTCCATCGGATTCCTGCAGACTTGTCATGGGCACGGTACGACCCTTGGCTCGAATCACCTCCATGATCTTCGTCGCCTCGTTCAGATAGTCCTGGGTAGTGATAGATCCCTTGCGCGACGAATCACTGGTTCCTGTAATCTTGACTAATGGTATATGGAGATCACCCTCGATAGAAAATGAATCAGAGTAATCAAGATTCTCAAAATTAGACTCAGAATATTGCCTGCTGGATAAAATCTTTGGTTCGTGCCTTGACCGTATCTGGCTAGGTGTCGGGGTCCTGGGCCGCTGCATAGACTGGGAAAGGCCAGGAGGGGCAAGATATTCTCCGCTTTCAAGCTGTACACCATGTTGCATCAAGCTTCTTTGAAGCAATGACATACTGTCGCCAAAATTTGGGGCGTGTTCACCATTCTTATAAGGGCGTTCAGGCTCTGCACCGTCATTTCGCAGAATGGTTCTTCGGCGTTTGGGAACTGGATCTGCAGCTGCAGCTTTGGGCACTCTTTTGGTTTCGGAAAAGGCGAAGTTTTCTATCTGATTCACACGCGCGGACCCTTTGGTGTCTTTCAGGTGGTCAAAGTAACTTTGCCGAGTCCAGGCTGAAGGTTTTCGAGTAAAGCCAGAGCTTGCTGATCTGGCGTATCGCAACGAATCTTGCTGCGAGCTTCGACAAAGATATTGCTGGCGATTCGATGAAAGTCTGCGGGAAGTAGGTCGGGAAAGCGGCTTCGGCTCATCGTACTTAATCTTATGCTCATATGGGCTAGTGTCTGAAAAGTCGAATTTGTCTAATTCACCATCACCAAATCGTGTCAACCGCTGCTGTATGATATTTCGAGAGGGGCCACGATCATGTCGCCGAGGCGAAATCTCGCACAATGGCTCATGCCGCACACTCAGCAGACTACGGCTCTCGCCTTTGCGCCGTGCCTCTTCTGATGGTGATGGCGGCTCTTCTTCATCCGAGCCAGACTGATCTCCGAATGTTTCTTCGAATTGACTCATCCTCCGTAGAAGTCTGTTGTTCGTGAAGGTATCATGCTCCCCAAATAGTTTCAGTGGGCTTCCTGACGACGGCATTGTTCCTTGTTTCGACTCTGCATCTCCAGAAGTTGATGGGCGAACGTGGGAAGAAGAGGGACGAGGCAATATTGGAGAACCGTTGGTCTGTGAGCGGTTGAACAGAGGGGAACTGCGAGTTTTGGCGTTGGCAAGGGTTGCGGGAGAGAGGCGATGAGAGGGAAAGGGCGAAGGTGAAAACTGAGGGTGGAAGGGACGGTGGGTTTTGCGACGACTGAAGTCCAATGTGCCCATCGACAAATCTTGCGGCAAGGAGTGACTGGTCACATCAAGCAGACTGTCCTCATGCGGTGAGCCATCGGGCCGGGGTTCGCTATGGTTATAGAAGAGCAAGCTGTCACTAGCTGGTGAGTCTGGGCGACTAGTGTCCATTGACAGGCTTTCCAGCTTATTGGTAACTTGTTTTAATGCCGACTTGATCACCTCGGACGTGGCATGGCCCTCCAGCGTATTGTTTCGGGTAAATGTAATCGGTGTGATTCCCTCATTGCGAAGGTCCTCCAATCCACTGGCAGTCCTAATGCCGGTATCCTCTCTCTGCGACAATTCCGACCGGTCGATGAAGTTACTCTGCTTGTCGGCCCAAGGTGCTCGGTGATTGACTGTCCCAAATGGCGATTCTATGCCAGTACCCGAGTGGTCACCTTCGACGCGTTCAGAAAAATCCTCATATTCAGGACCATCGTCCCTTGTGCTCTCTTGTTTAGACCCCGCGTCTGTAAAATCCCACAGCTGCTCATCTTGCCTCGTGAACGGAATTGACTCTTGTTGGGCGCTTCCAGAGCTGGGCGTGGGGGGCTTAAATACACTCTCTAGTCCGATCGGCGCAAACAGATCGCGTTGGTCGCCTACTGAAATCTCCCCGCGTACCAGTCGTTTCCGCCATTCAGGCGTGGCGCCCCGTTCATTCTGATCTTTCTTTGGTTTTATTTGGACAGTATCGGAAGTTTCATAGTCTGATTGGGTGGATACATTGGAGACTGCTCGTAACGGAGATCGCGTCTCCATGGCTGAGGGTGGTTTCCCAGCGGGCCCGGGCGTGGGCTTCGCCCCGGTCTTGGTAGATTTGTTGGATTTTGGAGTTGGCTTTGGCTTTGGACTCCGAGGGCTCTTTGCGCGAGATGCGGATGGGACGGGCGACCGTAGTTTCGAGGGTGTTTTGGGGGTTCGCGGGGTTTTCGGAGTAGGAGGTTCACGTTTAACGAAATGACACGGCCTGGTCACCTTTCCACATTGATGATGTTGATGTCGCTTGTCGTTGGCCGGGGAGGGTTGTTCCACAGATCGGCGTGCAGCAGGCACAGGAATGCGACTGGGGGAATTCTGCACGCTACCTCGCCGTGGAGAAGATAAGATGGATTTGGAGGCAGATTTAGGAGCTGGGCCGGGGGTGGTAGGGGTGGGAGGTACCGATTCCCAGTCGTCTGACAGACTGTCCAGCCATGGTTGGTTGCTCATTTTCAATTCAAATCGGTTTGTTATGATCTGACGGCTGAGGCGCGCGTCACTGCCGGTTCGCGCTCCGGTGTAAACCTTGGAACAGAAGGAATGAAACACAAGAAGCCTCCCATGGAGACGTGCGGTTGAAGGTAATCAAACCAATTTTTTTTCTCCCTCTCTCTTAGCTCTGAGATGAACAGTTTGGGGATTTGCGGAGATGCGGTGTTGGTCCAAGCAGACAGCTCCACTTGAGCTCCTTGTTTATCTGGCGACGCTTGCCAGTGCGCGCACCATCAAATCCCAGCCCGTGAGGAGCAGGGGTGTATAGTAGTTATCAGCTTAATGTTCGAGTCCTCGAGTCCTTTTCAAAATCATTGGCCTAGTTTGGCTACTGTATTATTAAACTCCAACCAAACTCCCCACTAACAACCAATAGTGCCGATGTGTTGGCCTGGTCCCACTCTCGACTCCTGATGGCCGCCCGATTCCCTTGACCGATATTTGACAACTCTACTACTATGTCCAAGATTTTGGGGTCAGCACTTTGTTGGAGATTTACATTGGTTCATCGTTAGTAGTATGTATGTACTTGGCAATTTGGTAATTTCTCGGGATTTCAATTATATAAATAGTTTCTTAAAATTGAAGAAATTCCAAGGTTTGCCTGACAGCCTCGGATATATATATTGATCTTGATCTTGAATATGAACTCATTGAATTGTGGATGCGTAAATGGTTTGTTACATTGGAATATGACACATGAAAAGGGTAGAGTATGTCCACCAGAGTCAGACGCTTATTAAATCAGCAATTTTTCAAAGGAGTATTTTCCAGCCTCCTTACGACGCAGGTAGCTAATCTCACGATCGCTGCGAACCTTCGCCTCTCCCGTTGACTTCTTCACCTTGGTGCGAGTCACATCTGTGGAGGCAGCCTTCATTGACAATGGCAGCATTTTGCCGCTGGCCTCAGCATCAACACCATCCTCGCCTTCGCCGGGGCGGGAATAAACCAACAAATCAGCGCCATTGAGCTTCTCATGACGTATAAGATGGGATGGCTTATCGACTGGCTCCTCTTCAACCTTGGCAACTACATTGCCGGCTGTGTTTGAGGCCACAACTTGGTCGGCGAAGCGCAGGTACTCACGAAGAATTCCCTTCAGATAGGTTGCCTCTTCGATACCTCCCAAGGTGGCAGAAACCTCAGCACGCATATCGGCAATTAGATCCATTTCCCGGGTGGCCGCAGCAATGGTGGAGGCGGTCTCATCATCAAGATCATTTACATTTGGAAGAGCAGAGATCCAGCCAGAAGGACCAACAGCATCAACAGCGGAAGTAAGCAGATCGGTGATTGTCTTGAGAGAGAGGGAAGGTGTAACCATGTCAATTGTAATAGGGGTAGGGGGGTTTTCGGAGAATCGAGACATGTAACCACCAGTAGCAAGAGAAAGGCGGAGGTGGTGAATCATGGAGATGAGCTCCTGGCGCGCTAAATTAGATCGAAGAGATTTTGTGACAGATGAAAGAGGGTGGAGGTGGATTTTGTGGAGCGAAGTGTTCAACCCCTTGAAGATTGCCTTTACAGTAGCTGTTTCGCTCCCCAAGTGACGGGAGAGTTCTTCAGTAGGGGTAGCGATATCACCATTGGTGATTGCTCGGGCAGTCTCTTCAAGTGCACCGGAACGGTCACGCGCCTGGGCAAGGAAGTATTTCAAGGCGTATGACAGCTCGTTGACAGTAAAAGCTGAAGAACCACCAAGCACGTGGTTAACACGTTTCATCGATGGGTCGGAATCTATAAGGGCCTGGGTGAAGGTTCCGGTTGGCAGCGGTTGGATAATATGGGGCTTTGAAGCTCGTCGGAGCGCAATTTCGACATTATCAGGAGACAGGTGACCAAGGTTAATCAACCAAGCACAAGTAATGCGAGGCCAGAGAGCAATGCGCAGATGGAACGACGAAGACGCTGTCATATCTGTTTTTGATTCTGAATTCTCGGCAATGAAAATTTTAGAGAGCAGGAACAGAGTTGTTTCCGGGTCAACATATTCTCCTGGAGTAGGCAGGGTTGTTGGGGAATCAAGAGGACAGAAGTAAGTCTGCACAGCTCGGTCGAAAGCATCAGCATCCTTAGATTCCATGGCTAGGCTGATCGTTTCTGTCAATTTGTTCCATTTCTCGATTTTCTCTGGAGAATTGAGGTGTGATGCGATCATGCTGTCGGAGCGGTGTTTCTTGGATGCCACATCCCACTGACCGGCCGATGCACCGATACCACGCCCAATGGCATCGATAAGAAGACCATCGCGTGAACGCTTGAGAGAAGGCCCGGAATGGCTATGCAGAGATGTTAAATCAAAAGCGATAAGCGCATTTCCTTTCGTTCCCACAGCGATTCCAAGCTTTGCGAAGTAACTTATAAATGAAATTGGCGCACCCGAGTCTGTAGTTGGTAGGATTTCTCTCAAAGCGATGCTTCTTTGCACGGACTGGTACTGAGTATCGTATACCGCGACCAACGAGTCGGTGGCACCAATGATGCACTGAGGAGAGACACGCATCACAGAAGAAAAGTTACCATCTAGAGTGAATTGCGAGGTGACAGATGGTGCATATTGCGACATATCGATGCTGAAGAACCCCTTGTCGAAAGAAAGTTGTAAGCCAGCCGATCCAGGGTGAAAGTTCCATTGCAGGCCGTTGCTGTTGATTTTGTTGAATCCACTTGGTCCTGGTACTCGAATGGTTTGAAGGTGATGAAGGCGTTGGCTCTCCTCCTGCGCTCCAGAGCTAGTAGGCACCGAGAAAACTTGAATGTTCACATCTTCAAGTGCAAAAGAAACGGCATCCTTGGGGTGCGAAATCATGAGTAAGATAGATGGCTCAGTCGCTGCATCAGTCATTTGGTCTCCTAGCGCAAGTGCAGCCAGATCCTGGCGCCTCTTGAACAATGCCTTTCGTGCATCCTCGATATCGATCAAAAAGCACGTTTGGACAGTGTGAGTTGAAGAAGTCTTCGAAATTTCGCTGTGCTGGATACTCCACCGTTGCGTTTTCAAATCAGCCGATAATCTGCGAATACGACCGTCTCCATGAACTGTAACAACATCAAAGGAGTCTTTCTCATCTTCGTCGTCATGGCCTGTAGGAAGAATGCCAATGAATGCCGTTGGACTGCGCGAGTCGGTGATAGTAGTTGTTGAGGAAGAGATTGCCGGTGCACTAGAACCATTGCTGATCTCCTCAACAAAGCATTTGAGCTGTTGTTCAGGCTTCGTTGCTGCGACATATGTCTGTCTCTTTACTAAAGACTTCTTGGATATCTTTCGACGGACGGAACAAGGGCGACAAGAGAAAATTGACTGCGGCGGAACGGCGTACGAGGTGACAAGTTTGGGTGTTTGTACCTAGAAAGAGGTGACATGATTTAGCAAATACGCATCTCAGGAAGATAGAAGGATTTTCCCCCATACATTGTAGATGTTAATAGCTTCACCATCCACAGCAACGCCAACTTCATAGCGTTTGCGCTTTTTGGCATCGGCCAGACTGTAGACATCGCCGATACGAGTTTTGCCAGTGGAGGCATGAAGCGGGCGCGGCAATTGCGCCAAGATAGATGGGGATTGCAAGTCCATCTTGAGAATCTGAATTACACGAGAGGTACAAACTCCATAAACTCCAGACCTCTCAAGTCCTGTGCAATTGAATCTTTACAAGTCCCAACGAGGAAATCAGAAAAAAATTCGGACTTACAACGGCCCGGGCCCACCAAGGCTAAGCCGAATTGAGACTAGCTCGGAGTGAGATAATCATGATGAGATAATCACCGACGCGAGATGGTAGTTAACTAACTAAAGCGCGTCGACCGTGTTAAGTGATAACCTGCGATAACGAACCGAAGAGGTTTTGATCTTGTTGCTTGCATTTAGCCAATTGTACCCTCTTCGGTCGCATCTTTCTCTTGAATCACACCTGCTACCTCTCCTGTATCTTTTCCTTTACTTTCTATAATTATCCTCCATCCTCAATGTGTACCTGAACATCCCACATGGATACTGTCGTATCGAATCTACCGCCAGGTATGGGACAGGGCGAGCGGCAGACAGTTCACCCATTCTTCCACCAAGGTAATTGTCATCGACACTCACTCAGTATCAGAACTGCGTCACCTAACTGCTTCGACATTATAGTTCCACCGAACTATGTCGAGCCCAATACGTCTCATACCCCTTCTGCAACGACCACCAATTCTTGCAGCTTTATTCCGTCCCAAAGTGAGCAAACGAAAACCCAGAAAGAGCCTCATATTCAATTCGAAAATATGTCGAGAGACTCAAAGATGCAAGAGCCTTCTGCTTTAAATCCAGAAGAGGATCCCAATGCCAGCCGGAGGAAACGACGGAAAATCGACAAGACCAAAAAAGTGGAACATGAAGCCTCTCTCAGGGCTGGCATGTCAGGATGGCTAGGGCAAGAGATTGCTGCACCAGTGGAAGACTCTGGTCTCAATACTACAACGGAGACATTGGGGAGCCAGACACCGCTCGTACAAGAAATCGCCCAACCTACCCCCGAGGAGAACAAGTCAACTTCCACACCGTCAGCAAATCCAACAGAGCCATTTGATCCCGATCGGAAAGTGCTCAAGGTGAATTCCAATGGCAAATTACTCGGCTCGCCCCCAAAGACCTTCCCTGGAATATCTGACCAAAACAAATCGTCTGGTAACCGCAGACGACGTCAGAAAGTCAAAAGTCGAGTTGTCTCCATACAGTACACGTCGGACGAAGAAGGAAAGACTGGGAAGTTGATCGATGATATCTTAAACGGAAAGCTAGTCTATAATACCTCTCGTGATGCGCCTATACCGGCCAAGGACCCAAAGCTCCCTTCAAAACGCGGCGCAAACAAGCCGTCGAAGCCGACACATCCATTCTTTGCGAAGAAACCGCCGACAAAACCTCAAGCAGAAGCTGGGGCAGCAATTGCATCGCCCAACCAAACAGCCGGCACCAGCAATTCAGCCATTCCAGATCGCCCCTCGTCTTCTCCGTTTGGGCGACCCAAGAACAAATTCCCAGAGCTTGCTCACGCATTGTGGCCACCACGAGATTTTCACGCTGAATGTCATGATTTCAAACAAAATTTGTCAACTCGTACCCCCATTCAGTATCACTCGGATCGCAAAAAATCCAAAGTACCGGCTATTAGAGTTGGCGACGACGAAAACGTCTTTCTCAAAGGCACTTCCTTAGCTCGGACAGCTGCCAAAAGCGATATGACCAACGATTGCAATATTCGACCTACTTTGCGGGTCCCAGTGCGAGAAACAGTTAGTGGGAGAGTTTTGCAAAGAGCAGTTGATGCGCAATTATCTTGGGCTTTCTCCAACCAGCCTTCTGCGGTTTCTCTCCACCCTTCAATTTCCAAACTTCGATCAACATTGCACAGCTCCCTCTCAGCATTTGATCGTGGAAAATACGAGTCTCAACTATGGACCCACAAATATTCCCCAAAATTAGCGGAAGAAGTCCTACAGGTTGGACGCGAGACACAAATCCTACGAGATTGGCTTCAACACCTCGAAATTACAGCAGTTGATACCGGAAAACAAGCAGACGAGAACAAGAAAGCGAAGCATAAGCACCAAAAGAAAAAGAAAAATCGAAATAAGGCCGATAAAATGGACGACTTCATTGTTTCCAGCGGAGAAGAGGCATCCGAGATGGACAATCTGTCTGGCTCCGATGATGAACTTGCTGGTGGTGTTACGGTCTCTACTCAGCGGACTGTAGTGCGGTCTGGAGACCCAGGCGCTTTCTCTCAGTCTGACTTAGCTAAAGCTCCTCTTGCCAACGCCATCCTTCTGAGCGGCCCATCTGGCTGTGGTAAAACCGCCTCGGTGTATGCGGTCGCCAAAGAGCTTGACTACGAGGTATTCGAGATCAACCCTGGTAGTCGCAGGAACGCCAGAGATATGCTTGAAAAGGTTGGAGACATGACTCAAAATCATTTGGTTCATTTGTTGAACGAATCTGAAGACTTGTCTTCGAAAAACCGCGAGCCTATTCAGATAGATGATTCTAAGCAAAACAACCTGATGGGTTTCTTCAAAAACCAACCATCAAAGAAAACAAATGCACCTCCTGCGGCAGACCCTACCAACCAAGAATCTGAGACTGATTCGAAACGTCCTAGAGAGCAGAAACAATCTCTGATTCTTCTCGAAGAAGCCGACATTCTCTTTGAGGAAGACAAGAGCTTTTGGACAGGCGTTTTAACCCTCATTAGTCAATCTCGTCGTCCTATAGTGATAACTTGCAACGACGAGAGTCTTGTCCCCACTCAGGACATGTCACTACATGCCAAATTACGCTACCAAAGGCCGCCGCCTGATTTTGCCATCGACTACCTACTTCTTGTAGCTGCTAATGAGGGGCATCTCCTGAAAAGAGATGCCATGAATAACCTTTACAATGGATCAGGCCATGACATTCGACGATCTCTCATCGAACTGAACTTCTGGTGTCAGATGGGTGTTGGCAGTGAGAAAGCAGGGCTAGACTGGATTCTTCCCTTATGGCCGCCCCAGGCTAACGTGGATGAGAATGGTGATCGACTTCGAGTGCTCAGTCTCAATACTTACCAGCCTTATATGGGATGGCTGAATCGAGATCTCTTTCTCACTGAATCCTCTTTAGAGAGTGAGATAGAAGCGTCGCGAAACACACTTCATTGGTGGCGATTGGGCCTCCAAGAGCTAGAAGATGCGAGTGTCCCCGATTACTATGATAGCCTCCCTGCGGATCAACTTGACTCAGAGAACAGGCTTGAACAGCTCAATCTATTGACCCATCAAGCGGAATTCTTGGACAGCCGGAGCGCGCTTGATATTCTCTCCTCGGGGTATACATTGGACAAAGCCAATGTAAGTTCAACATGCATTTTGCCATTATAAAACGTCAGCTAACCCTTAACTAGGACGCTCTTGATACCGATATTCCACCAATGCTGGAATCTCACCGATCAAACTACGTGGACGCTCACCCGCTCCTGCAATCCGACTTACGTCCCGAATATTCCTCGCTCGGAGAGGACATCAGCTTAACATTAACCGCGATGCATTCTCGTCGGTTCCGCTCACCTGTCCAAAACACCGAGTCTTCATATACAGCCCGAATAATGAATGGCTGGGCCAAATCTGGCATGCGTCGCCAGATCTACCCATCCACCAAACCTGGTTACCAGAAAGTCTTTGGCCCAATTATGCGAGCCCGACACTGGACCTCTACCGGGCGCCTTGCACCATCATTTGAAGGCTGCCTCGCTCCAATTACCGAAGAGCTTGCGCCGTACATTCGTGCAATCATGGCCTTTGACGGCCGCCTAAAGGTATATCGTGACACTTTGTACACAGCCTGGGTACAGGAGCAGGGAACTGGAGAGAAGCGTGCGCGCACAACTCGCGCCAGCAGAGCTGCCCTCGAGGGAAGTGATAAGGCTTTCACGCGGCGAGAAAGATGGTTTCCTGAAGAAACCAACTATTTTCTCGTCCAGGCTACCGGCATGCCTGAATGGCAGGACTCCTTGATTCGGATGGGGCATTTCAACGTTCAGCCTACAATACCATCTACTAGCAGTGATATAGAGATGGGGGAGTCCCAGTAGCAGATTTTCTCTCCATTTGATTTTAGCGATAATATTCAACGATCTAAATAATGACAAGCTGATACGAAACCACTTCAATCCAAAGCATATCCATCATTGAAGCCATCTAAATTGGATCAGCCATCCTAGGTAGCAAAGTAATTATCTCACGAGAAAGGTAAATAGGTATAGGCTGAGGCCATGTTGGGATAGGAAAGGAACGAAGAAAACTTGAAGGAGGAACGTGTGTAAGGTAGTATCTATCTTAATAAGTTTCGCTTGAAATTTCAGAAGCAGATAGGTGCTACCTGCTAGGTATCAATCGCAATATAGATTCATATGCGTAGGGCAAGCTCAATTTTGATAAGATGTATTCCTCTCCTGGGCTCTCGATAGCCTTATGCCAAATGGACATGGAATTACCCTACCTCCCCACCAACTGACTGCATAATACTTTCCATGTCCAATTGATCCGCCAGGTCAAGCAATTCTTGCGGTGGAAGGCTCACTGACTGATGCAGGCCCAACAAATCCCACTCAAATTCGTCATCCACATCTACCTGCTCAGCAGCATAAGACTCTTCATGGGCATCTACCTCTGTGTTCATCAAAACGGGAGGCAAGTTATCATTTGCAGGCTTCGGAGTTAATGGTGCAAGAATTTGCTCCAATTGACTGAGTTCTCGTCTTCGTAGGGGTGCTGCCACACTACCCTTGCAAATCAATTTATCTAGAACACACTCCAGGTGATCACACCATGTGCTATCTGGAATCAAGGAGGGGGCGATTGCGCGTATCAGATAGAGAACAAAAGCAGACGAAGACGCATCTTCAACTTGGAAGGGTAGAAATGCATCTAGAAGAAATCGTTGTAAGCTTCGAGTATACTAGTAATGTATCGTAAATATCATGCATGTCGAAAGGGATCCATACCCATTAAATCATCATCAGCTAAAGTTTGGAGAGTTTGTAGAATAGTCTGAGCCGAATCTGCACAGCACTGCAAAAGTGATGCTACGGGGGACGCGAGTGATATTGTTTGAGATGACTGTCTCTCCTCGGCTCGCTCGATGTGCATATGCAAGGCACACATAACTAGAGGCCTGGTTGCGAGAACAATGCACTTTATAAAATTTAGTTTCCAGGACTGTAAAGTATTTGTATATCACGATGTACTCACATGATGATGCGCGAGCATGAGTCGAATAGCCATCTTTGATGCCCGACTTATAAGGCCATGAAAATGTTCATTTAGAAAGGCAGTCAGATCGTGCGAGAGCTCGGCAATCTCGTGAAGGATTGATTGCGTATTTCGAATGAGTGACCCATTGAATTCATCACCGACACCATACACAGCTGGTTATCCATGGACTTTAGCTATTGTGACACGGAGAGGGAAAATCAGAATCGTCGTAACTTACTTGTCAGGATTTGAGCCATTAATCGAGAAAGACGGACATGCAGCGTAAGATTGACGTGCTCTACAGAGCTCTCTACTTCCGCCGGCAACCGGACTGTAATATCTTCATCTCTGATGGAACTAGGTGCCCCTATTAGTGCGGAGAATTCTCGATCTAGCATGTAAACCACCCAGAAAATTGTTCTGCACCGCCGAGAAAGCTCGGGCCCACCAAGATCTTCCGGGACATGTCTGTGAATTCCCTCAATAATACATCCACGTAAAGCATGCCCAATCTTGAAAAGTTTCAAATTAGCGTATAACCGATGTAAGGCTTAAAATGTCCAGCACAGACTCACATGTTGAAATGCAGCTCGTCTCATGTCAATTGACTGTAGATACACCGCACCCAGACTCAAAGCCTGAATACAAGTCAATGGATCTCTATGCATTCCCGATAAGTCAGGCAATAGAGCCATTGCCCTTGCAGCATATTGATGTCCTGGTGGCGTACCCGAAGAACCTTTCTGAGAGAGGAATGCTTTTCCAAAAGCGAGAACAAGAAGATACTGCGCATACCAATACCTCGATCCCGTCGCCTTCTCGGCGGGATCTTCATAAAACTCATAGAGATCTCGAAGATATGATTCTTCGTCAATCATAAATGATAGGAAGCCGAAATAGAATTTGACCGTATTGAAGAGGAAGAGCGCGTAATCAAGCGGAGGTAGATTTGAAACATCAGGAATCTCATCAGGAGATGCTGGGCGCCATTGCAGCTTGAAAGCCATTCCATCTAAATGCCAAGGATCTGGAGGACAATTGGACTCAGGAACTCGACGGCCAATGAGGGCTAGAACTCGCCGACAAAATGACCATGATGATGTTGGGCCCATGTACCCTGAAGAATTAGGTGAGTATACTTATAAAATCTGGCTAGGGTCACTCACAAAATCGACCATCTGGCGTTCTTGCAAACTGTGGATTGTTATCCACTAGAGGGTTTCTAGAGAAACGGGATCGATGGCCATCTTGCTCCACATCAGGGTCGCCTTCAAGACTTCTTGCTGACAAGGTATTTGTCGAACGAAGAGTAGCATCCATAGCTATACGTTTATCTAGTGAGCTGACTTGTAGTTCTGTGAGAGATCAACGACACACATTGAGTAAATCCCTTCCATCGCTGCTCCTCTAAGAGAAAGGTCTGGGTTGGTGGCGACAGATCACTGACATCTCTACGATCGTAGGAAGGCTGTCTCGCTGCATCTGAAGGAGCTAATCCATTATTTCTTGTTGATATTTGCTCCTCTAGATGCCGAAGATACCTGAATTGAAAAATCAGGCGATCATCAATTGATGCTCGTCAATTTCATTCGCAGGGGAACATACCGCTCCGAAACCGAGATACGCACATCCTCAGCAGGGAAGTGACAGTGCAGCTTTTTACGGGCACATCGAGTGCAAGGTTCAGAGCCGGAACATTTTACTTTCATACCACGGCATCGTGTACATCTAGAACTAGTTTAGCGACTCATCTAAGATTGTTTCACTGACACATAACGGCGACTTACGCTTTTTGGCATTTCTTCGCCTTCAATCCACGAGCTGTAACAGGCATTTCGGTTTCAAGGACCGAAATTGAGAATATACCAACGTACGAATGATATCCGATCTTCTCCCCCGATATCAATGAACTAGGACTTGCGGGGTAGTTCAGAAAGTAATGTCGGGATGGCCACCCGACGTGGAAGATTCTCTTATCATGCATGCTCACCCCCGCAGGGCGCGATAAGGGTTGTGGAGCAGATGGGAGAACATGATGTAATTAAATTGGGTCAAGTTGGAGTTGTCCAGTATATGGATATCTTACTATTTTCGACCATACAATTGGGTTAGGAAGGAGTTTCCCCATTTGATAGATTCACAATCATTTCGGGAGATTACCTAGTTAATAGTACTAGTAGCTTCAAGTATCGGATACAGTGAACAAAATTGTATACCAATATTCTACTACATCTTCAATAGCATAGATCGATATCATCCTATCATAAATCATTTTTCTTCTTCATAATTCTAACGCTTAACCTATAATTCTTCGCCATAGCTCCTGGCGCAATGCATTCACCATATGTTGTGTGCGTTCGACAGCACCCTTATTCTCAATCGCCCGACGGTGAAGATACTGCATACATTCCGCAACCGAACCCCAAGCCATACACTTGAAGGCCTTCGGAACGGATATATTGGTAGCAGATGAACTCTCCATGGCTCTTTCGTAATTATGCACTAATTCACAGCTCAACTCATCCGCCATCCCTTGAATCTGTCCACATTCCATCAGAACAGTAGGCTTGTGTGCAAGAAGTCGATCTTGGTGGGTGGCGATTGCCTTTGCGGCACTCGGGGCATTGTGCGTCGCAAGAAATAGTGCAGCATTGGGAAACTTCAACTGCTTAAGATCCTCTGGCATTCTTCGACATAACATTGTATCAGCGATCAAGTCGTAGGACTGATCCGTCTCTTCCTTGGTATCATGGATGAGAGAGCGAGTTTCATGTTCGATGTAGGCCCCACGGACCAGTTTGATCCCCAAAGACCATTCTTCCTGTGCAGCCAGTCTGATGTGGTTGTCCAGATTTGCCTTTGACGCTTTGAGATACCCTTGAATAGTATTGTAGACCAAAGGAGTATCAGTCTTATTATGTCTCCGCATAATCTCAATTGCCCAGTTATCCAACCCAGTCTGAAGGACTTGCTGTTCAGCATCTAGCCAGAGGCGAGAGCCTTGTTGCTTTGTCATGGAACAAATTTCGTCCATCGCTTTGACAAGTACATCCGGCATTGGTCGTTTTGCTATCATGGCATCAACAGAGATGGGCCCAGCACCGGTAAGTCTAAACAAACATATTAGATCTTATATTAACTTGAAGGCCGACTGCACTTACTTCACAGCAAGTAAATCCCCAGGTCCCACCATTCGAAGCGTTTCCAGTGTACCCTGTTTCCACTCCTCTACCGTCTCGTAGCACTTATCGCTGTATGTGCTAGCACCCGATCCATCATGAGTCAACTTCTCGTTCGGATCAAGAACAATCTCTCTTGAGTATCCCAAGATCACACCCTGATATCCCATTCCCTTTATCTGCGCCACGGTCTTTGAGACTTCCTGTCGATTCGTTCCCGCGCAGAAATGGTTATAAACAGTCCATCGAAGAAGCCTGTTCAGAATTGGGTTTCGGTCGGCGTTCAGTAAAGGAGAGGACGAGGTACTGAGAACATTGAGCAGTGCTAGCGCAGGTTTCAAGAAGACCTTTGAGGTCATCAAAGATGTCAAGATCAAAGATCGCAGTAGAACTTTTGTGGGCAGTCTTCTCATTGATGAGACTTCGATGGGCGCCTTGACAGGGCCTGGGGCGATGGCGACATCATGGTATCCTTGCTTAGTCGAGTGGTGTCGCCGTGGAGTTCTTTTTGGTAAGGAAGCTGAGGCAAGGCGGGGGATGAAAGTCCGGGGAAACAGAGTGTTCGAATAAATCATCTTGGAAGCCATCTTTAGCAGGGAGAATGCTTGAAGAGCCACTCGTTCTCAATTTATTCCAAGGGTCACTTGACGCTCTTATCTGTCTTCCCTAGCTCAATATCATACCTCTCGGAAATGCCTCTCAGTGCCACCCGTTCATTCATTCGTTGATATCGGCCGATGCGTTGTCTAGTGATCAGCCGACTATGATCGGGGCTCTCCTCCGACGAGAAGGAGGGGTTGGGTTACCCTTGCTAGGGAACAAACTTATCAAGGCGGGGGTTTATGTTACAAATGGATCCATAGTTGGAGAAATTAAATCCCACTCAGATAGAGACCAGCCCTGTCTGTCTGGACCCGAACCGCAAAGATAACCCATAACCATCATCTGGCTTTGTGGCATCTCTCGTGTAACATCTTTCTTGCCCTACCACCCATATCTGAAAATATCCTGGCGCCACAACGATCCAATGTGGCTCATCTGGCATATTAGTGTCGAAATTTTAGAAAAGTAAACAATGCTAGATGTATGAAACTACCTTGAACCGTACGGCTTCTAGAGCTCAAAGTAACGAGCCACTACGTTTTTTATGTAGCAAATGAACATAGGAAATATCTATTCTACGCTGACTCTTTAGGTAGGCTTTTTCCCTAGTGGAATTCCGCAACACTATAGTCTTTATGGCTCAGAAATCTGGAAGTTCATATAAATCATTTCAGCTACCTAATATCGAATCTCCTGTTTACAGCAGGAGCCCACTGAGCCGTTTATTAAACTTCATTCGATGGGTATTCAACTTTTTCCAGTGGAACAAACTCTTCCTTGATTGTCCGCGTACTGACGAATCTCTGAAGATGAGCCATAGTGCCAGTCTTATCGTTTGTTCCCGAGTCACGACTACCGCCAAATGGTTGCTGTGCCACAGTAGATCCAGTACACTTTGTGTTGAGGTATAGCATACCAGCGGCATGCTTCAGAATTGTTTGTGCCTGTCGACTCACGTAAGGATCTTTTGCGAAAATGCTCCCAGTGAGAGCATAGCGTGATGTAGTATCCACGAGATTAAGAGTCTGTTCCCATTCAGCGTCAGGGTACACATAAATTCCCAGAACAGGTCCGAAAAGCTCTTCAGACATGATACGGTGGTGGGGGTTGGATGTGCGGTATACTGTTGGGTGTACAAAGTATCCGTCACCCTTGGAAGTTTTACCACCAACAATCAGTTCCAATTCAGAGTCTGTCTTCGCGTCCACAATGAAGGTATCCAACTTATCAAATGATCTCTCATGGATAACTGGGTTGATAAAGTTCTCATAATTCTCAACGTTGCCAATCTTAAGAGCGTTCGTTTGCTGTGTCAGAACCTCTTTGAACTCAGGCCAAACAGATTCAGCGACGTAGACTCGAGAGTTCGCAGAGCACTTCTGCCCTTGGTACTCGAAGGCTGCCCGAATTGTGTTCAGTGCCGCACTTCTGACATCGGCTGTAGGGTGCACAATTCCCCAGTTCTTGCCGCCAGTCTCGCCAACCACACGAGGGTATGAATTGTAAATCCCCTGACCAATACCGTCGCCAATCTTCTTTTGAATACCCTTGAACGTAGCAGTAGCACCGATAAATGTCAAAGCACTGAATTCTGGTCTTTTCAGAACTGTATTTGTGACTTCCTCCGCATCACCTGGGATGAACTGAACCACATCCTTCGGTAGTCCAGCCTCAATGAGGATATTGTGAAGCAGCCAGCTCGCATGCAATGCAGAGTCAGATGGCTTCCAGATAACGACATTTCCCAGTAAAGCTGCTGGTCCAATCAAAGTGGCACCGAGAGCAGTGAAGTTGAAAGGCGCGATAGCATATGTAAATCCTTCCAAAGGTCGGTATTCCATTTTATTCCAGGTTCCATCGGGCTGGACCTTCGGCTGCTGTGAAAAAAGCGCCCATGCTTCCTGAATGTAATGACGAAAAAAGTCAACCGTCTCGGCCGCAGCATCAATCTCCGCCTGCCATATGTTCTTGCCCTGCCCAAGCATTGTTGCTGCGACTATATCATAGCGGAATTTGCCAGTGATGAGTTCAGAGGCACGGAGAAAGATAGCTGCCCGGTCCTCAAAAGGTGTAGCCTCCCATGCGGGCTTGGCCTTCAGAGCGGCGTCGATAGCTTTGTTGACTTGGTCGGGGTTTGCAGAAGCATAATTAGCCACGACCTCGCTGTGTTTGGAGGGGTTGAGTTGAGATCGAGATTGGGTTGTCTGAACCTGGTTAAGAAAGCTATGTCAACAATGTGCGACCGGTCAGGTTTTTTATAAAGGACATACCTCTGATCCATTGATCTTGATTGGAATTGTGACAGGGAATTCACTCTTGATTTTTTGAATGGCCTTGGTAAGTCTGGCTCTCTCGGGAGAGTTCTTCCCATATTCAAGCTGTATCCAATTCCATCAGCTATGCAATATTGTATGAAAATCAAATTTGGGAACTTACAGGCTTTTCATTTACAAACTTCGGTGGCTGTAACATAGTCAAGAAGCGCCGGGTGACTCCATTGCTTGGGTAGGCTTTTAGCCTGTTCAAGCCAGCAACTTGAACGCGAGTGAGTGTGGTAGGCCGCATGTGGACTGCTCTGCTTCTTAGAATGCGCTAGAATATTACTCCAGCTCCAGTCCCATTAAGAAAAGCTCCCACTCTCGTCTTTAAATACTCCGATAAGCTAGTTAGCTTACTCCGCAATAGTCCTCAGCTATCCCAGCTCTACCGAACACCGGGGGGGTGCTCCGACATTGAAGAAGCCAGTTTCTGCAATACCTTCTCCATCTTCGTTGATAAGTATGTGTCAGTCTGTTCAGGTGGATTCCCTTGTGGGTCTCGATGATGGAGGCCCAAGCAAATCGCCATACACAGTTGTATGTAGATCCTCCATGCTTATCGAGTGTCCGGAGGTCGGGATGGCCATCCGACTTTTTGTTATCGTGTCTGGATGCTTCTAAGTACCCCCTAGAGTCGGTAGGCACATTGAACAATGGACCAATTGGCGGGTTGAGACTAGTGAAAACCTTTGATGGCTATATCAAATATATCCTTTGAGATGTTGTTATCGGAGAGCCGATTATAGCTACGGAGAGATTTCTAGAACCAAGACTTTACATACTGAGATGAGATCAAGAAAATGTTCCTTGTTGCATAGATGGAGCATATTAATCGTAACTCTTTATAGCATTGCTGAACCCTTGCTAATTATACAGTCAATTTATCTACATAAGTATTAGGTAAATGAATGGTGGCACACCATTACAGTTGCCCAGGTGGTATAGCTATTTTAACTGCCAGTGGGAGAACCATGACCTAGTTTGCAGTATATATGCATTTATCGCTCTACATGTACTACCAACTTATATATGTTTAAAAATATGTCAGCACATAACAGCATCGCTCACCTAGGCAGGGTACTGAGCCCTTTTCAAGTTATTGAATCTTCTTGAGCCCTAGAGGTATCGACGAGTAGCACTTATCTCAATTGCGCTCCATTGAGTATAAACGTGTGTATCCGAAGTCGCAGACACCGCCACGCCATTTCCCACGGTAGCATCAGCCCTGGAATTACGCATGATATGATACAGCGATCTTGGCAAAAATAATATTTTGAGACTGTGATTTATAAATCCGTTCGGAAATCCAATACAGGAAAACCAACTCGACTAGTTTGAATTAGTCTGTTGGAAGTGGTTAGTATCAACCCTCACTGGGAGCGGGAAATGATGTTCCAGGGATGCGCATGGGGCTACCCGCTTTATCTCTCCTCACCCCAAATGGGCTCTTGAGTCTTGCCTTCGACCCTTCAACTTGGAAATCTTTCCTTCCAACGACTTCCTCCGTCAAATCTAGGAAGGGCGGATCTTTCTGCAATCTCTTGGTTTCTCAGTTGCGACCAATGTTGACTTGAATCCCCGCAAGCAACTCACCAAATCCGACCCAGCCCCCTCATCCGACCAAACTAGCTCCGCTCCGCCTGATCGGGATCGTCGCGGCCCTTCGTCATCGCACTCAGCAAGCACCTCCACCTAGCGTTTCTCATTCTCGTCCAATCGACCCCCCGCACGCAAACATCCCATACCTGCGTCGCCTTGATGTCCCTATTTGGTACATCTCCGGAGGAGCCCTCCGCAACGACTTCCGCCCAAAGGTCCAAGTCGTCGCTCTTCGCCGACGAACCGTCCGGCGCTTCCCCATCGCTCTTCGCGGATGACGACGGCGACGATAGCTCCTCGCCATGGAATCAGAATAACACGGCAAAGCGACCAGCTCGCCGGGACATTGCACGGACCTTACTGCCAGCTACTGATGTCCCAGAGAGCTATGTGGATGCTTACGACCAAATACTGAACAGCGGGGATAGGGTCGGCTCTGGCGTTGGGTTGACTTCTGTTCGCGAGATTCTGTCGAGCAGTGGGATAACTGCGTCGGACCAAGGCAAGATCCTCAACCTGGTTGTTTCTTCGCACCATGAAAGCTCAGGCGAGCTGGGTCGTCCCGAGTTCAATGTCTTACTGGCATTGGTTGGCCTCGCGCAGGAAGGCGAAGATCTATCATTCGATGCAGTCGATGATCGCCGAAAGAGTAAGTGCTGGTTATAAGTCATCCAGTTCAATTGTTGCTACTTGGAGGCCGAAGAAATACGACTAACTAATCCCCCTCAGAGCTTCCGCAACCAAGAAGCGGCTTTCTAGATCAGCTACGGACCACCGATTCGTCGACTGACCCAGCACCTGAGCCTGAACCTGAACCTGAACCTGAACCTGAACGGCCGAAAACCCCACCACATCAGCAAACGCCGCTACAAGAACCCAATTCCGCACGGTCTCGACAGGTTCGCCGCGAATCATTGGGGGGTCTGGAACAAGACCCATGGGGAAGTCCGGAGCTGCACCGGAATCACAACCATGCGGCACCTGCCGTCGAGCAGCCTTCCTTGAATGGATATGGAAGCATGCGCTCCACCACCAATGCATGGACAAGCAGAACAGTGGAAGATACAAGCCAAGGCAATACGACTCAGGAGCAGAGCAGCAGTCGGACCGAGACAGTAGCTCCAAGCAGCGCTGGATCTGGATGGGGTGGGCCCGTCGGGCCACCCGGTAACGACCCTGGATTTGGAGTGCCCGCCGGTCCTGCCCTGGGTGACTTTGGAGTCCCTGCAGACGCTGCTGCTGATATGGCACCCCGACGCCGGTCGCTGGGTCTTGCTCGCACGACGAATCCACAAGTCGAAGAGACGGTTACCATTAACCTTCTACAAGGGAAGGAGGGGATGTTCATGTTCCAACATCGTAATTACGAAGTCAAGTCTGCGCGCAGGGGCAGTACTGTAGTCCGGAGATATAGCGACTTTGTTTGGCTTCTGGATTGTCTTCAAAAGCGATTTCCTTTCCGCCAATTACCCCTGCTGCCGCCTAAGCGGGTCTCAGGTATGTTCTACGCTGCTTGAAGCGCTCCAAATTGTTTACTCACCTTTCATAAAGTCAATGGTACTCACCTATCAGCGGATTCCTCTTCCTTCCTGGGGAAACGGCGCCGCGGTCTCATCAGATTCACCAATTCCCTCGTTCGACACCCTGTACTCGGACAGGAGCAGTTAGTGGTCATGTTTTTGACCGTACCTACCGTAAGTAGCCATTCCACTCCTGCTTGACCGCTGAAAGATAGCTTACTTATGACTGCCGTAGGAGCTATCTGTCTGGCGCAAACAAGCCACTATCTCCGTCCAAGATGAATTCGTTGACCGTGTTCTTCCTCCCGACCTCGAAGATTCTTTGCCGGCCGACCTCAATGACACATTCGAGACCGTCCGTGGTGGAGTCAAACGATCAGCGGAAATCTATATTAATCTATGCACCCTCCTCGAACGACTGGCCAAGCGGAACGACGGCTTAGCTGCAGATCATCTGCGATTCTCTTTGGCGTTGCAGTCTCTGACCGAGGTCACCAAGGATACATACTCAGTTGACACGAATGATGTCCCATCTCTAAATGTGGGTATCACCGCAACCGCTCGGCATCTCTCTGCCAGCCAAAGTCTGCTAGAGGATGAAGCGAGAGCGTGGAGTGAAGGTGTACTCGAGGATCTGAAGCGACAACGAGATTGTCTGGTAAGTGTGCGGGAGATGTTTGACCGTCGGGACCGATACGCCCGCAACAACATCCCGCAGTTGGAAAAGCACATTGAAACCAATGAACGTAAGCTGCAAGACCTTCGGACGCGGCCGTCGGGCACCGTCAAGCCCGGTGAGATTGAAAAGGTGGAGGATTTCATTTTCAAGGTTTGTGATGCCCCACTTCTCCAATAATTAGTTTGGCGTGACTTGTCACTCACCATGATGAACTTGCAGGACAAAGAAAGCATTGTGCAGCAGCATGCGCGGGGAGTGTTCATCAAGGAATGTATTCGCGATGAACTTATCCACTTTCAGCAAAGCCAGTACCATATTAGTCGCCTACACCAGGACTGGAGCCAAGAACGAGTGAAATATTCCGAATTGCAGGCGGACAATTGGCGGCGATTGAGCGATGAAGTGGAAGGTATGCCGACGGGAGAATAATCTGGTCGACAATTGCCCGTCTATAGACCCTAGGGTCAATACCCACCATGACCACGATGTTTTTCTGAGTTTATTCAAAGGATTTTTATACGCTAGGAACATTTGCGACGATGAATCTTACCTAAGTTATTTCGTTCACTGCGGATAGCGCGGGTCCCGGAATCCGGAGAGTAACTGCATGATGGGGTTGAATAGTTGCCGATGGATGATCTTTTTGCTTTTTCTTCTCCCTTTGTGTTTCGGTCTAGATGCTTGATTACCCCCCAGATTTTTGTTTTCTTTTTCCTTTTCGATCATTTCTTTTGTTTATGCTGCATACCCAATTGTGGTCCCTGGGGAAGGGGTTTGCAATTCAGCTGAGACATCGTTACGTGTCTGTTGTAGCTTATCATTCTCTGCGTTCTTTTTCGTGACCAGATTCTTTGTGTCTAATTACCCAAATTCCCCCCATTTGTTCTGTTTTGAGAGAGAGCATATGAGATGCATTTTGAATTGATTCCAGGGTTCTATTCTATTCTATTTTACATTTTATCTATTTATTTTGAGTATTTGAGGGATGTTTTCTTTTACTATCAGGATTGTATGGGGTTCGGGATATAGAGAGGGGGTCCAGTACTCCACTGGTAGTAGTAAGACTTTGTGTACAGATGTATGTAACTGGCTCGGCAGTTGGCAAGTTTATTTCAAAGTTTTAGTATAAAGTTGCCCATAGGCTGTATTTGGTGCCACGACATGAACTGTGTTTTTTCTTTTTTTTTCTTCTTTTTTTCTTCTTCTCTCCATCTGTATCTGTATTCTTTATTGCCGAGTCCGATGACGTCCAGGGATGGGTCCGTGATTCCAGAAGATCCACCTCTTTCCACCATAAAAGATGATGAGAAGGTCTCAGTGGAGACATGACGGGAATCTCATACCAATCAGCAAATGGATCTGGTATGTCCGGTGGCTTGGCGACTCGCAGGGCTACTGGCTGATTCTTGGCCGGAAGCGGACCCTGTACAATCCAGACCGGGCGCATACTATATACCTATACCTATTACTACTAGGTAGGGCCTGGTAAGTCGGTAGGGCACCAGGTAGGCATGTATGGATCGACAGGGTTTCCGCTAAGGCGTGTTGTATACCAGGAGTAACTCCGTACAGAAGTACAGAAATCGAAGATCTGGAGAAAGATCGGAGCTCATTTATTTCTTATTACTCCTTTCTCCCCCCCCCCCCAAAATCCGCCAATTTCATCAATTAATATCTTATTTCAATCCCACTTCTCCTCCAGTATCTCTTCCAACTTATTTCTGTTCCTTGGTGCCAAGAAGCGTGGGGCGTAGAACCAAGTCTCGGGCTGACGAATCCCGCTCGGTCCAAGAACTGTGAACTTTCGGGGCAAATCTCCTTCTGTTCTTCGCGGCCAAGAATCACGCCCAGAACTTCTTGTACCGGCGTTCTTGGCTCTGGATCGCTTGGTTTCATTCATTCTCATTCCCCATTCCCCATTTCTCTTTCTCTCTTCCCTTTTCCCTTTTTTCCGGAACCTCTTTCTCTATCCCATTTGCTTCCCTCCGCACGGGACCGTCTTATCTCTCCACACCGTGCCCAGCCACCGACGCGAGTTTTGCAATAATAACCCCCCATCTCTCCGCTCCTCTCGCACGGTCACGCTCGGATCGCCAATACCCCGGGCTCCCATTGCTGTGATCATCCCAACCGGAGACTGTCCCGGGTCTTCCTCGCGTTCCCTCAAACCGTACCTTCAGCCCTACAGGGCTCGACTTTCGTCCACTTTGTTCCTCCCGATACTCGTCACCAAGGCATGAGGAGCTACACAGGTCAGCGACGTTTGAGGCGGCAATATTCTCGTTAATTGTGTTCTTGTGGTTCGGGTTGGGGAACTTTTAAAACGGAGGAGATACATACACGCGAAAAGCAAGAAAGACGAGACAGAAGAAAAGGAAAAAATCACAAAATAGCCAAGAGATCGGTGGAAACACAAGACTATATTCGACGAGTCCCACACCGACATTGTTCTTGGAGACGCTGCGCTCTGCAGTCGCACCCTTACAATGGCATGGGATCATTTGGATATCGATAAGCCGCATCTGGCTTACATGATCTTGGGTGGTTTCACAGGCCTGTTCATGTTATGCTCTCTCTTCGTGAAAGAGAAGCTTTATATTGGTGAAGCTACAGTCGCCACATTATGTGGTATCATTTTCGGGCCTCACGCGGCCAATTTATTCGATCCCTCATCATGGGGTAATGTCGACAAGATTACACTCGAGTGCTCACGTATTGTGCTGGTGGTGCAATGTTTCGCCGTCGGCGTCGAGTTGCCCAAAGCCTACATGGAACGCCACTGGAGATCCGTGGTATTTCTTCTGATTCCAGTTATGACCTGGGGCTGGCTAATCACCAGTCTATTCGTGTGGTGGATGGTCCCTCCTCTGAACTGGCTGGAGAGTCTTATTTGTGCCGCGTGCGTCACAGCTACAGATCCAGTCTTGGCATCATCCGTCGTTGGTAAAGGTAAATTCGCCAAGCGAGTGCCCAAGCATTTGCGTGATCTTCTATCTGCTGAATCAGGATGTAACGATGGCATGGCATTCCCATTCATCTACCTCTCTTTTTACATCTGGAAATATCGCCCAGACACAAACAAAGTGTCTTTGAACTGGTTCTGCATAACAATTCTGTATGAGTGCATCTTTGGTGCCGTATATGGATTCGTCATTGGCTATGCGGCACGTCATTCTATAAAGTGGGCAGAGCGAAAGGGTCTGATTGATCGAGAGAGTTTCTTGGTGTTCTACTTCGTCCTTGCTGTTTTCTGCGCTGGTTCGGGAAGTCTCCTCGGCATGGATGATTTGCTCATTGGATTCTCCTGCGGTGTTGGATTTAGTAACGACGGTTGGTTCACAGAAAAGACTGAAGAATCTCATGTCTCCAACGTTATCGATCTTCTTCTTAACTTGGCCTACTTTGTTTACTTCGGTGCCATTATTCCTTGGGAATACTATAACTCTCCCGAACTCGGCCTTGTTCCATGGCGACTTGTCGTGATTGCGCTACTGGTCATCTTTTTCAGACGAATCCCCATCATGTTACTCTTGAAACCCCTGATACCCGACGTCAAAACATGGCGTGAGGCTCTTTTCGCCGGACATTTTGGTCCAATTGGTGTCGGTGCCATTTTCGCAGCAATTTTGGCTCGAGCAGAGCTTGAACACGATAGTACTTCGCCTCTTGGCGAGGCTGACTTACCCAAGCCGGGTGCGGATAATTATTACATTGTGCAGCTCATCTTCCCTATTACAACGTTCATGGTCATTTCATCCATTTTAGTGCATGGTTCATCTATTGCCGTCTTCACACTTGGCAAGCGTATCAACACCCTAACGATCACGCTCTCCTACACTCAAGCGAACGAGGATGGACCCTCATGGATGAATCGTCTGCCTCGTGTGCAGTCAATTGCAAAGGGCTCTATGTCTTTCCGTAAGCCGGATGAAGTGGATGATTCTTCGGAGGAGAAACTCCCCGAGTACCCCCCTGGAACCTTGCCTCCCATTGGCATGCCAGGCAATTTCTTGCGCAGAGTCCGCGATGAAGAGGAGACCGATGCAACGACCTCCGAATCTCAAAGAAAGCCCCTGCGACGACGACGCAAGAAGCATCGCAAGCACGCTGATGTCGGTGGTCCTATCAGTGAATCTGCTATCACGCCCCGGAGACGGCAAGAGATCGAGTCCGACGAGGAAAGAAAGGAGTTGGAAGAACGGGATGCTGTGGAACGTGGAGCTTCTCCTCCGAATGCTGAACGCACTCGCTTTGGCCGTGAGCCAGAGATAGAAGCGTTCCAAGAGGGCCACAACATGATTATCGAGGACGAAGAAGGCAATGTGCTCAAGACCGAGGATACCAGTCACCTTACGCCGGAACAACAACAGGAGCACATTGAAGAGCAACGCAGACGACTTGAGAACGACAAGACTGGCGAGTTCGCACCAGCTCGAGGCCACCCTCACGAGAAGGAGGAAGGCGAAGAGATCAAGGAGGAAGTTGTCAAACAAGCCGACAAAGCCCGTAGCCGATGGACGAACTGGACAGGTCTTGGCATGTCCCGAGGCAAAGACAAGCAAGAGGAGCCTAAGACTCAACCCAAACACAAGCCCACTCCTATCCCCGAACCCTCCGGCAAACCTAAACATCGTTCAGCTCATGCTTACCAATTCGGTAACACCATCATTGTGGAAGATGAGGATGGTGAGGTGATCAAGAAGTACACCATTCCCGCAGGCGACAAAGCATCAAAGCCTAAGCCTCCTAAGCCCATCCCCGAGGAGCAACCTGCTGGACCACCCAATCCAGCCCCGATCCGCCGTGGTCTCACCCGCATGGGTACTTGGTTCGGCATGGAAGAAGAAGGAGAATCATCTCAAGCCGGCCAGAAGAAGCAGAAGCCTGCTCCTAGAACTGAGACTGACGACTGGATGACTGATGACGGAATTCGATTCACATTAGCACAAAGCACGGATGTTGACTCCGCAGGTATCGGCCATAAGGGTCGTCGCATGAACAAGCACGAATTCTTCCAGCAGATCAAGGGCTTGGATGCCAAGGGCCGTCGTGATATAGTGCAACAAACCGATGCTCCTGCCGAAGTCAAAGAAGCAGCCCAGGACGATGCTAAGATACAAGAAAAGACGGAGCGCCGCCTTTCTTCTGTCGCCGCAGCCGCCGCTACAGGCACAATCCCGGAGACGGAAGAAGAGCTCGAATCCGAGTCTGTTACCGATAGCCAGCTTAGCAGCGAAGAGGAATCAGACACCGACACCCCGCAAAATGCTCCTAACGTTGCTGCATCCCTTGCCAAATGGACCAGAGGCACATCCGCTCAAGAACGTCGAAGCAATCTCAGTCCTGCACCGCCTCGTGCCCGCCTTCGCCGTGACTCCGACGACGATGGCACCGAGCGTATTCCACCATCCGCTCTCCGTCAAGCCGCAGGTCTTACTGCCCCACCCCGCCAACGAGAAGACGATACAGGCGAAACCCCCGCTGAGCGACGTCGTCGTCTGGCTGCCCTCGGTCAAACCCACGGTGACTCTGAATCCGAGTCTGACGCTGATGCCGATGATGCTGAGGCCGACGACGTAATCGAAGAAGCCTCGGATAGTGAAGACGACGGCGAACCACGCCAGATTCCTCCATTGGGCAAGGTACAATTTGCCGATGAACCCAGACCATCTGAGCAGTCCAGTCCTAGTGGTGAACAATCCTCAAGCTCTGGGTCCGGTTCAGGCTCCGGTACACGATTCACACCTGGCCATCGTCCACGCGTCTCTTGGGGTGGTGAGAAGGGTCGTGATATTTAATTACTTCTTACGCATCCCATCCTATTTCACCCCACCCCATTCCACATATTTTGCTTCTTTACTTTTGTTTTAAAACAAAACGTTGCTATATGATATGATCCTGGGAAAGCTTTCAACATCCTTCAATACAGTAAATTTGCACACCTTGAACATACCTGTTGCACGTGATCATCCTGCATGTATCTTTGTCTTCTTTTAATTCCTGTACATAGTATCAACTTTGTTTCACGAGCATATCACTTTTTTAAATGGTGTTGTTCTGGGCTAGATGCTCAGCATACCTTCGAGTGCACAGTGAATGGATGGGATTTGTCTTTGACGATTTTGATATTACTACCTAGTGTAAGTTAAACCATTCATCAAGACTTAGTACATTTCACTCCCTACATTAAATATTTGTATTCAAGTTCTTTTCTTCTTTCCTCGCATAGTAGTAACTAGTTCGCGAGCATATTACTTGTTTGAATGGTATTATAATGGGCTGGAAATGCCCAAACATGCATTTGAGTGGATGGGATTTGTCTTTGCTGATTTTAATATTACCAGTACTTGACAATGTTCTAAATCCCTATATAATATTTAGGCATTAGTTGTCTGCTGGTCTCACTTTTTGAAGCGAAGTGAAGGGGGTTTGCCCGCTGCCAAACGCTACTAGTACCTGTATCAACCATAGTAGTCCCCCATAACCCACGAGCCACGAGTAATGGGTGTTAGCAGAAGCTTTGGTACACGAGATGAGATTACACATTGCGAATTACAATCAAGCCACCTACTTCTATTACCTTTAGACATTGGCGTATGAATTACGTCAAAGTATGTCATCCGTTTCTGCTACTTAATTCGACTTAACATAAACTTGAACTTCCAATGTCTTGGTATATAACTGAATGTACGAATTTGACGAGGTATCAAACAGAATGCCATAAAGTTTTAAAAACCCAAATAAAAGCAACGCTTATAAACCAACTAATCAGCTCTCCATCGTACTCTGAGATTTCATCACTCCTCTTCCAAAGAAGTCACTAACGACACCAAAGCCATCTCTGGAGCGCTGAAGCTCTGCTTTGAAAAGGTCATGCTGTCCAGCTGAGTCCACCTGGCGTTGTCGAATAGCACGTAGTGTGTTATTACCTGGTGCACATACGGGACATTGGGCGTCATCGTCGACACGGTTAAGACAGCGTTGGTGGAAGGAGTGTTTGCATAGAAAGTGCACGGTAGGGAGGTCAAGAGTGCCACCGCAGGATTGGCAGCGACGAGATTGGAAGACAACGGGTTGAGATGCGATAGATTCGAGCTCTTGCTGCTTAGCTGTGGTTTCTGATTTGTAGCTTGAGATAAGCCGATGGTTCTAGCGAGTCAAAGTTAGCATTTTAATCCTACACCTGTGCTTCGTATATGCATGATCCAGCAAGGAAACGTGATAAACTTACTGTAGAGATATCTTTGCGCTCTCGCTCAATATTGTCGCTCAGGTATTTCCTTACTCGGCCCATTGTTACAACAGCGTTGTTGCTGAGTGCTTGAATGACTTGTAAGGGTGAAAGCAGGCCATCTTTGTCAATGCGCTGGAGCACAACATCTAATTCGTCACCAGCCTCTTCGAGAATTTGGGGCGAGGAGGCGAAATAGGTCAAGGCATCGACATAAAGCTGTGGCTCATCCGGACCATATCGCTTTAGTGCTTGAATGGCACCTTGTGTGTCTTTGGCGGAGGTAAATGATCTGAAAATATCAAGGCGCAGACCTTCTTGCTCTCGCACGAGAGTAGACCCCTCACGAAAATCTGACAAATCGGAGAGAAGCAGAACATTTGATGTTGATATGGGAATCTGTTACAATTAACGTCTGTAGAAAGGGCATCATTGCAGGTACACTTACATCCTTGCCCTCAATCAGCTTTTTGGCTTTCGTCTCCCATTCTTGCTTCTCGGCTGTATCTTTCTTCCCCTTGGCCGTGTCCAAATACATCTCAAACAAAGTCGTGAAAAGATCAACCTTGGCCTCTTTACTCTGGCCAGGCTGCTGTACAAGTGTCTCTAGAAAATCAATGAATTCTCGAGGATGGTCGACAAAGGCGGAAAAGGCAGTGCGTGGCTTTGGAATCTCGTACTCGGGCCCTGATTCCGCATTGGACTCTTCAGTTGCTGCAGGTTCTGGCGCTGGCGCTGGCGCTTGATATCCAGATCCTCCTGTCATATAACGCAAGGGTAAAATTCCAGAAAGACTTTGAAGAGTACTGGTTGGTTGAGCCTGTGGCTCGGCAGGAAGTTCGACCTGTGTTTTGGGGCGGTAACGGCCAGTGTAATAGCTTTTGAAGAGGTCGTTCGTTTGTTCGGGACAATGGTTCAACAAGACACGGGCATATTTCACCAAATTTTGGAAGGCCTAATAAAGTTAGCGAGGTTCAAAGAGACTTAGGGGTTTCCCGGCTTACAGCTTCAGGTTCTAAGCGCCAAATATACTCTACCGCCTCAGCATATTTCTTGGAGTCTTCGACCAGGATATCAACCACCATATCATTCTCGCCGTGCTTTGTCGCAAGGTACGCGGCCTGCTCGTAATATCCTCCCTGGCGACACATAGCAATGGCAGTCTCTAAATCAAATTTCAGCTCACCAGGAGCTTTGATAAACGAGTCTAATTTGCTAGTATCCTTCAATTTGGCGTAGCAATTCAGGAGGAGGGTGGTATGATCGACAGTGGCCCGGCCATGGTCGTGTAACTCCTCGAGATACTCGATCAAGTTATGAATCCGCTGAGTGTCCAAATACTGTATTTCATGTTAGTGCAAGGCTGAGAATAAAGCGGGGAAAGAGGAAAACTAACCTTGCGAATAACCTGAGAAGGCTCAGTGTTGTCAATTGCCCGCAGATACTGCTGCATAGCAGTGTCATAGTCCCCGCGTTGATATAAGAAATCACCATATTTGCGATATATGGCATTTTGCTGCAATTGATCAATACCAGTCTTCTGTGCCAGATTAATGGCAAGAATGTAAAGGTTGCGATCATAGAGAATCTCCAGCCTTTGCTGAAGGCTTTTTTCTCTATACCGGAAAACCTTCCCATCTGTTGCAAGAAGATACAGATCTCCCCATTCCATGAAAATTTGCTTCGGTGGCGATGCTAGAGTCTCGTTATGCGCAATAAACTTAAGATCTGTATCAAGTAAGGTAAATGTCGTCGTTCCAAAGATCTCATCTGCCGGGTTAACCGTGTATTTCCTCAGAGGATCCGACTTCTTGGACGTAACCTTAGGCGGGCAGACCAGCGCCACATAATCGCGAAAAGAGTTTATAGATGTCTTCTGGCTCTCAAACGCATAACTAGGTCCTCGACCGCGATGGCCGTAGGTGTAAACTGCGTCTTCGCGAGCAATCATAATATCTCCCGTCTCCCGATTAAGAGTCATACACCCCAATGCACACCCCGTATCTTCTAGCACACGAGCGGGCTGACCCTGCCCCCGCCCGGCAATGACCAGTGTCAAGATGCGACTTGTAGTTGAGATGTAAAGCGCCGTCACTTGGCCTTCCTGTACTTCGAGACCAGTGATAGGCTCCTCCGATTCAAAAACAATGCGTTGACGTGCCCCTCGATCGTGAATCAAGTCTCCGCGGATGATCGTCACCGAGCCATTAGCGAATCCAACTGCAACCTGCGAAAGATCGTCGACAACAGCGAATGCGGAAATCTATTGATCAATTAGCTTTCAGTCATTTCGAACCCCCAGTTTCAACTTGAATGGGTTCTGCGCACCGGAAACTGTCGTCGGGCATTCTGCACCGACACAGTTGACAAACAGCGTGGTCCACCGTCCTTTTTCTCCGTATCCAGTGCCCAGACTTTGAGAACGGGTTCATTCGTAAGATCCTCAGCGACCGTAACTAATAAAGAAGTGCCATTTATCTGCTTCATGTGTGTTATTGCGCCAGTATCGTGCGCCTTGAACGAGCGCAAGACGCGGAAGGAGGAGGACACGATGTGAACGGATCCATCATTGGTGCCAAGGAATAGGTTCGCTGATCCGGTACAGAGGCTTGAAAGGTCACTCTGTTCGAGTTAGATGCATGAGCGGGGATTCGGAGCAGGGAGAGGTTGGAGAAACCTACGCCGAAGAGTGCGGAGCTCTCCTCTGGTAGTCTGACTGGGGAGACGTCGACGAAGTTGAATGCTTTCCACTTTGAGCTATTGTTAGAATTATTCCCCAAGGGTTATGAGTAGGACGTGCGTACTGATGTCAGTGCCATTTGGGCTGCTGGCCATGGGCGATTGCGATTGATGACGGAGCTAAGTTGGAGGCGGCCTGGAGCTTATCCCCGCTGGCGCACGGACCAGCTGGTTCCTGGGCTTAGTATCCCCAGGCATAATATGAGACCGGATCTACTATATACACCAGTGTTTACGAATTCCTTTGGCAGAGAACTTGTTGACAAGGGGACGCTTACTCAGATACTGGCAATTATTTATGTGCTTAAATTCCAAGCTTTGATCTGATAGCCATATGATATTCATAATGTACTCTAGAATTATCAACACAAAGAAAAATAAAGATATAGACTCCACAAGTGTGAACATGTATGCATAAGGTCGTAAGAGCCATATTTCCAAATACTGTATTCGAAAGTGGCCCGATGGGTTGAACGAAATGGAAATCGAGATGCAGAAAAGTAATAGAAACGGATAAAAAGATACGCTGAGTGATAGGAGCCAAAATAAGTGCTGAAGATCCGTCTAGTTGGGGGTATCGAAATTCAAAGTAGATGGAGGAGCTGCATCGGATGGTACCTGCTCATTCAAACTCGGTCTTCGTGTACTCTTCATGAAATCAAAACTCTGCTGCAGCCAACTACCGGCATCAGCGATGGCCTGGCTGAGATTGAAACTGTCCCCCGTCTGAAGTCCTCCTTGTCCATCTTGCGTAGTCATTGGCGTGGATCCGCTCAAGGCAAACGGAAGAGGTGGTGCTTGGGTAGTATGTCGATGCGTGATCATATGATGATCAGGGGGTTGATCAGCTAGAGTACGATCTGGACTAGGACTTTCATAGCGAGCTTCAAGGGCATGGTCGTTATCTGGTAGTGGAGATGACGATTCCGGGCATTGTGCAGTATGGATGGCCCTTGGTCTGATTGACCCAGGTTTTTGTGGCGAAACGGAACGAAAAGCCCTCGGCTTCTTGCCGGTGCTAAATGTATAGGGGGTAGCAGCATCAAGCATACATTGCGTGCTGGTTGCCTGGATCTTTCTTGCCTCAGAATCTCCCAAACTGCGTCGAAGAGCCTTTTCTGAAGTATCAGGTCGAAACAGCGGTGTTTCATGAGCCAACAAGGATTCTTCTCCTGCGTCTATCCCACGTAGTTGGGCGGGTGTTGTGCCGTATTCACGTACAGGGCTGTCCAGGTCATCCTGAAAGGATCTTTGAGCATGCAGCAGGGCAGCCTGGGTGGATAATTGGGTGTTGGGAGTGGTATCTGTGCTCAAGTTTGAATTCTCTTTTGGCACGGCTGTCGAGTGGAGTGATGGTAAACGAGATGACACGCCGGATGGAGCGGGCATCTCCTGAGCAGACGGGAGCTCTTCGTAGGTATCATGATCTGTCGGCGGTGACAAATTTTCACCTCTGGAAGTAGCTCCTTGGGTATAATCTGTAAACCGCAGACTCTTAGACAAGTTTGCTGGGGGACTTTGATTTCTGTGGCCTTCCTCTAAATCCATGGCATCATTTTCAGTGATCACATCAACTTCTATTTTATTGACCTCTTCCACCAAACTTGTATTGTCGACTTTATGAATAGGCGTAGGTATATCCATTCTGCTCTCTGGATACGCAGAAGGATAATGATTAGCAGTGGTGGTTTTCTCGACAGGTGATTGCAACTTCAATTGTGGGCTTGAGCCTGGTATACGCAATCGCTTGTACTCAAAGCGTGACAGCTGTGAAGTTGAAGATACAACTCTAAATGACGCTACCTGCTCATTGCGGTCGGGTGAATTCACTGGGGCGACAGTTGAGTGTCTTGTAGTAGTAGGAGCAGGGCTCCGCATGGGAACGCCTGCAGGTGAACCAATAGCCTGCAGTGGGGAGGCGGCCGTTGAATTTGAATCTGTAGACTGCTTTCTCCCAGTGACAGAATCATGGGACATGGATTTAGCTGGAGATCCTCGAGACGAGACCGGTGCAACAGAGCGCGGGCGACTGCCACGGGATTGATGTTCTCCTATCCTTCTATGGCCACTAGTCGGCGTCGGAGAGGTAGGCGGGTCAAACGACGTGAAGTTCATGCGCTTTTTATCCTTCCTCAGCCAATCTATCGAGCCCGTTTCGAGAATCGTATGTTGATGTCCTGGTGATGACACTTCCCTCAATCCCCTTGGTAACTCTGGTACATCTCGGGCACCGGAAGGCGATCTTCCAAGAGCGGATTGCCGGGATTGGACAGAATGGGGCGGTTGGGGTTGAAATTGAGGTTGAGGTGAAGCAGTTTCTCTAACAGAAGCAGAAGCAGGACGAGTAACAACCGTCGAGTGCAGCTTGTTCATCCTATCAGCTGGGTTGGTTTCCTGCATACAAGCCGAGCCCTTCTGATCCATCATCTCCGACAATTTCATACTCGACTGAGGATCTGATTTATCTACAGTCTTCCTCTCTTTTCTCCACGGATTCTTCCACCCATCATCAAACGGGCCCCGTAGTTTCGCAGTGGAAATAAACAATGAGCCACCACGTAGATATGACTCGGCGAGCCTCTCGATTCGCTGGCGCTTCTTAGCGCGAGCTTTATCGTCAAACTCATCGTCCGATCCTAGAAGCTCATAGGGGTCTGAATCTGAGTTGGTGGCTGGAATAATACATGATTCAAAGGCGACCGGGGAGACGGGCCGCGGTTGGTGTGGCATCGGGATTATTGGATGGTATGGAGTGGCCGAGAGGATTCGGGGCTGCGTTCGCCGGGTACTGCGACGGAGCAGCCAGACACAGATCCTGTTGAGGGGATATCCGTCATATCTGTGGAGCGAGTTGTAAGCTCTAAGGTGCAGCTGAGCTGCCTAACGCGCGAAGAAGCACTTAACGCGTTAATGTCCTAGTAACAGTGCGGGGTGGGTTATGTAATCCCTATTGGCCGCATCTCTGCCCAAGTGCGTTTGTTAGGCGTAGACAGGTACTAGGTACCTGTCTCAATAATTAGCATTCCTGGGTGTCTAGTAGGTGCTTATATGGTAAGACACAAATATGGATAAGCAAACGGTAACCATCATCTATATCGATCGAAATACAGTATTCAAGATCTAAATGGGAAAGTGGAGGATGAAACTCAAGAATATCGTATTCACATGAAAGTAAGCCCACTAATTAGACAAATAATACGGAGAAAGAAACAGGAGAAATGGAAATAGACACCATATCCAAGCCACAATTGCCACCGCCGGAGCAAGCGTCCACAGAAATCAGGGGACATGGAAATGAGGTATTAAAGCAGAAAGATCATGATAATCAAAGTCAGGCAACATTCATGCAGATACAAACCCTTCAGCATTCACGCTGAATGGGGCTACGTGGATAAAATAAAAAGCACAGAAAGAAAAAGCTTAAGTCACATAGAATGGCATCCATCATAGAGTTTGATCGTGGGGTATCGATGTCGATTGGAAACGGCGGAACATCCAGACAGACCGAGGCAACATAGGACGTATGAAAAGAGCATTGGTAGGCGTTCGCAAAAGTAAGAGAAACGACGATAGAACATGGGTTGAATGGGGGGAAAGAACATTCATAAAAAGGGTCGTTATTGGGTAGTCATCATCACGGAGTGTTCAGCTCGCTCCTTCATTCGCATGGCTTGGGTCTCAAGGGAGCGCGCCATAAGTTTTGTCACTGAAAGAAAGTCTTAGTATATTCAACTTGTGAGGTGGGTTGTAAAGTGGGCTAAGCTTACCTGGCCACACAGCAGCCCTGTCTAAAAGGCTCGCCGTGGCAATCAATATTTTACAACCATATCCTCCTTCAACCGCACTTGGCAGACGTTGCATAACACTAAGTGCAGACATGGTGTTGTTGTTCTGCACTTGCCGCTGCATTTTGTTCTCCACATTGTTTAAAATTTCCTTAATTTTATCCACAAGCTTGCAGTCCTCCTCTTCAAGTAGCATAACACCCGGCACCTGAGTCAGATCATGATCGTCACGACCCAGGATTCCAAGATACGGTCCAACTCGTTCTTGCACAGTAGTAATCCACTCAGCCAGCACTTGTGCGCAATCAAACGCACACATCGCGCATTGGATTGGAAGCTCTCTCGACGAAAATTCCGCGAAGGTATTGCCTAATCGATCTGACATGGAAATCGAGTCAGCAGCGTAAAAAGCAGCTTTGCGTAAATGCTTTTCGCGTCTTGATTGGCCACCCTTATATACATTTGATAACAGCTGCATGGGCTCATCTTGAGTCGGCGTTTTTGAGATTGCAAGTTCTGCAACACCCAAATCATTGATCGATTCTCGCCGACCATCAAGCGCGCCAGTGAGGGATGGATCCACCAAATCATTCATAGCTGTATCAATTTGTTGGAATACTTCAGGACCACGGGCCAATTCGTCTGCCATGCCATTCCAGTCTCGTTGCCAGAATGCCTCTTTACATCGACCGAGGTTGACGAATAGTCGCACATAAGCCAGGTCCAGCAAAGGGATGCTATCAGCAGACAGAGGTCCTGCACCGAATGGATTCGGTCGTTCCAGACTGTGGACAGGATTGCTTGCCCAAGCTGCTTGCCATGCTCGCAGTGCAGGCTCAATGTGTGATTGCATTGCTTCTGTTTCTTGTGCAGTCCATTGTCGACCCATGTGTCGCTGTCGAGTCTCCCATATGTAGTTATGTAGGGAGTAAATAAGAACGAGACAGCCAAACGTACTAGGGCGATTTTCCGCAAGTGAAGGGTCATCCGCACCACCACCACTAAAAAATAGGTTTGACGACTGGTTTTGTTGTTGCCGTTGGCTAGCTGTGAGGAGAGATGTCAAGGCAGCTGAGAACTGTACGCTCTTTTTCGATGCTGTCTGACCACCTATCTTCTTCCACGCTTGAGGAGACTCAGCAGCCCATAAATCTTCTTCGCAGGGCAGATCAAGTCGAATTTCGGAATTTGTCAAGGCGGGAGCATGGTTATATGCTGACACGAGGAAGCTGGAAAGTACAAAGATAGCATATAGAGTACGCTTTCGCTCTTCAACGACTTTCCAATTGAGCCAGTCTCGTCTTTCCTTAGGTTGATTGAACGACGAAGAAGTCCAGTTGTCAGAATCACCGGAGCCATTTATGCCAGCGGTAAGGTGATCTTGTGGTAGGTTTTTCGGTTCCAGGTGGTTTGTCAACTCAGCTGCACGGGCTAAGCTGACTAGTGCTGCGCAATGTGTACTAGCTATATCCGCGGATGTTTTATCGCCACAGGTGTGGCCGTAAATCACATTTAACAGCATAGCTTGTACTAACCAAAGAGGGGTATTATGGACGGAATTATCGCGAGTGGTATTAGAGCGGCTGAGAGCGGCGGACATATCGGCTTTTCTGCGTTCTTCTAGGTAGAGCTGAATCATCTTCTTTGCAGCTTCGAATAAGTCCTTGGATGCAGCGGTGTCATGTTCGTAGAGAGCACCAATAGAAGCCATGGAAAGGATTAGACAACCCCCTCCGCCTGAAACTCCTGTGGAACTGAGATTAAGATGTCCGCTTGGTGTGCGCAAGTTGTTCGTATATTCGGGGGCTTGGAAATTGAGGGTCGGGGTGTGAAGGAAGGGCATGTGTGGATGGAAGTAATTAAGATAAGCCGAAATATACCGTTGCATATCGGAGGTACTCGGTAGTTGACCGGAGCTGTTGAAGCCGGTCGAGCGGGCGAACAATTCTCGGCTGTTAAGAAGTCCACTTGCAGGCTGAGAATACTTGCGGTGATTGAAGCCAGTGGGCTGCGACATGCTCACTAATAAAGCCTGTCGTGTGGAGTCTGTAAAGGTATCCGTTGAGAGTGGGAAATGTTCACTTCGTAGGGCACTATTCGGGAAAGGAACGTTGAGAGGATTAGGAGATTCTCCGCTTGTTGCCATTGAGGATGATAACATACTCTGCGAATGTCCTCCCACGAGGGGCTGGCCGACCGAGGTCATGGATGGCGGGGTAGCATAGGTCTCAGCAAACGGATTTTGAGCCATCAGTGACTTGGGCGATACGGTCCTCGGGGGGATTCCCAACTCGTTCAATGTCGTCGGCGAAAAGTCGAGGGTAGCGAACTGGTTGGCGGAGGCTGACGAGTGTGCTGGGAACGGGTTATGCCAGCCATTGGAAATGGGGATACGGTTAGGGCCATCGAGCATGGCCTCACTAATTCCGCTTTGGCTACCCGTACTCATGGCGGATGGGGATGACTCGTCAATAACAGAGTCATTGCCATTACCCAGTGCCACAGCTGCGTCGAAGCCATTCATCCAATCAAAGTTCATGTCTTCGTCCATCATAGGGTCCGTAGCGGGGTGCATGGCGTGGGGGTTATGTCCAAATGGGGAGGAAGGGGAGTCACCAAAGCCCGGGGGAGAACCTGCGAAGTGTAATTGTGCCGGGTTTATTGTGCTTCCATGGCCCATCAGCATACCGTCAATGCCCATATCAAAGCTTCCGTAAACGGGGGCCGTTCGCAATCCACCAGACATATCAATGGGCAATCCTGAAGTTTCAATTTTGCTCAAACCGTTCATTGTAGGGTGGCCGGAGCCAAAACCGCGAAAATCCATGCTTGATCCCAGCGATGATCCCAGACTGGGGTGATAAGCATGGCCTGATGGAGTTGGGGCGGATGATGGGGTACCGTTAGCAATTCCCAATGCGGTGCCATCAATATGGCTGATGGTGTTGGCTCTCGGTCGCATTGACGAAGAAGTTGAGCTATTAGCAATGGAGTTCTTGCGAACACGGTTAGTGCCTCCTGGAGCCGCGCCGGTACTTTCGCGGCGGCCATTTCTTGGGCGAGATGAAGGGGTAGTGGTCATGTGGAGTTTCTGCTGATGCCGAAGCAACAGATCGCGACGGGCAAAGCATCGCGCGCATTCTGGGCACTCAAAGGGCTTTTCTTTAGTGTGCGAACGCTCATGGCGCTTCAGATGCTCCAATCGCGCAAATGAGCGACTGCAGGTGGTGCAAACGTGGGGCCGAGGCTTGTCTGTCTTCGGGGGCGGGATATTCCCATTTGCGGCGGCTTGACCATTGGTCTCGCCCTTCTTGTTCTCCTTGGCTGGAGCTACCGAATGCGCGTTCAGAATTTTTCACAGGTTAAATGGGCTAATTGGCTCCAGGGATTGTACTTACCAGGCATATTTGCGGGAGTTTCGTTGATGCTGGCTAAATCCGCCAACTTTGAGCTGTAGTCTTGATCCTGACCAACCATAGCACCCAGTAACATCCTAGTGAGAGTCTGGGGAATTCCTCACTGAGGCAGAGTCACGATTGCTGATCTCAAGGGTAAGAGTTGGATTGGATGAAAGGGAGAAGGGTATTGTGAAGGGTTGGTAAAAGTTAGGCGCAGCCTTGAGAAGGAATCGTATCTTTCACTTTTCCTAGGCAGTCACTCCAGAGTGACAAATCAGGCGTAGAGATTGAGATAACTTTACACTATAGTCGCATCAACGACTGATCTGGGCGGATGACATCAGGTCAGCATGGCCCTTTTTTCTCTCTCTTTTTCTCTCCTTCCCTTTCCGTTTTTATTTTTCTCAAAGCTGGTATGTACCGAGCCAGAGTCATTCGTGAAGGGACCCAGGGTAACGGGGAACGGCTATTCATGGGATCATAACGGGGCGGATAAGACCCACCAGGGAGGGACAGCAGCTATACAGCTTGTTTCTATCGGGTATTCTGAGTGGACAATTTACTCAAACAGGATTGAATGTCGCCTGAGGAGAATCAATGGGAAAAGTTGTCGAACACAAATCGAAAATCCAGGTTAAGAGGACCTGTGGCCGGTAAGAGAGAGAAGCCGAGGGTTGACGATCTAATAATGAGGGGAGGTCGCAACATCAGTAAGGCAACCGGCGTTAAGTATGATAACGGGGTTTCGCAGTACGGTCGCGAAGGCTCCAGCTCAGACTTACCAGGTTCAAGGGTTATTTCCAAGAAGATCTGAAGCTTCTCAAGCGTCCATTGACTTAGGAGGCAAATGATACTTTCGCCAATCGAGACTCCGGAATGGTCACAATCTCGCCCGCTGATAGCATGCGAGTGAATGGAGCCGGAGATAACCGAGATAGTGAACAATGGTAAGTCGGACCAACAACACAAGAAGAAAGGAGGTATGTTGAAGTTCAAGGGGAAAGGGAGGTAGTAGGAGGAAGGAGGAAAAGGTTTAAGTTGGAGTGAAATGGAAGAAGATGAATCCGAGCAAGTTGGTAAAAGGTACCTGGGTGTTGGGGAGTTACATACCCGTGGTCGGGTGGTTCGTGGCAGTAAAGTGGCGGCTTGATTACAATTGGTATACGCCTTACAACTTCGTATTGGAAATTGATTGGAAATTGAATTGTACTAAAACTGTACTAATTATGGGGTATTATGGAGTATTATAAAGTATTATGGGTGATTTTCTAGAGATTACCGATCTATTCATACACTGCTCCGTACATGGTTGATTAAATGATTCTCTCCAACACTTAGTGGACTGTATGTATGTCCCTATTCAGACTTACTGTACAATACCCGGGGCCGAGTCTGGAGTACATGGAACTACGCAGGCCCACGAGTGGAATGCATGTACTGTAGCTATACATAATGTACCCTCGGGAAGTAGTCCGTCCCTCTTATCTATCATTAATCAGAGCCGCTTTTCCAGAGTTTCCACGTTCTTACCCAACATTCAATGCAACCTGATTCAGCCAAGTCTCAGTTTGCCTCTAAAAACACAACCAAAAAAAAGGATATAGGTTACCTTATAAAATCCTTAGGGGTAGTTGAATGAGTATTTACTGCAGTAAAAACAACTCCCCGTATCACAGATTAATACTTTACCCTGCTGATACCCCGATACCCCGATACTTTACAGGTGGATCCCCCAGACACGGCCTGGCAGCGCCAATAACTGGTCTGCGATTACCCAGGGTGATACCGAATGCGGCGTAGCCCCGAATCTTACGACCACGCACGGCCGACAGTATGTACTCACCGAATGCCCACCAGTTCCTGGCTCGACTTATCCATCATCACCATTGGTTCCGAGGGGCCTGGCCGCCACGCAGTTGCTTCCTTTGGGCCTAGTGGCGTAACCAGCCAACGCGGCGCTAAGTATCTGCTTTTCCCTGGTTACTCCGGGGTTTGGACCGAGGTGGACGCGGACAACTGGTCCCCCGGAAATAGCTGAAACAGCGATAAGAATGGAGTGAGAACAAAGAAGAGATCCATATCATACGAGCGAATTTCGGGGTTATCGTAGAAATATCCGAATAGGATCAGAAAAGGTGAAAACCACATTAACTAATCTTCAGATCCGTAAATGAACTAAGTGAACTAAATGAACTATGTAGAGGCTAGTTCCTGCCTTAGAGCGTTATCCGTATTTCAATGCAATTGCTTTTTCGGGGCCTCTTCGGCGGTAATCTTTCAACCATTCTATCAGCCAGGCCTTCCTTCCACGTACAAAGTTCATATATCTACAGAGTAGACATGGACTTACATCACTGTCGGGTTTAAATTGAACAGGTGACGATGTTCTACAGAATCAAATCCCTTTCCTGAAAATAGAATAACAAAAAAAAAAGGGGGGGGGGGGGCTTCTAGCATCATTCATATTTCACTCTTTACTCTAATTTAAGTATGGCTCCGTACGAAGTACAGGACATGGTAACTCTTAGCAACGCCGCCTAGAAAGTACATACTAATAACAGATAGACCAGACCATGTCCCAAATTCAATACCAACATCCGGTTAATCGGAAATCGGAAATCGGAAATCGCAATACGACATGCAATTTTATACAAGGTACATAATCCAAGGACGGGCCTCCTCGTGACGCTCCGATCGGCGGGAAAACGGTCAAAAAGAGCGAGGTTGGGGGTAAGAAACCTGCCACAACCGTGCTGGCCGCGGTCTATGATGTGGCCAGGTACCCATTCAGATCCACCGGGCGAGGCTGGGGGCTGAGCTATGTGACTGGCTCTTCCAATAGGCGGTGATGGAGCCGTAAAACATACCAAAATAAGGGAAGGCCATGCGCCATTTTTGTGGGGGAATTAGTGCCTTAACTCGAAAAAGGAATGAAAAAGGGTTCGTGTGGGGGATTTTCCTGAGCTGTGTTCCAATGAAAGAGAAGATTTGGGGGCTTTTTTTGGCTTTTCCTTTTCTTTGCCTCGTCTTCTCAAGCTTCTTCTCTCTTTGGATAGATATGATTGGTGTAGCCATGGATGGGTGCTGTCTGGTTCTCTTCCTGATGTCTTTCAACACATGGAATTCTTAATAGATTTGCCACTCGTACATTCCGTATACTTTAGGTCTAGATTAAAGAATTGATTGAATTTGGTCTATGCAATAGAAGGTACAAGGCAAAAGGGCAACTTTCCAAACTCGGTGATTTCTACTCCGTGACCGATCGCTTAATTCCTTTGACTTTGCACGTTGCAGCCACGCCGGTTCGACTTTTGGTTGCACAGAGCGCACCCCAGGGTATGTATTCATTGGCGCGCGAGCGACCCATTTGTCGATTTTGGCTGGTAAAATGCGGCTGGATCTGGGGTTGCCAGACGATCGCTTCATTAATTTGTCCCTTTCTTGCTTGGTATGGGGCTTCTTTGTTTCTCTTGTCCCTTTTCTCTTTATTTTGGGTTTTGATTTTATTTATTTTGTTTTTCCCAACTCTCCTTTTTCCGGGGTTGTATGAACTAGTACCCCGGATGCTAACGGAGACCGGGGGAATGCGATATAATGGAAGTGTAATACTCCATTCTTCGACAATAAAAGAAATAAATATGCATATGAAAGAATCAAAACCACAAGGCCGTTTCATAATACTCTATGTGAAGCATACATGGCTTTAATCAAAGAATATAATAATATGATGGTAGGAAGGGGGGAGCAGAGTCAAAGAATTGGTTGAGTCGCACGGACATTTCGTATGCAGAATCCCCAGACCCGAATATGCGCGCTAGGAAGACTAGGCCACTAGCGGCGAGTCTGAGAGGGCCGCAGGTGACCCGAGATGACTCAAGGGTGGGCTAGTGACAAATGAAACGACCGCACGGCCCAGCCACAAAGAGGTGCGTCCCTCGGTGCGTCGCGGGTCGCGGGTAGGCTGATCGTGGAAAATGCCGGGCTGGGTATTCTTTGGCCTCTGCACATCACGCCCCTAAGGCGGAGGAAAGAATTCCGGGATGTACGGGGTAGTGCCATTTAATTTGCGTCTTACACTCCATAATCCACATGACTGAGTAATCTATGCTGCATCAAGATTGCATTTTCATCTGGGAGGCTTTGTGTGACGACTGCAGTGTCGACTACCGCGAGATAAGTCCATACTTTTTTTTCTAGCAGGTAATCAATAATACCTCATCATCATGCAATTCATAGCGTAGTTCCTGCTAGGAAAAGGCAGAAGAAATTTGGAAAATCCTATCTAGCTTTGATACATGAGATTAGGCTGTTTGCTCCATACTAGTTAGCAAAAGACATTGGCAAAAATAATCTAAATCCAGGCACAATTCGGTGAATTCAATTAGCATCTATTTGGCAACTTACTCCAAGCTGGAGGACACTAAGCCTTTGAATGGTTAAACAGGGCCAGTAATACGCCACGGGGGTAAGAAAGCCAATCAATTCAAATAACGCCCTGGGTCAATATACTTCCAGTCATATTCACCTGCGTCATTGTACTCCATTCGGCAGCAACTAACAACAGTCAGGCAAGTCAAGTCTGGCAACGTTATTGCGTAACTGCGTTTTGCGGGTGATCGCTGAAACCAAGCCTATGTAAATGTATGTACTCCGGTTTTTGTGCGCCAATTTGATCAGATGGTGATTCGTTGGTTTGTTGATGTTGAAAGAATTGAAAATCGCTGAACAATGCAGCATGACCCGGGTAATCAAATAAGTAGCCACAGACATGACCATGCATCTGAACTTTGAATTGTATATGCGCTCATCTCAAACTAAAAAGCCATGTTTGTAATCTTTGAATGTTCAATAGAAACAATCCCTTTCAACAAAGTGTGACCTCAGGCAAAAATTCTCCGAGACTCCGACACAGACATCCCCGTCTTGTCTGCAACGGCGCTGATCACCTAATGGCCTGTGCTTGCCACTTGTGCACGATGGCATCAATCAGTCGATGGGGCTGAGCAAGTACCTTGACGTTGGCTCGGAACTAAGTCCATTTTCGACACCGGATTGATCGGACTTCAAGCCATTTTGGCTTCACGAGACTCTGCC